GTGCGAATGTATTGGCATATCGTTCTTATAGACATCAAATGAGGTTTCGGGTGCTTCTTTTTACGCTCTCTGCGGTGTGTTCTAGCTTAAGAATGCGACGTACAGTCCTCCTAGGCACCTGAGTCTCTTGGACGATCTCGCGCTGAGATTTTCCTTGTCGTTGTAAGCTGCGGATAATTGCGCGCGCAGGGGTAGGCCATTCTCCCTTATCTTTCTCGAGGGGTGAGCTGAGTATTACAGGTGTTTCCATGTTGAATTGCAGAAGAATTGAATAAGTAGTTGTTGAGTTATTAAAGTTTTAAAAAGGAAGTGGGCCGTGTGTCGTGGCCTCAGCTCTTACATTGAGTGGCCATAGTGGTACATCATCTACCGCAAAGTTTCACGGGCAAGAAATGCTCTTGAAAGTGTCAGTTGGAATTCGGTTTTAACAACATACATATCGCCCTTAGCCACTTGAACGGCTGGCTTGGCAGATGTGGAGCTCTTGTCAGGGGTCTTTTTATCAGATTTGGCCTTGTCTTTGATCCTCTGCTCTGCTTGATCTCGAAGGAATTGGATCCTGCGTTTGAGGCGGAAGCTTCCATTCTCAACCTTATCGTCAACTTGTTTTTGGATCTCAGGGTCTGCCTTCCAGGTTGAGCTTCTCTTGCTGGGAATGATGTACGGGCAGTCTGAATAGCTCTGAGTTTCACCACATAAGCAAGGCAACTGGGTGTAGTCGGCACGTTCTTTGCCGTTGAAAGATGCTGGAGAGTTTGATCGTTGTGGCTTGTCTTGCTTTTTAGCAATATATGCTAAATTCTTGACAGTTGTTCTGGGCCGGTCAGAGGTGTTGCGCCTCCACTGCGAGTACTGGCGAACTAGCTGTTTAAAGCTCCATGGTTGTTTATCGTCTAGCATTTCAAGCTCTTTTGAGTCTGAGAAAGAGGGTGCAATAGGGTAAATTGCAGTCAGGAAATCGTGGCAGGCTCGATCAGTGTCTACTAGCTCAGGAACCTTAAGTTCGATTCCTTCGTCGTAGATAGTGTGCCATTCTCTGAGCCAGTGTTCAAGGTCAGTGGAGCTTTTGGCAGTCGATTTGAGCTTCCCCCACTTCCCAAGAATGGTCTTCTTGCGAGAGTAGTCCGTAGGAGCACATTCCATCTTGAGGTTATGCATCATCTTCCAAGCGTTCGGACAGTTGTACGTGTATATGAGGAGCTTCGGATCGATGGTGTTCTGAATGTGTGCTTCCATGGCCCGAAGAGCCTCGACTTGCCGGTCGTACTTCTTCATCTTGTAAGCATATTCTTCTCTGAGAGAGCGTAGCTCCTCTCTTTCGTCCTGATCGAGATCAGAGAACTTAGCAGGTCGTGTGACAGCTGGTGTAGTGGTTGGAATCGAGTGTGCTGTACCAGGAGTGGCAGTCCTAGTCGAGGCAGGTGTGATTATAATGTCATTCTTTATAGTCGATGGAGTCGGCTTGATAGGCTCTGCCAGAATCGGCACCATCGTGGGTTCGTTTACATCTGGATCCATGTATTTCCAGACGTCTACTTCGATAGCGGTAGTCTTGGTTACTTCTTTCCATGGAATCCAGTTAGGATTCCCGGAGAGTATGACTATTGCGTATTTGATCTCTGTCATGGCGGCTGTATTGCTGCAGAGAGTGATGGGGCAACGTGTTCTTGGTTACGGCAAGCTTGGCGGAGAGTTCGCAGATACTGTGCTGTAGTATCAGGAGTGATAGGCTTGTCGGAGGCTTATAATTCGAGTGAGTGTCGATTCCAGGGTTACTGACTTAGTGATTTTATCGGAATGTCAGGAACCTCAGAATAGGTGGAAATCTGGGCTCATAACTACTATCCCCCCCCCTAAAATAATCAGGGTGGAGACATCGTTCAGGGGGTTAAAGCAAGGGTGCTCCATCCAATCATATGGCACTGAACCTTCTAGAAATTCACCCCTATATTGATAAAATCATGATTCTGCCGGCAGAACTCAAGCTATCCACAGCATTATGGATTTGCAACAGCTTCTCAATACTCCTCAGGCATTGCGCCGTACTGAGATTCCCAACACTCCTGACATCCCTACACCAGCATCTAGAGCTACTACTGTGGACTCACCATCTCGTTGCACCACACAATCACTCTCTCAGAGCTCTAGCTTAGCTGCAGTACATGATTCCCAGTCCTCACAATCTAGTGTTGCTGATACCTTTGCAGAATCCTCACCTTCTCTCACTTTACACACAGATCGTGATAAGAGACTGCAAATCTAGACTACACTCTTATTTAAAATACCTTATAAAGAGATCCGCAGAGTGTTAGGTGTCACAGACTACCAGATTTATTACGCTAAGAATCATGCACTCACTCCTGAAAAGAAGAAGCCTGGCAGACCTCCTCTCCTCAACACACCTCAAAGAGCACGCTTGCAACTCTGGTTGCAAGACTCCCCGTCCCACAGACGAATACCATGGCGACATATCCCTCGATTCTTCCCAGAATGGAATGTAGGGGAGGAAGCTATAAGGACTGCAATGCAAAAGCTAGGGTACTGTCGCCGTACTGCTAAGAAGACGGGGTTCTCTACTGAGCCAAAAGTCATGGCATTGCGCAAGGCATTTGCTGAGGAGGCTATTACATGGACTAAGGAAAGGGTGCAACGGCAAATGTTCACAGATGAAGTGTGGGCTATGGGAGGAGCACACACTACTAGCTTTGTGATAGTACTAGAAGATGGTAGTGAGAGATATTTACTTGAGTGCTTGCAATACAAGTACTCTAAGGCACCAGCTTGGATATTTCATGGCAATATTATAAATAAGAGGAAAGGACCAGCCTTATTTTGGGAGAAGGAGTGGGGTTCTATCAACAGCACTAGATATGATGAGCATGTACTCTCTAGAATTGCAGAGTTCTTAGTAGAACATGCTGATTCTAGGTACATTTTCATGCAAGACAATGCCCCTTCTCACAGATCTTATGAAACAAAAATCAACCTTTTGAATAGGGGCATTAAGTGGATCCAACACCCTCTTTATTCCCCAGACTTGAACCTTATTGAGCATGTGTGGAATTGGATGAAGAATTGGATTCAAGAGCATTATTATGAGGCACAGTATAGAGTGGATAAGCTATTATTAGAGCAGTTGAGGAGAATCATTCTTGAGGCATGGGAAGCTGTACCAGACAGTTACATTCAGAGCTTATATGACAGCTGGTGGAGGAGATGTCAAGCTGTTATTGATGCAAATGGTGGTCCTACAAAGTATTGAATGATAGCTGAGAGCTAAGACAATGTAAATACTCAAAAGCTTCAAATCTGCCTAATTAGGAAGCGGTGAAATGGGCGGTGAACTAATTTAAAACCCCTGAGAGTGCCCCTAGCTATGGTGGCAAAAATGGCTCCACCCTGATTATTTTAGGGGGGGGGATAGTATCAGATGGAAGGTGCGTATGTCACGGGAACCTTATGGGCAGAAAAAAGTAGTATTGATAAGTCTAAAGGATTTTAAGTGAGTGTACAGGAATCAGGATATAGGCATCAAAGTTTTCAGCACTAAGAGCCCCTGAACTAGTCCTAAAACAGCGAATAAAAGTGGAGACAACCGAATTCCAACTGACAGAAAGCTATATACATGTTCTAGTCCATACGGGAATCGAACTGTAAGTACCCTCCCTCTTTTACATCACCATATCATCGAAATTTCGTGAGGCGAAGCAAGGGGAAGCGATGTTCATTCACACTCTTGCGTAAGATATAAGGGGGCAGTTTTCAGTCAAGACTGCGGCTACCCCTTGTAACTCCTTTACATCATCGAAGCGAGGCGAAGCGAGGCGAAGCGAGAGGAAGCGATCTCTATTCACACTTTCGTGCATGATACCTACCTATAAAGGGGCAGCTTTCAGTTAATCAAGACTTCGCCTAACCTTTCTGTTTCTCACAGGCTGTGATTGGCCAAGTTTCTTCACTAGCGTTGAGTTTGAGTTGGGTTGTCGAGAATGGATGCAAGCACTCAGATAAGCAATTGTGCTCCATTCTGGACAGATATTATTACTTGGGTAGATATTATCATTTGGATAGATATTATTTTATGGATAAATATTATTATTTGGAAAGATATTATTATTTGGATAGATATGATTATCTGGACAAATATTACTATTTAGATAGATATTATCATTTGGTTAAATATTATATTCTGGAGAGATATTATTATCTGGATAGACATTATCATTTGGATAGATATTATGATTTGCTGATTTACTATAAAGCAATTGATCTAGTTGAATACTATGAAAGCAGGGAATGGGTTTAAGCATTCAATATGAGAGCAAGTTAGATCGCCCATATACAGATCTACCCCTTCGATTATCCTTGGACTTCAGCATCGACTTCCCCGAAATCCAATGTCTCTGAAACCGATCTTACATTGCTGTCTTAGAAAAGATTAGATGTCATCAATGTTTCAACGTGATAAGATTTACGTGCCAGAATACCAATTTGAATCTGTTTCAATGTCGATTCTTTGCCCAATAACTATGATGTCCTTTGCCAGAGATTGGACGACGAAGGCAGGACTTCTCACTTTCATCGTAACATGTTGTCGGAAGATGGGATACTGCTGCAGAAACATCAGCCTCACTTCACTCCACTCTCAAAACGCCAAACGCAACGCCAAACATCCAGCCTCAAAATCTCACCAGGGGGTCTGAGCACTTCTGACCATCCCTCAGCATCGCGTCTATCCCTTCTTGTGCGCACAGCAGCAAACATCTATTAATTCATACATACTTCCTATGCTATCCTATCCCCTCCTCTTCCCCTCGTAATTATTCTCCAAACTCAAAACACGAAGCAATCCAGACCTCACCTCTTCGTATCTGCAATCGCCACGTGAAAAACCCAATTGAAGCTTATCGCCCAATCGGTCCGGCCTTAACCAAATATAGACTACGCCCACGCATTAGTATGGCGCAGATCTCCCGCTACTTCTTCTCTTCAGCACTGATCTCCAGGCAGCCTAACCCAGCACAGCTCAGCTCCCCAGCAAAAAAGACCACCACCACAGAACCATTGTTCTCCACGTTCGTTCGTTCCTTCTTTGTTTCCCCTCACTGTCGTTCACCACCTCACAAAAACAAAACAAAACAACAACAACAACAACAACACAATGGCATTGTCGACGCGCTCGTTGCTTATCGCGGTCCTCGCTGTGTGTATAGGGACCTTCGGTGTCCAGGCCCAGGCGACGGCCACGAGCGCGAGTATTTACCCGGCGCCCACAGGATGGGGTTACTATGGGTGCTATAACGAGACGACGCTCGCGAACGGGACGGAAGGGCAGAGGGCGCTGAATGGAGGCGTGATGGAGGCGTTGGACCAGATGACTGTCCCGATGTGTTTGGCGTACTGCCAGAGTAATGCGTATGCGTTTGCGGGATTGGAGTATACACGGTAAGCTCTTCTTTCCCTTACATCTGGCAATGGAGGAAGAGTTGGGATGAGAGTGAGAAAGATGGGACGAAATTAGGGCCTTATGGAGTATGAAGCTAATTGGAATCTCAGAGAATGCTATTGTGCATCATATCTATCAGCCCTCTCGAGCAAACTCCCAGACACCTCATGCGATCTTCCCTGCGAGGGAAACAGCACCCAGATCTGCGGCGGCTCGCTCGCCCTCTCCGTCTATCAAACCAAAACCACCACCAAAGGCGCAGGAGTGAAAATTGCGAGCAAAGCGCCTGTAGGCAGTATACTAGCACTGGGAATAGCTATGGCGGTGCTGCTTTGTCTAGCTTAACCCAGGATTGAAGAGACGGGGGATAATATACTAATTTTAATGATTCACGAGCACACTCTTGTATATCTGGGAAGAGAGTGGATTTGGCTGAGCCGGATTGGAAAGGAAGAACGAGGGAAACTGTGCATATGGCGCGGAGATCTCATTCCGGAGTTTTCTGTTTTCATTCTGCTCGAGCCTATCAGTCATTATTCGCTTGAAGTGAAGTTCTGTTTTAGATTTTTTGTCAGACACGGGCGTTGTTAGACTATTGGATTGGATCCTATCATGGATGTGCGATTAGCATTGATTGAGAGGATACAGAAATACTATAATTCCAACTTCCCTAATCCTCGTTCCTGGACTGCGGCTTGTACTTTGAACTTGATGCCTTCTAATGCCTCGCTCCATATCCGCGTCCCTTCATTGTCCTGATCAGACTCATCTATAAGCCAGGCTAACCATCTTACAACATTAACGACTTTACTCATATCTCGTTCGTCGAGAATAACTCTACGCAGGTACCGCTCCATAGCAGCAACATCATCCGGGTGTGGACCGTCATCCACAAATTCGCTATGCCACGCACTCAACGTATCTCTCAACTCAGGCACAGAACTCAATTTCCTAGTAGTGAATGTTGGTCTTGGGTCTCTTGGGGGCAGTCGAAGTTTTCTTTGTCCCAAAAGAGGAGCTTCCGGTGGTCGACTCTTCTTAGGTGCGGCTGTGGTCATTAGACCTCCTTTCTTAGCGAGTTGTTTTCGTTTGTGTTCTGTGAGGATCTCTTGTCGAACATCTTCTGGGAGAGCCGAAAGGAATTCCGGATCTAGGGTGTCGGAGGAGTAGCCATCTTCTCCTGGGTTTGGTTCACCAGGATTGGGAAACTGGCCAGGTTTTGGGGCCACAAAATTGGACTGTGTTAATGAAGAGTGAGGATCAAACTTAATGTTGATACCTCGACGGTTCAGTGCCCCGGGTGGACGGCCTCGCCCTCGCTTCTTAGTTGGGGTGGGGATCTTCTTGGTGGTGTTGATTGGAGGTGCTTTTCGCGGTGACTGTGGGAGAAGAGATTGTGCTCTGGACGGACCTGCATTGGCCCCGTACGATGCTAGGATTTCTGCTTTCATGTCTTCTGGCAAAGCTTCGAAAACGTCGGGATCGAGTTGTGAAGGGAGTTGCATCTGAAACTCGGGAGCTGGACTTTCGGATCTTGACTTAGGGGTTGGAGTTTGTGCTCGTGACGTTGGGCGACTTTTGCTTTGTGCCATGAGCCTCGACCTGATGTCTTGCGGCAACTCAGAGAGCACCTCAGGGTCTATTTGTGAAGGAATGATAAATTGTGTCCCTGTCAAGTTGAGCAACTTCTTCGCACTTGAATCAGCTGCATTGGCTCTTGCGATGGCGATTGCTGGATGAACTGGTGTTGCTTTGGATTTCTTAGGACTATTAATGTCATCAATGGGATCATCGTAGGCAAGCAGGCGTGAAGCAACCGCCTTCGGTTTCTGAGGCGTGACAGCTTCGTCAATCGGATCTTCAGTGGTCTTGCTGCCGATATTTGACCGACTCATAGGAGTCTCCATCTGCTTTGTTGGAGTCGGTGGGTCATCAATAGGATCCTCTGTAATTTGCTTTGAAAGTTTTGGCGGAGCAGAGGTACCGAAATTGATACGCTTTTGACTGCTGTCTATCAATGAATTACTTGTAGGCTTCAAGAGCTCAAGCTTGGTCATCTGCACACCAAGTCCCCTCAGCTCACCAGGTGAGAAGCCATAACTGCGAAGTATTGATACAGCTTCTCGTCCAATGACTTCAGCACTATTCGTAGCTACCCCTAAGACAACACTCTTGTTGAAGGTGTCACACTTTCCATGTCCTAGATGTTTCGGTGGATCCAGTGGGGCATCTGCTGCCTTTCTCATGATCTTCATGGTAAATTGTTTGCCCTTGACACCCTGCTCGAGTAATCGGCGTTGAAGCTCGATACAGAGGTTTTTGACAAACTCTTCAGCTTCCGGCTGAGAAATGAACCTGATGCCCCAATTGACTTCTGCCGAGACTGACTTGCGCACTACCTGCTCTCCAACTTCAGTACGATCAATGCCTCTGGAGTAGTCCCAGATCTTCTCTCCTGTCTTTGGTCCAAGTACCGTCATGAGGCGATCCTTCGTCAATTGGCGGACGTCTTTCACAAACTTCACTCCTATTTCTTCAAGCTTCCCTCCAATACTGTAAGCTACACCAGGAAGGTCTTGAAGCCCAAGTTCGCCAATAAAATCCAGGACTGCTTCCGGCTTGATTTGATGCTGTCCTGCCGGCTTAGCTTTTCGCAATGCAACTTTAGCAAGAAGGATATTGCCTCCAATGCCAATTGATACAGCACATCCTGTCTTCTCCTTGATGCGCGCTCGCAGAGTATTTCCGATAATGTCTGCCTGTTCTTGTTCTCGCCAAATGCTGCCTTCCCGAACTCCTACTCCATCAGTACCACCTGCGGGGAGGCACAAACTGGTAATGTCTACGAGTGCCTCATCCACACTCACGCTCTGGACAATACCGCCTACATCCAGAATAGCTTCGTAAAACCCACGACTTGCTTCCTCGTAAGCAGGAAAGTCATATGGCAAAACTTTAATATTCGGACACAATTCCAGTGCTCGCTTCATCCACATGCCATTCTTCACACCGAATTCACGAGCTGGATAGTTGCAGCTAGCAATCTCAGAGCCAGTGCCGTTGCCATGAGCCACCACGGCTGGCTTATCAACATAATCCGGAGCACTTTTAAGTGAAACAGCGCAGAAAAAGCTGTCAAAATCGACATGCATGATGTATCGTCTTGAACCAGGCTTCCTTTTCGTAACTAGTTTCTGTGATGCTGACTTCTCAGAAGCCATCTGCTGAAACCTGGCTTTGAGATCTGCTTTCCAAGTTGACAAGTGGTGGAGCCGGGATTCGGAATAATACTGCTTGATGAACTCAGGGTTCGCTGTTGATGATTTTCGGATATGTGGATCGGCCAGGAGAATAGCATTATGCTCTTCAGCTGTCATGACTTTGGCTTTTTTCGAGGGAGTTGTAATCTCAGGCTCACGCGAACGTTTCCTGGCATCGGCTCCAATACTTGGTGACATCGATGGACTGGAGAACGTTTCCTCGGCGATCTCCTTTGGTTCAATAGAAGGGATCAACCTTTCGGCGTGCTCGTCCTGCTTCTCTGTAGGATCTGCAGGCAGTTCCTGCTCAACTCGAGGGTCTTCGTGAATCTCTGCTGCGGCAACATTGTTCAATGCGTCTTCAAGGGACGAAGTGACATCAAAGCCAGCAGATGAATTAGGATCGCCCTCCTCGGGTTTGGGGACCGCTGCTCTCTTCGGCTGGTCACCCAAATCACCCATATATGAGGCCACTCCATTGAAGGCGACGCTCTGAGTACTCGGAAATTGGGCACCGTCCTCGCCGTCGATGTGTTCAGCGACATTTTTGACTTGACTGGTATACCAACTTGCGCTAGTCTGATCTCTGTAGCCTCTTTGCTGAGTGTTCGTCTGGCTTACCACTTTGCCATCATCGAAACCTAACAGTTTTTGACCAAAACCTTCGTCGATTACACGATAAGCATCCCATGGCAGCAACTTGCCCGCGTTAACACTATCCACTACCCACGCCGGCTTGACGATACGATATCGTTTGAACTCGATAGCCTTCTTAGGCGTGAGATTAGCGGCAATAATATGAGTGACCGTGGTCTTCCCGTCCAGATACTGCATAAATCCGCCTCCATGACTGACGATAAGATGATGGAGGTCGTTCAGTGAAGGCTGCGTATAGCCATTCACGTGCGCCACAATACCTCGAAAAATCTTAGGCTTGTCGACAGATGAAGACCGTACCTCGGCATCCAGATTCTGTAGTTTGATCTTCTTCCGACGGAAGTAATCCGAGAAGCCTCCAAACTTTGACCCTTCATACTCCTCGCCCTGCTCATCTTGGAATGAATGAGATTCGATCCGCTTCCGGACCGATTCCGAATTCTTCTCCAATCTACTCCCCATATTCACGATAGGCGTCTGCGTTTGATAGACATCTCTTGTACATCGAATGAATGTTGGACAAGTCGTTCGTGGATAATGACGAGATGCTCGAACGTGATTCTCGACGCGTCGTGGCGAATCGAGACACATGCGCACGTGACCGGATTATAGTGGATCCTCTCACTGCCTGATTGTCCCTTCTGTGCGCGGATATTTTCATAACTACAATTTAATGAATAATAATGGAACCCTAGTCACCTATGATTTTGAATGCTCAATGAATAGAGCCGACCGACACTTTTCAAATCCACCATTCCGAAATCTCGTCAAAACCCTTCCACCAATCCCTCCACCTGAAAACAACCACCACCATCAAAAAACCATGGCTTCCAAACGAACCCCAGTAGACATCCCCTCCTTCGCAACAACTCAGCTCGCGCTCCTAGAAGCAGAGCTGCAGTCCGAGCTCGAAGAGAATTCACTCTTGTTGTCGAACAGCACGCCTACGGCGCTAGCGCGTGCCGGGCTTGCGATCACGAATCTTACGCTGAGTAGTTTGCGGACGGGGCTGGGTGGGAAGACGGTGGTTGAGTTGGGGCTTGATAGTGCTGTTAAGGGGAAGGGTGGTGGTGATGATGGGGAATTGGGGGAGCATGGTGCGTTTTAATGTTTGTTTGTCTTTTGGAGTTTTCGGTTTGAGGTTACCTATCTTTATTTGGGGAATTGCATTTTCGAGTCTGCTTAATGTTGTTTTGATGTAAATCAAATTTAAAGTAGATTGGGGCTGATGTTAAGATACAGGTATTAGGACGGGCGATATTGTGCTTGTGAGTGAGCAACCGGCTGGGAGTGCGAAGAAGCGAGAGGTCAAGGACCTTGAGGCCAAGGGGAGTCGAGGTGTTGTTACTAGGGTAGCCAAGACTGGTGTCTGTAAGTTCAATCCTCTCGCAACCAGATCTCGTCTTGTTTTCTGTGGAGTTTGCACGAAGGCGTTGCTCAAAAGATACGCGCTCAAAAAGCACGTGTGACGAGGGTCTTATGTTTTCATTTCACTCGTGGCAAGGAAGTCCGGAATGACGGTCACTGATTGCGAGTTCTGGTAATAGGGGTTGCGCTTGATAACGAGGAAGATGATGGCGTCACGGGATCGAAGAGACTGTGGGTTTGCAAGCTGGCAAATGATGTTACTTACAAGCGGTAAGTTTCAGCTCCATTTCTTGAATATTGATGTGTGTTGGTATGTCGAAAGATGTGGAGCTGTGAGGTGATACTAGGATCACATTTCAGGTAGCAAGCAGGGCTATTAAGACACTTTTGAGCGGCTTAGGATTCAAAAGTACTCGGCTCTACACAGGATTTGAGTCCCTAGACGACAAATGCGGAGGTGGGATAACTTGACGACGGAGTACTAAATGTTCATAGGATGAACCAGACAATAACCAGGATGCAAAAGATGAAAGAGGACGAATACTCCAGCTTCCTGAGAACGCTCTTTGGTCTCACTAGCCCATCACCAATTGGGGATCTGGACGACAAGATCGAGTGGATAGATCCAAGTCTGAACGGTAGTCAAAAGGAAGCCATCCAATTTGCTCTAGCATCAAGAGAAGTAGCTCTCATCCACGGCCCACCCGGAGTTCGCCAACCCATCCAAATCACCTTACACCAAACCAGCTGACAATATCCCAGACCGGCAAAACCCACACGCTTATCGAGCTCATTCTCCAGCTCCTCAAACAGAACCTCAGAGTCCTCGTATGCGGCCCATCCAACATCTCAGTCGACAACATAGTCGAACGCCTCGCTCCCCACAAAATTCCCATTGTCCGCCTTGGCCATCCCGCTCGTCTCCTTCCTTCAGTCGTGAACCACTCTCTCGACGTCCTCACCCAGACCTCAGATGCTGCCGCCATCGTAAAAGACGTCCGCAAAGAAATGGACACGAAACAAGCTTCGATCCGCAAAACGAAGAGCGGTCGCGAGCGAAAAGCAATCTACGGTGACCTAAAGGAGCTAAGAAAGGAGTTTAGGGAGAGAGAAAAGAAGTGCATTGGTACGCTGATAGGCGGGAGTAAGGTCGTTTTGGCGACGTTGCATGGTGCTGGTGGTTTCCAGACCAAAGACGAGAAATTTGATGTTGTGATTATTGATGAAGCTAGTCAGGCACTGGAAGCACAGTGTTGGGTGCCGTTATTGAGAGCAAGCAAGGTTGTCTTGGCTGGTGATCATCTGCAATTACCGCCTACGATCAAGTCGTTGAATTCGAAGACGACGAAAGCTAAGATTAAGGAGACGAAAGGAGTGATCAAAGGGATGACGCTCGAGACTACGCTGTTCGACAGATTACTCAAGCTTCATGGAGATGGAATCAAGAGAATGCTGACAACGCAGTATCGAATGCACGAGAAGATCATGAGGTTCCCTTCAGACGAGCTTTACGGATCGAAGCTAGTGGCAGCTGAAGCTGTTAAGGTAAGATTACTGAAAGACTTACCGTATGAGGTTGAAGAGACCGAAGACACGATTGAGCCATTAATCTTCTTCGACACTCAAGGCGGCGACTTCCCCGAAAAGAGCGAAGAAGAAGACGTCGACAAGAAAGCCGGAAAGGGAATGATGGGCGAGAGTAAGAGTAACGAGATGGAAGCTGCTCTGGTGAAAAATCATGTGCAAAACTTGGTAGACGCTGGAGTGAAGCCAGAAGATATCGCCGTCATCACACCGTACAACGCACAGGTAAGATTTCCATTTTCCTTTCTCCCATCTCAGGCTTCAATATTTGTCATGAGCGCATTCGAGTCGGTTACACACAAGACAATTGGTACCCAAAAAGGAGAATAAGCGACGTTATACGAGTCAGAGTGGTGCTAAGCCTTCGGAACCAAATCTGATGATGATGGTCCCTCAACACGGCATTGACAGCTAGACCTGGAACACCGGCGTTGTTCAATTCAGACGATGCATACCACCTACTCGGAGACGACTCCGCCACATAAAAAATCAGCCGCGCCGCTTCCCTGAAGTTGATCAGCAGCTGAAGGGAGAGAGCATAAATCTCCGATCATTTCTAGAAGGTCGTCGAGAATCGGGACAACACTCGCAGGATCCTAAACTCAGGACGGAACTCAATTTCCGAAGCCTTTTGGGATGAAGGATCTTAGAATTCTTCTAGAATGCTTTATCAAATGGAGCAAGTCCTTGGGCTGAGAGAGTAAGCCTCATCGCCACTAACGACACGGCATTGAACACTCAAAGTTACTTCGGATGACGACTCCGATGAGGTGTCGATTGGGCTTTTCTAGTGCGCTCTTGACCACTATGCAAGCAATCTGCACTCGCAATGCTCGTGAAGACTCTCACGATGTTAGAACCTCCACCGGTGCTTCGGCTTGAAGGAGGTTGAGGCCATCTCACTCCTCTTTCAACGGCATGACCAAACAAATCTCGCAAATGCATACTCCCACCTCCTCTCAAATATCATTTTTCTGTACCCGACCAACACTTGATAGTTCACCTGTTGTGTCCACTTGGCCATCCATACCATCACATGCTGTGTAGCAGAGAAAATTATGCACTGACCAAAAGTGGCTGGGCACGAATCTCATGCTAACAAAACATGCATATATGCAGCTAGCATTGATGTCCCGATCCATGAAGGAGGCCTTTCCCGGCATCGAACTCGGCTCCGTCGACGGCTTCCAAGGCCGCGAGAAGGAAGCTGTGATCGTGAGTCTGGTTCGCAGCAACGCAGAGAAAGAGGTCGGGTTTCTGGGCGAGAAACGGAGACTCAATGGTACGCTCTCCTGACCCGCTAAGAATAGGTTGGATGAATAATGATTTTTTCGTTGTTAAACAGTCGCCATGACACGGCCCAAACGCTCACTGACGGTGATTGGAGATTCTGAGACGCTACAGTGAGTTCAGACCATCTCTTCTCTCCTCTCCTACGCAACCAAACGCACTGAGACGGATTCGCTGACGAGAAATGTGTGATAGACGTAATACCTTTCTCAAGAAATGGACGTATTTTCTGGAAGAGAACGCCGACCTTAGATATCCATCCGTTGCATCGCTGAATGCAAGATGAGAGATAGCCGCGAGGGCTCTACCTTCGATGCTGTTACCCTGGTAAACGGAGAGCAGATCCGTGAGACCGTAGATAATAGCAGGATATGCCTGTAATTAATTCATTGCATAGTCTCTTTTTGACGCCATCAGCTACAGTACCTCCTCACATCTTTCCCTCTTGTTAGTTAGTGGGGATCAGAGGTCCCAAAAAAATGACCACGCGAAAAACAGGGGTGGATCAGACGAAAGAGTGACGAACACGGGCTCCATCCCGGCCGTTTCACGTTGGCAAGCGTGCCGGACATGTATCGATATCGAGATTAACTTTCTCTCTATTTGTTCTAAATATTATCAATAGTTTATTAGCGCATCTCCCTCACGTCTGCACGACGAGAAGAAAGCAGACGCGTGCCATTGGGCCAAGGGGGATGAACCCGGAAAGAAACAAGTGTGATGTATGCACAAGGGAAGACCTATCGCATCTTCGAGTCAGTGTGAATTTCATGCATAAAACCTTTTCTCCTCCATCTTGCAAAAGAAAAGAAAAGAAAAAACACACAGAAAGACGAATGGGGGATAGGGGATCATTTTTTCTTCGCCCCTCTTTTTCTTCCACAAGCCCTGGCTGCTGGCTCGGGTGTAGATTCCGAGAAAGTTGCAGTTGCTTTGACTTGTCGCTCTCTCCGTAAGTACAAGTCCTCGGCCCATTCGTTTCATCTCACTGACATGGTGCTAAGTAACTGACCATTTGCATTGAAAGGAACCCTGTATTCCCCAGTTCTGCATATGCACGCTCAGGGCAAAGATTCTCACGAGAAACACCCGATTTCTCCTTTTCCTCTCTCTTTTTTTTTCTTTCTCTGTTTTGTCAGTAGTGGTGCTGTGCTGTTATGGAGCTAATAATACTTGCACGACAGCGGGATAGGCAGGGCAGGCAGGCGGGCTCGTATTATCCTTTCATGTCTTGTCGTCTTTTCCAACTCCTCCACCCTCGCGCATGTGCATGTGCATATGTATGCGCGCACGTTGAAGGCGAGGGAGGGCAGGAAGGAAGGAAGGAAAATAACGCGCTGTCGAGAAAGATGCCTGAATCAAATCATAACAAATGATCAGAAGAAGGAAGGAGATTGGTCCTTGCGCATGATACTCATGAATAGTTCGTAGATGATATTATTATTTGCTTCTTCCTCGGAGTTCAAGGAAGGAGGTCTGTCGTCTGTCTGGACACGAACATGATCTCCTACAAGCTCAGGCCCTGCCTTGCCTGCCTCCCGGGCTCGGTACCAGACAATCACTCTTTTTCCCTTTCTCTCTTTCTCTCTTTCTGCTTTGGGGCAGCTCGAGGTGCGGGTGCGGACGCGGACGCCGTGCTTCACATAGATAGACTGCGATGCTGGTTTCGGATGGCGAGTGCTCTTTTGGCTGAAGTGGAGGACCGACTCGGGAAGAGATGGGAAGAGGTGGCAGGCGCGGCTGGCGACAGCAGCAGCAGTAGTTAGGTTAGTTGTCATGGGGCTGTTGTGTTGTGTTGAGGCGTTGGATTCTCATTTGCGGAAAATCCAAGGACAGACAGCACAAGTAGCCTAAGTCAAGCCCAGAGTCAAGCGTCTTCGTGGGGTAGAGGATCACTAGAGCAAGCCCGCTGGACAGGAGTTGAGTTCAGGGTTCGGTACGAGTAGCGTAGCGTAGCTTTGCAATGCGGCTCAGGGTTAGGGAAGCGCGGAAGGGCTAGGGATGCACTATGCTGGAGTGATGGTGCTCTGTCGCCAGGGGCCTTCCCGGTATCCCAGCACCAGCACCAGCACCAGCATCAGCCCTCCCCTCCCCCCCCCAGTCCAGCCAAACCAAGCCAAACCAAGCCAAGCCAAGTCAAGCCAACCCAACCCACCACGACTCTTTTGCTCTCGATCCTCTCCTCCCCCTCCTGATTGATCTCCCGTCCATGGTCCTCTGTGCTGTCCTGTCCTGTCCCAATCTTCTATTTTGATCCATCGTAACCGTTGCCCTTGCTCATGCTGCTGCTGCTGCTCATGTCCAGCCTCTTCTCGTCCCTCTTCCATTCCATTTCCTACAGTACCAATCCCCCCGTTTCACGACTTGCTCCCTTGTCTATCGTCGACAGGCGTCGCAGAATATATGATACGTGATGCGGCCACCACGCATGGCCTAACACTTTCCCTTTTTCCCAGCTGGTTCTCCATTCCAAGGTCCAGGGTCCAATACCTACCAACACATTACTTGACTTCTCTTCAACTTTCCTACCCTATCCTATCCTATCCTATCCTATCCTGCCTTTGATCTCTATATTATGTGCGATGATATGACGTGCCGACACCGCTGCTGGCCATGATTCTCCCTTACTTGCCGCCACCGTTAACCATCAACCACCACCAACATCGCGTACCTCCTGCGTACCCATACCTCCTAATGTGTATATCTCCCAGGGACACTTCTGGCCATGATCTGGACGCCGTGACGCTACCTAGACAGACCAGACTTTGTTGACAACCTCCTCCTCCTCCTCCTCCTCCTCCACCACCATGAGTAAATTCCGCAGGCAGGGCACCGGAACATCCGTCCGAGGGAAGCCCATCTCACATCCTATACCTTTCCCAGACGACGACGAGTTCCCCATCAGAACACCAGGAGCGGGGATAGCAATGCCCCTCGGGACGGACGCCGAGAACCAGATCCGTATAAGAGAATCCGTTGCGGCGCAACTTGAGAATACCTCTCACCAGACTGGAATCGCAGTCAGCGACTTTATAGATCCCATTGCAGCTGCTCAGTCCGGACCAGTCCCTTCTCAACCTTCACCGGAAACTCCGGTAAGGAGGACAAACGTACCCAGTCAATTGAGGAATTCTACGGCAAGCAGGAACACAGGGTCAAGTGGGAGACCACAGCGAAAGAAGTCGACAATGCGAGCAGTGTTTGGACGTCTTTTTGGAAAGAGACGGAAAGGAAGCGGGTCTTCAAGTCCTAAAGAGCAGGGACCGAGTGAGATACGGGCTGGCCAACATCGAAGTGTGAGTTATGGTTGGAATATCAGTATATTTTGCATCCAACTAATTAAATTTCAAGGATCCAACTGCCCTGAACAGAAGTCCGCCAGCAAGTTCACAAAAGCGCTCAGCTTCCTTACCTATCAACGAGTTCAACCGCGCACTCCGCTCTCACTCGATCGTCGCAGACGACTTCCCCCTGGGAAGCAGCGAAAACGAAGCATCTCGCGGCTCAATACAAGCGGATGGGCAAAGGAGACCTCGCAGAGCCACCACGCCCAGTCGATTATGGACACCCAATAAAACTCCCGGGTACGTGGACTGGACAGGACTTTCCCCGCGACCCGCGAGCACGCATGGCCGGGGAAGCAGAGTGGTTTCGGACGGGGAAGACGCCGTGGCTGAAGCAAATATTGGAACCGCTGTCAGTAGCAGCAGCCACCCGAACAGACGGTCAAGAAGTCTTGGCGAGCTGCGGGACATTGTGACGACGGCGGCAGGGGGACCAGGAACACAAACCGCCCGCAGGCGTCGCAGTGACGAAATCAGATATTGGAGAGAGAGTTATGATCCAGGCGTCCTCTCGCCCATGTCTTCGAACAAAGCCGAAGTGGAAGAACCCATCCTGGTAGACGACGAGGGGGAAGATGCACGTGATGACGAACCACAAGAGCCGCCACAACCATTCGTTTTCGAGATGGCGGGAATGAAGATTACACAAGCAGCCAGTCTTGAGACCCGGGTCCAGAGACTGGAGGAGCGAATGATGCACATGGAACACATGGTCGGGTCGCGGTCCTTCAACCGCGCCTCTCACGAAGACGCCACCAGCATGCAATTCCAGGATTCTCCCAGGAGAGGATCAACTAGTAAACGTAGCACATCAATAACAAGACCACAGACCGATAACTCGGAAATTTCCTTACCTCGACACCACAGATACCGGGACGCTCCCCGGTCCTCCGCCACACAGGCACTAGATCCCGCTGCTCCTCTCCCGCCGAAAGGGAGTCAGAACCGCTCATCCTCCTACGGAAGCTCTCGACCCTCCACCATCTCAACCCATAACTCCTACCACCCGTCCTTCGAAAACTTCCCCCTCTCCACCGTCCCCACATCCGAAGTCCCCCTCCCCCCAAACTTCGCCCGTCCCCTCTCAACCTCCACCACCATCCGCGGCATCCCCTCCAGCTCACCGACCTTCACCAAAGACGGCGCCCTCACAGGCGAACACTACACCGCCCTCACAAACATGATCCTCGCCGAGCAAAACGCGCGCCACGAGCTCGAATCCGTCGTGCACACCCTGCAACGGCAACTACAAGCCTACCTCGAAACACACTCGTACCCAACCCCCGGCTTGGACGCAGCCGGGGACCCTTTACAGATCACCGCCGCCGGTGGGGGGGAGTACTCGAGTTTCGAGCAAGACGACGAGGACGAGAGTAGCGAGGACGAAGATAAGGTGTTCCAGACGCCGCGCGAGGAGAGGGGACAGTTCGGCGACGAGATTTTTGGGCAGGAGGAGAGGGAGAGGAAGAGTGCGCCGAGGACGTTGAGTTTGAGTCAAATTACGTTGGGGAAGGGGAACCAGCAGCAGCAACAGCAGCAGCAGCATAGTGTGAATTTTTAGCATGGGGATTATGATACCACGGTTGCTGGCTGGTGTATATGGCTTACGATGTGTATTTTTTTTTTTTTTTTTGGTGTGTATGTATGATACCGAGCGGGGCGTTGTGTATGATAGTGTGGATTGCTTTTTGGCATTGCATTGCATAGCGGATGGGATTGGGTAGCTATTTTTTTTGAGTAATTATAAAGTTCAATGTTCGATTGAGTTGAGTTTTTGTTTTGGTCGAGAATTGTGAGATGAGATGAATTGGAGAGCAGAGCCTACTCTTGAAGAATTAAGCGAGCCTTCCCCCTTCCCCTTTTCACTCTTACTCGACCACTTTCCCACATAGCACCGACCCTCTTCAAGATTCCGAACTCACACAATGAAGTCCCAATTCCCTCGTTCGCTGTATCACCTTGATTTCATTTCCATAGTTGAAAATCAATCATCAAGGACAAACAGACAATAGTTTTCCACCCACATCACCACAACAAGTCTACTTAGTAAACCAAAGACTCTCCCCACCTTGTCCAAACTAAGAACGGAAGCTAGACCCGCCACTCCCTTAAAAGTATCCTCGCGATACGCAACAAACTCAAACTCACCCTTCTGATGCCGACTAAAAACGGAAACTATGATACAAAATTAGGTGAGAAAAATTAGACTATCGAAGCCCAAGCACTTCCAGAATAATAGACTAAAAGACTAGCTGCAACACAGTCTGCTCTGCCCCTCTAGGTGATAGGGTAGATAGATAGACTAAGGACGGAGGAGGCTAAACACGAGCTGAGTATCTCGATGTGCAACGAAACTTATTTTTTTATTCGTGTGGAGACTAGAGACGGATGCTAATTACTAGTTATTTGATGATTTAGGGAAGTAGTAACTTTACAATGTGCAACGAAGTCTTTTCTCTAGATTGACAGATAGGTAGACTAAAGATGGAAGCTAAAACACGAGCTGACTATCGACGTGCAACGAATATCATCTTCTACTCGCATTCAAGCTAAATACGGAAGCTAAATCACTTTTGTCTAATAGTTTAGTAAACTAGTAACCTTACGACGTGCAACAAACTCTGGACATGCAACAAACTCTGCCCTCTAGATTATTGATAGAAAGACTAAAGATGGAAGCTAAATCTAACAATGTGCGGGGAAAGAAAGTAGGTCGACTATCGATGTGCAACAAACTTCTAGCCCCAGTTAGAGAGACTAATGGCGGAAGCTAGCATCACCATCTTTTTAGAAGGATGGTAAGGTTGCTGCTTACTATCGATATGCAACAAACTGATGTTCACTCTCATTGAGAGACCCAAAACGGAAGCTAAAAATATAAGTTTAGTATCGACTTGCAACATCAGACTAAAGACGGAAACTAAAAACGGATGTAAGTTCCACATCCTTTCACAAACTCTGTTCCGAGAACAACAAGCTCGGCCGTAAGAATCAGATTGACAAATAACAACTCAGCTACTCCACTACAACTCCGACAGCATACCTCAACACCGAACCTCACTCAACAGGATCCCTCCCACCCCTCGCCTCCATCTCCCTCAAATACGACTCCTCATCCTCAAGGTCCATCTCCCCCGGCTGAGTAATCGGCAAGAACGGCACCCCCATCTTCTCAAACATCTTCAACTTCGCCGCCGTCTTCGGCCTCGTCCTATTGATACTAAAGACCTTGACCCGATGACACGAAGACGTGACATGGAGATCCCAATTCCTGTTTTTCCATCAACTTCCATTCTATTCTCCATTCCTTTTCAGGGGAAGAGAGGGAGGGATACTTACCAAGCGGACCTCACATACGTAGGTTGAGTATTAAGCGCATTATCCCAACACCGAACCACCAGCTCCAACCACCCCTCCGCATCAACCGGCAACTCAATTTCCCAGAGCCTCCACGCGTGAAAATACTTCTCGCTCAAATTCTGATACGGGACTTCATACCAAACACTGCCCCCATCCCCACTAGCCTCCACCCTCACAGGCCAATGCCCACCACCCGAGTACGCCCACCCGCGCATCTTGATCTTGCCGTCGTGGATCACCTGGTCCATATCCAGCGGGCTCATGATGGCTGAACTAACCGGCATATCCTGGATACTGAAACCCGATGAATAACTCGCATTCTGCTTCCCAACCTGAGAATTATAATACAAATACTCCTTCTGCTGCACGGGACCCATCGACGGGTTGGCAATGACGTTGATCCTCGTAAGCCACTTACACGATCGAGCGCCGATATAGCCAAAGACGACGACGCGGAGCGGGAACCCGTGGATCTTGGGGAGCGGTTTACCGTTCATCTCCCAGGCGAGCAGGACCTCGTTGATCTTGACTTTGCGCCAGGGGGCCGACACGGCGTAGTTGTAGACCTCGCCTTTCTTGAAGTAGGTGTCTGCGCCGAGGAACTCGACGTGGTTTGCGGCGGAGGGGTCTTTGAGGCCGCCGCAGTACTTGATTACTTTCTTGAGGGAGACGCCCGTCCAGCGAGCGGTGCCGATGGCTCCTTCTCCCCACTGTCACTTCATCAGCTTATTTTTCATCTTATATCTTGAAGAGTGAAAGTCTTACAGGTGCATTGATAAGTTCGTCTCCATCCCCAGGATACTCATGAATCTGCTCGATCCTCCTCGTCCCCGAACACTGGATCGTGACCACCGTACTCTGTCTCGGAAATAGAGTCTCATCCTTCAACTCCCTCATCGTGATCCTCCTCGGATTATTAACCAGTCCCTCCACATCAAAGAAATACTTCTCTTCGTCAATCTCCGGGATACCGCCATGGTTCCTCACAAAATGATCTTCGTTCCTCGTAATCGACGTTGCTACCAGACGATCCTTTCCTCCGAGTCAGCATATATATATCCTCTCTTTCTCGGGAGAGGGAGCGAGTAACATACTCTAGGCGGCTCCCCATTGTACGGAAATTGCAAGACGTGAATCATATCCGGACTCTTCTCCTTCTCAACAAACAACCAGCTCTCAGCCGGGATATCCCTCGCCGCCTTTCCCAGAGCATAATGATACTGCTTCCACCTCACGCCCTCCAAAATCGGGTTCGTCTTCGGCAGCGGCACGAGCTGGAATTCCGGCGCCTACAGCATCCATCAGTCTCCTCTCTACTTCTCTCTCAAGGAAGCCAAAACTCACGCCCGGAAAATCAAACTTCTTCATATACTCCTTGATCTCCTTCTTCCTCTCGGGATACTTCTCCCACTCCAGATACCCATGCCAGCCCGGTAACTCCTCTTGCAGACCCAATGCCTCAGGGTTAGGCGGTTCCTTGGTCCGGATCGCCAGACTCGGGTGCAGGATCTCTGTATCTAAAACCGTCGTTTTCTTGAGAGATCCGTTCGTCATTGCATCGACGACTTTCGTCTCTGTTTGCGTTTCAGTCATTGCAATGATCTCCCAAGCAGATAGGAAGTATGCTTCCGGTGGTACCAAAAAAATTCAAAGAAGAGAGAAGAGAAGAAAACAAACAAATAAGTAAGTAAATAAAGATGGACCCCTCTGTACCACCATAGCACACTCGTACCACGACATCATACAGCTAGCAAGCAAGCTTCACAGGGCAGGAGCAGACTCCGCATGCACTGTCATCCTCAAACCTTGATTCGCGTTCTCAATGGCCCAAAGCACACGGCAGACGAGGATTCGAAGCATAGCTAACTTAATCCTTATCATCATGCAATTGATGGTGCGCCGTACCTGGGATAACGATGTTCTCTCAAGCTGGTGACAAGCATTGAAGGAAATCACTAAGCCATGTGCGTGCCCCAATGAAACTTGCCGAGCATTCCGAGTTGGTCGACTTGCGTTACTTTCTCGTGGAACGGCCGGAGATTGATCATTCCTATTCGTTCAATATCTGAGATATTGCAATACGTAGCCGTTGAGCGTTGAGTCTCGTAAATAATTCGGCATGTGTTAGCTTTTGCGGGCCTGGTAGCTTCTAGCCCTTGCCCCTGGTCTAATTAGTGACAGGGAGCAAATCTGCAGACGTCACTATTCTCAAATCGCAAGAAAGAGAGCTATCCTTCAATTCCGAGTGCAGCTGTAGGATAAGAGCAAGAGTAACCGAGTTATTCACTTCAAACTGTTACCATGCTCTCTCTTGCCGTACTCGCACGCGAACGAATCAAGTCAATCTCACCGAACCCCAATCTCCCTCTACCTGCTCAATGAATACTCAATCTTGCGCGGTGCCAAACTGTTCTCTTCCCTGCGGAGCTTGCACTGACCCCAGATCCTTGACTGCGATGTCCTCTGAAACTTGCTTGGTGGTACGGCCTGAATTTGCGGTAAGTATATCCAAGGAATGCTCCCTTTTTTCTCAGTTCTAGCACTCTTGGAGCCAAGTCCCTGTCTCTCAACAGCCGATCCCGAGGTCTTTTCCTCTCTTTCTGGCCATAGTGCTTGACGAAAGCTTTCAAGTAATCTTTCTGTTCTTCACCCATCGTGAAGGCATCAATCTCTTTCTCGACCTTTTTGAGCTTAAGCGAGTCGTGTGGACGTTGAATATAGCTTTTCGCTAGTACTTGGATCTCCCGATTGAAAGGCATGAGAGCTTCGTCAATTTCTTTTGCAGTCGCTGGAGACCCGGTGTGAGAGTCCGAGAAGTCCGAGATTGGATCTTCCTCATCAAAATAGTGGGTGTCGTCCATGGACTTGATGTTGGGAACAAAAGGTGGTACCATCTGGTGAAGTCGGTCCCATTGAATGTCTTTGAACCATTTGTGAGCTTTGATGTCTTCGGCGTCATGTGGATAGACATAGCGGCCAGCGTAGTCTTGGTGTTGATGCGATCCTGAGTGTTGGCCTTGCATTCTGTAGCGTCTGGAGCACAATCGACTATCTTTCTCTTGGATGATACCTCGTATCAAATCTTGACATCTCTTACTCACTACAGGCTTGTGAGGAAATCCAAAGGTAGATTTATGGTGCTATGACTGTTAGACATTGGGTCCAGGAGGACGGGACTAAACTTGCCAGAATGTTCATCTTGGTTTGTTGTCTACCTCCTTCTTCAGCCAAGAAAGGAGTGTGTCCATAAAGACACTGGAAACCTTAGCTTTATGCAATAAAAGAATATCCAGATCTTTACCTCATAAAGAATGACAGCAACACTCCACCAATCACAACGAGCATCGTAATGCTCTCCTCTTACTACTTCTGGGGCCATATACTGACTAGTACCAACCACAGAACGTGCCAGGGACCGATTGGTATAGCGATTACGCCAATTCAAAATCCCATCAGCTGCTTCATAGCTCGATTGATGGATCTCGTGTCTTTCTTTATGACCTGCAAGGGCGTTGGCCATGTTTATTGCTGCTGCCACTGTGCGGCCTTCCTTCCTGTCGATTGAGTCACCTTCGACATTGATACCCAACTTTGTGAGCACAGAGTATCGATGATGATTGTAATAAGCCTGGTCGTGGGACCAGTGACCATCAAAAGCAAGTCCGAAGTCCGAAATCTTCAAGTGTCCAGATGCAGAGATTAAGAAATTATCCGGTTTGACATCCCGATGGATCCAACGGAGTGCGTGTGCCTCTTCGATGCAAAGTATCATCTCAGCTATGTACCATTTTGTGACAGGCTCAGATAGCACATTGTCACGAATCAACAAGCCTAGAAAGTCGCCTCCTGGCATATAGTCCATGACAAGGTAGAGGTTGTTCAAGTCTTGGAAGGATGCAATTAGTGGAACAACCCTGTATTGTGTTAGAGCCGTTTGTACTATGGGAATACGGCAAGCCTACCATTGAGAGCCTTCAGCGGAGACAAGAAAATCACGCTCCGCTCGAAGGTGGCCTTCTTGGCTATTACGAAGCATGTCTGACTTTCGAATGACCTTCATGGCAAAGATTTCCTTGCTATGCTCTGGGTTTCGATGGTCACTGTGATAAGATTAACTAATAGGTCTCTGATGGCAGGTGGGTATAACTCTTACTCGCCATCATCTTTCTCTCTTACCAAGCGCACAACACCAAAACTACCTTTACCAAGCACTTTGACGACTTCGTAGCGGGAGCCAGTGATGTCTTTCCCTTTCAATGCGTTTACGGACCGAACTTTCATGACCCGAGTCTCTCGAAGATGGTCGGTTTCATACCTCATCCAGGCTCGCTTCTTTTCAAGCTTTTCAGCTGGCAGCAAGGTTGCATCTTGTTGAAGCGCTAACTCAAGCTGACGGCGACGGATGGATCGGGGAGTCAAGTCTCGAGATGTCAAGTCGTTGTAATGACACTCGAAGAAGATCTTAGCTGCTGCAGCTTTCTCTACCGTAACGATGGCTTGTCTGGTTAGCAGTGTATCAAAATGGACGTGGTTCACTCACTGGGTATTGGCTCAGGAGGTTCCAACATTTCCACTTCGGCGATAGGAGTAAGAACATTCTCGTTTGACCCCCCTTCCGTGGTCACTTGTTTAGTCACAGGTTTTTTGTTGTCCGAGGAGTTTTGTGATGCCACCTTTGACTTCGCAGAGAACTTGGAATCGAGTGATGTCTTTCCAGTTGATTGTCTCGGGACTGACGACTTGCCGCTGTTGCTACTTGACTCGGCACTCGTGGAAGGCGAGGACTCTGGGGTAAGCTCGATGACACCTCTATCGACGGAAATGACACTAGGCCTACTCTTGAACTGAGCGCGATGGACCACAGTTGGTTCGAGTTGGTTCTTAAGAAAAGCCGCAGATAAGACTCGACCTATACCTAGTGGACTGTTAGGTGGAGATAGCAATGAGTTTTCGGCTATGGATGCATTGGAGCCTGTAAACTGTCAGTTAACATGAATTCGGCTCCAGAAGTCGCCAAGATACGTACCACTGTTCCTGATAGAACGCAAAGCAGACACCAGCTTCGATCCATGTTTGCGAAACTTGGATGGCCTGTCGTCATCCCCCTGTGAATAAGGGGGAGATCGAGGTGGACCGCTGCGAGTGGTGGTTGTTGTTGGGTTCAGTACAGGACCATCTTCATAGTCCATCACGATTGAGGGACTACTGGGTTGGTCGTGTGCCGGTTGGACTTTGCCCATCGTATGCAAGAAATGAGCGAGTTTGGAACTGACTGGGCTGCTGGAAATATGAATACCAAAAACAATATTGCCAGCAACGATGAAGTTGCTGCAGTTGCTGTGAAGAAAGAAACAAACATCGAGGGTCGAGCTCCACCACATCCTAGAGATGCGAGCAAGGGGGAAGGTGCGACTCAATATCACTTTCACACAGCTTCACGGCAGGAACTATGGCCCCAAAGGAGTTTTTTCATTGGCTGACTAAATTAACAAACTTGCCCTAAAAGTAGGATAAGAGACAATGTGCAAGTAACTTTTAAGATGCGCCTGCTATGCTATGTAAATCTCCTCATCCCTTTTCGCAATTTCTGTGTTCCGTCCCGCAAGACATTCACTACAGAGCCGCGTAGGTCGGAGACTCATGAAAGACAGCATTGATGCGTAAAGGAAATACGACACGCCGTAAGAAATTAAGCAGCACAATGGCTGCATGAGAGGTGTATCGAAAATTGTACAGTGGAGAGGAGTCGACAAGCAATGCTCGTGCCTCATGATATCATAAACATCCAACGGTCAATCGTAGAAATTGTCGTGAAAAGAACAGTAACAAGCTTTACTTGATCTCAAGCAACTTCAGGTCGAAGATAAGGGTGCTGTTGGAAGGGATGTCAGGTTGTGACTTGTTGCCGTATGCGAGCTTGGCTGGAATGGTAATTCTTCGTTCACCACCAACTTGCATACCAACAATGCCGATGTCCATTCCCTGGATGACTTCACCTCCGCCGACCTTGAAGGAAAAGGGCTTGCCCTTCTTGTTGGCTACACGAAAATTAGCAGTCGTATAAAAGAGAGTGAGAAGAACACTTACAGTCGAAGACTTTGCCGGCCTCAAGCTTGCCAATGTAACGCAAGCCAACTCTCTGGCCGTTTTTGCAAGCTGGTCCAGATCCGAGCTTCTTGTCATCAATCTTGACACCCTGAACGACCTTGACACCTGTGGCAGGCTTGGCTGCACTGGCCTTAGCAGTATCAGTGCTCTTTGCCTTCTCAGCAGATCCAGTTGGGCCTTGCTCTAGGTTCTTTGCGAACTGAACTTTCTTGTCAGCCTTGCTGTCCTTGGTATCCTCCTTCTTGGTCTCTTCAGTCTTCGCTGGAGCGGCTTCGCCATTGTTCTTCTTCAGCTTCTTCAATTGCTTCTTGCTGAGCTTAGGCTCTTCCTCGGTTTCAGGCTTCAAGGATTTGGCCATGATATCGTCGAGAGAAGTACCTTCATCGATCTCGTCAGCAGAGCGCTTGTTCTTGCCCTTCTTCTCAGACTTGGTAACAAGCTTGGGGGCCTCCTCGTCTTCAGAGTCAACCTCGGTGATACGGGGATTCTCGAGTGTGTCCAAGTCATCGCTCTCGTCGTCATCCATCTCAAGCTCAAGCTCGTCCTCATCGGGAGACAAGTCATAGTCCTCATCGTCCTCATCATCGGAGTCGGAATCGTAGACCTCATGACGATGGTTGTGGCCATTGTCGTCAGGAATGACATAGTTGCCAGTGAGATAGATGGTGTTGGTACCAGTGACCTTGAAGAAAACTCGCTCGTTCTCAGCAATGGTAATGTCAAGAGGTTGTTGGTAATGCTAGCGACTATTTAGTAGATGTACACCAGAGGTTGCATACTTTGACCTACCTTCTCGGGATCAAGAGTGCAGAGAACAAATTCGTCCACCTCCACATCTTCATTCTCATCCTCTTCACTCTCCTCCTCGCTATCTTCTTCATCATCGCTGCTAGCCTTGGCCTTGCCTTTCTTAGCGACCTTGGTACCGTTAGGCGCATCTCCCATCTCCTCGTCAGAGTCTTGGCCAAGCGACTCCATCAATTGTTGCAGAGCAGCCGCCTTCTTAGCCTTCTTTGACTTGCTTGGGTCACTTGGGCCACCATTTGTCTCTTCCTCGTCAGACTCCTCCTCGTCATCATCCTCATCTGAATCACTGTCGGCTAGGAGTGCACGCATGTACTCTTCGTCTTCGTCGTCATCCTCGGACCCTTGAGGTGGACGGATGATCTTCAAGGTAGCGCGGGGGATGGTCGAACCATTGGCACCTTCTTGAAGCTGAGCAGGCTCGGTAGGATCGATGGCAGCCATCGTAATACGGAACTGTATAATACATTATCAGTATCACGACTGGAATGATGTTGCGCCGATTGTAGTCGAGTTCCCACCCACCGTGAGGCGGGGCGCAGAAGATAAATGGAAATTGACATACAGTGGCGGGAAAGTCTGGCACAGCTGGAACCAAGATATCACCGCAAGGGACTTCAAGCCCATAAAGGGCAACTATTTCAAGTAAGTATGTATTCAATTTGAGTGCGGCGACTTCATGCTGTGTGCTACTACTTACCAGGTAGAAGAGGCATCTTGATAGATTTACAGACACGTTCTTTTCTGGCGCAAGATTGGTTACAATGAAGTATCTTAATCTATGAGGGCCCACGTAATGAGATACAGACTGAGCAGCAGAGCTTGCGTTGAGTCTGAATGAGGAAAAAGAGCGGTGGAGTAGGAAGTCTTTCTGGAAACGAGATCGAGCTTTAGAATCATTTTTTTTTTCTCGAAGGGCGCTAAGATAGCTAATCGGTCCCCCATTCAACAGTCACGTGGTTACACGACAGGGGTCTCAATTTGATCTTCTGAGGCACCAGGAGCCTGGAGCTTGCACTTTTCGTTACAAACACTATTCTATGACCAACTCAATGGAGCTGAACTCAAATTTCCTTTTGCTTGCTTCTTCCAATCATCACTGCCTTTAAAATCTGCCACAACCACCACAGTGTGGTCGAGGTCTTGCCCTTCGTGTAGTCCACTCCCTTGTCCCCAACTCCTGCCATGTCGATAGCCGCTTCTGTTGCTGGTCCTGGGAACTTCTCCCTCATGTAGAAGGCGACCATCTCTTGGCCGTTAGTAATTCCTCCTTCGTTATTGTTAGTACCAAATATGAACTGAGCATCACAGACGGCCTAAATCCACAAACTCACCACTAGACCAGATATTTCCATCATGTACCCACCGCTTGTTGTCATTCCAGTCTACTTCAGGAAACGTTTTTCTCATCTTAGGTACCAAAGCTCTTGGGCCGCTGGCTTTCTTTCCCTTCAAGATTCCGGACTGCCCTAAGAGGATAGCTCCTGTGCAGACACTTAAAATGTCCACTGCTTTCCCTTCCGCACTTTTCCAGTATGCATGACTCCGGAGGAATTCGAGAGCTGGCTCTTCGAATATTGACGCTGGATCAGGACCAGGAACTAAAATTATGTCCAATTTACCAGCCTGGACCTCCGGGTCATCGATAGTCTTGGACACTTTCAATATTGCGCTGGCCGTCAACTCGACGTGACCTCCATTCTCTGGAACCGAGATGTAGTGGATCGTGGAAGGAATCCCAAGGGCGATAAGAGGCTCAGGGAGTTGGCAAGCGCATAAATACTCCGGACTCATCATCGCCAAAAGGTCAATGGGAGAAAGGTCCAGCAGTTGAACAGACTTAGGAAAGAACACACCGATCTGGAGGTGCTTAGGTGCCGTCATGGTGTTGGAAAAGGACTCTATGGGATGAGAAATGATTCTAAGAACTGTGCCTAATGCAACAGAAGGCGAGCTTGCTATTTATCACACCATGTTGAGCTTCGCAGTTCGGAGCAAACTGAACATCTAAAGATCGTGGTGGTTGATGATCGGATCTAGCGATTCTGTATATCCACTTCCGACGTCTCACCTGCACGACACCCATTATCTCAAGCGATCAGAATGCGAATTTCCGAACAAGCATTAGAAATCGAAACAATCATGTTAGTCTCAGTGTCCAACAAGAATGCTGACGGTGGTAAGTCGAATGCCGTCGCGTCGGTCAAATGTCTCTGGCATTATGCACCATTTTTGATTGAAGCTGAAGCCCGGAATCTCTCAGAACTTCAAGCGCATTCAATTCACGGGGTCTCAACGTCGGCAACTGCGCAGTATCGAAAGAAAACCGGTTCATCTGCTTTGTAGTTCACGATTGAACCTCTCTATTTTGTTCTGCATGACACACTGATGCTGGCATTGCAGAAAGTTGATTATCGGAAGGACCATATTTGCTCCTACAGCATGGTTCTCGATCCAAGAAAGACCTTGTTGTTCCAGCATCCTCGGAGCCTCGAATGCCGCTTCTCAAGCTGAGATCCTACCACTAGGACGAACTTCTTGTCATATTTTAAGTCCAATGTCGCTTGGCTTCAAGTTGTGGAGGCTTCAAAGAAAAAGTCAATTGTACGAGCATGTGGTATCTGAACCAGCTGGAGACTTCTCGTCCAGTATACATTCCGTGTTCACTAGCCACGCGGGAGGCTGCGGAGAAAAACTCGGCCACTTCATCGTATCTTAACTTTTCTTTTATTCCTTTATTGGGGTCTCATCTCATTCTGACTGGATAGGCGGGCGAGCGACAACAAATCAAGTAGTCCTCAGGTCGCCACAGAACGGTGAAGACCGTATGAGGCGTGAGTGCTGACAGCGTCACGGCTCAAGCGAATGCAGCCTCGTAGGCTGAGCCCTTCGGATTGTCCATACCCGCAAACTTTATTTGGATTTCCGCTTGCATCCCAGTGCCACACTTTTCACCTGAACCTCGCTGCCAATCATGTGCAGCAGGCGCGTTATGCGCGGCCGCCACTACGAGGCGTTTGAAAGCCAGTCAGCAACGTTACTTTTTCTCTATTGTTCCGATGATTTCAGTGGCAGACTCAGCCTCACCGACGCTTTACCAATTGCCAATTGTGGATGACGGCGGCCGGCAACTCAAGCTCTGAGCAAGAACCGGCGCCCGATGTATTGTAATCAACACGAGCAAACGGATATAAAGTAATCGATGTTGCCATCACCATGAATCCCATATCTCACCATCTCATACAATATTCTCACTTCAGGAATTTCCTTTGTTATCTTTCCTATCTGTTCATTTCCTTGTCACAATCGTTAGATCTTTCTTCTCAGCAGATCTTTCTATACTCACTTCATTTCAACTACCAAATCGTTATACACAATCTTTACTATTTCTATCATCATGAAGTTCTCCAACGTTGCCGCCCTCGTCTCTCTTTTCGCCCTTGCCTCTGCCAGTACCCATGTCGAAGAAGTCGACGTAGAGGTAGCAGTCACTTGCACAGACCCCGACCCAACGACGGTCTACCAAACAGTGACTGTTACTTCTACTGTCACTAATTGCGGAGGAAACAACCAGCAATGGACATCTATGTCTACCACGCTCTCTACCCACAGCATCACAACAAACTCCCAAGGCACACACTCAACCAGCATCCCGCCACCACCAGTCAGCAGCACTACCTCCTCATTGTCCTCAAGAACAACACACAATGTTATCGTGGGAGCCAACGGAGACCTGATCTATGGACCAAACCAGCTCAACGCCGCAATCGGAGACATCATTCACTTCGACTTCAACTCCACCAACCACACCGTAACCCAATCTACCTTCGCCGCCCCCTGCTCTCCTCTCGCTGGCGGCTTCAACACCGGCTTCAACCAAGTCAACAAGCTCAACCACACTGGTGTCATCTTCCGTGATTTCGAGGTCACAGTCTCCACCCCGCTCTGGTTCTACTGCGCCCAAACCGTCAAGGTCAGCCATTGCCACGCAGGCATGGTTCTTGGTGTCAACCCTGCTGGCAAATTCCCCGCATTCTTGAGCATGGCTACCGCAACCGCGACTGCGACATCCAAATCCAACTCTACGAGCAGCATCCCGTTGTCGACTGGAGGAAGCAAGGTTACAAGCTCAGCCATCTCTCTCTCTACAGGCGGTAGCAGCAAGACCACCATGGTCATGAGTACTGGTGTCAGCAAGTCTTCTTCCAGCCCGGTTTCTTCGTGGACTATGTACACGGCGTCACCAAAGCCAACTGCCACCGTGACAGCATACAAGATCAAGGGCCGACAAGCTGCTGATTGGTACAACTGAGTTGGTTTTCTTTTTTTGGAGCATAAAAGTGTGGGACTGGCATGCATAGCGAGGAGTTCTGGGATAGAGGTTTTATAACTACAGCGTAATCATGGGTTTGGATTTAGCATTGAGCATTTACTTGGCGTTTTCAAAAAAGTCTGCGGTATGCAGGCGTGAGAGGGTGCATCGCGCACATTTGTACTTTGCTAGATAGAGCTTGAATGAAATTTTGTTCAAGACGAAATTACTCTTCGTGACCATAAGTCTACACATCCAAGCCTGGTATCATTCCAATCTGTCACTCTTCCGTGCAACAAGCTGCACAATGTTCTTCTCCAAGACCAATAATTTAGATGTTTAATCTAAAGGCCATGATTATGAACATTATGCCTCATCTAGACTCTACTAGCCCTATCCTCTAGACTGAGCATCTATTTCTATATCTTCTCTCTAACAACCTAAATTAGTCACAAACTAATAGCAAACCTCTCCCTCAACCACTCTCCATAATACCAAAACAGCAACGGACTCGGCGCAAGTAAGACACTAACAAACCCAAAAACACTCATCCCCCACCCAACACCCAGCTTCTCAATCAGCGCACCCGTAAACAAAGGAACAATACCCCCAATCACGCTTCGGAACAGAGCTCCCGCTGCAATAGCACTAGCAGCATACTTCTCGAAACTGTCTATGTAGTAATTCTGCACCGAGTTGAAGATCGCCACCTGTCCGATGCCATAGAAGAACGTCGGTAGGATGGTCACGGCCCACTATATTTTAAACATGTGAGTGAGCGAAGAAGTGGGAAGGTAAGATGGGAAGAAAGTGCTTACGTGAACATGGTATTCTACTGTCCATGCAAACCAGAACAGCGAGATGGGGATCAGTACTGCGCCGATGTTGGCAATGGGTAACCTGTACTCTGGTTTGCTTTTCCCATTATGCTTCTTGGTGAGCGAATTGTAGACGGCCCCAATGCGAGGAACCAAGAACCAGACTGCCACAAGGAAACCCATGCCCGGCGCAAGGTACACGAATCCAACCTGTAAGGTATCGAAGCCGTAGCCCTCGCCATAGATCGATTCGAACTGCGTGTAAAGACTATACGTAATAGCAAACAGAAGAGCTTGGTAGCTGGCCATAGTCAACACGATTGGCTGCGTGAACAGGATCCGGATTGGTCTTTGAACGGCTTGAACTAGCTTTTCGCTAAGAGAACGATCATCTTCGCCTTCGAAATAATAGCTTCCGCCCTCTGATCTTTCGAGGTGTTTCTTGCGTTCTGAGAGCAAGACTGGGACATACGTTTCTCTTAGGAAGAGAAATCCTCCAATGACTGAAACGCTGCATATTATGAGTACGATCCAGAACAGCCAAGGCCAATCCATGTTTTGAAGTATGACACTTCCTAGAAGAGGGCCCAGCGAAGGACCGAGGAGAGGACCAAGGAGATACCTAAAGATATGAGAATTAATTACTGTTGGCTTGCAAGGGGTTGAGGTCGATCTACCATCCAAATATGTTAGCTCTTTCACCCGGATCGTACATATCACTTATAGTCCCTCCACCATTTGCAATCCCAACACCTATATCACCGATCAACACAATACCAAATATTGCCCAAGGAACACAACTCACTCCCAAAGAACCCAGCAATAGTCCTTAAAGTGACAAGAACCGGCAATGTCTTCGCCAACGCCGTAGGAATTTGCAACAGCGTAAAAACCGTAAAGCACGACAGATAAAGAACCTTCCTCCCAAACGTCTCCGAAAGAGGCGCCAGGATCAACGGACCGATGCCCAGCATAATAACAAACCCCGTTTGGCACGCAATCACACCCGTTTCCGTAGCATCCAACGAATCGGCAATCTTCTTGATACCCGGCGTAAACATGCTCGAAGCTAACGGACTGAGAACTTGCCTTTTGTTAGATCCTCTCTTGTGAATGGGAGCTTGGACAGGTGAACTCACTGCTCATGCTCCCAATGACCGCAATATTGGCCAGCTTCTTCCCCTTCCCCCAAGTCCTCGGATGAGAATCATCCTCCTTCGAAAGTTCAACCAGCTACATACAACAATCAGAACCCTCTCCCCGTGAAAAATGTCGACACAACACTAACCTTCCTCCCATCGTGACCATTCTCCCGGTCTTGCAACAGCGGCGAAGTCTCGTGAGATGCACCTGGCATATCTCGCGGCTGCATAGTGAGAGATTTTAACAGAAAAATAGATATCAAGAAAATGGAGACCAGGGTCAATAATAACAAGCAGAGTCTAATGTATGTAGACGACGGAAGGAAATGGAATGGTCCAAGCAGCAAGGAATCGATGACGACGGTCCGGTACACTAAATACTGGACTAACGCCTTACCTTCGGATCGAGATTACTGGTCGCATTTTAACGTCTACTCTCATCTGAAAAGTACGTTCAAACTGATGGTCATTCAATGTGAGTAATTGTAGGTTCTCCTTTCGGTTTGGTAGGATTAAAGCTCAAGTCTGGGTGAGATATACCCATTGCAAGTCGGAATTCATATATTCAATACAGTTTTCCTGTTGAAAACCAAATTATGTGCAGCTCATGATCAAGCCCAAATATATCACGCTCCCAATCCAGCCATGCTATGCTACAATTTCAACCATGCACAAGCCCATTACAAACCTCACTATACAAACAAATTACCACAACCTCCTCCATCTCCCCCCTCCACTATTTCCTCTCAAACTGCCCGGGCTCAACCACAATAACAATCACCAAACTCGTCACGCTCAACGCAAACGTAATGGCAGCAACCAACGCCACGCTCCCCCGACTCGCCGGAAACTTGCCACGGATAATCCAATACTGGCTCTCGAAATACCGATGGAAGCCCACGCCCAGCATCACGATACTGATCGCCAGGAACGTGGCCCCCAGCGGTTTACCCATCTGCCTTAGGTGTTTATACGGATCGTCTCCGCCGTTCGACGCCGCTGTCGTGTTTAGACGGAAGAGTTGGGTGATCGCTATCCCAATTGATGCAAAAGCGAGGGAAGTTCGGAGCCAGGCGAGAAATGTACGTTCTGTAGGAAATTCTTGTTAGCATTTGAAATATCAAGCTTCCTTTGTGTAGAGGTAGAGGAGAGACGACACTCACCAAGCGCCAAATGATCCCTCGCAACACTCCCCTTATTCTCCAACTCCAAACTCCCATAATTACTCAACGTCCGCACCCACCAACTCTCCCGCTCATCCTCATCGTCATGCTCGCCCTCCGTCCTCGGATCGTGCGTCCTTCCCCTCCTCCTAATCGCCGTCGTGCTCGGATGGTTATTCCTACTGCTCCCCTCCTTCCTTAACGCTGGTCTCGGCTGCACAGCCGTGCTCTGGTAATTCATCGTCTCCCCTCCACTTCGCTGACGAAAAACAAACGTCTCTTCATCCGCACTACTGCTGTTGTCTGCTGCCGCTGCCGTATCCATCTTCGCCGAGCTCGCAGATCCACATCCAGACCCAGATAACGGATCGTCTTCCTCTCCTTGTTCTCGCAGACCCCCCGAACCTTGATCCTGATCCAATTTCAACTTCCTCGCTCTCGCCGTATCGAAAATCTGATCCAAACGCTCCTGTCTCGATGTTTTCCTCTCCCTGCTCGTCGTATTTCTCAGCTTGTTCTCCGTTCCCTCTGGTTGTGCCTCGACAGAGGCTGAAGTAGCCATCGTCAATACATGTATGTACCCCGCGCCAAAGAAATATGGGACGATGCAGGTATCATTGGAAGGAACAAACGTATCGCAATCTGCAGATCACAAGACGTGCTTGCTTGGCTTTTATCCTTCGTTCGTTCGTTGGGGAGTTGCCGAGGGAGGGACGGCGGAACGCGGGCGATAATGTGAGGTGCTGCGAGGTGCGGGACGGGAAGAATGTGTTTTGGTGGGGTAGCTTCAGTGGGACAACAGCTAGCTTTTGAAACCAAAATGTACCTATATTTAGGAATTGATGGGATTTATGTTTGATGCAATTGAAGGTACAATAAGCTCAGGTACTTTTTCGTTTAACAATTGCAAGCTCAAGTAAATATCGTCGGGTCTGTGCCGGTGGTGGAATCGCACGTTATATGCATGAAGATGGTGGGGTGCAGGTTAGAAGTCCTAGATTAGAGAACGAAATGAGTCAGTAGCCTTCTTGGCTTGTGAATGTGGTCGAGTAGGCTACCTGCTAGCTGTCCTTCCTTTCTCCTTCATCTATCACCATCTCTCTCACAAGATGCACACAGGTCACTTCAGTTGCAGAGAGCTGCGATCACTTCACCCGAATCACAAGACAGGCGCTATCTTTGACATGTCTCATGATTTAACAACGCGCAATATTATGTACAAAAGTCGAATTGAATTGAAGTGAACTCAAATCGCTATGCTCGTAATGCAAATCACAAGGGGAAGAGAAAGAAAAAGTAGGTATCTGGTACAAACTGAAGTCAGACCTAGACCGCGTCGCAGAGATGGAGAGAAACAGAAGGCTGGTTTGGTGCAACAGATCGAACGTCTTTTTCCTTTCCTGTCCACTACAACTACCGAATCGATACAGACCATAAGGATCCATATCCTGTAGCCCAGCCACAAGCAATTCCACCCTCCACGTTTGATGTTTGCTCTATAGAAAGACTCTAAGAGCAGAACACCAAATATGTATGCAAGTAGTGCCAGCGGCTTGGGAAAGGCCGTAGGAATGGAGAACATCAGCAAGGAGTTACCACCAGGACATACCCCTTCCGATGTAATAGGAGATGTTGGGAAAGCAAAGCCAAGCTAACCAAGGTACTGTCCGCTCAGAGGAATCCGGCACCTCCGCTCAAAGATCATTCATCCGCTCAGAACACCGCGTGCCTTTTTGCAAAGCATCATGAAATTCGCCCCAACTATCCACAATCAAAGGCACGTTGTCTGCGACACACGCCCGCCCACCCAGCATACAATTGATGAACAAACATTAACGACATGGAAACAAAGGAGAGAAGATTTTCGAAGACGTCGAGGAACCAGAAGGCGAGATAGGGGTGTCCATTTCGGGTTGATTAATTTCGACAATCCTTCCGACATTCGCGAGTAGTTCAGAGGCCAAATGTTGCAAGAAGTGCTTCGAAGTTATGAGGAAAACAAGTAACGGTCATGGCTCGCATCCAATAAGGCGCACGAGCGGTCAATGTATGGACTAAAAGGAAGACGCCAAGGAAAATACAGGCTTTGCGCGTCTAAGAAAAGACGAAGAGTGCTTCACCCGTGACCGATACCTATAGCAGATCAGTATGTGTGCAAGAGCCTCGGGAGTTTTCAAACTTACTGTGCATCCCGTGCCGGTCTCGACGTTATTAGTATAATACTTTCCGTTCTTGTATTCACAGTCGCCGCTAACACCGCCAGTGATCTTGATGTTGAAGTCGAGGGTACCACTTGGGTTTGTTGGAGCGTTCTGGAAGAGCGAGATGAAGGTTTCACCAGCGATGCTCTTTCCGACTCCCATGTTAACAGGTGCCCAATTGCCCAGGTCTGTTCCTGAGGTTCCCCATTTGCAGGCGGTTGAGATGCCATTACCTGAAGGGTTGATGTAATATTGGGCAGAGGTGGCAGAGCCCTCCCACGTGTAGTAAGTGCTGGCATCTGGGTTGCAGATGGGTTGGGTGTCTCCAGCAGCAACGTTCAAAGCGACGGTCTCCGACTCAGTGCCAGGATAATCAGTACGGCAGATAGCGACGTTGGTAGAGAGGGTGTTCTGGACATTGACACCTCCGGCTCCTTCCTGGCAGAGGGTGGTGTAAGAGGGGCGAGAAAGCTCCAACTTGCCATTACTGTTGCAGTAAAGACCGCCAATGGATTGTCCAGTGCTTCCTTGCGCCGAAGGCCATTGTGACTTTTGGTAACCGGCAGGGCAGGCATAGGAGCAGAAGGAATCAGCAACACAAGCGTTGTCACTGCCCGAGATTGCAGTTTCGATGTAGCTGATGGCAGCGGCTGCAAGACCTTCAAACCCAGGTACCAATTGAACACCGGTCCATCCTCCAAGTCCAAGCCAATCGGCAGCAACGGCACCATAGGCAGAGGGGAATTCAGAACAGTCCAGTTCACCGCTGGGGAAGGTTGCAGTGACTCCAGAACCGCTTGAAGAGCCGGAAGATGAGCTGGAGCTGGCCGTGCTGCTGGCTGGGGCAGCTTCTGGGGTAGTGCTGGTTGTAGTGGGAGTAGGTGTGGGAGTTGGGGTGGTAGAGGTAGTTGGTGCAACATAGGTTGAAGTTGGGGTAGTGCTGGTGCTTGACTTCTGCTCAATGAATTGCGCCTGCTCGACGGAGGACGAGCTGATGCTGATGGTGGAAGTGGAAGTGGAGGAGCTAGAAGTGGTTGAAGCTGGCATGACGGTAGAGATCACGTCGCCAACCAGGACATACTTTCCATCGGCAAGTCCTTCCTCGACCTCAGACCATGGGATATCGACACCTTCAAGTTGGTACACAGTAACGATGGGACCGGGAACCGTGGTTGTAGTTACTGCATCGTCGCGACGGTCAAGAGGGGAACCGTGTCGGGCAGGGTGACGGTGGACATGATTGTGTGGCTGGGCGACGGCCAGAGTAGCTGCGCCGAGGAGCACAACTTGGTGGAACTTCATTGTGAAGAAGCGGATTCGTGATTTATGTACTTAAAGACTGTATGCCTCTCGGAGACGTGCCGACGATTAAGATCGCCTGTATTGATATATCGAATGTATTCGCAAGCCTTGAAAGCTGTTCGTCGCGGTCGGAGAACTGTGAATTGGTTTTTATTAGCGCTCGATCTGAGATGAGATGACTGTCGCGACGAGGTTGAGTCTTGTAAATGACTCCGATCGATATCGAGCTGCGAAATCGAAGTGATGAAGACGCGAGACGCGATTGAAGATGAACTGTTTATTTTGATGGAAGGGGAAAAAAAAAACATACATTGACTTGCGACCGGACGCCTTTCGAAAGGATCAGGAGGGCTCGAGGAAAGGTTCGTAGGTTTGGTAGGTAATTGAGGAGGGTGGGACGGGGAATTTGTTCTGGTGTGTTGGTGTTGTGCAGTTAACGATCGAGTGACGGCGCTGTTCCAAAGGAATGTGGTAGAGAGTCGAAACTCTCAGAGTTGGGTGGGAATGCTTGTAGGAAAGAAGAAAAGAGCCTTTCAGAGATGGGGTTCAGATCTTGATGAAATGGTCGGACGAAGGTGGGTAGAACAAACCAAACGAGCGGAGGGTGGAAACAGCAGTAGTTCGGGTCGTCGTCGCCTGCACGAGAAAGAAAGGGTGAAGGAGATTGGCAGTGTTCGGCTGTGGCTAAATGCGGCTAGCGGGGGGTCTTGATTCGTTGCTGCCGGGGGGACTGCGGCTAGCCAGGGGGGCAGTTGGGACGACTGAAGCTTGGTCTGAATTTACTGGGTCAGGAACAGAAATTTGGCGACGGGGGACCAGACGGTGGTGATTCGACACGCCCACCGCAAATCCCTGCTGAGATCCAGGAACAGAACAAGAACACGATCCACGCGGAGCCACTCTCGCCACTCCTCCGCCACGCTTCCTCTCTGCCACCACTCTCACAATGCCACGACCAGAGTCACCACTTGGTCCAATGCCGGCCAACGTCAAGGTGCCAGTGCGTGTTTGCACGAGAGCGGAAGTGCTGCTCCAATTCTTCCAATTCTTCCAATTCTTGGTGTTGTTCTCTCCAAGACTCCAACAAGATATTGCTCACTTGGTCTGGTCTAGACCTTTCGGGGAATAATGTTGTTTCTGCTGTACTGACAACAACGACGTTCGTAAGTGCGGTGCCGTGCAATGAATGCTGTTTTTCTTTGATGCCCCGTTTTCTGACTTCAGTGCCCCTTCTCAGACCTGGAACGTCGCAGTCGGAGGGCCAACACGAAGCTTGTAAAAATACCTTGGGGTAAAAAGGGGGCTGTTCTCGGCTGCTGCGACTGGGAGATGAGATGAGATGAAGAGGCGATGATCAGACGAACGATGGTCAGTGTCCGTCCAGAGTCCCAGCAGCATGCACAGAATAATGATGTCCAGGTAGTCAGTCAGTCAGTCAGTCTGTCTGATGCGCTGGCTGCACGTTGGCGGTTGGTGTCAAACTAAGTCAGATTGAGCGAGCAATTTCTACCACTCTGTTAAGTCTCTCTTTGCTTTTGACATGCAGCAGAGTCTGGAGAAGGGCAAAGCCACACTGCCACAGGTGATTTCTGGTGTGCACTGTGCGGTGCGGTGGATGAGCGTCCGCAGCGGGAAACTAGAAACACCATGTTAGAACTCATTTCGGTTCAACGCCAATCTCTCTCAGAGATTGCAAGCACGTAACCACTTACTCCACTCAATGCCGGTCAACCTGACTGGCCGCGATCAGTCTGTGACGACCGCCAGAAATTTTAAAAAGCCCTGAGCGCGAGGCCGTTCGGAGATCAGACCGTGGCTCGAAATGATGGAGTTCGCTTGAACCGTGATGAATCGAGCACAAGGATGCCGAAAAGTCGACAGTGTTCAGCCCAGCAGGTGAAGCTATCGTGATCGGTGGGGAGTTGGTGTCGTCAGCAGCAATTTGCTCTCATGGACTTCTGGTCTGGTATATCCTCCTTGGGCCGTCCAGTGGTCATGGCGGGGTGGACAAGTTGACGCAGGAAGGGAGATTTGCTGGCGCTTCTCCTGGTCGTCGTCGAGGTCTCCAGGCTCGAATGGACAAAGAAACCCAAAGGAAGAAATTTCTTAGGGGTGAAAGACGTAATACTCATCAAAGTTGGCGGCAGCTGTCACAGGAAAATGGAATGGACTCGAGGAAGGGAGTGTTTGGAATTATCAATATATTGTTGCCAACATACCACAACATCGCGAATGCACTCGCCCCCCTTCAAATGGCTGCAGTGTTTGTACCTCCAAACCGAGAGGCGCATCTATTGCTGTGCACCTCTTGAATTCGGGACTGAGAAGCAGTGCCGGCTTCGATGTTGGGTTGGTTGGAAGTCTTCCTTTCAATTCAAGCCACCCGTGCTGGCTGCGAATCATCCGCTGATTTCCAACTTGCCCAGGCTCTCTCTTCTCCGGATAGAGGGGTCTGCCCGATTACAGAAGCTGAGAAGGAATTTGGAGCACAGCACTTCCAAGAATAAAATCATGTTGTACAACGACTGTCAAACATCCTCCTCACCGCAACGAACAGCACAACATCAAAGACAACAGTTGTGTTGACGCTCTGAAACGGCGTCTGTAGTTAGTTCGATTCAATCCTACAGGATCCACGATGCCACACTATAACTTGGACGGGCTCATCCGCGTTCCCCTGACTAGAAACCAGGCACCGCGCTTTCATTCGCGGGTTCTAAATTAATGCACATGCACTACCATGCACTACCGCGGTCCTCCGAAATTATGCAGACCATCAGGCACAATGAAATCATCGTCCCGTCACACCAAACAATCCCTCCCAGGGCACACCTCAGGAAACAGAAAATCAAGTTTGTACCTCTTGCCTGAATTCCTCGCGCGGTAAACAAACCAACACACTGGATACCAAGGTTTTCAGATAAATTGTTTGTTCCCAAACAAAAACGTCGCAGAGCAACCGCAGGAATGGAATGATGGTTCTGCTTCTTCTGGACTGGTCTGGACAGGCGGGTATTTTACACGTGCTGGTCTGCTGCTCGTATCTTGATTACGATCTTCATCTCTCATCTGTGCCCCGCCATCGTATAATTTCACCACAGCTGTGTACCCGATGGAACACACCTAGAAACGAAATAGAAAAGTATGACGAATCCTCCTCCTCCTCCTCCTCTCAAGAAGAAAAAAAATAAGGCAAAAACCCGAGTCTTCGGAAGCACTACCCCTCAATTTGACCGCCAGCAAGGTATGTACTGTACCACGAACCCGGTGTCCTACATAACAAAACACAGTCAGCTTTCCCGAGAGAAGAATTTGGAAGGCTCGATGAGCTGAAAAACGATAACATTTCCCCAATCTTAACGCCTATTCGATATCTAATCGGGAACCTTGCGTCTTTCGGCGTTGTTCTGGACCTGCATTCCCGAGGGCAATTGAGAGGGCTGGATCGTAGGGAACCACGTTTTTGTGGAATGGAAGGATCACGAGGATGCGGGTAGCCGTAGGGCTGGCGGTTTGCCTTGCGGTAAGGCTTTTTCTTTGGATGGTCAGTTTGAGGCTTGGATGGGCTGGAATTAGAAGGGCAGGTAAGTAAATTCTTTTGTAAGTCTAGTTACATCTTGCTTTGGTATTTCGGAGGCCTTCAAACAGCTGTGCTGCAGTTTTGGTTTCTATTTGGTTGTCCTTGGACAGAAATCTTGGGAAGCTTGAATGTGCGAAGATTGGAAGAGTTGAGTCGTCACCGGCTAAGCAGTTGCGACTTGAGATGCACCATACGGTCGATGTCTGAAGAGCGACAGTTTAAGTCAGCCTTTTAGATCAGCCGTTGCTTTTTGCTCTCAGAGTTCAGACATTTGAAACTAAAGTACACAAGATTACGGGTGACAATCGAGTACAGTTGAATAGCCTATTCTTGAGTTCGAGGTATATATCTGTCGTTATATCGTTCCACACTTACATCTATCTCACAAGAAAGCTCACCTCAAAGCAAACCCTAATCAATCTCGATAACAAACTTCCCAATCCCTCCCTTACCCTCAAGAATCTGTTGACACCCATTCCTCACATCCTCGATATTACTCAACTTAGCCCTCGCCCCCACAATCGGCATCACCTTCCCCTCCTCAACCCACCCCTTCATCCTCTCCAAATCCCTCGCATTCCCCTCCATAACCAGATACTGATACCGCACCCCCCAAACCCGCGTCCACATCCTCAACACCCAATCAAACACATTCAGCGCTACAACCAACCACCCCGGCATCCCCGTATTCTTCTTCTTAAACGCGCTCCCGTTCGGCACCGTGCTGATACTCACGATCAAGCCGCCCTTCTTCATCGCGCTCAGCGCCGGCACCGTCTGCCCCATCGTATCGAACATGAAGTCTACCTTCCCCTTCCCAATAGACTTCACTACATTCTCTTTCGTATAATCAACAATCACATCCGGGCCCCTATTCCCCATCGTCGCTTTAATCGTCGGGATCTTTCCCGTACTTAGCGTCGTGGTGGTTTTTGCTCCAAAAACTCCCTTCGCCAATTGTACCGCAAAACTACCCGTCCCCCCAAGACCAGCTGGTATAAAGACCTCCTTCCCTTCCAACCCACCTTCTATCTCCCGCTGTCCGATATCGAGCGCCTGTAAGGCGGTCAGGCCCGCCAGCGGGACAGCAGCTGCTTCTGCGAAGGAGAGAGAGGTGGGCTTCAGCGCCGTCTCGGAGACGGTCGAGAGTGCGTACTCTGCAATGGAGCCGCGGTACCGTTCATTGATGCGGGAGTAGACTTCATCGCCAGGCTTGAAGCGAGAGGTGGGTGAGCCGACGGCTGCTACGACGCCGGCGAGGTCGTAGCCCATTGTGTAGGGGAATCTGGCGTGTTTGTTAGTGTGGAGCTTTGGGGGATGAGGGGTACTGACTTTGCTCCTCCTAGGAGTTTGCCGAGTCTGTGAGAGGGCGGTTAGATGTGAGGAGTCTGCAGAGAGCGGAGAGACGAACCCAGAAGCGAGCTTGACGTCGATAGGGTTGACGGATGCGGCGTGGACTCGAATGAGTAGCTCATCGGGTTGTGTGATTTGAGGGACTGGGAGCGTAGCCACGTTATACTCGGAGGGATTGCAATGATGGCTCAGAGCCAATGCTCTCATCGTTGCTGGGATCTTGGTCGTCATATTCGAAATTTAGATTGTTGAAAAGTTGGGAAGAGAGAAGTGTGTGGGGTGAGAAGAGGGTGGTTTGATGCACATTTCTCGTTCTTGTATGCGACGAGCGGTCCAATATCTTCCGCCTCGGAGACTTCCTTGCAGCAGTGTCTCGTGCGAAGAAGCAATCAGCTGCTGATGTTTTCAGCTTAGGATCGGAAGCTAGGAATCAGACTTGATTCCGTATTTATAATTGCTACTTCGTAGAATGAATGCGCATCGTGTCGAAAGAAATTCGTGGTCATGGAGAGAGAGAGAGTTTCATAATGACGTACATGAGATACATGGCTAATCGTTATCGCACAAAGACATCTTTCCGCTTGGAGAATGATCTTGGAGAAAAGCAATTGAGAACAACAGAAAATAATAAGAGACTGTAAGGAAAGTGTATTTTAGGTAGCTTTGATAAGAAAGAGAAGAAGTAACAACAGTAATGTATATGACTTGCGGTTGACGGCTTACCACACGTGATGCATTTCTCAGCAACATTTTGCCATAAGACGACGTATCCTATGCAGGATACTAGTGTAATATCAAAGCCCTTTGAAGAAACTCTCATTCATATCTAATAAAAAGAAAAGAAAAAAAGGAAAAGAAGAAGGGGCGTCTTTGTGCAGGAAACATTCCTCAAGTCCACTTCCGATCTCGAAATTGAGACTGAAAAATTTGCTTGCATATTTTCCCCCTCGAATCTGCATATTGATTTAACCTTTAAGAAAAACTGTAGAGAAGAATAAGACAAAAAATTGTAAACGGGTACAGTATGCACATGTAGATAGGGACCTCGTCTAACTCGCTAAGCTGGCCTATGTTGACTTGGGGAAGTGACTAGGAAACACTTATTTGAATTGCTAAACTTAGGGTCTGGATTTTATTAACTATTTCGTACAGGGACCAGCTTCTCAAGTTGGGTATCTCTTCGATATGTAGGAGGAGTAGGATAAACATCTATTCTCTTTCTCAGCTTTGATATTTGCCCGTTCAGCGGCAATGGTATTGTACATGGTTGAATCTTTTCCTTTGATCGGCAGTGACAATTCGTCCAGACTAAGTCCAAGAGTATCGCGTTACATAGACATCTCTAACATGACATCTCAAACAGCAACACTGCAGCAAGTCTCTCCTCCCCGCTCACACCCCAGATACTTCGACATGGTACAACCGTCCCACAGTAACTTGAACTTTTGATGTCTGATGCCTCATGATCAACATACGCTGTATGCGCCTGTCCATCCTGTGAACCAAGCACAGAAATAGCCTTCTCGAAAGTACTGCTTCGACGTTCACTGCCCTCAACCCATGGTATCATGACCACCGAATGTACGACGCTATCCGCAACGACACATTGATAGATCCGCCACTTATCTTCATTCCCATCCTCTTCTTCGCAATAAAGCTACCCCTCTCATCAGCAAATCATCACCAAACTGCAACTAGAAAACTTACCTTCACTCTCCCTCCCACAATCCCCAAACCCGCATGCCACTCAATCAAAGCACTCCTGGGCAGCTCCTCAACCTCAACCGCGAAGAACGGCGGCACAATAGACTTCAGTCCGGCAAGAGAGGGACTTTCAACCATATCCCAATCTGGCAACGTCCTCTCCGTTTTCGTAGCACCTTGAACCTGTTTCCCGGAGAAGAATTTATCTTCCCATAGGTCGACGTCGATGTCTTCATCGTCGGCGTCGGCGGGAGGTTTGCGGTGTATGGATGTCCAGACGAGAGAGGCGATCCGGGCTTGGGTTTGGATGGTGGTGGGTTGGGGGTCTGGGAAGGTTAGGGGTTTTGTGTTGAGAGTAGGTAGCTTTGAATGTGCCAGGAAATGGGTGGTTGTGGACTTCAATGTCTACAATGGATGAGCACGAAAAGATGGTACGTACCAGCACAACAAGGAAGATAAGCAACAACATTGGTAAACCAACCAACGCGCATCTCCCTCGCAATCCGCCAAAGATGCTGCAAAGACAACACAGCCTGTCTCTTAAAATCTCCCATAAACTCCCCGCTCTCCACAAGCTCAGGCAAAGCCATAGTATGCGGAACCAGAGGAATTTGACCAGCGATATATGTTCCCATTATTGACTCATTTGAAGAGATAGGGACGGATATTGCTTGGGAGTAAGGACCAATATTCGCGGGTGCCCAGTAAGATCGAGATTGTACGTGTAACGCATCTCGAGTTGGGGATTTGAGTGTTCTGATTTGAGTGAGGAGGTCAGTGGTCGTTGGGAGGAGTGTCCCACAGGCGATTGTTACTCTTGCTGGTGGATTTGGTTGTGTGAAGAGGGAGCCGTAGATCTGTGGTTCGTTAGTGGTTGTGATTCTGAATTGGAGGTAGAGGTGGGTACTTTGTTGACAGTGGCAAAGTCGGACATTGAGCGTAGGATGATGAGTGTAAAAACGATATCTGCAGGTTCTAGAGTTAATTGACTGAGATGTTGTCGTATGTCGGTTATTGCTTTCTTGGATGCTTCTTCGATATCAAGATCTGGATCATCTTGATCAGTAGTAAACAAGGTGTGGTCGACCTTCTTCAGTGCCAAGCTGGAAGACGGCTTGTATAGACCGTTTGTGTATTTCTCAAGCCATTTTCCAGAAGATTCCTGAACAGTAGTCTCATCAAACTTAGAGACCTCATCCAAAACACCTTGGAACCTTGGCTCAAGCAAACTCGGTACCCTACACTCCTTCACCACAACCTCCTCCTCATCCTTCATCACCACCTTCGCATCCCGTATCCTCAACCAAGCCGACCCACCCCCCTCCCTCACAACCTCCAAATCCTCCTCCTTCACCTCAATCCGTCCCTTAAACAACCACCTCGGCCCATCCACAACCAACGTCTCAAACTCCCCTCCCTCCCCAATCACACCCCCATCCCCCTCAACTCCAAACCTCCTCATCGCCCTCTCCACCCTGCTCACCCCTCTCTCACTCACAACATCCTCCCACAGAAACCCCTCATCGAGTCCCCCACTCGCAACCTTAACAATCCTCGCCTCCAACCCCACACCCCTCATATCCCCCAACAACCCACTCTGCGACCTCCCCGGCTCGAGAACTGGATACTGCCACAAGTACGCCAGCGGAACCAACCCCAACCTCACCGCCACGGATTCAATCCTCGTCCTCTGGTACGTAGACAAAATCGCCCCCGTACAAACGGCATTCGCCTCCGGCCTCTCCCTCAGAATCCTCCTCAGAAGCGGGACCAACGATTCCGTCTCATCGCACTCTCCCTCTCCATCAACAGGACCATAACTCCGTCCCGTCCTCACAGCGCTCCCTTCAATCACCTGTCTGTACAGCGGGATACCTAGCGCTCGCTCGGACAGCGGGATCACCGTGTGTCCCACCGTTTGGTACATGAAACTATTTAGGTCATGCTCATCTTCTTGATTGGGTGGAGGAGCTGGATATAGGTTGGCGAGGGCTACGATCTTGTGCCCGTTCTGGAGGCAGTGGAGGAGCGAGTAGAAACTGTCTTTGCCGCCGGAGATGAGGGCGATTACGTTGAGGGAGTCGGGCATGCCGTGGGATCGGGGGCCCGGGCCGTGAGCTGAGTGGAAGGGTTTGAGGTTGGGCTTTCATGGATGGAGAGATAGATTGAGGGTTGAAGGAAGGGTTGTCAGCCTTGTGTGGTGCGGCTGAGAGATGGTTTGGGGATGGTGGTTTTGGTTGGAGATGGAGGGGTTCAGGTGGAGGGAAAGCTGAGTTTGTTAAGCGAGGATGGGGAATGATGAAGGATGCCTTGGAGGCCTCTTTCTCCTGGTGAGAGTGAGACATTTTGGGAAACTAGGTATGTATTGTTTGGAAGTAAGGATCTTTTGGGTTTTTGGTGATAATCCAGTTCTAAGCAGGAGAGGTTGTTCTTTTCAAATACGTTAGGATGTTGATGGTATTTCACGATGTCACGATGTCTGAAATAAGCGACGCACAAAAAGCTTGAACAATATCTACCTAAACATGCCATGTACAGTCATGGGGTGAACCCAGCAACTTTGCTTAGAAAATGTGATTTAGTCTAATTCACTTGCTTGATATGTATGTACTAGAGAACGGGCTGATGTCTCATGTTTGTGTTCGTGATTCTCCTTGATTGTGAATATGCTCTTTTGCGTTGGGAGCTTATAACTCGGCCCGATCTTTGTAGTCCAGGAATTGATTATGAGAAATGAGGCTGCTGTGAGAGAGAGCATTTACATGTTAATGCAACAAAAGATGTAGGGGACAGCCCGGTATATTAAGTAATAAGTCATGGGAGATCCATATGTGCATATAAAATTTGTTAGAATACTTACTTACCTAGTCCGAATCTGTGTCGAAGATGTCACACGGAAAAGTACATCACAGAAGACAGGGTTTTGGGAAGACAATTCTATACATGGCAGACTTCTATTGTACAAGTTGGTGGCCCGCACGAAATGGAAGACCGCTGATGGAAAGCAAGAGGTAGACGCTATGCGAGACGGTGGACCAGCTCCGTCGCAGTAGAATTACAACGAAGGTAAAGAAAGTAACGCAATCCCAACCACCTCTCATTTCAGAGACACGCCCCTCCAACCCTTTCCCCCATGATCCGTCATCACGCTAAATCGGCACGACAAGTGTGGAAAAGGAAAATTTTGATACAACGAAGAGAAGAAATCATAGCAGCAGTAGCGAAAAACCTGGACTTTTTTGGTTGCAAACCCCCTCCATCGTGTCAACGTCTTTTGATCGCGAGACCCGAATGTCCCTAAAGACCGCCGCGTAAAAAGGTAGCGGAAGGTCGATTATGAAGAGTGTATCCGTATGATCGTGAGACTCGTAATCTGGCGTACCCCTCGGACTCATTGTTCATTCATCCCGTTTGAGTCCATTATTCGGAACGCTTGCGCTTCTTTCGTGATTGGCCGTCGTTTCCACTGCTGTCGGAGGTAGCCTCAGTGTCGCTGCCAGATGCACCGGCTGCAACACGGAAGAGAACATTGCCCAACTGTTGGATGTGCTCACCATCGCTGGCCGACTCAAGGTGGTCGCTGGGTAGCTCGCCATCTTCCAAGACGCCCATGATGATAGCACCGCTTCCGTGTGTGCGAGAGTGTTGGGAGAGGTTGTCACTGCGGGAGAACTTCTTGCCGCACTCATGGCATTCGAATGGCTTGTCTTGGGTGTGGAGGGAACGGTAATGTCTCTTGAGATGTTCTTGGCGTCTGAATCTTCGGTTGCACAATTCACAGACAAAGGTCTTGGATGGATCCTCTGTCAAGGATTGCTTGCGTCCACGACGGTTGACAGTTGGTTGAGCGTTGCCTGCATCGGAGCCGGTGCCCATAGCATTGCTAGTTGAAGCAGCTTCGGATGAACCAGATTGGCTGGGGGCGGTCGAGGTTTGCTGTCCCTCGCCGGTTTGTTGAGGGGGGGCTCCGCTTGCAGCGTTCATTGGGACGGTGTACTTGCGAGACCTGACGAGGTTGTCGAACTCGGTGCTATCCTCGTCACACGAAGCCTTCTTGGACTTCTTGCTGCGCTTCTCCTTCTTGACTTCGGTTTCGGACCCAGATGCGGGTGGGGAAGGCAGGCAAGCAGTTGCGAATTGCTCTGAATCTTCGAATTCCTCAAAGTCCTCGAACTCGTCTTCGCTGATGAACTGCTCGTGGTCTAACGACAGGAGGTCAGAGCCAGAGTTGGTTCGTTGTCTCTTGGCACCGAAGAATTGGACGTTCTCAATGGTAGGGAAGTTGACAAGGCCGTTGACGAAATCTTCTTCCGAGTCGAGATCGGAGTATTGATCGAATGTAGGTAGACCGTGGTTGTGCGCTTGTGTGGAGAAATTGAATTTCGCCTGAGTCTCGGCAACCTTATTGTACGTCTCGCCTCCTAGCATAAACTGATGCGCCTCGTCGTCGCCTGCGCAGAGTGTAGGGAGCTGAGGAAATTCCGTGGGGACTGTTGTCTTGGTGACAGGTGGGTTGGGTGATTGTCCAGCTCCAACAGTCAGGTTGCGCGGATCGCAGAAGTCGAAGTCTTGTTCTGAAATGACAGATCGTGGGTAAGGGGAAGGGGATGGAGAAAGTGAGGGACAAGATGCCGCAGAGAGGAGTTCCTTAGCGTTCCCGTTGCTCATAAGCGAGGTAGGTTGGATGAACACTGGAAAACAGCGAGTTAGCGAACTCGAAACTTAGAAACTTAGATCTTAGGGTACCGCAACATCGGAATGCCACAACAACCATCTGCGATTCACGACTTGAACGTACCTGGTGTCATGGGAGGTGACCCACATCGGGCCCATTCGCCACCTGCGAGGTTCTCGGATTGAACTTCTCCTTGGCATCCTGCCTTCACGCCCTCGAATCCCTCGAAGCCAAAGAACATGGTGTTCATGGGGGTTGGCAGACCTTCACAGTTGGATGGGCTGCTGATGCTGCTTCCTGAAGCTGACAGGGGCGGTGTAGATGGGTAGTAGTACATCTCTCCATCACGAGTGTCGGATTCAATCATCAATCGAGGGGTGTGCTCCTGGACCAAGATGGTTGGCTTCTGGTATATGGGACGTGGTGATGCCATGGGCGTCATGTTCATGGGGAATCCGTTGTTGTACATCTGCATAGGCATCGGTGGCTGTGAGCATGCGGAATTCGGTCTGGAGTAGATCGGAGTCGAAGGCATAGGCTGCACATGGGGGTGGTATACTGGGACATGGATGTTGCTCGGCTGCTGCGAGAAATGGCCATGTTGGCGGTTGTCGGGTTTTGGGTCTGGGTTATAGTAGAAGAACGGGGACTGTTGTCCCATTGCTTGGACGTGGTGGTATGAGTGATCCATGGCGAGTGCTGATGGTTTCTGAACTCTTTTGGGTCTGTTGAATGTTAGTCACATTTCGTGGACTCAAAGGCCGTCGCCTTCTTTCATCTCCCCTCCCAAGAGAACAACGAGAGAGCACATACCGATGGGTATTCAACCTGGGATATATTTTTCCGTTCGTTTATTAGTTACGTTTGAAACGTTGCTCGTATAGTGGCTTGATATAATGGGACCGAAAGGGCCGGAAGATCGGAATGCTCGAGTGGATAGGAAATTGCTCGCAGAGAGTGACTGGACAACAGCTTGGACGGGCCAAAAACTGTCTAATAGTTGTACTGGTGGGTTGAGTGATGATACATATGCTCGTCGAGGTGTTTTGTCTGGGGCCGACTGGATGATGCGGGACGAAATTATCGACGTTTCGTGGGACAGAGCCGGAATGCAGAACGACAGCGAGATGCTAAATGAAGGTACGGAAGACGATCGAGAAGGCTATAAAGGTACAAGCACGAGTCGAAGATGTTCCAAAGGATCGAGTACAAAAGGGAAACCGAGAGACGGTATAAGAAGAATGGATTGGTGCTGGAGTAGCAGACCTGAAGAACGAACAAACGAATGTGTGGTGACGGGGACCCTGCAAATAAAGTAAAGTTCACAGATCAACGAGTGTGAGGGTGATAAAAGGCAAGATAGGCAGAGCCGACGAAAAAGGCTTAGGTCTCAGTTGGAAGTGAGTGGTGCATGGCGTACAAGGTCAACGGGGTGGGCCAGGAACAAGAAAGCAATGAATGGGTGAGTGGGCGTTCGAGGACCCTGGTCTGGGGCAGCCGGCAGGAACAGCAGCCAGCAGCAGTGGAGTGGAGTGGAGTGGCAGTACTAGTAGGAGTATGGTACAGCAGCCAGCAGCAGAAGCAGCATGAGATGGGATGGGATGGTGTGGATGGGTGTGTGTGGACGTGAGGGCTGCGAAGGTCTCCAATTTTCTAAATCTAGTACAGTACAGGACAGGACAGTAGTGTGCTTGGCTTGGGGCCGGGATCCTGGTCTCTTCGTGTTCGACGCTACGTCCCATCGAGAAGTGATGGGGTTATGGGTATGGGACGGGCTATCATGGGTTACTGAGTGCGTGCATGGGTGTGTGGTCTTAGGTTGTTCGGGTTGGTAAGAGAGGAATCAGAGGATGGATTTGCTGGGAGGCCAGCACTATTGGACTGCTCTGGGAGAGGATGGACTATTGAACAGCGAGGACTACGAAACAGTGAAGACTGAACTGGATGTGAGAGTGACTGAAGTGAGTGAGTGAGTGAGCGCAAAGTGGTGGTGTGCCAATTCTGGTGGCAGCGAGAGCGAGAGTGAGGACAACTCTCAAGAGCTGGCTGGTACTGGTTGGGTGGGATCGACCAACAGCAAGACCTCTCTAGGCGAGAGCAGCGAGTCAAGTCCCGTCAAGCAAACCAAACCAAAAACGAAGCCAGCATTATTCCATCATGTTCACACTACAAAAGCAGCGAACCCACCATTCGGGTGTGCCCTCGACGAATAATTATTTTGGCGCTGTTTTGTTCACGCAAGCGATGGGTCGATAGGATGGATGACTGCACCGGCGCACTCGAGAAAGAAACTAGCGCACCAGACTGTGCATGCATAAGCCCGTCCAAGCTAGTCGAGCATTAATTATCCGTACGACCAACGACCAACGACCAACAACCAACCTGGACGACCGCCGCCGTGTTCGCTGAATCTGAACACCGCGTCACCGCGTCGCCTGAAAGAAGAAAAAAAGTTGCTGCTGCGAACGAGTGGATGAAAGGCAGGCGTGCCTCACAAGCAAGCAATACAGATCTCAGACTACGTGATTGCGATGATGCTCGCTGGGCCACAGCAGAGGAGATTACAGTCTGCCGCGCAAAAGTAATACTGCTCCAGACGGCCCATATTCAATGCTCCACGGAGTACAAACACCACCACCAACAAGAAAACACTCCTCACTACTGCAAACCGGCTGCTTTCACCTAGCCAGACTCCCGGATGCATTCAAAACTCGTCTTCCCTCGAGCATGTGAGCAGCTCATGTGCGGGACTCTCTCGCTCGAGCCCATTTGGTCCTCCAGTCCTTCTCCAATGACGATCCGACGTTCTGATTCAACACAGCCTCCATCGCACTGTTTCTGACACGCCTGGCATTGACGGGCTCTGATGTACGGCTTCATGCGAAGCTGCGACTCCAGAGACAGAGAGCACGCTCCTTGCGGGCTCGCCGTTCTGAGCATGTATGCACGCGAGGTGGTTGAGAGCCAGAATGGCGAGTCGAGGGGATGGAGTTGTTCATCCTATTCGACGTCGTGCTGCAAAGCAAAAAAGTTGTGAGGAACGCGAAACACGTTGGCAGCCACTGAAAACGCGAAGCACCCCTCCCAAATGCACATTGGACAAACACCATCAGCGTGCACGGCAGCACGATACTGGGAGCAGAACTCATTGGGCACTGCCGAACGTATCAAACTGCATGCTTCTTTTCTTCCGAAAGCGTCGCCATCCCACCATCCCCGTTCTGTGCTTGGTCCGCCAGCATGAATTGCCCCTCTGTTCTTTGATCATCGCGCATGACCTCAGAGGATCCCGCCGGCCTGGGCTATCGATAGTGATCCAATCTTTCAGCCCTCCAGGTGCATTCAGCTTCCATTTTAGAGAGCCTGCCCCGCCTTGCATTGCTCTGGAGGCGATCAGCAGAGTGTGGGGTGGGTAGCACCCAGGTCCAAAAGGTATGAAACACGAAACAACCATGATGCTTACGATCGGCCACCAGACCGAACGGTGGGCAAGACACGCGTGGTGCTTCGTTTTTCTCCAGAGCCAAGAACCAGGCTGGATTGGGTTGCCGCGGATAATCATGTATCACTAAGCCCACACATATCTGCATTTCGTTGGGGGTTTCTGCTGAAATCTGATGCCATGATATGTCATATTACAGAATGTGTGTGCAGGTACAGAGGCAGAACGGTTTCGGTACCTGGCTTCCTGCAGGAACAGATTATCATCTTCTCCCCTTTCAGACAACGTGGTTGGTCTGGTAAAAGGGACCACACCACCAAAAAGAACTGACGCCTCCCTCATCATTGGCTGATCTGCTTGCTGCCGCTCTGGAAGAAACACCATGATGAATCCTTCACGAGGAAAAGGCCGAGCCAGAGTCCGAATCGACTGCTATCTATCTAGAATTTCGTTTCTCCTCTTCTGCTGTGCCGACCATCTCGGCTGGATGAAGAAGCCAGGCATTAAAATCGTCACCAATTGTCCTAGACCTCCTCCTCTCGTATCGTACGCGTGTTGACAAGCCGAGGACGATCGTGACAGCTGGTTTGTCCGATCTTCCCACCTTTAGTCCAAAGGCCTTTGAGCCGTCGTTTGAAAAGATCTTACTATCTTAGACAACGGCAGCCAGCGAGATCTGTAGTGCAGCATCCGCTCACAGCAGTTGCTCCAAGTCTGACGGTGAGATGGCTAGAGAGGTCCCTAGCCGCTCGTAGCCCTAGGATGGTCTTTATCGATAGGACGGTATATCTTCCCGCACAACGGCTTCCGCCACGGGCGATCTGATGGCGGCTCGAAGCCCAACAGGACCGTGGAGAAGTGCACAAAAAGGTCCCATCATATCGAGATGCTGCATAAATATTGGACGCAGGCCATACCAGCGAGTCGCCCAATTATTGTGACTGAGCGGTCAGCACGGTATAATTGCTATCACATGCGAGAGTAGGCGCGCTCGTACCACGAGATTGCTCTCCTGCACACCTCGAACTGTGCCACAATGAACCTGCTGGTCGCTGGGAAATTGCATAATGGCAATGCATTGGCTAATGCAGAGTTGTGCGCAGTACAACCTAAAGATAGGTCGAGCGCTTTTATTTTTTGTGGACTAGACTCTCGCTGCTTTTTCATAGCGGTCTCAAGGTGGTGTGTGGCCACCAGCGAGCGGGTAGCCGAGAGTTTTCTGCGGTGGGGGCGAGGCGACGAAAGTTTGCATTAGGATATGAACTCGTCCTTGCATATCGTTGCATCGCTCCTCGTGCACTACTCGTCGTCTGCATCAAACACCCCCGTCCCTCGTCCCCCGCCGTCGTCGTTCGTTTTGTGAAAACCGCTCCTTCGGTGGACTTCCAGAAGCAGTCTGGGTTTAGTCAAGCACGCCTGCCGGGGATCGCCAGGGAAGGCAAGCCCACAAGGGCTGGCTTGTTCTGAGTCGTCTGCGATGCAGAATAAAATGGAGGGAGCGCGGCCAGGGTCCCTGAATTTGCCTTTCCGGCGTTGACCGGCTCCTCAACCATGCATTGAGTGGCCAATTCAATGTATCCACTTCACCAATCGGGGACCCCTCGTGCCGTTTGATAGAGCCCTGCCAATCATCTTTGCCCATTGTTGGGTGAGATTCCAGGCATCGATGCAGCTCTACTGCAGGTACAGATGCAGGTACGAAAGGGTTCAGAGAAACAGCCTGGCTTGGAACGTTGCTACTGCTGCAGCTGCATATGCAAGTTGGGACGTCCCAGACTGTCAAGTACGGAGTACCTGCGTTGTGATGGATAGCAGGTGTGTTTCATCAACGCAACCACCATCGTCGAGTGGCAAACCAGACATCATGATCATCGTTTTCTAAGTTCTGCCATCTGAAGTCTGATTCGCTTCGTCCCGTGTCCTATCGATTGCTGAAGCCTGAGCAGCGGGACGGAGCTCCTACGGATAGCCCAGGGCTTGCTTGGATTGGTAAAGACCAGCCATACGGAGGAAGATTCCAGGCCAGCACCACCACTCCACCCGCGGGTTCCGGCTCTCTTCCCAAGAGCAAATCGGCCCACAGGATTGTGATAGTCCAGAAGTCAAAGGCGTTGAAAGTTTTCTCATGAGCACACCATGTGGATTTGTGGTCTTATCTCTTCATACTATCCGCCTGCTGCTGCAAGCTGTGCAGGAAACTGGAATTGGAAAAGCCATTGGTCAAAGAGCCAGGAAGCAGACCCGAGAGGTCGGTTTGCCCTCAAGGCTTGGGAGAAACGTGCTGGAATTGTCTTCCAGCAAATCCCTGCTTCATGATTGGTGACATTTGTGGGCTCTCTCGCACGTGCAAAGATCCTCACTTGGCCTTTCCAAATCTCGTCCAGACTTGTCCAGTTTTGCATCATGACACCATCCGCGGGCCGCCAATCTACTCCCGCTGGTCAACACCATTGATTGACTAAGTCCTCCAATGCTACCAGGCTAGCCTCTTGTTGAACATGTCCGTGTCTTGAACGATGGGTAAATTCACCGACGGCCGAAAGCAACCCGACCCCGGATTTCTCTCTGCCCATTCGGTTTGGAACTGGTAAATTTGTATGCAGGGGAACCAGATCATTGGCTCTGCCGGTAAGCCGAAATGCATGAGGGTGCAAAAGTGGATGCTGAACTCGTTCGGATACACTTTGATGCAACTCTGCGGCGTTTCTAACGGTTTCTCGGGCTCATATTCAGAACGTTCGAGTTTCGTTCTGTGAATCGAACGTCAGAAGGATGCCGCACCTCCCTCAGTTGACAGACGAGCCTGCCGTCAAAGGATCGCTCGATTTTGGGCATGAAGTTGCTCACTCTGATTGCGATCAACTTCAAGTGAGTTGTTAAAAGTGGGGCAGTCGCCGTCTATGAGGGCATTCAGCACTTCTTGAAGATCTCTCCACAACCAGACGAGAAATAAAATTGTCGATCAGGGATCCTTAGTAAAAGTGGTGCCTTCGGCATATTCGAAATTCGAATCCAATTCTTGGGACGAAATGTTCCGGAACCCATCCCGCACACCCTGTGTGAACAAATCCCTGCCGTCCAGAGCACTTTCGCTGTAGCGGCTCAGATACTAGAAGAGGCTTCTTGCGCCGTGTCCAGTGTAGCCAGAACCCTGATGATGGGCCTTCGAGAATGTTTCACACCACAAAAGAAGAAGGCAAAAAGGTGGTCTTCGTCGGTCTCCATCTCTTGGCCGACAGCGGCAAGGTCCGCAGGTCCTGAGATAAGGAGTCGCGTGGGGACGGTGTTTCGATTGTATGATTGTGTATCAAAGCAAGCGATTGTCACGTCTGCATGAACGTGTTGTCTATTTATACGAGTAACGTGATTCATGCATTTAAAATTGTTTTATGCAATTTATTCTTGTCTTAGACTCCAAGATCTCCACACCTTCGGTAGCGATGAGGCTGAGCCACGCATTACTTCTATTTGCTTGAAACTTAATCATCTATTATTATGGTACAGCTGAGCCGTCCTTGTAATCATACAAAAAGCTTTGCGTCAACACACGCAAGTTTGAGGACGTCAAGTGGCACGGTTACGAAACACCATATCCATATCATGCTATGCTGTCGAGCATGACTTGCCATCGGCATGAACATAATCGAAAGCTTGAAGAAGGGCTTTCGTATATGTGAGGGCTGCCACGATTACCATTACGTGGAATATCTGATGACTCGCCCCCCAGATGTCAAATGTTTTCCTCCACCATCTCTCTGGTATCTACAGTACATTCAGTCAGCAAAGGGCATTCTCTTCTTCCTGTTCGTGTATTGTGAGCGTTGCAAACCTTTAGAGCATATGCTGTAGCACCGAGGATGTCCACTACAAGTGTAGTGATCACCCAACTCACTCCCATTTGTTGATTTTGCACAGCCCATCCATATTTGAACGTTCCGTGGAAAACAGGAACCATAGTGAAGATAGCAAGGCTACCGAATGTTCCAGCTCTCACGAATCTCAGATAAGGGCCACGAAAGTGCGGCTGGAATGTTGATATCGAGCAAATTACTGCCAACACAGAAAGCTATTCTGTGTCAGCCTTGCAGGATGAGCGAGATACGAGAGCATACCAGTGTCCAATACGCATTCCGCAAGTCTACATCGCAATGAAACCCGTAGAACAGCAGCGGGATCGTTGCACTCCACATCAGGAGAATCACGCCTTCTGATGGTGCAGAAGTCAGTATTTCCCGTTCAAGCACACTTCAGGAACAATCTACTACATGTTCTGAAGATAGACTGTCTCAAGGCTAAGAGACAGAGGTTCCATAAACTTACGGAAATCAAGCTGGGCCCCGAACCTCTCCACGCTCTTGGAATGGCTCAATAGAGTGTGGTATCTACGATGATTAGTATGAGCTCTGGAACACAACAAGACATCTCTAACGTCGCAGACAAACAGAAGCATATCGCGCCACCGAAAAAGTACGCCGAAAAGACAATTATATCAGCCGCAGTAGCAACAGCATAACGCAGAGGTATCTCTTTCCTGAAGAGATACGCAGGAAGAATGAAAAAGATGGCAGCTCCAATGAGATGGGAGTAGATGTTTACTACACAACAATTAGCTCAAGATCTACAATGGAGAGGAGAAGCGGTTGCGTTCCAGATTCATTGTGGAGGTATTTCCAGCTATAAAAGCAAGCAGAGAGCGATCCGGACGCCGATCTGTCGGGTGTCAGAACACGATATCCAAGACATCGATGACATGCCACATATAGAGATAGATAGGATCTTACCGATACCCAGTCTCGATGAACTGATTATCATCCCTACAGAAGAAAAGCCACAACAATCACCTGATTACCCTCTTCATCTAGAATGCCAATGGAACTTACTGCTGCCAAACCTCTACGATCTCTTATCAGCCACAAAATACCTCCAAAAGAACGACTCACGCACCTAATTCATCCCACCGTCTCAACGGCTCCCGTTGTAGCACCCCGCGCTGATAGTGCAATCCCCCCATCCACGTGTCTAGTCCTTCTCCTTCCTTCTTCTTATGTCCAGTGGCGGCGCTGCTGCTACTTTCCGGCTCACTGCTTTTTCTGCGTATCATGGCTGCTGTCCGCGGAAAACCCTCTCTCCAAAGAAAATCGATAAATAGATCAGAAACAGTAATCTTCTAGAACCACCAAGTTCATCGTAAGACAAACGTTATCTCCTCCATGTTCTGGATGACTTGGTGGTAGTGGGCAAAAAATTTTCTCTCCCATCGAACTCGAGCACAAACACGGAGTGTTACAGAATGTGTTTACGCTTTGACTTATTTATCTATCGAGCGTGGATTGTTTCTGCGATGCATCACATCACAAACACAAACATGCAGGACATATGCATGCACAATTTTCATATCTTCCTTACATACAGAGGGAAGTACTGTACATTAGTGTGTATGCATAGTAGTCCTGCAATATAGGTAGGAAGGTATAGCGCTCCACTGCACGACGCAGGAGAAATTGTCTTAGAATATTGATAATATACAAATTCGCTATCGCGCTGTTACTATTGATCGATCGATAAATAATGCTCGTGCGTGCGTGTTTCAAACCGTTTTTTTTTGTCTGTCGCTGCTTTTTGCTTTTTGTGCCTTTTCGTTTGGATAAAAAGCACGCCTCTCTTTCCAGTGCGATGAATGGGCACTACACCCTCTTGAAGCTGTGTAAGAAAGGTGCCGAGTGGTGTGCTGCTTCATGGTCAATCGATATGGCGAGACAAGTGACGAAGCCTGAACTGAGTCTGATTTGCCTTCTCGTACCTGCATACCACCTACCTACCTACTATTTATTGCCGTACCTGCGTTATTGGGTTTGTGGGTGGAGGGGGCGTGGAATGTTGGTTCGAGGCACACGTGGATGTGGGAGTGTGGCACGTGGAGAGGGAGAAGGTAAGCTCGTATAGTTCTTGAGAAAGAGGGTGATTGAGTTTGGTATGGGCGTTTGTTTCTTAGTACGTTTTGAGAGTTGTGTTTTGGCTAGAGTAAGCGTAAGGCGAGGAGAGCTTGACGTACTTCTTCTAGATGGATACTGTCAGTCAGTGTTAGGTTCTTTCTCGTTTTAGACAGCTTGTGCGGGTTGCATTTTTGTCGCCGCAAGGCGTCGATAGTCTCAACTTAAGCCTGCGGCTCAATGCCTTAACACTGGCTAGGCTATATCAAACTCACAGGTTCTCACTTGAGTCTGTCTTCAGCATGGGAAATGCGCCTCCCTGGCCGCGCTGCACTGTGTGAGGTAATGTGCGGCGTCTTACTTCTTTTTCGTCAAATAGCTGATTTAAGACTCAATTTGTCTTTGTAGGTTGCCTTTGCCATATGCGTACTCCTTACTACAGGCATGTTGATAAGTGGCACAGTTTCTGTAACGTCAGTGCCATTTCAGGAGGGTTTCAATGGTCATTGACTTGGGATCGATCGAGTTCCCATTTCAAATTTTTGTTCTCAGATATTCTCTGTCAAGTTAGTTCGTATCGAAATCACAGATTGGCGTTAGTTTATCTTCAACTTGCTACAATGTCTGTGGATAGCCATTTCTCATGGATTTATTGTCTTCCACGCTCTGGTCTTAATATCAATGCTTTATTCCCAATGTCCCACCATGAGATAGATGAAGTCAAAATCATAACGCGGGACATGCTTCTCTCAAATTCACTTGCTCATGGAATCAAATGACTGGAAGCATTTCTTCACATGTAGTATCTTTGATTGTGACCGGCTTTGCATTCAACTTTGCTCATTTGACTAAGCTGCTTTAGTATTTACCCATTTTCGTTGATATTGACAGCCTAGGTTTCTCTCACATTGCCATACATTCGATTATGAGATATTGTAGTTAAAGTTGCATCTTACTTTTCTTTATTAAACATATCTCCTTTCCTCGAGACGTTATGACGCTGCATATCCGTCCTCAAAGCTAGCGTAGGAAGAAGATAGTCAGAGAAAGTATGCTGTACATTGGGTATCCTTGTCCCAGAAAGATACTTGCTACTCACTTTGGAGTTTCCACTCTAGATCCACCAGGTGAATTTCCTCCTAGCAATCTCCTGAGTAGTATGGACGAAAGTGAACAGTAACGTCCCTCTCATGGCATGCCCAGACGTTAACACAGCTACCCCACTCAGTGGTCGTCATATTTTGCCTATCAACACTTCCAATCTCTGGATCATATAATTGCGCCCAGCAACCTCTACCAAATTCGTTGCTACCTAGGTACAACATGGCCAGGCGTCCTTTGACTTCGAACCACCAACCGAGCAGGCTCGCCAAGTTACAGTGCTAGTATCACGTATGAGCAGTACCGTGGTGAGGTTGTTGTTCGGATTCTCCAATACGAATAGCTTTGTGGCGTCGGATCCCGTCGTCGCTGATATTAAACTCTATTTCACTGAACTCTACTTAACCCAGATCATCAATGTTCTTGAGATTCTCCTTGATATTGCGAGTAGACCAAAGGCGCCATGAACTGACTCAACAACAACATACGGTGTATTGAACTTAGAATAGGCTCAAGTTGTCCCACACTTGAATAGACAATACTGGATCCAAATGTTAGTACGTCTTGCTGTCAACTTACACAACTGTAGAATCGGAATTACTTGCATTTGCTTATTTCCTTAAGGTTTTCTTCGATTTAGCTCATATTGATCCGAATGTTTTTTCTTCCTCGGGGACATACAAGAATCATAAGTCTGGATTTGAGTTTCTGTACTTTGCCTATTTCAAAAATCGAATTGTTCTTTGCATTTACTCTTTTCCTGTACTTAGTATCACAATAAATTCAAATCAAGCATAAATGTTTCATATTTAGCTGGAACATATTGGACTTACAAGTTAGGGCTTCTTGCTTTTCTGATTTCATTTATATAAAATTTCAACAATTAGAAGATCAGCCAAATGGCGCTCTTACATTTAGGACTTGTCAAAACAATATATTGTAATATTTCCCTACTTCCAAGAATTAGAAGTTCTTCACATTTATACACTCTCTTTATATCTCAATGTCTCCAGCTTCTCGACAGATGTCCCATCATTAATCAGAACATATCGCATTTATAACTTAGTACTTTTTATCTCCCAATTTTGAGAAGGCATGAAATTAGAAATATTTAACCCAAAACCCTTTCTTTAGCTAGAACATATCACTGTCTTAAGTCAGGACTTCAATTTTCTTAGTCTTGCAAATTATTAAAATAGAACTATCTACTCGTAAATGCTCCTCTTCTAGTTGAGACATATCGCGTCCATAAGTAAGTGCTTGTATTTTGGTACCTTTGCCAAATCTTGAAATTAAAATTTAGACCTAAATTTCCCTCCCCTAGTTAAGACATATCATAATCAAAAGTCAGTACTTGCTTTTTTTCCATATCCCTTGTGCAAGTATTGTTTTCACGTGGGATATTTGGACAAATAGTAAATACCTTTATCACGAAGAACAATGCAAGTGAATGTTTATCTCGGGCAAAACAATCTCATTTGTCAATCTCTGAATTCTACTTTAACTCTCTTCTCCTGCTAAGTCCCCAAATTTACACAGACAACGTACGACGGCACCGACATTTGACAACAAGGTGGTCCCCTGCGGCGGGGCTGGGCGGGACTTGCAGGAGCTCTATTGACGGCGTTCTTCTTAAGCGTTCTGATGTCGGAGGTTGTGAGGACATTCCATGAGGTGAATTGGTAAGCCAGTGAATCACGAGGACTGCCCACGTAACATCTAAAGCTGTTAGTGTCGGAAATGATTTTCGTGATTGAGGAAACTGACCTAATGTCGCAAACGTGAAAAAGAACCAAGCCTGTTGCCGGCCCGCGAAGTATATGAGCAGGGCGAAGTTGATTACCGTTGACGGAACAAGCGCCAGACATCCCCAGACTGCCTTTTGTATGACTTTCACTAGTGCTTTCTGCTGTATTCCCATGCTCTGCTCTTGTTCGGCGGCGAATGCGTACCGGAAAAACGTCAGCTTCTCCAGCGTGCCCTTGATTGCTGGCGTGACGAAAGTGTGTAGATAGCCGCGGGACATGTAAGGTCCGCAACGCTTCAAGAAAACAGCCGTGAGGAAGATATTGACGAAAATGTCCCAAGTCAGAAACACACTTGCAATTTGTCGTGTCAGTCCGATGTGACAGACTCTCTGGTCCGTGTTATACACTGCAACGTGGTAGAAGAATGTCGTTACCACGATACCGGTGAAGCCAACAAGCACCATTGCAAGTCCGGACAAGTAGATCTTATCTTGTAGCCTAGTGAGAACCTTCTTCTGTACACTATGCGTGCGTTCGACAAGGAAGAGGTAGAGAAAGGCCTTCTGTCCCAGGTAGAATACCAGGCCGAGGAATATCGCTCCTTCGCAGGAACTTTGGTTATATATGGTATGTCCGAAGTACAAGAGGCAGGCGGACATGCAGAAGATGCAGCCTAGAGCGTAGATCTATGATCCATCAGTATAAGACCAGTGCTCAGTTACAGAGGACTTGTCACTTACAATTATGACGATGATGTGCACCAGCGCAAGCTTCAGCAGGGAACGAGTCTCCTTAATAGAGGCAAGGCGGATGGCTAAGAGGAGGAGTTAGCAATGATTCTACTGATGGTAGGTCGTTGAGTTTCGGCTGTTTCCAGCACATTGATGAACACAAAGGGGAATCTACGTACCCAGACAGGCGTTTGAAACAATGACACCTGCTAATGCCGCAATCATGTAGATAATGTGTCCAGCTTGGAATCCAGTGAAGAAGAGTGTAGAAGGTTGGAGAGACGTAGCGTTGCAACTGGAGAAGTTACCGCTTGAGGAGTTGCCAAGATGATGAAGAGTAGGGAATGATGTCGTGGAAGGTACCATCGCGAGCGGTATAGGAGCAGCCATTCTGAACTTCGTAGTAATAAAGGGTTGTATGAAACATCCAGGGTTTTCCTTTCATCGGAAGGTTCTCTGATAAGTATGAATGCGGTGGAGTGACAGTAGGAGGTCGGAGTTGAAGAAATGGAATGATGTTGTTTTTGGAAGAAGGAAACAGCATGATTGAGGGTCTTTTATAGTCTAGCTCGGATCATAAGCTTCGAATTGTTGGTGAAGATGGAGAGAGGATGGAAGGTGCGTCTTTGGCAGGTCAAGTTCGTCGCCCATTTGGTGACGCGAGCTACCAGCAGCCTACAGTAAAGCAACCTCCCTCTTGGTTTGATCATGTTCAATCTGGTCACAGACAGTATGACGAAGATGAGGGGTGAAGGAGAGGACGTTGAGGGAGAAAGGAGACAGATGGACAGAGGCAATTCGGATTAAGGCTGGATACCGCGGGCCTTTGTCTATGGCGTTGTCGTCGACCATGTACTGTATTAGATAAATAGCATGTGGGGAGACATTTAAGCTGCTCGCTTTTCGTCGGGTTAGTCCTTTTTCTGTGGCTGCCTTGTCCTTTGAAGTCTGATGTTTGTGTATGAATCGTCTCTTCCATCCCCGCCTTCACTTTGGGATTACCCCACCATAAGCTGAAGAGACTCCAACCCCGACTTCATACCACCTCCGCGGACTATATATAACCTTCAAAATACTCGTGTTCGAACGCAGCGCGCAGTTCTCTTGAAGATTTACCTGTTCGCCTTGTAGCGGACGATACAGACAACGGGGTGGAGCATGGAGGTACACAGCACGCTCGCCAGGACTGAACGTTTTTAACAACTAACACAGTATTATAGAGTCATCAGAATCAGTCCGCGGATGCCCCGCGGGCACGATACTCTTTGGAATTTGAGGTTAGATGGTTCAAAAATATGGTTTCTGTTGGTAACTACCCGAGGATTTGCAAAGGACATGTCTATACCACGAGGAACGGGCATTCTGCGAAGTCCCAACACTGGAAAACCCGCCTATGATGTCAGGAATACACGTACATAGATCGAAGCAAACATCTTCCTAGCATTTGTAGGCAGAAAGTTCTTGAAACTATATGGAAACCATGCGCTATTGACCCGGGAGCATTTCTACCCGACGAAAGCCACCTATTCTTCAAGACAAGAGGAACATGCTATCTCCTCAAATTGTCGACAACACACATAAGTGCCTTCAAACAGCGAGGTAGAGTCTGGTACTGGCAGGGAAAGTGTCAATAATATACGAAAACCAAGAGCCACATACCCGACGATTCAAAGATAGATCTACACGAAAGCTACATAACTCTGTTATAGGTTGTTGACAAATAAGGTAACTCCTTGCGTTCCGTGGAGTCTGCAAAAGCCTGCTAATTATAGTTAGAAGTCTCCTTGTTGTCCGGAAACTATGCGCCATACCCGCGAATCCTTCTACACAAGAACAAACATCTATTACCCAAATGAGTTCAAGGGGCCATTTGCTTAGGATGGTTGAAACACAAGTCTAATCCTGCCAGTATTCCGCGAAGCCTATCAATTCTTGTAGTTGTGGTGGGGATTTACCTAATACACCCACAGACATACCTACACAACGGCAAAGCTGCTGTATTCAGAGCGAGAGCAGCGCGCCACATGTCCATGACGTTTACAGCACATATTGGGTCCTAATATCAATCCGCAAAGCCTACAAAGTCTGGTGTTTGTGGTAGAGGCTATGTGAGAAGTACGCGCATGCACTCCACCCTTCAAATAGTCCTACAGAGCGAAGAACCCACCTTGTTTGAAGAGCGAGCAATACGCCACAATCTTATGATATTTAGAACTCACGAAGATGCCTCCTTACAATCCGCGAAGATTGGCAAGTCTGTCTCCTGGAACAGTCGTCTCAATGCGAGGACTATGCACTATCCCATCTAGAAGCACTCCACACAAAGAACCAGCACTGTTCAAAGCGAGAGCAGCACGCCACATATGCATAATGTTTGAAACAAACGCATAGTACTACGTCCCATCCGCGAAGACTGCCAGGTCTTGTATTTATAGTGGAAGTCTCGATGCTAGGTTGCAACTACGCGCCACACCTACAAAGGTCTCCACACTACGAAGAACCCACACTTTTAAGCGAGAGCAGTGCGCCGCTTGCTTATTATATTAAATCACACTTGGATACCTGCATAACATTCCGTCAAGTCTGCAAAGCCAGGTTTTCTGTAGGAGAGGTCCCAGTGCTAGGTGAGAAGCAGGCGCTGCACTTAAAAAACGTTTCCACACCACAAAAAATCTGCACTCCTTGAAGCAAAAACAACGCTCCCACTTCCGATAATGTTTAGAACACAAGTATATACCTACAGGCAATCCGCAGGGTTGTAAAATCTAGTTCTTGTAGTATGGGTCGATGGGAGAACCATGCGCATGCATCGGGGACCACTTCCACACGAGGCAGAACTCGCTTTGTGACAAGCAGAAGCCATGGAAATCTGCTTATATTAGTCTTTGATGCACGTAGATAGGTGCCTGCCATCCGCGGAGTGTCTCGCGTTAGTATCTGTAGGTAAAGATGCCAACTCCTTTTGAGAACAGTGAGCACCATACATGGAGAGTCCAATACCCATAAGTATCTGCAGATGCTTGGATCTTGATGGTTTACATTTGGATTCAGCTTTTATAGAGCAAGCTTGAACACCGGTGCTTTGTTCCCGGTATCGAAGAACCACTACATGAAATCGGCCAGAACAATCCCTGGGAGGAACCAGTTGATTTTTTTTGGGTAATTCGACCACGCTACTATCCGCACTAAAATGTCAGAGAGCTAGTTCTATTACAAAATGTGTCAATATACACAAAACCTCAATCTAATGCTCGAGTCGTGGTACAATGTCAAGTGCTTTGTTTGACTTACAAAGTTTCCTCATTGTTGAGTGAATGTTTGATACTTATTAATCTGACGCCAATCATTCTTCTTTAGGTTTTAGCACTTATGAAATATACTACGAGTTACATAGCGGGGAGAAACAGGTTATGAAATCATCGATTGACTAAATAATACGCTGCTGATGTGTTGAAGAGCGGATTCGCTAAGCGAGTGAAAAAGGGGTAATATGCTGCACGTGCCCATCCAAGGGTAAGAACCCTGCTGCACCCCTAAACAATGAAAGCTGAAAAGATCATCGCAAAACATTCCAGCTGCCTCAATATCCCCGATAAAGTCCATGCTCGCAAATCAAGAAGAAAGTGGAAATAAGTGGAGAGGAAACCCTTGCAAATCATACCGCGCTTTGAAGTCCATGCCGAATTATGACTTTGGTTTCTTCGTTCTCGTTGATCTCATATATACCTCCACCGTGCCATTAGTCCCTTTGTTGGACCATTGGACAAACTCATGCAGTCGTAAGCTATTCCTTAGCAAGCAGGCAAGATTTAGCGCATCCACTGGCACTCTTAAAAGTATTTGCCAGCCGCGTTATATTTGATCTCAATAGCCTTCAAGCGTTCGATCTCTCTTTCTGCGGAAAGCTTGTCTTTGATCATTGTCTCATGCTCGCTCTCGAGTCTTTCGACTTCTGATTGAAGCTTTTGGACAAGCGAGTTTGCTGCTGCTTCTTTCAGACCATCAACCTCGATTTGTAGCGCTGAGCTTTTGGACTTCTCCTCGGTAAGATCTGCCTCATATTCTGCAGCAGAGTAAGTCAGTGTGCAAGTACATCTCTATGGACAGGGAAGACATACGTTTGATGACACCATCCTTGTTCGAAACATCATCTCTCAAATTTGAGTTGAGCGCTTCCAACTCCTTGACTCGCTCTTCTGATTTCTGTTGAGATGTTTCACCCGCTAGCTTCATCTTGTTTATCTCCTCCTTCAAGCCATGGTTTTCCCTTTCCACTTCAACGACAAGCTCTTCAAACTTCTCTCTGAAGTCGCTTGGTTGTGTACTCCTACCGTCAACTGCAGAACTCGAGACCTGATGCGACGATTTTTGAGACTTCGAAGGCCGATCCGAATCAGGTTGCTTCTCGAGTTTGCGCTTAGAGATCTTGAGCTTGAGGACCAAATGTTGTTGTGGTGTTTCTTGGCGTTCGAGAAGTGCGTCTGGTTCTGGAACAAGATCTTGATTGGGTTCGCCAACTCCAGCTACAGTAGGCTGATGTTCACCAAGGCATTGATTGATTCTCTCCATCCTTTCCGCCGTCTTCAAAGTCTCCTGATTTTGCTTGGCTTCGATAGTGTCGGTAATTGTTGTAGATGAAGCCTCCCGACTTGTAAGTCGTTGCGCCAACTGAATTGCTATGTCGCCTTGGGGTGTTACTGTCGCTCGAGAAGATCCTGCGTTCAGGCTTGGAGATGTTTGTGTCATGCGAGCAACAGACTTCGAACTTGAAGATTCGTTGGCAGGTCCAGCTGCCTTCAGATCAGCAGGACGCTTTCTTGTTCGAGTTTGGCTGATTTCCATTCTTTCCTCAGGTTCACTCTCCAAGAATCCGAAATTGTCGACACGAATATTTTTAACTTTTCTTGCTTCGGCTTTCTTTCGGTCCTTCTGGGTCTTGTAAGGATAATCCTCCGGGGTGACTCGTGCCCACATATCCTTCTTCAACACATAAGACCCGTTCGAGCTTGTGGAAGGTTCCAAGACAGCTCTCATGGTATCCTCCCATTCTTTCCACCATCGTCCGGCGTCTTCCCCCTCAGGCACAAGACCAAGGTCTTGGAACTGCTCTTTCAAGACTTTCTTGGTCATATTCCTCATTGCTGCCAGATGGGAGACATGGTATTCCAGATCCCAAGCAGATTCGGATGTCCCACTGCCAGAAGATTTCAAGGAAGTTCGGAGTTGTGGCATCTTGTGTGCGTCTGATTTACATTTAGCCAGGCCGTATTGACACAACGAAACCAATGGAATAAAAACAGAAAGCCAGTCCCAATGCCATTCATGTGAGTGAATTGAAATAATCTCTACCTATACAAGAGGCTAAGAAGATGAGATGAAATATGAACTTACTGTCGACCATTTTATCAAAGTTGGGTTGATCAAGGATAAGAGCCGTGTGGTATCTAGCATCCCCCTTCTTGAGTAGTACTTACTTAGAGGTAAGTGTTAGCACAAATGTTTAGAGAGCATGAGGTTGATATGCTGAAGCTTGACTCTAAGTAAGAGACTAGTACAAACATGGAATAAAAGGGTTACCATATTCAACAAGCCTTGAAGAAGAGTTGCCTGAAAGCGATTGTCCTTGACGAGAAACCCGATGGAGAAACAAGACTTAAATATCCAAGATGAAAGAATTGGCCGAGAAGACTTACGTAGACAATGCCTTGGCAAGATATCGACTCGAAAGGCGAGTGCTCAAAGAATCAGAAAACCCTGAGATGATTGATGTCAGTCTTAATGTTGGGACGGGACCGAAAGCAAACCGAGAAAGATAAGGGAAAACCAGACACCGAAAACTTGGGAAAAGAGTGAGGCTTGTATCAGTAACCAAATATTGAAAGTGAATCCATGAGTAAGTGGAGTGAAGGTAGACAAGGGAGGAGGTGAAAACGAAGTGAAAGTTTCACTTTCACGCGTTGAGGTTGAAAAGAGAAGAATGCTTACTTTAGTAGTCAAAGGAATGAATGATGATGTTTGAGAAGTAACTTGAAGTGTTGTCAAAGCGAGTTCATGACGAGGCCTGGAATCACAAACCAATAGAGTTTTTGCTAGAGATGTTGCGAGGTAGAAGCTGCTGCAAGTGGCGAATGTTGTGACAATGTAGAGAGGGTGTTGAGTCCCAAGCCTTGAATTTTGAAAGGGTTAGAAAATGCCTCAAGGCATGCAATGCTTTGTGAACTTAGGGAGGCTAAGTGTGTAAAACGAAGCGTTGCTGTAGTGAGTTGTGAATCTTAGGCCAGGAAGTAGTGAAGAGTCCTGGAACGGAAGGACACTGGTGATCCTCTAGTCAAGACGGCAACCGAGAATAAGTAGTGCAGCCACTTTAGGATCTATGCAACATCGAATGTAAAGATGCGTTGAGAAGGTAGTGAGTCTTGCAAAGTATGAACAACACAGGTGGAGGCGTAGGTTAGAGGGTGAAGTCTGACACGCCAATGCAATGTTTAAAATTTTGAAACTCGAAGATAGCAGAAAACCCTCAAATAGAAATGATATCCAGCGAAGAGTGAGGAAGGTGGTTCCTAAAGCCTGAAAAGTGTGTTGCTTCGAATGATAGTGGCAAAGGATTCGTGTGAAGTTGTGATCTCTTCGAGGCCAAAGAGTATACTCGATAGACCAATGTGAATCAATCTTGAAGATGGAGTGAAACGTAGGCAACACAAACGTGTTGCGAAGTGAAGAATGTAGATGTACGGATGTCAGGCGAAAAGATTATATGACAGGAAAAGCAGAGATAGAAATCTTGCCTGAATAATTAGCCTGGACATAGCCTTGACAAGAGGGATTGCAGGTAGCTCTAGGAAAGGAGATCAAGATGAAGTATCAACACGATTTTTGGTAGGTAGTTGGGTCTAGAGCGCAACTTGTTCTGTTCGAAGCGGGAAGCGACGACTACGACGTTTCTTGGTTTTTATCGTTGCAAGGTGAAATCGTGCGTCATCACTCACAAGATGGCGGTCTTGAATAACACTTTGCATATATTCTCTACTACTCATCGAATCACCAACCCGCCCCCTTTCCACCAAAAGTCCCATCCTCGATCTTTTTCTGGCCGCCTCCACCTCTGGTTGACTTCTGTTGAGCAGCTTCATGTTTGCGTAGTTCTTCCGGAACACGCGATATGGAGCTCTTCATCAACATCTGTTTCAAGTCGTACATGACATCCGAGTCCTCATTACCCAGGAAGGTAATTGCCACACCAGTCTTTCCAGCACGACCTGTTCTACCAACACGATGAGTATAACTCTCGATGTTAGTAGCCATGTTGAAGTTGACAACCAGGCTGACATCGGGCACATCAATACCTCTGCCTGCAAGATCTGTAGCAACCAAGACATTTGTTGCTCCAGAACGGATAGATGCCAAAGCAGCCTCACGTTGTTCTTGCGTCTTGCTACCATGCAAAGTGACTGATGTGAAACCCATATGTTTGATGTCCCGAGCAACAGCATCGCAATTTCTCTTGATGTTGACGAAGACGATGATTGGAGGTTGAAATTCTCCAGAGGCAAGAATCTCGTTGAGCCTCTTTTTCCTCTTGTCTTCGCCCGAAATAAACTCGACTCGTTGTTCAACAGTCTCGACCGCTTCTCCGATATTACCGATCGTAACTATTGCGGGCCTTCTCAAATACTTCTTGGCAATCTTCTCCACGGCTGCAGGCATAGTAGCCGTGTACATCATCGTCTGCCTGTATCTGTCCTTTCCACCCAGGTGTCTACTCATTGCCTGGGCATCTTCTGCGTCGTCTGTGTCTGGCTTCTCGTTGCCGACCGGAAGCGCGTCGAGAATTTTGTTCACAGATTCCTCGAAACCAAGATCAATCATACGATCAGCTTCATCCATAATGATGTAACAGCATTGACCAAGCACTAGAACCCGTCTTTCGATGCAGTCTACTAAACGACCTGGGGTTGCTATGATGATCTCGGCACCATTGCGCAGATTGTAAGACTGTTCTTCAAGCGCATGTCCACCAACGATACTGACACAAGTGAAACCCAGAGGCGTTGCGAACTTCTTAGCCTCAACCTCAATTTGTTGAGCCAACTCACGAGTTGGAGCAAGAATAATGGCATATGGGCCGTCATTCTTCGTGAACTCATTGAGAGGCGGTAACTCGGAGATGTAGACAAGTAATGGAAGCAGGAACGCAGCAGTCTTTCCGGAACCAGTAACTGCCACTCCGATCAAATCTCTAGCTTGCAAGGCAATAGGTATTGCCGCTCTCTGCACCGCTGAGGGCTGATCGTATCCAACTTGAGCAACGATGTCCAACAGGCGCTTTGGAAGGTTTGATTCTTGCCAATTTCGCATGGGGTTTGGAATTCCTCCGCCCTTTGTGCTGATGTTGAAATCTTCTTTGAAAATACGCCAGTCTCTTTCTCGCATGTGCTCCAATTTTTTCTCACTCCAATGTTTGTCAAGTGAGTTTCTTCCGCCAGCATCTTCTTTCCTCCGTTTCTCCATCTCCATTATCTGTTCAGCTCTTGCGTGACCAGCTTCCACATCACGCTCCTGAAGTGCCTTGGCATACTTCAGTGCGCCGGCTTCACTGAGATCTTCGGCAAACCCACCAAGACGACCTCTGCCATAGAAGCCAGCTTCAGTACGTGAGGAGTATATAGGATTGTAGTCCGGACTTGTGTCTTCCTCCGCATTCCACTCGAAGTTAAACTTCTTTTCCGTGGTGCGCCGTCGCTTCTTCTTCGCCGAAAATGTAGACTGATTGGTATCAGCACCCATATATCGTGTTCGAATCAGAGCAGCCTGTGTATCATCACTATTTGCAGGACGCTTCTCTCCCGCTAGGGAGGCTTTGCCGGTAGAGGATGCAGGTTTTGTCGGAGGTCCCATATCTCCCGTGCGATTCGTTTGTGAATTGCGACTAGGAGCTGGGACAGTGTGAGCATCACCATGTCGCATTGCTCGAGGTCCTGTGGGAACAGAAGACGAACCTCGACCATTTGAATGGTTCTGGCTATCTCTGTTTGATGTCTCCCTCCCATTTGGTACGGCATGCCCGTTGGTAGACGGCTTCGCAGGCGTCCGCTCCGCTTCGAGTTTTCGCTTCTGCTCCTCGACTTCCTTCGCCCGCTTCTCAAGGGCTAACTTTTCTCGAGCAGCTTTGGACAAGAACTTTGGCTGTAAAATCAAACAGTTAGCAAATATTGGGGAGGATACTAAACATGCTTTGTAAACATCGACCTCAGATAGCAGCTTGAAGAAGGATGTACATACCTTTGCAGCAGCCTCATCGGCATCTTTCTTCTTTTTGAGGATATCTTCGATACTCAGTGGTCCTCGGTCTCTTTGAGCGCCCCATCCCGCTTTCTTCTTTTTCACAAGCCCATTCGCGAGCTCCTCAGGAGGAGGCGGTAATGCATCGACAGGTGGAGGAGGGGGAAGATCGTTACTTGGAGGCGGAGGAGGTGCTGTAGCATCTGGAGGGGGCGGAGGTACTAATGAATCTGGAGGAGGTGGAGGAGGGGATGGTAACCTTCCATTGACCTCCATAGGTGGCGGAGGTATCGAAGCGCCGTTAGTGAAGCTCGCCATATTCTCAGGTCGTAAGTTCTCGGGCACAGGATCTACGAGCAGAGGAATAAAGAAGTCAAGCAAGAATTTCCACTTTGAATAAAATTGTTTTCGTGGTGTGTTGCGACGAGGTAGATCAACGAGGTCGCAAGGCTGAAAATCCTTGACTTAGCCTAGCTCAAGGCTATGAAAAGTACAATATTACATAAGCGGGATTTTTTGAAGCACTGCAACTCGATATCGAAAGGACAAAAGAACCATCCAGCTTGTGCGCATCAAGTCGGATCCACCATGGCAACGAATACAAAGAAATACCTTAGGCTTGCACAATCATTACACCCTCGATTGAGTCGTTTCTTCGCGCGCTACCCACCTCAAGCCATCCTCTCGCCATCTGGCACCACAGTCCCTCCCTCTCAAGACTCAATCATAGCATCTGCGGATCATATACCATCGCAAGAAGATGCATCAGCGTCTCCCAATCCATTCAAAGCCCAGAAACATCCTGTGACTGGCAGATGGCACGATCCAGTTTTTTCACTACGACGACAAGCTGATCTTGTGAAGCTTGCACGAAAATATGGCGTTGAGGAATTATTACCATATACGGTGAAGGGCACAGAGGAGAGAATAAGGAAGAGAGTAGAAAATGGTCTCAGAGTGAAGGGTACAGGAGTTGGACAACGTGTGAAGGGAAAGGAATCAGAGCGGACATTGAAGGGACGGTATGTGTTGCATCCCTATGCATTCTGGCAGATGTTACGGTGGACAGGAATTCTGTGAGAAGAAAGTTTGCTGATTATGATTTACTGTAGTTTGGAGAAGCGAAGACAAGCAATGTTGGAGATGCCGCAGATGATCCAGACTTGGAAAGAGGTGAGTTTCTCTACACGTAATATTGCTCGTGCGTCACTAATGTTGGTATCAGAGAGGACATGGTCGTGGATGGAAGAAGTGGCCCAAATAGGTTGGAATGTTGTACTTGCATTATCTTGGCTTCGATCACGAAGGAGTGACTTGTTTGTACAAATATCACATGTGATGGGTTCTTGCATGGGTCATGGCGTCGAGATTCATCAAAACGTACCAACTATGCGTTGACTCTGTAGATTCTATGAAAGCAAGGAAGCTACAAGCTAGGAATGTTGAGAAGTTGAAATCGTCTGATGTCCGCGTTCAAGTCGACTGATGACGAAGTACTCGCATCTAGGCCTGTTCCAGGTCTTGGAACCACATGTTCGTCGATATTACGGGGCATATATTGTCACCCATGTGGTGCCTTTGACTTACTAACCATTCATTCTCGAACCTGGCTTGGAGATATATATATATATATATAGATAGATAGATAGATAGATATAGTTGATGTGACTGTACTTGGCAAGCCCAGGTAAAAAGGTACGAGTTAAAGAATGTTAAACGTAAGACAGGCTGAGTAGACATAATTTTGAGCTGTGAACGTCGAGAGAAAATAAAAGAGTTATATTTGTGCGGAAAAGTAATGGTGCGATATGAGTGCTTGCAGGAGTTTTTATTTGGCACTGACTCGTATTTGAGAGGTATTAGATCCGAGTTTGTGATCTATGATTACTTAAAAGCATTATTGTAACCCAACTGGCTAGTAAGATTTGAACCCCTAGACAAAAGATGCCAATACATATAATGTTGGCTCTGGCGTCTTAGTTACAAGCAGGTATAACAGCTTTGGCATGTGAAGTTCACATGGAAGAAGCTCATGATACATCATGATGAATTGAAACGGTGGCAAATTGAGCGAGTCATGCGGTCTCAAATTTGCATGCCCAATCATTCTGCATCAGAGAGTAACATGCTCGCCAGGACAAATCTTTCGCATGCCAATTCTGTAACCTCAGCACTTTGAATAACATAAAGTAGTGAGAATGGTCGAGGTCGAGGTGCGTCAAGTGAGTTATGGGCCGGGTCCTTGACCTAAGATATCAGGCGACAACTAACACAACTTCCCCAACAAATTCCCCCCTGCGTTCCCAACGAGAAGATCCTGGTCGGCTACCCTTCGTGCATTCGCCACTCTGATTGGCCAATGCATGTGCACGTCAACGACATCCGAACAAAAATACATGACAATTCAAACAAATTTTTGATAGGTCGCGACATCAGGCCTTCCGGTACCTGGTTGGGTCGCCGATTGGAAAGGGTCCTCTCTTGCACGCAGCTTTGGACCGTCCCGCACTCGCATTTGCATGTGAATCAACAACCATAGACCTGCCTTGTTGAGTGTTTGCACGAGAATCGGGTGGTCAGCCATGACGAGATCAAGGCTGACTGGAAGGACAGAAAGCCATGTATCGCCTGAGTAAACAGCCTATTCACACGGACGGTGAGCTGAGAAGAGCAGAAAACATCCGGCATTTCGTCTTGTCAGGTCGACTCAGGTTCTCTAGGCAAGGGGCTTTCCGATGCTGAAAGCTGGCGGTGTGAAAGGCATGGAGGGGCTCCCACATAAAGTCCCGCGCTAGTTCTTGATCTAGAAGCACGATGAATTTGAAATGCCCAGGATTCTCCACGAAGACGCGACGGAGTGGAAGACGGGGGCGCGAGACGCAATCCAAGCGAGATCGAGCTTGCCGCTGTCAATTCTCAACCGCGGATGCCATATTCAGACTCCAGAAACGAAAACGACAAGGAAAGTTCGGAGCAAAGGACCAATTATGGTCTGTCTGGGAAGAGGGGATTCCGAGAGGTAATAATTCCAAGACCAGTGCTGCTAGCAGGTCACCAGACGAACTCTTTCCATCTGGCAATGCATTAGATCGTGAAGACCACTGAGGGATGTCCAAAGTGACTGGAGAAGTTTGGTTTGCACATGGCAAAAAACAAAAGGGACAGAAGATCGACTGCGAGAGCATTTGTACCTATGCACCTCCGCCGTCGAGCTGAAGTAACTAGTTGCATGGACGGACGGCTGTACCACCCACATTACCCACTGAAATTGTACAACAAAATCGTGCTACACAACCATGTTTGATTGCTCGAAAGAACCCACTTGATGTGGAGGGATTTGCCTGCAACAAAGAGTCGAACTGCCAAATTGTGCGAGGACATTGTAGATCCAAGGACCAGGTCGTGTCTAGGTAGTTTTTAAGTGATTATCTAGCTCCCTCGCTATCTGGCCTCGGCGCGGATAAACCTGACTTAAGCTCGAAACGAACCCCTGGTGGTACGGAAAGAGCAGCCCCCATGTACTAGGTACTGTACCACAGACCAACAACGGGTCTTTTAAAATCTGGCGGGATAAAATCCTCGCGGTCCCACGAAGGAGGACTTTCACTCTTCACTACCATTGAATTGTTTCGACCACCTACTTTCACAATCCCCTGCGTTCGGTGCGAACACTGTATGCTGGCCCTCCTGAATCAATCTTCAATTGCAAGTGAATAACAGTACTGACGTGGTACCCAGTTGTTTCACTAGATCCCTTCCCTGAGGTCGACCTCAACAAAAATACCTCCGACTACATTTCGCATTCCTTTCCTCCCAATTCCTCCTCAGCTCCTGAACAATCGATCCACAGAGAAGTGCTCGAGCACATTACATTCCTCCAGTTCAGGTCAACATTCACCTGAGATTTCGTACACCATGGCGTCCACAGCGGTCCCTCAGCGCACCCTCTTGAAGAGGACGGTCACTTCCACCACCGCGGAGTCTTCACCTTCGACAGCCGCCGCTTCCCCCGTCGATACACCAAGGCAGTCCCCGTCCACCACCTCCTTGTCATCGATGTCCTCTCTTGACGATGTGAAGGACCAAGGGTACGGAGAGCTTGTCGATACCTACGGGAACAAGTTCCAAATTCCTGACTACACAGTCAACGATATCAGAAATGCAATTCCCAAGCACTGTTATGAACGATCAGGAGTCAGAGGCTTGGCCTATGTTGCAAGGGATATTGCAAGTCTGGCAATCACTTTCTACCTCTTCAACCGATTCGTCACCCCCGAGAACATTCCCTCGACTCCCGTTCGGTCTGCTCTTTGGTTCTTGTACACCGTCGTTCAAGGTCTCTTCGGTACCGGATTGTGGGTCCTTTCCCATGAATGCGGCCATCAATCCTTCTCCGAATCCAAGATTCTGAACGACACCACAGGTTGGATCTGCCACTCAGCACTTCTTGTCCCTTACTTTTCGTGGAAGATCTCCCACGGCAAGCACCACAAGGCCACCGGACACATGGAGCGTGATATGGTCTTCGTTCCTAAGACTCGAGAGGTCTATGCTACTCGTATCGGAAAGATGGTCCACGAGTTGGATGAGTTGACCGAGGAAACCCCAATCGCCACTTTGATCCACTCTGTTGCTCAACAATTATTGGGCTGGCCAATGTATCTTTTCTTCAACGTCACCGGCCACAATTACCACGAACGTCAAGCTGAAGGCCGTGGAAAGGGTAAGGTCAATGGATACTTGACTGGTGTCAACCATTTCAACCCAGCAAGCCCACTGTACGAAGCCAAGGATGCCAAATTGATTCTTCTGAGCGACGTGGGTCTTGCCATCGTTATCAGCGTTCTCGTTATGCTCTGCAAGACTTACGGATTCTCCAACATGGCCGTCTGGTATTTTGCTCCCTACCTTTGGGTGAACCACTGGCTCGGTATGTATATTCCTGCATCTTGGTAGACGTCCGCTGATTGAATGTAGTCGCCATCACTTTCCTCCAGCACACTCATCCTACCCTTCCCCACTACACTGCTGGAAGCTGGAACTATGTCCGTGGTGCAGCTGCAACTATCGATCGTGAATTTGGATTTATCGGTCGCCAACTCCTCCACGGCATCATCGAGACCCACGTCCTCCACCACTATGTCAGCACCATTCCCTTCTACCACGCCGACGAAGCCACAGAGGCCATCAAAAAGGTTATGGGCAAGCACTATCGTGCCGATGTCGAGGGTGGCTCTCTCGGTTTCTTGCAGTCTCTCTGGAGCAGCGCCCGTTGGTGCCAATGGGTCGAGCCATCACCAAAGGCTGTTGGTGAGGGCAAGGGAGTCTTGTTCTTCAAGAACCGAAACGGTCTCGGTGTTCCGCCTATGCATCTCAAGGAAGTCAAGCCCAAGGTCGGAAACACGAAGATGGGAATGGTTGTCGGTGCTGATGAGTGAGCAAGGAAGGTTTATTGAAAATATATGACTGGGAAGGATGGGATTCTCTCGTTTGGCATTTGCATTCTTGCTTCAATCAGCGACTGCGCTGAGATGGCGTTCGGGGACTGTGTTTTTCGGCTTCTAGAAGTATTGCGAGACTTTATAAACATCCGAGCAGAGTCGAAGAACTCGCAGATAGAACTGTGATAGAGCGATGCCGCCAAGATACCATTAGAGTACAAGTTATGTAGAACCTCAGCAATCGAAAAAGTTGATACTTATTGAAGACTGCTTGCATGCTCGCGTGCGTGTAAAGGTACGAAGTAGCAGATCTGCTATTCTTGTAGATGGGCTGATGCCGGAAGTTCCGGGAGAGTCGAGAATGCAGTCAACAAAGCACATGCATAGACGCCTAAACACTATGACATGATGTCTGCTAAAGGAGGCAAAGTGACACAGAATTGTTTGAGGGGAAGTGGACAAGCTTTTCGTTTTGAAATGATTGTCATGCGATTCGTAATCTCACTTAAAGCGGGGGCGGGGTCGGTGTAACCCCTCATCGACGGGACGGATGTTATATCCCAGCAAATAATTTCTAGAGAATGTAATCGAGAAGGACATTTTTGCGAATTTGAAGGGGTCCTTTTGTTGAGGAATAAAGAGGTTGTACGTGGATATTCTTTGAGCTATTGAGCCGTTGACTTTTTGCTACGATGGTTCTGGGATCCGTATTGGTAGTAGGGTTTGAACGGGTTCATTGTAATATTGACTTTCTTGCCATCTGAACAATTCGAGATGGGCTAGGATTTAATGTTCATACTCCATTTATGCTTAAACATAGTAGTGCTTGCCGCTGAGAAATGAAGTCTGTTTGAAGTTACAAACCGATTGTCTACATTGAATGGGGTAATGTTGCATTACCTTTTAAGGGTGTAGCGGACATTCTACCCGTTTTAAGTCCTCAAAGTCATTCTAGGCAATAGCAATAACTCATTTTCATTTTTCCAAATAGATCGAGCCGCTAAACTTCGAACGCTAACATTCAATCTCAAATTTGTTCATACGGTGTGGATTGAAGAGTCATGTATTTCAAACTAATAACTACTTCGACTTTCCTAACCCAAATACTATTTCCAACTTCAACCTGTTCACCATCCAATTGAACGCCCCTCAAAACACCCACCCTCGACATTCGGTACTCTCTGATGATATCCCGGTGAACAAGCCACGAGTACTCCCAGTTCCTCTTCTTTCAAACCAATAATCGATATTCTCCAGTTGCAACCGATTCGTCTCGGGGAGGAAGCATTACAGTATCTGCACACAAGAAGCGCAAAAGACAGCAGCAGGTCCTCTAATCTATGCTATCGAGAACTATGAGCGTGGTAAAGATACACTAAAACACTCCAACTCAGCATTCTCACTATCATCAAGTAAATATTTTTCAACACAGCTGCAGAACCATTATCCAAACCCACCTTTTTCCACATGAAAGAGAGGCACAAACCTACCCAATTATTCAAATCCCCTAATGTCTGCACTTTCTTGAGTGACGTTTCGATTTTCCTTCGCTGAAAACCGACTGCTTCATTATCAATCGTTGCAGTTTTGCCGTAGAGACGGGCAAGAACTCATCTTACGTCTATATTTCGTCCTTTTCTGACTAGTTGGCATGGGTAGCTCGGGGAAGGCAAAACACTTGAAGCACGAGACATATGGCAAAGAAAGTTTCGGAGGAGATGGGAGACGCCACTAAAATAGAGTCAGATGCGAACGAGAGACCGATGTTATATCAGTATGCTATGCAAAGCCCAATGATTGTAACTGGGCCTTGCATACTAGATAGTATGTCTCTCTTTCCTGACTCGCACGTCTCGGATTGATACATGGGAATAGCCATTTCCTATTCGCGCGAAATCAATGACTGTCCCTCCCACCAGGGATTAAGCATGTGTTGTCGAGGAGACGAAAAGGATTGTGCTAATAATCATGCCACTTACGCCAGCAATGATCATGTTCTTTCGTCTGAAGCATTCACTGAAGAAGAATGTGAACAATACATCCGATGTCATTGATACATATAATGGGGCCTTGTAGCTTTTCATCTGAATTCTTGAACATTGGTGCGAATTGGCTGATAGCCCCAATCAACCCTGACCTGATACCTTAATCATGAGCCAGAAGCAGAAAACTTTGCCAACTTGCAACTAGTGATCATGTTTTTGCGAAAGTTCTAGCCGTGGAGTTACGAGGCTGTGATAGAGCAATTTAAGGCTCGACCACTAAAGTGTCTTTCGTCATCAAACGATTTCTTCTTATGTGTAAATTGCAATGTAGTGAATCAGAGGATAAATATAACACAATAATACAAAGAAAGCATGGAAGACTATGTAGACGACAACAAAAGATCACAAGTTAGCGGTAAATCTCAAAAAATATAAAACTCGTATTTTCAACGTCTTCTCACCGAACCGATCAAAGACCAATGGAAACATCTCCATCCGACTGCCAGCTTACACGCCACCACTTGTTCTCGCACACCAAACCTGTTTTCCTCTCGTATATTTGAGTTTTGAAGCTAAGCGGGTCAACGAACATAGATCATCATTCGCCACTCAGCAATGATCGTTGTCACCCGACTTTGCTCCATGTGGAGGCTCCTCACTTTCGGCTGGGCTTTGATCGAAGTTGACCATGCATATGAGCTTGAATGTGATAGTATTTTTGTCCGTATGTCTTTACTCCGAGTTAGATTGCCGAATCTTAGCTCGTCTGGACTTCACTGTCGATGTCTGAAAAGTGAATATCTTTTTGGGAAAACATTGAAAGTGAAGGTGAAGAGGATATTGACTCGATGTCCGAGTGTTAGTCCTGACATGAAATGACTACATATACCAAATAGGCAAGATTGGCAATCTTTAGCCGTTCAGTTGTAAATTTCAAACTCTCTGAAAGTTGGAGATCGGGAGAAGACTTCACATACTCACAGTGACCTAGCATGTCATGATGTCTGAACAAAGAAGTATAAAACACGAGTCCAAGTGTCCCGGGCATGAGCCACTCTCAAAATTAAGAGTATTGGATGCCCGGCGAAAAAGTGATCTCAAGGGGTATCTTCATTGTTGACTAGTACCTGGCTATATACAGAACTTTTGTAGATATATGGCTAACAGAAAAATTCAACGCTCGTACTTTGGCAAAGTATCACGACGAGATGATGGACCTGACAGATCAAGATGTGAAAATTGTCCGTCATAACGATCGTCATCGGGGATGTTTGGCGCAGTGGGTTCATGCTGCACTCCACTGCTACCCTCACCAGCATTGTCATCGTCGTCATTTGGAAACTCTGGGGGTGCACTAGCTTCGGCAATCAATCGCTGTCTTTCGAGCTCTTGCTTGTCTTCGGTGGCTTGTGCTCTGTTCGTTGGCCCAAAATCTTCCAGGGCCGGCGCTGAGGGTAGAGTGTCATTTTCGTCAGTACCATTATGATTAATGTGCAAGCCGTCCAAAGTTGCCACAGGAGTGACGTCTTCAGTGCTGTAAAGATCTTCCTCTTCAGTTTCTGGTGCAAACAAAGGTGGTGCTGATGGAGGTATGACTGTCCTCGAGGATGACGGCCCCGGCGTATCGTCTGGAGGTTGACTGGGTAGTAGACGTTGCTCGGCGCGGCGTGCTCTCTCCTTATCAGACAATCCTTCTTCGTGTTGCATTTCAGGAGGAGGAACATCGATCTGATCTAGTGCAGGTGGTGGGTACTGATCTGGGTAATATTCCTCATAATCATACTCGTCGTTTGGATAGTATTCTTGATACTGCGGTCCATACTGCTGATCGTGATAAGGATAATAATTTTGTTGATGTCCATGGTAGGGGTCTTCTTGACCTTGATTGAACTCCTCATAGATAGGTTCGTGTGCTTGCGGAATATGTGCAGAAGCACCTTCCGACCATTCGTCTATCTGCCTCCTGGCACTACTATGTCCTCTTGCACGCTGTCGAGCACTGTCTGTTGTACCTACAACAACAGAAAAGAGACAAGCAACGACGCTCTTCTCTCGTCGAATGTTTTCGGTGTCCACAATGCCGCCACCCCAGGCAGCAAGCATATTCGTGTTCGGGTCTCGGGCAGTAGAAGTGACAGCACCTATTCGGGGTACGTGTCTCTGCTGGCCAGCTAATTTTCCTCCAAGATCGACGACAACCTCGACGTGATATTTGAAGCTGATCATCTGACCTGGGACACCAGAGATTGTGGGGAAAACATCCTCTGGGACTCTCACCGAGGCGTTGACGTTCGCTGTCAATGTGACAGGGTCGACTAATATTGGGGCGAAAGTCTGAGAAAGGTCTTTACGAAACATACTGCTAGAGCCAGCCGATGATAAGGATAACCCTCCAAGCCCAGTTTTGGACTTTGGGTAGTATTCTTCATGCTTCAATTTTTCGACGTCCTTGCCCTTCATGTCAGAAAAGAGCGACAGTGGAGGTGCCGAATCTACCCTTCCGGATCGATAGAAAGTGATAATGATACCATGCATGCTTTTGATCGCTTTTGTGTGTTTTATGGAAATCTTCAATGGGATGTTGTCACCAGGTAGGCAACCTGACTTGAGTAATTCGATTGTAGCGGTGATGGTCTGATCCGCAAGAGATAATTTGCTGCTGTTTCGTGGGCTTTCACGGTTGGACTTTGCAGAAGAAGGTACAGGTCCTAATCTGAAGCTGAGTCCGGTACTGCTGCTAATAGTGCTATCTGCACTGTTGGCGGCACTGACTGTGCTCTGGATTTCACTTGGAACTGGGCTTCGAGGAGTGGCGTGGTGGTCTGTCGATCCACACTGACTGGCAGAATCATCTGGTAATGGGGATCCTGCCATCCGTACTGCCTCACTTCCAGATCCTGCATCGGCATTTTCCTTAGATGGACTCCCCTTGGCTTTTGTCGTTTTCCTCCTCCTCGCTCTCCGTGATATTGGTTCTAGTGATATTGTGCGGGGTTTGGGTGGGGGCAGTGGCCCAATGTCAACTGTCTCAACAAGAGCAAGTTTTTGATCGCAGCTGGCAGTCGCAGTGATTGATGTCGGTCGAGTAATGGTTGCGGTGATCAGGTAAGAAATGGTGCCTCGCTCAAACTGAATTCTCGGTCAGCATCGTTGTGACGGGTAGTGAACGACCTGGGACGCAAAGACTCACATCAATACTTGTTGGAACTCCCTTCGCGGGAAATTCTAGCTCGAAATTGAATTCGTAGACACCGATATCGAGGCGCCCTTCACCACAGAGGGTCGATTCGTCCTGGAAGAGGGAGGCATGGCCGTTCCCAAAGTATTGGGATTTCTTGGGATTGCTCGATGTCAGGGCGGGATCCGGCAGAGGTTCATTCGCACTATTCGGGTTCTTGAAGACTCGTACGAAGCCATGAAGGAAGACTGTCAAATGTGTAATTCGTATAGGTTTGACCACTGTGAGGATAACAGCGCCCTTGACCAGATCTCCCGGTGAGTACTTCCGATGCGGCTCGTCCGGGCGGATGTAGAAGTCGGTCAGATTTCGCGAACGTGCTTTCAAAGGCGACGTCAACCTGGAGAAGAGCGACCGGCTACTTGAGGTGAAGGGCGACAGTGAGGTCGTCGGGGCGGCATTGGCGCACATCTCGAGGTGATTGATTGTTGCCAAGAATCCGTTACTTGAAGGCGGTCATTACCGCTCCGTGAGGGGAGCACCAATTGCGCAAACCTAGAGAGCCGCTTGGCCACTGTACTGTATTGTCGAACCGGGAAGAATGCCAATGCCCAGCACGCAGTTCATTCATTAATAAGAATAGTAGGGTCTGCCGATCGAGAACTCCGTGGTACGCGTTCGAGTTTGGAGACGGGGACAGTCTGGAGGGAGCGCAAAGTCAGAGCGTGGTAACCTTAGCTGAGACACGCTTTACCGGCCAGCAAGACGACGACGGCTAAGATGATGGAGATGCTATGTGCGAATCGTTTGCTGCTAGCTACGGGTTGATAATGAATATCGCTCAGGGAGCATCACTAGCACCCATTCTTCGTCGATTGGGTTGCCACTATAGCATGCGACCGTACCCTAAGGAAGTCAACTTTGGTGGTGTCGTGGCTGAGTTTAACGCCAGCGGATGCAGCACACCGTATCCCCAAACTTATGTACTTCCATGCAGGACCAGAATGGGACAAGCAGTCCAAGACATGAAATGGCGCAAGGGAGACTCGACTTCTACCTGGGGTCTGATGCAAGTTGGCAAGCTCTGTCCAGCCAATGCAGTATGCCGGCACAGTAACCTAATATGTTTGGAGAAAACTATCGCCTAGAACTCGTTAGCAGCAACTTATCTGGGAGCTGGTGACAAATAATACTGGTTGGTTGGCTTGCTAGATCAAAAATCATGACTCGTCTGTTGTTCAGAAGGTGAGAGTTTTGGACGACCATCCTGAGCAAATCTAGCAGGTCTTCAAGCCTTCGATCTCTTACCCTACCATCTTATCAGATCACGTCCTAGAGTGACACGAAGGAGCGATGAAAAAGCTTGAGTGGGATGGTGGCGCCGAGAAATGCGGGAAATGCTTGTCTTTCTCTCGCATCGTGATACCTTGCCGTTTGGTCAATGGTTTCCAAAGCTGGAACAGCAACATGCTTGTTTCACGAACGTATCAATGTCTCATTGGCTGCTCGCAAGCTTCGCCGAGTGGCCTTGTTCACCCGACGATCATTTGGAGTGTTCTGTCGGTCGGATTCCTTTGCCTAGAATGTGTGATGATAGCAATAAATACATCAGCTCAACGCCTCGGTTCGAAGCAAGAGAATAAAAGAAATAATAGGCCAGAACATAGCTGCTGCAAATCCGCACTCAGTGTCTCATGCTCCCAGTCATGCTCAATGTATGTATATGACATGGCTGCAAATCAAAGATCCTTCAAACCCTCTCCGGGGACGTATTCGTCTCCACATGCGCTCTGCATCATTTGGGCTATCAGAGCTCGATCGCCGGCGAGATTGGTCATGAATGACTCGAGGGATTCGATGTTGTCCGTCCATCTTATAGCACTGCTCTTCAATGCCTTCGTCTCCTCGACCTTGCGTAGAACTTCAGCTGGATCATTGTCGCTGTAACGAGCCAATTCCTTGTCCAGGCCATCCATTTCTCTCAAAAGCATCTCGTGAGTCTCAAGGAGGGCCTTCCTGTCCATGCCAGTCCCTTCTAGCATCTCCTCATCGTCCTCGCGCTTCGCCATCTCCTCTTCGATGTATCTTTCCGCGTCTGCAATCGAGGCTTGCAACTTGCTCTCTTCTGCCTTCAAGGTGTTGAGGGCATTCTCTTTCGACTTCTTCGCCTCTGAACTGAAGCACCAGTACCAATTTCCACTACCAATCTTCTCCACGCGGATGAGGTATTCGTCCTGAAGAGCTTGAAGGTTGTCCTTGACTTGCATTTGATTGATAGAGGCGACGGCGGGCAGAAGCTTCTCGAGCTCCTTGAGGGTGAAGACGCTCATGGACTCTTTGAAGTATTCGAGAATCTTTGCCTGCTTCGCAGCTGGAGGGGCATTCTTGGGCGCCTGAATTTTGTCAGCGTGCAAGTCTTGAAATGAATATTTTACGGACCATTTCTGTGCCCGAGAATGTACTTCTTGTTTCACACGCGCGGCTCTTGTTGAGTGTTGATTTTGTGTTGGCGCGTGTCGCTGCGTTGCTCGGAGCGGGAAATGGAAGCTGCGTGAACTCAAGTTCAGTTATGCTCAGACAGACGCACTTTAATCAACGACTGTTTCTCCGGGCTGCCTTTCGTATTCTGATTTAATAAATCATTTCCTAGGGCAAGAACGTCTCCAAAATTTCACATCTTTTCATTCGGGATTCTAAAGCTTTATTACCACCTCCAATCACTTGGTAATTCAGTCACTCATTGGACTCCCTCGAGATCCTAGATGAGTACTACTCTCCTCCCAGTTTGAAATCCAACACAACTACATCACTGACACCATTCTCAGCCTTACTCGTACGTGTGAATATCGACAACATATCAGACATCTCTAATCTTTGCACATCAACCAGAGGTTCCCCATCGAAACCGCTACCCAGCCAAATCTGCGTGAAGTTGACATGTCCAGGCTCTCTTTTGGCTTGCATGATTTCCAAACTCGAGTCTGAGTTTCCAGGGAGGATGGTATAGACGTTATCCTGTCTATCGACACAAATGCTTCCCCTCGCGCCTATTTCTGTAGGCTTCGACGCGCTCTCAAGTACGACTTTTGCCCATTTACCGTTGAGATCACGGTGATATACCATCCACTTCTCTACACCAGAAACTTTTTCTCGATTCAACGCCCAAAACCCACCATCCCAGTCAAGAGCTTGGCCTTCCTGATTCAATATTCCACTATTCATGGGAATGTCGAATACTCTCGCTCCTTTTGCACCTGGTTTAATTGTAACCTCTACACTCTTGTCGTCCGAGCCTCGAAGATCAGCCAGGAGTTGACATTCAGAATTCCTCCAAGTATGACCGACATCGTCTGAGAATGCATAATTGAAATCAGAGTTGTTCTCCGGCCCGTTGGGACCAGCTTGTTGCTTATGTGCATCGGGTATTGCAGAAGCTGGAAATTCGATGAAGTTTCTGTAACACCATGAGATGTGGAGACGAGATAGACGGTAGTCTATGCCATTAACGTATGGGTTGTTCGAGATCCCAGTGAGGTGTTGGCCAAGGTATGTGTACTGATGCGTGCTAGATGAATAACGATACAAAATATCTGACCCTGCACCTGCTCTGAAGATAAAGTTGTCAAGACTTGAACGTATTTGATGCTCAGTGGCAATCAACAGGTAGTCACTTACTGGCCAATCCGATAGGTGAGGAGAAGATCGTTCCCAATATTCACGAATCCTGGGTATGTGACCTCCTTCATCAAATCATCTACCTCAAGTCCAGGTAATGAGTTCTGAGTCTTGCTGAAAATGGAAGTGTCCCATTGATGTTTCGAGGGTTTATGAGCTATTTCCTGATGTGATATCCTGAACTTCAGTCTACCACTTGTCAGTTCAAATGTTTAGAATTCAAGAGAGAGTTCTCACTCATTACAGTGGTGATCAAAAGCTACATGGATCGTCCCGTCTCCTTTGCATACGCCAATAGAAATGGTATTATGCCCGTCATCTACACTCTGCTCGTAGTCATCGAAAGTCATAATTGACCATTCTGACAGTTCATCCTTTTTTGTTCCTAGGACATTTCGTCGCGCAAGATTGACCAAGCACTTTCCATTTTGTTCATCAGGACTCGCCTTGTCTGTGTAAAACGCGGCATATTGCCAGCCATTTGATGTTGTCAGAGCATGCTGTTGGAATGAATTCGCATTGATCCTATGGATTCTTGCTGGATCTCGTCCAAGGATCGATAAAACAGGTGATTCGAGTTTCATGTTGGTTCTTGACTACTCACAGCAGCAGAGTTTTAGCTCAAAAAACATTCGTGGTTCGAAATGTATGACGATCCATAAGCGGCGTTGTCATGAAGACAATCCTATCTCAACATACAAGAATTGCCAATGAAACACTTTGATTCATTTCCCAATTATTCACAAAGTAGCAGGAAGCAGAAGAACGTTATTCAGAAAGGCGCCCGATTTATGCACCTATCCCAACGCCACAGCGCGAACCCCAGGCGCTCGGTACATTGCTGCCCGAAATAATCTAACTGCCGCAAACTCCTCTTCCATCCCCGGACCCCACATGTACCCTCTTTTGGAGCACCAATAACAACACATTAGTAGACCACTACATGCATATCCTACAGATCCTTGAACTTTTCATAGGTTATACTCTTCCATCTTCACGTTGCTATGTTAGGTCTATTGATGCAGGAAGTTTCCGGACATCTAATAAGGTATGAGGAAATATTGTAAACTCGCACTACCGGCAGTCTTCGAGACGGAAAGTCAGGCTCATTCTGGAACCTGTGTTCTGTCCCTTTGATAACTATATTTCTAACACTATGCGGATTTCAAGATAACTTCAATTTGGAGTTTCGGCCGTGGCTAGTGCTTTACTCTCATATGCAAGTAAGGACCTTGGTGAAGAGGTGGTGGCTTGAAAATACAGGGTTTTTTTGCATATGTATGAACACAGTCTACTACATCTTCGCACGCAAAGCTTCTTCTCCAAGACATCTAATTCCTATGACTGAGCAGCGATAAACTCAATTTCCACCTTCGCCCCACCTGGAAGTCCCTTTACAAAGACGCAAGCTCTAGGCGGCTTTGGATCTGGCATAAGCTTCCCAAAGATGGTTAGCACATCCATTCTACACCCTCTGCTTTCTCCTCTTCCCACACGCGCGGCAGGACATGAGCTCACCTTCTTATAAATTTCATTCATGGCCGCATAGTCCGCTTGTTCGGGCATGTAAATGTTCACTTTCAACACTCTCTCCAACCCACTCCCTGCACTTTCCAAGATAGCCTTGAGATTTGACAGAGTCTTCTCTGTTTGAGCCGCTACGTCTTCAGAAACTAATTTGCCTTCGACGTCGGCACCGACTTGCTGTGACGGTCATTGGATATTGTCTTACCGAGGATTAGAGATGATACTTACACCCGCGCAGTATACGACACCGTTATGGATCTTTGCATGATCTACCCATCATTCTCTCAGCAAGAACGATGCCTATGGCATGAGAGTGGGACTTACGAAAAAGCCCTGGAGGAAAAGCACAAGCCTCCGGGCAGAGAATTGCTTTGATTTCGGACATTTTGAAAAATAATCGGTTGGCAGCTCTTCAACGATTTCGAGAAACTCTGATGAGTTCGAAAGTCATACAAAGTTGAAGAATCTTTAAATTACTCCAAACCCCACTCCCACTTTTGGCTTTATGATCACGTGTAGGCGATTGGCTTGGAACTGGTATTTCTAGTTATCATAGGTATCTTCTGATACAGAACCTGTGGCATAGCTTGTTGGGATGTCAGGTGAATTTACATTATCATCAAGTAGAAGTCCTTCAGCTTAGGCGAGTCGGCACGACGATCGTCAACGACCAGCAATAGTTCACCAACCCTGCTCAAGTGTCTGAGCATACCATTGTAAAGCGGTCCCGAAAGATGTTCATTATGACACTACTACAGCACCGATCTCGTTGTTGAGTGCATTTCGTGCATTTCGTGCAACCTCTCTTTGCTCCCCTTCACCTCATTCTCCCATTCACCATACCGCTTTCTGTAGAAGTCTTCTACGCCTTCAATGCCCTTCTCAGCAATATACTCTGCCAATTCCACTGCATCTTGAATGGCAAAATTAGCGCCTTCACCTCCCAGAATTGGCATTGTATGAGCCGAATCGCCCAGAAACACAACACCTATTCTCGAAAACTGAATCAACTCATCTAGAGGAGCCAAACAGCTTCTCATCAACCAATGCAAAATCCGATCCTTCTTGAGTTTCTCCCCATCAAATGCGTCTCTGAATGGCTGCTCTAGCTCTGATAATTGAGTGAGCTCCTCGAAAAAGGACTCAGATATGTCGGAAGACTCTCCTGGAGCACGGCCCGGTCGATGCAAGCTGTCGTTCTCTCGAGTCGGTCTCGAATAGACGTAGCTAATATCCACACTTTCGGAGTCCCCCTGATAATCATTGATCCAAATTTGCAGCAGCACGTCATCCTTCCTCAAGTCGATCGTAGTTCCCCCCTGAAATTTTGACTGATACAGCTCCTTGAAAGTACGTCCATCGATACGTCTTGTCCCTCTGAAGACGACATATGAAAGGACGTCAAGGTTCAATTTCGGCAGGAGCGCTTTCTTGACTCGAGAATGAACTCCAGATGTGTCTATCATGAGCCTCGCATCAACGGTCTTCTCGTCTTTGAATTCAAGGATACACTCATCCCCACTTCTTGAGACATTCTCCAACACATGACTCCACTGAATCTTCAAATCGTCTCGTAAAGCCGCCTCGAGTCTACCGCAATGTGCTCGGAATGGCAGCGAGAAACCTTCACTAACAGAATTGGACCTATCACTGCTGACAAGACCACTTCCGCTATTCAAGCTATCAACAGCTACCTTGCCACGAAATGAACGTTCGTCAGTTCCCAAGACTTTGAGAAGCGCTTGACATGTCCGTGGCTGCAGTGTAATGCCATAATTGTGTTTAGCCGGTGATGGATTCTTCTCAAAGATAATACCCCGTATGCCTCTATTCCTGAGGCAACGAGCCAATGTTAGACCTGCGAGGCCTCCGCCGACGATATGTATAGGAGGAACTAGAGTCATGACGACATCGATCTTGGCTGGATGTTCTGGAGATAAAGTAAGAGTAGCACGATGAGTAGTCCTGTATCTTTACAAAAGCTCCGCGTCATGTATATATGGTCACCTCTCAAAAATGATCCAGTAGCGAGCTTTGTGCAAGTGATGAAAGCGAGCTCATGGAAGAAAAGTCCTCGCTTAGCCACAACACAAGCGGGGTAAGCGAAAAGGGTCAAAAGTCAATAAATCACCAAAAGATCTGTTTGTAAATGTTATAGCCCGAGAAAACATTACAAATAAATAAAAAGTTATACCCACGAGAAGCAAAAGAGTTAGACCCGGTGTCGATTGTCTTAGTCTCTTTGTCGTGTGTCCTCCAGACTCGCGATATTAGCGTGTGTAGACTTCGTTAACTACCTATAGGTAATGGAGCCACAGACACATTCTAATACAACTAGAGCTTTGAAACTGCTTGCAACCAAATTGCAATGGATAGCAAGTCTGATCAATAGTAAGTCTTCTAATCAACATTTTAGTTAGTCATTTTGCTTTCGCGATTGGGTTGACGATATCTAAAGGTAGGTAGCTTCATGAGTGGAGGGCTTCAAGGCCACGGATTTATGTATTTCTACTTTTAGGGTATCCACCTCAAAGGGTGATATCTTAGGATTATATCTATGCAGGCACTGAGCACTGTATCTAATCTAGAGTTCGCTCTTGACTGTCTTGCTTTGATATGCCTCAACCCAATTCTTGACATCTTGTCCGTCACGTTCGATCCAAGCAGCCTTTGCTCTGATAGCGTCGGAGCTCTGGGCAAGAGTCTGATCGAAGCCCTTCGTGCTCTTGTCTGAAAAGAATTTATGGATATCCTCTAAATCAGACAAATGGGTGAACTGTGAAGTACAAATAGAGACCATCGATCCGAGCATAGACAGACCTGCTGGAAGTCGCGTCGACAGCTCGTCCCAGTTCTCCTTCATCCAGTTGTACAAAGCCTTGGTACCGGCAGGGTGAGTCCTCAACCCACCTACAGGCATGTAAATATCTTGTTCCTTGACCTCACCGCCAAATGGAAGAGTGAGAGTCCTCTTGATCAATTCTGGATCTCTGGCTCTACCAAGGGTTCGAAGCGCAGTGTTTCGCTCGTCACTCGTCTTGGCATTGCGGTAGGTGTCAAGGACAACATTGTACTACGATATGTTAACTCTCGTCTATCATCATGTGGAACTTGCCTTACCTCTTTTTCACCACCATATTTCAATGCCATGCCAAAGACACTGCCTCTAATGTTCGCGTTGATAGCTGATTTGTCACCAGCGGCGAATTTAGCGAACATATCTTGGGCGGCTTTGATGATAGTCTTGTCACCACTTGAGCCAGCAGCGCTAAAGAGAAGAGCCTTGTATTGAGATTCGATGTGGCCGTCGCTTTCCTTGAATTCCCATCCTGCCTGATGAGCTTTCTCGCTGACCAAATCACGTAAGAAAGACTCGAGGCCATCCCTAGTCTTTTGGTCCTCGAACATCCAAGCACCTTGAATGTTATTAATTCGAGTAATGATCTCATTCCAGACCACAAACTCTTTCTCACTATCGAAACCCTTCAGCAGGTTCAACAGACCGGAGGTCTTCTGATAGCCGGAAGCTGCAAGCGCTCCAGCGTCAGCAATCATGCCTGCACGATCCTCAATACTCAGCAGGCCATCCTTTGCAGCCTTTCCAAGCTTCTCAAGGCGGTCTGGCGTGTATGAGGTTCGGAAGATACTGGTGTGGTCGGCATTGAGCTTAAAGAAGTCTAAATCCGGTACTTTAAAGTTACCTTCTCGCTCCGAGAGGACAAGAGACTCGTCGATGCCAGATTTAGTACGCAGGCCTAAGTACACAGGGTAAAGTGTCTTATCTTCCTCAGGCTTGACATCCGCTGTACGCAAGAAGCGGTTCTGTTTAACGTGGATGGACTTGTCGGATGAATTCTCCGTTACAGATACAACGGGATAGCCGACATTCTTCGTCCAGATGTCCATGACTTTCTCGACGTCCTTTCCACTTGCCTTGCTTAACGCAGCCCACAGATCGCCTGTCTGCGTATTGCCATAGGCGTGCTTTTTCAGGTACTGTCGGATGCCTTCCATGAAGACATCTTCCCCAAGATATTTGGAAATCATGCGAAGAACACACGATCCCTTCGAATACGAGATAGCATCAAAGATCTGGTTCACTTCATCTGCTCTCTTTACCGGGACCTCGATTGGATGACTACTGCGCAAAGAGTCTAGAGATAGGGCACCTTGGAGAGTATCAATGACGTAGCTCTCCCATACCTTCCACTCAGGGTAGAACTTGTCGCAAGAGTACCAGGACATCCAAGTGGCGAAACCTTCGTTGAGCCAAAGACCGTCCCAGAAATCCATGGTGACAAGGTTGCCAAACCATTGATGGGCAAGCTCATGCTGGACGACCTCAGCCACACGTTCCTTAGTGGAAGCACCAGTGGTTTTCTCATCAAGCAACACGTCGACAACACGGTATGTAATAAGACCCCAGTTCTCCATTGCACCAACAGCGAAATCTGGAATAGCAACCATATCCATCTTGGGTAGAGGAAAGTCGCTGTCGAAAGTCTTCTCGTAAAATGCAAGGGTCCTAGCAGCAAGTTCCAGTGAAAATCGGCCGTGCTCAATGTTTTGGTTTGGTGGAGCATAGACTCTGATGGGAAGTCTGAATTCGTTGGTCTCGATATAGTTGAGCTCTCCCACAATGAATGCCAGGAGATAAGTCGACATGAGGGGTGATTTATTGAATTTCACGGCCTTCTTCGTGCTTCCACTCATCTCTGACTGAATCTCAGATTCTGATGCAACATCCATGTTGCTCAAGCATGTGAGGTGCTTGTCCGCAATCAAGGTGATTGTGAATTCAGCCTTCAGGGATGGCTCATCAAAGCATGGGAAAGCTCGTCGAGCATCAGTAGCCTCCATCTGAGTAGTGGCCAAGATTCCCTCAGTTCCATCCGTGTTCTTGTAGGTTGATCGATAGAAGCCGGCCATCTTATCATTCAACTCTCCATTGAACTTCATCACAAGCTGTGCCTTTTCGCCCTTTGGGACCTTGCTTCCGATCTCGACCTTGGTGGTCTGTGTGGGTTCATCGTATGATACCTTGGGCGATGAGCTATAAACAGTTAGATCCAGGTCGAAGAACATGGTCCAGAGAGCCAGTCGAGGCCAGTGACTGACCTGATTGTGCGAGAGCCAGAGATGATCTTTGTATTATGGATCTTAAGATCCAGAGTATTCAAGGAGATTGACTCAGAGTCCTCAGCAACGTCCAGATCAATAATGACAGTTCCCTCATACGTCAAATTCTTGAAGTCGGGTTCCAAGGTAAGATCGTAGTGCTTGGGAATAACATTCGCAGGTAAGATCTCTCTGCCCTTGGTGACGTCCATGCCCGCCCCAGTAACTTCTCCTTCTCCGTGCATTTTACACATGTTGTTCCTTCGATATGAGCAACTTCGGGTGGCTGTTGTTGTGGAAGGCAGAAGTCGGAGAGAATTCGAAATGTGAGGTCGTTTACAAACAGGTTGGAAACTAATGGTCTGTTGTTAGCTAGCTCGAAGTAGAAGGCGCCCCCAGTGAATGAGTGGAAGGCAGAAGCTCAACTTCGGCTTATTTTGGAAGCTTCAAGCTTAGGTCGGTAAGGGAAGAGGGGACGAAAGCTTGACATACATTTGATTAGCAGAAAAAGTGGCTGAAGAACGGTAAAGAGTGCTACTGAAAGCTCTTCTTTGTGTTGTAGAAGAAATGGCAGACACTGTAGGTCGAATTAAAGCAGTAGAAAGGATCGTAAGATCGATCACAGAAGTAAGCACACGCATTGACAGCGAATGAGGGAGGATGTACACATAAATATTAAAGGAAAATGGGCGTAGTGGGGTCTCAATGCGGGCGGGCTGGCAGCTGATGCTCCTCGAGGACGACTCGAGTTTGCACCAGTGAGATGCTTCTTTGGGACTGGCGCGAGTTAGGCGGTGTAGGGGGTACGGTATCGGTTAAAATACTTCTCGTTTCTCGATTTCAGTTCAAACATCAGCAACATTCAGTCCTTCCAACACTATACGATATTCCTCTACAAAGTGTTGATGTTCTCTGGTTTTCAATCAGACGTTGCAAGAGGAAATATAACCGCAAGTTTGAGGTGACCAAGAATGCTTTCGAGCTCTGATTGGAAGCCATAGGAAGTCGGAACAACTCTTTTCGAAATTATCTGCGAAGCTGTATTGCTAGGCAAAGCGTGCAGAATTCCTGCCACGCGATTTCTTTGCCACGGGTATCATGTAGGCCAAGTTCCACAGATTTCAGCCATGCTGTCAAATATGTTATGTGCTGGAGTCGCTTGACAACCATGTGTGACTGGCAAATGTGTCTATCAAAGATACACTTGTAACACCAGCATTTACTTGTTCTCGTGAACTTCCGTGGTCCCATTTGCAGTATGAACCCCAAGGATATCGTCCTCTATGACACCGAACAAGACCTTCAACCACAGGCTGCAACCTCGACAGCCCACACTAATCTCTCCCTCACTTGCGGCCTCGTCCAAGTCTGCCTCCTTGATCAAGAACCCTTGATCCTCTCCACATCTGCAACTCTTAAACCATATACCTCGTGCTTCATCGACCTCAAGATCATCCAGATCTACAGTCTCAATGCCAGTATACAAGATTTGTTTCGATTTCTCGCTATTGATGGCGGCATTTTGAAGCTTCAGGTCGGTATCGTATTTTGCTCGAGACTTGGGGATTGATAGTGTAGAGAACGCTTCGGTGATTTGGTCAATAGAATATCTCGTTTGGGTTGAGGTCAAGGGGCCGTTCGCAGATTTGTCAGGGTGGTTTTGGAGAAGTGCTCGTCGGTAAGCGTTGCGAAGTGTTTGCGCCGGCAGGTTTGCTTCATCGCGAAAAGCTTCTGGGAGATCAAGAATCTCGTAATAACTTGGCACGAAGGTCATCGATCCATCCGCAGCGAGTTCGTGTCTCCGTGCCTTGGGGTGTTTGGCGGTGATGCTTCGGCGATGAGTGAGCAGAAAATCGAGACCCCAAAAGAAGGTAGACAGACACGTGACAATAGCAAGGAAAAGTTGAACTGTTGAGCAATCTAATCTTAGAGCCTGTAAGATTATCTCTGGAAATCTTCAAAGGTTCATTGACAATTATGTCGACTTCATGGGGTTGAAAAAGGTTTGCATTGTTATCAATGAAAGTGAACGCTTCCAATCAGGTCACCTCATCCCGTCTCAGCTCCCCGACCCAAGAAAACCATCGGATGATTTGCATATATTGAGAAATCGAGTATCAATGCAAGAAGAATTGAGCTCAATCTACGATCGTCTACTCTGGTCTCTGTTCATAGGCAACCATGCTTCCTGAAAGCAATAGTCATAGTAGAAAACTTTCTAACACAAAATCGTGTGCTATCCTCCTCTCAACTCCATCTTATCCAAAGTCAGAGGCCCAAAATCACCAATTCAACCCTATCCTCTTTCTCAACGCCTTTCTCGCCATATTCGCTGGTACTGGTGGTGACCCGAGTTCCTGCAATATCTGCAGAACCTGCGGCATAGTCAACGCCTTCAACTCTGGGATATTCGCCGGGAAATTAGGTATCGGCTGGCCGGTGTTTCTATTGACGAGAGGATCGAGTCTCGCCCTAGTCTGGGAGCGCGCGATGGTAATGTTGAACTTGCGTGCTTCAGAGTTGTTGTCAGAGGAACTCAGCATGCCTAATATTAGATCGAGATTGTTGTTCATTTCAAGGAGCAAATCGTTTGCTTGTGTAAGATTATAAAGAGCCATTTCACCAATAGCAGAGTCGTGGCCGTCATTGATCTGAACGAAAAGTAAGATTTCATTCTAGCCAGTGATCTGGATGACTTACAGCGAGATGTTGTAGAGCGCTCTCTCCAACGTCACTGGTTTGTTGGGTATTGCCTGATGCTTTAGACGCATCCGTAGCATCAGCCATTTTGATATTGGATTTATTCGTGGTTTTGGTGTATGATTTGCGATGAATCACCGCTGGGCAAGGGCTGATGGTGATCCCCAGCTTGTACGACAATTGGACTTGGACAAACGCATGTACTGTTCGAGAAGTGGTTTTCACAAAGGTCGACCCGAGCCGAGGCAACACATAACGTGCCACCGAAAGCAATAAAATCCTTACAATTATTTATCTTTTCGAGTCTCCAACGGCGCGCTACTTTTCAGGGTTGGCCTAATTATGTTGGCGTTTTGAGGCTTCTTTAGCAGAGAAGAACAATAAGCTTCAACCTCAACTTATGGCTACGCTTCTCGGACCAGTAGACAGGACATATATGCAAGTTGTAGCAATTTTCGATCATTTTGAAAATTCCATCTTCGTTCAATTGCGCATATTTGTCCAGTCGCAGTACACAGTGGAATAATTACTTTGTGCTCTTTTGCGATTTTCTCGCAATGCAGTTCTCATGCCAAGCACATAGTAAATGTTGGACACTTTAGGTACTTGTTGTTTACTGTTGCTCGGTTCATGTATTGATTGCAAGAAATTGAAAACCACACAAGATGAACTAAACCCTCTAAAGAGCATCAAGAGCCGACTACCACAGGGAGTATGGCTTGCCTATCTTTACCAAAGGTCTTTTGGCTTCCTGATTGAACAGTGTGCCAAAAGTACCTATGGTACACGAAACCAACGTTTCTGATATCAGATTCCGTGGAGAGCCACTTACGGAGAAAGACTTACCCAAGTTCACCGAAGTGCAAGTTAGCTTCACCTTGAATCAGGTAGTTCAGCGTCAAAGTTGGGTATCAAGTCAAGGCATATAAAGAGAGCCAAAATGATTAAAAACGAAGTCTAATACCACTGGCTATTTCGTAAGCAATTTTCCGGATCTCGTCAGCATTGGAGCTCGGTAAAGAAAAGGGGCTAAACATCGACAAAGAAGAGGCTCCATCAATCAAGATTGATCACCAAAACCATTCCGACTCCCGAAATTCATCTCATGGAATTTGTCACCTTCCCGAGAGACCTCCCTCTTTCGAGATCACTCTTCCTCGTGATCTCCTTTCAGTCTACCGTCTCCAATTTTTAGCGAACGTTGCTGACGCCTCAGTACGCCTCCTTGGATTTCCATGTGTCATAGCCTGTCTTATAAGCCTTTCTGATCAGCACCTCGTCCAATGTCCTAATCTTGTTATATAATAGCAATTCTCTTTCCTTTCTCATTGGTATGAACATGATCTCCGCACATTAGTGGTAAAGACAAAACCAGACTGCAGGTTCGACAGGCGGCACTCGTCACTACCCCGGACTCTACATATTCTGTCATAAGGAGCCGCCTTTACCATGCTAAGCAAAGTCGAAACTTTCGTAAGCTTTGCGTGCTCTGCTTTGTACTACGTAGATCCGGAGATGCTATTTCCTGGTGTCATAGTTCAAATCGTGCAATCCTCCATTCATGTCCTCAAAAATTCCTTATCTTGTCTTCCCTCGGAGAAGAACATCATGTCTTTACGTTTCCTATCTTTACAACAGTGTTTTCTCTCATCTGAGCCTACGGGTTGTTAGAGAGATAAGAAATCCTCGAATCAATGTCCTCAGTTGCTTTTGATTTTGATGTAGATCGTTACATCAACCCCTTCGTTCCTCGCTCGAGGCTCTACCTCCTCCCGAAACCGATATCATGGTTTCTTGGCTACAGATCCAAACACGCGCCATCTCTAGGGAGTGTCCTAGTTTGGTGGTGGGCTTTCATAGGAGCTTTCTGTAGTATCCTTGTCATTGAAGCTGTATTCCAGACCACGACATTCAAGATGGAAAAATCCCCTGTTGTAATTGCTAGCTTGGTAATCAATGTTAAATCTCAGCATATCCTTTGCCTAACTTGAAGCCCAGGGAGCAGCCGCAATCCTAGAGTTCAACACCATCGAATCTCCTCTTGCTCAACCCCGCAATTGCTTTTTGGGGCAGATTCTTGCTGCTGTGATTGGTGTCAGCATCACCAAGTTATTCCAGCTCAATTCAAACTTCGAGAATCTGCGATGGGTCGCTGGGGCCCTTTCTGTTGGTATAACATCTGCTGCCATGGGTTTCACGAACACAATCCATCCTCCTGCCGGCGCAACCGCGTTGTTGGCTGCTACATCAGACGACATCACGAATTTGGGATGGTTCTTGGTTCCATTGATCATTCTTGGAAGCAGTTTGATGTTGGCTGTTGCCTGTATAATCAACAATATCCAGAGACAATTCCCAATGTATTGGTGGACGTCAGCAGATTTGAGTGCACCGAAGCAAAGCGATTATGAGAATCAGAAGGAGGAGAGCAAAGAAGATGTGATGTGTGGAAGTTCGAGCTGGAATGATTATGTAAGAAGCGAGAGCGCGAAGATTGTGGTTGATGATGAGAGGATTGTCATGCCGAGTTGGATATCTCTGGATGACGAGGAGAGGTCCATGCTGGAGGTCTTGCGCTCAAAGTTGCAGGAGGGACTGAGAGGAACTAAGTCGAGAGATATACTTAATGAAGCCCGCTAAATATATCCTCCCTTTATTCTTAGGGGGAAATGAGATAGGGGCTTATAAAATGAGTGCTCTTATCCTTCGAAAGGATGATTTGTCTGGTACCAAAGGACGCCTCGCTTAGCGTTAATTTTCCCCTTTTCTCACTCATTCAAGTATAGGAAGCACTTGACGAAACAAGGTTCTCATCTTTAGGGCTAACAAGATAATGTATGAATGGAAGACATCTTCGATACAAATACTCAATGATGCATAGAAGATACTGTGTTCCTACGCGTTGCCTTGCCCCGTCTTCCAGCACAACCCATCTCTCACCTGTCCTACAGGACCAAAAACACAAATCCAATAATTCCAATCATAGCACCGAAGCACGCCTTCGCATTAGATGCGGCGCCTGAAGCTTGCAAGTAGGTTGGCGCACTCGTAGCAATGCCATCAGCGGTCGAAGTCACTGTCGCCGTCGTCAAATTGAATAGGTTGACCCGAGCCGTCATCTCAGGCACTAATGTTCCCTGTGTAGTGGTAGACACGATATCCCCGAATCCAATAGCGACAGCAGATGGTGGGCCTGGAGCAAGAGCGATCTGAATTGTCGAAGTTGGAAGTTCTGGTGCAGCCGAGATGCTTGCGCTTGCTGGCGGAGCAGTTGCTACCGGAACAGAGCTTACATCGTACGATGTTGGGAGAGTGAATGAAAGGCGAGCTGCGCAGACTCCGGGAGACTCGGTCTAGATTCTGTCAGAACGAGACTGAGAAGAGTGTTGAGAAATTTACATCGTGGCAGCAATATCCTGCAACTGGAGCGCAAAAATCGCCCTTTCCACAATATCCGTCATCCAAAGGACAGCAACTCTAACGAACAAAAATATCAGCAAAGATGAGTTGAGGGTTGGGTTGAAGACCTACTTCTCCCACAGTTGGATTGTAGCAATAATGGCTATCAACTGCACCGCAAGTTATGGATCCACCACCGTAGGTCTGCTCGCAGGTAAGAAATCCTCGCTTGATTTTCGATTGATGGAGTGATCGATGAGCAGTTGACTCCGCCATTGCAAGAGTGGCAAAAGTGGCTGTGAAGCCGATGGTAAAGAATGATTTCATACTGATGTATAAAGATGACTGAAAGTAGAGATGAAAGAATGTAAGAAGGTGATTCCTGGAAGGATGTGGTAGTGACTGCTTGCATAGCTAAGGAATGGAAGAACACTGGTTCTTATACTGATCGTCACTACGAAAAGGGTTCTCGATGCAACATTGACCTTCAACACATGCAATACTCCTACAGAGGGTTGTGAGGAATGTGTCGATATCTCCAGATATATTCCAGATCAAGAAAGGGAGGTGGGGGTTCTGGTCCGAGACCAAGCTATCATAATGAGTTCTGAGATCTCATATTAGCCAACGTTTCAGCCATGGAAAATTCTGTGAACTGTAAGGAAAATTTCTTGAAGAAGGGATATCGACAATGTCTCATCTTCAGTGTTTCCCCCTTCACTATGCAATCGCCTCACGAACAAGCATAGTCTGCATAGCATTCCGTTTCCCCAGATTCATAAACAATTATCCTTGTCAATCGCTTGCACTTCAATGTTCCCTTCACCGAACTCCCAGTCGCACTCCCAACCACCGTTCCTGCTTTAGCTGTATACGCATCATCTCCGATTACGACCGTTAGATTGAATGGTGATCCAGGTAGCGTCATGACCGTACTGTCTTCGTAATCGATTGACTCGGTAGGATTGAGGACTGAAATGAGTTTCGGTTTCGAGGCTGGGAAGGACTTCGGAGCAGAGATGTGATAATCGATCTCCGCATCCTGAGTAGAGATGTTGGTGCTGAGGAAACAGTTCGAGAGGTAATAGATTGGCTTCGACTCTTTCCTTGATATGATAGGTATTGCGAGACAAAGTGAAATGAGGCTGGAGACAGCGGAGAGACGGAAAGGAACTGCTGGAATCATGGTTGTATATACTTGATGAAGTGGAAAGTTTGAGTGACTAAAATATAGACATAACTATTCGAAAAACGCCGCAACGAAGGGAAGTTATAGCTCTGCCACTGGTAAGCCATCATATATTCCAAGCTGTTTAATCAGCATAGCGCAAAGCCACATCATGTATGGTCTCACTCATTTGAGATCCATTTGTCGATCACCAAGCTCCTACACTTGCACCACCAGCAAGCTATTTCATGCTTTGTCAATCGATCCGAGTTTCGGATTGCAAGATTCAAATTCTTAAGATCCAAATCAAGGACTAACAAGCTCTCAGCTTCAGCTTCAAGGCAACTGTTCTGTTCCATTTAGAAATTGGCACTTGAACAGATTTGACCAAACTAATCGATCATAAGTATACGATATCATAATAAAATTTACCACTGATTTCCAAGATCTCCCTCGGAGGAGCGGCTCCGATCTTCCACCTATTTAACCACACTTACCCGCCAACCGCTCCGCTACCACATCCTTACTTTTTCAACAGCGGGCGCTAAGATCTCGGAAGCGTATCCCCATTTACAGACGCTATGATAGCGTACCATATAACCAGAAAAAAGTCCCTCAAAACAGACTCGCGAGATATAAATATCTCGTCCCGCTTCACCACTCGCAACACCATCAAAGCCCAACCCAACAACTTTGCCGGTAGGCCTAAACTTTCATCCATCTAGACCCGTTTACTCTCTTGGTATTCAGCCTGAAGTTCAGCCAAGTCCGTACTGCACTGTAGGACCTATAGTGACCTCGTCTTATGATTGCGGCTCGGGTAACTCGACGACTTTGGGGGCTATTGTGCTTGACCCATTTATGATGACTTGATAACGTGCAATGAAGATAATTCTCCACACTGTATCTCCTCGGAGAATAAGCGTGTATCGCTAGGCAGAAAACGGATCACGGCCCAAATCTCCATAGCCATCTCGGCAATCTAGTACGACGTGCAACAGGAAGGACTCTGGCGTGCTCTTTCAGACTATCACTCGTGGAAAATCAGTGCTCGAAGACCAAGAAAGTTCACACCTGATATCCGGCAACTAGTGCCGGGAGTGAAGTGGCCGGGGAGACAATGGGGAGGACCTTAGCGATGTGCAACAAAAGCCAAACAACCGTACTGTTACTGCTATCTAAGCATGTATGACAGCGGGTCGGATGATGGCGCCTATGGCGGTTACAATAGAAGGATACCTTGAACCCTAAGCTATGGCAGCGATCTTATGAATGCTGCCGACGTGCAACAAAGGTATAAAAAGATACAAAGAATATTGCCAGAGATGTTCTAGATGACTTCTAGAAATAGATCGTTGAATGTCCTGTTCTAGTTTGGACTATATAGCCTGGTTCGTCACTGACCTGGATGGGTTTTGAATGTGACATGAGATTGAGACCTCTTCTATGGTAGACAAGACATCTATCTTTTCCTACTCTCTATCTTCCAGAAAGCTCATTAAGATGCACCAACGCCATCGCCATGCCGAACATTGAAATCATCCCACTTCATCATGCATCTCCAAATCTCAATATAAAGCACAACCATTTTGTGCTCTAGCAAATGCTCCAGAGAAGAACTCCTGCATCGCCAAATAATGGAATAAGATGCCACCAAGCACAGCAAAATGCCAAAGATTATGACTGCCACCAATATAGTCAAAGGCACCTGGGCACCATCTTTCTGGCACTTGACTGGCATACACACATGCTCCAATGAGGTAAACAGTGATGCTCTTCGCAATTGGTGCATAGAACTCCCAGGCCCATGCGCTACCTCGAGTGAGGTTAAGCTGCAGGACTGGAGCGAATCCTGTAGCACCAAGGGTCACATAAAATGCTACTCTTGCCCATGCCATGTCAATCCTATTGAAAGTAGGATGCCATGGCAGGATCACGCCTCCCACTCCAAGAGTAGCGGTTGCGCTCATATAGATCCATCGACTGATAGGTTCGCAGTAAAAAGCTGTATATTCCGTAGTCATGATCGAAGCCGCGATGAGCAGGGAGATACCAGTATAATCAACGCAGGCGAAGCGTTCCATGAGAGTCTGGTCAGCCACACTATTCATCGTATGCCACATGGTGCTGCAGACAAGGCACTTGCAGGCCGCAAAGAAGAACACGCCTGCGATGAAAACATCGACCTTCGTGCTCAGCGAAAAGTTGACACTGGTGGGATAGAAATAAAATGCGATGGCCAGGACGATCATAAGACCAATAGCATGGGACCAGATATTGACCAGCTCATTCGAGATGCCGAACATGGATCGTATACAGTCGACTTTGGACTCCTTGAAGCGATACCCCTTCACGATGTGAGGGTTGACTCTCCATGGAATAGGTAGATCCTCATATCTGATGAGGCCGTGTTCTCGAGCTCTGGCAATAGCACGTTGGACATGCTCCTCCATAGATTCGGCAGCTTTCTTCGCACGCTCAATACCTTCATCGACCACCTCCCTAGCTCTCTCGAACCCCTCATCAACAACTCTTCGTCCTTCACCCATAAGTGTCTCTGCCGCACCAGCAAAGCCTTGTTCCCTCATCTTGTACGCCCTCGTTTCGAAGTCCGATAATATTGTTTCGAGGAGACCAATACCAGTGTGTATCTTCTCATTCAGCGTCTCCTTCGCAGCCAGCGCATCTTGATATCTTGACTCAACAGTCTCGACCATAACCCTAGCCCTCCTCCTCCCAGCACCTATAACCTCACCCGAGACCTGCGAGCAATGTGCTCGCACAGCTTGTAATGTAGCATACGCCCTCGAGATCCCAGCATCGAAATTGAGATTGCCATAATTTTCGAGAAAGTCTAACCTCCTCTCCAACTCAGAGAGGAAGATATCCACCTATACTCTAATCAATGACTGAATCCATGAATCAAAAACAGACGTAACATACCCTAAGTAACAACCTATCGTCCTCCATCCCGCCGTCACTCTTCCGTCTAGGATGGAAATTTGAATGCCTCCTCCTATAAACCGGCTTATTCTCCTCTTCCGACTTGCCAGTACTAGTCGCCGTATCCGAATCCTCATAAGACTCCACCGTCAACGAAGGTCCCGCGCAAACAACCATCGTGAAATCTCTCCTCGGTCTCAACAGTTGAAAAAGGAGGGGTCGATTTCCGTGCGTGTACGATGTGAATTCGGGGGCGAGAGTGTCCGGTTACACGTGCATCATTCTCTTGAGAAGAGGTCGCAGGATAAAGACTGTCATTCAATTCGGCCCATAGGACGCTGCACGAGAGGAAGAAGGAGTGTCAATTCGCTCAATGTTTTGATTTAGTGTCCCGGTACGGGGGGCGAAAGTCAGCTCCACAATTGTTGAGGTCGGTAATCGGAAGAAGAGCAGAGACAACGCATGCGCCAATTTCTTTTTCTTATTGGGGCTTATGATTCAATATTCAGTATCAAGTTGAGGAATGAAAGATATAAAGCAAATCAGAAAGTATGCAATAGGTAAAGAAATGCTTTCAGCTCATCTGAGGTATTTTGCGACCGGCGTCCTCTAAGCCTGTACCGCGTCGTCATCCGATGCTAAAATCTGATAGGAGGCGGAACCAAGACCCTTTTGCTGCAGGATCCTCGGTAGCCTGTCAAAGGGCTGCATATCAGTGTGCAAGGTTCGGATCAGGTACTCAAATAATGAGCGATACCGGTTTTTGAATCGCAGCATTCACTTCTTTCACAAGATTTGAGCCTCATGATTTGTCAACATTTTGATTCTCTTATTATAGACCTCCTTGACGCCGAATTCTGGTGGAAGACTTCGTCAAGAGCCTCTGTATTAAGTATACGTAGCTTATAACCCCCGCCCAACGCCTTCAAGTATGCACATAAAACGAGCTGCTATTAACAACCATACCAGTCTTTCTTTATGCCTTCTCTCTCCTCTCCCACTCGATAACTGCAGGCGATGTTGGCCTCGTGAACAAGCTGGTGTAATCTGTAGGAACGACGTCCTTGCTGCCATCGAGATTCTTGAACTTGAAGAGGCGAACCAGAGTAGCGGTAATCGTTATCAGTTGCACATTGGCAAATTGTTCTCCAATGCACCTGTGTCTCCCAGCGCCGAATGGGAGATAGGCACTGGACGCACCCTTGCTGATGAGACCGTATCCGTAATCGAATTTCTCTTCTTCGACATCAGTTCCAAGCACTCCACCAGAGCCAGCATCCCAACGGTGAGGGTCCCAGAGCATAGGGTTCGGGAAATAGGTTGCATCTCGACTGGTGCAACCTGGCGAAGCCATAAGGACGTGAGAAGTTGGGATAACATATTTGGTACCTGAGACTGGCATGGGAGTCTTGACTTTTCGCATTATCGAGTGGATAGGTGTGTGAAGTCTGAGAACTTCCTTTAGGACATTTTGATGCAAAGTGAGCTTGGACAGATCTTCATAGGTGAGAGGGCGAAGCTCGGGGCCAAGTACTTCCAGCTGTTCTTTGTACATTTCTTCTTGGATATCAGGTCTGGTAGCAAGTCGAAGAATGATCCAGGCGCTGGAGGAGGAGGAAGAGTGTTGTCCAGCCATAAGCAGAGCAATCATCATATGCGCAACTTCCAGATCTGGTACGGGCGTTCCATTCTTGTATGTGGCTCCCATCAGCTGTGACATGATATCCAATTTCTGGTGCTTTTCGGGGTTTCGTCGTCGGTTCTCCATAATTTCAACGTAGGTTTTCGCAACAGTTCGCTGGGCATGGTCGCGTGCACGATTGTGAGGAAGAGGGGCCCAGTGAAGCATGAAATTTATAGGGCTGAAACCCATATCGAGATCGTGGTAGAGCGCAGCAAAAGTCGAATCGAATCGGTCGCGGACATCCTTTCCCTGAAGAGCGTGCGAGGCGGTGTAGATTGTAATCTCAGCCATCTGCGCCGGCAGATCAACAGTACCTTTCTCGCCCTTGAATTCCGGAGAGCGCTTGACGAAATTCTCGACCTCTCCCGTGATAATTGGAACGTACGTCTTAAAGGCTTCGGTGCTAAGACCAATTTTCATGAACTGATTCGTGTTGTTAGCTAACTTGACCTCAACCCATCTGCCAAAAGGCGGCAATGCTCACCTTTTTCTGCTCCATCAACTTCGAGTTGGGGCAATCGTAAACTACATCTTTGCCAAAGACTGGTGTTGTAAGAACGGTGTAGATCTCCTCGGCGTTGACATCCTTCAACTTCCCATTGAGAATAAAATCGTTGCCCGCTCTGCCAAGGTATACTGTAGACTTCTTTCCAAGCAAGATGAACGTGAAACAATCGCCATACTACCCATTCTTAGCTTGGCAGAATGTCATGCGACGTTGGGACAGCATACCTTTGCTCTATTCTCGAAGAAGAATTTGTACGGGTCCATACCATACGTAATGGTGCTACCAATGATAGGAAACAAATGAAACACCACAGGCGGTTCATTAGGATTCTTCAGAAGTAATTGACTCAATACGTTGAGCACAACTGTCACAACCAGAAACGCACCGATTGCGCCAGCGACCACCACACCAGTTCCGCGCTGCGCAATCTGCTCGGCCAACGGGCCTGATATCTGCTCAAGAATACCCATTTTCCACCACAAGGAAACAATAGGCGTTGAAAGAGGAAAGAAGGAAGAGGTGAGGAGTAGTCGTTGTTGGGGTTTAGAATCAAGGAGCGAGTCTTCCTAAATGTTTTTCTGAGAGTTGAAAGTAGTCCCGCAATTTCGGCTGTCTGATTGGCCACCTAGTGATGTGCCTGGCGATCCATGACAGACACTGCTGCAGACCTGCGGTATTCCGCCTCCCCGGCCAGTTTCTGACCGAGAAAAGAAGAGTCGTACAAGCAATGGAAACCGCATTCCAATTTTCGATTGGTTTGACTGCGTGGAATATCTGAACGAAGTCGTGAGAACCCACTGTTTCGTGTTCGTATTTGAGGCCTGATAAGCTGATTGTCTCAAATGCCATGGGTCATTTTCAAGAATCTGGAGACGGCTCAGGGGTAAGAACTCTATCATTCGATGCAGTGAGATTCGAACCCGAAAACGAGATAGCCGTGCTTTTTGTCATCCAAGATGCAGAAGTTGTCAGGTGATGAAATAGGGGCATATGGTCATTGTCAGCTTGGATTGAAATTGGTTTACTCAGTGACAATGATACGACCCTTTGCAGCTACTCTTCTGGGCTGACACCTCTTATGAGCCTTTAGGTGCTGGAAAGTCGGACCATTGGTAGAGATTAGATCAAATTTTCTCTGGCTATCAGCTAAACTTGACTTGGATTACATTGAAAACCTGTACGTATCTGTTCAACAAATGCATTTCACATATCTCTGATATAAGCAGAGAATGAGTTTCACAGTCGAATAAGTCTCATTGATCAGCGGATGATGTGAATATTCCTAATTCGTGACAAGAATCCGCTCTTCATATACGGCGGAAGCAACGTCTTCTTCATTATACACATGTTGTTATCAATATGCATGTTTTATGTTCGCCCGAACTCCTTGACTCAATCCCAGATGCTCGAACCAGCCAGAGCATTACTCCACGAACTGTAAGTCCTCCTTACGGTCTGGAGCAAACTTATCTTTCCACGTCTCCCATATCCTCTCTAGTTCTTGGATATATTCCTCATGTACCCTATCGATCTCGTCCTGTTCCGGCTTCGAGGACTGCATAACCCGAATTGGCTTACCAACAACGATATTCAGGGGTCGTCGGTAAGGCATAAGTCCAACATCATAGTTGAAAATGCCTCGTGCATGGAATAGTGGAATGGTGAACCCAAGGATCTTCTTGACCAGTAGTTGAAATTTATGGATGTTGGGGTGCTCGTCCAATTGAACTTGCTCGTAGAGGTCATTCTCGCCAAACGCTAGGACAGGCACAAGATCTGCTCCAGTTCGAATAGCCATCTTGACGAATCCCTTACGGCGTTTAAGGACCAATCGTAAGGAGTATGGTTGAGCATCCAGAGATTCTCTCGCTCCGCCGACTACAATTGTGATGCCTCTACCCATTCCCTCCTACATGATATGTTAGCAAGATTCGAAGAGAACTGTTCGAAGACGTACATTGTTAGGTCCCCCTTTCGAAAGGAGATTTTCACAAGACTCTTTCGAGACCGAGGCTATACCCATAGCTAGCGCATAGTCGCGATAGATGGGAATTCTGAAGTTCGAATCCAGAGTAAGAAGTGTATTCTTGATACCGGGAAACAACTGCGAGAAGCCCAAAGCTTCAGTAGAAAAAGCGGCAAAAGCACCCATAGAGATGATCCCATGCGGGTGATAGCCAAAGATATATTTCCTGGTCGGAGGAAGCTCTTGAGTTCGGTGTAGTCTTGCTGGGAAGTAAGATGCGAATAATGACCATACTGGTAAGAAGCGCATAAACTCGGATCGATGACTTAAGGTGCCAGAAGTAGAAGCTTTCGAAGTCATACAATAAATCATATACGGTATCAATAGCGGCCAGAAAAGGGGTATGGCGCAGAGAAAGAAGAAGAGCGATACACAACCGACAATGCAGAGTGTGTGGAAGAGAACAACCAGAGTCTGCAGTCTTCTGTGTAAAGGCACATTCATAGGAGCGAAACGTATAGCACTCCGCTCCCACCGTTGTCCGGCTTTCTTCCCACTGGCAAGAGCTTCCTCTTTCTTGGGCTTTTCCTGGTTATGAGCAGTTTTGAGTTGTTGCTTGTAATTCCCAGCGGGCTTCACACTTATGAGCTTGCTGCCATTTTGTTCGCCCTCAACTTTCTCGAAGACTGGAGCATCTTTCTCCTTTGTGTCGACTTTGCTATTTCCATTCACCTTAACGTCCGTGTCCTTAGGAGTATTGCTGTCTTGAGACCCGTGGCTACTTCTCGAGGGAGCCTTCCGGTGCTTGACTCGTCCAGGACTTCGTGGCGTATCATCGAGGCCCTTTGAACATTCAGCCACAGTTGCACATGGCAGGCAATAGAGCGACCTACTGTTGCAGAATACTCCTGCTTTGACTCCTGCCTCTCCACTTGAGGCCTCTCTGTTTGGTTCTCTTTTGTATCCGGAGCGCCGGTATCCACGATTCTCAAGACCGAAGCCTTGTGCTTGCCTTCATCTTTGGTGCCATTAACATCTGTCGACTTATTGGTACTAATCATTCCGTTAACACCTCCAGTTCCATTTGTGCCATTCGTGAGGGGTGGTGATTCCTCCACGGCGTCTGCATATGATTTTGGAGCGAGGTTCTGCTGCTGACGCGCTTCTGGGTTCGCAGGCTCGGCGTTGAGTGGGGCGCTCATGGTTGTAGCCATTGGAGAACGGCCAATTTGGCAGGTTGGACAGAATCGCACGAGTTTGCGATAACCAAAACAGGGAGGCTCGTGGCAGCGAAAAGGGTTGGGGGATGGTCAAAGGAGGCTGGTCCACAAGGAAGCTTCGAATTCGAGATGCTGGCCGCACGTCATACTTCCACTTAGCTTTAGCGACCAAGATTCTCTGAAACCCTTGCATGGTGCAGGCATGTGATCCCATCCTAGGGTATAACATTCAAGAAGATATTATTTACAGTATATAATCATTTCAAAACGTCTTATCCCGCCTGAGATCCTGGGACAATCAGAGAGCAGGGAAACTGAGGGTGTAAAGTGCTCGAGTTAACCCATTTTCCCTTGGATCCTGCTCATCCTCTACACTCATTGAATCTGTTGGGCGCGGATTACCTTCACATGTTACTTACTTCACTCATTTATTGTTTCGTGTTGAGATGCACAATGACGATGCAAGTCTGGAACAGTCTATTGGTTTATGGCCTTCTGGAAGATGCTTTGGAACGTAGGTGTGGAAAGCTCAGACGATTAGGCATGTGAAAATTGTTTGTGAGAATTGTATGTTTCGACGCCATGCTGTTGCGGTAGTCCCGCACAGGTAGTACAAAGATCACATAGTCTTGGAAATGGGAGACGCAGTTGATGCAATGGTTGTAAAAACAAATCATATTAAGAATTGTCTGGCGATATTGGCAGCGAATAGTCGTGAAAGCTTTCCTAGCAGCAGAGCAAGAGCAAATTATGCTCGGAGTATGTGATGGATGATAAGGATGTATAATACAAGCTCCGAACCGAGAACCCGTTCTCTCCCAAGACGAAATTTTACTGCCCGTTGTACAAATGAAAACAGAGCCCTGATAACGTCAAACATTAGAGAAAAATGAACTAGTGCTCTATGAATGGCAAGTACTTTTGAGACTGCTCAAATTCCAAATCCTCCACAAACGCCTCCTCCGCCATTCAACCATTGAACTTTGATAACGAGTCTGATGTCTATAATTACATCAATTTTCGCTGCCCTACGCCATGCAGAAACGACTGTACGCCAGATATGACTGAACATAGGACACTACCGTATGCTTGTATCCTATGCGTAATAGTGTTATGACTGAACCTGATTTGGAGGGTGCTGAGACTGGTTTTGCGCATTCAGCTGGTTCCTCAAAGAGAAGACCTGTTCAGAGAGGTGGTTTATCTTGTCTTCTTGACTCTTCTCCTTGCTTTCCATAACTTGAACTTTTTCAGACAGCTGTTTCACTTTGTCTTCTAGACTCTGGACATAAGCCCAGACACCTCGATCACCAGCAGCGAAAAGATTGTTACTGCTGTCACCACTGCCACTGCCTTGATGATGAGGAGGGCCACTAGGGTGGCCTCGTGTTGGAGTTAATCCTCCTTGTGGTTGAAACATGGTATTTGGTGACGTCGGGCCAGGACCTGGCTGTCCTTGCTGAGCCCCCTGGGAGCCGTTGGCAGAACTTTGTTGAGTGGGAGTCTGGCTGGGCAAGGTATATCTTTGATCGGGAGGTGCTAAGCCTGCAAGACCAGGAAGTTTAGGACCATGTGACGTATTATGGGGGGAGGGGAGTGACATTCCTGGAGGAGATGCTCGTCCTGACTGTCGACGGCCAAAGTGTTGTTGTTGGAACTGCGTAGTTAAGCTCGGTGATCTCTGTCTGTTGATTGATGAATCGTGTCCGAGCTGGTGAGAGACCATTCCCGCTGGACTGAGGGGTTTGGGACTTTCAGTCATGCCACTCTGCGAAAAGATCGATGAACCGCCAGTGCTTAGAGGCAATGAAGAGATACTCGTATTTGGAGTGTGGCCACCGCCAACCACATTATTCTGCATACTTGGGGAAGCATTAGAGTTCGAAGATCCTCGGTCCGGATTCGGAGGATACAGCCCACCACCAGATTGGCCGGGACGAGGACCTGCTGGTGGATACGTGCTGGGGGTGCGGGAATGTGCAGTATAATTATCACCGCTTCCTGAACCACTAACGTGCTGGGCTTTGATACTTGGAAGACTGAATCTTCGTCGGTCTTCTTCGCTCATCTCATTTTCTCCAGGGTGAGGCGTGCCGTTCGTGTACATAATTCCGTCCATTCCGGTATCGTCGCCGTCTCCAGCGTTTGAGCCCTCATAATCATCGTCACCGCCGAAACTGCCCATACTTGCTCTTCTCCCAGCACAGCCCCCCTGACCCTTGCTGTGGCGTGCCAAGGCGTCACCTCTCGCAAATTTGCGATCACATTTGGGACAGATATGTGGACGCTCTCCAGTGTGTAATTTCATGTGGCGCTTCAAGTCGTGCAGTCTTCGAAATCTCATGTTGCATGTTTGACAAACATAGGGCTTCTCTTGGCTATGTGTCAAAAGATGACTTTTCAAATTGTGGTGCCTTGTGAATTCGGTCTCGCAGTAGGGACACTTGTGTTTCTTTTGTGAAGGCGACCGAGGTGCTAACTGTTGACCAGGCATTGGTAGACTCATGCCTCTAGGGGGCAATCGTGACGAGTCTGCTTGTGCCAATACGTTTCCTGGGAACGATAAAGCACGATTTGTCGACTGCTCATCGTGAGGTTGCAATTGAGTCATAGGAGGAGCTCTCAAATCCCGCGATTCGGCCTCAATTGCGCTGGTCATTGCTGCAGGACTGGCTATGGCCGTTGAACTTGCAGTTGCAGTCTGTGCCGTACTGCCCAAGCTGGCGAGGCTAGTCACGCTTGCTGGACTTGTTTCCGACTTGTCCTCATATTGCATGGGACTTGGAATTGAGATAGCATTTGCAGCTGTTGACATGCCTTCGCTCATCGTGACCGTCGCAACAGGAGCATCTTGTGGCTTAGACATCCCAGTGCCCCCACCTGCCATCAGTGAAGCCAGAGCTCTATGCCCGGGGTTTTCGCTCATCGCAGATGACTGACTTCGTTGTGTCTCCTCCCTCTTCCTCCGCTCGTCAGCTAGAGCTGCCGCACCTGTGAGCGGGGCTGGAGAGAATCCGGGTGAAAATGTCCCTTTGAAGCGTGGTGATTTAGGAGACGGCGAGCCCACTAGTCCAGCATTCGATATAGACGTTAGGTTTGCTGAATTCTCTGTCCGTCCCCGTTTCAAAGATTTTGTTGTAGGTGGTTCAGATGTAACGATCGTGGTGGGTTGCATGAAGCTGGTAGCTGCTACTTCTCCCTGCTCCGAGGCCATGAGGTGTGATAGCCCGTCTTCCGGTCGGGGTAAATTTTGATACTAAGAACTGCCGGTACAGAGAGTTGCTCCTTGCTGTGCGTATATCTTCGTCGCAAATAGTGGTCACCTATGGACTCATCTCTCGAAGAGGGGCGGGTGCGCAATTCGAATCGCAAGGCTTCTGAAAGAGTCAGGAACGTACTACGATACACAATTCTACGAACTGGCGCTCTTGAAATATACATACAAAGATGTCCAGCCTCCCGGCTGAACGTGTTGCGCCGAGTTTCTACTCTACTCTTTCGGGATTCCGTTCTTTGGGCTGAAGGTCGCATCTATTCGGCCATTACGGCTGCTCAGACCGGTGGATTCGAGAGACAATAGCGACAATCCACAGGGCTGAAGGTCGCAGATTAGTAGTATCCCAGGCGCACAACAATCAACAGATGTGAAAGTTGGGAGAGCTGAGGGAAGTCGAGGATGCGAGAAGCAGCACAGCCACCTTGCCTAGGTGCTGTTGAGCTTGCTTAGTCACGTTTCGTTCTGGGGCGGTACACACCTCTCTAGAACAAGAGCAACGGGTATCACAAGAAGCTAGAAGATCAATCGCCACTCAAGCAAGCATGTACTCTCAATTTTTATTACCGGTCTATGGAGACATGGCACACTAGAGCACGCAAGCAATCTTTCCTTTCCTGCTTTTGTTGTTCTTCTCGGACCGGTCAATGGATGTGCCGACTGTACAGTGTCTGCTCAGTCAACAGCGGAGTGGCTCGAGTTGGTGGCTGGCACAGGAAGTCTTGTCTCGTTCGATGTGTTTTCGCCCGACTCTCTCCCATTCGCAGGCATAACATGCCCGCATCCTGGTCGTATTAACCATCTACGGCCACCCTGCCTGGGATCAGCTGGGAAATCATTAGCCGATTATTGGGGGGCGTTGTCGACGTGCTGTGTGTTGAACGGAGACATCTCAATACGGGCATGATGTGGATGTCTAGACGGAAAATGGACGAAAAACGCTGCATCATTTTCTTTTCCAGACCTCTTCAGTTGGTGGTGCGCCACAAGTAGTTTTCAGACGACCTGATTCGCCTTCAAATCCTACTGCAGGACATTTACAGCGCCATACGCACCAGCCAGAGCTACAATTGGACTTCTAGCTCCCACCGCAAAGTCAGCTTGACGAGGCATGAGTGCTGAGCTCTGTCTCTCATCCAGTCCCACACTGCCAGTCCAAGTGGCTGACGTCTTTTCATCGATGTGGGCTCGAAAAACCTGCGCCTCAAAAGAATACAACCAGTTACAATGGAGTTCCCGGCCGGCTTTGCCTTCCAGACCAATATACAATGCTAAAAAAGCCAGAACGAATGCACAGCGGCTGTGACCTCATACCGCGATGCGACCTCTAGAAGGTATTTTCCTAGGGCCAATGCCCAGTCTTGACTTGACAAAGGAGATGAGTCCGCCTGAAATTCTATTTCGATTCCCAAAACCCTGGAGAGATTACCGACATCGAACGAACGGACAGACGCTGACGAACTACCCTTGCAAACAATGCTGGTGGCAAAAGACGTCTTCACGTGATGTCGACTGAAGACCTCAGCATAGGGCAACGATGGTCTAGTGGTCATAGATTCGATCCGGTCCAGTGCGAAGCATAATTGATCATCAGGTTTATCAGCTCTTTCAGCCTCTCCGACTTGTAACTTACATTTTTGCCTCGGCATCCCGGCTATAGGGACGGGTCTAACAATGAAAGCCTGACGGTTCGCCACGGTAAGCTCTCCTTTTCATGCCAAGGCAAGTCATAACGACGGTTGCATATGAGGTCGGCTGTAAGACCTCGCACCTGATTTTGTGCAACAAAAAGGAGTCCATTAGCCCTTCGGAGTTCCTCCGAGACGTTTGTTTCAAATCGAGGGCCTCAATTCTGGCTCGGCAAGCCCGTCTATACTTTCACCGATCTTTGTTTTCTCTTATTGCTACGATAATGTTCAGCTCTATGAGTTATATTCCTAGTATCCCTAGACTGTATCACTTTTAATGAACATCCACTTTTCCCATGAAACTGTTACCTAACCTAGTCTACCCGGTATCTGGACCAATTATCTAACGATTTTGCAAAGTTATCTCTCCAAAATTTCAGCTACAAAAGTACTCAAAGCGCGCAGAGTTGGCATATAGGATGAAATATTGACCATCTCTATGCATTCTTCATCTATCTTGTCCTTTAAGTCTAAAAAGCCTAGGGTGTGATCATACTCCTGTCACTTCACTCTCCCGGGTATCATTTCTCAATTCAAGACAAACACTTGCTCCTAACTTGGATTTTCGTTGACGCCCTCTTTCAACTCTGTCTCAACACGCTCAGGGTAATCGCCAAGCCCCATAGGCTTGATATCCTTCATACTCTTGCCTAAGCCTCCGCCCTTGGTTTCAGTCAACTCCCACTCCTTCAACTCGAGATCTTTTCCAAAGTCAAAGATCCTGTAGTCAGCATTCTCGAATAGCTTTCCATTCGTGATACCTACTCGCAAGAAACCAGAATGACTGACTACAGCGATGACCTTCTCTGGTCTCTCGCTCAACCATTTCTTTGCGGCAATGCCACGCTCAGTCAAGCCTTGTCGAGACCATTCTATGTCAATTTATCAGCAAGATATACAAAGCTTTCATAGTTGCTTCTGGATGTGATGATGCATCCCACTCGGGCACTCACTTCAGACGGACATCGCTATCATGTAGAGCCAAAAATAAACATACCATATAGTCCTTCTTTGGTAGGATATTCCGGATCGACAAGTGACCAGTCGAATTGTGGCCACTCTTTCTCCATGATAGGAATAGCAGTTCCGGTGTCACAAGGTTTTGCCGAGTTCTCCTGCCACTCTGCTCGAAGGATTACTGGGACACCACGTTTCACTGGAAGGATCAACAATATCAGCCCCAGTCTTCTCTGTGCGGGATACACTCTTGTAGCCCATAGCCTTGATACCCTTCCGTGTGTATTCATTGCACGATATCAGAAATTAGGGTAAATTTTCAAATGACGTCTCAAGATCCAACATTGATATCAGAATGCGGGGTAAAACGGAGCGTAAAGTAGTCCGCCGCAAGACAAAGGGCTCTCTCTTTCTTTTTGAAAGATCAACCAACCAATGCTGAGACAATTATACACAACAAACAACATCTTCAGAAACAAACTTACTCAACCATCCGAGTCCTTGCTGAGCCGTTTGTATAGTTCTCCTCATGGGACTGACAACGATGAGATCGATCTTCTGAGCCAGAGGAAGTTCGCTCTGTAAATGATTCGCCAAATCATCACATTGCTTGCCGAACCCGAGGTCGGTCAATGCTGGGTCATGAAGGTCGTAATGTTGAGAGACATCTGCGTTGGTCGTCAGTCGATGTATGACTCTGATGTTAAAAACTTACTATGTAACGCTTCTGCGTGACGGATAAGGATAACAGTTGGTGCCATAGTGATAGTATCAAGAACTAGTCTCTATAGCGAACGTCTTTTCTTTTTCTAAAAGGGTTCCTAGGCACAAACGGTGGATGGCGGTTGGCACCTGCAAGGCTGAAAGCTGAGACGTAGTGTGGCGCTAGGCTAGCGACATACCCGGCAAGGCTTCGGAGTCATCTCTAAAATACAACAACCTTCACTCTACTCCTTCACCAACATCTCGCCTGCCACAATGAGCTTCAGATTCACCGCGGCGCACTCTAGCCGCATCAAGAAATCAACGAAACCTCCGAACCTAAAACGAAACGCCTCATCTGGATCCCCATTCGCAGCTTTACCTCGGCGGAAACCTGTCCAAAGGTCAGCCTCGAAACCAGAACCCACTGGCGAAGACGACGAGGATCTCTTTGCGGATCATTTAGACGATGTCGGACTTGTTAAGGCGCTAGCGACCGATTTGACTCTGCGAGATGTCTCGCAGGCTATCCTTTATATTCGGCGGAAGATGTATAGTACTATACCAGACCAGAGAGGGGGCATGAATTCGACGCGAATAGCAGAGGTTTTGAACTTTCATTCTTCATTACCGCCTATTGTTACGGTTTCCCACGTTCAAGCATTGTTGAATTCGCCTACTACGGTTGAGCGCGAGATCGCAGAGTTGATCAAGAAAGGAGCCATAAGGAAAATTGTGGTTGGTGGTAGGGGGAGTATGGGAGAGGCGCTGATAATGGTCAAAGACCTTGATGATATGGTTCATAATAGCAACCTTGAGCAGGCTTTAAAGGATAGGTTCTTGGAGATTTTACATGAACATCCTACAGCTCTGAAGATACCTCGGTCAATGCTTTCTGAACAGGATGCCAAAGCGGTCATGCATGCTGGCTTTTTGACTACTGCCACCCCAAATTATACTTCTACTGATGCCTTTTCCAAGCTAGGAGATGGCGCCAGAGGTACATTGACATCTCTTAACAGTATATCTAAAGCCGCTTCCGGCTCCTTAGCAGCCGTTGGTGGAGAGGGAGCCGTGCATGCAGCGGGAGGAAGTGGGGGAGGGGCGAAGCTTCCTGGTACGGGAGATTATTCAATAGCACTTCCTACAACAGGCCCCTTCCTCAAACTTCTGGCCAACGCTCGAGCACATCTCGTTACTCTCCTCTCCAAGTCCCGGTCCCGAGAAGCACCCGAGCAACTGCTGCGTCAGCGATGGGAGGGTAATGTCGAATCACTGGACGCAGCCAGCACTGCCAAGAGAAATAGAGGAGAATTTGCAGGCGTGCTCCCGGGACGAACGAGGAAGTGGAAACAGTTCTATGGTATCAGCTTTGAATTCATTCTAGAAGAATGTGTAGGAGCAGGACTTCTTGAAGTCTTTGATACCGGAAGTATTGGGAGAGGGGTCCGTGCAATATAACATCGATATAAAAAGAACAGTGGCTGGCAGAACGCGTTTCGATGATGCGGGGGTGAGACAATACCCGAAGGAAGTTTAAGATGAGACGATCGACGATATGACAAGGGAGCATGAGCAGGTGGATGGAAATGATGAACAATGAACGCAGGAAGGTGGTCCCGAATGAGAATTCGGAATGTTGGATACAATACCTCAATATAACAGCATGCATATAAATCAGATGTGATAGCAAGGAGTTTGTTCCACGTGCGATCTAGAAAGAAGCAGGCAAGAAGTGGTACGTTCCCAAGATCCAATCGATGCTCGGAAATTGGACATCGTACCTCTCATCTGGAACGAAAGGGGTGTTCTCCAGGCCAACATCCTTCTCTCGTGGCCGCCACAAGCCACTATCACAGAACAAATCTCGGGAACGAGCCACAAGGAACAATCCCTTGGATCACATCGCACCGTGTTGATGAAACTGCTTCTGGTTGATGAGCACATCCCCCGCGATCCCGGTGCCTCTGAGTGAAGAAGGAACAAGCTTCATTTGAATCGTGACTTCGTCTGATCGACCTGGCCAATGAGTCGCGCGAAGTCCGTGAGAGCGTTGCTTCCATCGTCCCGAGCCTCTCTAGCGTATCCTCAGGGTGAGGTCTGAGCCATTCATCGTCCAGGTCCTCGGGAATTTTCGATTTGCACCGGTTTGGTTCGTGGGAGCTGCCGTCATGTGTTGATGTCTTGTCGGCCCTATATGAGCATCAAATCTCAGGTAGCCTCACCTCGCTGTGTACGGACTGGACACGCACAGCAATTTCGTGTGCCCCAAAAGTTTACCTTCGACCAGCACGTCCATGCCAAGCAGAACTCGCACGTCGTTGACAAGGGGATTTGTGGGGGTGTGAATAAGGGGTCCGTTCTCTCTACATCCGGAGAGTGTAATTTCCTAGATAAAAGTTAGAGGGAAGACTTCGAGGGGGGTGTGTCCGCTTTAGGAAAGGGCCTCCTCCTTTTCTTGCTTCCTCACCTCACTGCCGTGTGCTTCGTGCAGCATGAGGACGTGACAGACGGTGCAGTGGCATCAATCAATCAATGAATGAATGACAATAGCCTCGCCCGCTGCCCGCAGTACAGTAGTGTCTCCCTCACTCCCTCATATGCACACAGATTACTCCCGGCGAGCCGTGAATCGTTATTATTACTCCACCGCACACTGGAGTCGAATGCAAGGTCCCTAAGCATACCCGCTCCCCGCTACCACCACTCGCCCTTATCTGAAGCTAGTTCGGCGCACACATGCAAGGTTAACCTTCAGGGGCTCCGTGCTCTGCAGACTGCAGCTCGCAGAACTTCCACTTCCACTTCCACGCGGTTTTTGCTTTTCCTCCTCGAACCTCTCAATCTCAACACGGCCGCAGTCGCGATAATTCCACTCTTTGCAGATTCTTCGTCGTCTTCTTTCCACCTGTCGCATCGAGAACTGCTCACTTGAGCTCGACCATCGTTTGGGTGCCACCGCGAAGCACGTAATCCCTCCTCCACTCTCGAGTTGACCGCTTGTGATACTGTACCGTCCTGCAGCTCGTCACCGCATACATTCTCGACGTCGAAGACCTATATCACATCTACTATCGCCCTCACCCGCAGCCCGTTTCCGCAGAACACATAGAACGAAGCTATAAACATAGGCGGAAAACCTCCACAGGATCGAAACGAAGATCGAAACGGCCGAGTTCTGGAAACCCACTCCCCATCGAAACCCCGAATCTCCAGGTTATACCTCGACATATTGGAACAAGAAGGGTCTCACAAGAATCCTCCAAGGCCACGATCGCATGATCCCTTAATTGGTTTCCTTTTGCTGCTACACAACAAAGCTCGACCCCCAAAGCTAAAAGTTCAGCGCAATTGAATCCCGGCCGGCGAGCTTGCCGTGCATTGAATCCAGATCAACTATAACAACCATCCCTACCAACACCGAACTGTCAACCTCTGCCGCTCAACGGTATTCGGCAACTTCCTGCTACGTCTCTGCAACCAAAGTAATACTGCAAAGTCCCAGAACTACGGTACACTGGACACTTGCAGATTCCGAAGAATCTCTATGATACGAATCCAACTGGGCACGAGAGCAATTTTTGAACACATTTCGCCGTTTACGAGAACTCTGTGTTCAACTATTCTTCGTAAGTACTGTAACGATCCTATTAGCGACCACCACCATCTTTTGTTTCAAGCCGATCTTTGTGATTTACCGACATCTGACGACTCGTCTCCTTCGAAACTGATTCATGCGAAGATCGTGATAGTGATTTTGAGATGCAAGCGCACTGACTATTGGTTAGGTTCAAACAGTCGGTTTTTTGCTCAGGCATAGCACAGTGCATGATATAACGTTTCAGACTTGGTTCTGTACAGTTTCCCCACTCGGTCTTTTATGAGCTTGATTGGACGACCTAGTGCCCGGCTCAACACTGTCGTTACGTTCAGTGCCGAGAAGGAGAGCCAAGAATATTAAGCATCTCAAACTCCAAGCCCCAAGTTTCATGGACGCCTAGGTCCCCAAGCTCGGTAGACCACTCAAGGACGGCTTCTGTATATCTTCTTTCGGTCAACCTTGTGACTGATCCAGTAACTTCAGAAATTTAACCGCAATGGCAGCTGCTCTTCCGCGCCCGTCGAGGCCGTCCTACGGACCTCCAAACACCGCTCTGCCAGCACTACCAACTACGAAGACCAGGAAGAGTACAGGCAACATTCCAAGTGGTTCCGAGGCAGGAACAGCTCTGCATCCTCTTCCCAACTTGCCAAAAAGTGGCCTTCGTGCTCCTTCCGCATCACATCTTGCGCTCCCAACAACACCCGGTGGAAGCTCAACGCTACCAAAGTCAAAAGCCACTCCAGGGGTGAATAGCGCCGGCAAGACGATAAGGAAGACTATTAGCATCAATGCATTTCCACAACCTCCGAGAGGCATAAGAACTACAAGTCTGCCTCCAAGTCCGCTCTCTGGTGGTGCTGCTCCGGGCAGTAGCCTACCGAGCAGGAGAGAATCTACAGATACCAGCCCGGCTGGAAGTAGTAAACCTCGGAAACGCAAGACCGGCAGCAGTCCCAAGACTCAAAGTTATGCTGCTGGTGTTACGCCAAGCTTACTGAACGGCAGTGGTGATAGCAGGTCAATATCTAGCGGACCAGGAGCTCGAGGATCTGATGGGCTGTTGAGCCTTCCATCTCCTCCACAAAGTCGCAGCTCTTCTGCCCAAGACTCCTATTCGACATCGGCAACCACATTTGACGATACTGGAGATGGCCCACGCGGGCGAGATGCTTCTGATTCGACCAATGACAATAGCAAATTGACCGAAGGGAAGGGCAATGTCATTGTCAGCGTTCGAGTCAGACCCGATGCTGCAGAAGGCAAGAAAACCGAGAATGGAGAATGGATGGTAGATGGGAGGAGATCGCTGGTGGCATATCGAGGAAAGGAAGGAGGGGACTACTATTATGGTACGTGCTCAAAAAGATCCTTTCTTGACTTATGGCTAATTGGTATGCAGATAATGTCTTTGCAACTCACGATAATAATGCGAAAGTCTACGATGCGTCTGCAAAACGGCTAGTCCGACGAGTAATGGAAGGATATCACGGGACAGTCTTTGCATATGGAATGACTGGAACTGGAAAGACCTTTTCGATGCAAGGAACAGCGACTTCACCAGGTGTGATTCCTCTCGCAATCACCGACATATTCTCTTACATTCGCGAAACGCCATCACGAGAGTTTCTCCTGCGGGTCAGTTACCTGGAAATCTACAACGAGAAGATTCATGATCTTTTAAGTGCACCACCTGCCGGTACTGGTCCAGGCGTTCCGCAACAGGAAGAAATCAAGCTTCGAGAAGACAGTAAGAGAGGCGTGTACGCCAGTCCATTGAAGGAGGAGATCGTGCAGAGTCCCACACAACTTCTCAGAGTTATTGCTCGAGGTGACCATGCAAGACGAACATCCAGCACACAATTCAATGCTAGAAGTTCGCGAAGTCATGCTGTTGTACAAATCGTGGTTGAGAGTAGAGAAAGAATTCCTGGCAGTGGAGCCATGAGCGAGAACAAGCGTTCAGGCCTGCTTCCGGGTGGTGTTCGCGTCTCAACTCTAAGCTTGATCGACTTGGCTGGATCCGAAAGAGCTGCCGAGACCAAGGAACGAAGGACAGAAGGTTCTCATATCAACAAGAGTTTACTGACTCTTGGCACCGTCATTGCACGATTATCCGGAGACAAAGACAAGGATGGGAAGCCAACCGACAAAGATGGAAAGCATCTTCCTTACAGAGATAGCAAGCTCACCAGACTTCTCCAAGGTGCATTATCTGGTGACTCACTCGTCAGTATCCTTTGCACGATTCAAATCGGCTCAGCAGGGAGTACGGCAGCCGCAAATACTCACACTGGAGAGACCATAAACACGCTGAAATTTGCATCGAGGGCAAAGAACAACATCGTCAGTCACGCTAAGAAGGCCGAAGAAGCTCTAGGAGCTGGTGGAGACGGTGGTGCGAGAGTGCTTCTTGAGCGATACCGAATGGAGATCTTAGAGCTGCGAAGCCAACTTGACGGTCAGGCCAAAGCCAAGAGTGAAGACGATGAGAGAGAAAGAGAAAAGGAAGCAGAACAACGTCATGAAGAGCAAATGCTAGAAATGCAATTAGCACGCACAGCGTTGAAAGAGAGGATTGAGCATCTGAATCGCTTAATCTTGAGCTCGAAATCAACTGGAGTCAACGCCAGTGGATCCTATTCTTCTCTGGGTATGCATCCAAGACTGTCTGCCATGACATCCAACGGTCATCTCTCCCAAATGTCAGCTCGCTCTTCATTAGCTCAGTCTACGACTGGACGGAACTCGCTGGAACGAACATCTTCGATGAAATCAGTGTCCACAATTGGCCAACTGCCTAAGTCCCAAAGGTTGTCTGGAGAGCGATTGTCCAACGGATCGGTCGACGAGGAAGATTCTTTGGGCGAATTTGGTGATGGCACCGCTTCTCTGGCAGCCCAGAACCGAGCGCTTCAAGCCGATCTTGCAGACAAGACACGATATTGCCAGACTCTTGAGAAGCGTCTACTTCAAGCTCGACGGTCAAGCCATTCTCGTACATCCGTCGGATTCTCGAACAGCAAGAATGGCATCATGGTTGGTGAAGACCATGGTGTGGCTGCTTTGCTCAAGGAGAAGGATGCTGAGATTGCTGATCTGCGGGCGAGATTGGACGACAAAGACCGGATGCTGACAGCTTTGAGGAGTGCTGCTCGGTCGAGAGACACTGCAGACCGAGATCCGCGGACATCACAGATTCAGCTGTTGGACAATGGGCCACTAACACCAGCGTCTGCGAGAGCGTCACAGCTCTTGGATAATGGCCCTTTGTCTCCAATCCTATCTGCTGGTCCTGTTGGACTACTGTCGCCTAAGATTCGAAAGCGTACCAAGAGCGTAGATGAGATGAGCAAGATGCTTGACGAGATGATCCAGGATCGAGTCGAGAGTGGACAGTTGGTGAAGGGTGTTCGAGGCAGTGTTCGGATCGCCAGCGAGCGAAAACGAGATACTCTCGCCGAGGCCCTCACAACTCTCGAACCACTAAAGAATCCATTGGCCAGTGAAGCGCCAGCGATGGTGGCAGAAGTATAATGTTGACGAAGGGGAGGCTATCTGTACGATTTTTGGCGGCTGAACTGAGCGATCCATGGTTTTGATTAATATTTGAAAAGGCGTTCTGGGGGTTGGCGACACTTTTTTTCTTCGACCTTTGATTATTGTTCTCTTCCCTTATACCCCATTTTGCAGTCCGTCGTTACCATACCATACCCTGTCATAGGTTAGGACTCGTCATATTGTTTCTTGGCTGATCCTTTTTGTTTGTATCTGCGTTTGCAGCGGAGAGAGAGAGAGAGAGAGAGAATAAGATGAGAAAGAGAGATGACGAGGGGCTCGCTGCCTGATGTAATATATGATAAGAGAGAGAGGGAAAGAAAGACGGCATGCGAAAGTGATTGCTATTGCTAGTATTATTGAATATGGAGGGAACGCAGGCGTTTGTGCGGTCTCGGGATGGGACGGATGGGAATGATGGGAATGATGAACTTTGGGATGGGATGAGATGGGAACGCCTGGTTAGTGTGAATAAAGTAAAGTGGATGATAGTATTTAAGTATGGATGGAATGAAGATAAGCCTTTAATGAGCAAATTCTAGTACAGTAGCCACTTCTTGGGTTTATGAGTGATGTGCCTGCCTGTTTTCGTGGAGCGCATATTCGCATTGGGGGGCAAAGAGTGGATGGATCATGTTTTGTTTGGTGGTGTGGAGAGTGGTTTATGCTCGGAGGTGATCACGCAAGATGAGGTGGAAGGGAATTGGGTTTGCATGACTTTGTGGATTTGTGGATCCGGCGGGATATCTGATTGTGCTCTCCCATCTCCGGCCCATCTTTGGGTCCTGGGGTGAGGCTGAGGTGAAGATGTTCAAGATACGAGCAAGCATGCATGTATGCATGTGAGTAAGTACAGCAGACAAGAAACAGGATTCTACATTTTCGTGAAGCACAACCGCTGGTGTGAGGAAAGAGTAACCTTACGCAGCAGAGATGTACGGATGTCCGCAAGTAACGAGGTAGTAGTTGTTTGGAATCATTGCAGTAGTTAAAGTTTATTTCCTCCCTTCTCGCCGGTCATAAATTTACAAGTGATCTCCCCATCACCCGAAAGATGTTGGAGCAGTCGAGATACTCGAAAACACAACCAACACACGCACGTAATTTCTATACTTGGGACGTCGTACAACGTCGTACACAATGTGAAGATGGCTGACAAGCACGTAGCCGCGTACGACGAGGAGGAACCGAGGGGCCGGATGGGATGGTTGGATTTTTTTTTTCGTGTCGTACAGGGCGGGTTCGTGCGTGTCCGTGGTGGTGGGAATGACGGGAATGATGCGTCGAGTATACTCGTCTGTACGACAGTACTAGCCGAGTAGTCCTTACTTCATAGCTGAGCAGTCAATCGTCGTTTGTAAATAATGAAAGTCGTTGCCTATAAACTAGCCATCGTCGTTTGGTACTTTAAATGAGAGTCGTCGATATAAACTTATTCATCGTGAGACGGTGACAGCTCTCTAGACTACTTACTGTACCAAAATCTGGAGAGGACGGGACCACGATTGATCCAGCGGACGGAGAGACAGGGGGATCGGCTACTTATCAGACGGACAGGACCCTGAATGTTGTACAGTATTGTGTTGTCTGTATGGGACGATACAAGCCTTTCGATGATGGCGTTGGTGTCCGGTCCGTAACATGGGCGGTTTGAAGCTATCACGCTTTCGATGTCTTCATGATGTCTCTCTCATGGAGAACGCCACTCACATGGGATGTGCACGATGGGGGAGCCGATTGGTGGGTGATGGGGGTCGCGGGCTGTTTCAAAAGGCTCAGGGATGCAGAGATTTTCTTGGACGTTGCATGGAAGATCACCACCGCAGTTCGTTCGGCTGCGGGAAAATTGAGATTTCGCGGTGAGGAGGAATTGAGCGCAAACGCAGACAGGATGCCAAGAGTGAGTGAGTGAGTGAAGATCAACGTTGGGACTTGGGACTCGATGATGGAAAAGCCTTCAGAGATAAGGTCTGCGTTTGCAGCTGGGGAAAGTGTGGTGAGGCGTGGTGTCCACGTATTACAGTATTATCTGGGTGGACAACTCTGGGATCTCGGATCTGTGGCTTTTGAGTTTCAGGATTGTCCGTATGCAGGCAGAGAGGACATTCAACCCCCACCACACTCTTCACACTTCACCCTGCACCCTTTCCCTTTTTCACCCTTCTTCTGCAGCTGCTCGAGATGGATTGGATCGTCCCATGATTTGCCACTCCACTCCACTCCACTCCCTCCCTTCTCTTCTTCCAATCCTTTTCTCTTGCGTTCATTCCCGCCAAACGGGACCTTCCATTTCCACTCTCGGCCTGCAGTCTGCAGTCTGCATGGCTGACCATTGAGCCGGCTCCTTCTTGCGCTTCTCCAGTCCGAAAGCGTTTGGCAATCCTCTTCTCTTTTTCCTCTTTCTGTCTGCCGGGGTCAAGGGTCCCCTCGTTTCCTTGTCAAAGTCAGTTCGTCAACTCTCCACACCTTCTCCACCTCCTCCACCTCTCTGGTGTGTCTTCCTCTGCTTACCCGCGCACAGAGTCCGGGAGTGAGGTGTATCATCTCTGTTTCTGCTTCCCTCACCCATACCTGTTCTTCGATGATCTGATAATCTGTCTTGCTGGCCGCCCCATCTTTTCCATCACCTTGCAACTCAGATTTCCAGCTTTCATCGCCGCCGTCCGCCAATCCTCGGACGACAAACGCTCTCTCACGAGACTATTGGTCTTGTGTTTGTTGGCCTTCACGTTGCATGTAGATCGTGCTGACTTGTCGAGTTACCTTCTACTTTCTGCTTCTCCGGACCAGCAATCCCTTCGAAACCTCATGCCGCGGTCCCATCTACTCTATCTGATTTGATCTTCAATTACCTTTTGGTTCGCTTCGAAAGCTTAAGTACCTTGGATTGTTCTTTCTCCACAATCCGGATTGGGCCGCCAAGAAATCCTATCTTACGACGTCTTTAATCTGTTCCTGACGTCTCCCTCCGGACCTGCGTGTGCTCTCTCCATTCTTTCTTGGGAGAAGCATACAAAACCCTTCGAATAGTCGTCTACGTTCTTCGGATCGAGTTTCGATGTCTTGATGTCACCTTCTCGATCTCCAACCCACCAGTGCAGGCACGCTATTGCACTTCCGTAGACCACGTTGGTCTCCGTTTTTTTGATACGCACCATTCCATTCTTTCTGGCTGCGCCAATTTTTTTTTCTCAATGCCACCTCATCTCGATCTTGCAAAGACATACACACACGCAGACATGATTCTGTCATCACGGAAATCGCCTAGGATTAGTTTGAGACCTGCGCCCTTTACGCCTCTGGATAAAGGTCCTCTGTCTTCAACTTCTTCGAGGTTCAATTTTAATCATTTGATTGTTTCTCCTCCGCCTTCTCCTGGTCTGCCAGCGTTAGTACCTAGACATGGGAAGCCTGTACCGAAACATACGCCACGGAGATGCCTCAGAGCCGCAATATGGTTGGCGGGGGTAGTGGTGATAATATACTATGGCTTCTCGAGGTTAACCTTAGATCATGGGGTGAAACCCGTGGGATGGGCAACACATTCTGGAGATCAGTATGAGATGGTTGGAGAGTCGGAGTTGCCTGACTTTCCAACGCCAGTGGTGGTCACAGATGGTCGTGGAAGAGCCAAGTGGACCGTTTCAATACCTCCGGATCACGAATTCCCTCTGGAGCCGAAGCAATATGCAGAGATATGTACACAAAATATGGAGGTTTCGAATCATGTTGCGGATTTGCACGCTCATATTCATCACCAGCATGCTGCTCATTACGACTATTACCATGTGGACCCCCACTTCATGGATGTGGCTGAAGCTGAGGCTCATGGACTTTTACCTGGACCGAAGGCGAAGACTAGTATGAAGGAGGATGGATCACTGATTGGGGAGAATAAAGATGGGTTGATTGAATCTGCTGTCTGTGAAAAGACTATGACTTTCCTGTTGGAGACCCATGATGCGGGGTTGGGCAAGATGTTAATGATGATGTGGACTGCGTACGGCTTGGCAAAAAAGGAGGGGAGAGACTTCTTTATTGATGACTCGAGATGGTAAGCATATTTGTTACCATTCTCGGAATTTTGTACTAACTATTTATTACAGGGTCTATGGAAAGTATACCAACTTCTTCAGGCCACCTCCAATCCCAACATGCAGACCCCCACCACGACACGAGATGTTACCTTGCCCACATCATGCTCGCCATCTCATCGTCTCAGCCGTCACCGCTGCCTCTACCTTTGGAGGAGCATTCAACGAAGCATTCGAAGACCCCCGAAAAATGGAAGTCTATCGCCAAAAACCCATCTTCGACCTCGCTCGCCAAGGATACAACGCCCTCTTCCGCCTCAACGAAGCCGACCAAAAGTATGTCGATGAACGCTCCGACGAACTCCTCAACAAGACCTTCGGTCCTCCTCCACAAGAAGACCAGAAAGGCATCATAATCGGCATCCACGTCCGTCACGGCGATCGCCACCCCTACGAGTTCCAGTACCGAGACAGCTACATGCCACTGGACCGCTACGCCGAGAAAGCCCAAGAACTCCTCCACAAAGCATTCAACGACTCAGGCGAAGAGAACGACATGGCACTCGCACGCAGCCTCATGGTCGTAGCATCCGACGATCCGGAAGTCTACGAATCCGAAGAATTCTCCCGCTCCCCCAGAGCACAGGAACAGATCCGCCTCGCCTCAAACAAAGTCCTGACCTCGACCCCACCCCCGTCGGGCGTGGCAGCCATCCGCAAATTCGTCGAGGAATCGGTTGGCTGGGAAGGCGGCTTCTTCGCCGGCATGTTCTGGAGTCTGGGGAAACCGACCTCGGTACCAGCCACGGCGGTCGAAGCCCCGGACACGAAACTCCCGCCGACGGAAGAGGCGCTCCGGTTGAGGGAGTTGGTGGGGAGGGCGTACCTGATGGATCTAGCGGTGCTGGGACGGGCGAGCGATCGCATCGTGTGTACGGTTAGTAGTATGGGGTGTAAAGTGCTGGCTGTGATGATGGGGTGGGAGAGTGCGGTTGTTGACGGGAGGTGGGTGAATATCGATGGGGATTTTGAGTGGAGGGGTGTTAGTTGGTGATCATTCGTTTGATGAATTCTTTTTTTTTTTTACCTGTCTTGTTGCATCAGCGTGGTGGGTAGGAGGCGTTTGGGCTTGGGCTTGTTGGGTTGTTGAGTTGTTGGGTTGTTCATACAAAATAGTCATCGGGCCGATGCTGAATGAGTACATATATATACATATCTTTCCAGAGGATTGATTAGATGGATAGAATCAGAAGAAATATTCAGAATGGGCTTTCTTGCTTGATGGATGAATGCGATTTTGAGTGGTGACTTTGTATACAGGGAGTTACGAAATGAGGCCTTCAGACGCTGCACGTCAAGGCTTGATCCTAATTTCAGATATGCTATGTAAATCTCAGCTCTAAAACTCCTATCTAAATCATGATAAATTCTTTACCAAATCCCGATACCCAACATCGCCTCAGCATCTAAAGCCAAAGACAAGAAAAGCTGTAGTTTTCTTCTGTGAAACTAACGAGTCTATAAACAATAGAGAGAGAGAGACAGGTCATTCTAAGCGTTTTTCTAGATTGGCTTCCAGAGTGTAGTAGCCACGACGCACCAAGTTATCTATTGAAAGTCAGACACTGTAAATAGACATTGTCGTTCTGGGAAGGGAGTGTACAAACACAACATATCACCAAACAAGAAACGGACACTGGATGCTCTCTCGCTCAAGTAGTAGCAGACGAAAGACTTCCATTTGAGCAAAGCTCCAAAGTAACCACCCACCCTTAATTTGCAACCAAATACACAGCCATCGACTCCAAACCCGTCTTTTCGACCAGAACTCCCAGGCAATGTTGTAACAATCAAAATTTTTGTACTTTATAGCATACATACATATCTCACTCGTCGCTATCCGATTCCACAACCCTCTGCCTCTTGCTCTTGCCCCTTGACACAGGTCTTACATCATCCTCTTCATCCTCCTCCTCCTCCTCATCCTCATCTTCATCCGAAACGACCTCAACGACAGACTTCGCAGTCGCTGGCGGACGTCCCGTCAACTGCGAAAGATCCGGCAACTCCTCGTCCTCGTCAAATGTATCTTGCGTAGCCTCAAAACGTTTTCTATTCGCTTTCGGCGTAGCATCAGTTGTAGGCGGCGTAGTCGAAGATCTCGGCATAGCACGTTTCTCCATTCTACTGCTACTTTGCTCCTCCTCGTCCTCGATGACGAAATCTTTGAGACTGCCCCAGTTGTCCGAAGCAGTGTCTTGGGAAGGAAGTTCGCTGTGGAGAAGATCGTCACCTTCGCCTTCACTGTCATTGTCTGACATGGCAGCTGCTAATGCTCGACCTTGTGAGTAGCCTCCTTGGGGAAAGCCAATATCTTCACCTTCGCCCTCGCTTTCCATATCAGAAAGGACCAGGGACTGCCTTTTCGGTAGCTTTGGCTTTGGTTTTGCAGATTGTTTGGTTTTAGTCTTGCGTGCAGGTTTCATAACAACCATGTCTTCGTCTTCGAATATTTTTGGCACATCCCAGTCAGGCGTTGGCTCTTTGTTGCCATAGGGCTTCAAGTAACGTTCGCTCTCATCTTGAGAGTCTGCAAGCGTACTGAATAGTGTGACACATCTCCTTGTGTATTGACCGTGAGGAACTTTGACAGTCGCTGCAAGCAATCGCTGAGCAGCTGTCTGTGCAGTCATATCCGGCATGGCAACTTCTTGCAGGTCGTCGTCGGAGACAGTGAGATACTTCCGGTGAAGCTCTTTCTCTTCAGCCGGAGTCAAAAACACAGACTTCATTGCAGGAATAGGAGCCAACTGAGTCTTGGCGACTTTCTTTGGCTTGATACTGACATCTGAATCTTCGACCTTGATCCCATCTTCAGTCCATTTCGATGCCTTCTGGAAACCTGTCTGAACACCATCAGGCATGTGAAACTTCTTTGGTGGCCTTTTCTTGTTCTTTGCCACCCTCCGCTTCGGTTCGGGAAGTTCTTTACTCTGAGTGTTCTCAATCGGAATCTCGATGATCCGTTTGTCAACTACAGGTGTAATCTCTCTTGGAATGATCCTAACAGAGAGGTCGTGTCGGAAATTGAATCGCGTTCCATCACTGATCATCTTCTGCATCGACTCATAGTTGTCCTTGGCTTTTGCGAACGACTCTTCTTCCTTGCCTCTCATGAGAAGCAACACAATATTGCCAGCTCGTTTTCGACCCGTGCGTCCCATACGTTGTAACATTCGGATTGGTGAGCCGGAAGCATCATAACAGACAATGAGATCGACTTGGCCAATATCTAGACCTTCTTCGCCTATAGAAGTAGCGACGATGACGTTGAAAATGCCCTTCTTGAACTTGCTAATGGTTTCCTGTTGTTTGGCTTGATTCATGCCCTCAGAACGTTTTGAGTCTTGTTGACCAACGAAGACAGAAGCACGTATCATCGGCCCATGTCTATTCAAGACACGAGCAATATCCTCGGCACTATCTCTGAATTCCGAGAAAACGATGACTCTCGTACTCGACGGTGGAGCATCGTCGCCGAGTCTTCCCTCTCCTGCATCTAGAAAATGATTGAGAATAGTGTCACAAAGGTATGTGAGCTTAGGATGACCAACAAAATCATCTTTGCTTAACCATAATGCAATCGTATCCATCATCTTCTTGAAATCAGGATGATCTGTGATTTTTGACTTCCACTTTCCTGGTTTGTTTGCGTCCTCGACGCCTTGTCGAAAATCCTTGACAGCAGAATAAAATGGTCCAATTCCATGGTAGTTCAGCAACTTGATACTATGTGAAATGCTTGCTAAGATAGCGAATAGACCGAGTATCATGCCTTTGAGACCAGGGTTGGCTCTCTTGCCTGCATCAGATGCGAACCAAGCAGCTTTGGCCTTTATTAAGCCAAATGGAGTGAGATTCATCGGATCTTTGTTGTAATAAGCATTTTGGCCACACAGCTGATTCACAAGTGGTTGTAAAGCTTTTGCAAATAGCTCCTTGATCATGATAATCTCGTCTGAGGGATCAAGAACAATCTGATCAATATCTCGTCGGTGAACGTATTGCTGGATATCGATCGACTCTTCGGTTCGAATCTCCACTTTAGATATCTCTAGACCATCGATGACCTCCTGGACTGCTTCGACGTTAGCTCCAGGGGTAGCAGTCAAAGCGAGAATGCGAAAGCTCTTGTTGAATCGGCGTAAGAGTTCCACTACTTTAACGTAAGAATAATTGCCTGTAGCTCGATGTGCTTCATCTACCACAAGAAGCACAATCTTCTTCGGATCTGCGATGCCAGTCCTCAAATCATTGTCCAGGGTTTGAGGTGTCATGAAGAATACACGTTTGTCTTCCCATTCTTCCGCTCTCAATACCGGTGGCTGATCACCAGTAAGCATCGTAGTTTGAGATCTAGGTATCCCAACAATGTTGAAGCATGCATCAACTTGCTGAGCAACAAGAGGCTTGGTGGGAGCAATGAATACAATCTTAGCATCCTTAGTCCAACGAAAGTAGTTGTACATGATCGTGGCGGCGATAAATGTCTTACCCAGACCAGTGGGAAGTGCCACAAGAAGATTGTTGAAAAGCCCATGCTTGACGATACTATACTGATAGGCTCGAATGTCTCCAAGATTGGTGGGGTACACCCAAGTCTTCAATGCCTCGAGATCCAGAGCATGATGGGTTGGAGCCTCGGGAGGTTTATCAACAATGAAGTTGTGTACATTTTTGGCCTGAGATGGTGTTGGCTCTGCTGCTGCACGGCCACCGAAGAGAGTCGTCTGGCGAAGTCCTTGTTGAGGGGCAACGAGTCTTTGTCGGGGACGGGAATTATCCTGAGTCTGTCGAAGGGGAGACGAGCCAATGAATATCAGGTCTTCATCTGCTTCCTTGCTTTCTGGCGAGGAGAAAGCATCGGAAGGTAGGTCCACCAATTCTTCGTGTATCTGGATTTGTGATTGTGGTCGTGGCAGGGGATTGCTCACACGCCTTTCAAAAAAGGTATTTGCAGGAGGCGCAGGACGATCGACTCTTGCAGACGCAGCCCGTGGCGGAGGTGGTGGTTTTGGTGGCTCAGGTCTTGCTTTCTTATATATCGGTCCCCGAATTCTATAAGGACTAGAGTCCGGCAATGCCTCTGCTTGCGTAGCTCCCAGAGTTTTGGCTGCTGGTACATCCTTGTCTGCGATATGTATCTTGTATTTCCTCTTTTTTGCCCTCTCATTCTCCTCTTCTCCACTGCCTATATTGTCGCCTGTAGATTCTCGAGATCTGCGAGGGCGCGGGGTCGCGATTTCGTCGTCATCGCTTGCATAACTGATTCTTCGTCTTTTCGCTGGAGGAAGTTCGGGGAGAGTCTGTGAAGGCTGACTCAAAGCTTCGATGAAATCCTCGTCGGGAATATCGCCATATTCGTCATCCTCATCCATTGTTAAAACAAAGTCGCAGGTTTGATGCCCACGACTTTGTGAGGTCTTTGGAGGGTAAACGCGCCTCGGGAAGAACGCGTCGTCAAGAAGAACGATATCACGTGTGGCGCTGGAAAACAATCAATTCACTTTCAGAAGGAATGTTCGAGTCAATTTGAGGGAACAAGAGATACGCAAAGCGATTTTCATGTTACGAACAATGAGGAAGGAAAGAGCACTCAAGACGAGTTGTGACTCAGGTGTGTGACAACATGCTCCGATTATACAACGAAAAGTTATTATTATCTTCTCACTTTATTCAGATTCTATGTACTTCTAGTATCTATTGTACTGTGGAACAATATATCAGAATCCACGTCCCGCCCTTTTTACCACCGGCTTCCTCACTGCCCCATGAGATGCTACCTTCTTCACCACAGCCGAGACAGGCTTCTTCGTTGTTTTCAAGCTCTCATTCTCCAATCTCTTTTCTTCACGCAACTTGTCTTCGGCCATCTTGGCCTCAATTTCCATCTTCCTATTAAACTCGACCTCGGTGACCCGTTTCTCTCGTGCCGAGTATCCCTTTTCTTTGATCGAATAGAAGACGCCGCCAAGTTCCGCCAGCCAACGGGGATCAACGGACGTGACCGTGGACATATATTCCTTTGAGGTGAGGATGAGTTCGTGATAAACCACATAGTCTGGGAGATAACCCAGTCCATATAAAGCACTGGTTGGATGCAGTTGAACGGTCACGCTGGTCCTCAAATTGACATACTCCCCGATACCTTTGACCTTGGCTGCTTGGTGATAGTAACCTGAACAGATACACTTCCGGATCACATCCCAGTCGGTACCGCAGCTTATCATACTCATCTTCTGCATCTTCATGATATCCAATAACTGCTCTCTGATTTCCTTGGCGCGACGAAGGGACTTTGGGTGGAGAAAGTGTCGGGTACACCAGGCGTCGGAGTAATTATTCATTTTCCATTGCGAGTAGACGTGAAGATATGTTAAGTGATCAGACTCCGGAACAAAGAATTTCTCTCTGGCGGCATCGGACTCCTCTTGACGCTCCTTGGGTCTGTAGAAGACATTTGGAACCGAGAGCATCGACACAATAGTCAACATTTCCTCGCTACAGCCATAATCTTCTGAGGTGATCAGCAGCTTGGCTAGAGAGGGGTCCATGGGAAAGGCAGTCATTTTCCTTCCAATACCCGTCAAATCTCCAATGTTGTCAAGAGCACCCAATGCCCAGAGATCGAAAAGGGATGTTGTGATTGTATCTTGCGGCGGAGGATCCATGAAGTCAAAGTCTAAGAGATCTTTCACTCCCAGTGATTTAAGAAGTAGAACGGTGTTGCTAAGATTCGTACGTTGAATTTCTGGAATGGTTTGAATGTACATCTCATCCTTGAAAGCAGCTTCTGTGAATAGATGATATGCTTTTCCAGGTCCCGTCCGACCGGCTCGGCCAGCTCTTTGGGAAGCATTGGCTTGGGAGATTGGCGTTATCTGAAGTGTATCCATACCCATTCGAGGATTATACACTTTCAACTTCGAGTACCCTGCATCCACAACGTACATGATACCGTCAACAGTCAAACTGGTCTCGGCGATGTTGGTCGCCACAATGACTTTCCGAACGCCAGGAGCCGCTTTGTCGAAAATCTTCGCTTGGAGGTCCGCAGGCATTTGACTGTATATTGGTAAGATACTGAGTTTCGGAGGGTCATTCAGAGCATTGAGCCGTTCTTGAACTAGCTCACAAGTGACTTCGATGTCCTCTTGACCAGTCATGAAGACCAAAATGTCGCCAGCGCCTTGAGAGACATGGATTGCAAGAACTTGTTGGACTGCTTGATCGACGTAGTCCTCCACTGGTGATCGATGATACATAACATCGACAGGAAATGTACGGCCAGGAATGAAGAATTCTGGAGCACCGCCATAAAAGTCCGAGAATCGTTTGGAGTTCATCGTGGCAGATGTCACGATCAACTTGAGATCGCGTCGTCGTGCAAGGACCTTCTTGAACAGACCCATAAGCACATCGGTGTTCAACGCTCTCTCGTGAGCCTCGTCCATGATGACACAAGAATAACGATCGAGGTCGGGCTCGTTGAGAGATTCTCTCAACAAAACACCGTCAGTCATATACTTGATCGCAGTCTCTTTGCTTGTGCAATCTTCAAAACGAATCGCATAGCCCACAGTACCGCCCAGCTTGCATTCCATCTCTTCACTGACACGTTTGGCAACGCTCATTGCTGCCACTCTTCGAGGTTGTGTACAGCCTATCATCCCTACTCTGGCGTATCCATCCTCGTATAAGAACTGAGTAAGTTGTGTTGTCTTACCGGATCCGGTCTCGCCAACAACAATCACTACCTGATTGTCCCTAATAACTCTCAGGAGATCTTCTCGAACCGCAAATGCGGGTAGGTATTCTCTCTGTTCCTTCAAAGACTTGCTCTGACTGAAGTTACTTGCTCCTTCATTCTTTCTCATATGTTGCTGGAATTTGCTGCTGCCTTGGTGTTCTTCCTCTCCTGGTACAGGCGCGGCACTATCTCCTTCATCTTCCTTCACTCCTATGAGGTTACCAAGAGCCGTCCCCGCCATTTTCGTAGCTTCTTGAGCTTGTTTCGCCCTCTCCTTCTGTTGACGCTTCTCTTTCACCACCTTGCTCCCTTTGCGACTGAACACTGCCATATCGCTCTGATTGTCTCGGACAGCAGGCACCGGCTCAAGTTGCTTAGAAAAGACGGTCCTTCCATCCAAGAACGGAGGCTTCAGGTCATGAACCAGTAAATGGACTCGAGTTGCCTCTTCATCATCGTCGAAGTCATCCCCCATATCTCTGCGTTGCGCCACGCCCGAGGTAAGCATTCGATTCGTTTCCCAAGCGTCGACATCTTTCTGTTTTTGAGTAGCTCTCGCACTCATCCGTTTTCCGGTCTTCTTTTCCACTAATGCTGCATCTCGTTGTTGCTCCGCCCATGTATTGTCATAGTTCCCAAAAGGATTATGAGTCTCGTCCCCGAAAGTGTGGCCAGATTCATCTCCCGCATACCAGTCTCGGTCGAGCGCATTAGAATCCTCTTCATTGACGAACGGCTCCGGCCCATCGAACTCCTGCTGTCGAGGCGTAGAAGGATATCGTGACTGCGCTCGAGGTGTTGATGCACGCGAGCCATTTCCCATGCGGCTTTGGGATCTCGAAGCACTTGAAGCTGGAGCGCCATTCCGACTCGCAGAAGGTCGAGCAGGAATTATAAATCTGTCATCTGATCGCAATGGATTAAAATCCAGTTTCCGCCGCTTCGGACTTGCCTCTCTGTCGTCCCTGTCCATGTTGCCGGTGATTTCGTCGTGGTTTTCTTGATGTTCAAAACAATCCAGAAAATTAAGCTATCCCGCCCCTAAATTGAGCCTCACGCGCTAACGATAAGGCCCCCGCCTCGCTATGCCGATAAGCCTGTAAAAAATATTTATTTTTCTTGTGGGATACATTTTCAGAGACTGTTTATCCAGATTTTGTCCCGACCTACGGCCGCATACGAACAAGATGTCGATGATTACTGCTACGGCGTGGGTCCCTCGTGGATTTGCGGCCCCATTTCCTACCAAATACGAATTCGACGAGGACGAATTTCAGCGCATCGCAGAGCTCGCAAAACTTCAGCTTGACGATGCGAACGAGGACTTGGACGAAGCGCGCAAAGCTATTGTAGAAGGCAATGGCGCAGATGGGGTAATGAAAGATGAAGACGTCAAATCATCAGCGAAAGCTATGAAATCGGAAGCGTATGTAGCTCGAACTCATAAGATTCGCAACCCCGCTAAGTTGACCATAGAGATGAAGACGACGACCTCAAGGAATATGATCTGGACCACTACGACGAAGATGTCGCGAACGACAATGGAGGTGAGGGTGTAGGAATGGGCATGTTTGGCAATGTCAAGTCATTGGCATACCACGAGTCGAACGCAGATGATCCTTACATTACCATGCAAGAGAACGAGGAAGACGATGAGGATCGCGAGGAGCTTCAGATCTTAGCCACAGACAACATGCTCCTGGCAGCTAAGATCGAGGATGAGGTAGCACACTTGGAGATCTACGTTTACGAGGATGAGGCGGACAACCTTTATGTACATCACGATATCATGCTTCCAGCTATACCTTTGTGTGTGGAATGGCTAGACTTACCAGTCGGCAAGTCAACTGTAGACAAGGAGTCGAGGGCGAACTTCGTGGCGGTCGGTACTTTCGATCCAGATATTGAGATTTGGGACTTGGACACCATCGATTGCATGTATCCTAATGCTATCTTAGGCCAAGGCGGAGAGAACAGCGGCGCAGGAACAGAGGAACTCAAGAAGAAGAAAAAGAAGAAAAAGTCGAAGAAGGCTAACGACAATTACCATGTGGACTCGGTTCTATCTCTTGCTGCCAATAGACATCATCGAAATCTACTCGCATCAGCATCCGCAGACAAGACAGTCAAGTTATGGGATCTCAACACGACGAAATGTGCGAAATCTTATTCCTACCACACTGATAAAGTCTGTTCCCTGGCATGGCATCCGAAAGAGTCAACTATCCTGTTGAGCGGGAGTTATGACCGGACAGTTGTTGCAGCTGATATGAGAGCACCTGATGCAAAAGCCCCAACATGGGGAGTCGAGAGTGACGTGGAAACTGTCAAATGGGACCCTCATGACCCGAACTTCTTCTACATCTCGACAGAGAATGGTATCATCCACTACCACGATATTCGAAAAGCTCCGTCAAGTCCAGCAGCAAGCAAACCTGTCTGGATCTTGCAAGCACATGATGAATCTGTCTCGTCCTTCGACATCAACCCTATTATTCCAGGTTTCATGGTAACCGGTTCCACAGACAGACAAGTTAAGCTTTGGAACATACAGCCTTCCGGGCCTACTATGGTCGTTTCTAGAGACCTGGAAATTGGCAAAGTGTTCTCGACAACGTTTGCCCCAGATGAAGAAGTTGGTTTCAGACTTGCTGTAGCTGGAAGTAAAGGTCTCGTTCAAATATGGGTAAGAACTCCTCTTTAACACAGGGTATCCTTCTAACCGAGCATCAAAGGATACTTCCACCAATGCAGCAGTCAGACGAGCATTTGCCAGTAGAGTTGCTCCGGTAGAAGGAGAGATTAAGGAAAGACTGGTGGGTGTAGAAGACGATAGCAGTGAATCGGATGAAGAAGAAGGCGGGGCTGAAACCGGAGAAGGGGATGCAGATGCCGGGGAGAAGGGATGGGAGTCGATGGATGAGGATTAAACTCTCCTTGGAACGATCGGAGGCTCTAATCAACGACCCTTTTGGCATTTGATGCATCTAACCGAATCCGGAGGTCCTCACGAGAAGCAGCTTCGGAAGTCGAAACAAAGCTTCGGATCTGCTGGTGAGACTGCCCAGCGATCAAGTTGCGTAATTCTGATGGTAAGTTGCTGTCGCTCATATAGATATGGCGAAAAGGAATAAATATCCGAATTTGAGGATCATGAGCATTTGGGACATTCATGGTAGTTCGCATTGATTTCCCCACAAAAGGAACTGTATTCTGGTATGCTCCGTCGTCTGATTTTCAGCATTTTCATCGCCGCACAGACGAGAGAACGAGATGAACCTCAATGCAACAGCCTCAGAAGCAATGCATCTGAAATCTCACCGCATGAGGGTGTCCACAACCAGACGATCAGTAATAATGATCAAATATATTTGTGACATTACAACAGAAGGACTCGAGAAGATGTGCATCGCGAAGGTTGCCTGCATCCAGCCCCACGCCTAGCTTCAAGATCATGCTGCGGCGTAACGACTTGCTTTGCCTGCTGCGAGTGCAGACGAAAATAAAAGCAGAGCAAAAAAAGAGTCAGAGTATGACGGCGGCACAAGGGAAGTTCACAGGCCAACTTTAGCAGCGGTGGTGCTGAGATGTTGTACTCTGTTGGATGAGTGAGCCGATGCGAAGTTCGGCAGGATGAATTGAGTTGTTTCCCCTGAGCAGATGCGCGCGCCTTCGCTCTCGATGGACCTGTTTGCGAGCCATGGCTGTGATGATTGTCGTCCGAGCCTCCTTCGGTGCGTATATCTGAAACTGGAGAGTCGAAACATGCAGCCAATGGGGGATCTCTATCGCCGTGGTTCCTGGCCCCGTTTCGACTTTCTTCTCGAGCGCCAAAGCCACCAGGTGTCGTCCCATTTCGTACCTGGAAGAAACGAATCAACTTGGGGAAAAGGTTGAGCGCTGCGATCGACCATGATCGCACCATGCACGTAGCTTCGCCCGCGTCCCCTTTTTAGGTCCTCTTAGAGTGTTGAGGGTTGCGCAAACTTTCCAGGCGACGACAGACGTAGAGGCGGTCTCAGGCACAGCGACCCGTCAGATTGATTGGTTAATTGGCTGAAGGCAGGTGAAAGTTTCTGGATAATTGGGTCTCGGATGGCCCTTGCACGCCTGGTCAAGAATTCAATCCAACTCACACGCCAAAACCAATAGCAAAATGCTGCTGTTCAACGCGTGGAGGCAATTGATCCGCTGGCAAGGGTGGGGATGGACTCATGGAGAGCGAAAACTTCGGCGTGGCTCCAGTCTTACAGTAGCGACAGTCCAGATGCCCCTAGTCCGTGACCCTCGTCGGCCGCTTCTGTTCCTGGTCGCCCGGTCCAATCCCACGACCAGCATTCTTCCCTTCCCCTGCGCATTCATCCCCTGCTCCCCTGCTGGGCCAGCAAGCAAAGCACGCAGTCCAGTCCAACCCAACCCAAGCCAGGCCAAGCCAGATGCGGCCCCAAACGAAGGGAAGGGAAGGGGAGAAGAAGGGGAAGGATTCTTCGCCCTTCCGATTCTGAATATTATCTCTCCCATCGGCCCCTTCTTTCCTCAGCAGCATCAATAGCATCAGTATCGCCGGCGACGTTCCTTCCTTCTGAACCTGGTTGTTCGAGACTCCTTATCGACGCCTCACGCAGTATAAACACCACTCACTCCTTCACATCGCATCTTTCAAGACACGACGTACACACAATCGTCAACAAAAGCAACTTTCACAGCTTCCCCCCACCGATAGGACCGCGTCCCGATCAACAGACTCACTCACTCACTTGCCAACAACTCACACACTCTCTCTCTTCACCAAAGTCAGAACGTTACATTTACATTCCCACGTATATATTCACTCCCCATATCATTCGCATCGCCTTTTCCCCGCAATTTTTGGCTTCCACGCACGCTCAGGGCGCGACTTTTGATTGCAACGATACAGAGAAGGATCACTCTCCACCATCACCAGACACCACCGACGGCGTACATACACTCAAGCTCTGCAACCTTCCAAGCTAGGCATTCTCGGGGCGGCACTCACACGCCTGCAGCACATTCTCAGGTCATCTGCCAATCGACGCAATCCATTTGCTTCATCCGCTGCGAGGGCCCGGTAAAAACCGATATCCGTACCCTACCAATATTGTCAGACTACCAACGCGCCTCGTTGGTGGGAAGAAAGCAAAAGACGCCGAATATCCTTTTCGAGATCTTCCACTTATTCAGCAAAAATGTCGTTGTCAAGGGCTTTTACCACTCGACGTGCTAAGGCTGCTTCAGCTGAAGCTACTCCCGATATGCCGAAAAGGTCTATAACGGTCAGATCGGGCGGGACCATCAGACATAAGATCTCAGCGCCCATCGAACTCATCTCGACGACAAATATGCTCTCCTACAACGCCCCGGACATCTTTCCCAGCAGCTCCTCGTCGACTTCATCGCATTCTGGGGATGAATCCGACAGGTCTCCGTCGACTTTCTCATCACCTTTGACTTCACCAGATTCTTCGTCGATCGAGTCATCTTCACCTATTTCACCCGAGCCAAATCACCTATCATGCTACTTCGGGGCTCCGTCAAGGCAGAGTGCTTCGGATAGCGAGGCTCCTGTTGTACCGAAGAGGGCTGTATCTCATACCAAGAGTGCAAGCTTACAGAGATCTGCTTCAAGAATGTCGTCAAGGAAAACCAGCACTTCGACTGCTCGATCATCTATCAACATGTTCTCCGGCAACGTCGAGACCGTCGAGCATCACCCATTCGGCAATGAGCTTGCTCAAGTCTCGGAACTCGCTGAGGAATATGGAATTAGCAAGGAGAAGCTGGCTATCGTGGATGAGGAGGAACAAGAGTTAGTCTCGAGAGGACTATTCAAGTTCCGAGCCGAGGACTACATGAGCGAAATCCACGGTCTATTTATGAGTGCATTTGGCGACGCTCGACCTACGATGTCGTCAATGTGGATATAGTGTGGGACTGGTTCTCACAGGACTATTCACCGCCATAATTTTGACCCTTCTTCGATGTACATATTTACTTTCGGACATTTGTCCACCTTCTTACGCTCCTTTACGAAACACATTTTGAGAACGTTCTACGTACTGGCTTTACGGAAAAAGGGGGTGGGTTGGAGTTTCGGTTGGGTGGTTGATCATCCTAGTTTGAAGATGGGGATATATCTTGTCATTGGGAGTTACGGAGAGCTCCAACACACTCATTTGTTGTCAATCATGACATCTCACAATCTTTACAACCTGTTTCTTTTGCTGGACAGAATGATAGTTTTTGGAGATCCTGCTATGCAGGGTTGAAGCTAGACATTAGTTGTAAATTGAATCAAATTCCTAAGTACATACAATACATACCTCACAACCTCCTCTATCTGTGAATCGAATTCCAAAAAGGAAACCAATGTTTCTGATACACCTCGGCGCACCCCCTCCGTGTCTTTTAAACAGAATGCGGAGAAGTGGCATCCCTCACTCTCCGGTCCATGGTAACAATTATCGGATCTCCTCCTTCAGGCGCAAAGGTCGATCACCATCACGACTGCCGTAGAAAGGGCAATGGAAGAAGACGAAGAATTCCATGCATGCAATGCACATCGTCGTCAGTCTGATCTACGAAACTCAACGATGCGCTCCGCTGTCGCTCAAACCCTCGACGTTTGATGCGCCGGGAGTTGAGATGATGGATCTATAATCACGTGAAGGTTTTGCAGGGATTATGCAAATATACGCTAGTCAAGGATGGGGAAGGGATGACACTTTTTTTCTTCTGCCAGAAAATCTCGAAACTCGAGATCCTGCAACGCGAAACTTGGAGAGGGCTCAGCAAAACATTGTTGATACCGAATCCTTCTTTACCCATCCATACCCAAGTAAGTTCCCAATTCTTTCCTCCGGCCGGCGGCACAGAAAGAAAGAAAGAGAAAGAAAAACAAAATGATGAACTCCCGATACCCGTATCAATCTTTAGGAAGAGCCGGAAAAGGCCGACGAGATTCCATCTCCCCTCCTTCCTCCATCTCCTCCTTCACAATTCCGTGGTGGTATCGTCATATGCAGCGGTTTTGCAGGGAGGGAGCGAAGAAGGGAGGGAAGAGGGTTGGATCTCGTTAGCGGTGCTTAGAATTTTGGGTTTCTGATTGTTTGTTTTGTGTTGGTTATTTCGTGGTGGTGGTGGTGGTGGTTTAGGGAGTTTTAGAGGGAGAGTGGTTAAGGCTGACGCGTGTTTATAGCTATATGGACGAAGGCTCACGGTGACGAGGGGTCTATTTTTGGGATGCGGGTAGAGAGGATGGAGGGAGCAGAACAGAACGAAATATAGGGCAAAGGAAGGGTGAGGCGCGGGAAGGAGGGATAAGGTTGTTTTTGTGCGGAGATGGTGTCATGATTCGAAACGATGGTATATGATGGAGTGCTTCGGATTGAGTGTTTTCGGGTGGCTTCATCCTAGCCTGCGGGACGGTGTTTGGGAAGTGGGTTTGGTTTAGGTGAGTCTATATAGGGCTGGAAGTGCTGGCAAGGTTTTGTTGCGAGAATAGATGGTGGAGAAGAGGGTTATATGACGATGTGTGTTGTGAGGTTGGGGTTTGGTTGGAGGTGCCGAGTGGTGCTTGGTTTGGACGTTTATATCTGTTGGGGATTCTATTCAGACCACATGAGCATGAGGCCTTGGTTGAGGATTTGACGTTGTCCGGCGTTGATGTGGGATCTTGTTAAAGCTACGAGTGTGGCGTTCAGGGCAGAGCTGAGCTCAGTGTCTCCTTTGACCTCCTAGTATTCTATATAGCTGTTTCGTAAATCCTGTCTACTATACAATGTTTTCAAGTACTCAAGCTATTCATCTATTCATCTGCACACAAGCTACAATCAATGTCACGACTCCCAAATAAAATATAGAAATTTCACCCTACCCCAACTTTCTGTCCATCCATGCAATTCGCTCTCTGAACCTAACTTCAGCACTTCCATCTGATCCAAAACCGTCTTGGTCAACGCCGCGAAATTTGTCTCCTCTCTGCGCACAGAATTCTCTCCATGGAAAACGCTACCTAGGTCTTCAAAGGAGAAACAGTAACCACCTGGTATTGGCGAATCTTTCTCTCAACGCCACTCGTTTGACTCGAGAAAAGGAAACGAACATCGGAGATTTCCACTGTGAGGAGGAGACCATTTCGGTTGCTGTTGAGAAGTGGCGGGTGAGGGTAGATGATTTGTAGGGACTGGTTACGATAGCTGATCTTCTGAGTGCCCCAAAGCGGACACAAAATCGCAATGCAACTGAGAAAGAAATATGGACTTGCGGAGTCAATTTGTAGAGAGGACAGGAGGCAGAGTTCCAAGATTGAGCAGAGTCCAAGTTTTCATGGTGATGCCGTGAACACTGTATGGAGGGCTTTGGGTATCAAAACACTTCGTACAGCTTACTAAAGCCTTGTAAGTTTCCAACCTTTCGTCTGAAGGGTCACTCTTCATTTAGATAGAATCAAAGGACCCCTCTTCTGAGAGAACGTCCCATCTCTGTGTCATCTCCTATCGTGAAGCTACTACCTCGAATTATAGAGCCTTATAAGATGGATAAATACAGGACTTTACTTATTTCGGACTAGAAAAGACAAAAAAGGTTCATAAAAATGACATTTGCTGCGAATTTTCGCCCGAAATGAGATGATGAGATCCTTGATAGGAAATCCTAGAATTCGTGAACAATACCCTCAAATGATACTCTAGAAGTCGAGGCTTTGTTGAGCTTTATGCCCCACTATTTATACAAGAATTCCTCCTAGATCTTAGGAAACTCCGAGAGAGGCGCTGGTATCTTTGTTCCGTTTGGAGATGGAGAAAAAGAGAGATTGTGATATAACACCCAAGAACTTTGATTAAGACACCCAGTACTTACCTGTTCAAGGAACTCCGACTTCCCCTCCAACTCCAATACAACTTAGACGAGCAATATCGGAGCTCGAAACTTCCTGGGAACGAATAACACAAAATCTTTTCTGCAAAGGAAAATCCATGTCCATTCAATGATGAGACTCTTCTCCGCAGTTTGATGCCAAGCCTTCGCGCCTCAATTTTCATGAGGCGCTGAAGCCGCCGTGCGTTCTCACTTGCCATATCTGCCACTCCGCCAGGAATGGGTCCAAGAACCATGTTCAAATTTGTAGCTTCAGATGGAATCGGGAGTACCCAAAAGAGACATCAGGCGAGGCGGGCTTGCGAGAATTGTCGACGGCGGAAGAAAGCTTGTCTTCATACAGAACCGCCACCGACCTCAAAATCCAATACCGCTTTGGACAACAAAGTAGGTGTACGGAGTCCCACTTCGCCGATTTACGTCTCGGATGGTACTGTTACCTCTCAACAGCAGGTAAGACAGGAAGCTGAGGCCCAATCGTCTACCCCAGCGGCAGCTGAGGAGGAAAGCCTTCATGGTGGCAAAGATGTGTCTACATCGAATGAGGAGACACATGAGGCTCAAACAGACCTCCCAGCAGGGTCTCCTCGTCAGATTTCTCGTCGTCAGGAAGACCCAAACTCCAGGTTCATCGGAGATCTTAGTCCAGAAGGGATCTTTCTGGCAGCAACAAGCCCTGATGCAACTCAAGGTGGCAGTGTAGGGGTATGGCTCACGACCAATGCACCGATGACTTCCTCACACACATCAGCTCATACAACACAATCACCGTCGAACTTGTTCTACGGCACAGGATCACTGGTTCAACAGGTATTGGTACCTATGCTGGAGCAACAATGTCTATCAACACTTCCACCACCTGCAAAAGTCACAGCTTTGACGAAAATATACTATGATAAAGTATATCCTATCCTGCCTATAGTTGATGAAGACGACTATCAAGATCTTCCTACCTTAGATCCACATCGTATACTCCTACAGCAAGGTATATGCTTAGCAGCATCAAAGAACTTCGCTGCTAGACAGCACCTTGTGTTGGACGAATCGGGATCACCTCTGACTTGCAGAGAGTTTGGAGAAAGACTGTCAGGGGCAATGAGGATGTCTATGGAGATGGGACTGGTCACGAATAGAGTTGTAATGATTCAAGCACTTGGACTGCTCACGCAATTTGCTGACAACCCTGCTGGCGACGATTTGTCTTCCCAGTGAGTCGAACCGCTGCCCACTCGAACAATCCGCATGTCTATCAAGTAAGCTACTGACCGTCTCCAGGTTATGCTCGCGAGCGATCCACCACGCACAGTCAATAGGACTTCACCTCAAGGAGGACCAACTTCCGAACAGCAAAAGACTATGCTGTTGCATATGGGCCATCGATAGGTTGAATGCAGCTCTGTATGGACGTCCTGTCCTTATGCACGAGAGAGACTTCCGCGCAGACTTTTCTTCGCACTTCGAAACGCAAGAGCCGGGCTTTCGATTGTTTCTCCGAGTTATTGAATTACTTGACAGAGTTATTGAAATCTTCAGACCAGCTAGTAGTGAAGACCCTATACTTACCTGGGAGTTCCCTTCTTTCGAAGACGTTGTCCTCAAATGTGGAGTACCTAATCTAAGCATGTCAACACTAAGTATACTCCCCACAAAGCGGGCGAGAAAGCTGTGCTAACCATGGGCAGCTGCCATCGAGACACTCTACCATGCGATTTCAATCCTCTCTTGCCGATCCAAAACCTGGGCCGACCCACAACGTTCCAGCACTTCCTTTCTCCGCCAAAGCCTCTCGACTGCAACTTTGAGTTCCACCGTAATCAACGAACTGCAAGACCACCACCTGACTCTCTTCCCATTCATCCCCTACGCCATGTCGCTCGCCATGAGCATCTCATACCGAGAAATGCGCCACAGCAAACTGACATTACACCGCACGAGAGCCCGAATCCAATTCCAGACCCTCTGCGACGCTCTCTCGAAACTGGATGGCATCTTCTGGTCCGCGTCCGCAACATCAGATATGGGCAAGAAGTTATTGAGAGAGATGGATAGAGTGGTATCTACAGTTTCCAACAGCTCGGAAAGAAGACTCGAGCAACACTCTGCTCAGAGCACAGAGAATTCATCTATTGCAGCTACAGCAGCTATGGATCACACGATGGCTGATGACCAGAATATGTTGAATGGAAATGGAGACGTAACGGCACACACGATGCAAGATGTCGATCCTTCGATCTTCGAATCCATTTCTGATATAGACTTGTTTGGCATGTTTGACCCCGCATTCGACCTCGACGGTTTTGATGCTTGCTTGGAAGGGAATCTCAATCCGGCATTACCTACGAATTTTCAGTGACATTCTCGTTTGGTCAAGTCACATCAGCACCAGGTGCGAGAACAACATCAATGACTCGGTGAGCTAGTACACTAATCGTACTCCGCTGTCAGAATTAGCAAGCGTAAATAACTAATTTAATTATAAGTACAGTTGCTCACCCTCTTCCATGTTGATCAGTCCAGGGTATAAGTGCATCCATATAGCCACATCAGCCGGATCCAAGGAATTCACGAGGTCAAGTACCGATTTAATTGTTTTCTGAAATATATCCATAGGCAAATGGAAGTAGGAAACCCGTTGGGGGACCATATCTTATTCAAAGATCAATACGCTTTACCTAATTAAATGACTTAATTTCCGAGAGTTTAGTATCTCACAAAACGAGAGCAAAAGCAAGAGGTGGTGGGAGGAGTTCAGAGTTGGGGGAAGCTAGCATATCTTGTATGAGGTTCCAACTTAGAGGGGGCTTGGGGGGGACTATGTCTTATAAAGCCTAATCCTTTATTTTAGACTATTTCAGTACTTTAGAAACAATTGATCCGGGAGACGCTCTAAGATCATCTTCATGGAGCTGGTAAAGTCTGGTCTCCGCTGATCCCCTCAACTGACAGACGGTGTGGCGCTTTTCTTGCTGGCTTTCTGAGAGAGAAGTTGCTCTCTCTAGCAGCGGATCTCCTGCAACACATGTTGATTGGTGTTGTATGTAAACTGGACGTTGTAGAGGTAACAAAGACGTTGACGTTGTCTTCAAACCTTTCTATGCTTATCGCGAAAAATTACAAAAGGTTAGTCGAATCGCTGGGAAACGCTTCGAGAAGATTTATTAGAAAGTTGTAATTAATAACATGCTGTGGTCTCCCCACCAAACAAATTTCTTTCGACAGCGCGGTCGGAACTTTAGCTACAGTATAAGAACCTTTCAGACTAGCTTGTTCTTCGGCTCCGCCCCTAAAGGATAGAAAAAGGGATCAGGGACGAATTAAAATACGAAGAACTTCGTTTTCGAATAAATATTTTTGGAAAACAACTTGAATTAATACGGTAACAACCCTTTCTAAAGGGACTAAACAAAGCGGATAAAAGCTAAGGAAGAGACGTATTCCTCGTCGAGCTGTCATCGCATATTAATCTTACCTGAAGGGATCAAGTGAGGACAGAGGCTGAGAAAGAGACGTATTCCACGACATATATTTGACACTACGGAACAATTCTTTGACCTTTATCCGAAGACCTACGGAATGGAAGAACAAAGATGCGAGACGCTAACCTAGTTTTTACATGTCGAGTCCGTCGCAAGCAGCGTTACGGTGCGTCGTAAAATCTCGGAAATCAGGACCGACATTTACGATCCCCCAGCCGTAACAGCGCCCCCAACAACCATCCTCTGGGTATTGAGGAAAGCGTCGGTGACAGCCTGCATGTTGACTTCTTCGGCTACTTGTTCACTTTCTTCTCCACCACCTGCTACTTCTCTATCGAGCTCCAACTTGCTCTTGCCCATTGCCAGAATACTCTCCTCGATTGTGCCTTCAGTAACAATGGTAACCACCTCGACATCTCTGGTTTGGCCAACTCGATGGGCTCGGTTTCCAGCTTGGACATCGTCTTGGGGGTTGAAACTGCTATCGAAGATAATGACCTTGTTGGCAGCCACCAAGTTGATACCAGTGCCACCAGCCTTGGTGGTTAATAGGAAGACCGTGATATCTTCATTATCGTAGAAGCTATCAATCATAGTTTGACGAACATCCACACTGGTTGCGCCATCGATGCGTACATAATCAATTCCGATAGTGTTTAGCACGGCTTCCAAGATGTCGAGAACCAGACTGAACTGAGAGAAGACGAGGGCTCGATCGCCGTTTGCCTTATATGACTGGACGAGCTCGACCAAAGTATCCACTTTGCCAGAGTTCATCCATGCGAGATCCGGGATGTCGAACTTTGCAATACACGGATACACACTGCAATATACACTATGTATTCCGAAGTCCGACGCGTTGCGTAGCTCTTGGAGAAGATGTTCGATATTCAGGGATGGGTTGAACGCGACCGGCTCCTTTGCGCGGAGGATCTTTGCCATTTGTTGTATCTTATCCTCAGTAAACCATCGTCTGAACAGAAGCGGATGGATTGCGGCTTTGCGGAGCTGCATAATTTCGTTCTTCTCCAGGGGTTCCTCCTCGTCGGTCTTCGAAGCTTTCTTTGGGACTCTTTTCGCTCTCTTTTCGCCGTCTTTCCTGGCGTCTACTGCTTCCTTTGCCTCCTTCTTCGCAACCTCTCTCTCTGCCATTGCTTCGAGGAACGTTTCGGAAATGGTCTTCTGATCTTCGTGCATAGTTGCTTTTACGACTTTGTAGGTCTTATCCGGTAGGTCCTTCAACACCTGCTGCTTCTTGCGACGGAGCACAAACGGCTTGAGGATGTTTCTAGCACGGTCAATTCTCTGCTGGGAGAGCAATTGCTTGTGATTTGTGTCCTTAGTGGTAGTTTTCGACTGGAATATAAAATTTAGGTCTTCGGCTACTTCGACAAACACTTGAGGAAGGATAAAGGCGAGAAGTGCAACCATTTCTCGAAGGTTGTTTTGTAGAGGAGTGCCGGTAAGGAGAAGTCGGAAATTGGCTTTGATAGTCATCAATCCTTTATACCTCGCTGTGCTAGGGTTCTTAAGGAGATGGCCCTCATCGTATACACAGACCTAAGATCTGTTAGTAATGCTAATTGATGTACATTAATTTAACTTACATCTGCTCCTAATCTCCTCAAGAACTTCGCGTCATCCTTCTTGTTAGCCATCTCGTACGTAGTGACAATGACATGAACCTTGTGCTCTTCATTGTCTCCAGCACGTGCACCAATCATAAGCATTTCTGCCAATTCTCCTCGCATTTCCTTTCCGCCTAGAACAAGTCAGTAAGATCCCATTGTACCATGACTCAGCTACTTGCCGTGATATGGATCGACTTTGAGGTCAGGGGAAAACTTCTGGAATTCTCGGAGCCAATTCTCTAAGGTTGAAGCAGGACACACCACAATATGCGGACCCGTTCGGCCATTTTCAACAAGGTGAGTAAGGAAAGAAATGACTTGGCAAGTCTTTCCTAATCCCATGTCATCTGCAAGAATGCAACTCAACTTGTATTTGTACATCAAAGCCAACCAATTCAAGCCGACAATCTGATAATCCTTCATTGGGTAATCCTTCGCCATTGTTTCGGGTTGTTCAAGCAGTGCAACCTTTCTCTTTCTTTTGGTGACAGGACCTTTGATGTCCTCATCGCCGTTGTTGAAAGTATCGCGACTACTAGGAGATCCCAACCCAGAGTCGACCTGGGAAGTGTCGGCTCCCTCCAAAGAGGTCAACTCAAGTTCGCCCTTCGTTGACGCACCAAGAATGTCCAATCCCCAGCCTGCCATTTCCTTGATTGCCGGCTCACTGAGGTCAGCGCAATTTGTCTCGAGAATTCCAACAGCGTCGAAGCTCTTGAACATGTCTATACACTTTTCGACGATCTTATCTCCAAGGGGCATCCTCTTGCCTTTCCCTTTGCGACCCACCTCCCTAGCCGCCTCAATTGACTTCAACGGTCGGGCATCAAGCATGATCTGAGCGTCTGCCTCACTGAAGTGGGTAGTATCAATCAAGTCCTCGAGCGTACATTCCTTCAGATAAGCCAAGACTCGAGCCTCTAACGATGATCTATCATCCTCTCCATCTTCGGCTCCAGATGCTGATTCAGAGCCAGGATCTGAATCGTATGCCTCAGCAACTATAGGCTTCAAGGGTGATGTAAGTGGAGGGACCGCGGGTGAAGAGGGATCTTTACGTCCTTGAACTAGTCGCTTCTTCGGCTTTAGAGGAGTTGCCGCCGTAATTTGTTGTTTAGATCGAGAATGCATGGAAGAGTATCTCTCCGAAATGGATGCAACAGGTACTTGTACATGCTTCAACTGAGGATTCGCCTTCTTCATGCTCTGGGGACTTTCGATCTCATCATCAGAGCCAATCGTGATGACCTCTGGCTCATCCAATAGAATTGTAAGGGCACCATCAACATTGAACTTTGCTCGCTGCAAGGCAGCATATGCCGTCGACTTCGATTTGGATGGCATGACACTTCTGATATGCTCGAGCTGCTTCTTTACAACATCACTTAGATTCTCAGGAATAGTATGGACTGGTTGTGCTCTGGAAGGGCCATTTTGGGCTTGTGGCTTCTTCAGCGCGCCATATCCACTGGACAGTGAAGCCGGCTTACGGTTGGCCGGGCCTTGATATGCGGAGGTCGCAAGAATCGATTGAAACCTGGAATTACCATTCACTCCATCCCGTGCATCCTTCGAAGGTGAGACTGGGGCTCCGAAAGAGGAATTGGCGCTGCCGGAGACAAATTTTGTCGGCTTGATGTTGGCCAAGTCTTTCGTGTTTTCTTCATCAGAACTGATCTCTTGATAATATCTCGGCTCGCCATCGTCGGCGACAGGAGGGAAGGGCTTCAGGTTGATAGCAACAGGTGATCTGAAGGAGGTGCCAGCAGGTGCCATGATCTTGGCCAGGTTTGTTGGCACAGAGCCATTGTTCTGCGGAACTCGACCGTTGGCGCGGGAAGGATTCGGGGTGACTTCTCTGCCACTGATTGGAGATGATACTGGGACTTGGACGAAGATCTCTGGAGTGTCGGGCGAACTTGATCTCAGCTTCGAACCCTGCGGCAGGAGCTGTGTGGGTTGCGTCTGATACCGATCGCCTGGCGTGTCTGGGACAACAGTGGCATCGTCGTTGGCGGAGTTGTACCCATCTGTATTGTTCGCAGAGGTCGAAGGTGAGTTGTAGCCATTGGCCGTTCTCTGCCTCTTCACCACCGGAGAGTGTGCCACCAATGACGCGGGCGTCTTTGCGCCGTCGTCGAAGGCCATCGCGAGGAGGTTCAAAGAATATGCTTCGGTGTTGTTGGTTGCGCAGGTGGTAGATCAGAGTTGCGAAGTTTCGAGAGGCGCAGATCGAGAGGGTTTTAAGGAAATTTTCTTGACTCTTCGTCTATTCTGAAAGTGAGTCGAAGAAAGGCAGACAAAGAGGAGTCGACTGGCTGCTTCACGTCAACTTCAATTTTCTCCTGCTTTCCAATCCCGTCCAAGGAAAAAAGCAAATGGCAGTACAATGCAGCACAATACCCACCAAGGAAATAGAAAAGGAAGAGGCCGTAAATTTGCGTAAAGCGAGCGTCGTGGTCCTCCAATCCTCTAGAGTCGAGGGGAAGGAGAGTTGTGCCAAAAAAGAATTGTGACGACGATAATGATTCGCGCTACGCGCTTGCCCTTTCGCGAGAACACGAGCCAATTCACCCACCCGTTTCCAAGTGACCAGCATCTCCATCAAACACCTGATACTACACGCTTACTCCGAAGGTCAAGAGACGACATCATGGCCACCAGAAGGATTATCTCCGGCGAAAAGACCATTCTAGAGAAAGATGACAAGGACTTTTCCCAGGCTGCGGGTGAAAAGAGCAATATCGCCCCTGCAGTCCCTGCGTGAGCCTCAAAACTCCACCAATTTCTGGTTTATGGTCAACTGGATGCTAACAATGATTCAAGGCATGTGATATATAAGCTCTTAGGCTTCACTTTGGCTATGGTTGTTGGCCCTATTGGTTCTTACTTTCTCACTTTGAACACGCTGTTCGGGGGTAGATATATCTCTTCTTGCTTAGATCCTACAAAGCTTACGGAAGACAGGAAACTCGACCTATGCTGGTGCCTTAGCTGCAATCATGGCTAATGTAGTTCTCATCGGATATGTCATCGTTGCGTTTCAGGAAGATCAGACTGAGGCTGTGGAAGCAAAGGAAAAGGAGAAGAGAGAAGGGAAGAAGGGATTATAGTCATGTGATGTGTCTATGTTTTTCACCGCACACGTTCTGGAGTATGGTTGGGAAGCTTCGAACAAGGACTGAGGCTTGTAAATTTAAATATTAAGGCATTCGAGATGGATTTGCAGAGCTGATTTGCCTACATATTCACTACAATCTCCTGCCACCACGAGGCAAACAAAACGTGAGCAATCATAGGGAAAGTGGTATCTGTTGTCCTTTGCCAACCATATCATTCTGCAAATGGTTGACGAAGCCCTTATTGTGAAAAACCTTACGCCGTGGATGCACATCCAACCTAATCCGCCAATTTGTCCCATTATAACCTGACCTGAGGACGATAACCGCCCATGAGAGTCGTAAAAAGTCCACGTAGGGACACACCCACGTTCCATAATTCAACATTATAATGACCTTCTCCAAGAAGTCCGTAGTTTACGACTTGCTGAAACGTTTTCCGAACCATGACTTCCGCTTTTCGCCCGGGGAAGGTCGTTGAGGCACGTTTTGTGGTCCAGCATTACCACTACTAGCACCAAGCTTGATTGGTACTCTAGAGGCGCTCTCCTTCTGGGGAACTGGTGGAGGACCTTGATTCTGATAACCATTTCCCTGCCTCTGGGCGCCATTGGCAGGGTTGGCTACATACTGTTCTTGCAGGCCGCTCCCAGGAGGTGCATATTGCGGGTTGTTTCCAAATCCGCTAAATCCGTAGGTTTCACCTGGCTCTTTGGCAGGAAGAGGAGCAATCCGATCAACAGAACTGTTCTCACTGCTTGGGTCTGTCGAATAACCAGCGGGATCTCCCGAGCTTCCACTACCAGATGCCGTGTTCACCGTTTCGTACGACTGCTGATTTCCAGGTGCAGGATACACTCCTGGATGATTGAAGTGCGGCTCGGACGCTGTTCGAGGGTAACGAGCTCTATTAGAATAGTAGCCATTTCCTGGGCCAGCATTTTCGGGTCCGTTGTAGTAGCTGTCTGGTCTCTGAGCATAACTCTCAGGCCTGTATGACTGCGACCGCCCTCCATAATAGCTATTTTGAGGCATTCTAGGTCTTTCATCTGTTGTCACTTGAGTCCCTGTTAAATAATTAGCGCCACAGATCCTAAATGCGAGATGAGACGCTAAATAAAGGGTCGTTTCGGTTCAGTTGGGGTGGGCTTGCCAAGCATTCGGTTCGGCACTAGCCTGAGAAATCCTGATTTCATCGAAATTTGACTTTCCCATTGCGGGCGCAAAGCCCGAAGATGCGCCAGAACAGCGAAATCCAGGACCAAATCTCTCGATATGGCATCTGAACTGCTGTTCGAGCATACTTTCGAGTCTAGCTCCGGTACTCATCGAAAAAACCCATGTCGTTGTGGAGGAAGAAAAGTGTACACGAGTTGTCTACAATAGACTAGAAAAAATTGATGGCATACCTCCATAATAACTGCTGCGGCGATTGTAGTTTGATTGACCGTCGCCTGACTCTGCGATAACATATCCGTCAGCATATATCTTCAATAGACGTTATAGCCCTAGACTGTCTGAAGTCTTACCTGTGCGCATGTATGATTTACGAGAGTAGTTGCCATCAATGGCAGCTTCGAACGATCGAATGGTATCGAGAGGTCTCTCCCATCGGCTTCGTGTAGGATTCGAGCGATCAGGATCGGCTGCGAGAGGAGAGAAATCAGTCTTGTTCTTTTGAATTGGATGAGGAAGATTCATACCAATTGGATTCCCGTTATTGTCCAAATGCTTAATCGCACGAATAGGTGCCAGTGACGACTTTACACCACTCGCAACCGCAGCTATCAGAATCATCAGTCTCAGTGAGCAGAACCGTTGTGGTGGTGATGATGATGAGGGAGGCATTAAAAGCAAAAGAAAGTGTACTCACAGGGTTCCATTTCTTGGATTGCCATAGATGGATCGGCTTTTGTTTGCAGACGTCGGGATTGCTTCTCTTCGTGCGTCTCGTGAAGATCAATCTTGTGTCCACTGCCACTGCTCTTGTGTGAATGGAAACTGAAGCTCGACTTCGCCCGTTGGCGACCCTGTGGTCTCTGCTGCTCGAAGGATTGCTGGCCCGGAGGCGCTGGTAATGAGTGATTCGCCGACATCTTAAGTCAGATCAGGGTCTGTTTCGTGGGAAGCGTTGTGGGTCTCTGATAGCGGTGATTGTGATGTCTGTAATTACGGATCGTGCTCCGTCTTATCGAGCAATCTGTGGAGATGGAGGTGGCTGGTAGGAACGTCGAAAAGATGGGAGGCTGGAATTATATGAAGACGACCTCTCGCTGACGATACGAGAGATGGAGCCTGAATGAATCAGAATTTATGAAGCGATCCTGGAAGTGAAGGCTTCGTGGTGTGACTGGTGGTCCCAAAAATGTTGAGACAGGCCAATATTGAACGAATGACGCCGAGTGTTCGGAAGGTCGGTCGGTGATTTAGTAGCTCCCAGAGCCAAAGCGAATGCGCGCACAGGTTCAATGCGGTCGTGAGGTTTGAAATACGTTACAATAGAGATGAATGAAAATTATGGAGGAACGACTGAGGAAGTAAAGTGTGAATTACTTCTAGGTTTTGGGGATGACGAGCGAGGGAGGGGAAAATGTGGATGTGGAGTGTTTCTAGCTGACGAGTTTGTGGGCAAGACCATCCGTATGTATATCAGGAAGGCGCACCGCAGCCACGACGTGAGATGCTAGCTGCACGCTTGGGAGGGAATACGGGCGAGAACTTTACTGTTTGCGACGCCGTGCTGGCTCGCCGTATCCTAACAATAATCCTACACGACAAGTCCCAGGGTAGGTCGTGGCCGGCGACCGCATGGTGAACTCTCTTTGGACGAGCTGCTCGATTTTCTGGAGTACGGACACACACTACGGCCATCCACGCAAGCTGATCTCGCACCTAACCACCTAAACCTTCAGTGCGATACATATCACACTATGCACTTTTTGGGGCTAATGCAAGACCATGGATTGATTCCCTTCAAACTTGTGCGAGCTCGAACCTATCGTACCGGACGGTAAGAAGCTCGACCTTGAAGTTAGCATGCCGTGCAAGATGCGGTGGCATCGAGCTCTCTCGCCGCCCATGATTTGCCCTATCGCCAGGGTCCAAGACTGACTTCGTCCTGCATCCTACCTTAGAGTATTTTTGGTCTGACCCTTGACAGACGATATGTATCCGGGACTTTCACACTACTTGCTCAACTAAAAGGTTTGGATTTTCCATCCCGAACAACGGATACCCAGATACCCACCCTTTGGACTCTTGGGGAAGCCAAGTCGTTCATCAGCGTTGATCGTGTATCAGAACATCTTCTGCTTGACACGGACAATCCCTGGCCAAAACCTCTTCCTGCTATTCTTCGGTCCTGGTAACGAGACATCAACACGCAGTGAAAACCTGTTGCTCTGCATTCATGCCAGGATTTCCGGACGTGGGTGGCTTGATTTTTGATCAAAGTTCGTACCTTACCAACTCCATAGCCGGCAGTGTGGGAGGCAACGTCTCAGGTCGGAAGTCTCGGAGTCCACACAAAAAATGCCATCCCTCCAGAACGGGTAAAGATGATTCGTCGGATTGAACTGGATTTGCCGCATGGCTCGTGAGGACGAACAGTCAACAGTGACATATCACGCTTTCTTAAACTCATCCATAGTGATAAGAAGCTTTGTGTACCTGAAATCTGTACGGACCTGTCACAACTTTGGAAGAACTCGGCGAACCCAGACTTTCACGAGATGCTGCTAGCATTAGAGATTCCCTTGCTTGAGCTGTGCCATGTTGCATTTCATCCTGATCCTAGCGAACACATGCAGTCATTCCATATGACGCGGGCAACCGAGAAAGGGAGCCGATTTGATAGCCCCCAGGATCTTGATAGCGGTTGATGGGCTCGTTCCTAGTCGAAGTTCCGACCTCCGAGACTGACTGCTGATGCCTGGGCACAGTCTGTACAGTGAGTCCAGCGCTTCACCTCCTTCATTTTGAGTTTGTTCATTGAGAGAGCAGTTGTCGAAAGAAAATCAATCCAAAGCGTAACGGATAGGTCTCTATCTAATGCAGTATACATGCCCTTTGCAATACGCACAGATCGATAAGATAATTTCGGTCATCTTGTTAATTCATGTAAGGCAATGGTTCTGGTTGATGACTTGGGAAAATAGAGAGAAAGTCTGCTTGAATCTATGCTGCCGAGCCATTCATGAGCGAGCTGTTCAGTGGAAAACATACGTGCAATGCTTCCATGCTTACCAGTCTGCTGGGTAGCAGCTTGCAAGATATTATAGTAGGGGAAGAAATCCTGGGGTAATTGATGCTTATTTGTCTTTGGTAGGCAAAACATATAGCCCCAAAGCCACCTCACTTGAGTGCTTGTCTGATCATGGCTCACGGGAAGATAAATTACAACACACAAACAACGCAATTCGAAACGCATATACTGCATGCCCCAGTTCATATAAACCTTCCCAGTCTCTGCAACGGAGCCGCATCGCTTCATGGCTCGGAGCCTCCAAATCATATCACAGTCTTTCAATCCACCTGGTTGGTATTTACTTTCATTCGAATGCTACCAGCAAGGCTATGCGCTCATTTTGCTGCCCAACCCAGTGATCGAATAGTAGCAAGTCATCAACCGTCCACCGCAACCAACTCCAGACCACTCCACCCTCTTATATCGAAGATGGGTACAACATAATTCTCACGGATGCGCCGAATGACTTAGGAGGGAGGTTGCGTCGGAACTGTGCTCGTACTACACCGGAGTTGCCTAAAGAATATATCAGCATCATAACCACTGACCCCAGGATAAGAGTCATACCATGTGGCCGAGTGACCTTTCCCCAGATAACTCTGATCTTGGATCCTCTAACCTCCTTCTGCGCACGGTAAACAAAAGCAACCTTCTTTCCGAGGTAGAAGCTAGCACGAATGTCAATATTCCTCCTTCCTTTGAACCATATATAGAACGTACTTTGCGGCCTTGGTATCAGAGACACCCTCGATCTGAATCAAGCTCGTTCCTGGGGTGGTGTTGCGCTTGCCACGTTGGTAGCTCAGATGGCGACCCCTATAATGCTGTGAATCAGCCCGTGCCCTACAGTCTCTTGTGTGAAGATTTCCCAGCTCGATTTCCCAACTGCTCCTCCATCTAACCGTGTTTACATTGTCTGATTTGATAATGATATTACTTACTTGACATAGACTGCAGATAGAAGTTAGCATATGGACATGTAAAGAAGATTAGAATAGTAGAATCTTCTTGTGTCCAAGTAGGGCGATTGTTCATATACAAATCCCTCCATTTGAACCAAGTGCGACTCAGGATCAGGTCTGGACTTACGGCGGTGACCAGCTTCTGAAGGCATCTTAACTGCAGTCTCTCGTACTAGATGGCAGTTCGAGAGGTTGAGAGAATGTGGTCAACGACACGTCCTGGCGAAAAGACTTCGTTGATTTATTGTCGAATTTGGCGTTGTCGTTGAATTGGTTGACGATTTCTCTTTTGAAAATGGGTTGTGTGCGAGTCGTTTCGGCTTAGTGAGTTCGGCCGCATCACATGATTGATCCACTTTGAAATACGCTAGTACAAATAACTCTTCTCTCGCGATTCACCTCACCTCAGAGGTTATCATTCTGATTTTCAAGGCTATAGAGCTTATTCAATCCACTTGTAAAGCGTGTATTACTTTATCTGATATAACAAGAGATAACAATTATATCATTTAGTTGGGCATATCTTTCATGTGGTTTGTATCTATGGTGGATTTGTGGAACACCACCACCGTGGCTATTGACGAAGTCTGGGCAAGAAGGAAACACATAAAAATTATGACTTTAACATGGCACAATACCTGTGATATGACCATAGTCATATAAGGTCAATTGGAGTCCTACATGCTTTACTATTGGAGGGTCCAATGTCAGTCCAATGTCAGTCCAATGTCAATCCAATGTCCCACAAGTCTTACACTCTGGTGAAGATTTATAATGTTTCCGAGGAGTTGAACACTTGATTGGTGCTCTTAACCTCCACGTCTCCCAACTATTGCTCACGAGTCAAAAAAGTAATTGATAACTTCCCTGACAGGCCGATTCATTCATTCCGGTCTGAGCTGCCCGCGGTCGCAAAGAGACCAACCTGAATCGGACAGCGCGAGCGTTGCGAGGAGATGGAGATGTCCATCAGGCTCAAACCCTCCCAAATCCGCATCCGCTCCGCTGCCTAGCAACGTCACGGCATATCAGTCAGGCCAACCTTGAAGTCCGGAGATCCCTTGAGCGTGGAGCGAGGCTGAGAGTCGCGGACATGGTTTTGCTTAGAAAACACACACCAACGCACGAATGCTTAGTGATCTCGTAGCTTCTTCGAGTCCAGAGTTGTCCAGAGTTTTGCCGTAGGATGGGGATGCACTGGATAAAATCCTGGCCGCAATAGCTGCACCACCGGTGTTGATCGTCCCTCTGATCTGGAACAATATAATCGTGAGCTGCTGGCCTTGTCGCAACGCTCAAACAGCTCTCCACCCGTCTCCGAGGACTCCCAAACATCTCGCTCCCTCCCTCTGTGATCGTTGCGAGAAACGAGAAACGTGCATCGAGAAATTTGGTGCAGGTGCCAGGAAGGTCGAAGCGTCACACCTAATTCCGTTGCAAAGGCCGCTCACGACCCCGCCAGACTACCGTAGCTCCCCTCCGATTTTACCTATCCTACCCTACTCTTCTGCTCAACACTTCCAAGCTCCGGTCCACCAACCTCGCAACCTGAATCATACCGACTCTTTCCCTTTCCTTTCTACTTATTCCTCTCGTTGTCCGACTTTTCAGCCGGATAGCCTCGAATTATACTCAAAATGGCCGACACCATGATCAAGCCCGAAGAGCCCCATAATGCTGGGTGAGTGTCTCATAGTATTTTGCCGGCGGTCTACGTCACTCTTCAGCGAGCGCCCGTTGCCAAAGAGCTGTCGCATTTGAACATCACCGTTCAAAGCTGTGAGCGCCGGTCGGGGAGCTGCGGAATGCGTCGACGACTTGATCGAGAGCTTCTTGGATGCCAATCATGTTGCGCTTTTGAAACTCAATTTGCTAATCTCTTTTCTGTCCCACCAGCACCATTGAGTTGAAGGATAACACCGTGATCGTTGTCCTCGGAGCTTCTGGAGATCTGGCAAAGAAGAAGACGGTAATCATTACATCTTACCTCCATTTGGGCTATTGCTAATCAGTTTTCCCTGCAGTTCCCAGCACTATTCGGCCTTGTAAGAACTCGCCGCACGGCCTGTAATCCCGCAATGCGCTGACTTGCACAATCACAGTACCGCAACCAATTCCTACCAAAAGACATCAAGATCGTCGGATATGCGCGAACGAAGATGGACCATGAGGAATACCTCAAGCGGGTTAAGTCTTATATCAAGACGCCAACGAAGGATATGGAGCAGCAACTGCAAGATTTCTGCAGCGTCTGCACATACGTATCTGGACAATACGACAAGGACGAGTCGTTTGTGGAATTGGAGAAACATATGGCGGAGCTTGAGAAAGGCCGAAAGGAAGCCAACCGGATCTTCTACATGGCGTTGCCACCCAGCGTTTTCACTACGGTTTCCCAGCATTTGAAGAAAAATTGCTATCCCACGAATGGTATTGCCAGAATTATCGTATGTACTCTTATAGTAGAAGTGCCCACAAAATCTTAACATGATTCAATAGGTCGAGAAGCCGTTCGGAAAAGATCTTGCAAGCTCGCGAGAGTTGCAGAAGGCTCTGGAGCCAAACTGGCACGAAGACGAGATTTTCCGTATTGATCATTATCTCGGAAAGGAGATGGTCAAGAACATTTTGATCCTGAGATTTGGAAATGAATTCTTTGGAGCCACATGGAACCGCAATCACATTGACAATGTCCAGATCTCTTTCAAGGAACCGTTCGGAACAGAGGGACGAGGTGGTTACTTCGACGAATTTGGAATCATCCGAGATGTTATGCAGAACCATCTGCTCCAAGTCCTGACTCTGCTTGCCATGGAAAGACCAATCTCTTTCTCTGCAGAAGATGTTCGTGATGAGAAGGTCCGAGTTCTTAGAGGAATTCCAGCAATTGAACCAAAGAATGTCATCATTGGCCAATACGGCAAATCGCTCGACGGTAACAAGCCATCGTACAAAGAGGATGATACTGTTCCTAAGGATTCGAGATGTCCCACATTCTGTGCTATGGTGGCATTCATCAAGAATGAGAGATGGGATGGAGTTCCATTCATTTTGAAGGCCGGTAAGGCTCTCAATGAGCAGAAGACTGAGATCAGAATTCAATTCAAGGATGTCACCTCTGGTATCTTCAAGGATATCCCACGGAACGAGCTTGTTATGCGGATTCAACCAAACGAAAGTGTCTACATCAAGATGAACTCGAAGCTGCCCGGTTTGAGCATGCAAACTGTTGTCACCGAACTGGACCTGACCTACCGCCGCCGTTTCTCCGACCTCAAAATTCCTGAAGCCTACGAATCTCTAATCCTCGATGCACTTAAGGGTGATCACTCTAACTTCGTTCGTGACGACGAGCTGGACGCCAGTTGGAGAATATTCACTCCGCTCCTCCACTACCTCGATGATAACAAGGAAATCATTCCCATGGAATACCCATACGGTCCGTTCTCTCCTCAATCATTGTTTTGAATTCCACTGACTTGCTCTATAGGATCGCGTGGCCCTGCCGTTTTAGACGACTTCACTTCATCTTACGGATACAAATTCAGCGATGCCGCTGGCTACCAGTGGCCAACCACTCAAACACAACCAAACAAGTTGTAAGTATGCACTACATCTAGACATAGACCGAGAGCCAGGATAGATAGAAAGAATGCATGTTAAGACATCTTTCCCAATAGCTGAGCAAGAGCCCACAAATACGGGAATCCACATTCAACACGCCCTGAGATAGCTTTATGACTCTCTCCCTAACAAGCGGATATGTAGGCTGGCCTCGTCATCGAGGTCAATTTCCTTTCTTCTTGCTTGTTTGTCGGTGCGGGCGTCACGAAAACGGGTAAGCCTGAAGGAACGAGGGATGGCTAGTATAATGAAACAATGGCAGAGCTATAGAATGAAAATGCGATGGTATTATGAAATAGTCTTCTTTTCGCTCAGTATGCTATGCTTATTGCGTGCTCTGCTACGTTGTCAAAAACTTCTCGCGTTGAAGAGCCAGCCGTACTGCATATGCACTTTTCCTAGCTATACACCTTTCTTGCTTGCCCTATTACTTAGTTGCTACCATTGGCAGATTAATCCAACATCTACTCTTTTTGTCACCGCCAAAGCCACATGACTGGCGACTCAAGCCCTGTCGCTTAACAACTCGGGCGAGGCAAAGGGTTTCTATTGACCAGAAGAAGTCAAGAATCCAACTTTGAGAAACCCACACACTTTCCTTCCAAGACCGAAGAAATCAAAAGCAAAAAGTTCACGAGCAACGCAGTCGCCCAGCGATTGCTTCTATCAAAGCCACTGGTTTCTCGTCGCGTAATCTGTTTCTGGACCTCGCCTTCGAACCAGAAATACTGCACCTCGTGGCGGCTTTGGTAGTTGGTGGGGTTACCTATCTAAGTATATGTGAATTGGATCTTGTAAGAGGTACTAGAGATTCGCAGGTGACGTGGTGGGCCAGAAGTGAATTTCTGAGAACTTGAAATCTCTTTTGTTACTTTGAGATTCAATGAAGCTTTCTTTTAAATCTCTGTGCTTTCGTTGTTGATCTTCGTGTTTTCTTTATCATACTTTAAATGCCGCTCATCTAGTGAATCTTTCTTGCATACTTGAGCAATCATTATGATTGTTAATCATGTACAGCGCTGGTTGACCATTGTCACGGCGATGATTCAGTATTAAGTCTGTTTCTTCTCTACGTCCCAATTTGTGATCATTCTTGTTCAGCTTAGAGTTCTCATTGGAAATCTACGTACGTTCACAGCTTAGCTGTCATTCTTCAGTCGAGACATCAAGTAACGAGTGTAATACTGGCACTCTACCAGCCTCCTGCCCCAGTACCAATAGTAACATGGCTCTCAGACAATCTTAATTATGTTGAGTGCTTGCTGATGGCCTATTTTCTTGCCTATATTTCGTTCTACGAACTAGCTTTCATTCGGAGACATTCTAGGTATCCATGACGGTAATGATTCAAAGACACATCGTATGCGTTGTTCAAATATACCATTCGTTGAAAGACAAAGATTGACGTAATATTATTTCTGCTGTTGCTGTCACGATGTCGAGTCCATTTACATAACCTTTCCCTCTCCCGTTCATATAAATCAAACGTCTTCTGCAAAGATCCTCACATCACCTGAAAACCAAACACCGTTTTGAACATAAATCTCATCAGCATCTCCAAGAATGTCAGCTCCACCGTCGTACTCAGAGCCACCACCTCGTTACTCTCAAGTCGTGGATCCAAATCCTGCCAGGTACGCCGTCAACAATAGGCAGGCTTTTCAAGTTGCTCCACTGCCCAGCCGCCAGCAGCATCCTGTAGTCCAAGCACTTCCATTCCACCAGGCGTACAACCCCCAACCATACATGCAGCCTTACATGCAACCTTACCCCAATGTCCAATATCAGCAGCCATACGTACCATACGTACCCCACAACTATTTCTATCCTCCATTTGGGAGCACTGTACAACCATACCCAACGCCAACGCCATTCTATCAACCACAATCTACTATGTACCAAGCCTCTCCTCAAATAGCATCTACTGAAGCCCACGAGTATCAACAACAGTCTTACGTGCCACCTCCACCTTCTGGATATGTCGCGATCCCAGGGACAAATTTTGCCGTGCCAGAAGAATGGATAGCAGGCAATAGTAAAAAGAGCAAGAAGAGTAGGAAAAAGAATAAATGTGCCAAAGCCCTCTTACGAGTATTGTATGGTTAGCAATGCGTGCCCTAAGTTGTGCTCTCTCTAGCTAGGCAATATAAGAAATAGACATCTTTAAAACATACACACTAGTGACCAGAACATGAACTTGCGAAAAAGGGTGCTGGAGTCAAAGCAATGAATATTTGATCTGCAAAACATTCAGGCCAATAACCGATTTCTGAATCATAAAAAGCGCAAACCAATTCGCAAGCAAGAAACGCAAAGAACAAACCAGAAACACAAACTTCCCACTCAAACATCCAATGCTACTTAGCCAACGACACACCTACTCGTCGTATTACGACATAAGTTGAGACATCATAACAATGACTACCATCAACGAACCGGAAAATCCTCTCCTCACGCGCAACAAACCACTCACCCACACCCTCACACCAACACTCGAGATTCGCCTGGATCCTCTTTGTTCGCGCTCCTACATCACATTCGCGACTTTGAACAAAAACTTCTCTTTCCTGCTGGATAAAACATATCCACATAGACCACCGTCCCCATCTGTCTTTCCAGGCGAGAAGGCGGTTAAGGGGTATGATTGTGTGATTCTCCCTCTTGAGATCCGGGATACGGAAAACAAGATTCTGAAGGTTGAGGTTGAGGCTAGACTTTGTCAGGGGCTTGACGGTGTTGGGAGCATGCACGGAAAGGTTGTGCTTGGGAAGGATTTCTGGGGCAGGGAGAGTGTGAAGGTTTGCTGGATTGTAGAGAAGAAGGAGAATAACGGAAGTGGATGGTGGGGAAAGGGCAAGAACAGAGATGATGAGGATTTCCTGGGAATGTTCGTTGGGAACAGAAGGGTGCGGTTTGAGAGGAAATGAAGCACGAGTCTGTGTACAAAACACTGATGGGGAATGATGGGATATAGGTATCAGCATCGTAGTACCACTTGGTTTACATTGCATGCTGGGAGTAGGAAATGGCCATTCCAAATCACAAAGTCAACATCACTCCCCAGATATTCAAAGAGGTTACCAACAAGCATCCAGCTGGATTCGAAGTCCGTATGAATTATGTTCCCTGGCGTTTGTTGAAAGCTACCCTTTTATGCCCAAACTCCAATCCTTATGCTCACTCCATCCCATGCTTAAGCACAAACCAACCTACGCACATCCTTAAGCAGGTCTTCTCCTCGCAAACTCCTCGAGATCTGTCCTTGTTGCAACACCCAACACAAATCGTCTTCGCTCATCCGTAACCACAGCGAATTCTTGCTTGCCATTTTCGCCATTCTCACCGCCGTTGAAGAATAATTCTAGCTCCTCTAATGGTGTATCCATAGTGATGACCTTGTAAACCTTTCCCTTTCTTCGGAATTTAACCATAGCTTTCGACACTCCGTCGGTTTCTTTGACCTTCCCCGACTCGAGGAGTATACGGAGATGTGGGATAGAGAGATAGCCAAGCAGAGCTCGATTCGATTCCGACACAACGGTGAGGTGCGTATAATCTCGTTCGAAGGCTGAGAGAAGGGCATGGGAAATGGGATCATTTGGACTACACGACAGAGCAGAAGGAGGATCCAGGTCTTCTACCGTGGCCTGCCTCTGATCAGTATTGCGCTTGAATGATTTAGGTGGGCTGAGCTCCTACCCCTCTGTATCGATCCGCCCATTTTGAAAGGCTTGGCTTGGTTGATGAAGCAATGTCTGCCATTCTTGATGCTATGTCACTGCTTCCTACTGGAATTGTGTTCGCCATTGCTGTAGACATGGCTGTGGGACAATGGACAATGTGGAACAAAGAAGTGTTGCTTCTTCTTGGAGGGGTTAGTGAAGAAATTTAAGCCTGAGGAACAAAGCTTGTGATTGGCGAATGCTGTGAGAGATTCACCCTGAGATCATTAAAAATCTTGAACCATTGTGGGACGATTACTATGGGTTGGACTTTTATTTCTTCTACTCGCACTCGTTAAGAACGCAAAATTATGGACATTTGCATTCGAAGATTGTCTAAATGATTTGCATAGCTCGAGGGCTGGAGCTACGTCACATCCATCGCTAAAAGCTTCACCAGCTCTAACAAGTGACCCCAACCCCTCCCCTGACCTTCCTTATCTCCATCAACATCAACCTCGCATCAGAGAAGTTCTCCGAGCTGGTCGTGCTCAATCGATCCTACACTCGCATTCACTTCTATCTGTCGTTTGTCCTAGAGACATCGAAGCTTATCTCAGGAGTCTGTCTTCAATAACTTGTTGCGGGCATAGTCGGGGTTTCCGGACGTAAGCAATATATTGCTCCACTTGTTCGTGTTGATGAAACGTCCAAACAGTTTTGTGACTGCCAACTTCTTTTCCGCTGTCGTTTCCAATTGAATACTCCTTTGTGTCAAAGACTTCGCTGCGTGACTGACAATGAGGTTATTAGACAATATGGATCTCCTCTTCCCATCCCAAGACACTCTTCACGATGTCTTCCACCCTGCCATTCCCTTCGGACGCCGACCAGTAGCTTTGGCTGAGAAGCAAGCTGTATCCTTCCCTCCCAAGCGGACCCCTCTTCAAGCACGGTCTGAACTCTATACAGCATGGAGTGTAGTGGATGATGCAAAGAACAAGACCAATGCTTTGAGCGCGGAAGCCGCGAAAGAATTCGAGAAAGCCAGCGCCAAAGCACAAGCCAAGACTGGTCATATCGAGCTTTATTCTGCTCAATATTATGCTGCTTGTACTTTTGGCGGTCTACTTGCTTGTGTAAGTGGAACTAGAGCTCTGGTTATAGAGTGCCAGCTCGAACGTGTTCAAGCTAACAAGATATAGGGACTTACTCATACCGCTGTCACTCCTCTCGATTTGGTGAAATGTAGACGTCAAGTCGATTCGAAAATGTACACCGGGAACTTCCAGGCTTGGGGTAAAATTGCTCGTGCTGAAGGATTCCGAGGCATCTACACCGGCTGGGGACCGACTTTCTTTGGATATTCCGCTCAAGGAGCGTTCAAATACGGTGGATACGAATATTTCAAGAAATTCTATTCTGACCTTGCGGGACCTGACAATGCGTATAAATATAAGACAGCCCTGTATCTGGCCGCAAGTGCTTCTGCCGAATTCATCGCCGATGTTGCGCTCTGTCCCTTCGAGGCCGTCAAGGTGAGAATGCAGACTACCATTCCACCATTTGCTTCCGGGACTTTCAATGGGATCAGTCAGATTACCAGTAAGGAAGGCTTTGGTGGACTCTACAAGGGATTGTACCCTCTTTGGGGTCGCCAAATCCCATACACCATGATGAAATTCGCTTCCTTTGAGACCATTGTAGAGATGATCTATGAACGCTTGCCAGGTCAGAAGTCAGATTATGGCAAGGGCGCCCAGACTGCTGTCTCATTCACTGGTGGTTATCTTGCTGGTATTCTATGTGCTATTGTCAGCCATCCTGCCGATGTTATGGTAAGTCAATTCGATCCTATCCATGTCAAGTATTTAGTGCTAACAGAGGAAGGTGTCCAAACTTAATGCCAATCGCCAACCAGGCGAAGCTTTTGGTGCTGCCATGGGTCGAATTTATAAGGATATCGGATTTTCTGGTCTTTGGAATGGACTCCCCGTCAGAATTGTAATGATTGGAACACTCACAGGTCTACAATGGATGATCTACGTAAGTTCATTCCCAATATATATATATATATAGTTTGTTAACTGACAACTTTACAGGATTATTTCAAGATCTTCATGGGTTTCCCCACCACAGGTGGAGCAGCCCCGCCCCCACAGAAGAGCTAGACTTTCGTGTGCAATGGGATGAATGGGTGTCAGGGTCCACAGGACTGGAGAGATTATGATATGCACTGAATACCACAACAATCCCCTGATTTTGCGCTGCTTATTCTTGCGCCGAACCCTGCTTCTCCTTTTTCGCATTTGTTTATCCTCCACGGCTGCTCAACAACCTTTGCAGACCATCGTTTCTGTAGTGATGTATTTAGTGATTGCGAATATTTGATGTCCATTAGCTTTTCTGGCTTTTTAGAGGCATGGAAGCTGTTAATATCGAGGCGCAAGGATTCTTACAGAAAGTTAAACATTACACTCACGTTATCACCACCTGATGAATCCCAGATAGGCCCATGATGCAATGCCCAAGTCTTGATCACTTTTTCTCGCCAACTTCAAAGTTGCTGTAAAAGGAAGATGCCGAGCAAGTGGAGCGAAATCTGAAGACGATCTTGCTACTGGCATGGCGATCTAGACGTCAATGCCGAAGGAGATAATTGGTTGTGGGGTTGAACCAGTTGACGTATCATTTGAGGCGGCTAAGCTTCGTGGCATAACTGCTTTATCTTATTCTCCTAATTACATTTTGTAGTCTTTTCCCACCATAATCACATTCTCTTCATCTTAGGGGCAACACACTTAAATCTTGCTAGCTATGCAGACACGACATGGTGGACTCAACTCTCTCATATAACACAGACGACAGTTCACTGAATGGTTCTCCTTATCCAGCGTAACAAAGGATCAAGGCAATTTTTTAGCTCACACCTGATCTAATCCTCTTTCGTGTTGAACCTCAATTTTGGAGGGTAGCTATGCAATTTTAGCTATGACAGGGCAGAACAACAAAAAAACCATTTCTACATGAAGAATTCAACCCCTCCTTTATCTCAATACTGGAGGGTTCGAACTGGACACGGCAAACCTAGCGCGAAGGAGGACTTCTCAGTGCCTCCTGTTAAACCTGACACTCTGCCAAGCAAAGTAGAGTCGATTATTTAAACACTTTACGTGGTCAGCAGAGGTTAGTTGAACTTGCCAGACCAGACCTGAGAAATAGTTGCGGCCTCAAATGACCAGTTTCAGAGAAGTATCTGTCGAGACTTCCTAGCAAAACCTCGATAATTGTGTGGAAGAGGATTTAGCACTTAGGACCAGAGCCAAATGGATAGACTCTATGTACGCGTGCACAGACTTAGCTATGCTTACGTTCTTGTTCTAGTTGTTGAACAGAAAATGGGCAAAGGCTCATAGGTATACGAAGACTAAATCTGTTTTGGACAAGTAGCATCACATACTCCGAGCTCTCAAAGCCAGGAACTAATCTCAGAATATCCAAGATTGCCTGACATACACCTGGTAGATTGATCTGTACGAGAGAGTCTAGCTAAGTGTCTTATTTACAGTAGATTCCTGCAACCTAATGCTCAACACTGAACACAAAGTACAGCATGAATTTTGCGTATCATTCATGTAATCAAATGTGATATGCAGGTAGAAGTTGAGTAGACACGTCTGTGGTGCATGAAACAAGTTCTTTGAGATACTTTACAGGACAGCTTCGAAAGATATGGCAAACTGGTCCATATTGCCCCATTTTCATGCCAACACCGATGAGCAAATACAACGTACGAATTATAATGTAAGACAATATTGTTCCAGAGTTTGTAGGATAATATTAGTGGGCTAAATCATATATGAAAAAGTAAAATTTGTGCAACAAAGTGGTGCAGAACGACGTGATTTCCTTTATATCTAAGGAACAAACTTTTTTCACTTATATTGTCCCACAACCTCTAGAACGATGTTTTCTTATGTCGTAGTTTTCGAAGTAGAGCAAGGTGTACCTAACTACACGTCTGTGGACGTGTGAGACTTGACACTAGGTTGTTAGCTTCGAAGGTAGTGAATAAACGTTAAGATATTGGAGAACAACAAAACATAATCTCACAAACTTGCAACAAGCTACAATCCCATCATCAAAATTGCTCAACTCAATACTTTTCATCCCAACTCGCCTAATCATTCGCTTCGCCTGCCCTGGCTTAGATCAATCCATCGGGCCGACTTTCTTCCATACCAGGGTATAGAGCTAGCGGCCGCCTTCTCCGCCCACGCTCCGCATCCCACACAGATCTAAAATGTCGAGACGAGCAACTAAATCGCCTCCTCTTGGGACAAAGTTCAAGCTTGACTGCGCTTCGTACACTCCGCACCACATGGCTCCCTCTACTCAACACGTTTTCATTGACGGCACCTTCGCGGATCTCGCGCAGGAGCTGGCTGAATATCTGAACGTTGGATCCGAAGTCCAACCCCTCCTTGAAGGAAATGTTAATAAGAAAGATGAAGCTTTGAAGAAGCTCGTCACGGCGTCGACTGCGCTGAACTCTTCTCCCGAAAAGGAGTTCACCGCTGCCTACAACCTGCTTGTCTATCTCGTCCTGCAGTCCCCCAGTGTCAACATGTTTCTACCCCGCATTTGCGAGAATCTCTCGAAGCCCATTACTTCCTCTCCAGTCAACGGTTCTGGTCTTGCTTTGAGTGTTCTAACAACCATCTTCAACCTGTTGCAACCAGACAACGAGGTCCGCTTCAATGTCTTCCAAGCAATCTTGCGCCTTGTCAAGTCCAGCGGACTGTTCGAAATGTTACGTCCACAACTCACGAAGCTGGATAAATGGATTGTTGAATGGGACGCCGAGGAGGAAGACCAACGCAAGCTGTTCAGCCAGATCGCCGATGTTGCAGAAGACGCTGGTGAAGAGGAGTAAGTGATTATAAATATCTAGAGAACCGGACTAATTAGATCTGCCAGGCAAGCCTACCAATACGTTCTCAAGGCCCTCCGCACATTCGATTCGGGCGAGGTTTCTTCTCCAGATGCACAAGGATTGTCCCTCCGTGCTCTTAAAGTCGCCCTTCTCTCAAATACCCACTACGACTTCCAAGATCTTACCTCCCTCCCTCCCATTCAGGCTCTCAACGACTCTCATCCCATCTACTTCGAACTTCTCGAGATCTTCTCCGAAAAGGAGCTTGAGGATTACAATGACTTTAGAGATGAGCATGATGGTTGGATTGAGGAGCAAGGATTGGACAACAGCAAGCTACATCGTAAGATGAGATTGCTCACTCTAGCCAGTGTTGCAGCTAGCACAAATTCCCGAGAGCTTGAGTACAAGCGCATTGCCAAGGCTCTGCAAATCCCTGCTGAGGACGTTGAGATGTGGGTCATTGATGTTATTCGGGCTGGACTGATCGAGGGAAAGCTGTCGCAACAGAAGCAGGTTTTCCTGGTTCATAGAACTACCTATCGAGTTTTCGGCGAGAAGCAATGGCGTGAGGTTGCTACGAGATTGGACCAATGGAAGGCTAGTCTACGATCTATCAAGGAGGTTATCAGTACTCAAAGACAACAAGCTGAGGCCCAAAAGGAGCGCGAGATGCAAGAGGCTGACAGGAAGGCTACTGGTGCCGGTTCTGGTGCCACAGGAATGAGCGGCGGACGTCGAGGTGGTGGTGGCAAGGATATGGTTGAGATGGGAACGGATTGAGCAATGAATATGGAACCTGGGGGTGCGACATAATTTCTGACCGAAAAGATCTAGGCGACGGCGTTACAGACATGTGTACATTGAAGGCATAGCATCTGGCGGGATGCTGGGTGCCAATCACTCTGCATGGAATTTGCGATGCATTCTCATAGACATTGCCAGCAAAGGCGTTGAATCTGAATTCTATGACTACAATTGTGACAGTGATACAAGTTACAATATACTTTCTTCTTTCCGTATATCCCGTTCCTCTATAATCCTCCCATCTAATATTAACGCGGGAGATGCCAAGATGCCGCTCTAGAAATTCTTGCCGAGTCTTTGCTCAATTTTCTCCTTGGTCTCCTTGTATACTTCATCCGGAGACTTCGTAGCCACAACTTTCACCACGCGTCCCTCGCCATCAAAGTAATCCACACTATAGACAATTAGTATACCCTTGTGACAGAGATCTAGGAGCCGGAGAGCTAATCTGTAGAGCTGAAACAATCTTCTTTTGACAAGCAGCTCCTGAGGTGGATCCCGAAGTCCTCGGTTCCTAGGATGAATATAGAGCAAGGGCAGAATTTGACTTACACTGGCATACTCGTCTCCACGAACGTCTTGAACCTCTTCTTGATACTTTCCTCATTGTCGTCTGATCTTCCACTGGTCTTGCCACGGTTCAACAATCTCTTCTGCATCTCCTCTTCAGGACAGTCATAGAACAAGACAAACTTGCTCGGGCAGACCGTCTCATCAAACTTCAACGCCTGATCCATCTTCCTCGGGAATCCATCAACCAAGAACTTTCCCTTCCCATCCTTATCCTTGCTCACAACATCCGTCATGGCATTTTCCAACAACTGCACCGTGACCTCCATGGGCACAATCTTACCATCCTTAATATAGCTCTTGATCAAATCACCGAACTCAGAGCCTTCGCGGTCCTGCTCGGCGCGGAGGAGATCACCGGCAGATAGATGGGTGAACTTGTAGTCGCGGACGAGGTTGGCACATTGAGTGCCCTTTCCTGCACCGGGTCCACCAAGGACGAAGATAACCGTTACTTTTGAGGGAGAGAAGGTCGGGGTGTCTTTCTTCGGGGCCGCGATTTGTCCTGTTGCTGGTGCCATATCTGCAGAAAGAATTTGATTAGTACGAGATAGCGAGTACAGTTGTTGAGCTAGAAAGAATCCCGGTGAAGTTGTCTTCTACCACTTGGTGCCCAGCTAGGAAAGGACATTGAACAAAAGCAATTTAGACATACCAACTCGACTCCTGACCATCAAAACATAAGCTCCTGAGCCTGCTAATACGATCGCAACAAATGGCCAGATCTTGAGTGGGTTATTTCCAGGTGTACGATTGGGACCACTCGCGTAGCCTCGTCGCGTTGAAAGATTAAGGTTACGCAAGGGAGGAGACTTTCGTGGAATTGACTGAGAAAATCGAGGTAAAGGAGAGGACTGGCAGAGTCGCCGAGGAAGAAATCGAGGGAGTGTGGATGCCATCGCCGCAGCTGACTGGGTCATTGAGGACTGCAGTGTGACGACGTGCATGAACGTGGAAGCTTGAAATCATAAAATAGTGGATAACCTTATTCTGCCTTAAAATTGGGGTAGCGATCGAAGTGAGTTTGCCCCTTTCCTCACCGCAATATCGAAATTTATGCTAATCTATCTACTCTACAAGACCTTTCAATACTCTATCAAGAACAGCCTGCACTCCAGGAGATCTCTCATTCTTTCTGCCTTCTTGGGTCATTTGCTTCATCTGCTCCTTGCATTCCTCCCTTCCTTCTCTAAACATTCCAAAGACACCACCAACAAGAGCCTGTACCATCATTTCGGCAGCTTCAGCTCTTTTCAATCTCATGGCCTCAGTACCAGCACCACTCTGAATATCCAAGACTTTGAAATAATCAAGCAGTAGATCATAATGCTTCGTTCCTTGCGTGTGTGTTCTTTTTCGTAGGCCGTCAAAAAGTGCTTTGGCGCGCTCGTAAATAGTGAGGCTTGTTGCAACGGTGATTTTCGTAGATACTACTACTTTCTTCACGACCTTGAGAAGAGTGGGTATGTGTGTGAGAGGAGAAGGATCAATGTTCTTGATATTGATGGCTCGGAAAAGAGCGCCGATTCCAGCAGTTATTGTTGCAGACTCGTGCGATTTGCCGCCAACCTTAGTGTCATCTTCGGTGTCCATCTTGTCTTCACTGGTGAAGTCCTCAAGGCAGGGGCCTATGACGTTGTACACATCCTCAAACATGTCTAAGTCAGTACGAGCTTCGCAAAACTCGCCCAGACTCGTGAAGGCGAAGGGTCGATACGTATCATTGTTGCGTTTGGCCTCTCGAATGGCGATCTTCTTCATTTGAGGCGCGATGCTTGACTCTTTGCTCCAAAAAGAACTTGCCGCCTTGGTGAAGCTGACAAACGAGCTGAGGACTTTTTCTTTTCCGTCAAATGTCTTTAGCGCAAGTGCCTTCTCTAACGCGGGCCACATAGCTGCTGCATCTGTGCTACTGATCTCTGCCCCAGATGAAGTTACAACATCTGCAATTGTAAGAGCAGCCGTATGCTTGACAGTCCATTTTGGAGATTCGAGGTGGCCGACGGACAAGCTGTTTATTTCTCGAGAATAAAGAAGAACAGCGCGAGACCCACCAACATTTTCGTCCCAGGTATTCTCGAATTGCTTTTTGACATGCTCATCAAAATCATGCTTGGCAAAGAACACAAAAGGTAGGAAGTCTGATGCAAGAGCATTGAATCGATCCGTAGCGAATTTGGAGACTGCATACACAATCTCTCCTGCAACCTGACGTCGCGTCTCATTTTCCGCGTTGAAATACAGATCTTTTGTATAGGCAGCAAGACGTAGAATGGCGCTATCAGAGGCAAGTCTCGAGAGGTACCCCGCAGATCTTGCATACGCAGCACTGACAGCATTGTTTCGGTCTAATACCGCTTTCTCGGTAATTTTCAGGAAGATATCAGCATGAGGCTTGAAAACTAAGGAATGCCTCGTTGCAAGACTAGCAAGCACACCGGCACAGCCCATCTTACTAGGCATTCCAATCGTCGTTTTCACGGCATTCTCGAGTCGAGGTACTAGACTTGACATAGCAGGCCCATCTAGAATATCCAGACAGCGCTCTATTGCCTCCATCAATGGGGACTGGGATACCGCCCTTGATCTCAAGTTGTCAATTTTCTCTTCGGTGAGGTTGTATTCTTTGGCCCTCAAATAGAGGTAGTCGACTCCTTCCTCCTCTCCAAGTGTGCTCAGAAGACCCAGTAGTTGTTCGACGAGATCAGGAACGAAAGGTAGTAGAGCTTTACCGCCGCTCTTGACAAGTCTCAGCACGGTGAGTGCTGCGAAGATTCTGACATCTTTAGCAGAGCTTTCTAATCCTTGCTCAGACAGAAGGAATGGCAAGACTTCTTTTAGCATCGCCTGGGCATGCTTTGAGGAACTTCCAGCTTCAACTTGTCGAACCAGGATGCCGGTCAGAGCCATGCTCAGTTTTAGTGCTTCGGCTCGAACAGAACCTTTGATATCGTCCATGACTTTGAAGGCGACCTGCCATATATCATGGAGGCGGCTTTCATACTTGTCAAACTCACGACCTTGGACAAGGTCAGCGATTGCTGCACAACTTGCTTGTCTCGTACGCCACTCTTTGGCCAAGATGCTCTTGAGTAAATCGTCCAGAATATCGTCAAAATGTAGGTTGATCGTTACGCTCTCATCCTTAACGAGAGCATGCCAGATATCGTTCATCGAACGCTGGACATTTGCATTGGGGTCAAATCGATATCGGTAGAGTTTGGGATAAAGTTTGGGGTCTACTTCGGATTCTGAGAGTATGTTACTTAATCCAAATCTGCCAAAAGCCGCTCGGGTGGACCATGTAGCAGCATTAGATGCAAGCGACATGAATTTGTAGACCAAGGTCTGGTCGCCAACTTCGTTTGCTAGCGATATAATGTCCTTGTAAGATGTTACAGATTCGCCTTCTCCTGTGGGAAGAGCACCTGGTTCAAAAAGCTCTGTATCCTCGTCAACCTTGAGTTGGGTGCTAGATCCAGTGAACGATGCAACAAGATCTTTCACTAGCTTGTCTCTAAGGTCACTGTCACCTTGCTCATAAACGAGACTTAGGCCACGAGATGCTGTTTCCTGTACCAATTCGTCTCTGGCTGATAGGAGACCCATGAACGCAGCTTGACATTCCCTGAGGCAGATCTGGATCTCGGGCAAATGCCCACAGTATTGTATCAGAGAGAATAGCCAGATTCCGGATGCCTTTTTTAAGGAAGGCTTGGGTGTTTTGCAGTCTCGCAATAGCTTCTTCAACAAGTGTTCCAATGTTTTATGTCGCTTCATTCGTCCACTGTAAGTAGTGTCGACGTCTAAGCTGAGAGGAAGGACATCAGAGTCCCAGCACGCCGCAAGACAGCTGAAAGCTTCTCCGATAGTAAAATGAGTCTCGGCTTGTTTGATCCCAAAGAGATCATATAGTTTCGAAAGAATAGTAGCAAGCAGATCGTCCGTCGCGGGCTCGCTGTCGGAAACTTCTTCAAATATCAACGAGAATCGGCCAAGAGCGGCGATAGCCTTCTCGTTACTCTTTTTAGCCTCCGTCGTTAGCATCGTAATGATCTCGGTTGCACTCAGCGACGATTCACTAATCCGTGAGATAGTGAGAACGCCAGACATGCTGACTTGTGATATGGCACTAAAGGCAGCTTCGTTCGTTGAAGCATCTTTGGCGGCTGATAGAATGGCTAGGATCATTGAGATGGCTTCTCCTACGACGCTGTCTTGCATAGATTCAAGTCGACCATAGTACGAGCTGCGGCTGAGAATAAAACCGAGCGCAAGGATTGAGCCATGAACACGGTTTGCTTCAGCACCAACAGCAGACTCCCATGGCTTGGCATCTTTCAAGAGCGTGGTTAGCATATCCTTGACTGATTCCGCAGTATTTACGGGATGAGGAGCAAGAATCCCAAACGCCTCTGCCGCAAGAAGTCGAGTGGCCGTGTTGTTAGATCTAATGGATGGCAACAACTCTAAAGCTCTTCCAGCAAGTTTACTAATGACCACAGCTGGCGCGATCGATGCTATCTCGACAAAGCATTTCCCGCAGTCTCCAAGACCGTTGCCATCATTACGAAGCATTCCCTCGAAGGCGGCACCAAGATATATATTTAGTGCGGCTTCATCGACTGAATGTACGTGATTCCTCATGATCTTTCGAGATGTTTTGTCAGAGCGGTACAGAACATCTAGCTGCCGTTCCCAGTCCGCGTCAATGGCAAGAGGTGTTTCGGATTCTTCCAAGGCAGTCAAAAGAAGGATCTGGCGACAATAGTTGACAGCGGACGGAAAAGCATTAATCTTAGAACCAGCGAAATTTCCGAAGACAGAAACTTCATCCACGTCCATGCCACTTTTCATGCTGTTTGCAATGCTTGAATTCTCCAGTATACTTTGTGATGTGAAGAACACTTTGACCATCTCGTCCCACTTCGGAAATGAACAGGTGGATGCGGCCGGGGTTGAGTTGAGAAGTCGATACCAATAAGGGTCCTATGATCCAGATAAGTTTGTTGTAGAGCATCTAGGGATATGACACTCACAAGGCCTTTTTTACCCTCTTCCACAACGTCGCTACGCTCATCAGTCCGACCTGCCAAAGCAAGGACATCAATCCATCTTGCCACTACATCCTTGTACTCAAGACAACGATTTGCCCATCGTACAGTCGCAAATCGTGCACTCCGCACAATGTTCCCCCCTTCCTGGAGAGTCATATACTGGAGGAGCAGCAGTTGCAGTTCTTTATTCAATATAGGGTCCAGCGGAGGAGCAAATGCACCTAGTAAACTTGCCAAGGCTCCTTCAATGCTGACAAAGATACTCTCTGAAGAACCTTCTTCAGTCAATGACCTCAATAGCCATCGTACGATAGATAAGTCCTTTTCAACTACAATCGAGGGCGCGGTCTTGGCTAATGATCCAAGCGTCTCGTAAGCCAAAGCTCGCAGTGAGGCAGCATCCAATGATCTCTCGTGTGGGACTGGCCATCCTTGATCTTCAATGTATCTTCTCAAGAACCCGACTAATTGAGGTGCCACATGTGCTAAATCCGATTTGGATGCTATTCGAGATACCCAATTCATATAGTTGAAGAGGGAGTTCCGAAATTTGATAGTTTCCAGGCCGGGTGCAGGAAGATTGGTGTTATCATGGGGAGACAATGCTTCTTGCACAATACGAACCACTTGACTCGGAAATGTAGTTGACACTGCGGATTTTGTCAAGAGGACTAATACCCTGGTCTGGAGAGGAGGTTTCAGTGTGAAATAAATCTGCAACAGATTGCTGATAGCGTCTGCATCTTCAAGGGACACGGTAGACCGCTTCAACAAATCCTCACCGGCACCAGAAATTCGAGTATTGGCGTCACCTGATGCAAAAAGAGCTGGCAAAAATCGCTCTTCGTCTGTGAAAGCGCCGCTTGTCAAGAAGGCAAGAACCAAGATCTTGGTCTGGGTCAAATTCAAGCCTTCGTCAGAAGATGGATCCCAGGTCGTTTGCTTCCCACTCAGAGTCAAAAATTCGTATTCTTGAACCGTCAGGCCGGGACAGGACACTCCGGTGGCAGTAGACCGTACCACGACCAGGAGCATCAGTTTTGCAAACCAAGACGCCGCAAATTTTGCGTCTTCCGAGTGCTCGTCAAGCCCTAGTTGCTGACGCAACTCATTATCTTCTTTACTCCCACGTAATGGCAGTCGCAGTCGTGGTAGAAGCCGAAGAAACAAATTGAAGATCGTAGCACAAGTTGTCTTTCCCGCGTCTTTTTCTAGCCCATGCAGAATTGTCGGGATCAGGTTCATTTGTTCCTGAGAATTTTGTTAGTAAGAGCCCCCATGTTTGAAGAAAACGGACAGAAGAAGTCAATTTCCCAATGCTTTGTTGTATGAACATAAGGTCAAAGTGTCGAATCATAGAATATTGTGGATTCTCCTTGTATTGCTTGAGCAGGGCGGCCACAGGCAGAATTATGTCCCTGCGTGGTGGTCAGTATAGGAAGCTCTAAGGGACTATCTCCACACACTTGTTCCCTGCCAGTCTGATCTTGACATGCTGGCATATTTCGACGACCTGCAGATGGAAGTCAACAAATGTAGATATCACGTGATTCATAGAAGGATTCCGACCTTATTGCGTACTGCTGGAAACTCGCTGGCCATTTTGAGGAGCAGTGGTGGTAGATAGGTCTTCAACAATGCTTCAAGTTTATCGTCTTTGGCGAGCGCAATGCGCATCTCAACCTTGCCACAGAGCTCGAGTTCCCGCGCTTCTGTAGACATCTTGATGGCGAAATTGAAGGCGCTTGAGGAGACAATACATCACGCTCCAGAATGTGTGCACAGAGACGTCAAATTTATGAGGCAGGCAAGATAGGTAACAGCAGCAAACATAAGCAGCGAAGTTGATCTGGCGCCTTCGATGGGATGGATTTGTTATGCGCCATTCAAAGGCAGCACGACACACGAATCATTCATCAACCTCTCAACCTCAGGCAAGAATAAGGTTAAGGCACGTGATACGAAAACAAGGGACTGATCATCTCTTTGATTCTATGACGACTCAACAGAAAGATCTGAATTTGTACTCAGATTAGAGCGTCATGTCCTCGCATGTAATGATACAAGCTGGGTGTTGGTCGTTTTGTGCAGACGTTGCGATCACAACACAGATCACAATTGCTGCTCCAGGGAAAATTTTCCGAGAATCGGAGGTGGCCAATTTCAGTGACAGGACCAGGAGATCGACTTTGACAAATTGATTCGAACGAGTGCCTGGCTCTGAGGGGTCTAGTTCATCATGTTGTGTTGCCTTTCAAACAAGGGGAAACCCAGGTAGTAGTTCGACTTCAGAAACTTGGAGTTTGATGATTAACGATATTATAGTGTGCCATCTCTTGCGCCCATTATCTTGAAGTATGATTGGAGCCTGGTATTCCAGATACTATGCCTCTCAAGACGAACAAGAAAGTGGACATGAAACCTCAAACCCTCGATGTTATACAGCGATTATGGTTCATCCAGACTCCCGGGAACAGAATTCAGACCCACTACACTCTCGCAACTTGCCGATTGACCATCTCTGAATATTACCTGCATGTTTGGGAGTGGACTCGCATCCACGCAATGCGTTGCGGACTAGTGTCGTCTAAGATTTACGAATTCTTCGCAGGTACCTTCTGTTGTTGGAAGCTAAGAACCGGACCCCATATCTTTTGAGGTTCTAGGCCCAAATTTCAATCCAGAACACATCCCACGTTCAAACGGAGAAACTTCCGCTACCAGCGATATAATTGTCATCACCGTAGTCAGCTCTGTTATATGTTGCTCCTACGGCGATCCAGAGAGTGGTAGAGGAGGTGGCGGGTGGTTCGAAAAAGATGACACTCATTTCCTTCGAAGCCTACGACGCCCTCGGAGCTCCAAGGGGGGAAAAATTAGAGAAGAAAGGTACGGCTACCGTTCGGAGCATACTACTGGCTGGGGGCGACGCTTGCTGCTTTGCAATGCTCCGCAGACTTGATTGTCAAGATCACTTCTCAGCTACTCTTTAATCCACTCCCTTCTGCAATACGAGTCCAAATCTTGAGGGCATCCTCCATCATTTTACTCATCCCGACATAGGCAGGATATGTCTTTAGCGTCGAGTGTTCGCCATCGATAGACTCGGTACAGAAAGTTAGTCTCTTCACTAATTATAAGGGTACCACGGATCTCAGCAAGTCTCAAATTAGTGTCCTAGGAAACCATCGATAATCTGGGATCATTACGATTGAGGGGTTCGAACGCATGTCACGATCGGGATGGTGTTCTAAAAGGTTTCAATTAGTATCTCACGGTCAGTGGAAGATGAGCGTGGGCAAGTTGAGGGAGCTTTCTTCAGTGATCGTCAAACTCAGTCAGTCGCTGGATGCATCCCAACAGCCCAAAGCACCACGGTGATCTGAGCGACCTCATAAGGGCTGCCAGCTTGCAGTCTCTGATACTGTTGAAACAGCATAAGTGGTATGTGCCGACGTGTTATCCAAGTGATGGGCCTAGGGCCCAATTCACCCGAACGTCCCTGTAGGAGAACCACTTGGTCCGTCTTTATGCTCACGCCTTCGTGTTGTTGTGAACAGGGGTTCCAAGAAGAATTCTACGCCGAGGGGTCACGTAGCTCAGCCTGACATCGATCGGTGGATTTGAGCATCGCGTTTTGACGGTCTAGGTAGCACCGTAGCATAGCACTCGAACTTAGACTAGCAATGTGCTAATAGGTGTTCGGACAGTACCGAGGGTAGCTTTTCACTGTGAGGCTCGAACTTCAAACTTTGTCGGTCCTGCTCATGGCTTTTGACAGATAAACTCAAAATCTGGACCTACACAAGATCACTTAAAGTGTCCTAATCCAGCCACTCGGTTCTCGTGTCCAACAAAGACATATCCACCATGCTCCCATCAAGCTGTACGGATTCAGTCGTGGAAATTTGCTGACATATGTTGAAGTTGCCCTTACTGAAGACTCCTTCGAATGTACTCATTGTCAACACACTGTTTTGCAGATGCAGGGTCGACGGTCCGAATCCTCAAGAGGACCGCCAACTCGACTTCCTGCTATTGCACCAAGAAATGACGACGGGCCGTCCTTGGGGTCTCAGACTGGTTTGGGCGATGTTCCGTCTGAGTCCCGGAGGAACAGACTGCCTCCGAGATCTAGGAGTGGATGCTGGTAAGCAACCTTCGCCAAGACTGGTGTTCACTGACGAAGAAATGTAGGACCTGCAGAACACGAAGTCGGTGTCTCTACTTTCTCTCTCTTTCTCTTCGTCCTGTGGAGACTATTACTAAATCTGCATAATTAGAAGTGAAATGTGACGAAGCCAGGCCAGCCTGTGGTGTATGTCAAACTCCTCGTTCCTGCGAAGCAAGCACAGTGCTAACAACCATTCAGCAATGTGTACGTCTAGGTCATGAATGGTATCTCATATCCGATATATTTGCTTTCTGAATATCGCGCTGAATCAAATCAACCCTAGTGACTACAATCCTCGGCTCTCGTTCAGAGACGACACGCCTAGAATCGTGGAACGAATGCAAGATGTCTCTGTGATTGGAAACACCGTCTGGGCAAGTAGGTACGTTCACGATGCTTGTCAGACGTCTACTGACTCTGCAGACCCTCCTAGCCACACATCAACCGCATACATACGATCCGCAGAAGACCTATTGCCGCCATTCCAATTGTTAACGACCGATGAAGAACGAGAGAAGAAAGCGGAACTGTATCAACCTGGCACATACCATGTCATTGCCAACCAAGAGAGCTTTGAGTCATTGCCGGAATATAGAGATGGGGGCACGTCAATGGTAGGGAGCAGACGGGGCCTCCTTCAGTCCAGCAATCATCGAAGTGAGGTGGGCTATGATGTGCCACAAAGAGGTCCGAGAGATGGACACGATCCCAATGTTGTGATATTGAGAAGCTTTGAGGATGTGCCTCGTAGAGCATCTCTCCAAAGTTCTTACATATCAGTTGCTCGTCCTTCTTCGCCATCTCACTCCCTTACTCGACATTCACCTCGACGCCATTCCAGCGACCTTCATGGAATGGCTTCTTCGATCAGCTCTGAACGCCATGAAAGGAGAGACGCTATCCTGCTAGAGCATTACCGCAGAATTATATCACCAAAGCTCTTCAGACGAGAACTTGATGATGGAGAAGAGGATGTATTTGAAAAAGAAGCTAGGACACATCCGCCGGTTCGTTGCTGTCACTGGCGTAATTATGTGTTCCTGCTAAGAATACCAGGTTTTCCATGCCATCACAGCATTGGCGCAACTTACAGTGAGTGGAGTTCACACGGCAGATGCTCTAGAGCATTATCAGCAAGTTATCCCAGCTCTTCAAAGTATCGTACAGTCATCCCAAGACTCGTATTCCGATGGCGCGTTCTTCACACACTTCCTCTTACTCCTCTATGAGATTGCAGCAGCTCTCCACGGCGATGCAAGCATGGCTCAGCACCACAACGATCAGCTGCTGCGGATCATCAGACTTAGGCGTCAAGCGAATGGTGCGGAGCCCTACGAATTTCTGGTCTGGTGTATTGCAGTTATCGATATCTACTCACTGTTGAGCATGGGTGGCAGTGGAGTTTTCACTGAAACACTGATAAAAGAGAACTTGGTTCCCCCTCCCGAACGATGTTTAGCATCTGACATACCGGTTTCATCTCAAGAACAGCTATATCTTCCTTTGCTAAGGAAGATTTACAAAGAGATCCATCTACTGTTGTTTCGCGTAGCCCAAGAAGCACGAGTCATGAGAGTAGAGTCAACACAAAGACAAATTTCGGCTCCAGGTATGGCCGACTCCGAGTCTACAAATACAAGAAGAGGGCGTGTACAGAATTTACTCAACCTGATCAATCAGTCGTATTCTACTTGGATAATGCAGTTTCCGGGCTTGTGGAGACTGCCGACAAAATCAGAACCGACGAGCCCAAGAGTTTTCTACTGCATCCAGCAGGTAAGTCAAGATGAATAACGGAAATCAGCGCGTATTGATTTTGTCTAGATCTTTCTCTTATACCGAACCTGTATACTCTACGCCCATACCAGCATGTTCCCCAACCAATCCAACAATCCTATGCCTGCTTACGATCAAATATTCACTGTTGCAAGGGAGATCATAGAAGCAGTCGCTGTAGTTCTCTCCGAGAAGAGAGATCAAGTCCGCACTGTAATGCTCCCTCTCTTCATCGCAGGATTTACATCGAAAGACCAGACGGAGAAACAGATGGTATTAGATCTACTTCTAGCTATCGAGACGCAGGATTATAGAGGCAGCACGGACCGTGCAAGGCGAGTGCTTGAGAGGTTGTACGAAAAGCAGCGCCTCGCGACGATGGAATTGAAAAATCCTAATTCAGTGGACTGGACAGAAGAAGTGCAGAGGAGTGGGAATATATTCATAATCTAAGCTGGGAGGTGAGTATGTGGGAAACAGAATTGGCGTCCAACAGAAAGAACAACAGACCTGGTGCAGGACGCTTGAGCATTGCAAGGCGCATTATACCTCCGGGGATTTGCAGATATCCGGGTGAGAAGTCAGTGGTATAATTTTGACGGATTTGCTTTGTTTCCATGTATCTATTCGAATGAAGTTATGCTGCAACTTCAGTCGCCTAGTGTGCTCAGTGCTTTATGATCTTCTTCACATCTGCATTTCAGAAGCTGCTCCATATCAATAATACTCCAATAGAGATTTGTATCGTCCATGCAGAAGAAGAGAATGTGAGACCCAACGACAAAGCAATGGGCTTGGAGGCGAGAGGCTGATCTTGCTAAGCTCGGCGAGGTTTATAAGATGATAACAATTGATTACGCTACGAAAACGTGGATGGATCTTGCGACTTGCAACGAAACGCATTGTCGTTCCTGCTTGCCCAGATCTGATTTGGTGGATCTTTTGAATTATATTACATCTCAAAAATAGTGGGAAGTAGCAGCAGCCAAATCTAAAGATAGAGGCGAGAAAAAGAAAGAGATAAGGAGCCTTGGATTGGATGGCGTCGGCTTCAGCTAATCAAGAAGCTCTAGAGTCCAATCTTACCAAACACCGTGCAGCGGTTGTTTTATCTGTTCCGCGTACCTGACGTGCGGGAGCGATGGAAAACATGGCGTCATAGGCGAATATTCCTTTCAACCCTCCACGATCACATCATTCACCGGTAGGTTACTCATATACTCGACTGTACAGTACCTATCTTTGCCAAGATCTCAATCCTGCACGTGTCTCTAGTTACACCACCTACCTACAGTAGCTGCCTTTGGTTTCCTTTTTCCTCTTTGCGTGAGTCTGTGACAAATTGCAACTGCAACCCCCCAATCTATCACAGTGTGAGTACCTCCCCACCGCCAATCATGGATTGAGATGGCCTCGAGGCTATGGACTATCCCGCAGTCAATCGCTTCCGATTACGGGGCCGGCTGAAGAGTTCAAGAAGGCAAGAGACAATCAGGCCAAGCCAAGCTTTTCTTGTGCTCATGATCTCCCGCAAAAACCTTCCCTTCCAATTGCACATCATCCTGCCTTGCAAACTTTTCACCTACCAACTCTCTGACTTTTCATCTTCTACATAGATCTCCGGATCACCTCCAATCCAGTCAAGAACCGTCAAGACAACCAAAGTCGAGCAATCATGAGCGAAGTCAGAAAGAGTACTGAGGTCAGCCACGGCCGTGGAGGTATGCAGCCAACCCGGGAAGATTCACTTTTGCCAAGTGCTGATATGTCCAACAGGTGCTGGTAACATCAGCGAGGATGCTACCCCGTATGCCTTCCTACTCTTCGTTCTACAGATCCAGTGAATATGCACTGACGAATATGCAGCTATGGTGATGGTGAGATCGTCCGCGAAGGCATTGTCGGTGACCATGGCGATGGCGCCTTCAGCACTGGTCGAGGAGGAGCAGCAAACATCGGTTCGCCCGGCTTGAAGGCAACCCAACGCAAGGACGACATTGCGATCCCAGAGACTGCTCTCCGTCCAAGTCAAGAGAACGAGGTCTACCACACCGGACGAGGTGGCGAGGGCAATGTCCACACCGCCGAGCCAGTCACCAAGCACCCAGAAGGCCTTGCAGACAAGCTGAAGAACAAGCTGTTCAAGAAGAAGGCTGCCAAGGAGGAGAAGGCATAGATTCTGATGGCGAGTTCGCGACGATGGCTTTCGCTATGGTGGTAATGGGTGGAATTCGGGATGAATAATGCCAGGGAGAAATGATTGGGGGAGTTTGGAGGATTCTTGATACCACTGTTTCATACACGAAACTTCTTCGCAGACTTGAATGAACACGATGATCTTCAGCAGTACCCCGCATGTCATGATTCGCCTTCCCTTGTGCAGCGCCACATAGATACTTCAGTACTTCGAGCTCGAGTAGTACTCAAGGCTACCTGTCCGCTTGAGCGGGGCCAATCGTAATTTGTACCTTCATGGCAACAAGCAGAAATGGACAAGTTCGTGAGTAAATCGGAGACATATATTCCCATCACAGTCAGTAGTGAAGGAGAAAATCGAATTGTAATCTATATAAATATCAGAGAGCGGCGGTCGGTGTTTGTTCAATCCAGTGAGGCAAGGCCTCGCTCCTACAGGGATAATAGGTAGCGTGATACTTCGCGATTTGACAAGGTTCAGTCTCTGGCGCGTCCATCACCAACCTCTTTTCTTCCACAACCTTCCTGCAGTTCTTTTATCCAGTCGCGCAAATTCCGATCTCTGGACGTCTCCATCTAGGGACCGACTCCTGGCGACACTTGCGCCCCCAACTCAAGGCCTACTTGACGAAAGGAGCCCCCTCTGGCAGTCATCGAGTATATCCTCGAGTTTGCGACCGTCAACCGATAGATCGAGCCCTTTGGCCGGCAGCTGTCAAGCTTTCGCACACAGCATCGCATTGTTTTCGCTGTGACAATCACCTCGATCTGCAGCGCGCTGCTCATATCTGGAATCGACGAGTAGACGTAGTTAGAGTAGACACCTTGCAGCCGGAACCACGGCCATGGCTCCAAAGCATGGTCTTGCAGGCCTCCAATCTGAGGAACAGTTGGCAAAGCGTGCAAAGAGCTCTGCGACGCCAGCTTCGCGCTCTGCTACACCTGCGGACACCAGTGCTAAGGTACCATTTAAAGTCGAGTATCCTATTATGGATAGCGAGAAGATTCAGACAGATAGGCAGAAGGAACTGATGGATGCGGCCGACTTCCAAGTGAGCCCATTTGTTGCAAAGGGCGCAAGCAAAGAGGGAGAGCTGGACCAATACTACACTGTCACCCCGACGAATGAGTGGGAGCAGATGAAAAAATACAACAATTTCATCAGTGAGTTGATATGGATTTTTATAAATAAGATAAGAGCTGATGAGAAGTCTAGTACAAGGCGAGGTTTACAAGAATAATCAGTTTGTCTTCGTACGGGGAGAGGATACGCCGAAAGACAAAGATACAGAGGGTAGACCGAAAGACTTTTGGGTAGCGAGGATTCTGCAAGTAAGGGCAAAGAATGCGCAACATGTGTACGCGCTGGTAAGTAAAAGGTCCATACTTGCAGAGTGCTTGGTGCTGATTATCTAGGTGGCATGGCTGTATTGGCCAGAGGAGTTACCACCACCGTCAGTCAAGGCTTCGGACCAACTGGGCAAGGAATCTGGTAAGAGGAGATACCATGGGAGCCACGAACTCATAGCATCAAATTATATGGATGTCCTAGATGTTCTCTCTTTTGCTGGCAAGGCAGAAGTACACCATTGGCTGGAGGAAGATGACAACTTGCAACACAAGCTATACTGGCGTCAGACCTTCTGTCGAGAAACTCAGGCACTTTCGGTAAGTTAAACTTGGTATCTCTTGGTAAAGGGGTTGAGCTAAAGCATTACAGAAATTACGGCAACATTGCACATGCAAAGGCTATTTCAACCCGGAGGTCACAATGTACATCTGCGATAACCCAACCTGCAAAATCTGGCTGCATGATGACCACTTACTCGACGATATCCTAACGAAGGTGTACAAGAAGCATAACTCGAATGACGGGACCAACGGAGTTGCAAAAATAAACGGAAAGAAGAGCAAGAACCCTCCTTATAAGAACGCCTTCAAGGCAACAATACGAGAAGAGAATGACGAACCTCCAGTTGCTGTGATTACGGATTTGCGACCAAATGCGGATCCAAAGACATGGGAGGAGAGAATTGCTTGTCCAGAGTGTGAGGAGCTTCTCCAATGATCTTGGATATTTCGGACTAAAACGATCATGCGTATTGGTTGTTTCATGTCCGTCTCAAGCCTATAGTTGACGACAGTGGTTCTTTGCACACATACACTTTAACTACAAAGACAGATTCACACTTGCAGAGTAAGCGAGCGGTTGGACACTCGACAACCATCATTTGCGCATGAACGATTAAGTGGTTAAGGGATTCGTTCCATTGGGTTAAAGTTCTGCGACTTTGCGCTTGGCGTTACAGGTGTGTTCTTTCGGCAGGCAGCGCTATTTGAATTTCGAAAACAAGTCCCTTTTGTTCCTTGCATATAGTTCATTTCGACTTGCGCTTCGTCTTTACTGCTTATCATGGAGGTTTGAGAAGAGGGAGATCAATTTCTGGAGAAGAGATGGTTGGACTACAAGCAAGGGACGATTAAGCGCCGAAGTGACCCTTCGTTTGCGAGGCGCTGGAGGCACTCTGTTTCTATACCCCACTCCGAAGATGCAGAGATGCTAGGTCTGTAACATAAAACGAAGGAAGACAGCAGCATTAGGCGTGTGAATGACCTTATGGACGAAATAAAGATTAGAAGCCATGTTCCCGCACCGAGTTGGTAAAGCCACTCGTCTCGAGGCCTGACTCTCCTAGTGGAGCACCTTCGAAGATTAACTTTGTTACAATTGCGATTGTGGCTGACTTCGCTGTCTAGCTTAAGGTTCGGCACACTTACCCGTCCACGTTCGACGTTGGTAAGAGCATGAGCCAATAGGGAACTTCTCAAAGCAGTATAAATCCCACCGGTCAATGCAACCTACTCCGATAAAGGCCCTAAGCTGTCGGTCGAGCTCCGATGAGGGGCATACAGCTAAGATTGTATATCTTAGACTCTTCACTCACCGTGGCCTTTTTGCGGCTTAATACTGTTTTTCTGATGATACTGTTCAAAAGAGATCCATAATTGCCCCACTCACTGGGCAAAGGTGGGATTTTCTCTGTTCCCAATTCCTGGTCCTTAAAATTCCTTATACTTTCCTCTCCTAATATATAATCCGTGATTGAAGTAATGGGAGGACAATGCAGAACACGGCGATAGTTCCAAGCCAAGAGGAGACGAAAGTCGGCTTTTCGTCCGATGTCGAAAAGGGGCTTACCGAGAAAACCATTGGTATACCACTAGAGTCTGGGGCCACAATACCTCTCTCCGACGAGATTCAAGATGCTAGTTCGTTTGAAACAGGAGAAATAATTTCTAGGCGTGGAATAAAGCGTGTGTTTCATCGTCTACTCCAGCGATCCAATGTCGGAAAGCCAATCGATACCTCTCCGCCACCAGATGGAGGGGTTCGCGCCTGGGTCACTGTCTTCCTCTGCCACATGGCACTCTTCACAACCTTCGGCTGGGTCCAAGCCTACGGAGTCCTGCAAACACATTACGTCTCAGCCCTAAATCTCCCTTCGTCCTCAACCTCCTGGATCGGCTCCATATCAGCATGTCTCATGATGGCCATGGGGACTTTCTCAGGACGCCTAACTGACGCGGGATATTTCCACCAAACGTTCGCTGTAGGGACCTGTCTCCAGCTCCTCGGCTTCTTCTCAACGTCCGTCGCGACGACGTATTGGCAACTGATGCTCTCGCACGGCGTTTGCATTGGCTTGGGAGGAGGGCTGGTCTTCTGTCCTGCAATGTCTGTTGTTGGGACGTATTTCTCCAAGCAACGGAGTCTCGCTCTGGCTATTTGTGCTATCGGAAATTCGGTGGGCGGATTGGTTTTTGCGGCTATTCTCCAGAATATGATCCCGTCGGTGGGGTTTGGGTGGGCGATAAGGACTTGTGGGTTTATTGTGATGGCGAGTATGGTTCCTGCGAATCTGATATTGAAGCCGAGGAATTTGACGAAGGAGAAGGCGCCGTTGGTGGAGTGGGTGGCGTTTACGGAGTTGACGTATTGTTTGTTTGCGGCAGGAATGTTTGTCACTTTCTTAGGGATGTGGGTCCCGGTTTTTTATGTGAGCCTCATTTCCTTGCAGTTTGGTCGTTGGCTAGTATCTTGGATATTTTGACTTTACAAGAGAGGATTAAAGCCTAAGGCTTAGTCTGTCGAGAGTTAGTGATGTCCATCTTTTTGTCTGTTCAGACCTTAAGCTGAAGACTGAGTATGAGGAGGCCCTCGTTGAATAAATCAATAAGCGAGTCCAGGGGGGCGATTTCCTCTTAAGCGAAGGGGCAACATCCTGCGTCACCAAACAAGCAGAGAGGAAAGATGCTAACTTCTCTAGCTTGGATCCTTCGGAAGAGATATTATCGGTATTTCCAGCAAAAATGCCTCTTCCCTACTGCTCTTGATCAACGGCATAGGCATAGCAGGTCGCGTCATCCCAGCATTGCTCGCCTATCGATTCGGACCACTAAACCTCATGATCCCGCTCACCTTGATGGCGGCTTTAATCCTATTCTGCTGGGCAGCAGTAGAAGACTATCAAGGAATTCTGGTTTTTGATATCTTCTATGGCTTTATAATGGCAGCCGGGCAGGGCATGTTTCCGCCTTCGCTAGGCAGTTTGACGACCGATTTGTCGAAGATGGGAGTCAGGATGGGTATGGTTTTCTCGATATGTGGTCTAGCGCTGTTGGTTGGGCAGCCTCTTGCTGGAGTATTGATTACTGCTGATGGGGGAGATTATCTGTATACTCAGATGTATTCTGGAGCAGCAATGACACTGGGTGTTGGGTTCATGGTTGGAGCAAGGATATCGAAGATGGGTTGGAAATTATGGGTAATTGTATAGCAGTCATCTCTAGAACATTCGAACTTTGGAAAGTGGTTCATGTTCGAAGATTGAAGAGTGATCTCTTCGAATGTTTTCCTACCATATTGATGAAAGGTCTGGAGCAACGTACTAGACGAATCGAAGAGCCGGTGAAAATGTTACCAATCACATGCACGTCGGGGCCCAAGGATTGGAGGACGTATTCCATATGCAATAAACATAGCAGATGTCAAGTAACAGAATATTGTACGATGAATAAAAGTTCATGCGCGAGTTGCTCGCAGAGAGTGTAGCTGACCTGCCCATCAATTCACATGTTCATCAGCCTTGTGTCTCGCAATGTCTTTGAACCCTCTTTCGCAAGTTGGTGAGACGCGTAATGCTATTGTTATTAGGGACAATAGTCCCCTAAATGGCACTTGTTATCAACAGTCCAGTTGGAGGCGTCGTCGAACGATTATACAACGCAATTGTAGGACAAGAAGGTAAACATTGACCAGGCTGAAGATGTCCCTCGAAATGTGGGGCATTCGCTTGCGCCACCTCATCCAGCCTCAAACTCAACCCCTCCACGTCAAGCTCCGTCCTCATTTCTAAGTCCCCTCTCCAGCATCCAAAATGGCAGACGTCGACCAATTTGACAGTGCGCTGTAAGATCCCGTTACTTTACAAAATCCAAGCCTCCTACTAAAATAAACATCCAGCGATCTCCTCCGCCGTCTCGACCCAAAACACACCTCCGAGCACCTCAACTCCCTCATATCTCTCGTCCCCTCACTCACAGAAGACCTCCTCTCGTCCGTCGATCAACCTCTTACAATCGCGCGATGCCGAAGGACTGGCCGTGATTATCTCCTCTGCGACTACAACCGTGATGGCGACAGCTACCGGTCTCCCTGGTCCGGCGAGTTCGAGACCCCGCTTGGAGGCAGTGGAGTCGGCGGCGTAGACGATCAGGGGAACAACGAAGGGGCGGGAGAGGGTGCTGTGCCTAGTGAGCGGGTGCGGAAGATGGAGGTCAGGGCTAATGAAGCTTTTGATGTTTACAGAGAGTTATATTACGAGGGTGGTGTCAGTAGTGTTTATTTCTGGAATTTGGATGATGGGTTTGCTGGCGTTGTTTTGTTGAAAAAAGGTGAGTCGTGCTGTTATGAAGTCGGATGAGATGAAGGGACTGATTATGATGGGCAGTTGCTACGCCAGCGGGAAAGAGTCAAGGAACTTGGGACTCGATCCATGTCTTCGAGGCCGTTGATCGGGCTCGTACTGCACATTACAAGTTGACCAGTACCGTCATCCTGCATCTATCAACCGGCAACGATGCTCTGGGCGAGATGGACTTGAGCGGAAACATGACTCGACAAATTGAGAGTGATCTACCAGTTGACGACGATATCTCACACATTGCCAACATCGGCAAGTTGGTAGAGGACATGGAGCTCAAGATGAGGAACCTGTTGCAGGAAGTGTATTTTGGCAAGGCAAAGGATGTCGTTGGTGATTTGAGAAGTATTGCCCCGTTGACGGAGGCGAATAGAGATAAGGCGACTCACCAGGAGATGATTAACTCGATGAAGCGGTAGTATTAGAAGTGCAAACTCTATACGCAATCAAAATTGGAAGTCAACGTTCGGGACTAGCGCACCTAATACTTGGTTCCCTTTTGCTCTCTGACCGAATCTAAAAGTACGTGCCTTTCGCCATGAAATAAATTCACCACGTTGGCAGATTGAGAAGAAAGCAGAGTCCTGCTCTCACTCCTCAGGCCTTGACAAATACTTCAAGATTAGTGTCTTAGCATAGGTGAAGCTTCCTCTTCACCCACTTCCAATCACAGGCTTCAATTGAGAATTTAGCCTCACTCTAACGTTCGGACATCGAACCAGACATAATGATAGGAGAATGTGGTAAGCATCGTCGAACATTCGTCTTCTAGAATAGCAACGGAAATTCTGGCTATCTACTGTACACAGATTGCAACCCGAAGCGAACCTGTCTCTCTCCCCCAGGCGCTCTATCCTCTATCTAGGTCGCGAAATTCACATTCCCCAAAACGGTTCATGTCTTTCCCTCGTCTCCCGCACAGCAGCTTTTCCCGATCTACTAAACATGCATGTCTCTCAAGATTTGGAATTCGCATCCAAACTTCCTTTTTCAACGAAGAGATAGCCAAACGATTACTGAACAATGTATGCAAGGCTTGGCACAATGCGGCTGATACCTGGAATCCTGCAAGGAACATGCATGCCTTCCCGTTATGGCTGGCGATCGGGATGTTTCCTTGCTTTCGAAAGATTTTTCACATTTCGAGACGGGAATGTCTTAGACAAGTGTTCGAGTTCCTGGCTTCGAGTTCTCGCTCTCATCTTTCATAGGTAAATAATGATGACGGTTATAGTAAGTAGCTGTACTATATTAGAAAGTCATACATACATGAGTGACATCGGCCGTGATATTCCTATTAATACAATATGAAAAAACTATCATGTATACAAAGGCAGGCTAGAGCCAGCGTAGAAAATTCGTGCCATCCTCGCAATGCAGAATAAAAGGAAAAGAAAAGTGGTAAACGTGGATATCCGCAATCGAGGAAAACATGAAATTAGAAACACGACTCGAAAAGGTATCAATCTGTCCTCATTTCGTAGCCTCGTCATCGTTAATCGTATCTTGTGCGGATTGCTTGATGGGGTTGGTTTTCTTTTGTGTGTTGCGCCTTCAAATGCTGCATGGCCGTCGTCTCGTCTTTTTTTCTTTCATACATCATCGGTCTCTAAAATCTGGAGGGTAGATATAGTCCAATTTCATTTTGCCACTGGCCACCATCCGATCCTAGTGTAGCTGTCGATCATGGCTTGTACAAGCTCTTTGGATATCGCAGGCTTCTCGTATACGAAGCCCACCACCTTTTCTAGTCGAGCACCATCCATGCTCAAATCAGTATCTTTTAGCAGTTCTTTCTCCATGAACGGTGTCAAGGGTCCAGGACGGGTAATTCCTGCGTCTTCAAGTAACTCTGCCCATGGTCCAAGAACCTCATCGTTCACGTCATCGACCACACTGTCCATGTTCAGCCTGGCGAAAGTACTGATAAGTTGTCCTTGGAAGCCGGTCTGAATACCAAACAATTGGCCAATGATCTCAGCCATGGTGCCTTGGGACGTTTGCCCTTTGTCAACCATGTTAAAAATAGGTATCTTGCCCATGGATTTGGCATCCCAGTTGCGTTGATGCTGGACCGCGTACCAGTCTGCAACAGCCCACAGCCCTCGAGCCACATCGGTGATATGGACGGTGTTTACTCTCAAGTCTTTCGTCCATAGCCACTTCATCTCTTCGTGCAAATGTTGATAGACCCGGGCAAGACAAAGAGCGGTAGAGACAAATTGAGATGCATAGTCGCCGTAGACATGGGCCAGTCGGACAATTATAAGATTCAGCCTGTATGCCGGTCAGCCTGCTCACCATAAAGATGAGACGAAAGTGGACGATCCACTTTTCGTCTCATTTATCAAGATGTTACACAAGTTGAGGCTTCGGATGGAAACACATACCCATCAATCTTGGCCAGTTGCTCCTCTGCCTGCAGCTTGAACACGGCAATCTTGCTCCACGGCTTCAACTTGTCTCCTTCCTTGCTTGGTTGAGAGTCTGGTTTATACACCATGCCAGTACTGAGCTCCACGAATGCCTTCACGCCCCGTTTGGCAGCCTCCTTTCCTACAGCAACACTCAGTGCCAGCGAGCGCACTTTGTAGACCTCATCTTCTTGTGAATATCTCGTCTCGCCGCCACAGTTGAAAACATAGTCCCATTGCTTGCCGTTAGGACGGTCAAAGATGCGGGGCAGAGATTCTGTAGAGAGGTAATGTCAGATAGTGAACTCAATGGGCACCAGCAGCGTCTTGGGGGCATAGAGAAGGACATACGCTCTTTACTTGCATCTGCTTGCATGAACTTGTCCTGCGAGCATGCCTCCTCGAATTCTGGTGCGAGCCATGCCAGTTGCGGTAATACCTTATCCACGATCCGGACTTCAGAAGCCAAATTGTTCTTGTGAATGTGCAGCGCGAGATTCCGTCCAATGTAACCCAGACCGCCAATGATGAGGACTGCGGGCTTCTCGGCCATCGCGCGTTTCGTGCTGGTGAAAACAAAAAGGAGTGGAGGGAGAGCAGTGAGGGTCGAAGCTGCTCAGCTTATCGAATCTGCCGTGCTCGGTGGGTCGTGTCCAGTGGGGGAGATCCAAGTCTAGATATTTAGAAAATGGAGGATGATCAGTCCTAGGATCTCAAGGAAAGTAACAAGGGACATGCACAAGAATTGCGGAGTTCTGAGTCAAATGCAGCACTGCGGCGAGGAACTTTGTTGCACATTCAAATCGATATTTAATAAGTAACGAGTCTCACGGGCCTCCTGGTCAGTGGTAGGGTAGGGGTCAGAAGAAGGGCTTTGCTTCGAGCTGCAACCGAAGACTGCTCATACCTACCGTAAATTTACGTCCTCGAAAAAGTGAAAAGGGGTCATCCATGCTTGGCATGGCTCCTCCATCTCAGGCCGGCCCCCTCCATCACCATCACCTTACCTATCGTAGAGATGTGATCCAACAAGCAAGCCGTGGCCGCGGGAGACGCTCCCGGCACCAGCAAATCATCACAGCACTAAACACCAACAGGAAGGCGAACTTGGACCCCATCTCAGAGACATCTCGCCACCACATGTCTCTCCATGACAGTCGAGATTCTCTCCGAATAGCTGCAGGTTTTTTCTTTGCTGCTCACGATAGCCGATGGGGCATCTTTACCCTTCCTGGGTGAAGCTCAAAACAACGACGTGCAGCCTGCATCGAGCAAAGTTCAGCAGCCTCCCTCTGCACACGCCCGGCGCCCCGGAAGCAAAAAGCCTATGCTGCAGAAACGAGAGTAGCAGGAGGCCGCAGAATGGGAGGCGCTGAAGAACTTCAACCAAGATTGCTCGTGAGCAATTAGGTCACAGTGTTTGAGACCGAGGGCAATTATTGCTCATCTACGTGTTACGAGTCATTTTGGTGATAATTGATATCTGATATTCAGGGGATCCAACTTGCCGAGTAGAACAGCCTTCTAGAAGCTTTTTTTGGCCTTGCAGGTGGGGGTTTTTTCTGCTTAGCTGCAGTGAGGGAAACACCCGCATCCACTCCCTGCTGCCCGTACACTGACAGGATGTTAGCGCTCTACACTGGAATCGTTGTTGTGTCAGGCAAACAAAAACCAGACGATTTCGGCGGATTAATCTCCGTTCGAGAATAGAAGTGAGAGAAAAGGGGGGCGAATTCAACAAGCGACCTACTCTATGTAACACCCGTCCCTCGTTTGCAAAGCTTCATCTCCATCCATACATCTTCTGTTCACTTGTCTGCAGTAGAAACCCAAACTGGCAGTCATCTCCAAGTGCCTTGCCTACACCTGCCTAACCAGCGTAGGAGCTCGCAAGCGTCATCTCGGCTTGACGGACCAATATGCAGGAACCATCTTGCGTCCTTCCCTTTCTCACTCCAATTTCAAGGATCCGATGACTTCAACATTGACTTGCAAGCCCCGGAACATATTATTGTGGCCTGAATTCTCGGCTGGGCCTCCTCTTGCATATGTATGCAAGTCATATGCACGCTTTATCCTTTCCGTGCTTCGGATGCTTCTGAAACAATTCTGCGTCTGATCAGCCTGTTTTCGAGATTGAGACGAGACGATTGACCCCCACTCAGCTGTTATTTTCGTCACGGATTTTTCGTGAGATAGAGACTGGATCTTGATATTATAGGCCTGCATTATTCTTCTGCACGACCAGATATGGAGTATGATGACCCTGAAATTGCGTAGGTGAGAGTTGAGTAGGAGAGCTTGGATCTGTGATGAACACTGTGTTTGCATTCTCCCAAAATCAGTAAATTGCACGAAGGAATGAATGGTAACGACGAAAGATTGACCCCGAACGAAGAACTTAGCTAGGAGCCTACGGGACCCTAAATCTTTCCTTCCAATCCTATTCCATTTTTTGCCCAAATCGTAATTTAAAACATCCTCGTTCAACCCACCTACATCAACGAAAAATAACCCACTCGATGGACTTGAGGAACGAGTAACACGGCAACTTTTGTTATATAGACAGCCCAAAATGGCATATACATGAGAGAGGGAGAGAGAGGGGGAGAGAGAGAGGGAGAAAGGGGATCTATGCATCATATGCATGCACGTAAGTTGTTGAACAATGTCTAGAGGAAATAAAACATGCCTCGAAGCCTTTTGTTTTAGCGTATTTACACTTCCAGTCCAATCCGTACCATGAAACCCAAGACCAACCATCTAAACACCTTTACCATACATTCCCAGCACGAAAGGTTCAATGGACTAACGCCGTCCGTGAATCATCCTCGTAACATGCATGACCCGATCCCATCGTTCCTCGTCACCCGTCATTGAAGGTATCTCACCTCCTCTCATCCGCCTCCTCATCGTCAGCAGGCTCGACTCGCACCAAGATCTCCTCCAAAAGACCTTCAAGGAAGACATCAACATCTTTGCCCATGCCCACGGGTTCTTCCTTGTCCCAGTGATCGATTTCTTTGCAAACGTGCGCTAATTTGTACACCAATTTCCGCAGTTTCTCGTGAGCTGCTTGTGCTCTTTGTTGTTTTGGCGTAGTTCCTGTACCGCGAAAAGCCTGTTGCAGTCGATATTGTCTGCGCTTCAAAGCTTCTTCCAAGGCAGGAAATATCACATCATTAAGTGCGTCAAGATCGCCCGTAGGACTCGACGGTGCTGGCGAGGGCATAGAGGTCGGGGCTCGAGAAGACTCAGATGAGAGACTTTCACGAGAGGGGGTGTTGTCTCGTAGCTTTGATGGCAGAGCTGGCAATGGTTGCTGTCCCAGCTGCCTCGGGTTAATATTTTGGGAGGTAAGTGATTGATGTATTGGAGGTGGTGGAGTTTGCTGCTTCGATAAGCTAGGAGCTGATTGGTTCGTAACCCTTTGTAGAGGCTGACCATGTCCGCGAAAGGGAGGTATCTCAGGCAATTTAATAGGGCCCAGCTTTGGGAGTGATTGTTGAGCCGAAGGTCGACCAAGTTCTGGATTCTGAGCAAGTTGTGGTGGTAGCGGAGATGGAGCTAATGCTAATCTAGTAGGGGTTTGTGGAGAAGGTGTTGATGCTATGTTCAAGAAGCCCATGTCTCTCTGGAGTTGTTCCTGTAAGCTACGGTCATAATCTGGCGAATCGGTGTTCTGCTGGGATAAGAACGGCTGCTGGTTGGCTCTGGGAGTGTCTGGTGCAGTCGTCCTATACTTCTCGGGCGATGGAGGAAGGGGTACCTTTGAAGGCGAGGATGGTGGCATTTGCGGAACAGGTCGTCTTTGCGGTGATACTTGTCGCTGTTCTGAGATTTGGGGATTCATAGCTTTGATTGTGTCGGCGTTAGAAACATATCCAGAATCCTTCATCTTCGTAGGTGACAGGCTTCGTGGTCGTTCTGCATAGTCGTCTCCACTTTCCGAAGATCTAGATGATCTGGCATTTGTTGCAGACTCCCCCATGGCGTTCAAACCAGCCCTGGCGACGTTCCTGCCGACCACAGGTCGTACAGTGCCAAAATCCCAAAGATCATTATTAGCAGGTGCAGCTCGTGGAGCTTCGTCTCGTTCCTCATCCGAATCATCATCACCGCCTTTGTGATGGACAGCCCATCTTTCATAACGCTCAATCAGTTCCGTCAGATAGGATGTTTTCTTTGCCCTTCTTACGAAGGGATGCTTCAGAAGATCTCTGGCAGAGGGTCGTTTCCGGGGGTCCTTTTGAAGGCATAATTCAACGAATTCTTTGAAAGCTTTTGAAAAGTTACCTTCCAGCTCGGGCGGTGCATTTTTTGGAATCAGAAATAAAACTTTCATGGGATGGATATCCGAATAAGGAGGCTCGCCGTTGGCCAACTCAAGAGCTGTAATTCCTAACGACCAGATATCTGCTTTGTGATCGTACCCAGATTGCTTGATGACCTCAGGCGCCATCCAAAAAGGAGTACCGACAAAGGTGTTCTTCTTCGTCATTGTTGCCGAAAGTTGCCCCGAAACACCGAAATCTGCCAGCTTGACTTGGCCATTGGACCCCAGCAAGATATTGGCAGCTGTGAAGATGTTAACTCCGAGCCTTTGTAAAATGACAGATTCCCTTACCCTTGATATCTCGGTGTAACTTTTTGTCAGAATGTAGGTAGTCCAGGCCCAGCAAGAGTTCTCGTATAATGATGGAAATATACTCTTCCCCAATCAAGCCAGGCTTCATCAGGTCACCACAACTCCCACCAGAACAAAATTCCATGATGATCCATAGGTCCGAGCCTTTCAGATATGATCCATAGTATTGTGTCACATATGGCGAGTGTAATTCGGACAGGATGGCGATTTCCTGGACAATGTCCTCTACCTCATCTTCCGCATTCTCGACATCGATGACCTTGATTGCCACTGCTTGACCGGTGCGCTTGTCCACCCTACCCTTCGTTAGCTGGGCTGGACCAAATACTGTTGCAGACTGGAACTGAGAATCATACCCTTTGTACACCTTCCCAAAGCTTCCACCACCTGTGACCAATAAGCGTTGGTAATAAACAAAACGGGTAGAAAGAAAATACCTATGCAGTTCTGCTTGGTATACAGTGTCTCGGGGTCGACATGGCCGCTTGTTTCTCCTCCACCGCTGGCCATTGTATACTGCGTTGGCCTTCAGGAGAACAGCTGGTTGCGAAGAACGAAAGAGTCTACTGGAATATCGACGTGTTGACCAGGTTGCTGCCGCAGATTTTGCTGGTAGGAAAGGCAATGCAGAGGTCAGATCGAGACGCGAAGGCATGAAAAATGAGCAAAACGAGCGCGAAGGCGTGAATGTGCGAGTGTTATGGTTATGGCTGACAGTGTAGCTGAGTTTCTATCCCTTGTCGAAAGCGCGCTGTTCGTTAACGCGGTGATGGTGGGGTCGAGGCGAGTCAATTCAAGCTTCAAGATTAGCAGAGCGCGAAATGCACCACAACGTGACGAACAACAACGAGCAATGAGAAATTGAAAATTGCTCAGAGACGGAGATCGCTTCTTAAGACACAACGCTCCAGCGAAATCGAAGTCGCAATTTCACAAGGCGGTTGCTGGGAGACTTGGTTTGGGAATGTGGAATTTCAGGTCCCTGTTTCAAAAATCCGGGGAAGGCAGGCGCGATAGGGCAATACGGCACGCAGCAAAGTCAGGGCAGATTGAAGTGCATTCGGGGATGATGTACCTAGATCTTCAATCTTCAATCGGGTGGATGATATCCATTCGTAAGTCAAAGAAGGACCTTCTCGATTCCCTTGCGGCGAAGCAATAGGTAATGAGGATGAGATCAACAATTTCCTGCTGGCCAATCATCTTGGATATCACGAACAATTGAGCTCTTCCACGATCTAGCTGTTACAAATATTAGAGCCGCATCGTCCATGAAGATGCATGCACAGCGCACTCTAGTATACAAGCCTCACTCGAATTGGATACTGAGTCTAATAATGCCTCCTCTCGGAGCTGGACTTACTTTCCTCCTTCGATGATACTCACGCCTTACTCAACGGAACCTCGATCTCCAGCCCACATCAGATCAAGTTGCTGGCATGCCTTGCCTTGCCTTTCTTTCACGCCCCGTTAAAGTTCATGACACGTTCCCTTTATGATTTATCAAAAAGCCTTGGTAGACATGAAATGGAGTGTGGAAGGATACATACACCCTCGAAGGGATAACTTCCATCCCTTGCTTTCGAATCAATAAGTAATATTCAGTAGCTCAACCTGAGAATGGAATGTGAGACTTAATATTTTATCAAGGATTCGAACTTGTTCTATAAGGAAGCGCTTCTGCTCCTGTTCGTTCATACACTGGATACATTTCGGACGCTACGATCTCATGTCACTCGATGGTGTTGAGAATGCACTCCCTCAAGGTGGTTCTACTCTTCTTCTACAGCATAAACTTTGTCTCTGCCAGGCGCGAGGACTTTTGGGAGCCGGAAGTCGTTGAATATGCAGCATCATGGTTTGGCCTACCTTTTGCATTCCAACAACCTAGAGTCACTAACCTATACAACGATAGTACTACCTCTACTCTCTCTTGTCTCCAAGACAAATTGGCATCATTGAAACACCACCAAACAGGCTTTTGCGCCGCTTATACAGCCGCAGTCCACACCGAATCCAAAGGTATCCCTCCTATTCTGGGCCTCTGCGGCACTGGAGTCGCCAACTTCCACGAGAGAGCTAGTAGTGCTTGTTCATGTTTTATTACAAAGGAGACAGCTCCTCCACACGCGCATATCACAGATTATCCTGCTCCTCCTGGCACTGTTTGGGTGGCTTATGAGTATAAATTTCTTCCAAAGATGCCATCGCTATCTATGACTTGGCCTGTGGGTCCTTCATTCGAGGGTATGGACCTTCTTGAGTACATGTCGAATTGTCGGGATTTCACTCGTATGTACCTAATCTTTGCTATGTTACATATACTCTCCTTCTTGTCGGTAGATCGAAGATTGCTACCTCAACCTCGCTCTCCATTGAAAGTCGGGTCCCCTTTTCTTTGCCTGAATATAGTACCTCTTACCTTCTTCAGACTAGGGAAAGTTAACGAGATGCAGCAAATTTCGAGATGCATGTTTTACACGATGATGGAACTGAAATACAATGCATGTCGTGAGTCCATCCAACCAACCTATGAATCCCATTAGACTAACTTCCAGGAAAGATTTCATTATATGCCGCTTTCCAAGTTTACCGCGGAAAAGAGTCAATGGGGATACGCAGTAGACAATGTTTGGGTATGTCCATTCTTCCTCGAGAGCTCCGTACATCATTAATATCTGCTTAGGCTGCTGTTGCGATCTGACGATCCTGATGCGAGAAAGCGATTGAAATGGGTTATTGTGATCTTAGCTGAGGGGCAGCTAGAGCCAAATTTTCTGGACACTGCGAGTCTGGATATGGTTTATTGTAATGGCAATGATTGGAAGGGCACATTTGTAGGAATTACTCATAGTTCAATGACTGCGCTGCTGTCTTTAAAGGTACGATGAATAAATCATTAAAATCACATGAAACCCCCGGGAGGCTACTCTAACCACCTTGTTGGACACAAATTTCTTGTATTCATTCTATGCTCGGCGTGAATGCGTCCTTCTAAATGCAATGATAGGGGCCTCAAAGAGGAAAAAAACTAGTAGCAACGCCCTCCACACCATATACAGTATCTCAAACCCCGCAGATCAAATGCAAGTGATCAAAGTTGGTAAGCCCAGACGAAGGGCCGCTCATTCCGTAACGCCAGGATTGCCGTGATAGGGTGATTGCCGAGTTCTAATCTTCGATGAATTCCACCATAACGGTGCCATTAGGAAGCTCAGCGGTCTGAATCGTCTCGTCCAAGTGCTCAATCAGGTCGCCTCCCATGCTCTTGAGATCAAATACGACCCCTTCTTTCCCCTCCAGAGGTTCAGCCTTCAACCACTCGTAGATACGGCGTACTGGGTCGTTGACTCGGAATCTCCGCACTACCCGACCTGTGGGATGTCGGAATTGAATGCGAGTCACCCCTGGGCCAGCGGCAGGCTCTGTGTGAGGGTTGTTAGACAGAATCTGCGAGAATGGTGAAGTCAAAGAGGCCCCGCCTTCATCATCTGCATTACCCATCGCCTCGTCTTCCTCGATCTCCTTTCCTTTTCCCTTGCTGACATCGCCGAAGCTCTTTGTAAGTTCATCTGGATCTTCCCCCTTGGGCCCACTTGCTCCATTGTTTGCAAGACTGTTTTGAAGGGCCAGATCGAGCATTTCCTCTTCGGTTAGTCTATTTACGTCGAGTGATTTTGCTTTCTCCGGTTTGCGTCTAGCAACTGGGTTCTTCTTCGTAACGTCTAAACTGTATCGGTCAAGGAATTCAACCAGCTGCATCAAGAAGTCGCCTGCTTGAGGTATAGGAACGCCCGACCAGACCTTCAGTTGCTCTCCAGTTCGAGGGTCAACAATGGCAATATGTGGGTAGGCATCATCGCTGTCCTTAAGCGGGAAATAGTAGTTGATGTAGGATTGACCTCGGGGATCGTCCTTGGAGTATTGTACGAAAATAAAGTTTTCCCTCACGAGCTCTTTGATGCCATCGTATCTCCAGATATCTCGATTCAGCGCTTGGCAGTAGAAGACCGAAGGACTTTGAATATTGACAAGAATCCACTTCAAGTCCTCTTTGCCTTTGTCCCGAGCTGCATCCCACGAAAGTTGATGCATGAGATCGAAAGGGGGCCTGTACAGCTCTGCGAGTTTGGCTGCTTTCGATGATTCCTCGGAAGCTCCTCCAGTAGCTAGGGCCAAACCTTCCCTACGGACTTCAGGATCAGCTGAGGCGTCCCAAATCGAAGGCACGGGTCTCTGGTTGAATAGTCCTGGGCGACCTGCAACATGTTAGTACCAGTCCAACAATGGCGCATGACATTCCATACTTGATCCTGTACCGTTATTTCGTCTAGCTCTCATCTGCTGCAATACTGCAGCATGCATATCGTCAGGACCCCAGTCTCCACCTGCATCAACGAGGGTTTCCGTCACACGGCCTATGGGTGCCCTTACACCATCTGCATCGTAACCTCCACTGGCATCTCCACCAGCATAGAGTTCTTCCTGCATTCTCCGAGCCATAGCCTCATCATCTTCATAGTCTGCTGCTCGGCTTATAGCTGCAGCTGTTGATGTGTCCTCGTCTTCTTCTTCATGATCCAGCTGCATGTCATCGTCATTGTCTGAATCGTCAAGGACAACCTGCTGTCGGGATGGCCGCGCGGGGTTTGAGATTTCTGGTCGGGAGGCTGTTGGTATTGGGGGAGCTGGCGGCTGGCTTTCGTTGTTGAGGCCCGTCGCAAGGTCAGGAGAATCGAAGAACAGCTGGATAGCCTGTTCGGCATTGTTTTCAGTCAAGCCCAAGTATCTTCTGGCAACATCAGCGCTCGCGCCGGTGAAGGCTATGAAGCCATCTATAGACTCGTCCATGGTGGACAGAGCGATAGTAGAAGATCGTGTTCTGAGTTGTTCCTTTGCTGGCGGATCGGAGTCGAATTGAAATCAAAATGGAGGGGTCCAAACTGACGTAGACCTAGGGATCGTGGGCCTGCAGGTGACTAGAGTCAGAGAGAGAAGTGCGCACGCTGACAGTGGATCTTGAAGGAGTTGTCAGAAGGTGCAAGCAGCTTCCAGATGAGAATTATGAAGATTGGTGAACACTTTTCATGAAAGAGGAACTACTTCGCCCCAAAGAAACGCGGGTGAATCCGCTCGCAAACCTAATCGCTAACGATAAGGAGGTCACGTGTATAATCCATGTCAAGTACTCCCGCCATATCATTCCTGGTTTGTGATAGGTGAATCTGCTATTATCCCTTGGAAACATGCTCTAGCGTATTGAAGAACTGGTCAGTCAACCTCGGGAAATATATTCTGCGGATGGATGAAATCCTCTGTCCCCAGATACCTCGCTGGAGAGCTTGAAAGAGTTCTGAAACCAGAATAGTCTGTTTTTGCAGTCATTGTCTCGGTCACTTTTCTAGATCAATAATCTCCAAAGAGAAGGACACTTCACCTGTTCCTTCTATTTCTTCTCCTGAACCATCGCTTAGAAGAAGGAGGCCTCTCAAGCTCCCTCTAGCTCGAGCAAAGCATCAATTCCTGACTCTGTTTTGCCCTCATCACATCTGACGATGCAGTGCTATATGAACTCAATACCGATTCTGGGTGAAAGAGTCTTAGCCTACTGAGAACCTACGCGTTCATCCTTTCGGCTACTGCTCAACCGCCAAATGTTTCAAATTATTAACAGCTTTCTAAAGTACATTTCCAATTCTACGACAGCGTCTACTTTCAACGCTGTAGCAGTACCAACCCATCCATCAGGTCTTAAGACGAAGATACCTCCTTTCTGCAGGTCCACTCCATATCTGGCATGAGCTGTCTTCTTCGAGTCGTAGAAGACTTTCCCGAAAGGCATGATACCCAGAAGCTCAAAAGCAGAAGGGCCGCTCTTTGCTGGAATAGTAAGCCATGAGATAGGTAATTTTGCATCTGAAAGTATTTTTGATGCTTCAACTGCTTGCGCCAGCTCATTCAAGGCGGAAGAGGTATACTCGGGCTCTCCGGTGAATACCACAACGAAGAATCTCGCGTTGTTTGGCGTCTCTCGGTGCATTCTCGTAACTTCGTTAGTGCCTGGCTTGTACAGTTGTACATCGGGACCTCTTTGACCAGGAGATACCGGTGCAGGGTCTGTGCTAGGTACAAATGAGCCTTGAATATTGGCGCCATTAAGATCGAACGCGATACTAAGCCCTGAGGTGAATGTTGAAGCCTCCTCCATCACTACTCCAAGCACCTCGTTCGGATCGGCATTTGCATCTCCTGACCATCCCAAGGGTAATTGCATCGTCATCAATCTCGAGATATCTTTGTCGTAATTGATGAGCTTCTGGACATTCGGTGATCGTTCACCTTCGTATGTTGCGAGAAGCGAAGCTGGAGCCAGACCACGGAGGACCAAAGAAAGTTTCCATCCGAGGTTGCAAGCATCATGAAGTCCTGTGTTCATTCCTTGTGCAGCTCCTGAAGAATGGGTGTGGCATGCATCTCCAGCCAGGAAGACGCAATCTTTGGTGAAGAAGTGTCTCGCGACTCTTTGTCCGACTGCATAGACAGTATACCAATCCACTTGCTTGAATTCTAGCTTGAATGGTTTCACTGAAGCAATTGCCTCCGCTACTGCTGCAGCTTCGTTGAATTCTGTGTACCCTTTCTGGCGTTCTGCTGTAAATGCGAATCCGATTCTAGTTGCTCCATGATCTAATGCTGCCCATAACACGTTTCCATGTGTGGGAGATTCTATAGCCCCGTAAGTTCTGTTTTTGGGCATATCTGTCTCGATCATCCCATCGATCCGAACCCACTTGTCCTCCGTTGTGCTTCCGTCAAATGGGATGTCCAAGACTCTCCTCACAAATGACCTTCCACCGTCAGCCCCTATCAGATACTTGCACTGAATTGTCTCTTCAATCCCGGTCTCGCCATTTCTGGTCGCTGCTGTGATCTTGTATCCGCCTTGGGCAATACTTTCGTCAACCTTCACATCAGTCAATTCGACTGGCGCCTCTAGAGTCACTCCCAGTTCCCTCAACCTTCGCCTAAATATTTCCTCTTGATACTTCTGTCTCAAAACCAATGCAAAGTCCCACTGCGTATCCTTCATATTCTCCATAAAGTACCATCCTCGCCCTTGAACTTCCTGCCCATGCTTGTCATAACTGACCGTACTCCGGCAAGCAAAGCATTCTTGAGCGAGCTCTTCTGCTAGACCTAACTGGTCAAGCATTTCCGAGGATCGGGGATAGAGAGTGATAGCGCGGCCATATTGGTCTTGAGAACTCTTTAGATGCTTCTCTATGATTGCTATTGATGAGGCGTGTCCGAATTTGGCGAGTTGGAAAGCGGTGACGAGTCCTAAAAAGTACAATTAATATCATTCACAAGAGATAAAATGAAACGGAATAGCTTACCGACCGGACCACCTCCGACAACAAGGACGTCCAGGTGACGAATTGTTTTCTCTAAGCTTCCCATTATGCAGTCGATAGTCTCATGCGATGCGAAGAAGGAAGAGAAGCTCTCTTAAATGAAAGAGTATGTGGTTACTTTTGTTTGACAAGGGTGGGAGTCTGATAACCTGAATGGCTCGCTCATGCCACTATGGTAACATCAGACGTCACAAATAAAGAACTTAACATGGGAAGAGGAACAATAGAATAGTTTTATAGAAGCAACTTGATTGGCGTCATCTTCTCAGATATATTTCTTTTACCTGATTTCGATAACAAAATCGTTATCGCCCGGCGGCGGTCGGTCCAGCCGCTTGATGGCCACCCCACTCTTGAAGACTTTAACAGGTCATCCTTAAGGTAGATATTGTATTGTCGGCGAATGAGTTGAACCTGCTCTTTAAAGGTAAGCTTTGGGGATATTTAAGAAGAGGCAATTCGGTCATCCAAAAGGAGGTGGGGTAATATATGAAGCTACGCCGCATTTGGTTCTCGCTTCTCACTTCGATCACAATTTCCTTCCTTTCCTGTCACTTGAAGATTGTTCTGTTCTAATACAATTTGATCGACAAAAATTAGAAATCTTCAACACTCCATTCCCCGTGACTCCTACTTCCAGCCAGAGTGCTAACGTCACGCTTCAAGAATTGGCCTACACCCTTTTTGGCAATCAAGCCTCCTTCGTCCCTCGCCCAGATGACTTCACCTCTTAAGACTGTATATCTAGGCCATTGATTGAGAGTCTTCCCTTCATACGGTGTGTAATCGACATTATGATGCAACATCGAATTCGTCAATTGGAAATCGTTCTTTTCCGGATACCAGATCGTCAAGTCCGCGTCACTCTCTCCCGGGATCAAGGCTCCTTTTCGGGGGTACAAGCCATATAGCTTGGCAGCATTAGTTGAAGTAACCTCAACAAACTTCTGAAGCTTCAGACGATTAGCTGAAAGTGCCAAGGACAGCCGTGTCTCGACCCCTGGACAGCCATTGGGGATGTATTTGAAGTGACCGTTGGGATGTTCAGCACTGATAACTGACTTCTTGCCAATATTCGTATCCTCGTACAAGAACGGGCAGTGATCAGACGAAAGTACTGTGAAAGTTCCATCTTCTAGACCTTTCCAAATACCTTCGTGATCCTGTTCCCCCTCTCTTGGCGGTGGCGAGCAAACACATTTCGCGCCTTCGAAACCTGGCTTATCGAGATCTTTCCTGGTAAGGAAAAGATACTGTGGACAAGTTTCAGCATAAACTGGAAGGCCTTTCTGTTGGGCCTCGGATATATGTTGTGCTGCAGCTGGAGACGATACATGAACAATTAGAATGGGGACATCGATGAAACCACTAAGTGAAATGGCTCGATATGTAGCCTCGATTTCTGCAACTGGAGGATGGCTAGTAACGTGGTACTTAGGCGCAAATAGTTTCTTCTCTTCCAGTTTCTTAATCGTCCAATCAATGATAGCTCCGTTTTCTGCGTGGATCATGGTGACAATTTTCTGCTTTCTCGCTTCGAATAGTACGTCCAAGATCTCGGAGTCTTTGAGTTGAAGAGCCTCGTATGTCATATATATTTTGAGCGATGATATCCCCTCTTCGCGGAGTGCAGCAAACTCTGAGATTGCTTTCGGTCCGGCATTTGAACAGATTAGGTGAAAAGAGTAATCCGTGTAGCAATTATCACGTGCTAGATGGTGTGTTGCTGCCAGAGCAGAGAGCAGCGAAGGCTCGCTTTTCCGTTGAGGTGCGAATGTGATCAGAGTTGTTGTTCCTCCACAAATCGCTGATCTCGTTCCTGGAACCGGTCAGTACAGTATGAGTGTTCTCCTAGGTTTAAGACCTTACCGGTCTCGTAACTATCAGCGCTTTCACCTTTCCCGAATAATGCAGGTTCTTGTAAGTGTCTGGGTTTGTGTTAATGAAATTCTGAACATTGACAACTGCTATCAACTCACACATGAGCATCGACTCCGCCAGGCATGACCATTCCTCCTTGAGCGTTAATGATCTTCTTGGCCTGAGCGCCATCTAGACCTCCTTTCTGGACTACCTTTGCAATCTTCCCATCCTTGACTGCAATATCAAATTCTCCCATCTTATCCACCGTCACCATCAGCCCGTTCAGGACCAAGAGGTCATACTCAGCCATTGCGTTGCTCGTGATTGGCCAAAAGTTGGAAATGATTGCCTTTGATATAGAGAGAATAGAAATACTTGTCACGAAAAAACCCTCGACAGGGAGAACATGAACACATACTGCCCCACCTTTGCTTAGCTGTCGGCTTTCTCCCAGCCAAAGAATCCTTATCTCCCGACTACCCACCAAATCTGGAGGTTCGCCGCGATGGATGCACGCCGTTTTTGATAAGTTCGCCTATCGGCCAAAGTCGGCTCGCGAGCCGAAGCCCCTTAAAGAAGCGAGACCCACCTTCAATGTCCCAAGCTTTTGCAGTAATTTTGGGTGAGCATGCTATCTCCACATATGTCATTTACTCCTTAAGCATGAATATCATCTTGAGAAACAAGTGTCGTCTAGGAGTAGTTCTTGAAGCATCCTTGATGCCTGAATTTCCCCATTGATTGACTGTTTCTCCGAAAACAAATGGGCGTTCTGCAATGACATGTGGAGCTTTCCCAATAAACTTGCTAGCTGCTACGCCCGCTCTAGAGAAGTAATAGGTCACGGTGGCGGGTCAACATTGCTGAGTTCCAAATTCACTGTACCGTGTAGCCCAATTCGGACTTTCGAACATGAGCAGACAGTGTGCAATATTTACATAAAAGCGCTAATACTTTCAAAAAAGCAGGCTTCCGAGCCACGATTTTATATTACAAAATCTAGCAGTTCATACTTCACGTCGCTCGTCCCTCCAATCAAACTGATGAAGTTTTTCCCTGCGCCCAGAGTGACATCCATTGCAGCACTACCAAAATCTCCACTTGTGCCTGATAAACTCAATTGACCCTGAGAAACCTGGTTCACAGTGACTCCTACTCTCACAGCAGCATCACCTTCATTGGCATACGTGAGCAGCAAAGTCGCACTACCACCAGGACTCTGAATTCCAGAGAAGGCAACAACGGCTTCATCTGTCAAACCAGAGACGACAGCACCGTTCGCGGTAGCGTTAGCTTTGTTGTCTGTCGAAACAGAGGGGCCGGTCAGCAAGGCGTCTACGGCATAGTATGGTCCAGCAGTTTGAGGCTGGGTCCACACTTCAAGCTCGCACAGCCCTACGTATACGCCAGGCTTGTTGAACATATTCACAGAGACAAAAAGTGTCTCGGTCTGAGCGAATGAGAATGTATTGCGATCGTTAGTCAAGAAGGAAGAGGATGTATTAATATTGGCGAGAAGACCGTCAGAGCCGTAGATCTCGATCGTGGCCGGGACATCGACAGCACCACCACGAGCCAAGTCAGAATACAGGGCTAAAGTGACTGAAGATATATTTCGAGGCCGAGCAAATATAATTTGAAGTGTGTCGTTAGGAGATGGACTCTGGTAGTTGGTCCATCTGTTATCTGGAATCGAGTCATAAAACAGGTACCCATCAATTGCTTTGTATGGGTTATCGGCGGAATAAGTGTACGTTGCTATGGCTTGGGGGTAAGAGCCAAGTCCGTTTGGGTTCCCCGCAATGTTCACAGTAACAGGCAGCGCTACGGTGCTCGCAGTCGGAAGAGTGACTTGAGCTTTAGTGCCATTGCCATTGTAGACTTTGAAACCATCTAGAAACACTGAAAGACCGGTTCCATTGTTGTATCTAGTGCCATCCTGGTCGTAAATACAAGTGATGAGGTGGCCGTGGTAAGCAAGATTTTCGAGGGCGAAATATGTCCAATTCTGGGGAATGATTGGGTCAATTTCAAAAATGTCATCTGACCGCGGGATAATCCCAAGCAATCCAGTAATAACATCGTCATTGTTGGTTGAATGCTACGTAGTCGTCATTAACCAAATAATAATGTGACTCCCGGTGGAACTTACATCGTAGTGTTCGGAGTGATTGGTAGAATCAGCACTCCACGCATCCATAGATGGGTAATGAGACTCAGCAACGTATGGCGTCCCGTTCTTATGCTGCGTAGTTGCATACATATCGAGATATTGCACGTATTGATGGGCCGTAATAGATGTGTTTCCAGAGCGGTAAATGGCTGCTAAAGACTTTAAGGTGTGGGCAGCTACAGAAAAATCAGTATGCATTTTTGACAAAGATTTGGGACCCAAAGAGCTCATCTGAAAGGTCGAAATACATCTTCTTTTGATGAAAAGCTTCCGCTAATCATCCCGAAGATCTAGGCTTTCAAACAAATACAGAACAGAAGCAGAGTTTCACGTACTGGAAAAGGGCCACGATTGTCCTTGCCAAAAGCAACAGTAGTCTGAAGGCTTGGTCGCTGTATAGTACTGTTCGAGCCGTCAGTATAATTACACGCTCAAGGGTGCCGCGCTAGAAGCCAAAAATCAAAGCCTCGTGAGGAACAACTCGCAGCGCACTCCCAAGAGCTAAGCAGTGATACACAGTAGTGACGGATTGACATGAGGAAAAGCTTACCTGATTACGGACTTCCAGAGTTGTCGGACCATATGTAGTCAAGAAACCGTCCGGATCGAAGAGTTCTTGGATAGAGACGTTGGCATATTCTGGGGTCAAGCCAATGCCAAAACGATACGGGAAGATGCCCACTTCCTCTCTTCCCATGACTCTGGATAGATTTGGGTTATTTGGCATGATAACGTCTACGAAGAAATTCTGCGAGGGATCCCACAAATGGTCATAGAGCGATTGTTCCAGCTTTTCCGCTTTTTCCGTGAACGTTGCAGCTGTATCATTGTCACCTGCTTGCATGGCAACTTGAACGATTGCTCGAGTATTCGCAATCATATAGGCATTGACATTTGGTCTGTAAGTGTTGGGCCCATCTAATTGAAGCTGCAGTCAGAATCTCAGTGTCAGTAACCCTCTTTTGTGTGCTTCAGGATCAAACATGCATGTCTTGGAGTCCACTCAGAGCACCAACTCCAGAACATAACTCTCAAGACAGCAAGTAATATGAAGTTGCACTCCAAGAACTTGAGGCTTACCTGTCCACCATCCGGCGCTACAATATAACCTGGTAGGCTATACTCCTGAGCGTCAAAATTGGGAGTGAAATAGTAAAGACCAACGTCAGAATCGAAAACAAAATCCCAGTAGCCAAACAAACGGACCATGTCTGCTAGCTGTTCAGTCGTGTACTGGGAGTCCCCAGTGACTTGAGAACGTCGAAATATGGCATCTAATATCCAATGAGTGTACTGAGTCGTGTTTCCCGGTCCTCGTAGATACGCCAGAACATAATCATCATCGTAGATCTTGCTCCTCAGCCATCTTGCTTCGTCAATCTGATGACCGGCTGCCGCATCGATAGTGTTGAGGGCTTGGGCATATCCTACGGGTTGTACAAACTCCGTGAGAATATATCCAGTACCGGCAATAGTATATCGATGATGGCGTTGAATTGAAGACCAACGGTAATAATAAACATCCTGAATATTTGAGTTCGGGATATCCTATGATGCAAGACGAGTCAGCCTACTGTTTGGGAGCATTTGGCAAGTAGGACTTCGTGTTACACGATCAAAAGCAAGCAATTAGCTTAAATATTTTTGAAACAATGAAAAAGGCCTCTTTTTGCAGCAAACCTACAATGTACGGAATATTGTTCTTCAAAAATGTCTGCCCCCAGAAATTGCTAATCGGACTATCATGATCGAGGAAATTCGTTCCCGTGATGTTGATATTTTCGGGTTGTGGAGGGGCTTGAGCGAGGACTGCAGAAAAGAGCGAATTGATCCTCAAAAACCACGACAGGACATGCATCTTGAGAAAAAGGTATGGACTTTGAGGGATAGACCATTTGGCCAAGAAAGGACCAAAATAAGGAGAATTTTCCGGCATTTTATCAGCAGCTCCCCTCAACTTGACGAAGTCTAATTTGGAGGATCACCAGGATCGTGGCGGAGCCATCTTCGACCCCTCAACCGAAAAGCGGAGGTGAAATGCTGATCTACACGAAAATATGCGTCAGCTGACTTTTGACATAATCGAATGACAATTATGTGCTCAAGAATGATTGACGTATTCAACGCGTTAAGTAAGCTTCGAAACCAGAATCTCATCTGGAAGTGTTGACTCAGTATACGGCATTGGCGGTAAATTCATGTCTATACTCTACTTCGTTTCTAGCACATTATACGCAAATAAATAATAGATTAAATTTCTAGGCAGTAGACGCTTTGTTGCAAAACTTTGAAAACTTTGGTTCTAAACCCATGGGTCTGAATCAAGTCAAGGTGTAGAAGCTATGGGCGTGGACTCGTCTTGAGGTCACATTGTGACTCTTTTTCCAAGCCCCCAAAATTCAGTCAACGTTTCTTCTCCCATTGATATAAGTCTCCTCGAAGAGGTACCAAGCGGGACATCTCACTTGAGGTGCTCCAGTAATCTATCGTGAATATCTTTTCATCACCAGCACATCCATAGGCACCTGGATATAACATCCGCTCGACGAACCCTGAAATTCGCCATGGCTTCATTGTCTATCTTGTCATTCAATCTAGAATGCAACAGGTGATGGAGTGCATCCGAATTCTGTCCAACTAAGGGTGTGTGGCACACAGGACACGCCAGAGGGGGAAACTGTGTACCAGGAGGCGGGATAGACAGGACATGTCCCAGTGGCGGCAGCAGCCGCTTCGGTAAGAGTGAAACTCATTGTCACGTTGTAGCATGCTGAACCTGTATATATGTAAGTTTCCATTGTCTAAAGCAAAGACAAATAATCGAAGTATAGATTGTGATTCGTTAAGGAATAAACCCATGCAAGTCCGCTTACCTTGGACAATTTGTAGATTCACTGGCGTGCAGGTCGAACCATAAGCTGGATAGGATGGATCACTGAGATCTGTAGGTCCCTGGAAAAGAACATCGATCTCTCCACTCGTATCCTCGCAAAATAGGGCCTGGTCTCCTACGAACGCATTGTTGATCCATACGAGATATCCATTCGAATCTAGGGTGAACTCCGTGCTGATCGATAAAGCCGGGCTAGACGCTTCGAATGTCATCCAGGTCATTCCATTACTCGTAGAAAGATATCGGCCATCGGATGTTGACAATTCGCCATTAGAAAGTGTAAATGTGATGGTTGGGTCGCATACAGCATCTCTATTTGCTGATTGGGGGGTGAGGTAATATTCGTTTGATTGACGTTTGGAAACTCCGATAGGCATAATTTGAAGGATCACTTTGGAGGTCGAGACTGCGGGTAGAATGATATGGGCTGATGTGGGATTTCGCTCTGCAATCGTAGGTGTAGCAACTGGCGCTTGCCCCTCTGTTGTTGGTTCTACAGGCTCCGGAACATCGGAGATGAAAGTTGGCCCTGTTGATGGCTCCAATGGCATGGGAATATTGGAGATCGTCTGTGAGTGAGTATCGTCTGTAGCCAAGTGTGCCTCAGACGTCGGGTGCTGTTGAACCCCGACTGTAGATGATTCTTCTATGAGAGGTGCTTTCTCGGTCAACGAGGTACCGTGCGTGGCTGCTTTTGCTTGAGTTGTTTGTCCCAGTTCCCCCTCTGAATTTATAAGTTCAATTTCAACATGCGATGTTGTAGCTTGTTCAGCCACAATGACATGCGTTGTCGAGGACGTTGTTAGATCAGGCAGGATTTGAAGTTGTGTTGAAGTGACGGGTATCTCGGAGCTTGTTTCTTCAAGGGGTAATTGGACATGTGTAGATGAAGTAGACGCCGTACTAGTCACATCCCGAACCGGTATTGGCGTGGTCTGAACAGTAGAACTAGTCTGTTCTTGCTCAACGGGTGTGGGAATTTGACTACTCGAGGTTGACGAGACTTTGCCTGGCAAGGAAGTAGACAGAGCAACTGGACCTGATGTAGATTGTCCTATCTGCTCAGAAGTGGAAGGGGTAAGTGGCGTGGTCGATATTTGATCCGGGGATGTGCTTGATAATGGGACTATGGCTGTGCTGGTTTGATCCTCCGCTCTGGAGCTACTCACAACGCTTGAAGACGGCGAGGGAGGGCCCGTAGATGTTTGGTCTTGAATTGCCGAGGTGCTACTCAAGACGCTTGAAGACGGTGAGACTGGGCCTGTAGAGGTCTGGTCTTGAATTATTGAGGTGCTGCTTGACGATGATGGTCCAGGCAATGAACTTGATTGTCCCAATACCGAAGATGATGAAGAAATTGACGTCGACGGTGAAGGTACATTTGAGCTTGTCTGTCCAGGAGAACTCGAGGAACTGCTCAAGATTGTGAGATCTGAACTGGGGCTCGTCTGAGCGAATGAGCTAGAAATGCTGCTAGACGAAGAGCTCGTAACTTGAAGCGTAGAGGACTGGTCGGTCTGAGACGTGGACTGGTTCGTAGAAGGTATTGACGAGGAGGATGAAGATGATAGTGGGAGCGAACTAGAGCTACTACTAGATGATGAGGACTGACCAAGTTGAGAGGTCGATTGACTTGTCGAAAGTATTGAGGACGAGGATGACGAGGACAATAGAGACGAGGACGAAGATGATGAGGCCGGAATAGAACTAGAAGGACTGCTTGTTGAGCTGTATATTAAGACGCTCGAACTTGGACTTGAGCTCGAGGATAGCGAACTAGATAGTGATGAAGATAGCGAGCTTGATAGTGAAGGCGATATTGAGCTCGACAGTGATGAAGATATTGAACTCGAGGTGGAAGTCGGCATCAAGGATGAAGACGACGAACTTGAAGAAGAATACACTGTAATAGTGCTGGACCGACTACTACTGCTGGATCGACTACTACTAGATGACGAGGATGAGGTCGAGCCAACGGTCGTACTAATACAGACAAATGTTGAGGATGGAGTGATATACCTAGGCGCATAGGGCACAGAAGATACTAGAGCTCCTGGAGGCCCATACACTCCAATAGGACCAGTACCTGAGCCATCTCCGGCGTCGTTCCCAATATCACTCCCTCCACATATTTCTCCATACGCTAAGCCAGGAGGGTCGACGCCACCATTGTAGCCACAGGCGACATTGGTACAGTTCCAGGCCGGCAATTGCGTGTTCACAAAATTAAAATTATTTCCACAATAGCAATACCTAATGATTTAGCACTTTCAACCTCAGGCTTGTGAACAGAGAAATAAACTTACACACCGCTGTCGAGGTAAAACATAGTCAACGCGGCGTAAATCGTACCATTGCCGCCGGACGTACTACAGAACGACATGCAATCTTCGGCCGTGTAAGCGTCAATGTTGACGAATGCGGTACCAATGCTCCCCGCCTTGTAACAACCGAGATATTGGTATTGAGGGTATGCTGGGAACCCCCAAGGTGCTTGGTTTGGCATAGTCGCGATTACGGGAGTCCGAGCATTAGTGGCTCCGGTGAAGTACTGCTTGGTAGTACTTATTTGGTACTGAGAATTGACCGACGAAAAGCAAGCCGCAGGGTACGTGGCTGCCCCTAACCGAGGTCCCGGAATAGGTGGTTCGTAGCATCCAAGGTAGTTGGGATTACGATAAACTGCGTATGACTTCGCTGATGTTTGACCACAGCAACTGTCTCCGAGGGTACAAGATCCGTCTCTAGGTGTTTCTTTAGTGTTGTCTAATCAGAGTAGGAGTTTTAGACATACGGCAAGCCGGATACACAACCGAAGTTACACTGAGAAGTCTGGGCGTTGTCTGGTACAAGCTGAAAGGTATTTCTCGTAAACGAGACACCACAAATACAAGAGACAGTACTACATAGATTAAATTTATCAGCCTCTCACAATATGTTCTGCTGATACAAGAGAAATACTGACCCGTCCCCATTCGTCGCTATTGCAGTATACGCGGAATTTGTAATCGCACAGCTCACCGTGCAATCCGTGAAATGGGAGAAAGTGTTGTTATACCCATAAGGAATCATCCCCATGTTGACTGGATTGTTGATTTGAAAGCAACCGAGGTAGGCATAATTGTTTTGCTCTATGGTTATGTTGGAGTATTCCGCAAAGGAAGTATCCTCCCAGGTCGCAAGAGCATATTGCCCCTTATATAGGGCCGTATTGTTGTAGTCGTATTGGGTAGCATAATACCCCATACGCCATCCACATTGTGGCTGCGAAGCATCTCCGTAACAGAAAATGGCTGGGGGGCCCGGCCAACTATTGGTACACGCACTCCATCGTCCAGTGGGTGCTGGGTAGACTGACCCAGAAGTCCACGTCGGTTGAATTTGGTTGTCAGTAAATGTTATGGTGTGGACGGTGGCGACGACTGGGTAAGGATTGTCATTGTATGAATTGCATGCACATAGACCCATAGTCATCATGGTAAAATGAAATCCATGACTTCGACAGGCAATGGTACAATTCAGTGGAGTTTCCGAAATCGTCCAATAATTTGAGCCAGCTATAACGAATCCTGGAAGAGATGTATCGCCAGTGTCTACGTTATTGTTAGTTTATAAGTTACTGGAAAGAATAGAAAATGCAAGGCTGGGTTACTTGTTACAAAGAAAGGTGCATAGTAGAATCCACTTCCTTCAAGTAGACCCGCACGGCCAGTGATAAGATTAAATGTTGCATTGATTTTACCCGACAGTTGGCAACCAATATACATTTGCCCAGTGCCATTCATAAGACCGCCGCAAGCCTTGTTCAACAAAGCGGATGGATAACCATAAGAGCCGCCCCCCTGACCATGGACAAGTCCAGCGAGGTACCATATCCATAGGGCGATAGTAGTGATTCGAGTCAACATTTCGGCGAATAGCATGTACGCAGTTTAGACGCGATATCTGATAGTGATGCCGGTAGTGAGCCTGGAGGATGTGTATTTGGGAGAGTGAATGGGGAGAGAGGAGGTGGAGTGGTCGTGATAGATAGGCAAGAAGGAATGTGTTTCGGACATCCCTGCGTGCCAAATTATATTACTTCCACCCCCTTACTTGCATAAAGACATGCACTAAGAATCATACCTTGCATTTCAATTCACCATCCCGATTCACGCTTGATCATGGTGGGAACTCTGGATCATTCTTGCGATTGTCTTGCAACATGATCAACATGGCTTCAACCACCATGGCGGGAAACAATACCGAACTTACCTTGAAAATTGATTCACACCGCTTCTCAATAACCCGGTCTTCTGAGAATTTCCAATGGCTAGCGGCTTCTTTCCTCCCTCTTCCCTCTTTCGTACAGCTCCCGAATCCCCATCTTCGGGTGTACCGTATAGCCCATGATCCTTTTTCTAGCTCTGCAAATCTCCCAGGATTTAGAAGGCATCAGACTCTCTATAGAGTACGTATGAGCGATCTGTTTGGGTGCCACATGAGTGACAAAGTTACAAAGGACCAAGGGTATTGTGAAGAATCATACCAGACGAACTACATTACTTACTTGCTGTAGTTTCTTCTTGGACTGGATGTCCCCAAGATCTAATTATTCGCTACCCGTTCGGTCACTCTCACCCACACTATGCCAAGTTAGCACTGGATTTTCTCCTGATAAAAGAACCCGTTGAAGGTCGAATAACCTTCGTGAATCCAATCCAGCAAGATTATAAAGTGGCACTTACTCTCACTCTGCAGCCACAGTCCCACATTAGTACTACGCCACGGCTTCGTCGGACTGACAATCTGGAAATCAAAACATCGAAACAATTCAAAGATAGCCTTATTCAGCTCCAGCGAAGCAACATTCTTTCCCAAACACTGGTATTTTCCGTACCCAAATATCAATTCTGACAGCTTTTCCATCATTGCGAATCTTTTAACCTCATCCTTGGTTCCGCCAGTCTCAAGCTAGCGCTCGGGTCGGAAGAGGTCTGCGTCGGGTCCGAAAGTAGTTTTAGAGTGCTGCATTCCCCAAGCTGACCATCCGATGTTGACTCTGCCTGGAATATGGACTTCTTCTCCGGAAGCTAGGGTGAAGTTGTCGCCTTCAGGTGGAGATAGTTTGGAGAGCATGCCTGTGACAGGAGGCCATATTCTGAGACCCTCTTTGATCACCGCTTGAAGGTAGGGTAACTCTTTGGCATCAAAATCTTTGATCACACCGCTCCGCGTCGCCCGGCCCTCTTCGACGGCGGTGTCGATCTCTTTCTGCAAAGTTCGATAGACGTGAGGATTCGTCATGGTATGCAGCAGGATTGAGCGGATAGCGGTTGCAGTAGTATCAGCTCCGGCAAGAATTTGGAGGACGGACTCGATCATAACATCGTCCTCAGTCAGGCCACGTGAGATGAAAGACGATAGCATGTCTTGACGGACGTCGGTATCTTTAGCGGCGAAGCGTTTTGAGGCAAGTTGTTTCGCAACCCTACAGAGTTCTTGTCAAAGTCTTTTCTAACATCTGAACCGGTCAAAGAGATTAGAGGGTATACCCCATCAATTTTCCTACCCCTTTCTCGCTTTTATCGCTTGGAAAAAGTAGGGCTCCAAACTTGCTCTGAAACAGTGCCCTCAACGCGGGAATGGTTGCCATTCTCAGTATTGTGGGAATCATATCTTCTGTGTTCTAATGATTGAATTAACATTGTGAAATGCCCTGTGATAAAAAGAGCGCTGCAGGTCAGGAGCTAAATTATAGGCAATCGAGAATGATCTTAAGACAGCTCATCGCTTCACAGCCCCAAACCAAAGAATCTCAAGTCAGTATTGAATAAGGTTACCTGGATATAGCTAAATGTGTCATGGTCGTCTGTCAGATTTTGAAATGGCTGTCCGAACGCTACGTCAGTGATAACATCCATTGTGAAGAAAGACGCTTTTCGTCCCATGTCAACCGGCTTGAAGACTTTATCCGAGGATATGTATTTGCGTCTGAGCAAGTCGATCAAGTTCTGCACATGACGCGAGATTGTGGGCTCGAGGGTGGGATTTGTTTTACCAGCATACTGGAAGGTATTTAGCAAGTGTAGTGAAGTCATCGTAGAAGCTTACACCATCTGCCATCTGCGCCCTTCTCTTAGTATGTATTTCTTCATCTTGTTGGCTGAAGATATTGTCTCGGCCAGGAGGGAGTCGTAGTCCAGCATACCAATCTCCTTTCGTGTAGGGAGATCTGGCAGCACTCATGCGCATCCAAAGCTCTGGGGAGTTAGTGACCAAAGTATTTGGGCCAATGCAAGCAATTGATCCTGATCAACTCTCAGTAAAGTGCACGATAGAAGGATCAGAAAGGTACCATATTTTTCACACACATCGGCCAGCACAGCATGTTGCGAGTCTCCAAGAGCAGCTTTTGCGAGCCACAAATCTGTAAATTTGGCGGCCCACGGCCCTCTGAAAGCTTTCAGACGTCGATAATTACTATGCAACAGGGCTCCGTAGAGCGCGGCACTTGCTGCAAGGAGGCAGTATGTGTTCTGCACACAAAACTGGAACACGGCGCTGAAGACGGACATTGTGCAAAGCTGGCGAGGAAGTTGTGACTGATGAGAAAGGCGGGGAATGTTCTTGTTGTAGGAAGATAACTTATCATGAGCAAAGTTTTCATCCGGGACCAATGAACGTATATGGCGCACGACCTGAACGGCGATGTTGACCTTTTAGGACAGAACCTGCAGGGCTTCAAGCGGGGCACCGTCAAATCCAGCCAGAGCGTAACCTTCTCAGAAGTCTCGAAGATCACCAGTCTCGGATCGGGACGGGCCGAACGAAAGCGCGGTATTGCATATCGCGGTCAATGAGCGACTGGGCTGTACCCTCGAGCGCGATCCCGGGTTATTGGAAGACGTTGCTTGCTGGCTTGATGTGTACCACTCACTTTTTCTTCGACGGACAGTCGCCAAGTTCATCTTCTTCTTCATTTAGTAGATAATCCTGCAGTGACTATCAGACATATACTGCGAAACCATTAAATTGAGAGCCCGTCAAGCATGTCTTTACTCAGTCGCAACGACTGTGAACTCCTTCAAAGCCTTCTCCAAAGCTCGCATATTCCGGGGAACAAATTTTGCCTTATACCTGTGCGGCATGGCTACTAAACTTGTAGGATCCGAATTTCCAGAGACTGGATGACAATCGATGTCATCGGATTTCTGTATTTCGAAGGCGTTGAGCATGCGAATGAAGACAATATATAGCTCACGATTCGCGAGAAGCGAGCCAGCACACATTCTGTAGCCAAGTCCATAGGTGAACATTGGAGCATCAGGTTGCTCAATCCATCGTTCTGGGCGAAAAACTTCTGGGTCCTGCCATACTTCATCATCTGGCTGATGTTAGTCTTTGGAGATAATGAATGTCGAGTGGAAGTAATACCCATGTTGCAAGCCCAAGCATTTAAGAAGTATACCGTGCCTTCTGCGATCACGATACCTTCGTAAGTTACATCTTTTATGGACACACGGGGTAATGCGAGACGAAGGACAGTGAAATATCTTCGAGAATTAGCACAGGTCCAAACGAATGGTACAGGATTTCCTCGTACCTCAGGCACTCTCGCACAAGTGCAACAATATATGGGCATTTCTGATCGTCCAGTGCGTCGCAGAGAGGCTGCTCTGCAGAGTAGAGTCTAGCAATCTCTTTCCATGCTTTCTCTTGTATGTCTTGCCGCTGCGAAAGAAAGGCAATGCTCCACTGCAACAGAGTTGTTATCGTATCCAGCCCACCAGAAAGCATGGTCAAGCTAATTGATGTAAGTTCAGCATCGTTGAGTTTGGCTTCTTCATCACTGTCAATGAGAATCTCGAAGTCAGCATAGCGCTTTCACATATTTCTGCGGTAGGTCGCAGGAATGGATCAATACAGTGGCCCAAAGACCGTAAGAAAGAAGTGGCATCTTTAGAGACTTACAGTATGACATTTGCTTGGATGCATGGGCTATGGGTACCCTTCTCCATGCGTTCTTCCAAGCCCTTATTCAGAGCTTTCAGGTACACATCCCGACGATCTCGCATTTCTCGGGCTTTCTTTGACCCGAAATTAAAGGGATTTAATCGTAAAAGCGGGACGTAGTCTTGAAGATTGCCTGTGGTACTCCGGAATTTGCTAACTTCTTCTTCCACATGTGTTATCTCCTCAAATAGAGCGTCCTCTTGACTATCCATCCGTATGCCCCAGTTGAGGGTCAGAGCAAGAGACAAAGACAGCCGCTGGATCATTGGCATAGGGTCCACTGGATCGGTACCGGCTTTGCCATATCTGAGAAGTTCCGAGACAAAGTCTTTGCTTTCGAGATCTAGGTGAGGTATATATGTCTGTATCGAAGGTCGATTGAGTGCAGAAGCTGCGCCTTTGCGTCTTCTCTTGAGTGAGTCGCTGTAGGGCGAGGTGCCTATCGTTGTGCCTGCAGTGTTTGAAAGTACCTGTAATTACTTGGTCAGATCAAATCCCCGCCTCCAAGTAAGGGTTAAAACGGTACCTTGCTGTGCACGAATTAGTACTATAGAGCCGATAAATGACCTAGTAGTTCCAAGACTTCAAAGATATCTCGCGAGCTATCGCAAGGGACTGCAATCGCCCGTCCGTATTCATATCCAAGTTTCAGAGATAGTTCTAGCTTCAAACCTCTTTTGAACTGAAACATAATTCAGTATAGAAATTGGCTTACTGGAACGTATAGAATTCTGGTCTTGAACTTAAGGCCTGAGCATGTTGGCCAAACAGTGCTTTCGCCGATGCTGCTGAGTTTACAACGACAACAGGGATATTGCCTAGCTGTATCTGGTAGACCGCGCCATGAGTACGAGCCCATTGTCGGTACTTCTCTGCAGCATTCGTTCTGATATCCCAAAGATTGCCAATCAGAGGCAGGCCACTTGGGCCGTTCAAGCCCGATACTCGGGCCTGTCTGCGAACAAATTCATTGGCAACAGTGTACAAGACGGGTACGGCCAGTGTCACCCAGAGAAGGAAGTGTGCTGGCTGCTCAACAGCATAAGTTTGGGTGAGATGAAAGATGTCGATGATAGCCATTGCGCTTTTGCGGGATACAGGAAGATTGTAGGGACATAGGAAGGACGGGCACGAAGGATAACAAGAGTGATTATATTCATAAGTGAAAGCATCGATTCACGATGAGTACAGATGTAAGCTTTTCAGACTCGTGGAATGCGGAACTGTTGAAGATTGTGGGGTTGCGGGGTGCAGGCGGGGAGGAACCATGGCGGAATTGACCCCGCGATGTCAAAGTTAACAAACATTTCCGAGTCGCACCTTTGTATGGGTGGAAGAGTGGATCGGCGATCATTAGAAAGAGGTTGGAAATGGTTGTATGGCTTCGAAATGGCTCTTGCTATGATATGGTGCCATTTTTCACACCCTCGTCATATGCAAGGACGGCTTGAAGCAGAATCTGACACCCCAATGCGCAGTCTTCCGCAGTCGTAAACTCTGCAGGGTTGTGACTTATTCCGTCTCGGGAGGGAACAAATATCATAGAAGACTTGACCACTTTGCTTGTCCACTGCAACCAACAAGTTAGCATGACAAAGGTACAAACTTGACAATAATGGGAATCAATAGAAGAAGGATTGATTACAGCAGCATCATGGCCAGCACCACTCTTCATCTCCACAATTTGGGATCCTCCCACCTCCAAAGTAGCTGCAGAACGGACTGCCTCAATACAATCCTCGTGAAAGATACTTTCTGGAAGTCCCCACGTTTTGACGACTTCGAAACTTGTGTTGTTGCTCTCTGCAGCTATAATCTCCTCGAAATTTTTGAATATTGCCGTACAGAGTTCCTCCACCATTCCATCTGTAGAACAACGGACGTCTATAATAAATTCGACTCCACTCGGAATTGTGGCCTGGCTCTGAGTATCGTTTGAAAGAACACCGACGGTCGCTACACCTAAATTTGTAGATTTCGCTGTGTCTCGCACAGCTGTGATCAGTCTTGAAGCGGTCACTAAAGCATCAGATCTGCCAATCATCGGAGTTGTTCCAGAATGACCTTCAACTCCTGAGACCCTCACCCTATGCCACTTCATCCCTTGAACAGACGTAACAACACCGACTTTCTTGCCAGCGGCTTCAAGCTTAGGCCCTTGTTCAATATGAAGCTCGAAATAAGACTCGAGGCCGTTTTCTCTGTAATCGCAAGGCGTATCTCCCAGATAACTCGTTACTTCGAGAGCCTTCCTCATAGATATGCCCTCAATGTCCTTGATTTCCCAGCAAGCCTCAAGTCCTGTAGCAGACTTTGTACTCCACACTCCTGATGCCATCATCGCTCCAGGGAACCGTGCCCCTTCTTCGTTCGTCCAGTCGATCAGGGTGACTGGACAGTGTGTCTGTACATTGTTCTCCTTCAGCGTGCGAAGGACTTCAAGGGCAGCTTGGACCCCAAGGATTCCATCGTAGCGGCCACCAGCAGGCTGAGTATCGAGATGGCTTCCCATAGCAATGGGCTTCCGTTCTTTGGCTAGGCCAGCCCGCATTGCGAAGATATTGCCCATCTGATCGACCTTCACATCGCACCCCAGTGCCTTGCATTCTGCCACCAACCAGTCTCTGATTCGTTTGTCCTCCTGGCTGAGTGCGAGCCTGCGCATACCCGTTGAATTCGCCAGTGCCCCCCATGATGTGCAAGTTGACTGTAAAGTCTCGTTGAGTCGGTCGGCATTGATTCGAAGGCTCGATCGGTCTGTCATTTCGTCTTAGTCTGGATTGCAAGCGTAGGAATTATGGAGGAAATTATCCCGCTGATAGACGGGACGTCGAGCCATTTCGTTGTAGTAAATTTAAGATTGTTGAAGGCTGATTTATTAGAGAGTGGGGGATTCCGGGTGCGTTGTTGCTGTGACACGCTTCATCTTTTGGGAAGTGTTAGCCCCCGTGTTGCTTGCAATACCAACTATTGCGATCTGAAGAAACACCTCGCTGCTACGAGCTCTTTCGTCCTTTGGTATGCTCATGAATTTGTGGTTTGTTCTTGCCCCTTGCTTCGGTTTCATAATAATTGCATAGATGTAATGTGCAAGCCAGCACAAGGTGAGATTTGGTTTCTCGCTCAGCTGCAACGTCTTCTCAGAGGCAACTCAAGGTGCTGATCAATTTCCGAAGTACAGTAGTTGACTTGAGTTTTAACTAAGCTGCGAGTTGACAAGATGTCTTCGCACCAGGAAACCCATCAAGTATCTTACGATAAGGCACAAATCTATGCCTACCTGACTAGAATATCATTTCCATTGGATCGGTCAATGATATCAGACGTTGTACGGTCCAAGGACGGGCTTCAATATCTATCTTCTCTTCAAAAGTATCATCTTGCCGCGATCCCATTTGAGAATCTGAGTTTGCACTATTCTAAGGAGCACACCAATTCTTTGAACCCCGATGATTTGTTCGAGAAGATAGTAATTCGCAAGAAGGGCGGATACTGCTTCGAGAGCAATAGCCTTTTCGGAGTGATGCTACGAAGTCTGGGCTTCGATATTGTTTCTGTTGGCGCCAGAGTGACGCTTGTCAGTCCTTCTGCCGGTTGGTTAGTTTCCTCTTCGCGAAACTGTCTTGTGCTTTGATGACTATTTCATATTGCTAATCTTCTTTAGGGATCATCAAGTGAATCTTGTGTCCATAGCGGGAACGACTTATCTAGTAGATGTTGCATTCGGAGGTTCTGAGTCCAACCTTTGGCAAAGATCTCCATGCTAAATCTTGCTGCTAGCTTCATGCCCCACCCGTCCTATGCCTCTGGTCCATGGCCAAATCTCACGATGGGGTGCCACTGTCGCAGAAACCAGACTGACTTTCCAAGACCCCTCGAACGCTATTGTTCAAGGCCTCTGGGCTCTTGAACACCGAGTGTCACCCGCGAATGAGTGGACACCTAGCTACACCTTCGCATTAACGGAATTCTTCCCCAAAGATTTTGAGATTATGAATTATGCTGTTCGTTCCCAACCAACTAGCTTCTGGACTTACAGCATCCTCTGCTTGAGAATGATATTCGATGAGGAAGTTGACGACATCACTGGCTTGCTGGTTCTGCAAGGTGACAGACTAAAGCAAAGGATACACACCGAATCTGAGACGCTCATGCAATGTGCTGATGAGCACGAGCGGGTTGAAGTCTTAGAGAAGCATTTTGGAATCCATTTATCTCATGCGGAACAGCTTGGCATCCTTGGTACAGTTACCCAGTTGAAAGGTGGCTTTTCTCTGATTTAAGAGGCGTCCATCTTGCCGTCATGTCTGTTGCATCGGGCAGACAATATACACATCCCAGCTTGTGTCTCCCGAATCTCGTTCCTGAAGAAGCACATTCAATACTAGTCAATAGTCTTGCAACATCTACAAACCTACACACAAGGATCCTCCGCTCGTCAATGTAATGACATTTCCCGGCCCATAGTCGAACTAACCACTTGAGGGCCCTTTTACCGCGTCCTAGCTGCAATCTCCGAAATGTTTCTGTCCATTTTGTCCATCATCACCTTTGTTACTGCTATCATCTGAGAAGCCGTTGCGGGAGATGCTTCGTCAATGGCCATGTCTCAATCACAACTCCTCTTGGGTGTTGATTTGGGGCGGATCTCCACCAGCTCAGAAACTATCTTAAGCTCAACAGAGTTCACTGGGCCCTGCAAAAACCTGCCCAGTTCTTCTCCCGTTGCATGATCTCGAGATTCTTTCCGGTGCCCAGCTGACATTGGATGTCTCTAAGATCGTTAGGCACAAGGAGATCTTGCCACAGCGCATCGTCTATAGACCGGGAAGTTATCTGCTAGGTTCCTGGACCGTATCTGCATCGTCTAAATTACTCGAAAATGTATTCGTTGCATCTGCCGTTCACCTACGTAGCCTCAAGCCATGTCTCCCAATCAGCCCCTCCTCATTAGCCTTCCGCTTGCTTTCTCAGTATGGGCTTGATGTTGAATTGGAAGCTGCATGCTCCCGACGCCAATCAGTTTGGTTTCGGCACATTTGGCAGAATTTGACGAAATCTGAAACCTTGATCCGACTTGTCTTTTCGAGTATCCATGCTTTGGATCTGGTGTCTTCAACTTCTTCAGTGATCAAAGAATCAAATGTTTCGAATCTTCATTTTCACTGAATATCTTTGGTAGCCGAAGTAGGAGTCTCGTCAGATGTGCCGTTTTGTGCTTCACCATTTCTTGGCGGCAAGAAGCAAAATCTGCTTTGCCACAGGCTTTTCCAGCTTCCCAGGCGAGCTTAAGGGCTTGATCAAGAGCAGGATTGAGTATTAGCAAAAGTAAGTCATAGTACGAAGCCCGACATACTGAAAGCATTGACCATAGCCAGAACATATAAGAACTGGCTGCGCTGTTGCTCTTTCACCACCACTTCCTCATTTCACAATCAGCTTCTGCATTCAGTCTTTATCACTTACCCAAGTCACTCATTATGAAGTTCACAGCTCTATTCCTCGCCGTCGGATTCGCCTCTGCTATTCCTCAACCTCTTCCCGCTTCTTGGTCAAATACTGGCGAAAAGGGCTCCGAAATTCAAGAGCTTTTCAAGCATGTCAGCCCACTGCAGGGGAATGACTTAGAGGCTCGATCACTTCCCACTGTACGCTCTTCCTGTCACCACGATATCATCTACTAAATCTAATAATACGCAGTGCCACCATGACAATCTTTTCCGTATCTTCCTTGACCATCGGTACAGTTCAAGTGCCAGTGCTTTCTGCAGCACATATATCACCTCGACAATGGTTTCAACGATCGTGCCATTGACCACCACGACTATCACCGCAATGGAGACAGCTGCCACAGCATTTTCAACTGTCATTGTGTAAGTACTTCAATATTTGATGTTCATTGATCACAGAGCTGAGAAAACGCTAGCCTCGCGACAGCAACATCTACAACCCTAGCCCCTGATGCCATTATCACTGTTGCTCCCAAAGCAAAACGTCAGGCTCTTGCTGGCTGCCCGGGAAAAGCTGGTACCTATCCACCAGCCCGCATTAGCAGCGCTTGTTCGTGCTTGGTCACTCCGGCATTGATGATCAGCACCACGACTACCGCCGCGCTCTCGACTGTCACAATTGCTGTAAGTACAACGTCAAACATACGAAGAGAGGTTGCTGACCTACATGAAGTCAACCATTCAGATCACAGCAGCCGCTACCATCACAGAAACTAGCACAACCGTACTGGTAAGTACTGCTTCTCCAAGATCCCGGGTAGGGAATTCTAATTGGATAACAACAGGATGTCGCTGGCCCGGCAGCTGCCACCTCTACTATCATCGGTAGCCCAGCACCTGCGTCGTATTGCTCGGCTGGCACGATGTTCGACCCTAATAATGACGCTTTTACTGTACACTGCGCCACCTCATACGCTTCGGGCGGAGCCACCCTTTACAGCACCATAACGGCGATATCATACCAAGATTGTCTGAATTCGTGCGGTGCTAATGTTAAGTGCCGGGCATTTTCGTATCTTCTTACTGTTTCGAGCAACAATTGCTACCTCTATGGCAAAGGTCTACTTACCCCCTCCGTTGATCCTACTATGGACAGTGGTGTTGCCTAGGGATACGAACGCTAATATGAGAGGATGTCGACGGCGGATGAAGGGCAAGAGGCGGTACCGATGAAGTAATGTAACTTTCGTGGATTGTTTTTTTGGGTTCAGGGCCTTTAATATATTGTTTCTTTGCAATCCTCCAACAGACCAGTCACTTCAATAGATTTAGATATGGAAACAGATTATATCGTATCTCGTATCTCGTATCTCGTAGCATTGTCATTGTCATTGTCATGAGGTCTTGCATGATTGTAAATTCTAGGTTGTTAGATCGTCCGGTAACAGGTCTCATCGGTGAAATATTCCACGAAAACCCTCTCTACGGATAACTCGCAAGATTTTTTGATGTATTTCTTTGGATCCTGCACTTTCAAATTGCCATGACCAGCTGCGATGCATAAGTGTGATATAAAATTAAAAGACCAATCGTAAAATACCTACCTACCCGAAGAAAATCTGTGTTCTCGGCAAACCTTCCGTCCCAACACGAGTCGCTCAACGGAATGAAGACTTGAATCGTGAACTACAGCCCAAAGGTGGGGGGCTTCAAGAGCATTAGCCGTATCGCCGAATATTACCAATTGGAGAGCGTGATTCGATGGGCCATTTACCGCTTCCCCAAAGTGGGGAATATTTCCGTGCATCTGGGGATGGACATTTCTTGGTAACGGTATAATTGAGGCCGAGATCGCATTTGTACAGTACTCTCTTCATTCGATTGTGTTGTATTCCCATCGTCGGTATGGCGAAAACTTTCGATGCTGCGGAAGGTATGTAGGTCATTTCTCTGGAAGTCAATTGTGCTAACTAATTGCGAATAGTTGCGAAGCACAACACGCCAGCGGATTGTTGGGTGTGTCTATACGGCGAGGTATGGGACGTCACGGAATTTCTCCCCAGCCACCCTGGAGGCTCGAAGATAATTCTGCAGCTGGCCGGCCGTGATGCGACAGAGGAGTACGACCCTATACATCCGCCCGGAACGTTGGAATCGAATCTTAAGCCCGAAGCAAGATTGGGGAAGATTGACCCCTCGACACTACCCAAACCAAAGGCAGATGGAGCAGAGAAGGAACAAGAGAAGGAAGGGCCGCCAGACATGCAAAGTCTACTGAATTTGGAGGAAATAGAAGAAGTGGCTACGAAGCAAGTTTCAAAGAAGTGTTGGGCATACTATTATTCCGCTGCAGACGACCTTGTCTCCAAGAGTTTCAACGGTCTTGTTTACAAGCAGATCCTGCTTCGGCCCAGAGTCTTTGTCGATTGTACGAAATGCGACACTTCTACCACACTTCTCGGGCACAAGGTTGGGATACCGTTGTATGTTTCACCAGCAGCAATGGCAAGGTTAGCACATCCAGCGGGAGAACTTGGTATTGCACAAGGTATCAGCACATTTGGAGCCATGCAAATTGTTTCAAACAACGCATCCATGACACCCGAACAAATTGTGGAAGGTTCATTACCTGGGCAAATTTTTGGGTGGCAGTTATACGTACAAAATGAGAGGAAGAAGAGTGAGGATATGCTGGCACGGATTAACAAGATGTCGGACAAGTACAAATTCATCTGTTTGACTCTAGATGCGCCTGTTCCTGGTAAGAGAGAGCACGACGAGAAGCAAAAGGATGTCGGCGCATCGCTGCCGGTGTCATCTGCCGTGAAAGCGGGTGAGAAGGCAGGTAGACCTGGCGGAGGTGGTGTGGGCCAACAACTCTTTTGGGGAACTGCTGCAGATCTGACTTGGAAGACTACCCTACCTTGGCTAGCCAAGCACACGAAGCTACCCATCGTTCTAAAGGGTCTACAGACACACGAGGATGCATATCTAGCAGCACAGTATGCTCCTCAAGTGAAGGCTATTATACTATCCAACCATGGCGGTAGAGCGCTTGATACAGCGCCACCGGCTGTCCACACGTTACTCGAAATCAGGAAGTATTGCCCAGAAGTATTCAACAGGATCGAAGTATGGGTAGATGGAGGGATCAAGAGGGGGACGGACGTCGTGAAAGCACTATGTCTAGGTGCTAAAGCAGTTGGCGTCGGGCGACCAGCACTTTTTGGCCTTGGTGCTGGTGGTGTCGAAGGTGTTCATAGGACCTTTGAAAGTATATTTCCTCTCCTTCGCCGTGCTATGTATTATGCTAATTTCTCACGCAGTCCTCAAAGCGGAGACGGAGACATGCATGAGACTTCTCGGAGTCGAGAAGATCAGCGAGTTAGGCCCTAAACATGCAAGTTACTCCTACAAGTCTACGAAGGATGTTCTAATCAGTCTACAGATAAACTCACGAGCTGTCGAACGGGATATATACGATGGACAAGCGGGATTGGAGAAGCTTGGGTTATGGGTGAAAGCCAACTTGTAGAATCTTCCAAGAAGATCAATAGAGAGCATTTAATACATAAGTTCATTACCATTGATTAGCCGCTTTCTATCTTGACTTACACGAATCATAAAACTCCAATGGAAGGAGAACTTTCAGGTTATGTTAGAGCTTTTTGTATTGCAATAACCACACCAAGAGGTACAGCCCAGATACATGAGACCTTTCTTGAACTCGTAGTCCACCGTGGGGACCGAAACAACCGTCATCTTGACCCATTCTTCTCACACAAACGCCTCTGCAGTTCCAAACAGCCATATCCACTACAAATTCTTGTTTCATGCCCTTAATCATCCAGATATCTACGGGGTGGCCACCTAAAAGCTCCAAACTCCATCACTGCTTGGACCAACTCGTCTCTGCTTATGAAACTCCTTGTAACCAGTCTTCTTCCCGTAGGAACCCACTTTATATACTTAGTAAATTGGCCAAAGAAGTAACGCACGGCACTTATTTATTGGAATCATCGAATGATACCAGGATTGTGGAATGAGAGGATCTCAGATTGACGGAAAGGTTCTCAAGGAACTGAGTAGTACGTACATGTTCTTCGTGGTGGTCTGGAAGACTTACCTACTCAAAGAATCAGCACTCTCAGCATCTAACAAGTTATTGTGCAGCTTAGAGAGATCAGAGTCTCCAAAAGATGCAAAGGTACTGGCTAGAACGCTAAAGATACTATACAGAAGAAGAACAATCTGATTGGAATAATGCTTACCGGACGAGTCTGTCTATAATTACGGAGTAGGGCCGACAAATACTCTCGCCGAAGTTCTCGATCATTGGGGATATCTGCTCCCAAGATCCACCAGACGTATATTACGGAACCGGTGGCCATAATAGTAGTTATCACGCTCCAACTGCCGAGTGTTGCGAGAATAGGCATGGTTGGTAGTTTCTTTATATGCTTGAGCATTCGAGAGGTAGCATTAAGGTGAGGCTTTTGAGGCTTTTGAGGACTCGGAGATCTGGTAGAGGCAATAGATTAGCTTTGGAAACGTGTAATAGAAAGACAATAGAGCATCAAGATCTTCTTAATGCGTACCTGTCTATGGATCGATCGGATCTATACCGAGTTTCAAAGTTGCGCCCTCAGTAGGCCTTCAGTAGGAAATCTAGCTCGCGTTATAGGAAATTTAGTTCGCGTTATCCTTAGATTATCCGATCCGATGGTCGGTGAATCGCCAGCCCGCCTTACGTGAATCATTCGTTCTGACGAGGCGCGTCTATAAAATATTCGATCGCCTCCCCGCTTCTTCCCTACAACAACTTCTTCGACAACCAAACCACCTCACGCTTTGCCCCAGACAATACCCTATTATCAGCTTGTATTTGCTTCGCAAAGGATCAAAGGCTCTTCTTTGGTTTGACCAACGCTAATCCTGTTCGATCTCGAGATTCACTCCCTCAGATCGACCTTACCCCGCAACCATTTCGACTTCAACAGGGGCATCATACTAGTAAGTCGAACCCTTTTCTTCACCGACTTATGCAGTCCCTAAGCACTCTCACCTGGACAAACAATCGTCATGAGCAGTTTTTGTTGCACATCGCAATTTCCATTTTCTCAAAATATTTTGGCTGTCTTGCGACTTTTCCAAACCACAAGCACTCCCACTTGGACAGACAATTGGCTTGAGCAGTTTTTGTTGCATATCGCATTTTTCCTTTTTTCAAATCATTTTAGCTTCACTACGACTTTTGAAAAATACAAGCGCTCTCACTTGGACAAACATTCGTCTTGAACAGTTTTGTTGCACGTCGCATTTTTCCTCTTTTTCAAAATATTTTGGCTTTACTGCGACTTTTTGCAAGTTAAAAGCGCTCTCATCTAGTCAGACAATTGTCTTGAATAGTTTTTGTTGCACTTCGCAATTTCTGTTTTTTCACTTGAAAAAAGTGAATTTCTTTGGAAATTCAAAAGTCGTGTGATCAGGACCCGACTTAAAGCCTTCAAAGTGTGGTAAAACTAACATTATGACAGAAGCCAAAATGAGTCTACCGGCGTTCTCCCCTAAGCCGCATAATACTTGGATTAAGGTTTCGGTCCACACGGCCAAATGTGACATCTGTCACAAGCATAATACCAAGGTTGTTCAGAGATGCGGTCTGTGCAATATTCAGTTCTGCGTTCTGTGCATTGGGCAATGTGGGGGTACCAATCATGAAGCCGATGCTGCTTCATTAGATTGGAATCCGGACCCATCCTCTGCGGCTGCACCAAGCGCTCGACGAAGCAAACCCAAGAAACCCAGAGTTCCTCGGACCCCTAGAACTCCTCTTGGCCAACGCACACCAAATAAGGATAGCCCAATCACTTCGAACGGTAATCCATCAAAGATCAGCAAGAGCCAGAGCAAGCCTACTCCGAGATCATCTAGAGTCCAAGGAAGCAACCTTCAAGATTTCGACCAGTTGAATGATTCTCCCACGCCCCATCCTAGAGCTCGGCCAAGTCAGACCCAAACCTTCCAACAGCAGCCAAGCTATTATGGAGAGGAGGGTGATGATGATGAGGAAGAGATGCACTACGCTCGGACCACCGCCTCCTATAGTGAAGAAGAGGAAGAAGAGCCTTCCTATCACCAAAGACCTAGAGTTTCTGCCGAACCAGCAGCTCCTGCCCCGACTCAATCACCTTCTTATCGCATCAGAAAGAGACCAGGAACTGAGAAGAAGACACCAGTGAAGGGAAGAAACCCATTTCCGTACGAGTCTGAGCGTCAAGTCCCAGAGAGTCGTGTTCTTTATTCAGAGAATGGTTACGACCAAACCACGCACGATGACATGCATGAGGAGCAACTTAGACCACGTCACATGGATGACCGCCAGTATGACGACCGCCCACTTGATTATGGACCTCAAACCCCGTCCCGACAAATGACTCAAAGTACTCCTCGTTCTAGAGAGTATATGAGCTCCCAGGAAGCACTTACCACCGGTAGTCGCGCAACCCCAACTCGCCCTGGACAAACTGCGGAGTTTGAGGATACGAGATACTCATCCAGACCCGACCACGAGGCGAGCAGTCTGGAAGGAAACCGACTGACAGAACGCGAGCGCCGTCCCCGTCGAAGAGTCAGCAACACCGCTCGCGCTCGCCCCCGAGCACCAAGTCCCTCACTCGTTCGACAAATGCAAGTGGACGAATACCGACGAACGTTTGGTCAGATCCCTGAGATGGCGGAGGTCCTCGCACGCGGAGATCTTGCGGAAATTGAGGAGGTTGTTGAAGTTGCCAAGGCTTTGATGCGGGACGCGAATGGCGGAAACTGAGCATCGACCTATCATCCATCCTCCCTATCAGATTCATCTTGTGTCGTTCTACACATTCGACCTTCGCTTTTTCTTTTGGCGATTTTCGTCAAAAAACATCTCGAGCGACCACTACACCTCCGAAACCCCATCGAAATTCTCGGCACAGCCCCTCTGGCAATTCACCTTTTGATTTGTACTCCTTTCCTCTTTGGCGTTTTGCATTTCTTTCCTTCGAAAAGACCATTTTGAGTACCCCTCACCACCTTTAACGCTCGACATAAACGACTTCTCTACTACCCGACGTTTTGATTTTTCTCACCACCTTTAACGCTCGACATCAAACCACTCCTACAACCCCAACGCTTTGATTTTGAAATTGGGCCTTTAGGCGAAAAACATTTGATTCCTTTCTTGCGACGCGACGATTTTGCAGAAAATCAGAAAATTGGGAGTGGATCCTTTTGGACCGGACTGGACTACAGTCCGTATCTGGTCTGCATACTAGAATAGCATGTGTAGACAACAAAGGATCATTCCCTCCAATATTGGTGTCACTTGACGTTGTGTTAGTGAAGTTTTGACAATTTGCGCTCGCGTAACGATGAAATGTATGCTAACAAGGAAGAAAGCACCAATGTCCCATGTTTACTTGACAGTAAGATTCACCATCTGGTTCACATCCATTATTGACTGGTAGGCTATTATTCGGATCCATAGCCCATCATCTTCGAGGGGGAGGTTCATCTCCATGTCGGGGGTGGCAGGGCTTTCGCCTAGCTCTAACATTGAAAAAAAAGTGATTAACTAGGTGAGAGACATTCTCAATCGATCGAGAGCTTGCAATTGAGTCATATCAAGATCTAGAACCGCGCAACGAAACGTTGGTGAGTAACACTGGGTGAAAAGGTGAGGAAGAGCAGAAGAGGTGTCGTCAAAGTGAAGCGAGGATTCCAGTCTTGGCACCTTCCGTTTCAGGCCAACTTCGCACTAACCACCACCAAGAGGGCTCCAGCTCGCAGTCACTCCTCACAACGGTGCGGCTCACCTCCATTTTGACTCATTTGTTCCCTTTCAATTTCTTTATCCTTACACGGCTACAGTTAATCGCAACGTTTCGTCCATGCAATGCAGTTCTTTTTGCGACGGGAAATAATATTCTTTCCTTAGCCCACGCGTACATAGTTCCGTCCACCGAGTTTGTGACTCAGGCCTCAAATCCATCTCTATTTACATCTATAAAACCATCTCCTTTCAATCCTTTCATGCCAAGCAATTATTCATCTTATCAGGCTCCAATTCTTACAATCATGGCGACTACTACTGCAAAAGACCCCACTTTCCGCTCCTACTCAGCGGAGGAAGCCAAAGTTTACGCAACGCACCGTCTTTCATACCCGGAAACCCTCTACAACAAAGTCCTCGAACACCACGCTTCTACAGGCGGGCAATTCACCCTCCTATTTGACGTTGGCTGTGGACCTGGGAATGCTACTCGTGATGTCGCGTTGTCGTTCGATCGTGCAATTGGTGCTGATCCGGGAGAGGCGATGATTGGAGCTGCGAGAGAACTTGGAGGTAAGACGAAATCGGGGGCAGAGATCAGATACGAGGCTTGTCCTGCAGAGGGGATTTCTAAGATCAAGGGGTTGGAGGCTGAGTCGGTTGATCTTCTGACTTCGGCTATGGCTGTAAGTGGTTCACGATTTACGAGCGATAGAGCTTATGAGTGTAGGTGCATTGGTTTGATATGCCCAAGTTCTGGGCTGAGGCTGCGAAGGTGGTCAAACCTGGAGGAACGGTTGCTCTGTGGACTTGTTGTATGTTTCACTGTCATCGAGACGATCATTTATGCTGACTGGGATTCTAGCATCCGCGTTCTGTCGTATGTTAACGTACTTGAGAAAGTAAGTAATCCAAGCTGATGTTCTATAGATCCTTCGACGCCAAATGCAGATAAGGTTATGGAAATACTCCTTCATTTCGAGAGGGTGACCCTTGCTCCCTATACACAGCCTGGAAACCTTCTTTCAATGAACATGTACGACGATCTACCACGCCCATGGACGGTCTCACCACCAGTCAAAGATTTTCCAGAATCAAAGTATATCAAACATGACTGGGACCGAGACGGCAAATTAAGTGACGGAAAAGATTTCTTTGGCGGTGGAGAGAAGAGCACACTAAAAGAGATCGAAGCCGGAATGGGAACAGCCAGCATGGTAACGAGATGGAGAGCCGCCAATCCCGAATTAGTCGGCACAGACAAAGACGTGGTGAAGGTCTTCATCAAGGACCTGAAAGAGGCACTGGGCGGCCAAGATTGGGTGGAGAGAGGTAGCGGGACAACCATCATGCTATTCAAGAAGTCTTGATCCCATCTAAAATATATCACATATACAAAAAGGGCAACGATTTCTCCAAAACGTGGTTGTATGCAGGACATCCGAATCAGTACTCACTCACTTACTCACCCTCCCCATATCCATCCCTGCTGCGAGGCCCTGAAGATTATCATATCCACTATATAGCCTGAGTCAGCTGTTCTGCCTATCTCCTCGCAGCGAGAAAACGTGCTGGGTTTCAAGCAATCCCGTGGGGCTTTCGACCCCTCTCGAAGCACAGATCAAGGGGTCCAATATTGCAGACGTTGCAGGCGTTTTTTTTTTCTCTCGCCATGGGTCTCAAACGGGCGCTCGGTGGATTTCGGGGATCCGACTATACATGTATGTATGTATGTATGTATGTACGTTTAGGGTGTGTCGGCGGCTTGAGCTGCATGCATGCAGGCAGAGGGGCAGGTGTTGATAAGGGCTCGGCAAGCGCGCGTCTGGTTCACATGATGGATTTGGAGAGCCTCCTCCCCAACCAAGATTCATCTTAATTGCTTGAAACAAAGGAGAAGAAAAAAATCAAGACTACTACTACATCTCAAACAAATAGTCTCCCTAAAAATCAAGAACCAGTCTTCAAGTGACGACATCCATTTCCCTTCCATCAGTCAATCGATCTCGATGCAACGGCAACGGCAACAACCAGTCCCCGAAGAAGCGTTATCGTCGATCCCAGTTCGTGTAACTGTAACCACTCTACGCGTTGTCGCGAAAAGAACGCGTCGCGTCTCCCCCCGTCCCAGTCCCCAAGTAATTTTAAAAATGCCGCCAATCAGGAGAGGAGGTTTGGGCACCACCACCCCTTCAGCAATGACTCGCAGAAGCAGAAGCAGAAGCAGAAGCGGAACTCCAGGAAATTCTGAGACTTTGCCCTGCCTGCATGTCGATAGAAGAGGGACGGCGATAAGAGGGAGAGACGGCGTGAGTGAGTGAGTGAGTGACTATCGATTGTGGTGGTGGTGTTTGGGGAGAAGTACCCCCTCAGACATCTATCTCAGTGAGGTTTGTCTAGATGTTGAAGTCAGGGGACATCACAATAAAAAGATCCAAGGAAGGGAGGGAAGGGAAGGGCAGCAAGGAAAGTTGGAAAAGAGGAGGAGCTTGACGCGTCGAGCGGGCGCGCGTAAAGTGGTTTTTGTTGCTTAGGTTGCTTGGTATATTGGCGTTCATCTGATCTAGGAGAGAAGGTGCTGCCATCATGACGAAGTGCGCGATCTTTGGGAATCGAAGGGTTACCTTCTGATCGAGAGTTTTGCTGTTAGGGAGCCGGGTAGGGTCTGGTAGTCGGTGGGTTTCTCCCGTTGGTGTTCTTGTTGTTCGTTTCGGGGATGGGAGAGGGAACGAACTACTTGGGGAGAGTTTCCGGAGGTGGTTAGGAGGTGACTTCAGATGACACTTTATAAGCCCTAGCCGTTGACCGGCAAGGAGCCAGTGTGCACTGATGGAAGGGAGCATGGAGACGGGAGAGTAGAGTGACAGGATGGAGGTGTAATCGAGGGGGAAGTAGTGTGGTGGTACCTCGATAGTTCAGAGCAGATCGAGGTGAGGTCAGGAACGAACTCCGGTGCTGACTCGGTTCTGGTCCTTCTCAGCAGTAAGGTACCTAGGCAAGGCAAGGCAAGGCAAGGCACATTACAACATTATTATCAGTCTAAGGCATCCAGCAAGGTGTTCTCCTCATAGAATTATTGTACACACTAAGTCCAAAGAGCGCAGCACACACACACACACACACCTCACTTACCCTGGTCACTGGTGGGCACGAGGCCATGGGTTACAGGGGTGACGGAGCATTAGTTGAATTATTATACCCACGGCCCGCCCACCGCTTCAACGGCCTTCTCAATTCTCTCTTCCCATCTTCGCTGCACCGCTGCGCCCATCACCGCCAACCACAAAATCACTTCTGCAACACCACAACGTTGTCGCATACACTTCTACTCGGCTCCAACGATTCTACACAGCTCGAAGAAGAAGACTACTTATTTATTATCGCACAATCGCACCGTTGTGAGCCTCCGAGGTCTGCCGGCGCATTCGTCGTCCCTCGTCGCATCCTCGACCGGTGAGCACGAACAAACTTCGAGCTTCAAGCTTCACTCGCCCACAACCACAACCACAACTCCAATCCCACACCAGATACCCGACGACAATAGCAAACATGCTCCTCCCCTCAGCAATAGGCTGCGAGTCCTCGTCCTCGTCCTCGTCCTCATCCTCCCTCCCGAAACCATACTACCAACCCACGACCCTCTTCGCCTCACCACCCATCTCTCCTCCCTCAACCTCCCACTCAAACAACAACACCTCCTCCACAAACACCACCATATCCTCCCTCTACTCAACATGCCGCGCCCTCCAATCCATGCTCTCTCCCCCTCCCACGCACCTCCCCTCACCACCGACCCACCACCTCTCAACCCCCATAATCGCCTCCCCCCTCAAACTCAAGCTCCGCACCCGCGGCATCAAGAACGAACCCGCGGACCCGAACCCGAACCTCACGCCCCGAAAAAAGATCACGAAACGCACTCCCGTCGTCGCACCACGGGGCATCAATAAACGCCGCCGCGCGCTGCTCGACGACTCTCTAGAAACAGGGGACTCGGAAGACGAACAAGAGCAAGAGCAAGAGCAGTTCGATGGAAAGGAAAACCTGCCAATCGCACAACACCAACAACAAGTAGATGGAGAAGAAGAACAACAAGGACCCCCCCGAACACCCAAACGGTTACGTCTCGCACCCGAGATCCTCCCGTTAGGGCTAGCGCGCAGCGATTTCCACGCCTTGCATTTACAGCACCAACTTTCTTCGCAGCCGCTGCAGTTCCCCCCTTCTTCTTCTTCTTCTTTGGAACAGAGAATGAACGGAGAGTTAGAGGAAGAAGAAGAAGGGGAGGGGGAATGGACAATAGAGGACGATCGTCTACTCGTCGAGCTCGTGCTGGAGAAACTGAAGCTGAGTAAGAGCGAGTGGCAGGATTGCGCGCGCTCGCTGGGGCGGGATCGGGGGAGTGTGGGGCGGAGGTGGAGGAGCTTGATGGGGGGCGGGGAGGTAGGGTTGGGGGGGGGGGGGGAGGGGGAATGGGAATGGGAATGTGAGTGGGAGGGCGAGGAGAGGGATTTACGGGAGTTGGAGGTAGTCCTTTTTTTGTTTTCTTTCTGATGGGTTTTTTTTGGGTGGAGTTTTATACATCTATCTATCTATAGGGAGGGAGGCAGGGTGGTTATTTTTGTGGTTACTTATTACTCATTGGGATAGGGTGGGTTATATAGATTATGGGTGGTCATGGAGTTAGTACGGGCACAGGACGGGTTATCTGAAATTTTACAGCTTCGGTTTGCGGCCACGAGCTTTTTCTGCCTTTTGAGTTTTGAGTGTTGTTCTGCTTTGACTATTGCTATGCTATTGTAAGGCTTGTTTCAAGTATCGATATGATATCCCTCTTCTCTTTTTTCTTCTATTATACCTAGCTATCAATCAATCAATCAATGCGATTTGATCGAGGATTTATATTGAGAGTGTGGTATAGCGAGATCTTTATGCGTCGTGGTTTAGATTAGGTGAGGTATATTGAGATCGCTATGCGTTGTGTTGTGGCCAATGGTGTGGAGGGGTATATTAGTTGGGCGTTGTGGGGTAGGTACAGGAGTACATGTTTTGGTTTTGGGGACGGGAGGATTGGAGAGCCTTGCAGGTAGTGATCGATTAATGGTATTCCTGTTCCCTCGCTCCACCTCATAACAGACGTCTCAATGTATAATAATAATACAATCCATTTCCTTTCCTTTCCTTTCCATTCCCTTACCTAGCCCCCGTTCATGTCCCGTTTCCCCAACACCGCCGCTTCCTTACTTTACACCCCTTTCCGATTCCCGTTCCCGTTCCCATTCCCATACACCCCGAACCCCTAGCACCAAACAAAGCAAAACCCAACCTAAATCTAAACCATATCCCCCCTCCCCTTCAGCTCCCCCCACGGCATCGCATCCCCACTCAACGAACTAGCCTCACTCTCCGCCCGACTAACCACCACCGACTTCTGCACATTAATGCCCATGGGACCACCACCGCCGCCGCTGCCGCCAACAGCCTCACTCGAATCCCCGAACGGGCTCCGGATACTGGTCACGGTGCCTTTGCCGCCGACGTCGTTCCGCAGCTGGATCGGCGTGTCGGGGTTCTTCATGTAGCCGGAGCGAGGGAGCGTGTTGCCGCCGCGGGTGGAGAGGTTGTAGAAGGAGCGGAAGAGGGGGCGGAGGGTGGCGCCGCCGACGGCCATGAGGCCGAGGCCCGGTTCGACGGTTGACCAGATTGCGACGTCGCTGGGGGGCGTTAGTTGTGTGAAGCGAGATGGGGGATAGGAGAGGGGAGGACTTACGTGGTGGCGAAGAGGAAGTCGTCTGTTAGGGCTAGGGTTTTGATGAATGGGATGCGGATCATGGCTGCTATGCCGGCGCTTGGATAGTGTTAGTATCTTGTTCGTGTGAAGTGACGAGGAGAAGTTGCTCACAGTAATCCAAGTCCAAGTAGCCCTGCCACTGAGACCTTGGTTCGAACATTCATTTTGAGGTCATAGATGAGTACTATTGGTAACAGGCCAAGGATCCAATCTGCCGTGAATGATACGACTGAATGTGTGATGCTAGCATCAGGAACGGCTGCGGGATTGATGCACGATCCTTTCTTGCCCTCGTATTGACCCCAGAAGTAGCTGTATGGTGAACATTGGAAGAGGACTAGGAAGAAGTAGAAGGTCGAGAAGACGATCACCATGCTTAAGGTCCCGTAAACGATGTATTTGTGGATTGGCTTCACGCATATTCGGAGCAGGAAGACGGCGATTGAGAGGCGGATGAAGACGGTTGTTACTGTATAGAAGAGCTCACAGAGCCACCAGTAATACAGAGCTTTAGGGATATGTTCGAGTGGGATGTCGGTGATATGTTGGCCGGTTCCGTAATGGACTCCAGTTGCGGAGCATGAGCAGTAAGTGGCGAAGAATATCTAAATAAAAGGTTATCATTGAGGACTTTAGTGCAGAGAGAAGTGACTTACCAATGCCACAATGAGCAATGCATCATCAATTCCCCAACTCTTGCTTAAGAATGTCTTAACGTATAGTCTCAGACATACGAAAAGTGTAGCAAGACCAAGGAACAGACCCAAGACACTGGCTACCAGATATCAGCGTAACCCCGAGATAAAGATCAGGAGCACGAACCCAACTCAGGCCCTCTATCAACCGGCATATTGAACCCAGCTTCTCTGGACTTTCACATTCGGTATGCAATCCCCCTTGTACTCAACCACAGCAGACAATCACCCAGGAAAGAGGAGAAGCAAGAGTCTATAAGACGATTAGGGGCCATCGACCCGAGGGAACTGCTGTTCATCCATCATCATCATTTGTCCCGTCCCGCAAGCGGTTTCCCGGCATGGCTACCCATACTATGCAGGAACGGAGCAGGAACAAAAGCAGTTCGTTGGACACGCCATCGGGAGCTAGGTTTAGCATCTCATCAACCTGACGTTCTGAGAGGTTCAGACGTCCACACTAGAAGGATAGAAGGCATAACACTCTCCCCTAGTGCAGTACTAACCCCACTGCTCTAAAACTTTCGCTGACACATGGGTTCCAGTTTCGACATGTGCTGACTTGCCTTCTTCAGTTTAAACATGTAAGCAGTAAGGCCGGACACGCGTTTCATTTGCTCGTCGACCTCCCATTTGTGGACTTTTATACGGAGCGTGATCGCCGGTGCAGAAGATCCCAGATTGGCTTGGGGTTTGGGACGATTGGCGGTGATGATCATTTCTCGAAGGAGTCGGTTTTGATAGTTGCGGATATGCAACTATAAAAATCTGTTCGAGAGTTCGGTATGAAACGTAAGATTTCGAGAGGAGAGACATGCTGTTGCCGGAGATGCGCCCGACAAATATGAACGGCGTGTGCCCGTTCTTGCATTGGAGACAGCATCAACGCCATACACCATCAAAATTTAATCTCTTTCACTTGCTTTTTCGTGGGGCAGTATTTAGTTCATCCGGAGTCTATTGATTGTCCGGTACTTCGATCGTTATCTTTAGGTTGGCTGACCCAATGTCAGTTCTTCCTTCCTTCTCAGCGAGTTGCTTTTCCTGCCTGTACAGTACATCGCGACTGAGGAACGATCCTCTAGTCGGGACTTGCTCTGGTGTCGTACTCTTGGCTTCCTGCGATTTGCATAAATTCTCAAGATTTTCACTAGATTCCTCAGTAATACTGAAGTCTCCCCATCCTTTACTTGTTCTTGCGATACTGTCTTGGTACCACGAGCTTCTTCTTTGCCATGGAATGCTCTGCACTCACTCAGTCGATTGTGGATGGAATCAAATGATCGATTGAAGTTGTGGACACAAAATAATGGGTTGAGTCCTTCAGGTCCTGGGTACTTTACAATCAGTGGATTTGCTGCCTTCTGTTGCCAACAAATCTTACATTATGATTATGCGCTATTTATTAATACTCTCGCATACAAGGCGTCAAGCGATGTGCATGAGAGGGACACAGATTCCCTCATGACAGCCTCATATCGTGTAATTTAGCTGGTCACTTTGTGATTGGTGGTTTTGCTTTGTCAGCAAGGGTTGCCGTTGACATACAGTAAAATCTTCTAGATACCAACTGCCACCACAACGTTGACTTTAGCATCATCACAGCGGACGTCTTCATCCTCATGTAAGATCAACACTTCAGCCCCGGACTGAACACGACGGCATCACTCTACAACGCAATGATGGAATCAGATACCCCTTGTTATCTGGGCCAAATGGAGGCACATCTAAGCGATATTGCGGGTGTTTCAAGAGATGTCGAGACCATGGGAACTCAACACGGTGCGAAATCAGCCACTCACTCTTGAGGTGAATGTTAGACACGAGCCTCGTCGCTACATCCTCAAACTTGTTGCGTCTCAACGTTCGCAGCGTTTGCATCCCAAGTTTCCAGTCTCGGATCATGCCGACACGATGGCAGCTGTTGAGGGAAAGATCTCGCGGTTAGGTCCATTTTTTGACTCTCATCCCATGGGGAAGCTTCACTCGACTTGGCAAAGCTTATTTTCGGAGGCGTTTTGGCGATCTCGTCCATCCTCTGGGTGAAGGCCGGTGACATTCATCTGGTCTCTGAATAAGCCACAAACATCGATTCATTCCTTCTCTGTGCCTTGACATGGCCAAAGTCGTCTCATGTTCTCTGTTTTCGTCCCTGAAGCTTGACCCCATCAATCAGATGCATTGATATTGCTTCAGAGATTTCGTGAAGGCTTGCTTGAATGCCCAGCGGCATAGAATAGCTCGGAAACCAACCTCGTCTATGACCTCGTACTCGTCTCTGGCCGAAACGTCAGATGGGCTCTGTTGGGCTGTGCTCGAAACACAGCATAGGGAGGGAGATCTATTATATCTCGTCTCTCAGGACATTCTCCGTCATGATCTGATTTGCCTCCTACGCTGTTGATTCGGCTTGCTTTCTTGCCTGAGCTGTTCGTTCGATACTCATACATTCTTTCAAGTGTGTGTACCCTCACGTTCTTTTGCTTCAATTCAATACTGTCTTTAAATTTCAACTTACCTTACTTTCAATATGTTCTCATCAACCTCTGTCACCCTTGCCGCGCTGTTGTATGCCCACCTCAGCAATGCCCAAGTTTTTAACTGCGATATCACAATTCCACCAAACCCTTTGACAGCAACTGGACTCGCTACACCTTATAAGGTAACTGGCTGTGACCAAACTCAGTTTGAGACACAAGGGTAAGTCATACTCCCATGATCCTTCAAAAGTAATCTCATATATTCGGTTACTGGCTTGGACAAATGGTGCATTCGTTGAGCTAATCGTTCCAGGTCTTTCATCGAAGCAGCTATTCTAGACACTACGACAGGAGCTATTCAGATCTACCATCCATTACTCATCAACCAAGATGCCAACGTGGAAGGCGTTGACTTCATTGCCCCAGTCGTTCCTACCCTCCCAGCGAATGCAACAGTTGGTATTTGGTTCGGATCAAACGCCGCAACTGTGACGTTGTTAGGCACTACACAAGGTTGTGTTAATGGTCTGGACAACTCGATCTTTGGACAATTTGCTTATTGCAATGCGCCGGAGTTCTTCACAGCAGCCGAGACCGCTATCTCTGCTGGTCTGCTGAAGGTCCCGGCTCCAGGAACATCCACTAAGACTGCGACTGCCCAAGCATGCCCGGTGCTTAGAGATTTCCGAATTGTGGATATGGATCAAAGTGATAACGTTGACACCACGTATCTTCTAATCGATGGGAAGAAACTTGCTCAGAACACCGACGCAAATGCAGCAGGTACGTCGCCTCATTGGATTATTGCTACCATTCCATCAATTTTAATGGAACCGTGAGGCTTCGATTTACTTCAGCGTTATCTATGTTTTGGGACAACTCAAACACTGTTGCAGATGTAAGAGGTCCATGCTAACTTAGAATAAGAACTCCACCGTCCTATCCAATGGATCAGATAACGCCCTGGTTAACGACTTTATCTCCCCCACTATGGGCTGCACGCCGTTCACAACTTCTTCTATCACAGCGCCCAATGGTGTATCTGGTGGTCTAGCTCTGAATGAGCTGCAAGCTCAATTATTTCCTCCCGCGTCCGGACCAGCTTTGGTTCCATTGAACGATGATTTTGCCGTTATCAACAACAATGGAGCTGTCACTCAATCCCTTGACAAGACCAACCTCTATCGTGCAAGTGTGGGTCAACCCCAAGCAGCAGATAGTGCAAACGTATCAGGAACGACTTACTGTCAATCATACGCTCAAAGTTGCATCTTCATTGCATTGAACGAAAAGCTATTCATTGGAGCAACGACTCCTGCTGCCGATGTGGCGAATAACCTCTTTACTTTCCTGTAAGTTCTCGGATGATCTTCACCCCCTCTTGCAGTTTCTGGAACAACGTTGCCGCAAGGCTACTCCCGAAGTCGAGCATTTTCTCACTCCTATGACGTGAGCTTGTGCTCCCCAACTATACGAATTGGTGTGCTGATGCTGACGCTTGATCGTTTAGGGCCAATCGATTTGCCACAAGTTTTGGTCCAGGTAAGCTGCCTCTTGATGACAATTTTGCTGCCTCGAGAAGTTACTGATTGGTTCTAGTCCCTTCCCTTGGATGCTCAACAATCTTCGGCGTTAACGTCACTGACATTGTTCAACAAACTGTCGACGGAAATGGAGTAGTGACGGCCGCTACAATTGACACGTCAACCTTGCAGAAGATTCTTGACGGGACCATCAAAGCAGGGTCTACAGCTGTCACTAGTGCCACAACCGCAGCTTCTACTAGCAAGACAGCTACCAAGGGTCAAGGCAAGACAGCAGGGTCCTCAGTCACCAGCATAGCAGCGTCAGGAACTGCTAGCAGCATTGCTACCAAAAAAGACGGCAGCAAGACGGCAACGGGAACCGGAAAAGCCAAAGCTAAGGCAACTGGAGCTGGATCTGGAAGTACCAACGCGGCGGTGAGCGGCGTGGCTGCGGCGACTGCTACTTCGACAGCGGCGAGAACTCGACCCACAAGAAATGCCGAGCAAAATAAAGGTGCAAACAATGTTTTCAACTCCACTTTGAAAGCTCGGAATATATGGGCTTGATAGGCATTCTGGCTAGTGATCAGAGCAACCACGAGGCGGAGATTCTGTGCTTGCAGTTTTTTAAAGAGGGGACGGCTTGGGATTGACGAATTGTGTTTGGAGGACTAGACGCAGCATCTCCCGGAGAGAGAGCTGCATGTCTTTGTACCAATAGGATCGATGGAGATGCAATCCGCGCGGCGTTCTTGATAAGTGTTCGATTCATGCAGAGTAGCAATTGACCAATTCTGCAGCCGCTGTAATTAGGCCGAGGTGTACTCCTCCTACACTTCCTCTTTACCTTGAAGCATCGGCTATACCTCAGACCCCAGTTCCCGGATACAATGGTTCATATATTTTGATGACCAACATCACTTTGCCGTCAGCCGAGCGTGTATGCATCATCTAAATATTTAAGGTTATGTCGCGAAGTCAGAACTTACCAGATCTCTTGGGTACAGTACTTGACGAGTCTTCCATCGTAGCTTCGTAGAAAACAGTAAGAAGTCCGTCGTGCGTGCGTGCATGGCAGCATGCGCTTCTCCACCGTGCACCAATGTCTGTGCCATCCAGCGCAACGCAGCATTCCGCTCCGACGCGGCAGTCTGTGCTCTTTCCCGCTGCCATTTTCCCAAAGATGCGGACGAGCATGGGGGGGGGTTTGCATGTGGTCGATCAATAACCTACCTGCCACATTCGCTCGTGCAGCAGCAACCATTCCAGCCCGTGTCTTGTGGTAACAACGAATACCTGCAGGAAAAAGATCCACTGCTCTGCTCGGCTCGGTGGTAACCTAGCGAGCAGGTGTTCCAATTCAGCAAGGACAACCCAAAGATTCTATGCAGGACGATCAAGACAGGTTCGGGTTCGACCTAACCTTACTTCGTACAGTACCTACCTACCAAACTATTTCATTCTTGCAGCAGCCCGCCGCCGCATGCATTCTTCGCCAATGACGAATTAGGTAGTCAGTCTGGCCAGCGGCCCCCCATCGCAATACGGTACGTGCGTGTAATCCTTTCGCGATGGACAGACACCACACCCCTTGTTATGGGGTGTTGGATCTTGGATCATCTTTCATCCAAGCCGCGGCCGCTTGCGAAAGGACGAATCCCCGGATTTCTCAAAACTGGGGGCGTCTTATTACTGGCACATAACCGGCTTCATCCGACAATATTACCTTGCAGGTGGTGCCGGGGCAAGGGGAATGTGGGTTGCTTGCTTCATTCTTCGCCCCGCTGGCTGGGGGGGGGCTGTTGGGGGCAACATTTATAAGAAGAGCTGGGGATGTCCGTACGTGAAATGGGAAGTCTTACGGAATCTGGTGAACGCTGACAGATTTATATTTCAACGTCTTTTCATTGTTGGACAGGGTTTTAATATTATTTGTTATTCGCTGTTCGTTTGGATTATATCATCAAGTTGAGCTTCACGTCATCAATAAGCTGAGCACAATCTACTATTGTTCAGCGTCACGTTGATGGAGGAGAGATCAAGTATTTGATTGCAGGATTGGGACTTTTGGGTAATTGACTAAGTCAAGTCTCGATCTTCGGAGCGTAATACACATCACACTGTAACTGAAAATGAGTATTGCATCAATGTCAATCCCATTAAAATACAGCAAATAGACCACCAATTAACTCTTTGAAGGGAACACTCGATCGATCCTTCCTCTTCGGGGATCCACCGCACTTGCGGTCCCAACTGTGAGCACGAACGCGAGGCCGAAGCACGCGAGCTTGCCTTCCAAAGCCAGATTAGACTTCTCAAGCAACAACACACGCCACCTCCCGACTCACCAACTGCATCTTCCTCACCTCCCAACTCTTTCTTCGAGACTAAGTCGGTTTCATCGAAAGTCACGCCCCTCGAATTGAGGACTGAGAATTCGTTCTCCAGCGGCACACGTCACTGGAGGAATTCGCGTTTCTCACGTACCTCGTCACCGGCCACGAACCCAATAATGGCTGCTCCTGCAGCCTACAATGATCAAGTTGATGTTTTTCGTGACATTGAGTATCCCATGATGACTGGTAAGCCAAAAATTTCAGTCCTTATATAGGATTTTTTTCATTGAGCCAACGCGTTTTGCAGGCAAGACTTACCTTGACCACGGTGGAACTACCATCTATGCAAAGAGTCTGATCGAAGACTTCTCTGCCAAGATGATTGCCAACCTATACGGCAACCCTCACTCTGCGTCTACTCCAGCTGCGCTCTCCGGCCATATGGTTGACACTATCCGGCTCCAAGCTTTGGCCTTCTTCAAAGCGGACCCGGAGCACTTTGACCTGATCTTCACACAAAACGCCACAGCATCTATCAAGCTGGTTGGAGAAGCTTTCCGTGACCTGGGGGATGGTAGCTCGCCTGGGACCTTTTGGTATGGATATCATAAGGACGCGCATACCAGCATCGTAGGTATTCGTGAACTCACCAAGGGGACAAGTCATTGCTTCTTGAATGACGACGATGTCGAAAAGTGGCTCAATGACCCCAGAGCAGTCGGTGATGTTACTAATGCGGGGGCACTTCCATGTCTCTTCGCATATCCTGGACAATCCAATATGACAGGTCGACGCTTGCCATTGAATTGGTCCAAGAAGCTTCGACACTCAACTGCGCCACTGCACCAAAATTCTTATACGCTCCTTGATGCTGCCGCTCTTGCAACCACAGCACAGATCGACCTCAGCGATCCAGAATCGGCGCCAGACTTTACAGCCTTGTCCTTCTACAAGATCTTTGGCTTCCCCGATCTCGGTGGCTTGATTATTCGCAAGAATTCTGGCCATATTCTCTCGTGGAGAAAATACTTTGGAGGTGGTACCGTGAACGGTCTGACAGTTATTGGAAAGCCTACTCGTCAAAAGAAGCACGATAGTCTGCACGACAACCTTGAGGATGGAACTTTACCATTCCACGTAAGTTGTCCGTTCCAGCATGCTCCGAATTCCAGTTTACTTGTAAATTGCAAAGAATAATTGACTGTCGATAACAATTGCTGACAAATACTCAAACAGAACATACTTGCACTGGGTTGCGCGATTGACGTACATAACAGACTATACGGCTCAATGAAGAAGGTATCGCAGCACACATCATACCTTGCCTTTCGTCTCTACCATGGAATGACAAGCCTTACGCACTACAACGGTCAACCACTCTGCGTCATTTACAACGACGTTCCGGAACGAAGTATATATGGCAATCCTGAAACTCAAGGAGGAACGATTGCTTTTAATCTTGTTCGTTCCGATGGCAACTATCTTGGTCATAGTTTCGTTGAAGGCCAAGCTAACACCCATGGAATATACTTGCGCTCTGGTGGCCTCTGCAATTCAGGTGGCATTTCCAGCTATCTCAAGATTGAGCCATGGCAATTCATGCGTGCCTGGAGCCAAGGTCATCGCTGCGGAGAGCCCGGCTTGGACAACATTAATGGCAAGCCAACTGGTGTAGTTCGAGTAAGCTTGGGCGCCATGAGCACTATCAAAGATGTCGACACTTTCCTAAATTTTTTGGACTCGGAATATGTGGAGACTGAGCGGGTACTGCAGCTCACGAGGTTCAATGACCTTAACCTCAACTGGGGTGCAGGACCTGCTCCGATCAGTCCCAGTTTTGACAGCGGTTTCGATAGTGGTAGTGGCAAGTCCCATGGAGGAAATGGTGGAGGTAGTAGTTCTGCACTGGCACATAACCAAGTCCACGCTATGACCAGTACTCCCAATCTGAGAACCGCCAAGCCAACCGTCGTATTCGCACCCGTCCCGTCGTTTTATCAGTCAAGACCAGGCACTGCTACTAGTCAGGCTGATGTACAGCAATATGGAGCCCAATCGACTATCATGCGACGACCAAACTCAGCTCAGCACCTGGTTCAAGTTCCTGTTGAGAGCATGCATTTGTACAACAATGGCAATGGTGGAAGAGCCTTCATAAACAGCAGCCAAAGCCAGCCATACCTTGCAGGTACGGGTACAGGCACTATGGCTGCTCCAATGAAGAAGCCAGGTCTGATGCGATTCTTCAAGGGTCGGAAGAACACTCGGAGCAAGGAGATTTTGGAGACACGCTCGGATAGATGACCATTTTTGTTTTTCGTGTCCTCGATCCATGCCTTTCGTTTCTATCTTGCAATCATTTTGGCTAATATTGGTTCTTGTACAGAAATGTGCTCGAGCGGAGGAAATTTGTATATTTGAAACTGGGAAAAAAAGTTGGGCGTTGGGAGGCTGAGTGGGGCATTTAAACGGTGTTGTGGTCATAAAATGCTGGGAAAGTTTCTGGTAGTGGTGTTGGCGTTGGCGTTGGACATGTTGCATTTATCGTTGTTGGGCTTATTGCTGTGTATACTATTTCGTGGAGGATGATGTTGGTGGAGCGTTGTTTGGTGGTTACCGTTTTCGCGTTCCGGAACTGCGGTTGACGAATATTGCTGTCGGAACAAGAGATGAGTTTTGGTTATTGTCAAGTATTGGTTACTTCCGAGCATTGATGCCGTATAAATAGTAATATGTACTTGAACATCTCTTCGCGACAGATAGTCTGCTTGAGATACCCTTTGCGTGAACTTTTGAAAGTCGACAAGTGTGGACGTTGGACTTGGAGGTAAGACCACCAGGACCGTGGATTTTGTACCAATAGATGGGGCTGTGCACACTTGGACCTCCTATTTTCTCGCTCCGCTTACACTTCTCCTTTTTTTCATTCTCGGCTGGTTTGCTGATGTGATGTTGGTTGTATTGAGAGTGAAAGGGTGTTGAGATGATGTTTCCTTCGATCTGAGCAGAGAGTAACGGTAGATCATTTCTGTATCCGCTCGTGTTCGTGCTTGTTGCCAGTGCGTCGCAGCGGGGCTTAGGAGTTTTGTTTGGGTAGTGACTGAAAGTTGGTGATGCGTGTCAAACAGAACATTCGATCGACTGCTCACGCTCTCCGTTCTGGGACGCTGTTCCGTGAAGGTGAGGATCTTTGTTGGGTTGCGGACGTGAAGAGTATGTCTGTTTGATTGATTTGTGGGTCCCTTTCTGGTGTTCTTGTGCTTTTGCTTCGCTCTGTTCCCGATGGTTTGGGCTGTTGTTACTGTATGTGATTGTTGTTTAATCTTGTTATGGAGGTGGAGGTGAGAGAAATGTTGTATTGTTTCATTCCAGGACGCTCCGATAGATCGATACCCCTTCCCCTCATTCACCGTTTCCGCTTGCGTCTTTCGATCCTCTCCTGGCTTGTCTCTCTGGTGTGGTTTCGCGGGTTTTGGTTGAGGTTGCTGAAAAAGAGTGTGGTACTGGCGTTGCGTAGACGGAGACACGCTTGCGCGAAAAGTGGTCTGATTTTTTGGGTGTTTGGAGTGAGGCTTGTTGTGGACTTTCACGTGCTGAGATTTATGGTTTGTTAGTGAGGGTGGTTGTTTGATGTCTATGCAAAAGAGAAGTGGGGGAAATTGAGGAGAGATGTAGGGTCTTACTTATTTTAGTAGGTAGATGGTATTGTGAGAAGGAGAATAGGAAGTTTGTTGTATTACACAAGAAGCGATGGAAAATGCTGCAAGTATGTAATGCAAATAGTGAGAAAGAATGGAACACAGGTGGCAAGAGGTCTATTGAAGACCATACAGTTAAGGAGTAAGTGCTAACATAATACCTGTGTGTAATACAGATGGAGAGCAAAAACCAAAAACAATAATAAATTTGCAACTGGCAAAGTTCTCGAAGCTTCACAAGTTGATAATAAATCAGGACTAATGCAGTGTAGTGACAATACCAAACGAAGTGAACTGATGTCTGTCCATACAACATCCAAATGCAAAATCATACCGAAACGCTGCAGATGCTTGACAACACGGTGGACTTAGCAAACAAAAGCCACGGACTTGCGTAGGAAAGGCACAATACTGTACGTTGATATTACAGGCTGATTCATTCCCACCAGTCAACAAAGTTCTTATAGACCCGAATCTCACTTCCTCTCCCTCACACTCCCCTTATCAATTGTATCACCGCCTCTCTGCCGATCCTTTAGACCAGATATAATGTAGGCATAATCTCAATTCAATCCCGAATCTCGAAACCTCAATATAACGACACGACCAAGAAACACCAAACGCCTTCCAAAGCTCTATCTTCAATCCGTACTTATGTAAACACCCTTGGTTGGGAGGGAGAACGGGGGTATGCGGTTATGAGATTCGGATGGCGCCCTTTCGGTTCTCGCGGAAGTGGAGGTAGGCTTGGAAACCGCAGCCGACGAGGAATAGCTGTTGGGAATTGGGTTAGCAGATGCAATTTTGTGAAGTTGTTGGTCATGATGCCGTCCTTGTTCTCCTTCGAGTCTGCTATTTGCTCTTCTGAGAGATGGGCGGGATGTCTCGGTTGAGGAAGAATGGGGAAAGAATGAAGGTTGTTCTCCGATTTGAGGAACTCGGATGTAGAATTATATTCAAGGTAGGGAACATTGGAGGAGGTAGGAGATGATAGCGTACAGCGTATATGATAACAGCAGAGAAAACAGTAGCAGCTACTGCCTTGGGGTGTTCTGGATCATCCATCGAGCCGGTCATCGAGTGGTGGTTCGATTGGAACAGGGCACCGATCACTGAAAGGATCACAATGGCGAAGACGCTGACGACGATGCTGCATGATGATAAATTAGCTTAAGTCTTTCATCCCATCTGGCACAGCATAGTACAGCAGCTTGAGTTGAGGCGAAAGATGGAATGATGGTGGAGTGGATGGAGTACGAACCAGAACCATGCCTGGAATACTCCTATGACGGGCTTCATGTTTGCGGATGATGGAGGAGTTGTTGAACGAGTGGAAGACTCGGAGATGATCGGTACGGCGAGCTGGTCAGTGGTTGTGGACTGAGGAGGCTGAAAGATGTCGTCGTGAGGTTCTGCTAGGATGATAGGTATGTTGCGCTAACGATGATGCAGTTCGCTAGAGCTTGTTGTGGACTTGAATTTCAGGCAGCAAGCTTGGTCTTGGCAGTCTGAGGCTTGAGTTTTTGAGATGAGATCTTAACTTCGGCATGAATGTCTGTTCCCAAGCTTGACGTTATAACAATTCATCATGCTGCAGAGTGATTTGCCTCCAGAAAGGATGATTCAGATGTGGACGCATTGGACTCTGAGTTACAAAATCTCAATCAAAGTTCGGAACTTTCGGATTTCTGATGCGCATCGCAAGCTCTGCCATTCATCGATACTTCAAGATTGGAATCTCATACTGTGTGGGAAAGCTCGAAATCCTGACGGATATCATTTCCTGAGGTTAATTAGGACGACTTTTTTGCAGACGGAAGCCAGACGGAAGCGAGAGGAGCCTCTGGAGTACGAACGTACCTTCGGACATTCCAGAATTTGGAGTTCCTTTTTCTGTTTCATGCACGTCTTCTTCTGCTTCTGCTGATTATGTTTAGATCGCTTACGGTGGGTATCCTTGCTAGAGTTCGTCGCCGTCATCTTTGAATTGTTTGAATCAAATGCGAATTCTAAACATCATTTGAGAGCTTTATATTGGACTCATATATTCTCTTCTCGATCGAGGTAGATGTTTGGATAATTTGGATTTCATTTCCAGGTTCCCCGCAAAATGAGAGTGAGGCTAAGTTCGCCTCTACCATATATATTTCTTCATCAAATACCGAAATTACAAAGTCCCTGATCGCACATGACTTTCAACCTTTCTCTGCTAGCTGCACACATCTCTCTGTTGTGTTCAACACAGGCAACTACATCCTTCACTTTCCTCCCATCAGCCCTACATGTCTTGGCACACCTCGTGCTTCAGGGTCTATCTCACATGCCCGGCAAGAAATTCCCGGCCGAGAACCACATCCCTTCCATATCTGGTAGATTTAAGTTCTTCACATGGATGAATACCCGTCGGATTAAACAAGCTTTAGGGTCTTCAATGCGTGACCCGGGACCGAACGAATTGCGCGCACAAAGCGAAGAATGGCACCTTACGTATGGTTTGACAGGAAAGCTTGTCTGACGCTCAATGGGGGATCTATGGCGATCAGACAGGAAAACTGTCAATCGTTCCGAAATCTGCACTGGGGAGGGCAAGAGCGAGCGAGCATGGACCTAGATTGCTACTGTAGTCATGATGGGCAATTGTGAAACCAGGAGTACGGATTTGGTGGGAACCGAGGGAGACACCTCTTTTGTTCGGCAGCATGTGCACCCGGATCGCAAATGACTGAATAATGAGATGTCTCTGCGTCGATAGAGAGTACGTCTACATCTGTTTGATTGTGATTGGAATGTCTAGTCTAGCATCGACAGGAAATAGAAATGCGGTAATATATTTATATCACTTCTTTAAATACTCCCAGAGGCCAGAAAAGTGACCTCGCTTGCTGATCTTCTCTTGGCGGTAAAACATCCAGATTCGTACTGTAGGGTGGAGACGTGAAACAAACTTGTTCGGCAAGTACAGTAAATGGCTCTAATAGGATATCCTGGCGGCAATCTTGGGTGAATGGTGGATGAGGAGGATGGACAGCCAGCGGTGATCAGAGCGTCTATCCGCACCGCAACAGGCATCCCTGGTTCAGAGACCGTGATTCTCACCAAGGTACGCTTAGACAATCAGGGGTTTTCTGTGCTCTGGGTGGTCGGAGGTGGAAGCTGACAGGGCGCCAGCCATTTTAAACGAAAAGCTTGGTACCGGTACAGCATTTGCAGGGGAGAAGTGCGGCTTCTCAGCGATGGAGTGACGGAGTATCTATCTGCAAGGGGCCGAGCAACGTCAACTGCTGGCTCGCATTCAGCCGTCAGTCACATAATCACATAATGCCATGCTCCAGGACTTATCCCTTAAGCCTTGAATTTGATTCCGAATCGCATTGCATTGCATTTCCAGATCCCATATGTCATGCCAAGAGGATAGATGCTGAGATGCTGAGATGCTCAGCTGCCCGGTGATGGAGACCGGCGTCAAAGGCAGCGCTTGCGGTCAGCAAGTATCAACGACAGTGTCCCGGTCCGTTTGATCGGGCTCGTATACAGCTCTGTCCAGTGGTCCATGAAACATCAAACAAAGATTACTAGATCGGGTGCAGGGACTGGAAAGGCCCCTGGCCTCGCATCAGTCGAAACATCCATCGATATCCTGGCCAGACCGGGAGCAGCGTTGTCGGTGTCGGCCTTGGCCTGTCATCCAACCAGCCTTGCGCTGGTCGACAACTCTCAACCTCACACCGAGAGTGTGCGGTTGGACGAGGTTCGACGCACTTCCACTTCGATGAATACTCCTCGAAGGGGGGGCGCAGCATGTGTTGCATGGGTTCCTGCATCTGACCGGTAAAGATGTACCGTCGCACGGGTAGGGTTGTTTGTCGTGGGGCCATGGCTCGTCCTTCCAAAATGCTATTAATGACGGTGTTGCGCAGGTTGGTAATTTCTATTTTGTTTATCTGAGTGACCATCAATTGCCCTTCGTGCCTGCTAGTTCAGGTTTGTTATACCCAACCTTTTAATCTGCAACAACCACTCTCCAACACTCGTTTCGTACCACACTTCTTTAAAAGACCTCGTCCCTCTTCCTCATTGAGCTTCCAAATCCTCTCATACTTTCTCAAAAGTCTTGATCAGGTAGGTTCTTCATTGCTTGGTTGGTCTTGGCATACGTAGCTAACATCGTCTTCAGCCACAACACAAGACGGATATCACGAACATTAGCCTCAAGATGTACTCTTCCATCCTCGCAGTCAGCTTGACTGGCTTGCTCGGCCTCGTCGCCGCACAAAATACCAACGTCAATCCTGTCACCGGTATCCAGGGCAATGCCACGACTGTCGAGAACAACCCGCCAGGCATGGTCTACACAGCTACACTTCCCACCACCGAGTTCTTCAACCCCTCCGATCCTCGTGGAAATGTCAAGGGTTCCGTCGCAGCTGTAGCTAGCAGCAGCGGTATTGGTGTTGACTTTCAAGTCAGCTTCTCGAACTTGCCTACCAGCGGTGGCCCATTCCGTATGTTTTCCACTATCCTCCCACCAGCTCTGTTCTTTCCACGCACTTTCACAACAATCACTAACATCTTTCTCCAGTCTACCACATCCATGCCTTCCCCGTCGCCGCCGATGGAAACTGCACCAGCACCCTCGGCCATCTCGATCCCTTCATCCGCGGCGAGACCCCCGGCTGCAACTCGTCCCTTCCCCAAACCTGCCAAGTAGGCGATCTCTCCGGCAAGTACGGTAAAATCACCTCGGATCCCTTCCTCGCCACCTACACCGACGACTTCGCTTCTACCCTTCCCGGCATCGGTGCCTTCTTCGGCAACAGAAGCATTACCCTACACTTCGCAAACACAACTAGACTTACGTGTGCCAACTTCACGTTGTCGAGTGCAGCTACTTCCAGTGGCGGAAGTTCAAGCTCGAATTCGAGCGCGACGACCTCGGCGCCTCTTACGCAGACAAGTGCGCCACTGCAGGTCACTGGTCTTGGAGCTGGTAGTTCGACTACAGCGTCCTTGGCCGTTCTGTTTGGTGCGATGACCGTCGCGCTCTTGCTGTAAACAAAGCAGGAGCTTTGTACGGGAAAGTGGCTTGGGGGCGTTTAATGCTAATGCTATGGAGAGAACAACTACCTTTTTGGAATGAAGTGAAGAAATGATACATTAATGGGTCTATGACCATGGATGATGGAGAGATGTAATATTAGACATGCGCTTGCTCGATGGCTCGCTTGAGATGCGATTATGATACCAGGACAGATTTCATACTATGGAAAATTTTCAAAATTACTTATTGTTTTCTTTGCTGCTTGTGAATGTGAATGTGCCCTGCCGCTTTCTCCGGTCGTGAATACAACCTCACCAAACTCCCTCAAAAACTCAAGCTTAAACATTTTAAGCTCCCTCTCTACCCCGGCCCACCATAAAAGCGCAACCTGATCCCCACGAGCCTCACCACCAAGGGACCGACCCATCCGAGCCCAGCGTCCCATCCACTCCACTAAAACCAATGCCAGCCCTGGTACCGAGCCCCTGGTTTCACACCGCCAAGACCATTCAACCCATCTGGCATGCCGTGCGTCTGTGCGGCGCACGTTTCACTTGTTGTGAGGAACCCTTGTCTTGGCTGTGGGGGGCCGGATAGAGGGGTGCGCGATTGGTGAAGGTGTGAAATGAAACGGGGGAGTGAGTGGTTGGGTGGGAATGACGGCACGGGAGGGGGGGGAGGGGGGGAGAGGGGGGGAGAGATAAGGTTCTTGCGAGGTGTGTTGGAGGGGAGGGGAGATTTGGGTTAGAGGGGTTAGAGGTGGGGTGGGGGTGAGAGAGAGGAGGGGAGATAGGAGGGGAGGTAGGGAGGATGGGATGGCAATGATGGAGATATATTGAGGAGGTTCGGGAGGGAGGAGGGTTCGAGACTTGGGATGTGTGTGGTGTTATCTTTGGTATGGGGTTTGGAGGGAGGTGAGACTTGGGAGGTCTTTTATCTTGAGGGGGGTTCTTTTGAGATGGGAAGTTGATACGGGATTTGATGAGAGGGGGCGAGATTGGGATTTTCTTGTTATCTTTTTCACCTGCCGTGGTTCTTGGGTGATGGCTCACTTGCTTTATCGGATGGGAGGCTTGTCTGAAATGAGGGTGTTCGAGGTGAGTTTTGTATTGACTGCCAGATGATGAGTGTCCATCATGTTGATTTGATTGCTTGGAGCTTGTTTAAGTGTTTGGCCGCATATGAACAAGAACTCAATAACCCGTTCACTTAAGCTATACAGAAACCTCAACACAAAAGCTCGAAACAATGACCTCTGTTCTGAAAACGAAACCATACTTCGCTACCTTGTCTTGTGACTCAGTGGAAACATCTCTCCCTGGGTGAATTTCTATCAACAAGCAAGTGCACATCTGCTCGTAGAGTGTGTACTTGTTTTCTGTAGCGACCTCCTTTATGAAGATATTGAGCCGAACGGATAGCAATGGATAGCAAAGACCGAGAGGCAAGGAACAGCCGGGAGACCACGTAATATGACTACTATTATCTATCTCTCTTGGCGGAGATAAACAAGAACTAGTACGTGAAGACTCAGATTCTAGTTTCTCCAAATGAAGGAGGACGAAGTTAGAGAATACGAATTTATACTAAACAAGATCTCGCGCAGGCGGAAAGAAAGACAACGACCTAAAGCTGAGGACGATTCCCATCCCTTTACTCGTATAAATTCGCAAGATCCCAACGCCGGAATAGACAATAATCGCAGCGATGACAGGTCTAGTGATTGTTCAAGCAAGGATTATCGCATGGATAGCGACTATATTCCGGCCTTGTGACTTGTAGGACTAAGGCGTATCTTGGTACACTTGTAAGAGAGACTATAGACTGAAAGGGGGAAATGGTATTGGCAGTGTTTGGCTCCTATCCCAGTGAAGGATGGAGAAAGGATGCACGTTTTATGGGATTGCTTGTAAGTTTTCATAATAGTCCAAGATGTGAGAGTGAGCTGAGCGGCTGATTGAGGAGAACATGAATACTTTTCCGCTTCAATCATTGGAGTGGGAATGTTAAGCAGCATGACTGAAGATTGGGTAGTGAAATAATGTACTGGAAACGAGGACATTGCAAACCTCACTCAAGCAAGAAACATCTTCGCACTTGCGACTCTCAGGCAAACAACTCACTCGCATGCATATAGAAGAGAAGGGGTCGAACAATATACAAATCCCATTTTCGGCGCACTGCCATCATAAACTAAAAATATAAATATAAAAAGATATCCACCCAGAAATACAACCACCGACCACCAACCACGTACATCTCCCTCCGTTTATCTAGTTCCTGTACATGTATGATACCCAATCGCTAATGCAAGCAAAAACCAAGGAGATCCGTTATTTGTGTTGGTCCAGCCTTGTCTATATTCAGTTCTGGAATTTAGTAGGCAACGCCTCTATATCCTCCACCACCGGCAGCGTATTGGTTCGGTACCCTTGGCACTCTGGGCGGACTTCCTTCTACACCACCCAACGATGCGGCTCCTTGGACGAGATTTTCTCGGCTCTCCATTGAGTGCAGTGTCCTGTGACTACCCGCCGTGAATGGTCTTTGAATCTCCATCCTGTACCCTTCTGGTGTGTATGGTCTTGCCACGCTAGATTGGGGAGTGAATGGTCGCATGGGTGTTGCATTTGAGTATGGGTTTGCGGGCTCGTTGAGAAAGCTGTCATTCTCGGATACCGTTTTTGTGAGTGGGTGTTTTGGGTCATGGTCGTAGGTTGTGGAAGAGTTTAGCTTTGTGGGGTCCATGAGAAGCGAGTTGCGGGCGTCGAGCGGGGTGAGATTGTCCAGATCGCGGTTGAGTTTTTCTGGTGTCGTGTTAGCATAAGAGAAGGTGAGGTTAAAAGGAGGAGACTTACCAGCTTCCTTGCGACGCTTGCGGTGGGGGTTCTCTTTGCAGCACATGATGATGGCGTTTACGGCAATAAGAATTGCGAGGACACCAGTCAAAACGGACTGTACGGCAATGAGGACCACACCAGTGACCGTTTGAGTTGTCTGAGCGATGCCGAGCTCTTCGACGAAGACCAGAATACAGACTACAGAGAGGGCTCGAACTATTTGAATGAAGATATTGATCACGTTTCCGGAGCGTCTCTCGTAGGGGCGGTTCCAGATCAGAAGTCCCAGCACTGGAGATTTATTAGTATTGACTCGGATGGATTCGATATTCTTGGCTTACTAAGACACTCAATGACAAGTTGAGCAATAGTTTGGGTAAGTCCATGTCCATCAGCAGCAGCCAAAACACAGCCCTTGGCGAACATATAAATAATAGCTGGTACGAACAACCACCAAAAGTCCTTCTTGTAAGAGTCGTAGAAGAGACTATACTTGAGCCAAAAGTCCTTGTTCTCGTATAAGCCGGACGCATCGCCTTCCATCGCCTTTAGGCGTTTAGCTGTTTGCCAAATCTTGAACGTGAAGAAGGCAAGGACAGCAGTAAAAAGCGCGAGCGTGATACCGGCGAGAAGTTTTGCTGCCCAGGAGTCTCCATGAGTGAATTGAAAGATACAGTAGAGCACCCAGACTCCGTAGAGTACCAAAATTAATTGGACAATAGCTCGTGCCATGGTACCCCAGTAATGCTTTCTGAAACCAATCAGACCCTTGGGGAAAGATCCGAAAAGAGCCCAGGTCTCAAGGACGACCTTGAAGAACAGGATACCCACAGCAATAGCAGCAATAACACAGGCGACAATCAAGAGGACAGTCATGAAGGTGTTTGCTTGAGGAACCGAAAGCTCTTCAACATATGCCTTGATACCAGCAACTGTCGTCTCAATTGTGGAAGTCGAGTTCGATGAACCCGCAGTGGTAGTATTGCTTGTGCTGGTGGAAATAGAGTCCCGAGCTACCATCATTCCATTCATGAACTGATTGTAAGCTCTCCTTGACACCGTAGTTGAAGATCCGTCTCCAAATACGAGAGTGGCATTCTGCAGATACTGAACGCTGTCCGCCGTTAAGTTGCCACCAGTCGCGGCTCGGAAGTTATCAATAGACGTCTGCATGGCCGTCCAAGGAATAATGCCGGTAGAGAATCCGAAGTTTTTTGTGAAGCTTCGGTAGACTGTCGGGTAGTTGACGGACATCATACCATTCATAGCAATGCCTTGGAACCAGGTGAAAACTTCCGTGAATGATGGGCTCATCGTTCCTGATCCTGCTGTACTTCCGCCACTAGCTGCTGCACCAAGTGCGGATGCTCCTGTAACAAGAAGAGCTGCACCTGCCACGCCTGCTGCGATATATGAGACGGCAGCAACACTGACAGTCTTTCCATTGCTAACACTTGATGTTATACAAGCTACATCCTCTCCTGTATCAAGAGCTTTGAGCTCCATTGTTGCTTGTGCGGCAATGTCCGGAACACTGAAAGCAATCGATGGGATCATTGATGCGTACGAGGAAGGAATTGATTGAGTACCGGAGGCGGAAAACGTGCCTGATGGAACAGGGCATAACTGCTCGACATATGTTGAATCAGCGCAGGGGTTGAAGGTGTTTGAGTAAACAGATATTCCATAGGCCGTCACATTCAAAGTTGCCGTGCTGCATATCGTTAGCAATCTGCAACCTTCAAGTCTGGCAGGAAAGTTCCTACACGTTCATAGTCGTAGCACTAGTCCCTGCTACATCGAAAGTGACTGTTTTTGCATCATTGTTGTATTCTATGTTGAGATTCTGGACCGTGATGTTTGAACCTGATAAACATGTACTGAACCCTGACGTTTGGAGGATCTGATCTGCGAGACCTCTGCCCGAGAGGGTTGCGAGTAACAATAAGGAAATAGTCGACGAGGAAATTTGTCGTAACATTTTGTCGAAAGCAACGAGACCGTTGCAGAAACTTGTTGAACCTCCCCCGTTTATATGTTTGTTTTCACGCCCTCTATATGCCTCAATCGCTCAAATATTTCCACCCGTATGTAATTGTTTATAGAGAAATTCGTCAGATATCGGTAGGTCCGATTCGAGTTTTGCTCGAGGCCGCAAGTATTGTTAAAGTGATGTAAGTGAGCTGAAGATGGCCGAGGGTCTACCTGGAAAGAATGGAGGAAAGGTCAAAGATAGGAAACGTTTGAGATCGAAGCTGTCGATTGGTGTGGGCTTCGACTGATCGAGGGGAAAGCGAGAGACGGAAAGACTGGATAGCACTGTGAGGTGTTGTTTGGTGACGCTGGAAAGCACAGACGGAAACGATGGTGTTCAAAAGGTCAAAGAGAGGTGACACACTGGCACAAACACTCGGACTGAGCAAACAAAAGCAGGAGAGAACGAACGTGTGGTGAGGAAGGAGAGGAGGAGATCTCGGGGGTCCAAGTCAACGTCTCCAAGATGTGCAAGACAAAAAGACTTGGCCATGGACCTGGACTTAGACCTGGTCCATCCATCATCGCTCTTTTCTTCGGCTGGTGCATGCCAGGGTGAAAGAAAGATAGCAGCGCCCCACTGAAACAAGCCCGTCGCGCGCCAGTGAAGGGATGGCTCAGCCACTCCGGAGCGTCAAGTGGGTCCAGCCAGGAGCGGGAGGGCGCTTCATTGGGTCGCGCGCTCCGACTAGACGTCTTGGGGAGTGCGCCTTGCCACATGGAGAGTAGATCCACGGCATCCCCTGACTTACATAACAACGGCCTTTCCAGGTCTGATTCGCTGTGAGAGACTGCATCGAACACGAGAACTTGAAACACTGCAACGCTGATGGGAAAACTCTGGTGCCTTGCGTCGAGATCTGGATCTTTGGGAAGCTGCCACCACATTGCATACCAGGCACATGGGTGAGGTGATGTAGAAGAACAGATGTGTTCCTGTCCAGATGAACTTATTCTTCAGATCGGGAGGCGATGAGACGATTTGCGTATGATGTCCGTTCCCCTGAGCGTGCTAACCGAGAGCACACGCGTAAAACTTCATTCTAGATCCAAGACTATGGAGAAAGGGTGGGCACAAGATTAATACGAACTCTCTGCGGCGCATGACGCTGCATATGAAATGCAAACCTGCCAATGCCGTTTCTGGTGAAAGCTTCTTGGGGAAGCGGACGATCATTGACGGAAGGAGTGTTCATCGCATGTTCCATGTCCCAATGTGGATCCGAGTCTCCTGAAAGCTGGAGTTGATATCGGCCTTCGTAGGTCCAGTCATCGTCCTTCTTTACATCAGCATAACTTCGTCAACAGCACACAGCCATTCGGTCAACGTCCAAATCTCTTCTCATTATTGTTCTTTGCTGCGCCTACAGTACAATAGATCGAAGCGGCACTTGGAAATCATTGGCAATGAAGACCGCACAGACTGGTGCAAATCATAGCAGCCGCCCCACTGAAACCTAAGGGGACCTTCTTGAGATAGTATCAAAGTTGGAAGCGAGAGACAAGCAACGGAAATGAAAATGGACCAATTGTGTTGTCAGGACAGGAACAATTTTCCTGACACTTTGAATTTCGACTGATATGAATATCTGACCTTTCACGACCGATATCTCCCGACCTCCTTGAAGTCCGCGTGTTACCAATCACGTGATGCACGGATTTTTCACTCTCCAGCTGTCAAGAGATATCAAGAGAAAGACAGGACTAAGAATTGTTATGCATCAATTGCTTGCAACAGGTGGAGGTGATCAGGCATGAGAGATATTCAGAGCCATGGACTCGAGCTCTGGAGCTCTTGAGTCTGGTGAAGACACCTCCCGCTTATGTAACGAAACTAAGATATAGGAGACTCGCAATGTGTTCCAGACTTACCCATCTTACTAGGTATATAAGATTAAGATTCGCACCGCAACGATTCCGCGATGGATTAGATAATTCCAGGTGATCAAATTTGTGTCCTGCACGTGGTTGTCACACGTGAGTTGGGCACTGTTACACACATCCAAGCCTTCTCCAAACCTGTCTATGCAAGTTACGCGTATTCGGATTGTTCTCTGACTGTGTTTTCGGAATCAAAACGGCTTCCGCTGCAGCTCTTGAGTTTTGGGAAGTCACTATCGTAACCTGAATGCTTTCATTGGTTGTTCGTAATGCTCGTTTATCGTATCGGGGAAGCAATAATGCGAGGCACAGCATATTTGCCTTTAGATCAAGAAACCCCCCCAAAAGTGTCTTCAGTCTCTCTTCTGACTTCTCACCGCAACTACTCGCATTATTTCGAATTCAATTGACGAAACGATAGCTGTTTAGATCTCTATTCCTGCTTGTTGCTGCCTGTTGTTGACTTGGCACGGGCAAATTACCCCGATCTGATTCATCCATTGGTGACGGCTTGATATCCTGGGCGCCTCCTCGTGACAGAACTCGATGTCCAGCTTCACAACACGTTGACCGTTCCTCGATGACACCTTTACGTTCTCTGTACTGATAGTTCTCGTTTCCTTTTCGACTTACTGTATTATCGACCCTTTGTTGGCCCCAATTGCGACGCACGAGCCTTCTCATGACTGAGACATAAATCTCCTGTCATCATGGAAAAAGCTACTCTGGATACCGACGCGACTATCAAAGCTGATCACGATCTCTCATCTGAGTCGTCCAAAATGGATGATGGGAATGAGAAAGAGCATTCTGATGCGGTGATCACTAAAGCTGAGGAAGATGACCCTACCACGGACTATTCGAGCAAAGCAGCAAATAAGACATCCATGAAGGACTACCTTGTACAAACACAGCCCCTCTAAAGCTATTGTTGTCTATACTTACAATTCTACCAGCGGATATTTACGTATTCTACTTTCTGGGACAGGGTGTTACTTGCCGTTGCCAGTGCTGCGGAGATTGCTACAGGAGTGGTATGTTGTTACCCCAAATGTCTGATATTACAAGCTGACATGATAAGACTCTTCCTTTAATGAATATAATCTTTGGTGAATACTACTCAACTCAATCAAGCAATATAATAGACTGATTCAGTCTAGGTAATCTCGTTGGCAGTTTCAGTACGTCTGCAACGACTTCCCCAGCACAATTTAAACATAATCTCAATAAACAGACGTAAGTTCTTCTATTATGACTCCTCATGCAGCCCGACTTGTGACCTTGTAGCTTATGTCTCACTTAGCTTATACATCGTGTATATCTTCATTGCAAGATGGGTTTTCAGCTACATTTCAATCTTTGCCTTCAGAATGGTAGGACTTCGATGCTCTGCAAGACTCAGGCTGGACTTCCTGAAGGTAAGACGCTCTTATACTCTCTGCATGGATCTATTTGCTTGTACGAGCAAGATTCTACAGCAAGACTGACAATAGCCAGGCACTATTTGCTCTACCAGTTTCAACACTTGATACACTTCCAAGTGGTCAAGCCTCAAACACTCTAACAAATACGGCCAATGTTCTACAGATAGGTATATCTGAGAAACTTGGAACCGTTCTACAGTTCTCTACCTTGATGATCGCTTCGGTTGCCATTGCCTTCAAATACAGCTGGCAATTGACACTTGTCACAAGTTCCGTGCTAATCTTCGTTGGACTCGTATATGGAACAGTCATACCTATTGTTGTCAAGTTGACTAAAGAAGTCGACCATGCTGATGCAAAGGCGGCCTCAATTGCTGGCGAAGTTCTTGGATCGATCCGAATGGTTGTGGCATGTGGTGCCGAAGGTAGAATTGCGAAAAGGTACGCTGGGTGGATTCAGGAATCGAATAGGAGAGGCATAAAGAAATCACCGGCTCTTGGGATACAATTTGCCCCTTGTGAGTCTTTCTGACTGCTCAGTCAAACAGCATGCTAATTCGAGCACAGTGTTCTTCTCTGTCTATGCGTATGTACCCTCGACAACACTTCATACGGAAATGTCTAACTCTTAATAGTACGATGGCTCTGGCATTTTGGTTTGGCTTCAAGCTCTATCTTGAACATCATATCAAAAACGTTGGATCTATTGTCATCGTACTCATGTCTGTCATGATGATCGCGTTCAGTCTTTCTCAAACTGCTGCCCCTATCATTGCAATTTCGCAAGCTGCAGGTGCAGCAGCAGATTTCTTCGCCGTTATCGATGCACCGAAGCCGGACATTACAGGTCTGAAAGACCCTGATGTTTCGGCGGTTTCAGAGATCGTCTTCGACGGCATAACTTTTGCTTATCCCAGTAGACCCCATGTGAAGGTTCTAGATAATCTCAATGTATGGGAATCGTTTTATTAGCTCCAAGGCTCAGATGCTGACCGATTTCGCAGCTTCGATTCGAGCCAGGCAAGATCACAGCGATCGTTGGTGCTTCCGGTTCTGGTAAAAGTACAATTGTCGGTCTTCTTGAGCGCTGGTACGAACTCGATGTCGAGAAACGATACGTCTTGCCTGAAAGCGTCGTCAAAGACAAGAAGAAGACAGAAGAACAGATCGAAAAGGAAGAAGAGGAGAAGAAGCTACAGGCTTTGGAAAGGCCCAAGACACCAATTGCCCTTAGTGGCTCCATTCTAATTGGGGGTCAAAACCTAGATGGTATTGATTTGAAGTGGTGGTAAGTCTCACTTCCTTATGAACAAACGTTGGAGTGTGTATTAATTTCTCGATCTGGAATGTAGGAGAAGTCAAATCGGCCTCGTTCAGCAAGAGCCATTTGTTTTTAACGATACCATTTTCAATAACGTCGAATTTGGCCTCATTGGATCTCCTTGGGAACACGCGGACGCCGAGACAAAAAAGAAGCTTGTCCAAGAAGCTTGCAAGGAGGCTTACGCAGATGAATATATCTCCAGATTACCTTTGGTAAGTTGCACAGATCATATTCTCGGGACGACACTTCTGACTGCCACAGGGTTACGAAACACAAGTTGGAGATGCTGGCATAAAGCTTTCTGGTGGACAACGACAACGTCTTGCTATTGCTCGCTCGATTGTCAAGCGACCCAAGATTCTGATTCTAGACGAAGCGACGAGCGCGATCGACGTACGTGGAGAGCGATTAGTCCAGGCAGCCTTGGACAAAGTGAGCGAGGGACGTACCACGATCACAATTGCCCACAGACTTTCAACCATCAAGAAGGCAGACAAGATCATCGTCCTTCGTAAAGGAAAACTGGTCAGTACATTTCTGCAATATTCCAAGTCGTGCTTCAGATAGTCTGCATCAATCCACATTGACCCCCCCGTTAGCCACTACTGACCTTTGATGTTCTAGATCGAGGAGGGAACTCACAATAGCCTCCTAGCAGACGAAGATGGGGCATACTATGCATTGGTTAATGCTCAGAAGCTTACCATGGGCGACGATTTCGCAGGAGAATCGGACTTGAACGAAGACTCTGTGGACAATATACAGCGAATACTAAGCACCGCAAGTGGGAAAGACAAGCACATTGAAGTGACTACAACCTACAAGCCCAAGGGCTTCCTTGGAAGTTTCGGGCTTCTGTTACGGGAGCAGACAAGGCTGTGGCCTTGGTATCTGGTGCTGTAAGTATTTATTACCATGACCTATTGCTCTTCCAGTATGTTTGGCATTATGTGTGATAATGAGCTGATTAGAACAGAGCGATTGGCTGTGCTGGAGGTGGTCAAGCCTATGCCGTTCAAGCCTATATCTTCAGTAATCTTATCAACGTCATTACCTATACCGGCTCGGCTCTTTCAGCTGCTAGCAATCACTGGTCGCTGATGTTCTTCATTCTCGCACTTGGGACCGGACTTTCGTATTTCATCCTCGGACATTCATCCAACGTAATCTCAACCGTGAGTATTGTCGTTATCCTCGTCGGTGACAAAACACTAATAACATTCAGAAAATCTCATGCACATATCGCCAGCAGTACTTTGAGTGTATCTTGGAGAAGCCCATTCCATTCTTCGATGACGAGGATAATTCTAGTGGTACTCTGACAGCCAGGGTGTCGAATGACCCAACGCAGCTACAACAAATGCTTGGAATGAACATGGCTATGGTCGTCGTTGCAGTCCTCGGTCTTTCAGGCTGCATTATTATTGCATTTGTATTCGGTTGGAAGCTGAGCTTACTCGCTGTGTTCGTGACTATGCCAATTATGTTGGGCACAGGCTACTTTCGCATCCGATACGAGATTCAATTCGAGGCTATGAACCAAGCTGTGTTTGCGGAGAGCTCAAAATTTGCTGCAGAAAGCATCGGTGCTTTCAGAACAGTGCTGAGCTTGACTATGGAGGATATGATCTGCAATCGGTACGATGTGCTCTTGCAGGGACATGTGAAAAAGGCTTTCCATAAGGCAAAATGGACAACCACAGTCTTCTCTTTCAGCGACAGCTTGCAGTTGCTGTGTATGGCTCTTGCTTTCTGGTACGGAGGACAGCTGTTAGCCAAGCGTAAGTATCTGAACCTTGAAAACCATTGCGATGCTAATTCTTTCGGCTAGAGGAATATACTCCCGTTCAGTTCTTCGTCATCTATATGGCAGTAGTGCAAGGAGCAGAGAGTGCCGGTACATTGCTCAGCTTTGGACCAAGTGAGCAGTCTCCAATTATCAGAAAGATTTTGCTAACGTAGTGGTAGACATGGCACAGGCTGGCGCTGCAGCAAACCGTATCTTGAGTTTCAGGGTCAAAGATGATGTATCGTCCAAGGACTTACAGCAACTTGAAGACACTGATGGAGGCGTCAAGATTGAATTGAAAGATCTCTGGTTCAAGTATCCAACTCGAGATATTCCCATCTTCACGGGCCTTAACTTGACGGTAAGTACTAGTCCCAAGCTGCAAACTTCAACACTGACATTTTCGAGATCGAAAAAGGCCAATTCGCTGCTCTTGTAGGTCCCTCGGGCTGCGGTAAGACTTCCATCGTCTCCCTTCTCGAGCGCTTCTACGATGTCCAACGAGGCAAGATCCTCGTGAACGGAACAGACATCACCTCGCTCAACGTCCAAGATTACCGCAAATGCATGTCCCTCGTAGCCCAAGAACCAACACTCTTCCAAGGCACGATCAAAGAAAACATCCTCCTCGGCGTCTCAGAATCCACACCCACCGAAACCCTCTACGCGGCGTGCCGCGACGCCGAGATCCACGATTTCATCATGTCCCTCCCCGACGGCTATCACACCGACGTCGGCAACCGCGGCGTCAACCTATCCGGTGGACAGAAACAGCGGATTGCGATCGCGAGGGCGTTGATTAGGGATCCGAAAATCCTGTTGCTGGACGAGGCGACGAGTAGTTTGGATAGCGAGAGCGAGAAGTTGGTTCAAGCGGCATTTGAGAGGGCCGCGAGTGGCAGGACGATGGTTGTTGTTGCGCATCGGCTGGCGACGGTGCAGAATGCGGATGTTATTTTCGTGCTAGGGGAGGGAGGTGTTTTGGAGACGGGGAATCATGCGCAGTTGTTGAAGAAGAGGGGCGTTTATTATCAGATGGTAAGCTTTTTCGTGACCTTGGGAATGGAGACGCTAACGAATGAATGTAGTGCCAATCTCAGGCTCTTGATAGATAGAGGTGTTGTGGATTTTGGTTTTCTGAAAAGGGTCGAGTATTGATGACAGGCCGTCTATTCTACTCTGTTTCTTGTTGTACTTTGTAATCGGGCGAATAGATCAATTGCCACTTTTGGATCGGACCTTGGTGTCTTGATCTCCTCTCTACAATGTAATTTTGATATTGATTTGGGTTGGTGAAGTGAATGTTTGGGCTTTTGCTAGTCTTGATGATTCGATCATGTGGGTTGAGAATTGCTAAATTATGCCTATGCTTTCAGCGCTTTTCAATCGTTTGGGTCGGACAGCATTTAGAGTTTTTGAGGTGGGCATGTTAATGTCAGGAATTACTTCAGTGTCTATTTGTCTCTCAAAGTATTAGTGAATTATAGCGATTCAGTACGTTTCAATGTATGGCCCTCAGAGATCACTTTTTTGAGATATAATGTCGGGGCTAATTTCGCTACATGAAATCAATCACTGCCTCTTAAATGTGTGAGCGACGACTGAATTTCATCTGATACCAAATGTCCAACATGGTTTTGATGCGCTGTCATTGCCCTAAGATAGTCCTACGTAATCGACATTGATCGCTGATTCTGTACCACTTTGATATGGATAACCTTCCGTAACTGTGCCACTAACAAAATAGATAGACGAGTCATATCGACGCAAATATGATGAGATGCATGCATCCGAGGATCTCTGATTCCCATGCCGCCTTGCCGAGTAGCATGGTAGATGCCCGCACGTGATTGACCTCACCGCAAAAAAAGACAGCCCTGCCATCACGGACCATGACCCACTCCGGTACAGGTAAACAAAAAATCTCGAAAGCTGTACGGCATTGACTTCGAGTGGCAAAGAAGACGTTGACAAGTCTCAGCTTCAAGCCTCATCAAATCGACATGAGCTGAAGAAGTGGCGTAAATACAGCACCCTTGCCAAGACCCACGCTGGTCATTAATCCTCGCCCTAGTCGGATCCCCAGCCATAGCTTTCCACTGTTGTGGGCGTCTCGTCCCGAGCCCTTAGGTTAGGACCCGAAATCTCACAACACCGAAAGATTGATGTTTACCTTCATCTAAACCAGCCATCAAAGATGGCCGACCGGCGTCGCAGGAGCAGTCCTGATCAATCTGTCTCCAGCAGAAAACATGAGCCCCGACGACGAGACTCTCGCCGCAGCACTCACTACGAAGAAATAGTGCCAGAACCAATGACCGCACCACCACAACAACAAACGCAACAACCACGGTCTTACGAGCCCGCCGACATGCGCTCCTCCTCCTACAAAGCCACCGAACAGCAGCGTGATGAACAATACCGAGGTCCAGCTTACGCCTCATCCTACTCTTCTTCGAGTAGCTCGAGCTACATCGATATCTCGCGTACATTCCCACCGAACCGATCGGGGATCCGTACATTCTTCACAGCGCCATCCGAGCACAGGCGCAAGTTGCGCAGACGCAGAAGTAGCCGATTGTTCAAAGTTGGGAACTCATCTTCGTCGTCTGTAAATAGTGATCTGGCGTATGGAACCGGATACATAAAGAGACCTAAGAGTCGAGTGAGGTCGAGAAAGGGCAAAGAGATTGACCGCGAGAGATACACTGAGAGGTATGGCGAACAGAGATATGACTCAAGATATAGTGATCGCGAGAGGGAGAGGACCAATGCGACTACGACTACGATCAGAAATGAGGGGAGGGATTCAAGGAGTGGACTGAGCAAAGCGGCTACGGATGCTGAAATACTGGCTCTTGGAGCAGGACTTGCGAAGCTTGCCAAGGAATCGAATAAACTGGACTTGAAGAATTCAAGAAACGGCAAGAAACCGGAACTAGGCGCTCCAAGGGAAACTGGTCATGGTCTAGCTTCAAGTCGGGGTCTTGGTCCTTCGAAGATTTCACATGGCTCAGATACATTTGATGAAGATGGATGGGAATCTGCTTCTGACAATGAGTCTGATGCTAGTGTTGATTCGAGACTGGCCTATGATAACAACACTAAGAGCCGTTGGAGCTTCTTCGGCAGAAAGAAGAAGTTCAAGCCATTGAGTCGAAAGAACACTATTGTCGACCCTCGTCTCTTTGGACCAGCGAATTCCTTGAACGGAGTTGTCACGCAACCGGTTGGATTTGGTGAGGTCTCATCATGGACTTCTGTCAGCGATTTTGGTCAACATGTTGGCTCTGCTACTCCAAGACCTGCCGACAGCCTCAGCAATTCTCAGCAATCACTTCAGCAAGTCTATCCTGTTCCTACTTCTGATCCGGACATCTTTGCAGCTGGGAGAGCTTCTAGAAGCTCTGTGATGTCAACAGAGCCTCCAGCCTATGCTTCCAGCAGACCTGGTCCTATCCCCTTACAGCAACCACAGCCGATCACCCCCGTCTCTCAAAGTGTCTATGAACCCATCTACCCCACTCGGTCGGAATCCGGTGGCATCCTGAAGAAGCCAACTGGGTCTTCTCGCACACCCTCTTTAGCCCAAGCAGCATTAGTTGGCGTTGCTGGTGCCGCTGTTGGCGCAGCTATTGCTTCGAATAGAGATGATCGTAAGGATCGTCAACGAGAGGACGAGCTTCGCGACAGAGAGCGACAAAAGCGCCGTGAAAGCGAGAGGGCTGAGACGATTCGGGAGAGTGAGCGACGTGAGGCCGAGAGGCGCGAGTCCGAAAGACGTGATCTTGAGCGACGAGATGCAGAGAGACGTGAATTGGAGCGCCGCGAGGCTGAACGTCGTGATTTTGAAAGACGAGAGCTTGAGAGAAAAGAGAGCGAGCGTCGACGAGATAAGCGAAGCAGTCCGGACCGAGATGATCGCAAGGACAAACGTCGAGACAAGGATCGAAAGGACGATACCGACCGAGACAAGAAGCGAGAAAAGCGACGAGATGAAACTCGGGATGATCGAGATGAAAGATGTGAGAAGCGCCGCGACGAAAGACGCAGTGAGCGTGGAGATCGCGTTGAAGAACGAGTCGATGTCCGTCCGGTTGAGGAACGTCGTTCTGAGCATCCCGAGCTTGTTGACCGTCGTACCAAGAGCGAAGCTGCTGTTTCTACGACTTCTGTTGATCCATTCCAGTATCAAGTTAGGGAGAGTGCGTTCCCAACTCCAACTACCGAGATCCCAGCAGGTCAGCGCACCCCGACTGTAGTGACTGTTGAGAGAGAGCCCGATTTTAGTCGCATGCAAAGCTACTCAATTAAAGATCCCAGCTCAGGCTCCAATGCTCGTGTCGAAGTCGAATACTCGGACGAAGACGAGCGAGATAGGCGGTCCAGGGGTAGACAATCACGAGACGCTCCATTACACGAGGCTGAAGATATCTACGAAGAGACCAAGCATTTCACAGCTCCCATTGCTGTTGCTGCAATTGGTGCCGCTGTAGCTGCCGATCATCACCGTGAATCAAGGTCTGACAAACGAAGAGATGAACGACGAAGCGGATCGAGAGGCGACTATGACACCTATGATTACAAGCCTAGTGACAAGGAGCAAGATCGCGATAGAGAAGCCGAACGTATCCAAGAGGAAGCCGACAGGGCTTATCGTGAAATTGTCATGGCTCGAAAGATCGCATCACAAGTCATTCGCTCAAGAAGCCCTTCACCTGATCCCTCGGTGGTTGAAAAGTACAACACTAAGGAAGAAGAGGAAATCGTTCGCATTGTCACACCTCCTGGCATGGAAGAGCACAAGAAGAAAGGTCCTTACGACGCTCCTAATGCTGACTTTCAACTTGACCATGTTATTGAGCCGAAGGAGATGCATATTTTTAAGGCTCCAAGTGTACGCTATGGACGTGCTGCTCCGGAACCTGTCTTTGTGAAGCGAGATCCTGATGCTGAAAGACCTCGTCCGCTCCTCAACCTTGTCTACCCAACTCCTACTCCATCACCCATACCCGAGAAGCAAAAGGAACGCGAACCCACAAGTTCACCAAAGTCTAAAGATCGTGAACAGCCAAAGGTCAATACCTCTGATGTTGTGATTGGCTCCAGAGGAAATGTTGTCGCATCACCAACAACTTCTACAGTATCTAAAGCTGTCACTTGGGGCGAGAACGAGACCAAACACTACGAAGTCGAGAGCCCATCCGAGCACAGAGATGAATTTGTCTCAGCTGCTGACCTTCCATCTCGTGAAGTGCCCCAGGAGATCAAGTCCTCTGGTAGCAAATCGAAAGGATGGGGAGCTATCGCGGCTGGCATCATGGGTGCAGGAATTGGTGCTGCAGCTGCAAGTTCAAGCGACTCTCCAAAGTCGTCCAAGTCTAAGAAAGATGATGACAAGAAGAGCGAGTCTTCATACGAATATCGCGGAGTTGTCGTTGAACCAGAAAGCCCTCCACGAAGAAAGAGCCCACCTCGAAGAGAGAGGGATCAGAGTCCACCTTCTCCAGGTCCGAAGCCAGCTAGTCCTCGCTCTTCGCATGTTCCCGGTGCATTCGATGATGATCTAGATTTCACCGCAACAGTGGCCGCTGGTCTCCAAGACACCGGATTTGACCCAAATATCGTGATCAATGATCCGTCATTCCGCAGACGCGATTCTCCACCTGGCTCCAATGGGCCTAATCTCTATCATGCTCCTTTCGCCGAGACTGTTTCGGATCTTGGTACTATTCCGCCATCAGCAGTCGGAAGCGTTGGGTCTGGCTTCATTCTTGGTGAAGTTGCTAGCACTCCTAGAGACTGGCAAAGTGTCTCTCCCGCTGCTGAGGAGTTCGAAACGCCTACCAAGCTAAGCAAGAAAGAGCAGAAGAAGCGTGATAAACAGCGAAGACAGAGCGGCGACATCACACCTCTCGAAGAATCATCCTCTGCAAGAGAAGTAGTCGAAGAGCCTATCAATGACTACTTTGTGGAACCCAAGCTCAGCAAGAAGGAGCAGAAAAAGCGAGACAAGGAAGCTGCACGACAAGCAGCTCTTGCTGAAGAACAGACTACACCATCCGTCGCAGAGGAGAAGATCGAACCACCTGAAGCCTTCTTCGAGGCCCCGAAAAAATCCAAGAAATCGAAAAGATCTTCGTCATCCCCTGATGAAGTAGCTGAGTCTTCACGGACTGTCTCTGTTCCAGTTGACGCATTTGACGATCTGAAGGATGACGATGATGATTGGACCGATACCAGGAAGAGAAAGAAGTCTACTCGACAGTCTGCACCAGATGTCCAGTCTTCACGAGATGTACGGTCTATCACGTCTGTACGAGATGATTCTCCTAAACGTCCTAAACGGCGTGACTATGACCAATATGTGTCTCCACCTCGATCATTCCCAGCCCCTGGAGCAGCTTCTGAAATTGGTGGAATCCCACGCTCAAAGCGTGACAGTGAACGATATGAGTCTCCTCCACGTTCAAGAGACGCCATCTCTGACGTTGGCCAATCATCAAGCACGAAGGACAAGTCGAGACGTGATAGTGGGCGATATGATTCTCCACCACGGTCACGCGACGCTGTTTCTGATATTGGTCGGTCATCGAGCTCGAAAGATAAGTCGAAGCGTCGAAGTGAGCAATATGAGCGTGACCCCGAAGAAATCTCTCTTCCACCTAGCACACCCTCGGAAGTTAGCCGAGACGGAGACTACGATGACCGAAAGTCAAGGAAATCTTCGAACAGAGATAGTGGAATATTCAGCAGTACAGACCGTGATTTATCGCAATCAGTAGTTTCAGCAGATGCTTCACGATACGATGATACAGAACCACGAAGAAAGAAGAAGTCAAGAAGTGGCAGAGATGATTACGACGATACGAGATCAGTGGCGTCTGCTCCTGCTGGCGATGACTATGACGACTCGAGAAAATCAAGCAAGAAGAAAGACAAGGAAAAGGACAAGAAGAGCAGTAGCATCTTCTCCAGTCTGTTCGGTTCGAAGTCAGAGTCTGGTGCTCGGGATGATAGTCCTAAGGGTGCCAAAGACGATGAAGATCGAAAGAAGAGCAAGAAGTCCAAGCGGCACTCTGTTCCTGATTCGTCGAGCATCTATAGTGGTCTCGGTGCTGAATCTGTTGGCGACGTGTCAAGATCCGTGTCCAATGGCAGCAATGGCAAACACCATCTCGATGATGATCTCGATGACGGTGTACGAAGCGATGGCGAGAAGAGACGAAAGAGTCGATCACGGTCTGGAAGCACAACTTCAACCAAGAAGGATTCTTTTTTAGATAATGCCGGCATCCTTGGCGCGGGTGTCGGCATTGCGGGTGCTGCTGCTGTTGCAATTGCTGCTCATCAGCACCCGCAATCAAATGCCGCTAATACTAATAATGAAACAGCGGAGCAAATTCGTTCCATGAGTGCAGAGAGGCCTATGGCGAGAGAAGAAATCCTCGACCCCGAGATCGCAGAACGCCAATTCCGACCTTCAATAGATCCCCAATATGGCGATCTACTTCCATTGCCGCCAAGTGACCCGACGTCGCCAAACGTCGAGCCAGTTGAAGAACTCCCAGAATTGCCTGAGAGTCGCCCTGATACTCCGGATGCTGAGCGCATGTCGAGAGAGAAAGGCATTAATGCCATTCGAAGAAACTTGCAGGAGACGCCGATCAAGTCTCCAAGCCAGAGTGCTGTGCCGTTGATCTTCAAGATGGGCAATAGATCAACACCATCCTCACCAGGTCTCATCAGATCCTCGCCTGGCCATTCACCCGCAACCCCAAACGCAGAATCTCTCGGTTTTCCAAAAACCAGACCCTCTCGACCGACGTCTTGGGACAAATCTACAGAATACAAACCACTGTGGCTCCCCGAGACGGTGGCTCGAAGAGGCTCTACATCCCAGCTTCAGGATTCCGATGATTCTTATCCAGAATTACCCCCAAGTGAAACAACATCGAGAAGTTCCTCCCTTCTTGATTTCCACGATGCCATAGAGAACCCAGAGGCTGAGCAAAGAAGTCGCTCAGAATCTCTTACTCTTGATACGAAATTTGCTTCCACGACGGCAGGTGAACTTTTGGACTCTACACAGACTACACCAAAAGCTCCGAACTTTTCGCATGAGATTAGTGGTCTAGAAAGCCCTATCGAAGTATTTAAAGATGCAAGTTCCTTTCACGACGATGCCAGAGCTCCCGAGCGTCCATCGACACCTGTTCGCGAGAAAGATTCTCATTCGATTGGAAAGGATGTAGCTGCAGTTGCTGCCGCCGCTGGGCTTGTCTCAACGCTTGGGTACTTTGCTTCGACACCCAGTAGAAGTCTAGTAAAGTCAGACTGGATGGAGGATCTTCCTTCTGCCAAACGCGAGGTATCTCCCACTCGAGAGGCACAGCCGAGCGAACGTCAAATACTTGAAGACGAGCTGCCCACAATCTCCGATCAGTCGTCGCAAATCGATCCCATGACCAAGGATCGTAGCTCCTACCTACTTCGGTCATCGCCTATGCCACGAAAGAATGATGACGAGACAGAAGCGTTGCACAGCATTCAAGAACACGAGAGCAATGATGCTTCTGAGCCAATTGCAGAGTCAACTTACGACGTTGAGAAAGAGAGACAGCGAGCATTGGAGAAATTGTCCAGTCCCCGCGAAGAAGTTGAAGATCCATTCAAGACAGAAGAGCCCACAGATGAATTTGTCTTCAAATCCAAGAAGGATAAAAAGAAGGATAAGAAGAAAGGCAAGGGCCTATCACGTTCATCTACCCAAGATGACCTTCCTCTAGCTGAGAGTAGCCGAGCTGTCGTTCCGGAGCCTGAGATTGATGCTCCCAGCAATACACCCGTTGAGCAAGAACCTTTTGAGGAATTCGTCACCACGAAGTCGAAGAAAGACAAGAAGAAGGGCAAGGGTCTTTCGAGGTCTTCGACCCAAGATGATCTGACGACTTTCGAGGCAAGCGAAGATGTCATTCCCAAATCTGAAACGCCTGTTCTTGAGGTTGAACCAACTGAGGAATTCTTCACGACGAAATCCAAGAAAGACAAGAAGAAGGATAAGAAGAAGAATAAATCAACCTCACCTTGGGAACCGGAAGAGACTGGAAGTGGCACCACAACACCAGCACCAGAGACGAGTGAAAATGTGCTCGAAGAAATTCCCACCTCCCGTGATATCCAGGAACCTGATATCCAAAAGCCGACCAATGATAAGGGAATCACCTCTGAATCAACGCCTGCCCCAGAGCTAAGCAGAGACATAGCTGACGACTTCTCTACACCACGGTCCAAGAAAGAGAAGAAAAAGGACAAGAAGAAGGGCAAATCAACATCAGCTTGGGAGTCCGAACAGACCGAAAGCGGCATCACAACTCCAGCAGTCGAGCAGAGCGAAGATGTGCTCGAAGAGCCGCCAATTCCTAGGGATTCTCAGGAGCCCGAGATCCAGAAACCGGTCCATGAGCCAGAAAGCACCTTGGCACTTACTGAACCTGGACCGTCCGAGGAGACTACGTTCACCACCGCGGACGAATTTTCGGTCCCAAAATCCAAGAAGGATAAGAAAAAGGATAGAAAAAACAAATCATTTTCGGCTTGGGAGCCAGAATCCTTCGAAGAGGTACCCGAGGAGCCTCTGCCTGAGACTAGCACCTTGGCGACCCGTGAACTTTTCGTTGCTCGTGATATTGAGGAAGAACCCATTCGATCCATCGCCGAAGAGCCATATATTGAGCCCCCTTCAGTCCAGGACAAGAGTCAAGAACCAAGTGACGACTTCTCGACACCAAAATCCAAGAAGCACAAGAAAAAGGACAAGAAGAAGAAATCCGCCTTGATTTGGGAGCCCGAGGCTAGTGACAGTGGGCTTGCAGAAACATTACCTGAGCCAAGCACGCCCGCTCTTGAAGAAGCAACGCCTATCACCCGTGATTTCCAGGAAGCTTACTTCGATCAACCTGTCGTTGAGCCACAGCCCTCTGCTGAAGAATCATCTTCCAAGCCGAGCGATGACGTTCCTCCCCCTGCATCGAACAAGGATAAGAAGAAGCGCAAATCACTCTTGAGCTGGGCCTGGGGCGCTGATTCGAGTGAACCTACTCAGGAACCTGTCCAAGAACCTATTGAGGAATCGAATCACAATGCGTCTGAAAGCATCGCGGCAACCCAAGAGCAAAGTAAAGATCTTCAACAGCCCCAAGAGCCAATGCCAGAAATCTCCGCCCCGAAAAACATCATGGAGCGTGAAGACACATCATCTCAAGATACTCCTATCTTGCACGACGTGATTCCTACAACTCATGAACCAGAGCCTATACACGAGCCAAGCCCCGCTCCTATTGATCTTCCATCGACCAGAGACATTGAAGATACTTCAGAGTTGCTATTGCCAACAACAGAACCTGAGATGATTAGTGAAGACTCATTACCTGTCACTGAGGAGCCGGAGTCTTGGTCGGCCCCTCAATCCAAGAAAGACAAAAAGATGTCAAAGAAGAACAAATCGGTCCTGACTTGGCCTGAGGATGAGGAGGAAAGCAAGCTCGCTGAAGAATCGACTCCTGAGACCAGCAAGGCTGTCCCTGACGCTGAGCACGATTTTGTCGGCAAGGATGAGATGTCGAATCCCATTCCTGAAACTGTTTCCGTACCTCAATCAACCTCACACAATGAAAATATCTCCCACACCCCAGAGCACGTACTGAACACCAATATCGTGGACGAAGAGCCTATCCCGACGCCCATCGAGCGATCGTTTGAAGAGCCTACTCAAGCTACCCAAAAATCTGACATCATCCCTGCTATTCAACTACCAAGTGAGCACGGCGAGCAACCTCCTTTGGAGAGCTCAACCCCTAGAGATATCGAACAGGCAGATGACTTCGCGCCAAAGTCCAAGAAAGATAGGAAAAAGGACAAGAAGAAAGGCAAGTCTACTCTAGCTTGGGAAGCCGAAGAAAATCAAAGTGGTTCTCAAACACCTTCTGCATCATTGGAAGCCAGCCGAGATGTCTCTGAACAGGCCTCTGCAGTTGAAGACGGCGATCAATTTGATAGTTTCTCCACTTCAAAATCCAAGAAAGATAAGAAGAAGGATAAGAAGAAGGGAAAGACTATTGTTTTGTGGGACGAGCCTGAGCCTGAACCTAAGCAGCCGGCTGCGTCTGGCAATCTTGAAAGCACTCGAGAGATGACTGAGGAGCCAACAATTTCTACGCCAGTCGTTGAAGCCGAGGATGAGTTTGCTTCCTTCACATCCAAGAAGGATGAGAAGAAAAACAAAAAGAACAAATCATCGTCTTCGTGGGATCCTAAACCAGAATCACAGCTTCAAGAGCCGATTGCTTCAGACACTCCAATTGATGAGACTAGAGAGATAAGCAAGGAAATCGCTGCCCCTGCTCCGGAGGCGGACGACGACTTCCCTGCTTTTGTCTCGAACAAGGATAAAAGGAAAGGCAACAAGGGCAAGTCTTCTTCATCTTGGGATCCCGAACCAGAGCCACAGGTCCAAAGGCCAATTCCATCAGAGGCATTCGTTGAAGAGAACAGAGAGATCGTCGAAGAGTCAAATCCAGTCGTTCCAGAGCCAGAGCCAGAAGACGATTTTTCTGCCATCGTCTCGAAGAAGGACAAGAAGAGGGACAAAAAGAAGGGCAAAGCTTCTTCGTCATGGGAAGCCGAGTCTGAACCTCAGTTAGATAAGCCAATTGTTTCAGAAACATCTTCACAAACAGATCAAGAAGTTCAGGAGCCAACTGCGCCTACTGGAGAGCCTGAAGAAGAGCACATTTCTGGAAAGGACCAGGAAGCCAAGGCCTTGACCACCGCCGAGCTTGATGAGCCAAGAACATTGGAACCTGTAGAACAACAAGCTTTAGCATCTGCTCGAGAAGTTCCCGAAACTTCATCTATCCCCATCGATAACTCCATTGATAGCTTCTCAGCGTCCAAGTCTAAGAAGGACAAGAAAAAGGACAAAAAGAAGAGCAAGTCGTTCTTGGCATGGGATGCAGATACGACCGAACAGGAACCAGAATCGTCGCAGACAATTCTGCCTGAATCAGGGCGAAGCTTTACCGAAGAGCCATCATCGATATCTTTTGGTGCTATTGTTCCGCAAGACGATATCTCCTCCAAGGATCCCGAAGAAGTGGTATTGTCGAAGTCCGACACGAAGGAGCCTCAAACAAGTAACCATCCTGTCCAGGAATCACTCCCTGACGCTTTTGACGCATCTTTACCTAAATATAGTGATATTAAGGAACAGCAAGATCCAACTATTGTCCAACAACCTCACCATGATTTCTCAGGAACAAATCAAGGATTCAGCGATACACGCTCGTTTCAAGAGACACCTGCCAATGTTCCAGAAAACCTAGAAATCCGTGATCGTTCACTGCCGGTAGATCAGGATGCTAACGCACGCGATATTCCAATAGAAACAGAAACAGAAACTCCTCTGCATCGACAGGACATAACCATCCCGGAGGCTTCATCCCGTGAGATCCAACATGATGTGCAGAACGTCGAATCGGAGCCTGCCATTCCTGATGAATTTGCCATGCGTGAGACGAAGAAGAGCAAGAAAAAGAAGAACAAGTCTATCCCTTGGGATCCAGATGAGTCCGCTCCAGTCGAGGAAACTTCTCTTGATACTCAAGCAGATGCCAGGGAAATTGCACAGGAGGAGTCAGTTCAGGACGAATTCGTTCTCAAGAGCAGCAAGAAAGACAAGAAGAAGAAGAAGGGCAAGTCAACAAGTGCTTGGGAACCTGAACCGGAACATCCTGTTGTTGAAGAACCTGAGACTACCATCGCTGCCCCAGAAACCGTTCCAGATCAAATACGGGATGCTCCTGTTGATGACGAATCTGCCTTTACTGAGAGCAAGAGAGGAAAGAAAAAGAAGGGCAAATCTATGAGCACTTGGGAGCCCCAACCAGAATCCACATCCACACCAATTGAAGCCATGTCCGTGCAGCCGATTGAGTCATTCGAGGAATTTACAACACCGTCTTCCAAAAAGGGAAAGAAGAAGTCAAAGAAGTCTCAAGCTTGGGGTATGGATGACGAACTACCTACAGATGATGTGGCACAGGAACAATCGAAAGCTGTGGAGCAAGACGCAGGTCTACCCGTCCCAGAAATCCCGTCTGCGAAACCGACCCCTATGGGTGGACCTGGTGCTTGGCCAATCACTCCTGCCACCCCTATGACTGGCGGTGAGGCAGCAAGCGGTCAAGTACCAAGTGACAAGCACAAAGACTATTTCCCCTCTACCTCTGCAATGCTACCAGCGGCTGCAGTGGGAGCTGCTCTTCTTGGTGCAGAAGCGATTCATGATCGATCCGTGTCCGAAAAAGACGTGTCTGCTGAGCCTTCCAGCTCAAAGTCAATGGATCGTGAGGAAGCCCAGATTCCAGGATCGGAAACAAAGCCTGCCCCTAATGGCTTAACTGCTAGATATGACAATGACCAGCTCAGCCTCGCAAGACAACTTCAAGAGGAGTTCGGTTCCGGTAGCAAAAAGTCCAAGAAGGATAAGAGCAAACGCAAGAGTTTACCAGCCACACCTGCTCGCCAAATTTCAAGATCAAGAGCCGTCGATGATCTAAGCGAAGACCATCATCGTGCGAGAAGTCTTTCGATCGAGCCATCACCTGCAAGATCTGGCGTCAGCGCAGGCACTGGGGAACGACCAGTTCTCTATAGCGAGGAGCAACTTGAATTAGCTCGTCAATTGAAGGAAGAATTCGGCTCAGGGTCCAAGAAATCCAAAAAGGACAAGAAGAAAAAGCGAAATTTTTCTGAGGAACCAACACAAGAGGATGATTTCACGCGGGAATTCATTCAAGAGCCACAGTCTATGACACCTGGTGCTACGGAAGATACTGCTCAGCTTGAGACCATGGATGCACCACGTGGTGATGGATTTGCTGCCGGCTACCAGGAAGATCAACTTTCTCTTGCTCGTCAACTGCAAGCAGAGTTCGGAAAGAAATCCAAGAAAGACAAGAAGCGCCGCAGCACGTCTCAGACTCCTCTGGAACAAGATACACCTGCCGATGACTATTTTGGTGAACGTTCACAACCTCAATACTCAGAGCCTCTCCAATATGAACCACCTCCAGATGCCCCGGAACCTGTCGTCCAGGAGAAAGAGCCTACACGTGACGGTCTAGCAGTAGGCTACAGCGAGGATCAACTTGAGCTTGCACGTCAACTGAAGGAAGAATTTGGTTCTGGCTCCAAGAAGAAAGGGAAGAAGGACAAGAAGCGCCAAAGCTTGCTTCGTGGCAATACTGAAGACGACTTCTCATCTGATGCGTTTATGGGAGAGTCGGAGCAACAGAGTGGTCTTGCCACGCCTTTAGATGAAGGCACTCGTGAACCATCATTCGAGCCTGAGGATGCCTTCGCAACTGTTTCGAAGAAATCCAAGAAAGACAAAAAGGGCAAGAAGCGGGAGTCCAGTCTTCTACGTGACGCTGTCGATGACAACTTTACAGCCGAACCAACGCCTGAAATCACCTCCGAGTCAAAGAATATTGAACCATCGAACTTCGATCCCATCGTCAGGGGCCTTGATGAACCTGCTATTGTTGAACCCGAGGACGAGTTTGCACCCGTAAAGAAGTCAAAGAAAGACAGGAAAGGCAAGAAACGCGAAAGTCTCGTTCCGGGAGAAGATTTCCAGCCAGAAATATCATTCCAAGACATCCCAGCACAAGATGATGCTCCGCAACCGCAAATTGCTGCAAAGGACATCGAACAGTCTGCGCCGATTGAACCTGAGGATGACTTTGCACCAGTCAAGAAGAGCAAGAAAGATAAAAAGGGCAAGAAGCGTGGTAGTCTCAAGCCTGACACCACCGAAGAAGCGGTCGTTCCCGACACTCTTTCCGAGAGTGTTGACAAAGAACAAGAGCCAATGCTCTCAGTGACGGACGAAAGAGTTACCAATCTAGAAACCCAAGGTCAAGAGCCATCAACTCTACCAGCTGAAGACGACTTTGGCTTCCCTACCACAAAGAAGTCAAAGAAGGACAAGAAAAATCGCAAGAGCACAGCTAGAATTGATGAGTCGTTCAATCAACCAGAACCTGAGATCAGTACTGCCTCCCAATTCCCCGAAGTTGATGAACCTTCCACTGCGGATATCACAAGTGCCAATTCTGGGCCAGACGTTGTAGCTGAATCAGCTGAATTCGAACTTGGGCGCAAGCTGTCAAAGAAAGAGAAGAAACGCCAAAGTTTGCTTCGAAGTTCTACGTTCGATGAGCCTTCAGAACCTTTGACAGAAAGCAGAGATGTTCAGCCAGAGATGGAAAGTCGAGATCTTGCTGAGACGACTGTAGCTGCTCCACTCGAAGAGCCACAAGATGATGGATTCGAATTCTTGTCGAAGAAGTCCAAGAAAGATAAGGAAAAGCAGAAGATCTCACGACAAGCTTCACTGGCGGCAGATCTTCCTGTTGAAGAGATTGCATCCTCCTCCACGCAGCCAGAAGTTATCAATGATCAAATACTAGATCGTTCGATCGAGCATTCGTCAATGACAGAGCCTTCTACTCAAATGACCACTTTGGAATCGATGGAAGCACGCGACGTCGAGATGAGCCATTTACCGGCAGAAGCTGAGGAAACCCCGAAAGACATGTTCGGAGATTACACCTTCACAAAGCAATCCAAGAAAGACAAAAAAAAGCGCAAGGATGCATCAAAACAAGACTCTGATGAAGCTTCCAGGTTCTCAACACCCATGGATCCGGGCACCGACTTGAAGACTATCGATGAATCGTCTTTACCTTCAGAAGAGATTTCTAAGAAGTCCGTACCTGAACAAGATCCTGCACTTGAGGGTGTCCCATCAACCACCGATCGAGAAGTCATTGACGAGCCCGTCGATGATTGGGCCAGTTTCCCAACCAAGAAGTCCAAGAAAAACAAAAAGAGGAAGGGGTCTTCAAAACCTGGTTCTGAGGGACCGTCCGGCACCACTACACCTTTTGAGACTATCCCAGAGTCGATTGAAACTGTGAAGAGCGAACTACCATCACAAGACTTCCAAGAATCTGTGCAAGCTGAAAATTATGAGGACTTGCCATCATCATCGATGGATGCCCAGCAGCCTGATGATGAGTGGGATTCTGTGCCAAGCAAGAAATCGAAGAAAGACAAGAAGAAGCGTAAATCCGGCTTGTCTACACCAATCGAAGAAACAATGCTGGAATCGGAGCAACGGCTTGAAGAAATCACTGCGCCATCTGTATCCAGAGAGATCAACCAGGAGGAGGTCTTGTCCAAAGAGGAGCCATTCCCTCAAGATCTAGAACGCCCTGAGCCCGTTACTCATGAACATCACGCCGTCAATATTCCCGCAGAAATCATCCCTCATCATGCAGAGCCGTCTGAGGTACCATTCAACCAAGAAAGTTCTGTTCCCATCGAGACCAGGGACGTTGTCTCTGAGCCGGAAGCTGAATGGGCCGCTATACCCAAAAAGTCAAAGAAAGACAAGAAGAAGCGCAAGTCTGGTATTTCAACGCCTGTTGAGGAGTCAATGCCTTCCGGCTTTAGCGAGGAGTTAGCAGAACATAGCCACTTCATTGCGCCAGAGGTGACGGCAGGGACGAAAGAAACCAACTTTGATCGTGATGCAGCAATACATCCCGAGCCAAGCACTGCTGAAGCGGAAGGAGAATGGGGCTCATTGTCAAGAAAATCATCGAAGAAGGACAAGAAAAAGAAGAAATCTGGTCTTTCGACTCCAGTTGAGGAACTCATGCCAGCTGTTGTGAAGGAAGAAGCTATAGGTGGACCTAGTCAACACATTGCAGCTCAAGAGAATACACCAGAGATTAACACCTCGACCTCAGAACGTGTTATTCATGGTCAGGATGCCACAGTACTTCCTGAGTCCACTTTCGTCGAACCAGAAGGAGAATGGGGTATGCTGTCAAGAAAAGCTTCGAAGAAAGACAAAAAGAAACGCAAATCAGGTCTTTCAACGCCAATCGAGGAGCCCATGATCGCTGAACCTTCAATGCCAACTACGGCAGATCTCGAAAAGGACCTTCCCGAAATCACTTCCAGAGGCCCCGAATTTGCAGATGCTCCATCTGGCGAGTCCACTTCTCAGAGTCATGCTTTCGTAGATGATACACTACCTATCAGCCAAGAAAGAGAGCCATCGTCCACTGTTCAGAATACTCAAAACCAAGAGCCTACAGACGAGTTTGCATTCATCACCAAGAGATCAAAGAAAGATAAGGGCAAGAAAGCATCATGCGGCGAGTCAGAAATTGAACCAGGCTCTTTCGTTCCCTCCGGCACTTCTGGCCCAATCAATCTCTTCCCCCAAAACGACTCAAGGGAGATTGCTTTAGAGGTACCTGAACGTCAGACTTCTAGCCCTGTATCCTTCGAAAAGGGAGACACTACCAGAGAGCCATCTCCTCCAGAACCCTCTCCGGATTCCAATGACTTTGACACACATCATGCCGAGGCGGCAGATGTATTTCCGAGCGACTTGTCAAGAAAACCGTCGAAGAAAGATAAGAGGAAGCGTCAGGCAACAGTTATTGTAGGCGTCGACGATGGCCAAAGCACTGCAAAGGCACCTTTGACCTCTTGGGCAGATGAAGTCGAAGAGGCTGAAGTCATACGAGATCACCCAATTATCGAAGATCTCGCAAAAGACGAGACCTTGTCTCACATTCCTAGCACAACCGAATCGGCACCTGTTGACGACTTCGTCCGGCCATCAAAGAAAGGCAAGAAGGGAAAGAAGAGAAGCTCTAGCCAAGTAAATCCTGCAGATATTCCCCACCCGCCCATAGGAGCAGATATTCCTAAGGATGAATCTTCAGACAAGTCCAGCAATGTTGCTACACTTGCCGCTCTTGCAGCTGGTGCAGGTCTTGCAGGAGCGACGCTGTTTGCCCATGTCAAAGATTCACCTGAGGAGACAAATACATCAGAATCTTCAACACCGGTCAGAAAGCTATCAAAGAAGGAGAAGAGGAAGCAGAGCATTGACAAGAGAACACCGAAAGATGATATGTTTGATGATCCTGCATTGTGGGAAGGTGAGAAGCCAAGAGCGTATGAGGGTCGTGATGATGAAGATGACGGGTTTTGGACGCCTCCTCGTGAGGAAGAACAATCTCGAGATACCAAAGACGTTGGGTTTGAAGAGGTGCGACCTGTAGATGAGAGTTCTGCCAGAGAAAGCAAAGTCGACGTGGCTTCGCATGCGACTCCACAACAGTTGTTTCCTTCATTCGCTCCAGATGCGTTTAGCAAGTTGGACGAGATGGACCCTATGGATGAAGATACAGAACGCGAGCCTGAGATTCATCCCACCATATCTACCACTCGTGAAAGTATAGACACAGAGTCGCAACCAAAGGACTCGTTCTATGAGTTTGTTCCACCAAGGCCAGGAGAAAGCACTTCGGGTATTACAAGTAGTCTCGAATCAAACGCATTCCAAGATGCTCCGCATCAAAATACTACTGCAGAATCTTTCGGGCAGTCATACCGTCATGAACCACCCAGAAGCATTGTAACGACTCCACCTGAAGAGACAGATATCTCCTTCGAGAGAGCACCGCCAATCAGCCAAGAACACATCTCTACTCCGCACAGAGATTATGTGGAATCTCACGATACCGACAGGTCCTTCCACGACTCACCTATTGAGTATCGCCAATCCACACCTCTGAGTAGTCGCAAGTATGCACGTCTCTCTGACCTGCCAGTTGTTCACGAAGAAACTCAAGAGTCGGAACAACATCCTAGTGGACAATATCACGATGTAACCACATCACACCGGGATAGTGCATACGAATCTCCAATTCCTCCACAGAAGGGGTTCTCAGACCTCCATGAACATGTTCGTGACAGTGGAGTCCACCTTCGCGACTTCTCACCCGCAGACAAGGTTCGAGCACCTGTGTCTTCCACTGATGATGCTCTCGCCAGATTATCGTGGCCTCCAGTCGATGAAGAGAGCGAAACTGTAGACTTACATAAGTCGCAACGCCTAAAAGTAACATCGAAGAAGCACTACGAAGATGGCAAGCGATCGGTTGAGGTTCACGATTCACCACGGCCCAGAGGCGACAAAGCTACGGATTTCTACCGTTCTCAACGCATCTCAGAAGAAAAGCCTATTCTACATCACGATGATGGACACTTGAGCAGAGACACTCTACCATCTCAACAAGTCAAGGACGAAGCCCATGCCGAACTACACAGAACGCCTACAATTCATGGACATGGAACTCGCAGATCAAGCCAAGGCAGTCTTGTGCAACAACGCCTGCAGAAGTTCGAGTCTCCAGATACAGTTCGGTCAACACCTCCAAGGGCTGGCAACATCGTAAAGCAACGAGTACAAGGTTTCGAAACTCCTGATTCTCAACGGGTTCAGAAACTTGGCCCAGAAACACCAGATCTACCTCCGCCTCACAAGCCCGCTTTCGAGACTCCTGGATCACAACGCTCTGACAGATCTCAGTCATCAGATCATGATTCACCAGAGTACCAACGATCTCAAAGGCCCAAAGAAGACAAATATGCGGGACTCACTTCCACTGAGAGACCTAAGGCTGAGAAGCCCCAAGGATTCAATAATCTGGAAACTGGAGCTGCACTCGCAGGTGCCGCGGCTCTTGGGTTTGCTGCCGCGCGAAAATTAAGTCAAGAACAACGTCCTGGCAGTGCGCAAAGTATCAGATCAACTTCCGGTGGTGTGAGCAGATTGCGCACACCAGATTTGCATCGACCAGACAGCGTGAACAGTAACCGCTCAGGCACGCCTCCGCTCCGCCGTAGCGATCGTAAAGTTGCGGATCTGAGGTCTCTCAGCCAACGGAGCAAGCCCGATCTCGCTAAGGAAGCTGAGCTTGCAGCCAACACCGACTCAACAGTGAGCACCGCAAACCCAACTGCAAACGAGGGCCGGGTTCGGGCAAAGGACATGGCAGATGTCTATGTGAGTTGAGATCGTTCGCAGATGATAAAAATTGATGCTAACAAGTGAATTAGGATGGCTTTGGTGAAGGCCGCATGGGCTCACCACGGTCGCCGACTCGACCCCACAGCATGCGCCGGCGACAGAGCATGCAAGTTCTCGAGCTCGAAAACAGAGTCGAACAATTAGCGGCGGATAATCGCAGGCTTGCAGAGTTCAAAGCTGAAGCTGAACGAAACTTCAACGCGACTCAATCTGCAACTTTGGTCGATAAGGACACTGAAATCGATGCCCTCAAACGAACACTCGACTGGTTACAACACGAAGTCACAAGGCTCACTGAGGTGAATGAGGGACTTTCCAGCGCGAATGCTGAGATTGCGCGACAACATTCTGATAGATATGGCATGCTCGAAACACAACACGCTCAGGCTACTCGAGAGCTTCAAGAAACAAGGGATGCGCACACAAACCTATCATCTGGTGTGGAGGGCATGGTGAGGAGTGAGGTACAGAAAGTGGTGCTTGACAAGGACCAGGAGATAGCTGAATTGCGGGCTGAGTTGAATGCGGCGAAGGAAAAGATTCGGGAAATGCAAAGACAGATTTTAGCATCGAAAGCCAACGACATCGAGTTTCTGACTGTCAGAGACGAAGACTACTTCGACAATGCTTGTCAACAGCTCTGCCAACATGTCCAACAATGGGTACTGCGCTTCTCAAAGTTCTCCGATATGAGAGCTTGCAGACTCACGAGGGAGATCAACAATGACAAGATCATTGATCGACTCGACAATGCCATATTAGATGGCTCCGATGTGGACATATACCTGGCTGACAGAGTCAAGAGAAGAGACATCTTCATGTCGATGACAATGACAATGGTATGGGAATTCGTGTTCACAAGATACCTCTTCGGAATGGACCGAGAGCAGCGACAAAAGCTCAAATCACTTGAGAAGACACTTTCAGAGGTTGGACCAGCAGCTGCAGTCCATTCATGGCGAGCAACAACACTCACTCTTCTCTCAAAGCGTGAAGCATTCCAACAGCAGCGCGAACAAGATACAAAGGCTGTTGTGCACGCAATCTTGGAAACATTATCCGAGATCTTACCACCACCAAGCAATCTCGAGTCACAGATCGAGGAGCAATTAACAAGAGTCATGAAAGCAGCAGTCGACCTTTCAATCGAGATGCGCTGTCAACGAGCAGAATACATGATGCTCCCACCTCTTCAACCAGAATACGACGCCAACGGTGACCTCGCAAGCAAAGTCTCTTTCAACGCAGCTCTCATGAACGAGCGTAGCGGAGACACAGTCTCGAACGAGGATCTCGAGACCCAAAAAGCCGTGGTGCGAATCGTGCTCTTCCCACTCGTCGTCAAGAAAGGAGACGACAGTGGGGAAGGTGATGAGGAAATCGTCGTTTGTCCGGCTCAAGTCCTTGTTGCGAAGAGCAAGAAGGCGAGGTTCACGGATACAGCGCAGAGCAATCACTCGCGGATGAGCATGCAGAGCAGTATGCCAGTTGATGCTGGGGATGAGAACGTGATTTAGTAGATAGGAAAGGATATCCCTTTGGGCGTGACGATGAATTGCATTATACCGTGGCGTTCTCTGATATTGGGGATGGGGTTGGATGGATGGATGGATTAACGAACCTTTCTTGTATTATGTGTTGTACTTTTTCTGTATGTTGTAGTAGATTCTTTCCTTTCCTCAAAAGTAGTTGATAATTCGATGGTTTATGAGAATTTTGTCTGTTCCCCTCTAAATGTGAATTGTCATTTGGCAATATTTCCTTGGTTTTTTGCTCAACCTTGTACAACACTTCTCCAATCCTTCCGTTCTTCCATCTTTCCTCTTCTTCCACTTAGTCCAAATACATCCTCATCCTCTCAGGACATAGATTATCTAAGAGTGGGATTCAAATCTCCTTTCCACCACGTGCCCTACCCATATCATCACTGCACAAAATCCTCAACACCCCTCCCAATCCCCCGTACCCTTACCCCCCTGCACGCGCAAGAACCATGGTATCGGAGCCCCATCCTCATCTCCAATCCCAAACAACCGGAGTTCCTTCCTCCCTTCCTACATCGCGATCTCAGAATCCCATCTTTCTGATGTGCTGTTATCCTTATCTACGGAGGGCCAGACTACTTCGTACATACGGAGTACTACTGTTTCGGCACTAGCGCGTGGACGAGGACGAGGGTACTGATAAGGGAAACGCCACGGTTTTCACACGGAGTGAGGTGATGCAAAGATAGATGCGGGTGGCGGACTGGGGTGCATGGCGGGTGTTGATGTCATGAGGACGGGGCCAGGGGTTATTTTGACGACATGTCATGTCTTGGTGGATGTGGATTGGGAGGGATGGCGTGTTTGAGGATGATGGGATGGGGAGAGATAAGATGGTGGAGGTGAGGGTGCAACGGTGAGGTGAAGTGAGGTGATGAGAGAGGGTGAGAGGGTGACGTGATGCCAAGAGGGAGATGTGTCGGCTGTTATACAGGTAGATAGATGTGGGGTGAGGTCTGAGGTGTGTTCATGATACGAGCAAGGTGGGAAGAAAGGAGAGATATGTATGTGTAAGTGTGTATAATTTTGTTCAGAGATGGCACTATAGATACAATAATGAAAGGGAACTTTAAATGAGAAAGAAAATGCATCGGATTCAGCCAAGGATACCGCTCGCGAACACACCAACTCCAGACAGATCCAATCCAATATCACATCATATCTACCCAAACAGGCCCAAATCTTCTATTCCAAAGACTGTCGTGGGTGGCCATTAGTAGCATGCGCTCCATTCGCTCCATTGATCCCCCTCTTCTCTTTAATCTCATCTTCGGCCGCGACGCCGTGACGATCACCAATGATGCCTCCGTTGTGATTCCCATTACTGTGCGATCGATCCGGCGAGTGTCCATTGATCATCTCGCTGTGTTGTGGGATCCCATGTCTGTCCTGAGGCGAGATATTACTCTCCGTCTTCTCAGGCTCATCTCTCGCTGGCGTCCAGGCAAGGTAATCTCTCCTGACCTCGACATAATCGTAGGCGAATTCACCCAGTTGGTCGTCGTCCATTCCGAGGAGTTCAGCTTCTTCTGAGGCGCGGAGGTGCAGGCCGGGGATAAAGTTAATGATCAAAGCGATGATGGCTGACATGGTGAATGCGTAGGCCGTGGCGGCGACGATGTAGGCTAATTGGATGTACAGTTGCTTGTAGTTGTGGTTCAGCCAGCCGCCGGTGATGAGACCTGTGTTGACGCCGTCGAGACCGATGATGTAGTCGGCGGCGAAGAAGGCGTTGAAGAGGAGACCGACCATCCCAGCGACGCCGTGCTCAGCGAAGACGTCCATGCTGTCGTCGATTCGGATCCAGAACTTGACTGGAGATGTAGGTTAGTTTTGCTTCCAATAACCATAGGAGAGAGGACCAGCTTACTCTTTGTAGCAAAGTTGGCAACAATACCAGTGACGATTCCGAGAATAACAGAAGCCCACGGAGTGATGAAACCAGATGCTGGAGTAGCAGCCACAAGACCAGAAATACATCCTGAGCACCATCCAACCATGGACCACTTTCTCGCAAGACGGTAATCGAGAATGCACCAAGTGATAGAACCAAACATAGCAGCCAAGCAAGAGTTCCAGCACGCCATAACAGCTCTCAGGTTAGCACCGAAAGCAGAGCCACCGTTGAAGCCCAACCATCCGAACCAAAGCAAGATCGTCCCAAGAGTGATGAGAGAGACATTGTGAGGGCGGAAATTCAACATCATCTTCTCTTGACGCTTTCCGAGGACCATGGAGTATGCGAGAGCTGAAAGACCGGATCCTATTTCGACAGGTCCACCACCTGCGTAGTCCAGAACACCATATTTGTAGCCCCAGCCGTTGACGTTCCATGCCCAGCAGGCGATGGGGCAGTAGACGAGTGTTGCCCAGCAGAAGATGAAGACGAGGGCTGGGATGAGACGGCCTCGTTCGGCCACGGCGCCCATTACGATTGCGGCTGTAGTGGCGCAAAATTGAAGCTGTCAAGATATCAATTCCTGAATACTTCTTCTGTAATTTCAATCACTTACTTGGTAGAAAGAATACAGCAATTCAGGAATAAGCGGTGATCCTGGAGAAGGAGTTCCTAGGGTATGTTGTAATCCGAAGTGACCCAGATTTCCGATGAATCCGTTCGTAGCAGACGAGCTGAATGCCAGCGAATATCCCCACAGGTACCATTGGAATACTATAATTGAGAATGAGGCCATACAGGCCCAGATCATTGATAAAGCGGACTTTCGTCGTGCAAGCCCTGAATATAGAAATCCTAGTCCTGGAATCATGAGGAGGACCATGCATGATGAGACGATGATATATGCTTGATCTCCGGGATCGAACCATTGGTTTAGATTTTCGACAGCTGTAAATTGAAGTGTCAGTATAGAATCGAAATGCGAGGTCGCGTGTGGAAATAAAGTTCGGAGGGATAGATAATGCAGATTTTCGTACCGGAGTCACCACCGTCAAATCCTGTGCCATTGTAGGTTGCTGGAGGTCCAACCCAGGCATAGTTTGGAGCATAGGTGCCCACAGTTGGTGTTGCTGTGGCCATGGCGAGGAGACTCGATTGAGTATCTCACTCAGATTTTGTCGATTTCGTTCCGACCTCGGTCTGTACTCCAAAATGACGTATATAGCTGGGTATCTTCTGATCGGATGAAAATTCGTTCCCAAGACACACACCAGGACAATGAGGAGGGAGACGCAGAGATGAGGATCAGGAAAGATGAGATAGAAGAGCAGGATTGAATGTCTAACGTGTAAATAAGTGCCTAGACAAAGATAAAGGGAAGAGTTATCAGTGGGTCTTGTCTCTCGAGACTAATGGGAATGAATATAGCCAAGAGCTGTAGCAGATAAACCTAGCCCCAAAAAGATGCTTGGAGACACCGGGGATCTCAGTTCCTTTAGTACTCCCACCGGTGCAGCAATGGTGAGCCATGGTTCGACCACCCACGCATCCTAAGGACCCAAGCAAGAGACTATAAAATACCAAGACTTTACACGAAAAGAAGACCAGGCCAGGACCGGAGGAGGGGCAACCAAAAAAAAAGCATTGGTACGCTGCAAGCAAGCTGCGAGCTGCGGAATTGGATTCAACACGCGACTCTTTCCCCATACAAGCTGCCCGACGGACCACTGAGAAGTTTTGCCTCGACGTGAACCCGGTCTGACCACTCTCGACTGGAGACAGGAAAGGTACTGTAAGCGGCGTCGGCGGCAGAGATCTGTTTCTCAACCTTCGACCGCGTAGCTTTCTGATAGTAGATCTGCATGCGGATGTGGAACGAAGTGGAGAGGCTCCCTGGCTTCCTCCTTGCTACAGTAGCATCGAGAGCCGACGTGGGACACAATTAAGCGGTTCTTTGTTGGCAGCCTCATTCGTAGAGAGCTTTTCCCAGACACCAGGGAATGACAAGTTGCCCCTCTCCATGGACGGGTAAGATGACAGGCGAGCGCTTCCGTGCCAGAACGTGGGTAGAGGAACGGCAATCGACTTTACAATAGGAAAATTCCGAGCGGAGTGAGGTCAGATGCCGTGATTTGAAGTTCATGAAAACTGTGTTGATTGGATGAATATCATTGTCCTCCCCGGCGGCATGGAAGAAGATTCATGACAGGCAAATCTTTGCTGCGAAATCGCAACCAACGGAATTCCTCGCACATGTTTAGATCGGAGCAAAAAGATTGTTCTGCGACCAGGGGTGGTCTTTTCATGCATGGCATACCGGAGTAAACGAGGCTGCGGCTGGGCATGGGGGATACATTCCAAGGGTATTTCCAACACGTACCTTTTTGCTCCATTGACCACTCACCACGGCCCTTTCAAGCCCAATGTACACCCATGAAGTAACAGAATCGTTCACTTTGTGGGGTTGAGACAGGGCTGGAAGTAAATATGTTTCATGCGGCAGACGCCCCATGTATGTCTCTCTTGTACCGAGTATAAAAGACATGCTGATTCACAATATCAGAATCCCATATATCGTGGCATCTACGATGAGGAGATCAATCAATATGGGTTCCAAGCTGGTGGCTGTCTGCTGTTTGTCTTGGCTGATGAGCATTCGCGTGATTCTTGCCAATTTTTCAATGATGATGATGATGATGCAGGTATAGAGCATCTGTCGTCGATCAGGCGGAAGACTGTTCTCGATTTCTCCATGCAATCGTCGATACCAACACAACTCCCAAGCCTCCCGCTTCCATCACCCTGTCGACCCCAACTTTCAACTTGCATGTGGCTTGCAAAAAGAAATTTTAAACTCTTCAGGTACCAAGTAAGCATCTTGTTGACGAATTTGAGTGAGGCATTTGCACCACTCCTATTTCGCAGCTCACGCTCCATCACACTGCCATCAGAATTTTTCTGGTGCCAAATCCTTCGTCTCTCCTTTTCCGGAGCCGGTCCCCTCATCCGCATCCTGTCCTGTCTCAAATTCTCACCTGATTCGGGCCATGACGTATTTTGTGCTGGGCCAGCAAAATTTCTGAGTCGTGAACAACGATCGAGAGAGGTTGAAGATAAGATGTTCAGAAAGGGGATAGTCTTATCTGTCGTTGAGAAGAGCCAATGAGAGGGAGATGGCTGCCGAGAGTATTACTCAACGCTGTGACTGCGAGTTTTTGATGTCAAGCCAGACCCTGGGTTCCACTTATTGCCCTTTGGCGAAGCTCGGCACCTGGCATGGAATTTCGACGCGATGACCAGGGGGTGAGGATGTGGGATGGTCCTTGAAGGTATGCAGCTTCATACCCAGGTTCTGTTGTTGTTTTCCTCGGAGTGAGACGAAAGCCTGTGGCTGGGAGCCTCGGAAAATGCAGATGTTGAATGTGGAAGTCACAACTCCCAGCGACTTATTTTCTAGAAGTTACATACCTTAAAGTTAAAGGCTTCTGTCCCTCAAACGAGTTTGAGTATACATTCCCATCAACTGATTACCCATATCTTCAAATACTTCCTCGATTGTCTTGGTTGCTTACTTTGAACATGAGTTTTCAGCTCATGAATCGGTCCACTATGGGTGGTATTTCACTATTCTTGTGTGCGTACCTACCTACCATATGTCTCAGGATGCATCTTCTTTTATTTGCAGTTAAATACAGCTTTCGAAATGCGATGAAAACTCTGGTCAAATTATGCTCATTTTGCTTCCCAGACTTTTGTAGCTGCAGCATGGCCCTCTTTGGTCTTGGAGATAGTCTTTTCGAGGAACCTGGTCTGATTATTCATGAATCTCGTCTTATATGCAGCCGCGGTATCACTGTGCCAAATGTCTGTATGATTTTCAGTATACTGCTCTTTCTGATTTTCATATTCACCAGCGCATGGGAAGCATGGGGAAAAGGGAAGGGAGAAAGAGACCACCCCGAGCTATAGCCGAGGCTCGAGCTGGAAAAGTAGGCCATCACGACATTTTGTCACCGAATCAATGGAAATTTTTGTTTTCATGTATAGTTTATCTCTCAGATGTCGGTTTTGCCATATCGTTCCTGACTTACTATTGAGTCCTAATTGAACCATAGTCCAATTTAGAGCACTGTCCCATTTTCACGAGTGGTGCATTCCATCTTCGTTGTCCTGCTAATCATTTCACTATGTTCTGAATTTCTGAATAAGTAAATTCGCAACCTCGGAGAGAGAGGTAGTCAGATCACGGACAGTATTATTATCACTAATCCGTTTGATGTGGCCCCCATCTGGCTTGTATTGAGCGCTCCTCTACTTTGGCCAATGAATGCGCCATGTTCGCATACTCTCAGCCGCACCGCAACGACCTTGATCTCTTTGCTTGTGCTAGGATGATTAGTTGTCTCCGCATATATGCATATACCCCGTCTTCTCGCTTCCACTCAACCACATACAGAGAACGCCACTGTCTGTCATTTGCTACTTCTAGAGCTGAATACCATGCAGCCAACCTCCTCCAACCTTATCAATCTGATATTCAATCATTTTGACTTTCGGCCATTGCCGTTAGAACCATCAAGATGCCGGAACCTAATTTTGATATTCAACCTGCCGAAAGACCAAAGTCTAGCGATAATCCAAAGGACAAAGGTGCAAGTTCGGCCCGATCCATCTCAGCCGCATCCGTGCAAGACCTCCCTCCCATTTTGCGGCGGCGCCAGACACGAACAAATTATGATTCGAGATTCAGAACAATTGATACCACGCCTTTAAGGCCGAGTTGGAGACCGGGACAGGAACCAGGGATTGATCCTTCAAAGCCCAATGGCGGAAGATCGCAAGCGCCAATGCTGCATCAGCAATGCCAAATTACAGTCGTCAACTATAGCTCTGACGAGATGGTCATGCATGAGTTCAACAATGAGCAGTTCATCGAGTTTCTTCAAAAGCCACAGGAAAGTTGGATCAAGTGTTCTTGGATTAATGTTACAGGGCTTAGCTGGGACGTTATTCAGAGCATAGGAAAACATAAGAGGTTGCATAAGTTGGCGATTGAGGATCTTATTGGTGGTAAAGGTTTGACCAAAACAGAATGGTCAGTGGTCCCCGGATCTTCGATGCTGAGCTGAAAATCGGTTTAGGTACCTGGATCATGCATACATGGCAATGACTTTGTTGAAGCTGGTTTCACTGAAAGAAGAGATTGACGATCCGGACGATTCGGACGAGGAGAAGAATACGTGGACTCCTTTTGATCCGAGCAATGGCTTCATCGCAGGGCATACATCTGGTGAAACTCAGCCTCCAGCAATCACAATAAGAAAAGGTCAGACCTCGCCGTGGACCAGAATGACAAGGAAGCTGTTTCCAAAGCGAGCTAAGCAAGAGAGGGAGAAAGACCTGTAAGTAAATCTATCCTCTACACCCCAGATTCCGTGCTTCTGCCCTCGACCAGAATATTATATCCAAAAGCAAGGTTAGGACATCAAGTTAAAACTCTCATAGAATTTTCGAATATGGACAGTCCCTACGGAGATATCTTGGGGGTGTCAACAATGAATGGACGACATACATGGAAGAACACTCACCGTTGACATCCAAAAGACTAGCGGTAGCTGCGGAGCAAGTCTCGATTTTCTTAACAGCTGGTATCCTCTACCCATAAAATGTAACTCAAACCCGAATTTGTGTGCTAAGAGGTAACAGACAACACGGTGATCTCATTCTTCCCTTTATCTGGGAGTGAGATTGAAGCGCCAATCATCAATAGATTGTCGATGGCCGATACAATCCTCAGACGAGGCGCGAACGCATCCGTCCTCGCACAAGCCATCATAAACACTGTCATCGACCTCGCTCTCCCAATCGTTACAGCATACAAAGATGTCGTTGGCAGTCTCGAGCTTGATATCCTAACAAAACCTGATATCAAGCATACATCAGAGCTTTACATTACGACCACGGAGATCGAGATGATTCGCAGCTCAGTCAGCCCTATTCTCAACATCGTCAAATCGCTTCGGGACAAGAAGAACGACAAAGTGGACACACCCCCCTCGACCTCACCAGGAGGGGCGCCACACGTGAGAGACGACGACGACAACAGCGAATCCAAAGTGAAAATCAGCGCCGTCGCCCTAACCTACCTCCGCGACGCAGAAGACCACATCATCCTGATCACCGAATCGCTCGACTCGATGCGCAAATCATGCACCAACATGATCGACCTAATCTTCAACACCATCTCGGCATACCAGAACGAATCCATCAAACAGCTCACATTCGTCACCATTGTGTTCCTCCCCCTTGGCTTCTTGACTGCCTATTTCACCGTCCCTTTCACGGACTTTGCGGATGAGAAGCATAGCCAGAAGTTTTATTGGGGGATTACTATACCGGTTGTTGTTGTGGTCGTTTTGTTTTTGGCGAGGAATATTTTGACGTGGTATTATCGGAGGATGGTGCAGAGGAGGTTTCTTGTGAGGAGTCGGAAGGCGAATGCGAGATCGGAATAAAGCATAGTGCTTTGAGTTCTTGAAGCAAGAAACTTACGTTTACATGACATGACATGATAAAAGGCTAATTGACAAGTCACTCAACCATCAATCAGAAAATAGGCTTGGAAGTGGCTGACTGAATTCATAAAAGCAAGCTGGGAACTGGCACCATCGCCTGAACCAGTCTTTCGTTGGCCTAGTATTGCCAGCTGACCAAGAGCCAGAGAGTTTTCTTCATATACACGGATATTCAGATCGCAAATGATATCCCAGTTCTGTTGCGAAACTTTTTAACCTAATCTACGATATTAACACAGTCAGCGCAACCAGCGCGATGAGCGCAACGTGCGCAAATTGCGCAAATTACACATTCAGCGCGTTCCGCGCATTTTGCGCGATTTCGCCACAAATGAAACACACCTGTGGAAGCAAGGCTTAACTTCCTAGAGTAAACAACACTTACTAAATCCTTTGCTTCTCGTTTTCACTATATGAATTTGAGAGCCCGTAGATATTGAAATCGGGGCCTCGATGTAACTTGTTGCCATATTAATTGTTTTCTAAAACATCGTCTTGCAGACAAATAGAGGTAGACCTTTTAAGGGAGTATGTGTAACTTCAAAAGTAACTCTTTGAACTAAGTTAGGCTGTGGGAGTACTTGTACGATAGTCAAGGGGGCTAAGGATGATACACATATCATAGTAGGGGACAAAGACAGTACTGCGGAGGTAGAGAGCGAGATAGCGAGAACAGTGACTATATTGGTGTACAACATAAAGCACTTTACTCTAACACCCTCCAATCAACATACCATATTCACACTTTCTCTCGGGAGAGGCTTCAGAGGACCCATCTCTTATCGAGCCTAGTCCCTTATTCAGGAATCATATCTTGAAAACAATTAACACGGTACTCTATTGCTCGCAGCAATCTCGTACTCCAAGGTCCGGATAGATTTGAAGACAATTCGTCCTCAGCGTGATCTGGCTGGCGTAATTATCATTCTGTCTTGTCGCCAACGGAAGAATCGGGTCTCACACACTTGTGAAATCCCAAGCAGATATAATGGACTAAGCAGGCAGTAAAATCTCTCTACGTCCAGCCTCCGGTACCCTCTCCTTCTAGTCTCTTCGTGAGATCTGAGTCTTGTTATCCGAGTCCTGTTCTCCAAGTCCTGTTATCCAGCACCTGTTACCCCTGTTTCAAGCTTGCTCTATGCAAGTTTGCACAATTCCAATTTGCCAAGGGAGAGTTTAACGATTTAACCCGTCCTGGACGCAACATATATATCTTGCAAAAGGTTCAGGCGAGATAGATAATCAACCTATAATACCCATAGAGAATATTGACTTCGCGTAGGTATAGTTTGACATAAGTCAGACTAGATTGGGCCCAGCATATTTGCACGGCCAACAAACAGGCCGTATCTTAACATCTGTGGTATCTCTCCCTTCGACGTATTGTGTATCGTTTCAAGGGCAGAGATATGATGGTCCGGGTGGAGGCGAAGCCGAGCATATAGAGTCGGTTGCTTTGCAAGTTTGAGACAGCTGTGAGGAATTCGTGGCAGGAATGCATTTCGATGGTCGATCCTCCTCCACGAACGAACTTATCCTCAGACTTGTAGACGAATCTCCGGGTACGGTTGTACTCTTCCTAAGAATTTCCCAGAAGCACAGCTACTAGTCCAATTGACTTTGTAGACAAACTGGATATCCACAATCTCGAAGCTCCTATCCATCTAGGTATGCGACGTCTTCGAGTTTCGGTGGAGGGATAGGTTCCTAGTGGTCTCGATTCAGCTAATTCCATGTATCTCTTGTATTTCGACGAAGAGTTTCCTATGCATCGAGTCCTCTGGAGTCTGCAACATGAAGACATGCTGCATGGTCAAGTAAAGTCAGCCTTGAAAGTAGATATACTTGGTCTTTGTTCAACTCCTCGCGCCTCGTACTCGGTCCTACACTTCTCTCAAAGATATCTCTGCTGTGGCGGCAGACACTTTTCCCGGGTAAGCTAGATGTTAACTTATTCTATGACGGTATGGAATCAATGCAACAGCAGACGGTAGTAATCATCGTACTTGAAAGTTTGAAAGTGTGTTTTTCTTATTTAGCTTACTCGAGTAAGAGTCGAATATTCACGCAAGTTCCCTCCACACCGCCCTGTTCTGCCAGATCGCTATCGGGAAGGTCCGTGCACCCTTACGAGGCTGATGAGCCTCGTCAACTGTTTTGATTCTGATCTCCAGCTTCAAAAACAACATCATTGGAGAACAATTCGGTTATACAGTCCTGCAGTGTCTGATGATTGCTTACTGATCCTGGAAAGCTCCTTTCTTTGAAGCGCAATCGACTTACTCTCATTCTTCCGATTTCTGGACTTTCACCCCACCATCAGACTCCCGATTATCAGCAGCTCTTGTGGTCAACAGTCTGGAGTATCAGACACAAAGCGGCTCCTAAATTGTGTCCTGAACTTTGTTAAGCTGATCACAGTCTTGCGACAGCTTTGGTCGTGGTGTCAACTCGATCTGCCTCTACACTGCCATCGGTTGTCTACCCCGCCAGCTATATCTTCTGTTGCAGATTCACGTCACTCCTCAGTCATACCAGAGATCTATCATCGCCTTGGTCTCCATTTCGAAGCTAATTTACAGAGTCTCGTCTGTAAAGTATTAATCTCTCAATGACGCAAGAGGACAATCTGCAGCAGAATCATGGACAGCCATCTTGACGAAAGGGCCTTTGAACAAGTGGAGACTCGCAATTATCTTGCACAGATTGGCAGTGAACGGGTATAGTCATAAAGAGAAACATTGTGTTTATCTTTTACTAACGCAGTATAGTACCCTCCTTCTCCAGACGATCTACCGGGTGATGATCCTGGACCACCTTTCAAAGCATGGAGATTAAATCTCGTTGCCCTTTCTACACAATGCAATGTAAGTAAATGTGTATATACAACAGCGGAAGCATGGGATGGTGGTATATATGTTGGCCTCTTTTCTGAAGCACGTACTGGTTTGCTGGACCAGTTATTTGGAACATACAATGTCCATTTTTTTCTTTATAGCTTAGGTTAAAGAAGCTTGAAGCTTTTGTTCTTTCATATTGTGTTAGTTCTTTTACTAATACTCTGGCTAGCTTTATGTTGTCGCTTCCGAAGACAAGCTCTTAGTCTTTGTTCCTCTTGACCTCAGAAACACACTCTCAGCAACACCAGATCTAGAAATTCCTCTTCCAATATCCAAAGAAGCTTCTATGTGTCGAGGATCTATTGATCATACTCATCCACATTGTGTTAACAATATGAAAATGGGATATCTCGGCGATCTGGAGATACTTGCAATGACATTTGATGATGGAGATGTCATTGCATTTTATGCCCACGTTATTGACCACGCAGTACGGGTTGCGAAGGAAAGAAATACTAAAGGCACCCCTAGCGAGAGCCTCACGCCGTAAGCTATTTACTTGCCATCTCTCAAATATGTATATCATCTGATAGCATGCAGCTTCTTCCACCAGAATGTTGAATGGAGTGCCTGGGGCCTCGCAATACACAAACAATCACGGCTAATCGCAGTTGGCTCCAGTACGTTAACTTCTACCCTTGTTTTGTGTTCCTTCTAAGAGCCGAGATCTTCGGGAACATCTCTCGGAGCTGTTCATCAGAGAAAGATGTTTCAATTGCCCTGATAAACTCCTCAGTTCTCGGAGTTTTGTCAAAAGTGTATACTGATTTGTCTATAGATGGAAGAGAGATAACCGTGTTTGCCTTTGCATGCAATACTTTGCCGAATACCAGAGAAGCCTATAACCAGGAAGAGGAAGGCGTGAGTGAGTCGGAAAGTGTCTATATAAACCAGCTACCATATCTTGATTTGTTGGATGAAAGCTTTAACGACGCGTGTGAGACTGCTCTAGACATCGAGTTCAGCAAGGATCCACTGTTCCGTGAACGTCTCGAACGATTCGAGAATCCACCTGAGGACGAGTCCGAGAGCGATTTCGAGACCGCCGCAGATCAAATTAGAGGAGACATGGTTACAGCAGCAATCACGCTGAGCAACAGGATTTTTCCTGAAGAAATCAGAGAGTGGGATACAGCAGAGCGCTTAGGAACTGGTAAGTCGTGGAATCAACAAACGATGAGCAACATGATTTTGACGCCTTTTCCAGGAGGGTTGTTTTCAAACCTTAAAATTCAGGCTAGACTACCACCAGATGGACACAATATACCTTCTTTAGACATCACTAGCAACGAAAAAGGAAAGGCGTACGCAGTTCTCGCTACTGATATCAATGGGAATCTGGTGAGTACAACCTTTGATCATGATACCGGGAAAGAAATATGCTAATAATTGGGTTATAGTGGTCCTTCAACCTGCATGATGCCATTATCACGAAGCTGCCTTCTATCGGGGGAGAGATAGTTGTAGACGCTGACAGGCTCAACCCGATGTAATCACCTTAGCATTCTTCTCAGTCACAAAATTCTGACATACTTAGGGGCTGGGGAGTTGTAGTTATACCAAAGACCATGTTCCGATATGCAAAATCGTAAATTTAACCTCTACTCTTCGTGAAGTAACTTAACACACAACAGGCCACATCAAGCACTAGGTGTCCTGGACATAAAGAAAGCGTGGAAACCGGATTGTAAGGTCGATTTATGGCAAAGCTGTTTCGACATTACTAGCAGTATTCGGGAAGTCAACATGGCATCACAAATACACCCCGCGTTTATGCGACCACAATCATATTACGACGCTCTTGAAGCTCTAAGACCTCAGCTCAAACTCGACGAAGATTTCGATGAGATTTGTGTCGACATGGACAAAGTTGGTGCGACTTTCAGGAAGAACTACTACGCCAAGCTCTTGCCAATGGTGCCAATGGTTGTGGGCAAGGCGCAGAGCAAATTATGGATATACTTGTACAAAGAGCTTTACGAGCTTGCGATTAAGGTTGACAACCCGAAAGAGCACATAAAATCAAACGATATCTGGAAGATTCGCCAGGAGATGGACAGTATCCGACAAAAGTCCGCGGCCCCTCTCAGCTTCTTGTCTTATATCCTCAGTCGCCTACCGACTATACGAAATAGCCCCCGTTTCTCGACGTGGGAAAGTTGTCTGTCTGATCCCGACTTTCTGGACTGGTTTGAGCACCCGGAAACTTATGATGATTTTACGGATTGCCTTACGGAATCAGAAGCAGAGCCATTAGCACCCGATCATTGTGCGGTCCTAATGTGCCATCGACTGGACGTACAGCTCCTGTCTCCTCAACCCTACGGCATGCCTCCAACAATCTGCAAAGACCTTCTCCGACAAGCAATGCCGGTCCATGTCCACCGGGTGCTAGGACATCACGACCGCCTCTGCTTCACCGCCCTCATCCTTCCTCTCCAACTCGTCGTCGTCGGGACGCAAGCGGGCCGCTGCGCCCTCCTCACCCCCACCCGACTGCCCCCCTTGATGTCCAGCTTGGAGGCAGTCATTACCATGAGGATAGAGTTGTTCCTCCCGCTGAAGCACCACGAGGACGCTAGCCGTCCGCGCGAGGCCCCGCTAATGGGTCTCGCCGTGGCGCCGGTGTGGAATGGGGGGAGGGAGAGGAAGAGTGGTGGTGGGGTGGAGGCGTGGCGGTTGTTCCTGCACTACGGGGACAATACCATCCTTTCGTACGAGTTGTTCCGGCGGGAGGAGGAGAAGTTGGTGGTGATTTAGGAGGAAGGGGAGGGCCAGGCGGACGAAATTGTTTGTTTTTGTTAGGCATAGCGTGGTGTTTGAATGATACCCATTTGTTTATTGTAATTCCCCTCGATTTGCTGGATATCCTAAGTGAAGTTATGTGCTGATAATTCCAAATTGGGAGCCTAGTTGTAAAAGACGCTCGAGTGAGTGGACATTCAAGAAAGCCTCTGCTGGTTGATAACCAGAGCGCCCTAACGATACGACTTTGCAGGCTGCGATTGGTTCTGTGAGAAACGCATTGTACAACAATGCCAAAGCTCACCGTACACAGATCAGCTGGCATATGCGCGGTCCACGAGATTCTCCTGAGGCAGCACTAAGACCCACTGCTTTGTAGATGTCCCGGAAGTTGAAGGATATCGAATTGAATTGAATTGAGTTGAGTTGAATAGACAGCCATTGACCTCAAGAAATAACTTGCTAGCCCGTGTATTCAAATATCCCCATATTCGCTGCACATCACTTCCCACATCTAAGGCTTTCGGGGTTCATTTACTTACATCTTTCGAAAAGATCCATCTTCACGCATGACATATACTGTAAATATGTAGGTCCTAGCGTTCAGGACTCCGAACCTCTCCTTTACACAAGGTTGTTCAGATCCAGGAACAAACTTTCTTCGGTTTAATCGTCTCTATTCAAGGGCTAGAGACTTTCCTAGTTCAGGGCTAAAGTCTCAGTAGAACTCTCCACTCTCGTTCAATGACGGGCTCTGTCTTATGGACATAGGATAGACTAGAGACCAGATTTAAGGAAAGTTTGTTGCGTGTCTTAGTTTTGCAAGCAGGGGCTTGTGAGAAACAAAGTTCCCTGCCGCAGAGTGAGCCGTACTTGAAGGAGTCTAGTACGAAGAGGTAGACTTTTTTTCCATACTATGGCTCTTCCTGAATAGGTATAGTCGGCCGTGTCTGGGTTGTCTGGCTCGAAGAAACGAAGCGAATGTCCTCCGGATTCCATTTCATTGAGGTGCCTGCCGCGTTGACGTTTGATCCCACTATCGCTCCTTCGAGGAGTGGCGTACAACATCTGATTTGTTATCTGTAAATAATAGAGAGTAGGAGATTCCGTTCTCTTAGATATCGTTCCCGCAACCTTCAAGACAAAGACAGAATTCGTGTACGGCAACCAACGCCGGGCACGCAAGGACGATCTCTCTCGACCTAGTTAGCGGCAAAGAACACGGTGACTACCTACTCGCAGCCCTGCTGAACTATGGTGAGAAAGACACTAAGAGTTGTATTCAGACGAACCGGGGGCGACTAGGTTGGTTTGCGCGTTCTCGCCTTCACACCTGGTACTGTACAATGAGCAAGCTGCCCGAATTTATGAGGACATTATTCGATCAGAACCGGTCTTCACTCCCCTATGCCTCTCCTCCGGATCACGCAATGGATGTTCGGCTCCGCGCTGAGCACCGACATCAGAGTCGCAGGAGGTGTTGGTCTAGAGGTTTCGGATGTCGGAGTAGATTTAGTGTTCTGTGTTTGGATGCTAGCGTCGTGGAAAGTTTTGTTGCACGTCGTAGTTTTTTTTCAAGCGACGGAGCCGGAAAGGGGTAGCGAGAGAGTCGCTTCAAGAATGAAGGTGACCTTACGTAAACCTATGGCGTTCACTGAGAATCTTGTTAGAAACCGTTTCGTAGGATAGGAACCTTGCGAGTCTTTTGAAAGATTACCGTGTTCCGGTTGTCTTTCTCGCCCTGACTCTTGAGCATACTGCCCAGCCTCTCCACTTGCAGCGAGGCATATCCAACGAGAGTAATGATAGACCTTCCTTCTTCTTCTTCTTGACCTTTGGCAAGAAGTGGCGTGGATTGGTGGCTAGGAGCATCCATGATGACAATAGCCCGATACTCAGATAAACCAGATCTCGGATCTCGCATGCAGGAACGGCTGGCTCGAGCATGGAGGCATAATTATGCAGGTACATCCGTTTTGTCGTAAAAGTAGACCAGTTGAGGAATGAGGTTTGTAGTGCTGATTTGTGCTGACTGGATGATTGCGCGGATGTGACTATTCGTCTGATGGGAGATGGATGATGAGGAGAGAATCGATTGAAGATTGCTGGAAGGACGATTGTGGTAACTTGCTACGTAATTGTGGAGAAAGTAACATGTAAATGCCCTGGAAATACCGTAGGTCAACGATTGACCATTTCCAACGTGAAAATACAAGAGATTGAGGAGCGAGGCACCTCTGCTGCTACTCAATGACACGATCTAGTCCATCAGAATGCTTGCCGACCAACCGAATGAAAACACAGGAATTGATGTCAAGGAAAATGGAGAATTTGCAAAGATCTTGTCAAACGCTGATCTCCCGTGGCAGAACTTTGTTGCCGTCCTAGTGCTGACAGTGTAGCCATGATCTGGGCTTTGCTCTGTCACACAGCAAGACTGTTGAATCTTCTGCTCACTAGAACGTTCTCTTCAGTCATACTAAAAATAATGCGAAAATAGGTGCGCCGACTTGAGTATCGTGAGAACGCTGAAATCGCTCAGTCTTAGCCTTGATCTTGAAGCCGTTTGCACTACACGGCAACCAGATCTTGCTAGGTATGAAGACACCATGGCGAGATCTGAACATTTCATTGGAAGTCATGGCTAGGGCTGAACTGGAGCCTTCTCGACACGTACGAATAAGTCCGATGGTGTACAGATCAAGGCGTTTTTGACGCTGGCCGAACGTTTGTATCACGAAGGCACATCGACTGAAGACACCGAGCCTCTCATGACTGGCAGATTTCACCACCCGGATCGACACAAACTCGGCTGTAAAGGAGGATTTTACTTCGTACTAAGATGAAGCGAAACTGACCTTAATCTTAAGTGGTTGAGTGGGGTTCGCCAATTTTGATGCAATTTATGCTCGTTCTTTCGTCAACTTGTCGGCGAGAGTGAAATCAGCCTTCGCCAGCATCTCCTCTTCAGCTCAAAGCCATGATGGAAGAAGCCATTCTGCCCTCTTTCGTCTCCTCTTCAGCCCAAAGCCATGGTGGAAGATGCCATCCTCCGCTCATTTGTGGCTGTCTGAGACTCACTCCAATACGAAGCTTTCTCAGATGTCGACTGTGACATCAACGTGCCCTGGGCAGAGAAAAGTCTGACAGTGTTCAGTGCTTTGCTCGCGGCCACTGAGTCGCATGCTGCCAACCGTGGCCAAGCCTCCCACCATCTTTAAGCGTAATTTGATCCAGGAACCGACGACCAATCGTCATTTTAGTGTCTGGCTGCCTGCATAAAATGCACCAGAAACGGCCTGATGTGAGATTTAAGCTTGCATAAGGCTCGATAGAGTTAGCCTGCATAAGGGAGTGGATCCTCATCACCAAAACATCGGGGATCTGGGCCACGGACTCGAGGAAAAGTCGAACATTGCTCACGCTGTCAATATTTGGCGCATTCGAATGTTTGTCAGCTCAATATATCCCATTGAAGGCCAGGCACATTCGAGCGAAGGGTCGCATGGCTGCGCTGGCAACGTTGCCTATTAATTCTGCATAATTTTCATTATTTCTTACTCAGCCCTGCTTGGGCTGAGCACGGTCAGGGGGGAAGGAAGAGCTCATTTCCCCAACTTCACGGCCGCCAATGGTGCGCGACCCGCTCACCTCGAAATACCCTCAACCTTGGCTGGTCCTGGTTCGGTGTTTAGCTTAATTGAGGTAAGTGGAAACTACTCCCGGCTTGGAGCCGATTTCTACAAAATCCCCATCCTCCCATTCTTTCGCCGACCACCATCCTGTTGATTTACCACCCTTAATACTTTTTCAACTTCCATCCACTCTTTGTATCTTCGATACACCACGCTCTTTAGCATTTCCTCTTCGTACAAGTAATCTTCAATCATGCGTTTCTCTACCGTCTCTGCCGTCTTGGCCTTCGCCGCCTCGACCTACGCCCAAACTGCTGGTTTCGATCCCATCACCGCACCAACTCAAGATCAAGATGTGGCTGCTGGTTCGACTCTGGATATCATCTGGGAGCCTTCTGCGAATTACACCGGAACTATCTCAATCACACTCCTCGAGGGTGCTACTCCAGCCACTCTGAGCCTGGGTGATGTTGTTAAGGGTACGTTCGACGCGTCAATTGTCGTGTAACTCTACTAACAATCTCTTAGCTGGTATCGAAAACTCTGTCGGAAAGTACAGCTGGGCCATCCCATCTGATATTGCTTCCTTCGCGACCTACGGATTCAAGCTCACCCTCGACTCCGATACCACCATCTTCCAATACTCGTTCCCCTTCCACATCACCGGCGCCTCTTCCACCTCCTCAGGAAGCGTGACCGCAGTCTCCACCAAGACAATGATCCTCAGCACCGGAACTGCGTACACCCCATCCTCCACACCTACCTCATCCGCCAACATCACATCTGTCGTCAAGACTGCTTCCTCAAACGCTACCACCATGTCAACGGCCACCTCCGTCAAGCCAACCGGAAACTCAACCTTGACCTACATTACCCCCACCACCACTGGCGCTGGAAGCACTGCATCCAAGACCGGCTCCGCAACCACGACATCCAGCGGTCCAGCCTCCGCAACCACCAACGCCGCCGTCGCCAACATCGCATCAGGCAGCATGGCACTGTTCGGAGGATTGATCCTTGCCTTTGCTTTGTAAGAGAAAGATGAATATCGAGCTGTGTGGTAATATAATCGTACAAGTACAGAAAAACACCCTCGGGGGATGGATGCATATACCGGATTATCTCATGCTACGGCGTTTGTCTCTGAAGTCATTTTGTACAATACCCGGATTCTCTGAGAGGTAGCTGAACTGTGTTGTTATTGAGATGAGATGTTTGTATCGAATGATGGACATGAAAAATGAAAAAGCAAGCAAGCTAAATTACATAATTTCTATTATTCTTTCAATTCCCTTTAATTCAGGTGACGGCTTCATCTTCCCTTGAGCAAGATCTCTAATTGCACAACGGAAGTTCTTCCTGCACACAAACACTCCACTTCCCACCGACCCCATCTTTCGTCTCATCTCATCTCTCTCTCTCCCTGTTTCACCCCTCCCCTCTTTTCATCCGATCTCTCGGCGCGCTTTGTTTGATCTCCGCATAGCCTCCCTCCCTCCCTCGTCCGCAGCCAGCCTCTCCACAGGGACCTTCAAGCAACATTAGGCATCCCACCCAACAATTCCTCCACCCACCTCTTGCCCTCTTCCTCCCGTTCTCTTTCCAGGTAAGATGAGAAATCTAACCAATCATCTGGCGTGGCGTTTGGGGATCCTGAGGAGGATTTTCGGGATGAGGTGGTGGTGGGGAATTGCTGGTTAGAGGGGGCTGTGGTGGTTGGTGGTGGGGAGTTGGTGTTGAAGGTCGTGGTCGTGGTGGGTTTTGCTGTATAAGTTAGTGCGTGTTTTCTCATGACGGGTTTGCTGCAACAAATCGGTGGATTTGACGTACTGATCCTTTCCATTTTTACTTTATTCTTTGGTTTTGGTTTTTGAGATTTAATGAATGTAGGTAGAGGAGAAGTTGAAGTCGTGGTTGTAGTCACCATGTATTGGTGTTGATATCATGTGGATACGCCGTCGTCCATCACGTCACTGGGTACCGTCGTGGTGCTAAATGTTAACTTTTTCTCCATCGTGACTTTCTGTCATTCATGGAGAGGGAATATAGACTAGTGCTGTAGTGAGGTCTAGAATGAAGATAGGTCCTGAAGTCAGGGTCTGGTGCTATCATGGTAGAGGGTTAGTGTGTGCATGGAAGGATGGTAGCCCCCTTTCGCGCTCGCTTGTCATTGCGAGTTCTTTTGTACACAGAGATATCTAGCTTTTTGTTTTGCTTATTATTTGTTCGAGATAGGCTTGATATGAACTTTGCTTGTGCTGTGGTGGAGGTGTGGTGGAGAGATGGGTGGCCTCGAGTTCGGCCGCCTGCGAGTTCATATCGGGAGAGAGAAGTGAGAGACGAGTGATCTCACTGGTTACCAATGTTTATGTTGTGTTTTTGGTGTGATACAGCAGGGTCTTGGTCAGAGAGTGCGATAGTATTCTTCATGCTTGTACAACAGTCAGCGGATTTTCGATATGTACTCTTGTCGGCCGCAAGATGCTAGGACATCTTCAGAGCTGGACAAAGTGTCTTGGAGGAGTAATCTCTAAATGTGGCATCCAGCGTTTCAAGTCACTCTTTAGCTCTTGCAACGCGATGAAAGTATATAATTGATATCAGTTGTCCATATGAGAAGATTGAAAGATTGACGCTGGCCAGATCTTGATGAGCTGGAGAAGGCACTGGTCTCCATTTCACCAATCGAGAATCAGCAAAACATCCCGAATTTAGCATAAAGACAAAGCAGAGATGACAATTCTGATAAAACGTATATGAAGGTCTGCATTAAGCAGTTCAAGGTGGTAAGATCAACAAGTAAGCCTTCCCAACCCGGAAACATTGCGAACCACCCCACTTTTCCAAAGTTCCCCGCTGTGGGGTAGTACCGATATCTCCCTTCCACAACGCCACCCATCTCCATCTCACCTTGTGTTCTAAGATAATATATTCTTGGCATCACTCACACAATATCGTATTCATAGCATATGTAACTGTGAAAAAGATGGCACCAGCAGCAACGACCCTTGTAGGCGAGACATCGGGCAATGCCCAAGTCGCAGCACTGGGCAAAACTGTCTCGGGAAAGAAATTAAAGATCAGATCGTATCCCAAGTTTGAGAGTTTGGAGGAGGAGAGGTTGTATCGGAAGCAACATCTCGCTGCTGCTTTTCGGGTGTGAGGGTGTCAATCCTTGGTATTGGGCTTGTGTGCTGATAGGGTTAGATTTGCGGAACGCGGGTTCGATGAAGGTGTTGCTGGGCATATGTGAGTTTGAGAATTTATCGTAATGGTAACTGTTAATGTCTGGTAGCTCTGTCCGTGATCCGATTTTGACGGATCATTTTTGGCTTAATCCGTTGTCGCAACACTTCTCACAGATTTGTGTCAGTGATCTTATTTTGGTGAATGAGGGTGGTGACGTTGTGATTGGTGACGAGCCTATCAATGCAGCTGCTTTTGCAATCCATTCCGAAAGTAGGTAGCTTGCGCTTCTGCTCGAAAATACCCTGCTAATGTAGTCATCTTAGTCCACAAAGCTCGACCAGATGTCCATGCAGCATGCCACGCCCATTCAGTCTATGGCAAGGCCTTCTCAGTTTTCGGCAGAGAGTTAGACATGATCACCCAAGACTCTCTCCGTTTCTACAAATCTCACGCCGTATACGACAACTTCGGGGGCATCGTCCTTGACCGCGAAGAAGGTATCCGGATTGCAAAGTGTCTTGGCAATGGAAAAGCAGCGATTTTGCAGAACCACGGACTTCTGACGGTGGGTCAGACTGTGGATGAAGCCGCGTTCTGGTTTATGAGTCTGGATAAGACTTGTCATGCTCAGTTGCTGGTTGATGCTGCTTCGGCTGGAAGTGGACATAAGAAGATCTTTATTGGGGATGAGGAAGCTGCATTTACTTATGATCAGGTAGGAACTCCAGCGAAAGGATGGCTGGCGTTTCAGGGGTATTATGATGAGATTTTGGCCAAGACTAATGGTAACTTTTTGAAGTGAGGGGTGGATGATATTGAGAAAGGAACTAGGAACGAGAGAAAAGGGAGTCGTTTCAACGGAAAGCTAGCTCTGATTGGCTGAGTCATTTCTCTTACTTCTGTGTGAACCTGTTCCTCGTCGTATGTCTATCTAGGCCTGCATAGCCTGGGTACCTAGGTAGATACCTCTGTCTTTGTACCCCGTAATCAGAATTGTTCTCCTCGAATCGGAGTCGCCATAAGCCACTATCATTGCAACAAGATAGCATAGATTCTGCCACTACTCTCAACAGTTATCATGCATAAGACAACGATCTAATGCAAGCTGCACGAGTCTAAGACATTCTCGTGCCTTCAGAGTCACGGGAGCCATGCACGTGATGTGATATAAACCTTGTACTTTGCATGGTTCCTTTCCTCCCCAGCTGCTCTGAGACCCACGATGCGTTCATCCTTCTCAACAATTCGCCAATGGACTTGAGATCAGTGAGACCGTATCTCGGACGTACTTTGCATCCAGATTTCACCCGTCAATGACCTGCAGGTCTCCGTCAGAAACATCATTGTTGGCCTATCGCTCGACAGCCCCATCTGCAAGTCCTAGTACTCCGGCTGCAATGCACCCAATACAATCGCATCACATCGTTACCAGCCATACAATGAACCACAATGAACCACGGCTGTCAAAGCGACTCCCACGCAGTCTCAGAGCCTCCCTCATGTGGGGAATAGTCTATCCATCTAGCTGTACCAGGCATCGCGTGACGATCCATTCTGCGGTCGATGCATCCAGGTCTGCAAGAAAAATATCTGCTAGACGACTAATAACAGCTGCAGATAATGTTCCTACAGATTCACATGTCCTATCGTGGTTAAGGAGGGATTGCTCCTGGGCTTGATTGGCCGCTTGTCGCGCAACCGCTCTTTCCAACGTGAACTCGGTGTGAGAAAAGGTGTGGGTTCACGACGGCAGCCTGACCTGCGAGCCTACGAGCAGAGCATTGCCACTGCATACTTATCGTCCCATCGTTCATTCTCTTTCTTCTCTCCAACTTTTGTGAGTCGTTTTCAGAGCACGTAAGTCGCAACGTCTGTGCGACATTTGAGGCAAATGGCTAGAACGCGGGGTGCTGATCGTCCCGAGACGTCGTTGGATGCTGCCATGAGAGCTCCCAGCACAACGACGCCAGATGTTGTTGTATTAGACTTCATTGAAGAGGAGGTGAAGCCAAAATATACTGCAGACCCAAAGAAAGATTTATGGCTTTCCACAGTTGATGGGTAAGTTGTCACCCTATCTTTAGCTCACATGCGCTTGTCGAAGCCTCAAGCAATGCGCCAGAGCTTCTGGAGCATCATACTTCTCAAAATCAAGGCTAATTAACATTCAGACGATATTCATCGCCTATCATTCCTGTTCGAGTCGGACCTCATGCCGAGACCTTCCCTGTCCATAAAGCGATCCTCACAAAGTCGGAGTACTTTAGCAAGGCGATAGATGGAAAGTTTCGAGAGGCAGACGATCAAGCGATTGACTTGCCAGAGGAGGACCCAAACATATTTAGTTTTGTGGTTGCGTGGTTGTATGAGGAGAAATTTATACCCATAAAGTCAATGTCAACGGCTCTTGGTTAGCATTAAGCCTCTTTTGGCTACCATCTTGCTAAACATCTGCAGTTGCTGAACCTGACAAGGGCAAAGGAAGAGAAGATGCAGACGAGGATATGTCAGGTAGCGAATCGGTGTCTGATAGTACTGGGACCGGGAGTGATAATAGGTATGCGAATTTATCTGTTTAACAAGCCGAGCCTTGTCTTGAGCCTCGTCTTGGTCTGCTATGTTTCAATACTGACACTGAGAACAAAAGTGCTCGAATTCGAAGAAGGCGGCGAAGACGAGCGCAGAGAGCCTTCGAGAATGAAAGACGCAAGCAGCCAGGACGGCACCGCCCTTCCTGCAATTGTGCTGCTTGTACCTCAGAGATGATGGGCCCACCATGTTGGAGCTGTGGTGCATCACGCAATCCTCCACCCCTACGCCATCGTGGTGGGCCTCCCCCTCCAGCGCATGCTTTCCACCCAAATGGCTTTCCTCGTGGTCCTGTCGGTCCGCCGCAAAGAAGAACCCGTGATCGACGGCGAGTTCATCGAGCAGAAGAAGTAGTGATCATCGACGAACCTTTCAATGTTGCTGGAGATCGGATGGCTCCTGAGGATCTTAGGACCTGGTCATTGGCATACTCGCTCAGTATTGATGTCTACGTGTGTGCTGAGAGGTATTTGATGCAGGATTTCAAAGCTGCTATTGCTGGCTTTATCATTAACAGGTATGGCACTCTTCTTAATTTCCCTGCAAGAAGTCTTTTGCATCATGGATTCTCTGCGCCTCATCAAGCCAACAAGTCTTTTCTCTTTTCCTCTGTATTTCTGCACGTGGCACGTCTATGCTTTGAATTCTTTTGACCTTGCAAACAGCTTCGAAGTTGCTGGTCTTGAAGCCGCAGTACCAACTGTCTTGTACTCATGCAAGACACTGCAAAACGGCGTCAGTCCCGTTGATCCTCTACTGAAGAAGGTGCTGTCGAGAGTCGGGTTCCTTCAAGCTCGTCTTGGAAAGAACTTTCCGGATGAGACGCACATCTTCTTTTCAGATAACCCAGATCTCCCTCATCTGATTATGAAAGAGATGATTGAACGAATTGAAGAGGACCGACCTGACAACCTACCCCCAATGGATGCTCCTCATCGTTATTTCGGGACCGGTCCCGATGAGATGTTCATGCAAGGTCGGAGACGTCGCTAAGATGGCCTCATTACACTTGACTAACAAATGGAAGGACACCGTCATCGGGATCCGTTTTGGTAATTAGGAGATATTTGAATCTCCACGGGCGTTAAGTCGGGGTGACACAGGGCGTTTCAATTTGCATCACCGCATGTCACTTTGGAGGAGTTCAAGGAGCGTTCTTTACTGCTGTTTCCTTTTGGAGAGTAGATCAAGTCCATCAATGAGAGCTGCAGAAAGCTGCAAAGCGTATACCTATGTATTCATATGGCCAAGCGCTCCATACGCATTTCCTTACGTCAATATGTATTCAGCAACACCTTATGACGAACTTCAACCCCATTCTTCCCGCATTTTATTGCAATGCGTTCGGTCGTGTGGAACGCAGTGCTTATGTTTCGGAAAAATTAAGTATATTCGGTCTATTGAAGACCGACTTGATAGTTCATGATGGGATCTTCAATCAACCGGATGGTGAGCTAGGAATGCTAGTGCTTCTGCGATCCTTCCGACTGGTCAATCTGATTTACCCCATATCCCCATACCCCGCCAACTTTTATAATCTTGGACGACAACGAAGCAAGTCTGAAGACACATATATATTTGTTGCTATTACGACGATGTTGGTCTCAAAACAGAATTGGGTCATCCAAAGTAGTGGCTTTGTCCGTCCCGTCTTATCCGTCCCGTCTTGTACTTTCACCTCAACTCCTGGGTAGAGTGAATCGGGTCGCAATGGCTAGAACTTTTAGGGTAATTCTCACTTGTGTTTTCTTCGCCTGTCTTCTCTCCTCCGCCACAGCACAAGAGCTTCTCGTCTCTCTTGACTATGGCACTTTTCAGGGTTCGTACTCTTCGACGTACAACCTTAGTTACTGGAGAAAGATTCCCTTTGCTGCTCCGCCGATAGGCGAGAATAGATTCAGAGCACCGCAGCCACCAGCCCCAATAACCAATGGAACCTACAACTCGGATCAGAGCTTTGACTATTGTCCCCAAAGAACAGTAAATATCCCAATCGTTCTTCTTCCTCGTCGAATGCTAACAAGAACTCAGGTCAACGGGTCAGAAGATTGCCTCTACCTAGGCCTTTATTCGCGCCCATGGTCAACACCACAGCCTCTCCGCCCTGTCGTAGTCGTCTACTTCGGAGGAGCATTCATAGAAGGTGGCGGCTCCTTCACTCTCCCACCAGCCAGTTATCCCGTCCTAAATGTCTCATCCTCCAATGACTTCATTTTCGTCTACCCAAATTACCGCGTCAACGCCTTTGGCTTCCTCCCGGGCTCCCAGATAGCCTCAGACCCAACCTCGGACCTCAATCCCGGGCTCTTAGACCAACAAGCGGCCTTGATCTGGGTCAACAAGTATATTGAGCAATTTGGAGGCGATAAAGGGAATGTCAGTATTTGGGGCCAGTCAGCGGGTGCTGGTAGTGTTGTCGCGCAGGTTATTGCTAATGGGGGAAATACGCAACCGAGACTTTTCAGTAAGGCGTTAGCGAGTAGTCCTTTCTGGCCAAAGACTTATGAGTATGATGCGCCGGAAGCACAGGCGATATATGATAGTCTGGTAGAGATGACGGGGTGTGAAGGAGAGGATAGTTTGAAGTGCTTGAAGAGTGTGGATGTGCAAACGATTAGGACTGCAGCGTTGAGTATTAGTGGGAGTCATACTTATAATACTAGTTCTTATACTTGTAAGTTACTCCTGATAATCGGGTAAATTGGTTCATGCTGATGTGTGGAATAGGGGCACCAGTTATTGATGGGAAGTTCTTGACGCAGCCGTTGAGTCAGGCGACGATTAAGGGGCAGGTTAATATTGATATCGGGTGGGGGATGTATAATACGCATGAAGGTAAGGATCTCCTATAGGGTATTGAAGCAAGATGTTGATTAGGAAAAGGAGAGAATTTCATCCCACCGGGTCTAGCTTCAGCGAATAATAGCGGAACACCGCCTTTCAACTCCAGCGTTGCATCTTTCAACACCTGGCTCCGAGGTTTTCTACTCGGCTTTTCAGACCGAAACATAGCCCGAGTCCAAAACCTCTATCCCGAAATTGGATCCTCAGAACTAATTCCAAGTTATAATACCTCGTACACAAGAGCGGGTCTAATATACAGAGACATCGTACTAGCATGCCCGACATATTGGATGGCCCGAGCGGCCCACAACAAGAGCTACGTGGGCGAATACTCCATCCCTCCAGCTAAACATGCTAGTGATACTATCTACGTACGTCCCCCCCTCTACCTCTATCATTATATTCCTTCATAACTGATAATAAATTTGGTAAAGTGGAACCAAGTAAACGCCGTTCAGCAAACGCAACCGTTGATTTATGACGGCTTTACAGGCGCTTTTGCGTCCTTTTTCCAGACGGGCGATCCGAATGCGCATAAGTTGACGAATGCGAGTGAACCCGGTGTGCCGGAAAATTGGAGGACGGGGGAGGAGTTTGTTATTCTGGCGGATGGGTTTCAGGATTTGAAGGTGGAGATGCTGGGTGAGAGGTGTGGGTTTTGGAGGAGTGTTAGTGCGGATGTTCCGATTTGAGGAGAGGTGGTTTGGATTTCGGAAGGCAAGTGCGATGTTGTCAAGGTATGGGACAATAATGAGGTTAGTACCTCCAATGAAGAGATTGATTGGTTGAGAAGGAAGGAAGTGTTCGTGACGAAGCTCTTCTTTTAGGACTGTGTCCGGTGCCTTTGAACGCCTACTCCGAGGGGTCAAATCTGGTGAAGCACAGACAAATTCTATCAATATTCTGCCTGCTACTGTTTCACATACCCAACTTCGATTTGGGCATGGAGAATATAATCTTCTCAGCCTCATTGCCATCAACTAGATCCAATTTGGTTATGCATGTCCTTCTAATAATGGTACAGTGCAACCGCACACATGGCTGTCCTACGCTCATAGTCAGTCAAATGCGCAAGGCTGCCGTTTGTAATGCAGTGGTGATGAGAATGTAGCATTAGGCTTTCCGTTTTGCTGGCTTGAAATGCAGCGCCAACCTTCGTGCTACGTTACCCCTCCAGTGGGTGGTTATCCTCTGCGGATATGTGCATGATGGCCCAGGTCTTGTTTGCTTGTTTGTGTGAGCAGTTCTCACAGCCACCCGGCGTCTCTGCATTTGAACTTCTCGACTGCATTTCAGTTTGTTACTTCCTCGTAGCGGTGTTCAGTCTGTTGTTCGTTGAACTCCTCTTACCTACTCATACCGCTAACATCAATCTTCGTTGTTGCGATGTCGTGCGGTTTTTCAGCAGGTGACTTTATCGAAGCGTTAAAGCTCGTTGTCGCCATCACAGATGCGATCCGCGCTACTGGGCGTGCTCAGACGCAGTACCATGAGTTTCTGTACCAGCTCGAAGCATACAAAGATGCCCTCGAAGCGATCCAGAGTCTTTACAATGACGGAGAGGAGCCGTCGCTGATACTTGTTAACCTTTCCAGACACGCTTTGGATAGCATGCAACTCCTTGCCGAACAATTTCGGAAACTTCAAAAATATTCGCGGTCCTTGGGCAAGGGGACGAAAGCCAAGAATCGTTTTATGAGCATGAGTATCATGAAGATCAGATGGGCTTTTTTTGAAATGGAAGCTGTAGAACGTTGCCAGAAAAACCTCAAAGCTCGGGTAGATATCATTAAAATGCTTTTATCGGCATATCATATGTATGCTATACCCAACGAGAGATATCTACTTGCTGATCGATAATACTAGGGATCGAAACGCCGCTGAGAGTCGGCGCCAGAACGAACAGTATCAAAGTCTCGTGGGCTCTGTGCATCAAGCACATGTGGACCAGTCGTCTGATCTGGCACTCATTTCTTCCAGGGTCGTGCAATCGGCGAGGACGTTAATGAAGTTCAGTAAGCTCAGCTTTTTGACGAGTAGGATTAAATTGACCAATCTTTCAGTCATCTGCAATTACTGTTGTACCAAGAAGTGAAAGAGGTCATGAGAGCAATTCCGAATCAAGTCCTGCGGCAACAACCGATCTCTTTTTGTGCGAGGGGACGGACATGGCCAATCAGTCTTGAGCTTGTTCAGTCTACCAAGGTGAGAGGATCTGCAAAGGTCGAGGTCACAGATGGTTTGCTAAATGGGACAGGAATTCATCACTGTGCTTAAGATGAAGTTTGAGAACGTTTGGGATGGTAGAGCTGTGCGTAAAATCGAAGCTGGTGATTTCCTGCTCTATCTTCTTTCTGAGGACGGCAAAACGACCCAAAGCATTGATCTTCGAAATCCGTGGGAATCGCTCTTTCAACCTGGCCAGAGAGTCAACATGTATATGCATGTCGCCCGTGCACTCCTGCCAATACTTTGTAAAGACTGCGGGGCCCTATGTACTCAGTGGACGTTTCTATGGTCCAGTCATATTTACTGGTAGGCTTGAATACCCTAATATATCCAATTACTAAATTTAGATTAGCCCGGTGTGCAAGATCAAATTCTCTATTGATGATCACAATCGGTACACTTTATCTCATCATGGAACTAAGCCGTCCTCAGTCTCATGGAGTATTCTACCTAAACATCACCGTGCGAACAAGTCTAGCTAGAGCTACCTATACGTCCAGCCGACTTTCTATTTCAAGTGCTTGCAGTATTTCTAGATACAATGAACACTGGTTTGACTCGGTGTCTTCGAGCTAGACAAAAACCTTCCAATCCTCAAGCTCCCTCACCATACCCTCCAACATCTCCCTATTCCCCACCTGATACACCTCATACCTCCCCTCCCCCATCCCCTCAATCAAACAAAACACCTCCTCAATCAACTCCCTCGCCTCCGCAACCCTCCCCTATTTCCAAACAGCCTTCGCAATAATCTTCCTCGACCATATCGCCTGCGGCGAATCACTCCCAAGCTCCACATCAATTCTGCTCTTCATCTTCCTGGCAATACCTTCTGCTTCAGCATGATAGCTCGATCTTCTAGCATGAATGATAGATAATGTTGGGATTTGAGGATATCTTTATCTTGGCGCTCTTTGCTGCTCGTTCTCTACAGAGTTTCTCTTCTTCTTGTTTGTGGCTTAGTGCACTTTGGATGATCGCTTGACCTGATGAACTCATTACTCTGCGTTGTTCAAATAAGTGGGACACTTAAATCGTACTAAAAACCACTTTTCTCCAATTATCATAGTTAACTTGGTAGAAACTCAACGGTTTCGCAGTATCGTCCTCGAACTTGAGTTTGTCTTGCAAAGTCTGTAAGAGCAACGCAAGCTTCTCAGTCTTGCTAAGGGATAATTTCGATTCGAGACCCATATCTTGTGCTTCCTCTTCCGAGAAACATGCTAAGAACGTACTGCCGACTTTGAAGCCTGAGGGGTCAAAGAACTCGGTATCTGGGACTCGGTATTCCCAAGGAAAATTCTTGGCCTCTCCAATGTCTGATGTCCCAGTTGAGTAGAGATACTTGGTAACCATGAGGAAGGATATTACAGTGTATAGAATCAGTGAGAATAGAAACATGAATTGGGGAGCAAGACTCCAGGAATTTGTGACTGGACGCGCTCGATTTGACAGTGTTGGTCGAAGCACGGGTGTGCTGACGAGTGCCGAGGAACACCATACATACCTATCCTTGCATGAAATGGATGACACTCGCAAAACATCTTCCCAACATCTTGGTACCGTAAAAGCGATTGTTCTCCGAAACGAGAACTAAGTACTGAATTTTAAATCCAAGATCAGACGAAAACACAACAGACATTACAGTAGTAGTGACTTTGAATTTGTCTATCAAGGACGAGCTCTTCAAAAAGTTCTTCTTTAACACCAAACCTCGACTTAAGAGTCTCGTGAACTGGATAAAATACTGGATCTTACAACCCGAAGAATATATCTACGCAGTTGAAGTAATGCGTAACGAATTAAGACGTAGCAACTAACACGTTCTATATAATTTCTAGAACGTGTCACAGTGTGAAGAAGACTGACTGACACATACAAAAACTCGGCTTGCTTCCAACTCTACCTACGACTTGAAGGCTGCAATCATTTACCTGACAATGGAACAACCACCCCCATATACCGAGTTCTCAGAACTCACTCTCGACCCTGATTATGAATGGGAGAAAGAACCAAGCGTCACCGAGACAGAGACAGAGACATGGCTCCCCTCGTTCGTACCTACCCACAACCCCCTCCGCTGAGCTGACAACCCACAGTGTGCCAGCAACAAATACACTGACCGTATCCCTCACCACGAACGACACCTTCCACTTCTGCAAGAGAAAATTAGAAGAAAACTCCTGCACCGGCCTCCTCGCACTCGCGCGCCAGCACGGTCCAGAATTAATCCTCGGTGGACCTAACAGCATGACACAGAAATGCATCGAGGCGTACAGCAACCCGTACTCCCCTCTCGCCATGACGCTTTTCGCCGAGTATATCGAGACAGGGCGCCTGCGACCCGCTGTCCGACATTCATCTGCGCTGTCCTCGCATACAGCGTATATAGTGCTCTACACTATCTCCAACGCGCTTGCCTCGGAGGAATTCTCCAATTTGATCATCGATGAGTTTATTTCTTTGAACGGGGACATGGTATCCGAGACCAATCCCTCAATGATAACGATAATATTCAAACTCTCATTCCCAGATGAGCCTCCAGCTGCTTTGAAGGAGATGTGTTTGCAGTATATGGCGAATGGGAGTTTGGAGGTTTTGGAGATGGAGTTGGAGGATAAGGATAGTAGAGAGAAATTGAAAGATGTGGTCGCCGACTTGGCATTGATGCTGGTTAAGACGACGAGAGGGAGGAGTGATCATTTGGTGATGCCGAGTAGAAAGAACAGTTGTAATTTCCATGTTCATAAGGAGAGTTGGCCTTGTGTAGACAGGTGAGGTTGAGTTGATGGTCGTGGTGATGAAGCTCTCAATGGGAACCTGTCCATTCTCCATGACGACCTCAATGCCAGCGATCCTGAGCATTCAGCCATTGCGATATGCAGAGGATCTAGACCTCTACCACGAGCATAGCAATAAGATGGCGAAAAATACTTCCTCTGATCCGAAGTGGAGCGAGGTGGAGGGAACGCTAGAGGACAAGCAGGATCAGATGCAGGCAAGAAATCAGAAATACAGGCACGACTTTATTCCACAAGCAATCTTTTTCGCCAAAGCTTTCGTGACACATGCTGAAAATTGGGAAAAAACAATCACTAACGACCGAATACGAACGCAGCCGACGTCCGAGTCACATTCCGGCATACTGCAGATGATGCGACAAGGTCACCACAACCATCCACTTTCATTTCTGCTTGTTGCTTCACGTTGAATCCAGAACGCGATGCCAAGTACAATTCTGCCGATTTGGAACAGCTTCATGTACGACGAGATCAGTGCGCTCGTACAGGAGAGCATCTTGAAGGATTATTGAGACGATGCCGACCAACTTCTAAATTGTTGATAATGGGAATAGGGATAGGAGCATTTCAGCCATTACCTTAGAACGAAGAGGTCCCGCTCAGGAGCTTAATCTCAACGATTCGGATGTCCGGAATCCGGATGAGGCGGCTAACGTCGATAATATGTGACCGAATATCACAACATATGAATATATGTGATGCAAGAGTCAACAACTACTCCAGCTTCAAGATAATTAAGTTTTCGCTAGATGGGTCAATGTCAACAACCGGACCCATGGCCTCCGCGCCTTCGACCAGTCTTGTGCTCCAGACTGAAACTCATAAGAGGCTGCTTGGAGTAATGGGTAAAAAGCTTTTGGTGATATGTGTAACCAAGGTTGAAGCAAAGCATTTATCAACTATATGCTGATATCGGAAGGGGCATTATTGCTGGTTGCTAGCACGCGAGCTTGAACAATACGTATGTCTCAGGGCGATCGGAAGGACTGCCATGCCTCAATTATGAATTCTCCCAAGTAGAGAATCCTATTCAAAGTTGGTTATAACCGTTGACCATGACCGATATTCGTGCTATACTCGAACCCTCAAGTATTATGCGCGTCCGAAGTTCTGCAGCAGTGGCTGGGACTGGGTTTAAATGCCCGAAGATTAATGACATTGAGAGGCAGCGGTGGTAAGCGCAGCATGTGGAACGATAAAGAACAGGCAAGCACATAACATTCTTGCCGCAAGTAGATTGTCCTCTGCACTCCTTGGAGACACTGCATACCTTCGAGCACTGGTTGCACTGACAACTTTCTAGCAAAACTCAAATAAATCTCCAAATTGCGAGGCTCACAATATGGAACTTGGGACGAAGATTAAAGGCTGCTGGTATCAACAGATTATAGGCTGAGAGGCTGAGGTACGTCTTCGCTAAACTCAGAACTTGGTAACGACTGGAGGGAGACCTTGCTCATTATCAATATGTCATTCCAGCAGTTCCTGAACTATCGATTAACTCTAAATTTAGAGTATTCTTCGAGGAGATTTGAAATGGCTTCTCGTGATGATGACCCCACGCTGACCTGATGTCCGTGTGCTGCATCCGATCCTGGACCCGACTCAGGTGATTGAAATTGGGATATCGATTTCTTAATCTTATCTGCGATCATGTCCTAAGAATAGTTTCAAAACATGACGCCTTGCATGAACATTTCTTATTCGGTGTCGAAGACCGCGCAGGTTCAGCCGATGTCTCAGTTGCTGCAATGTGAATCGGCGGTGAAGATCATTGGATGAAAAGGCGGATTTTTCCCATTCACCCTTTCCGAACTAGCCTTACTTGGCCATTCTGGTATCTTGGGACCCTGCAGCATATGTGATTCGGTTGGTCGGAACTCGGGTCAGGGAAGAAGTCCTTTTTCAGAGATCCATGTTGATCGCGGACCGAGGCTGCCGTAAAGGGATAATACAGGAGAGGAATAATTTCCGAGGCTCTTGTGATCTTTTCAGCCTCTGAACGATCATGCGTTTGGGGATGAAGTACGGTAGCCGTTCATGGAGAAATAAAAGAGAGAGAGGGAAAAAATGAAAAATAAAATCTAGCGATCTTCAGATGAGATGAAGGACGCCTAACAGAGATTTCGCAGTGCGTGCCTGGAAATCCTAGCGTCCGTACGGGACGGGTCCGCACTTGTTCTTAGGATCTACAGGACATTTAGCCAAATCGTGCTGACCTCTCCGATCTCGTGGCAGGCCAGGATCCGATGTTGAACTTCAAGTCTCAGAAATCCTCACCATTCTGGATGACCTTCTCCACTTGGGCATGATCGCCCGTCCTTCAGCTCGCAACTGGAGAGAAGACAGCCACTCGCTGCTCTTACCACCACACCCCATCGTCTGGTGTCGCCTGTCAAGTGTGGTCCCCGAGTTGGTGGGCTCTGTCTACTGCTTGGAGTTGGCGATCCCTACTGGAAGTATAGAAAGACTTGAAAAAGAGGCTGATCGGAGAATTACTCGGAGCGGTGTCTCTGGCTCACATGGAAGCTGTCAACCGCTGCGGTGGGATGAAGACAATATGAAGGCAGTTGCACAAGTCGCCACGTGTAAGAGTACCACGATACACAAGCTGGGAGTGCATGGAGAGTGGCGGTATGCTGTCAAGATAGTATTTGGTGGTGAAGAGTTTGATATATTGCTTGTTGCGTATTTGTGCAGATGGATGAAGAAGCTCTCGGCAACATTCTTCCGGGGAAGGCGCTAGGTTGTGTTAGGAGACGAACTGCAAAGGAAGCAAGACCAAAGGTTTCCGAGAGCAGCGACGAGAGGCGCCGTTGTTTAGAGGATGACTCGCAATGATGAGATGATGATGAGAGTATTGACGGAAGTGCAGTACCTAGTTAGGCGGACACGTTGAGGCTGGTTCAGACTCGGGAAGGCGCACGTTGGAAGTACAATACCTACCTAGGTACTGTACAGTATCATGTGATGGCTGATGCGCGAAAGAGAAAGCAATTTGCACCTTCCTTCTTCCTTGCTGCGCGCACGAATTAGTAAGGAGATGAGGAACGACTAGCTGCCATATCTGTAACCGGCCAGCGTGAAGGCTTCGTGATAGACAGCCACGGCGTTTTTTTGACTGTGCGGCTTGAGTCAAGAAAGACGTCCAGAAGGCTCACGTACGTCATCCGCTGTCGAGCTGCAGGAACCACACGCAAAAAAGCAAAAGATGAAAAAGTTCTTCTTCCCTGCAGTATTGAATTGCTTCTTTCTCTTCGTCTCTCCAACTAGGTATTGTGCATGTGTCGTTGTCCAGATGCCTTCCTATCCTCGCTGGATGGAGCTGGTTGGAAGGTCTGTGCAGCTCTGTGGTCGGCGCTCCCGCAGAAGTCAAGCCTGCATCTGCATGGTCCGGATCTAAAATTATCCATATCCTGGTTCTGATTGGAAAATCCCCTGTCGCACATCCTGCAATCTCTCACAAGCAGCGAGAGACTTCGCGTTGAGTTGAAGGAGGTCTCGAGTCTCGACGCATCGCAAATGATCTCAACACAGCTACCTCCCCCACTACTCACTTGGCCTGCCCCATTCTAGACGTCCCAGACTCCCAGCTCGCAACGCCCGCTATAATATAACCTTCATTCGAGACTGGTACCCAGCAGGTCGAGACTACACTCGAGGCCTTAGATGGGTATCCAGCATCTGGCATGTGGGCAGATCCCATCATCCACACTCTTGGGTCGCTTCTGATGCCCGAATCGAGGTAGCACACATCCTGGTATTGGGACTGTATCAGCAGTCAGGGTTTCACGACTTCGAGATGCCAAGGCCTCCATTGAAAGGCTACAGCGGAGAAAGTAGAGCAATTGTTGCCACCAAGGCCCCGAACACAGATAAATGTTCCTCGTCGTATTCTCCACATGTCTGATTCACAAGATCTCTCGTCCACGTGCCATCCTTCCGTAGAAGCCCAGGGAGGGCTTCCGGTCGTCTCTGAACTTCCCAACAACCCGGTGAGATGATCAAACGCGCAAAGACTGATCGACAGCTCCCACGCAACGATCAAGGCTTGACAGACGTGGGGATCATAGGGATCTATGATCAACCCTAAGCGACATCAATGCAGGAGCGAGGAGTCAGCTCCGTAGTACCTTAATCTCCATCCCCTCAGTTGGCTCTTCTTCACTTGCTCCATTGAGTCAGCGGCGTCATGGGAGAAGACCAGGAAGGTCAGCCGGCAACGTGCCTGACATAACAATATCAGTAATAATGCGAGGGAGAGCGAGCACGCATGCTCGGGTCGAGGGACGCTGCTTTCGAGCGTTGGGCCCAATGTATGCGCCTCGCAACCCTGGCAAGCAGAGAAAAGATCAATTGCGAAAGAGGACGAAGAAAGAAGAAGGAGGAAAAGAAGCAATCATGACAGGCGAACTTCCAAGAATGCTTGCAATGCATCCACCACTGTCCCAGGATGCGGAGATAGTGCAGCACCACAGCAGGAAAAAGACAGGTCGAGGTGGTTGTACAGACATCTCTAGATAGGCATGGCGTCGTCTCTGAGTCCAACCTGGTGGTCGACGTCGGCCCCGAGTGGAGATGGCTCCAGCACACCGAAGGCGACCCTGCTTTTGTGCTGGCCAGTCGTAGTAACCTGATGAGGAGAGGGAGTGTACCAAACCTTGGTTCGACTGTCAAGCCACATCCAGAGTTATTTTGTAGAGAGGCGACTTGACGGTCTTGTCCCTCTGATCCCTACCTCTTGCTTGCTGCCCTTCCCAAACTTCTCACTCTCCCCGCTGCTGTCGCCGCTTTTGCTCTAGCCGGCGGTGCTGTCGCGATCATGATCAGTTCGTTGCAGGGCCCATCGCTGTGCGACGACAGGCTACTGTCGCTCTTCGGGCGGATCACCCCCATTGGACCGCTGGAAACACTGGGTCAGTGGTCCGCTCGACTCCGCTGTCATCGGGGAACAGAAGCTGGGTTTTCGCTAAATTCGCTCTGATAGTCGGTGGCGCACCACTGACCACACTACTCACTCAACCCACTCACCTAGCACGACTATCGAACGCCCGTACAGTACTGGCAAATCTCAACAGCACACCAGCACGCAAAACCGCCGACATGCGATGCGAAGCTAAGCTGACGACCACTGGGTCCGCCGGCCTCGCGCTTGGGAGCTGTCAGATACTCTTCGTCTGGCTGGCTCGCTCGCTGCGTGTTAACCGATAATGCCAGTAATCGTCGCCAATGCCACCAGCCAGACCAGGCCTGGGCTAGTGAGTGGATGTGAAGTGAACTTTGCTAATAGGGTACGAGGGTAGGTAGATGGACTGCTCGAGCCTGAGCAGGAGCCACTCGTAGCCGGTGTGTCCCTGTCTCAGAAGGCCCTTTGAGGCTGTTAGGAAGACCAGACGCCACGGCTCTGGCTAGTTCTAACTCTACTCTGGCACGGCGATACGGTGCGGTCCCAACCAGCTCTTGCCATACCTTACCAGACCAGACCACCCGACCGTACGTATAGGCTTCCCAATACGATTAAGGCGACGAGGGGTCCAGGCGAAGATGAGGAGGAGCAAAACGAGGACCGCACCGCACGTATTGCCCAATGCCGACTAGCGTGTTAGAGTATCTGTGATCTAACATCTAGTTGACTAAGTCTGACCCTTCCCTGCTGGCTCCGTCCGTCCCAGATTGAGGATCTCTGGGTGCTTCTTCGCTGCGTTCCGAGGCCCATGCTAGGTAGATCGAGCTCCTGTCTGTGCCTTGACGAGCCTGGATACCGTAATCTCGTTCAGGACGTCGTCCTCCCTAATCAGCATGTCTCTGCGTGGTCGAATCTGGATTGAGTTACGCTTGGTCATGTATGCCAGTATGGTTTGGATGGGATGTTATGTAGCAGCAGCAGCAGCAGCAGCAGGCAGGCCACCAGTAGTGGTAGCAGCCCAGCTAGATACGAACTACTACGACATCGAAATAGAAATGATGGCGCCAGAAGTACAGGGTCAGGGATGCCTGTCGAATATTAAGGTATGCCAGGGCTGGACTGCTGGTCGCTGGAGATGGAGCTGCTGGTGCTGGAGCTGCTGGTGCTGGAGCTGACAAGCATCGAATTGATCCGTCACGACTACCCTGCCCTGCCCTTCCCTCCCCTCCTCCCACTGCACCGCATCAGGGCCCAGGGGTGGAGCTTGGCCTTAATGTTGTCCAATCTCGTGGCGTCGCAGACGAACCTCGACAATGGTCCCAAAGTCTTAGGTCCTGTCTGTGGTGTTGATGATCTTTAGATATGCTTCTTGTCGAGCTTTCCTCTCCCTTTCCACTTCCACCATCACCTCCCCCACCACCAACAACAACTACCACATCCACATCCACATTCACTCTATCTTCGCCATCGCCATCCTCGCCACCACCTCCACTTACCACCACTCTTCGTTGTTGTCGGGCTCTGGCGGAAAGGAATAGGGTTCGGCCGTGAATGAATCGTCCCGGATCTCTGCTCTCTCTGCTTGATTGACTAGTGTAGTGCTCGTTATTATCTCCGAGGTGGTGGAAAAGCTGTTCTCTCGTCGACGTCCTCGAACCATTCATTTCTTCAGAGGAAAGCCCATTATTGCCCAAAACGATGCTGCAAGTGGCGTAAAAGCCTTCCCCTCCCATTCGTCGTCGAGGCTGTTGAACTCCCCACGAAAAAGGTGCTTATCCCTCAAGAGAAAAATCGACTGGCCTCCCTGCCGCCTGCAATTAGCACAAAAATCCTCACTACTGCAGTCCTAAGCCACAAGAAGCGTTCCGTCTCCGCAAGTCTTGAGCCCTCCTCATTTGAACATACAAGACAGCTTCTTCAGAACCTTGAGACCGGCGCAATACTGGTTTCATTGTGCTTCTTACCGCCCGTCATCCACCGCCTTCAACGCCGGTGACAAGGTACCGCAGCGTGTGCTTTAATCCGACTACACTCTTACCCACATTCTCTGTCAGCTCGCTTCGTCGATGCGATTGACCTTCAAAAAACACTTCAAAGTATTGTACAACTAGGTACGGACCCATAGGAAGTCAGATCAACATAACGACCATTCGAAAACCAGCGCCGACTTGACGGAAGGAACCCGAAGAATCTTTGACATAAGTTTTACTGTCAATTTTAGACGCCTACCTCAAAGATTCACTCGCATGGGGGACAATCGCAATTGATGGCAGTCTCTGTCCAAGCACCTTTCTATTCGAAGTCAGGCATGTGGAACCTGGGCGATCCTCCTACCGCATTCTCCTCCTCAGTGTCGGAAGGGTTACCAGCTTCCATGTCCTATCAGTATCCGTTGCCTACCCCTGGTTTGGATTCCTCCTCGAACATGATCCCTAGCTTTCATCATCCATCCTCTTTAGATCACCACGCGCAAACACCTCCACCAGTTCAAGGCAAGCTAGAATCACCAAGTCTGAAGAATCGTGTCAACCCAGGGGCCGGATCCAAAGCAGCAAAGGTAAAGAGATCGATGTCGACTCCAAACGTACGAGGCCAGGCCACAGCGGACGCAGCCGCGCTGGCTCTGTCGGCAGAGAAGAGAAGAAATAAGCTGGGCTACCATAGGACTTCCGTAGCATGTGGTGAGTAGCCAGCGCTCACTTCAGCGTTAAATTGTCATCCAAAGTCGGGCCACTAACCCGTCAATTCAGGACACTGCCGCAGGAGGAAGATCAGATGCATTCCAGCACCCGGCGATGCCCAGAGTCGCTGTTCAAATTGCATCAGATTGAAGAAGGAATGTAACTTCTACCCGGTCGATCAAGCGCCTCCTCCAGATCCTCGACGCAGGGGTTCAAAGAGTCAAAGCGGGCCGGAAAGGACTTCTGAATCATCATCGCCCTCAACAGCATCCGGACAACTCCCAGAAATGGCACCCACTCTGCCTTATCCACCTTTGAACATGCCTCCCATCCAGGATCTTGGTGGGCCCCACATGAAGAGGCAAAGAACAGAAAGCTTTTCCCCAGAAAATAAAGGTGAGAATTTCACCGATTCTATCCTCGATTCTTCTAAACACTTCCTAGTTGTCACCTCTTCGCGTACATTTGAATACAACACGGCGCCTCATCAGGGTGCTACCAACTGGATGGCTCCTGATGCGTCACCAGGCACCAAGCCTCAGACGGAGGTCTCTCAGTCCTTCTGGAGGGTAAATCAACAAGAGTCTCCACTAACACCAGCATTCTCTCCATTCACACCAAGCCTGCAGATTCCGCCTCCTCAGAACTGGCCAGCTTCCCATCCAGAGGCCAGCCCTCGAGAGGAAATTGGATGGAATGTCCCCCAACGATCCATCTCGTACAGTAATCTGGAAGGCCTACACAATCATCAACAGTACCCACCTTATCCGAATCCACCCCCACAAGCGGGTCCGGAATCGTACACGCCAAAACCACGAGTACTCCACTCTTCCGGCATGTATCCGCCTCCTATCCAGACTTCTGGCGCCGCAGTACCTCCGTACGAGGCAGTATCAACAACGTCGAGCGATACGCCGCATCCCCACTCTGCGCAATCTTTGCCCCCAGTCCACATGTCATCAAACTGGCAACAGCCGTATTCTTATCAGAAGCCGGCTAGCGCAGGACCTGAGTATCATGAAGGATGGAGTGCAGGCCATGGAGGACAACCCCATCTTCAACAACAGTCGGCACCACCACCTCCTCCTGCATATGGATATCCTGATCATGGACATGGGATGTATTATCCTCCACCTCATCAAGGACGTTAGCTGTAAATAGGGGCTGAGTGGGAGGATTTGCTTGAGGGGGGAAAGCATGAAGTAATTTCTAGATCTGGACAAAAGTACGGGCTGTTGGGAGGGTTTTGAAAGGCTACGATTCTTTGGGATGTGGGCACACTGGCTAGAAAGGCATGTGAGCTTTGGCAAGTGCTCTTTGAACTAACTTGCAAGGGTGGAGAGGACTACAAACTCATCGGCTGCCCAAGAATGTGGCTATACGACTCTGCGGCTTTGCGCGAGGGGACTGTGGATAGGAGAGACTTCTCGATCTCCTTGGCTTCAAGGATTTAGTGAAGACGGATCTGAACACATACTCGAGCGAATTGCAGCAGCAAAAAAATACGACCCTAAAACCAGCACAGAGACCAAAAGCAAGCTTGTCACCACTAGACGACAAGAATGGGCAGCACCCTTTAGCAGCACGGAAAACATTAGCCCAACACCAAAAAGGCTTTGCAGAGCAGATCAGTGAACATAAGACCTGTATATTGTACCAATAACGACATTAACGACACCGACATCATGAACAAAGGGCACGGAAAGGGGCGGCGTGGGAGGAGCAAGGAATTGTACATTGAAGAGGAGAGAACTTCAAAGCAGGAAGGCTGGCAGGCAGGCGCGCAACGACAAAAAAGGGAATGGAATGGCATAGCATGAAAGCGAAGGATGATAAGGACGGGCTAAAGGGCAAGGAAGGGAAGGAAAGGCAAGGAGGAGTCAACACTGTATTGTACATATATGCATCATCAAAGCTCTCTGGGTCCCAGCTAGCAAGTTTTTTCCTCCTTGTTCCAGTCTGATGACATTAAAATTCGCATCCCGTTCGCTGTATTAAGCTTAAGTGTCAATCAATGCTTGCTACTGGTAGGTACATGATACCCCCTCGGCATATATCCCTCCCCTCTTCGGCAGTCAGTCAGTGGTGCTTCCTGTCCAAATGATTGCTATTCCCGAACTCCTGATATTCAAGGCCGAAATGAAGCTAGGCTGGAAATGGAACCATCCCGCAACCCCACGTTTTCGTGAAGGAAGAAACAACGCATCCCATCTCAAGGTGACACAGCACGCCATCTCGCTCGATTAGGATTCGTCCGTCTCACTTCTGACGGAAAAAGCAAAGCAAACCGAGAGGTCAGATATGCGGCGGCTGCTAGAGATGTTTGAGGTTTGTTTGCTACCTTGCTACCTTCCTTTCTTGCTTCCCTTGCGAGGCTGAGCATTTTTTTTGGCGTTTGAGACTGGGGTTCGTTCGGTCTGCAGAGCTTCGGACATCATCTATGCTTTGTACTGTGCGAGAAGAGACTTGGACGAAGAGAGAAGGAGAGAAAAAGAAAATGGATGAGCTAATCCACGTCCTGCAGCCTCATCCCGAGGATAGACTACACCTCCGTCTGCACCGCGCCCGCAGCGTAATCCTCACTGCTCAAGAGTACGTTTGTTCCCTATCCTTGCCTCACTCTCATCCGAACTCTCCCTCCCCTTCCCCCTATACTTCCATCTGACCCTCACCTCCCAGACTCGTCGAAATCCGCGCAGCCCAACGCACCTTCGAAGGGGCCTATATCCGCACCGCGCTGGGCCAATTCTCCTTCGCGCTCGTGGTCCTCAAGATCTTCACCGCGGAGTTCTACTCGATCGGCGCCCTGTTCGCGACGTACGGCGTGGGCATCTTCTTGGTGAGTCTGTATAGACGGTATGAGGGCAATCGGCAGTTTTTTAGTGAGATGGGCGAGGATGGGTTGGGGAGGAAGAGGTTTAGGACGAGTGGGAATGCGGTGGTGGTGCTGACGGCGTTGAGTGTCGGTGCGTATGCTAGTTTGATTGTTTTGACGGCGAGGTTGGGGGATGAGTAGGGAGGGAGGGGAAGGGAATTTGGGTGATACCAGGTGTTTGGAGTTTTGCGGTTTTGGGAAGGCATGAAAGAGTGATATATTGGGAGAGTTATGCTCAAATAAGTGCATGCTAATGTCTGACTGACGGTTGACCAATTTGGTGTCCATATTGTGTCCTTTGGAGCCTTTGGCTTTGGACGAGCATGAAACGATGATATGATGGGAGTTAAGCTCCGAGAAATACTTGTATCATGATATCTGGCTTGGCGTTGATGATTTTGGTTGTCATATTGTGTGTCCCAATCCCAAAAATTCTGCTCTGACAATTCTATGTTCACTACCTGGACATCCAATTAAGAATCATGATTTTGAACTTTCTTTTCTTTTCACTGCTTTTCACTTATTACTCGAATCTGATATCTGTCTCAATCTTGTGACTGGTAGCTTTTTCAAAGAGCTAAATGTCCTAGGACTTATCCTGACTTTACAAGCTTCTACCACTACCTAAAAACTTGGGACATTCGTAGCTTAAAGCAACAGGTCAACTAAACATAAAAGAGTTCTTTATGTCACTTCTCACACAGCATCGCTTCCAAGCCCATCTCATCATTTCCCTCTATACAAAACCTCTTCCATTTCCCATAGACTCTCCCCGCAAGATCTTTACAAAACATACCTAAACCCCCTCCTAAGAACCACCTCCCCACCCCTCCCCACATCAACAATCTCCTCCATTGCCTCCACCTCCTTCTCCCCCTCCTGCCCAACCGCATCCCTAACCTCCAAGACCTCCAACTTGACATTCTCCCGCATAAGACACCACCGTAGAAACAGCGTTGTCACGATACACGCGAGACAGAAAATCGCTGCCACTTTTGTTAACTATTGTATAGAATGAGAGGAAGGGAGGAGAGACATACCATTAGCAATCATAGCAGAGAGATACCGCGGCCCATCCGAGCTGGGGTACATATACGGGGAGTAAATCTGCGCGATATTGCCCACGGTATTAACGATCGCTATCGCCGCTGCTCTCTTCTCGACTGGTCTCGGTAGCTATTTTCTCATCAGCTCTTCCCTTTCACCATCCAAAGGATATAATATGAGGAGCAGGGTAGGGTAGCGTACTGTACTACTGATCCAAGCCAACGCAACGTTGTAACTCCCATAAACTCCCGCGAGACCCAAAAACAGCCCGAGATACCGCGCACCGAGGACCTCAGTGGCGGCGACGATGATGAAGCCAGCCATGCCGAAGAAGATGGGGACGATGATGTGGAAGGCGCGCTCGGAATGTTTGTCGGAGGAGCGGGAGATGAGGAGGGCGATTAGGGTGGCGAAGACGTAGGGCGGGGCAACGAGGAGGAGGGTTTGGACGGGGGTGTAGTGGAAGGTTGCTACGAGGGTGGGGATAAAGGATGTTACTGCTCCTGCGATGGTTTTGGTGATTATTATCAGGCTAGTGATGTGGTTAGTGTGTTAGTCTGGGAGGTGGATGGATAGGGGGATGGTGATTATTGGGGAAAAGGGGAGGATATTGTCTGGTTGATGAACAGTACTTGAGTTTAAACAATAATAATGCTTTTAGACAGAGATTGAAAGAAGGTTGTGTTGCAACTCGAGTTTGGACATTGTTCTGACTGAAATGTCTGGCCAGGCATAGGAAAATATGAAGATAAGATAGTCGGAACTAAATTGAGCTCTCAATGTCCAACTGGGCCATGGCACCTCAACCACTTTTGGATTCTGAAATTGGCTCGAATATTCAAAACACAATTATGCGGACAAAGAGAAAACTCAATATCAAACTCAACATGAATGAAAAGAGTACTCACGCAAGAAGCCAGACTTTGTAATCCAGCACCGCCATCTTGATTCCACCAAGCAAGGGACCTCGCTCAGTATCATGACTTCCACTCGTATGCTGGAGTCTCTTAGTAGCAATAGCTCTCTCTTCTTGGCTTAGCCATTTGGTTGTGTGCGGGAAATCTGGGATGATGAATCTAGTACTGTCAGCAACGATCAGTCTGATAAGGATGGACTCGTTTACGCAGCGCAAATGGAGACGAAGACTGTAATTGAACCCTCAATGATGAATAGCCATCTTGATTCCATGGTCAGCGACGGGTCTTAATTGACTTTCGTGTTGTCTCACCTCCAAGATGCAATGCCTCTTGCTCCATTCAAGCCAGATTGGACGCCGGCGCCAACAAGACCGCCAAAGCCTCCCGAGAGGAGACTACCGGCATACAAGATTGATGTTCGTAATGCCAGCTCCTCGCGTGTGTACCATGATGAGAGTAAGAACAGTGCACCGGGAAAGTAAGGCCTATGACCGTCAGGAAGAGCCATAACTGGTTGGGGGAATTTTTGCTCACGCTTCAACGAATCCTAGGAAGAATCGAACCAAGACTAGACCGGTGAAGTTTTGTACCAATGCAGTCATGCTAGACACAATACCCCAAATCGCCATACAGAACGGCTGTCAAAGAATTAGAACATTCTCCACAAACATGAATGATTGTCTTACAAGGTAGAGACTAGGTCTCGTCCGGGTGATAATTGCGTTCGACGGTATCTGAAGTGCAATGTATCCTGCGAAAAGAACCGAGATACAAGTATTGAACTGATCTCCTTCCAAACCCAAGTCTTTCTCGATACCTTGGACTCGAGCATTTGCCAAAGCATTTCGGTCTAGGTAGTTTAAGATAATCATAAGAATGAGACATGGCATTAGTCGGATGTCGATTTTCCTGACCAATTTCTTCTCTTTCTTTGCGTACTCGACAGGATTCATTGAATCCAATGCATCAAAATCTTCAACCGAAGGCTGGGAGACCTGATTTCTTGCCATGATTGCGGTGGTAAAGGAGGAAAAGAATAGAACAAAATATGTTTCCTTGGACGACGATTTATCAAATATATAGTATATTTGGAGAGTGGGGTGTTCTGGGGTATTGTTGAACCCCACAGTATCTATTGTTCACCCCGCACCTGTATCAACATGTTTGCGAATTGTTCCGAACTTGCCATGCAGTATCGTGACCAGCGAGAACTTGACGTGAAGATGGTTGGTCGGATGGCTCTATCCGGCTGGTGTTCGACCATTAGCTTCACTAAAAGCGTACAGCATCGCACAACTCAACAGAATTGTAAGGTCTTCAATTGGTAGATGAGCTCGCGATACTTAGACCTCGGTCAACTTCCGAAGCAAACTTTAATGCTCGAAGAATCCAGATCACTTGATCAGAACCTCTGCTTTGTACCTGACTAGACCAATAATGTGAATGCAAGTGAGAGATGATGCGAGATCTGAGAAAGCGCTGAGGTCAGAAAAGCCCACAAAAAAGGCGCCAGCAAGCGCTTGCATAGATGAATAAAACATGCGAAGCGCCAAAAGAATTGCCTGTGTTTCGACGCCCGATTCAAGAGAGGCATTTCACACAGGATAAATCATAGCCCCTGCGAAGCCCCAAAGCAAGTTGAAGGAAAAGCAGTATGAAAGTGCCATGAAGAATGGCATGCTCCATAAACATGACCGCAGCCGCAATGCTGAGAACACCTTGTGCTCTGTGCGACAATCCACGGGGTTGGGATTGGTTTGTTCAGCTCTGAGACAAGGCCGTTCCTGATGCAGGTCAAATCCAGGTTCTTGCTGCTGCGGAGAAGCTTCCACGGACAAGCATTCAGGGTAGTCGGTAACTGCATTGAGAAGGCCCAAGGCTGTGCATGCATATACAGTCCGGAGTGAAGTATGTGTGGAATCGGGGAAAGTAAACAATTGAAAGCTGACTGCACTTTCGTCGCACAAGGCTTGATTTGACAAGATGTCCGAGAGAGATATGAGATCGAAGGCGTCGGTAGAAGAACTTCAGATGTTCCTCGTGGCGCACGCTCGTTGCACCCCCACTGAGGGCTGTACCAAACACACCTCCGTACCTCGCCTGCGGTGCTCTCTCTGCAGAGCACATTGCCTCGTATCCCGCATTCCCACTCGTCACACGAGACGACCATCGAATGAACAGGATATGGTAGAATCAATGAGATGAAAGGATACAAAATAAAGGGCATTATTGCATAGAGGGGCACACAGAAAGAATGAAATGATGAAATGACCCTCACTGCGCCTTCGACGTTCTTTCATAGCCTTGGGGCACAGCCACCGCGGCTTCTTAGGCTGATCCAAGAGGGCATTCCCGCCGCAATTGGTCTCTCCCATTGCGCTCCACTCATCGTGCTCTGAGCCTGTAGGCAAGTGGACCTCTGGACCACTACTTGGGCCGGTCTGCCTTGCCAGCATCGTAGCAGACCATAATTATTTGGGCCTTGCCTGCTTCTTGGGTGCATTATTTGGTACTGCGTGCATCTGAAGTGCGGCTCCCTTCTGCTCGCCATCCTCCTCCATCCCTGCCCACTGCCACACTCACTTGAGAACTCTCCCTTAGGTGATGCTGGATCCTGTCAGCCTGAGCAAACAGACCAGTTCCCTCACCGAGTTATGCTTCGCTAGCACAAAACCTCCCCGCGGTCTGTCTTCTCTCGTTGGCTGTGATTTCTGGTGTCTCACGAGGCAACAATCGAGGCGGATTTTGCACTGTGGTTGTTCTGCTGGTCCCTGCTGTTGCGCTCACCCAGCTTATCAGAGTTAGCGAGTCCTGCCCCCCCGTTCCGCACCGGAGCCGACTGTCTTCCCATCTCATACCTTGCGACCTCTTCCCAACTACCTCCATCCATCTCTTACGTTCCAGTTGCAACTGAATATCTGGAAGAACTCGTTGTCGCATATCGCTAAGAACAGAATCCGGATCATCTTCTATTCTACCGATCGGGAATCGACAACGACCCCTTACTTTGTGCATCTGTTTCATTCCTGCTTCTCTCCTGTTCATCTGAAGAGCTGCGTGCTGCAGATTGTCCACCTCGACTCCAGTCCCCGAAGGCTACCAACATGACCAATGCCCTTTGACCGCAATCAGAGCTCTAGCCTAGCCCACCGAGCACTGCTCTTATAAGAGTCATTCCCAAACATTACATAGCCTCATACACCTGTCACACAGATGTCTTCCGCATTCAATACGGCCTCTACCTCTGTCGACGCTTTTCGCTCACAGGAATTCGATGACAGCTTGGGCCTGAACCACAACTATCTCCCCACCACCCCGTTCGATCCTCACAACCCTTCGCCCTTCAACCATTCACAAACTCTTAGCAACTCTGCTAGTCCTTCATATACTCCTGGCGAGTCTGAGTATAGCGACTATCAACCAAGCGAGTTCATCGAGGACCCTTTCTTTGGCGTCAACTTCGACGCTGGGGTACCCCGAGTAGACTCTATTCCACAAGACCCTATACTTGGCAACGTCGCATACCCTTCGAGCGACCTCAATCGTCCTCTGCCAGACCTTCCAGATTCCACGGAAGACAAAGCACCCACCTCTGCGACCTCCACGAGTTACCCTCTCAGTCCAGTCCACAGCAACATAGCAAATACTCCCTCTCCAAGGGTCGGTGCCAATGACATAAAAAGCAGGACAACTATATCACAGCACGAGCTGACGACCGACTTGCACAATTCACGCTTCCCAAACTTCAATCCACATACACAATCCGCTGTGCTGCAGTTGACTCCTGACAACAGCGGCAGTAGTCATACAAGTGCTGAAGGGTTTGAGCCCAGTGCTCTGTCACAAGTAGAGAATAGCCCAAGTGTTATGGCATCTCAGTGGGGAAATGCGCCGCAAGGCGGCCAATCAAGGAACTTCATGCAGTCGAGCGGGCAGTACCGCGGGACCAACTTCAATGATTTCGGTGGGCAACTTCCAAGCATTAAAAGCGAAGGCCTGGATAACAGCCAAATTTTGCGTAACGAAGACGGTACTTGGAGAACAAATGAGAGTGGACCACTTGGATTGAATCCCGACACTCGGAGAGACTTAGACGACGAGCCCATAGAGACTCTGGACGAGCAGACCGAAAGACTTCGGATTGCCAACAAAAATCGCGAAATTGAAGACTGGAAATCTCAAACTGGTGGTAGCAGTGATGTTGGAGACGAGCTGCCTAGTCGATCCTTCCTTCCTAGCAACGATCCCAATGACCAACGTGGACCTGTAGTAGACCGGCGAACATCAGAAGAGAAGAACAACAACATACCACCTGTGGAAGATGGCGTTAGTGTTCACGAAAATCAATTGATCGAAGGGCAAACATATTTCAACTTCAGCGACCCCAATGTCTCAGATGCCGATAGGAATCTTCTCATGAGCCAAGCTCGACTTTGGGATGATGCGCCAACATTCCCATATATTACTACAACTACATTTCAACCGGGAACCGCCAATGACGCTATCATGCGCTTCAACAGGCATTCCGATACCATGTCTATTGCTTCACGAGCCGCAACCTGGGGTACACGGCGACGTAGCGCCCCCAGTTTGGCAGACATCGAAGGTATTGCGGATGGTAGCTTCATCAAAAAATTGGCCATCACTAAACCTAAGGAAGAAACTCGACCTCGCCAAAACAGTCTTCTGGATACCTTAACCGGGGCTCTGAGCCGCCGAGGGAGTAACAGACAACTCAAGCGTTCACGCAGCTCTCAAAACATCCCAGAAGAGACTGAGGAGCCGCCGCATCCTCGACAAAATAGCCAGGGCAGCCTGACAGTGCCCAAACGAACATTGAGCTTCGGCCGAAAACCAACACCAAGCATCAATAATGCATTGGAAGCCATGGTTGGTACTATGGCCGGTCCTCTTGCTGGGACTGCACATACTCGGAACAACTCGATCAGTGGCGGTGTCACCTCTCCCAAAAGTCCCCACCTTGGCTTTCCAAGATCATTCATGCCTCGTCACAGGAGCAAGAGCGATCTTTCACAGGATAGAACTGCTCAAACAGGTCTGGTGGGCCTTCTTAGAACCCATGGAGGTCCACCTGTCGCTGTCCTGGCAGGTGGTTCAAACTCCGCCGCCCAACCTGAGGTGAAGAAGCCAGCCGTGCAACAGCCAGATCTTGAGGATGAGGATGAGGAAGACGACGACGCGGTTGATGATGGTGATATGAAAGTGGACTCTGATCAACAAGCAGAAGCCATTGTACCTAACTACGAAGGCTTCAAAGCTCACGTGCGACGACTGAACCCCGACATGGAGTCACGATTTAACTGGCTGGTGAGCAGAATTGCACATCAACAAGAAATTCGTTATAAGAATCTTCTTGAGCTGAGGGTTAAGCACTCCCAAGCCATCAATGCTCGTACATGCTCTGCTGGCCGTCATTGTCTGGCTTTAGGAGGATCTGTCACACTCACGGATGCCAAGGGTAACCCTCGGGAGCCTGCTTCGGGCAATCTACAACTAGTGACCGAATTCTCCGACAACGACTCAAATCCTGGAGAGGGTGCTCTTACAGACGAAACTTTTCCACAAGGTGTCCCTATGCCACCTACGCGAAATCTTCCAGCTGAATTCGAATGCCAATTGTGCTTCAAAGCAAAAAAGTTCCAAAAGCCATCAGACTGGACGAAGCATGTACACGAGGATGTACAGCCGTTTACCTGTACATATGATAAATGCAAGGAGCCAAAGTCGTTCAAGAGAAAGGCAGACTGGGTCCGTCACGAAAATGAGCGTCATCGTCACCTGGAATGGTGGGTCTGTCAAGTGGATGACTGCAGACATCCGTGCTATCGGAAAGACAACTTTCTCCAGCATCTTGTTCGCGAGCACAAGTTACCTGAACCAAAGCAGAAGACCAAAGCAGCAATCAAGAAAGCGCGCTTGACTGAGCCGGCTTGGATAATGTTGGAGAAGTGCCACCACGAAACAACGAACAGACCACAAGATGAGCCTTGCAAGTTTTGTGGAAAGCAATTCCCAACTTGGAAGAAGCTTACCGTGCATCTGGCCAAGCATATGGAACACCTCAGTCTCCCTATTCTCAAGCTGGTAGATGCCAGAAGTGTAGATGCAAACACGATTATCAGTCCGGTTGAGCAGATCCTCACTCCGATCACACCCGGCAGTGGGATTCCGAAGAACGAATTTTCTCCAAGCCCTCCTTTCCTTCACGGCATATCTCCCCACATGGCGAACCAGTATGGCCCAAGGGCTTTCGACCAACCGGCTTACTACCCCACAACTGGTCCTCCCTATGGCGTTCAAGCGCAAATGCAGCAGGATGCACATTACAACCCGAACATGTACAGCACTTATGCAGTTCAACCGATGACCCAGTCACGCGGGGGGTTCAATTCAATGGAATCCCACGGGCTCGGGCCTGGCGATCAATCTGGCGTATTTACAGGAATGAACACTGGTTACACACAGCCTAAAATGGAGCCCCAAGGCTTCGAACCCATGAACCAAGGCTTTACAAATCCCATCCCGAATCAACAATTCAATGTCCACCAAGTCACCGGATTTTCGGTGCCTCAGACATTTTCAACGGCACCTGCCGTATCAAGTTTCCAGGCTCCCAATATGCTGGGCATCGACACAGGATACTACGATACTGTGCCTGTCAATCCGGGTCAGAACTTCCAGCAGGTTCCGATGAGTCGGGCTCCAGGTAGTGCATCGTCATACGGCCATTCACCACAGCATGTGCCTTATTACCAGCCTCAATAACGATTTCTTTTTCTTCTATAAAATGTATTTTCGGGCATGGAGTTTGCGGCGCGAACAATTTTCTTTCTTTTCTATAGAGGTGGATCAGGGTTTTCATGACTGTCGATGATTTATAGATACCATGACGATATATGTCTACGTGCTTGTTTTCTTCTTTATATCATAGTAGCTGGGGTTTGGGGCGTCGAAGGATATGCGGATATGAATACAATCAACTACTACCTCTTGAACAGCTTAGCATGTCCCCGTTTCGATTTTCTATGATGTTTTGCCCTATTTGAGCATAGAGCGTACAACTCAAGGAAGTTGGCACGTTCTCGGATACTCGGAGCATTGCACGTCGGCGTCCCAGACTTGCCAGTGCAATTGAATGTCATATAGTTTTAACCTACTTTCATCTTCTCAGTGTAGATTCGAGTGTGCCAGTAGTGGTTGTATTAGGGCTGCAATCGATCTGATCTCTTCTTCTGCTTTCGTCATCTTCAGCTTTTCATGCTCAATCTCCACCGATGCGCACGCCAAGTCCTCGGTCTTCTTCTTCATCTGCTTCTTCCCGAAATCCTCGGCCTTAGGTGTTTTTGGGTCGAAGATCTTTTGTCCCGATAGTGCTGTTGACATGATCATCTCTCCCCTCGTCAAGTTGCTAAGCTCTCGTTCTGTCGCTGGTCTATATGATGCAAATTTGCCAGTGGATCGGTCTCTTGCAACAAGGGATAGCTCGCGAACTCCCACGGGACAAAGGCTTCGGAAGAGTTTATCGCAACATGCTGGACCGCCTCAAAAAGTCACCAAAAACAGAGCCGGTTACAACCTTTCACAACTTTCGATTGGACCCAAAGTCAAAACTTTTATTCTCCAGAAACCCAGACGGTCATGAGAGACTTTGTATCCCTGATAAATACAGACAGGCAGTCTTCGAGATAGCCCACGACCAAAGGGCCCACGTGGGAGCAAACCGTACATAGGACTTCTTGAGACAACACGTTTTCATGTGCCTTTGCGATAGTCTTTGCGATTTCTCCTCGGGCATTGACAGCATCGGGGTAGTCCATATGTATTTGATACTTGTCGTTGTACCGGAGCATGACACGCTTCCGGTCAGCTGGGCTTAAGATGTCATTGCCGTCTTTGTCTTTGAGCTGATGAAAAGGCCAGAATTCTCGATAGAGAATGCCACGATATGAGTATGCATAAGGTGCCGCATAATGACGTCTGTGCGCTCTGGACAAATCGTCCTTCATTCTATTGATCTTTGCAAGCTCGAGATTCTCGTCGACCGGTAGCCACTCTTCAGGTGGAACAAACTTGTCCTTTTCAGGGACTAGCACCTTCTTCGCCGCCTCTATCCTAGATGGAATATGCTTGAGGCCTTTATCTTGTTGAGCCTTCCATTGACGCTTGATGTCTCTCCCGATAATGTCATCAGGCTCTTGGAGGACACTCTGACTCGGGTTTGCCTCACCGTTTTTCTCGACAAGAGTGAACGATCGCTTGTTCTTGCTGAAAACCTTTTCGAGGCGAACAGGTTCGCCGTCGGAGTCTACCCCCTGCCAACTGAAGTCCCTATACTCGGCGTCATCCTTACCGATGGCATCTGAGGGTCGACTTTGCTCGCTCCCCTCTCCCTGCATCGCTGGGGGACTCTTTTGAACAGGCTTCTCCACTGTATTGTCAGGAGAGGACAATTACATTGCTGTTGTGACATGGGTTTTCTCGGTTGTTGCTTTTCCGGTTGGTTCTCGTCGTACTGGTGACTTTTTCCCTTTGCCTTGCTTTGCAAGGTTTTCGTCTTCTTGTGCTTTCGCACCTTCGGCTTGGGATTCTTCGCAGCTTTGACGGCTTTCTTCTCTTTCAATTTCTCCTCACGTTCGGCCGATAGCACCAATTTCTTTGACTTCGTCTCGTTGTTCCACCAATCCGGCTGCACTCCCAAGCAAGGATCCTGCCACCGAACATCATCTACTGAGTCCTCAGCAGCCTCTCACGCATCCTTGATCTTCTTTTCAATTTTGTTTCTCCGGTCCTTCTTCATGTACCATCACAGCAACCCCTTGAAGCTCTCAATGATTGTCGCGAATTTGAACAGGAGCACCGTCTGCTGCTGTGACAGGACCCCGCTGTCATGTAACTGGCGACGATGGCGTTCTCTTTTCCTATGAGCGAGTGATGCGTACTCCCATGTATCTTCCTTGAACAATGTCGATTTCCTGTTAAACTTCTCTCTTCCCGCAGCATGGTTGTATAATCTAATGCTATGAGCGATCTTCCAGGCATCCAACTTGATTCTCCACATGAGAGTACGCACCGTATCGTCATCGAACTTGTCCTTCCCTAGTGTGTTGGGTTCAGCCGCTGCGGATGTCGACGATGAACGAGGGTTCATGAAAGTGTCCAAAATCTCGCTTTCATTCTGCATGTTGTCACTGTCCTTTTTGTGGTCATCCAGGTCCTCGAAGCCCATGTCTGATGGCTCATCGCCATCCGTGTCAGGATTAGATGAATCCAAGTCCACGGGATTCGTCTGCTCAGCCGGAGTACGTGCCGTGATGTTCTGCTCCTCATTTCCATCGCCATAGAAGTCGTTGTTCGAGTCGTTCGTTTCACCGTTTGAGAATGGAGGGGGTCGTCGTCCATGAGGCTCTGGGGAAACATGTCCTTGAACTCTACGTTCTCTTTCTGCTCGCCCATGGAACTCATCTTCGGTTCATGAAAGTGACGTGATAACGCCGTTTGCTTTGTTGTTTCCTTGCCCTCGCCGTCCTCTCTGTTGCACACTCGTATCTCCACTGCTTCAGGCTGTTCGTAGTCCTGCTGTTCGGTTATTTCAGGTTCGCGATAGTTCGAATGGAGTTCGCGTTCTTCTCACGTTTCGAAGATTGTACGTCACCGATACCAGACTTGCCAGTGCAGTCGAACATCCTATGGTTTTGGCCTACTTTCGTCTTCTCGGCCTGGACTGAATCAATGTAGAAGGTGCCTCACACAAAGGTTCGTCATCGCTGGACATTGGGCCGAGCGTGGGTAAGGTTTGTCCCCCAACTTGGGAACAGACTAGCCTTCCTCGTTGTCCTTATTTCGTCCTCCAATGACAATAATACTTCAAGATCTCCTTACTCAGTAGCTTCCGAGTACTAGTCTAAAATGAATAAAGAGGCGCGCTAATCTTTCTCTGATCTTTTTGTTTGTGTTGACATCATTTCAGTCCTTTGCTTCCTTTGGCCACACTTTCGTTGAATTTTCAGTCCCCGCAATTGATAGTTTATTTCACAAGCAAGCATAATGAAGGGGGTTCTTCTTCGCAGTGCCTGGCCGAGATTGCGACTCGCAGGTGGGAGATGAATTCTATTCCGGATGACGGCACTCCCCGCTAGTACGAACGTTAGAACCCATTTTGCCATGTTTCAAAACCGACTTCCCCATCACGAACATTCCGGTACATGACGTGTAGCGCTTGAGAGGTCAGCCTTACCCGTTACTGGGATAATGACAAGTGGTACTACACGAATTTTGGTCAAGTGTATCCATCAGGAGTCAGGCCAAGTGTTCCAATTGGTTGTACAGAAGAACTTGTTCTTTTAGTGTTTGAGCCTCATCGTACCAGGCACTGAAAGTATTTACATCGTCATCAAGTGCTTCAACATCAATCCACGTTCCAATGAACATCATGCTCATTGGATAAATAGCCCGAGAAATGTGTCGCTTGACCTGTGACGATGTACGTTCTTCACGAGTTGTATTACCAAATGGCTTCTAATCAACGTTTTCGCCGGATAGATGTCAATACACTCGAGGCTCGACATCACAGCCCCATGATCATGCACAATGATCCAAGGCCCCTAAGTACGGCACAAGTTCAGACTCCCTCGCTTGTTTGTTGTTGGAAAAGCGAAATGATTGAACCCTTCGAAAATTGGAGCAAAGAGAACTTAACTCCGCTAATTCTTTAAGTCACTTATCTATATCACGTCTTACCTACTGGAACGAAGCATAGGAACGTTGACAGAACCTCAATTCGGAGCGGAAACATCTTACTTCCCCCAGATATAAGATCTCAAGTAGTTCTTGAACCGCGGGGCAGCGCGCTCCTCCCCAGGCTTCGGGGAACCAGACGAAGGGCTTATGACGTGCAGATCAGGGTCCACCAGTGGTCATCCAAGAACTGAAATGATAGGCTCAGCTCAATAGTTCGGAAGTTGCCGTGAAAGTGTATCTAGGACTATGCTCTGATGGGCGGGAGTAGGGGTGGTTAGTCCTCACCTCGGTACTGCTAAATCTGTCCCCGGCTTTTGAATTTCGTCACTGTAACTATGTTGTTCTGGTATCATGAACGTCAAGTGACCGGCTTACAAGTCAACAGTACTAGTTCATGACATAAAAGTCTCCCAGTCTTCCTGCTTTCCTTTCTCAATTCTGCACGCATTTTTGTATCGATATCCATAATTTACTACATTCAATACAAGCACTCAAGTTTCAGCAAGATGAGATTCATCAAGAGGAAAGACCAAACACCCAAAGACTCTTCGGAGACTAAACTGAAAATCAAGACTATTGCAATATGTGCCTTTCCAGCAGCTGGAGGAATCCTCTTCGGCTACGATTCTGGCTGGATTGCTGGTATCCTCGCCATGGATCAGTTCAAAAAAGATTTTGGCAAACCTTCCGTCGACAAGCTGGCATACATGGGATTACTCTACTCCTCCACGGATAAGTCCCTCATAACCTCAATGCTGTCGGCAGGTACATTCTTTGGAGCTCTTTCCGCGGGATACATTGCAGATCGCATTGGACGCAAAAACAACATTATCCTCGGCTGCGCCATCTATGGAATTGGAGTAGTCCTTGAGATGATTCCTCACGGCAGCGTTCCTTTGCTGACCGTGGGCCGTACTGTTGCTGGCTTGGGAGTCGGCCTCGTCTCAGCAACCACAATCACCTATGCCAGCGAGATCACCCCTAAACAGATTAGAGGCTCTGTGGTCGGCGGTTACCAGCTCAACATCACGATCGGCATTCTCGTCGCAGCTGCTATCAATATTGCGACTCAACGTTTGCATAGTACGGCAGCATACCGTATCCCCATTGCACTTCAATTTCTGTGGGCGTTGATTCTTGGAATCGGCTTGCTATTCATGCCAGAATCGCCAAGATATCTGGTTATGAAGGACCGAAAGGCGGATGCGAAGAAGGCTCTGTCGACGATTTGGGGCGAGCCTGAGACTTCGGACATGGTCGAGAACGAATATAAGCTCATCGAGGACTCCTATACGGCTGAGCGAGATTCGGGCGCAGCTAAGGCCACTATCCTCGACTGCTTCCGCGGTGGATGTAAGAGTGGCAGCAATCTACACAGGACTTTCATCGGTATCTCGATACAGATGTTTCAGCAGCTGAGTAAGTCCTAACCCCAATGCCTTGCAAGGACTTGGCTAATATTAGAAAAGCTGGTGTCAATTTCATATTCTACTACGGCACCACTTTCTTCCAAAGAGCAGGCATCCAAAATGCTTTCGTGGTTTCTATCATCACCGCTTCTGGTAATTCACCTCCCCTTGAGTACGGACCTCTATCCAGATATTGTCTCTAACACAACCCAGTAAACGTCGTATCAACACCCATCGCTCTCTGGGCCATCGAATGGTTCGGCCGTCGTCCACTCCTCATATGGGGCGCTTTAGGAATGTGTATCTGTCAATTCATCGTTGCCATCGTCGGAACCATCGAACCCGATTCCGAAGCCGCCCAAAAGACGCTCATAACCTTCGTCTCCTTCTTCATCTTCTTCTTTGCCTCCACATGGGGGCCCGTCGCATGGACGGTCTGCGGAGAAATGTACCCACAGAAAACACGAAGCCAGAGTACCGCTGTAGCGACGGCCAGCAACTGGCTGTTCAATTTCGTGATTGGCTTCGTGGCGCCGTATTTGGTAGACGAGGATAAGGCGGATCTGGGGGCGAAGATTTTCTTTATTTTTGGGGGGTGTGATGTTTTGTGTTTTTTGTATGCGTTTTTTGGGATCTATGAGACGAAGGGGTTGAGTTTGGAGGACGTGGATCGGATGATGAAAGAGACGAGTGCAAGGCACAGTGCGGAGTGGAATAAATGGAGGAGGGCCATTGGGGAGAAAGGTGATGGATCGTCAGACAAAGCAGACCTAACGGAAGCTGAGGATGCAGGAGCTTCCCCATCTTCGGTAGAACAGCAGGTGTAGATCTTGATTTTGGTTTGCTTGGTCTAGATAGATATGCTGCAGGGATATTGCAATGATACCATAGAAATAAATTCTTTGTTCAACCTCCCACGTTCGTCCGTCTTACTCAAATCATGGCACTTGACGACCCCACGATTCGCGAGTGCCGGCAGAACGTCTCAACGTTAAAATCTCACCTGGCTTCCTACTCGTTACATTATTAAATATCTGACTACGTATAAGTAAGCGAGGTCGAACTTTGACTGCATATCTGCCTACGAAAGTGCTTACTTTTCCATGCAAGCTCGCAGATTGACTCACACGGTCAATAATGTTGCGATGAGGAGATATGTCTCATCTCTAGTCATTATTTGTCATTTTCGAAGCATCCATAAATGCTTATTGGAAGCGCATGGGGCCATTTGTTTCGGATGAGAGCAGTTGAATTGAGTCTACCTATTTGACATGGACAACATGACTTCAGCGAAAAAGGATGAGAGAGTCTACATGCGTGATGGGAAGTTCACTCCAGAGTTCGATGCATTCGTGAAGGAGAAACTCGACAAATGGCATGTTCCTGGGATGTCTATTGCTGTCATCCAAGGGGATGATGTTTGTGCGAAGGTAAGTCTCACGAGGCAAAATGTGAAAGTCGAGATTTATTAATTGTATGTAGGGTTACGGATTCGCCAGATTACCTGATGAGCCTGTGAGACCAGAAACGCTGTTCAATTGTGCGAGCATGACGAAAGCATTTACTGCTACTGCTACTTCCCTTTTAGTAGATGACAAGAATCATCCGGATGTGAAATGGGACACGCCAATGTCCCATCTTATCGGGGATGATTTCGTTCTTTCTGATGGTCGATACACGGCCGAGGTGACCATTGAAGATATGCTCTCTCATCGAAGTGGTTTACCTGAGTACATTGAATGTCCCACCTGCACTGATAACCATACTGACACACTTCAGCTGTGACGACGCATGCTACGGAATCTACGCAAAGAACCCAGACAACACCAAGTCCATCGTCCGAAAACTGCGTCACATTCCCCTCGTCTCACCTCTACGAACGACGTATAACTACTGCAACGTAGGCTACACAGTCGTTGCTCACATGATCGAACGTCTCACTGGCCAATGGTTCGGCGATTTCCTCCGAGAAAAGATCTGGGAACCTCTCGGGATGAAAAACACCTACTACGGCCTCGACGATCTCCGGAAACGTCGAGGAACAGACGATCTCGCGAAGTCGTATCGATGGGATAAAATTGAGGAGAAGAACGAAGAAATGCCTTGGTGCGATCAACCAGAGGGAAGTGGCTGCGGAGAAGTGTTCAGTAATGTGCTTGATTATGCCGCATTCCTAAAATGCATGATGAAGAAATCGGGTCCGATATCAGAGGAAGGACATAAAGAACTTGTGGCACCAAGGATCATCACGAGTCCGGGAGAAGAGCCGATGCCGTTTATGGCTCATCGGTTGTACGCTCTGGGATGGGAGATTGAGAATTTTCACGGAGAGAGGACGGTTGGGCATGATGGTGCTGTGACCGGGTTCGCGTGTAAGATGTTGTATATCCCGCGCTTGAATTGGGGTATGGTAGCGTTTGGCAATAAGGATTTCGCTAATGATGCTATTGATGGGATTGCGTGGGGTCTTGTGGATGATCTGATGGGGATTCCGGAGGAGCAGAGGTTCGATTGGGATGAAGATGCGCAGAGGATTTGGGACAAGTATGAGCCGAAGACGAGAGAACAGCTCTTTCCCAAGATTCCAGATCCGCCAATTCCTCTCTCGAGGCCTTTGTCTGAGTATGCTGGGGTATACAATCATCCTGGGTTCGGAGACATGGTTGTTGAGCTCAAAGATGGCAAGTTGCAGGTCGATGCCACGGATCGTACATGGAGGTTTATGCATTATCTCGATCATGTTTCCGGCGATTTCTTCTTTGTGGACAGGGTTGAGGTACCCTCGAAGGAGACGGGAACTGGGAAAGCTCAGTTTAGGATCAATGCTGATGGTAGAGTGATAGCTTTCGGGATGGATCTCATTGCTGGAATGGAAGATGAGAAAGAGCCGATTTGGTTTGAACGAGGAGATTTACATGAAGGCAAGGACGAGGGAGGAAGTGGGTGAACATAGAGCTAGAAGAACAATCCAAATATTTTGCCAGAGACTTCCTATTCGTACCTATGAATGAGAATCGATGGTTATTGTGTTGATCAAAGTCCCTTGAAGCCGACGCCAAGAGGCAAGTAAGCTCGAGTGTAGTATTTTGAGTCCACATTAGAAAGGGAATATCTCTGAAGACATCGAGTTAAGAGTGACATCGCAAGTAAGCTCTTCTTTCACCTTTGTTTCCACGCAAGCATCTCAGCCTTATGTCCGCTCGAAAGCTCCCTCGCTAGCCGATCCACTATCCTCAATTGGGCAAACACGCTTAGAGGTGTATAAAGTTAAATAAGCGAAATTTGTGTTCACAGGGTTTATAAGCTTTCTAGGCTACTATGCGGTAGGTATATATATATTTATATGTGGTTGCGGCCTACTCGTACCTGGCTATTAGGAGCGGCATAAACTCGAGTTGTAATTTAATCAGTTCGCCTGGTTTTATAAGGGTCCTTCGGGGCCCCCAATTTTAGATACTTTTTTCTATGATATTGTTTTTAGAATAGTCAAGGGTGGAAATTTTTTTTTTGGATGAATTCACTCCTGCGGGTACAAGTCTATTGCTTGTGTGATCACTTTTCAAGTTGTGATTTTTCAATTGCGTGATGGTTATGAACGCCTAGCTAAGTGATGAGAGGGAATGCCAGAGGTCAAATGGCAAGAGCTTTGGAACAGCTCTTAGCATCAGATGCTTCATTTTTTTGATGAAAAACGAGTTGAGTTGACCTAAGAGTGTGCTTACTCCAAAAGTAAAAAGTAACTCAAATCACATACAGAGGAGCTTCTCATTTCAACACGAGATGAAATGCGATGGAGGGGGTAGCACTTCACGTGACGAAGTACCTTTATCCGAAACTGAAAGCCGAGCATCTCCGAGACTTTGTTTTGATCCTTCTTATCCGGTTGGTCCTGTCGTAAGAATCATGTTGGCTTTGCGATAATATCTTGTGTATAGATAGTCTTTCTTTCTTGTACCCCACATTCGCATTCCGCTTGGGTTGATTTTATCTTGTCCTTGTAACGTTGTGCGCACCTCATGATCTCGAATTGCGATTTGTCATGACAACAGTATTGACAAGACTCCTAGGGGAGCCAGTCCACAATGTCGGTCTCATTGTTGGAACTTCAGTCATTGCCACTATTACGGTTTTGAGTCTGAGTAAGCTCGCATTTTCACGCAGCCTTCCCCAGAAAATCATTCCCAGCCCGAGAGAAACCCAACTCCCAAGACTCTCTAAAGAGGAACAAGAAGCCTTGCCTTATCCACCGGACGCCTTTCCCGGCGCCAGGGATGCTGTCAGCCCTGTAAGTTCCACAAAACCAAGGCTCGAGCCCTTACTGATTGTCGAAAGTACGGCACCATCAGGGTCTACGAATGGGGACCAGAAACCGGCAGGAAGGTACTCCTGATCCACGGCATTAGCACACCTTGTGTGGCTTTGGGTGGAATTGCTCGTGGGTTGGTGGAGAAAGGATGCAGAGTCATGCTGTTCGATCTTTGGGGAAGAGGTTACAGCGACATGATCGATCTCCCTCTTGACTCTCGTCTATATACCACCGAAATCTTATTGGCCATTACTTCCTCTTCATTGCCCTGGACTCCTGGTGGATTCAGCCTCGTTGGATACTCACTCGGTGGCGGAGTAGCTGCTGATTTTGCGAGCTATTTTCCAGCAATGGTGAATTCACTTGTGCTTCTCGCTCCAGCAGGATTGGTTAGGCCATACCACTATTCGTGGGCAACTAGAGCCGCATACAAGAATCCTCTTCCAGACTCCTTCTTGGAGTGGTTGACGAAGCGTCGTATGGGAGGTGGAAGCACATACAAACCGATGACAAAGACAGGCGACCAGGACCATCCGACAACTGGCGAGGAATTAAAAGGAAATCGAGACTATAAGTTCGAGAGTGCTGTCTTGACAACGAACAACTCAAAGTCTGATGTCACCGTTGCAGATGTGGTACAATGGCAGATCAATAATCATGAAGGCTTTATCAAGAGCTTTATGAGCTCTGTCAGGCATGCGAGCATCGAGGAGAAGCATGAGACATGGACGAAGCTTAGTACCAGGAAGGATAAAGTTCTCATTATCGTAGGTTCAACAGATCCCGTCATCATTGCGAAGGAGCTGCATGAGGATGCTGGGAGTACGATTGGCTACGATAATCTAGAGTGGAGAGAAATCGACAGTGGCCACGAATTCCCTGTCTCCAAAGGAGACGAAACAGTCGCAGTCATCAGTGAAGTCTGGGGTTTATAGAAAGCTGTTGGGAAGTGTTCTGAATACAGGCTGGAAGAACGTTTTCATGGACTGGTCTGAAAGACTCGAGCTTTTCACTGTTTTTTGTCTCACTCAGCTGTAATCTGAATACAAAGATTCCTAGCACGATCATAAACGTTTCCTATCTCATGGAGCCTCTCTCTGTCTGATTTGCTTTCCGCTGTGTGATTGAGTCGAATGCACGCGCGATAAGCTTGTCCATTTGACTTTCATCTCTCACAATTGAATTCGCAAAATGTCTGATTACGCATTGGTGATTAAGGTCTCATGTTTTCATCATGGTAGTTTATTATTGGTATTGTAGGTCTGACATACTGTCGCTCGTCATTCGCGTATGTAACGTCCGTAACCTTCGCCCCGAACGAACTCGGTCCCAAAGTTCGAAGCGGCCCCAACTTAAGGTGCAGTTCTGGCAGCTGACCACTTTGTCTAGTTCTATTGTGTTTTAGTTCACTTTAGCTGCTTTCTCTCAATGTTTACGCGCGCAGACTGTTCAACTTTTTCTTTCCTCTTACACATCAAACTCATTCCACTCAAAGACAATTTACAGAGCTCGAAAATCAGAATATTGAACTTTCAGTCATATTCTATAACACTCGAAAAAGTCTACTCAAAGGGGAATCATTCATACAATTCTACCAGTCAAGATGGCGACTCCAATCGAGATGGACGACATTGCAATCACCATGGACATCGAAGTTCTCATGTCCAAACTCACTGTTCTCGAGAGGACCTTAAGCAACCAATCCCAAATCGAATCGGAATTCGAGGATAATGATTCAATCACCACAATCTCTTCAGATGACTTCAACGACCGAAGCATGGACATTCGAGACGCTCGACTTGCCAACTCTATTCTGTCCCTGGACGAAGACATCCCAGAACATATCGATGCAAGCATCAAAGAACTTCTCACAACACACAACAACACCACTGGAGCTTTGGGCTACATGGAATTCATCGTCACCGAAGAGTACCTCGAATACAAACACAGCATTGCAGCCAAAAAAGCCACCGAGAAGAAACTTCCTCGATCAAAGGGACGACGATCTTCACAAAAACAGTCAACAGCAGTCACAGTCACCGAAGTGGACTGAATCATTCAGAACAACTGAATGTACATCAACAAGACGATGATGCTGCTTCCCACGCATCTGCTCGACCTCATCACGGCACTCTCTGCCTCACAAGAAACCCAAAAACCAAATGTGCGTGCTTTCCAATAGACTAAGGTCTGAGCCCTCTGACTCAGTTCTTAAGGCCACGATACCATCATTGGAATATCTACGAGAATGTTCCATGGCATCTCAAAACGGACTCGGTCCCAAGAAACAACCACGTCAAGTCAACACGAAGCGAAACTCAAAATCGAGCTAGCAAAGGAGTCAAACGCACACGGCAAATGGATGAAGTACCAGACCACAAAAAACCAGTAAGTCTTTTTCTACAGAGATTAACATTGCCTGGGCTTTACTTACACAGAGAAAAGTCAAACGCAATATTCGCGTAAATAAGGGGCTGCACTGGACACAACCCAACCACCAATGGAGCTTCAAATCGGCCTGCAATCAAAAAAGTACGTCTTGAGACTCGGATCTGAAGTTGATAATCTAACACGAGAAAGACAAAAAGTACCACCAGGCCTAAACATTCAACCACCACGCCATTGAAATCACTCAGGGCATGATGCAAACAACATCCTATGTCGGCAACCGAGTCGAACACCTCCTGGAGACGTCCAAAAGCCATACCACCAAAAAGCATCTGACACAACAACGAGATACAAGAGCTAAACGGACACTCGTTCACCAGAAATCCTTCAAAAAAAAAACATGAAAGACTCGGAGCAAAAAACAACAAACGGAATCGTCGATGATTCTGGAAAGCTACGAGTCAAAGACTTCAGAGTTCGGGTTCGACACCACGACGACAAAGATCAGAATACTACAAATCATGATGCAAGAAGGAAAGAGAGGAAATAAGTCAATGTGATCAGACAGGATCGGAGAAAGAGTAAATCTGGGCATGTATCAACTGCAGGTACTCTTTTGTCCTCTCCCTCATCAATAGGGGAGAGGTTTTAATGAGGCCTGATTTCAACCACCAAACATGAACTTGAAACTCCTCGTGAAACCATGATATCTATCCCCTCAAGCAGCCATCTCCTCTTCACTCACAAAATCACTTAAAAACTAAAAGTGATCAGCCCTCCCAGAAAGGAGCTCGCTTAACACCCCTGCCCTCACGCGCACCAATTCACGCGTCCACCAACGCGTCTCTCTCCCTTCCTTCCTCCTTCACCGCACCTTTCTCCCAACGTCAAACAATCCCAATGTCCGCAACCTCACCACCACACTCCCCCCTCCCCAAACGTCAAAAACCCAACCCCACCCCCGACTCCCCCTCAATCACCACAACAATGGCAACCGAACCCCCCGCCGCCGTAACGAAAATCTCCACCCACCCACCCCTCCTGATCAAGAAACTGAGCGAGAAAGCCAAGCTGCCCACGCGCGGCAGCGCCTTCGCGGCCGGATATGACATCTATGCTAGTAAAGACACGGTTGTGCCTGCGCGGGGAAAGGTGCTTGTGGATACGGATCTGAGTATGGCTGTTCCGGACGGGACGTGTGCGTTTGCCCTTTCCCCTTCGCTTTCTCTTTCCGTTCCCTGTCTTTTTGTGATGCAAGCTGATGCAAAAGGGGGAGAATAGATGGACGAATTGCGCCGCGGTCAGGATTGGCGTCGAAGCATATGATTGATACGGGAGCGGGGGTCATCGACGCGGATTATCGGGGCCAGGTCAAGGTGCTGTTGTTTAATCATGGGGAGAAGGATTTTGAGGTTAAGGAGGGGGATCGGGTTGCGCAGTTGGTGTTGGAGAGGATTTATACGCCGGAGGTGGTTGAGGTGGAGGAGTTGGAGGAGAGTGTTAGGGGGGCTGGGGGGTTTGGGAGTACGGGTTAGATGGATGATAGATGGTGGGTGGGATCTGGAGTTTATGGTGGAATGGGATGAAGGGAAAGAATAGATGTGCTATGATCTGAATGCTATCAGACGTCTGTCTACATGCATGCTTGACATTCTATACTCTGAACGCCGCCGTTGCTTATTCTGGCTTTGTATATCCCATCTATACCGTCTCGGCTCTAAACTTAACATCAGGATCTTTCAACGCTTTCAAATTCCTCACAAGTCTAACTTCCGCAGCTTTCGACTTCACCAACCTCAACTTCTTCTCATCACTCATCGCATCCCTCCCTCCGACCTGCTTACTATATCTCTCTAACTCCGCATCTCTACTTTCTTTCGTCTTCGTCAAAACCTCGTGCATACTCGCCAACACCTTCTCCGTAGCTTTCGCAAGCGGTAATTCCGTAGCCTCTACTTCATCACCGCTCACCCACGCCGCCGTCGCCATCAAACCCGGAACATTAGTAACCGCTTCCCGAAACCGCACCAGCATCAACGCTGCAAACATGTCTCCTGTCCCACTAAAGAAGCAATCGATAGCCGGTATCTTGATCCCAAAGATCCTCGGCTTCGCCCCCGTCGTGAACGTCGATCCTACCACGGACAGCGAAGGCGTAGCACCATGCGTCGGAAACGCTATCGACGTGATGAGGATATGTGGGATTCTATACTTTCCATGCAGCGTCGTAATGGCCTCTTTCAACGAGTCCATATCCACAATCTTGACTCCGGATAACGTCCTATGTTCCACTAATCAGCTTTCCCCGTCCCACTCAAGAGGAAGAAGAAGAAAACATACTCCGCCTCGAACTGATTCGGCAGAATCAGATCCGCATCCTTGACCAGCCCCTTATAAGCAGGCACTACATCCTCCGCAACGTACAATTTCCCATTATCCCCCATGACGGGATCGAGGACCCAGAAGAAACTGCCCGGTTTCATGGTAGCTTTGTATTTGAGATCGCGGCCGATGGTGCCCACGGCCTCGACGGAGGCAGCGCCGGGTAGGTAGCCCGAGAGCATCATCTGGAAATCGTCGAGGTAGGAATCTTTCAGGCCTTGGTAGAGGTCTGTTATCTCTTGGGCGGTGGCGCGGGTTCCTTTTGCTTGGCCGTAGCCTAGATGGTTGCCTGTTTTGTTTCTTCTTGTTAGAATTTGCGTGACGTGAAGTATTTGGGGGAGACAGGAAGGGCGTATTACTGAACTGAACGGTGTTGAGAGCTGCTACTTCGCAGCCCAGTGATTGCATGACGAAGGTCGCCATTGTGTTCCCGACGTATCTTTAGAGCTTAGTCGTTGAGGTTTGGGAGGGGGGTTCTTGAGCGGCAGACTCACCCGTAGACAACCTTCAGTAGAATGTCAGTCTGGTCCTAGCAATTGCTTCAGTAGTTTGTGTCCTACATGACTGGCGACTGCAAGCACGCGAGTCTCGGGCACAGGAAATTCTGAGTCTGACATGATTCTCGTTGGAGGGATCGAGTCGCAGATGAAATATTCAGGTAGGGAACGTAGATTGAGCTCAAAGCACAAAGGAAATGGGGAGAAGGAGTCACAAGAACCACTTGGTGAGTCGCATGCTCGGTCGGACGAAATCTTATCTCAGGAATGGCTCTCAAGGTGGGGTTGATCATTCCCGAATCATTACCCCGCGCTAAACCCAAAAGAATCAGTTCATTTTGAATTGGTACCACGGTATTTGTGGGATGGACTTTTGGGAGGATACTGCATTTCTTCGTGTCATAAAAACATTGTCTTAGGCAAAGCAAATCCGGGAATCTTCATGACCCATAATGCAGTTGACTAAAAGCAAGCACCATATCCTTAAAGTCAACCTTCACGCCGCATTCAAATATGCTTTATACCTCATACCATCATTTATTATTGTACCACCATCATGTCGTCTATTCCTCGTCACCAATCTAGGATGAAAATTAGCATGTGTCTGATGTAGTTTTGAAATTGTGATGTATACCTTAGGAGCAAGGTAGAATCTGAGATAACTGCTTCCTGCCAATTGATACTCAACCAAGAGGGGGACTTCGTTGGAGAGGCAAAGCTTGACAGATTTGGACAAACCGGCGGCCTTGCAGAAGTTGACGAGATATTTGAGAGAGAAGGTCAAAGAGACCGGTTCCGTGAGCTCGATTTCAACGTCCAACTCGGGCTTCTCGACATTGCTGTGTGGTCGCAGAGTGACGGCACCATTTCCAATATCACCAGCACAAGAGAACTTGACACCATCCTTAGAAGCCTCAATGGAAACTATAAAGACAATCTGGTTAATATAATACTTGCAGACGTTCCCTGTGCACACATACCAGATTCAGACAAAGCCATAAGATCAACACAGATTCTCCTGAACTCGGTAGACGGCATGCTGATCGTAGCCGCGTACTCAGTATCAGGAATACCCAAGTGCTCTTGATCGATATCCATCAGCTTCAAGTCATATTCACTCAATCTATCACTCTCGCTGCTCTCAAAGACCAAGTTGAGCACATCCGGCGCGTCCTCTGCTTTAATCGTCAAGATATCCTCGTTACCAGCAGCACGGAGCACTTTCGTCAGGGACGTAAGGTTGAGGCCGAGGGCGACATTGCGATCGCATCGGTAGGGTGAGAAACTCTCTGCCTTGAGCATCATGGATACCAGCGCGACGTGGGAGTTGTCCATGGCCTGGAGGGCGACGCCGGAGTCATTGCAGTCGAAGTTGCAATCTTGGACGAGATCCTTGATAGCATCGACGATCTTTGGTAGTCAGTGTATATTCAAGAAGACATGCAAGAGGGAATTCTACCTTCTTTAGCAGATCTGCTTGCTCGAGACGTGCTTCCAACACTTCATTCTCAGTTAGCACTTTCTGGGCTGAGGAGGCAATTCAAGATTGCAGATGTCCCTTACTCTTGAATTATGCAGTGAATTCAATTAAGGAGTGGAGGGTGAGGTTGGGGAAATTCGAATTTGATTTCAGCGTCGTGTGGTTGGATTCTTGTTTGCGAAGAGAAGAGGAACAGAGAAAACGCGCTTTGGAGGAGAGGACGCGCTTGATCGCGTTGAGTGGAGACGAATTAGGTCAAGCGCGATAATTTCTTTCTGCCTCAGGCATTATAAATAATAAGGCATCAATGGAAAATCAGGCATTTCTCGTTAAAGAAAAGGGGGACTTTTAGTATGTACAAGAAGCTCGAATACGCGCATCCAACGTGCACACAAGTTACTGCGATTGCAATGGGGTCAAATTAAAGTTTGAGATTATATAGAATTTTATTTGGACTCAAATAAAGTAAAATCTACCAAATTGTGTTCATCATCACGATAATTACCACCGCCTTGCAGATGAACTTTAACCTAGGTAGACTATTTGGATGTGGGTCATGTCGCAGCACAGCGTGTATATTTATCACTTATATCCTCACCTATATCATGTTTATATCGCCTGCTCTCAGTGACCATTCTTGTGAGGCATTCTGGATAGCTATGGCCGACCCATCCACCGCCGGGCTTTAGTAACCACCATCACCAATGACGCAGAGAAGCTCTTTAGCCCAGGGCGACATGATGCACCTGCGGCAGATGTGGAGGTTCTTGCTGGTTCAATGCGAGTACAGCAAAACGTGTAACCATTCAAAGTCGTGTTTGGTTCAGGACAATCGTCGTTCGGCGATATCTGTTCTTCTGTCAGTCATCGGCGATTTTCGATGTGCGGCCATAACTTCATGAAATTGAATCTTGCTCTAGGAAATCATGCAGAGGGCAAGTTTCAGAGTAGAGTAACGCGACCGACAATGAAGTCTGGATAGGTCTGCGTTGTCTGATCGTGGAGAGAATGGAAATCGTAAGAAAGTTGTCGTAAGGAAAAGGCATTGGCCATTTGCCAGAAATTTGTCAATAGAGTCTAGACCGAGGACTTCTAAGGCTTCAACATAATATCGTATGTTGAAGAAATCCGATCAGTTCTTTGCAGAAGACACGAGAGAAGTCTAAATGGTAGCATGTCGAAGAAACCGTTCGATGCTTACGCCTTTCGATGATGACTTTTTCGTGATTGGGTAGCTCGTGGTATACAGGCACATGCGGCACAGCAACAATTAGCAACAATTAGCAACAATTAACCCCCAGAATGGAAGCAGGGCGGCGAACATAGATCGTCGATGAAGAAGCCATAGAGTTCCAGCGTGTTCGCCTTCGTCCTCTGGTGTATTCTGTGGAAGAACCAGGTATAGTTCTATGATCTCCATTGCGTACATGTCTTGGCTGTGAGAGGCACAGTATCCATGAACTGGACATCAAAACTTCCATGTTGGTCCTAGAAGTCCTGTGCATGTCAACTCGGCATGTGTGGCGGCATATCGTGGCAAGGACTTGATGCAGGACTCTCTGAAATCTCAAACGGCTCGGAACGTTGCCAGAGAAGGTTCGCTCTTGCGCGTCGTGTCCCTGTATGCAGAAAAAGGAGGAATCGCTGCGAAACGTTGGAACAAGGTCTCCTATAGGAGTCGTTCTGCGTCGAATTTTGCCTTTCCGGCCGTTAGAGACGTTGAGACATGTGCTTAGGAATCGGAATCTAGAGGTACCGACTTGGTTCAAATCCTAGAGCACAGGGCACTCTGAAGGATTCAACTCCCCCAATATTGACACCTGCATCGTGGTGCATGATTGACTTATCGGACAGGCCGAATTCTTATCAAGTTCTTGAAGTTTCAAGTCAGAGCTCCTCTTGAATCTTCACGTGTTGTTAAGTTGCGCTTAGGTATCGACCGGTCATTCCGGCTTCGACAGCGATTTTGACGTGAGGCTATCGATAGCTTCACCAGACCTCGTCGAAGTATCCTTGACTATAGCTCAGACAGGCTTCCCCTTTAACGCACATGAAGAATGAAGCCGACGATTCGACCGTTGTGTTTTTGTCCTTGTTGAATTTGCCCTGGTCGAGAAGAGTTTAGATTCGAGAAAGGGGCAAATAAGCTATCGAGAGTTGAAACTCGTGGAGAAGGCGTCGCTTGTAAGGTAGTACCGATCGTGGCGAGAAAAGGAGAGAAATCGAGCTATTGAATATTGGAAATGAATTCGTTGAGAGGGTAATTTCCAACACACCCCACATTCTGCTGAAATCAGAACATTTGCAGAGCACGTACCGTCACCACTTCAGAGCTGCTGTTCCGCACGTTCTTGAGATTCGAATGTTTGACGGGGCTCTGATCATTCAGCGTTCAGGGACGACCCAAGCAGCTGGTATTTCCGTAGACTGAAGAGTAATTTCCACAACTCCACAGGACCACAGCTCACGAGCTACTCGGTGATCACCGCGCTGGACGTTCACAAGTTGAAACAAATTTCGAAAAGCTTTTTGTTCAGCCTCAGCTCAGTGCGCAGACGGGAAACGACATCCGTAATAATTCTAGACCATGGTATTAACAGAACAAAGAAATATCATGATGCACTCGCCGCATGATCCCTAATAGTGTAGAATGTGGAGAAGAAAGTCAAATGAGGTTTTCTTGGCCTGGGACTTCTTCTCTACGAGCCTCCTATCGATATCCACAATCGGTACCAACGACCCGACTAGGGCTATTTGGAATGCTGGAGGCTATTCTAGAGCAGCGCGACCCATTACAGAAATGGTCCTGTAAGCCACCGATGGGAAAGCCGCTGGGAGGACGGAATACAAGTCTACTCCACAAGGCTGAACAAACTGTAGCAGTCTAAGAGGAACGGACGAGTTAGTCACAGCCGCACGCTCGGAGCATTTCCATAAATATCAAAGACAAGAGGGTTCACCAGTGATGAGAGGACCAGTCGGCACAGAGACACCAGCGACGAACGAATGGGCAGCAGGGATGAGGTGTGCATCTGCACGATATCTGTCCCTGGCGTCTTCTCTGATCTCAGCCCCGACCGTTTCATGTTTTCGTGGCTTGCCGACGGCACAGCACTGCCAAATGTGATGTGATTGCTGAGATGTATGTGTTCGAGCTTGCCTGGCCCGGCAACGAACGAGACGGCGGCGGCGGTCGAGTCAAGAGGGCAAGTGAGTGCGTGAGCAATACGTGATGAGTGAGTTTGTGATCTGGTTGTACCGTACAGTACCGCACAGTCAGTACCGTACTAGGTCGCACAACGACCACGTCGGGTCGATTACTGGAATGGTGATGCCTGCTTGCGATCATAGAAGCTCACAAGCTCCCAATCGTCGACCGGTGTTCAAACCACGCACACGATCTGCGGGATCCCTGGCCTTTCAATCTCGTTGTATGGCCGGCCGGCTCTGCTTACCTTAGGTAAACATGCGTAGGCGACATTAGACGGACGGCTGTACTGGAGTCTGCTAGTCTGTAAAGCTCTCCACAAATGCAAATCAAATGCGGACTGGGCTACTCCCACCTGATTGGTCGTCGGTGGGGTCGCACCTCACCTCACCTAATTGTACGAGCGAGAGCCGACAATTCGAATTCTATTTCGGACATGGCTGTGCTCGTAGCTGCCCTGCATACCACCTCCACCAAGACCACCACACAGGGCGACGACCACCAACAACAGATTCAAGCAAACATTAATTCCGAATCATATCATGTCAAGTGTCGACTAAACCTTATGTTATCCCGACCCCATCAGCGCTGCGCATTGGGGCTCCAATCAAGGAGATTATTCAGAGCCTGTCATAGGTCACATCCATTGTTTCTTAATTTGGATACAGAGATCCGATCTGATCTGGAGATTCTATGGACATCAAAGAAGATAGAAACATAGAACAAAAAAAACTCCCCGCGGATGGTAACCCGCCGTGCTAAGTGGCCGGTGCTGGAGGTTCCATCTGAGCCGCCCTCTTTCAATTTTGCACCCATTTGTCCAACCCATACCCAACAGCCCCATTCAGCTCCGAAGTGTCACTTTGTGATGTGAGATGTAATGTGTTAATCTTTTTTTTGAATAATTGAAGTTGATGTTCTGAATCCCTGAAGCCTGATCCTAAAGAAGGGTATAGAAGTTTCCCACCCAAAACAGTCCCGGTCTGATGTGGACCTGGGACGAACGTTTTTGAACCAAACGAATGTTCTAATTCGGACGCCGTAAAATCCCATCCAAAAATGTTGCGCCTTGCAATGCATCGTGATCCTTGTTGCCGTCTACTCCTGCTGCCGCTGCCGCTGCTCCTCCTCCTCCTCCTCCACAACCACCACCACCGCTCCCTCATGAGTTCCTCCTCGACTTGCACTTGTCGTGAGCCATGTGGCCGTTTCTCGCCGTAGTGCGGGTAAACTCAGCCCCGCAATTGGGGCAGCTTGACTTCTGAGCTGCTCCAGACTTCTCTCGCTGATGGCGTAGTAAGTTACTAAATGTGGAAAACTGGCGTCCGTTGCAGCCGTGCTCCCAGCACTGTGGCTTAGGACGGCTGTGAACCACTCGTACATGGTCGCCGGACTCGGATGAGACCACCTTCGGGCTCACTTGCTGAGTCCTGTACAGTGCTGCCTGATCCGGAGCTGAAGAGAGAGACAGTGAGTGTGGACGGCCAACATATGATGCTAGGCTGGGTTGTTCACCATTGGAAAACGGCATAGAATATGCTGGAGCTGAAGTGAAATCGTTTGGACCCCTTGAAGAGCTGTTAGTGAACAGATTCTTGATCCTCTAGATGGGAGAATACTTACATTGTAAAGACTGGTCCGTACATCTCTGAAGGTGGCTGCTGGTTGAGAGGTGGTGAGTATGGCGTCAAGAAGTTTGTGCTTCCCAACGCCGGTGAGTTCTGTAGAGAGTCTTGTGATAGAAGAGGAGATGGAGTGAGTGCTCCTGGGTATTCGGGAACGGTTCTGGGTAGAAGATCTGGCGAGCCAGCCTGAGATGACAGGTAAGGGTTGCTGGTGTTGCTCGTCGATCTCTCCCTCCTCACTCTCGTTTTCGAGTCCCTTCTCGCATGATCACGCTGACGCTTCAGTTCTCTTTGCTCCGGAGTAAGGCTTGCTCGAGGTGGGCTTGAAGAAAGAGATCTCGCATACATAGGCATGAGTTTTGGTTCATCGTACAAGTGCGGTGTTAGTTGTCCTGAGTTAAGACCCTGATTCGCATGATGTGGCATGAACTGTTCATGCATCTCGAATTCTAGAAAGTGTTAGTATCTTTGAAGTTCAAGATGGAAGTTGCGCAACTTACGAGGCCATGTGTACGTGTGACGAAGACCGCCGTGCATACTGGCATCAAAGCGGTCGTCGAACTGCTGAATTCCGAGAGTACTGAGCATTGTTAGATGATGAGAAAAGATGAGACGGGATGAGATGATTTCTACCTCATAGTTGATGGATTTGAATTGGAGCGGATAGATCTTTGATCGCCGAATGGTTGATGTTCGACTCTAACTAAAGGCACCGAGTCGGAGTGTTCTTCCGTCGACGAGATGAAACTCCAGTTCGCATCCAAGTCGGTTTCTGAAAATAGAGGAAACGGAGTAAACTGTTGTTGAGGAGCTGGGGCTGAGATAAATGGTTCTGGTGAAGTTTGGTTTTGGTCCAGGAAAGTAGGAGGTGAAGCGCGGAAGTCCGAAGTGGGATGAATGCCTGATGAGGATAATGATCCACCCGGTTCGGCTGTCGTCGATGAAGAAGAAGACTGAAGGTTTAATCCTTGGAACTGTGCGGCTGTCGACGAGAGATGACTGTTCGACCGTGATCTGCACTGACGTGAGTCTTGTGTACTCATATAGTTATTCTCCATCAGGTCTGGGGGCTGTGGAATGATGACAGCGGCACATACGGTTGCTACTCGAAATAGACAAACAACAATTCGTCGATGGAGGATTTACGAGTGGTTATAAAACAACGAGAAGATGTTGACGCAGGGAAGTAGCAGTGCTCTGAGAACAGACGATGAGGAGAGGACCTATTTTGGATGTTTTGACGGATTCTTAGAGGCATAAAGGTTCATGGCCCTCCGCCTCAACTCAACCAAGGGAAACAAGGCTATAAAGTACCTGACCCATGCCACTCGAAGGCGTTGGCTGTGAACGCCATTGGGTAGATCCGAACATTCTGAAGGATTTCCATCCCTGTCGTTCTAGTCTCCCCTCAAAGAATATCGCGCCAAACTGACCCTCCCGCTCTCTGGAATTTTGGCACGTCAAATGTCCTAGCGTGATACGGCAAGGCTTCCCAGTGCGCGAACAGGCTCTGTCGATGTCTACGCCGCAGAGGAGAGCAGTGCTGGGCCACACACGCCGGTGCGTGGCATTTGAGATGCGGTGCCGTAGGGAAGTAAGTCTACGATGACCGTCTCTCTCATCCCGTGCACCTCAGCTTACGAGACGGATATCACACTTGAGTGAGGGACACGAGGACGAAAGTTGTACGGAGAGACAGAAAAAGACAGGACAGGACCAGACCAGACCAACCCTGACTAGGAGGACTATTGGCATGGACAGAGGAGGACCCCCAGGAAACTTGTGAAATGAGCAAGGAGAGTTATGAGAACCGTGCTCCCTCTTGGCCGTTGCGCTGCAAGAGAATGCACGGCGAGACAGACACTAGTAGCAATGGAGATGAGGTGGGACGTTGTAGCACGCCGCCATCCAGTCAGAGACAGGGTCGAGGAGGTCATCGTGGTAATGAAAGGGAGAACGTGGTGAACCAGGCCAGCCAGGTGAGTCGTTGTGGTGGTGGCAAGTGGTGGTAGCAGTAGCAGTCGCACTGTACAATACAAAGTATTATTATTGAATGAATACTCAAAGGTCGGAGCTATCGGATTAGGACGGAACTAGAGGATGTAGAGGCTTGTAAGGTGTACTTCCGTCCGTACAGCAAGGTAGCAGGTGTGAAGCCCAGGTGTAATCACTGTACAGTACTGGTTGCTGCAGGCCACTGGCGGTGCAGTGAAGAGGACTCAATGAGGGTCTCAGGAAGTGGCAGGGTTCCGGTATGGCTTGTGGCTCCATGAATGGGGAACCGACCCATGAGCAGCCACGGGAAGTACTTAAAATTGGCAGCGAACCACACCCAAAACGATGTATCTTGCCGTTGCCCTCTCACTTACTGCACCTTACTGCACCTACTGTGGATTCGCCCCAATCCACTTCCCTGCTCCGCTCCCGACCAGCGCGAGCGCGGTATTGCAGATCAACCACTGGACTGTGGACTGTGGACTGTGGCATTTTGAGTTCGACCTGATCCAGTGAGTGTCCATGAGCATGGGCCCGGATTCCGACAGACAGTTGGAAATATGCGACGGGCTTTTCCAAGAACCCACGGCCCCAAGATCATGAGCCAGGATCTTGGTGAAGTACAGTACAGTAAATTATGTTAGATTGTTTGCATCCACGCCCCAGGCGACGGAACCGTCATCCCATCGCAATCCCTCCATTTCCATGATCGAGAACGGCCGGCTGATACTCGATGGGAGATGGGCCCTCCCGTTATGATCGTGGATGTTCAATTGCCAGAGTCAGAGCTCCATGCATGGCATGGCAGCAGTGTGCCTGAACCGTAACCACACTCTTCGCACCACACCATACAGCGGAGTTTCAAGGTACCCGTGTTCCATTAGACTTCTACCTGGACTTCTGGAGGCACCCACGAAGAGGCTTCTGTCCCGTTCTGGCTGCCTGCATCGGTGGACTGATCGGCATCAGCGATTCAGTCTGGCGAGCACATCACATCACATCTTTCGAGGCCGCCAGGTGAGGTGGGAACAAGCACGGCGGAACATTAATGCTGCTTCTGGCATGATGGCATCTGCGTGGGGTGGGCCGTTTGTGTTGCTGGTGGTGCTGGAGCTGGGTCTTGGTCATGGTCATGGTCAGGCCAGCTGCTGCGCACAGTTGTCAAGAGAGCTCAGACATGGCATCGTAGGGCAAGTTGTGTCGATTTCCGGGACCTGCCTTGGGGAGCTGCCATTTTCGGACACAAGCTGAGCTCTGAAAGCTCTCCCTAGGTCTTCCTAGGTCTCCTCACCTACCTGGAACCTACGGTACCTGCTCTCCCTTTTGCGACTCTGGAGAGCTTGCGCCTCGCCCCCCTCACCGTCACAGGGTCTCGCTCACCCATCAAACCACAAACCACTAACCCCAGAAGCAAAAACAAGCTCCACCACTCCATGATTTTCTCTTATCCGCCGGCCTATCAAGTGGCCGATCTCCAACGACCTGTCTGGAGGCCGGTACTCAGATACAAGCCACACGATTCGAATAAGATTTAAGAATGATCCAAAAATAAACGTCGGTCCCAGGCACTCTCAGGCACCAAGCCACGATCTGACCAGATTGGGAGCCCTAACTGCGAACCCGACCTGGCAGAAACCGCCCGAGGGCCACAGCAGGATCATTAAACACAAGAGAGCATCTATGGCGTAAATGGCTGAGGCTATCTCGATAAACCCACCGATTAGCAATCATCATGCAGTCTTCTTCCACGGCGACTCATACAATTCGGATCCGACAATGTCGGGTCGACGAAAGTCGCACTTACTACTCACCTATTCGTTCTTGTTCAACCACCCTGCAGAAGAAGTACGTAGCTATGCAGCGACGAGGTAGCTATGAAGAGTCTAAAGCAACTTCTCCGACGGAAAGAAACTAGAAACAGCTTAGCTGCCCGCTGAAATCAAACAAACGAAATGAGATCAGTCTGTAGTCTTTATCCCCTCCCGACTCCGAGCCCGTGCTACCCTTTCCCCACGAAACTTTTCTCCTGGCTCCTGCATGCGGCCCATATCGACCAGGCAAAGACACATGTAAGGGCATGCCATGCATGGTTAAGGTCTCGACGGTTATCCTGAGCACGACGATGATGGGTGATATGAAATAGGTGAGGGTAACGTTGTCCATCGGTACCACTCTCCCAACTCCCATTACTACTCACCTGCCCAATTCGACTGGCACAGGACGGTCGACCAATCAGTACACGTGTGGCTTGTTCTCCCTCGAGGAATTTACATTCCTTCTCCGGGTCCTCCCATCTCTGGTGTCACCACCAAATTCCAAGTGTTAGGACGTTTCAGAAACTGGTGTGTACTACTCTACCCGCCTCACGGCACATCCATCCCTATTTCAAATGCCAAATTCCAATCCTAGCCGTCGATGTCCCGCCGTGAGACCGACATCGTGCGCGGTGGTGGCTTGATCTGTTGGAGGAACATTGCAGAGGGCGGCCTTCCAACTGGACCACCACACACGCGGGAACGACCAAACCAGACGGGGAGAAAGTGGGTTAGGGGAGAGGAGGGAGGGTAAGGTAAGGCTGTGCTGTGAATGCGGCGGGATGTTTGATCGACCAAGTATGTGCTTGGCTTCTCATACAGAAAAGCAACCTCCACCAACTTGCTGCTGAGCCATGACCAAAATAAACGAAACCCATTCTGCGTCTGCCAGCAAGCGCGCTGCTGGCACGCGGGTGGGTGTGCCGTGACAGCCAATCTGGGGATGCGAGATATCCGACTTGGGGACGATCATTTGTTCGTTCTGGACGAGGTTCACTTGATGGCCTCCATTGCGAGACCACTTCTCTCGTATGAAGAGATGAGTCGTAATCCGTTATGTCAAGAATTCTCCTGCTCGTGAGCTGTCCAGGACTCAGGACTTCATTTCGAGAAAGGCACAGGTGGAACTACGTCTCAAATAGCGTCACGGAAATCCAAGATGCAATGTTATACACCATACAAATGTACTGCCGCGCACCTCGACTGCATATCTCCTGAAGCCCGAGACACTTGCTCACAGCACAGCACAGCACAGCACAGCACCCAAAATCTCCAATGACCTGCATCCAACATTTTCCAAATCCCTAAGAAAATCTACAACGCCCCAAACAGTTCATGCGCTGAGAACTCAAAACATTGCTGTGCCCAGCCCAAGCATGGAATCAAATCATCAACCAAAGAAAGAATTTCCCGCATTTAGCCAGAAGTGCAGCCCGCTCGCTCGTCATCTCTCACCCAACCTCCGCAAAAGATACCTGGGTACATTTATTTATATATCATCAAAGACAGATGCCGATTCGTTGGGGGCCATGACCTGGACATGCAAACGGCCCCCGACCCTCTCTTTATGTCAAAAACTGCTGACATGACAGACATCTAGTAATATGGAGAACAACTGGCAGACGCGTGACGACTGTTCATTTAAGATTGGTTGAGTGCTACGAAGTGAGAAGTCCACTTACATTGATTGCAAATACGGCTTTGCTGCGGCGGGGCCATTTTGCAGCTGAACCGTGCTCTCGATGTCTGTCTGGTATCTTGATTCTTTGCTAAACTAAATGGGTGAATTTTTCTCGCCATGCCTTCCATGTGTACTGCCATTGGAGGATTATGTCGCCTGAAAGAACTCCTGTTGTGAAAAAATCCCGAATCCACTCCTTGTTTGGTGCCGAATGGCAATGCTCTGTTCCTGCTCCCAAATGCGCTCGATAACTCCGCAAATATGTAAGCAAACTTCTCCATGCCCGCCGATTGTCAAGGAATCAAGAGGAGGATAGTACATCAGTTTCAGAGTCTTCCGTGACGAGCCTTGAATATGGCTACCTTGTCGTCGTAGAAGAGAATCTCCCGAAGTCGAAGCTTCACCTTGGACCGACCATCTTCGGAGCCGTCGTATGAATCGGTGTCTGAATCGTCATGATCTGAAAGTTCGGACTCCGTCTCGTCAGGGTCGATTCCTGCTGGAGCGCCCATGGCTGTTCCGTTGTCGTCTTCCTCCTCCTCGTCATCCTCATCGTCGTCGCTCCCGTCCTCGTCCTCGTCTTCGTCCTCTTCGTCGGTCACAGCACCGCCAGCGCCTCCATTCATCGCACTCGAATGACTTTCCGTCGTCCCATGCGACTCATCGTGCGGTCGATTCTCCAGAATCTCAAAGCATTTGTGTGAGATGCCCATGTAGCACAGTTCCACCTCTGGTCGAAGCACAATGACGTCGACAACTTGCATAGCAAGATCTCGGGGGTCAAATGCAGGTGTAACATGGTCAGCAATATATGGAATATTCAAGGAGCGTAAATGCGGGACTTGGGGGAGTCGTTGAAGGAAATGATGCTACAAAGATTAGTACATTCGACCGTTTATACCCTTCAGGGTGGACAAAGGAAGTGGGGAAAACATACCCAATCTTTATAGTCAATAGCAATACTCAATTCTCGAAGACTGCTCATGCGGCCACTGGTAATAAAGTTGAGAACATCACGATTGGGCATCCATGATCGCCATCGTGCACTGTCCGTAGCGCTAGTAGGGCTTCGAGGTATCCTGTCCGAGCTGTCCAGCATCAATCTCTTGAGACTCGACCGATGTCGTTTCAGAGGTCCTCGATAGATGGCATCCTATTGATATAAGCATACAGCCAAGCCGATTGTACAGTAACATCTAAGACCGGACTTACAATTGTGACAGCAACAGTGCTGGACCGCTTTCGATCCTGCAAGAAAAGAGTTTCGAGGGTATTAGGTGCGAGGGTCTCTTTCAGGAAAGAAATCAAAGCTGGAGAGGCGGCATCGGTATGGACTTTCCGAAGATTGAGGTGGTATTGCATATTAGCTCCATGCTTCGTAGAGTGGGTGGGCCCAAGCGGGGATGGTTGAAAGTGTCGTCGAAGCATAATCCAAAGTCTATCATGCTGGGCACAATCGAGGATAGTCAAATTTGTCAGGACCGACCAATCGAAGGCTTTTTGGAGAACAGCCACCGACAATGGTATCCGCTCGAGCTCTAAGGTCTGTAGTCTCAATTTACCTTCGAGACGCTCCCTGTCAGTAGACTTTGCTTCGGAAAAATGTGACGACCTCTGGCTGTGGGTATGAGACCGCCTCAAAGGTGGTTCTGCAACGACTTCAGGCTGTGATTCTGCGAAATGATGCGTAGCTGTACCAATCTCATGGGCCGAAATCAACGCAGTAAGTGAATCAACGTCGGACTGTGCAAACTCGGCTCCTGATGCAGTCAAGTGAGGAGGATTAAGATCCAAACCATTGGCATCATGTGTTGCAGATCCAATGCTGAGATCGAGTGGAGAACTTGACGACGACAAAACCGCCTCGCTCAACGTGGTGCTGTCTTTGCCGGCCCATTCTTCGTCGATTGAGTTATTCTCTAGGGCTTCAGGAATGTGATTGAGCAAGACATCGTTATTTTGGGTTCCATGTTGCACGATACTCAAGACCTGCCCATGTTGAGGTTCTGGTATAGTGATGGCAGTTGCAGGTAGAACAGCACTTCTTTCCTTCTTCTCAACCTTGGGTTTCTGCTTTTTCCGAATATCAAACACTCGTCCTAGCAGAACGCCTAGGACGCCTCCCAATCTTCTCTCACCAATCGTGCTTGCTCCTGGCCATTGGGCTTTGTGGTCAACTTGTTGGAGCTCAGGACCATCCCAGGCTATAGCAAAATCGCGTTTAACTGCTTTTGCAGATATGCCTACTCTCAATTCGCGAAGACGGTCCTTTGATTTAGATATTAAGACGCTCATCTCATCCAGATAATCTAGCTCGTCAATATCGAGTACAGAGAGACTTCGCAGTGCAGGAAGTACGCTGAGTGTGGGATACTCCACACGGCTCTGGGCGTAGGAAAGAGGCTGAGAAAGGTTTTGCGAACTCGGAAGAGCTCCAGGTGGGATTGTCCATCCCACAGAGGTCATAGTACTCCCAGCAAGCATTTGTGGAGTTGTGCTGGCCCCAGAATTCGATGCATGGCCGGAAGGAAGATTTCCTGCATCTGAATTGTCGTGCCATCGAACCCAAACTCGCTCCAAACGACACTCCTGGTGTGGATGCCTATTCTGCAATGATGATAAGGCAAGCCAGACGTCGCGGAGCACACCGGTAGGCATATCCCATACGAAAGTCTCGAGGTTAACCATCCTAGCTACAGCCAGAGCGACAAGTGTTCCAAGCATCTTTCCACTTTCTTTTGTAATGAGGTATTCTTGCACCCAATCTGCAGGACCATTTCCGAGAGAGAACTTGCGTGTAAATTGCGGATATTGGTTTCCGAGACGTCGTTGACCAGCCCCGGAGCCAAAATTAAGGCTATGACTGCATTCTGCAATATTTTGACTGCCACAGTTTCCACAGGTGAAATATTGACCTTGACTATGATCTGTGAATACATCTCCCATGCATAAAGTTGCCAATCCATATGTCAGCGCGTCAACGCCCGTCCTTGGATCTGTAGTCGCATGTGCGTCAGGCCATACTATATCGAAGCGCGAGTAGATGTGAGGTATTGCGAGGTTGTGAAGGGCGGAATGAGTAAGAGCCAGAGCTGTCAAGTCGTTTGTATGGGTTACCTGCAGAAAATGATGATTAGTACTTGATTTGCTATTTGACCTTTGTGATGGTACCTCTTTCACAATCTCCTTGAGTACATCCATGGGTAGGTCCAGTAGTCTCAGGGGACCCTTCTTCTCTACCACAGACGCCCATTCTTGCTCCTTATCCTTCAAAAGGCTGGATATCTTTGTCCGTGGATCTATGACATTCTTCCTGACGATGTCGGACATTACGGATGCTGGGGTACCCATTTGGAATCCATCAGAGTCGTCTGAAAGGTCGGTCGACTTCATGCTATTCGTTGGCTGTGAAGCTGCGGAAGTTTTGGGGATAGAAACCTGGTGCTCGTCGGGTTGCGAAGCTGTATCACTGAAAGCAAGTTCAGGACTAGGCACGCTGGTCGTCATGGTCTACGAAGAGAAGGCGTGGTTGCTATGAATTGTGTTTCGAAGCTTGTGCTCTCCCTCGCGCCGTTCGAATAATACACATGCTTGGTAGGCAGAACCACCAAACTAGTGCACTTGAGATTGGGGATGTCAACTTGGGAGGAAAGACTTAGATTGTTCCTGAGATAGAGGAGCTTTGTAGGATATAGCTGGAGATTCCATCAAAGTGCTGAGGATCTCTGGCTCGGTAACAGACAAGGGTGCTGCGCACGGGCCCAGCTTAGTCGGAGCCGCCACGTGATCTAAAGTATAAACGCCGTGCATGTTGCTAGGTTTTGCTTGTACGGGAGTTGGTAGTGTCATGTAGTTGACGAGTTGACTGTGAGTGTAGATTTATGAGGTTCATTGTAGAGCCGACCTTGGACCGCTTCTTGTACAAGTTACTTGGGTAGTACAAAGCCCGCCGCCAACTGTAGTTGAACAAACATAGAGCGAACCAATGGTTTATGATCAGATGTGCATGTTTTCACGAGGTTGAGTAAGCTTTACTTAAAGATTCATAGAGGGTCAGTCCCAGCAGGTAGTTTAGATTCATACTTTCCATCAAGAGCCCTTTCAACTTTTGCATCCAGATCAAGGCAAAATCCCTGCTGTTGCAAAGATCGTGATCCGTGCTGTAGGCGTCTGGTATTAATAGACTCAAATATTGAAAGCTATGAGGATTCCTTTTTCCGGTCCACGGGCGGCAACTTTTCGTGGGAAGAACAAAGAAACTCGAAGGGTCCTTCTCCATTCCTAAAGACTTGAAACATTCCATTGCGAACCGCATCGACTTGTTGTTTGATTCGTATAGATTGCCACCAAAAAGAGGCGCATGATTTGTGACGGGCTAGCTCCACCGCTTAACCCCTGGCCGCAGGTGGAATAGCAATGACCTCGCATTTCTGGAACTTTATCGTAGTGAAATGACGACCGCGAACCCACCCTTTCCTGTGAATTTGCACAAAGAGGGACGTATTTAGCTTCCGCTGCTCGTGTACAGCAGACGAGCAGCAATTTACGAAGAGATCGCACTTGTTCGTGAAGCTCGCTACTACATTGACTACTGAGAGGCAAAGACCCCGCCATCGCCAGGTATATCAATACGATCTCCATTTCGAAGAACGCCCCGAACTTAATACATGATGTCTACAGTTCGGAACCCCTCTCGACACAACATGTCGTCCCGATCCCGCCCAAACAGGCGTTTCAACAGTGTTCAAAACAGTGATCGAATATCGCGAAATCCTTCTCGAGCGCGAGCGAAGACAATCAGCTATACCGATGCGTATACGTTTGCCCTTAGGGTCGCATACCTTCACCATCTCTTGACGCCCAAAGCGAAACGAAAACAATGGGTTCCCGCACCGAAGCAGCCCAAGCCTAGGAAGACTGTGATGATTGGAGATCTGGTGCAGGAATTTTCCCTAATCAAGGACTCGAAGAGCGCGAAGTTCCCTCATGGGTTCATGTCACCACTCGAGAAGCGCATGCAGAATGTCGTGGTAGGATCGGAGAGGTTGCCAGGATACAATGACAAGGCAGTCAAGAGGACATTCGCTGAAGCATATACAGCGTTCACAGACCCTGGATTCAGGAAGCGCATGGACAAAGAAAGGCGAGTCGAAGATCTGGTCTTAATCTTCTATTCGAAGGCCACCGCTTCATTACAAAAAGGTGCCGCTCCAGATGACGATTCCTGGAAAACTCTCGTGGACCGCCACGTTGCTCTTTTCGTCCGCTTGATCAGCCAGACCTTAAAGGATCATGGTAACGACAAGGACAAACCTGAACTTATGAGCCGTTTGGCGACTTTGGAAAGTAAACTCCTGACATTCGACCAAGATTTATACATCGATTCTGGAGACGGACCTGGCGGAAGTACTATTGAGGTCGTAGTACCCCTCAGTCAAGATGTCAAGGATATGCCGATGGTTCAAACTGTGGCAAGGATTTTTGGTCTAACACACTCACAAATCCAAGGCGATATTGACAGTAACAAGAAGACTTGGACCGAGGAAGCTGCACTTGCGGATCTAAAAGCATACCAGCATTGTCTGAATGCAGGAACCAAACGCACACTTCGCAGCGAAGATTTTGATATCGAGGAAGCATACCAAGCATGGAAGAAAGCAGAAGGTCCAGATTTATCCCAGATGATGTCTGAGATATTACAGGCCAGACCAGAGCTAGTGAAGTCTGTCTCTGGATCGAATAAGCCACTTCCTCCTGTCATCTCGTCAGTATCAGCCAGTGAAGATCAGGCATACTCGGACCTCGCTAGAACCATTTCTAGCCCAATCGATCAAAATGTATCATACGCATTCGACCAACCCGTAGACATGAGTGGGTTGTCCCTCGAAGATGACCAGCCTAGTCGACACTTTTTAGAGGAGTCCACATATACTTTTATTCCATCAGAACCTCGAGCTTATTACAGGGCAATTCTAACTCATGCCATGATATTCGATCAATTGCATGCTCCTCAATCGTCGGAAGGAGTACCTGGTAGTCCTCCAATATCAAAACAGTCCATTGAATTGCTCACGGAGATATGCGTTCGTTGGCGAATTCCCCAGTTTTCCAGACTCGTTTTGTTCCTGGACGTTTCTGCGCAGCGATTCTTAGATCAAGAAATGGGACTGGAAGAACTCGATGCTGCATTTGAGTTTGTGAAGAACCCACCTCCCGAGACGAAAAGATCAAGTGCACACTCTCACCCGACCAGTCTCTCATCGATCGACCAAAGCCATTGGACAATCCAAGACTTCGCCCTTTATCGTCAGGTGCTGTCTAGCTTGCATGAAGGCCTTCTTCGTGATGTGTATGATCTACTCCAGCACTGCTATGAACAGAAACCACCTTCTCCAGGTCCTGTGCTGATGGTATTGGAGACTCACATAGAAAGTGACCCATCTTTTACTGTCGGCCCTGGAGAGCTTGAAGCATTCCAAGCACAATTAGCTGAAGGGCTTCATACCAAGGCTGCAGCGGTCTATAGAGGTTATCTTGAAGCCGAAGTGCCACAGAACCAGGAAGAGTGGCAATTTTATCATGTTGTTCAACTTGGAAAGTCAGTGGTCAAGCTATGTGAACGAATCCAGAAGAGATATCGGAAGAATCCTGAGATTATGGGAGTCAATCCACTCACCATTCTGGTTGAGACCATGTTCCCCAGCTTTGAAAATGACGCCCACGATCTCATCCAGCGTATCCTTCATGTGGCTCAGACCAAGAATTCGGAAGTTGATTTGCAAGATGGGTTTGATCTTTACAGAGAATTGGTTGAGATTCGTAGCATCCACCACGCAGCTCTTCCGGAACGACCATTCGCGTTTCACATTGAAGGTCTTCTTGCGGACTTTGTCTGGCGATGGATTCGCGTGTCCGAGTCGAAGATGGTAGACCTTGTCGACCAGGCCATTAAACAGGACCAGTTCCAAGTCAGATCAGAGCATCCCGAACAGCCAGCTACAGATGATGAACGTCACAGCGTATCTATTATAGATGTTTTCCGGCTGTTTAATCAGACAGCAGATCAGATCTTCCAACTCAATTGGGATGACGACGTTCAATATGCAAAGTTTATGACTGCTTTATCAAAGTCCTTTGGCGTTGGTATTGCGAGGTATTGTGAAGTCATCGAGCAAAGGTTCGCCAAAGAGATGGATCGACTTTCACCAGCACAAGAAGCTGCTGCTGCACAGACTAAGCAAGAGAAGTGGATGCAGCTAGCCAAGGACGCCTGGAGCAATAAGGAAAAGATCGAACCCTTCCAATTCTACCCAGAGGTCAGCTCACTCCCTCCCATCTATCTACCTTGACTAATTTCGTTGTGTAGTCTTTTGTGAAGCTAAACAACATCGAGTATGCCGTGCAACAGCTCGATGTACTTGAAAAAACTATGAACGTCGATGCGTGCGCTGATGTTATAGCTAAAAATGCACCACCGAAAGATAAACAGAAGCGGCCCTCGAAATATGTCTTCACCATCAAGGTTGTGGAGGCAGAGGAGCTTAAGGCGTGTGATCCAAATGGAACTAGCGATCCGTATGTTGTTTTAGGAGATGAATACCAGAAACGCTTGGCCAAGACCAGAGTTGTCATGAGAAATCTCAGTCCACGTTGGGACGAGTCGGTCGACATTACGGTGCAAGGACCCTTGAACATCATCGCAACTATCTGGGATTGGGATACCTTCGGAGACCACGACTATGTTGGCCGGACATCACTCAAGCTGGATCCTGCTCATTTCAGCGATTACATGCCGCGGGAGTACTGGTTGAATCTGGATACCCAGGGAAGATTGCTCCTCCGTGTAAGTATGGAAGGAGAGAGGGATGACATCCAATTTTATTTCGGAAAGGCTTTCCGTCTGCTGAAAAGGACGGAGAGAGACATGATTCGAAAGATCACAGACAAGGTATTAAGTGCTGCCCAACATCGTTATTTGTACTGATAAGGTTATTAGCTGTCCCAATATATCAATGCCTCCTTATCGCACGAAGCACTGAGGCACCTGTTGTCTCGAGGAGGCTTGTCTTCCGCTGTGACAAATCTTTGGAAGAGTAGACAATCAGTCGCACCGGCGCTCACGCAAGTCGATATCGAAAATGCGTTGAAGCCACTGTTCAACTATTTCGATGAGAACTTTGCCATTATGAAGCAAACCCTGACAGATGCTTCTATGGTTATGGTCATGACAAGACTATGGAAAGAAGTTCTCCTTGCCTTGGAAGGACTACTAGTTCCACCTCTTTCAGACAAGCCATCCAGCCAACGACCACTTACTCAGCAAGAAATGGACATTTGTTTCAAGTGGTTGGAGCTACTCTTTGAGTTCTTCCACGCCCGAGACGAGGAGACTGGAGAGGCTATGGGTGTGCCGGCAGATGTACTAAAGTCACCAAAATATCACGAATTGGCTTCTTTGAATTTCTTCTACTTTGATTCGACAGACAACCTCATTCGCACATCAGAGCGCATGGCCACCGCATCAGCACAACGGGCTAATCAACAGCGGAACCGACTTTCAGCACCGGCAAGTCTAGGTGCTTCTTTTGGAGGATTGATGGGTGCCACGTCAATGCGAAGATCAAAAAGTATCATGATGAGTCGAAATCTCGGAACCATGAAGAAAGCCAAGGAAGAGAAGAGGAAGGAAGCACAAGCCGATCCAAGTGATGACATGATTCTGAGGATCCTGAGAATGCGACCGGAGGCTGCGAATTATCTGAGAGACAGGAGTCGACAGAAGGAAAGACTGGCTGCGGCAGCAGCAGCTGAGATGATAGTGAGGCAGAGTCTGGCTGCGGGTGGTCCACAATTTGGTCGGAACAATCTACCCAGGCGTTAATTCGTTGCCTTGTGATATGCATTGCGAAGGTGTTCCGGGAGCGTAGCATGTGGCGAGCTTTGATGGATTAATTGGCGGCGTTGGAAGAGATACCATATCTTTTATGACAAATGAATGTTCTGTTAGAGTAGTGGGATGGATTACTGTATGTCCTCGAATACGATCATATTCAACTAAGTGATTTGAGTATGAAGTGACTTTGCTTGATTCGACTTTTCCAAGCTCAATGTTGATATATACAAGCTTCAAAAGACGCGTCGTAAGAATGTTATGTCTGCTCATCATATATAAGCAATAGCAGTAGTACACAGTATACCTTGAAATTGTCCCTTGATTTGAGACAAGTCTTTTTATCATCTTCCTTTTGACGATTTCAATCCTGCCAAAGGACATGTTCCAACAAGTCGGAACAATCAACGAGTCTACACACCCGAATCGTTACACAGAAGCTTGGCATATGCATCAAGAAGACAATTCTGCCCCACAACATATGGAGGAGAATGTCGGTCACGCCGAAAGGTATCATCCCCGAGTCATTGTATAACACGATCGTCTGCTGAATGGATCATTTCGAGGTCAACTCACGGCGACCTGATACTGCTGTACCCCCACAAAATTTGTGACAGCTTGCCACTCGGCATTTTGAAGATACGACTCGAGCAAGTAGGATTTGCTCGCTGAAAGATACCCACGAACGGCGCTGCAGGGCTTTTATCCACAGGCTTGGCGCAAGTAGGGTTCTTTGCTATCCGGGCTCCGAACCTGACCAGTCCCAAAGACCGTTTGATGGAGAAAGTCAAAAACACCGAAGCCGCAGCCGCCAAAGTTGGTTTCCACTTTATTCTGTAACGCCCAACCAGAGATTGGGAGAGATCTTCTGACTTTTTGCGGAGCAACAAGGGCATGTCCATGTCCCACCTTTTTTGTGTCCCACAAGACTCAGCCCATCTCTGAACCAGTCGTTTGGAAAGCCTGAGGACGACGGGAATTCCTGGTCGCAAGGTCGACGAAAACGGCTCAGCCAAAAGGTGCACACGATGGGATCTGAAACGGTGACAGGTACAGACTATCTCGATGTTGACATCATAAGGGTCAAGATCTGATCTGGAGAAGGATTATGATCAGAAAAAGGGGGAGGGGAGGAGCGCTGCCGCTTCCCTCTGTTCTCAGGGGGTTGCTGATCTTATTTATACGGCACTGTAAGGGAGGCCGTCCGCGAAACTTTCACGCCGGACGTTGGTGCTGATCTTTGCCCCCTTGCTCGTATTTCGAGAAGATCACACTTTGATTCGCCTATCTGAAGAGTTTCAGCTTTTTGTGGCCCGCTGGGTGATCTACTCCGTATTCTGCTTCCCTGTGCGCTTCTCGTCGGTCGGTCAGTCAGCTTTCCAAGGAGGTGATATCTGGGGAAGCGGTGACTGGAATGGAAGAAGCGTTCGAAGGAATGGTATCAAAACATCAGACACGATGATGTCTTTTTAGGGGTCCTCGAAATTTTAAGTTGGGTATCCTTGCCTATTCAGATCGAGATACGAAACTAATCCTCACATGACCCATTTCCAGAAATCTTTTCTTCTTTTAATTTGATTAATTAGGAGGGGCAATCATTTCAGTCCGCTGTCGAGTCGCCAGCTTCACTTTCCTAGCCACTCAGCGCTGGCCACGGAGGGATTGAACCTTACCTTACATATAGAGTGCAAGGACAGAGAGCTTGTGCCCGACATTCAACTGTTCAAATGTGTGCTCCGCCACCATATCGTTGTGCTCGAGAGACAGGATGAACCCAGGAAGTGAGGCATTACAACAATTGTGTATTGGGTTATTGGACCACGATGTTGGGTGTTCGCATGCGGTGATTGGGGCTGCATTGAGCAATTTGACTCTTTGAGCAGACCGAACAGGATAACGTCTATCGTAGAGGTTGTCTCAACCCCAGCTCATGCAGCAAAAGCGCCTCGTCGTCACTGTCTCTGATAATTCCCCCAAACCCTAGTATTCTCCCCCCGTGACTGCGGGAGCATTGCAGCATGCCAGGTTGTGCCATTGGCCGGCAGAAGCATCCAACGCCCATCCCTTTTCTCGACAGGCCGCAATTCCTATCGAATTTTATAAGGCCGTTGCCCTGAATGGTGGTAATTGGACACGCTCATGGGGCGCTTCCTTGGACTCTGCCTGACCCCTTGTTCGCTGAAAGCTATGCTTGTTGTGTGGTAGCACAGCACTCCCCACCTCTCGTCGACCGCTTTTCGTGACATGCAGCATCATCTCCAGGTGCTATCGTATCCTAAACCCGCTTCCCGCACTTGCACTTGCGCTACGAGGAGGGTGCACGCAGCCAGCCTCTACCACTACTACTCTACTCTAGACTGAACCGTTCCTTCAACCACAATTTACAACCTCGAACCGTACGCATTCACTCTCACGCCCGAGCCATCACCACAAGCACCACAGATCCATACATCAAAACGGCTGTGGGCCCACTTTCCTTTTTTTGCCCGCCCTACGAATTCGCATTGGGGTTTTGCGGAAGGCGTGTCATTTACTTATCGGGAGTTCGGCTCCTGGTCGCTAAGACAGAAGCAAAAGCTTCATCTCGAACTTCACACTGCACTCCTAAGAAATCCCGAGGTTAGACCCCAAAGCCTCCCTGGGACGCTCTTCATTCCAGATACCCTCATCTTGTGTTCTCTTTTCGTTCTGCGGTCGCAGATCCCGATACCAGAGACAGTTGATACTAGAAATCCCTCTAACACAACCAACAGACTGCTGCGTACGCACTCCTTCCCTAAACCGCTCCCGCGACACAATCTACAAACTTCATGCCTTCTTGTTAGGCGCTCCTACAACCTAATATTCCGGCAGCTTAGCTGCACACATAATTTACAATGGCGCAAGAATCTACGCTGGCGGCTGCGTCTGCGGTCCTCCAAAGTATTGGTCTGAACGCCAATATTCCTCACCCCGTTCACGGTGGCCATGGTCTCAAACTTCCCGGCGCAGATACTCCGGCCAAAGTCGCCCTCGAGAATGAGATTGCAGCATTGGTCGCACGAGTCCAGAACCTGGAAGCCAAAGCAAGCACAATCAGTAACCACGCTCTCCCCGATACTCCAAACGAAACTGGTGCTCCGTCAGCCTTTGCAGACGTTCTCACTGGCAGTCAGAGCCGGAATTCGTCGAAAAGTAACTCGATTAGGAATCACTCCTACTCTTCTTCACTCCCTCGAGATTCCTCGTCTGGCGAGCGACCGCAAAAGCTACCAAAATTGAGCAACGACGAACTCATCGAGACGTTACAGCAAGAGATAGTCGATCAGGCTGAGCAGATCAAGAACGGCAAGTTAAAACAGTCTGCTATCGAAGCCAAGATGGAGGAACAAGCACAGCATCAGCAGCACCTGATCAATCAGTTTGAGGCCAAGCGCGTTGCGACTCTTGAGCGAGAGCTTAAGAAGCATCAACAAGCCAATGAGGCTTTCCAGAAGGCCCTTCGGGAAATTGGAGAGATTATTACTGCTGTGGCTCGAGGTGATTTGAGTAAAAAGGTTCAGATTCACTCTGTGGAGATGGACCCTGAAATTACCACTTTCAAGAGAGTAAGTGAAATTCTCGGATATGATGCACACTTTCTGACGAATAAATAGGTTATCAACACCATGATGGACCAGCTACAAATATTCTCCAGCGAAGTCTCTCGAGTCGCCAGAGAGGTGGGTACTGAAGGTATTCTTGGAGGCCAGGCACAAATTTCAGGGGTTGATGGTACCTGGAAAGAATTGACAGACAATGGTATGTGTATTGCATTGCGGTTTGCCCCTTTTCGCTTAATTGGTGGATTCGATGTCTTGAATCATTCTGTGGCTTGCATTTGTCTTTATGTTGCATTTTACTAACTTGTTCAAGTCAACGTCATGGCACAAAACCTCACAGATCAAGTCAGAGAAATCGCCTCGGTTACCACAGCTGTCGCTCATGGAGATCTCACCCAAAAGATCGAAAGACCTGCTCAAGGAGAAATCCTGCAGCTTCAGCAGACGATTAATACCATGGTGGATCAGCTCCGAACTTTTGCCGCTGAAGTTACTCGAGTAGCAAGAGATGTCGGTACCGAAGGTATTCTTGGCGGACAAGCAGAAATCGAAGGAGTGAAGGGAATGTGGAATACTTTGACTGTCAACGTCAATGCTATGGCCAATAACCTTACCACACAAGTCAGAGACATTGCAATGGTCACTACTGCTGTCGCCAAGGGAGATCTCACACAGAAGGTGAAGGCTGAATGCAAGGGCGAAATTATGCAGCTCAAGGAGACTATCAACTCCATGGTGGATCAACTCCAGCAATTTGCTCGCGAAGTTACGAAGATCGCCAGAGAAGTCGGTACAGAGGGTAAACTTGGTGGTCAAGCCACTGTTCATGATGTCGAAGGAACTTGGCGAGACTTGACTGAGAATGTCAACGGCATGGCCATGAATCTGACAACTCAAGTGCGAGAAATTGCAAAAGTCACGACGGCTGTAGCAAAGGGTGATCTAACCAAGAAGATTGGAGTCGAAGTGCAGGGTGAAATCGCTTCCTTGAAAGATACCATCAACACTATGGTTGACCGTCTCGGCACATTTGCCTTCGAAGTCAGCAAAGTCGCCCGCGAGGTCGGCACAGACGGTACACTTGGTGGTCAAGCTCAGGTTGACAACGTAGAAGGAAAGTGGAAAGACTTGACAGAGAATGTGAACACCATGGCAAGCAATTTGACTTCTCAAGTCAGAGGAATATCTACCGTTACGCAAGCTATTGCAAATGGTGATATGAGCCAGAAGATCGAGGTAGAAGCTGCAGGAGAGATTTTGGTCTTGAAAGAGACCATCAACAACATGGTCGACCGATTGAGTATCTTCTCGAACGAAGTTCAGCGAGTAGCCAAGGATGTGGGTGTTGACGGTAAGATGGGTGGTCAAGCTGATGTTGCTGGCATTGGAGGACGATGGAAGGAGATCACGACTGGTGAGCAGATCATTTTCAAGGATGTGTCTTGTCACCCTCAACTAACTCGTATTTAGATGTCAACACCATGGCCATGAACTTGACGGCTCAAGTGCGAGCCTTTGGCGACATCACTAACGCCGCAACTGATGGCGACTTTACTAAGCTGATCACGGTCGAGGCATCTGGAGAAATGGACGAACTGAAGCGCAAGATCAACCAGATGGTTTTCAACTTGAGAGACTCCATTCAGAGAAATACTGCTGCCAGAGAAGCAGCAGAATTTGCGAACAGGACAAAGTCCGAATTCTTGGCCAACATGTCTCACGAGATCAGAACTCCTGTCAGTAATCCTTTCCTTTTTCATCGTTATGCCATTTCATTCTTCTGTATTGTGACGAAAAATTGGCTTCTGAGCTTGCCTGTCAAGTTAATGGCGTTCGGAGTCTTTTTTTGGACTATATTTTCTAGAACTACCACTGACTACTAGTCCTTTAGATGAATGGTATTATCGGAATGACTCAGCTCACTCTCGACACTGATCTCACTCAATACCAGCGTGAGATGCTGAATATCGTCCATAATCTGGCAAACAGTCTACTGACAATTATCGACGACATCCTTGATTTGTCAAAGATCGAAGCCAACCGCATGGTGATGGAAGAAATTCCATACACGCTGCGTGGCACGGTCTTCAACGCTTTGAAGACTTTAGCGGTAAAGGCAAATGAGAAGTTCTTGGACCTTACGTACCGTGTTGACAGCTCGGTCCCCGATCATGTTGTCGGAGATTCGTTCCGTCTCCGTCAAGTTATCCTTAACTTGGTCGGTAATGCTATTAAGTTTACCGAGCATGGTGAGGTCTCTTTGACTATCCGCAAGGCTGAACAAGACCAATGTGCTCCGAATGAGTATGCAATCGAATTTTCGGTCTCCGACACGGGTATTGGTATTCAAGCGGACAAGCTTGATCTGATCTTCGACACTTTCCAACAAGCTGATGGTTCCATGACCAGAAAGTTTGGTGGTACTGGTCTTGGTCTATCGATTTCCAAGAGATTGGTGAACTTGATGCGTGGTGATGTTTGGGTCAAGAGTCAGTACGGCAAGGGTAGCACGTTCTTCTTCACTTGCACGGTTCGACTGGCAACTTCTGATATCAGCTTCATCGAGAAGCAGCTCAAGCCATATCAAGCTCACAATGTTCTTTTCATCGACAAAGGACAGACTGGCCATGGCAAGGAGATTGTTGCGATGCTGAGACAAATTGGGCTTATGCCTGTTGTCGTCGATTCCGAACGAAATATCAACTTGTCTGGCGGTGGCTCGAAGATTGCGTCTACATTCGATGTTATCATCGTCGACTCGATCGAGACAGCCCGACGAATGCGATCTATCGATGAGTTCAAGTACATCCCGATTGTTCTCCTCGCTCCAGTTGTTCATGTTAGTCTCAAGTCAGCTCTTGACCTGGGTATCACTTCATACATGACGACTCCATGCCTGACTATCGATCTTGGTAATGGAATGATCCCAGCATTAGAAAACCGAGCTGCACCATCATTAGCTGACAACACGAAGTCATTTGACATCCTGCTCGCTGAAGACAACATTGTCAACCAACGTCTGGCTGTTAAGATCTTGGAGAAGTATCATCACGTTGTCACTGTTGTTGGCAACGGACAAGAAGCTCTTGATGCAATCAAGGAGAAGAGATATGATGTTATTCTCATGGACGTCCAAATGCCAATCATGGGAGGATTCGAAGCTACGGCAAAGATTCGAGAGTACGAGCGCAGCTTGGGAACTCAACGAACTCCAATTATCGCCTTGACAGCACATGCTATGCTTGGTGATAGGGAGAGATGTATTCAAGCCCAGATGGACGAGTATCTGTCGAAGCCCTTGAAGCAGAATCATCTGATCCAAACCATTCTGAAGTGTGCCACCCTGGGCGGTGCACTTTTGGAGAAGGGCCGTGACGTTCGTACTTCAGCGAAAGACGAGGCACCGAAGGCTGCTACTCCAAATGGTACTCCTAGTCCTGGCATTGCTCCAGGTAGTTCTTTGCTTCGTCCACCTCTCGAACCACGGGCGCTAACGACGACTGGTCCAATCAGCCACGGCAGCCTAGAGAGTCCTGCAATTGTCACTGCTGATCAAGAGGATCCTCTTGCAAGAGTAAGTCTCCCAAACTCCCACCCCTGAAGTCCATGCTAAGCTCAAAAAGCTTCTCATGCGCGCACATAGCGGCTAAACATATCCCCTGGACTCTGCCTATCTTCTACACGCTGCCCCGGCGCTGCGATGCGATTCTGATATTCTCATTTAGATACCACAGCCGCGAGTCCCAAGAGCACATTCGGATTTTGTAAATTCATAACGACTTGAACTTTACTTTTTTCACATTCAACGGCGTGGCGTTCCTTCTGGTCATGGAGTTGGGAATGGAATGGGAGGTTATGGCACATGCACAAAGAAACAGCGTTGCCTTTTGCGGGATGGGTTCATCATCAGGGTTTTTTCCTGTCTCTTTACAGACTCGAGAGCTTTTTCTATGCTTTTTCTTTGCATGAGAGGAGCTGCGATATTACTGCTGGCTGTCTCTCTTCGTCTTGCCCTCGGTGTTTTCTCCTACTTTTTCTTTGAACATCATGGCTTGCGGGATGAACTGGATCTGATTAGGACGTTAGCTGGACCTTTCTCGTATGTTTTCCTCCCTGGTGTGAATGGTGAGGAGGGTGCAGCGGTGGATGGGGTAGATGAGGTTGATAGTCGTTGCTTATTCAATCAATGCATTGAGATGAGGTCATGAAGTTGACGAATTCTCTTTTCGAAAAAAATATTCAGTTCCTGTGCCTTTGGTTTGATTGCGTGATTTTAATGCTTGACTGCGCTGTCTACAGCTTCTTAAACTTTGCGTATTCTTCTGCAGGTTCAGCGCAAGATGCGCATATAGCGCATAACGCGCAGATCGCGGGTATAGCGCAAATCTCTATTACCGTAATCACCAAAGAGAATAGTTCGAGATACTGTATGTTCTTTTGATGATAGATTTTATTTCGAGATTAGATAGTAGGAGGAAATGCTACCTGACCTATGCCATCTGAAATCACGAAACATGCGAGGGGATATCTGGCAGTAGGAAATGCCCTGAGCTGGGGCCAGGAGTCCTGATACGTTTTCGATTTTCTGTTGTGTCTCCAGGAACTGGTTTCAAGAGGGGGAGGTAGCTGGATTATAGGCTTTTGAGCTTGAGCGTTTGGCGGATTGGAGATCTCTACATAATACTTATTAGTCATGCAAAGAAACAGAGGAAGAGCATGTCTCGTACCAAGTCCTGCCATCAGCTTCACATCATCCTTCTCTGAGCGCCATCTCGTCTTGGTGACACGAACAATGAACTGCTCATCGCTAACTTCGTCGCCATCTGTTCACTTCTGTCAGCCGGGATCTAGGCAAGTGATAGATAGTGAGTGAGTAAATACAAAGCTTCTAGCGAGTCTTTAACAGCGCCATGATTATAGCTCCCGATTTACAGTGATATGCTGAGCCCACTTGATCGAGCTGGATTACCTCCTGAAGCTGCAAGCACTGCTGCATGAATTTGGCCCGAGTGTTCTCGACGAGCTCACCATCGTGTTGCTTCCTGAGCGGAAAGAAAGAAAGGAATTAGATATGGAAAGTGGGGGAAGGATTTGGGATGTTGAGAAGAAGTTGGATGTCGGATTCAATCGAGGTGATTGAGCTTCTGTCATATACTATCGGATTCTGAGATATTGAGGAGATTTTAATTTGTGGTTTGAAGACGGGGATCGGCGTGTGGAGAATGTTGGGAGAGTGGAGATTTGTTGGTAGGTGTTGAATGTTTGGTTTTGGTATAGATGTTTATCCGATAGTTGGAAAACAAGGGTAGTGAGGAAGAGAGTAGCCAGGAAGTCCGACGGGAGCCTGATCACTGCTGCTGTTCGATTCTTAACGACGTTGAGGTGGATAATCTAACTCGCAAGAGGTCGGTTCTTGGCTAAGTTGAGATGGATATGGAATATAATCGCTGCGATGTTGCTCTGGATAGGAGGGAGGCGCTGGGTGCTTGTATCGAGGTCTTACATTGACGGACGTTCTTTTCAAGGATACGGTGAATGGCTATGTAAGTTGTTGAAAGTGTGGTATGGGGTCCGTTGCTGACGAGTTGGGTTGCATGGTTCGGGGTTGGGATGTTGAAGAGCTGGGGTATGGACTATCATCGACTTCGTAAGTTATAGGTCAGTGATTTGAGATTTAGTTAATTTTCGAAACTTAGACATTGAAACTTATTGAATAATTTCAATGTGTAGTGACATTATCACAACAAAAAGTACTCTCTCCAAACTCGGGGCATTACAGCACTCTGCTGGAGCGAAAGGATGGGAGCAGCAGCTTAAGGAGGATGTTCTGGGCTGGAACAGCGATGGGGCTATGAGAAGCATGTCTTGGGCGGAGGGGTTGCGTGGAGGTTGTGTTGAAGCAACTTGGCCTTGACCAGAGGGTAATAGTTGGATACGAGTAGCAAGACTTTGTATAAATGACGCTGTTGAAAGCTGGTCCCTGCCTTTGTGGCCTTTGTGGTAGTATTGTTCAATCTAAGTGCTACAAAATCTTTCACAAACTTCCATAGCTTTAACATCAAATATCTATCCTCCGAGCATGCAACATTGGATATCACGATGTTCAGGATGCTATCGATCTTTGTATCTTAGCTTAAAGTCGGGTTGAGAGCAGTGAAAACTTAAATGTAAGTCCTAGGTGCATAAAGCAGTTCGCAAGCCAATACCACCTGCCCAACTTGCGCCCTTGGATCCGCTTCCCCCGTCGAGGTCGCCCGACGGACAACGGAGACGGAAGCACGCCGACTCAAGAAGCCGGTCAAGTCTGACTTCTGGCCCGAAGTCTCCGAGGGGGGTTCATTTTCAGTCACCTTCTAGCAATCATGTACTTTTCAGATCTGGGATATTGAGAGTTTGTTGGAAGTTTGTGTGGCATTTGGATATTGGGATTAGGATTGTTTGGCATAGAGATTTCGGAAAAAGGAAATAGAAAGTCCTTGCTTTGTTGCCCTGCTCAAAGGTATCCATGACCCGAGTCTGTAGTTTTAAGATAGACAATGATTGACCTGGACTTGGACATTGAGGAAGAGCATGTTTGGTCACTGAAACTTGGACATTAGACTTGGATGTAATGTCTGAGGAAGTCAAACCGGAGGATTGATTATAGTGCATGTTATCTATTATTGCATGGCTACATAGGTACATGATGAAGAAAGTGCCTAACCCCCAATGGTTCAGAGAGAAGCGAGATCAACAGAGAACTAGTATTATAACATCTGTCCATGTTTTCTGCCGCGAGTTTTGGGTATTGTAGCGAAACTTGCAGGCACAACAGATCAGGTACTGATCATGCATTGAGGCTTGAGATGAGTCTGATATGAGCTCGTGCATGAGATGTCACCGCTACTTCCCCATGCAAGAGAGAATCCCATATATCAGAAGCAAACAAACATCATGGCGGAGCTTCCTCCGGAGTGTTTGCTACGACCAAGATCTACCCCAGACTCCTCGACGCAGAGTATCGGGAAGGGGTTTCAGACTCGGATTCGATGCACCGCTTGAAGCAAGGAGCCGGATTACTGGGATACCATATCATTTCAAGAAGCAGCAGGCGACATGATGTCGCTCTAGAAGTAGAGGTCGTACCACTTTAGACACACAGACCTACCTAGCCCAACGGGACGATCATCCCAGGGATCACCGGATCCTATTTTCTTGTGTAACGTGAGGTTGGCAGGCTGAGAGCGGGAAGAATGTGACTGGTCGTATTTGCGTTGAATGAAGGGGCGAGCAATGAAATGAAGGGGACAATGAAAGATTAGCAACAACTTTACGTCATTGAAGCTGTGATTGACGTTTCCGTGCTTGTTGTATGTTTCCCTTGACGGTTTCGAAATGTTTGGTTACCCGGGTATGTTGACGTTGAAGGGACAAGGGAGCAAACCGAGCTGAGCTGTCAGATGCAACTATCCTCTAACTCCTCTGTCCAGGGGGAATGGCAAGTTTTATTGGAGGCTCGGGATGATAGTCGGTGAGCTGAAATCTGGTTGGCTCTACCCGCTGGCCGGCTGTCGTCCTATCAATTGGTATCGCAAGCACCGTATATGTATTGTACCAGTATCAAGCCCGAAGGAGTCCTGCAGCGGAAACGTGGTGGTACCATATCACCAAGGAACTGAATCGTGTAACGCCATCTGGATGGATGAGATCGAGATATCCGAGTGCTGCTTGGTTGCATTCGGGGCAGTCCGGCGATTGTTGGTAAATTGGGTTCACCAATGAGACGACTCGTTGATTTCGTGCATGAGATGCACGGGTTGCGTCAGTCAAGGCCATCTGTGATCTGGCCCGTATCTGGGTGCAGTGTACGGCGTGCATGAGAGTCGAAGAGTGCAGCTTGCACTGCGTCGTCGTCTGGAATTGATACCATCATCATACTGCGAACGTACAGTACTGTTGAACTCTCGTGGTCAAAGCGATGCGTTGGGACGAAAGATCTGTTTCTTGGGAGATGCAGGAATTGCCGACGAATAAGATATGGTAGATGAGTAATGCTGATGACCGACGTGTGCTGGCATCGTCGAAGGGTTTTATAGGGCTTTCACGAGCATCCACTGACAGTCACGGAAAGCCTCCTAAGCAAGGAAGGTTCGACTCCTCGTGTCCAGAAACTGCAAGGTTGATGAGCCGATGTTGAGAGCAATAAACTTTCCAAGATCTTCAAGATCCTGTAACCTTATGCAGGAGCGACGGGTCCAAACACCCACATGCTCTCTCTCAACATCTTGCTTGCTGTACTGACTGTACTCATTTGTACCTTCTGACCAAGACGCAGCGAAGACCCTCAGGTGGTCATGGATCGAGAGGGTCTCAAAGTCTGAATCTCTCCCAGACAATGGCAGGGCCGACATCCCTTGCACATCGGTCACGGGTCGCTCTTTGAGAGATATACCGCAAAGATTATTGGCGGTGTGGTTGAGGATAGTACGATCTGAAATGGCATTGTTCTCAAACGCTGTTTCAGTCTCATTTAGGAGCTTCCGAGTCCTCATGACGTCCTATAATGGTGCTTTGGTCCGTTGCCAGAAACGCCCCCGAGCGGGAACAGATGGCAGAAGAAAAGTCGGCTTCAAGAAGCAAATACTCACCCCGGAGACGAATTCCATGTTCTCCTCTGCCCTCTGCCACTGGCCCCATTCGAATGTTGGTGCATGAGCTGTACCTGCTCGCGAGGCCTCTTTTCATGCAAGGCACACGCTGCTCGATCAGTTGGATCGCACCTGTAAATGGAAATGCGGTCTTCCACTTCTCGAGGATCTCGTAATCTGTATCATAAACCCTCTAAAGAGATTACAAGTAATACTCCGTAATAGTCTGACGCGGGTCTTCAACCATTCATCCTGAATACGGGCACCAAGGTAGAGCTATATGGCAGATTTGAAAATGCTGTCTTCGAATAATTGAATAATTTTTCGTGACCATGGCGAGGATAAATTCGAGTAGAATGAGGTCAATCTCCTCTTCCTACAACTTTAAATGGACGGCACGCCTCCTCGGTATCGGCGTGCCTGTTCTTGCAACCCCCTTTTTTTGCTTGTGAACAGCCAAAACCGTTTTCACCTGCTCGAAATAGCAATAATGTCAAGTACCTGGCCTGGCCTGGTGATGCGTGCTTCACTTGACTCTCGTCTAAATAAGCAAGCCAAGCCAAGCAAGCCGTGGTCTTTTCGGATCTCTACGGTTGTCGATGTGGCACGAACAGCACGATCCATCATCCGCCAGTCATTTGAAAAAAAAGCCTCTTGCCAGGCTCAGACTGGTGGCAGCAGCAGCAGCAGCAGCGCAACGCAACGCACGCAAATCGAGCGGAGGCCAGGGGTTAGTGGGCTTGGTGTCGATCATATTGTGTGCTTCCGTTTCCGTCCTCAGCCCTTTACGATTCGCGCTTCCCCTCCTTGAAATTCTCCTCGTCGTCCCACTTCTGGTGAAAAAAGAAAGCGTCCTGCACACGCTGCACAATCTAGATCCGAGGAGCCGTAGCCATCTGCGAGTGGAAACTTGGGAAGGGAGGGACTTCAGGGAAGGACCCTCAAACTGACAGCTTTCCATACCAATACCAGCTTTCTCCTCCCATCCACATCACCGACCCATGGCAAAATGCCCTAGGTTTACCGATGGATGCTTAGGCATGTCCGCTGCCCAGAAAGCCCCAGCTCTCTCATCCTTAAGTCCCTTACGAGGCATCCTAAGCCTCCACTGGTCCACTAAAAATCTTCGCGCCATGCTATGATGCTGGCCTTTTGAAGTTTAAGCAGGAAAATAACAGCGGATCCAAACCAAACCCAAGCTGAACTGGATTCGTCCGAGGACAACGCTGGCCGCCTGCCTAACCTGCCCTCCTGTGCCGTGAGAACTCGTACTGTAGCTTAGTTAGGGACTGCTGCTGCACCACCAGCGAGGAGTGAGCCTGTGCCAGCGGTGATCCGAGTACTGTAATATTAATCCCGAGTGACCCTGATGCGTGTATGGAAGAACGGAGGGAAGAAACGAGACGAGCCTAATCGTCTGCTTCCGAAAAGCTACAAGCCTAGCCTTTGTCCTCTTAGCTTTGCACGCGCTGCAAACCACCACCACTACGCACCCTACGGCGCCATTAGACTTTACCTTAGGGTCACACTTATTATTACACTCACTCACACTTGCTCTTTCTCCTCCACCTCTCTCCTTCTCCCACCTTCATCCCACCATCATCATCCCTCGAATCTATCGACCGTCCTGTTTGCGTCAATTGTTTCCTGTCGATATCGTGTCTTTCGTATCGCCGGTGTTTACTGCTTTCCCATCGGAATCCCCCAAGTTTTCTAGCAGTTGTTCCTGGTCGACCCGTGAGTAGATCTTGCGCCTCAACACAACCCCTCATCAGCTATGCCCTCCCTTTGCCACAGCTATTGTCGCCCATCCGGGGACTAGCAAGCACCGAAAGCATTGTCCCACATTCACGGAAGCCTGCAGACCGAAGCCAGGTGCATTGTTGCTGGGCGCATCCATCCAGGGCAGGTCGCTAGCCTTCGCTGCATGGTTTTCCAGTTGAGCGTTTGCTTGCAAGCTCGTCGCAAAGCTCCTCACTGGGGCCCAACGGCCCATCTCCCCTCCAATACACATTCTGTCTGCTGTGTGAAGCATCCTAGAGATCATTGACTGACCATTGTGGTATTGCTGGCAGTTTTGGAGTCATCCTCAGCGATCCCTTCCAGCGAATTCCACCATCTTTACGCCCTTTCGCTCTCGAATTCTTTGCAGGCGCACGCATAGCCATAAGTTTCAAGTCGACTTTCCTCACGGTCTTGCTTTTCGACTGCTTTCCACCGCAATAACGAACTTTACGAAGCTTGGGCTGGATATCTTCTTCGAGCTGGTCCTGAGATATTTTTTAGGTGAGCCCAAACCCTCCTCCCATACAAGGAACACGGTTGGCAGACCCTCGAAAAGTTGCGGAAGAAAAGACGACAATAGGAACAGCTTGTTTGGTTTGGTTTCCTCCCATGTTGGGCTTTCGTTCTAGATATATAATCCAGTCACCGGCCGAAATCTTTCGAAATGCCATTGCCGTAGTCTTACTACGTAGCCGTAGCACTCGACATTGGAATCGGAGCAGAAAACTCAGCAGCACATTTCATTTCGCTCCCCGAGAAGTTGGCCTGCCATAAGTTGAGGATGGATGGTCCAATGCCATCAGACCCTCTATTCAGGAGCTATATGGCATGGGTAGAGAAGTTTCCACGGGGTTTGCCTTCAATTGAAGACGGCATTTTGTCCTTTTGAACTGAGCTATTGCAGATATGATAGCTTTCAGTTTTTGTATCTGGCAATAGCTCTCGTGCAGGACGAGCATAGCTCTTCAAATGATCATCCAGGGGTTTCGCAAGGCGAGCCTGGATCGGCATTATCCCCTTGTTTTTAGATTGCGTTTTGTGCTTGATGATTGGTCGATAAATTATTGCTTTAATGTCTTGAGAAAAGGTCGATCCTCTTGTATTCGAGGTTGAAGAAGACTCCTACAGGGGTGTATCCTCTTTCCTCAAGGGCTTGGGTTGAAGCTTGTGGAGATTCGGCGTACCATAGCATCTGCGGTATAGAGAAGTCAGTATATGAGCTCGGAAGTTAGAAGTATCTAGGCTATCCGAATTACCTCTGCTTCTTGCTCCCTCCATAGGATCCTGTCGAAGTTGCCGAAGTAGTACTCATTGGTATTGGACGAACACGGAGCGCCACTCGTTCATTCTCTAAGTAACGAAGATGGCTGCCAAGGACACCGCTGTGGCTATTTGGCGCTGATTCCTTGTCCCGGTGTGATCAAGGTCCCCCTCTACCCCCTTGTTGTTGATGTCCTGTTGTAGAATTTGGCTATTGCCTGAGCCTCCGCGAGTCGAACTCATTTTCGTTGTAAACCGAGCGTTGCGTTGAGGTTCGTTGTCGTTGTCCCCAGCTTCGAGAAGGTCGTCCTGTAGCGGATTAGTACCAAGACCATTGCTTGTAGGGGTGAAGGATGGATTCCGCACGTAGTGTGAGAGTCAAAACTGCCGTATTCTGTGCTTTCAATGCAAGAAACCAGTAGAACACGTCCCTCGAGCCAGAGGAAGCTATCCTGACGTGCGACTTTCGTGTCGTCCCCAGGCTCTCGTCGAACGGGCGTGCTTGTGTTGTAAAGAAGTCTCTAGAATGAAAATCCAGGGATTCCGTGGATGCAGTTACTCCGGCGAAACTAAAGCGTGAAGTTTGATTGCGGTAATAGTTGGGGTGGGCGTCGTTGATCTTGGTGTGCATGTGCCTCCAACAGCAGTTTGGGTTGTTGCGTTTGTAGAAGTTCGCTTCCACCAGGAAGACGCTTCCCTCCTTAGCAACACCACACAATCACCCATGACTTTCGACACGTTCTTCTGCGTGATGACTTTCGTTTCTGAGATGCGTCGCATTGATGTTTTAAAGGTTACTTTTTAAAGATTACTTCGCACCGCGGATCTGTAAATACCAGTTTGAGATGCCCATTGGCTCAGCTCCTCCCTTCAGACAGCGTCACAGCACAGGATTGGTATTGCTCTGCATGTCTTGCAACCACAGCAATTCTTTGATCTTTACCTGAACGTAGTCTGCATTGTCTTAAACATGCTGTCAGTTGTTACTCGCTTAGCATGCGTGTTTGCTGTGCGGTCTACTGCTTCTTGGGCTATGTTCATCACGCAAGCATTCTCAAACATCATCCATGACCTGAGACAGTGCCGTCTTGTCCTGTAGCTTGCTGAGAAACTCATTAATATCTGTGTGATCTGCTCTGATCTGCTGTCACTGATATATGCTCGCTCGTGTTCGTGACCGTATCCCAAGTTCTTGATTCTACCCGACGATATGCAGGAGATTGATCCTCCTATAATATGATAAAGACAAGGATCACTTCCAGTCATCTTGAGCTTCTGCTTACGCATTCACTTCACGTTGCAAGCTTGTTGGCTGTCCAAATCATTCATTGAGTCTGTTGTACATGCTGCTTTCGTCGTAAGACCACATATCAAGAGCAAAGCCAGGACAAAACTCAGACCTTCATCTCTCTGACTCTTGAACAATCCTCCTGTCAGCTTCCTCGACGTATCACGTTGGTGAATGTACTCTTCGTGGCTGCGGTCATCAGGCTCTCCTTCTGTTCCTAGTCGACGGCCTAAGGCCGTATTTCGAGGGTCTGCCACACTCACCAAGTCTACTAGTGGCCAATTAAATGACTCGAGAGGCTCCGCTAACGCAGCATATATAGGCCCCCCGCATTATTTCATCCTCGCCTTCGAATCTTTACCAACAACTTCTTCGAACCCCGCAATATCTCAGATCTCTGCGATTTTCTGCACCCCTTCTTCAACCCCCTACGTACAACCACAGATAAGACTCCTGTAACTTCACACACGGTATCTGCGCAGCGTTTCAGCCTGTTCCGTTCTTCACGATGTCTTTCCAATACGACCCGAACCAACAAGGCCAGTTCCAGGAAAATAATGGAAATGGTATGAACCAACAACAAGGTCAGCCTCAGGGTATGGCCCCTCAACAACCCATGCAACAACAACCTGGCCAAGAAGGCGGTTCTCCGGCTCCTTTTGCTCAGCAAGGTGGTGTTGAGGGCGCTGGTGGTAGTGTCTCTGGTGACGCAAAGACCACGCTTTGGTAAGTCTACATTCTTTCCCAGCCCTCCCATCCACCCCGCGATCTCTACGACCCAGATCGTATTGCAGCGCATCACTTTAGACTGTCATCGGCTTCTCGATGCAACTTGAGCACGTCGGCACTCGCGCCGCTGCTCTGTTGTGCGGCCCACCACGGTCACACACCAGTGGAAGGCAGTCGTTAGGCTCATTCACTTGCACTCTATCTAAACACAACAATACATGCTAACAACCATTCTTTAGGATGGGTGAACTTGAACCATGGATCGATGAGAACTTCATTCGTTCTGTCTGGTTTGGTATGGGCGAGTCTGTCAACGTAAAGATGATCCGCGATAAGTTCTCTGGGTAAGCAGTCCTCTCCACATCGCACATGGCGTCTGACAACTAACGTCCATCAGTAATGCCGGTTACTGTTTCATCGACTTCTCATCTCCAGCTGCTGCCGCGAAGGCTCTATCACTTAACGGCTCCATGATTCCCAATACCTCGCGCCCTTTCAAGCTCAACTGGGCATCTGGTGGGGGTCTCGCTGATAGACGGTCAGAATCTCGGTTCATATTCCTCCACTCCAATGCTTATTGCGCCTCTTGCATCAGAAGCTAACTATTTTCAGTGACGATCGCGGTCCTGAGTTCTCTATCTTCGTTGGTGATCTTGGCCCTGAGGTCAATGAATATGTCTTGGTATCTCTCTTCCAAGCACGTTTCCCGTCATGCAAGTCCGCAAAGATTATGACCGATCCAATCTCCGGCATGTCTCGTGGCTACGGATTCGTTCGCTTTGCCGATGAGGGTGACCAACAACGCGCATTGACAGAGATGCAAGGCGTCTACTGCGGAAACCGTCCCATGAGAATCTCCACTGCTACTCCCAAGAACAAGTCTGGTGGTGGTCCTGCCGGTATGCCTATGCAAGGTGGCATGGGTGGTGGTCAACAAATGGCTGCCCCAGGCATGTATGGCATGGGTGCACCTCCTCCTCTCGGTTACTACGGCGCTCCTCAGCCAATGAACCAGTTCACCGATCCTAACAACACCACTGTCTTCGTCGGAGGACTGTCAGGTTATGTCACTGAGGATGAGCTTCGCAGCTTCTTCCAAGGCTTTGGTGAGATCACCTACGTCAAGATTCCACCTGGAAAGGGTTGTGGTTTCGTTCAGTTCGTTCAACGCCACGCTGCCGAGATGGCCATCAACCAAATGCAAGGCTACCCAATCGGTAACTCTCGTGTTCGCCTCTCCTGGGGACGTTCCCAAAACAACTCTGGCCCAGCCGGCACCCCATACCGACCTGCTCCACCCCCACCCCAATACTCATCCATGGGCATGCCACCTGCACACCCATATGGAAACTACCAACCTCTTCAAGTAAGTGACTGCTCACACACTCATCCTGATGATACTAACACATCACCAGTAAGCATGCAATTTCCGCGTCTTGCCACCAAAGGAGTTTGATATAGCGATCATGGCGTCACTTTTTGCACTTGACCTTGCCCTTTAATGGCTTACCTTCTACGCGTCCAATGCCTGGATAACTTTTCTCCTCTTAGCGTTACTTCAAAAGTATCGGATGGGTGGGGATTTGCATTTTCCGAATGATGCTTGTACAAAAAGTGCATTAGATGTCTCCTTTTCATGCGTCCACGAAGGGTCTAACATGCGCTGCGTTTCCTTTTCCATAACAACATGTACTCCTCTCAGGCTTGTCAATAGCTGCTTCTCTTGAACCTTGCATCGGGCGTCGGTCGATTGGTGGGCAGGGACAAGGTTGTGGTTGAGCAGGCAACCTTTTTCGCATGGTTTTGCTTTTTCTTTTCTTTTCTTCTTTCGAGGTGTCGAGGCTGTTTTGCAAGAACATACAGCAGCAAGGGGGTTTGCTTGGAGGACGACTTTTTCGATGGCTGGTTTATTCGATGGATGGATGGGCTTGGCTTCGAGGTCTTTCACGACTGGCTTCTAGAGCACTCTACTACTACTTTCCTTTTTTGCTTTCTAACATTTGCACGTTGTTTTCTCTCGCGCCAAAAAAAAAATCGCTCTTCAAAAGTTTAGACTCTCTTTTCACACAGAACATGGGAGGCTTGCTTGTTGCCTGTGCGAGCGAGCTCAACAATGTATCCTCCTGAACTTCAAATACCTGTTCTGCATGCGTGTCTTGACCTGCTCTGCTATGGGCGTTTGGGCATCTTTGGTTTGAGTACCCCCTTTCTGCTTTTGCTGACCTTGATTGTTGACATAAGATACATCCATATGCGACTTTCTGTACTGCTCTGGTATGGGCTAGGGCTGGATATGATGAACACTACTGTGCTTCTAGGCATTAAGGGCGATGAGACTACTGAAATAAAAGGGAATATTTAGCTACGTGATCTTGTTATGATCTTTGATGTGCTGATGTGAGACCGCTTCCGATGTTCTGCATGCCGAGTTCGGAGATATTAGAAAGTCTTACGTGCCCGTTGGGAAGGAGCATCCATCGTACTTGACAGTTGAATGTTTACTCGAGCAGTGAGCGCGTATACATTGATATTGTACTGAATGACACCCTCAATTTCTCTCATTATGCAGGATACTAGATACTGAACACTGTGTACCAGGTAGTAATCTACAGCGTAACTACCCCTTGATTATCTCTTACTTTGCTGTAAACATGTAGACATGCCCCTTCAATCTGAGAGGGAGTGCCTAGTCAGAATTTGAATGGAGACTAAAAGTCCGTTTTAGCAATTGGATAATTTCAAGTGGCATAAGTCTTCTCCTTTCTGAGTTGTCTGGAAATGACTAAATGGCAAGAGGCTAACATATGGTCAAAGTACATTGTGTTGGACATGAGATACATTCCTGCAGGTCTAGGAAAGAAAAAGTGTCAAATATTTACATTTACAAGATGAGATCCAAAATATCAAGTATCTACTGAGAATATCTACAGTCTTCCCATCCCTCACCTCTTCATTCTCCCTTTTCATTGACAACGCAACTATCCTTGACAATAACAGCAACTCAGCTCCCTTAGAACCACAGCACTGAACGTGTCCCGTATCCTCACCCGCAGATCTATCGGTGGCCGGCTCTCCTTCCTCGTGTTGAATAGGTTCTCTCGTTTTGTATTCTACTTTTCTAAACCCCAGATCAGGTCAGGATCAATATATAGTGATTAGCCGGGCCGCTAGTGGAATGACTCGAATGGAATTGGTTGTGGGAATTATTCACTTGTGATGCGGAGAGAAAGGGATTCACTTGGATGCGGAGAGAAGGGGGGGTTTGTGATAGTGAATGTTGGATATAAGATCATAACTTCATCCCTCAGATCTGAATCACATTGGGGTCTTAACCCAGTCATATTGTCGCACAAGCTCAGGAGCAACGTTATTCTATATTCTAATCCCTGCGGTACTTCTTCTTTGGTTTTCTACAGCACAATAATTTAGTGCTCTCATAGTCTGCAGCCTTTAAATTGACCCAGTCCTAGAGACCACTCTCCGACAAAATACCTATAATTGAATACATCAAGATACAGAAAAGTCACTTTGCACATGTAAGCAATCGTATTAACCCATCCATCCGCCATTGTCCCGGCATACATGGATTTATCACTTCACATTGTAGCACATACAGTAGTCCATTGGCCACAAGAACATCAGTGGATATATATCTGCTCGTACATTATTATTATAGCCATCTACTTCCTAACCTTCCTAGCATGCTTCACCAAGTTCTCAATAACACCCTCAAAAGCCTCCCTATCACCCAACTTCTCATCCGTCCTCTTCGTCCAATAATCGAGGACCTCCTTCGCCGTGCCCTGCATGTCTTCTAGCTTCTTCACATGCAGCTTTAGTTCTTCAATCGTAAGACCGTTCAATGCCTCGTCTGTAATAGTACATAGCTGCCGGGCTGAAACAAGATCTAGTTGGGGAGCCGGAGGCGGTCCTTTTCTCCGTCTTGAATCTGAGCGCGAGGGTTTGCCTTGGGAGTCTACGGATGTGGAGGATGTGTTGCCTTCGCCGTTCTTTAGGCGGGAGATGGATCGCGAGTCGGTGGAGTTTCGTGGTGAGCCGGAAGGGGGGTTGAGGTTCATGGATGGGAGGATCAGTTTCTTTTGTTTGGATGCTGGGAGGATTTCGTCTAGATCAACTGGGACACCAAGTGAAACGAGGAAGAGGCGTCGTATTCGAGATCGTATCCAGTTTGGAGGTTGGAGAGGTGGAGGAGCAACGAGTTGTGACCAAAGAGAGGCGCTCCGTGGTGTGAGGAATATGGAGTTTTCTGCTGATATTGGAGGTAGTACTGATGTGTCGATTGTGTCTGGTGGGAAAAGAGCATTCATGTAGGGTTCTGTAGCTGCTTGGATATCTTCTGGGGAATCAAGATCATCGAAGTCCAAGACAGGCTGAAAATATGTTAGCAGAGGTCACTTTTTACGAGTTGAACAGCAGATTTGTGTATGCTCTATATTTTCTACTTACAAAAGAGGGTGTTATCTGTATAGATTGCTGAGGAGGAGCAGGTGCTGCCTCCTGAAAACCATCATCAAATTCGCCAAATTCATCGAACTCTTCACCTTCTTCAAACTCGTCAAAGTCATCTCCAAATCCGCCGTCCGATCCATCTTCTGCTTCATTGTAATCATCTGTAGCGACAGGTGCCCCCTTCTTTCCCGCTGCAGAAGACTTCCGTCTCGCGTGGTTTACGGTTGGGGACCTAGGAGCAGGCACTGTTGGCGACCCTGATTCGGTCAATGGCTCTGAAGTAAGAGACATCGAAATGTCCTTACCTGGAACGTCTTCCACTTCCTCCACGATATCTGGCTGAGCATCTCCTCGCCTCATTTCATATGCTTTTGTACCAGGAACCTCGCCATGAGCTGGCTTGGAGTCGACCCTCTCTACCTTTGTAACTGGGATCGGAAGGTCCCCAGGAGTGCTGCCAGATCTGGATCTCATGGTGGAAGAACGGCTACGGCTCCCACTTCTCACTACGAGATCTGGGACTGCGTCTGCGAGACGTTTCTCGTGGGCTTCAGTTCCTGGGACTTCTCCGTGGCTGGGAGAGGATGGGTCGACCTTCTCGACTACCGTCAAGGGAATCGGCTGTCCACCAGGAGATGTAGGATTGGACATTGACAGACTGGAGGCGGATCTGCGACCCTCCGGTACGACTTCTATCTCATCAGGAGCAGCGTCCTGCTCTCTCATTCGGTAAGCAACGGTACCAGGTTCCTCGCCATAACGTGTCTCATCATCGACTTTCTCGACCCGTGTGAGGGGAATAACAGGAGTGGCAATTCCAGAAGCTGCCTCGAGACCAGATTGAGCGTCAGAGAAATGGTCATCGGAATCGGAGGATTCTGTATCAAGTCTCGTTAGTAAATGGGTGCTTTTGGAGCTGACATGTACCGTTACGAGCCTTACCAAGGTCGTGTGCCCCTGGATCATCGATGCTCGTCCTTGCGGGTGGCTCAAGAGTTTCGTGCTCCTCTTGTGCCATTTTCAAATTAATGAGAAATCAATGAAGACTCAAGAATAAGAAGAATTCAATCGTAGAAGCTGTATTGACAGGAGGCTTTGCCCAGAAAAGCGGGACAACCTCTTACTGTACGATTTGCTGGCGAGTGAATGTCGGTCCCAAGGCTGGACGTCCAGAACTGTGATCCCGGTCGCGCTAAAATTGTCTCGATGGCCAAGCTGGAGCACGCGAAGAACAAAATACCTGAGTTGCAACTACGCGCAAAATATGCGCCTTATCCAGAACTACAGATCAGAGCCTGTTGTAGCTGAATAAAGAATCGGCAATCGGGTCTGAAGCCACGCGCAGTTCGTCTTTCTCTTGGATCTATCTTGAAAAGCTGCTAACCTTGAAGCCTAGTCAACAAACCCTCTATCCAACCTTCCTTCGCAACACAATTAACATGTCTTTCACATTCGGTCAATCTACCGGCACTGGTGGCACTGGCAATGGAAGCAGTAATCCCTTCGGAACATCATCAAATCCTGCCCAAACCAGCTCGAGCGGCCTATTTGGATCATCAGCAACTCCAGCCTCTTCTTCACCTTTCGGCTCAGGCTTCACGGCAACATCCAAGCCTGCAGGCCCAAGTATCTTTGGTAATGGAGGTGGAGGTAGCACACCAGCACCGAGCCCTTTTGGAGCGAATATGTCGGCAGCGGGAGGAGGAGGAAATGCCTTTGGAACAGCAAACACTTCTGGAGCACCTTCACCTTCGATCTTTGGAGGCAATGCGGCAACCACTTCATCTACTGGCGGAGGTTTGTTTGGCAGCAAGCCGGTAGGTACCCCAGGAACTTCTGCGCCACCGGCCTCTGTCTTCAGCAGCGCTGGCGGACCTGCCCCATCATTTGGAAGCGGTGGTGGCTTTAGCTTTGGCCAAAAGAACGATGGGAACTCGACCTCAACGCCAACAGGAGGGAATGAGAGCAAGACACCCGCAGCTGCTCCTGCGGCTGGTACTGGGGGGATGTTTGCTAACTTAGGGAATAATTCGTCAGGTGGATCTGGGCTTTTCAGTACGGGCAGTGCATCAACAGGGGTCACAACTCCAGCAAAGCCTTCGTTCTCTTTCGGACCTACTGCTTCTACAACACCCGCTGGTAATCCACCTTCAAATGTTGCTCAAGGATCGAAGCCAGTATTTGGAGGCCTTGGAGGCCAAGGTTTAAGTGGAGGACTGTTTGGTCAACCTAAGCCTGCTGATTCGTCGAAACCTGCCACTGCCGGCTCTATGTTCTCCACAGCTGGACCAAAGCCTGGTGGCATCTTCGGTCAGAATCCTCAAACTGCTAGCTCATCTGGAGCACCAGCCAGCAGTACACCTGCCACTCAAACCCCGAGCTTTAGCTTTACAAAACCAGCTTCGACCGCACCAAGTAGTCAACCTGCAACCACTGCCGCAGCTCCATCAGGTCAAATTGGTGGGCTCTTTGGGCCAAAGCCAGCTGGATCGTCTACGCCTACTACTCCTAATATGTTTGGTGGCGCAAGTATGACTCCGAGTACACAGGCCCCAAAGCCAGGTGGGCTATTTGGAAATACACCTACTACCTCGGCATCCACAGCAGCTCCATCAGGTGCCATGTTGTCCTCGACACCTGCTTCAAGTGCTGCCCCAAGCTCCTCAGCACCGGCATCGACTCCAGCAGCGACCCCTAGTCTGTTTCCCAGTTTGAGTGGTAACAACCCAACATCCACTTCAAGCCCAACCCCAAGTTTGTTTTCAGGCTTGGGCAGTGGAAGCAACAACACATCGACTCCTGCACCTGCAGGTACCACACCAGCTCCTGCCTCGCTCTTCGGTACCCAGCCTGCAAGCAACACTGCTACTCAGCCAGCTCCCATTTCTGGAACGACTTCTACTACTGTACCAGCAGCTGGAGCTTCTGGAACCACTGGCAATACTCAATCAGGTACTGGTCCTTCGCTTGGTGCGTCCACTGCTGGCCCAACTCCTCAATTAACCCGTCTCAAGAACAAGACAATGGACGAGATCATCACTCGCTGGGCTTCTGATCTATCAAAATATCAAAAGGAATTCCAAGACCAGGCTACCAAAGTTGCGGCTTGGGACAGGCTAATGGTCGAGAATGGAGACAAGATCCAAAAATTGTATCTGAGCACTTTTGAGGCAGAACGACAAAGCACCGAGATTGAGAGACAGCTTTCCAATGTTGAGAGCCAACAAGACGAACTGGCTTCCTGGCTTGACAGATATGAGGCTGATGTTGATGAGATGTTCTCACGTCAAGTCGGTCAGGGCGAGACTCTTCAAGGTCCAGACCAAGAGAGAGAACGTACCTACAAGCTTGCGGAGAAGTTGACTGAGCGACTTGATGAGATGGGCAAGAACCTTGGCAGTATGATTGAGGCGATCAACGAGGCATCCACCACTTTGAGCAAGACATCGAAGGCAGATGATCCAGTAAGTACAAACAAGAAATATGTCATAGTCATATGCTAACCTGATCTTATAGCTTTCACACATCGTCAGAGTTTTGAACAGCCACCTTACGCAATTACAATGGATTGATGAAAACGCCATGGCTCTGCAAACCAAGGTTGTCGAAGCTCAGAAGATGGGCCAGAGCATTGGCTCAAACGGCTATGGAGGTCCCGAGAGTGATGCTGCGGAGTCCTTTTATCGTTCTTTCAGATCCGGGAGATAATGTCTGCATAATTGGTTGGCGTTAAGAACTTTATATGGTATCTTGAGACTCAAGATTGGGAAGTGGGTAGCATATGTCCGTCATGAAACTTTACTGAGATCCTAGAGAGGAGGGTTTTTTATATTCACAGCATACAAAAGTGTATGCATTGTACAAGTAGTCCAAAAATGGAGACATGCAGAATCAGAAGCTTCCTTCCATATGCTTGAATTCATCGAATCTTGTATACAGCCGAACCACCCATCGTAACTCGTGCTCTCCTCCACTGGTCAACTGTACAGACAGTCACGTTCAGCATCTCTCAATGCAATGACCCAGTGTATCCATCCAACAAAATAATACTTACTTCTGCTCGCCACCTTGCTCCTTGGCCATCTCCTCACTGCAGACAACATTGTCAGTCTAAACTATTCCCGAATGATGTGCCAAAGTGGTGTGATCTCACATGTGTTCCGAGAGCTTGTCCAAGTGTTCGCGTTGCTCGGCAATCTTCTTTCTCAGCTCCAAGAGCTTTTCCTTCTCACGCAGACGGATAGCATAGTCCTCATTGGCCTTCTCTCTCTTCGTGAATGCGTCTCTATCGAAAGGAAGAACTTGTTAGCTTGAATTCGTATGCCAAATGAAATGGGGAGAAGATGTACCCAGTAGCAACTCCACCCGTTCGTGGAGCTCCGGTATCACCACCAGCCATGGCTCTGATGGAGGTTGAGAATGCAGCTCGGGATTGGAGGGATGAACGCAATGCTGGGCGAACAGCTCTGGTGATGGATTGTCGGTACATGGTCGTTGATGTTGCTTTGGAGGCAATTGAGTATTTAGAGGGGGAAGCTAATGCTTTGTACCTCTGGTCTGAGGGGTTGTCTCGATGATGGAGGGTCGTGGTTGGAGGTAAGGTGATTTCTGCCGAGCTTGCTTGCTGTTGCTTGCAGAGGGCGATCGAGTGCAGCATTTATGGTCACCGTATTATTCTGGTGGCCTGATTCTCACGAAAGGCTTCAATGTTCATGTGATAGCTGAGTCATGTGATTCGCAGCCTCCTTTTGATTTGGCTGAAAGAGTGATGGCTCTTTTGCCAGGGCTGCAAGTGATCGGCGTCATTGTTCAATCGGGACTGGGTGATTCTCTTGATTATATTGTAAGGCTCCGCACAATCGATATGAGAAATGTCGAGATCAAGTTGCTGTCACCCGTTGCGTGGCCCCAGCATTACCACAATTGCACATCCCAACTAAGCTTCTAGATCACCAAAGCAGGTTTCATGACACTTCTATTTGCAGGGCATGGAATGGGGGAAGCATGACCGGCATCATGGCTTGTATCAGCCGCAGAACGGCACGAGATTCGAACCATGCCCTCAGTCGTGTTACAATCAGGCGACCAACGTGGGAAATTTTGATAGCATGAACCGTTCAAGGATCCGGTCCTTCTCCTGGGCTCGTCAGCCCTGGAAAGGATGATGTGGACGAAAGGGATGGAAAGGGAGAGCCATAGTGCTGGGTTCTGCTGGCTCTACAAATAGATGCTTCATTCGCCCTGTTGTTCAAGTCAAAATATTCGTCTGACTTTGTTCATTTTGTATAAACAGCGGCTTCTCATCTCCCCCCCAACATTAAGACGATATCCGTCCTCTCCCAAAGCGGAACGGTGCCATCAATAATAATCCCACGGGTCCCTCCTTCCATCGTCCTGTCCTACCCAGCAGTCTTCCGCGGCCGTGCAGTGAGTGAGCGAGTGCAGTGCAGTGCAGACCAAGAATAATTGCAGGAGCGACTGTTTTGCAGGCGCATCGCTTCCTACCTAAATTAGACGCTAAGGACTTTCGATCAACTTCGCTCTGCAAATCCGCTTCAACTCAACAACCTCTCCTCTTTCTTGAGATCATCAACCACCACCCTCTCAAGATCTCGTCGCACACCAAACTCCTTTCCAGATCGACCATTACCTTCCCCTTTGTACAATCACCAAACACCTTCCTCAAGTCCCGGTAAGATTGCCCCATACTCCCTACTATTTCGTCATCTTTCCCTGCACTGCGTGGAGATCGCATACAGTCCATCATCGGATTGAGAGTCTGCGACGCCCAGAGACTCGTGGGACAGTTGGCACATCCACGAGCACACATTCTGCTGCGATTTCGACCGCGGGAGTGGCTTTCCAGGCTTCTTCCCACTGCCCCTCCCTTTCGTTGAGGGGCACTTTCCGAATTCCGCCATCTCTTGCAGCCCCTTTTCAACGCGCGCATCGAGATATTGGGAACAATGCAATATGGAATACCATTATATCGATGTCCAACGCGTCGAGGAGGCCTCGCATGACCCCCTCCTGATGGGGCGTCAGACCGCTTCACCTTTTCCCGTTGGCTTTTAGAGCCCGTTCAGCCGCAAACTATCTATGATCTTTTCAATCTTGCCGAGATCCATCTGCTAATACCAAGTCTCCAACAGATAAACACAAAAGTCGCAATCATGGGTTACGAAGATTCCGTCTACCTCGCCAAGCTTGCTGAGCAGGCTGAGCGTTATGAAGGTTAGTAACACGCAGCGATTCTGAAAGTGCGCGGCAACGAATACTGAACATATAACTAGAAATGGTGGAGAACATGAAGTCCGTTGCTTCTGAAGATCAAGAACTCTCTGTCGAAGAGCGAAATCTCCTCTCTGTTGCCTACAAGAACGTCATTGGCGCCCGCCGTGCTTCGTGGAGAATCGTCACCTCAATTGAGCAAAAGGAAGAGTCCAAGGGCAACTCATCTCAAGTTGGTCTTATCAAGGAGTACCGTCAAAAGATCGAGGCCGAGCTTGCCAAGATCTGCGAAGATATCCTCGAGGTTCTTGACAAGCACTTGATTCCCTCTGCCAAGAGCGGAGAGTCCAAGGTCTTCTACCACAAGATGTTTGTAAAGCCCTGCATTTTACGCTATTTCTGCTAATCCATGAATTACAGGAAGGGTGATTACCACCGTTACCTGGCTGAGTTTGCCATTGGCGACAAGCGAAAGGAGTCTGCCGATAAGTCTCTTGAGGCTTACAAGAACGCTACCGAGGTTGCTCAAACCGATCTTGCTCCCACCCACCCCATCCGTTTGGGCCTTGCTCTCAACTTCTCAGTCTTCTACTATGAGATTCTCAACTCCCCTGATCAGGCCTGCCATCTAGCCAAGCAAGCATTTGATGATGCCATTGCCGGTAAATTTGATTTCTTCTGCCAAATAGGAAAGAACCATAATTGTCTGACCCATCACCCTACAGAACTTGACACTCTTAGCGAGGAGAGCTACAAAGACTCCACCTTGATCATGCAACTGTTGAGAGACAACTTGGTAAGTTCTATAATCTCAAAGTGGCTGTATGCAAAAGCTGACACTTTCCAGACCCTCTGGACCTCGTCGGAGGCAGAGCCAACCGCTGCTGAGCCAAGTGCTGCTGCTGCTTCTGAGGCAAAGGAGCCAGAGGTCGCACCAACGGAGACTAAGGCCGATGCTGAATAGAGTGCTTGGGATGGCGTCGATGATTGGTATGGTCATGGTCGTTGTGGCCTTGCTTGGTGATTGATTGCATTTTTGCAGCATATGGAACGTTTCTCAAGATTAAGGGGTTGCGCTTTCGAAGAGCTTTTGGAGGTCCACAACCTTGCTTTGCAGTGTTATAGACTCTAATGCACCGAGACTGTACTTACCCCTTTTCTCTCTCTCTTTTCATATCAGCAGCTCATCACCCTGCATCTCTTTCCAACCTCCAAACTTTGTTTTCTTTCGTCGAACGATCAATCAGAATTGAGCTCGCGTTACTTGTGGTGGATGATCTGCGCTGATGGATCGATGGCTTTGTTCTGCGCTGCGCGGTTACGGTGTCTTCTCTCGATTAGACTACTACAAAAAAATAGCAAATTTCACAAAAGTCTGACTTTATTGCTTGTGTGACTCGATTGCAAGTGACTTGAATATCTGCTGATTACTTCGTATGTTTCTCGATGGGGGGTTCTTTGAATGGGATTCGGTAAGGAAGAAATGTACAGTGTACTCTGATCATATATTAGCTTGCCAAAAATACAGAGGCATGCTGCTTCAACTTGGAGAGAGTGCACAAGCAGAATTTGTATCAAGATTCAGAGTCCGTCAGCGATTTAGTACTTTCAAGCGGTATAAGTTCTCTCCTCTTCAAGTTAAAGTAGAGTATTCGAGGGGCAAGAAACTAACATATGATCAAGGGAGAACACTGTATGAGCGAGGATTTCAAATGTCCAACTGCTGCGTGTTGTAGATGGGCGATGCCACCGAACACAAAATTAAATCTAAGAGCACGTCACAAGGTAATGGAACAGCGGAGTGTGTTTTAATTTATATTTTCTGAATTGATTCTCTCTCCTGTCTCTAACATCTGTATACGGATCGATCGATTGAATGATGCAAGCATGCAGCTCATGAGTCGTGATTGAAAAACAAACAAACAACAAACCCAGACCACACCAACGACCCAAACAAAAAAGCAGCAGAAGCCCCTCGCATGAATCGATCAAAGGTCTAGAGTCAAGCACAAGCACTATCCACATCATGAACGTCGTTTTTGTCATAGCCATATCCCCAAGCTCAAGAATCAGCAAAGCCAACCAACCACACTCCAGCATCCAACAAGTAGCAACCGAACAAGCCAAAGCAATCAACACAAGACGAGCCACATGCAGGTACAAATCAACAGTCGTTCATCCCCCATTATACTCAACAAGGACTCGGTATTGGACAAAAACAACAATCAATCAATCATCAAACGCCATCCGCCAAATTTCATATGCTTCCAACACAGACGCCGGTTTTGATGCAAGCACAAATAGTACAGCATATCGTTTTTCTCCGATCATTCGCTTATATCGTTCATAGGCCTGATACCTTTCGAGTCGAGCTGATGCTTCCTACTCGTCCACTAGTCTTTCGAATACCAGCACTCTTCTCCCCTCGCAAGCTGTCACCGCTTCGCTTTGGGCTTCGGACTTTGCTGAGAGTGCTGGAGCCGCTGCCTGACTTCATAGCACCAGGAGTCTTAGGTCGTGGTCCAGAGCCCAGGTTCTCAACGTCATTGCTGCTATCATTGTCGATAGAGTAGATGTGGGTAGTGGTCTGGCTAATGCTTCTGCTAGCCGGAGATCGTGATGATTTGCGGCTACTTCTCATGCGGAATTGGATTTCGTCCTCTCCATCAGGGTCGTCAAGTGAAGAGCGATGAATAGAGATCATTTCTGTCTCGCGTTGTAACAAGTGCTCATCCTCGGTGGTAGTAGTGTATGTAGTGGAGGCGTTGCGACCGTATGGGTGGTGACGATCCACAGCTCTGTCAACCGCTCTGCTGGTCTTTCTTGGTTGGCCTGGAGTTGGTGCCGGCAAGCAGTCTTCCTGAACACCAATGCTATTGCGTTGCTCGTTGTCAACTTCGCCAAGTGGTGACCGTCTACTTCCATTTGGAGGAGTTGCAATCTGGTTGTTCATCAGGTATTGCTTTTGAGAGATTCTGGTTGGTGTGGTTGGTGCGATGCTCGCCAACTTCTCCTTCATCTTGATCTCAAACTGCTCCTCCAGCCACCATTCTCTGAACGTCCCTTGGTTGAGATGCAACCAGTGTTGTTGAGGACCAACAACCATACCTGGTCTCATGAAACGCATGTAAGCAATGATCTCGTTGGCAGTGAAGCCATAACGGTAAATCAGATATGCCCCAATCAAGCAACCAGTACGACCAAGGCCAGCTTTGCAATGCACTGCAATTCCTCGCTTCTTCACTGTGATCATCTCATGTGCCAGCGTAATGAACTTCCGCACCGTCTTCAGAGGCGGACACGTTCCGTCGTCAAAGATCATGTCCAAATGCTCAATACCAAGGGCGGTAAAGAATGATGGAGAGTACAATTCTGAGTTCAGGCGGACCACGAGACCAATGTTTCGGTCATGGAAATGCTTCAAAACATTCTTGAATGGCGTAGGAAGTGTAGGATGAGCATCAACAGCGGCAACAGTCGATGGCAAAGTGGCATACAGAGCAGATGAAGTCGGTACAACTGCGACAGGGGTATGTTGTGGTGAGGCGAAAGCCAGGAAGTCTGGAGTCAACCAGTTGAAATCTCCTTGGTCCACACGCTCGTATCTCTCATACTCCTCGAGGTCAAATTGCGGTAAAGCGCAGAACCCTTGCTCTTTCGCACGCCAGACTCCATACACAACATCTTGCACAGTGATCCCGTAGTCTGCTTGGCTGTATCCTGCATCTCGGAACGGCATGAGAGGTGGGTCGGCTTGTGCAATAGGCGCAAGTGCGAGATGTGGAGCCCATGATTGGATGAGAACCATATACGATGCAAGCAAGCATGCAGCATTTGCTCGACCTAAGAACGCACATTAGAATTTTCGCAAATACTCAGCCGTTTCAGAACTCACTTCTGGCATCCGCCTTGCTCCAGAAGACAACAGGTCTGTTCTTGTTTTCGGGAGCACCGAGAATATCATGGAACTGCACTGCGAATCGGTAGAGATGTCCAATGTGAAGTGGTCCGAAATCGTGGTGGAATGCGTTATATAGCAATGTATCATCGACGGAGAAGTAGCATGGAGGAGTGCGGTCTCGATCGGAGAGAATGGCAGACGGACCGTCGACTCTTGCAGATCGCTTGCTTGGAGATCTTCGGGACGTTGGGGGGTCGGGATATGGGAAGAGAGTGTCGGCAGAAGGAGGAGTGGTGTAAGATGCTAGATACAAGCGGTCTGTATATATTAGCAATGTGTACGGCAGGCTTCGCACAGGCTCGAGATGTTGCTTGGACTCGAATGCGCCGTCGGTTTCGCCATCGAGTCCAAAGGACGAAAGTGCATAATCGACCAATGTATGATAATCCATTCCTCTTAAAAGATGATGGAATAAAGATGTGATGCTGACGATGTACAATGCCTCGCGGAACATTCATGAAGAGATGTGGTTGTGGCTTACCTGGGATATACTCGATGATCTGCCCATACTTCACGGCAGGCGTCATCTTGAAGAGTAGCACACTATCGTACCAAGTCTTAGACAGTCGTGGTTGCCAGGTGTAACACAGGTGGTAAAAGTATCGTGGCAGTCGGAGACTTTGAGTTTAGTTATCGACAATGATGCGATTGTTTATTTGTTGACCGCCTGTTATAAACAAAGCATGCTCTTGTGATCGGATGTAGAGTCGCAGTCTAGTAGATATGAATACTCGATATCAAGCAGGACTTTGAAGGAGAGAGAGATCAATTGAAGTAGTATGAATTTGGAGAATGTTTAGTATTCATCAGAAGTTGTGATGGTCTCTATTTGGAAGTTCGAGTACGCTAGTGGTTAACATCCCTGATCGAATGATCGCTATGGCAACAGCGACCTTTATCTGAAACCTCAGGCACAAACAACGAACAATCAACGCCAATCTCGCATTCTTGAGATTTGATTCATGCGTGGATCAGCCCTCGATTTGGTGCCACCTATGAGCTGAAGATGACGACCCTTCTCGACCCAGATTTCCCCTGCTCACTGTTCGTATCTTTCCTGTACCTTGCATGCACACAAACTGACTCAGCAGCAGTACAATCGACTTGCCCCTCCCCACGGCTCGTCTTGCGTCTGCGGCTCTGCAAGCTTTGCGCGTTGACAAGGAACTTTCCCCTCTCGTTCGAAGATCATTTTCTACAATCTCTCCTACCTCAAATGAAGTTGGAGATGCAATAATTGTCGACTCTTCTGCAGAGACAGTCCTGAGAACAGAATATAAAGCAACAACGAACAGGATGCTAAGAGTTGCAGTCAATGGATTCATGGAGAGTTTAAGTGTGGCACTTGGAGTTATGGAAGAACTCGACGTCGATGTTCTCGATGCAGAAATAAGCAAGGGATGAAAGATCTGAAAAGCAAGATACTTGTATATTCACAAAAGACCCCGCAACCCAATTGCAGAACCTAATGGGGCAATATCAGAAAGCGGCGTTGAGTGTTGGAGATCAAGTCAGAATCCGGGGTTGGTTTCGACAGCCTATGAACTGTAAAGCTTTGAGAGCACGTGGGCTGTCTTACCTTTGACCATTTTCTTGGTTTGATGCGGTGTGGCACATCCGGATACCGATACCGAGATCCAAAGAGCCTCTTCATCAGATATCAGATAGATTATTAGCAAGTCTTCCGATTGGTGGCTAATCCTTCACTGCAATTGTGACTCTCAAACCCGAACAAGAAGCAGCAAAGTGTTTACTTCTTGCAGGCGACTTTTCAATATCTGTGTTTCTAAAGTATCTTTGATGTAAGCATTGGTTCTGGAAGCATGATTGTATGCCCACTTCACTTAATAAAAAGAACCCTGAGATGTGTGTATTGTTTGACTCATCCCTGTATTGACATATGTACAGAGCTATGCTTCCTACGTAGCTATCATTATGCCCTACCATCTCCTAGGGAACGGAATATTCGCCGTTCAAAAGTACATTAGCCCGTCCGTTTGTAATTTGGTATTGCTAACAGAAGTCTGCAATGAGACTCGAATGACACTGCATAACCCCAACGCCAGTCTGTCGTTCCAAAATGCCTCCGATCTTCAATCATAAAGACATGTCAAGGTATCATAAGCTCCAAAACTCCTTAAAAAATCAAACCCCGTCCGTAAATGTCTCTACACCTTTTGTTCAAGTTGCGTCACCTTTGTTTTCAACTCTTGATTCTCTGCATCCTTCTTTGCCAAATCATTCTTCAACTGCTTTATATATTCGATCGCCTGCTCAACCGTGCTTGCTTTGCTGTTGGCACTTTGCGATGTTCCCTTTCCATTCGTAGGTTCATTGCTTTCCCCTCCGTCCCCACTTCCACTCTTCTCTCCCCCACTGTCCTTTGTTTGTCCTCTAGGAAGAAGTGTAGCAATTTCTTGTAGTGCAGAATTAATACGATTCCGTCGTCCTTGTTCGGCAATCTTATGACTTGTGCGTTTCGAGGTCAAATTTGTGGAGAGTTCAGTTGGATATGAAACACCAGGCAGATGAGTTCCTTCTAGAATATTTTGATAATTGGACTTGGAAGCAAGTAGCAGTGAGGCTGTGTCCTCGGACACTTTACCTCCTCCAGGAAGTAATGGTTTGATGCTGGGAGAAATCCTTGGGAGAAGGGCTGGTGACGCCAGTACTGAACTGCTTGATCTCTTCTTCGCGCTTCTACCAGATACTGGAGGAGCTTTTCGAGAGTTTCCATTGGCACTAATTGACCCATTCATGGCGTCGATCTGCGGGCTCTGACTGGCGGATGCTGCTGTTCTAGGGCGCGCAAATGCAGGAGACGGTAACGGCTGAAACCCTGGTGTTTTGGTAGTCGTTGAACTCAGAGTCGGAGTAATTTGGCCATCTGATTGTGTATCTAGACGCGAAAGTTGGGGCCTAGTGGTCGCAGCTTCTGGCAAGGCAAATCCATCCATTCCAGGGTCATCGATATCCATGTTATTATGGCCATTTGGAGGTTGCTCTCCTTGAGGCGAGGATATGCGCATTAATGAAGCTGGAGTAGCAGGAGATCCTAGTATAAGCTGTTGCGTCCTTGGATTCGCCTTTTGCGCTTGGCTTTGAGCTTGTATATACGGTGATCTTCCAGCAGATCCCGGGGTGGGGATTGGAGGAGGCGCCATATCTGACAAGTGCTCTGGGGATATTGAACCATTCTCCGACTCTTCGGTACTTACTGAAGAGTCCTTGATTTGCGAGACTTGCGAATGTGAAGGCTCAATTATGTCGCCTAGAGCTTGTGCAGTGATCGTGCTGCTTGAACCCTTCTTGCCTCTGCGGGGTTTGACAATAGGAGACTGTCTAACTGCACGAGTATTTCGGATCTTAGTCGGGGCCTTCTTGTTGGACTTCTTCGCAAGTATAGTAGAACTGCCAGGTGCAGAGTGTGATTCGAGATTCGCATCATTTGGAGAATTGGTTGCTCCAGAGTGTCGTTGATCGTAAACCGATTGATGTTCGTTCTGTGCATGTAGTGCAGGAGAGCTCAAGGGGCTGAAGTAAGCCCCTGGAACAGTGTATTCGGGTATAGAGAAATGGGCTTCGAGAGGTGTGACAGCGGGGGAGACAAGTGGGGTAAAAGCCATCTGCTGTAGGTAAGTTGAGCTGTCTGGCCTCGATGTGATGGTACTAACCTCCTGTTGTTCCTTGAGCTGCTGCATTCGAAATCTCTCGTACACAGCTTGCTGCTGAGGATCCGAATGCGGCTGGTAGTATTGCGCGGGATTGCCATGCATTTCTATGCTTTGGGGAGTAGGAGGGACACCCATCCTATGCTGAGCGTAAAAGTTGCGTTGTTGCTCCTGCATTTGTCTTTGTTGCTGGTGGTGTCTCTGCTGCTGCAAGAAATTTATCTGTGCATCCAGGTCCGACAAGCTCTCGTTAGATGCGTGTCCGTGGTTGAGAGGTGCATGTATGGCGGGATGGTTCGCAGAAGTCGACATAGGAGGCATTTGGTCTTGCATAGTGGTATCCTGTGGCATCATTCCTCGGCCATTCTCCATCGTAGTGTCCATTGAGTCTCCTTCGTCCTGACTTATCATCTGCTGTCCTTGGCTCTGTGGTGCGCTGAAGTCCTGGAATTCGAAGGGCAGCCCTTCGCCAATATTGTTCATGCCGCCCATGTCGAGAAACTGTTGGAAATCATCTTGCGAGGAAACCGATAAAGTTGGATCTTGTCCATTCCACACCGCTGAAGAGTCCATCATTGCAGCTTAATGTTCCAAGTAGCGAGTGTGCTTTTGAGCTGAGCTGCGAAGCGGGGAAGGTTGTCCCTCGAAGAGGAAGAAATCGTGTAACTTGCGCGGTACCGTGTAAAAGCGATTGTGAAAGCTCAGTCCATGTGGCTGATAGCTCGGCTTGGGATTCGATCTGCAAAACAGACAGGACTAAGGTGAGACAATCTCCAATTCGATGGAATCGTCAACTTCGACAGCGACTGAGAGTATTCGACTTGGCGACCGGGTGGACACTGCGGTCGAATTCGGTGGACGGCGTGGTGCTGTGCGGTGTGTTGAGATGGGAGGATGGGCAACTACCTCATTTCTCACAGTCGCAGTAGATTTGAGTCCACGGAGAAAAAAAGGACTTGACAATGTTGCCGATGATCACTTGGAGTGGAGAAACGGTCTATCTGCCCCGATGTCTTTTCTGGTTTTCGGCTGGCGCAATTTACAAAACACCTCGAGAATTTTTGAAGATGCAACTCCGGTTTGAGCTCGGCAGTAGCGGTCGACCTCCTTTAGCAGCGTGCAGGAAGGGAGGTCGGCAAGAGTGGAGGGCAATGAGTGAACAGAGGAGACGTTCTGCTTGTGAAAAGACTAACAAGAATAGTCGCCGGCCAGTTGCGCGATGGACCAAATCGGCGGGCGCAAAGTGGACAGGATACGCCTGTTGGTGGATGGCCGCCAGGAGACGGGTTCAGCACTGTTCAAATGAGGTGGGAGGTGGATATAAAGTGATTTACACCAAACACTGGTTATTCGAAGAAGTGCAGCGGGGTTCAGACAGTTGAACGGATGGCTTGGGTGAGGTAAAGGAAGCAGTAGTGAGGTTTGAGGATATTCGGATTATCATGGTCACGGAGGGAGGAGGAGGAGGAGGAGGAGGAGGGAGAAGGTTTGACGAAGAGGAGGTACAGTAAGGATTTGCCCATTTGGTTTCTGATTTCTGGCTCTGGCTCTGGCTCTGGCTTCGAGGCAAGACCCCATAATCCACATGCGGCAGCATCTCTGGCGACGCACGCTACGCCAAATCGACTTCCACCATTATTACTTCAGGCATGGCTAGTCGCGCGGGGGTCGTTGCTTTTTCCAGCTCTGGGTGCGCGAAAGGGTCAGAGACTCCATCGTCGGCGTACTGACCACTCTCCCAGCTGATTGGATAGGAAGGTTGGTGAGGGGATCATACATGAACGTCAGCTGCACTTGAAGGCACTTGAACGGCATAGCATGGATGCCTTAACTCACCCTTGGGATTCTGGAGATGAATGCAGACTGCAACAGCAGACAAGAGACACTGCGAGTCTGCTGCGAGGGCTGGGACGCTGTGCAACCCTCCCCCACTCGTAATCCGCGCGCCCATCCCCATCGCGGCATCACCGCCGTTCGCGTTTGAAGAATGGTGAGAGGCCGACCAGGGTACGTCTAGTGGCTGATGGTGGGGCTTGGGATTGTGACGAAGAACCAGGTCGAGGACGAACGAATTCAATATCTCTACTTTTATTTTCTGCACGTAGTACCCTCAGGTGGCTGGAGTGGAGTGGAGTGGCTCAACTCTCTAGCAAAAAGAGAATCAAAGACTTTGGTTCACGGCTAGGACCGCAGTCTGTTCCGGCCAACTTTCAGATGCAGGACTTTCTTCACCTGGAGATGAGAGTTTCCATTGAGAACTTGCGGAAATAACGGGGTTGTTCAGAGACATGCCGCATCTACTGATGATCATCGTACCGAGAGTCATTACCAGCAGAGTGCTCAATTCAGCTGCTAGACAACTCCAGGAGGTTGTCGGTACGCACGCCGATAGACGGTCGAGCAGCGGGGTTCAATGAGCTGCACATGCTGATTGGATCTGTTTCGCAGAACTGACTGATATCTTCGCACTCTCGTTGGCCGACTTTTGCATCTTTCGAGCCGTGCAGAAAGTCAGCAGCAGCCTTGCATCTCGCACGAAGAGGATGCATGATGCTCCGTTCCGACTGCGACCGTTCATAGCAGCATCCAAAGAGAGGGTCTGATGTCAACGTCGTTCTCAGTCCCATGTCCGCTACATGGTGTCCACCTGCAGACTGCAGGCCGCCTTGCGTTGGTACCTGGGCTACCATCCTCCGTGTCGAAGTGCAGGTAAGAGCTTATGTTTGGAATTTGCATCTGTATCTGACCAGTTGAGCAGGACGTGGCCAAAGGGCTGCTGCAAGTTACGGTATCCTATGCAAGTAAAACTCAAGAGTGTCCCGGAAGGATCGAAGCGTTCAAGTTAGCAATCGCTCCCAGACGGGATTGGGATTTGGGATCTATGGTCTAGCCAGCAAGTGCATGATGCTAAGCTTCTTCTTGAGCTCACTCGAGGTCTGATCGAAGTGAGTAGCTCCCGCCATCGAAGCACCCGCTAGACAGAGATTGATGGGTTCCTCGAGCTTCTGCATACTCCCGCAGACGCCTCGACGGAGAGTATCCCAAACAGTGTCGTATGGCACATCTCCTCTTCGGCTTTCGCGGTGCATCTGCCAATGGTGACCGCGTTGGGCTGACAGACGCAATGTCCACCGAGTCCCCCATCCACCCCATCCTGGTCATGGAAGAGTCTTCAGACCTTCCAAATGAGCTTCTAGAAGGATTCTCCAGCGCCACAGTGTCTTCCTCGCAGGAAGTAATCATAGGTTGGCAAAAATGGGGTCTGCATGAGCCAATCAGACCGTTTCAATCCTCCACGCCTCAAGTTGAGTGGCGGATGAGGTTGGCTGCAGAAACGCCCGAAACGCCCGCAAAAGCAATTCTTCAAACTCTTGATGCTCACGATGTACGGTCTCAGAGGGCGCGTGCCAATAGCTTGCCGTTGTCCTTCGATCGAGTAGCATCGATCGAACAAGCAATGATTGATTTCATGGTAATTTCGAATCTCATGCATGCCAAAGATCTCCCGCTTGCTATTAGTCAACCGAGTCTAGCATTGTGTTACAGTTGAAAATGCCGCTTGCAATTCTTCACGGCATTACCGATATATGACAGCACGATATTCGGGTTGCCTCTTCTAGAATGCAGGTTCTTCTAGGAGATGTGTTCCTTTTTCATCTGTAGTGAACCAAAAAATCCTAGTTCTGTCTTTTAAGGTCATCAGTCTACAAAGTGGCAACGAACCCGACGAAAAGGTTCAGTGGAATCACTGTTGCCAAGAACTTTGACATTTCAGCCCTCCTGCAAGTCCGTCCTTTGTTGTCACAGCCAATCCCATGTCGACGTGAGTACTTTCAGGGGCAGAGATGCCCAAATCACCCGGCTAGAGACTCCCTAGCCATGCAATCTACATACTTGGGTCGAAGCCTCTCAGATGTTTTGGTATGATCTGCATTGAGGCAAGACGCTGGACCCGTGGAATATCCAGTGCAAGACACAACACGGGAAGTCCAATCCTCCTCACAAGGATCTGGATCTCGGGTCCTCCATTACGCCTGCTCTGACTAGAAGAGCCTCGGCGATGACATCGTCAATACGAAGTGATTCCGAGCAGGTCTGGATTTATTGATTTGTGCTTAGTTGTTCTGCTTAGTTGGGTCTCTGCATGGTCACGCGAGCGAGGCGCATGTTAGAGCCCTTTTGAGGCTTGCAGGTATGATTGCAGGGTGTGTTTCCGGCTTACGCATTTGTAGCATTGTGTAGTTGCCAGTCTGTTGCTCGAAGAACCTATGCCTTCCTGCCTAGAAGAGGATGATGCTTTAGTATCATTCGCTGTAACGCGCACTTTTACGAATGTCTTCGATACTTCTCCTGCGAATCCTACCTCTGAAGAGCCGAACGTTAGTCATTATTTACAACAACCAAAGGGCTCTAATGCCCAAACCTGCATACATGCGATTATCACTCAGCCGTCCATGGCTCCATCGATTTCGTATTCATACTCTCGATCATGACTTGTGGAGGATCTTCAGTTTCTTCACTCTTACTACGACCTGAGCATCAACCTTACTATACTGGTCCTCCTCTCCCTCCATCACTAATCTGCCGTGCTAGTCAATTCAATCTTGCAGCGCCCTTCCAAGATACATCATCCTTTGAATCACTTATCGACCAGCCTTGATACCTTTTGCTACAACGACTCTCCAACCAGCAGTAACTCGACCATTCACCTGCAGACATCAATGCTGGGAACGGGCCTATGAATCTGTTGGCTCCGTTGTTGTTCTCTGAAGGGACAATACATGCAGGTTGAGTTAAGTGTTTCGACAGAAACAGCTCTGCTGCAATAGCGCACTATTGGGAGAGAGGAGAGGGGCAAAGCGTTGTCGTTAGCATATAGAATCTACCGTATACATCTTCACAACCTTGCAACACAATTGAATCTCGCGCCGTGCCCTAATTCCATTCATTGCCATTCTTACCAGTAGAGCCGCACTTTTACTATAGTGCAATGCCATCTTCCTATCCATCTCCAGATTCGCCGCCCCCTTATGCTCTACCCGTCTTCAGCTCCAAAGTCCTCAGCCTCAAACTATCACCATACCACCAACTTTACTCGCAACGCAGCTTCAACACATGCTAAGAGTACAGCAGACATGTAATCTTGGTACCTGGAAGATACCTCGTTGCCTTTGCTCATGGCCAAAAAAGCCTCACCTGCCCACATCCGTATTTCCCCTTATAATGGCTTAGACAGCTAACCACGAACACAGAGCCCTAAAATGCAACCCTCACCTATCTTAGATCAAAATCGATATAGACACCACTCACTCCTCTGCATAACGAAATACAGCGCTTCCTCACTTTCTGCTGGAGACTTGATATGGAATTCGCGGAATAGAGCGGCTTTTTCAATCTTCGAGACTTGCTGCATCCTCAAAACGAATATGATCCTCCTACGGTATATATAGCAAGAATGCAAGAGTCGAAAAGGAGGTAGAGGAATGGCTTAGGAAGGCGTTAGGATAATCAACACTAGAAGTGAAGGTGTGGTGAAGCCCGGGAGAATCTGCAGAGCTCAGGTTGCTTAGCTAGGATAGGGATAACGACAACCTTTCTGCTGGTTGATATTTGTACTTCATGCAAACTAGCTTGCTAAGCTCTATGAAAGGTCAGGTTTGGTAAGGGAAAAGTTATCTCTTCCGTGATCTCGAGTATGCAGTACATATTTGAATGGGAATGAACAGTAAGATATAACATACGGGTTATAAACAAGCAGGAATATATGAAAGGAGCCTTGGAGGAAAGACCTTCTTCTTTAAATAGCGTGAAAAAGCCTCTCGCTCTATTTGATTCAGCTAGCATCTATAAAACTATCATGTCCCTAGACCTCCGGCGAGGAAATGAAGAGATAAATGCTGTTTCGAAAGGTGAAGTCTACTAAGATTGATATTCTGATATATTTCTAGAAGTATTGCCATCCTCCAAGAAACAATATCTACAAACAAAAGAAAGAACCACAAGCACCCCCTCTTGCTCATCCCAACACCACACTAATCGAACTTGCACCCCCCTCCAAACTCTGCCCAAAACATCTCACTACCGCTATCCGCTACTCCAAACTACTAGCTCATCCCCTCTCTAACCCAACATTGCGCACTCTGAAAGTGCCGCTTACAAACTAGCGATCAAGAATATAAACATATCCAGCCTCTTGACGAACATCTTAGATTTTCCCCCCGTCATATCATACATACCCATAGCGCTGTCTTCACCTCAATTTTCTCATACTTTTCTAAAGATTAGACGAGGAACCACACACGCATACACACACCTCTAAACATCATCTCCCTTTCAAGCCGCATGACTAAAACAGAACAAGGGCAGAGCAACTTGTGAATACCTTCTCTTTCCCTCTCTCTTCAACGCTCAAACCATGCAAACCACAAAAACGCCAAAAACCACACTAACCCCCCCCCATCCCAGTTCCCATCCCAGTTCCCATCCCAGTTCCCATCCCCAAACCTACAAACGCGCCTCCTATCCATCCCATCATACCAACCCCCCCCCCCCTTCCTTACCTATTCACCATACAAAAGAGACGGACGGACAATCAGCAACCATAAAACCACTCAGGCCTGGACTATACATACACCTCCTACCTCAATCCGAGTATTCTGCCTTCTCTCCCCACGGCGCCCGTCGAGAGGAAAGGAGAGGAGAGGAGAGGAGAGAAGTGAGTGCTATACTCTGATAAGATAGAAGGGAAAGGAAAGGAAAGGAAAGGAAAGGAACGGAAAGGATGGTTGGTATGTGTACTGCTGGAGTTGAAGGAAGGAAATGAGCGTGGGATCGAGGGATGGACGGAAGGAGAGAGAGAGAGATATATCTCGGAAACCTGAAAGAGGGTAGGTAGGTAGCACAGCAAATTGGAGGTAAGTGTATCGTCTGCTGTTATTCCATCGGAAACACTCAGAAGCATCAACTCCAAGGACATAATTTAAAACTCCTCAACGGCAGATATCACATCTAAGCACAAGTCACAAGAAAGCAAGCAAGCACAAATACGATCAAAAAATATGCCATTTATCATCATGTCAAACATCATGACAACAGCTCACCCCAGCCACCATTCCCCTCCCTCTCCATTTACACAGTCACTTTCCTCCCAAGATTTTCCTTTCCTCTCCACAACAGACAGAAAGCGTCCTCCACCACCCAACCATTTATCATTACACTTCTCTCTTCCCCGGCCTCATCCTTCTGCAGGACGACTTAAATCTAACCATACAGTACAATGCCATCTACTCATCCCTTTCCTACACAAAGGAAGGAAAGAGAGTAGGTATTTATCTTATCAAACGCCACTTTTAGACGACACGGCACCGCCCGCCAGACTTGACACAACAGAAAACACAAATCAAAATCAAAAAATGACCCTGCCTAACCCCAGGAATATGCATGCAATGCAACAAAACGAGGGACAAATAACTCGAACACCTAGATGCAAGACGCTAATAGACAGAAAGAACAAGAGACGCGAAGCAAGGCGTGGTCGGGAATATATATGAGTGATGACCATGTGGGTTGGGTATATTTAGGGGGGACTCAGTCCAAAGCTTTTGTTTCGTTTCATATCCGTGTTTCGTTGCCAAGGTTCAGCCATGACATGTCTTGTGGTGGGGGCGGAGGCCGCGCTGGAGTTTGCCCTGGAGCTGGGAAGAGAGTTTGCCTCGGGTAGTTGTTTACTGTACTTCGTGGTAACGTAGTGGCGTAGACACTTTCCGAGTAGTTACTCGTTCGGGCCCAATCTTGTCCCTCGACAGGTGTCCAGGTGTTCTGTTCGTGAACGCTTGCTGGTATGCCACTCGAGAAGGCATCGTGACGGTCGTCATTGTACGAAGAGAATGAGCCGACAGAACCTGATCTTTCCAATTGTGCAGACATCTCTCCACTCAGTGGGAATTTGTTGGTCTGATGCGCGATGGTAGGACTACCCGACATTACTCGATTCAATTCCGGCCGTTCTACCAGATTCAACGGTGGTACCAAGGCTGAGGTTTGAGTGACCTGACTGGGCATCCTTTGTATTGAATATTCCGAGTCCGAACTTCGGTCTGAACCTTCGTACGTTGTCCTCTTCGAGCCAAAGCCAAGAATGTTCAATGAACTTCCACCTGACCAGTATCGATTCCATCCCGAGCTCCTCCTCGTACTTCCACGTCGTCCACCTTTGGTGCTTCCACGTGGTCTTGGTACTGCTTCCCTTTCTTCAGCCGCAGCGATGTCTTTTGCTGCAAAGGAAACTGCTTTCTCGTCCCGAGTTGGTTGAACCAGTGGTTGTGATGAAGACTGAAATGGTTCTGCTTGCGGTATTGGTTTGCTGATTGCTGTCTTATATTTCTTGTTGAATTGACTACTCGAGTCACTTCCGAGACTCCCGTTCTTGTCATCCCCTCGCTTGTGACCTACACGTCCCATGAGGATTGCCATCGATGAGAAAGATCCTTGTGAATCTACTTTGGGTCAGTATGGTGGCATCAAGTCACGACATATATAGTGAGAATGCAAACTTACTTTGCTGTTCGTGACCAGGGAACTGCCTGGTGGTCACCATCTGTGGTAAGCCCTTATCGGCAAAGTCCATAGCATTTTTCTCATCTGGGATCCCGCTAGCACGTCTTTGATGACCAGCTTCGGAATATCGCCTCCTATTCTTGCGCCACCTGAACAGCGCCAAGAAAGCAATGAGTATGAAAGCAACCGCCAATATTGAGCCAAGAACAGCTCCAAGAAGTTTCGTTGGGAAAGCTGCATCGCTGCCACTTCCAGAGGCAACAGCTGTTGCTGTCGCTGATGATGTCCCAGTCGAGCTTGCGATACTCGCTGAAGGTGAAGTTCCAAGTCCGTCAGCCGAAGAAGACGAGACAGATTTTGCGTCCAGTGTTGCTGTAGCATTCACCCAACAATTGTCTCTTGCTTTGAACATACAAAGTACATCTGACGTACTGCCTCCTGATATTACCACCAACCCACTTTGGTCTTTAGCTACCGAATATGTCGTTCTCGTGGACATGGGCGCTAGTGTGTCGTTGTAGGCTGGCCAGTCTGCAACAGTCAAGTTGTCTCTCTTCTCAATTGATCTTTCTTCGTAGTAACGATCTTCCCATCTCTTGTCCACCACCGGCGCTGCATTCTGTACAGGATTGCCATCTCCATCGATTAGTATTGTCCGGTTGACTTGGTTCGGTGCCATCGTCATGTCGAAAGTATATAATGTCTTACTCGCATCATCTCCATTTATCACGACCGATTTGATGGCAGAAGTGTTGTATATAGGGTTGGCCAATGTAGCATTCGAGTCGACCCAGGACGTTGACGGGCTAAAGATCATTGCTTTTGTGTTAGTGTCACTGCCTCCAATATAGATTGCTTTGCTCTCTGTCCACTGCATCAACATGGGTGAAATTGCTGGGGGTGCGATGGCCTCGAACGCCAGGACGGTGTATGGTTCAGACGCTTGGATCGTAAAGGTCTGAGATGAAATCTGCTTGGAGCCATCCTGTGTTCCAGCATAAACAAGAATCGAATCAGAAGTATTCAAATATACGGCCCCGTGGTAGAGTCGGTTTTGTGTAACGGCGACTGACGGCCGTAGAGTTTCCCACGTTCCATTGGCAAAGTTGAATCGTTGTAACCCTTGGTAGTCACTGGAATTCGAAGTTCCGCCAACGATGTATAACGCTGCTGCACTTGTATCATTCTTCGGTGTCGACTTGACACACACTCCTCCTTCCACAGCAACTCCCATTGGCAATTCCGACCATTCTGCTCCAGATGTGATGGGTAACGATTGAAATGCCGAGGAGGTGTATGTGTACAGGGTGTTGTTGAACAATGTCGAGCAGGAATTATCCAGCGGGTACTGAGGAGAGGGAATCATCGTCGAATCGTCGCTGTTCCTCCCTCGTAGGCATTCGTATTCTCCTCGAGTGGTGCCCCAGCACACGAGAACGGCGTGGCCGATTAATCGTCCGCTTCGTAGACAGTGACTATGGTGACATAGTTGAGGGTCGACAGCGGGAGGGTGGATGGAGAAGCTTCAGGAAAAGAAAGTATGCTATCAAAGCGATGGGATTTCCAGTCCAGCAAACGGGAGAGTTCAACTCAAAAGGATGTCACCCCACACAGCGTCGAGTAGTCTTCTACCACCAGACACAGCCCCAACCGAGCGAAGTAGGACTGCTTCGAAGATTCTTTCAGAGGACAACTCGAGCCGGCCTGTTCCCTCAGCGATATGGCCGGTTGGTGGTGAGGTTCGTGGTAGCGAAGTATAAGTTTACTGAAACGAAAGAAGTCGAGAGGGAGGTGTTTGTCCGGTGTCTACGTTGAAACTCGAGACCAAGACGAATAGCCGTTGGCGTATGGTTGCGAGTCTACCAGCAAGAGTGTGTAAGGAAGATGCTGCAGCAGAAACACGGTGTGGACGAGCTCTCACCAAAAGGAGTCGAAACGACTACCAGTACTATGATTCCACCGAGCGTACTAAGTCTCCACCGACCACCTCTCGAGGGCCACGAATTGGGCAAGGGCCTGCCCAGGACAGCAGATCTGCAGAACAGCCGAAAATCTGTTTCTGTTTCGTTCAATGCGTGGGTGTGCTGCGCGGACCCGACGAAAAAGGTATGGGCGTCGCAGATAGACGGAGGTACGGTACGGTAGCACGCTGCAGGAAGGGGAGGTTTCGAGGACCGAAACGGACAGAAGAGAAGCAATTGATGGTACCGATCGTAGACGGTTGAAGAGAAGGAAGAAAGGAAGGGAAGCCGCCGAAACGGGTGGGTGGGTTGCAAGAATAGATTGGAGATTGAGATTCTGGAAGCTCGCTGCAGCAGCGAGCAGCGGTGGTTCGAGTGAGTGAAGATTAATTGATTTGAAGGTTGATCTCTCTTCGCTTTGGGGCGAGTGCTTTCAGGCAAGCAATCTCTTTTTTTGCCGGCTGTGATAGGAGCAACGGCGAGGGGGGGGGGAGTGGGTGGGGAGAGGGCAGGGTGCTGGTGGTCGGGGTGGTCGAAGTTGTCCAGGTTCAGGGTCTCTTTGGAAGGATGAATTTGGACTTTGTCGTGCCGTCGAGGTCTAGCGTCGAGCCGGGGGAGGGAAGTCGCCTTGGGATGCTGCAACGGTGCTTCGTCAACCCCGGTGCGGTGGCCAGGAGTATATTCCAGCACTCAGGGTCAGGGCAGATCGGGAAGGTCACTCTGTTTCTGCTGGAGGTTCTGTTCTCTGGTAGGGAAGAGAATGGGATCGATCGATGTCTTTGGAAACAGGAGCACAGCAGCAGCAGCAGTGAGTAGTGAGTAGGTAAGGGTTGGAAACCGCGGTGACTGGATGCAAGGAGGGGGGAAGTGCAGTAGAGTGCAGTAGAGCTGACTTGAGGCTGTCGCGATGGGGATGATCGAGTACAGTACTTACAGTACAGTACAGTACAGTACAGTACAGTACAGCAAGGTGCAGGTCGGGCGAGACAGCAGCAGCAGAATGGGATCTGATTATGATGGTTCTGGTGGTGGTGGTGGTGGTGGTGGTTTCTGAGCACGCACATGTATCTATGCACATTACACGAGAAATGAATGTGGTGTGGCGCTGGAAAGGCGGGCCCGTACCTGCAGCGGGCAGACTGCAGCGTTCGGGGTTGTGTCTAAGAATTGTAGGCGCTGTGATAGGCCACGAGCGGTAAGAGAGGGGAGAGAAGAGTGCAAGAGAGGGTAATTGAGTGAGTGAGTGAGTGAGTGAGTGAGTGAGTGAGTGAGTGAGTGAGTAAATGAGAGAGTGAGGGTTGCCAGTCATGAGTCCTATAGCTATACTTGTCTCTGCTGCTGCTCTGCTCTGCGTATGTGTCTCTTGTCTGTTGTTCTTCGCCCTTCTGCTGCTTCTGCTTCTGCTTCTGCTTCTGCTTCTGCTTCTCCTTCTCCTTCTCCTTCTCCTTTCCTCTCCTCGTCTTCCTCGCGTGCAGTGGTTGATGGCCCATGCGTGCGTTCGTTCGTTTGCGTTCGTTCACCATGAGGCGCTGCAATCCCTGTCTGCGAGTGAGTGGGTTCTGTACCTGAACGGGCCCTCGCTTCACCGCACCAGCTGTCTCTGGTGGGCAAAGTGTGCGAGTGAAACGGCAGCCATTGTCCAATCCCTGCTAGCTACCGTCGTCAGGGGGTTCTCGTTTGAAGCAGCCCAGTCTCCCCTCCCCGTCTTCGCTTTTTTCTCAGTCAGTCGCACGGGAGCCAGGAAGAACCATCGACCAATACTTTACTTCGGACTACACCGCTATCGTGAGCCCTTGGCAGCTGTCAAACTACAGTACCACCACGGACGAGCAGTAGAGAGGAACGCTCGACTAGAGTTTCTGTCATACTTCGTACCACATCATACTGTATCACTCACTCACTCACTCACTATGCACGCACTCAAAGCATGCATATCCTCTCCTCTGACTACTGCACCAACGCCTCTACCTAGGGAGGGCGCGGCGTACTCGTCTGTTGGACGTGGTGGTACCGCATGATGAAAAGCAATCTACTGTATTCATTCCCATGCCACCTTTTTACAGTACACTTTCACCCCGAGGCACAGCGAATCCATCAGCGAACAACATTCATCACTGACTGCTCACGCAATCCTCAATCCTCCGGGGAAACCCACGACGCTCGCCTCCATCCGGCAGCGGACGGCCAACCGACCCTGCTCCCTCTTCGTCGACGACTGGGGTCCAATCATGGCTGACTCAACAGCCCGAATGCTTCCAGAGAATCCAATCCGGGTGCAAACAAGCCTCTTATTGGCCCTCCCGTCCACGGACACTCCTCATCAGCTAGGCTCTCCGACACGAAAAACAGCTTCAAAGTCAAAGAGCACTCGAGGCTCAGGCGGCGGGCGCTGGTTCGTAGCCAAACATCACGACGAGACTCTAAAACATCTCCCCCGAGTGGCTGAGCCACGAAGATCAAGTAGATGACAGAAGCTTGATGCTTCATAAAACCCAAAAAGCTACCCCAACTCCAGTTCTCATGTTGTGATGCTACAAGCCAAGACGGAAAGCGACGGTTCCATTCTCTTCTCCCCGACCACCATCACGAAATTGGAGTATCGCCCCTCCCGAGGTCTTTTTCCAACTCTCGATCGTACTGTACATCATGCAATGCAGACGTTTGATTCTTTCTTTCTTTCAGCCTCCACGCTCCAACCAACAAAAAAGCCAACACCCATCGGCCCGCGAAAAGCAGTCGTGCGGCACTTCATCCTGCCACCAAAACTTTGCCCCCTATCAAACATGTCAGATTCTTGTTCCCCACAGCAGCCATCATTGATCGTATCGCTTTCTATCAAAACAGAGAGAAAAACTATTGCCATTCAAAACACTACACCCTTTTCATAAGCGCTCAATTTCATATTATAATGCAAGAAACTACTACCGCTCTCGCAAATTTCTTCGGGGTCATGTGCACCGTTCTTGAAGCGCGCGCTCATTGCTTGAGCTCGTCTGCAGGCTCTGATAGGCCGGAGTTTGGGTCAGCATCACAGACCAATATTGGAAGCTGAAGCAACTTGTACGATGTGTAGATCCTATCATTTCTGATCTTATCCGGCACTTCGTTCTTTTTCTTCAACGATCCCGTCTCTCTAGGGAAGAGGGGAGTGCATCACGTGCGCGGTTGAAACATACTCAGGCCTCGCAAAACGAAACGAATGATGAGGCGTCTCGTTCTATGAATAGCTACGACCTTTTTATTGCATGGGCAGGTAGTTGTTATGCTTTTGCGGACACATGTTAGTCCTTCATCGAAGTTTCAATCTTTCCCACGATCAGTCGTCTGTGGATTTGATGCGGCATCTGTTTGGATTTCGTGAGTTATTTCTAGAACTTCATGCAGTGAGGCACCCACGATGCAAGTCGTTTATTGCTTCCTTTCCGTCTGAATAAGCATGTAGTGTATGTTGTTCCTTCTCGTACTACACTTAAATGGTATTGGCGATATCGATACGAAGAAGCTAGCTGAGGTTAGATATGGATGGTGTCCTATTTTGTATTGTTGGGCTTACGCTGCCGGTTTTTATTCTTCAGCAAGCGAGGTGCATCTAAGGTATTAGGCTATCTATAAATGACGAGATGTTGGTTTTTCTCTGCCTGATACTAAGATAAGAGTCTCCTCCTATTGTTATTTATTTGTTTCTTCCTATATTCATTCAGTACAACAAGAATAACTCGCGAGATATTGGATTGTAATTTTTAGATCATCGCACTTGCTTTCCAATCATCCTGCCTCCTATGCCTGCCAATTCAGATGCATACATCAAAATCATTTCATTCAGCAAACAGTATTACTCCATCTCCACGTATCTTTCATCGTGCGAAACTCAGATGTCGTACAGCCTTGCACTGCCACCAATGTCTCCTTCCATATCCCACCCACCACTTCACATACTTGAAGATAACAAATATCGATATCTACTTTCTCGAGTCTTCAGAGCGTTTCCCCATATTCAATAATTCCTTGTGCTCACCTCACATCATCAGAACGAACAGACAAACGTCTCATATAGCGTGAGCTTGTCTCTACACATTGACCTCGGCTAGAGGATACAACACATCAGACTCTCGAGAATCGTGTGTTAACTCTTCCTCACTCTAACCTCTCGCTACAAGACAAGAATCTCCAAGCAAAAATTGCAAGTTTGGCATCTACCACCACCATTGAAACGTTTCACTTGCCGACTATTGAGGAAGATGTACTTAACCAGAGTGGCCGAGGAAAGTATCGAGATTGGTTAGCGGTACCTCAGAACAGGAGAATTGAGGGTTGTCTATATGGGAGGAGGAGGATTACATGAGAGCGAATAGGGAAGTAGGAGGCGCAGAAGGGGTAGGAGGAGGAGGAGAAGTAAGAAAAGGACGCAAAGCAGCAGAAGGAGGACCAGAAGTCCGACGAGCAACCAAAAGTCACCGGTGAGTGAATAAGTACCCAAAATCTAGGAGCAACCTATAGTTAGCCATTGCGAGTCCTTTGGTATCAACATTTACTCATTTGATATTCTTGGGATGCTCTATCTCTTCATTAATGTTTGACATGCAGATTTTTGCGCTTTTCGTGCGATGAGCGCAATATGCGCTGTCTGCGCGTTTTGCGGGTGAGGATCGAGATCGCGAAAAATAAGCTTTGTGAAGAGCGAGAGGTAGTTTGGTATCTACAGTACTTGAGATTTATTTTATCTTGATTCGGCATTTGCGTGAGGTCTGTCAGGACAAGATTGTAGCACACGGCCTAGGTGGCTTTTAGGTGCTCCTTCCCGCTTCATCAGACTTGCCGCACAAGATCACAGCTAGAGATCTTCGCTCAAATGGAAGTACGTTGCTATCAAGGCAAATTGATTTATATCCTGCCTTGCTATGCATCTACTCCATATCCCAATGCTCGCTTCCCAACCCTCAATCAACGCCCAGGAAGTCCTGTATGCTCATGCATCGCGTCTCGATATAATTACAAGTGTTGTACATCCTTCGCAATCCTCCCTTCAGTCCTTGATTGTCTCAGCGTCACTAATGTCATCTAGATCCATGATCTCCATGACACCCACTTCCTTGCCTTTCTCTTTCGCTTCAGCCGGCTTCAACACCTCCTTATACCCGTCTAGATCCATAACCTCATGGACGTCAGCTACCTCCATCTTCTCCTTCTCCTTCCCTTTACCCTTCCCCTCCACCTCGCCCAACGAACCCCTCTCCTCCAAACTCAAGCTCTCATCCAAACCCTCCCTCACAACGTCTTCCCCACCACCCCCCTTCCCACCCATCTCCATCTCCTTCCCCTTCACCCGCGGCGCAATAACAACCTTCCTCCCGGCTCCCCCTCCCCTCCTCTTCCTAGGTACAACCACCTCCTCCGCCCCCTCAAACCACCTCATCAACCCCTCACCCTCCACCGGCGCCACCAAAACCTGCTCCAACAAAAACGCCCCCGCGACCTCCCCCGCCTCCGGAATCTTCACCGCCGTAACAACCATCCCCTCCACTCCTCCCGTCTCCGCATCCCAACTCGGCCACTCGACACTCACGAACTCGAACCCGCGATCGATCCAATACCCCGTCGCCACGTCCTGGATAGCGCGCGTCTTTTTGGCGCCGAAGGAGACTTTAGCGTCGTGGCTAGAAGCCGGACCAGCCGCGAGGCGGGCGTCGAGGAGCCCGGTGGGTGGGGTTAGGGAGGTGGAAGGGGGGGAAGGAGAGGTGAAGGCGCGGGAGAGGGAGGTGGTGTTTTGGTCGTCGAGGGAGGGGGTTAGCCAGAGGGTGAGGTTGCGGGTGCGGAAGTGGAGGCTGGCGACTGCGTAGATGTTGGTTGTGTCGTCGAGGAGGGTGTTCAGGTTGCGGTGGCCTTCGCTGCGGGAAGAGGGGCGGTGGGGTTTGGTGAAGATGCAGACTGTTGGTTTTATATTAGCATCTATCTATCTTTCTCTGCTGGAGATTGGGAGAAGGGGGAAGGGAAGAGTACTCGTATTCTTAATATCAGGTTCAAAAACCTCAGCAACAACCCGTCCATTGTCATCCTGCCTCAGCTCCGACGGTCGAGCGTGCACAATCACATATGTACCATGAATCAGAGATCGGACCTACATCTCCAAATCAGCACACGTATACTCACATATTCACTCATCTTCACCCCCCCCATGGCTCTGTCTACTCACCTTCTTCCTATTCAACAAATAATAATACGCATCCCCCGTAAACGTCGGCTCGAGCCTCGCCTGCTCAGCAACACTCGTGCTCGGAAGCGCGTACGAGGCCTCGTCGTTCACGTTCTGCGCCATGATGTCGTCCATCACGCGGTAGATCTTGCTTGTTGTTGGACGGCGGGTCTGTTTTTGTTTTTGCTGCTGCTGTGAGGGCTGACCTCCTGCCATAACTTCGTCTTCCTCGTGCGGTGGTCGTTGCCGTGATGCCATGTTGTTGTTGTTGTTGTTGTTGCGATATTTGGGTTGTATTTCGAAGAAGCGCGGAAGATCTTAGGCGAGCTGCTGGGTGGTGGTGGTTTGGATAGCTTGCTTTTGCTTTTGCTTCTGTCGTCATTCGCACTCGATTTTGAGGCGGAGGAGAGAGATTGGCCCATGTTTTGTTTGTTGGATGAGGTTGAATAGCCTGCCTGCCCGCCTGCCTTGAAAGCTAACGCTTTTTGTCTTTATATCTGACGTAGAATCCTCTCCCGCATTCCACGATCTTGTATTAGCTAGATGAATATTCTCGACTCCTTCTTCGATGATTCACGCCCGTCCATCCTTCCTAGAGCTTTCCAGCGGTTACTTATCCAATGAATGAATGAGACAAGTACAAAGGCCTCTTACTCCCACCCTTCGTCATCCAACCCCCCTCGGATCTAACTCGCTCTCAAAACGAACAAAGAAATCTAACCCTCTCTCTCTCTCAGAGAGACAAAGCAACCACCATCAATCAATCAATACACCAAAAACTCCTCAACCCCAATCCCAACCTCGTCACACATCCTCACGATCCTGCTCTCGTCGCTCTCCATACTAGCCCGTTTCCTCACCCGCTCAATCTCCCGCTCTATCGTTTCTTGGGTGAATCTTACTTTTTTCCCTGGTGAGGTGGTGTGAGCGGGGGAGGGGAGATCGGAGGATTGATTTCTTGGGTTGTGATAGATGGCGTTGTTGGGTTTTTTGGGGTTTCGTTCTTGGAGAGGAGGGTTCGGATTATGAAGGCGATGAGACCAATGACGGGGAGGATAATGGTGATGGAGAAGAGGAAGAGCATGGTTGAGGGCGTTGTGTGGTGCTGCGTAGGGAGGTGGAGGTTTGGGAGATGCATTTTGAGAAAAAAATTTTTTTTCAAGGTATTTGGATGGAGTTCAGTACAACGGTTCAGTTCAGTTTTAAAAGTATTGGTTGGTGGTGTGGTGTGGTGAAGTGAGATATTCGGAAATAATATCGCGTGGAGAGAGGGGGTTTCTTTTACTTCGCATTGTTATTGGAAGACAGTCTGGTGGTTTTGATCTGGGCTGGGTCATTGGAGACTACTTGCTATAGAGGAAAGCATCGGTCCCAGGAAGTGAAGCGGGAGGGGCCGAATGTCGGAGCTCTGCCGCGGGATAGAGAATATGTTGCCTAATGAATGAGTTGTGCGAAGCGGGAGGTGACGTTGAGTGTTCTTGAGTATGTAGGGAAATGCCAATTCGAATGAGTAGAAAGTTGTCGCACAAGGAGAGGGTATCGTGCAACCACGGACGGAAAAGAATAGATCCCGGTTGTGCGTATCGAAGGTTGAAACGAATAAGATTATTTGCATAGATGTAAAGCGGGATTCTAGAGAAATAAAAGTTGCCAATGGTGATGCTCGATGGCTCCATATTCACGATATTTGAACCTGGCCATGACCTCTGGAGTCCGACTTGCCGCTTCTCGCGAGGCTCGTGTGCTGGGTGACACTTGGCTGTGGACGCGACCTTACCTCACGAGTCCTCGGAAGTCAATTAAGATGATTTCCACCCCAGCGATGGTGAAGGGTCAAGTCCGCATGCCCTCTCTCATCTGTTGACTGCATGGAGCTGACTGACGTCGTTCAGAGATCTGCAAATCGCTTAATTCTCGCTTAGAAAAGGAGATTGAATTCATAAAAATCCAAAAGTCAAAAAACCCCAAAAAGAAATAGAACGAATAGACTAGACCGACAAAACATTCACAGACTCCCAACTGAAAGCTCCAGTAACACCCTCATTTCTAGGTAGTGCCTAATAGCGGGGGGCCTTATTAGGATCAGTCAGCTCGAAGCTGCTTAGTACAAGCGCGATCGCATTGTTTATCCTTAGTAGAGTTGCTTTCGTAGGCGTCCTAAACAGGTCCGTTGTATCCCTCTAATTAACTCTACTAATTCTTGTCAAAGTTTTGCTTATATGACTTTATAAGACCCTTTTCTTTGGGTAGCGAGGCTGCGATCTGATTGGACGAAGCTAAGGATATCTTGCGCTAAAGTTGAAATCTCAGGAACGAAATCGATAGGTATCGGGAAGAAGACGCGCTAAGGAGTCATAGGATATTTTATTCGCTGCTCACGTATCAATCGTTCGATGTTGAGGAATGCTAGGGACACTGCAGCGTAACGAAAACTTTCATCAACTCCATCAACATCATCCTAAACCATCTAGTCTCCCCCTCCCACTTGCGCTCCCTCATGGCGTCAAACAAGGCCCGGACCTCTCCTATAAGCTCCGCCAACACCTTAAAATCAACCGCCAACTTCTCGGCAAGCGACAAAATCAATTCCCTCAAGAGCTCATAATCCACGTCCTCATCAACATCTCGTGGGACGAACCCCTTGCGCTTAGTCTCGAGCTCTGTGGTCGTAGTAAGTTCTTCTTTGATGATTTCTTGCATTTCGGCCAGATTTTGGAGGGTGCTTGGGAGAGGGGTAAGGCTGGCTTCGAGATCGGGGGCTGCGTATGGGGATTTGTGGAGAGACATTGTGAGTGCTGTTTGTGGGTTGGTGGCTGGGGGGAAGATGGATATTTGCATACATTCTATGAAGGGAGAATTGCAGTTGATTACCATGAAGCTTCGGTAAGTTGCTGGCTTTCTCGTTCAAAATGTTCTTTGCGGCTTGACCTGCAAGTTTCTCTGTCAGCTGCTGGTACAGTATAGTACCTCTTTGCTAAAAGGTCTGAGACGCTTCTAGCATGTCTCTAGCACTCTTGATATAGATGTGGAAGTTGTATCGTATGTGTCAATACAGTACCTAACGTTGTCCCTCATGTCTCAGCTTGCGCTTCTCTTACTCTGGCTCTTCAAGCTTCCTCAAATTCTCAATCCTACCCAACATTTTCAACAAGCGCTTTTATTATATACTCTGGTACGTATCAGCTTTTAATGCTCTAGACCTTCATGTTCATCCCACCCCAAGTCGCCCTGCTAGTCAATCGAATGCTCTTTCCATTAATCCCCCACCACGAGAATCTTGGAATCTGGAAGCAGTAGTGGAAGTAGAGGTACGTTTTGCTCACCACCACCTCCTGATCTGAATCGGTCTTGCTTTTCTCCACTTCGCTAGTTTTCAAATTCCTCATTTTACGCGTCATGCGCCACCTTCTCCCAATACCGGCTCTTCCAGCACCAGCATTAGCTCTAGCTCTAGTGCCTACCCTAGCAAATTGGCTAGGGATGTTGACAGAACCGCATAGTTAGTCTTCGTTCCTTACTATCTGATGGTATTGATTTATAAGAAAATAGCTAGAACAGATTGTAGCTTTGAGATATACAACGGCCGCTCCGTAAATATTTCTATGCAAAGGAAAGTCACACCGTAAGCATAATCCGCTGCCATTTTCTACTGCGAGATTAGTCCATCACTCTGTCATCAGCGGCTTCATCATTTAGATCTTTGGTTCTCTTACCCGCCATGCCTCATTTAGCACATGATTTAGTACTACAATGCGGGTGCTCGATTAGTTTGGCTTCGCCTTGCTCAGGGCGGCAGCTCTGTGACTTCTACAGGGAGGGATATATAGGGAGAACATCGAGGTTCCAACTGTGCTTGGTAATATCACCAGATCAATTTTACTTTCCGCTTCTCTCTCGGCGATGGCATCGTAGGCATGAAAGTTCAAGATCTCACACAAACATGGAAGGTCCAAAATACACAAAGACGAACACCTCGATCAATACATTGAATCATCTAACACCGCGCTGAAAAGCCAGCTAGACCCAATCCGATCCACCGCATGAAAAGCCCAACGCCATCACGAAACCTACTCCATGCAGCATGCAATCTCGGACTCTCCATCGCAAACTATGCACGCTATCAAGAATCACCTTATGTCTGATACACACCCGGTCCATATACACAACATCCTCCTCATTATCCCAGCTCCCCCTGATAGAGAGATCCAATCTATGCATCAGTAGTCATTATGCAAAAGTCAACTCCATCTCTCTTTCCATGCCGAAATCCTCTTCGTCATCGGCCCACGCATTATGACCAAGATCTAAAGGCGGTAACGCTATAGGAGCAGCTGTCGGTACGGGCAACGTACTACTGCTCTTCAGCTCTGGTCTTTGTAATGTCGCTGCTTTTTCATTCGGGTCTGGACTTGGAGGTGAAGGCAGTGGCGAATTGAGACGGTTTGGTGGGAGATGGACTGAAGAAGTTGCCGCCGAGCGAGGAGGAGAGTAGTACGCTGTGTCGAAGGTCATCTGAACTTGTTCTTCTTCGTCTTCTTCTGCGTATTTGGGAGGTGATTTGAGAGATGGTATGTACTCGCTGCTAGGTTGTCGGGGCAAGGTGGAGCCTGAAGACTTGGTGACTTTGAGTGTTGACGCTGCGTCGAAGGACTTTGTCTCTCGTAATGAATCGCGAGGATTCGAAGGGTTCGGTGAAGAGCTAAGATCTAATTTCATGGGCGGTAGAGTCGATTTAAGCTCTTTGACTTCCATCTGCTCGCTCGCGAGCTCAGCACGAATGGCGTCGATGTCGAAAAGAACGCCGTGATTATTGCCTTCGGAATCTTCTACCTTGGTCCTGGCATTCAGCGGATCTCCCTTGGACTCTTCGTACATTTCCCAATCTTTCTTCTGGACAATGTCCTTCTTCTTTCTACTGAAGAATCCGAATTTTCCTTTCGCTTCTTTCTCCTTTTCTTTCTTTTCGAACTCTTTTCGAGCTTCTTCAATTTCATTGATGAGCTCTCGCTGCCGTTGCTGGTGATTCTCAGGATCTGGATCCTCGATTTCAGTGAACTCGTCACTCTCTACCAGCCAACCAGATTCCCGCAATAATCGAGGCATTGCCGTTCGATACGCCATATGTCCTGGGACGAACTCCGTAACATCGACGTTTTCTAGGCCAGGAATATCCTCAACAGGTGCGATACCCGCGACACGACTAATGCCACCACTGGTCAAGCGGAAAAGATAAGCTAGAATCCAATCGTTCTTAGCATATCCGTTCACAAATCGACCAGCTACGACACTTCTGGCTTTCAAATACTCGTCCTTCTTGGCCACGATCGGAGATCCAAAGAGGTAGACGTTCTGCACTAAGCCAAATGCGCCTTTACGAGCAAGTTCCCTTAAGCACGAGAAGATCACTCTAGATCCGAGTGAGTATCCCACGAAGGTTATTGGCCGAGTACCTAGATTGCGATCGATAAGAGAATCCGCCAGAATGAGACCAGCTGAATTTGCACGGTCAAGTGAGACGGTCCACGGGTTGTCAATGAGATATGCTAGCTTGGTCAGGACGACAGGTAATTGCAATGCGGCCATGAGACCAATTAGGATTGTGCTACCCAGCACTTGTTGGAGACCTTGAGTCAAAGCCTAAAACAGTCAGCAAAGTTCGGAACGTTGAGGTCGATTTCTTACTTCTGTAGCTAAGATATTAATGGTGTCTCCCATACTGGTAAGCATTTCAGGTTCCCAGAGCACCGAATATATGTCTCCCATTACCGGATCAACAGTACTGTAAGGCAATCGGACATCGTCGACTTTACCCGTCATCCATCCTGACACAGTGACGATCAAGTTCACCCGTTTGTTGTTATGCAACGGTCTATACTCGAAAGTCTTGACAGCACCTGTTCTTCGATTTGCAGCTCGAACAGCAATTATACCACCGGAAGCAGCAGCACCAGAAGTGATGATAGCAGCTCCTCCAGCTCCAGCCAAGAATCCACTTGTGCCTGCAACACCAATGGTTGTGAAACCTGCTGCTAGACCAGCACCAATAACAGGAGCCAGTAAACCAGCCGAAAGACCGATCACCAAACCACCACCTACAGTAGCTAGGCCCATCATGACATAACGCTTTTTAAGTGCCATCTTTCGTCGATTCTCCTTGTGCTCATCCTCGTTCCAGTTCTCCTTCTCGGCGGCTTGTTGCATTTCTAATGCGTCTGTGACTCGCTTCTCGAATCGACAGATCTCTAGCCACGAGATGTCCATATTTTCTCCGACTCGTTCGAGAAGTACTCTGGAGCGTGCATCATAAACAGAATCAGCGATTAGGGTTAGGAACAAGTCGCACAGTACAGTCCATCGAAGGTCAATATCCAAGTTTGCGGTAGTAGGGAGCTGGTTCGGCGTCCTCACTGCAGGTAAATCGTCGCCTTCATGTTCCTTATATGGAGGCGGTACTGCTGCCGACTCTTCATCGTATAATTTTGGAGTGGGTGGAATCCCAGGAGAGGAGACTGACTGCCTAGATGACATTGACGGCCTCGGACTTATGTCAGTCGAGGCCATTGACTCGGTCCTCGGGGATTTGAGGTCGGAACTAGATGTTGGTCGTTCTGCCATAGGATTCTTGACTCGAGCATTTTGCATGAGGGTTGGAGTCAAGTCCTCAGGAACAACTCCATGTTCAGCTAGTTGCTCAATCATGATTTGTTCTGCTGTGCTGATTTCCATGTGAGCATAGAGTCGAACCATCATCTTCTGACTCCACATCCGCATAGCTTCGGCTCCTAGCTGGACCTCCTTTTTGCTTCCTTTCGCTAGAGCCATAGCTTCCGCTTGCTGCAGCATTTTGGACAGAATCAACCTAGTCATTCCAACATAGGCAATCCTTTGTCCCTCTGTCAGAAGATCTTTCGTAGCCTGCATCTGTGACACTGCATCCCGAACCTCTTCATCTTCCACACCAGCTCCCGTGCCACCATTAACATCTTTGAATAAGTATTGCGTGTTCTCGTCAAGACTGGTTGCAGACTGAGCATCCTCGTCTAATTGCACTCTTGTATATCCCTTTCCTGCCCCACCTAATCCCTCATAGACATCTGCCTCAACATCAGAATCATGCTCTTTAGCGATAAGCTTATTATCGTCATCGTAGATGTCGTATGGAGCATATGCAGGCATAGTCTGCCATTCGTCGTCCTCGGTCTCAGGAGTCTTGTCCGGCTTGGTTGTCCATTGTTGATGTGACCATTCTGACACCCCACCACCCGTTGAGCTCTGTCCTCGAATATGTCCATTAGGGCTCTTTGAACTCTGAGGACTCTTAGGACTTTGAGGACCACTACCGATTTGGCTCTTCCTATCTTCCTTTGGGTCCCCTTTCGGCGCATCAGGAGATTTTGCTTCTGCCTCTGGTTCGGTAGATTTTACGGGTTCCTCTACAACTTCTTCATGAGTTGGCTCGACTTCCTGTACGCTTTCTTTCGGGCGCGGAAGTTCTGCGGGTGGACTTGGATCCGATTGCTCTTTTTCTTTAGGTTCAGAAAGGACCGGCAAAGGAGTCGCAGGTTGAGGCGTCGATCTCGCATCTTTGAAGTCTTCTTCCTCACTAGATTCCTCATCTTGCGGCTCCTTCTGGGTCTTCACATCGTCGATCGATTCCTCGGGAATCTTGCTCGCATGGCCATTAACCCCTTCCGTCTCACCCTGCGATTCCTCGTCATCCTCCACATCGTCCTCTACCGGTATTGACACCTTATGCTTCTTAACAGGGAGACCGAAATCATCAAGTTCCGCCACCAGTGGGGAAGCATCTGCTACGTCGCCATTGCTAGCAGCTGCAGCCTTTTCTGTGATAACGGTCACAGGTCCGCTCGCCGGCATATTGGTTGAAACTGTCCACCGCCCGGATTTCGCTATCCTTCTTTGTTTGTTCTCATGCGCAGATCCTTATGATGAGATTTTATGAAACAGCAAGTCTGACGGAGATTTTGGTGTATTGTTCGTCTTTGGCAGACGCATACTGTGAAGCAATGATTCGTGGTCCGAGTCTTGAGTGAGGAACTACTGCGCTTTGTTCATTCGTAAGTGTAAGTGCTTGTTGCAGGGATTGTGTGCGCGAAAGGGAAGTGAAATTTAGTGGGGCTCAGCCGTTTTGCAGAGGCTACGGCTGGCTTGATGCAGGAAGGAAAGAAACCTTCTAGATTTGCAGGCTTAGTACCGGATTTTTTTACAGCTGAATATAAAGACATATTCTACTTGTTACATTCAAGGGAATTTTAAGTTGCACAAAGGGTCTGTAGCACAAATGATAACGTTATTCATAAGCCACGTGAAAGGTGTGAATCCTGCAGAACAAAAGAGGTTCTTTATTGGGTATTTATTCCGATTCCTGACATTCGTATTGCAATGCTGTCAAAACGCCTTCCAATGGATTCAGTCGTCATCATCAGCCACTTCTGACATTGCCGACAATCCTTCACCATCACCACCAGATTTGGGTTTCCTTTTTCGCTTTCGTTTCGCGGTCTGATCTGATGCTTCATCTTTCCCCAGACTTGGCAAGATTTCAGTGCGATCCTTGCTCTCTTTCCCTTTGATTGAAGCCAAACCGTCCCCCTCAGTCTTCTTCTTTGGTTTTATGACAGATAGAGGATTTGGACCTTTAGGACCCTTGACCTTCTTCTTTTTCTTGGGAAGATCCTCAGTGACGCTCTCGTTATGGTCTTCTCTATCCTCATCCTCTCGCTTCCGCTTCAGACTTCCGCTTGCTCTCTTCAAGCCTGCCCTGAATTTCCCCTTCTCTTCCCTCTCCCTATTGTCCACTGTAGTACTAGCCATTGGCTCCATAATCATAACACTTCGATTGATGTAAACCATCGGCACTCCCAGAACCGTCCTCATATTCTTCCGTAGCTCTAGATCTTGACTCGCAACCACATAGCAATTCTTGTTATGCTTGCTTCCTTTAGGATCCACAACCGAAGATAGACATTCTTTCTCGCTCAAAGGCTCCGGAAACTCGTCTGGATGGTGACCGCACCGTCTTCGTTCGTAGGTCTTCGCTTTGTCGATCAAGTAGGACACACCAGGTTCGTCTTTTGCCTTGTAGAGATGTCGCATCGAACATTGAGTTACCACTGCTCCAAATTAGCTCCTATAATTTCAACATGCCTCGAGGATACATACTAGGCTTGATCTGTCCATGTAAAGTCCTCTCCAGCCCGCCCACCAAATCCATCTTGAACCTATCCGCATCTCTAATGATTCCCGAGTCCAGCAGAACTTGGTACGGTTCTCGAAACCCAAAGCTTAGCCCATACTGCTGCATGAGCTTCCGGTATTGTTTTGCGCGTTTGCCCCTCATTGTGTCTGTGTCTTGGAGTTTTGATTTGGGCAAGGCTTGAGATTTCTCTAAAGAAATTCTTGAACCTGGCGCTAAGGGATTTTTGGCGATAAGGCTTATCGCACAGGGCTGAAGCTCAGGCGTTTAATGGTTTGGGACATTCGAAATCCTCCATTGTAATTGTTTTGTAGAAAAAGGTTTCAGACATTCTACTGAAGGTGAGGTTAATTTTTCAGTTCCCCTACATATGAAAATAAAATTGGTTGACTTTGAGCTACTTGAATCACGGAAGAGAAGTGGCACAACATGGGATGCAAGGATATTATCACATCGACCACAGGTATAATTGATTGATACCTACTCGAATTAAGACACTAACCTTCTAGTGTCTCTTGTGAATGGCTTTTAACCTTCTGTTGATTAGATTTCCTCGCCTATTCCAGCCAGCGCCTCATTGTGACGCGTGCCTTGAGTATCACCATCATGTTCCCTGAATGTGTGATCTACACCAAAACTTCTCTAACCTGGCCTGGTCTGATGCTGGTCACTGAAGCTTAGGAGGAAAGCTTGGCGTATGGTTAGAGGAAACTCCTCGGCGTTGCCCTCTTGATAATTCTCACCGATTGGATGCAATTTCTTCAGCCTTTATTCCTCCTGCACAACGCAGCCACGACACTGATATCGTCAAGTTTGCCTATAAAATTGTTAGCGAGAATCGTGTTCAACCAACACTCGAACTGACCTCCTTCCATAGCTAAACCTTCCTCAACTGCATGTTCCATGAAAGGACTCTCAGCAAAAGGATCTGTGGCAACAACTTTTGCAGCCTTCATCAGTTCTTCTGCCACGAACTTCATGCCACCTCCTGCACCGCCTTGCCTATCCCCTGTGGCCTCGCCACCTTGTCCGTTCTCCCACTTTCGTATGCTCTCAACAACGTTTTCAATGATCTCATGCTCCCAGAGGTTGTCAATGACCCCATCTGACATGGCAAGCACAACATCATTCTCTTCAATCTCAACCTTGTCCATTACTGCATTATCTCGAGGAGTGTCTGGGCTGTTGGTGCCTAGCTGTCGAGGACAATCAAACCAATGCCATTGCTCCGTCGTTTTGTAGATACGTTCCGAGTCTTTTGGTCTAAGAACCAGAACTTGAGAATCCCCGATGTTCGTGACATAGAGTATGGGAGTAGCAGGAGCATTCGGGTCAGACTCTGATTTCTGGAAGTGTAATTGAGCGCCAGTAGCTGTTGTTGTACCTTGCCACTTATTTGGCTCGGAGGTTGCTTCGATCGTAAGCTCATATGCTTTTTGTAGATAATCTACTGGCATAGGTTCGTAAGCATCGTCTGGGGATCGCGATCGTTCTATGTCTTTCTCTGTTTCGAGGGCCCAGAAATGCAATATCAACCTTGCCCACAGACTTCAACATGTCAGTAATAGTACAGAAATATAATGAGATAACTGACCCCGCATGCCCTCCGGGTCTTGTAGACCAAGCACCAACCCCATCATTCGCCCCGATGAACTGATCGCTGGCATATACTGCATCGTCTCCGTTCGTGTATCCCCGAATCAACTCTCCATTGACAAAACTTCGCCTATCCCTGCTCCGATGGTGAGTGCTGAGCGGATCTGAGAAGGATCCTGAAGGGGGAGAAAGGAACGGTGGCGGAAAAGGTCTCGGTGCTCGTTTGGCAAAGAGGGCGAGCCCAGTCTCAAATCTAAAAGGAGGGAGGCGTCTCTGCGGGACAGGATTGTCAGCATCAACTGTGGTTGAGAAGGTCAACTCAGGGCGACATCTTGAGGTAGTCTGGTTGAGAGACCGGCGAGGCTGAGGGTGAATGGCTCGCGCAACGGTTGTTCGAAAAGCCGACCTCCTCATTCCAAAGTCCTGGATTGAATGTGGATTCGAGCGCTCCTTCAGAGAACCAGTTCATTGATGTTGTTTGCTTTTGAAAGGCGCCTTCAGCAACGTTCAATGATAAGGACCGCCGATTGGAGGGGCTTATTAGAAATGTTCCTAAGCTTTGGAGAAGGGAGCTAGTCGAACATGGAAATCAGCCGTTATAAGAATTTCCCAACATTGCTGACAACTTTCGACATGATTACTTTAAGATGGAATTGGAACTACTGCGCGTGGGAGAATTGAGTGAATGCGCCCCAGAAGCAGCAGCCCGATATTTGGGGACTTCCGCAACCTATGAGCAACTCCACCCTTTTTTCGGCATGCTATGTTGTGACCCGGTACCGGATGAATTTGCAGATGCACCTGCTGCAGCTCTCGGATGCTTGTATATGGCCGGCCTTGAATGTCACTGGTAAGCTCTGGAGCATGTCTTTGATTCCCGAACAGTTGTACCAAAAAGATTCAGCTGATACAGCTTATAAGCAGGCATTTCGAGAGACAAGTCAACGTTGAAAGTGCTACATCCCTTCTGAACGTACGACTTTAGAAACTAATTGAACGATCGTGGGAAATTGATAGTCCGAAGTCCCAAGTGTCTTCAACCGTGAACGCACACTGATGCTTCCATAAAGATTAAATGATAGCTTTTACCAGACATACTCTACTACTTATTATGACTGACTGACGAGGACTTCTGACAGGCTTAACCTAATAAGAACTCATCAAGACCTCAAAAGGTTAGATGCCCATCCTAATTCGATGCTAAGGCCTCCGGCTGTTTGAAACATCTGGCTCTGACTGCTCAGAGCTCGAAGCTCGATTCTTTCTTCAAACACGTCTGAAATTTGATATTCGTGTCAAAGCCGGAGGGTCTGATCACCATGTGTTATTTCCGCCTAGACCAACGTATGAGAAACACTCTTCAAGATGTTTTTCACTGGGTCAGCGTGCTCGTTCGGTCTGATATCCAATGTTGTACGGATAGTGTGTTGCTCCCAGCTCGCCTCGCTCGCATTTGATCCCCATCGAGATTCGCCATGAGTTGATCTGAGTACCTGACGGGTCCATGGAGATCCGTCTGGGGATCACTCACTAAAGTTACGCGGAGCTGTGACTTCGCTCGTGTAGTGCTCGCTGTAGTGTGGCGCCTCTATTTTTATGACGCGTCCACCAGTCAGCCAAGGTCTGCGCAGGGATTCACCCGATGCGGGCAATCAAATACGAACTGTCAATGGTCTGCGCTGCTGTTGCGTGAGACTGAGGATTCCGTGCTGGATTGATTTGCTCTGGCTGATGAATAAGCCACATCCGTCAAGGATTTAGTAAACAAAAGTCTTGAAAACTGTCATCTGGTCCAAATCATCGAGTCGTTGACGGTAGTCGTCGAAGTCAGGAAGATCGCATCCAGGTTCAAGTTCGAGAGCGCCGCAGCTATCGTCGGCCCGGGAAAAGTGACGTGAGTGCGGGAAACAGCAGCATCAACGAACCTAGTTTAATTCTTAATTTTACCCATTCCTCGACAACAACACCTACTGCGCTTCCTTTCCGCATCCACCCTCCTAATACGATTCTACGACTTTACGAAGCATCCTTGAAGGGGACATCTGCAGTTCAATTACCTAAGGTTGTCTCGGAAATCTACCCTTCTCCGGCAACAAAAGGAAGGGACGGAGCGATTCGTGTCGATGCTCTGAAAGGTAGCACCGGAACGCCGGCTACCACGAAAGGATCTCTCACACTCATTCCCTATTCCTTTCGAATTGCCCAAGATGTCGACCAGAAGTCGAGGTGAGTGCAGACGCGGAAGAATTACATTTACCTCTTGCTGACCAAGACTCCATTCCAGTCCTCTCGTTTATGTCCAGCTTTTCCAGTAGCAATCGAGACGCGCAAAGAAGTCCCACGCCTACTGGCCCAGCCCCCGTACAACAAAGACAAGAGTCCTTTAGACATGAGCCTCTAAGACACGATGCTGCAAGGGATCCAGCTACACCAGCGCGTGGCTCCCAGCCGCCGTATAATATGGACGGGGAGTCGCCGCAGCCACGAGTACAACGCGAACGAGCTTCTTCGAGACCGATGTCAATGGTTCAAACGTACCAACCGCCCCTGATGGACGTAAGCCAGGATACTCTGCCAGAGCTTCAACCAATCTTCACCTTTCTTAACAGTCATGCGAACAAGCTGTATCAAGAAGGATACTTCCTGAAGCTAGATGATCAAAACACTCGTATGTTACCTTGAATAGTTAATCTTACTGTGTTCTAACTCTTGGTATAGATGGCAGACCCAATGCAGACAGAACATGGACGGAATGCTTTGCGCAATTGGTTGGGACAGTCCTTTCATTGTGGGATGCTGCAGAGCTTGATGCTGCTGGACAAGACGGAGAGGTACTTCCAAAATTCATCAACTTGACTGATGCTTCAATCAAGATGGTAAGTAGAAGTCGTTTCCTCAAAAATTGGGACAAAAATTGACCGAAACCAGATTACCTCACTTCCAACGAGATCAGACACTGAAGCACCTTTACAAAACGTTCTTAGCATATCCACTGCCGGGAAGAACAGATACCTTCTCCATTTCAATTCTCACCATTCCTTAATCCAGTGGACCGCCGGGATCCGACTTGCTATGTTCGAGCATGCTACTTTACAAGAGGCTTACACTGGTGCATTGATTGCTGGAAAGGGCAAGGCTTTGAATAACATCAATGTGATCATGGACCGCGCCAAGATGCCCACTGCCGACTGGGCTCGGGTTCGATTTGGAGCAGGTACTCCATGGAGACGCTGTTGGTGTGTCATTACACCTCCGGACGAGAAAGAAGTTCAGAGGCTGCAGAAGCAAATGAACAAGAAGAAATCCGCGTACGACAGATCAAGACCACCCTTTCTGAAGGGTGATATCAAATTCTTTGATTCCAAAAAGACTAAGAAGATGAAGCCTATTGCAACCATTTCTGACGCATACTCCGCTTTTGCTATATATCCTCAGTCCAAGCCACTCATAGACGCCTCGACACTAGTCAAGGTAGAGGGATCCATTATCATTCATTCAAACCCACCTACGACGTCGGAAGGGTTCGTTTTTGTGATGCCAGAAGTGCACCCAGCTGTGACGGGGTTCGAAATGATGCTACGCTGGCTGTTTCCAGTCTTCGATACATTTGGACTCTATGGACGTCCTGGTAGATTGGTAGCAGACATCTCGGATCCCCGCAGTCTCATGTTCGCAATGCCTAAGCATCGTAGATACGGCTATCTCGAGATCTTGGATGTTTCTGGTCTTATCTTGGAACAGGGCAGTGAGAATTGGAAAGAGGGTGAATGGAGAAAAAGAATGAAGGAGCTGACGTGTAAGCGAATGACAGCAATCGAGGCTGGAAGCCAGGCAAATAGCAGGTACAACAGCAGAAGAAGCACTCGAAATAGTTTTGGACCGTCTCGAAGCCGTGTACAATTCGACGACGGCGCCTCTGTCAGATCATCTCCGTCCATTGCATGGAACAATGGTCAAGAACCGTCCGTTGGCGTCCCACGAACAGATTCTGCTCCTGCAGCAGCTGGGCCGTTCACTCCCCCAAGAGCCCAACCAATGACCCACCAACGCTCAGTTTCCGAGACTCATGGCTTGGACCGTTATCAGCAAGCCGCGGGTGGATATGATGGACAGTACGATTCTCCGCCGCCACCACCTCCTCATGCTATTGGAATTGCGTCGGGTCGAGAAGGCTCAAGCTTGCGATACAGGTCGGACATGGCACCAACTCCCGAGAGAGTTAGCTCCGAGGATGAGCAGGTTGCAAGAACTACTCCAGTACGAGAACTTCAAGACTTACAAACTGTAACGTCTCCAGAGCCTGTAGCAGCTCCACCAGCATTTTCACATGCTCCCGGCTCAATGCCAACGAGCAAACCGTACCACTCGCCAGAACTGCGTCGCGCAAATAGCCGTATGTCGAGTACTACTCTCAATCAGCTTGCTGTCGCAGGTGGTGTGGCAACTGCAGGCTATCACGCAGTCGGGCATGATTACAGAGATGGGGACGATCAAAGACGGCACGATATGAGCCAATACTCCGAAGAGAGAGGACAGAGAGGGGTACTTTCAGATGCCAGCCCAAACGAATATTCTGCTAATGACGGTCTGAATGAAGGCTTGGTAGCAGCTTCTAAACCACGATTTTCCTTCGAGCAACCTTCCCCTATGGCTCCAACAGATGAGCACACCGATTATCCTCAACCACCTCCACAATTTCCTTACGACTCTCATAATTTACCTTCTACAGCTCAGGTCGATATCAGCCCTCCCGGATCACGACCCACTTCAAGTCGAGCTCAAAACTTCAACAACCGTACATATGATTCACCGCAAGTATTCAATTCCCAAGAGTCCTCATCAATGCCACCTCGCCATGGTGCCCAACCATCATCAGACTCTACATACAGCATATCATCTCAACCTCGTATTCACACCAACTCAGGTGTTGTTGCTCGGAAGCCACTTCCTACCCAGAACTCGGTCGAAACTCCAACATCAGCACAGACAGCTTCGAGTACACACAGTTCGGGGCGCCATGTTATTGACGAAGCTGCCTTCGACATGATTGGCAACGACGATAGAAGGTTGACTCCGCTTCCAGACAATCAGATGCGGCGTCAGAACAGTGGCGTGAGTAGCGTCTATGAAGACACAGAATCGACCACCTCTCCGGATTATGCCAGCACAAGGCGTTCTGTAGATACACAACAATCAGTAGAGAAACCTCGAGCTGGTGTTATGAAGACTGTTGGGCAGTTGGAGAAGACAACCTCAAATGACTCTAGAAAAGGACCAGCTTTGGATATTGATTTCGGACCTACCTTGAACTTGACCTCGGATCGCCCAGTACGAAGCCAAAGTCCTGGCCTGGCTCAGAGCTACGGAATTGCTTCTAACCAGGGTCCTGACCGGGCGCCAAGACAACCTAGCCCTGGTCGAGGACTCGACACTGCAAAACCCTCTCCGGGTCGCAATGTTACAACCCCTGAGAACGCACATTACCGCAACAACTCATCCGATCCTAGAACTGTGGCATGGCAACCAGGCATGGCCATGAGTACAAATGTCGGTCAATCCATTACACCCGAACAATTTGTCCAACAGCGTGCCGCTGTTGCAACCGCTACTCCGCTCTATGCACATCAACGACAGCAATCTAGTAACACCCTCCGTGGGAATACACCAACACCACCTCAAGGCCACTCTCGAAACAATTCCGCCGATTTGCTTCAGCGGCCGGCTTCCAGAGGTGCTTCCGTGGCTTTGGCCCCATCTGGGTCAGGTGATATTGCATCTACGCTTTCGGCACGCGAACAAGAGCATATTGCAAAAATGACGGGTCAACCACTCATCAGTATGGCCCAGAACAATAATCGACAAGCTCCAGGTGGTGGTCTTGTTGGTGCGATCGAGGCAAGAGAGAAAGAGAAACAGCAAATTAAGCAAGGAGTCAATAGTCAGGCTGTCCAGCAAGCGATCATGCAACGACAGCAACAAGCAATCGCACAACAGCAGCAACAAGCCATGTATCAGCAGCAGCAGCAGTATTCAGATCAGATGCCACAAGCTCAGTACGGTAACATGGGTCAATACCCGCAAAACTTTGCTGCTCAAGCCCAGCGACAGCAATCTTGGGTCTCACCGGCAGCCAACGTTTACGCCCAGGGTGGTGGATTTTCTGCTCCATCGACCGCTTGGACAGGAACGCCAGATGGAAGACAATCACCTTCCCAATATCCACCCAGACAGCAGCAATACTTTCCACCCCAACAAGGAAATCAAGACCAGGGACAAGGGCGAGGGAATGCCGGATTTCACGGACATGGTTATTAGATAGCATAGTTGCAGTGATGCATGGTTGGTTTTGGCAAAAGAGAATCAGGATACGATGATGACTTCTTCTATATACGGGTTTTCAAGCGATTCATTCTACGGAGTTTCTTCAACACTACCACGGCATAGGTGGTGTTTCTTTTTGTATTAAGGCATTGGTGGCGCAGGCCGCATAGGGGTTTCTTTCAATTGCATAGAAAGCATAGTGGTGCGAGAAGAGGCAATAGAATGAATTCTTTTCGAGGCTTTAGAAAATTTTGCAATGCTGGATACTTGTGCTTCCGATTGATCATTTCACGTATATGGCTAATCTGTCTTGGCACGCTAGTACACTCACAACATCAATATGAGAAGCGAGATCTCCATACGGGTCGATAGATAGTTCATTAAGACAGCTTTCCTATAGTGTCATTATGATTCCATTCCTCTCGACACCTATCCTACCATCCAGATTCTGCGTACAGAAGATCCAGGAATCACCCACCACCCCTCACACACATCGCTAATCAAACAGACAGCAAGCAAAACCAAAAACCAAACGCAAGAACTCCCCCAGGACCAAGTCTACCGGCCCTCAGCAGCCGCAATCGCAGCATCGATCCTCCTCTCCTCCTCCTCCAACCGCGCCACCTCCTCGGGACTCATACCCTCAGTCTCCTCGCCCAGGAACGGACTCGAGACGACCCCGCGCTCGGGGGTCGAGCTGAAGACTTGCGGCACGTGGCGCGCGTCCCCGTAGATCGGGACGTCGTGGTACGCTTCGAATGTTTCTTCTGACGGCGGCGTGTGTGGTGATGCTGAGGTCGCTGTGGGCGAGGTTGTTGCTGTGTTTGTGTTTGTGGGTTTTCGTCGGGGTATAATGTTGTTGTTGTTGTTGTTTGCTGCTATTGCGGTGGGACCGCTACTACTACTGATAGGTTCGTACGGCGAGATGGCGGAGTGCCGTTGTATAGTCGAAGGGGATGTGCTTTCGAGCGGGGTGTCGGCGTCGTGGGTGTGGGTCGTTGTTATTGTAGACGACGGGTTGCCGCGGTCTTTTTCGAGCATCGTGAGGTTTCGGGAGAAGGAGTCGGTGTGCATGTCCCGCGTGAGCATTACTTGTTCGGGTTGGTGGGGGTGCGTTTGTGAGGAAGAGAGGGTTTTTCGGGAGGCATGTTTTTTGCGGAGGAGGAAGAGGGCGGCGAGGAGGAGGAGGGAGATGAATGCTAGGGCGCCGAGGGCGATGCCTACTTTTGCACCGGTGGAGAGTTTGCTGGAGGAGGAGTGGGAGGTGATTGGTGAGGCTGAGGCGGTGGGAGAGGTGGTGGGTGTTTGAGTGATGGTTGTTAGGGAGGTGCCTGTTACGGAGAGGCTGGATGAAGCTGCTGTTGGGCCGCTGTTGCCATCTGTGGTAGTGGTTGTAGCTAGGTGGACTTGTAATAGTGGTGCGGTGGTAGTAGATGAGACTGCCATTGCTGATGGGAATGAGACGAAAGATGCCACTGGAGGGCTTCCGTCGACAACCGCTATGTTAAAGACGCTGCTGTAGAAGTCGCAGATGTCCTGCGTGCCATCATTTGGTCCTAAACAGTAGAAGACGTTGTCCAATGCTGTAGGTGGTACGTCTGTGTTGTTGCCGTTTGGACCATCCAGTATGAGAGATATAGTCTGTGAGACGAGCGCTGTAGGCGATGCTTCATAAACAATGGCTCCCGAACCACATCTCTCCGCACCTTCGGAAGTTATACAAATATCTATAGATGTTAATATTGATTGCCCTCATCTCAAGCTTCAAAGCATGTACCTGTCTGCACGTCCAAAATCTTGACAACGAAACTCGAGGTATCATTTGGTAGCTGCAAGAGGACAAGGCTGTAATTGCTGACAGTTCCTTCTCCACTCGAATGGAAAGTAACACTCCCGTTCACGCCCAACGTCAACGAGGGAGCATCAAAATTCACAGAAATGTCGTTCTCATCCACCGGACCACCTCGTGGAGAAGCAGTACTCCGGCCCCCAACAGCCATCATTGCCAACACCAGGCTACAACAACACAACAAGAAACTCATCTCATATCAATAACGACAACATGAAAATCAGCATCAGTAATAAAGCATCATACAACGACGACGACGACAACAACAATACAGAAGAAACCAAAAAGCATCAAGAGCAAAAAAAGGAAGAGAGAGAGATGAGAAAAAGGTGGGGAACGACAATCATTAATACACGAAGGATTGCTGACCTTACCTCCCTTGAGGCGCAGTGCACGCTCTCTCTCCTAACCCACCTATCCTGACCCCCGTCTCCCACAAACTTATCACACAGCCCTGCGGTTCAGTGCTACATCTAATACAGTACAGTACATACATACTGCACCGTCCAGCAAGCAGAAGCAAAGGAATCTCACCACGGCGGCGGGCGTTGGTGTATCAGCACGCCCCTGACCCCTGTGGATTGATTGATTGATTGATTGATTGATTGATTGCAACGAAGGAAGGATGGGGATGCAGGCAGCGCGCTCGCATTGGGGCCGCCAATTGCGGCTCGAGGGGCTGAAGGCTGCTAGGCTGCTTTGGGGGACCTGCGTTTGCTTTTGTGCGCGGAGGGGATGCCCGATCAATTATTTTTGGGCTGCTGCAGGACGAGGCTGAATGAAGCATAAATTGATTGCTAGATACAGTACTGTGGTGAGATGATCGCCCGCTCCCGCCCCCATGAAGGCTGAAGAAGACCATATTGATGGTATTTGTTGGGGCATTATCTTCAGATGCATAACTCAAAGTGATGGTGCGAGCGATCTTCTGAGAAGGAATGATTTCACGTGAGGGTCAGGAAAATTTGGTCGTAAGAATGGGTGATCATTGCAGGTTCTCGTTTCACATTATGCAGCCCTGTCCCACCGTAAACGCCGCCAATGGCATCCATCCATCGCATACAGATACACAAACGACTCTTGACAAACAATCATTCCCCGACGGTGATCTCAGCGGTTGGATCCTTTCTGATGTCCAACTCCATGAGCCCCTCCTGTTTCTCGATGACCAGGCCCTTTTCGTTGGCTAGATGGAGGAGACAGATGAAACAGTAACTGGTCGAAATATCGTCCATCGCTTGTTTGGGGTAGACGCTTTGTAAGTTCTGCATCACGGATGTAAACTTCAAACTTCCATCTGCACTCTTCTTGATCTCTGGTTGGGGAGTCGGTAACCGTCCCGGGGTCTGCGCAGGTACGCTCTGTTTAATGGTCAGCATAGTCAAATATAGACGAGGACAATGAATGCTCACAGGTACAAGATCATCAATACCCATGCCCTTCCATAATTCTTCCTTGAGTCGTCTGACATCGACTTTCTTCGCGACACGAGCATATTGAACATATTCGGGTCTCAATCGCCGACTTTGGGTGACGAGTTGTGTTCCAAAGGCCCCTTCCTCACCCTCGATGGTTTGGGCCATACCTCCGTTCAATATGTTATTGATGCCGGCCATACCACCTTCTCCACGATCTTCAGCACCCGGTGAGAAGTGGTCTCGTGCATCAGCAAACTCCATATCGTCGTCGTCATCGATACCACCTCCCATAGGAAGACCATCATCTTGGAAGAAGTTCGCATCATAGTCACCCTGAGCCGGTGCATCCTCGTCACCTCCAACTGGTCCTTCTTTCTGTGCCCAGTATGCTTCATCCATTTCACCCTCTGGGACATCTTCTTCCTTTCGTTGGCCAAAGCTGCTGGTTTTGGTTCCAAACCCAATCTTGCGGCTACCCATACGTGCTTTGGGCTTCAGGAATAGTCGTAGCAATTGTTTCGAATTGAAATGCTTATCATCTGGAAGCAGATTTCTTGTCTTCGATTTCCAGTCCTTCTTGGGGAGAGATATGACTGTGTTTGATGATGCTGGGGTGTAGATCGACTCTGCTAGAGTAGCATTTAGTGGTGACATGAAGTCTATCTCAAATGGCTCCTTTTCCTTGCGAGGCTTGGTTGCCGACGCAGGCTTGTTAATGTCCTTGATCTTCTTTATTCTCCAGTGCTCAATTCCAGCCCAGTTCTTCTGCAGTGCTTCATCAAAGTAGCTCAGAATGTCATCGTGTCCACCTTGAGTTTTACCACTATGATCCATTGACACGACGTATTCGCCAGTTTCTGGGTCGAAAGTGCCAGCACCCTCACCATCGCCATCTTCGCCCATGCCATCGTTGTCGAAGCCTCCATCGTGGACACGCATTCGAGTTTCGATCGCAGCATCACGAGCCCACGCTTCTCCTCCTTCGCCAAATCCAGCATCCGCTGGAATGTCAAAGTTTGCGAGCATGCCATCGTCATCGTCATCAAATCCAGCAGCATTATCATCATCGAGAAAGAACCCTGACTTATCCGCCAAACCGGCAGCCTCACCCGGTTGATCCTTTTCCTTGTCCTGTCGCCAATCTTCCGGGGCTTTCAAGAATGGGATGTCCATAGCAGAAGAAGGATCTCCAAGGTCGAAGTTTTTGAGAGATGGGCAAATGTCTTGCTCATCGAGTCGATCGAGATTTGGAAAGAATTTGCTACCCAGAGCACCAATGTCAATCTCAATATCATCTTCTTCTTCCGCATCCTTCATAGTGGTTTCAATCATTGAGTCTGGATCGACTTCGTCTTCCTCCACCAGGGCATCATCTTTTCTCCTTCGACCTTGACCTTCGGCAGAAGCATCACCTGCATCGTCGCTGCTATCGAAAACAATGCGACCTTGTGAATCAATAGCCAGGTGGTTCAGAAGTAGACCTTTAGCTCCCCCTTCATCAAAATCGGCAGAGGCCTTTTTGAATAAAGGATCCACGGAGAATTCGAGCTCAAATTTCTTTAGCTGGAGTGCTGCGAATGAGCTTGCTAAGGTTGCTTCGGATGAGCGTTGTGCCTGTTATTGATCAGTTTAAATTCTCAATTGTAACGCGTTCAGAAAATAACAATGTGTGGAACTGTATGACCAAACGATAAATTTAGAGCAAATAAACAATGTAAGGGATTGAATGGAATGGCCATGAATACTCGAGTGCCAAGGCAGCGTGAGACTTGGTTGGAAAGTAGACGAGCAAATGGTAAGGCTGCACCAGGGAATGGCGGTAATGCGGCGTGATCACTTTCACTCGTCGCTCAAATTCTCCTGTGACCCTGGACTGAGGAGAACTGGGCATCCCGTTCGCTCTGCCGTACACCAGCCTCAGATCGGCTGATGAAATGTACCAAAAACGAACGATAAAATCGTCAAGCTAAAGTGAGAAAGCAATGCAAAAATAAATATAATAGCTAGTAATCTAATGCACTTGACGCATGCCTCAATTGGCCAATCTTGCAAAAAGTGATAATGTCCACAACGGACTCCCGTGGATTATACCACTAAACCACAAGCCCAAACACTTTTGGGATGAATGATGGTTTCCAGCGATGGATTTAACCACTAAACCACAAACGCGCACTTTCGCACGAACCTATGATTGCTTAAACCGGTTCATATGCTCTCACTTTCCAACATTGCCTGGTCGCCCAATTACAATCAACAAACATGACAGGGAAAAAGAAAAAAGTTGCAAAAAAAAACAACATACAACAGCAGGTATTCGCTGGTGGTCACCCACCCAACTACTAATCTGCCGATCTGAGGCTTGTGTATGGCAGAGCGGACGGGATGCCCAATTTTCCTCAGTCTATGGTCGTATGTGACAGCAATACTGGTAACCAAGGTTATATGGGACATCAGTCTTCAACACTCTGGTGGGATTCGTTGCAGAGCTCGGACCTCTTTATCGCGATCGCAACTCTGCGATAATGTACTAAGATAGCAAACCAAAATACCAGAACAGAAATGTCACAACTCACCCGCTTCTTTGGCTTCTTCCTCACAACACCATCCTCGTCTTCGACTTCCTCCTCGCTCTCTTCTCCTTCCTCGTTTTCGCCCTTCTTCTTTTTGTTGTTTCCACTGTCGGCCAGACCACTTAAGAGCTTGCCAGTCTCGGTTGCAACGCTGTCGACTCTACTGGTATAAATCTTGACACAACCGTCCAAAGTACAACTGGCTCTCTGGAAATTGACACCGTCACCTTCCTTCAGTAACGACATGTCGTGGAAATAATCGATCAGTGCGAAGTTCCATGAATTGGCTGCATTGATCTTGTTGTCCGTTGCCATCTTCATCCATTCTTCAAAATTGGCCAGTATGGGTACGCGCTTCATGGGCGTAACAGCACTTCCTCCCACCATAAGCACTCCTCCATCGAGATCATTCTCTTTCCCTAGTGTCCGTCGCGGAGTTTTCGTACTTGAGGAGGGGGAAGAGCCTTCTGGAGTGTCGAATGTAGCTTGTTTTCGCATAGGGGATGCAGCGGCTTTAATCTGATTCATCTGTATATCGTGCAGAGCATGGCGCGATTGCAATCGCTTTGCTTTCTCTTGCGCATCGTCGTTGAGAGGAATCCTGCCTCAATATTAGCATGGAGAACGACCGGTATCGTGTTGTTTGTTTGGCAGTCGCACTTTACAGGTGATTTGAAAGGTGATGCAGCCATAGATCCAGAGGCCACCCGGCCAGTACTGGCCCCGCGTGGGTTTTGCGCAACTCGAGGCATCGTAAAGCAAATAATTCAAGTTGTTGTCGTTGGTGAAATCGAAGATAGAACCGTGTTGACATACGCGGTTTGTTTTGTTCAGAACCGCGCCTGAGCTCGGCTAGGCAACGTCGGCGATAAATGTTGCCGATTTTAGTCCCATTCGCAAACGGCAGTAGGTTTGTGAATTTCTTTACAACTATCAGATGAAATATATCAATTCTATGTTCATGATTCAAGTGACTTCTGAAGAAACATTGCTGAAAGTTCCCTAATGTTTGGAACATCAGAAGTTGTTCTGGTTCAACGAACATCCACCTGCATCCCGCGCCCGGAGCAGTGGTACTCCGACCGAGACAAGAGATAGGAAGCGCTATCTTGGCACCTATGATTCTGACCTGATCACTGCGGGCGGCGTCATCGCCATTCGAAGATTCGCCGCATGGAAGGTCTTGGCTGGCAGTTCCAAGTCTCGTCGACCTCAATCACATTCACCATGTTCAAATATCTGTGTGACTCCTGTTAATTGACTCGCTCTTTGTACGCCTCGACCTCCACAGCTACACAGCTACTTGGCGGAACATGTATCTTGTACTATGCAGCAAATATCCTTGAATGCGCTGCCGAGGCGCACCTTGCACAGGAAGTTCCGATTCCAAGCATTTTACATCACAGTCCTCTGCTTGTGTCTGTTCACTGTCATAAGCTTGGTCGCTGATCAGAGTGCAAAATTCCGACATGGAACACAATATGGAGTTGCACAGCGACGGGCTTTGGAAGAGTTGGATGTCACACGACTAGTAAAGAGGGATGAAGAGGTTCGTGGGATCTTGTATTCTGGCTTTTTGTGCCACTTATGTTAACCTACCTCTTCGCAGTGCCGACTTGTTCATCATGCCGAAGACAAATGTGCTTTCATTAAGGCCAATTGCCCCGACGAAGAAGCAGGTCTCTTCTCCTACCTCTCCCTCTATTATTGCAGTCTGCCGAAAGCAAAACCGGTCGCATTCACGATACTATCACTATGGCTTGCACTTCTCTTCACTACGATTGGCATCGCCGCCTCCGATTTCTTTTGCATCAACCTTAGTACTATCGCCTCAATACTTGGGATGAGTGAGAGCATGGCTGGTGTTACTTTTCTAGCATTCGGCAATGGTAGCCCCGACGTATTCTCTACCTTTGCAGCTATGAGTTCACATAGTGGGAGTTTGGCTATCGGAGAACTGATCGGTGCGGCTGGCTTTATCACTGCTGTCGTTGCTGGATCAATGGCATTGGTACGTGAGTTCAAAGTCGGCAAGAAAACATTCGTCAGAGATGTCGGGTTTTTCATTATTGCCGCTAGTTTCAGTATGGTATTTCTTGCCGACGGACGTCTACATATGTGGGAGTGTTCTGTCATGGTTGGCTTTTACCTCTTCTATGTGGTGATCGTTGTCTTATGGCATTGGTATCTGGGGCAGCGACGCAGGCGCCGTGAGAGGGATGCCGCTGCTCGCGGTCATTATCTCGCAGCCACGAATGAGGAGCTTGAAGTTTCCGAAGAAGATAGCGATGATGAAGATGCACCTGCAGGAGAAAGGAGAACTAGTCAGGTCGAGGATTTCGGAGCCTTAGAACGCGGCGGTAGTCCGCTTCTTGGTCCTCACGTGGACGACGAAAGTGATGACGGGGATGAAGGCAGGCAGCTTGCTGCGGAGATGGCTAGCAGTATGCGAGTAACAAGACCTTCTGGTCATCGCAGAAACACCATTACTCCAATCCGACCTAGTTTGGTTGGTGCCCTGGAGTTCAGATCGGTCCTGTCATCACTCCAAAAATCCCGTGGTTCTCATCGACCCATACACCTTCGCCGATATTCAGATGATCCCACTAGCCAATACGATGGACATTCGTCGGAGCCGGAACCGTATTCAGATCATGCTTCCAGCATTGTAGTAACTGCAGCTGAGGATCAAGATGCTTTATCGAAAGCTGGACCATCAACCAGAACAAGAGCTGTGTCTATGAACGATGCTGCTATCATGAAACCTACCGATCCTGCGGCATTCAGTGTGGCCAAAATACCAGACATTGGTATCGTAGCTGCAACACCGACATTTCCAAGAAATCTAGAAGTTCCGGCTTCTGATTCAATGTCCGGTGCGCATTCATCGTCAGGGCCCGTTCCGCCTTCCCCAACCTTTTCTCTATCGCCTCCTCCATCGTTTGGAGGCTCGCGAGAAGTCAGTCCTGCACCGTCTAGAGAGAGGCCCAAACGCGATACTCTTGCTCCGCCTGATGAGGGATTCCCTGGCGCAAGACATCTTCGTGTGGACTTTTTCAAGGACCATCCTGAATCAGCTGTGGACTCTCCACAAGACTCCCCAAAGTCTCGCTCGAGACCCATTGAGCGTCCCCGACTTACAATCCCGAATAGTGCTTCGCGAGACAGCTCGCATTCACGTATCCTATCTCCTGTAGTTCCATTTCCCGCATACACAGATTCACCTTTGCCAATGTCAGCCGTTAGTTCCAGGGCTCCCAGTCTTGTTCTTCCTGAAGCGACTATGACTCCCGAGTCACTATATAATACACATAGTCATGATCTCGAGTACGAACAGAAGCCTATAAAATGGTGGCCTTACCGTTGGTTACCAAGTCCTCACACGCTTGCGTCGACCTTATTTCCCACGCTGTATACTTGGCGAGAGAAATCCATTTGGGACAAGTTCGTCAGCGTTGTCTCGGCGCCGAGTATCTTCCTTTTGGCTGTTACCCTTCCTGTGGTCGAGTCTGAATCTAAGGAAGATGAGTCTGATGAAATCCTCAATGAGAGGCAGTTATCTCATACATCCCACTCAAGGTCCAGAAGCGGCACCATACCTATGCTCGTTCCAGATAGTCCTTCTCTGGAAGCTGAACCCGAATGGATTCGCTATAGAAGAGCAACAGATCCTCACTCTCATCCACGATCACCACAGCTTAGAGGCTACAGCGGACATAATACAGCTGCAGTAGCTGTTACGGCAGAAAGCTCACACCATAATCCTCATTCGTTACCATTACCGTCGAAACAAAACTCCATTGGCCATATCGAAGGCACTTCTGAATGTTCGACCCTTGACTCATCAGATTGGAACCGATGGCTCGTTGCGGTACAGATATTCACAGCTCCACTGTTTGTAATGATCATCGTTTGGGCCAACGATGCGGATGGCGATGCTCGGCTCCTTGTTCAGATGGTCATGTACTCTTTACTTGGATCTCTGGTTGCTTTTGCAGTCTTGCTCCTAACAACTACGCCTACCAAGCCTCCAAAATACAGATTCCTTCTGTGCTTCTTGGGCTTCGTCGTTGCTATTGCATGGATCTCAACCATCGCTAATGAGGTTGTTGGTGTTCTAAAAGCAATTGGCGTCATTCTTGGAATATCCGATGCCATCTTGGGTCTCACGATTTTCGCGGTAGGAAATTCGCTAGGAGATTTAGTCGCAGACATTACCGTCGCAAGACTTGGATATCCAGTCATGGCTCTATCGGCTTGTTTTGGCGGCCCGATGCTCAACATCTTACTCGGCATTGGACTCAGTGGACTGTACATGACTATCACGCAGGCAAACAGCAAGCATGCGAAGCATCCGGACAAGAAGCTCAAATACAAGCCATACGAAATCGAGGTGAGTGGGACACTAATGGTTAGTGGGATCACCTTGCTGGTGACCCTCGTCGGTCTATTGATTGCAGTCCCGATGAACAAATGGATAATGAGTAGAAGGATTGGATGGGGTTTGATAATTCTCTGGAGCGTCAGTACGGTCGTCAACTTAGCAGTCGAATTGAGTGGAGTGTGGGGGGAGACTTCCTGATGAAAATGTAATTGTGATGATATTTATGGCAAAGTTAAGCGGTGGAGTTCGATACCAGGTGTGCGCAAACATGTATTATGATAGGTGCGCGGAAGACGTAGAGAAAATACAAAAATCGTCTGCTACATTCTCTAATTGCTAGCTTTTCCTCAACAGGCTAAAAATATTAGACCTTGGATCGTCCGAAGAAAGGTGTACAAACATTCTATTGATTGGATTGTCTATCACTGGACTGGACATCATACCACAAAACATGCAAATTTTCAATGTCGGACATCCAATTACTGAAGTGGTACATCGTGGGGTACGTGGGACGATGTATCAGAAGTATCGGGGCATTTTGAGACATATCCACTCCTACTCACGGAATGATGACGCAGAAAAATCCTCACGATGTGTCAGATGCGGGATAAAAGGTCGAGACATTCAAGTTGGAAAGTCCTCTCTCTCTTCTTCGACAATTGCTTATGTCGAATGGTAATTGACTAGGTAACCTCAATGTGTGATGAAGCTAATGCAGGGGGTTTGCCATGAATGCCTATTCTCCCAACGTTGCTGCAAAGGATGGTATTTCGTCACCTCTCCTTTTTCACTGCATACCTGCCGCTTGAGCTGAGCAAAGATCTGCAGCCATCTCGAGGCACTGTACAGGAGATATCGTGTGATACTTCAATTGCGATGTCCTACACGTGATGTCGATTAAGTTCCCTGGGCGACGGCATCAATGCACGAAGCCTCCACCCAGACCGTTTGGCCGGAAGTTCTGAAGAAGCTTTGGTGGCGATGCCCGTCTCTAAAGTGGTTGTTTCCTGGAACTGAAACATATACTAGCGCCGATATGGTTCATTCTTTGTGAGGGGATACAGTCCGGTGCGGTACTTGTACTCGTACCAGTACCAGATATTCTAGCTAGTTGTCATCTTCAAGCAGTTCGTCATACCGTGTACCGGTACCAGTACCAGTATATTCGTCGCACACAGATACATCGCCAGGTGCATTTCTCCCATTGTCCATTCATGTACCCTCTCCCGCATGCACAGTACAGGCATACATACAGACACTACATTCGCTCTTGCCCTGCCCTGCCACTCACTACTGCCACTGCAGATGCAAACCAAAACGCGAAACCCTTCGCCGCCAGCCAGAATAGATTAACCACTACCTGCAACCACCAGCAGCCCACCCAATCCAGCTTGTCCGTACATATACCCGTATTCATAGCGTGTTAACCATTCCGTTGTCTGCCTGCTGCGCGACGCGTCGGGACGAAAAGAACAATACAGTCCTTCGTACCCAAGAGCCGTGCTGGTCATTGTCCTTCTTAATTTCAGCAATCGGCGTCCTGGTCTTCTCGTCTCCAAGAATCCAGCCCAGCACAGCAGAGTGCCGACGGCCTTGGGACTGGACATTAAATTAGAGAAGACCCCTGCCCGACATCTGGGGGAAAGCCACGCTCTCTGCGCCCCTTGAGACCGTCCTCGTCGCTGTGCGCCTTCAAATTCCCAAACTCTCAGAGAAAATCCCGAGCGTCGATATCACCTAGGACCCTGGATTACTGGAGAGCAGGAAAAAGCACGCACCGGTCTTCCATCAATCGCGAAGAATGACAGCCTCGATTGGAACGCTTTCTCGCTCAGACAGTTTTTTGAAGGCACCCTGGTCCGGCAGCAACTCCAGCTCGACTGACCTGCAGCACCAACAGCAACTTGCTAGTTCAGAACTCTCCTCGACACAAGACGCCGACCAACGCAACAAACCACGGGCGCGCAAGCCTTCGCCTGGCCTCGCTGCGCGTTTGAAAGCTCTGGGCTTTGGCAAAGACTCAAACAAATCCAACAGTCGCTCTCCTTCGAATGAGGTCGGCAGGATCGATAAGGACCACATTTCGAAGCTCGACCACAGCCATCAGGCCAATTCCACGACAACACCGATCATCCAACCGCGTGGGAGGGCGTGGAGCGGTGCGAGCGGCTACCTCACGCCGCAACCTACAGGAGGGAGTTATAACGAAAACATAGTTGTCGACACACGAGTTTTGGAGGGTGGAACACGTCGAACTGCATCCGTGAGCTCGGGGGATCGGGCCATGACCACACATGCAGAGGAAGTAGACATGGACTCGCAGAAGTACCGACTGCCAGAGCATACGAACGGAAATGGTACGAAAGCATTGTCAGATACGAAACAAGCACACTTTGAACGAGAGCCTCCTCCAGATGACGAGATCCCACCGCCTCCTCTGGCAAAGGACACACCTCCTGGAGGGACAACACCTGCCGAATTCACAGGAGATGTTCAATCATATTTCAACCCCTTTGGCCTGCAGCGAGCGGGATCGATATACACGCTTTCGCGCGTCTCATTTGCGAACCAACTTGCACAATTGACCTCCTTACAATTGCCTGATGCCGAGTCTCTCTCTACGAAAGTTTCGGCTATACCTAATTCGAAGGCTGCCTCCAAGGCATTGATGGGAGCGGCTGAACAAATACGAAGCTGGATATCAAAGGCCTCTGAGGTTATTGCCGGATTAGACGGTGAAGATGATGTGGAGTGGGCCGCAGCAGGCGGCAGGGAAGGTCTCGCAGAAGTCGACAATGCCATCACACGATTTGAAGAGTTGATTAATGTCTACGTTTCAGCGATCGAATCTCTACAAGGCCGACCCGATATTTCTACCGTCTCCGCGGATGAGTTGAAGAAAGTGGTGCTACAAGTCGAGACAATTCTTGCTGAATGGGAAAAGATCAAGAACACTCTAAAAGCGGTGAAGAACTCTGTTGAGATTGCTATGGAATGGGAGGAACTATGGAATACTGTACTAGGTGATATTGGTAATGAAGTGGATGTGCTGGCCCGATTGGTCTTCGAGATGGAGGAGAAGAGACATAAGTCTCTATTGTTGGAAACTGGTGGGGAAGGTGGACTTGACATCAACGAACTCGAGACCATTGTTGAGGAGACACCGCCGTCGAAGACAAGATTGCATGCCAACAATCGATTCAGCGTACCAGCTTCTTTCCCTCTTTCGCCAAACTCACCGAATCCCTCAACAATGGTTCAGGATGACTCGAGCTTACTCGCATTGTTCGCCAGGATGCAACCTCTGCGAGCCTCGTTGGACTTCCTTCCTATGAGACTGTCGACCTTTCACTATAGAGCAGAGAAAATCTTCCCAAGTGCTTGTGAAGAATTGGAGACGAGACGAGAAGGACTCGAAAGCAGCTGGAAGAAGTTGGAGAAAGATGCCGAATCGTTACGGAGAGAGTTGGGCGAGGACCGCTGGGTATTGGTGTTCAGAGGAGCTGGTCGACAAGCTCAGAAGATGTACGAGTCCGTGGATCGTAGCGTGGTAAAGCTCAAGGAAGCTGTAGACGCCGGAACTCACCTCGAGAACCCTGCTTCCATGGGCAAAAAGATCGAGAGCTATGAGGCCAAGAAGTTGCATTATGGTCCTGCGATTGAAAGAGTCTTGTCCATCATCGAGAGAGGTGTAAAAGATAGGTTAACTGTTAATGGCGAGATCCTACGACTACACTCTGAGATGCAGAGGAAATGGGAAGCTTTGAAGGAACAAATGGCCGAGCTCGACCACATTTTGGACGATATCCAAGCCGACAAGAAGAATCAACAACTCAGAGATTCAATCTCTAGCATGCTATCCAATGACAGAAGTACAGTTGGAAGTCTTTATGATACCCCTGGAAGCTCACCGGCTTCGTCGGTAGTAATGACTGGACTGGCTGGACCTGAACATATGACTCCAATTCAGAACGGCAAGGTGCGATCGAACAGCAAAAGTAGTCTACCACAACCTGGTGGCAGAAGAAATGTCAGCATGCCATCAAACACGAGCCAACTTCCTCGAAAGGGTCTCACCAGTCGCCTTTCTAATATAGCTGCCCCAGCACCACAGGCTTCTCCATCGCCAGGTTCATCCAGACAAGGATCTGCAACCCCGACAGGGAATCGTCTGCCACGGCCTTCACTGACCCACATGCCGGACGGTAGGCCGCGCTGGAACTCGAGTGTGAATACCACTGGCACCCCGATCGGGCACAACTTCAAGCCTTTGAGCTTGACAACACCCAGCCCGCATGCACGTACCAGCAAACCTCCCTCAGCTCATCAGAACCGAGCAAGCGAATCCAAGATACCACTTCGATCACCACTTAGCCGAGACAATACTGCATCCCCAGCTCCAGAGACAACACCATCTCGCACATCTAACTCTCGTTTGGCATTTCGAGATCGACTCGCTAGTCCGGGTCCTTACTCTCAACAAGTGCTTTCTCAAAATTCACCAGCTACTCGTCCTCGACACCTCACTACCCAATCCTCTATGTCAGCCCTCAGCTCTACTTCCGCAAATCGTCGAGCCTCTCTTCAACCAAAGTCTAGCGATCCAACCTCACTCAGCAGTCCCCTGTCAAAACCCACCAGACCTGCAAGTTCGTTGGCTGGAAATAGACGTGTCAGTCTGCTACCTCAGCCCAGAGGTAGACAAAGCTCTGGTGTGACCGGCAGAGAGTCGCCTCAGGCCATAGCAGGAGCTGCGAGTGCGATGAGAGCGAACAGCGGCGCTAGCAGCAATAAAAGCAACGAGAACAAACAACCTTGGAAATGAAGCTTTCTTTCCATTCCGTCACTCGCTTCAAAATGTCTTTCCAGGACCCGGATTGTGATCGGTCCTATGTTTTGAAAGACGAACCTCACGAAGTTGAGGTTGAAAATGGTTCACTTGGTTCCCTATCCGGCGTTTCTCACATTTGAATGACGGCGTCCAACTTTTTGTGTGGGTTATAAAGCGATCTTCTCTTCTATTCTTCGACTCAAGTCGAGCGTTCATTGAACTTGATGGATTTTCTTAGCGAAGCGACTTTTAGGGCATTTTAAGGTTGTGTTTTTTTATGGAGAAGACGAGAGAAGGACATCTGTGAGGTGTAAATATGCGTGCAGGCACGGAAGAAAGAAAGAAAGAATGCCGCGGGTGGGGATGTTTTGAGAGATTGGTGTGAGTGGCTAAGGTAAAAGAAAAGGGGAGGAAGATACCATGGCTGTCTGTGTAAGATAGGATGCACAGTACGTTAATCCAGAATGTGATACCCTTTGGTCTGAGTCTACTTTTGTGAATCCGCGTGCTGCAAAATGCTAGTGAGATTCCAGTCCCTCATCTTTGGGTTATTACAAATCCAGGGGCTCGTGGGACATTTTTCCAGTCTCAAGCCTCTCGAGTCTCGCTCACAACCATACATCTTCACTCACCCTGCAACCCCACCCTCAACCCTCTCTCCTTCCCTAGCCACCCCCATCCCCTCCTCCCCCCAAGGCCCCAAATCAACACTAGTCATAGGCATCAACCTCCACCCTTCCTCCACCCCCTCCCCAATCTCCCCACTCTCCCTCCTAACCACCTCATCCACTTCCCTCACAACCCCCCTATACCTCTCCCTCACCCCGTCCCCATACTCAACTAAATCAGGAACCGTCCACTGATCAAATACCCGCCCGTGCGTCTTCGACGGGAAGAATCGCCCGTGGGAAACAAGGAAGCGGTAGCAGAGGTAGCAGAGCCATTTGCTGGTGCCTATTGCTCTTGGTCTCGGGGCATCGGGGGAGGTGGAGGAATTAGAGGTGGTTTGAAGGTCGTAGAAGACGGCGAGTTGGACCTCAGCGTGTACATGAAGCGTCTTTGCCCAGGACTCATAAGCGATGGTTGTTGGGATGGCGGTATAGGGAGCGAGGAAGGCTATGCGGAGGTTAGAGAAGAGAGAGCGGTATGTGGTGGATGCTTTGAGGAGGGACGTGGCGACGCGGCGGTAGGAGGCTATTTTTTCTATTTGGCGGAGGGTTTTGAGCGCGGATGCGACTTGGGGTGTTGGTTTGCGGGTTTTTTGGCTAGAGACTAAGCGTTGGGAGAATTGTTTTGTGGAGGGGTGGTTGAGGATGGTGCAGCTGGTTGTTATTAGGTGGTGTAGGGAGGAGTGGTCAGTGGAGGAGGGGAGAGTTTCGAAGGTCGAGTAGAGGGTGTGGAGGGTTTGGAGGTTGGTTTTTATGGTTGCGAGGAGAGCTTTCTCGGATTTGGAAAAGAGGAATGAGAGGCGGTGGAGAAGGTTGGGGATGTCGGCGTAGAGGGGCTTTTTGTGGGATTTGGAGAGGTAGGTTGGTTTGGACCATTTTGTGGAGCGGAGGCGGGCGAGGAGGCGGGGGTGGTGGAGTTTGATTATTATTTCTAGGAGTTTTTCGACTACAGGTGGGTTGGTGGTTGTTGAGTTAGAGGCGTGTTCAATTAGGATTTGAAGGATGGATTGGAGGCCGTCTTTAATGTTGGAGTTGAGGAGACTATCCAGGGTTGCGAAGCGGAGGGTGAGGCTTGGGGTGGGGGAATGGCGTTCTTCGAGACATACGGCTGCTACACTTTGAGCGCCTTCTGTCACGGCTGCTAGGAAGGCGAAGTCGTCTGCGATTTGTTGCTCGGTTGCAAGTGGGAGGATGTGTGGTTGCTCTGATTCACGTGCTGAGGTCGAGAGCCAGTCGTCGGGGGAGAAGACTTGGGGGTCCATTGGGATGCTGTTTGTTTTTGCTTCGAGTTCTACTAGATGTTGGCGGAATGTGTCTTCGGGCAAGTTGAGCCATATTGAGTTTTCTGGACTTGCTGTTCGGGGGTCTTTCCAGGACATTTCGACGTCTTAAGTTGTGGATTTGGAGTGGCAGGCGACTTGAATGACTTGTTGACAGCTGGAGGAACAGATGGCTGGAAGCAAGTTCTGACTTCCGAGCTCGAGTACTTGCTTAAGTGTTCAGAAATTGCGCTCTCAAAAGCTACATTTCGAGTTGAGTTTCATGCTGAGTGTTCGTGAGATTGAGAAGCATTCAAAGCACAAGAAGAAGATAAAACATACACTGATTGAAACTAACCCGTAACCAACTTCCAGTTGAGCACTACAAAGCTATTCTGAAGATCTTCGCAAATTGAGTGAAGAGGAAGAAGACTTTCGAGTCAGCGGTGGAACAGCCGAGAATAGCTTAACGCAAGCGACAGGGACAAAATATGATTGGCCAAAAAAAAGGCTTCTGGCACTTCACTAATATCTCGCAGAGACATCATGGCAGTCTGATTACATTATCTTCATGGGATCTGCAACGAAACATCGTTACAGTATGATGTTAATCTGCCTCCATTTTTCTGCTCAATATTCTTGCCAAAAAGTATTGAGGAGTAATGCAGAATAGGCAGTCATACATCAAGCTCCCACAATCCTGCCTGCTTCAGAAGTTTGAGAGAACTCCGACCTCTTGTATCAGCAGACTGAACAAGAGCCCCGAGACAGATTTAATCATTGAACATAATAGGGACACGAGTTGTGCCCGCCATGCAGTCACATTTTGCCTGCTGGTTGCCGTTTCGCCGATCATTTTTGCTTTAATGCATCTGCAGTAAAGTCATAACATATTTTCCCTCAACATGTGCTCATCTACGGAGTTGGTACCAAGACTTCTAAGTGGATCTTTCTGGTGCATGATGCTTTTAACTGCTGTGATGACAGAGCGCGGCACTGTTGCCAGGACATGTTCGACAGTATCGGGCAAGTCTTGACACTTGTTCCTCCATTTCGTCCAGTATCGTCGTCAACTTCTATTCGGCATTGCCGTCGATTTGAGTTCAATAAATCAACAATTCTTGACCATCATACATTTTGGAACCAATTGCATCAACCAACATGAGCTGACTTTATTAGACTGAACGTAGGACGTGACAAAGATCCTTTCAACCCCCAAGACGTCAGCGTCACTTTTTAGAATACAACCCCACGTTAGCTTTTGTATCTCTGTTCCGATTTCTTTCTAAACAAAATCATGGAACCGAGAAGCCATATTCAAACAGTACATACCAAAGTTACATGGCATTTCAAATCAACCCAACGGAACAAATCAAAATCCCAAGTCTAACAGTGCAGGATCTCAGATCCCTCCTATTCTCTATTCTCCATTCTCTATTCTCTATTCTCTGCGCTCAGCAATAAACAATAACAGATACTTCCCAACCTACCTATCTTCTCGTAAATCAGCGGTTGACGTGACACCGAGTTGGAAAAGAATCACGGCTGGGAAGCTCGGCAAAGAGAGATAATAGCTACATCAAGAGTACCATCTTATGTTGTGTAAACACTGTTGGTGATTATTAATAATAGTCATGGTGGTTCTCGAAAGGGTACCTACCAAGTCATCAAATATCGATTTGCCCTACCTTCGCTTGAATCAGGGGTCGACATACATAACGCTAAGCGGGGCGAAATTGGGAAAAGGGGGTCCCGGAGCCTTGCATTGTACAAGCCTTGCTATGGATCATCCCAATCAGTACCTAGGTATGTTTAGGACTCTTGATGGCCATGAAAAGATATTCTTACTTCTAGAGAAGTCCAGAGTTGTCAATATCGAGCTACAAAACGAATCCTCGCTTTGTTCAGGAGTCGACGTGATGGTAAGCGGAGCGAGGAAAAGGGGGGAGCGGGTGAGGGTCGCTTTGGATGAGTAAAAAGAATTAAATTGTAATGGACGAGCATAGATTAGGTTTTATGTGGGGATGGATGTAGTATGGGAAGGAGTACAATATCTTGGCGCAGAAATGGAGAGTCCTGTTTGTTGGATTGTAGTCTATCAAGCCATGAGCTAAATCTGAGACTGAGATGCACACAGGACAATCAATCAAGCTTCACAGAATCGACAACCATTTATCGAAGTTTGAGGTTACACCAATACAAGAGCTCTATTGAGAAGTAACAACGACCCCAATCTAAACAATCTATCCCTTTACTCTACCAACATACAAACCAACCCCCCACACAAACCTACCTCCCCATCCACCCCCCATCAACAACCAAAACATGCCCACTAACATACGCACTCCCCGCACTCGCCAAAAACACCACACTCCCCCTAAAATCCCCGGGAACTCCCCACCTCCCGGCCGGAATCCTCTCACTAATACTCCTCAAGCGTTCCTTATCCTTTAACAGTGCCGTATTCATCTCCGTCTCGATATAGCCCGGCGCAATCGCGTTCACCGTGATACCCTTACTGGTCCACTCGTTCGCCAGCGCTTTGGTGAGTTGCGCGACCGCGCCTTTGGATGCTGCGTACGCGGGCACGGTGAGCCCGCCTTGGAAGGTGAGTAGCGAGGCGAAGTTGATTATCGAGCCGCGGCGGGAGGTGAGGGGGGAGGGAGGGAGGGAGAGCATGTGCGAGCCGATGTCGCGGCAGAGGGTGAAGACTGTTGTGAGGTTTACTTGGATGACCTGTTTTTAAACTGTTAGCTCTTCCTCTCGTTTGGAAAATGGAAGGGAGGGAGAGGTACCTCGTTCCAATCATTGTCCGGGAATTCGGCGCTAGGGTGTCTTCTCTGGATCCCGGCACAGTTTACTAAGATGGAGATCTTGTGTCCATCTGCCAGCACTTTTGGAGTCAGGGCTTTGACTTCTTCTTGGGAAGAGAGGTCTGCGGTGTAGATGGTAGCTTTTCGACCTAGGGCTTCGATTTTCTTTTGGGTTTCGGTGTTGCTTCGATCACGCTGGATTTTCGTTAATAAATTGCTTGGAAGAGAAAGAGAGAGAGAGAGAGAGAGAGAGAGAGGAATGTAAGGAGAGAATAGTACACCTGTATCAGAAGGATATCTGCCCCGCATTCTGCCAATGCGACGGCAGCTGCTTGTCCAATGCCCCTCGTCGCACCTGTAATCATGGCCGTCTGGCCCTCGAGAGAGAACATTGAGAATGCGGACGCTGCTGCCATCTTTGCTCCTTTCTCTCCTTAATCAATTGCTCAAGCAAAATGCGTATAAAGTCTCGCAATAAGTGGTATGAGGTAGTGAAGCAGGCAATTGAACAACAGTGTGGCCGGCTATTGAAAAAGTATTAACCCCACCACCGATAAGCGGGCCGAAGAAATGGGGGGAATTTCCTCTTCGGGACGAAACGACGCCCAGAAAGCGGGATAGTGGGGTATTTTATGGGGAGATGCCCTAGGGGATCCAGTGAGATGATCGACTGGGCCCCGTCAGAGACCGAGTCTGGGACCGGCGACTTCGGGCCATCATGAGACTACCAAAAATTGGAGAATTTAAATAGTCGTGACCAAAGTAATAGTACGAAAATACATATACCTAAACTTGGATTCTGTACAGTACCACGTTAAAAAATTAAAAACCACAATTAACCAAAAAAAAAAAAAATTTTGCGCGTTGGATAAAATGGCAATTTTGACACAGAACGGAACGGCGAGAGTAGGCAAGGAAGAGGAAGTCATTGCTTCGGTATTACACGGTGCGAAAGATCTCCAGATCGTAAGTCGTACAAGTCTAGACTTGTTTGATTGTTCCTTCCTTCCCGTCCTGACTCTGTGCAACAGGAACACCGAACGCTCTCCTCGCCCGCGGAAGCAGAAGTGCAGGTCGCCGTCCAAGCGACCGGTCTCTGCGGCTCTGATCTCCATTACTTCAACCACTACCGCAATGGCGATATCATCGTGCGAGAACCGTTGACGCTGGGTCACGAATCGGCGGGTGTCGTGACGGCGGTGGGGTCCGCGGTCACGGGGTTGAGGGTCGGGGATCGAGTTGCGCTCGAAGTCGGGCTGCCGTGCAAGGAGTGCGAGCTTTGTAAGGAGGGCAGGTATAATATTTGCAAGAGTTTGAGGTTTAGGAGTTCGGCGAAGAGTGTTCCGCATTTTCAGGGCACGTTGCAGAAGAAGATTAATCACCCTGCTGTTTATTGTCACAAGTAAGTCTCTTCCCCACCTTACTAGACCAAGAAGGAACAGATAATAACAATAGACAGACTCCCCGGAAATGTCTCCCAAGAACTCGGAGCCATTCTGGAACCGCTAGGTGTAGCAATGCACGGCTGCCGTCGCGCCTCTCTGAAGCCCGGCTCTACCGTCCTCGTCTTTGGGGCCGGCGCAGTAGGACTCCTCTGTGCCGCCATGTGCAAAGTATCTGGGGCCAAGAAAGTCATCATCGCCGATATTCAAGGTGACCGAGTTGAATTTGCCGTCCAGAACAAGTTTGCAGATGCCAAGATTGTTGTTCCCATGAAGAGATTCGAGGCTATTGAGGAGAAGTTGGCGTTTGCGAAGGAGGTTGCGGAATTAGTCAAGGAAGCGAGTGGGGAGGGAGAGGTCGATGCTGTGTTTGAGTGTACGGGCGTTGAGAGTTGTTTGCAGGCTTCTATTTATGTGAGTTCCTCCCCTTTTCAAACGATGAGAAAGGAAACGTGCTAATGAGTGACAGTCGACGAAACCTGGTGGAAAGATCATGTTGATTGGAATGGGGAGTCCGATTCAAACACTTCCTATCTCAGCAGCTGCTCTCAGAGAAATCGATTTGGTAGGCGTGTTCAGATATGCAAACACTTACGAAGATGCTATTAAATTGGTATCAAGTGGCAACCCCCAGCTCCCGGATCTCGCCAAGTTGATCACGCAGAGATTTAAGGGCTTTGAAAATATTTCTGATGCATTTGCAATGTCTGGTAGAGTTAAGGATGATGATGGGAAGTTGGTGTTGAAGGTACTTGTTGATACGACAGGATCTTAATTGGATAGCTATAGATATACAAAAGCTTGGTGGTATTTTGTTTAATAGATTGATTAAACTTTCCCCGAATACAATACAATAATCATCTTATTGATGTGGTATGGCCAAGCACTATCTCACGATTCTTCTCTCAAACTATGGCAACCTTCGCATGCTGCCTCTTAACCCCCACTTCCCTTACTTCCCCTTCTCCCCACCTCTTCAGCCTCTGCACCACCCATTCTCGCTCCCTCTCCTCATCCATCACCCGCAACCCCTCAATGCACCTCACAACCTCCTCAAACGCCCCCCTAAATTCCGGCAAAAGCTTCATCGTAAATGCATCCACCACAAAATACAGATACTCCATATCATGTAGCAAATCAACAACCGTAGGATGGAACCCAATCGAAACAGCAAAGGGCTTAAGGAGTGGAGAATTGGTTGGGGAGCAGGAATACGAAAATTTGGTGGAGGGTTTGTAGGGCATTCCGGAAGGAGGGATGATGGTTGGTGATTCGGTGATTACGGCTGTGAGGTGGTTTACGCTGGGGTCTTTAGTAAATGAGAGGGTGAGGAGAGGGGGGACGTACATGCGTAGCATGTGGAGAAAGACGCCGTCGAGAGTGTAGTGCTGAATACCTCCTCGGAGAACCATCATTTGACGGAGGCCGTTCATGTGGATCTCTGCTTCGTTCGGTTCTCCGATTAAGCTCTAGTGATTGACTGTTACTACCAATATATTTATGGAGGAAGAATTGACGTACAACGACATGAGTGAGAAGTAGAACAGCAGCCAAAGTCTCGTCCGAAACTGCTGCTTCCGAATCTCGTAGTGACTTGTTCAGAAGTTTGATCGTCTGAGCTTTGTAGTAGAGAGACTCAGATGTCCCTCTCTTGCCCCGAAGACCGGCATCATGGACAGACGAGACGTATAGCGTAGCGTTGAAGAATGTTTCGTTGTTTACTGCTTGGGCCATCCATGTTGGGTTCGTGCAGTACTGGCTGTGAATCTTGGTGGGAAAGAGTGCAAGTGTGTTGTTCCCTGAAGAGTTATTAGGATCTGAATGTTGATTGGTATGCAGTACTGACAGTGGTGTGTTAAAGCATGAACTCGAGGAGAGCTTTCCGCTGGAAGGATGGAGAATGGATCTACACTCCCGCTCATGAGCTTAGAGTCTGATAGCACAGGGCTGTCACCTCCGACATCCTTGCTTTGACGGCGTTGGTTGCCACATATTCTGCATACATCGACGGCGTCAAGCACCATACCTGTGAAAGCTTTGAAGAAATAGTGGTGAGTAATGGACTTGCATTGGACGCGGTAGATGCTTACCAGGATGCAAGCAAGGACTGCTAAAATCCCCACATCTTGCTTCTTTCTCCGCATCCTCTGATGATCGACACAAGGAGGTTCTTGAGCTACGCGTCTTATCAGAGGTCTTAGACGAGACGGGATTAATAACAGGCTGTCGAGTACTGCTGGTGTCTGAGGGTGAGCTTGATGTAGTCGTAGAAGTGGTTGGTTTTGTCGGCTTCGCTCTCGCTTTGGCAATCGAATTGTAGTCACACGCCGCAATGTTAGAGAAATGGATTGAGCATTTCCCACAGACAGGTCTCTTCTCCTGCAAGAAGGTCAACGTGCATGTTTTACTTTATTGGCTCTGACATACGTCGCATTTAACTTTTCGGAGCTTGCCTGAAAATGCCAATCAGTATTTCACTCCAAGGAGGGAAGAGGGGTCGTACAAGCTCTGCACCCTGTCGTCGACTTCTTATGAGCTCTATGGGGAACTGGGTTGTTGTGCGTGTACATTGTGTTTGGCGTATGAACTGGATTGAGAATGTCAATTCAAGCTTAAAAGGTCCTCGGGTTCGGTGAGGTTTTGATATGCGGGACTGCATGTAAGCACTACCATCCCGTCCTATCCAAAGAAAGAAGGCTTCGACATGGCTTTTCGTACATGGCAGTGAAACATGAGTTAACCCCCGTAATTAAATTCGTGCTATTAGTAGTATTATTAGTCTCTTCCGAGGCTCTTTCTTGACATCCAAACAAAGTGTGCCGATAGATGCATCTAGTCTTTGCACTATGCCAGATGCAGGCTCGGCTTCGGTTCTCTGTGCCAAGCTTCGATCAGCCCTATAACGTATAATTTACGTCAAAAGAGGTCCTCTGCTATTCGAGTCTCGTCACGACATCCGAGCTTCATAAAAGGAAACTCGCCATGGATGTCTTACTGACCGGGAGTGCTCAGGAGGGATAAAGACATGAGCATCCCAAGACATTGAAATGTAGTTTGCCACAAGCACTCCTTCGTAACAACAGATCATGGCCTACCTGACGATCGTGTTTTGTCATGGAGCATGGCATAACGTTCATTTCTTCGACAAGGTTATTGCCATCCTCGAACCTCTGGGATACAGATGTGTGACTGTACCACTTCCCAGTGCTTCTGGACGTGTGCCTCCCACCACGTCTCTCGACGAAGATATCGCTCCAATCAGGAGTGCCGTCTTGAAAGAACTCGATGCTGGTCATGATGTTCTTATTAATGCTCATTCATGGGGAGGAATACCTGCGTCCACTGCCCTAGAAGGGCTAACCAAACCAGAACGATTGGCGGATGGAAAGACCACAGGAGTCATCAAGATGACTTACGTGGCTGCTTTCGTCCTGCCCGAAGATATGAGCTTGCAAGATTTTGTTGGAGGTCCTCAACCAACATGGATCGTCGATGATGTGAGTTATGAACAAGGAACAATATCTCAAGAATCGATCGCTGACATTTCTCAGGATGGAAATTTGATACACAAAGGAGACCCTCGTGACATCTTCTATCATGATGTTGATCCCAAGGAAGCTGATGAATGGACTGCAAAACTCAAATCTCAATCTCTAGCCAGCTTCACCACAAAAACGACATCAGCTGCCTGGAAAAAGATTCCCGCGGAGTATCTCGTCTGTGAGAACGATCGAGCTGTCCCAGCTGTTTTTCAAGATATAATGATAGGAAAGATGAAGGAAGCCGGAGCAGATGTTTCAACGACGAGACTGTCGACTGCGCACAGTCCGTATCTGAATAAGCCAGATGCTGTTGCAGACTTTCTGAAAACGTCGTTTGCGAAATCATCTCAATAATAGAACAGAAAGCTCAATGGTACATTTGAGAAGGGCGTCGAGGATGCTTGTAAATGGCGGCAAGGGCCTTGGATATGGGTCATGGAAGAAAGGTTGAGATGATTGAATAGTCCTGCGTGCCATTGCCTTCAGAAATCTGATGTTTCTCCCTCAAATGATATTCAAGGAAAAGAAGCACAATTTCTACAGAGATGCATGATCTTTCCCTGGGCTTTGGGGGAGGTAGAAATGTTTGAGGTCTGAAATTCAAGCGCGTTGGTTCCGCATTTTCGCTTCGGGGTTCGCCACCAGGAAATCTCCTGATCTTCACAACCTCATCTCCAACACTTCATGACGCGATGCTCAACAGATGCAATTACAGATTTGATTAAGTGGCAAGTGCATAGTATCAGCTGTTGTAAATTACAAAGTACTATACCATAGGGTACAGATATTTTTTTGCTCAGCTTCTACTTACCCGATGATTTATCTAGAGCCTCATGATTTGCTCTCCGCGTTCAGGAATATTTCAAGCAGAAAGCCATGCAGGCCTCCAAATTATCCCGAAGCCTGCATGTGAAGGGATTTGTACCTGCATTGGAAAATTTTGGGCCAGTTATATCGCCATTGAGTGTGGATTGATCTTGCGGTGTAAAGGGACATACTCCCTCGGATGACCCAAGGATCACCTCATTTCTACGGATGAGGGGAAGAGCTTTTGCCCCACGACAAACCTACCACGACAGTATATAAAGCTCGTGGTATGATGGCAAGACCTTCAGGTCGTAGTTAACCACATCCATTCCACAATTCACGCAAAACTCACCTCGCGAACATGACCTACGACATCTCAATCAAGAAAGTCGCCGTGGCAGGTGTAAGTCTGCCCTTCACCAGCTCGGAATTATATATTAACCATCCTTCAGGCCAGTGGACCCGTAGGCACCGCCATCCTCAAAGAACTTCTGAAATCCCAACTCTTCGAAATCACGGTCCTAACCCGCCAAGCCAGCCACCACACTTTTCCCCCAGGAGTCAAAGTATGTCCCATCGACTACACATCCACGGACTCCCTCATCGCCGCTCTCAGCGGCCAAGACGCACTCGTTTCCTCTGTGTCTATGGCAGCAGTACCCTCCCAACGCCTCCTAATCGACGCCGCCGTCAAAGCCGGTGTAAAACGCATCATCCCTTCAGAATTCGGTTGTGACCTCAAAAACACCAATACCAGGAAACTCCCCGTCTTCGCCGGTAAAGTTGACATTGAGCGCTATCTCGACGAGCTAGCCATCAAGGGCGAAACGAGCTATACTCTTGTGTTCTGTGGTCCATTCCTTGATCTCGGCCTCAGACAAGGCATCTTCTTGAACTTCGAACAGAGGAAGGCGAATATCTATGATGGTGGCGAGCAGTTGATCAGTACGAGTCGACTGGGGACTGCTGGGAAGGCCGTTCGTCGTATTCTGACGCACCCGAGAGAGACGGCTGATCGGGCGGTTTGGGTCAAGGATATTGATATTTCTCAAAATCAACTTTTGAAGTTAGCGCAGAGTCTGACTCCGGGTGAGGAATGGGAGGTTACCCATGTGAGTACGGCGGAGTTGGAGAAGGAGAGTATGGAGGAGATTAAGAGGAAGGAAGTTGGTGTGAAGCCGATGCAGGGACTGCTGTTGAGGGGTATCTTTGCGCCGGAGTGTGGGAATTTGTTTCAGCATGTGCATAATTCCGTGCTTGGAATTACAGGAATTTCGGGACCAGATTTGGAGGAGTTGGTTGCTAGTATTTTTGGGACGAAGAAGTTGGAGTGAGGGAAAGATTGTAAATAGGAGTAGGTTGCTTGATGGGCGTTATTGTCTCCCCTATGTTGAGTGAGGAAGTCAAAGTAATCACAGTCAGAAAATTAGTGGAGTCAAAATGAAGAGTGTATTCGAGATGAGTGCTGCCAAGATAATGCGCCACCCGAGCCAGCCAAGTCTAAGCCAAACACTTCACATCCCAACAAGAAAAGTCCTCAACTGCTATCTCCGAACCATGCATTTTCCCTTAATCAACCATAACATGACACTCAGCCTCAATTTTATCTAAGGGTTCTTCGTCGACAGCTCCACCTCTAGCTTCCATAGTCTTCTTCCGCATGTATTCCATCAAGTCGGCTAACATTCGATGCGGATATCCCAGGAATTTATCCTCATACTCGAAATCGGGCAAATCCAGCAGAGACACTGTGAGAAGGACCATCAATCTGCGCAAGGGGCTGCCTCGCTCCGTAGCTGTTTAGACGTATTGGCAGATGGTGTTAAGTGGCAGAGCGGTATACTCTAGGGCAATGTCACGGATGTAGTCGACGACCTTGTTCTTGAGTTGAGGCATCAAGAGCTTGTCGGCCAAAACCCAGAGTTCTGCCAACGCCATGTCCTCCTTTTTGTATGCTTCCATGACGTAGAGGGGGTCTTTGACATTTGCCCAATCTTTCTTGAGCTGCTTGATCGACAATTCTTGTTTGTATAGCCATTGACATAGCAGCTTGATGGTTTGTGGATGGAAGTCTTCGCTGAATTTATATGTCTGGGTCTGTCCCTCCACGAAAAGACCAGTAAGTGCGGCATTGAGTATCGGAGAGTAGAACCACACATTCGCCTTGTGGACCGTGAATCGTACTTCGTTGCCGTTGTCGAAGGCTATGAGTGTGACCATTGCATTAGGCTCCCTAGCAAGAAGGACAAGTCAATTTCCGCTCCTCAAATAATTGAGATTGTATCATGATTCTTACGTGAAGTCTGGACTCTCATCACGTTGGACGTTGCGGAAAATGTTTGATGAACTCATGGTTTTTTTTTTTACTTGAGTGTCTGATGTGTATTGGAGAGATTTAGAAGGTTTTGAAAGAGGCGTAGGCCGAAGAAGCTGTAGTCTTGCGAGGACAGGGCTTTGGAGGTAGAAGAATTCGCGAAAGGAGGAGTGTGTAGAAGCTGTGGTTTTGCAAAAACAAGACTTTAGAGGTAGAAGGTTTCGAAAGAGGAGTAGGGCGAAGAAGTTGAGTCTTGTGGGGGCGGAGCTTCAAAAGTAGCAAGTTTCGAAAAAGGAGTAGGTTGTAGAAGTTGGAGCCTTGCGAGGACAGGGCTTTGCGTGTGGAAAGTGTGAAGAATTTTGGACGATATTTATCATATATCAATAAGCTTCATTTGGAAAAAATTGAACGCTATCCATCAATGGAGCGAAGATACAATTCGCCGTGATAAACATCGATCTTTGAATACCGCAATTTCAACCAGCTTTCTCCAGAAATCGTGTCACCCTCGTTCTTGCAGTCGAATTCCTTCCTACTTTCAGTTCTTTTCAAGTTTTCAAATAGGTCACCGCGCTTCAAATGCCTCCAGAGCTAACGGTAATTGATAGACTCCTCCATCCACACTTTCTCTTTGCTCTCAAGAGCTTCTCCTCCTCATCGACTCTATCTTCTACAACCCACAGCTTCTCCCTACATTAAAGTCCTACCACTCGCCAGCTTTTGGCCCTTACGACCTCCTCTCGCGAAACGCGCGCGTTCAACCCTTCCCTCACTACCATCTACCTTCACAAGTCTTTCCCGTTGATATCGTAACAGCAGACAGCCGTGAAAGGCTCAATACTGGATAGGTCAATGAATAAATGCTGGATGAATCCACGGCGGGTTTCGTCAATAGTATACGAGCCTTATTAGGTGTGGGAGGGGCTGTTGCTATGGAGCTCGCTCTCGTGTTTCTCGGCATTGGGGTTATGTTCCTGAAGAGGGTTGCTGGGTAGGGGCAGGAGTGGATGTTGTGCGGACTGAGAGGCTTTTGGTCTTGACAGACGAGAGTTGGGTACTTTAGACGATGTGCTAGATTCTTGCCCCTTCTTCGGATTCAAGGGAGTAGCTTAGAATATATTCAAGTCAATTATTGGATATAAAGAACGTCAGCCACTAATATGTGGATCTTGAAGCATTTCTGTATAAATATTAGAGCGAAGTAAAGACATATTCTGCGGTGATGGACGTTGATCTTTGCCTACAATTACAATCCAACCAGACTCGCATGACCATTCTCCTCATTCTCAAGACCCTAAACTCCTCCCTCCTTCCAGTTCTTGTGAAACGCTTATGTAGCTCACTGCTCCGCTGCACTTTAAAAACTTGTATGTGCGCTAGGTCTGGTGCAACTGGAGAGGCGTATTCGCGCTCCCCAGATCTTATTCCACGCTAGTTCTACCAAAAAAAATTCCACCACTCCTCGTGAGTTTTATTTTATACAATCTCGTAGCTTTTCCATTAAAAAAATTCCAGCTTCTCTTCAACATCACTTGAAACCGCCATAATCTCCCCTCAAAATCTACACATTACAAGCAAAATGAGCTCTTCAACTGGTGCCGCAGAGAACTCCAAGCGTCGGGACAACAAACCACTCAAGAGACCGGATATGTCGTAAGCTCTTCTCAAAGCTTTTGCTTTTGATATGTACTGACTCTACAACAGTGATCCCAATACCCTGGTCAAGCTGACTTGCACTGCTGAGGGCGAAGATTACCCCTTTACGGTTCACAAAGAATACGCCTGTTTCCACTCTTCCGTCTTGAACCGAGCGTTCAACAGCGATTTTATCGAAGGCCAGAATCAGGAGTACAAATTCGATGAGGCGATCCCAAGATATCCGATCAAGCTGCTGGTTCAATGGTTATACCAAGAACGCTGCAAGCTCGTACAACAGACCGAAGGATGGGGCTATGATATGGAGGTTGCAGAGCGCGAAAAGATTGTTGAGGAAGAGGACATGGGCTTAGTTCAACTGTGGGTTCTTGCCCAATTCTTGATCATGCCTAAACTTCAAGACTGGATCATGGACGGTATCACGGCAGCTTCCTTCTACAAAGCCGCTGCTCCTACAAATACTTTCCCATGGGTTTACGACAATACGGAGGTTGGCAGTCCCTTGAGGAAGGTTATGGTTTTGCTCTCTTCCGCTTATCTCCACTCGGCACCCTTCAGAGAGAACTCGCAACATTATCCCCACGAAATGCTGGTGGACTTACTGATGTACCAACAAGAGCAAGTCGCCGGAACAAACATGGATGCATACGAAGCTATCAGAGAAGTGTGCTATTTCTGGCAGGGTTAGAATGATTGGAGCTGGTAAGTGATCATACTCATACATAAGATCAATATTAATGTTTTTGTAGGACATCGTCGATACAGCGGACAAAAATCCGACCAGGGCGCTTTTAGTGGAGGAAAGTGTGGCGAATGGGGCATAACTTTGGGAGTTTTTCTTTTGAGCAGCATAGATTGGTAATTGATGCTCCCTAAATACGAAGACCTCGGTCTAGACATTGACGCATTACAAATGACTGTTACCTATTCTGTGATTATTTACTGCTGAGTGTCTATATAGACAATGGACACAGAATGACAACACTTCTGTACTACAGTCTCCCACAAGAGATCAACAATTTCATAGGCTAGGACCGCTCTAGCGGAGAAGGTGTTAAAAAACACAAGTGACGGACGGACATATCACTTCTCGATATTTGAACCTGTGTTGGCTGCTGACAACCCCTTTCTTGTCTGTCTACAATCTCAGTACTCAAGCTATACAGAAATGCAAAATCAGGTGGGAATAATTTCGAATCATGTTCGTCCTTGGAAATCGGCCCTCAAGTCGTTTTATGACCGAACTCGCCTTTCTTCTTCGTCGTCACTTGCTTCACTGTAAAACCTCGATTTGGAAGACTGAATCTTGATTTTTGTCCCTTTCTTAAGAGATTCTAGCTTCCACATCAGCATATTTCTTCTCCATATATGTAAAGTCGTGAAGTGAAGTGAAGTTGAATATGCGGTAAGGGTTACCGAGAATAAGCGAGACTTCGAACGCAAAACCTGGAAGAGATGTAGATGTTGACTTCAGGATACAAATACTGGCCGTTCCCGATGCTAATATTTGTTTGTCGATTTCTATGCAGTATTAAAAGCCAAGTCAGTCATGTATTCATATATACGTACCTCGATGACGCACCTCTGTGCTGTGAAATGTTTCAAGGCGTACGGTGTCCCTAAAACTTCATTCGAACTTAGAAAGTTCTGTCACTAGATCATCACACGGTCGCATTGAAGATCAAGGTGACAAGCTTACGAAACCACGGGCGAAAATATTAACAGTGATGGTTCAAGCGATATCCTGATCCACATCAGTCAGACATTGCCTCAAGAACTTATCAGTGTGTACATACCACCAGCTACAGCATACTTCACCTCTCCCACCCTGGCTCCTTCATCGGTGGGCGACGTAACATTCCTCTCCCAGTGCCACCATACGCTGAATGAAAGTTTTCTGAGCGTCCTACTCGAGGATTTTACACGCGTTGCCGACGATCATCGCAGGAACTTAATGATTGCAGGCTTCCTCACTTGGAACGTCCCTGGACTAGAAAAACGCAAAGATGACCTCCAGTCTGAACTCCGGAGGCGCTGTCCACCTCTCCTATTCTCCGAAATTTGACAAAATCTACCTTGAACTAGACTACTTAAACGCCACCATGACAGCTGTTCTAGTTATCTCACTGCTCCTTCGCCAACCCCAGCTTGCTACAATAGGCGATAGAACAAATCTGCGCAATCACATCCAACACAACGCATGGAAGCAAGCATGAGAAGGTTTCCAAGCTTTGCTGGCTCACGTGAGAGCTTAGACCCTTGCCTTAAATGCCTACCTAGGTATCTAAGTAGGTAGGTACTTAGGTACCAAGATGCTTACTTGCAAATCAAAATGTGCTTGCTGAAATGCATTCCGCAAGGAACTACAGTACTCAAATTTTCACAAACCATCTTAACATGGGACCAACTTCAATTGGGATAACACTCAACCCAACAAACTCCATCCCAAACCACCCATCACCATCACCTCAACACCCGAAACTCAAAATCGACAATTAGCATCTTCCCTGCCGCCCATGCTTCGAATATGTCCATCTCATGGCTCTAAGTTTCAAGTAATAAGCTTCGGATCTGAAGCAGAAGTCAAATCCGAAACATGGCCAAGAAATACAGATGAAAGATGAGGAGTATCTCGGATAAAAGCCATTGAGGTAATGATGCAGATTCTTGAGAGTGGTGATGGTGATGACAGGCATAGAAAAAGAAAAGAAGATAAGGTAAGACGAGCACACCAGAACGAGAAGGTGGACTATAACACGTGACCGGGTTTGATATTCTGACCTACCTACCATGAAAAAATATCGAGGCAAATCAAACAGAAGAACACGAGGGATGAGCAATTGTAGAGATGAGTAGATACAAACAAGCAATGCAATGCCACCCCCTAGATACAATCAATAATACCATAGCTCCGACGCTGAAGGAACCAGGACAACAGAAAGATAGCAAAACCCCTCCATGAACCAAACATTCTCTAATAAACTCGCTATTCAAAACCGAATGCCAAAGCAAACTATACACACTCACAAACTCAACCAAAGTCCCCTACTCATCTCCGCCAGCCCTCCTCTCCCATCCCCTCTCCATCACCTACATCACTCACCCTCCACCTAAGGCTTCCGATAATACTCCCTCCTCCTTCCCCCATCCTCAACCACCACCCGTTCCCTCTCCACCACCCGCCCACTCATCCTCGGATTCGTCTGATACGTAATGCTCCGACTCCTCTTCCTCTCGATCCTCTCCTCGCCCACCACCTCCTTCCTGGGCGGCATCGGCGCCTCCACATACCGATACGTATCATACTCCTGACTCGCCCTCTCCACGGGCGGCAACCGCTCCCTCACCCTCTCGCGCTCAATATACACCTCTTCCCCACCTCTGCTGCCATGCCGACTCTTCCGCGACACCGAGACGCGGGAGCTCTTCGGTCCGCTCGAGCTACGGTCCTCTTCTACGGACACGAGTTCGATCGTGGGCTGCGGCGGAGGAGGCGGGGTTGATTTCTTCGAAGTCGGGGCAGGAGACGGGGCGCGAGGGGGAGTCGCGGGATGGATTATAGGGGAGGGGGATCGAGGGGGCGCGGGCACGTATTTGGGGGTGCGTTCGACGATTGTTTCGGTGACTCTGGTGCGGTGTTTGCGACCGTGACGACGGTTGGCGAAGACGACGTCGTCTTCCCATGCTGGTGCTGGAGAGAGTATCAGTATGGGTGTATAGAGAAAGGAGACAGGGAGGGAGGGAGGGAGGGAGAGACGTACATTTGCCGAATAGACACATGGTGGTATAAGATGAGAAGTCCTGCTCTGCCGGCTTCAACGTATACAAGCCTCGTCCAATATCCTTTCCTTTCTCTCCTGCTAGCTCGCTGGTCTTGTCGCAACGTCTACCAATCTGCCAAATCGCGGCCTCGATCAATTGCCCAAGCTCAATCAAACCCGTAAGGGTATCGCAAAACCTTTCAATCGAAAGCACCGCAATCAATCAGTCGTTCGTTCGTCGTCGAAAATAAACAGTAAAAAGTGACAACGCACGTCGCACCAGATACAGCAGTACGACACGATTCGCGCGATCGGAAACGCTTCCACTCACTCCCTCAGTCACTCACTTCACTCAGAGTCGCAGCAGCAGCAGCGGTGGTGGTCCCTTTCTATTGGGCTTTCCCGTTGGGCCGCACATGATGATGACGGCAGACCATCCTCGATCGCGAGTCGGCCGGACTGGGATTCCTTGGTGTTGTGAGTGAGGAATCAAGGCAAGTGCTGGGGGTGGGGCTGATTGGGCAGGAGAGAAGAGACTGCGGTGACTTTGGGTGGTGGAAGAAAAAAAAGATGGCAGCGGTGGGCTTGCAGAAGGTCGAGGCGAGGCGAGGCGTGGCGTGGCGGGGTTCAAGGGGCCAAGACGAATCCTGGTCCGCTGTCAGTCAGTCTGGTTTCTGGCATCTCGGGACGACGCTTGGTCCGAAGCTTCCATGAGCCGAGAAAAAAGGGGGCTGCTTAGCGAGGACACTTAGGGGGTGAAGATCTGCGATGAGGCGAGGATAGTGTGTATAATGGTACTTTACGAAGCATTTAGTACCGTACATCGCAACTAGCTGATCTGACACGAAGAGATATTCGGGATGGGAATAACATCTTGGGCAGAGCGTCGCTCACTGACCGCCCTGTGATCACCATTGAGGCGAGGATAGTGTGACTTAGTATAACCTCACCACTATAAAGTATTTGGTACCGGTAGTTGAAAACAGCTGATCTGACACAAAGGATGGGGATAACAATTTAGCCAAAGCATGGCTCACTAACCGCCCTGTGATCACCGCTGAGGCGGACGGTAGGGATAGGCCAGGTATAGCGAAGTGCTTATAGATCAATCGCAAAGAGTTCGAAATGGACTAATGGCCTTCTCTCGAACAGAATAGAGGTGTCAGAACTAGTATGAATGACAGGTTAAAGAAGCTGGTCTCCCGATCGTCTGGATTTACTGATCGGCGAGTGATCGAGAGTGGGGCATTTAGCGCTGTGAGAGAGTAACAAAAAAGAACATATATATATGAAAATAGTAAATAATTAATAACGCAAACCCATGACAATAATACTTGAGACTGGTGTCTCAAAACAAATGATGTAGGCGGCGCTGTGGGAGCACGAATGTTCGTGCTACTCTGTAAGAGTGATGGATGAAGGATTAATCTTAGGTACCTAGGTATTTCACTCCTCTCACACAATTTGGGTATCTTAATGTCTATCCATCACGCCGCATCTAATATTCCAATATCTCCATCTCAAACCATCACCGGATCTCAACATCAATCCTCGCAATGCCCGTCGATTCCTCCACAACATCTCTCATGTGCAATCTGTGACTTCGACGTGACCGCCATCCTCGTTGGCGGCTAAATGATTCGCCAATCTCATAAGTAACCTCTTCAGAGGATTCCTGCTCGACTAGTGCAGAGCTCTCTGGCAATGGGAAGTCCTCCATGAGCACATCTCCATCAGTATCATAGCGGATCATATGTTGACTCCACTCAATACGATGTCGTCGTTCGCATCGAGTGGTGACAACCGCAGAGGGACTGGTGGGAGTCGAAGTACCATCAAAAGACTGCTGTCGAAATGGAGATTCAGGAGCCAGGGCAGTTGGAGATGGTGGAAAGGCGTCGGCCATCTCAATGTCACCATCTCCATCGCTTTGACGGACTGTACCGTCTCGCTGAACCCATAATTCCTTGACCCCTTCGTGTCTCCCGTCATCGAGCTTCCATATGGTAGCTAATCCACCTTTGCTGAAAGCCCAAATAGACATCTGAGGTCCAGAGTCAATAGCTAAGTCGACCAATCCACTACAGGTCCCAATCTTCTGGCCTCTGATCTTGACAGGCCAGACGCTTCGTGGAAGGATGCCAGGGACTGGATCTTGTACATGATTAAGCCACTCTTGCAATCCATCATCGGGCCACCATTGGATCCAATCCGTATTCTTGGTTTCGCGACTCGAACTAGGTGAAAACCATGCCGGCGTCGAAGATCCCGGTTGCGTACCTTGATTGGCAGTAAAGACATCGTTTGGTACCGAGAAAAGCCAAATCGACTGCTCTGAGCTGCTGCCAAAACCTGCCACAACTCTCACCCCCCAGCTTAAGTCTGAACCAGCCGCGTATACAATAGGAGCTCGTGAGTCATCTGGTCCTTTGAACCAAATCTTACGCAGCAATTTTGTTGGACCTCCTACAGGGGCATCACTACCCAGACAGAGCAGTCCTGTAGCTGGGTCGGTGAATAGAATATGGTAACCGTCGCTCAGAGGAACTGCACGATAGTGATCTGAACAGTCCATTCTTCCCGTGAGTGAGCTCCTGCCCGTGTCTATTCTCAGTCTTGTCAAAATACCTTGAGCTGATGGAGCATCGTCTCCTTCAACGTAGTGGTTGGCTCCCCAGCCAAATCTTTCCCAAAAGGGACTGCTCCATGCCTGGGAGCCAAAAGATCTTTCGGAGATGGCAGGTCTCTCACTGGGGCGAGCAGCACTGCTGATCAATCTCAGCTTCTTTGCAGAATCAATCCTTTTTCTTGGTGGCAAAAAGAACAAGTAGTCACTCGGCGCGGTAAGCGGAAACCATCTGTTTAAATCTTGTCCTGTAAGTGCATCTACCCAATGAAGTTCAATGCCTGACGAGCAGCCAAAGGCTACGCAGCGTCTCTGAGGACAGATAGCCACCGAACGAGGAGGATCATCATCAGAACACAGGTTGCGATATAACGAACGCGGACCATCCTCTACGCGTAGGGCGTTACTGCTTGACTCTATAGCCTGAGGAGAAGCAGTGAACTCCTGTAACTGACCGTCACGGCCAACTACAAAAGCACGGGGAAGAGAAGCATGACGCGAGCTTGGTCCCGCCGTACGTGAAGACTCTGGCATGTCACCCCGGAAGACGTCTTGCCATTCTGATTCACGGTTAGGCGTAAATGAAGCTCCAGTGGTAGCTATACCTGGAAATACAAATGGCGGATCAGGAGATACACGATCTCCATGAGATGTTGAAGATGAGCTGTTAAGCGAGACTCGATCCAGAAAAGAGGTCCCCTGCATGCGTGCACCCTCAGAGAAATTCTGACCAGAAGTTCCAGATCCTGAGAGCGTCCTCATAGTGGTATTGCCAGCAGGCGTGCCAGCCTCAAAGCCAGTATGGCGTGTGATTGTTGTGATGTCGCAGACGAGACCCATCCGTCCGTCTAACAAGATGGCAATGGCGTACCGATGAGAGGATGTATCCATACTGCAGGCCAGGACCCGACGGGGACAAATGATACTCGTGACTGGAAGTAAATGACCAGACCGCTTCGGAAAATCTGGTCTATGGTGACGATTCAGTTCGTAAATATAGACCAAACATCCGTTCGCCGCCATCAAAAACCTACCACAAGTGCTGATGGTGAAAACCGTACCAGCGGAGTCGGGTCCTGGATAGTGTACGGCAACTTCTGTGAAATCAACTGAGCTTACATTCACAAATGCTAATGACTGTGTATCCTCTGTCTTCAGATTAGACATGCCATTTCCCAGCCAGTCTGGACCCAAAGCACATTCTCGTGAAAGTAGCTTACTCATAAGCCAGATTTCATTGTGTACCGTGCTAGACTCCGTAATGCGGTCGCCTGGAGAATCGCTTGTCAAGCTGCTTGAGAAGCCTCCTCGTCTGAGCATTGTTTCTAGCAGAGACTTATTCAAACTGTTGATGAACCAGGACCTGCAAGAATGTCTAGCAGAATTGAAGTCTACGGGTGATAGATTACTGAAGATTTGCTGCACAATCTCGGTTGGAAGGTGAAGAGCAAGTGGCACTACTGGCTGGTTTGGCGGACTGTTGACCTTAGTCATAGTGGATGCTGAAGACGATGAAGATGTTGTAGTCATCTGTTCGAGTTGACTCGCGTATGTAACGCGGCGGGACATACCAATTGGCGAGATAGTTGGTAGCGGAGCAGGATATTGAAGCTGACAGTCGTTCAAGACAGTCGTCAGCGCTCGAGCTGGACGATGAATATCCCTCTCACTCAACCTCCTGTCTGATATGGCCCACGTATTCGACTTCATTGGGCCGATGATATTTGCAGGGCAAGGTGAGTTGAGGACCTCGTCCACGGAGTTGGACAGTGGTATTTGTGGGCACGGCTCAAGCAGTGAGTCTTCCAAGACCGCACATGGATCAGCCGGATCTTCAAAAAAGGTGTTACTGCGACTCAATCCACGCTTCTCTATTGGTCTGGCGTCGATTCCGATTGCAGGATCTGCTCTCTGAGGTCTCGACTCAGCTCGTGCTAGAGGATTTGGAAATCTCGCTCCTCTTTCCATAGTCCTACCACGCTGGATTTTCTTGCCTCTCTCATTATCTTCGTGGTTGTAAAGAGTTCGCTTTGAGTGACAATCTGGGACACTTTCATCTTCGACATCGGCTATGAAAGGACGCTTGCGGCTTAGGAGCGGTGATACAGTAGACTCCTTTGCCTTTGGATCTTCATTGGTGATAGCTTTATCCGACACATCTGCATCCCCCGCGTTCATCCGGATCGACCCGTTATCATTAACACCTACTCCTGCAGTCAGAGACGTAACCAATGCCGGAAATGAAACCCGACCTTGATCGCCTAACCTGTAAGAGGAAGTCGCTTCACCATCCATAGACCCAATCTGACTCCTGGACGCAGCGGGCGCTAATGTCATGATATGTGTAGTCTCCGACTCGAAGATAGACGCCACCATGGCCGGACTCGTCGAGCGCGAGCAAGGCGCCGAATCGGATTCTGCGCCCGCGACGCCCCGCGAGAGGAAGATGTGAGACGACGTTTTGTCGGCGGCCCCTGGCAAGGTGGCCACGTCGCTGAAGAGCGTTGAGTGATAGGAAATGACTGTCATCTGCAAACGTGGCGAAAGATGGTTTCTGGAGAACTGAAGGTATTATAAGATTAGAACAATCTAAACATAAGAATAGCCTACAGCATCAATGGGTTGCTGTAGGTTGGAGGGACGGAATAGTGAGGGAGGAGACATGTAGTAACAGGAAGAGATCAGAACCGGGTGGGGATCTCCGGATATCATGTACATTTGGGGAAGGCCCCATGGGTATAAAAGAATTACAATGGTATATAATAGGAAAGAACGATCCAATGTCGCTACGCGCGGTTCGACCAAAACGCCCACCATGCCTCACCGACAATCTATATAACGACCACCAATATTTATACATTGGCGTCGCCGTTATCACGCCAAATGTGAGTATCGCCTAAGCTTAGAGAGCTTGCTGCACTCTCTTCACGATTTAAATCCGACTGGGAAGCATCGCCATTTGACTCGGAGGTCTTGTTGATCCAAACTTTCTCCAGACTAGACTGTGTTAGGAACATCGCACACTGCACCAGCATTGAAATTACTTACGGAAGAACCAAGCTTGGATTCACGAACCGCATCCCCTCTTCTCTTTGCTCGTCAACGGTGGTGCTGGCACGTCGAATGTAGCCTGGCGGTCGGTTGATCTCAATATCTTCTCCGGCTATGTTGACATCTGGGTTGTCCTCCCGCCGAATTGAACGGAGAGAAATGTATTTCATCAATGGTTCGTAAGTGCGTCCGAAGTAGTAGCTGTACCAGATTGTGAATGGCAATAGGGGAACAACTAAGATTGCTGGTGTGATGGCATGCTTCAGGGCAATTATGCCTGCCATGACGAGCTGGAACACACCGATACCAATCAAGAGGCGGTAACAAGTCATTGTCCAAGCGCCTCCAGTAGAATGTTGAGGATGGTCCATTGCATACAGTAATTGATACTTGTAGGTGTAGTAGCCAAAGATGAAATAGATCAACCCGAACAATAGGACGCTGTATCCTGCTGGGAGAATGCTGTATACAAGGCATAGCACCCAAACCAGGATGGCTGATGGCAAGTAGAAGCCGTACTTGAAAATCGGTGGCTGAACGAGCTCAGCGTAGTCACGAGGCGTTTTGGAACCCCAAAGCATGATGGGGTATAGTGATACGCTGCCGAATTCTAGCAGTCGGAAAGGTAACAAGCCAACACCTTGAAGAAGGATGAAATTAGTGTAAAAGTCTGCGAGCGTTTGGACGGATTCTGCTAGACGGAAAGCAAGACTGGTGGTGTCTTTGAACGAATCCTGCAAAACCGGCCAAAATCTACTCGCGGTTCCAAATGCTGTGAAGACAAGGAAGACATTGAAGAACGTGAAGAAGAAGTTCTTGGAGATCACAGAAAGCTCGACGTCTCCTTGCGAGATTGTACCTTGCATGTTTGCTAGGTAGTCGTAAAGAAATGGAACAGCAACGTTGAGCAATGAAACAACGATGGTAGGTAAACCAGTCTGAACCAGTGATTTGAGGATTTCGTGTTTGGCAAGAAAGTCGGCAGCTTGAGGCCAGACTTGCTGAATTGAGCATAGATCGAGGAGACCGGCAAGGGCGGCTACTGGGATAAGCCAAAAGATGGTGAGGACGAGGATGAAGATTGTGATAACCCATGACCGAATCATGCGACTCGAGCGAGGTAGGTATGTATTTTGCCAAACAATGTCGGAGGGTGCAGGAGCAAGCTTAGCCAGAAGCTGCATTGGTGAAGGATCTAAAAGGGCTTGCACGGCCATTTGGCATGCTGGAATAGAATCCATCGTAACGAATGCAAGAGCAGTTGGTTTATACTCCTTCTTTCTTGCGGCAGTGATCTTCTCATCAAGCTTCCGCAACTGTTCTTCGTAGTAATCTATCGCGTCGACTTTCCTGCTTTGCAGATTAAGAAAGCCATACCAGACCCTCGTCGACGGACGCGGCTGCTCATAGGTGGTGACGTGGTTACTTCCCAACAAAGTCTCTCCTTCGTCCGGAGTCGTTTCATCGTTGTCATCTCGATGGAGGATATGTCCGGCAGGCTCGTCAATCTTGCTCTTACTTTGTCCAAGATGCACTGTCCATGCTTCCTCGAGCCTTCTCAAAGTGTAAGCTCTTTTCTCTATCATTTCATCAAGGCGCTTCCAATTTCTGCAAATGGTCACGGTCTCCACCTTCCCAATTTCAAGCTTCTCCAGAAAGTCTTTGATGGCTTCCTCTGACCTTAATTCCAGGGGTATACCAGACAACTTGATAGTGCGATCTGTTATTGTCGACTGGCTGCCTAAGTAATCTTGCCGCACTTGAATGATGTGTCGAGTCTCATTGGTCAAGAAGTACAAAGTTAGACCGGTGAAAACATATGTAAAGACCAAATATGACCATAAGTAGCTGGTATCAGGGAGGTCTTTGTCTCCATCACTGCCTATAATTGCAATATCTCCGTTGTAATTGTACGTCCATGCCGACTTGCCCAAAGTTTCCAGAGAATATGAAGATGTAGTGTTTGGACGGGTAAAGTTCCAGTGTGGGAGTCCGTTGTAGTGTGCATTGATTGGAGCCATAATGGCGCATGTTAGGAGAAGCATCACGCCAAACAGCTTTATCGACATTTTGAAGAAGGCGAGGAACTAAGCTTCGTCAATATCCTGAATAGACCCTAGAACAGGAAGAGAACTTACTACATAGGCATCAAGACCTGCGGAAGCAAGAACCTGCTGCTCTGTAATCTTGTATAGCACGGGCATCCATCCGAAAAACGTATCAGGGAGGTCGGGGAGAGCATCTGCAACGTCTTTCTGCCGCTTGCGAGCAGCGTACAGGGTTTTCCATCTCGGTCGAAGAAACTATGGGTATCAGTATATGAACTAGATGCCTCGATATTGTAAACTAAAACTCACACAGAAGCCGAAGAAGGCAGATACGCCTAACGCAAGAGAGAGCACGAGCTGTACGACGATCCCGCCTTTCGACGTCGTCGGGGCCGTTGGGTCAACTTTGTTGCATTTCTTCGCGAGTGCGGAAACGAAGTCGTCCATATTGGCGATTGCCTATCTTCGTAGCTAAGTCGAGGAGGTCATGACAGTCCGTCGTCGTTGTTTTCGTCGATGTTCGTGATCTGCCTGGCCTTCGTACACAATGACGATTTTTAGCGAGGCCATGCATGAACCCCGGTCATCTTTGATGTTCGCACTTCACTTCTCTCTTTCCACACTCTCTTTCCACACAACACTTTCTAGTTATCTCGAGGAATCACGAATAATGACACTGATGTTCAAAAACGTCATATCAGAGCTTAAGTTTTCAGTTTTCATACCCCATTCACTATCTTTCTTTTCAATTTCTCACCAGTTCCATTTGAAGTTCAGACCAGAAGTCGCGATTTAGTGGCATTGGTACTTCTTTCCAAGACATACACCACAAGAACGCGTCCATGCTCCTCTATTAGTTGAAAAATCGGACCCTGGTACAGAGGATTGTCTCAATTGATCACGAAAGAACAGCTGGAATGGATTTTGTTCTCCTCCCAAGTACGGAGATACTTGCTAAGCCTGGAAAGCTGTTCCTAGAAGCACGTGTCAGAGCGGATGCCCGTGATGATCTCGACACTTCTACAGCTTCACAGGTACTGTTGTTGCTTTCTCGATGTATGTACAGTAAGCTAAATTTACTCACCAACAGTTGAAGGATGTGCTCGAGACGCACTTCAGCACTGGAGAGCATACTTTTGAGTTATTGGAGGACATCTTAGCCAACGACCGATGTAAGTGATTGATCTGACAATTCCCAACGTATACATGTACATGAACACCGCACTCGTTGACCCTGATATAGCCGCCGATCTTAGATTGGGTCATCATTTGCCACTGGTAAAGAAAACATTGCAATCACTCAAAGTGGTCGAGTACCTCGGACCAAGTGCTGAGGAATCTACCTTTTCCTCGAAGAATGTTCGAATCGAGGTCTATGTATATGGGTTATATGGCAATGCGAGATCTTTGGAGGAAGACCGTCATTTCCCTCAGGCAGAGCTGACGCCGATGCCACATATTAGGTTCGAAGGAATATGGGATGAGTACATTCTCTCGAGGGCAGCATATCATTCAAACCCTAACAGCTGACTTCTGCTAGGCTAGTATTCACTGATAATATCAAAGAAGACCTCCTCTGGATGATGATCAACATTCGTACGTCGTCAACATCGGCACTGATCCTCCTCCCCTTTCCATATCCGGCCTCCGACATGAATTTTTCTTCATTCTGACGCGACTTATTAGTTCGATTCTCTCTGCGGTCTTCGGACAATTCACGTGGCGAAGTGAACCCACTCATCCTGCTCCACGGCCCCCCTGGTACGGGCAAAACTAGTCTTTGCCAAGGACTCGCCCAAAAGATAGCAATCCGACTTCGATCGCAGTACGACCACACTACACTAGTTCAGATAAACACCGCTACGCTGCTCTCCAAATATTACAGTGAGAGTGCGAAACAAGTCGACGAGATCTTCACGAAGATAGCATGCCTGTGCCAAGAAGAACCAAACACCTTCACATGTGTACTTATTGATGAGATAGAAAGCATTGCAAGCTCTCGAGAGTTCAGTACAACGGGCGACGAATCACACGACTCACTGCGGGCTACAAATGCTCTTCTCACCGGTTAGTCAAAATCCAAACTTTAGTCCAGTGAGGGGAGTAGCTAACAGTCCAGGCCTGGACAAGACGAATCATTACCCCAACGTCATCTTTCTTTGCACCACTAATATGTTCACCGCTCTGGATGATGCATTCCTTGATAGATGTGGGCTGAAAAGAGAAGTCGCAATTCCGTCGCTTCCTTCGCAGTACCAAATCATCAGGAAAAGATTGCAGAAGCTCATCGACAGGGGGGTGATCCAGACTGATGAATCACTTCTTTCACATGAAGATGCAAGGCTGTGTGCAGAACTGGACTCGAGAAATACGCCTGCCAGACTTTTGGCTATAGCGCAGCTTATCAACTCATGCCCTGGAATGAGTGGACGATCATTGACCCAGCTTCCCGAGCGTGCTGTACTACAACACCTACGAGAGGATGAGTGCGACATGGATATGGCTTTGACCTTTATCGAGAGAGTGCTAAAATTGCCACAGCCAAAGGCCCAGGAAACGGAAAGCTATGTGAAAGTGGAGCAGACCGAAAAGAAACTTTCGTCAATCCCAGATCCGCAAGCTGAAAAGCACGAAAGAAAGAATGATATTCAGGTGGAACAGCATGGAACAGAGATCGAGATCCGGGGTATGAAGAGGACACTCAGGATGCTCTTCGAAGATGATCTGGACATTGAGGGTAGGTATCGCCCCATGTTACCCTGCATCTTTGTGAAGCCGAGACTATCCGTCTAGCTTGGAGCTGTTGGCTATTTGCAAAGAGAATGAAATAATGCTGACAGGGTCTAGTATTGCAGAGATGCATTGCAGAGGCGCGAAAGAGACCTGTGCAAGAGTAAAGGACGCGGATTCTGACAGGCCGATGCTACCAACTCCATGAGCAGAGAGGACATAAAACCAAATAGCTTCATTGATCGTGGTTGTGCAATAGCCATTCATCCACCACCATTGGCACAACTGACTAAATATAGCAACACCATAGCATGCTGTGGCTACATCGGCTTTCCTCTCTAAGATCAACGTGCTTGGAAATGCGGGAAGCTTTGCCGGATAAGAAATGTACTCTCTATTGCTTCAACAACAGGTGATTGTGGAGAAGCTTCCCCACAAAGGCTTTTGCTCGGCATGTCAGGACTTACAGTTTTTGACCAAATAAGTCGGGCACCAAACCGTTTCATGCCACGATCACGCAACTCTGTTCGCGTGATTTTTCATGCCAAGATCGTGTCGCACTGCATTTCCTTCTTTCCAATCTGTTGTTTTGCTTCCACTCTTATCGGAGACATGCCATGTGGACTTCAACCGCCGAGAGATTCAGGATAGAACACAACCACGACAGCACCCAGCGGAATGGCAGGTGTGTGGAGAGAGCTATGAACGGGCCGTCACTCACATAAGTGAGATGTGATGAGATGATGCCCAACGCGGATGTGGCTCCGTTGATAGATGAATATGACAAGCTCTTTAACGCCGTCACTTTCTCTCCCTCTCGTTATTGTTTCACCGAAGGAGCGGATGCAAGTGGTCCAACACCCTGCCAATGCTGCCGGAGACCCGTTCGTATGCAATGAATTCATCCATTCATCAATTTCCCTCGGGATAAGTCGGCTTTGAGCCTCGGCCTTGTCTGAATCTTTGTGCAACCCTCTCAGTCGATGCCACAACTGTTCGCCGGACTTGAGACTGCGCCAGAAGTTGCCAGATGGTTGAAGATGCTGCATCCAGTCAACTCTACACGCGTCTGTGGCTTACCGCTGAGTGGCCCGGCTATGCGTGACGGGCAGTTGGGCCTCCGTCGCGTCAAGCTCCGGCTGCATTGGGGGGGAAGACCAGCGATCGGGGAGAAGAAAATAGTTCTGGATTCAACGCTGCACGAATCCCTGCCAAAGCGGTCAAAGTGTGGCTGGTGAGGTGTGTGCTTCGAGGGGAAAGGAAGAGGCGAAGAAAGGTTGCAGTGTTCTGCAGAGGCCTGGAATCTGGATAAGAGAGAGGCCGAGAAACCTTACCATGTCCCCCCAGAAAGGTTAATAACCTGACAAGATTAATTCGCTCAATTAGACACAAACGGTTGAGCGATATATGCAACTGGATGAAGCAGTCAAAGCCAAAAAGAGGCTTTGGGCATCAGATAATCTGGTCTTTTGCCCTGCTTTTTTTCTTCTGGCCCTGTAGAATACGCCGGTTCTTCCCGATGGGCAAGGTCGCATCTTTGGAAAAGTCACCGAATTGATGATGTTTGGAGACGGTTGGCCCCTATTATTTCTGTGACGATTTTGCGACAGCTGCAGGGCTCTGCTTGCTTGTTCTATGGGGGCAGTTTTGGAGGCGGCTCTTACTGTAGATTTCTTAGCCAGTCGTTAGCTAACAAGTCAGATCTTCTACCCGCACTCTAAAGTCTCTAAGTACAGTTTAGCCCCTGAAGATCCACGCTTGCTGCCCACATTGCCAACTAAGATGTGCTGTAAAGTCCTTAGGTAGGTAAGAAGTGCAGTACGCAGCAGTGTGTGATCTCTAGGCTATTGTAGCGTCGGGACGGGGCCAGGCTGATGGTCCTGCAAGGCCACCCTCAAGCCCTCCAGCTTTCTCAGCCAGGATCGTCGCATTCTGCCGGCTGCGGTTTGACCAACCCAACCTTGGAAACCTGCATCCAAATCCTGGCACAGTGAACACATTCCTGGCTTGGCTTTGGCACCACCACCACCACCAGCATGCAGCTGCGGGATCCACAGGTGCAGACCCAAAAATCACTTGCATGTGCCTGACGTATGGAAAAAATATTATCTAGAAGATGCGACGACAGACAGACACGGAGGCCAGCCAGCATTGTTGTTATTGTTACCTCACATCTGATTCTTGGACTCCCTTCCCATCCCATCTCATCACCATCACGCAAACTCGCACAGCAGATGACTCTTGAGTGTAACCGAAACCTTCGTCATTCAAGCTTGTTCATATATCTGTGATACCTCCCACGATCGCTATCGCTCCAGCTCCAGCTCGACTTCCATTTGCCTCAAAACCCAGAACTGTTCTCCTTTCAGATCAGATCAGATCCGATTCTCAGGTCGCAGAATCTCGAAACTAGAAGATCGTCATTTCGAGAAGCTTCTTTCGTCAGTTCCCTATTGTTGTCATCGCCGCCAGCCGGTCGGCGAGACATTTGACGTCGGCCTCGTCTTACCCAGAAACCTTCCGGCAATATTTGAACACAGCATCAGCCCACCACTGCACCATCTCTCCTTGCGCCAGAGACAGAACCGAGCCTGCATCCTTCCTTCCTTCCTTCCTCCCTAAACTTCCTACCTTGTTCTACAAAGCTCATGATTGCGCAATTTCGATCTTTCAACATCGTTTCTCCTTCCGTTCTCTTCATACTGCGAGTCGCTCCTAAGTCCTACAACAAACCTTTACAATGACAGTCTTTGTGGTTTCACTGTAAGTAACTCGAGCACCACTTCTCTACAATTTTCTCTCATCCAGAAAACCTTTCTTTCCTTCTGTCAGACTTTTTCGATTGTTGTGCAACATTGCAGAGCTCATGGCAGATTTTGGGGTGCTTGCCAAAACATGTGCCAGCTGGCAAGGTTCCACAACCTCAAGTTGCTCTTGTACAACCAGCACAATTGTTATGCAAAAGTCACTAATGGAAAACGATACACAGGTTCCTACCCCACACTATCAACTTCACTCTCCCTAATTCGAACTCTCCTCGTGGCCGTCCTGCCATTCCAAGACGATCAACCACCAAGTCCACTACCCGAATTGACACATCTACCAAGCAGCCAAGTCTTTTCGACCCCCAGATTACCCCACCTCAGACACCAATCGCAGATATTGTCGACCATGATGAGTTCTTTGCCCAGAACGAGAATATTGAGCGAGGGTTGAACCACTTCCCCAAGCAAGAAGGCCCTCGATCTACAATAGCTCCCAGCGATCCGCACTCTCCAGCATGGGGTGCCGGTCGAGTCTTCACCCAACCTCGATCAAGAGCTAGCTCTCCTCCTCCCGCAGACATATTGAAGCACAATAAGACTGTGGAGAAGGCGAAGGCCCTTGGTAGAGCAGGTGTGCGACAACCCCAATTGGACAGAAGTGACAGCCATGATCGTGTGTTTGCCCATGCTGACTGGACTGTTGTACCAGCAGACCAAGGCAATGGTGGACTCCGGAATGCTGTCCAAGCTGCGGTTCGAAACGGGAAGCTGAATGACAAGATCTGGGTCGGAACTTTGGGAATGCCCACTGATGCCCTTGGGGATAGTCAACAGAAGCAAGATATCGAGGACAAATTGGCGACTGAGCACGACTCGTTGACGGTGTTCTGCAAAGACAGTGATTTTGATGGACACTACACTCATTATTGCAAGCAGATTCTCTGGCCTGTCTTTCATTATCAAATTCCTGACAACCCGAAGAGCAAAGCTTACGAAGATCACTCATGGATCTACTATGTCAAGGTCAACCAGGCCTTCGCAGACAAGATTGTGAAGAACTGGAAACGCGGCGATGTCATCTGGGTTCATGACTATCATCTACTTCTTGTGCCAGCTATGGTTCGAAAGAAGCTTCCAGATGCTAAGATTGGATTTTTCCTCCATGTTGCATTTCCCTCGTCCGAGGTTTTCCGCTGCTTGGCTGTGCGAAAGGAACTCTTGGAAGGTATGCTCGGTGCCAACTTGATCGGATTCCAGATCCACGAGTATTCTCGCCACTTTCTTCAAACATGCAGCAGGCTGCTTTGTGTGGAGGCTACCAACGATGGTGTTCAGCTCGACGATCGATTCGTTGATGTCGTCAATCTAGCCATTGGCATCGATCCTGTGGCGTTGGATCTGAATCGTGATGACCCGAATGTTGGGGAATGGATGGCCACCATGCAGGAACGATATCGTGGGAAGAAGCTTATTGTTGCACGAGATAAATTGGACCACGTGAGAGGCGTGCGACAAAAGCTGCTTGCATATGAGTTGTTCTTGAACAAGTATCCCGAATGGCGAGATCGGGTTGTGCTTATCCAGGTCGCGACATCTACGACCGAGCAGGCTGAGCTTGATGCGACCGTCTCGGACATTGTCACGAGAGTCAACTCCTCTTGGGCAAATTTGGCTTATCAGCCTCTTGTTTATCTCAAGCAAGATATCAGCTATCCTCAATATCTTGCACTACTTACGGTCGCCGATGCTCTCATGATCACCAGTCAACGAGAGGGGATGAATTTAACCTCTCATGAGTACCTTTTCTGTCAAGATGGCAAATTTGAGGGCCACAACAAAAATGGTGCTCTTATTTTGAGCGAGTTCACTGGTAGTTCATCTGTCTTTGGTGGCAATGAGCTCTCAGTCAACCCTTGGGATTACAGACAATGTGCCGAGGCGATCAAGGATGCTCTTGAGATGGATGATGCTGAGAAGAAGATGAGATGGGACAACCTTTATGCTGCAATCATGCACCACACCGCTGAGCATTGGTTCACTGCATTCCTAACGAGACTTGACAAAGTCTACGCTGAGCAGCATCGACGTAATACTGTCTCAGTTCCTCGACTATCGATCAACATGCTTGGCAGGCAATATCAGCAATCTGAGAGAAGACTGTTCATTTTGGATTATGAGGGTACTCTCGCTTCGTGGGGTTCTCCCAACGATATCATTCTTACCAGTCCTCAAGTAAGTCATGACTCAGGACTAGACATCGCCATATACTGACAACAATAGCGAACTCTTGATGTTCTGAACGATGTCCTTCAAGATGAGCGCAATACTGTTTACGTGATGTCTGGTCGACAACCCGAAGAGCTTGACCGTCTTTTCAAGCGAGTTCCAAACCTTGGACTTATTGCTGAGAATGGTTGTTTCCTGAAAGAGTTTGGCTCCAACAAATGGGTCGAGATGGCTGATCCGGTCAAGATGCGTGAATGGAAAGAGTCTGTTGAAGGTATCATGCATTACTACCAAGAAAGAACTCCTGGGTCATGGATTGAGCCTAGACATTGCAGCCTCATTTTCCACTACAAGAGCTGTGAGGATCAAGAGGGTGCCAGTCGACAGGCTGGTGATTGTGCAAGCCACATCAACGATGCTTGTGAGGAGCAAAGAGTTCGGGCCATACCCATTGAAGGTATGTTTTAATACCCATCTTAATACTCCGTTACTAACGAGTCCAGGTGCTGTCATCGTGGAACCAATCGACTGGTCTAAAGGAACCGCTGCCATGACCATATTTGAAGGTCTAAAGCGTGACATGGCACCAAATGTCGGTCATGACTCGCCTGTCGATTTCCTCATGGTTGCTGGTGATGGCCGTGATGACGAAGTCATTTTCAGATGGGCCAACGACCTTGAACGTGATGGGATAGTCAAGAATGTCACGACTGTCAGTCTTGGAATGCGTAACACTGAAGCAGGCTGTACCCTCACGCAAGGAGTTACTGGTAAACAATTTACTTACTGTTTCCATCACATGACTAATGAATTCCAGGTGTTTTGACGGTCCTTCAAAAGCTCGCGATGCTCTCTTAACACTACATCGCCTATTTATTTCCACGCTTGGTTCTTCAGCGCTCCTTGAGCAGGTTCCTTTGACGCTGTCGTTTTTGTGATATGGGTGTTACGTCTGGGCTACGCTGCTGGTCTGTTGAAGCTGGACAGAAATGACAAATTAGCTAGCTGCTACCAGTAGTCTTGATGGTTTTCTTTTGCAGTGCGGCGATGAGATTAAACGAGGAATGAGCATTAGCATGGCGTTTTTGAATTGAGGGACGGAGACGAGCGATCGTCAGCATACGCGGTACGTGGGCCTTGAAGATAGGGTCCTTTTCTTATGATGCAACATGGAGGAATGGATGGATGGAATGGAATGGCATTGGACGTTCACTTGTATGATCACGAAAGGAGGAAATATTAGACCAGAACGCGTGCCAACGTGCCGTACACGAGGAAAGAGATTCTTTTGTTGTATTAACCTAGAATGAGGTGCTGAGTAATAGATAAACTCAGCTCTGTATACATATATTGTCGTTATTACCCGTAATTCCGTGAATCATTAGCTTTTCTTTCATATTTCATATTTATATATTCTATGTATTTTCGTCATTTTATTTCTTTATATTAAAATGAACTTACACCCCAGATCCACTATATTCACACCCACACATTCTTCCTGATGCGGTTAGTCCCGACGTCATGTTTCGGGGCGGGAGCCGAGCCGCCAATCGTTCCCCGCGTTTTGGTGAGGGTGGAAACTTGTTTGCAACCTTGACTTTTTTTTTCGGAGAAGGAAGGTGAGATGATGAACGCCCAGCGGCGGAAGAGGAAGGAGGCTGAGTAAAGAGATGAGATGGGATGAACGGGGGTGTGAATGGTAGGTGGATAAAGTTTCTTTGTTTCGTGGTCGAGCGAGCGCGTTTATCTTCATTCAATGTTCACTCACCTCGAGTCTGCTATTGTCCTTCTTACTGTTGGAGATTCTCAATCACTTCTCGAGTCTTCTCACATTCTATTATCCGTCCTCTGTTGGCGTTCCAAGCTTCCCTTCGAATTCCAGCAACAATGCTCTTCCTCCTCCCCCTCCTCTCTCTATGCTCAGCCGCGACAATAACCTCAACAATCACCACACCAGCAGCAACATCAACCCCGCTCTCCTTCTCCTCAAACACAACCTTCGAAACCAGCATCCTCACCGCCCACAATTTCTACCGCATCGAACACAACGCCAGTGCCCTAACCTGGAACTCCTCCCTCTCCCTTTACGCAGCTTCCTACGCCTCCCATTGCGCCTTCAAACACTCCGGCGGCCCTTCCGGCGAGAACCTCGCTGCGGGATATAGCAACGCGACGGCGTCTGTGGATGCGTGGGGGCTGGAGAGGGAGAGCTATGATTGGAAGAAGCCCGGGTTTAGTGAGGCGACGGGGCACTTTACGCAGGTTGTTTGGGCGGACAGTGTGAGTGTGGGGTGTGGGAGGGCGAGTTGTCAGGGGGAGGGTGGTATGTTGCTTCTCTTACTGTTTCTTCCCTCTTGGTTTTTAGGCGGGGATTGGTTGGGGGATATATGTGCTAATGATGGGATAGGGACCCCGGGGTGGTATGTCGTTTGTGAGTATTGGCCTGCGGGGAATGTGGTGGGGGATAATAATCAGTTTTTTGTGGAGAATGTGAGGAGGCAGATCAAGGGGCATTTGAGCGATACGGTGGAGAGTGGGGTTACGAGTTGGGGGGTGAGGGAGAGAGAGTTGTGTGGGTGGAGTTGCGGGGTGGGTGTTTTGGCGGTGGTTTTAGGTGTGATTTTGTTGTGATGGGAGGTGGAGGTGATGTGTGAGTTATGATACCCTGATTTAGCGGTTATGTATAAATGTACCGTACGAGCTATGGTTGAAGAATCGATCTTTCGAGGCCGAAGAGCATGCAAACTTTAACGCTGCAAGAGTGGCTTCCCAAGTGGTACGAGATATGTCCTTTGTCTTTGGTCTGCATCTTTTCATTTACAACTTTTCGTCCCTACCACATAGCTTGCTCTGCGGGAAGTGGTCAAGCAAGCTCTACTCAATCAGACTTTGGGCCTAGTATTTCGATTAGCGAGAAGAAAAGAAGCTCGAGAGTTGAGGCTGAAATACATTGGGGCTTCTAAGCAGTCCCTCTTTGTTGGGGCTAAAGCCGTCTCATCTCGTCCAGCTCGAGTGTGAATAAGCGAGAGTCACTTGACAGATAAAAATCTTTCACTATACCAAAAATCATATTGCAGCATGCTTTACATACTATGAGCATGCTTCCAAATTCCTATCTAACTTGAAAATGATCAGTAATAATACGCTTGGAATATCTTGAGTGTTAAAATGGCATTTTGGTGCACGGATGGGAAACTGGTCTTTGACCTTATAATGGAAAGTTCGCCTCCCTCCCCCCCAAAAAAGACAAGCGAAGCAAAAACTCAGACCTAACCACCGAAGTGGGTAGGTCGTAGAAAACTTGCTCGGTGTCGGTTGCAGTTTTTAAAGTCGCGGTTTGTTCGTTCGTATGCGGGCCAGGCGATTTTATCCCTATTCCTCCTCTTAGCATCACAATTGTCCTGAAATGGCTGTCTAACCATTATGCCATGTGAGCTTATGACTAGAACTTGCTTATTTAACTCTATAAGGGTAGTAGGTAGGGGTAATTGGTAGTTGGGTGGGGGACGAGAAATTCTTGGGGCTTTGGTGGGTTGAGGAGGGATTTTATTCTATTTTTTGGTTCACGGCATGAATTTATTTCGTGAAGCAGTCTTAGTTTGTTAATTTGAAGTCATAAAAAGTACGTTGGAGCACTGATATATCATTATTCATGCTTATCTGTGAGTCAATACACCTTGATATTCGAACGCTTTCGTCACAAGCTCGCTTATCTAGTTCGGAAGTTTGTTTACATTTCCTTCCACCAACAGTCACTCATTTCACGACGACTTACAGCTAAAGAGGCTGGATAGTGAGAATGGTCAAAGAAAATCTTGACGAAGTGGTTACCTCGTGGTTAGATGTTACCAACGATTCCGAGCAATGTGACGCCGTGGATGAAAGACTAGCAAAGAGAAGAAGGCTCGAAAAGGGTGTTTCGTGGTTTGTTGAGTACGTGATACCCCTTTCGTCCTGTTTCACCCATTCATACTTACAATTAGTAGTGATTCGCTGGGTATAATGTTCTTCACCTTTGGCAAGCGGCCAAATCAAAAGCTGTTCCCCGTCCACACCGAAGTCGCCTGCCGCTACTCATCCGTCATCACCTTCTATATTGACCGGACTGGATTGACCCGCTATCCGTTATTCACTAAAAGCGAAGACGCCGCCAGACTCCTGATGAAATGGCTATACTCGCAAAAGCTGGAAGTCCTCCAACTGGAAGACGACTGGGAGAAGATCCAAGCTCATGCCACGCCAAATGCCGCTAAAGAGGAGGACGCCGCGCTGGTTGAGCTTTGGGTGTTGGCCGATAAACTGGACATCGGGGCTTTGCAGAACCAAGTCATCAAAGCCATCGACGATGTTTACAAAGACTTCGAATACGTCTTCCCAGAAACCATCGCCGTGGTCTACAAAATCACTTCTGGTCCATGCGAGCTCCGAAAACTCTTCGTTAGGATTACCGCCAATGATTTCGAGCGTGATAATTTCATAAAAGAAGAGAAGAGCTATCCTCGAGAGTTTCTTCGTGACCTGGTTCTTCTTGGTTTCGGAAGACTCGGAGATAACCAGTTCATATATCAAGATCCTGATGCTTTTTATGTATATGACACTGAGGTGGATGGTACTGAAGATAGTGAGGGTGAAAGTGGGGAGGAATGTGATGATTGGAGCGACGGTAAAGAGAATGTGGTGGAAGTGGTTCCTGAGATGCCGAGTAGTACGAGGAAGGTCGTCCACGGGCTAGGTTTGTTGCTCAATGTTTGAGATGAATGATCCATGAGCAAAGAATGGAGATGGCAAAGAAAAGGACATTGGAACAGTTTTGGGAGAGATTGGCTCCTATGATTGTCCAGAATGCACTTGTCTTGCGCAGCACAGAATATTCTTCCCAATGAATGTATCAATACCCATTACCAATTGTCTTTGGTTGGGAATACTGACACGGTCCACCTTTGTTTTCATGGTCTTCCAGCGCACCAAGTGCTGCTTAGATACGAAGTTCGTTTCTTCGACTTTCTTACAGAAGTCATCTCTCCAAGGTTGAGGAACGATCTAGCCTCAAGTTCTTCCTGGTGATATCTAGGCATTCCTTCTTTTGTTTTAGACAATCTGCGTATACTAAAGCGAACGAGATTTGACATAAATCAGTCAATCCATTTCATTCTTCAACGGAGGAATTCGATCTCAACAATAATGTCCTCCGACTCCGACCTCAGGCTGAAGGATCAGATTACCAGCCGCCCTAAAAAGTACAGGCTGAGTAAGAAGAAGTTGCGGTTTTCGATTGCTGATTGGCAAGTGTTTCTGCCGTTCGCGGGGTTTCACTTCTATTAATACGAAAGTCTAGGGCGAAATTACTCCTAGTCTATGACGCAGGTGAGCACATTGGGAGGAAGTAAGTCCTGTGGATGGGTACACAAGGAGGCGTTGTTCCACTACTCGAAGGTTATCGAGCAAGCCGTGCGACAGAGCGGACTAGATTACTACAAGTTTCCAAAATCGAGCGAGGCGGCCATCAAGCTCCTTGTGGATTGGATTTATCCTCAAAAACTTGTAATCGAGTACCTCGAGGAAGACTCCGATATCTCGAACCTTGAAGATACGTATTCTTCACTGGTCGATCTATGGGTACTAGCCCAGAAGCTGGACATCCGGCCTCTATAGAACCTGGCAGTAAGAGCTATCCAATGACGTCCACAAAAAGTCCAATGTTGTCCCGGTCAGCCACATTCAAAAAGTGTACAAAGCAACCTTTGACGCCGCTGAATTTCGGGGACTTTTTGTTGCTCTGTGTGCATTCAACCACTTTCCAGGAATATTCTCTGGAACAAACAACTTTCCAGGAGACTTCGTCTCGGATGTGATTACCTTTTCTCGGCAGAAGCAGACGAGCGGGTGCACATACAAAGTCACGGATTATTGCATCGAAGAATATGATTCGGAGGATGACAGCCTGAATTTGGAGGAAATGAACATAACATGAAGAGAGAAATTGTATGAAGGACATGTCTTCCCAAGCTAGTCTAACAAGAATGGATTTAATTCCGGTGCCTCGGAAAACTTAGGTTGCACCAAGATGCTGAAGAAATACATAAACCTCTCTGAAGTTTCACTCTGAACAATGTGACTTCACGGATACGTTTCTGACCAAGAATTGCTCTCTCGCTTCAACCACCAAGTAAAAGTGACTCCTTGCTTGTATCGTGCATTTCCTTCCGTCTTTGGTGTTATTGAACAATGCGACATAGCTTAAAGTTGTTCAGTTTCAAGTTTTATCTTCTACATCCAGATCTCAGCGATCAATTTCGAATTCTCTTTTTGCTTAAGGTCTTCGACTCGCTAGAGGTGCGAGGCTATTCAATGACAAGCTCTACTTCCTAATTGTCTCTTTCCAGTGTCTTCATCACAACACCACGGAGATCTTGCGCAACCGATACCCAGGAGCTGGTGGACCTTTACAAAGACACCTACTCGATCTTTGATATCGGTCGAAAATGGCATCCTCCCACGCGTTAAAGAACTCTCGCGTCTCCATCAAGTCTGAAGCCAAAGACGAGTCGGCGAAGTTCGTCGATCTTCGTGAGGCTGATGTCGAGCCTCCCAAAAAGAAGCACAAGATGGGTGTTGAATCATTCTCGTAAGTTATTGAGATAAAGCCCGAGATTTGCTCTCAATCGCTAACCTTTGCTTAAGCAATGCCGATTCTCTGATGGCCTTCAGCGTCGGCGAAGGAGACTACGAAAAGAGATACATTGTTCGCAAGAGGGATGCCCGCAAGTCACCTGTCATTAAGGCTATCCTTAAGGATCGGGATTCTGAAGGTTGGATTACACATCATTTCGAAGAGACTACCGATGATGCCGTCAAGTTCCTCATTCAATGGCTTGACTCACAAAAGCTTGATGCCATTCAACTCCGCAATGATGATACTGATGATGGTGGCGGAAACGACGATATCTTCGCCAGAGAAGACGATGCCTTATTCGACTTATGGATTCTAGCTGCCAAGCTAGGACTACCCGAACTTCAAAACGTCGCACTCAAGACCGTTGATGCAATTATTAGGAAAGGAAACCCTCTCCGATGGCATAACGTTCCCATTAGCTGCATCAAACGCTTGTATTCAGACGAGTCTGGCACATTGCTCCTCAGGGGTTACATGGTTGCAGCCTGTGCAGAATTCGTCGATTTCGGAAATTATCAGCACGACCCTTTCGAGTTTCCACACCAGTTTATGATGGATCTGGCAGCTTTCTGGTCCAAGACATCTCGTGCAAAACTTTGCAAAGTCGCTGACTTCTATGTCAAATCAAACTAAGGTGAACACATCTAAAGACTCTCGATACAGGTGCATAAGGCATTATTCTGATAACTGGCGCCGTGGCTGACAGGTGAACAAAGAGAAAATCCAATTATTCCATTAGCCCCGTATTCTATATGGTCTCTTGAGGTTGGACTAAGAAGAGCATGGAGGAGGAACAGCCTTCACCTTAGCATACTGAGCTCATATCTGCCTGACTTTCACACACATACTGCGATTAGAAAATTAAAGTGTTGCACGCCTCCATGATCATGACATGTATATATAGAATCTTCTGAACGTGTTACTATTATGCGACTGGCGTTCGTTATCTTCGCTCCCGGACTTGCGTTCACCTTCCTAACTGATTTTCTGAAAGAATTTGGGACAACTTCGAATTTTGGTAGCTCGCTTTCGCTCCCCCGCCTTCCGTTTTCAACCTTGTTGCGAACAAAACAAGCCACTTCTTCTTCTGCGACACTTCAATGAAACATAACCTCGAGATCTAGTAGAGGCTCGTTTTGGATCTCCTTCCTCCCCATCTCGTGACGAACAAACCAAGCCGCTTCTTCTTCTACGACGCTTCATCACAACACAACGAAGAGCTGTGAACGGCAGATATGGAGGAACCAGCTAATCAATCATCGCAAGATGATAGACCTCAAAAGTAGCAAAAGTTGGAAGCCCCTCACTTTAAGTAAGTTTGATCTTCGAAGTTATGGGTTGATCTAATATGATTGTGAAATACAGTGATGCCACATCGCTCGTTGCACTGAGATGCGACTTTGGATTTAATCCAAAAAAGTTTTCTGTGCACAAGGAAACCATTTCGCTATATTCACCTGTGCTTGCTAAGTTCTTCGAAGACGGTTCTATCCCGAAAACCTACGTATTGAACACTGGTGAGGGAGCTGCCACGCGTTTGGTGCAGTGGCTCTACTCTCAGAAGCTCATCATACATCAATTACACAAGTACTGCAGTGAGCATTGCGCAGCTCACAGGCATAAGGAAGATCGCGATCTAGTGGAGTTATGGGACTTAGCAGAACGCTTGGAGATCTCTCCTCTTCAGAATCTGGTCATCGACAGCATGGAGCAAATTGCACAACACTGCGGCTGTCCACCATGGACCTGCATCCTAAGAGCATACCAGATCACCACGAAGGACAGCAAACTTCAGAAGTACCTTGTCGCGCTTTGTTCCAACACATTCAGCCGCGACAAACCAGAAGACTATAAGGGTATTCCGCCAGCATTCTACAGAGATTTGGCTGTTTATGCATGTGGAAAGCTCAAGCTGCTCAACGAGAGCGAGAAGGCTTACGATCTGGAGAATGTTTACTGTGATGCTGAGAAAGAGCTATAACTTCTCATCTGGACAAGTAACATACATCGGTAAGTTGCCCTGATCCATCATACTGGACTCTACTGATTGTAAAACAGGTTGGCTCTGACACCATGCCTCGGTTGAGGAGGGATGCGAAAAGAAATGGTCCGAAAACTAGCAGTAGCAAAGGTAACGGGTAAACAGTTGTTCTTCGAGTAGCAAAGAAGTCACAAATAAATCATGAACTCCTACATCTTACTTCGAACCTGCTTGAATTGTGGAGTTGTGATTAACTTGAGATGCCACTTTGCGAGACACAATTACATGCATGTTCAAGTCATCGGACGTGCTCAGGATAGCTGTTTTCTTGTGACTTTACTTGACCTTGGAGTTGTACTTTATTTGGGAATCGGGATTTCTTCTGATTTTTCCAGGCAGACCCTCCTTCGCCGGACGCGCGTGACTTGAGAAGGTCTGCCCGAAGCTAATTTGCTCTCAAAGTTTATTGTAGGATGAGTAAGCTAGTGATTCGAACTTACTAGATCATTTGGATTCACCTTTTTGGTGTTCATCCCGAAAACAGAAGAGCGCTTCCCAAACATTTCTTAGCGTGTCAAGATCTTGTGCAACCGAATTGTCTCCAGCTGCACCGCTCCACAACTACATATCATTTGCCTTGCAAAACATTCCGCTCGCAATACTTCAACGATACAAACCTCGTCGAAGCCTCAATCTTGCAGCCAATCAACATGTCGTCGGCACCAAATAGACCTACCGAAAGCTTCAGTCGCCCTTCTGCAAGAGAGAATAGAAACAAGCCAAGAGATATTCCGGAGATCAAGTAAGTATCCTCTGGCACTCTCTTTCAACAACGAAAATGTTGCGACAACGAAACGGAGATGAATGGCATCCGCCCTTCTTTGGGTTTTGAGACATGATGTTTGATGTTTTTAGCGACTAGGTCTCATATATCAAAATTGAGAACCTCTGCGGAGGAGCCCAAGGATTTATGCACTCGAAGCTTAATTAGGAATAAAGAAGCTAACAGATACCATTACAGGAATCCTTCGGATCTTGCTACCTTCGTCGTTGGAAGAGTGAAGAAGCACTTCCAGATCCACAAAGACGTTTTATACCACCACTCTCCAACCTCCAGGGCTGCTTTGAATAGCCCGTTCAACGACAAACAATCCCAAACCTGCCAGCTACCAGACGTCACCGAACGGGCTTTCAAGCACTTATTCGATTGGTTGTACTTCCAAGACATCAAAATCCATCAACTCGAAGACGAATTTTATTCGGATTGGACCCAAGAGGGAAAGAAGAACACCACCTTTGAAGAGAACATGGCTTTGGCTGAATCATGGCTTTTGGGAGAGAAGTTCGGCTTCATCGAATTCCAGAACCTTGTTCTCACCAAGATCCATAATATCACGAACAAATGTCACACATTTCCCAGCGAACTTTTGCAGTACGCGTTCGAGCATACGGGCCCTGAGAATCAGCTGCGGAAGTATATGGTAGCATTATGTAGCATGGGAATCAGCCCAGATTACTTGTCGGTTCATGGGGAAAAGTTCCCCCCGGAATTCTTCCAGGAGATGGCAGTGTTCATGGCCAGGTTTAGGGACAAAGTGGAGGATGGCTCTTATCACTGGAACGAAGACCTGAAAGTGAAAGTCTCCGACTACTTCGTCAGAACAGACGTGGTAGTAAGGTCGCAAATTATTGATGTTGACAGTATTCGGTAAGTTCTCCTACTGGGTACTGTATAAACCCTTGGATCAAGCGTAGTCTGACAAAGGGGGAGCTTTTAGCAGGATACCAAGGATGAGCCGGGGTTCGTTTGACGAGGAAAGAGACTGAAGCTTTCGTGGATTGGGATTGATCACGAAGTGCTTGAAGAGTGGTATTCAGAAAAAATTTCTTTTCCCGCTCTGGAAGATCATCGTTGGCGCGCAGTAGGAATTAGAATGAATGTCATCCAGCCTTTTGCCCTCCTCTCAGATGCTTATTGACTTCCTTTGTGACCACCAGAAAATCCGCCAGTCACATTCCTCTACAAACTGATTCAAAACGATGTTCATGATCTCGGGGTGAATCTCTATGATACTATTCGTTATGTTACTGATAGAAATTATCGAAACATCTGAAACACGAGAAGCAGATGAACAAGTCATCTTATAGTCTCTTTGACGTGTTTCCTCCTCAAAATAGTAATTGTGTAAGTAGGATTGCTCAAGCAGTATCAGGTAGGGTGAAAACGAGTTAAGGTTTTCCATGCCTGCCTGAATTTCTGCCTGATCGCAAGTCCTCTTGAACCTGTTCCCCAAAAGCTCCCACAACGAGACTCCCATACAAAATATATTCTCGAACCTGATTGGCTGAGGAGTTCTTAGCGTGGAAATTTGCTGCTTGCTCAAGTTTTGAGCATTTTTGGAGAAGGGCATCGTTGAGTTTTTTTATCTTTCTCTGTTTTGCGATATGCAACAAAATATTTAAGGTAGGCGCTAGAAATAAGCTTAAAACCTTAAATTCTTTTGTTGCATGTCGCAAAAGAGAGAGAAGTTGAAAACTCAAACGAGGAAGTCTCAGGAAAACCAGCAGTCACGGAATTTCTACACTAAGAAGATTACAGCCAATCAGAGAGCAGTATTCATTTTGTATGTATTTCTCGTTGTGTTCTCTGTTGAGGAGCTCTCTGAGCTGTCTGAATTAAGGAAAAAAGTTACGCCGGCGCTAAGAACCTTAATTTACAAGAGCGAAGCAATATGATTCTCCAAAATCCGATTCCATGCCCACAGAAGTGCAATTGTAACAGCTGCGATGTAAGCATCCGACTTTGGCACAACATATGCCAGGAAATCGAGGTTAAAGTAGAGAGATGTTGCCCTGCGATTCTTGGTGAGTCGCGTCCCAATAGACCTCAACGTCCGCCATTGTACCCACTGAACAATCTTGGTGGTGCTTGAAGTCCATCGAGCATGTAGAGATGATCGCGGAACATTTCGGGATGCTCACCGAGCATTTCTAGATGATTGTGGAATTCGGAATGGCCCAAGAGCATATATAAACGACTGAAGAACTGAGGCCAATACCTACGGAGCTGGGGATGTTGGCGTTCGACGTGATCTTGGAAACGCTGCAAGTGCAACCTCTGCGTGCTGTCCAATACTAAGGCATGCTCCCGGAACCCTAGGTTTGGGTTCGATCGTCGCTCTTCCTTGACATCGTACACTGAGTATGTATTCTCGGGTGTGAAGTTATAGCGAACTGTCGTAACTTTGGATTTGCAAAGCGGGCAAGATGGGCTTAGCTCAAGCCATTTGGTCAGGCATGAGAAGTCGAAATTTGAGTGATTGCATGGCTGTGTTGTAGCTGGTTCGGAAACATGCTCTTGGCAGATCACACATAGCTCTTTCTCTTCTGACGTACTGTGGCTAAGAGAATTGTCCGCTTCCGATTGCTTGATTTCTGGAATGTATTGGGCTTGAGTGATGCCGTCAACGGTATCGTCTTGAGAAGTAGTCTTCTCGACAATCTTCTCAGAAGTGCAAACAGAAGATCTCGAAGTTTCCATATTGGAAGATTGATTGGGTGATTTGTATGATGCACAATTGTAGTAAAGGTAGTTTGTTGGGAAAATGAAAGCCGCAATGAGGTGGATCGTGCAATTGCAGTAAGTTTGATATGCTGTATGCGAATGAAACTGGGCACGAGAAATGATGTGTCGAACTTCTGTATTTGAAGCAGTACTTTGTGGCAGGAAATAACTTCTATCAATAAGTGCTTGTAATACGGACTGCTTAGGATAACTTGTATTATGGACTGATGGCGTAGCCAAGCTAAGGTTCGCTAACGGAAGTGTAGCAAACACTTGCGGGATCCATGAGCGACAGTTCTGAAGCTAGGCCCAAACGGACCTCTTGGAAAATTAAAACAATTCCAACGATTAATCGTGCGAATGTTTGTCAGAAATGACTCGGTGTTGAGCGGTCGACTTCGACGAGGAACTTATCATGTGATTGCTCTAGTCTCTCTCGAGGCAGTGATGCAGCCTGGCGGTGCTACGACCAATGTTTGGGCACCAGCAACAAGCGCCAAATTGCCTAGCAATCCAGCAGAATCCAATCAGATCCTCTGCTGTTTTGAGTTTTCGTCAACGCTGGAGAAGGGCTCAGCTATTTACCTACCAATTTTTCTGATTGCTTCTGGGTTGCGCATCGTTTTGGCCTGACCGCCAAATGATCGCAGGATTTGTATAAGAGCAACTGTTGATCTGATAGCAAGTATTATTTTGCAATTCAGCTAGAATGGTAGCTACTTACATGACAAGTTCTCGGCAATATCTAGTACCCGCTAGTTCTGCGTATCTACAGAGATAGCAAGACGACTGTTCCCATCTAGCGACCCCTCGTTGTCTGCAGTTGTCTCCTCCTCATCACTGCTTCCAACATCGTTGTCGATCTGATCCATACGAAGGATGAACTCTTCCTGCAATCTCCGCAGCCAACTCAGTAATGCCTTGCCATTCATTGGTCCGCTAGCAGCTTGGTTGAGAGCCTCCTTTAGTCCAAGTACGAGTTTTCGTCTTCTGATGAGAGCGAAAGCTTTTGAAGATTGCTTCTTGGCAGCACTCTGCGCATCAATAGCTTTCGAAACCCTCTCTGCGACTTCCAAGACTTGAGGTGGAAGATCAACAACGCGTGCCAAAGTGATTCCATAATGCTCTTGTTGTACGTAGCCTGAACCTATCTTATATAGCATCGTCATGGTGTTATCCTCACTCATATCGACAGCAAGGTGAAGGTTGACAACACCTACTCTCTCTGACATAATTTGTGCTGGTTATTGTTAGCGGCTATCTACTTTCTGGAATGCTAAACTTGCCAAGCTCTTTGAAGTGTGTTACAAAGAACACGATGGCCCTGCTATCAACGAGAGCTTCTGCAATGCTGAGAGCAATTGCTAGACCATCACGGCTGCTTGTACCACGGCCAAGCTCGTCAATGATAACCAAGCTGTTTTTGTCGATGTTTCTAGTACCGCGGTCATTAACAAGCTGGGGGAAGTAAAGATGCCTATATATACCTGAGAATAAATGCAGTCTCCCTCATCTCAGCAGCAAAGGTCGAAACGTTGGCCTCAATACTATCATCCATTGATACTCGTGCGAAGAGCTGATGAATCAAGGAAAACGAGGCGTATTCAGCTGGCACGAAACTACCTACTTGAGCCATGACTGCTGTAAGAGCGACAGATCTGATGTAGGTGCTTTTGCCACTCATATTGCAGCCAGTGACGATTTGGAAGCGCTTCTGCTGGGAAGCATAAACATCATTGGCAATGAATTTCTCCTTGTGAACCTAAGACCAAATTAGTTATAGTCTTTGAAACAATACTTGATTGCTGCCACTTTTTCTCGAACAGGATGTCGACCTGACTTGATCGCAATGCAGTCCGTGATCTCTGGTTTGATGTAACCTTCTGTAGATGTTGTTACGAGGTGAGCAAATGCTGTGATCATGTCCAACATAGCGATACTTTCGCACACCCGAAACAACGCTGGAATCTCTCCACGTATGTCATCAATCAATGTTTGTGTGGTCTTGTCGCTCATGAGAACCACTTCTTGATGGGAATCCTCGATTCTCTTGTTCAGCTTCATAAGATCCAATGTCTGGCATTCGATGAAGCCTTTGTTGCGGTATCGATTGACCAAGATGTCGGGTATGGGTCGTCCATCAAATTCGCCTTCAGCCAGCCTCAAGTAGTATCGACGAGAAGTTTCATATCTGGTCTCAGCCTGCATTTCGAATCTGTCTGCATTGTGTAAGTCCCACAAATTTAAAGAAAGGACGAATCGACTTACGGTTGATATCGGTCACATGCTGATACACGTCTTCGGTAGCCTCCTTGAACGTCTGGCGAGCGACATCAAGAAGACCGCTGACGCCAGACTACGTCGAGTTAGACATAAATGGTCCCAAGTCATAAAGAAAGTCCTACCTTGACCGCATATGTTCTTTGATTTCGTAGATCCAGCGGTTTCTGTTGATACTTGACATCTTCGTTGATGACTTCTTGAATGGATTCTACTGTTCGTTTGATATTCTCTGGACGGCAAGTCTCTCGGATCATGCATATCAAATCAGACTGCGCTCCTGCGAGGGCTTCATATATTGGTACAACAGATTGAATGAAGCTTTTCAGCATCAATATGTTGTTGATAGCCTGTTCCGATTGACGAAGATCGGGTTGCACATGTATAATGATAAGCTGAAAATGTCAGCAAAGAACCATCTCATGAACTAAAACCTACACTAGTGAGTAGCTTTTCAACATCATGAATGGATTTGAGACCTGTAAATTGTTAACGCTTGCTCCAGACAGGTGGAATGGGTCAACCTTGTCTCGTCTGGTAGAACATATCTTCCTTCGTGCTCAGTTCTTGAACAGCCGCGTAACGTAGCTTGAGAAGATCTTCTTGAGTCGAAGGCTGAAGTATATTGCTTCTAAGTAGGCGAGCTCCCATGGGAGTGAGTGTCTCGTTCATAATTCCGAATAAACAGTCTTTTGACTTCGAATTCTGGACATTCTGTATGAGCTCCAAGGAATGGATCGTAGATAGGTCGATCATCATTGAACCCTCAGACGGCTGGTACTTGATCCGAAGTGAGTGGAAAGCAAATGTGATGGACATGCTCAAATCAATGAACTTCACCGCCTGTAAGAATTAACTTCCATGGTTGATATGTTCGATTGATAATGACTTACAGCAGCGAAACAGCAGGTGGCGAAGAAATTACCCTCGACCGCAACTTTGAGTGCTTCGACATCCTCTGGAAAGGCGAGTTGCTGAATGAAATCCAGGCCTGCTGACTCAACCCAGTACTTACGATCAACCATGACGATTTTGGCCCCAATAATGTTTTCTTCGATTACCAAGTACATCTTGGACGGGTTTGGTGGCCCGCAGCTTGCAATGATCAGGATTACCGTCGGTTCGAAAACCTGGAGTTTGTTGAGTGTCCGAGCGTAGAATTGGTTATCACATATCTGACTGAGGACTGCCTCGCCGGTGGTTATGTTCACAAATGACAAGCCGACGGTAGGAGATACGCCTCTCGACTCACTGACGGCACATATGAGCTGTTGAGACTCGGCACCCAGAGTAGAACTGGCTCGTGAGCGGCGACCAGTACTTGGTCGAGCAGTGCCAGATCGAGCAGTTCCTGGTCTTGTAGTATCTTGAGCTTGAGATGTAGATGTGGCATACCCGTTCTGGTACGATGTGGAGGCATAGCTGTACGACGTCGAAGGTCGAGGAGTAGCCATTACTTCCGAGGATGGAGATGTAGATAGTTAGTAGCGGGTGGTCAATGGTATATCAATGAGATTCTAATCAAACATAGACGGTGATGACCTTGCCCCCGTTCAACCTTTGCTGCAGGTGAGTTGTGGCATGAATTTTTGTCGTCGCTTGAGTGAACGTCGTTGAGACAAGGTTCATGAGAAAATAGCGGGAGCCTTGTTGGTGCACAGACCAGCCCCTGCACGAGGCGACGAAATTATTTTCATTACTTTCCAGCCTCGCCTTGCTGAGGACGTAGCATACGAGCGGAAACCAGAAGGAATCTCTGCACGCCATATTGGGACGATCGAATTTGCTGACCGCTATCATTCTTGACTAAAATTCAAATGGCGACGGTACTTCCACCACCAAGCAAACGGCAACGGACCGATGCCGCAGACCGAGCCAGACAGCAACAAGACATTGAAGAAGTTCCTAGTGATGCTGGCAGCTTGCGCATACAATTCTATGACGAGACCACTGGCTTGCCAATTGGACAAGGCCCTGTCTTGGTTCCAGTCGCAGATGCGACGCCCAAGAATCTTGAGCTCCTCTTGAACACTTTACAGGGACATGTAAGTCCGATGTGGAATGACAATAGCTCTTGCACTGACACCTTGGCAGGACTCGTCAGACTCGATACCGTATCGATTCACTCTTCCTGTGCAAGATAAGAAGACTTCCGAAGATATCACAACAGCGTACCCAACAAATATATGGAAGACCCTCATTAGTCCAGGCCTGATTAGCACAGAAGAGATCCAGAATATATCTGCTGCGCCGCAAGCAGTTTTCAGAGTTCAGACTGTCTCCAGATGTGCTTCGACAATACCCGGTCATGGAGAGGCAATCCTGGCAGCTCAATTTTCACCAAGATCCTCGTCAAGAATGGTCACCGGAAGTGGAGATAGTACCGCAAGAATATGGGATTGTGATACAGGAACTCCCGTACATACGCTGAAGGGACATGATAGTTGGGTCTTGGCAGTAAGTTGGTCGCCAGATGAATCGAGGATAGCCACGGGGAGTAATGATAAAACCGTTCGAATGTGGGACCCCAAGACTGGCAAACAGCTTGGCAATCCCATGAAAGGACATTCAAAATGGATCATGAGTCTTGCGTGGGAGCCATATCATATGCAAAAGCCTGGGCAGCCACGATTAGCATCATCCTCGAAAGACGCCACTGTTAGAGTATGGTCTGCCAACCAGCAGACCATCGAAATGGTGTTGAGCGGCCACAAGGACTGTGTATCATGCGTCAAGTGGGGAGGGACCGGCTTCATATATACTGCATCTCATGACAAGACCGTAAAGGTGTGGAATGCAAAAGATGGCACGCTTGCACAAACCCTCAATGCTCATGCGCACTGGGTAAATCATCTAGCACTTTCGACGGATTTCGTCATTCGGACTGGATTTCACGATCACACTGGAAAGGTACCGGAATCAGATGAAGCTAAGCTGGCTAAAGCAAAAGAGAGGTTCACCAAGGCGGCCACGATACAAGGCGAGGTAGTCGAGAGATTGGTATCTGCTAGTGATGATTTCACCATGTATCTATGGGAGCCTCTGAAGGGCACGAAACCCGTAGCACGAATGCTAGGACATCAGAAGCAAGTGAACCATGTCACATTTTCACCAGATACTCTGTTGATCGCATCTGCTTCCTTCGACAACCACACCAAGATCTGGAATGCTAGAGATGGCAAGTTCATAAACACTTTGCGTGGTCATGTAGCGCCTGTGTATCAATGTGGTTTCAGTCCAGACTCGAGGCTGCTGGTCACAGGAAGTAAGGATACCACTCTGAAAGTTTGGGACATGAGGACGCACAAATTATCTGCTGGTAAGTATATTTCCTGGTCCACAGTGTAATCGTCTCGAGAAAGCTAATAAACTGGCAGATCTCCCAGGCCATTTAGATGAGGTCTTTGCGGTAGATTGGAGTCCAGATGGGCAGAAAGTTGGAAGTGGTGGGAAGGACAAGGCGGTGCGCGTATGGAGACATTAGAAAATAGACACAGAAAAAAGAATGAGTATATGCATAGAACAATGTCCTTAGTCGGGGTGGTGATAATTCATGGGGGCATTGTTCGACATCATCTTGGTCTTAATCACATACGGAAGTGACATGCTCTGTCCTAGGAGTTCTATTGTTAAGGCCAATCAATCATTGGTGGCTCTTTCCATTTTCGCCACTGGACATTGACACAGACACTTCATTCTTGCAGTCCGCCTAAGAAAACGACGCTAATCACTTCTGTGTCTGTTCACGTCCAAAATTTTATTACTATCTCTCGGAAAAATTCCCGATACAACATCTTCTCAGGAATCCATCTCCACTCCGCCCGTTCAGGTTAACAACTTCGACGACCACTGTCGAAGCTTTTCCAATCTTCCTCCACACAAGACCATCTCTGCACATCTCTTTCCGTGCCTCTTGAGACCCACAGTCAACATGTCTCTGAAAGTCATAGCCGACTCACTGTCACTGTCCAACATGGCATCGAAGGTCAGGACCATCTCTACCAATGCGAACAGACGCGTAGCTGCGAAGAGAAAGAAGACGCCCTGATTCAAGTCAGTTTCACTTCAATTTAATTGTCATGATTTACAAAAGCACTAGCTAACTTGCATTATTCAATACAGCGAAGGTGGAGCTGTTGTCACGTTCATCGTTGGTCCCGAAGGTGCAACGGAGACGTTTATCGTCCACAAGGAATTTGCATGCTTCTACTCGAGGGTACTTGATGTGAGTCAATATCTTTCCTGTTAAGTTGTCATGTATCACAACCTGGCATCATGCAAACATGCGATGGCGTAAATCTTTGTGGCTCTGTCCAACCATCTTGCCAGGGAATGTTCGATGAATCATCTATCAAGCATGACCGTAGCTCGCAAGGGAGGAGACGTGCCTTGATATTGTAGAGACTTTCGAAAGCGTAGATAGATTGTAACTAACATTCTCTAAGCAGCCTCCAATAGCAAATTCGTCGAGGGCCAAACCCAAACTTATCGCATGGACGACGTATCGGCTGACGCATTCCGATACTTCGTCGAGTGGCTTTATACACAGTCCCTCGATATCGAACAGCTGAAGCCCGTTGGACAGATGGATGACCATCGTTGCGACAAAGAGGACCTCTGTCTAGCCGAACTCTGGATTCTTGCCGGAAAGCTTTTGATCCCGAGCTTGCAAAACACAACGATTAAAGCGATGTGGAAGCTCGGAAATGAAATTCCACCTGACCCTGACACACTTCACTATATCTTTAACAACGTGGCTGCCCCCAACAATCCCGTCCGTCTTTTAGTAGTTCGTCAATGTTTGCAGGCCTTGAGCAACGGTGATCTGAGAGTAGAAGATCTGAGAGCGATGCCAGAAGATCTCTTAGTTGAGATTACATATGAGACTGCTACCTATTTGCCCGAAGTGCAGTCGATGGATTTGAATGACCTCTTAGTAACGACAGAAGCGAAATAAAAAGGAGGCACAGGGAGGGAAGTGGCATGTCTAGGTTGCAGCTATACACAGTATTGCATATTTCCTAGCACTACTTATGCGGTCTTCTTGAATCACAAGCACAAAAATTAGAATACTGAAAGCAAAAATAAGGGAAAGCAACAATTGCAAATCTCATGAGCACCGCAGTCAAACCTATCTCCATCAAGTGACACTCGCTTAGCGCGGCAGCCCCTTTCCAGCCTTAACCGACCTGCCAAACCCGTGCTAAATCTCCCTAAACTTTCGGGCCCATATCACAAAAAGGAAAGCAGGTCCAATCACAATTCTAGAATGAACTGATCTAAGGTATTCTTATATGAACTGGAGGTCAACACATCCCACAAGATGCATTTAATTCTCTTTCATGTTGCCCAGTCCTCAACTTGTCTCTCATAGTTGACGAATATTCTGAAGACAACCTCAAGTATTCTACTACTTTGAATTTCTTCACTGTAGTAGCAGCTACAACAGTCTAACAGAAAACAACGATCACCCAAGCTCGACTCACGTCCACCCAAGCTCAACTCAAGTCAAGTGCTCAACAATGAGCAAGGGAATGATAGCCCGCCGAGGGCCAATAGTAGTAAGCATAAAAATCGAGACATCTCCAAACTCACACTAACACTACCAAAGTGCCGCTCCACCAACAGCAGTCCTCTCAGCCAGGCTAGCTCTAGAGGACGCCCATCCACCAGAAGGCCCTCCACCTCTCGTTCCTCAAGAAAGCCGCAACATCGTCGCATCCACCAACTCCAAGGAAAACTCATCTCCCTCATCGTCTCCAAGCTTCCAAACACACCTAACCGCACGATCATGAGCCTCCTCAAGCCGTTCACCGATGTAAGCTCCTCCTCGCCCACATTCCAAACACAAACCCTCACTAACAAACCACCACATAGGCACAAAAGAAATTCCGTGGCTTCAAAATCGGCGCAGTAGCTCTCGCAGCCGCCTTCCCGGAAGAGAAGCGCCGTGCCATCGAGCGTCGCCATAACATCGAGCCGGATTGCTGGGCCAAGGTCGACTTCCCTGATCGAGTTTCGGCTGCACATGCCCTGGGCGTCCCGGCGCGCCAGGAGGTTAGGTCGATCAAGGTACAGCGTTATCACCCTGTTTACTTCTGGGGCGAGGAGAAGAAGCTTAAATCGCCGCCTCTTACTGATGAGTGTATGTACCGCTCTCCTTTTACTAGAGTGTATGGAGCTAATGAAATGATAGCTATGGACGACATCTGTGATACTTTTGGAAAGATGACTCCTCATGAGGTTAAGTCTTCCGCTCTCAATGATGAATGTACGTATCCGTCTCGGTCCCGATGATTCTGTAATACTGATGAAATGGCAGCCGTGGACGACATCTCCAATGATTTTGCCAAGATGAACATCGAGACTGTTGCTATTGGCTATGGCTTGGAGATGCAGCTCGACTCAAGCACCACGGTCGTGTCTGCTGATGATGCCGCATATGATGCCGACACAGATAGTAAAATGGCCGATGCGGAGTAAATCACTTGATAGGGCATGATGACAAGGTATTGAGTGTCGAGATTGTGAGGAACATAACTATCAGCATGAGATTGAAAGTGTATGTAAAGTAGAGCCGATGGCATGGAAAGTTGTGTATTTGCTTTATAACAGAACTCCGCAACGCGATGACAATTAATAACACCCCCTTGACAATTGACGTTTCTCTTCAGCACTTGCTGTTCCTTTCTCATGACCAGGTCGATATTCTTTGCAACAGAGTCGTGCAGAATTTATAGGGCTTCGCACGCACGGAAATTTCCAGGGGCGAGATTAGCACGGCCATCGTTTCATTATACTCTCCCCTATCTACTACAATTCTCCCATTGCTACCCTCCCAGTGTTCGCCCAGCCACCCAGCCCAATCATCACAACCAAACCATGACCACCGCCGTGCCCCCACTGACAAAAAAGAGCCCAGACCGAAAGAACTTGTAATCGCTGAAAGTGACTCCAAACGCCGCCCGTCTAACCATCTCTCGAGGACATCACAATCGCTGTTCGCAGAAGCAGGTGCATCGCTATGGTTGAAACAATTTCCATCTCCAGTCCAAATCCCCACACCAACTCTCGCAATGCCATGTCATGCAAAACGCAAACACAACGATGCAAGACAACATCCATCCACCACGCACCCGCAGCAAGAAACAATCAAAAGAAAAGAGAATATGGTCGCTAAATCCAATCCAGCAAGGAGAAGGAAAGACGAGCCGTCAAGTGTAATGTGCGATCTTTAACATTCGTGAAAGGCCCGTTGCAGCCTGGGTATCTGGTACAGTGGAACCGGATATTCGTAGGAATTTGTTTGGAGTGAGGAGAAATCTATGTTTGGTATTTCGATTCAGTCGTAAAGGAAAGCATATTTCAGCTATTCCAAAAAGTCGTTCGTATGCACAAAGTCATGGCAGGTGCCTCTATTCATCAGATGAACCTCCCACTAAGCACCCGTAAGAATCATAAGTAGTCATTCACATCGCCCAGCTAAGGACTTTGCGGTGCAACATCCATGTCGTCCGGGTAAGCCATATCCAAGGGTATTCGGCCTTGTCGCTGAGCTATTACTTCTCTTGCATAGAACTCGACTAGCATTGTACCATAGGCTTCGAGTTCCTCAACAGGGACGGAGAGTCGGAAGTCGTTCAGCAGGAGGAACTGTAATTCAAGATGATTTAGCTCGGCAAGTGGCAATCCGCCCACCTGCATATTGTTAGAACCAGAATCATTTGAAACCATTTGAAAGGACAAGGCTTGCCTTTGCATATCGGGAGTTTGTGTAAAATACGTCGGAAAAGAATTTGCTGGCGCATGTTACTCCTGCAATAACCAATCGATGAATATTAAAACTATCAACCACAAAAAAGTGCGATAGAGGAAAGGCGGTCGGGCTATGGTCGGAGGGTGGTGCATGCGTATATTGCGCTCTTTCAAGGTCGGCCTGAATCTCTGGGACGCTTCTCGATGATGGCGGACTGTCTGCTAAATCCGACCCTTCAGCAGAATAACCTGACGAAGGCCGCGAGTTATCTTGCTCTGTGTTATCCCTATTCAAAGCTTGTATTGGTGATGCATTGACTCGCTCTGTCATGCGGTCAAAATACACCAGCAGACTCAAGAATACTTCGTAAGTGGTGGGACAGTACTTGTGAATACGACTCAAATAACTTAGAATGGTAATGCTTGGTACGTTCTTCCCATGGAAAGCAAGAACGCTTGAAGAAAGTCCTGTCATGTTGACAGCATTTTCACCAGATGGCAGAGGTCGGTGTAAAGGCTCATGCTGCCTATCGTTGGTTGTGGTTATCTTCGTGAGAAGTCCTGCGACCATCTCAATAATGTCTGTGATAGGCATCCCACTGATCTCATATTTTAATGTAGGATCATCTGCAGTTCGCCGTCGCCCGGATTGTCCTCTGTACGACAGAAACTCCTCCGTGGCAAAGCTTTGTATGTGCGCAAGATCCCGTACTTTGATTGTATTTCCTCCATACTGTGTAATATTGTCGAGTGATCTAGCAGATCTACTTATGGGCGCTTGTGGGGCTGAAGAATTCAAGGGGGCCTGGGATCTCGAGGTCGAAGGAGATTCATGCTGCGCAGGTTGAACATAGTCGCTTTGACTTGCGAACCGTTGTCCACTATATGCAGGATTAGGACTCGAACTTGACGGCGGTGATGGAGGCTCCGTCCTCACTGACCCCGTTCTCTCGCCCACGATCTCGGCAGGTGGTTGCTCTGTAGCTCGGGTCACTGTACTTCGTGGAGGAGTCCCAGCTGGTATGGACGTTGGTTGTGTTCGAGGACTTGGAGGAGGCTCATTTCGCGGTCGAGATTGCTGTCGGTATTGTGATTCTGGAGGAGACAGCTGCGGCCCAGATCCTCCTATCATCGTATGGCCGCGGTGAAAGCGAGAGGAGTCTGATCCGAAATCACTAATGACTTCGGCCATATCAGCCTTGTGCTTGAGTTGAAGGTGGAAAGAGCTGGTACGATAATGTTAGCCTCTGTTCTGTCTTCTGCCCAAATGCGCAACAACGACCTGCGAGTTGCATGTATGAAGAGATCACCGGGCTGGCAGGTGGCATAGATTGGCGTCACGAAGATCGCAGTTCGATGTTTGCGCCGAGACAGGACAGTGAGGCAAAGTTGGCTGATCTTGACTGTGTGCAAACATGAAGTTTACAGGTGTTGACGGGTGGAAGATTCACTTGACGCAGTGGAACGATTGTACTCTTCTTTCGCCCCTGATCACTAGCACAGGCATCTGCTGCTTCAAGCCCGCAAGATGTGGTTGTCGAGACGCGTGAATTACTTCATACCGTGGGGGTACACCGAAGGCTTATCAACTGGAAAGGCGGACGAGCTTACCTGCAGCATTCCTAGAGTTACAGGAGGGGTATGTCCAGTCAGGATGAAAGTCCTCTGCTCACAAGAAGAGGAAGTCTGTGGTGGTCGTCGATATCGTGCGATTTGGGAAAATGTTGCGGCTTGAATTGTATGTATTTGGAGGGCGGGCTTGGCTTCGACGCAACGAAGCGAAGGGCCTAAGGTCCAACACGTCAAGCAGGATGACGAAAAGACGAAGGCGATTAATTTCTGTGGATCGCTGCACAGCCAGTTCCAGCAAATGGGGATATGGTAAAAGGGATTAGAAACACTGGTCAGTATTGTTCTTGCTTCTGGAAAATGTCGAGGGCGATCCAACATGCAGCAACAGCAAATGCACCACCAGGAGCAGATGTTCTCATTTGGTGGGCAACAAATTTATTCTGGGTGGTATCAACATATTTGGCAGAATCCGGACTGGGATATAGTTTGGGGGGCTTGAGCAAACACCAAGGCTTCGACTCGAGCCGTTGAACCCTTCCCGCCAACAGAATCAAGAGAGGCTGACACGAGGGCGCGAGATCTTAACTACGAGAGCGTGGGAGGCCTTGCACTGCACCGGCAGCGTATCGAAGATCCGGCTTTCCAGAAAACCAAGTGTCTTGTACGACCTGCATGCGATCCGTGCCGATACTGCCTTTTTTCTAAGGGACATGATGCTCGGGGCGTTTTGCTTTTCTTCTCTCGGGGAGCACAAGTTAGATTCCGCCCAGCAGCCATGCACAACTTCTAACTTCTTTCCTGGCTTCACCGCCGTCGTGCGCAGGATGCATTTGGGTTCTGACCGCTCTTGCGAGATTCTCAAAAAGGGATAGGCGTGCCAGAACTCCATGCCATTAATGCTCCATTCTAATTGTACATTTGCCTATTGGTGACGGACGGTGTAATTGGTATCTGGCAGATACAAATGCCTGTTTGCTCCCTTGGCCGTGAGGACCACCATTCTGATGACACCGCCAGAGCTTCCGTCCCATTTGATCGCCTCTTGCAAAGCACCCTTGACGAAGTCAACAGCCTCCTGCTCATCCATTCCCTCCTTCCAGTTGGCGTCACAGTAACCATAGATATAGGTAGAACCTGAACCTCCGATAGCATACGGTTGCTTGTGTAATGATCCTCCCAATGGTATCGAATAGACCTGACCTCCATGTCTCTCATCCCAACCAGCAATGATCAAACCAGCACTGCTCATGTTAGCCGGTGACGTGCACAGCACTATGTCCAGCCGTACCTTAATCTATCCTTATTCTCATAGCACAGCTCCTGAAACATCGCGGCTGCTGTTTGCGTCGTTGGTTGTCTGCCGTTCATGATACCGTACATCCCCAGTTGATAGTGAACGATGTCCGCCACAGCTTGCGTGTCTGCAGCTGATCCTGATCGACAGCACCAAATGGTATCGTGAACTTGGGTGAGCTTGTCGGTGACTCGGTTCGCGATGTATGCTCCAGTCGTGGTTCTGCTGTCTGCGCCTATAACCCAAATATGTCAACCTCTTTTCCCACAATATCGAGCGTCTGTGTAAGGGCATACCCAGAATAACACCGTCCTTGAAGTTGATTGCCATACTGCCTTCGAGTTAACAGAGACTCTCGAACCTGTTCCGTGCATTCTATCTTACATCGAGGTTCCAAGGCTGGAAGAAGGTTAGCATAAGCATCATTGCGGGGGATAAGCTCGTACTTGACTTCACCCTTCTTCAGGCGATCCATATCGATGTGAATGCCATCTTGTAGGAGCTGTTGTTAGCTGTCGTGTGGGCAGAGGAAGCTCTGGTAGGGACATACCCTCATTAAGCATTCCTGAGGTTCCGAAGTCCATATTGACTACTTGTTGGGAGAAGTACGGGAGGAGAGTATCGAAGAATCACACCGAAGTAAGCCAGGTGCGTGAAGTGTTGGTTGAAGAAGAAATTGGTGGTTGATGGAGCTTGTTGTAGCTTAAGCTGCAGGCAACATGAAGACGCGAACACGCGATACCGACTGTCGGAAATGGTCACGTGAATTGATTTTTTTGTAGATTTCATGTATTTCTGCGGACTTTCACAAGTATGGAAGAAGAAATGGAGTAATTTTTTAGTCTTTCCAATATTCATTGAATGACGGTAGCTAAATATCTCGCTGATGCTTCTTAAGTTAGGACTTGATATCCTACCACAGCCCACAAATCTAGCCCGGCTTCAACTCTTCCCAACTCCAATTCACTGTCCCTCAAATAGCTTATTAAAGTAACCTACTCAGAGGCTACAAGTCAAGGTCCGGTAACCTTTAAGTTTAACTGTATTTTATGTTACCCGCATCTCTTGATTTAGCTTTGGAACTCTGACCAAAATATAAATGCCACACCTAGCCAACTTCTCATGCCCAAACCCATCTTGAAAGCCTCTTCGAGACTAGGTAATGGATCCAGAAAACGGAAGAAAGCCGCCAATATTTTCATCCTCGCAAAGACTGCTTCCTAAACCAACGCCATGCTATGATACTGTCGCTATCCAAACACTATCAACCCTTCATATGTACCTAATTACAAACCTTTTATCCTCCTCTTGTCAACCTAAGGCAATTAGCATCCTGCTCTAGCCATAGAGAGTCAGTACCTACCCCTCCTTTTCCAACTCTAACTGTGTGAATCCATCCTTTCCTTTTCCTGGTACCGGATCTTCGGCACACCCACAATCATAGAAGTCCCCTATCTTAGAGCAGTCGAAAAGATCCTTCTTCAGCCTCTTGTTGACCTCGTTATGCACATGGCAAGCCCAAGCCGCAGCAGTAGACCTTGAAGCAACCTGTGGAGGAAACTTCTGCAAAATCTTTTGAAAATGTCTCGCACAATCGCCGCAGGGGTATAGTCGAGCGAACAAGTGGATGTACGACTTCAAAGCTGCACTATCATCGGTGGTAGGCTTGTCCGGAAACTTAGCCATCATCGTATGAAGGACTTTCCAAGCTGCATGGCCAAGCTCTGCTCTGCAAACGGGTCAGCACGGAAATGAGTTTAGTAGGTTTAAGAACGTACTTCAAGGTAGCATTTTCAAGCTTGGGGGCTGTAGCTTCTCCATGAAGTATGCCTTCATCGAGGTTGAAGTCAACCTGGTCTTGGTATGATGGGAGGTAGTCTGGATGCCTTGTTCCCTCTGCTTGATTCCGGAAGATAGATACAAAGAATATGCCCAAGAAAGCTGCGGCCCCAATAAATGTCAGCAACGTAATATGCTGTCGTCGAGGCATTCTGTGGAAGGGAAATGGTGTCGGCCGTCCTTTGCGATTTGCAACTGATTACAAACTCCTTCGCAGATGGCTATCCCGTTGCGGTTTGCCGACTTTGATGACCTCGCCGTCTGCGAGAGAGAAGTAGAAACAAAGAAGCTGCCCATGAAAAGTTCCGGATAAGAGGCACAGTAGAAATCACTCCATCGCCTCGGCACCAAGTACTATCAGACGGATAGATTGCCTGATTTGTCGTTTCAGTTTCCCCAAATAAAAGAAATACCCCTAAGATGAATCCCTGCCGATGTTGCAGGAGGTACTGACAGGGGCCGCTTCTTAGTGTGAGCACCCCGCCGATGACACTCCGAGAAAGGCGCACTCGCAAAATAAATATTACACAGCAAGACATTTCACTTATTTGTTTCCTCCCCTCTTTTTCTCTTTCAATTTTTCCTTATCCTCTCCTAGTCGCCAAGTCTCGTCTCTCTATTTCCTTACAAGATGGTCTTTCCTCCTCCACCGGTCAATACAATTGACTGGAACAATATTGGCTTCAAAGTCCGCGAAGGTAAGACTCATTCTGTTATTCAGCTCGCTCTTGCTGACCAGTTTCTCAAGTCAATGGACATATTGAATCCCACTACAGCGTCAAAACTGGCGCCTGGACGAAACCACAATTCATAAGAGATCCTTTCATGCGCATCCATGGCATGGCACCAGGCCTCAACTACGGCCAGCAAGCCTATGAAGGCATGAAAGCATTTCGCTCGCCAAACAACGAAATCACAATCTTTCGACCCAAACGAAATGCTGCTCGAATCGCACACTCTGCAAGCTTTGTCTCGATGCCTCCCGTGCCCGAAGAGCTCTTTATTGAGGCTGTTCACGTGGCGGTGTCATTAAACGCCTCGCACATCCCACCTCACGAGACCGGAGCTGCAATGTATATACGTCCTTTGATCTTTGGCTCAAGTGCCCAATTGGGTCTCAATCCTCCTGAGGAATATACCTTCTGCGTCTATGTTATGCCGACTGGAGTATACCATGGCGTGCACCCAGTCAAGTGCCTGATTCTGGAGGACTTCGATCGAGCAGCACCAGACGGAACCGGTAGTGCAAAGGTGGGAGGCAATTATGCACCGGTAATGAGATGGAGTGACAAGGCACGGAACGAGGGTTACGGTATCACATTACACCTGGATTCTAAGACGAGAACGGAGATCGACGAGTTCTCCACCAGTGGTTTCATTGGCATCAAAAAAGACGGGGACAGTATCACAATGGTGACACCGGATAGTAAGAACGTTATCGCCAGTGTAACTTCGGACTCATGCCAGGAGATTGCAAAGAGCTTTGGATGGAAGACTGAAGTTCGCTCGGTAAGTGGCATCCCGCCTTTCGTTTTCGTCTCCACTTCTTGCGCTACATGCTTATACGATGCAGATCAAGTACGAAGAGCTACCCACATTCAGCGAGGTCCTTGCTGCAGGTACTGCAGCAGCTCTGGTTCCAATCAAGTCCATCACTCGGAATAGCCGCAACGAAACATTCTCCTATATTACAGACAACAGCGATGAGCCAGGTCCCATCTGCATGAAGCTGTTGACGACCTTGAAGGGAATTCAGATGGGCAAGATCAAGGATACATTTGGCTGGAACTTGAAGGTAGAAGAAGTGGATCTATCAAAATATGCTGCCGGCGAGCAGACCAATGGTGTTAATGGCGACAGTGTCGACAAATTACCATAGACGGTGGGCCATACTAGAAGCTTCTGAAGATTTATCTGACCTCCCGGTCTTGCTTTGCATTTTCAACTGAAAAAATTCTCAGAATTTAGTCAATCTACTCTCTCAATTGCTATTGTCCTTGACGAAAAATCTTGTTTTTCGTTGTATAAGTAATCGGTTATTAGAGTTATGAATAGGTGAGCTCCGAACAGATTACAGCCTGCTAAACACACTTGCAAAAGCTCTGTTATTGTATTTTACTGGGGATCTAAGTGTTGCGCTAAGGTCAATTACAACTTGCTAGCACGCTATCTCCGAATTGAATTGGGATATAGCGCTAAGCTTCTTCCATTTCCCTTCAACATAAAACACGACAAATCTCGACCTCATGCTTCTTGAAATCTTACTATCAACACCAGAAATGGCCTCTAGCAAATCGGAAATTGAAAAGCTCGGCTTCGCAGGCTTGCCTGCATTAGCACCGCAAGTAATCCCTACATCTCCCTCGTAATTGACTAATTGTATATCAGAGATCTCGGTCACGAAATAGTCACCATCCTCGTTGGATCAGAGCGCAAGAAATTCACAGTCCACAAGAGATTGCTTTGCGCCTCTGCTACCATGTTCCGCGGCGCATTCAGCGGACAATTCCTCGAAAGCCAAGAAGGAACTATGACTCTCGAGGAGGATAGTCCTGCCGTCTTTGCACTCTACGTCGAATGGCTCTACCGCTCATCTGTTTCTGTCATCAGTACAGACCCACACGCTCATCTTCGAGACCTTTACGGTCTCTACTTCTTTGCTGACAAGCTCCTTCTCCCGGCACTGAAAGACAAGACCATGGACGCCATTCAAGACGTTTCCCTCAAGCATGGCATCTTGCAGAGTATCTGTACGCCCGAAATGATTCAGAAAGTGTGGGCCAACACTTCAGCTTCCGAAAACCGAGAAGAGAGGGGTCTCCGAGCCTTTGTTATCCATGCGGCAACATATGTATTAGTCAAGAGAGCCGAGGTGGACCCAGATGACGAGGCGGACAGCGAGGATGACCTGTATGAGAAGATGGAGGTTAGGAAGCAGCTAGTATGTCCGAACAAGGCTGATCTTCAGTGGATGTGGGAGCTTTCCAAAGGAAGCTTTGAGATCTACAGGCAATTCATCTATCGTATCGATTGGAAGAGTTCGCTCATAGGAGATCCGCGGAAGAGATATCACAATAATCCTCGGTCTGTTCACCGCTTCCACTGCAGCAAGAAAGGTTTCAATGCTGAGCAGCAGGAAGATATGAGACTGTCTCGAAGACTTGCTGCTGCCACGCTGTCGCAGGGTACCGAGCAGGGCTGAGCTAGATGGATGAGGTCCTCAGGGTCAGAACGTAGTAGGATTTGCCAATTTCGTCCACAAAGTTCTTCTACAGAATCCCACCAATTTCTGTCCCTTCTGCCTTTCGTTCGTAAACCTTTGTGACTTTCTGAGACCTCTTGAGCAAGGCTCTAATTATCTGCTAGTCATCATGCACTACAAACCCACTAGAGAATTCCAACCTCAAACAAACGCCAAGTAGCTCTTTCTTCGCTCGAGACTTTCTTTGTTCCCCTGTTTTGTATCACTACCAAAATTACCTAAATGTAACACCAAACCCGGGCCAGACGATGCTCGAAGCTTTTCTGTCAGAGACAGCTGGTAGTGACTGGCTCTTATGTCCTTTCAGGAGTCTCAAATGATGAGTTCGGTGCATATGATGCAACTCGTCAAGGAGTACAAAGGCTTCCCTGGGATATAAGCAGCGCTTCAGACCTAGTTCCTGAGTTACATTATTCTGAAATCTCAACTCTCTTCCCACAATTCCAATTCAAAACTACCAAGATGAACGCACCTTCCAACCAGATCATGATGCCAGTGGGCCCACACCACGACCTCCTCACAGAGAAAATCGCCATTGATTGCGAAATGATGCGATCAAACATCGGTCAAGTCCTCGGTCGAGTCTCAGTCATCAACTACAACAGCCAAACAATCTTCGACACCTTTGTGTGCTATCCTCAACCCATCCACGTCACCAACACCAGCGAACAGTATTCTGGAATCAGATGGAGCGACATCGATCCCCAGAACGGCGCTCAGCCCTTCCTCCAAGTTCAAGCTCAGCTTGTTGAGATCTTCCGTGGCCGTATTGTCATCGGTCATGATATCGAGAAGGACCTGAGGGTCATTCGGATGGATTTGCAAACTCACACCTTGCGGCTCGAAGGTGTTTATCAAATAGAAACTCCTGTCAAGCTTGATATGAAGACCCGTGACACTCAGAAGTACACGGGCTACAGCCAATACGCTATCGGTCCGCACGGTCCCAGTCTCAAGACTCTTGCTCTAGAAGTGTTGGGTCGTCCAATCAAGATGGGTCGGATATCAAGTGTGGAAGATGCTGTAGCAACTATGGCAGTCTATCGGAATGCTGAGGCGGGTATTGAACAAGAGCAAGCGAAATAGACTTCACGGATGGAATAGGAGGTCTTGCTTTTACAAGTAGCAAATGGTCTTTCATTATTTCGAACACCTACTCGTGACTCCTTACAAGTGATTGCATGCAGCATATCCAATAAAGCCCGTAGCTCTACTCCTGGTCCTCAAACACAACCGCCTCTCCTGGAATAGGATCCTTCCAAGCCGCCAAAGCTGGCTCCCCCCGGTGACAAGTCTCACCTTGTCCATGTATATGGAACCTACACCCGAGATCATCGAGATCGCCACGACCACCATGCACAACCCTGTGTAAGTCGTTGGTCCGGAGCATGCCAAAGAAGTCCAGATAAAACTCAGGAAACTCAATGACTAGTGGGTACACAAATTCCAGAGCCTCTTTGGTGGGAAGTTCACCAACGTAGTTGTACTTCCTCGACAGATCGTAAACTAACGTTTCAATAAGCCACTTGCGAAGAAGGGAATTTGTCGGTGTAGTCTCGTATACGTGCTTAGCCATGCTGATTGTAATGCTAGGCTCGTCGTATCTCGAAAATGTCTCGGCAATTGCGTCGATGGTGCGATTCTCGAGCATTGTGTTGCAACACAAGTCGGCAAAGACGTACAATTTGACCAGGTTATCCACGTCTTTTTGCGAGTTGGCTCTGGAGACTTTCCCCGAATACAACCAGACGATGAAGGTAGAGAAGACTTGCTCATCTTCGTCAACTAGCTCCATGACTCCATTCGACTCTTTGAAGCCGCCCTCGAAAGCCTTGGAGAAGAATGGTATCGTACAAATGAGTTGCTTCGAGATAGCAAACTCCACCTTGGCTGGTCCAACACGAATCGTCACGAGCTTATTCGTCAACATCCTGAACACAATTAGTTCAGTCCATGATGGATGGACTGAGTACTTACTTGGCTGCTTGTTGGGGCGTCATACTCGTCATCTTGAAATGTCGAGGTGCTTTTGTTCTTAATCGATATGGAGAACAGCTCAGAGGTAGGACAGCAGGAGAAGACGCGTTAGAAGAAGAGCCGACAAGAATGTTCGTAGCAGCTTGGTAGAATACAGCGTGGTAGGTTATTGCAAGTCGTAAGACCGAAACATTGGGCAAGAGTAATGAGGGCAATGCGTAAATGACCCGTGGACTTCTGGCAACTTAAAGTTCCTGGAGAGTACCGAAACTTGACGTAGACCCTGAATCTTCAACCCAAATTGCGTGAATAGAGCTGTCCGAGCTTGTAAAAACTGGTTCTCTAATCCAAAGTCCGTGATCGGAGGTCGAAGCTTGCTATAGAAACTTGTTCTCTAACTCAAGGTATGTTTAGAAGGAGATGCCGAAGCTTGACTTAGAGGTGCTTTGAAAGGGAGGTTGCGGCTTGTCTGATTGTCTGAAGTTGTTTGCCAAAGTCTTCAAAAAAAGGTTGTTCTGAAGAGCTTGCAGACCAGGTTCTGAAATTGGCCTATATGCGTCAGGCCAAAGCTGCCATATTTTTTTCTTGCTACGCTCTATGCGGCTAGTGTAAAAAAAGGGTCTATCGTTGAATCTGTAAAATCGTACGTTTTTGAATTTCTGATTCAAGCTAGCGTGATTGGCTTAGAGTTAGGTTTTCTGTTCGAGTCATTGATATCAGTCCGATACAAAATCCCATCTACCACAAGACATACCTGTCAGCGTCCAATGCAAGTTCAACTCCTGAAATATGCTCGTGAAAGTATACATATATAAGTAAATGGAAATGTAGTTGTCACATTACCTGAAAACTTCCAAAGACTTCGGGAAAGAATGCTCGAATGCAACCCCGCAATAGATTTCGCTCATTTCTTAGTTCGAAGGGACATTCCAGACCATTTGATAGCTTAGACAAGCCTGTGAGTTAATAGAGTTGTCAAATAGAAGTACAATTTCCGCATCCTTGGAAGTCATTTTTGAGCTGCTTGAAAAGCAGTGTTGAGCTCTGGAGGTTTGCATAATCGTTCCCGGAACCAATCTTTTGTACTTCTCCCATGATCACTTGCCTCCTTCGTTCTTTCCATTCTTACGGAAAGATAAGTCGAGCTCTTTGGTAATCATAGTCCTTGTAGCAGCCCTTTGTGGAAGCTTCCTATCTCGTTGTTCTGACACCTTTCTTCTCGTGCTCTTTGCCAATAAAGTCTGGTTTGTCAATCGGAGTGAGATGGCAAGGAAAACCTTCCATATGGGCATGGAAATAGCAACGATCGAGAGGATTGTCTTCCCTCCTTTCCCTTGGATCGCCAAAAGTGCCATTTGAGAGGTTGAGATGGGTCCACACAATGTAGTCCTTAAATAACCGAGGGTTGTCTCTGCAAATAGCATGTACTGCATCCAGCTCTTGGCCTTTAGCATTTTTGTATTCTTCGGAGTTGCCTAGGTCTGCCTTTAGCAAGTGCTTGTATAGGAAACTTTGCATGCAAAAATCCCTGAGTGCTGAACTTTTAATTGTCCTTCCGTCGGCCGGACTTTCGTAAATTCTGTGTATCATATGGAGACTCGGAGTAAGGTCGTACTTGAGGGAGATATCCTGGATCTTGTCCATGATACGATCCTCCAAAGTTGGGGAACTTAGAGATATCTTCTCTGCGAACATGTAAAGCTCGTACAAGCTGTCCACGTAGTCTTGGCTATGACCGTCCGGCAATACTGTTCGGTAGATCCTGTGTTGATGCATAATGTCAGTAGATGTTTTTCAGAATCCGGACCCCAAATCCAAACTTAACACCCGGGGATCGAAAGTCCCCAAGATCAATGGATAATGGAAGGAGGAAATTGACGAGCCAGATCAGAAGCAAAAGCTTTGATTGCCCCAGAAACTTACCACTCTACGAACAATGCAAATGCACCACAATGATCATGTGGTAGATACAACTTGCCGTGCTTTTCCTCCCTCTGACGCATCGCTCTCTCAAAGTATGGTGCGGCAGCAAAGAGTGGTTTCCTATGCATGACAAACACTTTGCGTTTTGGTCCAATGTAGATCTTCACTGTCTCCGTTCCAAGGTGGCTAAGCCAAACAGTTAGTTGCAGCACTCTGAGATAGTTTCATTGCTTAGACTTACTCATCGTAGTTAAGGATCGCTGCCATGATGGTGTCTGATTATGTGACTGGGAAAACGCGTGTTGATGTTGTACAGGAGAGAAAATCTGTGAACAGAAGCGAGGTTTTATGCTGGTGTCGTCTGAAGACTGGAAGTCCTTCCCGTTAGTAGGTTGGAAATCGGTTTTGGAAAGAACTAGGAACTCTTCTGTTGACTTACTTACATCACATATACTTCTTTTATTAGTTTACCACTTCCACGGCAATGATGTAGATCTTAGAGGCCTTCTTCATCAAAGAGTGCAATGACCCCGAAATTTTGGGGCATTCATGAATCTAGAGGTAGAGCCTTACAGGTGTACGGCCTGATATACGGCCTGATATTTATACGGCCTGATAAATAAACGCTCTGATTCCACAGCTGCGACTTGCAGGGGCGGCTTTAGCGTCTGATAGGAACTGTTTATTTGACTGTACTGCTGCCAAAAATTTCTCCAGTCGAAGTCAACCTGTCCCACCACAATTAGATTTCGTCCACATACTTCGTGAATTCCCTCACAACTTCCGTCGCGACTTCCTACTCACCTCAACGAGATTTCGTCCACATAGTTGGCGACTTCCCTCGCGACTTCCTTCGCGGACCCCCTCGCCAAAGACCTTCGCGACTTCCCCTTCGCCAGAGACCGCCTTCGTGACTTCCTTACAGATCTACCTAGGTACTTGAGCGAAGTCATGTCTGTAAGTCGCGCAGCCATGCTTGGGCGCGTAACGACTCTTACTTACCTTCCTCTCAGGAACAGACTACTATTCAAGCATTCGTCCGCCAGGACCAAGCTGGTGACCCCACTATCACCGAGTAAGTTCTAGCAATCTGAATGCATTCGATATCCACATACTTTACTAATTTCACGTGTCACAGCATGCTCGGATCAGAGATGGTTGTGGTTGCCGTCGGAAAGGTACAAGAGAAGATCACCATTCATAAGGGATTACTTGACAATTACGCCCCTGCTATGTCCAAGGCGGCTGTCCTTCTATCTACTCAAGCCCCCATCTTCGAGTTGGACCTTCCTAATGTTGATGTTGCCGTCTTCAAGCTCTTCGCCCAGGTCATGTACTCTGGTGGACAAGTACCATCCATCACTGCTACCATGTTACCTCTCACCCAGATAGTCCTTATCAGATCCTTGGCTCAGCTGTACACCTTCTTCGAGAGATACCACATCAAATTTGAGCTCTGTAACAAGATCATGGACCGTATCCAGGATGGATATGTGGTCATGAAGACATTCCCAAGCTCTGATTTCGCCTCCTCCATCTACAAAAACACTTCCCCCGTCTCCGTAAGTTTACTCGATTCAACCTCCACCGGGCTCTGTGTAGCTCTTTTCTGTGGTATCAATTACTAACCACTTGCGCTCATTTTCATAGAAGCTTCGACTGTTCGCCACTTCATGCCTGGCTTATCAGCTCCGCATGGAGGTCGATGCTGGCCAACTTGATCATTTCAAGGACTTCCTAATGGCTCATCCTGAGATGCTTAAGGACTTTCTCGCTACTATGAAGGGTTACGTCCCCGAGACAGATCCCCGCAACAGACAATGCAATGGGGAGCCTGGCTGCACTGAGTGTGGAAGCAACAAGGAGCGGATGGCTGGTATGACTGGCTATTGGCCATGCTACTTCCACATTCACTATGGCTATCTCCACAATGGTATCCTGAAGATCGTGCGCCCAGCATATGCCACCGAGGAGGAGGTAGAGATGTACACAGATCCAGGCTGTTATTTGTGGAACATTGATGGACATGGAGCTTATTAGATCTCTGAAGCATTTTGCCCGATCTTAGATCTTCATAGCGAAATTGGGCTTTCATGCGCGGAGAGATAAGGCACTCTAGAGAACGACAGTGTTACCGAAGTCAAGGTGCGAAGGTACTGCCGTCTCTAACTTCATTGATAAGATCAATGACATAATGGATGACCTCAGACAATCTTGACTTATCTTTTTGATGACCTGTGAAACTATTAATATAATTATGTGTACTGTGATTGGAATTTGTTGATCGGTCTCACTTTGATATCGGTCCTCGGTGAAGCATCAAGTCTCGTGGCTTCCAACAATTGCAAATGCAAGAGAGAAAACCTCGTAATTATCATTGATTCATAAATGTGTTCATGGATCAACCATTCTAGAAGTAATCAAGAGAAAGTAATAGTAGAAGAAAGGGCCAGGAAGTTCATGTGCAGTGGCACAAGATCGAAAGCTGACACTGAGACACAGCAAATCGAAGGCTTAACGCAAAGTGAGCTTCTCTATTGGTTGCAGAATCCACTTGATATGATAGACCTTGGAAGAGTTCATCTCCTATCACACTCGTTGAATTTACAGCTTGGTTGGACCACGAGCCTTACAGTTGACGTGAATGCATTGCTACCTGACACACCATAAAGACCACTATGAACACCACTTTTCTTCCGTCCCACCCCCCTTGCATGTCGAAGCTTCGCCTATCATCATAATTTGAAATCCAACACTGAAAGGAATCTCAAATCACACATCGCACTATGAACCCGTACATCCAGACAATCATCCCAGAACCTCAAACTCATCTCTCAACATCGACCAAAGCTTGATCGGATCCTCAACACCCTGCGCATTAATAGCATCTCTAACTTCTGCTCCCATAGTCAGCAACATCCAGCCCACACAGACACCCGTCTTTCTTCTCCATTCTCTTGACTCTCTCTGGTGCTCAGCCCATGCTTTGTCGAATTCTTCATCATCGGCGAGCGAGTATGGGATAGGCGATTGGTCATCACCAGAAATGACGCCCCAGACACCTTGAGCCAGAAGCAGAGCGTGGATCTGAGACTTCCAAGCCTTGTATGTTTCGCAGGTGAGCGGAATGATCTCGTAAGGTGTGCCGATGCCCATTCCAGATCCCTGAAGAGCTGCTTGCTGGCTTGCAATTGCTACCCGAGGAGAGATTGGAATCTCGAAGTCGGTTGAGAGGAATGATACCGTAGTGCCGGTCAATGGAGGTTCGAAGTAGTTGTTTTCTTCTCCATTGTCTTCTTCGTCGGCGAAGTCTTCCTCCTGACCAGACATTTCGTCCTCAGCAGCGATCTCCTCGACATCTTCATCTCTCTCTGCATGGGCATCTTCATCGTTGGACTCATGGTCAGAACTTGCTTCGCCATCACTGAGCTCGTCGTCCAAGTTGTCGCTTGAATTGGCCCTTTGAGTACCGGTGTCTCCAAAATTCTTGAGAAGGAGTCGTAGTCGATTCGCTGGTGATTTGACCTGTGTCAAAATACGAGGTTCGGGAGTTGACTCTGGAGACGAGATATGTAAAGGATCGACCATGGCGTACACAGTGGCTGGATCTTGTCTGGAGCTTTGAGAGCGATTTGTATGAAATCCTCCCAAACCTGCCATTCCGTTCTCAGATTCTGCTTCGTCTTCTCCGGAAGATTCAAGGAGACCATCTAAAGCCTCATCCAAGATGATCTTCTTCGGCATATCGACTCCAGCATACTGGGCCTGAACTGCCGCGACATTCCACTCTGATGCGTAGATCGCAGACTTCGTCAGGAGATCCTGGGGGTCATTGGGGTTAACAAGTGTAGCCATTTCTGCAAAACCTGCAGTCCAAGCATCGTGTATACCCTTCATGACATCAATCTCAGGAATCTCAACAGCAACTTCAACAGGAACTTGAGTGACACGAGTACCCTTAGTCTTTGATGTGCGTCGCTTAGGCGCAGGAGGCGGCGGCTTTGGTACCATTGGCTCTTCGACAACGAAGACTTCTGGTGTATTGTCGAGAAGATACGCATCAGAGTCGACCTCGTGGTCTAACTCGATCGTCTCCGCGAAATAGGAGATTGGACACTCAACAACACCATCCCAGTCTTTCCTGAGCCAGATTTCCGTATAGGCCGCAAATTTGATTGAGAGGTTGTCCTTGGCTGTGCCAGAGTGGGTCTTCGCATCCTCCACGATACCTTTAGCCTTCAATGCCGTATAGTTGCTCTTCATTCTTTGGTTGACTTTGAGGCGCAACACATCTTCAACATTTTTCTCATGACCTTGTTCAGCAAATCCTAGCTCAGCAAGAAGCATGTTGAATGAGTTTGTGTGGCCCGTGATACCTCGCGCTCCATTAACCTTCATCCATAGCAGGATCTTCATCTCTTGCTTTTTCGTGAACTTGGTAATGGCTCCTTTTGTCATGACGGCGTTTATATCGAGACCGTCAATATCCCAAATATCCTCCAATTGTCGTCTCTTGAAAGGGAGAACTGCGTTTTGAAGGACCGGTGTGCCGACGGGAGTTGCAGTAGCGGAAGATTCGGCTATATCAGCGCTTCGTTCGCGATGAGAATGCTTCGATGTGACACTGCTGGAGGATTCGGAGAGTTCTTCGTCGTAATCATTTTCCGAATCTGCGATTTCATCTTCTGGTGACTCAATGGCGCGTGGTATAAATTTGAGAGCAACCCAACCCGAAAGTGAATGCTCCACAACCTCAACTTCAGCAATTTTGCGAGATTTCAGAAGAACGCCGTCCAAATCGCGAGCTCTATTGGAGGCCGAAGAGCTTGGAATTGGAGTTTGACTGCGTTTGCGTTTTAGAGAAGGATGGACTGGTCGAGGAATACTCGCTGCTCGAGCCGGAGAAGAGCTTGTAAAAGACATGGCTTGCTTGGTAACTCGTCGCGTTATCAGAAAGCTGATTCTGTCTGTTGTTGAACAGACCCACGAGGGGATATCGAGGTTTTAAAATTGTATCCCTATCCCCACCAAGTTGGGTGACAATGGTTGTTGAAGACAATGGTAAGGTGGAGGACGGATCGAGATAAACAGTCATGGCCGCCGAGCCTTGTCTCGGCAATAGAGGGACGCTAATCAATGTTATTGGGTGAGAGATTGAATGAATATTTGTCCTGTGTAGGACATTGGCAGACAAATAAGATGCTAGTCTGGTTCCTGAATCTTTACTTTCTCAGGACAAATTTCTAGGATATGTATTGAGTACACTTTAATGGTTTATCACATCTTCCAAGAGCTAAGAATGACGGGAAAGAGTGCTTTCGTTCATTTTGCTTCAAAGATGGAAGGGCTAAGCATGGTGGATCATTGAACACGATGCAAAGAGAACTCGTTAGGATCTTTCAACAAGAAGGTCATAAGAACGAACTCGAAGAGCGAGGAAGTTGCTACAAAGACTTGTCTTCTCACATGAAGTGAGCTTTGTTGTTCGAAAATATAGCTCTCAGCATGAAAAAGAAGTGCCGAGTGTAGCTTTGCAAAGGTATGATAGGCCTATTCTTGATGCTGCACTTGCAGAAGCTCTTTGCAAGAAATATCTAGAACCGACAAGATTTCGGAAGCAAGCAGAAGCACATAATCGGAGAAGAGAAATATTGAATGTCTTAGAAGTGATAGGCTCTTTCTCGCCAGGTGTGTTCCTTTAGATGCTAAACGCCGAACCATTTCTATATCTTATGGCCGTACATGTACAATCATACCCTCATGCCATTCATATTTTCTTACACAACTTTCTCCGCCTCTTCTACCAAGTCCTCGACTCTAAACTCTGGATCACCATTTCTGAATAACTCCAACAGCCGTCTCCTTTCACTCTTTTCTCCTCCGACCCCGTAGAACTTTTGAAGGCACATGACCAACCATTTTGCCTCATCCACACTCACTCCTCTTCCTTCAACAACTTGTCCTTGCAGCAGTACTAATCCCTTGTCTTGTGCTAATTCTAGATGATGCGTAATTGTTGTATGTGGTTGACTAAACTCCCCTCTCAGTTTGTATTCTGCCAAATGAGTGAATAACACGGTCACTGTGTTTTCCGCAGGGAATGCCCACTGCAGGAAATGTATTTCAGCCCCTTGGCCCTCCTTTGGCAGAGGAAGAATAAAATGAGGATGCTGCTTTGCAGTAGCTTCGATTGTCCTGTATACATCGAGTGGAATAACGGCACAGAGTGATTGGGCATCATTCACATGCCGTAGGCGCCAAATTGCTTCTAGCTCTTTCTGTGGCAAAGCGCGGGTCTTTTCTATGTCTAAGTATGAGGAGAGTGTTTTGATGCCCGGCGTCGAAGAAGGGGCTTTCTCGTTTGGTATTCGTGGAGGAGGGGGAGGTGGCGGAAAAGGTGATGTCGATTTCGGTGTTGTTGCTTCTGCCGGAGGTGGAGTGGCTATCGGTATTTGTATTGCAGCCTTCTTTTTGAGGGTTTGAATCTTGTCTTTGTAGACTTCTTTCAGTTCATTAATGTCTCGGAGACCTTCCCTATGTCAACAGATCAGCAAGCAGTACCAAATGTCTATGGGTACACTCGACTCACTCCTTTGCTTTCCTGTCTAGTTTCTCCTTGTATTTGGCCAGAATTCTGTCTGACTGCTGAGTGGCCAAAAATCTAACGTCATGCACTTGTGCCCATCTTCGTTGGGTAGCACGCAGATATGGAGCTGCACCGGATACCACATGCCGGAGAGCTGGGGTTCGCAAGCTTGCCATGATGAATGCAAATGCCAATGCCGTGGGGAAGTCGGAATGCAGTGATGGTTGTAGTTGACGAAAGCTCAGCCTTGACATTGAAGCTTGGACCAATGCGGCCGCATCACGTGTGAGTCCTGAAACGCAGCTAGCTTCCCCCCTTTTTATTGCTTTTGCTAAGCGACAGTTCCTAAACCCTTTCCTCTTGTACTTCTCGGTGCTCACTTTTCTAACTTCATTTGCCGACGACGATCAGTAGTTTCTGCTCAAGATGGATCAACAAGTAAGAGGGACGTACAAGTCGTACTAAGACGATACCAACCACTTTCTCTCCTGGCTGGTGAACACCGCCAAGGATCGCGGCCACCGATTTTCCTCTGGTCCGACTGCTGTTCCTAAATCAACAAGACTGAAAGGCAAAGCACGAAAGGCTGCCTCAAATCAGACGCAAACTCAAATTCCACGGGTCGAATTTCCTCAATTGAGCTTGAAGGACTTCCAAGCATGCGCCGAGACATTGGCCCGAGCCCGTGATCCGGTTGTCACCATTTCGCCTTCGATTCTTGGGCTTGCGAAGCGCGCTCTGTCACTTCGGAAGAAGTTCACAAATTGGTTTGCTAAACAAACGCAAGCCAGCGAGGATACTGTGCAGGGAAACCGTGGACATCGATACTTCAATGATTGGTTTGAGGACATACTCTTGACTCTGAAGCCATGTGGGGATGCTTTCTCGCTCAAGAAGCATCAACTCCCATGACTGAAGATAAACTACGGAATATATTTGAAGCCTTAGACCTCGATGAACCAAGTTTTGAGCAGCCTCCGTCCGAAGGAGTGAAAGCCACCAAACCAACGACGTCAACCACATGGACCTTGAAGAAGGATGAGGCTGAAGATGAAGAGAAACTACTCGCAATCTATTGTCTGTACGAAGATCTCAACCTTCTGCGTCAGGATATTGGTATGCTATGGACAGACTATCGTGCAGGGCGTTCAGACCTGGTGAGCGTGTCTGTAGCAACGAACGCTGCTCTTGAGTTTGGTATATACGTGGAAGCGGAATTTTTGGAAACATATCCAGATCTAACGACTGGTTATAAGATCATGATTGCTCTACTCTCCATTTTTAGATCACCAGGCTGGAGTTCGACATTTCTGGCAGTGGAAACTGAACAGATTGACAAGGGTTGCTATGTTGTTGTCAAACAAGTGCTTGGTTATTGGCTCAGCATGGATGCTTTAACTGCGTGGACCACCGTCACCAGCATAGACCAGATGGTTCTCAGTGCCGTGTGTGCCTCGAACAGCCAGGTATATCAACAAGATGTCCAAAAAGACATAGAATCCAAGGCTGCTGACGCATACGAGCTTCGCATCTTGAGATACAAGAGTGATTTGTTCTCAATTGCGAGCGAGGCTGCCGTCCACGAAGTTTTGCACCACGAGCTGCCTGTTGTAGATCTAGTTACGCAAACACTGCGTGACTCGATTGCAAATCGAGCCGGAGGCAAGTCTTTGAGTGCTGTTTTTTCGTCCCAAGCTTTCTTGGACATTAAAGAGATCATGGGCGAATCTGTTAGTGATGGTTTTAACGAGTTGCGGCGATTCAGAGATTATTTGGACGTACAACGCGATCTTTCGAGTCTTGTTTCGAGTGCGAAGGGTTCTTTGGATAAGATGAAACGCCTGATCGACGAAGACATTTGCCAACAATGGAAGAACGAGGCTCGGTCGCAGATGTTTCACGCAAATGGCTCTCGGCTGGCTGCAGATTCAGTTCCAGCTCCAGCTTTTAAATTACTCAAAGAGCACCCACTGCTCTGTGGTTTGTTACTATTCTACTGCCAAATGAATTTGCAGCGGGTTGGGATGCACTCGGCAGACAGCAGGATATCAATCCTTGCCTGTTCTCACTTGTACAATGCTGTCCAAAAAGCACAACTCTTATCACGGCAATGGGACGATCTCGAACACATTTTCTCCAATCATTCTGACAAAGACTTCTTCCTAGGCTCACGTCCTGAAACACTGACCACTATTCTTCGACAATGGGCTTTAGTCAACGGCATCTCCACGACTTTCTTTTCGAATCATGCTTCCAAATGTGAGATCTGCACTGGCTCATCACATCAATGATTTGTCTAAAGTCAGAGATAAACTTAGCTCCTTAAACTCAAAATCTTCCTAGCTTCCTGTAGGAGCACTAGTCGGACTGATTTTCGCTACACTTAATGAAATTGAAAGTCGGAGATTGTCCTTTAATTACGTTAGAATGCACCAACGGTGTGACCGATATCTTCAAAGTCTGCTACCGATGTCTCCAGGAACCCAGGAGGTGGCACGAAAGAATCCTAGCTTCAATGCAATTGGGGTTCTTGTGAGTAGACTTATCCTTCGAGAAGGGTCATTCGTGGCACAAATGGGTGTCAGGGGTGATGAACATATCTTTTCAGGCAGGGTGTTTGGTCCGATCGCTTCCAAAATGGCCGAAGTGATTGAAAAGGAGGGTAGTTGTCACAAAGATCTTGCCGAGAAAGGTGGAAAGTAAGGGAAAACTTGAAATCCTGTCGCGACACACTGGCTGACAAACTTCTAGACGTCGGAGGGGCAATCTGTGTAGCACGTGCATTCCTCAACCTCCTTGCATTGTGCTGAGCGAGGTGAAGATGCCTCTATGCGAGCATTTGGATAGGAACGTACAGCTGAAGTGGACGACTCTCTACAATGACCTTCTTGCGGTAGGGGCCTGAGTGCTTGCAACAATTATATAATAATACTCGGCATATGGTAGGCTCATGTCACTGTATCAAGTAGGGACGTAGAAGTTCTGGAAATGCGATGATGTTCACTAGAGAAACCCTAGTGGATTATTTCTAAGTCTCAAAGTCACTACTTGTATTAAGTGATGCGGCGTAACATCCGCTCATTATTGAATCTACTAGCTACTAGTGGAAGACTTCCAAAGAAAAGGCACATAGGAAATTTAAATCGTTAGTTTCGATACTGCATCTAACTTTGCAACTTACTTCTCTGAACTTACAAGTCTCTAATTCCGGGACCGTTCCGAAAGTCAACCCGTCTCAGTACCAACGCTAAAAGACTCTCTCATATCCTAGGGACGTGGCATGGTCTTTCCTCGCCTTTCTCATTTCCAGAGAAAACATTGTCGACTGGTGTTTCTCAGACCTGTTCTTCTGGTATTCCTCCTCTTCTTCAGCTGTATTATCGGGATCGGTCCAAAACGAAGCATCCATATGTGCCATGTTATAGCTTTCCCATATAGGTTTGAAGTACGGAGTAAAGAACAAATCTCCGTTCTCCAGATCAGCTCGAGGCACCTTCTTCCAGGCATCTCCATCAGCTGGAGCCCAACCCATCGGCTTTGGCGGCTTGACGGTGGTCCAGTACTTGATGCATCGATTCTTCTCGATGTTGAGTAGCTCGAGTTGTCGTGCTGCTTCAGCTGTTCGGGCTTCTCCCAAGTCTAGTTGCCATCCCGCTGGTTTGTCGTCTGGAAGTTCCGTCTTGAGCGGCGCAACAGGACGATCGGCTAGTATCTCTTCTGGGGTAATTTTCGAAATTAATAACTCGATACCATTCCAGTGCTTCGCCAGAGCTGTTGCGCGAGACTTGAATTCGTATGTCGTATCGTCTTTCAACAGGATTCTTGTTAATGCCCTGATGTTGGTTCTCGCATCGACTTGTTGAAGCACGTGTGCTGTCAAGTCATTTCTGGTTTCCAAGGACAAAAGGTAGTCAGACATGAGTTGCAGGTCATCGTTGGGCAATGGCGTGGGAGTTAATACACGTTGGAGATAACCCAAAATGTATGTAACTGTCGAATGTCAGTGCTAGAAGCGCATAGTCAAAGACTAAGTGGTTTCCGTACCTTCTTTGACCGCATTTTCAATTTCAGGAGCAGGCGGGCGATATTCCAAGGGGATCTCGGGCCAGACGCGCTCGTGTTGGGAGCTGGTTGCTGGAGCTCCAGGGCCAACAATTGAATCATACGAGGCGGTGCCGCCAAAGATGCGATCAACAACGTACTTTGTCCCGCTCATTGTAAGTATTGCAAGTAAGAACAGTTTAGATGAAGGAATACTGAAGGACATTTGCGACGACATTTGATATTTGTATCGCGCGCCCAGAGTTCGCGTAGGCAATTGCTGATGCTAACAGGGGTTGGCGACACCCAAAAAGCAGAAAATAGACAGGATTCAGGCTGCAGCTCTAGGCAGGATACCGCAAAATAATGACTACTGTTAGTGATTGGAGAAGTTGATACACAAGATCAGTACCTAAAGGGAAGTGATTTAGGCAATAAATTCGTATGATATGGTCATTGGGCTGTTTTCGTTGTAATAGTAATTCATTTTGTACAACGCCGAGTACAAGTTAGAGCTGGCTAAAAGGCGATTTTTGATATCTTGGCAAGCCTTTCAATAGCAATTCAATGTTTCTCTCATTTCGGCTAAACATGTCCATTCTCCTACAATGCACTCCTAGCCCATTTCAATACTGTCATCAGAATCCCATATCATCATGCCTCCCCGCAGATAACAGCCGTACTCCCAAGCTTTCGCAACAATCAGCAATAAATTCTCTCCTTCTAAAGCCGATACACTCACCGAATAACAGCAGTTCCCTTGCGTATGCCCAGGCGTATTCAATTTACAAGTATACTGCTTCAAAGCCGGGTTCGTATTCGCCTGAACCTTCGCTGGCGAGCCTAGAGAATCGTTAGTAGCTCGAAGCGTTTGCGTTGAACAGGGAAATGCTCACATGCAGAATAGATGCCGAAGGAGATGGTGCCGCTGCTGAACAGCGAAGAAGGATTGCAGCATTTGCCAGCAAGTGCGCCGCTGCAGCGGAAGCTGGCTGCTAATGGACTGGCGGCGAGGAGCAGGAGAGGGAAGAGGTGGAATTGCATGATTGTTGATTGTCGTTCTTTTCTTTGAGGTGATGGAGAGGAAACAGATCACGTCTCTTAAATAGAAGTGCTGTGCCCCGGGTTCTGATAGTTCCAGAGTGCTGAATAGATGATGTGAGCCATCTGAACAGCTTTATGGGCTTACTTCATTTATACTGGAAATGCTAGTACTTGACCTTGGCAGAACTCAATTGTGGTCCGTAATCCATCTGAGGTACAGATCTGGTTCCCAAAAGTAGTTTGTGCGTGGAAACATGGTAGACAAAATGCTTTCCTGCTCGCACATAACTCACGTACTTTCGATGCCAAAAAGTTAATGATTAACAATTTGAAGACCAACTTGAGCAATGAACGGCGAGGTACGGAAATATATCTGAGCGGTCAACTAGAGCAAAAGACGTGAAATGTGACACTAAGTCTCGGGCCATGCTTCATCTGTGGCCCAGTGGAACCCACCGATCTCGGACTTGACTACATTGTATCTCTGACAACGAAATCTTCGCATCTGATTCTGCGTGCGACGAGAGAATCCCGACGACACAGTCGTGATAACAATGAAATCATGTGATCGGATAGGAAAACTGTTTTCTCCCTCCTTCCGCTCTGCATAACAGGCATTTGGCATAGAAAGTCAAGCAAAGTTGATGCACTAGCATCTAGCATGCGCATACGACAGGACAATGCACTGTAAAGTGAAGGGCAAAGTGCTATGCAAAACCGTTGTATATCTGGAATCTATGTCCAAATCGTCCCAGATGTCTACCCATCCTGTTACCGCCTATCCCAAAATAATATCCAAGCAACCACATGCAGAGTAGATTTATAGCTTAGCTTTCTCGCCTTTCTTCTCTTCCTCCTGGGCTCGAACTTTCAGAACTCTGCGAAGAATTTTACCTGAAGCGCTCTTGGGTACTTCATCCACGAATCTTACACCTCCTCGCAATTTCTTATGACTGGCGACTTTCTTCGCCAACCAATCTACGATATTTTTCTCGGTCTCTTTGTTGCCTTCAACTCCCTTCTTCGGGACAACATAAGCCCTTGGAACTTCTGTAGCTTGCTCGTGGTCTTGGATGCCAATCACTGCTACATCGTCGATATCTGGATGTGAAATCAAGAGTCCTTCCAGCTCGGCCGGTGGGACCTGGAAACCTTTGTACTTGATGAGTTCCTTTACTCGATCGGTGATGAAGAAATTGCCGTCCTTATCTTGGTGGCCAACGTCGCCAGTCTTGAAGTATCCATCTGCGGTCAAGGCGTTCTTCGTACCTTCTTCGTTGTTGAGATAACCGAGGAAGATATTTGGTCCCTTCAACCATAACTCTCCTGTTTCTCCTGCTGATACTTCTTTCTCTTCAGGTGACATGTACTTCGCAGCTTGATTGGGAAGTAAGCGACCCACAGAACCGATGTGTGTACGCCAAGTCTCCCATGGCTGCGTGTGAGTCGTGGGACTTGTTTCGGAGAGACCGTAACCTTGCTTGATTGGTATCTTCAGCCGATCATATACAGCTTCCACAAGCTCGCGTGTGAGAGGCGCCGCCCCGGAGTTCATCATCCGTATCGAGCTGAGATCGTACTTCGAGACCACTGGGGATTTCCCGAGTAAGAGGACAATCGGTGGGACAACGTATGCAAATGTGATGCCGAATTTCTCAATGTGCGAGCAGAACTGTTCGAGGTCGAATTTTGGCATGACGATCAATGTGAATCCCGAGTAAATGGACTGGTGGATCAAGCAAGTAAGACCCTGTACCCCCCATTAGCTATTGTCTCCAAGACCTAGACATATGGTACTCACATAGATATGGAAGAAGGGCAAAAAAGCCATAATCTTGTCTCCTTGACCGTCCTTGCCTCCCTTCCAACTCAGGTTCCCACCTTCTCCAACTTTAATCATCATAGTATTTGCCACAATGTTGGAATGGCTCAGCATCACTCCCTTAGGATGCCCTGTCGTCCCCGAGGAGTATACCAAAAATGCAAGATCTTTCTTGGGATCAATTTTTGCTTTCCTAAACCTCGTGGCTCCCGAAATATTTCTCACATTCGTGAAGTGCTTGAATTTGGCAGTCTCGTCCTTCTCATCGCCAATCAAAATAATCCTGTCCTCCTCAATGCCAGCTTTCTTGCATGCCTCCAGTGCTGTCTGCAAGAAGGGTTTTTGCGTTGCTAATGCCTTGGCTCCCGAGTCCTTCAATTGGAATGCCAATTCCTCAGCAGTATATCCCGGATTCGCAGGCGACACAATGCCTCCCGCCCACAGTGTCCCCCATAATATCGCAGGTGTGTCGATACAATTTGGAGTATATAACGCTAGAACATCGCCCTTCTTCCACTCCCAATTCGCCTTCAATCCCTTTCCAAAGTCAAGCGCTGTGCTTCGAACTTGGCCATATGTGTATGAACGCTTCGTATCGGGATTGATGTAGATTACTGTATCTCAATTAGTATTTTGCGCCACCTCTGCTGCTTCTCGCAAACGCTCAATTGAATGCTACCTTTATCATCAGGAAAAGACCTGTCTTTCCGCTCAAATAGAAATGTCCATAGATCCACGTTCGGGATATCTAGCTTGGGGTATGCTGATTCGGTAGGCATTGCGTAAGATTGATTCCCACCAGCAGAAGAAAGACCCAGATATCGAAATCAGGAACCCAGGCAACGTAATTAGGGAGGATGTATGCGACGATAGAAGAAAGGACGATTCCGACGACAACGTTGACCGTAGTGTTAAGAGTACTCATCTTGGTGACGACGGCCGGGGATAGCGCTCTAAATACTCGAGGCGGGCAATCGGTATTCACTGGTCTCGAATCTCCACAGAACGTCACGAATTGGAGAAGTTTGTCAGGAATGGGATGCCGAACCGAGGCACCTTCTCCGTATGGGGAAAACCGTTGCCGAATGTGTGGGGGTACACGTGACGTTTCAAAAGTGCTACAAAATATCTGAAGTGATATTCAGATGAAGATATATATATGGAGAGGAAGTTGGGATGAATGTGAGAGAGGTTGATGCTGTTTTTAATTACTGATCAAACACAATGCGTTTCCAGTCTCGCTAGTTTTGCCCCTTGAATACTCGCCTCTCATAAAATGGCGAGCGCATTTGGTGGACTCGCAATTCCTGACTTGATGTTCAAGTTCTGAATTGTCAAGAAGAAAGTTGATCTCCCTAATTGATGCAATTCTTCTGCCAAGGTTTCTAGATCTAGAAACTCCACGATACTTTGACCCCACCCTGCTCGAAATGTCAGCACGTGTGCACACACCTCATCGAGCAACATAAGAAAGAAGTCGACCTACCACCAATAAACACTTGGTGCAAGCTCCTAGCTACACCTCCTATTGTTTTGTCCATAGGTAAACTCTCAAAAGCAGGGTTGTCTGCACCGATAAGAGCAAGCTTCTTCTCCCAAAGCCAAGCGAGCGAATCATCGCTACAATTCATACCTACAGATCCCAAATTTGGATCCCAAGGAAGAATTTCTTGGTTGTACGATGTTAGATTCAAGTAGGCCTTAGTCCAGCCTGTGCGGATGAGGAGCATATCTCCAGGAAGAGACCAGTTGGAAGGTAGACCTTGCCAAGCCGCAATAGCATCGAGGGAGCTAGTGTTAATCCCATATCCCTATGGCATTATAAGTGTCTAGAAAATAAATGATAACGAAACACAGGACTAACGGTAAATGCATCGAAGGTCATGTTTTGAGTCAGAGCCCAACCTACGAAATCAAGAAGCACTCCCCGTCCAGCGATGCCTTTCTGGGCTGCTTGCTGGATACCTAGAACTTCGGTAGGAGCAGGGCCTACTACTTGATCGAAATTCTTGTATGCGATTAGCTATCTTTTCTCCTTTATTACTTCATTTACGGGCATAATGAGGGACTTCCACATGAGCAAGTTACGAAGTGACATACCTCGATCAAGTCATTATACCATCTTCTCCCAGTCAGTTCCCTGGTTCTCATCACCACATGATTTACGCAAACTCACTGATATGTAGTAGTGTTTCCATCCGTTGAATATGGACTACACAGATCAGCCCGCATCTTTTTTTGAATACACCTCAAGCTTTCAGAATTTTCAACTCACAAATGCCTCAATCCATCATACTGGGTACTGACTTGCGTGTTCAGCACGACCACATCATCCGTATACCCATCTCCAGGTTGAAAAAGATGATTTAGTGGTTTCCGGTTTGGATTGATAGGAGTCGTGAAAGCGTTCAAATCCATGCTTTAAATTTATTAGCCTGCGTTTTCTATCATTACCTGCCGCAATTCGCGCGATTTGCGCTACGCGCGCAATATGCGCTATTCGCGCTGGCATCCGTTGCAAGATGTCTAGCGCAAAGCTCCTTGAATTTTCCAAAAGAAAACATTTCACAAGAAGATGGTTACTACTGAAGAAGAAACTCACTTGAGGTTAATAGCTCTCCCCAACTGAATCTCGCCCCTCGCAGCAAGAATGGTAGCATTAGTGATATGATTCAACGCTCCTTGAACATCGTCTGCGCCCTATGTCCAAATTAGCTCCATCTCCAGATCCGAATGCAGATGCACTAACCCAAACTCCCCAAGCAGCTTTGGTGGGGTAAGAAGGATCCAATGGCAATTGATCATAGGTAGGCCAATTCGTATAAGGATCTTGAGTATTAAATTGTCTTGAGACCAAAACTTTAGGATTTAGAGCGGCATGCGGATGTGCTGAGACAAGGGAAATTGCCGACACCACGGTGTATAAAGAAGACTTCATGATTAAGAATAGTGAAACAATAATTTGACAAAATACACCTACAGGAAGTTCGACAGGATTTTATACTCATAGTAACAATGTCAAAAAAATCAAGGAAGAACGGATAAAAACTCTTCCAGCAAAGATGGGATGGGATGGATACTTTTAGTTGCTGATGCGGGGTATTGTGGGGTACATTGATACTCCAGCAAATCGTCCGTTTAGCAACCAAAGCACTGGAAATTGGCCCTGAAGATCCATCACCGCTGCTGTTCAGGCACTTATCAAAGCCTACAGAAGTCTCATCTCATAAGCTTATTTCCGCCCAGCAAGGAATACGCGAGCCGCGAAGCCATATATCAAGCTTCATCCCTGGAATGTTCAAGCAAGTCACATCACGTCGAGTAGTGCTAGAATGGGAAGCAAGCCGAGTGGCTGATTCGCGATAGTCTATCTACGAAAAGGCACTGGTAAGAGCACCAGTTCAACAGAATGACTACCCACCAACCCCGAACCCAGGCTCCCCGTTGTCGAAAAAAGTCTATGGGAGGTCAACAAACACGATCGGACGCTCTCGAGCCGCCACGACAATCAACATGCCAACCTCTGACTGAGTGTCAGTTTACATTTCCCTTTTCACGCTCAGCAACCATCCTCCATCCATAGCTGGGAAAAGCAGATCTGTTCACTGTTTTTGGCCCACCTGTCATTGGAAGTCAGCAGTTGTCTTTCAAAGTGCAGGTATGCTCATATGTACTGTGGTATTGTATACTCCAACAAGGGATTGACTTACACAAATGCTCCACTAACATCATCTGTGAGTGAGAGTCTTGCCGTGCCACTGTCGTCTCACCAACTCGTCAATGGCGTTTTTATTTTTGAAGGGCATTTAAGCCGTAAAGAAATCGCCTACGATTTCCAAGGTCGTCGAGTAGTCATCAAACCGTAAAAGAGATATTTTCATCTTTGGCTAGAGTATTCACTTTCGACACCGAACCAAGCCATGCCCACCCATCGGTGGAGACTTCTGATACCTGCAGCAGAAGCAAGAAAATCAAATGATGCATAGAGAATTAGGAGTGCCTGTCGTCACTCCACCACAAAAGTTTCGCCAACCGGCCAACCTTATGATGGTAGTCCACGAGATACTACACGGTCGAGTGTATCGAAGACTTGACTTGATAGATGAAATCGCTGTTATGCTGTTAGTCTAATTGTCAGGACAACAAGGATCAACTCACCTACAACGATTCAAGATAACAACTGTCTTCGCCCATTTTCTCCTACGCCTCCTTTCTTGACAGATATCCTAGTTCCCTCGCCGTATGGTTGACCATAGTGGCTCCCTGTACTCGTTTGCCTACGAGCTTGAGTCGCGTAGGCCAGACTGATGTTGCCAGCACCATCTGTCGCGACTCATTATCGAGTTCGTCTCTCAAGACCGATATAGCGTATTGAGTGGCAGAGCTTCAAGAGTATTTGACTACCCCAAGGAAGACGTGACCATCCCAACTCACCGCTGCAGTTTGAAACAACCGGAGCGTTCACAACAAGAGCGTTGCACGAAGTTTCACTGCAAGGGCATCAAGTCGACTTGATCACAATGCTAGTCAACTTCGATATGGATCCTTCTCGGCCGAGTCCGAGATGCTGGCTTCGGAGCAAAGTCGCAACTTGTCGTCACGCTTACTATCACGCTTATCTCCTTCAGAAAGGGTCCCGCTCAGGTGGTACGACCAGCCCCAGGAAGTGAAGATGCAAAGAGCTCATCAGCGGCCGTCTACATGACTGACGTGCAGATCCGCTTTCAGATATCATCGCAGAGCCTCAGATCCGCCGATCTCCGGGCACATAGACAACTCCATGCGCCTTTCTTCATCCACTCAAAACGCCGTCGGGAAAACGAACCACCTTGGGCCTTCTGGATTACATTGTTAGCATAACGCACAGAATTCAGAGTACACACGGATAATCAAGATCTTCTTACTTATAGTCCTGCCCAGGACAAGTCATCCAACATCGCGGTACATCAACATAAATCAGACAAGTTTCTTTTTTTGGGGTTTTCTTTTTTCTGCAAAAGATTCATCGTATATTCATCGCAAGAGCCACTTCCTCGAATCGCGCAGAAAGTGGCTGAGGTCGCTAGCCTGGGGGTTTGCATGGATCGGATCATAGCGAGGGTCTTTTTATGTCGTACCCAGGACGACGGCTCCAATCTTTCTCCACGACCAGATAGAGCTTTCTTGCACTGTGTCGGTTACTAGTAATCAATGGAGAGCCAAGGTTCTGGGCTGTGCAGGATCGACTTCGGTGGGAGTTATTCAAAAGTGTTTCGAGTGGCCTGACAAAGCACATCTCGTCACCAGCAGTAGGGTGATCGTGTACATGAATCAACATATCCCATGGCCTATTTCAGCCAAAGAATTCTCCAGCAACTAAAGTTTCCCAAGGTTTGCCAGTGTCCCAGACTCGTTCCATTAATGTACGAGCTTTGTGAACTTGGGTCATACCAAACGTTTCCACACGCATCATACGTTCTAGAATATCTGCTCTCTGCTTTTCATCTTGGGTCTCGCAACCCGCGGTGAACATGGGAAACAATAGGCAGACATCAGCACTGCTGCCTCTTCGAACTTTGTAGAGGGCACCACATATCTCTCGAACCGCTTGCTGGACGTCATCATGTGTCGACGGTTTTCCTAGGATGCGGCGATGCAGATGCACAAGACCAGCCCAATGAAAGGCTTCATTCGTAGCTGCCATCTCGATAGTATCCCACTGATAGGCAGCTTCACCAGTAGATTGCATGTGGGTGCATGGCTGAATCGGATGGACGCGAGACTCCACCAGCTCTGCCTCTAGCTTCTGTGCGCTGGCCAAAGTATTTTCGGAAGGCTTCCAATCTGGTCTTTCCTCAAGGTCGGGGCCTATTCGTTCACTATCGCAGGCACGGGAAAGCTCTGCAATCTTGGCTAGGAGTCGGACGCATCTACTGGTGAATCCCAGGATACAATCGATGGCATATTCGTTCTCTTCGCGACATTCGTAATCGAATATCCATGACTATTCGTGTCAGCACTGAGACCTTATAGGCATGGAAAATGTATTTGCATACAGCGTTGCCTTTCCCGCCGCTAAGACTACCTAAGACGTCCAGGTATGCGAACCAACTCCAAAGGAAATTCACAACTTTGTTATTGAGAGCGACACTTCTCATGTTTTGGGGGCCTCCTCGAACAGCAATAATTTCCCGAGCGATGCCAAGATGCGATTGCCAAGGGACTTCGATGCCAAATGCTGTGGGTGAGATGATTTCTAGCGAGGCAAGCATTATAGCTGTAGCGAGCGTGGAATTTGAGATGACCTCGCTCGGGTCATCAAGAGCTCGTCGGAGATTCGGAAATGTGTCTCGCATGTAGATCGCAATTCGGGTAGCAGGTTCAGGTTGACGAAGCAGACGTGCTCGGTGAGACGCAGAGTAGGCAAGAAGGAGATTGAGTAAGTTGTCATCTCGTACAGCCATCTGGGGCAGGATACTCTTGAAGGGATTGGAGGAGCAGTTGTGTGGAATCAGGCAGCCGGCAGTGTGATTAAGAAAATGGTGCTATGCTAGTTAGTGAGAAGGCCACATTGCATTGCTCTCTTGATGCTTACGAAATACTAGGAGAGGACGTTAGCAACATGCAATTGAACAAGAACGAGGTTTACTCACGAGTAGATTCATAGGATTCTCAAGCAACTTGGTTGGCAGAGGGTCCAGAGCTCGAGGTATGTTGATTGGCACTGGCTTGTCGTAATAATTTCCACTATCGAAAGCCGTGTTGTACGTCTCCATGCCAAAACCAAACTCTGCTGGTGTCCCACGATCATATACTAGCTCGAGATGGTCTCTCAAAGCTACTGGTGAAGCCCCCGAGATAGCATTGTGGTCATCGTTCCTGGGTATATCGAGATCCTTGAACCCTCGATCGATGCCCCAAGTCGTCGTATCTTGATACTGGTCTTGATATTGCGGAAGCCAATCTTGCACATCGGATGTTGGATGGTATATTCGGTCATTTGATCGATCACTTAATTGAGGAATTCCTGGTGGTCCAGAGAGAAGAGAGCTGACAGATAATCGGTGCAGGTCTCGTGAGTCTTGTGCAGATTGTCCGTCTGATGTATTTGATCTTTCTCGTTCGAAAACCCTGCGATCATCGTGTCGATTCTCATGATCGACAGAATAACCAGAGTGTACTTCGGATGGGCTCGACTTCTCCTTGTAGCGGCTCTCTGAACTAGTCGAGTATTCAGTTGGAGGGGGCATCGAAGACATTAGAGCCGGATCTATTAAAATCTGATCGGAAGGAGCGTTGTTCAGAAGAGGACTTTGATTGTCGAGGAAGGTGCGAGGTGGGGCAAAGGGAGGTTCCTGAATCTGAGCCGGTTCGTCTTTGACCTGCTGATGCTGACGGCCAAAATCTGCAAACTCGTATTGCGTTGGTGATGTCGACAAATCCCACGAGACTGTTGTACCGTCTAGCCTTCTGGCAGAATAATTGGTTGGCTTGTTGGGCGCGGGTTTGCTAACACGATCTAGTTCCCTCTTCTGCCGTCCATTCCACTTCAAATCAATAGTATAGTCGCAGGTATCTCCGTGCTTCTGGCAGGCAAGGCATGATGGCTTCTCCTCCCCGCACTTGATCTTTCTAGCCTTGCAAGGCCTAGAAAAACGGTAAGCATTGTGAAGGGGTCAAGGAGAAATGAGCTCAAGACATACTTGCAGCCGTTGCGGCTTCTTGTCTTTGGTGGCGGAGCACCAGGTTTCTTTGGTCGTGGCATGATTACGCAGAACTAATGCTCCTCATCTGTTGCTCGTCCTGGTTTGAGGTTGTTGAGGGCAAGCGTGGGGGAGGAGGCTCAGAACAGAACGCATTTGTTGTTGCTGTAAGTTGCTCCTTGGTTGGCAGTCAGAAAGCCATCGTATAGTTGACATCTTCCGGAAATATTGGATTCTTGCCAGCAGCGTTCCTGCGAAAGATTTGTATCGGTGAATAGTGACGATTTGAAGAATGAAATGGCGGGGTGCAGTTTTTGGAAGGAAGCCTTGTCAACTGATTGCGCTAGCAGATAAGCTTTCAATTTCCGCCTGAGGAGGCAGGCTCGGCTTTGCAGTGTCAGGGTTTGTATCCTTAGGTTGATGACAGTCTCAGGAAGAGCTTGGAAAACAAGCCCTTTCTTTTTTTGATTCTTCAAATCTCGTCCAAAGATTCTTCTTTGGACCATTTTATGATGAAGGCAAAGTTTGACCAGATTCAGGGACGTCAACGGCAGCAATTTCGAGGCATGCTGCAAACGGTCTTTTATCAGGATCAAAATGTGGTTCTTGATTCTTTACATGATCTCTATGTTGAGAATCTTGATGTCTTCCTCTGGCTTTTCCTTATACACTCTCGTATTCTCAATCTTATGGATCACATCCAAGCCCTGAATTGCTCTTCCAAATATAGTGTGCTTATTATCAAGCCAAGGCTGCCATAAAATTAGTACACAAAAGAAGCTATGTTACAAAAGGGCTGAACTTACAGTCTTTTCTGTGGTGATAAAGAATTGACTTCCGTTGGTGTTTGGACCAGCGTTAGCCATGCTCACAGTGTACGGCTTGTCATGTCTTAGAGTACTGAACTCATCCTCGAACTCTCTTCCCCAGATACTTTCTCCTCCAGTACCGTCTCCCAAAGGATCACCGCATTGAATCATGAACTTGCGGATGACTCGATGGAAAATCGTATTGTTGTAGTATCCTTTCTTCGAATGGACAACAAAGTTTTCTACCGCTTTTGGAGCCGCATCTGGGAAGAGACGGACGTGAATATCTCCAAAGGTGGTGTGGATTATTGCAGCAGTTCCACTTTCCGCCGCTTTTGCTTCGACAGCCTTCCTTGCATTCGCATTGGTAGGCTTCTCATTCTGAACATCTCGCTCAGACTTCGAGATGTTCTCATCGTTCGTGAACATGTAGAACCTTACTCTACCGACTCCAGTAGCGAAGAGTATTGGATCTCTCGTTTCTGATTCTTGCAGGAGAGGATTGTTCGAAGCGGCCATGGCGACGGTTGTAAGGCCTTTCTTCTGGGGTTGGCCTTGATACATGGCGACATTGAGAGGTCGAAAATTCTCATCCTGGCCATAGACTTTGACAACGCGATTCGTGTATGTATTCAGGACTTTCGTGCCCAACATGGACCCGTATATGATGAAATGGCCAGTCTCATCAAATATTACATTAGCCTTACTTCGTAGGCTCGGCCCTTCGATTTCTCTTTCTGTTGCCATTCGTCGACCAAATTCCACATCTTCAAGCTTGCGGAGCGCTGTTCCAGCTTGTTGCATCTCTTCAATGATCTGTAATGATTCATCGTATGTTCTGTAGAGCTTTCCCGTAGGGAAGTCAAATATCCTAACCTTTCGGTCCGGAAAAGAGAATGTCGCAAATTGTGCTCCATTTGGAGATATGGTTAACGAAGTCGGTGTAGATTTCGCCTTCTTAAACTCAAAAAGACTGGTTGAGGACTTGTATTGGAAAACGTTGTCCGGTTTCTCGTAATTGCCTCCAGGTCTCCAGTACTCGATCATGCCATTCTCATCTGTCGAAATAACGCAGTTGTATGCATCATTGAATGCTATCAACGAAACTACACTTCTGTGAAGACCAGAGATAGTATGGATAGGATCCAGAATTTCTCCTCGTCCATCATATACCCGAATAGTATGATTAACCTCGTCCGAAACGGCCAGGAGAGGGAGCGATGCGCCTCGGCTATGTATCCAGCAGATGCATTTAGGTGTAAACTCCAACGTCAACATGGACAATAGGTCGAAGGTTATAACATCGAATATCTTTATGCTCTTGTCCACACCAGCAGTCGCAAAACTCCTCCCATCAGCACTCACAGACACACTCCTGGTTTCCCCAGAATGTGCCTTGAATTCTTTCACGAAGTCGATACCTTCTGCGCCTTTCTTCCAGAACTTGACAACACCATCCACGGAGCTCGTAATCATGAAATCGGTGAGTGGTGTCATGGTAACGAAAGACACTTGCTCCTTATGCATCAAGGACTTCGAGTACTTCGCAGATGTTGGGAGAGCTGAGATATAGAGCTTCTCGTACGGCAGCTTGCGGCGCTTCTTCTTGGGCGCATCTGCAGAAGGGAGCTGCGGTCCCATATCATCGTCGGATGAGGAGTCTAGGCTGTCAACAACATGTTCAAATGTCAGGAAAATTCGCATACCATCATCATCCGACCTGCTTCTCTTATTCGACTTGGTTTCCACTGCATCTTGTGCCATGACTGCGAATGTCAAAAGTGGAAGTAAAAGTCGCGACCTGAAAGAATGTCTCTCGACTTGAGCTGCTCGAAAAGAGCAAGGCTGAAGATTACAGGGAATGATTTTCACGCTAGTGGAAGGCTGCAACATGGGTCAAAGTTGCAGCCGGATCCACAATTGCTCCGTCACTCAATAACCAAGAACCCGCTCTGTTCCTGCTCTCTGTCCTTCACTTGTACATTCTTTTACAGACCGACATCATGGGAACCGTATCCGAAGAGCTCATGGCTCGGCATCCTTTACAGCGACTTTCCTCACCGTCGCGAGGCGTATCAGCATTTGTGCACACGATAGGAATCATTTCCTTCACGCTCTCCTACAAATACCTGATCGACTTCCCTACTATGATCAACGAGTCCTACGGGTGGCACTGGCAATACTTGACGATTTTGGGCCTCACGGTGGCATATGCGACGTTTGTTTTTGGACTTTTGGCAGACATCACTCTATCACCAAAGCTCTTCTTGATTAAGAACACTCTCTCGTTATGCAGTGCACCTCTGGAGGTCCTCATAAGCATACTCTACTGGGGAATTAGTGCGATAGACAAGACTCTGGTTGTTCCGCCAGAGATACATATTGCGCCTTTGGCAGATATTGGATTTCATGCCATGCCATCGATTCTTCTTGTTATCGACCTGCTGTTCCTTTCCCCACCTTGGACCATACACGCCATACCAGCTATGGGATTAAGCTCAACTATCGCGGTGGGGTATTGGGCTTGGGTAGAACAATGTTATAGGCACAACGGATTGTAAGACACAACGTCCTTGTCATGCCTCGAATTTCACTAACCTTTAATAGTTACCCATATCCTCTATTTGCAGCGCTAGACACGACTCAGAGGATATTCCTGTTCACATCGGCAGCGATGACCATGACTGGAAGTACAATTATGCTGCAGTGGTTGTATGGTAGAGTGAATGGGCTACGAGGGGCAGAGAAACGTTCAACACCAAACAACATTAAAGGAGCATAATTTGGACGTATACAAGACAATATAGAGATTCAATATCACTGTAGATGTTGTACGGTACTATTCACTCTACTCGCCCCAGAACAAGTTACAGCAAGAACTTCAATCCGTGACTTCTTCCTCATCACATGGCTCTTCAAGTCCGATGTCGGAGGTGCATTCTGTCAGATAATTATGGAGCCGATGTTTTTGAATCGGGAAATCTTTTGAAGCTAAATGCCAGCGATTTCAGCAAGTGCTGCACTTTTCGTTTCCGACGATCTCGTCCTAGTCTTTACGACAAGTTTGCGCACCCAACTTTTACCCCTATTGTATAAGCGAGCTTGCAAATGCCCTTATATCTGCCTGCTCTAAAGTGTATATGTTATGAATGGAACTGATTAGTTGAATACCTTGCTTTCTGTTTTGCTTGAAGATATTAATCAGTTACGTTAGCAGATAGGAAGGGTTTGAAGATGGGAAGAGATCGGCAAAGACCTCAGCTTTCAGTCTTTGTGCTTCTGTCCATGGCGTTGCCTTCTGACTACAGTAGCACTCTAATATTGTTTCAGGGTCTGGAAAAACGTAGCCGAGTGGAGAACGGGTGTACACACTGTTAGCTCTAGAACAACTTAGCAACCCTTGATTATTTTCAGTCGCCAATCGTGAAGGGGCTGAGAAATGATCTTCATAACTGCAGTTTCACAGAAACTAATGTGACTTACTTTTACCGGAAGTACCTAGCTTACTGGGCCTGCGGCTTTGCCCATCAACCAGCAACTAGAGCAATAAAGCACGGATTAAGCCACTCAACTCTGAGCACGGGACTTGATAACATATACTGCCAACCTACCTGATTCAAGACTTATTTTTAACTTTAGTCGTCAAAAGCTCTGCAATAGCTCGTTAGCATTAGCGCACATGACCTGACTTCTTGCGACAATGCGATGGCTTCCACAATAGCATTCCTATTCGCATTCGAACGAATGCCAGCTTCACCTCAGCTCATTAGCCCTACGGCGAACAAATGCGGGTAAGATTATAAGATTGTTTCACTGACGTAGCCTTGGACAAATAAGATTCTAGCCATTGGGGGCGATCCGCTAAGCTTACATCTGCAACTCGGGTTCTCACCAATCCTGTTCCGCATACGCTCGCTGGTAGCGGAGGCGAGCCCCGTTGCCTTGGTTTGCCCCTGTTGCCGACTCTGACATTAGCATTTTGCCTCATCGCTATTTTGGGTGGCTTGAATCTCTGCATTAGTGTCAGCCTAGTCGAAGTCAAAAGTCTCGACCTCTTCAACATCGTGTCGTGTCGTGTTCAATTGTTCTTGTTTCATTGTTTTATTTGATTTCATTTCGTTGCCTCTGTTTTATGCAGCGTGATCCCCGCCGCTTTCATGATGTGGAAACGAGCGAGAAGTCCTCACTCTATCTCAGAGTCAACGAGAACGCTGTTATTACGGCCACTGCAGTCTCGATCCGACCCACCCATTCACTCGAAGGAGGACCTCGAACCCACTAGATCAAGATTTTTGCTTGTCCCTGGATTGCTGATAACATCTATCATTAACTTCGTCCTTATTGCTGGTTTAAAAGGTCACTGGACTGTCACTGGTTCAGCAGCAACTACCATTATCAACAATCCCTCAACGTTTTCAGCCGTACGCCAAATCATAGCTTCTTTGCTTGGAGCAGTCTACATGTACTCGATATGTATGATTATCAATTGGGCATCTCGGGTGATTATCTCGAAGCGAGCTGTCACTTTGGACAGACTTGACTTCTGGAGCGCAATCTGCGGTTCTCGGGTCGATTGGACCTTGCCCAAGAGTAAAGTGCCTTTGGTCCTGCTCTTTATCGTGGCAACTCGAATCCCGGCGGCTTTCTGGGCTGGTGCGCTCGCTCCTACTCTTACGAAGGCGGAGATGAAGAAGACACATAATATGACAACCAGTGTCCCGCATTACACACAGCAATCGTTGGACACTTATGAGCCTGAAAGTCTCTTTAACAGCAGCGATCCCATGACCTCGACTCCACTTGGAATCTTTTCCTTCAGTCCGGTAAGAGACCGCTTCGGTTTCTTGTTGAATGATGGGGCTTCAGCATCGAGCCAAAATAGAAGTGAGGTTCAGCTCTACAAGAAGAACGACAACTCAAACTTTACTTACTATGGTCGTTCTTATGGAGTTGGTGCATCTGTCGGCCTCGTAGACAAACAGATTGGACAACGATTTCCGGGTCTGGACTCTTTCTCGTTCAACGAGACTGGGACGATGACAAACATCTCGTGTATTTTCAATCGAAGCACAGATTTTCATCTTGAGCTGGTCCTTTCCTCAGACAACATCATGTATCCCAACATCTACGAGGCCACTGGCTGTCCACCCTGGGATCCTCCCGGCGGGAACTGTGGGGGATTCAGTGAAATCGGCATAGGCAACGATGACACCGTCGTCGCTGTTGCTTGGTGGGTTTGGCCCAATGCTACCGTCGAGAACTTTGAAGGCACGCTCGCTATTGCGGCAGGAAAGAACTACACCCCTCTCAACAATAGCCAATGCTCGGTAACAATGGTTCCCAACAAGTTCACCGTCAATGTCAACGTCAAACGAGGACTAATCCAAGTGGTCCCACTGAATCAATCCATGGGGAATGGAACGAACCCTATACCAATTGTCCAAGGGGCATTCACAACCACCGCTGCATTGTCCGAAGTGGCCTCGACAAAATTCACGTCGGCAATTGGAAATATGCTGAATAGCAACATCTACAACGTCAAGCTTCAGGAAACATCGGAGTCGACCGATGGAAAGACGCTTCGTGGGATTTCTGAGGCGATGGAGGTTGTCACCGATGATGCATTGGTGGCTTATTCCAGTGCACAACTCATGCTTGCGAATGAAGCGACCCAAGTCCCTATCACGATTGTTGTGGATGCGGTGTTAATAGGAACCGCGCCTTACATCTATACTGTAGCAGGGATCAATGCTGCTGTTCTCCTACTCGTAATTTTCGAAGGGGTCCGGACCAGAGGGTGGAGGGGAATGCCGAGGTTTAATTATATGTCTGTGAAGAGCACAGTCGTCAGCAGCTCGATGGGTGGCAATGCTGTAGCTAGGAAAGCAGAGGGTATACACAAGTCTTCTGGGCAAAGCTGGACAGGGAACGCAAATGATAGGAAGAATGGGAATATTGCCGTCCGATTGAGGAGAGTGGACGGATTGGCTTTGACGTTGGATGGTGATAAATATGAGCAGAGAACGTCACAAACATCAGACTATGATATGCCTGAATGGAGCGATCGGATCAGTGTACGGTCTGGCTTAGTCTAGATAGAGTATATGTTTCAAAAAGATGATACCTTCGCGTTGCACTTCCCATGGACGTCCATGTGCCGAATCTAGATGCTATTCAATCCGTTGAAAACCTAAGACAATATTCCTTATCCTTCATCTTCTCCTCACTCTTCACTGTCCTCATATCTATCCTCATATCCTACGATTCTTCATATTCTATAATGCAGAATCACTCCCCTCCAGACTTCTCTCCCCACCAACACCATCAAATCTCCGCTGGCGTTCCACATCCCTGAGATAGAACCATCTAATCGCCAGGACGGTAAGGACAGCACCGAGTCCAAAGCCGGCTGTGACGTAGTTACCCATCACGATGTAAGGTTGTTGATTAGCTGGAAAGGTGAAGATTGGGGTCCAAGCTGTGAAGATGTATGCGAACGCGTTCATCTGATGAATATCAGAAAAGCCGGTTCTCAGTTTAGAGCATAGATAGGAAGAGAGATAGAAAGGTACGAAAAGAAAATGGACTCACCATAGCCGAAACATATGCTCGTTTTTCTGGATCTTGTCTACTTGATTCATTGACGAATGTCCACGTGATACCAGCTGCTGTTCCACCGAGGGAGGTGAGATCTACTATCAGTCAGCACTACCCTTTTCTACTTGTAGGTGAACGAAGGAAAGACTCACAATATAGAACCCATCTCTGCGCTTTCCATTTCGGATGGACCGGCGTAGCGGCTAGAGCTGTGGGGAAAATAATAGACATAATGCTGGCAAATAACATTCCAGGCCACCTCGTGGCTCCAGGTAAACTATCTGAGATCCATGAGTTGGCTAGGGCGCAGACTATGATTATGATATTAATCTGCGTAGTGTTATTCAGTTTTGCTTGGAGTAAAAGATAGGATCAGTGCTGATCATGGGGGAAATGGACAAGCAGAAGAGGAAGACATACTCCAAGAGGAATGATGTTGATATCAGCGACGGAGAACACGGGCGTCTTGCCTTTGATGTTGTAAGATTTCACCCAGAAGATCACTATGCTTGTTAAGAAGAAACACTAGGAGTTTAGGGGTGCATGAGACTCACTGGATCCTCCGGATTGACCGAATTGAGCAGCAAATGTGAAGTACAGCGGGACTTTTCGGTTTTTATTAGCAAATGAATAAGAGTAGTCGTTGGTGAAATGCTTACATAGATATACATGCCACGTCGTATGCCAGCGCTTGATATCCTTCCACTTGAACAACCCCGTAAGAGGTCTTGAGTCAGTGGGGCCTATCCTAGCACGAGCCAGCTCGACTTCCTTCTGAGTGAAGATCCTAAAGGATGTTAATATTTGGATTGAGACATGAGGAGCAAAAGAGAAACAAACCAATTGGCTTTTGCTCGAGCAGGAAGTTGAGGCATTGCAAGTGCCGTCCAGAGGGCGCATGGGAAAGAGATACAGCCACAGACGCTGATTCTGTCAGTTTGGTTTTGTTAAGGTCAGGGAGAAAGAACGCACATGTACATCCATCGCCATCCAGCTAGGCCGTGGACTCCGTTGAGTCCGGCATATACAGCTGCCATCAGGAAACCTGAGAAAAGCGGTCCAACTGAGGTGAAAACTTGGATGATGGTATTTCGTCGAGCGAGCTCATGGGGCTTGTAGTAACTTGAAGCGATGTACATGACTGCAGGGAAATGACCAGCTTCGAATAATCCAACACTAATATCAAGTTAGTGACCAAGGAATAAGACTCGATAGACTGAACGCGTACAAGAACCGGAAGACATAAAGCTGGGTAGTGTTATGAATGCCGGCATGCGCAAACGTGAAGACGGTCCAAGCAGTCTCCAGGAAGGCAATGTAAAGAGGGACATTGACTCGAATAAGAATCAGATTTGAGGGAACTTGGCCGAACACATAAGCTGCACTCCAAATAGCGTTTGCATAATTAAGTTCTTTCCCGTAGAGTGAAAGGTCTTCTTTCATCCCACTGTCTGATCATATGTTAGAAACAAAAGCTAATATTTAATGGAAAGACAGCATACTAAAAGCATTGGTGATATTGACTTGATCAAGATAACGGCACATAACACCAAGAGCTGATGCCGAGATGAGCGTCAAGTCAAGCTTGGTAAGGAAGCGGGCTTCATCCTTTGGGACGTCGAGCGCTATGGGTTGTCAGCGATAATTCTCCGTTCTTATAAGTGCAGCTCTCACTCGACCAGAAATAAGATCTCCATGTTCTCTTCGACTGAGTGTATACTGGAGCGTTATTTTCTGAGAATTCTGACTTTAACACGACTGGTAGCTCGGTTCCCTCAGTAATGAAGGCATTTTTGACGGCTTTTTCGTCGGGATATGCCATCTTCACTAACTCGAGGTGCAGCAATTTTCAGACTTTTCCACTCTTCAATGTTGGGTCGAAGTATTCTTATGATATGCATAGTAGCAAGCAAAGTCGGCGTCGTCTTCATCTGGTCCCATAGCGACATATCATGTGTGCCGTGTGGAGCGCCGATAAAGTTCGAATAAGGTTCTGTCAAGATTACTCAAACCAATGAAACGAACAAGATTTTGGAGATAGCGAAGGTTGCCGTGTATGGCTGTTCTTGGCAAAGGTCTAGAATTGAAGTGCTGGGAGGAGATGCAAAAAGACGAGAGAGATGCGCTTTATTGCGTGCTCGGTTAGGCGGTTGCCTGTCAACTTCAGCACCCCAATGCCAATTTGGTCCGGAATAAGCAAAAGCCCCACGAACCAGTTCCTTGGGAAAACCAGGGTTGTGACTTTGCACTTGGGTTTTTGGCTTGAGGAGTTGATGACTTTGAGATTGAGGTCAAAGGTAGGGTGAGTAATTGAAGTGCTCAGACGAAGTCGGTCCTCTGCGAAGATCTCGTGGCATACCGAGGCAAGAGCGGACGGGCAATAATTGTGGTATGGAGCTCATAGATCTCGTTCTGTTGCAGGCTAAGACTATACATAAGTCGGTCACCTTTTCACTGATTATGACCTTTCAAAATTCTTATTAGCGAAGTGACTTTTGGGGGCGTAAGTGGGGTATAAGCTTCAGGGGCTCGCTTACTTCTATTGTCTGTACCTATACAAAGCCTTTGGATGCAATACCGTTTCTCTTGTGTTCACTACCACCTGAACAATCTCCGTTCGTCGATTTCTGATCATATAAGAGTACTTTTACAAGTCGTGGAATATCGAAGGCAATCTCTGGACCCGATTGCGAAATGAGTGTGTAGGTATTATGTGGCGGAAAGGTCACGTGGCGTCATTTGCTGGGCATGCACTTTTTTCTAGCCAGAACCATCTTCATTCTGTATTGTTAAAAGCTTCATCATTCAGAATTTACTTTCAGTTTGTAGAGTGAGAAGCATTAATTCAAGGAAGTAGATGAATCACATACATTGCTGTCCACAAACATTGCGCCACAACCAGGACTGCTGGTTCCGAGTGGACTGCATAATGAACAATGAACGGACAGCGTAGGCCTGCACATCTAAGACAACAACTTCGAGTTCACATCTCAACCATACGGTCGTCAGTTCAATGCTGCGTATCCCTGATGTATTGCTGCGTTGCTGGCAATACCGTCCAGATATTCGATGCAATCTCCACCAGCTGCCTTGTCAAGCTCCTTCGATTTCCCAAGACTTCTAGGGTTCATGAGGCTTTTCACGAGGTATGCTAAGAAATGAGACTTAGGGGTAGGAATTTCGGTCATTTTCATCACAGAATCAGTGTGTTTTTGTGATCAAATATCAGATTTCATTTCTTACTTTGTCTAGTATTTTACTCGATTAATCTCTCAATTTCTCTCGACTTACCTTTTTTCTTTTACTTCGATTGCTATTGTCCTGCAAGCTTAGTCACGAAGTAATTAGCCACGAGAGACTCAATTTGAGAGCTCCCTACAGTTTCAGTCGCACTCACCAAGTTTGTACTCTTCTGAGCCGGAACATACTGCTGGGATGGGGGTGGAAGATGCGTTTGCTGGCGTTGAGTCCCACTGGGATTCACTTAGGTGGATGTCTATGTGATAAGCAACTGTGAAAGAAGCTGAGAAGGCAATGACGCTAGTAATTAGTATGAGGAGTAAGCTCACGAAGCAGTGTTTGTTCCGACGCCAAAAGGAGCTAAAGCGACTGGCAGTGGCAGCTGCATCTCTATGAGGAAACGGTGTTGCTATGGTTGCTGCAGCTGGTGCTGGTATTGGTGAGCTGAGTGGATCTGGTTGAACCTGTGTGGAGCTTCCAAGCGGCCAGCCATTGGAATATATTGAAGGTCCTGCTGCGATTTCTGGAAGCTCCGGGTCCTCTTCATCTCGAGAAGAGAGATCAATTTCGTGCCAAGTATTCATTTCAGCCATCTTGATGTGCTTGTGTTAAGATTTTTGGTAGGAATGAGAGCCGAAGTTTATGCTGGACCGTGAAAAGGAAAGATTGTGAGTGATTGATATGTAGCAGCCGATGAGTTGAATATAGGAAAGCCTGGGGATCTGCAGCCGTAACTATATACTCATGCACTATCAATTGTTCTCCTTCAGGTCGTGCTCCTCCTCTCGTATCATCTATGAAGGATGATCTTTATCGGGGCGTACAAAGCTCATTGTGTTAAGAAAGATGGCTTTGTGAGTTTCATAAAGAACGAACAAAGAAGGTTATCCTCCTTAGAGTCACAATGGCACAACAAAGAACCAAGGAGAACTCTCTTCCTCAGTCTCTAGACAGCTTTGTCTAGATCATTCAGCGAGGCTTTCCTTTGTGCCATTGTCTCAAACTATGTATTTATCAAGTCAGGAGGATCAAGTGCATCTTTAGAATCACCAGACAATCTTACCATAAAAACAAAATCACTGCAAATCTTCCTAAGAATCCATCAACTTCCCACGCACACTTGTTCCAGACCACGACACCTCGAAGCAGGATGTGCATCGAGCATTATAAACAATGGACTTGCGGTCATTGTTCGTCACCTAGCCTTCAACAATGCCATGCTCATGACCGTCACCTCCGCCTGCCATGTGAGGCTCTGGAGCAAACTATTAAGCTAGACTGGCCATGTGCCTTATGTCAAGGCGTTGAGGACTACACAATTATGTCAAGACATGAAGACGCAAATTGGGTCATGAATGCTCACAAAGGCTGCCGAGGAAAGAAAATCCATCTCCGATACCGTCACAGCTTTCCAGTATGGTATAACTGGGTAGTGAAGAGCTACAAGAAAAATGGTGGCCACAGAATGGGTTGCCGAAGAGGAGGGGCTTGGTGAGCTGAAAAAGAACCACCACCAGGGGGTGCAAGAATTGGTGTCGCACCAAAATGTGGCCCGTGCCCGGGTAAATAACCTCATTAAAAAATGTAAACAACTTTTTGCATCACTTAATTATGGCACCACAAACGCGTTCCAGAGCTCGCTTGAGCACTCCCGAAACCGAATTTGCCCAAAGTAAATATTAGACACTAAAGCGGCGCGATTTCTTTAGAAATTATCGAAAATTTAAAGGCAAAAAGCCGTTTATAGCCATATGCGTTGGCGTTAATATACCCACTCGTATAGGCTACAGATGATTAAACAAACGCAAAGAGCTAGGGCTTAGTGCAGTACGGCGGACTCGCAAGACGTCAAAAAACCTTGGGAGAAAGTCTCAAGTGTCTAAAGTTATATGCAAATTCTTAGTTAATAAAAAGAATAAAGTGCGAGACTAATTGCTAGAATGCTAGATTGCGTATTACGATATCCCCATCAAAAAAAGAACTTTGCAAACCCAACTCAAAGCGAATACAAAGAATAGCTAGTGCTACAAAATAGCCTATGTTAAGAAGGAAATCTCGTCGCAAAACAAAGGCAAAAAGGTTGCGTACGGGAAAGAGCATAAGCATAAGACTATTAAAGATTTTTAGTATTTGGAGTTTTTTATAAACGAAATACATATCGACTTAATATTAATAAAAACTAGATTTATCCTCAAAAAAGAGGAGACGCGATTAGATTTTGATAATATTTAGGAGAAAGCAAAAAAAGAAAGTAATAAATTGCACATGGCAAGATAAGTCAATTAATACTCGAAATATAAAAAACTAGAATTTTATTATAATAGAAAAAACATATTAATCGGCCCAAGAGACGCCGCAAACCAGTTTGCAAAAAAAGAGAGTCGAATAAAGAGTTCTAAGCTCGTCTAAAAGCATGGGATGCCGAGCTTCTACCCCCAGTAGAAGTCAAATTACAAGGTAATTTAATACCCCAAAAGTACTATGTGGACCGCTTATTGTTTATTTACATTGCTACCATCAAAAGCGTCGAAGAGTAGTACGGTTTACCCTTTATATTACAAAAAGACAATAATTAGAACTATAGGTATCGACCGCCCAAGAATGCAATCAATTTACTTGCGGGAACTACCCGAAATAAAGTAAAAATACGCTTTTTCACCTACCCTGCATAGTCCCCAGACTTGAACCCGATCGAAGGATATTGGTGCATCTTAAAAGAGAGGATGCGCAAAAGGAAGTAGAATACGCTAGACGATTTTAAGCGAGTTTTACAAAAAAAATGGAGTAAAATCACAATGAAAGAAGTACGGGCTAGGATAGTTGAGATGCTAAAGAGGTGTTTTGATGTTGTAAAGCATAATGGGAAGCTAATTAAGAGTGAGTTGTGGTAGTTGAAAGATATAATAATAAATTTTCGAGCCTTTTCGCTTAATTTTAGTGTGACACTAATTCCTGCACCCCCTGGTGCACTTCCGATTAACAGGTTTCATGAGTTGAGCATATTCGGGCGTGCACTACCATACTAGAAGTTAATCAATATATCAAATCAAAATAGAAAAACGAAGTACATGCCGGTGCAAGCCGTGAGAGCAAGTAGATAGTAATCCAGACGTGCCTAACTTCCATGTTGGGCGAACTAGTGCACTTGCTTCTGGCCCTCCTGTTGTTCGCTTGTCCTAAGCGAGCCCCTTTCCGCGTTTTCAGCTACTACATGTCACATGATGATCCATCAATCACCTCGAGAATGAAGAGCGGCATATGTCTGCTTTGGTACTAGATGATGACACCTCTTAATGGCGAAATCTATTCCAGAAGATCTGATTCAAGATCGCTTCCACAACACCATCATCATCTTCTCTCCTTGTACACGAAGCCACTACCGTCATCGATGATGGGTCATCAACTCTTGTCAAAGATCTCTTAGAACTTTTCACCGATATCTCGGGCGCAGGGCCCACAGCAAGTGTGGAAACTGCGACTTTCTTCGCATTCCAGAAAGCTAGCCAGCTAAGCCTTGTTGGCTCTGAACACACATTGTTTGGCTCTTCCAGGCTCGCCCTTTCGTTGGATTCCAGATACCAGTACAAATCTTTATGTTCCAGTGTCCCGTCGTGTGAAAGTAGAAGCTTCGAAATGGCGCTGAGGAAAGGAATCCCAAAAAGAGGGGTTCCTCCTAGTATACTCTTTCCTAGCGTTCCCCATCGGATCCCTTTCGGCTCAGTGATTGCTTTCTGAGCTTCCAAGAGCATTAAATCCAACTCGATCTTGTCCATGGGAGCTGGAAATTGCTGTAAAACTGTCAATAGCGATACGACTGCTGCTGACTTCTTTTTCTCCGTGGAATCGTAGAATTCTTTAGAACTGAGGCCAGGCTCTGGATTTTTGTCGTGAAGCATTACGAGACATGTTTCTAGCTTTACGATGATATCTTTTGCGATCTTCTCCAAGGTACCGTCCTTTGTCTTCTGAGTTACGTCTGATTCGAATGCCCTTGCCATCTTTCGCATGTAATAATTGAGCTCCACCAGATGTGCTCGATGATCCGCATCTTTGTCCTTCCGGATCACGAACATTGAGATCTGTGTTGCTTGTTGGTCCGCTTCTTCCTGAATCAACTCTGCCACAATGTTCAACTTCTCGATGGAGATTTCTAATTTGTCAATGTTCCAACTTGCATTGACGAAGTCCCATGCCTCTCGAACTCTAGTAGCAAAGTCTGAGCGGCCACTGCGGAAATCTACTCGCTCTTGCAATCTCCTATTGTCCATGGCTCTTTTTAGTTGCAGCTGCTCTGCTCGCTTCTCTGCAGGTAGCTTTGAAAGAGCAACTTCGATCACCTCGCTTGTCGCATTGTCGGTGCTACCCTTCAAGTATTGGTCACTGTACATTTTCCATTGAGCTAGCATGGGGCTCGGCTTGATCGGAGTAAAGGAACCTAGAATGTATGTCAGTCATCATATTGTCTTCTTGCAAGACATTGCAGCACTACCTCTTGTTCCTGTTGTATGAACCGAGCATCGAGGCTTCGCAACCGACACACCAAATTTCCGCACAACCACGTCCCAAAAGCCTTCCTGTTGTATATTCTCAAAGTAGATCGATGGAATAGGACTGAAAGAGTCGAATCTGGGTCTTCTGGCACCCACGAGCAGTCTTTGGTTTTGAGATACTTCGAATGAGGTCGAAAGTGGATAGGAGAGAAGCCAGAAGCCAAGGTGGGGATAGTTGTCCCGTTTATCTTCAGTCTTCTCAAAGCGTCCCATTTCGACGAACGGAAATATTATACCGTCGAAAATAGACGTCTCTAGAGCAAATCCAAGCTCTGAAAATATATGTTCTTCGAAGAAGGGTTCATAATCAGTATAATGATCATGTTCTCTCAGGTAACTGAATGAAAAAGCGAAGTTGATAGCATGCTGTGCTCGGTCAGAGTCAGTAAAATAGTAGATGGAGATCTTCAAATTCTGTCTACGAACCAATATCTCGTGTAACAGAGTAACAGAACATTGATACTGCTCAGCCAACTTCTCCGAAATACTTAAATCATTCCTCAGAAGCGGCTGATACTTGTCAATATTCAGCCCGATGTAGATATACTGTCTACCAAACCCGAACTCTGCCTTGTCTCCCCACGTTACAGCATGAGAACTTCCCAGAGCCTCTACATTTGGACGTATTTTGCTATCAGGGTGAAGAAATTCTAGTGTTAATTGGATCTTCTGTTGTACGAGTAACTTGGGAAAAGCTACCTGCAATGCAGTTTTAGCTGCATCAGGATTCCTATCTTCGGGTTTTCGAGTGTGAAATGAATAACAATCCGGAGCTCCAGGGAAGTCCCTCACCCATTTGTTTGGCGGCAATTCTCGAAATCTGCCGAACAAGAACGCATCGATCTTTTTGCGTATCAGTAAGCCAAACAGATCTAAATTAGAAGGAGAGTAGAACATACCAAGATATTTGTGTTGATGTTAGAAAGAAATCGAGAAGTCAATTTCAATACTGGTTCCAGAATCTGCCAAACAACTGGATTTTCTGCATGCCATGTTCCTGGATTTGGCCCTACTAAGTATGCCTCTCCGCTGGCAACAATTGGAAACCCTGGCGCTGTGGGAGTGGGAGATTGCCAGTTCTCGACCTTAAGAATGCCACTTCCACGGTTAGCAAGAGTCGGTGCATTGTCTGGTTCATTCTGAGACCATGACTTACTCGATCAAGTTGTTCAATGTTGACTCCTTGGCGTTGGGGTCGGGGTACGCGCCCAAATCATCAAGCTCTCGAGCGGTAAATCCTTTGAGGATCTTTCGCTGATACCTTTCGGTTCTTGGATCAAGGAAAAGGCCAGCGTTCTTGGGTATGATGGAAGGTGGTAGAGTAGGAGTGAAGCCTAGAGATATCAGAGAAATGCAACAGTGCATGGGTTGTCGAGTATCTCACCAGACTTTTTAAGAGGGCTCAATTGAGGGTCTACACCATACTTCTTTGCAAATGGTGTTGGCAGGTTGGTCAAGCTTCGCATGGAAGCCATCGCAGATTTGGTGAAGTCTAACTCAATTGGATGTTTAAACAACTCATTGCGCAGCAATCAAAGAGATATGAAGATCCACAAAGGTTCTCCTTTGTGTCATTGTATAGCTTATCCCGCGGAAGCGCACGTAGCATCCTGGATTTCTTTGTCCTTGATTTGGGAAAGTTTCTTCGGGGCTGAGAGAATCCATTGTCTTATATGTCGAAAGTCTCAAAGAATGATCCAGATTGCCGCAAACAAATTCAAAGCTGAATATAGCTCAACATATACGGGATTTGTAGAATTGATCTCGGTGATTGCCAGAGCTCACGTCACGTGCGCTCCCATTGTCGATGTCTCTCTGACCACTCTTGCCGCCATCATCAGATCAGATCAAAGCGACATCAAGATGTAACTCGAAAGATTCGGAACTTTAAGGTATGAGTTGTGGCGGTCATCTTCAGTCGTTATGTTCTGTTGCCACACCCCAGAAATAGGCTGTCCAGCTTCCTAGAATCCAGAAGCACAAGATACCAAATGCCGCCATACTGATGGTCTTCATTCGTGTCCTCTCTCTTGTATGCTCAATTCTTGCACCCTTCTCTTCTCCAAGTCCCACTGCCATTCCGCGTTCCTTGATCGCTTCGCCATTTCTGATCCTTTGCTTCCTCGTCCATTGCAAACGAGCAATGTCAACATATATACTACTCTTTGCCCCCTTTGCCCCCTTTGCAACAAGAAAGATGCCTAGTAACAGAGCCGAAACAACGAAGGAGCCGGCTGATAGCACCACGTAGACAGGAGTGACCTTTAAGTATGGATTCGAGGCTGGGGAGTCGTCTTGAAGAACGCCGGTGAGAATACGAACAATGATGTTTTGTCTATGGCGAATTGATTAATAAGGGAAAGCAAACATGAATTGCGAGACTGAGAGAAGACGCACGCATTATTCAATGTGATTTTGATTGCATAGACAGATCCGAAAACTGATTAGTGCCATATTGAAGTGCGGATAGAATCGATGATGAGAGTGGGTCCAAAAGAGAATGCAACCGCCTTATCTTGCAATTAGCAGAGCACACAAATAAGGGGTGAGCACAGCTTACATAAATACCAAATGCCGCTGCTGTTCCCTGAGCTGTAGTTGCCCAATTGACAAGGCACATGGACAGCAATACGCCTGCACCACATACGACCACTGTGCCGGTGTGAGCTTCTATTCAACATCAGAAAGATGACTTTGCTTACGGAGAATAAGTCTGTTTCCATATATATCGACAAAAATGCCAACGCAAGGAACAACGAAGAACCCTGCGTATTGGAGGAGACTAGAGCACCAGCCAGCGGTAATGGCATCTGTCCCAAACCGTAGTTGCGCCAGTTCTGTAGCATTTGCCGTAAAAACAATCGCATCACTGGTCTCAAATAAAGTGAACAGCATGATACCCCAGAATGTCCAGGGGAGCTCCAGCACTCTTCTCAACTCAAATTTCTTGTTCTTCTCTGTGAGAACCTCACCTGTGGCGGGATCAGACATGCCCTAGAACTTGCGCTCGCAGTATTTGGTGAAGAAGAAAATCACAGTCATGACGTTCGTGAAGAGGTTCATGAAGACAGCTGTCCAGAAAACCCAAGAGAAATCGCCTGTCCTCTCCGAGATGATATTGGCAGTTGATTTACCAACAAAGCCACTAATCTAGAACAGCTAATGTTATGGTTCCACCCAAATAGGTGAGACATGTGATTCTTACCTTACCGATTGCCAGCTCCAAGGCACTATAGATGGATTAGTATACACTTTAAAGCAGAAATCTAGGAGCCAAGCTGCTCATCCGAGGAGCTGAGACACATCTCATTTAATAACGAGCTCCCGAAAAAGGTCCCAAAGTCCTAGGTTCCTAGCACGAATACAAAACAAGGGCAGTATTTGACGCACAGAGTTGACGCGAATCCATGACTCGGTGGAAACCAACTTGAAAATATTTTATATTGCGCAATTTGGGTTGCAATGTCTCCAAGCGAAAGGACAATTTGACCAAAGATCATGAACTTGTAGTTGCGTACTGTCGTTGCAGCTGCTACTAAGATCGAGCCAATAGAGTAGATGGCATTGCCATAAAGTATTGCTTCTTCTAACGAGATGTCAGAGTGAAACGTCAAAGCTTCGAGCCATCGTACTCGCGCCTCCAATGCGATCCGTCACAACACCAGAAACCATGACAAGAGCAGTCTTCATGAAGTCCTCGCTTGCGTCAAGAAGCGCGTATTCAGTGTTGTTGATTTTCAGTCCCTAGTAAGATGAGTGTCTCATTTCGTCGCCTCATATTTTGATCAACTCACCTTCTTCAATGCTGTCTTCATTGCGCCTGTGATACCACTGCTCCAAGACGAGCCAAAGCCAATAGCCGAGACCATGAGAATCGACAGAAGCTTGAAGCTCAGTGGAACAGTGACCAGTGCAGTGGTATCACTTTCTGTCTCCGAATTATTTGAAATCGGGATCGTTTGCACAGATGATTTCTCATCTTTTGGCGTAACCACATCAATGACAGACACTGAAGCCACTGCATCTTTGTCAGGTTTTGAAGTGTCGCTCATATTGAAAGGTTGTGGTGGTGAACGACTGGCAACGGGGAAGGACTGAAGGTTGTTTGACCCATCGTATGAATGGAAGGGAAACACTCACTTTATGGGGCACAAATAGCCCCAAATCCCGAGATGTTGCCCAGTGCGACTTCGGAAGAGGTGGACTCAGAGTGAGCAAATACACGACCGCCAAGGCCCCAATTCCGTGTCTCCTAGGGAAAAATAATGGCACCTTGCAGTATTCGTGATGCGACGCATCAGTGTTGACTTATGCCAAGCGAACAAACCTGGTCAAAATCTAATCAGATGGAGAGATATGATCCGACGGAACGGATCTTAAGAGATTCGTCTTCGTCCCACTATTGATGGTTGGGTGACATGTCTCTGCCAAGATCGGTACCCACAGCAGTTCGTCCGAGTTTTCTCTGCAAACCAATCTGCAATAAGTCGGGGCCGAATCCATTGAATGTGCAGAGCATTAGAGAGATTCTGGAACTCGACATGCTCATGTCCTGTGTCCAATGATTCCTTGAATCATCCGATGTAGACTGGGAGCTGGCTACCGTAATATTGGATGGGTACCCTCTCGCCAGGGACCAAGAAATGGATTGCACCCCAGCAAAAAGCCCGGAGCATCATCGTGACCCAAGCATCGACAATCATTTGTCGATCATAGAATCCAGTTGTCTTCATCTCCTCCACAATTTTGGGTAGTAGTCTGAAATACCCATCGACGTCTGCCTTGTAATCTGTAACCCAAACTCTTTGCGCAGAATTCTCTCCATTTTCAGAGAAGATTGCCATTCTGATGTGGATTTCCAGGAGGTTGATGTAACGAAATGTATGATCCTGCTCCCACTCATTTAACATGAGACTTAGATCGTGAAGGTGGCCTTGCACAATATCTAGATACTTGGGATCTCGCATAACCACCCATTGTTCGTCTTGCTTGCTGAACTCGTCGGTGTGATCCCATGCAGCAAAGTGGGTTCCAATCTCCTGGCATATTTGCAATGCTCTTTGAGTTGGCATTCCGACCTCTCCACGATGAACAACAATGTACTCTTCTAAGCACTGACGAAAAGCCCTTCGACCTGTCGAGCTTGTGGTGATCCCAAGCGTATTATCACTTGGAGCTGGAACTTGAACAAGACTTGATCCAAGACATCGGGCAGGAGGTGTAGTTAGAGCAACGAGGTCCGCAGCTCGAAATTTGAACTCTGGATCCTCCTTGAGCATTTTAGACAATGCCGCAGACGAAACACCAGTTCTGTCGAGGAAACTCAGACTCTTGACAATCTCTGCTTGTGTAGATATTGTAAGGTCTGGTAGTCCTAGCAAGGACTCCGTCCTGAGCACACCACAACCTAGGCGATCCGCCGTCGCAGTAGGAATATATATTTCTTCTTGTTCTTGAACGATTGATCCGCTGGCGAATTTCTTGCGAAGATTGAATTGAGCCAAATGCAATCGTTTATTCTGGCCGGTATATGCATACTGCAAGACAATACCGAGAGATCTGACTGTAGTTGACGTGATGGTCTGGGAATGTCCTTCTGCTCTGAGAATTCCATCAGAAGGTCGAAACTCTTTCCACTTCATGCCCATCCTCCTTGCAATAACTGCAATGTCCGACAGTGTCGTTTTGGCAAGGGGTCGGACAACATCAGGTGGTTGGAAGTCCCATGACCTCTCCCTGAAGATAATGGCTGGCAATCTACGATTCGACGGAGGGAAGCCGCTGGGATCTCGAAACTTCTCTTCGGGAGTCAAAGATTCACCGCTCTTCTGGTGGATGGGGTTTAGGAGGGGAACCCAGGAAGCCATTTCCCCTCGATATATCTTCTTTCGCTTGTTAGTGCTTCTAGGCTTTTTGGGGGTAGCCTCAATTAGGTGATTTGAATAAGGATGAATCTTCTGATAGTCAGTGCCATCTCCTTGGAGCAACTCGTCATGTTGCACGCCATCGTCGTGGACGAGAGACTTCTCCCTAGAATCTTTGCTGTCTGTGAGTAGGACTTGCCCCACTCGACTTGGAGCTCCATTGCCGACCAGAAAAATCTCGGGAGTAGTGTATAGAGTCTCAAAACGCAGTTCCCTCCATCTGAAATGCAAACGGGTCTTTCGTCCATAATCACCCATCACAGACCTATGACATCTTCGGTAGCCATCAGCTGTCGCAAAGTATTGCTGGAGTAATTGGCCAACGGCGGCGACGAGAGCTACGAGGGAGATCGCCAAGGCAGCCGCTGCCAAGTTGGTGTCTACATTGCTGCTTGCATTGCTCATGGTGATGGAACTTCGATGAGTTGGGGCGGAATGAAGTTTCTGAGTGATGTTTGATCGGTCGCGCCGCTGGAAGGATTCAGATCCCAGGTCACTTTGTGCGACGGAGGACGAAAAACGATGATCAGACTCTGAATAGATTGACGTCTATTCTAAGGAAGACCATGATAAGTTAATATTTACTACGTATTGATGAGATTGTGTTTGCAATTCGAGATTATTCCCTCTTACGCAATAGAGCTGATGAAATCCAATGTTATGCATGGCACGTGAAATATGAAATTCCGTGTCACGTGTAAGTCTACTGTAATCAACACATGCTTCATCTTTGCTGTGGCATCAAACAGAGTAAGGAATATCTATGGTGATTTAAGACGTGTGATGCAATGGTAGCTATCGTCTTCGATATTTGATGGGTTGCATTGCTTTCAAGAATTTTCTCCACATATTTTCTCAAGCGATGAAAGTACTTATAGAAAGGCTCTGTTGACAGGAGATCTCGGTGCTGCGTCCTTATAATAATCGATAGTCGCCATGGCTCTCTTCACGACCCCTTCTGGAGTAAACTCGAACTTCTATGTAACATCAGTCTTGCACACACACGAGTTCTCGGTGGCATACTTTGTATACGTCCTTATAGGCTCCGCTAGCACCAAAACGGTTGAGTCCAAACTGCTCATGGCTGTATCTTTCCCAACCATACGTTGAAAGCACCTCAACAGACAAGCACGGAATACCATCTAGTAGGACGCTCAACCTATAATCTTTATCCTGACGATCGAACATTTCCCAACAAGGCAAGGAAACAACCCTTGATCCAACGCCATGCCGGTCTCTCAGCATGAGTGCTGCATCAATGCAGATACAAACTTCGGATCCAGTAGACACGAGGGTGATGGCAGCCGGGCTCTCCCCTACTTCAGCAACCACATATCCACCCCTCATAGCCTTCTCGATAATTGAATTCTCTAGTTGCGGAAGATTCTGCCTTGAGAGGACCATCATGCTTGGCGTTTGTTTGCTCGTCATTGCGACGTAGTACGCAGCGCTAGTCTCATTGCCATCTGCAGGTCTCCTGTTTTGAATCAGGCCAATTTCGTTGAAGGAACAGTGCGATATGTATGCATTCAAAAGTTCGGAAGGGATAAGACTTACCAGACCATTAAGTTTGGAATAGCTCTGAAATGTGCCAATGTTTCCACTGCTTGATGTGTAGGCCCATCTTGCCCAAGGCCGATTGAGTCGTGTGTTGCAATGTAGATGACACGCATACGGCTGAGGGCCGAGAGTCGAATCGCCCCAGCGGCGTAAGACATGAAATTCAGGAACGTCCCACTAGACGGTATCAAGCATCCATAGGCAGCAATTCCATTCATCATCGCGGCCATGGCATGCTCACGAACTCCATAATGCACGTAGCGACCACTCCAGTTACTTTTTCCCAATCTAAGGCCCGGCGGCTGAAAGTCGATAGCAGATGGCCAGCGAGTATTATTGGAGGGTGTCAAATCTGCTGAGCCACTCATGAGTTCTGGAAGCACCGCTTGCAACGAATCTAATGTGAGGCCTGAAGTCTCGCGAGTAGCGATCAATTTGTCCTTGGGACTGTATGTCGGTAGGGATTTCTGCCAGCCATCGGGGAGCAGGTCCGCCATTCGACGTGTTAGATCTGTACCCGGTTCCGTATGTTCTTGCTGGTAGCGAGCGAATAGCTTGTCCCATTGCTTTTCCTTTTCTGAACCCTCCAGAGCTCGATCCTGGTATACTTTCTCCACTTCTTGTGGGACAATGAAGCTCTGCTCAGGATCGAATCCAGCATTTGTCTTGAACGCTTTGACATCATCCGCCGCCAAAGGACCGCTGTGCACGGAACATGTGCCTTGATGCTTCGATCCAAATCCTATTGTTGTCCTCAACGATATCAAGCAGGGCTTATCTGAGACTTTATGACATCTTCGGATTGCAGCTTCAATGCCTTCCAAGTCACGATCAGCATCCTCGACAACTTCGGTATGCCAACCATAAGCTTTGAAACGCATCACAACATCCTCTCTGAAGGCGCAGTTTGTGTCGCCATCTATTGTGACATGATTGTCATCGTAGAAGGCAATTAAATTGTTGAGTTGCAGGTGTCCGGCCGCGGAAGCGGCTTCGCTAGCAATTCCCTCCATTGCACAGCCATCCCCGAAGATACAATATATGTAATTATTAACAATATCAAAATCAGGCCGATTGAACTCAGCTGCTAGATGCTTTCCAGCAATAGCAAGCCCGACAGCATTTGCGAAGCCTTGGCCGAGGGGCCCTGTAGTCACTTCTACTCCTGGAGTTTCGTGGGGTTCCGGGTGGCCGGGAGTCTTGCTGTCAAGACTCTGGAGTCAAGAGTCAGTACGAGGCTCACACCAAGTTCGCGCGACTTCAGCTCACCCTGAAATGCTTCAGGTCATCCATTGAAACCTCATACCCCGACAAGTGGAGGAGGGCATATTGCAGCATGCATGCGTGCCCATTACTGTGAAGAAGTTCAGTGTAACTAAAACTCACAACAAGAAATTGACCCACGAGAGTACGAAACGGTCTCGGTTGATCCATTTCGGATTCTTGGGGTTGAAGCTCATGATTCGTGTAAATAAGATATGTGCCAATGGTGCCAAACCCATTGGAGCTCCGGCATGACCAGAATTTGACTTTGCAATCGCATCAATCTGAGAAGTAATCTTAGTTCAGCTCTCGAGCTCTGATTCGGAATTGTCGCAGGGGTGATGAATCTTACCGCCAAGAGGCGAATTGTGTTGATTGACAACAAGTCAGTCTCTGTATACGACATGATCGAAGGTCAGAAATAATAACTTGCAGGAAGAATGTGCGAAGACAGAACGGAATTTTGACGCCAGACTTCTGCGTAAATACACTCCCAACAAGACGTCATTTCGAGCATCCCGGCACTTTCGGATTACTCGAAGAAGAAGGGCAGGAATTCTAAAAGCTGGATCGCAACGAATCATTTTCATCGCAATGAGATGTCTTGACATGAAAAGAATTGGAGCGCCGACTTCCATATCATCTCCGTGCTGACAAAATTCGGGACTAGAGCGCAAATGGCTAGAGTAAATACATCTGATTCGAAAACAGATGGTCCGGATTGGGATCAGCCTCGGATATTTTCCATGTCACTCTTTCATCAAGAATCTCTCAAGCTTTATTTCACTACTATGTATTTTGAATGCCCAGTCTGTTCAAATTGTATCACCTTTTCATTAAGAGCCTTAAACTTCCTCTCATCCCAGAGTCGCTATCGACCTCTACAGACTACAACTCGTAGTCCAAACCTTTCGTTCCCAATCTCTGGCGCTCCGCTGGACATTCAGGATCCTGAGTTGCATTCATCAAGTCATCGATACTTCTCGCAAAAGTGTGAACATCTCCATCGTGCGGTAACCAAAACCTTTTCTGTTTTGCATGCAGCAAGGCTTCGGGTTAACTTGGGTGTATGGTAATTTGACAGATTGTGACAGTTTTCACTTGCCTTGGACACAATCCTCACCATCATCAATCTGTGCATCAAATGCCTCAACAATTTCATGTTCACAGACAGACCATTCACTTATATAATGTCATATCGTGTTTGAACTAGTCACAATGGCTCAAATATCTGTTGTATTCATGCTTTTCTTCATACTTTGACGCGATGATGCAGGGCTTGGCGAAGCTCGCCAAAGTTCAAGGGCAGCATTCTTCTTGAAGTCAAGTGTCAGACCTTGATCGCACTCATTGCACGCAATCTAAAGCACACAAATTTGAGAAAGCTTTAATACATGAGACGCCATTGGATACATTCTCTGATCGCCATCTCAAAGGAGGAAAGAGCCTCAGCCTCATGGCTCAAAAAATATTGGCCGGAGGATTTCTTGCTTATCATCTCACCGCATGGCGACTTTTTGAACATTTATATTCCACGAACCTCCAATGCGACAGCTATTATGTAGACTGCACGCTTTCAACAGTTTCCTCTCCATTTACAACATCAACAATGAAAATGGCCTCGAATAATGCACCATGGGCGGATGCGCCATTTGCATTAATCCCCACCCCAGGCGACGGCCAAGACCTTAACAGACTCCACGAAGCAGTTTTCCTCGCCCGAGAAATGGCATGCGCACACAACGGTATGCTCCGAAGCTTGAATTCCATCTACCAACAATGCGTGCACGTCTCAGAATCCCAGGATATCCTTGACCTGCTGCAATACTCCAAGTTCTGGTGCGCATGGTTAGAAGAGCACCACGAAGCGGAAGAAAAGTGGTACTTCCCAGACATTGAGAGGATCACGGGAGTGGAGGATTTGATGGCCGGAATGGTGACGCAGCATAAGGATTTCATGCCAGGGCTGGAGGAGCTGACGAAGTACGTTAATGAGACGACGGTGGAAGCATACGATGGAAGGGAGTTGAGGAGGATTGTGGACGACTTTGGTGCTATTTTGACAAAGCATCTGACAGAGGAAGTTGAGGTACTAGCGGCATTGGAAGTGCACGACGGCCCGGCACTTAAGCATGCTTACTTGGAGTTCGACAAAGAGCTGAGGAAAGGAGACAAGGTATGGAATAATTCCTCTTATGGATGCTCAAAATACTGATGAGGATAGTCCGTACTCTTTCCAATGGTCTTAGGTTCCACAGATCGTACATACGAAAAGGGACCTATGTGGCCACCAGTCCCAGACTTCTTGAAATACGTTGTTCATTACTGGTTCGAACGGAAGTATCAAGGAGCTTGGCGATTCAGCCCATCAACGACATGGGGAGAAAAGAGGCCTTTGTTATGTTTGGGCGAGTCCTAGGCGTGAGCTATGTAAGGTTTCACCCCTCGGTCAGTCTTTTTGGGGGGGTTTGTATATGATAGTTAGTGGAAGTACTGTACTCGGAGTTCTGGGCGCAAAATATATTTACCAAGTTCAACATACTTTGAATTCCCGATCAGCGAATTCACACGGCGGTCAACCTTTCCTCAGCTATTTGGTCAGTGAAAGTGAATCGACATGGAGGTCTCTTGAGCCCCACGGAAGCATGTTGAAGGAGAGTTCTTCTATTCCCTTTTTGACACGCAGCTCCAGCTATAAAATCGGAGCTCGTCAACTATTTTCCGTTCTTTCTAATTCAACCACGTTGAGGAATTTAAGACCCCTTCAGACCCTGGCCGGTTCGAATGTTGCACAACTTCTGTTATTGTTGACTTTTGGTTTGCTGTCAACCACTGTGTTATCTTGAACTGGATTTCGCCCCGAAAGACTATTGCGTTTTCCTTGTTTACAATATAGTATTGCGGGTGTCTTTATTTGTTATGTTACAATTTACGTTCTGAGGAGTGCTAGTAGCAGTCCTTTGACAATTATCTACGGTTCTGAAAACCATATTATATATAGCCTTATATACCCTCTTTTATATATTAGAGAATAAAACCTTTGAGCTGGGCAATTCACCAGCTTTTCGCAGGTTTCGGTCACAGAGGGTAAATTTTAGGAACGACTAGTGAGCTAGGGGTATAAATACCTGCCAACAACCCCTCAACAGTCTCTCATCCTTAAGGTTCAGACAGTATGGACTCAGAAGCCGCCGCTGCCGGCTACATCTGCTGTACGGGTCCTCTGCTTTGGGTTGCCGGGTACACTTTTATCTTCAGCTTACTTGTCGAGGCCTGAGTGTTGCCACTACTTCACAAGATATGAATGGCAACAACATAAGATGAGACAATGACTGGAAAGTAACCAAATAACAACAGAAGCCTGTACTTAAGATTCACCGGTCGACGTATGTAGTCAAGCACACACCTCTGTCCTCAGGAAAGAATGTTGAATTGCTATTACTGAAGCTTTTCTTATGCTATGTCTACCCAAAGTCTTTCGTAAACGAATGTTCTCGATCGCCATAGCCCCTCTTCCTCCATGCTCCCTCCTAGATTTCCTCATCTCCAGTGGCCCAACCATGGCCACTTACCACAATCTTGCTAAGCACTTAGACAAGATCCCAGACAATAGAAGTTCCTGGGCTGTTGTTGATAACTCTGTAGTAGGTGCCTGAAGAAGCGGTATATCCCTCAATTGCCAACGTGGCAAAGAAGTCGTTGAAAGTCCAGGTATACGGTTCACTAGGAATCGCGATTCAGTCAGCATTTGTCTTCCCATGTTTTAAATGCAGTGGTAGTCTCAGGAATCATTGGACATTGAAAGAACCAAGAGTTGAATCCTTCGAATTTCGTTCTAAGACATACCTGGAGAGACCCAATCTGGAAGTACCAGATGGCAGGGTGAGATATTGAGGGTCAGAGGTGGACGCATCGGCAGCAAGTTCGATGGTGATCTTATCAGTTCGAATCAAGACTTGAGGATCACTAGAGAGGAAAGCAGTAGCGCGAACGACGAACTTGGTGCGTTCGGTATCGCTGATGGTGATGAGTCCACCGTCCTCCTTCCAGTACTCGGTTGGGAGGTTGGTGTTCTTAATGAAGTATGCACCGCCATTGATCCATTCGGTCGTAGCTTGAGTAGGAATCACATCGAAACCACGTCCGCCTCCGTCGTTTTCGAGGCTGATCATAACTTTGGTTCCCCATTCGGTGTTAGCAACCAGAACGAGTCTGGGGAACTCCCAATCTGGAGGTTGAGTTAGGGACGCCAAAATGATGAGGGTGGATGGGGATGCAATTTGCTTACTCGATCCAGCATACTGGGTAACATCGTAGTACCAGAATTGAGGTCCGTTGCGAGTGAGGAAGTTGAACAGTGGGTACTTTCCGGTGGGATCGGTCAGTGAGGTGAGGAAGCGGAAGTACTCGTCAGCAGTCTGGCGGTTGCGGAATACCAACTGCCAGCGTCCCAAAAGTGTGTTGAGTCCCGCGTCGGCTTGATCTGACCATTTCATGTAAACACGATAAACGCCCTCAATACCGATAGTCGTCATGATTGCCCAAGGTTTCTCGGAGAACTTGGTAGTAGTGAAGAATGTATGATAAGACTTGCCTGAAGATGTGAGTTGGAGTGAGGAAACAGAATAGAATCTTAGGAAACTTCCTCCCCTTTATATCTTTCCAACCGAGGGCAGATCCGACAAACAAATCCATAATATCTCCCCTCGTCCTTGAGCATGGTCTACTTTCTTCTTCGCCAGCCACTTGAAGCCAGGCCGGAAGCACCGAGACAAAGACCTATGTTCTTTTGATGGTATATTATATGTAATGCAATGCATTCGGCCGTGTGACTTGAGAGTTTCCTTTCCTTTCCAATTGGCAATTGCCATGCGCATTATGAGACAACTTCCTCAACACCTCGGCAGGACTTTCACTTCCGCTTTCTACGACTCCTCCATCTTGTAGAAGTTGCTTTCGTTGCTCACAGTGGTCAGCTGTTGAAGCCGTTTCAACTTCCAAACTTGTCTTTACTGAGCTCTTTCACACGCCAAGCTGAAAGAAATAAAGTGTAGCTTACACTTGTACAACCGAGGAATCAGTGCAGTGCTCTTTTGAGGATAACATGGAGAACGAGATAAAGCTGAAAATAACGTAATTGATGTGTTCCGAAGATCCAATGGGATCACGGCATCGTGGGTTGTGGGTTGTGGCCCAAAGGCGGAACCGAAGTTACACTGCAGACATCAATCTAAGTATAATGCACTCTTCCAGATTCACCTGAAGCTTGGGCAATTGAAGTGCAGCTACGGTACTGAGAGCTATTGAGTCGCATATGACGGAATGAAGACTTCTTCCGAATGGCTCGATGTTACCAAAGATCTGATAAAGAGACATTCTCTAATACCGTGATGTGAAACTTGATCAAGAATTCATCCAGGACTCAAGACATATTCCGTGAGAACGTACCAATCAGCAACAGCTGAGAGAACCAAACGAAACATGGCGAAAAGAACCTCGGGACGCGCCGTCCCTCGTGTCGGCAAGTCTCACCGCCACCATTGGGTTGATTCTCGCAGATGAGACAATTGTCTGACGGAGCATGACGGATTGTCAGACAGTCTCGACGCCCGAGAAGCTTTACGTCCAAGGGACATTGGAGATGTTCTTCCACGGTGGGGAAATCGGACGATATGTGCAGACAAGGAGAAAAAGGGGCGCCAGGCCCAAGCTGAGCGATGCATCTCACACTTGAGAAGACTATTTGAGGTATCAGTTGACTCCCGTGACTTTGCTTTTGTCTGATGTTCCAATTTCTTTTGAGAACGCGTGGTCACGGGTAGGCTTGCATATATGACTTTGGCTAGAAAGGAGCGAGAAATAGAACATCAAGTAGAGAATGGTAGCTCGGTTAAGATATATCCAGTGGCAGCTATCAACAAAACCCGTGTACTTCAACAGAAGGCTGTATCGTTGAGTTCATTCAGTGCTTTTGATCGTATCGTGTGAAGGCTGTGGACGCTTGCACCGTAGCCCTTGACCTTGGTTATAATCCTGAGAATTCGTGCACGAGTGGTATCACTAAGACAGAACCACAATGATGCCATGAACAATAATGCATCGGCGAAAAGTTTGTCCAGTCAGTTCTAGATGTTACTAGGTATGAAGAAGGAAAAGAGTATCAGCTGACACTGCTTCATCAGTCGAGGTGCCCAAGGTGCCCCCACAAAAGAAGACGAAGAAAGGATCTCAAGGCTCGAGACATCATGTACGGCTGATGAATGTACATTATAAACTAAGATGTATCTAGGTACTGGCCAGTTCCAATAAAAGTAATTACAATCAAAAACGGTACTCATCAAGAATACTGAAACAGAATAGAGATCATCATGAAATACCAAAGAAATGGAAGACACAAGAAGCAATTTACCTGGCGCCTGCTGACTTGGCCTTAGATGGCAGCCATATTTCCTTGTCCATCTAGCTGCACTCGCACGTGCTTCGCAACATCCATCCTCTCCTTTAAGCTCTGTTTCCCTCTAAACAACTTCCTCGAGTCATGATCTAACCCCATACCACAGAACATGACGGCAAGTGCATTACCTTTCCACAACGGCACCTTGTGCCGGTTGGCGTTGAAAATCACCATAGCAAGGAACAAAATCGTGCAGAGAACAATCAGAACGGGAACCACAATCCAACTCCAGCGAACACGGAGGTGAACTTCCAATCCATAAGCCGTTCCGGGGATTTTGTCGACACCATTAAAAGTGCGGAAGGCGACAGTCATTGCGGTTGCAAGATCGGTCATGGCTTGGCCAATACCATCTGCGTATTCATAGTAGTCCCAGTAGAAGGTCTGAACGATATCTGTGTCAAAGTATGTGGTTCCAGAAGATATACCGACTGTAAGGTTGACGATGACGCTTTGGTCTTTGACAACGGTAGCCGAGGCATTGCGAGACGCGCTACCATTCATGAACAGATCTGAGAACCAAGATTGAATACCCAATGCAGCTGCTTCGCTGATGAAGACCGAAGAGCCGTTCGGGGAAGTGATGCTAACAGGCAGTGTCCCGTTCGTGCTGCCAACATTGACTGTAGTAGAGTTGGTTGTTGTCTGGGTGACATTCTGTGAGAGTGTCCCATCGACGACAGCTGTTTCGATTGTCTGAACACAATATTCGAGAGTACATTGTCTTGCCCATGGGTTATAGTTGAGAGGAGGACCACTTTGTGCCTCAGTTCCCAAGAAATAAAGCTCGAGGATGGTAGTGTATGGTTGAAGTCCGTAAGGGCTGGGAAGATAACTCGTCATGCTGAATACGTCCGTGCTAGTATTTAGCATGGCACCATTGGGCAGCTGCCAACCACAAGTGGAAACATCACCATTCGCAGGTACCCCATTCGGACAATAGCGACTCATCATACTCGTCACGTCAATACAGGAGCTGCACACGGCAAGAGTATCGACTGCAGGCCAGGTACAATTTCCAGTCTCACAAGTAACTGCGAAAGGGTTTAGAGGATTCGATTCGGCAAATAGGCCATTGTAGACAGCAGCTTTCATAGGCAGGATTGGTACATATCCATCTTTGATTTGTTAGCTCGGCAATATATAGTAAGAAGATATCGCTCACTTGACGAGGAGTCACCAGGAAGGACTCCAGTATAGTTGACTGCAACTGGCAACTTGGCAATTTTATCCGTCCCAACCATCCGGTTCTGGTAGGTAGCTACTTGTTGCGAGAATGGTCCCAAAGCAAAAGCTAGAATTGTGATTGAGGCTCCAAACGATCCCATCATGCTGGCAACATGTTAGTGACGGACATATTGTGGGACAATCGCAGGACTGAAGACTTACCGACCCGGAGCTCTCGCTATCAGATTGAATGCTCCTAGAGGACCTCTGCTGGCTTGATCAAACAAGTCCATATCTGTGAGCACAGTACGATCTTTCTTGAATCGATCCCACTTCAGCTGGCTGATGCCATTGGAAAGAGGAACCGCCAGAGTTCCATTTGCAAGGGCAGTCAAGAGTGCAATGATAGTGTTGAGAGTGATGCTGTAAGGCCATTGAGGGAGGGTTCGATCATTGTAATGGGCAAGGACACCGATGATAGCTCCAATTGAAGCAAAGCCGATGATGAGGCAGACAACTTCAGGGAACCAAGTGGTCTCGGAAGTAGTACTAGATCTCCCAAAGCTTGTACGGCTGCCATTCTTTTCCTTGAATGACCCTTGCTGCGTACTGGCCGGTGAAGAGGTCCAGGTCTCAGTCAAAGAAACGGTCGGTGACTGGCCGCGCTTATTGGTGTCTTTAGGAGGTGAGGCTCTGCTCGGCTCCTCAACCGCGCCCGTATTAGGTGCGAGTCCTACTTCAGAGAAAGAACTCTGCGGATGCAAGTATGGTGCCGCCATTAGAAATTATTGATAGTCAGACCAACTCCTGCCACTCCTCGACAGGCTGGACACCCCGCGATATAAGACTTCCAACGAAAGGAGGAAACCATCGTCCCATTGGATTTGCCGGCTATACCGACAAAGGAAAATTATTAGCAGGATTGTGAAGCTGAAAGTCCGCCAAACTTGCAGCGTGCAGCTTATCTGAACGGAGTGGAAACTGCCAAATAGCATGGGTCAAAAGGCACCGACAAGGACTCGTGCATGCATATGAATTGTCCAATGCCAACAACTCTCTCGAGTCGATGACCTGTGGTGTTGGAATATGCATAGATAACAGATTGAAAGGGCTGCGGTACTCTTTTTGGCCTTTCAGTCTACCATCAGCGCGCCGCAATCCAGCTAGCCCAGCCACTCAGCCTTGAATGAGGGGCACCATGTCAGATCCTTGCACAAAAGTCCGTTGGAGATTTTGGAGCATATCGAATGCACAATTCCCTGTACATTTGGGAAGATGCTCGCTCGAGGCTGTAGGAATTTCCAATTATACTTGTTGGCTCGGCATTTGAGGAGACCACAAACGATGTGGGATGTGAATCATGACCTTCTGACTGGCTGTATATTACGAAAGACTCTTGGCTTTTGAGGCACTGTCAGATGTGGGGAGATACTTCTCGGTCGCATGAGTGGTTGCCGTAGGGCTTCCCAGCCAGGTGGGTGTGGTGGAAAACTTCTAGAAGCGATCGGCAAATACCATCCGCTTCCTTCGTGCACCCCTTCGTCAGACAAAGATAAAACCAGCAGATAAGTTTCACGATGGAAATCTAAATATAGCAATTGCTTCATATTGCTGCATCATGACTGGAGCATCCAGATTCGCAGCCGCATGCTCCCAACACCCCACGTGATAGTAGCTGCATTTTTGCAACGGATATAAGTTGGATTTCAGCAGACAACTCCCTAACAGTGATCGATATTGCATTTCCAGAGCCTTTATATCCACATCTAGATAGAAATTGCATGTGAAAATCTCAGCTCAGATGCCAAGTCCTCAATATTCCCAAGGAATTTAGGTCCAATCAGATCTTCCGAGCGTACATCTGAAGTCCGATTGGAATGCCACAAAGTAACATTGAGTCCGGGAGCCAACTGATTCTTGCGCCCAGTCCGGATATTTTGCGAGGCTGGCAACATTACTCGAGGTTCAAACAATTACCACGCACGCCCGGAGACAACATGTCGGTGTGACGAACAGCAGCCCTAGCCAACGAGAGGCACCTATCGAGGTCCGTAGGTGATATGACAAGAGGAATAATGTGCTTAGCAAGTGCGTCCGGTGCCAGAAGTTGAGTCTTGTGGGATGTTGCGTGCAAGTTCTTCTCATCTCACTGCGTGTGATGTTTCGAAGTTGTCTTCTCCACTCCGTCTCCCTTACCCCATCTTCCACCGGGCATTGAATAAGAACCTCTGGCTGTCGACGAATGATGGAAGATCTGAAATGCATATATAAGAAACATTCAATTGAGAATTTCAATAACTTTACTCCAAAACAACACTCTTCTCGCACCACTTCACCGTCCGACATTTCTCCTCATCGTCATCACCCATCGTCCTCTCCCCATCTCCAAAAGCAGGCTTTAACAACTTATCATAGCTCATCCACATGATAGTGAAAACGGTCCCCATGATGGACGCCAACCACGCTGGAATCTTTCCTTCGTCATCTGCGAAGAGTTTACCCAATCCAAACAGCGCCAGGATCAAAGGCGACCAAAACCCAACTATGAACGCTTGTCCCAAGTGTTGCCTCCTCGTTGTGATTGTATAGGGTCTGATATTGTGCAGGTAATGTAAATATTCCTCAGGAAGAGAATGTTCTTCTGCTCCATCTGTAATGAGCTTCAGATATCTAGCCGAAGCTTGCGCGTAGCTCGGATCAGGCCTGTGAATCCTGCCAGCTCGTGTCCTGATCCGATTGCTCTCGTCATCCGTAGGTTGTAATAAAGTATGGGCTTTGAAGGGTGAGCCACTTGGTAAGGGATCCACTTCCGAGGTTCCAGGTGGTATAGCATAGCACGGAACTACGACATCTTGGTAGCTTGCTCCTCCGCCTTCCGTGGCGATTATGATTCTGTAGTCTTCAGGCGTGACTTCGTATACAACGCCAATCAGACCCTTATGCCATCGGTCTTTGTGGTAATCGTCGTCGGAAGGAGGGGCATTTTGATCCCGCCACCTTGTGTTGGCAAAGCAAGGTTCGATGTATGGGATGCCGGCAAGGTCGAATGTGAGGTCGAGAGAAGGTACATGTACGTTGACTGAGGAAATGGGCTTGATGCCTCGAGCTCCTTTGAAGGTTTCTGCAGAGAGGTTTGACCCGTAGGCCAAGTAGAGGATTGTTTTCTCCGAAGTAGATGCGAGGCGTTCTGGGGTCGTCTGGGGAAGCGGAGGTGGAGAAGACGGGCTCTGTGTGAGCTGCGACAGCCGCCAGAGATGCCTTAGGGCACCCAGAGTGCGTTGTCCTCTGCACACCGAGCTGCTAGATTGTTGGGTTGCCATGACGGGACTTTGGGGGCAGAGGAGAAATCGTGGGATGAATTTCAATGAGCGCGATGACAGAGAGACAGTTGCAGATAAACGAGAAAAGCTAAAACGAGATATCTCAACAGCTACTTATCAATTGAGAAGCATAAGCATATGTAAATGTGTAGAGATATGGGGATTACAAATGTGGTCTTCTCGTCGGACATTGAAGTTGCAGAAGCTCCGGCCGCTGCGAGGCTGGATGCTCGAGCCAAACTAAGCATTGTTTGAAGCATATCTGGTGCAGTTGAAGTTTCGATCCGCTGGAGGGCTTTCTTATAAAGGCGATGTATATCCTCATGTAAAAAAAGTAAGCTTTTGGGTTGTGATCGATGATGTGAGTATGAAGCTGAATGTCGTCTTTGCTTTCTTCCGATTGGTCGAATCCTTCCTCCATGCGTGTGCTTCTTCGAGGCTTCGACCAGGGCTTTGAGAGAACCAGCCTTGTTACATCAGCGAGCATGTTTTCCCTTCAGGCTCCTACGTGTCCGTTATGTCGGTCTTAAATACTAATTAAAAAGGCATCACCCTGATATGGATATCTCCAATTGCTTTCCCACTTTGCTGCTATTCCTTACTGACCCAATCAAGTACGACAATAGTCTTCCTTTAGCTTTGAGGCAACTTAGGAGAAAGATCATGCCGAGCAGAAACTTTTGCGGACGGTTTCTTGACTGACAATCAGCGCGGATTCAGATCAGATTCGCTCGTCACAAAGCCCAAAGTCCTTCCAATTCTCCATGTCTATTCGAGGCTTCTCGCGGACACAGAGAGGACTTGAAGAAAGGCGCCGCTGAACTGAGAGAGCAAGCTGTGTAGGAATTGATTTATAGATATCTTTAGGTATGATCGTACACAACATATTATCAGATGGCCTTCATAGCTGTGACAGGTTGTAAAAGCGACAATAGCATACTTCAGTTCAAGAGTGGTCAGCCTCGTGCCACGAGGCTGACGAATGAATCGATTGGCGGGTCGAAATCCTCATGTGGGCCGAAACCATCCCACCTCATTTCTCACGCAAGGCACCGAACTTATTCATGAGCTCCACATCTCGACACGGGGAGTATCTGTACAGTTTTCCATAATCTTCTCGTCATGGCTCTCGTTTCCGGGCCTGGACGTGCTGGCGCGCTCCCTGACGAGCTTCAACTCGCTGTAGAAGCTCATGTGAAGTATATTCAGTCTTTGGATACTGTACGGATGACTCTCCTCCGCTTCTCTACTGCTGTGCACTCTCTATAAACTTTTCAGTACTCTGCTAATCTGATCTTCAGCGCAGGGACGAACTCGAGTACTGGCTCACCGAACACCTTCGTCTTAATGGCCTCTACTGGGGCGTCACAGCTCTCCACCTTCTCAATCGACCCGATGCCCTTCCCCGCACAGAAACAATAGACTTCGTGCTAAGCTGCCAAGCAGAAAATGGCGGATTTGGAGCAGCTCCTGGACATGACGCCCATCTACTTTCAACCGTGAGCGGGATACAAATCCTGGCAATGGTCGATGGCTACGAGGAGCTTGAGAAGCGGGGCAAAGTCGTCGCATTCGAGGGGAAAGAGTACAAGGGAAAAGAAGTTGTGGGCAGATATCTTTCCGGACTGCAGAATAAGGAGACGGGCACATTTGCTGGTGATGAGTGGGGAGAAGAGGACACTCGGTTTCTTTATGCTGGTCTTAATGGCTTGAACTTGCTGGGATTGTTAGACTTGGTCAATGTCGATTTGGCCGTCGATTACATCGTCAGTTGTGCAAACTTCGATGGTGGCTATGGAGTCTCTCCTGGGGCTGAAAGCCATTCGGGTCAGATCTTTACTTGCTTGGCGGCATTGAGTATCGCGAAGAGGATTGATACAGTCGACAAGGATAAGTTGGGCCAGTGGTTAAGTGAGAGACAAGTGGAGCAAGGAGGGTTGAATGGGAGGCCAGAGAAACTTGAAGATGTCTGCTATAGTTGGTGGGTAGCGAGTAGTATGACTATGATTGGACGCTTGCATTGGATTGATGGCAAGAAATTGACTGAATTTATACTGAGATGTCAAGATCCGGTTGGTGGAGGATTTGCAGACAGACCTGGAGACATGGTCGATGTTTTCCATACATGCTTTGGCGTTGCGGGGTTGAGTCTTCTGGAGTTTGAGGGCTTGGAGGAGGTGGATGCTGTATAGTGAGTAAATATTCCTTCGCACAGCTCATATTGACTGGGGAACAGCTGTATGCCCAAGAAAGTGCTTGAACGAATACTTGGGCCACAATATGGAAAAAATGACTGATGTTAATGAAGTTAATGGATCAAGCATGATCTGACGAAAGCTGTCTGAGTGGATGTAGTCTAGCCAGTGCTTATAGGAATCAAAGGTAGGCATGAATTTGTATCTCTCCTGCCATCTAATAACCTAGCACCTTTGTGTTTTGTGGTGCAAGGATACAAGGCAGGAGAAGAGAAATTCCAAGCTACATTAGCATACAGTCTTTGCCCATGACTTGACTGCATCAGAAGCTAGTGAAACATTGTGTTTAGTTCTTTCAGTGCTTTGCATTCAAATTATTTGAGTCATACGAATATTATCTTCTGCAATTCCATTATGCCAACTCTACTGTAGCTCGACGCGTGCCCAGGTACAAAGCACTCGTCTGAGAGAAGAAAATATGTGATCCTTCAATCTTCTTGGATCACTTTGAAGTCTTGGAACGGTTGAGTATCTACTCTATATCGGAGAAATGCAAGGATCTACTGCGAGAGGTACTGCCGAATGCGTGCCACTGCCTTTCCTTCCTGCTTGAGTCGACAATTAGACTTTCACGTGGTTAAAAGTGGGGCGAGTCCGTATCGGAGGTGTTGTTATTGCAGCCTCGAGTCCTTCAATGCTTCTCTTGAAAACAAAACACAATCCAATTTTGATAGAGTCACCGGTTAAGCCTTCCCAGGCTATCAAACATTCAGGACGTTGTGGATTCTTTTTGTACAGGTGTACGGCGTCTGGAGTTGTTCCTGTGTTTTGATTCCGCCCATCTTGAAAGTCCATTGGGTTCTCTGTTGTGCCTTCCATCCATCACGAAAGGCCACTGAGTTGTGTCTCGTGCTTTCCTCACAGCACAGCATCTACCTTTAGACGACACGAGTCCGAACCTTCTTTCCCGCCATCAACAAAACCCTTGTTTCCTTCCTCCCAACGCCCTCCGTTCTTCACAACAGGAAGCCATCTCTTGCTGCGTCTTGATCGTCCCCCAGCTCAACTTGCAAGGTCATCAGTGACTGACGACCGGTGCTCACATTACCAAGCGTGTCTTTTGAGTTCCCACCGACAATCCCACCACCTGCGACGGCCCAACACGTCGCCCAATCCGTGTACACCAAGCAAACTACATCTGCTACAGTGCTTGACCAGTACAGTAAGTTACACCCTCCTTGCCTTCTGGATAACATGCTGACGAACATAGTTCTCATATTACACTTGACGTAAGTTTATTTCTGCCATCTCTTCGTGTCTCCTTGCATCCAAGCATCCGTTCAGCATATGCTGCCCGGCCGGCTACGGACTGGACGCCCAAAGGTTCAATCGACTGGAATACTGAGTCCTGTTGCTACTTCGTCTTCAATTGGACGCGACACAACGTGGAGCTGCTCTCTATTTCTATACACAAATATCAGCCACCTCAGCTCTAAGGTATGTCTGACATCCTTTTCTGAGACTTCACATAGCCTTGGATATCTCACTAACTTCTACTTCTATTCTTGCAGGCCCGTCTTCAAAGCGTTGGTAGTCGACAGTACCCCTACTCTTCATGACAAGATTCGACACAACTTGTCTTGTGCATCTTCATGAGCATCTACTGGATGCCTTACATCACTGGCGATAAATCTTGGCATGTGGCCCACTTGTACACGACTGGATCTCCGACTACTGGTCATATCGTTTTCATACACACATCCGCATCGAGCATCGGCGCTACCCTACAATCCTTCAGAGGCTTTTTTCGAGACAAGGCTGCAACTCATTCAGTCTCGCTTTCCTTGCAACTACAACGAGCACTCTTGATTTTTGGGGTTCTTCAAACCATCACTTTCCTCGGAAGTTACGACACTCCTCCGATGATCCCCGATTCTGTAACCTTTGGCGTCAATCACCACTTGATATATTTCGCAACCGGCCGAGATTCTTGGGACAACAATCGCTAAATCTCCTTATCCTCTACATCTCCCTATCCTCTATCTACTCACTCTCGTTTTCTTCCGGCCTTCGATTCTCACAACCCACTAACTCTTTTCCCCACATTCAAAACATTTACATTGTAACTGAGCTGACTAGAGCCGTAGGCATATCCATCATGCCTAAACAACCCAAAGTCGAACACAACATTGATCTACAATGCACGCTCTGCCCGAAGAACCCGAAGTTCTCTGATGTCTCCCATCTCCTGACACATATATCTTCCAAAGGACACTTGGCACATCGTTTCAAACTTCAGATTCGTGCTCAAGGCGAATCGGAAGCTAAAGAGGTTCTCGATAATTTCGACTTCTGGTACCGAACCAGCGATCTGGACACTTTACTGTCTGAACGCCTTGCTGCCAAAGATCAGAAGAAAGCCAAGAAGAGCAGAGCATCTAATGCTTCCACAACTTCTACAACTTCCGTAAGTTTTCAATCTGCCTTCTTTGTTCTCGCCCATATCTGGCCTGTGGAGCATCCTGTCCCTGTCTAGTCCTCAGCCTCTTAGCACCAATGACAGTCGCTTCCTGTTTTTGTCGCGAGCCTGGTGTCTCCTAAGACTCGACTTCTTTTTCTTGCCCTCACCCTCGTGTTGCGTACGGCCTCCACCTCCCCGTTCTGTTCACAGCCTTGAGTCGCCTGTGAGCTTCGTTTCCCTTTCTTGGTCTTAGCATCATATTGCCTTTGACCTCATCTATGATCTCCTCTAGGACTTTTGCTCCTTCGTCTACGACGTTCGGGTACCTTTCTGACCCCTTCCTCTCACTCCGACCCCGCTACGACGCTTCGTCTCCCCCTCACCTTTCGTCTGCGCTTTCTCACCATTGACCCCATCTGCTTCGATCTGTCATCTCACTTTGACTTTCCAATCACATACTGATGCCTTGGTCACAGATCAAGCAAGAGAAAGAGGTCGCGCCAGCTCCAGCGTCTGCACCAGAAGCTCCGATGTTTCGAGCACCCGTCCCTGGCATGCATCTTTTGCCAGCTCCGCCAAGAGCCAACAGAACACCATCAATGGCAGCTGAAGACTGGGAATCCAGCGTCTACTCTACACCTACAGCAAGACGCCGCATCCCCAACTTCACTCGAGCAGAGACTCCAATCGGCGATAAAGTTGATCCCAAGTATGCAATTCGTCCTGCACCAGTGTTTCGAACTGACATAGCTAGTCTCGCAACACCATGGAAGCCAGATCCTGAAGATGAGGACGACGAAAGTGACAAGAAGAGTGGTGAGAAGCTCACTGATAGTGCCAAACTAAAGGGAGTTCTCTGGCCTGGTATGGACCTCTTCGATTCTGCTACGCCAGATATGAAGAGATTGAGAAATCAAAAGAAGGATAACACCGTCATTCAAGGCATGATTGCTACTTCACGGGCCGTTGAGCCAGCCGAGATCAGCTACCACGCAAATGGGGAGTTCCGAGCATCCAGGTACATCTTTGGTCCACTGTCAAATGAGAACAGCCCCACCAGATCTGTGTCTCCTAAGAAGCGTCGTGCAGCTCGCAAAGTAGCTCCTGCACTCAACGACCTCAGCGTCAATGCTCCTCGGCTTCGTGCTTCACGTGGCCGAAAAGCTGCTGCTGGAGAAAGTCCTCAGAAGTCTGGTGCGTCCTCATTGGCTCAAGGACCACCAGTATTCCTCCAGCCTGCTCCTGCTCTCAATCCTTTGGCTATGGGTCTGAACAATCGTCGATTCCATCCAAGTACAGAAGAGGAGGAAGAATTCAGGCTGACTGTTGGGGGATTGGGACTTCAGCAAGATGAACGCAAGAAGAGAACCTTCACAATCTTCCAGGAAGCTCCTCAAATCAGTCCAGGTATGTTAATTGTCGCTTATGTATGACACTGCTGACAATCTATAGGCCGCACCGAAACACCTTTGGAAGATCATGGGTATGCCTTGAACCACGGGCCTCAAAGTTTCACGACTAATTATTCCAGATTTGACTTTCCGAATCATGGTCTGCCAAACTATGGCGGCCCATCGATGACCTCCGGCCCTTTCCAAGTATCTCCAACTCCTGCATCAAAGCCCGCGTCATACGGCTTTGGCAAGGAGAATGGTCAAATAGACATGCAACATCACCACCAGGCTCGTCGTACTCTATCGGAATCCCACGTCTACCCGCCACAGGTTTTCTATGATACCTCCTACAATCCTCTCTACAATCACGCTTATGCTCGTTCTTATGCATACAGCACTCAGTTCACCTTCAGCGAGAACAAGTCTCCTAGCGGATTCAACCCCAACTTCTTTGGTGCTCCCAGTACCTACAAGCTTCAAGCTAGTCACATGTCCCAAGTTCCTCAATCTCAAGGCCCAACGATGGGATCCGGCAACAGTGCAACTCAGAGCAATGACGCTTTCGGCATGTGAAAAAGCTCTCGAGGTTATTCTCCACTGCACGAACGACTACTTCTCCTCCTAGATCATGACTTTACGGACGTTCGGTTTCTGGTGCATCTCTGACTTTCTGCATACTTAGGAGTTTTCGGTATGGAGCATGGCTATGGGGTTCCTAGCGTTTTTGCCAGCCGTTCGGCAGCGGTTGCTCTAACCTATGCGGTTATTTGCTTATCATACATACATAATAGACATCGGCCGGAGGATATGCCTGGAGGTCTGGCCGTCATTACTTGCGACAGTATTTGCTTATTCGCTTTTCTTTCTTCGTCTGTACATACATCATAGCTCTTCGATGCCGACAACCAGCTGCTCTATCTGGTCGGCGCCAGTCTCTCCCGATAATAAACAAGCCATCATCTTTGATAGACTCCCGAGCTTCTTCTGCTTGACTTCCATCTCCAATTCATGTGATTTCTTCGCCGCGGTCTCAAGTACAGGCTTCGGCACATGTGCCAGACGTGCCACGTTCAAGCCATATGATCGATGAGCCACTCCTTCACCGACTTCATACAAAAATGTGATCTCCTCGTCTCCATCATCTATTCCTTCGGTATCAATCGCACTATCTGACAACCTCCTCGAGCCTTTCTGAGCCGTGAACTTCATGTGCACATTCCTTAATTCCTTCTCTTTCTCAAACCCTCTCGCCACCCCAGCCAATGTCTGATAATGCGTGATGAACAAACAAAGACACTTTGTCTCTCTCACCACCCAATCCAACACCGCACCTGCTATCGCAACGCCATCGTGCGTGCTTGTTCCTCTTCCTAACTCATCCAAGATGACTAGTGAGCGAGGGGTTGCTGATTTTAGGATTGATGAGGTCTCGGAAAGTTCTACCATGAATGTACTTTGGTTTGTGAACAGGGAGTCGAAGGCTCCCATTCGGGTGTAGATCCCGTCTAATAGGCCTAATCTTGCTTCCTCAGCGGGCACGAAAGAGCCGATTTGTGCCATGATGCAGATGAGAGCTGTTTGGCGGACGTAGCTTGATTTGCCGCCCATGTTTGGGCCGGTGATTAGTAATGCTCTTGTTTGCTCTGGAGATGTGGAGAGTGATGTGTCGTTGGGAATGTATGATGAAGGGAGGAGTTGCTCGACCATGGGATGTCGTCCTGCTGTGACGGTAATCTCTGTATCGGTGCTGAAGGTTGGCTTGACGTAGCCAGGGAGCAAAGCTACAGTAGCTAGGGACAAGAGACAATCCAATGTGCTGATCGAAGCAATAGCATCTCGCAATGGACCGTAGTGAGCACTGATCTCTGTGAGAAGGGTGGCATATGCTGCGTCACAAGCTGCAGAGAGAGATTCTTTGTGTTGGTCTCGTTCGTGTAGCATACGAATTACCTCTGGCGTGTGAAAGCGTGAGACTTTCTTCGTGCCAGAGATCTTTGCCCAAGATCCGGGAACATGTTTCAGATCCGTGTTGGCAACTTCGATTAGGTATTCGATGCCGGCAACAGTCACATAAGCGATCTTTTTGTGTTGACGGAGGGTGTCTGCTGCTGCTGAGCGATGAGCATCGAGATCTTGCTCGACGGCTGCTATGCCAAGTTTGTGGTCACCGATGACTTCTGTCTCGTGCTCTTCGCGAAAGAAAGTATACTTGTCGTCTTTCTGAGCGGCAACCGTGTTGATTCTGTCGAGGAAAGATATTACTGTTTCGCCGATTGTGGGGAGAGAGGTAATAGCTTCGTTGACCAGCGAGGACTTGAAACCTGCCTCGGTCGAAGACTTCACAGAAATGTACTCCGTGGCTATTTTCTGCAAAGTTTGTAGGGCAGTGAGGAGTTCTGGACGTGTACACTTGCCGTAGTAGATTCTCAGCAGACTTCGTTCCAGATCTAATCTTATGCCACGGAGAAGCGATCGTACTTTGTCAACTTTTGGAGTTTGGTGGGCGTCCTTCAGCTCCTCCACTGCTGCTACTCTTTCTTCGAGTTGATTCTTGTCAAGTAATGGCCGGCCCACCCATTTCCTTAACATTCTTTGCCCGAAACGTGTGTGGGTTTTGTCCAGTGTCCAGAACAAACTTCCTTTCTGGGTGTAGTCTGTCTGATTCTGATAGATTTCCAGACTGGTCAAAGTATTGCCATTAAGCAGCATATGGGACCTGGCACTAAATGATTGAAAGTACTTAGTCAAGTCGAAGACATGCTCCAAGCCATACTCAGTCATGTGGGTGATCATTGCAGAAAGACAGAGTGTGACAGGCTCTGGAAGCTTCAGGACTTTCTCCAAAAGGTTCTGTTCTCGCTCGTTCTGAGAACTCTGACTGGCTTTCAGCTTGTCTGCATAGAATTGAGCCACATGCGAATAGGCTTCAGCAGCCATGGTCTTTGCCTTCTCCACACGTTCGACTCGAATCCTGTCGCCAAATACATTGGTCGTTGAGCTGGAAAGATGCTGTACCAGTTTTTCGGTGGCTTTGGTAAGTGTTCCCACGATCAGGAATTCGCATGGTGCAATGTGCAGTAACCTAGTCTCAATCTCACTCCGCATGAAGCCATCTTCGAAAGAGTCATGTATGATATCTCCCGTAGCTGGTTGGACGGCTAAGATTCCAACATTGACTTTTTCATCAGTTCCCCAACCGTTGGCTTTCGACTCTGTGATGCATAACAGGTATCCTGTGGCCGGTGCTCCTCCAACAGGCGCATCTGTAGGTTGATCCAGCCCATCAATATCATCTATATATGTTCCTTTCGTGTACACATTTGTGAGTTTGCGTTCGAAGGGTGCATTTCTGTTGTCGCCAGCTTTCTTCAATGCGGCTGTCTCTGTTTGCCTCACAACTCCAATCTTGTGACCGGCAGCAACAAGTCGCTTGGCATGGACAGGTAATCGATGGACAGGAATACTGGCAGATGCAAAACGGTCAAGGTGGGCTTCAGAAGGATCTAGTAGGCTTTAGTACAATGAACGGTGACCAAGGAAGGAGATGTAACGTACGTTCGTCATATCTGAATTTACCAGGTATGCATACTATGCTCAGCTCTTTTCCAGCAGTCCTCGCATCTTCTCCAAAGAACTTGAACTTGTAACCCACTTCTACAATCAACAGCGTATCCATGTGTTTCCTTTTGATATCAAGAATCTGGAGCTCTAGAGGCGTCAACTTGCCAGTCTTGGCCCCCTTCTTCTTGGTCTTGACTGGAGCGGGAGTCTCTTCCTCTTCTTCGGCTTCTCCATCGCCATCCTCTATCAGAGCATTATCTCCGTCCGTCTGCCATCGTCTGCCGATTTGCTGCCCAGCCATTTTCTTCATCCATCTCCTGTGAAGTTCCTCTTTCCTCGCTTTTTCACTAGCATCTTCCTCTTCCTCGGGTGCTTGATCGCCAGCGGATGGTTGAGTAGAGTTATACAGATACTTCTCGGTTCTGGGAGATATCTTCGACTTGCTGGTGGAAGGAAAAGGGTTGGTAGGTTCTGCAAAGAATGCACTTCCTCCGCTCTCATCTCCTTTCGTCCTCTTCGCAGGACGATCGACAAGGCCACTATTCCCGCCATTTGAATCTTCAGTCAGGGCCCTCTTTAGAGAGGCAGTCTTCGCAGCCCGGATGTCCTCATCATCACTCTCAGCGTCGTAGATATTCGAGCTCGATTCCTTTCTAATAGGTGGCGGATTTTGTGAGGCTTGTGAGGCTTGTGATGCGCGGGCCTGCGCAATGCCATTGACAGTCGGCTTGGGGGTGAAGAAGCTCGAGATTGATTTCTGGCCTTTGCTCTGCGAGGGAGTTGCCTTCACCATTCTGTTGTTCGGCTTAGGCCATAGATGTCTTGGTTGAATGATTATAAGGAGACGCGACTTGACGCGTACAGTGGTTGAGGCATTATGTCAGCAATCCCGGGGATGAAGACCCCTGAAGAATTGGCGATTATGCGCTAAAGCTTCAGGGGTGCAACACTACACTACAGCAATTCAATTTACCATTCTAGTCTACTCCAATTTTGTGCTATTGTATTGTTTGCAGTGTTGTTGACGTTTATTTGCATTTCTCTATGCTCTCAGCTCTCTGACAACTGCTTCGTCTGTCTCTTTCCGTCACCAAATAGCTGTTTTTCTAAATGCTCTGCGATCCTTTAAGTCGTCTTCAAATCCATCACACATCAACCGAGATTCTTCTCCATCCATTTTACGGTCTCCAAAAACGCTTCCAACCATTAGTACTATCGCTTGTCGTGTGTCTTGCACTTCCCGACCAGGAAGCTATGGCAGTCTAGCATCGATGAGTGACAGTCAAGGGCAAGCTTGAATTCAAAATGTAGTTCCCATCCTGATGCTCTGGAGGTGGTCTTTTTGGGCTGATACGAGCACGTTAAACAATGGCAGAGAAGAGAAGCCTCGATGTTATCCCTACATCCAATCAGAAGAGAGACTTCGTTCAAGAGCAATGAACAATGGGCTCGCAGTACCTTTATCATTTTCGCTTATCACACCTTTGGTTTTTCCTCGTTATGAGTTGCTATCACTGCAGAAATCAAACTTTGTTACACTTCGTCTTTGAGGTTCTTTACGTCGATTTCACGCTCTTGGGTTGTTTCTTTTGCTGAAAGCATGTTCGTGAAACCTTTTTTATTTTAGACTCGTGACGCTTGTCACGCTCTCATCTCATACATTTTAGCCATTCTCGTTATTAATTCTTGGATAGACAATCTTTTGGTTCGACTACCAAGTACCGGGAGGCTTTCAATAAGGAAATTAGAGATTACACTTGAATCCTTAATGCCAATTTAGCAGAAGCGCAAAGTACACAATGCGTGTTTTAATTTGCGCGAATTTGGTCCAAGGAATACAAAGCACTTAATAGGAGGACTTTGGCCTTTGCTTCGAGGTTACCAAGATTCTTCGATGACAAGTAATCTATTTTTTAGCTTTCTTGCCAGATGTCACAAAGAAATTCACGAGTGATAATTACTCTTTTGGTTTGCCTTGTTCATATTCCCCTCAAAGAAAGCTCTCTCTATATGAGAAACTCAAAATACTTTGAATTTTGTTCATCACAGCTCCATCACTCTCATATTTCATATTGCGTTTCTCGTCCTCGCCTTTGCAAATTGTTATTTCATTCTCAAGTGTTGATCACTTCAATTTTCGTATTCAACCATCTACATACCAATTAGTGTTGATCAATAAAAGTGCGACCATCTTATAATCTCTTATAATTCCTTATAATTTATACAACACGATACCAAGTATGGTTCGTCACGCTACTACAAACGCCGTCATATTCGACGAAGGACTAGGTTTTTTCCTTGTCAAAGCTTTAACTCATGGACAGAAAGCCCAATCGTATATTGCACGCTCCCTAGAAGACGAGAAACTCTATGCCCGCAAGAAACTCATTGCTAATTAGGTTGACCTCGTTCCCCACAGCGACATCAAGTTCGCCAACATAGTCCACCCCACCATCGCCCCAGAACTAATCTATACCACACAATACCTCCACGTCAAAGACGCCCTGTACTTCAAGTTCTGCAACGGCGGCGATCTCCGCCAAGTAATCGACCTCTACGTCAAGAAGGAAGAGAACGTCCCCGAGGATTTCATCTGGCACTGGCTGAAGACCGCATGTTCCCACGTCGCCAGTCTCCATTACCCGCTTGACCATCGAGATGCAGTAGACCCGCTCATCCACCGCGATATCTGGCAAGGTAATTTCTTCCTCGACTGGCCGAACCCCATCCCAGACCCAGCTCCCCTCCCGCAGATCCTGCTAGGAGACTTTGGCTCTGCACAATACGTGTCGGACGGAGACGTAGGGCGCGGCCCAACCGGCATCGGAAACGATATCTACAGCATCGCGTTCGTGCTTCTCGTTCTCTTGCTCGGGAAACCGCTTGCTTTTGCAGGAGACAATGTTCAGCAGGATGAAGTCCGAGACCTGATTCCAGACATGTACTCAGATGAAATCAAGGACGTCGCGGTCGAGCTTTCCGAACACGTTGTAGGTACGAGATTCCGCGTCCGGGATGCGCAGATCGTCAACTGGAGCGAACCAGACACGTTGGATCTGGCGCGCGATCTGATCGCACTCGGAGATCGGATGTTGGCGAGGTTCGCTGAGGATGGTCCACCTACCGATCTTAGCTGGACGAAGCCGGAGGTGAGTGATTTGCCTCTTTTCTTTGCCGATGCTGCTTCTTTGGATGAATGGTGCGTTGTGAATAATGAGGATAGACCACTTGAGGGTAGGTACTTCCTTGTTCCTATTCAGCAGGATTCACTGCGTATCCTGCGTCGTTCGGATCGTTTGAATCCTGGGCAGTATAGACGGCCTGTGAAGAGAAGTCGAGATGACGAAGAACAAGAAGAAGCATCTGAAGTTACGCGTTTGCGTCGTTGATATGGGGAATAGATTTGGTATAAACAATGGAAACAAGAAGGTTCCTAAAATTTATTTTAATGTATTATTGATGTCTAAAAGTTTTTGGTAGAAAAGAATGAACGTAACAACTACAGTACCTTTCCAATATACACAAAGCCAAACAACCCCAAGTTCCAAACAAAGACGCCGGAACCTTGGTCTCATGTACCACATCCCCTCGAACATTCCAGCTCTACCCAGAAAATTGCGAACATCCACCATATATGTCCCTTCTACCCATACTCTCTACCCCCAAGAAAGAACGCTAAACTCAACACCACACGCCGTTTCCACCCACCCAAAAATGCCCCAACCAACCTCCCCTGCCCACCCCTCACCAACCCTCCGCCAACAAGTCCTAACCCTCGACGCCGCCCTCGCAACCAACCTAAAGCACATCACGAAACAAAGACAACAACTCATCGCGCGAGGCTTAGTTCCTGCGACTGCTATTATTTGTGATGGATGTGGTGGTGAGAAGATAGGTTCTTGTGATAAGAAGGGGGAGAAAGAGGACGAGGAAGTGAAGAAAGAGTATGAGAAGAAGAAATGGGTAGAGTATGGAGTTATCGTTGTTGTTTCGGTAGCGGTGATTGTTGTGTGGAAGGTTGTGGAGAGGGTAAGGCGGTGGAGATAGGAGGTCTAGCCGAGATCTCGTGATAGAGAAAGGGGCTGACCTCGCATTTCGCGCTACTTGCGCAATATGCGCTAATCGCGCTGGTTTCGATTGTGCAACAGATAGTCAGACATTTGTTGTTGAGTAGATTGTACCACAGACAAATAGTCAGACATTTGTTATTGAGTACTACTCAGTTTCTCACGCTCGGAGAGAATGCTCCAGATATCCTCCACACATTCCAGTGTGTTAAATGATGGAACGCTGGGCAGAGAAAGATAAGCATGCATTCTTTTGGTCTTACTAGGTATCTACCAATGCTTGTTCTCGTTCATCTTGAAATATTAGGAAGCCGACCAACTCCATCCATCCCATGTCATCGAATCGTATACTTCGTGTCATAGCCTGATGATGACTTCCTATGCAGGATTGTCTTCCTAATCGCCATCTCGACTTTTCTATGTCTTCATCTTGCTCAAGTTCTCCGAAAGTTGGGAAACGTCATACTGCGCCGCATCGTGATACAAATCAATGAGACAGCCAGCGCTCCAAGCTTGAGTTGGGGACTGCATTGATGAATTAGCATGGTCTTTCTCGTGACTCGAAGAGGAAACTTACCGAATCGCCGCAGAACTCCCCGTTCTTGTTTGTCAACTCGGTCAACCCCGCCCAAGGACTGCTCTGGATAGCTTCTTTGCAGCCTGCTAACCTTCTTGTGATCTGCTGGAACGCCTCTGTTCTCTCCTGAGGACCCTTTCTTCTCATGAGATCAAATTTCAGTAATGCCCTCAGGAAGAAACCTGTTGGCCAAAGCCATTCTGGACCCTGATGGTAGTTTCGTCCCTTAGAGGTTGCGAAATCGGTTGAGTCTTCCGAGTTGTTGTAGTATGGACGGTAATTCAGATCTGCGGGATCGAGAGTTGCCATGCCAGTAGGGCCACGAAGAACCTTGTCCGCCAAAGTCAAGGCGTGAAGAGCATGCTCAGGAACAAACAAGTCTGGTGCGACAGTCATCGCGATCGGGAAGTTGGCTCGCAGCTGATAGTCTTCGTACTCTTTGCCAGATTTGTACAAGTCTTTGTAGATGCCTCGTCGGTTGATGATCTTCGGGTTGACGTCGTAATGGCTGTCGTCCTTTGAATCCAATGGGACGTAGTAGCACTTCTCGAAGTTGTCCTTCAGTAAAGCTGCCCAGTTGGCCCAAGTAATAACCTTATGCTTTGGATCTGAAGTACTGACACCAGCGTACTTGTACTTCTCCTCCTTGTGCAACTTCGACAACCAGACCAGAGTGCTGTACAAGAGACCAGTTATCTCAATTGCTGCGCCGTCACGCGGAGTTCCGGGAACTCCTTTGCTTCCAGCTCGTTCCGACTCACCCATCTTGTCCATCCAAGTGCCACAATTGTTCTGGTTGCCACCAAATATTATACCATTCTCCCAGTCTACTTTGATCTCTTGATCAAATCCTTCTGAACTCATCTGCATATCAAGTCCTGGACCCGCATTAGCCTCGCGGAATTTCATTCCAGTAGCATGACGCTGAAGAGCTTCTTGAATGATATCTTCAATGGTGGAACTCTTAGAGTACGCTCTTGGATCATCGGACTCGAAGTATGTATCGTCATAAGGCAGAAAACGTCGAGGGACATTGTCTTTGAGAAGGTCGATACCATTTGGTACGATCTTGGTATAATCTTGAATCGTTTGAAGCATGAACCAGATTGCATCACGCGCATTGTATCGTGGATTATTGCCACTAGATAGTAGGTTCGGTACCATGCCATGCTTCAAAACACTTGAAAAGGCAATGATATGTTCCTTGCAGTCGGCATAGCGGCCTGTTCCAAGGAAAAGCCCTCGTGCAGAAATGAAGACATCTCTGCCCCAGCAGCGAGCCCATTCGACAGCGAAATGTGGAAGTCCAGCTGCCAATGAAGGCACAACTTTCTTTGGATATAACGAAGCTGACTTGACATACCCATTCTGTTGGACGCTGACCATGGCAAGGCTCTTCAAGAACCATTGACCATTCTGGACGTTCTCGTTCATGAGCTCGATACCACGGTCCCATGCAGCTTTATAGGCTGTACGAATCACAAGCCCGAAATATCTTGGCAAGAGAAAGCTTGGCAATTTTCGGATTGCATCAAACCTTTCCTTCAGCCAGACAGCAGGCTTCTCTAATTGCTCGTACCCCGGCTTCTTTGATATCCTCTCAAGTCGGCCGACGATGTAGTCCAACGCCCATTGCCCGTTACGTAGGTGTTGGCATAAGGGATGAGCGAGATCGTTGTCTCGGATGATATTTTTCAGAACGCTCCACCAGCCTTGAAGGCCAGCATAGACAAGCTTGCCATGACCCGGAATATCGTAGACACCGTCCTTGCCATCGCTAGAATCGAGCTCTTCTGCCTCACAACGGTACAGCACAAAATTCAAATCAATGAGATTGACATCAGCAAATGCAGCCTTCCCTCCTGAGGTCACATAGGAGTCAAGTCCGGCTGTATGCTCTGCTTCTGGAATCCAGGTTTCGAACAAAGCGATGCTTCCAGGCGGGAATTTATCGCGAACTGAGATGATAGTCTCGTCCTTGTTTGATTCCATTCGAATACCTGGCAGATCGATAACTTTGCTTGGCAGACCTCTCAAGAACTTTTTGTCGCTCAGAACTTCTTTCGTTGCCTCCTCGCTAGTGTCGACTTCGAGCATCCAGCTTCCAAGGTGTCTAGCTTTCGTCCCAGTAAGATGAACAGGACTGAAACCACCGTTGCCATTACCGTAGCCAGGGAAAGCTGTATGGGCAATGAGGAAATATCCTTTCCGCGATTCAGGATGCACACGGTGTACAGTAATGTACTGATCCTCATGATGGATGTGTGTCTCATCATAGCCATCCTTCCCCATTAGTGTGTGTATTTGATTCAGAAGCTTCTTGATGCCACCAATACCACCTTCACCACCACCAACCTCAACCCGTTTTGTTGAAGATTGGGAGGTGTAGAATCTGGTTTCTGAAACGAGATCGACCAATCTCGGGTAGATCTCATCATAACCCATGACACTGCCTGTAGCACTAGCACACATATTTACCAATGCAGCATTAGGAAGAGTGTCACGAGCATCGCGCTTCTGAGCTGGGACTTCGTTATCGTGAGTGCAATCCATAAACAAGGCATGGACAGGCGTTTGCTTGATTCTCCGGATGATTTCCCTCTTGGGATGGCCATTAGCTTGCCCGTTGGGGACGCCGTTGGGTGCATTTTTTGCGTTGTCAGAGACATCGTCAACTTCGAAGCTGCCGATAGGACGACCTCCATGGCGATGGACGAGTCGACTGAGCTCACCAGTTCCCCATGCTTGCATAGCTTCTCGAATCAAAGAGCTGATACCAAGTCGCTTGACGAAGACATAGTCCATCTCCTCGGATCCAGTAAACAGCTCCGCAACCACGAATAGATTGGGACGAACTCTCCTCGCTTCATCAAGAAGAAATTCTGCCACGTGGATTGGAGTGGAGTGGCAGTTATCAATTCGAAAGCCAGTGAAATACTTGGCCATCAGACGCGTGTATGCTGCCATATGGTCCCAAAGAAAAGGACTTTCCTCTCGGCTCTTTCCATATCGGAGCTTCACGCAATCACCCCAAACAATGACTTCTCGACGTAAATAAGAACGAGAACTTGGCCCAGCATTGTCAATGAGAGCATTGGCAGCCCAGATCCAGCCATTGTTGACCAACGCGAGATCTTCTTGATTATGCTTTGCTGTGGTGGAGTTTTTCGGAAGCCGTGTGAAGTAAGATTCGATCAAAGGATTCTTCTGGTCGATAGGACCTAACTTTGGTCCATGATCATCCAATCTGACATACTTTATCCGATTGGACAATTGTTCCAGAATTTCAACGACATCGGCATCGTATTCTTTGTATAGAGGAAGGTTAACTTCGTCCAAGATGTGTATCAGTTTGTTGCGAACAGCAGCTCGATCGGCCGAGTCAGAGGTATCTCCTTCAAATCTACCGAAAATGGCAGTTACGAGTGCTGCTCCAGTAGCCGGATCTATGCGTCGCTTGTAACGTTCCCCCAGAGCATCTGCACCAAGAAGTGCTTTGTCTTTCAAGAATTTGGCTTGCTGTGTAGGTGTTGCGTTCTTGATTGTCTCTAGGCCTCCAAAATCCGAGCCCCCGAAACCCCCTTCAGGAAACGAGATTTTGCCATTAGCCCAGGAATCAACAATCGCATCAGCATCTCGTTCAACATCAATGACATAGTACTGCCAGAGTTTAAGTTTCGCGACAACATTCTCTTTGACTGCTTCCATGAGTTTCGTAAGATCTGCTATTGACTTTAGATCAGTAGGCAATCCATTTGCCGCTAGCTTGCTGCTGAAATCGAGCAATTCTGTGTCCAGTTCCAGAGCAGACCGCAACCAGGGAGCTGTAGAAACATTATATCCAACCTCAGGATGTTCCTGGAGCCATTTGCTATTGTCCGCGGTATGGTTCCAGACGACATCAGTAAGACCAAGAAGACCATATTGTGTTTCCATGCTCTCAACAAGCTTTTTCACATCAGCTTCTCCTTTTGGAAAACATTCTGGGTCCCAGGATAACTGATCATAGATGCTGTATGGCGAGTTTGACACTCCCCTATGCTGTAATGGTGTGAAATGTATGGTGTTGTATCCTCGGGCACTGATTCCTCGCAGATGCTTCTCCCAGTCTGTAGGGTATTTCCCCATGAATTTCGAAATCAATGAGAATATGGACAAAGCGGCCAGGGGCATCTGCCTTCCCTCCAACGTGAGTCGTGGAGCAACATCGATATAGAAGAGTTCTGTCTTCGTAGGCTCGAGGGGTCTTTGCGCAGTCTCAGTGAGTTCTGGAAGAGGTGTATAGAAAGTATAGAAGGCAAATGAACCAGCACCGTGGATGGGGATTGATATTTGAATTGTTCGATTGAAGTCTGGCTCGAGTCTACAAAGTTCAGCTCGAGTGCAAGTGGCATGACGCGATATCTTACTTGAATTCTCGAAACTTGTCTCTTCGGAATTCTGCGCCTTCTTCTGGGATGTTCACCCACAGACTGCCATGTCTGCAGATTGAAGAAGTACCTTCAATCTCGAATCGCACGACAATCGGGGCGCTGGATTTGGGCGTGAGATAGATGTAGCCTCCGGAGACATCGGGGCTTCCATCGTCCTTGAGTGGGAGCAAGTAGACCTCGCTGGAAATCATTGTCTTGGGAGCCATTGTGAATCAGCAGTGGGTGCACAACAGCTCTCGCCGGTCTTGGGGGGAAATTTACTCAATCTGGGGTCCGGCGCAAGAGGGTGAAAAATGAGAGGGCGACGAGAGAATGGAAAAGCAAGAGGATTTTAAGCAATCTAGATCAACAGGCACAAAAACGGTGAAGGAAGGAATATGGACTAGGTCATCTGCTAATGTGCTAGCTGCGAGCGGGATCTGCAGATTCGTTCGGTACGGCTTGGTGAACGTTTGGGTGCTGGTGCTGTACAGTAAGAGTGAAGGAACATACGTCATGAGAGGCAGGCACAATGCGCACGATTGCTCAAGCTTGGAGCTCACCCCCGCCGCTCTGCAACGAAATGCGGTGACCAAAGACTGGGAATTGGAATTACAGGGTGAGTGCGACAAGCATTGCAATTGTCCGCCTTGGTTGTGGTGTTTCAGAGCTTGAGAAGAGAGGATTTGTGGGAGAGCAGAAAAAATGGGAGAGGAACCAGACACGATGCTGCGCTGTAAGTATAGGTATTTACTTTGCTTCCCCATATCGCGTGGTTTTTTTTTCCTCCCCGCGAGTTCCACAGTTCCACAGACCGAGTGAAACAATCAGCCAGCAGCAGTAGCAGCAGCAGCAGCACAAGGCATGCTGAGTCGTCACCTACATATGCTCTGCTCCCACGTGCCATGAATTATTACACGGCGGATGGGCATTGATTGCTGAATGGACGGTTGGCTATGCAGGCCCTTGAAGCCCTCGTCATGGTGCTTCGGCTTGCTGTTGCTGTTCTGCCCCTCGTCGAAAATTATTTCCTTGATCCACATTTACTTCACATGCTCAGACATGCATGCAAGCTCTCCCATCACATTCCCTCGGCTAAACCCTTTCTGTCTTGTTCTGCCTTCCCATCGTGGGCGGTCAGGCCCGCCTATCCTCGGGTTGGCCGTTGGCTGCCTCCAACAAAACAGAATAAAACCAGAAGTTGAGCACAAGACCTCAAAGAAAGTGTACAGGTCTCACCTCAGCCTCTGACTTCATTCGTTACTCGTTTCACTTCTTGATCTTGACTACTTTGTATTCGAAGTTCACAGGCATATGCTTACGATTTTCTCAGTCAAAGCAAGTCAAGCTGCAAGACGACTAATCCAAACTTTCAACCATTTTCAGGTACCTCAACGAGCAAAGATGGCGACTCTCGGCGCACCCACGAAGAAGCATAAGGTGACGATCATTGGATCAGGTAACTGGTATGTGCTCACCCTCAAGTTAAGACTGTACCTAATCCCAGCAGGGGTTCTACCATTGCGAAAATCGTGGCAGAAAACACCAAGGAGCATCCCGAGCTGTTCCAGGAGGAGGTACAGATGTGGGTTTACGAAGAGGATGTTATGGTACCAAAAGACTCGAAGCATTACGATTCCTCGAAAGGAGAATCGCCTCAGAAGCTCACTTCTATAATCAATACCTACCACGAAAATGTCAAGTACCTGCCCAACATCGCTCTCCCCAAGAACATAGTCGCCAATCCCTCTGTCGTCGATGCTGCAAAAGGCTCCTCGATTCTCGTCTTCAATCTCCCCCATCAGTTCATTGGCAGAATCTCCAAGCAACTGGAAGGCAACATCCTCCCATACGCCCGTGGTATCTCTTGCATAAAAGGTGTGAACGTAACCGAATCTGAAATAAGCTTGTTCTCAGAATGGATCGGCGAAGGATTGGGAATATACTGCGGCGCTCTATCTGGCGCAAATATCGCAAATGAAATTGCCCAAGAAAAATGGTGCGAGACCACAATTGCCTACGACCCTCCTCCCATCGATTCCCGAGTCGCCACTCCGACAGGCCCCTCCCCTTCTGCGTCGAGAGTAAATCTCACAATCACGCCCGCAGATGAGGAGCACAGAGATGTGTTGGGAAGAATAAGCAAGACGAAATTAAAGGCATTACCATCAGAATACCCTCCTCTCGACCACGCCACGTTCAAGACTCTCTTCTACAGACCCTATTTCCACGTCCGCATGGTCTCCGACGTAGCAGGCGTCTCCCTCGGCGGCGCACTAAAGAACATCGTCGCCCTCGCCGCCGGATTCGTCGACGGTCGCGGCTGGGGCGACAACGCTAAAGCAGCCGTGATGCGCGTGGGACTTCTCGAAATGGTTAAATTCGGCAAGGAATTCTTCGGCCAAACGGTGCACACGGGAACGTTTACGGAAGAGAGTTGTGGAGTGGCGGATCTTATCACGAGTTGTTCTGGCGGACGAAATTTCAGGTGTGCGAAGATGGCGGTTGAGAGGGGGGTGTCGGTTGATGAGGTCGAGGCGAAGGAGTTGAATGGGCAGAAGTTGCAGGGTACTAGTACGGCGAAGGAGGTTAATAGCTTTTTGAAGGCGAGAGGGTTGGAGGCCGAGTATCCGTTGTTTACTGCTGTGCTGGGTGAGTTGTCTCTAATATTGTTCTTGGGAGAGAAACTAACGTCGAAACAGACATTCTCGAAGGGCGGAACACAGTGGATGATATCCCTGCATTACTTGCACGAGCTGATGATGACTGATTTGGGTTTTGCATGCATTTTGGCACTGGCTGGGCTGGGACTCTGTATACACACTTTAGAGCATATAGCAGGCAAGCTGCACATTTCGCTGCCCTTTCACCTGATAATCATTGACTTGAAAATGAAGTTCGTGGTCGTCACATTGTTCGAGCCGCAGTCAGCACTTTTGCCCTATCCAAAGTCCTATTTCTCCTTCCCAACTACAACCTTCCTCCCACGCACCAACCTCTCAGGAGTATACTCGACATACCAACTCTTCAACCCCACCAGCCAGCCTACAACTACCGCCATCCAAAGCACGGAATGTGTAACTACCCATTCAAACACATCGTTCACCCCAAGCTTTCCGACAATTGGGATGTCAGGGAATGACAATAAGACGGGCCAATTGTCCAACCCCCAAAAAATCACGAATAGCTGCCACGTTAACCACCATTCCCTCGGCGGCTTGCCTTCCCCTCCTATTTCTTTTTCTATTACTGAGCTGAGATTTCTAGTCATTAAGCAATCAGTCACTTATTCTCCAGATTCACCAAAACGGATTCGAATCAAAGTCAAAGCACACACTAACCTAAAGAAAACTTCCTTCAACCCATCAGCAGGCTCAGTCCATTCCTGCACCACCAGCGGCGGGCCGTCGGGGAAGGCACGGCGCCATTCGTGGCGCGCGTAGCGGGGCACGGTGATGCGGCCTGAGGTCGAGGTGTAGGTTTGTGTGGTGTGGGAGAGGGTGATCAGGGCGGTGCCGGAGAGGATACGGAGGTATTCGGTGTGTGTTTCGTGCCAGCTGAGGGGGGAGTTAGTGCTGGGGGAAGGGTTTGAAAAGAGGGATTCTGATGGGAGGGAAGTTTGAGCTTGGTAGATTTGATGTACAGGTGGTTGTACTGTGCATGGACATGGAAAGATGAGCTTACTGGAGACCAGATGTCCAATTTGAGTTTGGTGGGAGTGTGATTGTAACCACTGTGGATGAAGAGGAGGGGTCTGGAAGCTCATAGGTCACGGAGTTCGGACGAGTGAAAGAGGTACGAGATGTTGTATCTGTTCGTGGCATGGTGGCGAGATGAGGTTTGGCCGGATAATAGAAATATGATAACCGTTACCCGCTTCTATTGTGATGGGTTTATGCCGTCCTCAGGAAAATTCTCGATCTTGGCAATGCTGATTGGCCAATTAGAACTGAAGTACATGCTGGAGGCGAAAAGTATGAGTCTTGCAAGCTGCAAGCAGAATCGACTTCCTGAAGCTCAAAGTCCGGAAACCAGTAACAAGCAAGAGGAACTAGAAAGTACATGTTCCGTAGCAGCCCCGACAACATGCAGAGCACGAACAAGAAATGAATACTGTGGCACTTGCCTAATAAAGGTAGCAGGCGAAGATGGATACCGGATATGTAGTAAAGGTGGCCAGAAATCGAAGGGATTTGCAACTGAGAGAATATTCGAGATGATGTGTCATGTCGGTTATCAGGTGAGATATCTTACAGCAAAGTACAGTAATGCACAGAAGGATATTACATGCAAGGAATCTGCTCTTTGATAGGATGAGATGGAATGACAGACGTCGAAATGAAGGGCGTGCAAGGTACACAGTTCCACGTGATGGCCCGCCATTCGGGCGGTGACGTCCGTTTTGCGGAGGATTGAAAGATCGCCAAATTTATTTATCGACGCATTCTCCCCCGCCATTGTTCTACATTTCTCAATCCAACACAACTTCTCGACAGCAAGTTCTACAGCCAATTGCTGGTTTCCTAAAAGTCCTTTCACTATTTTACAACATGGCTGTAAGTCTAGAAAAGTTTTACCTTCTAAATTGAATCAATTGATCAAAAGTACTTTCTCTGACTCATTCCTAGAGTTACTACATAGAAAATCCCAATGTGGGAAACAAGAACGATACTGAAGATTGGAGAAGTAAGATACACCAACTAGACTCTTAGCATATAGAGTCCGAAACTAAACATCTGCAGTTCGAGGCTACAATCCACTCACTCCTCCCGACCTTCTTCAACACGAGATTCCACAATCTGCAAAGTCGAAAGAGACTGTCATAAAAGGTCGCAATGAGGCAGTAGAAGTCGTCACAGGCAGAGATGTGAACCAACGTCTCCTAGTCGTCATCGGTCCCTGCTCAATTCACGATCCCGCCGCCGCCCTCGAGTACTGCGACAAGCTCCTCGCTCTGAAGGAAAAATACAAAGATGATCTGCTAATCGTCATGCGATCCTACCTTGAGAAGCCACGGACAACTGTTGGATGGAAAGGTCTAATCAATGATCCTGATATCGATAACTCTTTCAAAATCAATAAGGGATTGAGGACTAGCAGACAATTGTTCGTGGATCTGACAGAGAAGGGTATGCCATTAGCAAGTGAAATGCTGGATACGATTTCACCCCAGTTCTTGGCAGATCTGCTGAGTGTAGGAGCTATCGGTGCTCGTACGACCGAGTCACAATTACACAGAGAGTTGGCCAGTGGTCTCAGTTTCCCGGTCGGTTTCAAGAATGGTACAGATGGTACTCTTGGTGTCTCAATTGATGCCATTGGTGCTGTCAGACACCCACATCACTTCCTGTCGGTTACCAAGCCTGGTGTTGTAGCTATTGTTGGTACTGTGGGCAATGAGGACTGCTTCGTTATTTTGCGAGGTGGCACCAAGGGCACGAACTATGATGCGGAGAGCATCAAGGAGGCAAAAGCAGCACTGGCCAAGGCTGGTGTTCGAGAGAGACTGATGGTTGACTGCAGTCATGGCAACTCGTTGAAGAACCACAAGAATCAGCCAAAGGTTGCTGCTGTCCTAGCAGAGCAGATCTCCAAGGGCGAGGAAGCCATCATGGGTGTTATGATTGAGAGCAATATCAATGAAGGTGCCCAGAAGGTTCCCAAGGAAGGCAAGGCAGGTCTGAAGTACGGTGTCAGTATCACAGATGCTTGCATTGGATGGGAAGACACCGAGTCGGTCCTTGAGGTGCTCGCAAAATCAGTTGTTCAGAGACGAGAGCTTTTGAAGTCACAAAAGGTTAATGGACATTCATGAATAATAGTGCAATCTTTTCCAAGGAGTTTCGGGAGTTATTTCGCATACCCTCATGGGTTGGACAACAAAAGTTTTAATGGGCATTTAGAAGCTGTACATAATTCGCCTTTAGCAACAACAAGTCCCATCTATTGTGCTTCCACCTGTCCCATAATTAGAGCAGACATGAAAATGTGATGAGAATCGTACTTAATGAATGAGGATATGGTGCATTGTCACACCCAACTTCAATCTTTTGTTTTGCAGCAAGGCACAACGTTCTAGTAGAATCATATATCAATTTCCTTCCAAACCGGTTCCAAGAGCTTGAATTCTTGTTCTTCGTAGTGCTCCTCACGTGAGACCACCACGATTTGGTGTATTTGCTCCGGCCCAATCATACATCGCCAAAGGTAAGCCAGTCAAGGTTAGCCGAAAAAAGCTCGCCCGAATTCGACCTCGAACGAGTCTTCCGATTGCCTCTCACTCCCTCAAACTCACATCCCACCACTCAATTGAGTCGTTTCTTCCTCTGTGAAGTGATCTCCAGCTGAGGCATATTGCGCTCAAGATGTTGGCTAGATCCTGCCTGCGCTCGACGCGCGCGGTCGGAGCTGTTCGGAATGGCGCGGTTAACACATCAAAGGTACGATCAACACCAGTCTTCGAGGCAGCGAGATGAGATGGAAGATATCTCAAAGGGCTAGGAAATGAATATAGAAGAAGCATTGAGTGCTGACTGTGGACAATACAGCGGGCCGCTTCCACGAGCTCCTCCACCGAAGCTGCCTCTCCTTTCCGATTGAACATGGCCGGATCAGCTGCTACTACTGTTGCCATTGGATCAATGGCTTGGTATTACCATCTTTACGGCACAGAACTGCATGCCATGACACCGGCTGAAGAAGGGTAGGTCATTAATGTGGTGGTTCAGACGTTGGGATGAATACCGAATAACGAAAGGGCAAAAGCTGATTCTGGACAGTCTTCATCCAACAAAGTACCCTTGGGAGCATGTAGCATGGACAAAAACATTTGACCACCAAGCGTAAGGAATCGTTGCACTGGATCAGGGTCTTATATACTGACAATCTTGTAGTCTTCGTCGAGGTTTCCAGGTCTACCGCGAAGTCTGCTCATCCTGCCACTCCCTGTCCCGAATCCCATACCGATCCTTGGTCGGTGTTACTCACACTGTCGACGAAGCCAAGGCGATGGCAGAAGAGAACGAGTACGACACAGAGCCAAACGATGAGGGCGAAATTGAGAAGCGACCCGGAAAGCTCTCCGATTACCTTCCAAACCCCTACAAGAACGACGAGGCTGCTCGTGCTGCCAACAACGGAGCTCTGCCCCCAGATTTGAGCTTGATGGTCAAGGCCCGCCACGGAGGCTGTGATTACATTTTCAGCTTGTTGACTGGATACCCCGAGGAGCCTCCCCCAGGAGTTAAACTCGCAGATGGTCTTAACTTCAACCCATACTTCCCTGGTACCGGAATTGCTATGGCCCGTGTCCTCTACAACGATCTCGTTGAGTACGAAGACGGAACCCCCGCTTCATCATCACAAATGGCAAAGGATGTGGTTGAGTTCTTGAACTGGTCTGCGGAGCCAGAGATGGACCAGAGAAAGAAGATGGGCATGAAGGTCTTGGTTATCACCTCCCTACTGACTGCATTGAGCATCTGGGTCAAACGATACAAGTGGTCTCCGATCAAGACAAGGAAGATTGCGTACAGCCCGCCAAAGATGGGTGGAACTGGACCTAATGGACACTAAATGCTGATGACGGGGCCTTTCATTTGTTTCTGAGATGGGAGCAAGCGGGGGAAGAATTGTGCTACTATTACTTTGTACAAAGTGGACGAGATGAAGGGGGATGCTTCATTGGAGGCATGCTAGATCTTAGACGTGCGTTTGTGCCAATACTTGAACCAATTATGTCTCAACCGAACCGTGAAGGCAATGTAGAATACTTCTTCCGTGTTGAAGCTCAAGGAGCTTTACTATGAATTGTAAAGAGCTTTAGCTGAAATTAGGATTGAAGAAGTTTCTGTCTCCCACTGTCATCATTTCATTATTCGATGCTCGTTCTAATCAACAGCACAAAAGCCACAAGCTTACTTAAAAGCTCCTCTCAATTGGCCCCGGGTTGTTTGAGTTGGATGTCTCAATCTCCAATCGATAAGCAAGCTTTCGCTAAGAAAAAAAAAATATTGAAAGCTCTCCAGCCAAACAAAATAATTTCCCCACCAAGGCTCCCAACTTTTCCACAACAACCACGCGAATCCTCGAGAGCGAATTGATGTCCCCTGCCTCATCGCAGACATCAATCCTATCAGATATATCCTCCTTCGCGGCCTGGGAATTACTGCATCCATCCAATCTCGCAGAAGAGAACTCGCGCGAACAGAGCGTGTTCGCTGCTGATATGGCGCGAGAGGAGAGAGTGTGGAGGGATCGGGATAGCAGTAATGATGCGAGGAGTTCTGAGGATGAGGGAGATGGGAGGGAAGATGTTTTGCCTGTAAAGAAGAAGGGGAAGAGTGAGAAGAGGAAAAAGGAGAGCCCTGGTGACGCCGAAGCTGAAAGAGAGGAAGCTCTACCAACTGGGAAGAAGGCGAAGAGCAGGAAGAGAAAGTCCGAGGGTTCTGGCGATGACGATCTTGGAGGAGACGAGGTTTTACCTGTCAAGAAGAAGGTGAAAAATGGGAGGAGAAAATCGGACGGTCCTGGCGAAGTCAAGTCTGAAGGAGAGAAGGCTTTGCCTGCTAAGAAGAAAGTCAAGGGTCAAAAGAGAAAGAGTATCAATGGTGGGAAGATTGGAAAGGCGGAGATCCCAAGTTCTACTGCAGACACAAGTCAGGACAAGAGCCAAGATCTGGTAAGTCATAGCGATGAAGCGCAAAGAAGGGAATCGGATCTAACGTGTGCTTCACAGGGACCAGATTACGATGCCCCGCCTTCGAGCCAACCGCGACCTCTGAGTGAGGATGAGGAGGAGGAAGACAACGGCATAAACCAGATGAAGGTGGAAATTGCCGATTCCATATCCACCCACGACGAAGAGGAGGATGTCAAGCAAGTTCCGAATGGTACTGCACCCAGCAAATCGAATGGCACAGGACCACACGTCGGCACCGATCTGTTGGCGAAGAAATTGGCGGGCGAAATTACGGAGGAGGAATACAAGAAACGAAGAAGGGATGCCAAGAAAGCTAAGAAGATAGCTGCGAAGAAGCTTCAGCGGCAACTTGAGTTAGCTGGTGAACTTCCGATCAATGAGCGCCGCCAAGTATCCAAGCCAAAGCCGAAGAAGATAGTGGTCAAGACGATAGTGGTAAAGACGCCTAAGAAAGTTCGTGTCCCAAAACCACCCCGAAAGGAGCCTTCGGGTATACCACGAATAGCATTGATAGGAAACCCGAAAGTCGTCCTCCGCAGCGGTAAAGAAATCGAACACGATACCACGATCGGTCCCTTAGCTCCTGTTGAATTCGTAACAACGCCTGGTAGCAAGAAAGATAAAGCTAAAAAAGCTAAGATGAATGGCTCGGTCTCGAATCACTTCAAAGCGGTCTACTCAGGCTCCCATCGCATACCTGAGGCAGTCAGAAAGACGATGGAAGAAGCACAGAAGGCTGTGAAGGAAGCTGGCCCCATTGTTGAGAAGACGGTTGAGGAGAACGCGAGTGCCAAGTCGAAGTCCAAGAAGCGGAAGAGAGAGAAAAACCAGAATCGTCTTTCCAAGTCCAGCAATCCGGAAGAAATTGAGGAGCCTGAAATGGAAGATATTCAAGAAGCATCAAAACCTAAACAGGCAAAATCCAGCAATCCCAAAGACGTCGAAGTGTCCCAAAAGGAAGAAACTCGGGAAGCAGCCAAGGAATCTCCTTCAAAGTCTAACAATCCCACCAGCATTGACGACGAGGATGCAGAGCCGCCAGCAAAGAAGAAGAAACATAGGAAGAGATCACGTAACGACGAAGAAGCAAAAAAATCGAGTCACTCGTAGAAGACCAGGACTTCACGAGTGATAAAGCGGTCCTGGACGATGTTCCGAGTTCCGATGTACATTATGATCATGTCGAAGATTCCAAGGCCAAAAAGCCTCAACTACGAGATGCTCATGGGAGATTCTTAAAACGTTCCGTCGACATCTCATCTCAGCAGCTTGAGGAGAAGGAAGAACAGCCCGTCAAATTGTCCTCGTCCCAGCAGCATGAGAAGGAGAAGAAACGACCCGCGAAGACATCCTCGCCCGAGAAGAAAAAGAGACAGCCCGTCAAATCGCCTTTCTTTCCAGAGACGATTGAAAAGAGTTCACCAAGCAAGAAGAACGTTTCATGCATTCCCTTTTCGCCTCTGTCCGCACCTCACTTCGGCCTAATCCAAGAGAAGCTGGCTCATGATCCTTTCCGGCTTCTGATCGCGGTAACGTTCTTGATTCGTACCCATGGAAAGCACGCAATACCTGTATTCTTTGAACTTATGGAGCAGTACCCGACTCCCGAAGCTCTTGCCAACGCAAAGAAAGATGATATCGTGCCAATCATCCGACATCTAGGACTCCAGAATCAGCGTGCCGAGACGTACAAGATGTATGCCCAGATATGGCTCGATAACCCACCTACGAAAGGCAGACGGTACCCGGTCCGTGGATATCCTGATCCAGAATCTGCACGAGATGTGAAGAAAGACGAGATAATAGACGACGACGATGAACGGCATGCTTGGGAAATCGGGCACATGACATCTGGCCCATATGCTCTTGACTCTTGGCGCATCTTCTGCAGAGATAACTTACGAGGCGTGGCAGATAGCTGGAATGGGGAGGGTACGGAAGATGGGTTTCAGCCGGAATGGATGCGTGTTGTGCCAGAAGATAAAGAGCTGAGAGCATATCTGAGATGGATGTGGTTAAAGGAGGGATTCGAATGGGATCCTTTTACAGGTGAGAAGGAAGTTGCTAGTCCGACGCTGATGCGAGCTGCAATGGATGGCCGAATTGCTTGGGATGATGAGGGTGGTATGAGGATCATTGATGGCGAGGGCATGTAGAATAAAGTAGGATCTTGTTCAATACTGAATACCAATGTTCAGTGAAGTCCTATTGGCTCTCTTACTGCAAGACGACTAATTGCCACCCAAAAAACCCCGATCCTTTGCCCCAAAAGCAAGCCAACATTTACAACCCTTGACTTTCAGTCTTCCGGTATACAACTAGCACCGTATTACAATCCACTCCCCGCTTGTGGAGTCGAGAAATTCCTGCTCGAACCCAGATAAGCTGCAACGACTCCATCAAAAAGTCTCAAGAAAGAACCCAGAATTGATCCAGCAAGTCCACGAACCCCATGAAACAGAAACACCAAACCAGAAATCCTTGCTTCAACCACGTCCGAAATCTCCCAAAGACACCAAACGACGAAGAATAACCTCCAGAGTGTAATCTCAAACACCTTCCAGCTTCCTCTGACCTGCGTTACTCGATCATCGTTCAGAGGCTCTGCCAAAGTATCCCTGGAAGTCTTGGAGACTTTCGTATCGGTAGCCTTCACGGTGGGTGGATCTAAAGCGATGAGTTTCTCAGATGGCTCTTGGACATCTGGTCGCTCGCGAAGGACAGCACATGCCTGCTCGAGTAGCTCGAGAACGGGATCCGCGGGGCTTGGTGGGAGGGGGTGTGAAGCGGCATTGGAAATGTCGTCGTTGACCGAATTCTCCGAAATCTCTGACGCATCTTCGTAAATCGAACCCGAGTCTGATGGCGCTTCCTTCTCATTTACAACAATCTTTTCCTCCTGCTCCGAGGAAGCATGAAAGATCATCGGTTCGATCCGTGGATGTTCGGGAAGCGAGCTGAGGGTAGTCTCGGCGTTCTTGCAGTCGTTGAGACGCTCCATCTGCTTGTTCAGAATGCGATTTATACGCAGACTTTGGTCATTTGACAATTCGCCTGAGAGTTCTCTCCTGGTCTTGAGCGCCGAGAGCTGTTGTCGGATTTGGTCTCTCTCTTCGAGTGTAAGCTTTGGCAAGGGCTCGTCCTCGGATCCGTCTCTGAGGAGGTCGCCCACGAGGAACGAAAGCCTAAAACTTTGCGGATCGACAGGCATGCTGTAATGATTTCCGCAGGTTTTCAGATGTAAACCTGCTCGAAGATGAGAATGTGGGAATTGTGATAAGAACGGGTTCAAGGAATATTCTGTAGGAAACAGGATTTTGGAGATATTATATTTCTGCTGTTCTTATGGCTTCTGATAAACTGTAGGCAAGTTTCAAGACCACAACAGGTAGCTTCCAGATACTGTGAATAAAGAAATTAATGAAAGATTCCACCCGCCTAGCATGGATAAGCAAGGCATCCAGGTCCAGATTATGCACGAATATGCGGAGGTGAAACATAGGTTTCGAAGAGGCAAGCAAAGAGCCCTAAACATATAAATATGACGACACTTGCCTTGTGTACGATGCTTGAAGAAAGAGAAGAGTTCGAACCTTCTTTGATCTAAAATACTAGCTTCAAGGAAGGGTATCAGAGTGTTTCACACGTGATTGGTTCGCAGCGGGCGTCTTAAAATTGCAAGGAAACGAAACAAGCTCGAGTGAGAAGTGAAAAGCAGCAAAAACGGATTCAAATACTTGACTATGAATACAGACAGCTTTTCCGATAGTTCATATGACGGGAGACAGTTAAGGAATAACATTAACACCCGAGTCGAATTTCATCAAGCTCCAGTTCAAAATCCAAGGAAGCGGAATCACTGAGCGGCTCAGAAGACAATTTGGTGTTGCCTATCCACGTTAGCAAATATGTCCAAAGCAGCAGTATGGAATTTCAGGGAACCAACAAGGTATCCCGGAGATCAATTAGCATTTCCCGACAAAGACCTCTCAAACACGTTCGTGGTATGGTCATACACCATCTTACCATAGCCCTCCTCACGATATTGATCGATTAGTTTACTATCCTTCACAATCTCAGCATTCCAGTTGACTCTGTAGACGCCGTTACCCTGTCCGTCTTTCATCACAGTTGATCTTGCAACCCCGACGCCGTTCGGGCGCTCCACAAACCCATCGACCTTTCCTGTGATACCATGATCCGTAGTAGGCGGGAACCTGGTGCTTGTACCTAGAAAGAGTGTTCGTTGCCCAGCTTCCTCTGGAGTGATACACATGAGATGAGTGTAGACTGGCAAAACAGTATATCTCGAGATCTGCGCTGGAAGCCAAAGAAGTCCAGAAGCTGAAGCAAGAGCATGATCCATAAGACGACCTCCGACTTGGCCGGGGTAAGAATGAATGAAACTGACTGTCGGACGCTCCTTTGCGAGTTCCTCGAACATGAGATCGGTCATCGTGGAAGCAGCACGACAAGCTTTGATGTTGTCGAAGTGTTTGCGACACTCAAGATCGTCTTTGTCGATGGGGCCTTCGAATCCTGGGGCAAAGACGGAAATCACACGGGGAGAAGAGCTTCGCTCAAGCAGAGGCAGAAGATTCATTATCAAACGCTGTCTGGAATAGAACTGGAGTGCAGAGTCTGTGTCCATTCCTTCTGGTGTATCTACAGCTTGTCAGAGCAGTTGTTTCCTTATTAGATTAGCTTACCATGTCGTCCACCAAGTCCCAGATACCCTGGACTGATGCATAGAATGTCGATATGGGTCTCAAATCTCTTGATCTCCTCACTCATTGAATCAACGTCTTTGATGAATGAGAATTGCCCTTCGATGGGCATGAATGTTGCCATTGGATTCAAAAGTTTGAGATTATCAATGATAGGCGTCGCATTGGCTTTTGACCTAGTGATGATGTATGCCCTTGGGCCATTGGCATTCTTGGCTAGTGCTTCTAGGGTTCCAAGACCAATGCCAGAAGTAGCTCCAACAAAGACTGCGACAAGACCGGGCGGAAGGTCCTGTAGGGAGGCGTTTGACTTCTTAATATCTTTCAAGCTAACCATTTTGTTGAATTGTAGCTCAATGATGAGCCGTATCTCCAAGTCGAGGAACGGTGGCCATATTTGAAGGTCCACCAGGTCTGTCCATCATGGCAGGATCACCTGACACATCAGCTCGCAGTTTGGGAGAATATATCAACCCATTCTGATGGCTCATGAGTGCAAGCAGTTTGTGTTGGTCGCTAAAGAAAAAGCTTGTGAAGTGGTGTGATAAAAGTTCTGACAACAGATGTCGGAAGATGTCTTGAATCAAGCCTCGGCTGCTGCCAAGCGAAAGCTCGCGGACACCTGAATTCTGAAGACGTATTCGCAGATGGCCGTACCTTTGCGTGCAATCTCTATTATCATCCTAGAGGAGAATACTTGAGAAGATTTGGTTTTCTAGGGTTTTCATTTTGATGCCACAATGCTTCTCCATTGGAGCTTTCTGAAGCAGGCACATGAAAACCCCTGCTCAGGTACCATTAGACCAAGCATCTGCTCGGGTCAGCCATTAACGCGTATTGCTGACTTACAGATTTCCTTCTCCTGGTTCGAACCTTTACTTGCTAGACTTAGCAGACCACACAGTTTCATGTGATGCTGAAGCGGGCCCCTTTTCTAGTCCCCTCGCTTATAGAGGGGTCGAAGAATCTATCCCCTTTTCGTCATGCCTCGGTGATGCTCAATTACTTCCACCGCGTCATCGATATTTACAGTCACGATGTATGCGAGTTTATATACGTAGACATTTGCTCTTTAGATACTTCATATTCTTGCCTTGATTTAAAATTCGTTCTGTAGTCCCATCTCAAAGAATCGTTTGTAGAAAATATTTCAATTGCATTTGATCAAGAAAAAGTCCATAACTGCCCCACATAAGGATGCCTCCCCAGGTTTGTTCCAACATCAAATTCTGTATTTCAAATCAAGAGACTGACATATCTTCAAGGGCAAGAAAACTCTTCGCGAAAGTGCTCTCGAGACGAACAAGAATAACCCATCACAACTCGGAGATCCCATCTCTCTCAAATCAGAAACCGCAGATAGCTCACCCACCAACCAAGACCGCGGAGCCTCATCCTCCTCTCAGTCTTCGTCATCCGTCAAGGAGAATCTCAAGAGCACAGCACCAGCGCCCACAGAAGGGGACACGGACGGGAAGGGAAAGGGAGGACATCAAACTCTGAGACAAAAGGCGATGCAGAAATTGGAGGAGAATCCAAGTCAGCTGGGCGATCCTGTTAGCTTGAAGGCGGAAACAGCAGACTCAAGGCCGACGGATCAGGATAAAGGCGCGGCAGGGAAAGGTGGAAAGTCAAAACTTTGAGTCTAACATCTGGGGTGCATGAATTGTTAAAATTTGGTTCGAGACATTGTAGCTAAGACAATGTTTAACATACTCAAAAGTAATTTTGGGGAAATCCACACTATATTTTGATAGTACCATCAGAAACGTCCATTGGCGTCTCAATCAATTCACACTTTCTGTGTCATTGCCCGAGAGATGTTCCAAAAAGTCCTGTTCCACTTCCGAAGAATCCGTGTTGTCACTGTCATCCGAATCTGTGCTCGGATACATAGAGCATGTTTGGCACGAGTTCCTGTATTCCAAGTACCTAGATAGATATTCCGGCCAGTCTTCACATTGCTTCCAGCCATACACCAGGCGGTAAGGCCCATCCCAAGCTTTGCCGCCTCTTCCGTCCGAAAACAACTCCTCCATATTCGGGAGTGTAGGGCATGGAATGGCACAGAGTTCTGGGGGGAAAAGGTTATGAAGTATCAATCTGTGTTCCTCCGCCGCAACGTGTTCCATCCCCCTGCAGCCAAGCTGTACATGTACCATTCTTTCTACGTCGAAAACGAGCAGAAGTTCTTTTAACGATTTGAGAGCCTCCAATGTCCTCTGCAGATTTTCATCCAATCTCAGGTCGGAGTCCGTATAGGGGACGAGATAGTAGTCGCTAAGAGCGAGATATCGAAGACCGTTGAATTCCGCGTCCTTGAAAGTACTGACTAGATGTGGAAGATCCTCACGGAAATGCTCGTCGAGGAAAAGGGTATCCAGTTCGAAGTTAAATCGTACGGTGGCAGGGAAGAAGACTGATCCAAAGCACAGAGGATATCGACTAATAACAGTGTTTCGTGATTCTCGACAAATATCCAAAGCTGGTGGGGACGGAGCATAAGTGTAGAAGCCTCGGGCGTCGATCACCTCATAGCCTTCGTACAAGACTTCTATCGTTCGAGGCTTGCACATTGCCTCGAATATCAGACGGCGAATTTCCGCGGGAAGTTTTGGGAATACTGTAAATGTCTGAGGTCGGTTGGCCATCAAGGTTTGACGAGGCATTGTGGCAGAATGCTGAGATAAGTAGGCCGCAGGCTACTAAAGAAGAAATCCCTGCCGCTGGGTTGTGCAGTTATGCACTCGGAAGTTTCGAATCGCTCCTGTGCTGAGTATGGTAGTGATGCTCGGTTTTGTATGCTGCTGTTTGTACATGCGGCTGGATCGTGTATGTTGTTGGGTCGTACGGTACTTTGCTCTGATTTTCGAGAAGTCATGATGTCTAGGGCACGCGTCAAAGAAGAACTTTTTGCCATGCCACGCTAACCAAATTCGGTGACCGTGACCGAAAGTATCGAAGCACTCACCGCCTGGACCTTACTCCTCACAGATCAGATCGACGATATCCCTGCGAGACTAATCAGTCTGATATCTATTAAGACAGCCATCCCATATAAATATTGGAACATCCCACAAATCTCAGTAAATACTTTCCCCTCAGTCACTGAAACCTGGCGAAGATATGGCGGCTTCATTCACCCTCTTCCCTGAGCTCCCTTTCGAACTTCGCCTCAAGATATGGCAATTCTCAGTGCCAGGCCCTCGCATTCTCGGTGTTGGTCATGAGATACAGTACAAAAGCTTCTATGGGAGGCTTCTTCCCTCAACTATAGAATGGAGAACCTCGGACCCAATTCCCTCCCTCCTTCACGTCTGCCATGAATCTCGGAAGGAAGCTCTCAAACTTTATCAACGATCCCTTGGAGTTCCTTTGAAACAGGGAAAGAACTACATCGACTTCGGCAATGACACCATTTACTTCGGCGGCCCAGGCAGAGGTTTCTCAGATCTGGATGTTCTGCTACAGGCATCGTTCAACCGGCCCGGCAATTACCTACTCGATATGTTCCTCGGTGCCGACTACGGAGTGAGAGACGCCGAAAAGATTCAACGGATGATTGTCGACATCGATGAAGACCGATACGGGAGAAGGCTGTTCATTTGGGATGAGATCCGTCTGTTCACCAGCCTGCGGGAACTGACTATTCTTGTCTGGGAGGAGGACTCGGAAGCTGATCGGCTTATGGCTTTATATCAGCGGACACTCAGCGAGACTGTTAGGAAGCACCCAGAGTGGTCTATTCCTGAGATTGTGGTCATTGCCATGCACACGAAGAAGGTGTGGGGGAGTGTAAAGGCATCGACGGTAAGCGAGGATTAAGAGCGGGGAGCTTTGGCAATGATTTGCCATTTGTATTTTTGTGTATCGTTGGTGAAGTAAATTAGGATAAAGAGTACGCAGAGTCTTTACTACTTGTCGCGTCAGTAATCTGCATCGTTGTCGTTTAGTCAACTTCTTTTTCTTTTGTTCTTGCTCTTACGTTGAAGTCTACGATTCTGGTTGGCATTCACGTCGGAATGCAATTTGGTTCTGCGATACATCTTTACCATATCTGAAGCCTATGTGCCTAATACGAATTCCTCTCAAGTTTCCCATTCCCTTTGCCTGGTTGCCCCTTTGCAACAAGCGAGACATTCAACCGAAGCTCGCCAAAATCCACGAAGTAAAAAGGCAAAGGAACAGGCAAAGGAACAAAGAGACATCTCGCAGCTCCACAGCTTCATAGTAGCCAGAAGCAAAAGAGTTAGACCCGGTGTCGATTGTCTTAATCTCTTTGTCGTGTGTCCACCGGACTCGCGATATGGCGCGTGTAGACGTCGTTAACTACTCGGGCCCAGGTGATCTTTTAACGCCGCCGCCTGTACCACAATTTTGCGCTTTCATTTGCCCAACCATTTTGCAATGTCTGGGTCCCACCTAAGCCAGGTCGGTCGCTTCTGGTACCTACAGGGCGACGAAATTTTGCTTATTTAAATCTATATGAGTATTACTCGGCCGCACTTTAGCTCCACATCGGTAAGGAAAATGTTTATTTTACGGCTTTGGAGGTTGGACTTGAGTATGAGTGTATTTCTGTTTGCTTGCAATTGTTCTTGAGGATGTAGAATTGTGCTACCACAAAGAAGTCCTGCACTTGGTCGGTCATATTGATTGATAGGTCATGATGGGGCTCACGCCGCGCCTTCTTTTCCACCATCATCGCACCAATGCATCTCTCTTACAAATCCAAGATTCATTGCAATATGTTAACATCACCGCAGTATCTATCTTATCACCCTCAACTCCATAAAAATACCACACTCGCCTCCCGAAACACCCACGCATTTACAAAAGAACAGCAAAGACACCTGCTAAACCCAAAACACCCATAAACGCCCACCGCACCTCTCTCCGTCCAGCCTCCGCCCGCATGCAATACCCATCATCCGCTTCATCGTTCTCACACCCATCCCTAATCTTAACTTCCCGCACCTCCCGCTTGCGAAGCTCATACTCCTCAACTCTCTCCCTCCGATACTCCTCATAATCAACACCTATCTCCTCCGCCAGCTTCACCACTTCAAAACCCACCTCCTTCTCCCCACAATCAGAACCAAAGCCCGGCAGCAAACCCACCAACCACCCAACAGACTCCCTCACCAACTCAAAACTCGGCGCCGCCAAACTCTCCGTGAACGCCATCGGCCCCGTTATGGGAATAGCAGAGACGATCGTCCCAGCCATAGCATGAATCAGTAGAGCTGAGAAGCTAAAGATTCTTGGGACTTCCAGCGAACGCCCTGCTGCGGATGTGGGGATGAGGGGACAGGATTGTTGTCCGGTATAGCCGTCATATTCACACGACTGCAGGGCTGCTTTCTCATCGATCGTTGATGGAGACGAAATATTAGTCGGTGTAGCAATCTCCAATCCCCCGCCTCCTCGACGGTATTTATCGACACTTGGAATAGCCACCGCCGCAACACCAGGACCTCTTCCTGCCAAGAGGAGATGAACAGCTAAGCTCCCCAACCCAAAAAACCGCGGTATCGAAACAGACCTCACACCGGCCGAAGCTGCTGTGACATTAGTAGTAGGACACATCGGCTTTCCTTTCCAACCGCAATCATTCCTTTTCCTGGATCTCGAAACTTCGGTTTGGCTTAAGAATCGTTTCTTTAGCCATGCAATAGGTTCCCCGATAACGACCCCTGGGGTTGAGACGATCCACTTGCAGAATACATAGGGAGTAACGAGACGAGGGGGTAAGTTCTCGGTCCAGGGACAGGGGTAGGTCCAGAGGCCTGGGAGGCCGCACCAGAGTTGCGCTTCTTTGTTGCTTAGTACGGCTTGCGACCTCTGCTCGTTTTCTGGGGCAGTGGTGCTTAGAGCTGGTGAACGGTGAGGGGGGTTGAGGGATGCGATGGAGCTTGTTTGAGCGGCGAGTAATGTTGCGCTGTCGTGGTATGAGGTCCAGGGGTCATTTGGGGTGGCTTTCCAGGAGCAGGGGAAGGGTTGCGCTGGGGATTTGTGGGCGCAGGTTGGGTTGTTTTGTCTCTTTTCCAGTGAAGAGGAGTGGGGTATTGATAGAGATGTTGAGAGGTGGATGCACGCCAGGAGAGAGAGCAGGGATGTGGGTTTCATGGTTGTGGTAAAAGATGTGTAATAAAGAGTGTTGTTTTTTGCAAAGATGTTTGCTTGTTTGGTTTTGTAATACAGTGCTGTCGAAGCAATATACTGTTTTCAATAGCAATTAGGCCAGATGGGATTCACGAATATCTGTGACTCAATAGGGAAGTGGCCAGGACTCAACACCTACTGCACAATAATATGATCAAAAAGTTGGGAGACTTGTTCAGTACCACTTGGCGCTGAATCCCACGTAGAACCCTTCGCCCACTAGTCACTGCATACAAATTTTGAAGCATAACGCGGAAGCTACTCAGCTCCACTGACAACAGCACCCAAAATAACTAACACAACGACCTCTATTCTATGACTCGAAACGCCAACACCCACAACTCTACCTCTACATGCCCACTGCCCTCACCGGTCTCGTATACAAATTCTCAATCACATAGTCCTTCTTCGGCCCTTTAACATTATACCTCGACGTCCACCTCTCAACCACCGTCCCCCTAAAATAGAACTCATACTCCACATTATACAAATCCTCTATACCTGTATCCCATTCATTAGCACTCATCCTCTCCCGTTTCCCCCTCCAAAAAAAAACTCACATAAATGCGAACTCCTCGCCCTCCACGGCTCCCCCAACTCCCTCTCCCTCCCCTCAACCAAAAACTCAAGTCGATGAAAAAAATAATCGCTCGTCTTGCCATCACCTTTCGCGAACCAGACGTCCATCGCATCACTCTTCTCCTGGTAATGATAGATATAGCTCCGTTTCGCAGTCATGGTGCCGCCCCAGCTGGGTCGGAAGTCGCCTTCCTCGAAATAGAGGTACTCCATATCCGCCTCTTTACTTGTAGGGAAACGGGGCAGGAAAGATGCTGTGCCGGAGAGCGTGCCGGATGGGAAGGTGGGGAGTTGAGATGAGATTGTGCGGTCGAGGTGCCATGTCCCTTGCAGGGCGCGGAAGGTGGCTCGGGCTACGAATTTCCCTGCTGTGGAAGAGGCGGTGAAAATGCGGTCAATGATCGAGAGCTCGTTTTCTGCTTCTTGAACTTGAGCGGGTGAGGTAGTGGAGGGGAGATAGCGGGGAGGAAGAACGATTCCTGAGCGTCCAGTCGAGTTTTCGGGCTCGGTTCGCTTGATGTCTAGGATTTCGGCGAAGGATTCCATGAGATAGGCATAATCGCCCATGGGGAACTGCGCTCTTCGAGGATTGTTTCTGAGTTTGAGCATTGTGTCCATGGTTTTGTCGTCAGCTAATGCTTGTTGTGCTTTGGCGTCGCCGCTCCATAGTTTGGCGAGGTATCGTGCTTGCATTTCCATTACTCCCCAGTATGGACTTCTGTAGAAGCCAACGAAACCTAGAGAGGGGATTGAGCGATTCACGACAGTGTGGACATTGAGTGCCAATGGGAAGCCGTCGTCGTTGGGATCGAATTGGAGTTGTTGTAATAGCTCTTCTGGTAGGAAGCTGAGTGATGAAGAAGCATCGAAGCCTGTTGCCGATATGACAGCAGCAATCTCGGAGATTTCTTCAACTTTTCCAGATGAGCTTTCGACCTGTGCTTCTTATTAGCATAATTTCCCTTCTATGATTAGAAACTAAGCAGAAAACAATTCCCAAGAAACGGTCAACACCGAATGTCCATATAGCGAATCCTTCATTCTGACAAGACTCACCTCCATACTCGTCCCCTCGCTGGAAATAGACTTCATCCTCCCCTCCACAACCTTAATCTTCCCTGCCCTCACAAATTCAGTGTAGTAATCACTACAAGCCAACATCGGCGGTTCATTCCTCACAGCATTGCCCGTCATATTCAGGACAGGAACACCGTATTCCGTCTGATCCGTCCCAATATACGTATTCATGAACCCATGAACCATTTGCGCACCCTCAACAGAAATATGTCCCGACGTATTCTGAATCGGTCCCGGTGGTCTCCAGCCCAGATTATAATTAACTAAATCCAGCGGCAAGAATTCCGGGGACGAATTATTCTTCTATTCCTCATCAACCACATCCTTTATCCCCAGGGGAAAAACTCACCTTAACACCCTCCCCATCCTCTCCCACCGGATCCCGAGGGAAAAACAACGGCATAACCCAAACCGGTTTCCCCACCACATGAGTAACCGTCCAAGCACCCCACTCCCTCGCCTCGGCCTCATCACCAGGACTATTCGTCAACGAAGAAATCTGCAACGCAACCGCAGCCGCCGTCTCAACACCACTCATCTGCCCTCCTACAACCACGATATTCCGTCCTTTCACACCCTTCAAATCCCTCTTCCCTCCATCCGTCAGAAAATCCTTGACATCCCTGACTTTCGAACTATGCCACACCGGCACACTGATCTTCTCTCCCTTCAAGGCATCAGGAATCTTCTCCCGACCAAAAAACCCCGTCCCCACAACCAAAAAATCAAACTCCCTCTCTTCCTCGCTTCTCTCCCCTTTAACCACAACCCCCCACTTTTCACCCCTCTTGCTCACCCTACTCACCTCAGCCCCAAACCTAACATCCGTCCCCTCCCCCAGATACCTCTCCCCATACGCCTTCAAATACCCGCCCACCTCCCACGCCCGCGGAAACTCGCTCTTCCCCTCCCCCCACGAGAAATCCGAAAACGCCACCGTATGCCGACTCTGATTCGTTTGCATCTCCGGACTCACACCTCCCTCATTTTGGTCAGGAGAAAGCGGCCAGAGGCCGCCTATGCGGGGCGATTTTTCGAAGAGCGTCACGTGGTGCGTTGGTGCGAGTTTGGCTGCTGCGATGAGGCCTGAGGGTCCGGCTCCTGTGGGAGATGTTAGAGATAGGATGAGAAATGGAGGAGGGAGAGAGGGAGGGAGGGACGTGCCTATTATTGCGACGGTTTTGAGGGGGGTCATTTTGGTTGTTGTGAGGGTTCGAAGTGCGAGTCTTAGCATGTAAAAACTCGCCGATGGGGGAATGAGGTCCTCATCTGAGGTCAAAGGTGGAGAGAAGTAAAGAAAGGAAGGTTCGAAAAATGAGGGATAGAAGATGGATGTATGTATTTATCAGCGAGAGATGGAGACCGAAATTCTTACTTGCATGGATGGATCAGTATGTATGCGGGAAGATCTAGAGAGGCTGAGGTGAGGTTCTAGGGGGTGGGTTTAAGATAAGCGAGGGCTTTTGATCAAGAGACTCCTTTGTGATCATGCGGAGACGTCAAGTTGTGGTCAGTCGTGCTTTGAAGAGAACTGAGACTCTGTATTTTTATGGAAAGTGTGTAATTGCGTAGATGTTTTTGTCACCTCAATTCTCAAGATGAATGTGAAGGATTCGAAAGGCGGTTCTAGTCACGTGAAGGTGGCAACCTGAAGGGAGGATGGCTATCACCTTGGAATTCAGCTTGGAAGAGTATGCAGAGTTCCGATGATATTGAAACAACTGAGCAAATCATCTAGGATCCCAGAATAGGTGCAAAGTAATCCATTAAGTATCTACTCTCTGTTGAGCGAAAGCAACTACCCTGGGTATCATACTATCAGCAAAGAAGCTACTATAGACGTCTATTTATGATTCATCACAATCGCAACGCAAACGTCCCAGAAGATCTTTACAAAGTGTAATAGAAATCTGGACGCATATCCCCCAATGCCTCAACATGATGGTCACTCAACCCTTCAACCCAATGATCTCGCTTTCCAGCCTTCCTAAGCTTGTTCTCTCTTGCCAAGAGAATCCGAAGAACTACGCTCCCACCAAGCAGGCAAACAATCATGTAAGCCATGACTACGGCGTGACCAACAGTGTACTTGGGACTCTTGTAATAGATGTTGCTGCTGACGATACCATTCAAGTTGCCCCAACCAATCACGAAACCTAGAACGACTCCACGCTTGTAGACACCTTCGATGTTGTTGGCAACCCAAGAAATCGTGTTCGCAATGCAAGGATAGATACCGAGTGCTCCGAGGAAAGTTCCGGCGTATTTTACTCCAGCTTTCTGGGAGCCGAGGAGCATAGCGAACCCTGCGATTCCGAGGAAAGAGACGAGGATATTGCAGAGACCTCGTTGCTTTGTCCTATCTGCAATATATCCAATAACGATGGTCAAGATGGCGGCAGCAGCATAAGGTGGCACCGTCAAGAGTTGAGCCTTTGTACTGGAATATCCAAGTTCGTTGATGATGCTGGGCAGAAAGAGCGAGAATGCATAGAGCGGCATATCACAGCCCATGTAGATGATCATTCCAAGCCACATCTTGTAATCCTTCAAGGACATCCAAACGTACTTCATTTTGAATTCTTCATGTTCGGCAGAGGATTGTTGGTCAAGCTTCAAGCGGCGGATAACTCGTTCACGGTCTTGCTCTGAGAGGAACTTTGCATCATCGGGAAAGTCGTGAACCAACCAGATGGCACTGATCCCGAAAAGGACGGTGACCTACGTGAAATACTATGATTAGCATATTTCAAGTTCCGGTTTACGAGAGTGATCAGAAAAGTTAGAAGTGAAAAGGAGAAGAAGTTTGACGTACAATACCCTCCAAAATGAAGATCCAAGCCCAACCTGGACGTCCTCCAAGACCGTTCATCTTCTCGATGGCAGCGGCAAGAAGACCACCAAACGAGCCAGATACAGCAGCGGCCGAGAAGAATATGGCAGCACGAATACCAAACTCTGATCTCTTGTACCAACACGAGAGATAATAGTTGATACCAGGGAAGAGACCTGCTTCAGCCATACCTAGGAACCACTTTCACAACTCAGTGTCTGCAAATATTTATCGATATAGGTGACTTACACGAGCAGCCATCAGGCCCGACCAATTGTAGACGAAACCCATAAACGTCATGCATATTCCCCAAATCACCCTATTGTAAATCAGCAGATGAAATGTATTGCATGGCCGGTGGAACCGGTGGAACGCACATAATGATCGGAATAAAGACCGAAGGGCGGAGACGTTTGAGGAGAATGTTGGTGAGAGGCTCGAAGACGGCACTGCATCCAAGTCAGTATGCATTGTTTGCGAATCAATATTGGAGATATCCCAAGAAACGGGAGGAAACATGAGGCTAGAATAAAGCTCATGCAGACTCCCGTCATATTGGAACTCCTCCGGGTATCGGACTCACTAGGAGACGAAGAAAATCGACAACGTCGCATTGTATTGGCCGGTCGTCATGCCGTGAAGGGACTTTTGCAATCCATCGATCTTTGCATTGCCAATATTGGTTCGGTCGAGGAAGGCGAGGAGATACAGAATGCAAAGCTCGGTATACGATCAGTATTGAGCGGCAGAACGTAGTGAAGAATACTTACAATAGGAATCAAGGTCCAGTCCAGCTTTCGAACAAGCTTCTTGTCCTGCAGAAAACCATCAGCGGAGCGCCGAGAAAGGGATCCCGTCTTGGAAAGCTTACAATGGCAGCTTTCTCTTCGGCGCTGAGATGGGCGTCAGGATCGGGAATCGTAAAACCACCTGGATCCTTCTGGCTGATGGGCGCATTTCCGTTGCTTTCGAGATGATTTAGCGCGACGACCTTCTCGTTCGAGCTGTTATCGACCTCGTTCATGATGGGCTTCTCGTTCTCCATTTTTCGGTGTCGGGTTCGAGGTTGTGGTTGTGGTTGTGGTTGCGAGATGGTGACGAGGTGGAAAAACAAGGGAGCGGGATTGAATTTAAAGAAGGACCTCGATAAGTAGTGACTGTATGGGGAAGGATCAGCAATCGGAAGCAGCTTTCCCCCATGCACGCGCGCTGTCAAATGATGCAAACCATTTCTCGTTGGAGGGAGCTGGATCTTTATTTTGCAGCGTCTGGCTATCATTAATCCGCTCCTCCTAGTCCCGCTGAAGAATCTCATTCGAAGGGCTACACAGTCTCACATGGGGTAAGACAGGGATCACTAACGACCCCGCATCATGATGACCGGCAGCTACCAATAATCATTTACTTACAGCGGAAGCCATGACATTGCTGGGGGGACACATGCTTCTACCAGCTCTTCAATGTCTCCTTTTGGAATTTATTCCCGAGTGAGACCCGACAGCATCCCTTCTGTCTGGATAGCTGCGTCTTCAAGATAATGATAATGGTAATGGGGTTCTCCATCAATCCGGGCGGGACATGGCGGGGAGCTACAGGGGCGAGCTCAACGTGGGGACACCAAAACATATGCTTAGCCTCGGTACACCTTCGGCGTGTGCATGCTGGTACTGGTAGTAGGGGAGTCACTACCAATTGTCTGCCGAATCTCTTAGTCAGCAGCCCAAATGTTGTGGAAGATGGTCTGATACGAAGAGAAGAGCTTTGTTCCAGCCATCGCAGGCAGGAAGAATAAGCTTAATTTCCAGACACGAGCCGGTCAATCGGAGGGAGTTTGTTGGAAGCTCGGACCCATGTCCACCCAATGGCCCGAGGCAAAAGGGCTGAACCCATCAGTCAGCACTAGTTCTAGTATAGCACAATGCTTTCATTCTTGAGGTCTTCTCTTCTCTTCTCTTCTCTTCTCACCGTTTATTGGATCTTGCCAGGGTTCCTTCCGTGATCAATTGCCACGAGGCACCGTTACTCCGAGTACAAGTGTCACTCTTGTACGGGAACTGCTCGTACTCGTGTACCGCTTCACCGTTCAGTATGGTTCTACGAAAACATTCAAGCCAATTGCAGGATCTCAGAACCATCGTGCAAGCCTGCCAACAATACCTTTGGGGGAGATGCTTCGCCAGTGTGGTAATACAAGATCAGGGACAATTTCTCTTTTTGGCCTCACTCGCATCAAACTGCCACATTGTGTTGAGCCAGCAATTCGAGTCGTCCAGCGGCAAGCCACAGCCGAGAGGGCAGTCCCAATTGTCCAACGTCTTATCTCTTTCTCAGTGGGAGCTTATTTTGAGCTTATTTTCAGTACATGTAAACGTACATTTTGATTTTATTGTTCTGCTCAAAATGTATGGCCATCAAGAGTCCAGGCATCCGTGGGAGAATTGGTTCAAAACATGTAATTTCATGATCAACAATTCAACTCACCTACCAACTGAGTCTCTGATCCTTCCAGTGAAGTGAGAATCCTTGGTAAGCATGCCACATCAGAACGTGGCCCACCAGGATCCTTTCTGAGGTATGATCCTCATTCAGCATTATCTAAGTGCAAAGTGCCATCCTCTGCTAGGACATTCTCCCAAGCACATACACTCTAACTAAACCTAAACATTGAAATCGCAACACCTTAAGCTAAAGTCAGGCCGTGGTTGAGAACACTCTTGTCCCAAATACTAACTTTCAATCAATTCTCTCTAGTAAGAGACCCTCTGCTCGAAAATCCTCGAGCAAAAGTCTAGAAATATTGGTAGCTAAAGTCAGGACCACCTTTTGGCAATTGAAGCGATGTGCAACAAAAGTTGAAGTAATACCATGTCGGTAGGTAGACAATGCGTTAACTTTTTATTCCAACTTCACTCTCAATATCAATAGCCCACTCTCTTCTGCACTCCTTCCCTTTCTAAAACGTCTCTTTATCTGCCCCCAATAGCCTCCTCTTCTTCTCCTCCACCGATTTGCCAAACAAAGATAATGAACCTCAAAAGCACTGGTACCTATGAGAGAAGCTTGCTTCCTTCCCTCTGAGCCTTAATTTGGAAGTGAAGTTCTTCGTATTATAATCCGTCCTTGCCCTCTTTTCTATCCTTTGAAGGTGGGAGATGGGAGTGGGTGGGGGGTAGGTGTGGTAGGGTAGTAGGCGAGCTGTATCAACGTTGTTCCGCAGGATAAGGATCGATTCCTCTATAAAATATTATTTTTGTCTGTCGCATGAATTCGACTTTGAATCACTTTCAAGGCTCTCAGTACTTTAGCTTTGAACCCAAACTCTAGGGCGTGTCCCTTTAGTATAAACTCTCCAAAGATTGAAGCGGGGGGTCATATTTCAAATGCTGTTTACACTCTAGCTCTATACTCTCACTCTAGCTCTGTATCCTTACCTCCAACCCTTTACTCGCTCCAGCTCTATAACCTCACTCCAGCTTTGTATTCTCACGCCAGCCCTTTACTCACTCTACCCTGTTTAACTCTCTACTTTAAACCCTCTACTTTAAACCCTCTACTTTAAACCCTCTACTTTCACCACCTACGAAAAGTAGAGCCCCTACAAGGGACCCGGAAGGGTATTCAACTTAACCTTTCAGGGCCCCAGATCTTCGGTTTCAACTTTCCGCTTTCAGCTTGTCACCCGAGGCGCCTTCATTCGACCTCTCTCACACTCTGCGCGCCTGCTGTCAGGGGTAGAAGGAGTCTACAAGAGACTTTCTACTTGAGAAGAGGAACAGCGGGCACCAAACTCATCGACAATTTTCTTTACGAGAATGTCCGAGGTGATTGTGGAGTCGAAACAAATTGTCTGATTTTTTTTTTTTTTTTTTTTTTTGGATGGTTTGCTTGGTGCTGTTTTGTCAGGTGCCTCGGAGCGAGTTGAGATTGCTTTTGGGACATTTTAGTATCACGGTTTTTTGAAGAAGATAAAGTGCGAACTGAAGACGAATTTTCATTTTCCCAGAGCCACCCAAGCTTTTACAGACACTTAGCAATGACAACAACACCAACCAAGCCGACCAAGACTACCGCCAAAATACGAACCACCGCCAACACGAACATTGACCGCATTTCAGAGCCCGTCTCTCTGATCAACTTTGTTCCCTATAAGTGATGTTAGTGAACACATCAGAATGACCAGGGAAAGGAGAGTACTTACAGTTTCTGCAACCAAAGTTGACGCCAGCCGAAGCTAGCAAAAGTAGTCAGGACGTGTGTCAATGTCCCAACCCATGGAGAAAACTTACAGAGGGATTGGACAGAGTAAAACGGACAGGGACCGCCGGGGAACGGGCAGGGAGAGCCGGGGCGCGAGCGAGGGGAGCCGGGGAGGGGGGAGCCGGGGGGGGGAAGACGAGTACGCGAGTAGGGTGGTGTTTGTCTCTTCTTCTGTCTATATATACGTACATTAGCATACTGTGCGTTTGCTATCATGAAACGAAAAGAATGTCATAACCAAGATAGACATAGTCTAGCAATTGTGCACAATAATAACAAGCAGCGGGTGGCAGGAAAGTGCGAAGTGACAGCAAGGTATCAAACAATTCCAAGGTGTGAAGCAACAAGAGGATGTGAAGTAACAGCAATATGCAAAGTGTCAGCAATGTGCAAAGTGTTAGCAAGGTGTGAGGCGACAGCAAGGTGTGAAGTGACAGCAAGATATTAAGCAATTGCAAGATGTGAAGCAACAAGGCGATATGAAGCGATAGCAAGGTGTGAAGCGATAGCAAGGTGACAAGCAATTGCGAGATGTGAAGCAACAAGACGATGTGAAGCGACAGCAAGGTATGAAGTGACAGTAAAATGCAATCAGTAACAAGAAGGAAGAGATGCAATGCAGAAGCCAAGACAAATGGATTCGGAATGGAACTGAACCTACCATGGGACCTCCTGCTCACACATCGATGTTAGCAAATGATGAGAAGAGAGGAGGAGGGAGATGACTTACTGAATTTGCGAGGGGGTTTCCTAAAACTATGACCGTGACCAGCCATCGTGAATTCGGACCTGGGTTCTGTCAGTTGGGGTTGGCCAACTGAGTAAGACACTCCTGAATGGATTTCTGCCCAGCATCATGAACTGAGTTGAACATGTTCCGGTTTTCACCGAGCAGTACACGGCAAGCTCCTAACGCTCCCTGACAGTATATAGCGCGTGCCATCAGGTCCATCTGCCGTCCAACTAAGGACCCAAACATGAACAAAACATTCATCTGTCAAGTCAACTCGACGATTCATATAGGAGACACTCTCCCCAACCAAAGTAGGAGGGTTTGCGATCACCGAATGATCCATGAGAGCCGTGCTTATGTCCTACAGAGGAACCGTTCATGTGGAGACACTCTCCCCAACCAAAGTAGGAGGGTTTGCGATCACCGAATGATCCATGAGAGACGTACTTATGTCCACAGAGGAACGCGAGGGAGTAGCGCCGCCACCAAGTACTCATTACAAACTTGCAGAACGACAGGCATGAAAGCAGAAAGAGCCAAACAGCAGAACAAAAAGAATACCGGTGTCTTACCTGATGGTGGAGGTGGTGAGGTGAGGTGAGGTCTGAGTTGAGTAAGGGTCACGTGATGACAATATATAAGTGGAGAAGTGAATTGTTGTGCTGCTGTGCTGTGCGGTGCGGTGCGGTGCGGTGTGCGGTGCGATGCGGTGCGGTGCGGTGCGGCTCTGAAGAAAAAATTTTTTGGAGGGGGGGGAGGGCGAGACTATATGCTCACTGTGAACTGGCACTAATTCCAGATCACTCACTTGCGAACTAGTGAAGCGACCAATCAACCGACAAGGTCTTTTGTTCTCGTTTCGCTTGTTGGCGTTGCCAGTGTGGTTCTGCTCTTGAACGGTTGATGTGGTTGATCCGGTTTGCAGTTGACGCTAATTTTCGTCTGGGTCTGCTGGAAACTCTCCCTCTCTCTTACAACGTTTTTCAGGAGTAGGGCATTTGGAACAGGCACAAGGCATATCACTTAGATAGAACATGCAGCATGAGTGTAGAAGAAGTAATAGAGGCTTTTCCAAGTTCCAGATTGTAGATACCAGTGTATACCGTTGAATGTGTCGCTGTCATGTAGCTTGCGACCGTACAGTGCCGCCGTGCAGAGACTGCCCACACCACCTCCAAGAGTGCCACGATATGATTGGGATAGACTATCCTCATCCGTATCTACTATACATCTTCTCATACGAGTCCGAACTTGCTTCACCACCGTAGTCCTTGTGTAGCTTCTGCAGTGGCACCGACCGACCGAACTTCGACGAAGGTGCCTCCATACTTCGGACACTTCGAAGGAGGACAGTATGCCTAACAGGATTTGAGATCTCTTAAATTCGAAGACTAGGAGACGATATGTATTTCGATGAGGCATCGTAGGAAGAGGCAGAGTCGCAATCCGTGAGGAAGATTCTCGCGGGCGAGTCTTCTACAGCTCGTCTTCTGCAGGCCCTACCCTTCCGCAGCTCAAGCAAGGTAGAGCGAAGGAGGAAACAAGAAACATAAGGTATAGCAGAAAGCTTCAAAGCACCGGCGAGGCAATTTCTGCTGCGTGGGCGTCCTACTGCTGCAAGACTGATTCTGCTCGCAGGAAAGGCACGTGACGGCACTGTAAACTCTAATTTGAAAAGGAAGGAGCAGGCAGTTTGTCACTAGACGCGCACTTGACTCGACGGAGAACACATCTGCACTCGCGATATAGAGATAAAAATATGCTAACAACAGCCTGAAATGTTAGAAATCAGAAAGATTGAAAATTGAGGAAGGAGATGTCGTCCAAAACTTCCAGAAAAGGACAAGGCGGCCCGCAAAGCGGGCTAGCCACATTCGGCAACGACCCCTCACCCGAACCCCTGAACGGGAATGCTCGCGTACGAGATAGGATTCTATAAACAAATTAGATATGAAGATAGAATATATTCTAAGGTTTGTAGGACACTATAAGTAAGCAAAAATTCCCGATGGCGGAGTACCGAAATAAGAATTGAAAGGGTGAATCAGATTATCGATACATGAATTTTGCAACGTGAATTTTGGAGAATATCGTTGTCCTACGGGTTCTCGGCAATCTAGAAGTAAACGATTGTGTATCTTGGTCCTTTGTAACGTACGACTCATGGAATTATTGTTACACACTTGGAGAAAATCTGATTCTCCTCCAGATTCTAGAGAATTTTCAAGTAAGTTACAGCGTATTCTGATCTTGTACCCTGATCCTCTTGTTTTTAGCACCCATGAAATTATTAGTAGCTAGGGCACATCTTGGAGAATCTGTTGTCGCCCAAATCCTGGGATAGTCACAAGAAAATATAGTGTCCCCTAGTCTTTTTTTGACTTTGCTATTAACGAAATTTATTCAGTACTTGATTTCTGAAGAATCCGATTGTCCCTCAAATATTGGGAGAATGACTAGTAATTTCGTCTATTTTCAATACGTGCTTTTTGGACAATGTGGTTGTCTCAAATCCTGAGAGATTTCCGAAAATATGTCAACATCAATTTCACTATCCACGACCTACCACAATTAGATTCCACTTCGATTTAAACGAAATAAATTATTTATACTATACAATCGATCTTACAATCTTCTCCAACGCTCTCCACATCTGCTTCGAAAACTCTTTCCCTTTTCGTCAAAATTAGTCATCCCTTCACGATAGCTCTCCTTCCGAAGACTCTCCTTCCAAAAATCGTCGACCACACCTTTGCGTCTTCTTGTCTCAAATCCTTCTACATGTTTTCATCTTGGGTCCGGACAAAAGCGATAAATACAGCGCTTCTTACCCTATCGCCTTCTCCGCTAGCCCACGTTCCCCTATTTGCTCCCCGGCCCGGTCCCGGACCCGGCCCTGCAAGTTGTGTGTCCTCTTATCTCAAGTTCTCCTGTAGGTTCACTTCATGGGCTGGGACATTGATAAGACTTGACTAACTATTGTTTCAAGATTGGGCTTGCTTCGACACTGCGGCGAAACACCTCTGGCGGAGAACAACTTTGATACAAGAGGCTGATACCAGAGCTGGTGCGGAGGTACACTCCTTTGGGAGAGGGCGGCAGCCAGAGAATGTGTAAGTCTCAGCTTGTGTGGGGGAGATTGTACAACTCACGATTTATAAAGGAACGAAGAATTGCTCTGGCGACAGAAGTGGTCGTATTTATATTCTTCCTCTTCGATCCCTCTCCTCCTCTCCCCCTCTTCCTCATGAGAAGAGGAAGATGTCACGTACCCGGGCCGCGGAGATAGACAAAGTAAGTCTCAGCTCGTATGGTGAATTTGACACTAGCTTACATTGTTCCCAAGAAATTTTCTTGGTGAGTTTGGATAATCGACAAATTTTCGCTACACAAATGGAGGAAATTGTAAGTTACATTCTTCAATTCTTTTTTGATTTTTGATTTTTGATAAGTGACTTTTCGTTTTTTACTCGGGTTGAACATTCACTGAATCATATGTGTACGAGTATAGGGCACCACAGTTATCGAGGAATTTTTTGCGCGAATGTCCGACCTCACCTCGGACATTAAAGACATTGTAAAGGAGGCTGCGGGTGTCGTACATGAAGTGCAGTATATTGTACAGTTTTCCCAAGAAGTCGAGATGCATGAAGCTCATGATTTTTCGAGACAGCTATAAGTTACAGAGACAGCTTGTACTACTAAAAATAGGGAAGGAATGAGAGATGAGTAACACATGACCTAAGTTTTGACTGCTTTCGGCTATATCAAGAGTCCGAAATCCCACAACTGAGATGTTTGATGACGAGAACGACATGAGCGATCACGGATTTTCAGATGACTCTTCATATCCATGTCTTCCTAATCGTGACTTATATGCTAGGGAAAGCATTTTTGTTAATAACCAACATATAGCACGAAAGAAGCTCGACTCTCTACTGACACCAATTTCTTCCGATCCATGAAACTCACTCAGGCCGCACTCCCTCAAATGCGAGCACAAGAGCGGCACGATGGTCAAACTTTCTTGTGGTGCCGGCGTTCATCCTCGACCGACAATGGGGTTGGGTATTTACGGTGCATCAAAATGTGCGCTCGGAGGGTGTTTGATTCAGGAAGTAGCTTTTTTCAATATCCGAATCCTGGTCGTTCAACCTGGGGCTTTTAGTACCAACATGTTGGGGGGAATCGCGTTGACCGAGAAAGAAATGAAAGAAGAGTATCGCAGCACCGTGATGGGGCCATTCATTGACATTCAAAGGTGGTTCAGAGGAGGGACAGTTTAAAGCCCCACATAATGTCGTTAAGGGATCTTAAGCTGCATTTGAGGTGGCTACTGGGACAGGACGAGGGGAAGGAAAGGAAGAACATCTGAAATTGCTGCTTACTCCCGATGTTGCGCAGTGAGCATTGGATCAAAATGCGAGGATCCAGGCTGGCTATGATGCTTTTCGGGATGTGTAGGAGAGTAATCCACACGATGGTGGTGTATTGAAGTGATTCAATTTGCTCAGTAGACTTTCAAGAGGTATCTCCTTATCCCATGACTTTTGAGATATTCTCGCACGGAGAAGACTTAGCACAGACCATACTGTAAAATTTGGCACATAATATAATATTGGTCCAGAGCTTGCGGGATTGTATAAGAAGAGAAAGTAGATTTTCCAGATAAAAGAGCATGCAAATCAGCCTCTGACTCTAACACTACTTCATCCTTCAAATCTTAGTTCTCACTTGGGACTTAACCCATTTTTATTGTCTCACAAACTTTGGATCAATATGAAGTTACATTCTGATGTTTACGGTAACGCTCAGGGATGCTATTCTTTGAATTGCATAATCTTCTTCCCAAGACTGCCCAAAAATTCGCAAATTCTTGTTTATCTTCTTGCCAGTACCAGCGCCTCCCCCTTCTCCACATCAGCCTCCCAAACCCACCTGCACCTGTCCCTATATTTGATCGCCAGCATCTTGCCATTCTTATCCAAGTTGTCAGGTAATGACTTAATCATTTTGTGCTTTACACCAAAGATATTGTCCAATGACTTGAGCCCTTTCTTGATTTCTTCCTCATGAATGTCTGGGAAGATATCTCTGTCATCCAGAGCGATATGCACAAGAGCACCAGTTCTGTCAACGTTTGGCGGTACAGACATGGTAACTTTTGTTAGTCTGCTGAACCCGGAGAGATAATGCGGGAAAAGCCAATGGAATGAATGCCACAAGGCCTCACCGCTTGGGTGGCATTCGAGAATTACAGACGCGACATCCTTGGCTGTTGCGCAATTCTTTTCGAGGTCGGTAAGGCAAAAAGCGGAAGGATTGGGATAGTCCAGCTGTCCTGAGATCCAATCCATTTGGTTGACAATCCAAATATCTTCCCTAATCATGTTATTAGTCGTTTTCATCAATTGAGTGTACAACATACGTGACCGTCAATTTGACAGTTTTGATGGTGGCCAAAACCTTTGGATCCAAATGGTCGAACGACCAATTGTTTGTCTTGTTTAGGACGAAGGTATAGTTCTTGTTATGGAATGCGCTGAGGGCTTCATCGTAAAGCATACCGAATTGACGAAAGCCTCTGAGGAATTCCGGTGTCGTGCCATCGAACTCGTCTGGCAGCGCGAGATCAAAGATCATCCTCCTCAACTCGACCGGGACCTTCATCAAAGTACATCCTTGAATATTTGCGCTCACACGATGGCGAAATTTTCTGGTGTGTGTATTGTTGACTCGAGAGCCGCGGAGCCCATAGTTGCGTCGAGGCGCGCTCGAGAGCGTGCTTGAATTCAATGACATTGTCGTTGAGAGATTGTCATTGAGAGGTTGTACAACCTGGGTCTTGATGGATTGCTCCTTGGAATGAAGTATTGCAGAAGGGGTGGCTTTCGGAGTTGTCTGTTGAAAGTGATAGCAGCCATCCAAGAAGAGATTTGCGAAAGGGAATGTTTACAAGCAGCGAGGCTAGTTTTTTTTGTCGAGCACTAGGATTAGCGTGAAGGCTACCGAGAAGTGAAGGTGAAAGTGACAGTCAAAAGGACCCCAAAATACTGTTGTCATTTGGCAATTCGCTTGCTGTTTGTACAGTGTACCTTCGACGCCCGATCCTCGTAACTTTGCCACTCAGGTGGCACCCAATCAGACCAACTCCAAACCATCATCACGTACTTTTGGTAAGTCTGTTTGATCCTTAAATCTTGGGCTATAGAGCTAGACAAAGAATCACGGTATAAGAAAGCACGGTCAGAACAGATGATCAAGTCGGAAATTGACATTTATATACTAAGGTGTTTGATCCGACTTTTGCGAGATTGACATTTACTAAAGACAAAGGGAAAACTTCGTGTATGAGCTGGAGAAGCAATTAAGTACTGAAGGGGTCTCGTAACATGCATGGTTAAAAGAGTAGTAGGAGAGCAAAGGACATGGCATATAGTGAATCCTTGATCATATGCTAGTTTTTGCCACTCGATTACTTTACTTTAACTTGCAGAAGAGAAAACCCATAACGCTCTAAAGCACTCAATAGCTGACGGACTTCGAATCTTAGAACAAATTCTATTCATGTATTCTCTTGAAATTGAAGTAGCATGCCTCTAGATTTCCGGCAAGCTAATATATCATTAGGAGTACACTGTATTGGATATGCTAAATACCATGAAGCACGTTCGAACTATTCTCTTTGGAGGAAGGTGGTGAGAAAGTCGGAAGTCAGCATGACTTTAAAGCGGCGCGATATTATCCCGAGATTTTCACCTCCACCGTCAAAGATACCTATCTTTCTCTTTGCGCAGCGGAACTTGCCCACAAGTTATTATTCCTTCTTTCCACGACCGTACTTAATCTTACACCAAATAACAATTCAGCTTTTCTTGAACGAGAAATGGCGACAGTGACTGAGGCTCTGGTCTGTCTAGCAATTCTTACCCCACTTTTCCGGAGGGAGTTCTTACGCAGCAAAGAATATCAGTGATCCAGAATCGCATGGCATTGATCCCATGCCTATCGAGCAATCCAACACTTCCACCCCTCGGAATGATTCTATTCCTAAGATGGACACCGAAGTGGAACAAATGATCATCGCAGCCACGGTGACTGGACCTAGCCGGTTCCGCTCATTCGCCATAATGTCTGGGCTTTGTGTAAGCCAAATCTTCCCTCTCCCGATATTTCAACTGACATCAGAAGTCCGCAATGTTCGTCTCAGCATTGAATCAAACCACCGTTGCCACAGCCATCCCCTCGATCTGCCGTGGACTGAATTCCGCTTCTGGCTACGAATGGATCAGTGCTGCCTACTTGTTGTCAAACAGCATAACTGGTCCTATCTGGTCCAAGCTCTCAGATATTTGGGGACGAAAAGCCATCTTACTTACTGCTGTTACCTTGTATTTTGTGTTTTCTATCATTTGTGCGACAAGTCAGAGCATGCAGATGTTGATCGTTGGTCGAGCACTTCAGGGCGTTGCTGGAGGTGGCCTAATCCAAATTGTTTATGCTACAATTTCAGACATCTTCAGTATGCGGAGCAGGACGTTTTATCTTGGCATGTTGCAAGTAGTTTGGGCGACAGCTGGTGGTATTGGACCTATTGCTGGTGGTACTCTTGCGCAGTATGTTTCTTGGCGGTGGATCTTCTGGATCAATCTTCCTATCACGGGCGTTTCCTTTCTCATTCTTCTGGTGTTTCTGGATGTGCATAATCCAAAGACCAAGTTACTTCCAGGACTAAAAGCTGTGGACTGGTATGGATGTTTGTCGATGCTGAGTTTCATGGTCATGCTATCTCTCGGATTGAATTTTGGAGGAACGACATTTTCTTGGAACTCTCCTGCAGTCATTTGTCTTGTTGTTGCTGGTATTGTTATGTTTCCTCTCTTTCTGGTCTCTGAGAAGAAGGCTCCCCACCCGTTAGTTCCTCTTCGTGTGTTCCGGATACCATCGAATATCGCGGCTCTGCTAATCGGGTTCATGCATGACTGGGTAAGCTCTCAAGCACAGCTGTCAGACATCTTTGCTAACATTTGTGATTTCCCTTGCAGGCAGTCTTCTCAACAGAGTTCTACCTGCCTCTGTACTTTCAATCCGTCAAGAATGCCTCACCTATGAAGTCTGGTATCTTCCTCATACCTATCACATTTACCCAAGCTCTCGTCGGAATCATGACTGGTATCATCGTGTACAAAACAGGTCGTTACGTTGATGTCCTCCGAGTAGGTGTAACCCTCCTCGCAATCGGCAACGGTCTCTATATCAACCTCGATGCCACATCTCCGCTTGGAAAAATCCTCACATTTGAAGTCATAGCAGCAATTGGGGCTGGCTTGTTATTCCAGCCGCCTCTCATATCTCTCCAAGCTCACGTCCATCCGAAAGAAACTGCAGCTGCGACAGCTACATTAGGACTCGTTAGAAATCTTGCAACCTCGTTATCAATTGTGGTTGGTGGCGTGGTTTTTTCAAATCGAATGAATAAGCAAAGCCATTCTTTGCTCGAAAGCGGATTGTCTAAGAATCTGACGGACATTTTCTCGGGTTCCTCTGCTGCGGCGCATGTTACGCTCGTGAGCACGATCTCAGACGCGAAGCTGCAATTTGCTGTCAAGAATGCGTTTGCGGAATCTTTGAGGGGTGTGTGGATCGTGAGTGCTTGCATGACGATTTGTGCGGTTGTTGCTTGTGGATTTATACGAAAGATGGTATTGAGTTCGGAGCATGTGGAATTTAGGACGGGGTTGGAAAAAGTGCCATCAGGAGATGTACAGCTCTAAGATAAGATCTTATTTCCAAGCAGGATCTGGTGATTTTTGGATCCTGACATAACGTCCCTCCCTACGTGCCGAGAAACCCACCGTGCCGAGAAAATTGACGGGTACTTTGACTTTGAATATCTCAAATTATATACACACATCGAAATTTCACATATGATTACCTGAGCCGTACACCGTGGCCACTCATAAACACTGTGCACCTCTCTCACCAGAAAATTACGTTCGCGTCGTCGCCCCTGCGCTTGATTTGCAGGCGGCTTCCTTTCACGATGTAAGAGAGTTCTTTCACTGTGAGTCTATTATTGAGCTCTTATTACTTTTAATACTTATGAAAGGGTCTCATTCGATCTTCAAAGCCTTATTACCAAGTTAGAAATGGTCCTCAGCTTTATGGCTGCTGTCGACAGGCGGGACAGTACCTCGAACCGGAGCGACTAACGATATTTGGTTAGGGTAAAACGAACCCGCGCTCTCCCCGCATTTCATCACGGACGCAATTGAAGAATAAATTTCAGCCTAAGATTTAAGGCTACATAATTCGAACATAGCAGAAGTTGAAGCTTGGACATTAAGTTGCTGATTGTACTTTTCTGTCATTCACTGTGCAATTCCTTAAGCTCCTCCCTCAGCGACATGACACACCATGCTCAATCGAGAGTGGCATCGAATATCCTACATCCTATCCCCTATGACTTCCCGAGTTTCTGCGGTAAGCCCGTGCGATTGGCAGGTCTTGCACGCTTCTGGTATTGTACGACAATGTTATTGTCGCGAGGCTGGCGCCTAGCTGAGAGCGCCAGCCTCAACCCAACATGAAGGCTTCACCCTTCGCATCTATGCCAACTCGACAACCCAACTACTACCGAGAACTCTCCTCCTTACGATCATCGAACCTAGTCGAATATGCGTCTGCTACAGTACAACAACGATGGCGATTTCAACTTGATCGAGTTCAATGAGAGCCATATACCTGAGTATGCTATACTCTCGCACACATGGGAACAGGATAATAGCAAGGAAGTCACATATGCGGAAGTGATAAGCGGGACTGGCCAGAACAAGGATGGTTTTAAGAAGATTAGGTTCTGTGGAGAACAAGCTAGACAAGATGGTCTATCATACTTTTGGGTGGATACTTGCTGTATTAACAAGCAAAACAAGGCTGAGCTTTGGCACTCCATCAACTCTATGTTCCGTTGGTATCGCAATACAAGTCGATGTTATGTCTATTTGTCGGATGTTTCGACAAGGAAGCGAAAAGTAAGTGATCAGCCGTCAGAGCATACTTGGGACTTGAGCTTTCGGGAGAGTAGATGGTTTACTCGAGGCTGGACACTCCAAGAGCTCCTTGCCCTAGCTTCGGTGGAATTTTTCTCCTTCGAGGGAAAGCGACTTAGTGACAAGAGCTCTCTCCAAAAGCAAATCTGCAAAGCAACAAACATTTCCCCCTCTACGCTCCAAGCAAAATCGTTATCTTAGTTTCACATCGATGAGCGAATGCAGTGGATTGTGTATCGAGAAACGGGTAAAGAGGAGGATAAAGCGTACTCATTGCTAGGCATCTTCGGTGTCTCTATGGTCCCCGCCTATGGTGAAGGAGTCGCGAAAGCATTCGATCGGCTATGGAATAGATTTCGCGAAACACAGAAATGTATGCAAGACTTACGGCCTACCGATCCCCGTCTAGATAAGCAACGTATTGAGGCCACCAAAGGAGGCTTACTACAGGAGGCTTACCGATGGGTGATAGAAACCTCCGACTTTCAACAATGGCGTACCAATCAACACTATCGGTTACTGTGGATCAAGGGCGACCCTGGAAAGGGCAAGACAATGTTGCTTTGTGGTATTACCGATGAACTACAGAATTCGTTGGCTAAGTCTGCACTTCTATCGTACTTCTTTTGCCAGGCCACAGATTCCCGGATCAACCGTGCCATAGCTGTACTACGAGGTCTGATTTATCTACTAGTCGACTAGCAACCATCTCTCGTCTCGCATGTGCAAGCGAGTTACGATGGAGCTGGCAAGGCGCTCTTTGAAGATGCGAATGCCTGGGTTGCTTTAACCAAGGTTTTCTCTAGCATTCTACACGATCCGAATCTAGTTGCGACTTATTTGATTGTCGATGCCCTCGATGAATGCGTAGTCGACTTGCCAAATTTATTGTGTTTTATCGCGCAGACTTCGTCTGTGTCCTCTTGTGTCAAATGGGTAGTCTCTAGCCGCAACTGGCCAGAAATTGAGAAGACGCTCGACACCGTAATGCAGAAGCAAAGGTTATGTCTTGAGCTAAATGCAGATTCCGTTTCCACTGTAGTTGCGACTTTCATTCAAACTAAAGTTCACGATCTAAGAGAGAAGAACAAATATACGAGCGAGACACGAGATATTATCCAGCAACATCTTTCGCTAAACGCACATGGTACTTTTCTCTGGGTGGCGTTAGTCTGCCAGGAGCTGTCGAATCTTTTAGGGTGGAAAGCCATCCAGAAGTTGAAAGCCTTGCCGCCTAGACTCGATGCACTCTACTAGCGGATACTAGATCAAATCAAGGCATTAGAGGATTCTAAGCTGTGTATGAATGTTCTGGCTGTCGTATCGACTGTGTATCGGCCCATCACAATTAACGAGCTAGTGACTTTGGTGAAGATGCCTAATGGAGTTAATGGCCAATATAAAGCTCTAGCAAAGATTATAGGTTACTACAGATCTTTTCTCGCAATCCGAGAGCGTACGATTTTTTTCGTACACTAGTCAGCAAAGGACTTTTTGATTGGAAAGACACCTCAAGAACCGCTTCTCCGTAGAGCACAAGACGTGCATAACACTATCTTCTCTCGATCACTGCAAGTCATGTCTATAACACTACGGCGTGATATCTATAATCTAAGTGCTCCCGGGATCTCTATCGACCAAGTAGAGCCGCCTGATCCTGATCCTCTTGCTGCTATAAGGTACTCTTGTCTTTACTGGGTCGATTATTTACTCGGAAGTCGAATTATAAAAGATTCAACTAAGAACCTCGAGGCTAGTAGCTCGGTCTACAGATTCCTCCACCAGTACTTCTTGTATTGGCTTAAGGCGCTAAGCCTATTGAAAAGCGTGTCAGAAGGCGTAGTTATGATTCGGAAGCTCGAGAATCTTTAGGTACGTCTTTTGTATAATCTCATCGTTTTCGGATTATCCTAATATAAACAAGTTTGATAAAAGTCCTGATTTACGTGCGTTTATACAAGATGCAACGCGGTTTGCCATATCCACCCGATCAGTTATTGAACAGGCGCCTCTTCAAGTATATTGTTCGACTCTTGTGTTTGCTCCAGAGAAGAGTATTATTCGAGAAACGTTCGAGACATATGTTCCGCATTGGATCCTGAGAAAGCCTAGGGTAGAAGCACATTGGAGTGCGACGCTTCAAACACTCGAGGGCCATTCTGACGGGGTCTGGTCAGTGGCCTTCTCTCCCGACGGCAAGCAGGTCGTGTCGGGGTCTCACGACCAGACAGTGCGGCTCTGGGACGCTACGACAGGCGCCTTGCAACAGACACTCGAGGGCCATTCTGACGGGGTCATGTCAGTGGCCTTCTCTCCCGACGGCAAGCAGGTCGTGTCGGGGTCTGTCGACGAGACAGTGCGGCTCTGGGACGCTACGACAGGCGCCTTGCAACAGACGCTCGAGGGCCATTCTAGCGAGGTCAGGTCAGTGGCCTTCTCTCCCGACGGCAAGCAGGTCGTGTCGGGGTCTGGCGACAAGACAGTGCGGCTCTGGGACGCTACGACAGGCGCCTTGCAACAGACGCTCGAGGGCCATTCTAACGAGGTCAGGTCAGTGGCCTTCTCTCCCGACGGCAAGCAGGTCGTGTCGGGGTCTCGCGACAAGACAGTGCGGCTCTGGGACGCTACGACAGGCGCCTTGCAACAGACGCTCGAGGGCCATTCTGACGAGGTCATATCAGTGGCCTTCTCTCCCGACGGCAAGCAGGTCGTGTCGGGGTCTCGCGACAAGACAGTGCGGCTCTGGGACGCTACGACAGGCGCCTTGCAACAGACGCTCGAGGGCCATTCTAGCTGGGTCAGGTCAGTGGCCTTCTCTCCCGACGGCAAACACATTCCGACTTTACATGTATCTGGTGAATGGCTAGTAGAAGGTACTGCTAGGTATCTCTGGCTACCTACTAATTATCGACCTACTTGTGAAGCTGTATGGGGCAGGATTGTGGTTTTAGGGCATTCGTCAGGGAGATTATCATTTCTTCAGATTCAAGAAGGGCTACACCTACTGATATGAAAAGTGGGATGGTACTTCTTAATGGATAGTATAGAAAGCTCTTAATATAATCTTTTTCTTCTTTTATCTCTATTCCATAGAGGGTCCTAGGGGAATTCAAGACTTTATAGTAATTTGATAATTATCAGTCGCTTCTAGAATCTTCTAGAACGAGCTGACATGGTTATGTAAGTTAACTTTCTACTTCGTAAGTTACTGTACTTCGTAAGTTACTGTACTTCGTAAGTTACTGTACTTCGTACCAAAGCTTAGCAGGAAATGCGGGGTCAATTCCTGCTAGACGAGAATGGTTAGTTCTATCGATCAGAAGTACCGAACCGCATGGCGGCCCTGCAACTGTTTGCGCACCACTGCAGTCATAAAGCTTATAGGGGTCTCGGATGAAAAACTATAGATCTGAAAGCCTAGGTAGAACTTTTAAGATATGCAAGGGATAACAAGAGCTCGCCAGTAAAGCTGTGGTAGAGGTCTCGTACTGAAGCCTAAATGGAGGCTTCTTATAGATCAGACGAAAAGGCGACGATGCGAATATGAAATTTTCTTCCGATGGTCTCAAATTGCTAATAAATAGCTATATAATACCTCTGATCCTTTTTTTTTATGGAGTCATAAGTTGGTGTGGAGCTGAGAATACTTAAATTCAAAGTATCTCTCATTTTTCTCGGCACGTAGGGTTTCTCGGCACGCAGGGAGGGACGTTACTCTGAATAGATGGGACATTAAAGAGCAAAAGAGAAAGCCAAGAGTGGTGTTAAGTCATTTGGTAGAATGAAGATCGAACCGGAAGGGTCCAACCTTGGTCTTATTAATGCTTCCCTGTCATTATTGCTAGCATCTGCTATAAAGTCCTACACTTGCGGAGTCATTTTTCCGGGGATGATATAAAGACGAAATATGCTAGTCACGATCCTTTACCTCAGCGCCCTACAACTTCTCGCTACCTTGTCAAACTTCCTCTCAAAGTCCGACCTCCTCTCGAAGTCCAAAACATGCTCTGTAGTCTCTCTCTCTCATTCCATCCTTCATCACCAAACTCTGTGGACATCTTTCGCGCCAAATTCACAGCTCACTCCACTGATATGTACCTAGGTATCTACATCAAGCTTGTCCTTCCGCCAACCTCTCTCGCCCCCTCTCCACTTTTCATCTCCCCATTCCTCCCAACTACGAACTCACGGTAGATTGCTTCCAGTCGGCTCCGCTCCTGTGCACTGATACTAGCACGAGTACTCTTCAAGCTGCTTTCCACATGCTTCCACTCAATCGTGACTTCCTGTTGCTCCTTCTCTTCTTTCACTCCCTTGTTCTCATCTCCATTTTGACCTCTCTGAGCAAGTTTTGCTCGCTTCTTGGCAGCTTTGATTTCTGCTAACTTCAAACTGATCGCTGCTCGTTCAGCAAGAAGCTTGGACTTGTTGTTCCCAGACTTTGCTCGTGCTTCGACTTCTAGACGATTCTCATCCTCGCCGTAGCGAAACTGGATGAAGTTTCTCGTTCCAGATGAAGAAGTAGTGCCATTTGTGCGTTTGGCACCGCCAATCTCGGCATCATGGTCACCAAGGACGTCGTGAATTGCTTCAAGATGGGCATTATAAACAAGAGCTTGGAGATCGGCGCCAGAATATCCTTCTGTTCTGTCCGCGATTTCATCTAGATTCTCGAGTACTTCGTCGCTGAGTTTCAATTTCTTCCCCAGCGCACTGAGAATGTCAACCCTGTCCTCTCTATCTGGGAGATCACAAATCAAAGACTTGTCGAGACGTCCAGGACGAAGAAGGGCGGGATCAATAAGGTCTGGTCGTGATGTCGCTGCGAGAACATAGACGCCGGACAACCCCTCAGCACCATCCATTTGTGTGAGAAGCTGGTTCACTACGCGATCCGTGACACCTGTAGAGTCATGACCACGCTTAGGTGCTATGGAATCGAATTCGTCGAAGAACAGAACGCATGGTCTTGCGGCTTCGGCTCGCTCGAACAAGTCTCTGACGGACTTCTCGGAGGCTCCGATATACTTGTTCAGGATCTCAGGACCTTTGACAGAAATGAAATTCAGACCACATTCTCCGGCTACTGCAGAGGCGAGCAATGTTTTTCCGCATCCAGGATAGCCATAGAGTAGCAGACCTGAACGAAGACGTAGCGGGCATTGAGCAAATATAGGTGCGTAAGTCGTAGGATATTGGAGAGTTTCTAGAAGAATTTTCCGAGTAGCGTGCAGACCTCCGATGGAGGCAAATGTGGTTGTGCTGGTTTGTAGAGTTACATTACGCAAAGAGGCAGGCGTGAAACCTTTCAGTGCACTGGTAAAATCTTCACGGCTGAGTTGAACAATGCCGGAGTCTTGTCCTTTGGGCGACTCTGATACAGAGCGTATTAGAGCTTCACTCCTTGCTCGAGCTACCAACAGGACAAGATCTCCAGGCATATACCCGTCAGTCTCACCAGCCAAATCTAGAAAATCGAGATCAGGTGAAACGATGAAACCATCGGTTTTGTTGGCTGATGCAAGGGGACTTGTAGCGCTTGAACTGTCCATCCATGCCCCTTCTTCCTCTCCAGCGCTCCCGTCTGCGGTCGTGGGTCGGCTACTGGTCGGGCTCCTGAGGTCACCATGGTCGTGTTCGGCGACGTTCTCCTTCACAACCATCTCCATGGCTCTTCTCCGGCCTTCTTTGTTGGGTGCCTTGAGACTGACTATCTCACGAACAACATGACCGCCCACAATGACATTGTGCAACGACTCTTTGGCTTGCGCAGTTGCGAGTAAGACGACGCCACTGTCTCGACTACAGTATTGTCGAACTATAGCAGAGACACCCTCGCTGATCTGCCGACTACGTCCATTCTCACTGCCCACTTCGAGTTCTGTCTCAACTGGACAGAGCTTATCCAAATCATCCAATATCACTAGAGATTTGCCACCAAGTCTTGCACCCCATGAAGCGGACATGAAGACTCGACTAAACGTCTCTTTGATGGTTGAAACGCGAGTCTCGTCTGTGATTAACTTCCGGCAAGAAAAATAGGTGGTGTGGAAGAGTGTCTGTGACCGTAGACGATGAGCAAGAAGGTGCGTAACTGACGTTTTACCAGAGCCCAGCGCACCAGTAAGTAAGACGGATGATAAGTGCGAGAGATGCGATTGCAATTGGTCGATGAGACTGTCGATGCCGACAAGACTGGGGGCCTCGATTGGTATTGGATCGCCAACAGCATTGGTCTTTGACATCGATGACGGTCGAGAGACTGCAGTTTGAACCTCAATTGTGAACTTTCTCTCAGAGCCTAAAAACCAATTGCAGGTCGGCTTGCCAGGCTCCACGGGTGTAGAATCAAATTTGATGATTCCGCCATCCCAGCCAGCAGTTTGCTCACTACTCCTGGGCAGTCCTAGAACAAGACCATCGGTGATAGGTCCATCGAGGACTCCTTCGCTAGAGCTCTGCTTTCCATACATTTTTGCAATGCGTTTGCCAGCTTCTTCTCTTTCAGACTTGGACTCTCCACCAAATTTGAGACCCTCTTTAGCCTTTCCAGTGCTAAGCGCGAAAGGGTAGACCTTGATAATTTGAGAGTTAGCTTTGGAGGTAGGCTGAGAAGCAGAATCCTTTGAGGTCGGTGGAGCAGCTTTTGACATTTGTTGCGGAGCTGGTTCCAGCTTAACTACACCCCCAACAATTCCTTCACATGTCATTGCAGCACAAAGCGCTGATGATAATGCGATGTGGTGGCTATCGGGTGGGTCATCCCACGCTACTAGTCTTGCGACAACTTTGGGAGCAATTTTGCCAGCTTCTCCTAAACTTTCAACCTCCTGTTGTTGTTTCTGTGGATCCACCGGAGCCTGTAAACTGGCAGGTTTGACGACTGCAACAGAGACCCAGTTTACTCCTTTTAAAGATTTCGATAGCAAAATATCTCGGTCTACCCAGACTTTTAGACCTTGATCCTTTGCATCTCTATTGTCTTCAAACCATTCCCCGCAAAGGCTTCGATCGAGACCTCTGAAAAACATAGCTGGACGAGAGTCTTCTCTACCACTCCTTCGTCGGACCGTACTAGCACCACTTCTTCCTCCAGCACTCTTCCTTGAAGACACGCTACGATTCTCTCCTGATGCCCGTGACGGTTTGGTTCTTGTTTTAGGAGCCACGATGACTTCGGCATCTTGAGCGATCTTAGCAAAAGGGGATGTGGCGGGTGGTTCAGGAACAAGAGACGTAATAACAATATTCGCAGTCGAAGTTGGTGAGAGATGTATTGTTATTGGATGAGGTGCTGGTTTGGGCCCGCTGGAAGGCGTATAGTTCGGGTTGGGCAAAGCTCGAATCTGATTCATCAAGTTGAGTTCTAGAAACGTGGCATGCAATTCAATGATCTCCCAATCTTCGGCTGTCAAAGGTTCAATATTGATTGTATGTGCCAATGGGAAATCTGTATGTATGCTTGCTGTAACTTTCTGGCCGTCTGAAAGACCAAGTGTCCGCGCAAATGTCGCATCAATCTCCACCAAAGGAACTTCTTGCTCTCGGCCAGATGTATTCCCTCTGACACCACTTATGCCATCTCTACCAACTACAGGTGCAAGCTTTCGTTTGCTCTGCATCCCCGTCCACCCCACGTAAACGGATCTCGTCGTTGGCGCATTGCCGGTTGTATTTGTGCTCGAAGGAGGGAGTCGATGACTGAGTTCTATAACAACATTCTGTGCTACCTGGAAGATGTTTAGTATGCATTGTGACTTGACAAAGCTTATACGTACGGTATTGGCGTTCACAAGCAATGAGGATAGAGATGGTGGGAGATTGACGAGGCAGTTCTTGAGATGAATAAGAGATAATTCCGCCGATGTCACTTGACTACCCCTTCTCCTTGAGTCTGGTGCCATTGCTGGGCCAATATTGTATTTGTAAAAAGATAGTGCAGTTGGAAGAGAAATACTCTGCAGCAGCTCTTCCAGTCAACCTCAGTCTGGCCGAGGTCCGACGACGCTGTGGCTGTGCAGCTCATCTTCAGCCACAACACGAAAAGTCGCGTGGATTTCAATTTCGCGTCACAGCGCGTACTGTACCATACTTAGAACATCTCCATTTTAACATCCCGCCATCCATCCGTCAACTTTGCGACAACCAGCCTCCTCAGAACCAGCAACCTTCTACCTCGTCGGCGCAAATACCCTCGATTGCAGAGGACTTGGTAATCATCCTGAACCAATTTCTTCTCGAAGTCCTTAAACTCCATCCTTTTACTATTATTCAGGGGCTTGCGCAATGGCGCTTCTTCAATTCAGAGCGCCTGTCAACTATGACGACCATCAAGGTATGTCAAGCTCTGAATGTTCGATTGGAAGTCGTACTGAACAACCACAGAGGCCTTGGAGGATTTCCTCCAGTTGTTCAAGACTTCTCCAAAATCCGAACTCGCCCACGCACTCGGTGATATGAATATCGACGAGGATGATTTCAGCGACGAGTACGACTTCATGGATGATGAAGATGACGATGGTCATAATACTCGAAGACAAGCGCGGACGCAGGCTAAGACACCCAAACTGAAATACATGGATGTCCTGCAAAAAGTGGCAGATGGATATGAGGACGAGATTACGATTGATCTGGATGATCTAGCAAAGGTAGTGCCGAAGACATGAAAGCAAGAATAGAGCTGACATCGATACCGCAGTACGATCAATCGTTAGAAGAGAATGGCACCCCCTTGAATCTGGTCGCGTCCATCGAGACAAATGCTAAGCACTATCTCGACATTATGGCTAAAGCTGTGGACAAGGTTATGCCCGATGCAACAAGAGAGATCAAGTATGTGAAGCTTTACAGTAGAAGAACACGAGCTGATGAATACCTAGCTATAAAGACGATGTACTGGATGTGCTAATGGCCCAACGTACTGCTCGCAACAATGCACTCGTCAGAGCTGCCGCCGATTCCACAGAAGCACCCGAGCCAGAACTCTTCCCAGCTGAATTGACCCGCCGATATACCTTGAACTTTAAACCACGGACACAAGGCGATGAGCCACTGAAGGCTTTGGCAGTACGCCAAGTGAAGGGCGAGCACCTGGGACATTTGATCACTGTTCGGGGAATCACAACCAGAGTTTCGGATGTCAAGCCAACAGTCGAGGTCAATGCATACACATGTGATCGTTGCGGTTGTGAAATCTTCCAACCTGTAGGCACCAAGACTTTTGGACCTCTAATCGAGTGTCCCTCACAAGATTGCAAAACCAATCAGACGAAAGGCCAACTCCATCACTCTACCCGTGCCTCAAAATTCCAACCTTTTCAAGAAGTTAAGATTCAAGAGATGGCCGAACAAGTTCCTGTTGGCCATATTCCTCGAATGTTGACCATTTTGTGTCACGGTGCTTTGGTGCGACGGATCAACCCTGGAGATGTTGTGGATATCGCCGGTATCTTCTTACCTACCCCCTACACAGGTTTCAAGGCCATCAGAGCTGGTCTTCTCACAGACACATACCTCGAAGCGCAGCACGTCACCCAGCACAAGAAGGCCTATGAGGATTTGGCCATCGACAACCGAGTTTTCAAGCGGATCGAACAATACCGAGCTTCGGGTCATATTTATGAGTATCTGGCGAAGTCAATTGCTCCTGAAATTTATGGCCATTTGGATGTCAAAAAGGCTCTCCTGCTCTTGCTCGTAGGTGGTGTGACAAAAGAAGTTGGAGACGGCATGAAGATTCGAGGAGACATCAATATCTGTTTGATGGGTGACCCTGGTGTGGCCAAATCTCAGTTGCTCAAGTACATTACGAAAGTCGCTCCACGAGGTGTTTATACAACTGGTCGAGGATCCAGTGGTGTCGGTCTTACAGCTGCTGTTATGAAGGATCCTGTTACCGACGAAATGATACTGGAAGGTGGTGCTTTGGTTTTAGCAGACAACGGTATCTGCTGTATCGATGAATTTGACAAGATGGACGATAGTGATCGCACAGCAATCCACGAAGTTATGGAACAGCAGACCATTTCAATCTCTAAAGCGGGAATTTCGACTACACTCAATGCACGAACTTCCATTCTTGCAGCCGCCAATCCTCTGTATGGTCGATACAATCCTCGAATCTCACCTGTGGAGAACATCAATCTTCCAGCAGCACTACTGTCCCGTTTCGATGTATTGTTCCTTATCCTCGACACTCCTACCAGAGACACAGATGCTATGCTAGCTCGTCACGTAACCTACGTTCATATGAACAACAAGCACCCGGATTCTGAAGGTGTTGTTTTCAGTCCTCACGAAGTCCGCCAGTATGTCGCTCAAGCACGAACTTTTAGACCTACTGTTCCTACCGCAGTCAGCGAATTCATGGTTAAAGCTTATGTCAAGATGCGAGATCAGCAAAGCCGAGACGAAAAGAACAAGAAACAATTCACACACACGTCTCCTCGCACTCTTCTTGGTATAGTACGTCTGGCACAAGCTCTCGCCCGTCTACGTTTCAGTGAAGAAGTCGTGCAGGACGATGTTGACGAGGCACTGCGATTGATTGAGGCCAGCAAGGAGTCCTTGTACCAGGACCAGGGCGGATTTGGCAGAGATATGAGCCCTAGCTCTAGAATTTACAACTTGGTCCGCACTCTTGCCGAGAGCGGCCAATGCAAGCCTGAAGACGCGGACGACGAAGATGACGAGGGCATGGAATTGAGCATGAAAAAGGTAGAGGAAAGAGTCATTGCTAAAGGCTTCACAAGAGATCAGTGGCAGACTGCCGTCTTGGAGTATACCAACTTGGATGTAAGTTTATTCCTAATGGTACTTATGGTACACATGCTGACCGAAATACAGATTTGGCAAACTGCTGGCAACGGCACTCGTCTGATATTCATTATTTCAGACGCAGCACAGATGGCGCGTGATGCAGAATATGACATGGACTAGAGTGTTTCTAGGGGCAGAAGGGGAATGTTAGGGATTGTGGGAGGGAGACTCGGTTATGATGTTATTTTGGCTGCAAGAATATGTCATTTGAGGCGTTCAGAGGGTCGTTTGTCCATTTGATGTTCAAAATCAGTATCAGATGGCGTTCTGAGCTTGTGGATACCGACATGTCAAAGTAGGAGAGATTGATTGAATGCTACTACTATTTTCACTGCAGCTTGGCAGCGACATGCTTGTTGCCCTGGTCAAAGTCGAGATGAAGTTCGGAGATTACTCCCAAAACTTTCAAGATCCGAAAACTCGCCTAAAACATGAGCAAAAAAAGTATAAAAAAGCTCCAAACAAAATAGAAATCAAAAACAAAACATCAACAACTCGCGCTCACCGTCGGAGACGATCGGGAGCTGCGAGCTGTTGGTGCCCAAGCGCAAAGCATTGTTGTTGTATCAACCATACGGCCAGCCGAGTGGTTAATGGTAGAAGATTTGGTTATTGGAATCTATATATGTGGTTAGCGAGTTAGCCAGAAAAGACAGAAGGCTACGCTAGTATATGAATAGTGGTATCGATAAGAAGAAGGCAGAGGGTTGGTGGTGTGTTGAAAGTTATTATTTTCTCGTGTTGAATTGAGCATGGACACACTTGACTTTCGATCTAGGGATAGAGCCTCCAGCGTTCGAGAAAAACCGAAGTGATTTCGGTCAGTATCTTACATTGCCTCCCTAACACCACCTATCCTCCCCAATGGGAGGTGAAAAGTCTGTCCTATATTAATCCCTCCAGCAAACCACACACGTATCTTTCGTGGTTGGATTCTGTGAATCTATTGATTGTTAGCTATGGGTGTGGTAAAGTGGTTGTCACTTACTAAGCCCTCTCTGAGATTTGGCATATGTAGATCAACAGCCAGCATCATTGAGCTGTGAGGCAGAGTGTTTGTACCGATGACCTTCAACCCACGTGCAGGGGTTTGTTCTAGAACTGCCAAAGATCAAGGAGTTCTCCAATTTCCGCACTTACTTGGACATTCAGTTCGTTTAATGTTCTTTACTTGAAGCAATTACTGGAGATTTGAGGTCAACTCATCAAAGCTGACCATGTGACGCGGTGTACTCGCTTCCATGCCCGCATCTTCGTTCTGCCTTTCATCCTTCCACCTTCAACCTTCTTGAACACGACCGCATGGTGAATCTTCCAGATTTGTGACATCAGACGAGAAGACGAGAAGACAGGCTTCACTCGCCGAGATTCTCGTTTCCAAGTTCAAGGTTGTAAAGGTTTCACGCCTGCGATTTCTCAGCCCATCTTTAAGCCTGAAATCTCGATTCTCGTGCAGCTCTACATTGAGATACGAGAAGGCCCATTCACCTAGATTCTGAATCCAGTCAAAAAGGAACGCGGTCGATGCACAGCCTGACGCACCACCAACGCGTCGAAACAAGCAAAAATCCCACGATGGCGCCCAAAGTATCACAACAGCGATCTTCCCAAGGCGCGTCCCAGAACACCAAGTTGAAGAATGCATTCAAGAAGCTTTGCGGCAACATATCCAAAGAGAAGAAGGAAGGAGATACCATTAAGTATGTTCGGGCTTCCCCTTTTGTGGCCTTGACTGACACGAATCTAAGAGCAGCAGCTTCAGTCTCCGAGCTGAACGAGGCACTGCGAAACTGCCGCAAGCATGGCATGATTATTGATGCGTCGTGCATCGACGGACTTGTTGAAGCACTAGAAGACGATGAAGGTGATGTGTGCAGCAGTATAGAACCTCCTCTCTTCAAGGTCATCGTACAGGCGGTGTTGCAAGCAAATCATTGCTTGGAAGGAGAACGCGTGATTTATCTACTTGCTGTGAGTTACCACGTCGAGCATCATGTCTGTACCAAGCTAACATACCTAGTCTTCCCTACTTCGTGACACTGTTGAAGCAAATGGCGAAGCTGCACATGCGACAGTCTCTTCAAGAAAAGCTACAATCGGCAAGGATTGTTTGCTCCCAATCCTCGAGTATTTCCTCAATAGAAATAAACCTGCGGAATTCCGACGATGGGTAAGGGTAAACGACTATACACGCAAGATCATAGCTGATTTCTAGTTCAGGTGGGCATAACCTGCGTTCAGTTAGTCCGAGACTGCGAAGACAATGTGTACAAGCTCGAACTCAGCGGCGAAGACTTGAGGTGAGAAGACAAAAGCTACTGGCAAACATGGGTACTGACGAAATTAAAGACGCAGTATCGGACAACTTATCCTTGAAGAGCCTAACGAGATTATCAGACTCATATGTGCTGAGATTATCAAGACTCTCAGCAACGCAGGAATTGATCTACAAGCCTTGTGGCCCCACGGTACAAGAAAGTTGATATACGAACAATTTCCCATGCAGTCCCAAGGGAGCCATGGTTGGGGAGCGCTTTTTCAGAAATACATTGATTACTTGATCGATAAGAAAGAGGCCAACTTCGAAAGGTGGGCACCTGGTACTTAGTTTGCGAGAGCTTCACTAACGGTTGCGTAGCATTGGAAATGTGATTCCGATAAGTAGCACATCGCTCGACCCTCCCCATGCATTCGGCGTTCCACACCAGAATATGGTCGCATTCTTGGACGACATAAAGATGTCAGTGATAGCTCCTTTACTACCAATCACCACTGGCCAGCTTCTTGACGTTCCGCTGGGACTTATGAAACGAGTGGGCATCAATACCGACAACCCATCTCAACGAGAATATGCAGACGTGATCTTTGAGCTCGCTAGCTCTGACAATATGGCATGTGGGCTAGATGGAAAATCTATCGAGTTACAGAGAATTATATGCAGTATCAAACTCGATCAGCTACAAGCTCTGGAGTCTGCGCTAGAAGACTGCTGCCCACACGTTAAGATTTTCGAGTTCGACGACTCTCGGAACATACATCCGATCAAGTCTGAAGCCAATATCACAGCTTCTCAGACTAGTCAGAGAAGTGGCATTTCTGAGATTATCTCCGAGGTGCCAAAAAGTGCTCTTCAGGGTTTGGACGGCTCAGCTTCAGTCGAGCTAGAGCAAGATCTAAATGGTTCTAGTCATGATGTGGAGCGGACAACTCATACGCCTGTCCAACGTGACGATTTGAATGGCGAGGCTGGTGAGGATGATTGCAGTCCAGTCCATGAACAACCCACACAAAAGCAGACTCAACCACATCGTGCCAAAAAGAAGGTTAAGCCTAAGGCCAAAGTACCGATTGTACCTAGCAGCCGCCAAAACGATGTCAAGACGGTGCCTCCCCAATTGGCTAAGCCTGCGTCAGCCATTGGAACAAAGGACATGGGCAAACCTCAAGTCAAAAGCGGGAAGAGCTCTTCGCAACCGGCCAATACACAATCTCAAACCAAAGCCGTCGATAAGCCGAGCGCAACTCCTGCAGGGAATGTTGGGTCGCAATCAACAAAAGTGTCAAAGCTTTCCACGGCACGAGCAGTGGCAAAAAGGGACACCGGCACCAAAGATGTAAAGAGCTCCGCTCCTAGTAGTCTCCTGTCTAGTGCTCTGAAAGCAAAAGCTCAAGCTCGCAATGAACCTACAGACTCAGACGATATTACCACTCCTGAGCCCAATGATGCGTCGACGCCGAAGAGTATGCCTCCACCAGCGAAGCCGAGTAGCAAGAATGTTCAGGCGGCAGCTGTGAAAGGAGCAGATACATCCCAAGCTCAAGCCAAGAAGAGATTCAACCGCCACGGTGTGAAATCCTTGACACCACAGCAGAGCAGAAGCAATGACACAGTCTTTGATGTGCCTGACGATGATGACGACGAAGAGGAAGAGTCTGGAGCCACTGCTAAGGCTAGTTCCAAGAAGAAGAGCACCAAAGGTAAACAGCCATCGAAGAGTACGAATACCGCAAACACCACGGCAAAGCTAGCTGGAAGCAAGACAAAGGCCAGTAGAAAGTCTGCTCCAGCTGCTACTCAACAACCAAAAGCATCTACAAGACACAGTCAACGTGCTGCAGCAACAAAGTCGAAGAACAATCTACGTGACTTGAGCGACGAAGAAGATGTCGAGGAAATCAATCCAGACAAGAGCCCACAAGGTTCATGTCAGAAGACTAAGAAGGCAGCCATTGACAAGATGCAAAATTCCCAGGTTGTCCAAGGAGATATCAGAAAGGACGACGAGTCGAAGCCGAAGCCCTCATCCGAGCCAGAATTGAATGATAACGCCGATGCTGGTATCTCAGAAGCGGTGAAAGGCACAACTGGTCCGGTCGATGACGACCTTATGGGACTTGAAGATCTCGAGCTTCGCGACTTGGAGGACCAGTCTTCAGTTGTGAGCCTTAACTTTGCCGAACCTACGCATGTTATGGAGGATGACGACTTATACAATGCTACTCCTGAAAAGTCCCAGACCAAAGTCAACGAGGAGTCGATCGCGCCTGTCAAAGCAAGTACGTCAGAGGTGGCAGCTGCTGTTCCTGACAAGCGAGCAACTAGAAATTCCGGGATCGAAATGGCCTCAAAGCTCGACGATCTCTTCGAAACTCTTGATACTGGAGTCAACTCGACCAATGACGCAACTGTCGACTTCTCAATGAAAGTTCCAATGAAGTTAAATTCCTCTGCAGGGGACAAAAAATTGACGCAGAATAAAGGTCAGGTGTCAAATACGCACCAGCTTCACTCTATTGAAGCCGAGGAGCAGGCCAATAGAAAGCTGGTCGTAGAAGATGAAGATCTCAGGCCGCCCTCCATCAATATTCCCGAATTGTCGTTCCCCACTGCTCAAATGCGTCCACCAGTTGTCTCTCCGGCCAAATCCATTGAGCCGCGCAAGCCAGAGACACAAAAGGAGTTGCAAAAGGACAAACCCTTGGATGAACAAAGTTTGGCGGAAGCAGTTACTGCACCCCTCGATAGTTCTGGCAATGCAACTACTATGGAGGCAAAGAGCCCAATCCATAACGAGCAACGTCCAACCTCGCCAGTTCAAGCTTCGGACAAGGTCAAGCAGGGGAATAAGAAGCGTAAGGCTATGGCTGAAGAAGAGACTGAATCATCCAAGCGACGCAAGTCCACCAATGACGAAGAAGCAAACAACAAGGACGATCTTCAAGATATGGCCGCCCAAGGTCCGCAGACGACGAAGCATCAGACCTTACAGAAGCCGAGCACATCTGTAAACCAGTCTCCATCTCCTGTTCGACGTAGTACTCGGTTTGAAAAGGCTAACGATAATGCTGAGACCTTAAAAGACACCGAAAAGGAAAAGCTCTTAGTAGATGACAAGGCCCACCGAAAGTCTACCATCATCTCTTTCGGCACACAAGGACCGCGAAACCAGGGCCGTGTAAGTGCTCGCAAGACTGCCGTTGAAAAGCCTGCGAGGAAGAGCCAGCCATCAGAGCCAACACCCCAGAATTTCAGCACAGACTCTGGTCGGAAGAGAAAGCGAGAGCAGACAAACTTTGCCGACAATGCAAGTCCTCCCTCAAAGCGTCAAGAAAGCAGTCCATTGCAATATGTTGATGACGAAGTTGGCGCATTTGAGGAAGCTGAGGAACCGGAGCAGGTTGAGGAGGTGGAGGCAGTCGAGCCGGTAGAGGAAGTCCAGGAAGCTGAGGAAGTCGAACACATCATCATCAATAGTACCCCAGTCCCAACCCCGAAAGGCACCTCAATGCCAAGTAGACCAAAACATGCTTCAAGACCAAGCTCACAGGTCTCCCGAGTCGACGTCAATGGTAGTCCAATAGGCCCGGCGAATTCTCAGGTCGATTACATGGGCAAGCTGGAGCAGAGACTTTCCCAAGACAAGACCGTTAACGATGCGCCTGCTGAGAAGGAACAGAATACTGCTGAAGAAATTATGGCAGCCCAAACTCGCCCTCGATCTATCTCACAGGTGTTCGGACCAAGAGTCACCTTGGGTTCGAGACTTAAGGCCCAGCCGTCATCGCCTGAAGCAGTGACAACTCGTTACGTCGCACATGAAAAGTCTGATGAAGGCCAATACACGGATGTTGCCAGCAAAGAAGTTATTGCCCAAGAGAAGATCCTCCCAAATCCCTTTGCTGACAAGAAGCGAAAATCGAGCAACTTCACGGAACGTCTACTTGCCAGTGCTGTCAAGGAAAGCCGAAAGCCCAGCGCAGAGGTCATCGATAATGTTCCTCGAATGATTCGTAACATTGCTAAGAAGGAAATTCAATACGAGCTACCCAAGTTGCCCCGCGGCGAACCCAAGAGAGCTCATTTCCAAGAAGACATGAATCATCGTTCTGACCAGAGGAGTCGCCAATCTGGTTTTGATCCAGAACAAACTCTAGTCGAACCAAAGCATCGCCATGTCAACAATTTGTCCGAGCCTGACGTGACGAATGGTAGCTCTTACCAGTCCGAAACCAGCGACTCTTCCAGGGAGCCTCTGAGCGACATACCAACACCTAATACACAATGGAACGTGGCTCTGAGACCTCACTACAGATCCCTTGCCGATGCAGTCCACAGAATTGCTGATGTAAGTTTGATTCCATCTTTACTACCAACACTAACCCTCGTATAGGAAGTTATCATTCGCCTCAGTGATGAGGAAGATCGGATGGAACTCATGGTGGAGCAATATCGCCAAAATGGCACCAAAATCATTGACAGCCTCACGAATAAGCGTACTGGAGAGCAGACCACTATCCTACAAGATCTAGAGGCCAAGAAGCAGGAAATGACATCTGCCTACAAAGACGCAAAGGGTCTCCTTCGACAGACGACCGATGAAATCAAGGAAAACCAAGTCAATCCCTTCGAGAAGGCCTGGCGTAAGCAGCAAGACGAAGTTCGAAAGTTGATCTCTGAAGGTCGCAAGGCCACAGAATAAGTCGTGAATGGAAGGAAATGTGTGATTAGGAAAACGTGGCCGATTAAGGGTGGCTCATCAGTGGCTTGCATGGCAATGGCAGGTTTGTGAATGGTATCTAGGTAATCAACCGGTATTGCTACCAGATGTATGGGATCCAAAAGGTGGCCAGAAGTCGCTGTGTATGATGAGGAGTACTGATTTATGGTGGAGCTAGGAAGTGCTATTTGGCGGGTATGTACAATTACAGTAGAGGGCTGAGCAGTGTCTGAATGCAAAGAGCTACACTTGACAATTCAAGAGGAGAAGGAGATACGTGAAGGTCGTGAGACATCATTCTAACCTCACTGGGCGAAGCGAGCAGGTCCCGGCCCGCACTAGGATGACGTCCCAGAGATGCCGAAGTCCAAAGCCAACTTCCCCACCACCTCAACCTTGCTCGAGATCGTCCTCGTCGTCGTAGACAACACCAGCCACCCTCGCCGCCAAATCATTGAGTGAATAACGTTACCCTGCGATTTCGTACTATTCGCAAGCATTCGTATATAGCACCGCTTCCCGTCAAGGCATCCTTCGGCATATTTGCAAACACCATTCAGCCTCACCCCACCTCCTCTGACGCCTTGCTGCAGGCAAAAAGAAAACGGAAATATGGGGCGCGATGGTTTCCATCCATTCAAGGGGAGAGTCAGCAGACACTTTGGAGATTCTGTACGTCTGCCATCTCCTTCCTTTTGAACATGCCGTCCGAGGAGAAATCGGTGGTGGAGACCATGATTTTCAAGACAAGGCAGTGGCTAACAAAACGTGTTGGACGAGAACAGCTGGCTCCCGATGATGCATATCTCAGTTGTAAGTGAGCTCTGGATCTGCGACAAGGCTGAGACTGATCATTGACTAGACTACGATATACGGTGTAAGTCAGGACCTGACAATGCGAATGCGGGGAAGTTGGACTGATAGCTGGGAATAGTGATGAAGGAGGATGTCGATACTCTGAAAAATGACTGGCTGACTGATAATGTACGTCTGGATCTCTATCTGATGTGTCGCATACTAATCTGCGTTCTCTTGACAGACAATCGCATTCTGGGAAGAGTGAGCAAGCCTGAACCCACGATCTCCGAAGATACCCCTCACTGACAATGTAGATATCTCGAGCGCGAAGAACTCAAGAAATACCCATCCTCACATATCGTCCTTCTCCGACCCTCTATGGCATTCATGCTCATGCAAACACCTAATCCCTTATCACTGAAAGAAGCGCTCCCGGATTTCTCGAGAACAACCCACATCTTCCTCCCAATCAATGACGCGCGCAACGTCTCCGTCGCAGAAGGCGGCTCGCATTGGTCTCTTCTTCTCGTTTCCGTAATTGATGGTGTGGCATTTCACTACGATTCCTTGACACCAAGTAATTACAATGAGGCATTCCTTGCGACGGATAAGTTGGGACAATTATTGGGCCGACCGCTACGATTCATGAATCTGGATGATAGCCCACAGCAGGAGAACAGCAGTGATTGCGGTGTCTATGTCTGCATACAAATGCGACATCTACTCCTAAAACGTCTGCTGTCTGCGAACGCAAAGGAGAAGGTCAGCATGAGCATGGGCGGGAAGCTGGTCGATGCAAACGGAGGGCGGAAGGAAATGCTGAAGACAATTGAGGGATTTAGGAAAGAGGGCGAGCGGCGGAGATCGTAAGTTTCGCACATTCTCCGTTTGCAAAGTAAGGTCAAGACTAACAGACATTTAGACATGAAGAATCTCGGTCCTCATCACCGTTCATGAAAGGCAAGACGGATTCGCGAAGCCCGCCACGAATCGACTCATAACCATACGGGAACCGAACATTGTTACCCCATTACAATATGGATTTTTGGATACAGTACAGATATGAAAATAAGAACTATGAACACGAGAACAGCGAGGGCGCAAGGCGGAGTACTGTTTCTTTTTGTCTTTATGTGGAGAAGATCCTCTGATAAGGGTTGGATTGTATTCGCACTTGTCGTCTTGAATACCGAATCCTGCTCATGTGTGTAACAAGACGTTGGGGTTTTTGGAGCTTGGGAAGGAGCTTTCACGCTTCGGTTGGATCTACAGGATGATTGCAAAAATTCGGGGGCGGTGGAAGGATCTGGGGGACTTCATATAGTACTCATTGAATCGAAGAACGTCAGCTCGCATTTTGCGAGTCAATATTTGCTTTATACTGCTTTAGGTGATAATGTTACACATATGCTTGGCACGAAAAGCTTGGTCCATATATTGCCGAGGATATACCCTCTACGAGTCGGCACAAGCATCCAACAGCTTCTTATGGCTTTCCATTGCACCTTTGCAAAAGGCTCCCATTTCATACTGTTTCATACCACCCTTCCCATCTGGACCTCCATCAAAGACCTCAGTGCTAAACCAACACCTCGCCCCTGTCTGCAATACCGCCTTCGCAAATTCCACACATTGTGGCGTCAAGTAACCTCCATTAAATAGATATGGTCTGAAATCATGGCTCCATCTCCCTCTCGGCCGCAACCCATCCACAGTCTCATCTTTGAACGGCACGGGAGCTTTATAGACATCGCTGATTTGTAACAAGCAGACCTTCTCCGGAGGAACAGTCTTCGCGAGCTCGATGAGAGAATGCTTGAAATTCATTTCCAGCTTTTGCTGCAGACCTTTATTCTCGATGAGTCCGGAAGCTGAACAAGGGTCGCCATATTCGCCGGCACAAGTTTGAAAAGTATCGAGACAGAGACCGATATTAGGGCGGTTGACTTTTTGGACGATGGTCCAGATATTGAACCATGTCGGAGCTACGGTTGCCCAACACCAATTCTCGTAGGCGAGGCGGAAGGAGTGAGGAGCGAGGAGATCAGCGAGTTCGCGGAGGTCAGAGGCGAGGACATCGTGCGATGTAGAAATGTTGGGAGAGTCGGAAGATCCTACCTATTGTCTGTTAGCATGGTAGGACTTTGGGATAGCGCAAAGTTGGGTTGGCGAACTTGAAGCATATCTGTGCCCACTGCTTGCATGATCCTAATCCAGCCTTTTGCTCTTGAGAATGCATCGTCTCTCTCCTTTGATCCCAATGCCCAACCCTCGAAGTTTGAAAAAGGTTGAAGCATCATGATGCTCAGGTTGTGCTTCTTGCAGAGGTCTTTGACTACCGTCCCTGCTGAGCAAAGAGAGGTGTAGTCATTTTCTTCCACATCCTTCGTGTGATACTTCGAAGTAAAAGATAATAGGTCTGGAAACCCAAGTTCAATGGCTTGGAATCCCGCTGCCGATATTGCTTTGAGTTTGTCCTCTAGTGGATCCTCTGGGGTGCCTACCGACACCGTTGCGAAGGAGGTAGGGATCGACTCGAGTGAGGACCTTGGAATTGACATCTTGGATAGCTCTGGTATATTGAATACAATATACAGGAGCCCTCATCGAGGTTCAAAAGCTATTTTAATGGCTTTAATAGATGACGTATGCGGGGTTCATGGAGAAAGTTACACGTGATGGACATCATCGTGCTAAAGAGCTCTTGCTGATCATCTTGAAGAGACGTTAGATTATATATAAGAAAGACAAATTTCAACGTAGAGAAGGAAGATTAGAGGTACTCCTCTGCCGGGGAACCTTGCCCCCAATCTAAGGACTCTGTGCCCCGCCCACAAGCATTGGGAACAATAGAAGACGGTAGATCAAGCATCGCGAGTAGAGGTACATACCATGCAATAAAGTCTATGCTCAATTGCTTGCCTTCTCAAACGCCGGGTTCTTCTCCATATTGGTGTTCACCCACGCCCTCAATGCCGCAAATCTGTTCGACGTAGCATTCTGAACTGGAGCCGTAGCAGCATCACCCTCTACCTCCATGACTGCAGCAGGTACCGCATCAGGGACTTGCTCCTTGACACCCATGATCTGCGCCATATTCTTCCCAAATCTCTCCCTCTCCACACGCTCTAGCTTCTCCTTCCTCTTCAGAGCTCCAGGTTTACTCCTCAAACTCTTCATCTTGATCTTGCCCTCTCCGTTAATCTTCCCTTGTATCAAAGCTTCGACGTCCGGCAGAGCATCGGCGAGACCCTCCATAGTAGTCTTCAGCTTCTTGTTCGGTCGTCGACGCTTGAGGGGTTGTCTGTGGGCTTTTTCGATTCGGTTTACGAAGGCAGAGTGCTTGATCGTGCGCTTGTCTTTCTTGGAGTTTATGAAGCTGTCGGAGATTATGGCACCTTCTCGGTGAGCTGGAGGAGGGCGCGCGATCATGCCTGAGCCTGAATTGGAGGTTTTGCTGGTTTTGGTCCGGATGGAGGGGCGCTTTTTGGGTGCGGTGGGCGCCTGGAATAGTTGTTAGCTGTTTGCTCCTGTACATGAAGCATAAGAGTTGATCTACCATAATTGCGGATATCTAAAGACTTGTAGAGAATTGTATTCGGATTCTGTACGAAAAGTTGTGCGATGTGGGAAAAGTTTGGTTCTGGACGTCAAATCGAGGAAGGTCTAGCGAACAAAAATCACAAACTTATGAAGCGATTTGCACAACTCTTCCTGCATCACACCCAAAATTATGGATTCAGCCACGAAAACGGCAGAACGTCTACGCATACAGATAGCTGCTACTGAGGAGCAGCTTAAGAATCTGAAAGGTCAACTCGCAGATTTAGAAGCTCAGAGTTTAGGGAACTCCTTCCAAAATGTGTCAGTGCAAGAAGAGCTTGATCCCGTGACTCATGAGAAATGGCCCTTGGCTGCGGAGGATTACAAAAGATATGGAAGACAGATGATTGTTCCTAATATTGGAATACAAGGTTAGTGGTTCTTCTTATTCTTTTTGTCATTATGTCTAATCTTCGTACAGGACAGCTTCGCCTCAAGAATGCCTCTGTCCTCATAGTCGGAGCAGGAGGCTTAGGTTGCCCAGCGGCTGCATACATAGCTGGTGCAGGGGTCGGCACAATAGGTATCGTAGATGGAGATGAAGTCGAAACATCGAACCTACATCGCCAAATTCTACATAGCACTTCCAAAGTTGGCATGAAGAAAGTGGATAGTGCAATATTATACTTGAAATCGTACGCATTTCACTATCAAACCTCCTCTTTAACACGTTCTCACACTTTATAGCCTAAACCCAAATCTCAAATATAACGCTCATACTTCTCACCTTACACCAGAGAACAGTCAAGGCATAGTCTCTCAGTACGACCTTGTCCTCGACTGTACCGACCATCCCACATCTCGCTACCTTATCTCAGACATCTGCGTCCTCCTTCAGAAACCCCTGGTCTCCGCTTCCGCTTTGAGAACTGATGGCCAACTCATCGTACTGAACTCTCCTCCATTGCTAGCAGGTAATGAGGCAGGTGGACCTTGCTACAGATGCGTGTTCCCCAAGCCACCACCAGCCGAGAGCGTAGTGAGCTGTGGAGATGGCGGCATTCTTGGGCCTGTAGTTGGCGTAATGGGCGTATTGCAAGCGTTAGAAGCTACCAAGCTGATCGCTAGTGGCAAGTTAACGTCCAGTGGTAGTGAGGAGGCGAAGAAGGATGCTAGCATGTTGCTATTCTCGACAAATAGTAATCCGCCGTTCCGAAGCGTCAGATTGCGGTCAAGACGACCAAAATGCTTCGCGTGCTCGGCAGAAGCTGGACTGACGTTGGAAGGGCTGAGTAGCGGCAGTCTCGATTATGTGCTGTTTTGTGGAATCAATGTTCCAGTCAGTATTCTTGGGCGTGATGAGAGGATTGAGGCCAAGGAGTACGCGAAGCTCAAGACAGAGAATAGAACAGATCATCTCTTGGTTGATGTCAGAGAGAAGGTTCAATTCGATATCTGCAGTATCGAAGGATCGGTAAATGTTCCCTTCTCCAGCTTCCAGGGCAGTCGGTTCAAAGAAGGAGATGGAAAGCAGCCCACTTGGATACCACAATCATTACCACCGGATGCACCGATATATGTGGTGTGCAGACTTGGAAATGATTCCCAAGTTGTGACAAAAAGACTGAAGGAGTCTGGTCTAAACAAAAACGGAAGATATATAGGAGACATAAAAGGTGGTCTGAAATCATGGAAGGAGCAAGTAGATAGTTCATGGCCCGAATACTAGCCAATAAATTGTGCTGAAAAGGGGGGTTGTTTTTCATTTGTACTTTGTGTACGACCCACGCACTAATTGATACTACAAGGGAGAGGCTCTCGTAACGCCGATTTCCGCAGCATGATTAGCTGGCAATTCCATTCCATTCCGATGACATATAAAACAAGCACTTGGCTGTGCAGCAGCTCCCATTCATTTTGCTATTCCATGCAGGCCGTTATGATCTTAGTACTTGATGTACGTTGTTCGCTTTTTATTGAATGCTCGTTGGTCTTTCAACCATTGTCGATAGCCTGCTACGCTGGAAATTTTCTCGCCATAGTAATCTTGTTCTGTCAGCACTAACTCGTACCTTGGAGTGAAGATTGAACATACCAGGTACTGGGTTCGCCATACTACTAGCACTTGGGTCCACTCTGTACAGCTTGATCCGCCTGTAGAACTCTTTCTCCTTCTCGTCCATCTGACTTCTGAATTTTCGATTTCTCCAGTTAAAAACGCTTGTACCAACAATTGGTCCAGCTAACCAGCCAATTCCACCGCATGCAAATGTGATCAGGCCTAAGGTAATAAAAGGATCGAGCGGAATCTGTGAGACGACTGCATCCATGTCCGAGCGAGTGAGAACTTGAACACCAAGAGTGAAGCCGCCAATGCTTGTGCCAATGCTAGAGCCCAACTGCAACAGTCTTCGTGTCTTGCGGAGCTTGAAGAATGTATTCCAATCTAGCTTTTCTGAGGATACAGCTTGTGGTTCGGGAGAGGAAGTAGTTGGAGGCGGGGAGGGAATCGAGGAAGCATAGCGGACGATTGAAGGGGTAGACTTGAAAGCTACATTTCGTTTGGCAATAGGTACTCGTCGTCTCGAAGTTGTGGAACTTTCTTTTGACCGAAGAGGGGAAGGAGAAGTTGTCGTGCTATATGTGCAAGGCGTGAGGAGAGTTGGCTGCAATCGACAGCCTATAGCTGCAGTGCGGAGAGTAGGAGCTGCCCCCAACATGTTTGGACTTGACTGACTTCGACTATGGTGGAGTGATGATCCGGGGTTGTTTGACTCTTAGCTGGTCCAGGTATTGGAAATTCCGCGTGTCTGAGCGCTTAACGCGTCAATTTCATCCAATCAAATAAGTCTTCAACCTGCAATCTGAGTGAGAAGTCAAAGTGAGGTCATGCAGTTGTCTCCCTAGGTGCCCGAAGTAGAAGAAGTTATTAGGTACTTCTCTACAAGCTACTGAAGGATTTGTGGTTGTCAAGGTCTTTCCGACACATTCGACGCTAAACTGGATTTGTCCTAATGTTCCACGTTCACTAAGCTTCCAAAGCTGTATTTAATCATTTTTGAACTAGTAGCTTCGTGGTCACTCTTTACCGACTCTCCACATCTTCCAAACAATCCTTCTGGTAGCGCGTTATTCCAAGATTAAGAAGATTCAAGCTCGTCCACGTGACTGCGCAGTTGGTAAACTACCGGTCTCCGTATCTCTCAGTTCGTGTTTGAGGTCAAAGGTGAGTTCAGATTCACTTTCCTTTCATAAATTCACCCCGAAGATATGGGGCGGCCTCGCTCGCGATGGCCTCTCCCATCTTCAAACTTCCAACTTCATCAGAGGCCACCGAAATGTTGGAAAATAACGAAGCCATGGCACAACTCGGCAGCGTTGTGAAAAGCGAGACTGACAAGAGCTGGGAACTTATAGGATATACTGTTGCCGAAGCACAAGTACAGATTCGTTCCGCGGCTCCTTACACTCGTGGCTCTGGACCTCCTTCGGCGCCAATTGGAATCATGCCTCTCCACGATAAAGAGGGCATCATTTTCGATGTCACAAGGATGGACGGAAACATTGTCTACATCGTTGGTTTTCCGGACAAGCCAGCGCTTCGAATTGCTGTTCGAGTTCAGAATATCTATGACTTTGTCTCCCCGCGCACTCTCGAGTGGTTCGACATGGCACAGACAGTCGCTCTTAAGGAGAAGCGCGAAGCCAAAGCCAAGGATCGCGCAACTACCACACAACAACTAAACGACGAGTCACGTGTATCTGACGCTCCCAGAGGCAGAGGACGCCCAAGAAAGAGACCCCTAGTTGTGGAAGAAGAGAGTAACGACACTAAGGCCACGATTGAGCTCCCAAGAAAGAAACAAGCTGTGGAGGGCTCTGATGGAAGACCGGGATCGTCATCCAGTTCAGCCATTCAGCGTGGTCTCACAGAAGTCAGTTCGGAATCTGCTTTTGACGATGATGACACCGCTTTGGCAATTGCGCGGCAGCTACGTGGCACTCCACAGGTTGAAGTTCCTACTCAATCATTCAGTTCTCGATCTGTTTCCCCCAAACCTGTCAGGACATCTCGAAATCCCATCGCCAGAGTCAGCGCAAGCCAAACCAGCTCGAGGCAGACTCGGAGCGTTTCCGCTTCCACTACCTCCACTCGGCCTTCAATTGATCTTCAAGTTCAACACAAGAGCCAGAGCAGCGGCCCGCGTCGTGATTCTGTGGCTGCTATTTCCAGCATTGAAGCTGCGAACATATACGAAACCCTCGAAAAGAGCAAGGGCAAGGAGACTCGACCAAGCAGAAAGATGTCCGAGATACAAACCTCTAGTTTCTACAACACACCCGAACCAACCAAGATTCGGAAGAGTTCAGCCAAGCCGGCCCGCCCCAAGCCAGTAAAGCCAACCAAGCCAGCTGTGGAACCGGAAGAAGAGTACAACATCGATGATATCCTTGGCCACAAGTTCGAGTACGAGAAGAAGAAGAAGAGAACGACCAAGTTCTACTACATCAAGTGGAGTGGTGATTATGAGAATTCCTGGGAGCCTGAAAGAAATGTTGGTCTTGCGGCCATCGAACAGTATAAGCAGAAGCTACTGGACGAGGCAAAGAGTCAATCTAGCACTACTTCTTCGGTGACTAGAACTAGCGAGGAGGATGATATGGATGTTGTCGTTGAGAAGGAAGGCTTGGGTACGGGCTCGAAGAGCATTATGGGTGTCCAGGGCAATGGTACGGAGAAGATGGGTTCAGCTGCTGACAGCATGAGTGGACCTACGAAGCATAAGGCTACGAATGGCAAGGAGAACGGAGCATCGCTCAAGGTCATGGACGCCGAATCCGCCGATGAGGTTGACGAGTAATTGTGATTTTTCGCTCAGGATTACGGATGGGGTGCCAGGTGGCTCATATTCAGAACAAGATAACGGCGCGCGATTATACCCATTGCATTCCTGCATTTCATACAAGATAGCATAGGCCCTAGTCTGCTACACAGATAGCTTAGACTGACTGTACCTGTACATGAAGTACATAATAAAACATCTGACACAAACCCTCTCTCCCCGTAATATCTCGCTTCTCATAATCGTGTGTTGTCACGATATCCAGCCAATCGGATGAGTGGTATCATCAATACACGTAACAGGATCTCATGGTCGTACGGAGAACTCAATTAGGGCAAATCAAGTATATTGTCAACTGTACAGAAGAAGCTACGAGTGCATCAGGCCAGATATATGGTCTACAAGTGAGACGTGCTTGAAACAAGTGCTAGGCAGCCTCAGGCTGCCTTCACGTATCATCCACTCGCGCGCTACATTATCTCCGTACATTTCCAGCCTGTTATAGAAGTGATGGAGACTGAAAATTAACTAGTGACAATCCATGTAATTTTGCTAGGCTGATCGTACACATTTACTCAAGCGATTGAAAAAAATCACAAAAAGAAGCGTGTCAATCGCGGTAAAGCTCTTGAGAACCACATTGCCAATTGACCGAGCTTAATGGAATACTACGTGAGGACTTTTTCACTTCTTACACTTTGATAAGATCTTTCCAATCTCTCTTCGGCCAGTACCCATGAGCTCCTTCGCGCTCAATCTCGCGGTCCCAAGCCCAACGTTGAGTATATTCATCTTCCAACGTACCCTCCAGCATTTTTACAATGTAAGATCCGATAATCGGTAGGAATTTCCATGAGTGGAACGAGCCTACAGTTGCAAGGTAGAGATTCTTCGATGCCGGATGGGGACCGATGAAGAAGTTGTCGTCACGACTGATCGCATCCCAGCAAAACCTATACTTGTCAAAGCCAAAGTGCTTCGCTTTTTCCCCGAATATGACATCTCGACCCGTGATCATTTCGTCGTGGAACGACTCTGGGACGTCCCACTGACCTTGATAGGGACCAGTGGGAGGTGATGAAATGTCTTCTCCGGACTCGTGCTTGGTGAGGTTGGAGAAAGTGATATCGGCCCACCACTTGAAATTTCCATCCGGTGTGGGAGGAATGAAGCCACCTCTACCCGGATAGTGTAGTCTCTCATGGAGTACAATGGGAACGTCTTTGAAATGTGCACATGCCTCAGCTTCTGGAGTCATGAGCGCAGTACACATAGCAGCTGCGATGAACCTTCCCCCGGCGTGAAGTTCCTTACGATATGGTGCGCTGTCCGCTAAGAGTTTGGCTGTCGCAGCACCAGTACACAGGATGGTCTTGGAGGCCGTCAGCGTCTCCTCAGAGGCAGTCCGGACTCCAATACAATCCCCAGCATCATTGAAGACGAGTGATATGACATTCCCGTTGACATGCCTAAGTCCCGCTTCCGTAGCCTCCTGAAGGACTTTTGTTAATGCTTTTGTGGCTTCTGCCCAGCCTGTTCCTGTGCTGACAAGAACTTGGTCGATACCCTCGTACTCAGCCTGATCGAAGAGGCCATCGTAGATCTTCTTTCCTTCTTCAACCGTATACCGCTTGACCAGGTCTGGCAGGCCCAGCTCAGCGTAGTTGTCGGATATGACATCAGCCATGTTGGTATCTTGGATCCAGACTCCATTCGCCACATGATAGAATGGCGAGTACATAGGATCGTTCTCCCAATGGTCTTTTGCTTCAAGAGCGAGCTTCATGTAAAAGATATCATTATACTCAGCCCGGATGATCTTGTTCCAGTCCCACGAGGCGGCTAGTTGGCAAGGAAAGGGCTCTCTGTCTATGATCCTGACGTTGGCTGCGGGATACTTGCGTATCAAAGATAATGCGGTAGATGCGCCGAATATTCCGGCTCCAACAATAAGGTAGGTTTCATCCGGGGCAGAGGCCATAGCTTCGATGTGAGATCGGTGGCTGACTTGACGCCTAACTTGAGGAGGTAGCCAGGTGGATGAACGGTGAACAGTGAGGCGAAGCGAGGGATAATGTGGTGAAGTACCGGCCTTTTGTGTGTATTTGGGAAGCCAGGCTCTTGAGAAGGACGCGCAAGATGAGAACAGACGTTGTGGAATTTGGAAAGGCTGTGTCGGCCTGGATCGCGCACGAGCAAGGATTGACATCCGGTGAAGATCTTCCTTGAATTCACCTATCTGGGGACCAGGAGCGACCTTATGTCTTGCTTGCTTGCTTGATATTTTTTGCGATCGAGAGGTCGAATATGCACGACGTGAGGACTGGGATAATTGTTACCAAACTTGCGCGGGTTGCGTTGAGGCTGCTTCTTGTCTCTTTTCTCCTCCACATTGGGTTAGCGCTCGTGTAACCCCAGATACTCAATGATCCGCCAAGTTGAAGAGATAAACTTCCGAAAAAACGACAAAAAAATATTAGATTATAAAGTAGCTTTAACTTTTATATTATTTAAACCTGAATGTCAAGGATGATTGTAAGACGTGGGGTTGCCGGGATGTGGTCAGGTGGGTTCCTCCGATGATCTGTCAGCCACTGTTGTCTCTTTTCCTTCCAACTTGGGTTAGTATCACGACCACCTAAGCGACCAAAGCCTTTTCATTCTTCGTCTCAATGCCTTCAAAAGCTTGAGGGCAGTGTCTTGTCGGAGGACAGGAGTGGCCATACATGCTTCGAGGTAAGGGCGAGGTGAACGCTTGTTCTCTCTTTCTATCACCAATTTGGGTAAGATTCGGGGTCAACCGCCTTCAACCCGATCTCATCCTATCATATTTTCCTCAAAGCGAAGGATTATCACTTTCAGTGACGCTGAAAGCACAATATCGTTGTTAACAGGGCTCAAACTGTGTTGGCTTGGGTACGAATGTAATAATAGAGAGAGCCTCACATCTACGTCGAGCGTCCGCCCTGTTTATTGCGACTATATTCCAGAGGCATGGCTCTCGAGAGGTTAAATAGTGTGGATTGCCACTCTCTCATGACAAGTAGTCGTACTATTTCTCCATAAGTCTACTTTTATTTGCCTTGAATCTAAGTCATCATGGCCACATCCGAGACAGCAGGTGCAACCAACCCCGCGAGAAATGCTGCCATCCCCAGATGCCAAGAAAAGCCGAGCAGTCTTAATAGTCTGCTCAATTCAAAGTCCCAGACCCCCATCTCTCGCCAGGACTTTACTGAAGCCTGGCTCCGCACACAGACTTTGCAGGTAGCCATCATAAACCCAATCCAAGTTCGTGCCTGCACGCCAAAGCCAACTTCTACAACAGCAGCCGAAAAATCCTACTCTGAGAAACCAAGCCTTTCGGATGATGGTGAGACTCTGCCGCAAAGGTTCTTTGAAATCGATCTCGCTGGAATAGGATGCCTATTCAGTGGAAGTCTCTCGTACACTGCATGCCCAAACAATAAAAACAACACCGCGCTATTCAAGCTATAGCGTCCAGGGCTTGATCCTCTTCCTTGGGTGTGAGACGAGGGCATGATGGAATGATTGTGGTGTGCCAGTAATGTCGTTCAAGAGCCTTGGCCCGGATTCTCCTCACGCCAAACCGATTGTTCGTGCTTCACCAGACGCTTGTGCCTTTCGAGCTGATCGAGTCGCGAAAATCCTTTCTTGTTGGGACATCCTGCAAGATCACATTTGTACATCTTCTCATGCTTGAGAAGATGTGCTCTGATGCGCGGGCTTAATAAATTGAGCCAAGTATGCTGAAAGTGGAAACGTACCTGAACTCCGAGTTCCTAGTGAACACTTTCACTTTACCACCTTCTACGCCACCCTTCTTGCAGTTTATCCCTTGTGGACAACTGTATTTACCCTTACCTCTCGATTTCAAGTCGCCAAGTGAAGGAACTTCAGCCGCGTCGTTTCCGTGCCAGTCCTGGCTTGGCGAGTCAATAATGTCGGATTCCATGGCATTTGCGTCCCCAAAGTTCGCACTGTTCATAACTGATTCAGAGTTATGCAAATCAACAGAGGATGGAGCGGGCGGGTGATTCTGGTTTCTCAGCGGCCAGATCAGATCAGGGAGAATGCTGGGTGCGTCTGTGTTCTGGGTCTCTTCCCACACTCGTGTGCAATCTGCACTTGCACTGGCAAGATGTTGCGCGATGGATCTAAAATACAATATCAATACAATCATTAGTTTCCAATGCCATGGGGCTTTGAACCATACCTCAAAGCTGTGCTTCTTGTTTCAATGTAATCTAATAAACTCCCATCGTCTTCTTCTACCAGTTGCGACAGAACTTGATCCGTATGCTCGTCAATATATGGCCCGTTTATAAGTTTATTGGCAAAGCGTGACAAGACCTGAAGTACGAAAACAAGTTTTCTCCCAAGAACATCCATCTGAAATTCGTAGAGGAGGTCGTTTTTTATTTCTGAGCTCGACAGCGCGGTAATAATTTCTGCAACTTCAGCTTGCCACCAGCTGTCTACCCAGCAACTGTTCTCTTCCGGTAATCGCACGGAGTCCAACAAATTCAGTATCATATCCCCTTGCTCCATCCTTAGAGTTCTAGCCCCTTTCCCTAACTTCCGAGGTAACTCGATCTCTCAAAGGCTTTGTTTGCCAATACCCGCGCGACTTTCGTTCGGGAAGTCCGAGATTCGGCGCCGGAAAAAAATCGCGGATGAAAAGGGAAGAGAGAAGAGAGAACAACTGTCAAGCGCTGTTTGGCGGGGTGCATCTTTAAGTGGTTGATCCGCAATCCAGGATGTGCGATGTGGCTGGCGCGCGCATGCATGCATGGCTGCGCCCGGCTTGTGTGTGTGCATGCAGATCAAATTGACAGGGAATTCGAAACGGCTACCCCACAGCGGAAAGACAATTAAGCCTCGCCCTCAAAAAGAGTTGAAAAAGTGCGGTTTCTTCTCCAAATTGACTCCACTGTAAAGCTAGGTTTTGCCACTTCAAGAGATTCAACAACGGCATGCGCAACTAGCCCTCCAAGTTAAGCGCTAAGTTTCGCATTATGCAACGACGACATCGCGCAACTTTGGCAATCTCGGACGACATTGTCTCTGCAGCATCTGACCATGTGGAGCCTAATTCAACTGCGGGTCCGGCAGGAGTAGGTCACTTTGACCCAGATCTGGTGGAAGAGGTGGAACCTCTTGAGCTTCCCGACTTGAGTTTCGAGTTCGAGTCGCTATTGTCTAGCAACCCAAATGTCTGGAACACCCCGCTCCGTTTGGATAAACGAGGTGTGCTCTCATTTTTATCTCTGTAATTGTAACGGTAACATGCTCACTTATTCTTTCAAGACCATCAGAGCGCCTTTGAGGTCCAGGATCACGACCTGCCAGCATGGGTTGGAGACATATTCCCCAGCTTCTTACCTGCCATCCCTCCCGCCTTGCCTCTAATAAATCTGGAAAATCCGTGCATCGATGAGACTGGGCAACCATATATCCACCCATTTCTCAGACCCGGCCTCTTTCCTCGAGTAATGAGAGAAGACAAAGAGTTTAATTCATGGATTAAGGTTCGCTTTCTGAATAGTGCATGGGGCGAAAATTTGCAGCCGTCTGTTCAGAACTCAGTGCCACTTCGGGATCTCTCATCAACACAGACCCCTCGCAGTAAAGACACTCCGCACCCACCTACACAACCAGGCCAAGATCCAAATTCCCTCCGGCCTACGGCATCATATCTTCCCAAGCACTTTGGTTCAATTATTCTGCGGACTAACGTTGACCGGCAATTGTACAGCTTCTGTATGTTGCTACTTCAATCATGTCCTTGAAACATTACATTATTTAACAATGAATGCCAGATATTGCGGCTTTCTGCTCTGGCAGGACAGTGATACCTAACGACAACCCCGTGAGGCACGAAATAGCCCCAATAGCAGCTAGCAATGAACTCGTCAAGCACTCTCTCCTTGCCCTGACTGCAAGCTACTTCCTAGACTTCCAGAAAGGCTCGGTCATAGCTCAGACAGCCAAGTCTCATCACAACAAAGCTGTCACGATTCTGGACCAAGAGCTCAGATCACTCGAGTGGGGAGTGCCTGGGAAGGAAGAAGCCATCACTGCAGGCCTCTTACTAATCATTCTCAACGAGATTATCAACTGGGAAGGGACTTCAGGCCAGCGCCATCCTGTCTGGTATCGATGTGGCGAGGTAGTCCGGCGAATTCTCGACAAGTCAGACCCGGGGATCAAGTACCGTGCACCATGTCATGTCCAGACATCAAGAGCAAGACCCCAACTAGCCGCTATGTATACCATGCACAATATTTTCAGCGATTGCTTTTACCCTTTGAATCTTTCTGCCAAACGATGCCCGACACCTTGGCTGCTACATGGAAGTAATTTGGAACAACGACAAATTAATGGATCCATTGGCGCGAGTCCAAAGTTGATGCACTACTTTGCCAAGATCACCTTTTTAGCTACCAAGTTGTACAATGTGAGACCTGATTCTCGATTCAATTATTCAATACTCATATTAATTTCAAACAGGATCCGAAAGCCCGAACAACACTCAAGGTCGCTAAGGCACTTGAGCTTGCCTTAGACAACATCCACCAGTGGTCCGAGATCTCGCTTTACTACTATCCGAAAGCAAGTGATATTTTTGATAAATGCAAGTTAGATGATGATGGTTTCGTCAAAACAGCGAGTGAGGTTCTTGATCTTGTTGCCTTCACGCACGTTGTAGCGGCAAAGATATATCTAGAATGTCGCGTTTTCAGGTAAGCACACGCCATTTACGCTCAGGATCTATATGTTGTTATTTATACGTTGAGCAGACGACCAGCACGGTACGCGCCAGTCCAGGAATGGTGTGATCAGCTTTTCCGTGCGGTGCGAATGATGCCCGTCTCTGGTCATCTTCTATCTGCGATATGGCCCCTATTCCCATTCTTTATTGGTGGGATTGTGGCAGTGCAGAAAAAGCATAAAGACTTCATTCGGTCCATCTACGCTACTTTCTGCACGATTGCTCGAGGGGCAAGTCAAGTCCTTTGATTTGATGACATTACTTACTGATTCCTGGCAGAATTTAACACCGACTTGGACTGCAATGCAGCACATCTGGGAATGGATGGCTGAAAATCATACCGATGAGTCGTTGGAAGATACGGATACATCATGGGATGTAGCGGCAGCTGATCCATGGTGGGAAGCCATGGTTGAGGATATGGTAGAACATTGCGGTCGGGTCAATGTTGCTTGAATAAAAGTACTCTGTGCCATGCTCCGAAAAGCCAAGCTCCCATCCCGTAACTAAATTTCTTTCTATGCCTTTTATTTTCATGCATGTTTACAGCTTGAACTGGGAGAAGGAGAAAGTGGTAGGTCCTCAAAACGATTATTTCAGTGTGACAAGAAATATTGACATCTTCTTGGCAAGTATGCTTTAATGAATCTAACTTAACCCAAGCATCGAAGCGGTCTTTTTCAGCATCAAAACCGTTTCGAAGCTGGCTTGAGACTAAATTTCAATCTGCAATTTCCCTTGTAGGTAGGGAGCCAGTTTGTGAATGGATTGGGGACCTTAATACATGGGAATCGTGGACCTTCCACCCCTCCCAATCCCTCGGCGACCGGCACGTGACGTACTTCCATTCATTCTGCGCGTTTCCTTCGTCATGGATATCCTGGAGCATGTCAGGACGTGAGTGTTGCTCTATGTTGAGGTGAGCCTGGCATTTCCAATGTTTCTCGCTTGTTTCGACCACAAGTTATTCAATCTAGTATCGTTTTCCTATTCGGGAAAACGAGAGCTGATCGGAGACTTAGAAAAAGTGCGTCCAGGTATGGAATACGAAATGGACTTCTTACCTACCCGAGTTGCGACATATGTCTCACTGAACTTGCATAAGTCTACCATTTCCGTCTCTAAGAAGACGGTTTGAGAGCCGGGCTGTTGAGTCTCGCCGGCATCTTACCAGGCAGGCTCGTAATCCTTGACGTTTGAGGATCCAGAGAAACTATAAAGACCGCCCAATTGTCCCGTACCAACTTTCCGAGTCAGATCGCCTTTCAAGCTTATATATCCATTTATTCGTCAACTAATCTTGCTGGCACACTGAAATTTCCAATATAAAGCACAAGTATGGCTTTCAATCGCAATAAACTGTGACTGTCCGAGAAAGGTGGTGTTCCTATAAATCTATTAAGTCGGGCCGCGATTTTCTTTGTGGTAACTAAAGTAATTCAACGAATCTCCTCTCTTTAAATCCACCTTCGATTTACTCTTCTTTTTTTCCTTAAATTCTTTTTTTGTTAATCTACAACAAAACCACTATTTGCAGCATCGCCTTTTTTTTTTATCTTCTATATTAGCCTCGATTTTACTTCCACTCCTTTTTCCACCATCATCCTCATCCTCCTCTTTCTCGAGTTTACGCAAGCTTCCTTTTTACTCTACCTGGATACTATGAATTTTATATTTTATTATAGTAAACTAGAAATCTAACGCATTTATATTTCTATAAAAATGTCTCTTATACGGATGTTGTAAAATCAATCTCTCGTAATAATCCTTGGTTTTTTCCAACCCCTTTTTTGTTACCCACCTCCACCCATTTCCCTCTTCATCCCCATCCACAAATTCCTGGTCATCATCTTCACTATTAGAATCATAGCTAGGCTTTTTGCCTGGCTTGTCCAAACTCCTCATCAACAATTCGGCTCCAATTGCCCAGTAACCACTTTGCCTCAAATCAACACCCTTGCCCCCAAATTGCCCCCTTATAAACATAACCCACGCTCGTTTCTGTTGATATTCGCGTGTGATAACTGACTTAATTTCTAAAAACTACAGGGTTGTCCTCATGCTATATATAATGCTCGAACCCACTAGCTGATGACAAGTGTCATCAGTCAATAAGTCGTTGCATCATGCATTAGATCATACCCTTGGACTAGTGCTACACTAACTAAGAGTAATGATTCTTCCATTCCTCAACATATGCTCAACCATAATAGTCTATGATGACTGCACAATGAGTGATCATTCAACAGTTTCGCCTGCTCGATATCACCTTCTAGTAGATACTGTTGTAAAATTGTCGTCAAAAAACCAAAATGCTGGACCCTTAACTGTAAACCTCAATCAATACCTTTCCTTAGCTCCTCAACCTCCTCTTCCTTTTAACTATCCACATCCCGTTCCTCACTCTCTTCTATCGCCTTTCCTTTCCCTTTCCTATCCTTCTTATATTTTACAATAATCCCCGGCTTCAAATCATATTTTTGCAACAAACTTTTATATAAAAATCCCTTTATAGCAGGTATCTCTTTATTTAACTTTAGCCCCACTAATTTATATTAGGTAATCTCTGCAAGTGTCAAACTCAATAAATTTATACTCGCAGGTACTATTCTATCGTCTTCATTATCAGAGGCTTCGAAAAAGGAGTTTTCGGGTGAAATAAGTGCGGGATGTTTGCGTTTTCGAGTAAAAAGGTTAAAAAATCGGACGCGGGAAGAGTGTAATTATGCGTGTACTATTGTGATTAAGAAAGAGAGTGGGAGGGCGAAGGTTGGCATTTTGAATTTGAATGTCTGGGATGGAATAAGGCAGGAATTTTTGAAGGATGCACACATGGAGCCTGGACTCTCTCTACCTGGACCATTCATTCTCTTTCCCAGCAATGACCTTAGCTTCGCAGAATCGACTTTCAACAAGTCGGAAGTCTCTGACTAGATGTTCGACCGGCGAGATATAAGCCCTTCGCCTGCGGTCTTCAAATGGATGGAATTGGTATTCCTGGAACTGTCTTGTAACAGCATCAAATCCTCGTTTTCCTTCACCTGCTGTGCCTCACTCGTGCACAATGTCTACCAAGCCTTCCTGTATTGTAAGGAATATGCGTACTTCGTAGTTCTACCAGCTCCTTGACTGATCTACACACTTCTGCAACCATGATATCATACTCCACATTCTCGTACAAGGCCCATTTTGTATTCTTCAGAACATTCGAGCTTGTGTGTCGTTCCTCCACGATCTTTTTCAACAGTATTGGAGCTAAAAATCGACAAGGTTGATCCCATCTCCTTCACTGGCTCTTTATCTTGATCAGGGCAGGCACTAAGATACCTGCTCGTCATGCAGATCCGGGCCGTCATCTACTTTGCATGATTGGTATATAATTAGCCTCCTGCTTACCGAGCCTATACTTTGTTGGATCGGGCCGTGACAAAGCCCAGCGCGATGCATACTTCGTCGCCGGGGTATTAATTGTAAAAACAAGGGCCCACTTGTTGCATGCTGCTTTAATATTTGGTGTGCCAGCCATCAGCATCAATAACTGCCTGGCATCTCTCTCTCATGCTATGTACACGCTCTCTAATTCTCTCATGAGTGATGGATTTCCAAGCTTCCTGCACTGCTTGCCTTAATCTCTTATAGCTTCTATGCACTTCAGGGTAGTGCTCTTGGATATAATCCTTCATGTCATCCCAGAGGTTTTCAATAGGGCTGAGGTCTGGGGAGCATGGAGGCCACTCAATCACCCTCAACTCTGCAGCTCTGAGTACAGACTTAGTGAAAGCAGAAGCATGCCCTTTAGCATTGTCTTGCTGGAACTGCAACTCTGGGTATTGCTGCAAAATTTCATCCACCACAGGCACAATGATCCCACAATAAGACCCCTCATTAATGGTCTCCCAATCCTTCTCCCAAAAGAGCCCTTTATGTCGTCCATACTTCCCACTGATTGAACCCCAGAACATCCATCCAATCTTCATCTGATAGCGTGACTGCACACAGTCCTTATGATATGTTTCCCCAACCTTACGAGTGATCCAGGTGCGAGTATGTCCCCCAGGCTATGCCCATGTTTCATCACTCCATAAGATTTCATTTTATTGCTCCTCTGTCCACTCTACATGCTCTTGTGCCCACTCAAGCCTCTTCCTCCTATTCTCTTCAGATAGGGCTGGTTTCCTCCTTGCAATGCATCTCTTATACCCTTCTCTCTTGAATGCAGTTCTTATGGCCTTCTCACCGCAGTCCCAGCCAAGGATTCTAGGGATTTCAGACCATGGAGTTTGCCTGTTCTCTGCAGATGATGACACCCATTCAATTAGCTTCTTTCTTTGAGGGGTGCTAAGTAAGACTCTCTTGCCAGCCTGATGTTTTTGAGGAGTAAGGCGGTGCTGAATAGCATAGCAGACCTGTTTATATGTGTGCCCCTGTTTGCAGGCAAATCTGATCTCTAGTGAAGTTGGCATCAAAAAATAAGGTCTGAATGCGCAGTCTCTGATTGCGAGTAAGATCTGGTTGTTTAGGTTGCTTGGGAACAGGTATCTGGTGAATAGTAGCCATAATGAGAGAGTTGAAGAGCTTCCAGGAGAGAAAGCAAGCAAAAGCAGCATTGGGAAGCCTTATTATTATTGGTGGATACCCCCTGCTAGCGTGGAATGTGCTAGAACAGTTTTTACAATTAATACGCCGGAGACCAAAGTATGATCCAATCCCTCAGCCTCATCCCCTTCCAAGTTTTCAGCCCCCAACCCTAAACATCCCTGCACCCGCATATTTTGTTGCAAGTCGCATAAATCGTCGCCCTTTTCGCCCTCCTTTCCCGCCACCTCCTCGCCCTCTTTCGCCCTCAATTCGTGCGTTGTCTGTCCCTCATTCGCTCTATCCTGCCCCCATTTCGCCCTTCCTCGCCCTTTTCTGCACGCACCACATTTGGTTGCACGTCGCAGGCAGGAGGGCGAACTGCCTGCTTCGCGTTCATAGGTTCAGAGAGGGCTTTTGTTGCAAGTCGCTCGCAGGAGGGCGAAGAAGAGGGCGAGAGAGGGCGACGAAGTAGGGCGAGAGGGCGCGATGATGATCGTGCAAATTGGTGTTGATCTTAGGTAAATGCTCAAGTAAGCTACTTTTTGAAACCAGTGGCCCAATCTGTCAACTTTCGCCCATTTTTAAGGGCGAAGGGCGAGACCGCAAAGCAAGATGCCCTCACCCGCATTTTGCGCATACAGCGCAGACAGCGCAGACAACGCCCAGGGCGCTCATCGCGCAAATATCTGACTACAGTATCGAGAAGCAGTAATACAGAAAAATACGATCTCCTCAAGACTGGTCGGTATAACAGCATTTTGGAGTGAGGAGATCCCCACAATCACCAGGAACAATCCCCAAGACCAACAACCAGCGATACATGCAATCGACGAGATACTCTATCTATCAAAGTCCGACGGAGGGCCCGTGCATTCAGACATTCAGACGGCCCTTTGCGACGTGCAACAAAACTCACCATCTCGGCAGCTTATCCAATGAATGCCCCCTTTTGAATCTCGGTTCCCCTTTCTAGATCGTCACGTGTTTCTCTCCTTTCTATTTCACTTCAGGGATGAGTACTTAAGAAGCAGGAGAGGGGATATAGAATGTAGAGCCACGATCATGGAAGAGGTTGTTTAATGACATTGAGATTCGTGGATATCTAAGTATGCTAATTTCATTAAGATAACGCAAGTGCTGCTGAATTTCCGCTCTATAATGCTTTTGAAAAATAGCTATCCGACCTGGGACGTATTATGTATGAGTAAGATCGTGCTGCTTCATACTAGAGTTCTTTCTGCTGAACGTAAAAGGGTGTCTTTTGTCGACGGAAAAAGAAGTCACTCCTCATCATCCAGAGAAATCTCATCCGGATTGACAACCGCACCCTTCTCCTCCTCCCCTTCAACGAACCCATCCTTCTCCTCACCATCCAACAACTTCCTAGTACTCTCCGCACCATTCAGAAGATCGTCCGTAGTGATCGTCAAGTTCTCCTCATCGACATCCTGCTCTCGCTTACGCTTCATACCCTCGAAGCTCAAGCCCAACCTCTTTCTCCGCTCAAACAACACGGAATGCATCTCCTCCATCGGCGGGATCTCGAAGCTGGCATTCTTTCTATCTTGTAGATCGTCTGAGAACTCGACTTGACGCGGAACGGGATTATTCGGACTGTGGTGGACGGGGTATTGTCTTCGCTCAGATGAAGCATTCTCGTTCTCGCTCTGGGTGACACGGATTGCGGTAGTTGGCTTGGCAGTCTTGTCTCCGTCATTTGATGATGAGGTGGGGGTATTGACATCGAGGAACGAGATATGGAATGGTCCAAGTTGGGTTGCGGCAGGTGATGAGGATCTTGAGTTTGAAGAATCGGACGAAGCAATTAACTCCTGTAGATTGACTCTTGGTGGAGATCGAGAGAGCTTGTAATCGCTGACGGCCAATGTGTCTTGAGTGGAGCGGAAGACTTGATGGGGATCCAGATGAGGGGTTTGGACGGCGAGATTCTCGGAACTGGTTTGGCGCGTGAAGGTGTTGAAAGCGTTCTCGCTCTGGGCTTCAGCATCACGAGCTAGTTCCTCAGCTATATGGAGGTCCATGCCAGTCTTTTGGGCTGTTGGATTGGCGGTCTTGGTTGTGGATGCATCCAGTACATTGCTAGCACTCTCAAGAAAACTCCGTCCTCCTCCCAATCTTGGTCTCTCGCCATGGTCTTCGAATTCTGGCACGAAGCTTGCGTACTTGCTGCCAGCAAGGCCAATGGGTCGCTTCTGTTCCTCTGAAAGCTTGGTATTGTCGTCAGCCATCAACTTATTGACGCTTTCGGTAGCGAGAATGTTGACGTGCTCATTGATAGCATCTTCTTTATCAATGGGTTTATCCTGAGCTTCATTAGGTGGTGTAGCAGTTGGCAATGACTCTTCTCTGGATGGCGAAGTGTTACCACCATCGTCATCTTCTGCCTCGTCGATCACTTCGTCAGCCCACGAAGATGACTTGATTCCCGCACCGCTGAACGAAGGGATCTCAACCTTCTGATTGTCCAGAGCAGCGAGTCTTCGTCGTTGCATGTTCTCGGCATGTCTGACGGTAGAAACTCCACTTTCATCGTGCTTGGATAATTCAAAGGACTCGTTGACGGAATCTGCTTGTCGATGACGAGGGAGCATGGGAGGTCTTGGCGGGACATGCTGCTCCAACTCTTCAACAGGACCAGCACATGGATCCTGCTCGAATACTGGCGGGCAATTTCCGTAGATTCGTCTGCTGGTCAGAATACCATATGCTGAGCCAGCAATATCCACGCTACTGAACTCTAGATGGAGAGTTGCAGACTCATCGATCCAGAATTCAACAAGACTTTCTGCTCGATATCCACTGCCACAAGCTAGAGTACGCTCCAGTCCTCGAAGCGAGATATTCTCGGGGAATTCTGGAATGGCGATACAACGACTGTGCTCTCGTTCTCGAATACTCGCCCTTCGGCTTGGGTTAAGTGGAAACGTCGGCGTGTTGATCAGCGTAACAGTAGCCACTTGCTTGTCCTCGCCGAATGTAATAGGATGATCCGCGGCGTACAAGACATAATCTTCTGCAGAGGCTTCCATGATGAAGACGACTCGAGCAGTCAGACCACCGGTGAGTTTCGTAGTATTCAGCAGCGTAGCTCCTAGGATATCTCCTCCTCTCACACGAGCAAGAACTTCGCGGAGATCAGTTTCTGATGGGAGATTGCTGAGATGAACTGTTCGCAAGTAGTTACTGTCTCCTTCATCTGGTCTGTATTGAATGCCATACCGGAAGAGATCTGGAAAGGCACGCTCTCCTCTGCCAAAGTTCGACCTTGATAACTGTGCATTGGCGCGAATGGCCACCTCGCGTTCCTCAACTGAGTCCCAGAGGTTGCCATCAAAGGATCTGTCCTTTGGAATCTCGAACGCTGTTCTTGGCCCCATGCGAATATTCTCGTAGCTATCGCTAGAAGAGCCTGGATCACGCCATAGACATTGCGAGCGAATATATGTTCGGGGAGCTTCGAGACGAGTCATAGGATCGTAGTCCTCTCCGCGCTTGTTCCCGCCAACTTGAAACCCGGTCTTCAAGACATTGGGAGCGGGGCCTTTGAAGTTCAGGATAGCAACTTCTTCATCGGCCAATTGCTCATCTATTCCTTTATCAAGCTCGGGGTATTCTTTGACGTCCTTTTGAGTCGAGGGGACAGCCTCAAGTGCGGCAGGAAATCCCGAACCGTCTAGAAGTTTCTCAGAAGGATCAAATTGAGGAGGTCCATCATCGCTGAGATTGTCCTCCAAGCTGTTCAGACCGACATCGAAGCTCTTCATAACCGGCTTCATAGCTGTAAGTACGGGGGAGTTTGGAATGGTCGGTAAACCCTCGTCAAAACTTTGTTCTTGGCCCCAGCTACCAATCAACATCGATGCGGTTGGCACTTCAGGGGCCTTGTAGTGAAACTTCGGACCGGTGGGGATGTTATCCAATCCTCGAGACTCAACCTTGGAAGTGGCGAGGTCCACCATCTTCTCTTTGCCTTTGTCTCCATTGCTTGCTGCACTGAACTCGTGTCCAGAACGAGGTTGGGGATTGTGATGCTCTGGAAGCTCTAAGATAGGCTTTGGCTCTTGAATGCTCCTGCTGGAGCTATCAATTTGCTCAATATCTTCGCTTCTTGAGCGTTCGCGGAGATAACGATTCTCCCTCCTCAATCTGTTGATCTCAGCCTCGAATTGTTTCTTCTGAGAGACATGATCTTCGCAACTCAACTGATGTTGCTGTGTTTGAGGTAGACCAAGACCAGAAGGACTCGCTAAGGATGGAACAGAAGTAGTATTGCGAGTCAGTGACTCAACAACGACTCGCAAAGTCTGGAGCCCATCCTCCTTCTTTTTCTTAGCGTGCTTGAGCTCATTCTCTAGAACGGCAACTCGGATCTTCAACTCCATCACCTCATCTTGGTGTGTGGTTGTCATATGTTGGATCTCTTTGTCTAGAGCCTGATATGGTTGTGCGTCATTCGAGGACAACATATTGCCATGCCGGCCAAGTGATGCATTTGTGAGGGACATTGCTTGAGAGGGATCGCTCGAGATGGTCGAAATGTTGTTGCTGGATGCCAAGGCAGCTTGGGTTGACATCATCTGCTGTTCATTCGTCTGCCCAAGCCGGAAGCTTGCCTGGCAGTTTTGATTTCTCGTAAGGTGCGTCGAATTGGAGGTAACTTGAAGCAGTATCGAAAACTGAAGTAAACGTTCAAACCATTCCGTGATAGTCTGGAATTCTATCGCCGAAGGTAAATAGAAAGGTGATATTGAAGACGATTTCCGTTCGACCGGTGAAAAGTAACGCCAAAGACTCCCCCAAAAGCGGATATCTTCTGACTTGAGAATGAAGCCGTTTCTCCTCAAGTCCAAAGTAACGTTGTCCTTGAGCGTTACTTGAACGCCGGTTGAGGTGCAAAAGGCCAAGGGTATTGATAGAAGGATGAAGAAAGAAGTCAAGGTTGATGTAGGAAGATGTTGGTAAAGATTGTTGAGAAGGTTAGGCTTTGACGAGAAGGTAAAAGTGGAAGAGTAGTTGCGAAGCAGAGTAAAGTTCACCACCACGGCTCAATCGAAAGAGTTCTTGCCTTTTCGAGCCAGAACAGGTGCTTGGAACAGGTGAATAGGATCTATCCACCTATTTCCAGCCAAGAGCGCCGAGTGTCTTGTCGGAGGCGATCAAGTAGAAGTTGAGGAGACGAGCAGACGTCGGGAATCACTTCAGACGTTGCTCTCACCACCTGCCCAGCCCCAGTACAGCTTAGCTGAGTAGGAACCGTAGGTAATGCTGAGGTGAAAGAGGAGAAAGTAGGCAAAGAAGGAGAGCTTAATTGTAATGCAGAAGATACAAACGTATGAAGTTGGTAAGAGGCTTGTGAAGATAAGGCAGAGAAGGACAATGGCGGTTGTGATTGGGAAGATGACTTTTGAAGGTGCGGAAGGGCTGGCCAGGAACATGTTCTTGAGTAGCCGGCAAGGGTAAGAAGCAGGTTGCGGACGTTGCTTTTATGTTGACGACTCAAGTCGAGGTCAGAGAAAATAAGTACAAAGGACTTGTCGCTTGACAATATGGGAAGGAGCAAATCAAGGCTGGCAGTGAATACTAACGAAGCAATCTTCCAAAACAAGGTATTGAATTGCCTGAGCCTATTCCTTCTCGCTGGTGCCTCTCTGACACTTCTTACTGCGCTAGGGCTGAATGTACAACATTACAATATTTATGAGATTTCTGATGCGACTCATTCCTGAGCATTTCAACTCAAACCGCATAACCCACCAGCCTATTAACACCAGAAATCTCCCAAAAAGCCCATATCTGCATGAACCTCGTTGACGCCAGCCCCAATGAACGCCATGCTAGGACACAGATAAAAAAATTAGGCTCACGATAGTCTGTCTCTCTTCTTCGTCAGGCCTCTGCTTTGCCGTTTCGCACCGTTAGCTGCTGTAGCCTCTGCCGCTGCCATCTCTTTATGATGTCCACCAGCGTGACCTCCTCTATTCGCATCTAGCACTCCGTCTCCGTACCGGTAGCCACCAGTCATGGCTTGTAATTGATGAGGCCCAAGAGCCACAGGTGGGAGCATCTCGATTTCTTTCTCCTTCCTGCGAAGATACCTGCGTCGAAAGAGGCAAGCTGCAACCCAGGTCCCGACAATAACGACAAACATAACAACAAGCATAATAACCCATTTATAATGGGTGGAGAGCCTATAAATTAAACGGATTAGCATTGATCAATTTGCATGATGAAAAACTTGGCTTACCAAGACTTGTTGGCACTACTACTGCTGCTGCTCGACGAGCCATTGGTATTGGATGTGGATGTGCTCGTAGCAGTTGAACCGGTACTTGAAGCCGTCGTTGTTGCAGCAGTGACTGCGTTGTTTGAAGCACAGAACGATGTATACCACGTCTCTATGGCTTGTAGATCCGAAGTTGCTGAACAACTTGCACTACCGCAGACCTGACTTACTCCGGCTGTACCAGTTGTGAAAGGTGTAAGTCGAGAATCGCTACAGAAACAGCTGTCGTCGACTGTTGCACTTGCCGGAGGGGAGCATTTGCCTTGAACATCGAATAGTGGTCCGCACAGCGCCGCACAAGCAGGAAGTGTTGAGAAAGGAACGATGACTCCATTAGCTGTTTGCGCATTTGTGAATTGAAGGGTTGAAAGGACGGAAAGAACCGCTGCTATAGATGGCCGCATCGTGATGGCAGTTTGTTGTTTTGCTGATGAAGGAACTGCGGATGAGATCGAAGTCGCGTTATGCTGAAGTGAGGCCTTATTACTCTGAGTCCTTCAATGTCTCTGATCTGCCCTTGTGTTAAATCGCAATATCACACCTCCTTGGGAATTGTCGCGTCCTGTGTCTCTCGAAGGTAAGCGATTGTTTTCTGTCTGAAAGCCGTTTCGTGAAATATTTGCTGTCGGACAAATTCTCCCAAGTATGGCCGAAGACCCCAATCTCGACCGATTCCTATTGTCCGTGTTGTTCTTCGAGATTCAACCGCGTTTTGTTGGAAGTACAGAATGTCCAGAATTTCTCCTTCTCAAGTCATCTGCACCAACACAATTCGCGTCTCCGTTCCGTTTCCAGTGGTCGATCGATCGTGTGCTCGAAAATAAGCCTTGTTAAGACCAGGGATGCCTTCTCTGTTTCCCCAATCTCGGCAGCGGGCGATCTCGAATAACCTTGATCGTAGAAATTCTCCTCCTTTATGCTCCTCCGCCTTATGTATGTTCGACAGAAACCAGATCAGCAGGTAACGAGCGTGAGAACGAATGAAGTGGTGAGAAGTGAAGGACTGTCTGGCGGAATGGCGTGGTGATAAAGTGGTGTTGGACGAGATGCTGAGATGATGGCAGCCACGGTGGGAAGGGGAAGGGAAGGGCGGAAACCTTGCTTCTTCCGTAATAATCCCTGTCATTGGGCCAACACTTTATCTTGAATTAGCCTCCACCATGCGAACACACTCCTATAATTGGTGCGATATATATTATGATGTCAAATATGTGTGCTCCTGACCATGAGATGGGCATTTCCTGCACTCCTTTCTGCTTTTGTTCTTTTACACTTCTTCACCCCCTGAAGATCTGTTCTCTGAATGTTCGTTGAAGCCCTAAACATCCAGACCCTCCCCCGCAAATAAGGGTTCGAATGTCAGGTACAAGTGTCCCTCTAAAGGGTTGCTTAATTTTAGCCGGAAATTCGTTTCATTATTCATTTGGATCATTTATTGGATTGTTTATGAAACAATGCTGAAGGCCTCAGATCAAGTTGATTGTAGTGTAATACGTTAATAAGAGACGGGCTGCAGCTCTTCTCCGTGCCCAGTACGGAGTATGTTTGCTGAGCACCAGTCGATGTCACGTGGAAGTCCGCATTCTGTTGAATCTTGGAACATTCGGGAGCGTCCTAAATACTCTTATTGAGCCGGACTCTTCACACATTTTTGGTCTGTCGCTGAATGCCAACTGGTGAATGCTCGGGAATCCAGCTGGACAATATGACGCCGCACTCGCTCCGGACGCCCGGATCTGTGCCTCCAGCTTTCATATAATGAACCTATGTCTCGGCGACTTCGATTAGCATTGTCCAAAAGGACATTAGTGTTAAGCCACATAGACAAAAAGTAACCTGTGGCTACTGCTTGCTTTTTCTGGTAGCACTGCACTTGTGCTAGAGAACTGTCGGACAATTGCACCTTACTTAACTTGTAGTAATGTACGGCAAAGAGTCGGACTTTGTAGTGTCTTCAGACTTGGTACGTTTTCAATGTAAGCATTATCTGATGTTCAGAAGTTCAATCCACTAGATATCCAGGTAATTCCTGCCCTGAAAGAACAAGTCGCAATCCGATAACAGAATGTCCGTCCATAGCCTACTAATAGCCCTTCGCTGTACTAACTAGACCTCCAACAGCATGAAGAAAAACATTATAGAAGCAAAGCTGCCGTAGAACATACCACAGATACGCTTTACCAGTCTAGAATTCCCTAAGCTGCGAGGTCCGGGGTTCCGCATTCGCAATAAACACAATAGAGGCAGGATTCAGTTCACGAGATCGAGTTTGAGTAAGTATTTGGGCACTACTAACCGAGGTAAGATGTCCCTACCATGTTCTGCTGATGAGCCCACAAATGCTTGTCCTGAGCCAGAAGTTTTATCTCCTGTCATATTCTGAGACGAATTGAGTGTGAATGATGGTTATAACTCGATGATGAATACGCTTATCAAGTATGAGGTTACTGTACGAAGTGAGCTGATGGGTGTTTCGAGGAGTGAGAGTCATGAACGAGGTAGGCGATAATGAATTCACTGCCTGACTTGTTTCCTGGGTTTTCTGTGAGGAATATGAAGGAAATGTCCGCGAGGCGTCATGAAAATGCGATAAGGCTGGTGAAGGAGAAGGATGCGGAGATTTTGAAGCAGGGTTGGGGGACTTTGTCAAGTATTCGCCTAGGCGCTTCGTTGTGATTGCCACCGCGAAGTGTCCACATTCGTCGTGTGCGTGAAAGAGAACCTGAGACCTGTGCTTCCACGATGCAGCGTAGCAAGCGGCTCCCTTTTCTGTACCATAGGGTATCGTCCAGCAGGGTGTAATTGGAGCACTTTTTGAGGAGCGCCCTCTTTTGGGTTCTTGGATATGATACTGACCGCGCTTGTAAGTCCCACAGAATCTCAGGATATTTGACATTGGGAAGTGGTCCATTTGTTGGTTGGCAGAAACGGAGAATGAGAACCACATTTGATACGAAACAAAGCGGCTATCGTTTTTCATACATTTACAGGCATAGAATTCAAGTCATCAAGTCAGAATTGAGCTCGACGTACAAGTCGCAGATGTCCCTAGCCGTAATGAGATAGAGAAGTTCGCTTCACTAACAGAAACACTCTTTTGTCCTCTCACGGGCATTCGATGCGCAGAGCTGGAGAAAGTACATGGGAAGAGGTCAGATATGGGACTGGCAAATCAGCCTTATGGTAGATTTCACTTGAATCTAGAAAACCACAACCATTGATATCATGATATAGCTGGAGGTTCCACTTGGACTCTAGATGCTGTAATAGAGTTTTCCGCCAGCCGCTGTCTCGAATTCGTATCGTTGTGCTGATGAAGCCTCGGTATATGGCGGTGCGTCGGATTTGGCAATAGAGAAATGTATTCGCGACCAGGCATGAGTTCTTGATGTATGCATTCCGTCCATCATGTACTCAAAATAGATTTCGCCCTGGTAGCGAGAACCCCAACAATTCGAAGTCTCAATCACAATGTCCAAGCCAAGAGTCTCGATTCAATATGCCATTCTTGCTGTGCAAATCATCCATGTTGGAAAGAGCTTTGTATTGTGACGATGTGCCTTAGCTCCTTCATCAAATATCTCGTGGTACAACCAGCCCCGCAGCAAATGCTTGCATTAACGAAAACCCATTTTCCCGACTCCCAAGAAGCAGCACCTATCTCAATCTTCTAGCTTCACGTTCAGACTCGAGCAGGCAGAGAATGTCGTCTTCGCGGACTAGGGGGTTTGAATGTTAGCTTCTTCTCTGTTCCAGTCATGCCCTTCAATCTGCGGTCTCCATTCTTCCAATCCTTTGACTGCTGTAAAGAAAGGTGTGTAATGTATTCGTACCTGGGCCCTTGACGTTGCGGATGATGCTTCGGGTAGTATCGTCCATGAACTCGACTCTGACTTGAGTAACACCTCCTCGGGAACCTATAATCCATCAGAATCCTGCCTTATGTTTCCGCGACTTCGACCTCTTCATCGCAATCGGATTTGCATACCGGTACGGCCCAAGACACGGGTGACCTTCACAAGCTTGACGGGGACCTTTGAGGATTCCATATTGGCGATCTGAACTGATCAGCGAACTGTCTTTGTAATTTCGGTCGTAATTACTGACTTATTGAATGCGCGTGGAGTCGAAGGTTGCGATTTGTACTTGACTTGTGTCGTCTTGGATACTTTTTTCTAGAAATTCGTGTGCGGCAATCAATGACAAGCGAGAAGTTTTACTCATGTGATGATTGCTGCCTTAGGCTTGATTCATGGTATTTCGCTAGACTTAGTTTGGCTTGGCTTGCTTCTCTCGCATGACGCGCTACGAAAATTATCGAACGTGGGGCACGCCTTGCGGACAATTGAGTGCAATTACAGCAATCACACATTGAGAAGCCACAACTCGTGCCCGTGTCTCACTCTCATTCGATATTGGACGTGATACTGCATCACTTCTTATCCGCTCTCTTTCTCCTGCATAAAATCCTTTCCTGCAACGTTATTGCAGGTGACATTGCTACCCCGCGATCGGACTTGGTGTATTGTGCATAGAAGGGAGGCTTTCCCCCAAATCTTACAGCAATGGACCTCGTGAATCAGTAAGAAAGTTCAAGATGCCTCTCTACTACGATGGCGATCTTCATGAATCTTTTGCTAATAATCCTTCAAGTTTAGAGGGAAGGTTACTGTTCGCTGTACCCAAGAGTGAGTCAACATGCGAATTACGCGAGAGCATACGCTGAGTCGGGGACGCAGAGGGACGGCTATTACAAGCAGCACTTGATCTTTTGCAAGGTGCAGACATACAATTTCGAAGAGAATCACGCCTCGACATTGCTTTGGTCAAGAATTTACCTATTGCTCTCGTTTTCCTCCCTGCGGCAGATATTCCTACGTTTGTTGGTGAAGGACGAGTCAGTCTTGGTATTACTGGTCAAGATACTGTGGCCGAACATGCAGCTAGTGTTGAAGCTATGAGGAGAGAGCGAGCAGAGTCTGGCCAGTCAACACCAGTCGAGCAAGACAATGTTCAGGGTTGTGAGGAGGTTATGGATTTAGGATTTGGCTCTTGCAAACTGCAAGTCCAAGTACCAGAGAAAGGACAATACGTCAAACCTTCAGATTTGATCGGAAAGAATATTGGCACGAGCTTTGTGCACCTCGCAGAGGAGTACTTTGCAGCATTGGAACGGGATGTAGATATTAGTGAGAGCAATGGAGAGAAGCCCGCAAAGAAGTTGAGGACCAAAATCATCGAATTGAGCGGAAGTGTCGAAGCAGCATGTGCCTTAGGTGTGGCTGACGGGATCGTGGATCTAGTTGGTGAGTTTCTGTTGAATTGTTCGTTGTTAAATTGCTAACAGTCTTCAGAGTCAGGAGAGACAATGAAGGCCGCTGGCTTGAAAGCCATTGATACTGTTGTATCAAGTTCCGCCGTGCTTATTAGGTCGAAGAACCCCTCAAATCCGGCCATTGTCAATCTCATCGCCTCCAGGATCCGCGGTGTCATAAGTAAGTCTGATTGATTGTCTCTGTTACTCGAAGACATTGTTAACCTGAATAGCCGCTCAAAAGTACGTCCTTTGCCAGTACAATGTTCGGAGAGAAAGCTTGCCGGCAGCAGCCAAGATTACCCCGGGCAAGCGAGCACCCACAATCAACGCCCTTGAAGAAGAGGGCTGGGTTGCTGTTAGTTCAATGGTGGAGAAGAAAAAAATTGCGACGGTGATGGATGAATTGACGGAAGTTGGAGCTCAGGATATCCTGGTTCTAGACATTGCAAACACAAGAACAGGATAAGAAGTTGTTAATACCCACATAGATCTGACTTCTTTTCTTGGCGATACTTAACGGATAGACAAAATGAAAACAAATAAGTCGAAGCTTTTAGCAGCCTCACTTAGAATGCTCGGCTGAACGTTCAGGTACCGAGATCAGCCTTGTGAGAGGGATCCGCCACCAAAATGTCCGACATAGTTGTAGTCTAATATAGTAACCTCGAAGCCTGCTCGCAACAAGGCTATGAGGCGTCCCTGACAATCATCTCGCATGCTATTCGCATCGAGTTCGGATATACTAGCGTACCTGCACACTCAGCCTTCCGATGACGTTCCCCTTTCTTGGCGAGCTCCTTTCCGAGCGAACCGAGACGACAGCCCGAGCGGCACAGCCTTGTGTGCGAAACACCCGCATGCTCAATACATATCTCAACATTCTTTTGCAAAATAATTTTGAAATGTAGAAGTCAATTGACCTAGGGCTTCAAGCAGCATCTACTATAATTCAATTGCCAGAGGAAAGCATAGGAAAGATGTCGTCACCAACACGTTCACCACCAGTCGTCCGTTCGCCGCCTCTTGCAGAAGCTCCTAAAGAAAGTGCTGTTGTAAGAGTGAGTACCAATATTCTCTTCGAAACCAAACGCAAATGCTAATATGAATGAAGTTATTCATCACTCCCATAACATTCATCTCTTTCCTTCTCTCACTCGCCCTGGTCGACTCTCGAAATCATCACCTCCGCACCCATTCCCATTCGCCAAATCGTCCAGCACCCACTACCATCTTTGGTCGTCTCAAGTTGTTTCTGCATTCATTAGTCTTCAAATCTGTACCAGAAAGTCCTTATGCATATGTCAAATCCCCTGACGCGAGAGAACGATCGAGAAGTGGACAAAGAAACGGAAGTGGGACAGAGAAAGAGAGGGAGAAAGAGCCATGGCATTGGCACACGAAACAGAGGCATCTGATGAAAGCTGAGATGGATGATGCTTTCAAGGTCAGGAAATGGGTCGTGATATTCATGGCTTTGATGGGGTTAGGACTAGCAATTGGAGGGGCTGTATTTGTGAGGTGGTGTTTGTGGGGCCTCAGCAATTGGAGGGCTGGGAGCGGGTTGCCGGAGATTTGAAGACGGGTGAAGGCTGAAATAATCTGTATAAATACGGGATGGTTGGGAGGAGCAAAACGTGGCTTTGGCGTTTGTGGAGTTGGCTTCGTGAATTTTTCAAAGGAATCGACGAGCTGAGTCAAGAAAAAAGACTGATGTCTTGACGTTTGGGTTGATGACGGGATTGTTGGATGACATGAGGAGTATATAATGTACTTTTTATATCAGAGTAAATGCTCAACCTGAAGACAGAGATCTCATCGTCGATGACAGGGGTTGAGTCCCCTAAATGGCGTGCCAATGGTAGACGCAAGACTGGGGTTGAGGCATAGCACATATGCACAAGCCCGGGCTTCATTTGCTTTTTCAAGTACGATATAACAAACAGAAAGCTGCAACGCACGACTCAAGTGCAACAGACAGAACGATCAATCTCCTTCACCTCGTGGAGAATGTCTTAGAAAAAGCCTCTCTTCAGCGGAATCTGGTCGGTCATTCTATTGCCGAGCCGAACAACAACCAAAACCTTAAACTCGAGCGCGGGTCGCGTTAAGCTTTTTATCAATTCACTTTTACGATTTCGACGCGATTTGCTCCACTTCAACGCTCGATGGTTTCTTCATCCTCCTCCGGACGAACTTTTTCGCACTCTCGAGGTCGAGAACTTTCTTCCAACACCGTGAAGGAACCATCATAGCGCGATGGCGATGTCAATGGGTCCTCCATTGCTTCCTGGCTACTCACTCCGAGTTCAGCTGTTTTCACCAAATGCGCACAACTCCAAAGACTCACCGATTCGGTGCTTTCGCGTGGTCACGTCTCCTGATGTTACGGTCAGGGAATTCTGTCAAGAAACTTCAAGAATCCATGAGATTAATTATGGGGAGTATGTAAATCCAATACACTCTACTTCTTATACTTTTTGTACACCGCAGACTAACAGCATGTTCACGCAGACCACTTGCCGTCAAGAAAGTCCAGGACGAAGAAGGATTCGACATTACACAGAGTGAAGTTCTGGGTACTCTGTTTGCGACGACTTCCATAATTCGAGTTGTTCAAGCTTCTACCAACCCAAGCATACGGGATTCAGTTCCTCCTTCGTCCGCTCTGCGATTTGACCCAGCCGCAGGTCGCAAACGAGGAGCAAGTGCAAGACCAGAAAGCCATGCGGCTTCAAGCTCGTGGAAGCCTAATAAGAGACAACGAGTCTCGAATCTTGACCCTGACGAGCCTCTTCCCTCCCGTGAAGATGAATCTGAAGTTGCAGGACCTTCTCGGGCGAGTCGACGAACACCTAGCGAGAAAATCATACCAGATTCCCAAGGAAGTATCGCTCTAGGAGTCCAAAAGGTCTTCAACAATACACGCCAAGTAAGACAAGACCTTCCCATGATCCCCGAGACACCATCTCCGTCACCACCACCGGAGGTTCTCAGTCTACCAAGTAAGAAGCAACCCATAGCTGATACTCATACTCCAAAGGCTGTCGACAATCCAAAGAACGAAGACTCGAGTTTTCTTTCCAACGTCGACAATTCTAGTCCTCTCCGGGAAGCATCTGCTCGAGCACAATCACACGTTTCCCGGGCGAAGAGCGCGAGCTATCACATCCAGAGAGCGACGGAGAGGGGGAGGTCGGTCTCAACCGCTGCTACAAGCCCACTATCTCTTGACCAGCTGAACAACTTCGAAAATGGGGTTAATTCATCGAGCAAACGGAAGCGACCATCGCCTAAACCCATACTACCTAAGCATAATGGTACTCCGTTTCGGTCACATAACGAGGACTCTATCTATGAGAATATCGTGTCAGATGACGAAGGATCAGCTGTATTCAGGAGAAAGAGAGAGGCATCAAAGGCGAAGAACAGTCCAAGACCTAGTACAGACCGGACTCAGAACGGTGTCAATACTCCACCTAATGCTTCGCGGCGAACGTCCGCGGCCCGTGAACCTACCACTACTCCTGGTGAACTACCTTTAACTCCGAACAGCGAGGAGCGTCAGAGACAACAACAAAAGAAGCAATTAGATGAGGCCAGGAAAGCTAGAATCGCTGCTGCAGAGGCTGCAGAGCAACGAAAGAAGGAGGCGGAGGATCGACAAGCTGAAGAGCTCAAAACTGCAGAGAAGGAACGGATCCAGCGTGAAGAGCATGAGCGACACGAGGTGGAAGCTTTCAATCGTGCTCAAGCAGAGCTTAAGCAAAAATTAATCGACCAAGCTGCGCGTGCAGAGGCGGAAAGAATAGAGCGGGACAAGAAGGAGGCAGAGGAAGCAAAGCGAAGTGAAGAGGCTAGGATTGCCAGGGAGGAAGCCGAGGAGACACAACGACCCCAAGATGCACGCCTTGCCAAGAGGAAAGCAGAGGAAGAACGGCTTGCCAAAGAGAAAGCAGCTGAAGAAACTCGTGTTGCAGATGAACAAAAGCTTGAAGAGGAGCGTCGTGCGAAGGAGGTCGCAGTAGCAGAGGCTCAACGATTACTAGACAAAAAGGAGAAGTCAGAACGTGAGAAAAGTGAAGCGGCTGCTGAGGAGCTCAAAAATTCAGAGTTGAAGAAAGTCAACGGATCATCAGGCAGTGAGGGATCACGACACTCTAAATCAGCCTCGCCAGCTGCAACAAGAATGACACCAATTCTTCCTCCAAAAACAAAGCCTCAAACATCCTCGACGGCCTTCATCCCTAGTGGACGAAAATCTAATCTGAAACGATCCCTATCCTCTCAGTCCTTGAGAAGCTCTTCACCAGCGAATCCCAAATCAACCTCTGATGTGGCTATAAATGGTGTTGGCGTTGAGGATCAACTACCTCTCCCGATTAAGCTGAATAGGAAGGTCTCTTTCAATGAGGAAACAATAGCTCCTCGGAAGGAAACTCCTATCCTGCCACCCGGCAGAAGAGTCATACCAGGTGGGGTTGCAACAACCCCCAAAGCAGCCCCACAGAAGGACGCAACACCGAAACCTGCGAATAAGGCTTCCAGTAAGTTAAACTAGGCGCACAAATCGAACCTCATACTAATAGAGCCTAGTTCTACCTCCTGGAAGACAGTCCAGCACGCCTATCCCTGCTCCAAAAGCGAGCCGGTCAAGCAAAGAACGAAGTGCTACGCCAATGACGCAAACCAAGATCTCACCTCAGAATCCAACTACTGGGACTGGTCTGAAGCCTTCCGTCAAAACTCAGCCTCTTAAGAAGTATGGACGAGCGGCTGCGCTTCAGAAAAAAGGTATGTATAGGAAAACCAAGACCTCTTCCTATATGCAACTGATGGGTCGATTTTTTGTTTTCTTGATGGTTTACATGAAATATTTACTAATGTTTTCGTAGGCAAGTCGTTGTCCGTTGAACAACCTACGGTCCAAGATGCGGCTTCCGATGCCGAATCAGAAGCAGATGTTGCAGACAACACTGGCACAAAAGAGCCAAATCCTGCCGCAATCCTACCCAAAGTCCTTTCCTCTAACACTACGATCAAATTCGAACCTCAAGACTCCAGAAATGAAATTGAGGAAGATCAGGACGTGGTTGAGAATGAGGATGAGACGCAAAGCCACAACAGTTCGCCTCGTGATAGCCGTTCGCCCATCGTTTTCAGACAGCATCCAGAACCAATTGAGATTGTAAAGCCCCAGCGTGCTGCCTCACCAGCATCGGAGAGTGATGAAGACGGAGAGGAAGAGGAAGAGGAGGCCGAGGATAAGGACACCAAAGTCAGCAGCGATGATGCTTCTGACGACCAGGAAGATGAAGACGACATCGAGCCCGTCTCTACGAAAAAGGCCGATGCTTTGTTTTCAAAGTCCGACAAAGCGCCGTCCTCTGAGTCCGACTCCGAAGTGGATGCTGCGGAGGAAAGTGATCAGGAAGAGACTGAGGTTCAAGTCCTCAGATCAAGTCCTCCAGAATTTCCTCCTCGCCAACGTGTCAACCCGAGCTTAGTCAGAGTGGTAACAAAACAAAATCGGAATAACAGTAAGGACTCATTGTCTCATATGAGCATCAATACTCAAGACGAGGTTGACCAGCAACTAACGTCTTCGATGTATGAAGCTCTCCCTGCTCCGTCATCTAGTGTTTCCCTTCCAATACCCGCATCGAGCGCCGTTACGAAGCCAAAGTTTGGCGTCGGTGTGAGCTTAAGCAGTCTTCTCGCTGCCAAGTCGACCCTTAGTAGTTCTTATGCAGCAAGAGCCAATGATCCAAGGTCTAGTTCACAGAAATTGCAGCTACCAGAGGAGGAGGAAGAAGATGGTAGTGAAGAAGAAGAAGAAGAGGAAAGCGACTCGGATGAATCCTCGTCTGATGAGGAACCAGGGCCTTCGAAGAGCAAGAGTACAGCATCTACGATGACAAGCAAGATAAGCTTAAGGGCCGAGGACGCCCAGAAAGACTCGGAGGAGTCGGATTCGGATTCGGATTCAAACAGTGACAATGCTGTTGATGAAGAAAGAACGCGACAGGAGCTCCTGGGACAGATCGATGCCCTGAACAGCAAGAAGGATGGCGATAGTCAAAGCAGCTTTTCGAGTCCCCAGGCCTATAGGAGCAGTACCCAAGCCAAGAAAACCCCCCAGAAAAAGAGTGGCAGTCAGTTTATCACTGGGTACAATTTTTCGCAGCCTGCGTGACTAGCCGACACGTTCGGAAGATGGATGCGAGGTTGAAGTCTGACTTTCACAGCGATGGAAGCATTTTAGACTGATTGGACATAAGTGTTTATAGGGAATTGTTGAAAGCGTTTTTCAAGAGATAGCTTGTGCATACATGTGGGTCTTCTTCGGCGCATGAATGTCACGGCGTAGGATACCAGGAATGCATGAACTTTTTCGAAAGCTACAGTGTACCTCTCAGGTCACGACTTTTGTCGACTTTTCTGAAGTGTGACATCACTCTCTTTCAGCTGCTAGTGCAGCTTCCCTTCGGATGTTGGGCTTGGCTCCGGATATTTATAAAATTTGAAATCGTCATTCACCATTCGCCCATGATAAGATGTTCATGTTCGGCATTTCCTTCTCATCTCGACACTACCTGAGTAACAAACTTCGGGAGTCATCATGTGATCCGCTCCCCCATTTTTGGTCACTCTTTGCCTATGTAGGAAAGTCTACGCGAATTAATCCTAGTCTCGGTCTAGTTGGGATGACTCTACCTACATTTTATATCTACTTCATTGTCTGTGGCCGTCATTCTTCATATACTTTAGGCATATATTTCTTTGCATAATGACGAGTTTATACCCATTGATTCACGGTGTAGTGGCGGCGTTTGGGTTTTATGTTGCTTGTGTGCTTTATCTACGTTTCGTTAAGTCTGGAAGCAAGAATGAGGTAAGAAACGTGGATAAAATCTTCATTACTACGACTGTCAAAAACTTTTTTCGCATCTGCTGGCAAGAAGTCTCACTTCGAGGTAGAGTGTCTTAGATGATCACGATCTTCTGTCAGTACCTAGAAGTCTGCTACTGACAGATGCTCAGATCCAAGTGGGACATTTTCAAAATGACGCCAAAACGAATAACAAGAATGAAGACGTGGACCCGTTCTTCATTACTCCATTACCAGACTTCAACTGGGAAGTGACCGAACCGCTGAAGATCTGGAATTTGAAGCCCAAATATCACTTAACAATGGGTAAGATCAACTTGTTTCTCCTCGACTTGTAGCCATTGACATGCATGCGTAGCTGTCGAGACATCTTCTCTTTCGGAACTGCTTGAGTTCGACAAGAACTATCTAGATCGCATCACTCTCCGAAAGCAGATAATTCAAGAACACCACTCCATTGCCATCCAAGCCGACTCCACCGTCATCCCAGCAGTAAACGAACTCTACGTCTTCCTCATTTCCACTTACCTTCCGACTCGCTATCCAAGAATATTTACCCTTTTCCCAACCACGCTCCTCAACCACGCAACGAATGAGCATCTTTCACTAACTCCGCCCTCGGACCCAGTCCGTACCTTTGAAATACTCGGTGAGAACATTGACGAGGATTTCCTGCTTCTGTTACCAAGCGAAGACGGAGATGGGTATCGATTGAAAGGTTACGTGACGTGCTTCCCAGCTGGTTTCAACACGAAAGAGAAATTCGGGATGAAGTTGAGAGAGATCCATGTCCCTGTTCCGGGATACAAGGCGAAGCTCGAGAAAAGCATGGATCGTTTTTTTGATAGGCTCGAAGTTGGAAAGGTTGTCAAGAGATCAAACGTAAGTTATCTTCTGCCAATCATTTGCATCTAGAGCTAAAAATCCTGCGGTGGTCAATCAACACAAAAGAACAGCTATTTGCAGCTAGCGGAACTCATCTGTACGAAGGCGAAGAAGCAGTCGAAGAAGAAGTGAACATCGATACGACCTTCCTTCGATGTGAGCGTCAGCTCCTTCATCGTCTGCCCCAGACCAAAGCTCTGTGCTTTAATTTCAAGACGTATCTTTATCCGTTGAGAGATGTCAAGGAGGAGGGCTCAGGAGAGGATCTGGCGAATGCGATTGATGGGTTGAAGGAAGGGAGTGTGCCCGAGATGCATTTTTATAAGCGAGGGGTTGTGTGGGGAGAGAAGGTTAAGGAGTATTTGAGGAGTTGAGAGAGGGAGGGTCATGTGATAGAGATTTGCTATGTTCGGATTCGAGAAGATTACTACGACCAGTATCTAGATATCATACCCGCATATTTTCTAACAATATATCAAATATGCAGACTATATTGAGCAATGCTAAATATCTGAAAGGGCGGTGCAGAGCACGTGATAACACTAAGGATTCATCTCGGGTCTGGAATTGCTTCGCTCCCAGCAATCGTCTCATCTCGTTCCTTTCTCGAAATCTGACTGACATATTAATGCTAATCACAACAACGACTTCTCTATCAGCCGGGCTGGATAAGATCGAGTGTACCATATCGACATCTTCGAACATGATGGTCTCAAAGGCCTTTGGGTTCAAGGGGAAATTGTCGGTACAGACGAATCTTGAGTTCGCCTTTTGCAAAACCGGAGTATCATCAACGAACCCATGTCCGCCAGGAGCATCAAGTTTCTTAGCTTCACAGTCTCTGCAACGCTATCCAAACTGTGCTGGGCTCAGTACTAGTGTCCTGAGACGGCAGGATAATGCAAGATCGTCGCTGGGCATTTCCTATCACCGACCCGAACCTCGAGCTTCAAGTAGCAATCAACATGATGTCCGTTCAGATACTTTATTGCATTCACTTCTACCCTGGAGCCTTCCATCGCTTGTTGCGGCTATGTGGAGCATATGATTCTTTCGGTTTTGTTTCTAGTCTGTTTCTCGCAAACTTTCGTTTCATTAGTTGTTTGGAAGAACGAACTTTGTTTCGAAGCACACGAGCAGCGACCAATCACTTGTCACATCCAAATAGTTAATCTTCTCACCTGGCTTTTGTTCTCGAATCAAATTTGAAAAAAGCTTGGCATACTGAGCTTTCAGCTAGACAGCGGAAAGTTGATGGTAGTTCTGTCAGTTTCCAGACCTGATTTGCATACCTCGGCGAGAAATCGATTGGGCACTGCCGGTAGTTTGTGCATTGTACGCTTAGTCTACATAAAATTTCTTAGCTCATTTAGCAGTATCGTCCGATGGAGCTTCAGAGCCTCAATGATTGTCTGCTGGCCAGTCGCAACTATCCCTATATTGATCACGGTCAAGGGCCATCAAGCACATGTATTGCGCAAACCGTGATCTACGAACCATCAAGGATACGTAAATGATAGAGTACTACCCCGAATGTGCTTTTCTCCGGTCTCTACATGTGACCTTCAATGTTATTTCGAAGATTCACGATTGTAGTGGCATTTGCCCTACCCAAAATCGCCGATTCCGCAGGTGAATGTTTCCTACCAGACGGATCAAAGGATGAGAATGATCTACCATGCTTCAGTAACGACACAGTCAGTAGATGTTGTGCGCCTGACGAGTTCTGCTCGACGAACAAGCTATGTGTTTTGAAGACTGGTGGCCCGAGATATGCTCGAGGTTCATGTTTGGACAAGAATTACGGCCCTACTTGTCCAACGTTTTGTAAAGGAAGTAGGTACATGTCAGTTCGAGTCAGGAGTCAAATATTGACATGAAAACTCTACAGTTGATGATAAAGAGAAAGTCGATCTCTTACCATGCGGCGATCCTTCCCTTGGCGAGTTCTGTTGCGATGAAGGAAACGGATATGCATGCTGTAGCACTCCTTCCAAAGTTCTTACCCTTGGAGTTGGGTCGACGTTTACAGAGGGTTCAGCTGAATCAACCATCATGACTTCCATGTCAAAGGCGCCCCAGGCGAAAACCTCGACAACATCTCGCCGAGAAACCAGCTCAACATCAAAAGAACGATCTCAGTCCTCTACTAAAGTCCAGACCGAAACATCAATCAAAACCGATACCTCTGTGCAGATCAAAACAACCGTTCAAACTCAAACCTCCGTGGAAGCTCAAACCTCCACTCAAACCTCAATACAAGTCCAGACTTCAGCCCAAGTCATCACTTCTACACAAATACAAACATCAGACCAACTAGTTACTTCCATCCAAGTTCAAACATCTGTCCAGACGTCAATCGTGGTTGTCACGTCAGTGTCAGTGCCATCAATATCAATACAGACCCAGCCACCATCTTTTGGGATACCAATTGGCACATCCGTCCTACCACCTATTCCAGAGCCATTAACCAGTATCCTACCGACGACAATTAATACTTTCCAACACTCTACTGCCTCCACCCAGCCTTCCGCCGGTGTCATTTCTCCCTCGTCGATCACGCCATTCTCAGCCACAGCAGAGAGTATTGTGCAAAGCTCTCCGACCTCTTCGGCGCAAGACACTCCTATTTCACCAATAGTTGCATCTGAAGTTAGTAGCTCTTCAGGGGCCATTTCGTCGTCGATCATACCAAGTCAGACAACAGATGGGGCAGCTTCGGTCACATCATCCATTATTGCCGGGGCTATCTCAGCCACCAACAACCCAGCAACATCTGGTGGCATCTCTACTGCTGCGATTGTGGTTGGGTCGGTTGCTGGTGCCCTTATTCTGACTGTTCTTATCATAATTGGAGTTATTTACTTCAAGAAACGCGCTGAGAAGCGTGCCTCTGCTCGATTCGAAACTTCACTTGGCATAACGAATTTTGGGTACGAGAAGAGTGCATGGAATGGAGATGGAGGGAGTGGAAAGTTTGGTTTCGCTCTGGGGAAGTCCACGAGTAAGAGGAGTGATAGGAAGCTGGGCAACATTAGTGGTCCTATTGCTGACAGGACTGCCAGTCCTGTTGAGACACTGAGGAGAGTGGCGGCAAGGACGAGTATGGCGCCTGTCGAGTTGCCCAGTGACCAGAGGTTCGCAAACGGAAGAAGTGGAAGTCCTTACCAACGGAATAGCGGTGGCGGGACCTCAAACATCAGACCTACGGAACCTGCTCAAACTTTCAATATGCCCGAGCAAGGAGTACCGCGGAGATTTACCGGTGACGGTCGAGGTTCATTTGGACGTCCAGTCGATGTCGGCGTTCCGCACCGAGTGGTAATTCCAGAAAGAGGTCTCGAGCGAAGAGTCAGTGGTGGGACATTTGAGGCAGCTCAGCAGACGGAGAGTGCACAGAGACCTGGTTACCCCGATCTTGGCTCAACCTTCCGGAGCGAAACTTTCAATAAATTGTTATATGATGTGCAGAGTCAACCATTTTGACGCACGAAAGGATCGCAAGCCGCTCTCATTCTTGTATTTACTCTGGATCTTATTTTTCATGGCAGCTATCCACTTGATGCTTAATATACTATTTTTAATGTCAGGGTTAGCTTTGAACTTGATGAGCATACTTCAGTCACGGCTCGATCTCTTTCCAGATCATTTTGATTTCCTGATCGTATAGATGTGCAGTCCCATCGATTTTCATTATTCCATTGTCCGTCCCATTCTCAAATGAGTTCCGATTATGTTCTCATTATGTTCCCGAGCCTCCCATAAAGTAATTCTCTCAACAGCAGGCCAGCGGCATCGGGAAGCCCATCATACCATGGCTACGATCCATGTTCTCCCCTTCTGTTCCTGGCCCTTCCATCGAGTCTCAATTTGCCAAAACTGCTTCAAAACTTTTTCTTCCTCTCATCCGCCGCCACTGGCTTCTCAACAAGATAAGATCCTCGGAATCTCCATCTCTTCGAAACAATAGCATGATTCTTCAAGGTCGAGTCAAACTCGTACTCGAAGAGCCATCCACCTTTGCAAGACGAGTCTTTGTCTGGAATTGCTACGAGCATATCAAGAGCTGCTTCCGAGCCGTTACCGGCCGCAGTCAAGGCAAGCTGATAAAGAAGTGGCTATGAGATGTTAGCTACGTAAGAAAGACTTTGCTTGAGCAGCACTGACAAATAGTTCTCCCCATGTGGAAGCCTTTCTACCTCGTTTGACAGGAGGCTTGATTGGCCAGAACTCCACGATATACTCTTTCTTAGGCTCTGGGACACCAGATACACCAATGACCCATGGACCGTCGATCTTCGAAGCCTCGCAGCGATAGTGGCATATGTTGTAGTCATCTTCAACATTCTCCTTGAAAAGCTCTAGAGCCGGGTCGTACTTAATGTATGAGTTTTTGTGATCTCCGAAGCAAGTGATCGACTCTCCAGCTCTCTTGTTGCACAAGGGCTCGATAGATGTGCAGAATGCATCGAATTCGGCCATCAGTTCTGGTGAGAGTCCGTTATGTGTCAACAACGTGCTGACTTGTTGTTTGATCTTAAGTTTGCCAGCGACTTCGATTTCGTGTTCGCAAGTCTCGATCTCCCTCTCGATCCGCTTTTTGGCCTCTTCCAGCTCTTGGATCTTTTTGTGCAGGGCTGTGACTTTGAACTTCAAGTCTTTGTCGGCATCGGATGAGATGTACATAGACACATACTTCGAAGATCCGCAGAGGATTTGCCGACGTTGCGTCTCAAGGTCATGGAACGACAACTTGGGAGCTTGGATGAAAGTAGAAGACTTTTCTTCGAAGTTGAGAGTGTTTGTCTTCAGATGTGCTGCTTGATCCTCAGGAAGCTTAGAACCTTCTGCATCAAATTTGGACTCAGCCATAGCCACGTCCGTAGTGTTTTGCTGCTCATGATCGAGATTCATCTCCGTTGAGTCTTCATCAGACTCAGAATCCTCGTCCATGCTACTCTTGCTGTCTTCCTCGTCACTCTCGTCGAGACTATCATTGAGTATATCCATAAGCTGCTCGTCCTTAGAAAATTCAGTTTCATCTTCGAGGTCGGATTCGTCCCCTTCCGAATCTGAAATCTCGAGGGTCGGAGTAAACTTGGAGCTTTGCTTAGATGTGGAGAGATCAGCTTCAGCTCTGATTCGCGCCTGTTCAAACTCATCGTTGATAGGTGTGAAGCTCGCCATACTTGAGATAATCTGGTATTGAGGCTGTCCACAAATCAGCTTGAATATGTTCTCCGAAGTCTGAAGTTTAGTTACCAGAATGAACTGTTGTCCGCTGATAGTCTTGGGGGAAATGTGAATGTGTAAGTCTTAAGATATGAGGATGAGATTGAGGTCAAAGAGACCGAAGGGTACTTGAGGAAACCTCTCCGATATCCTTGAAGACTTTGCGTTGTCCAAGATCTTGAAAAATGGGTTGTAAAGAAGAATGTCCGAAACCTTCATGTCATGAAAGAAACTCAGGCTCAATGTAATGATCTTTTTGAGAGACTGGGACAGTATTGAAGAAGAGGTGGCATGAGGTGAAGGCAAAGCGAGATTGGCAGCTTTGTACCTGTGAATGAAGTTGGAGACATGGAAGCTGTGGCAGGGAAGGAAGAATCGGAATCCACTGTTCCAGTATTCTAATGAACTTGGGACTTCTCCTTGTTGAAAGCAAAAAGAACAGCAAATGATTTGGAAGCAATTTGTAGTCTTTGGCGTTAGGACATTCCGGAACATCCCTTGCCTGTTCCCACAAGCAGAGATCTGAATCGATTCTTGAGTGTATCTTTCGACAATCACATACTTCACAGCTTAAGGAAATTGACAGAAGCATGTAAACTACGTGTGTTCTTCACACCCAGTGCCTATAAGTCCTCAAAAAAAGGACCCCACTCTCTCTTTGGGCTTCAATGTGGACGAAATCTATTCGATTTTCTTTCAGCACATCACTCAATTAGTTAAGGCATCGTAACTAATGAGCAGTACTGCATATCGAGACGGAGAATCCGTAAGCCGACTAGGTCATTGGTCGTAGTGGAATTGGTGATGTTCGAATTGCGGGCCAGGAGTTGTGGAAAGGGGTAGGCTAGTGCTAAGCGAGCGGAGCCGAAGATGATCGGATGCCCCTCGTTCTACTCAAGTAGTCGTTCTATGAAGAGCGTCTTCGAAGGCATGAAACCAACCGAGGAAGACAGTTGGCCAGATCTTAGATCACAGCTTTGTTACAAGTCTGAAAGCCAGTAGTATGTGTTCGAATAAAGCAAATTAATGTTAACAGTCCAGAGATAGCCGGCTCGATCACTTAACCTTGGCAACGAGTTTAAACACTTGATCGAATCAGAACAACTCGTTCTATTCAAGGCCACACTTGAGGTGTCTTGTGAGCTCGCATACGTCACCATTGTGTTCAAGTGACTTGAATATCATATTGGCAGACAAAAATCTATCCTTACACCATGAAATCGTATGTCTTGGATGACATCTATTGCAGCAAGCAAATATTATGAACCAAAAAATGCCTAGTATTCTTCGTAGCGACTAAACAAAGTCCGCCTACCGATGATGCATTACTGGCCGGATACCACCCAATCACTTGCTCGCAGCTTCAGAGTGTTCCTTCAGTTGGACGGACATTCTCGGGCCTCAAAGCTAATTCCAGTCTTTGGCATTTCTCCTTCGTAGAGCAGGGTCTGTCGATTTTGTGCACACTTCTGAACCTCCACCGCTTCCCGATGATTGGAGAATCTTTCAGTGAATCCTCGTACGTGTAGTCAAACATCCAGCCTCCATTAAATGTAGCATTCATATCTGGTAGGCATACGAGCATGTCCATTGCGGCTTCGGAGCCTGCACGAACAGCAGCATTGGCAAGACTGTAAAGCTCAGGCTGAGGAAGAAAAGCGTCTGTGAGTCAAAGGTATGTGCATGGGAAGTGTTGAAGCTTACATATTGCTCGCCCCAGGTTGACTCAATGCCCGTTACAGGCTCAGGACATTTGATGGGCCAGAACTCCACAACGTATTCTCCCGGATCGTGCAATTTTTTACACGTAGCGGTAGGTTCATCACATATGATTATGCCGCCACTTGTGTGAGATCGCGCATTGTGCTTGAACACTGAGGCTCCACATCGAAAGTTGTAATGATCGTAAGGAGTTTCAATGTGCTCTTTAAAAAGGGCAAATTCCGGATCGTATTTGGTGTAGCAATTTCCGTGGTTAGACGAGCAAGTAATGGAGAATCCTCCTCGCTGTCCGAACTCTGGATCCAAAGAAGTGCAGAAAGCTTCGTAAGCCTTGTAGAGTTCTTGAGAGATGCCAGATTTTGTTAGTATTGAAGAAAATTCTTCCTCTTTCTCGTTCATATCAACTATTGCCTCTTCAACTTTTGCTTCGGCCGCTATTAGTTGCTGTTCGATGCGCTTCTTCATCTCCTCCAATTCCAATACTGACCACTTCCAAGTATTGACATTTTCGATTAACTTTTCTCTGCTCAGTTCATTGTAGCGGTGGTTTTCGATATCAGCGAACAGCAATACGCGATTCAAAGGTGCTGTGGAGGTTTCTGGCTGAACTATGCCAGCGTTGGAGGTGGACTCCTCAGTCTCTCCCTCGGTCCAATCTTGTTCGGTCTCGTATATATCATCGGGAACATTGCTCGCCAACCTTTCTTCGTCGTCGTCATCATGTTCATCTTCATCGTCATCTTGCAATAGAGAAGACGCAGGAATTTTCACAACTTGAACCATTGCATCAGGCTCGCTCAGTTCTTCGTATATCGTGCTAACATCGCTATCTGATGAGGAATCGTCGTCATCGTCCAAGCCGTCGTCAAAGATGTCTTTGGTTTCATCGTCCTCATATTCGACGGTATTTGGAAATGCCAGGATGACAGCCTCGCCAAGCTCTTTAAATCGATTAGACACTTCGACTTCTTCGGAATGCGGGTTAGGTTCAGCATTCGCCATTTCAGTGTCTTCTTCACCCTCACAAGAGTTATAGTCGTTCTCGGATGACATGTTCTCGTCCTCGTCGACCGAAGACTCATCGGATTCATCGCCCGTGAGGGAGAGCGAGGGAACTTCGGCACCCGCCATGAAAACATCACTTGGAGCAGCTGTTAATTAACATTGACGAGACGTCTAGGAGGCACACTAAGTACTAACCGACAGGCGTCTGATTTTCTGACATGTTAGGCAACGTTGAGTCGAGGGTTTAGATGGTGACCAAGGAACGGGCTGAAGTTGGCATATGCGCGTTGGCGCGTTCAGGTTGTCGCGTTTGATCTGCGGTATCACGTGCTTCTAAGTGACCCCTACCACCTTTATGTACCTGGGTAAGCTTCTCTTGGACAGATGTATTTATCGTTTTTCGAGATGCTGTATTGTATTACTATCAACAAGTATCTCTCATTTTCATCTGTAACATTCTATTTAGCAATGTGCCTTGCTAAGACGCAGAGTGCTTCTTCCATCACTGAGTCAGTATCGTTCTCTCAAAGCAACTGAAGCCTGAAAATAAAAATCGTCCTCACTGAAATCCAACATCGAATAAAAGGATGTTATAATAATCATACATCGATAACCGTAATTTACCTAGCTCAGCTGAGATCTGTAGCTCAACCGATCCAACGCTTTTCAGATGAAGAGAAAAGTGCAAGGCAACCAAGGATTCGATGTTTCGTTCCCTACAGATCAATCCCAAACTCACCCTAAGCCCCCACGGACAAGTCGCTGAGATCTCAGCCGAGTCTTGGCTCCTCTGGCATCTACAATTCCCAAATATTCCAAATCCCAAAGTCAACAAGAAGGCACGACCACTTCCAAACTCAAACTCAAAGCATCACTGCACGTCAAATGAGGAAAGAACACTCAGTAAAGATCTAGGAATAGCTTCAGAGTTTACACAAAAGCTAGACATGCAAAGTAAGATGCCACGCCTTCAGTTCAAGAGGTGATAGCGAAAAGGCAGCGGAAAATCCAAGTCGTCCCAGAACAATGAGAAACAAAAACGTTAAATGAATCCAAACTTTCCGAAAACCGTCGTATTGCGACATGCAACAAAATCATACAAATCTCGCGTATAATCAAACTTAGCGCATCGAAAGTTGCGCCTCGCAAGTGTTCATGTAGGATAAAAGTGAATCCGCGACTAGCTTCTTCCAACTAGCTTCGTAGCCTCGCCCCAACTCCCACATATAGATCCAAGTAAGCATTTTCCTGCCACCAGCCCGGTGGTGTGGGAGGCAGCTTAGAAGGCCCACACAGTGACATCAATCTCACCGGGTTGCTATCTAACGACAACAATCGAATAGTTAACACGCCATTCCCTCCGCCACCGCGAACAAGCTCCGCGCTTGGGCGCCCGGGCACACAGCTACTACGGTGCTGTGTGCCCGGGCGTTTTGTTCTTATTCTCTATGAAATCTTTTTTGTTGTATTTTTCCGGGGCTTATGTTTTTGTTATTTTTTGGTCTTCGGTGGTAAGCGAGAAATGAGGTTAAGCGAGGAAAGGAGGTGAAGTCGTCCGCATACAGTTTTCTGTGCAATGTTTACCTATCAACATATCTATCTCACACATCTTTTAGACTTACAATACAATACATTGTCCTCTATTTTCCGTCCCTTCCATCTCATACACGCGTCTATATCCGCATCCACAAAGCTCCCCTCTGAATCTCTCCCACGATTCCATTGCCGGCTAGAGCCCACTTTTGCGCAACGGTTTCTTCATCAACCCTACTCCTCAACACGCCGCTCTGAGCCCAATACTCCATCAAGCCTCTCGCCTCCACCTTACTCAAGCCCTTCAGCCTCATGACCTCTACGTTCTGCAACGCCTTATCGGCCCTCTCGTCATACGATTTCTCAAACGGATCTCTCTGTGTGACCTTTCCGGGCCAACCTCGGAGTTGTGCTGCTTTCTCTTCAGATTGCTTGATAGCAAGTTCCATGGACTTTGAAATGGGGGCATGGCTTCGACTTGTTGCAGCGATGATCGCTCCTCCGTTTGGAAGTCCGGATGTTGGTCTAGACAAGAGATTGACGAAATGGCGAACAATAGCTAGGTCGTGAGAGTGGATAAGGGAATAGTCTGGAGCGCGATACGAACTAGTTTGCATGATGTTACTCAAGCTATCGAGGCATATGAGAACAGGTCGTCGTCCAGGATTTGTGATCTCCGACCAGAAAGCTTGGAAAATGGGCCAGGCAACATCGGGATCTCTGGCTCCGAGCTCGCAGAGACGGGCGAGTGAGATGTTAGATTGGACCGGTATGGGCAATTTATATTCTTTGCGCATTGTGGTGTTTTGTAAAACTGCATTGTTGGCTTTGCCAATTTGTCCGAGCCAATTGGCTGTATATGTGTTTTGTGACCAGAGAGTTGGCTTTGTCCCGTCGACAGGAGTGTAGTCGTTGACAGCGTTGGTGAGTTCTTGGGCTATAGCATTCATCAGTCCTCACTCCTCATAATTGATCCTGCCAGCAACATACCTTCAGGGATATTCAACACTACCCACTCCTTTACGAATGCAGTGGCCATGGCTTGCAAAAGCATCAAGCTCTTCCCCGAACCCTTCTCCCCATCAATCACCAACCTCAACGCCTTCTTGTTTGCCGCGGCATCGGTCATTCTCCTACAGAGCTCCACACTCTCCTCTCTAATCAACAGTCCCGGACGTCTAAAAAGTCCCCAACCTTGCGTCGTCTTAAAAGCTTCCACAGCCCTCAAACTATCAACAGTCTCCCCCTTCAACCCCACAACCTTTCCCACAACATCCTCATGTGTCTCACCCTTACTCTGCAGCGCCCCATCAAGCACAGCATCCTCCCCCCTAACCATCGAGTCCACCATCTCCGCATCAAGGTCCTTCATCCCAGCCACTTCCAACGCATTCGTATTGCTCAGCACAATCCTCTTCCGCATCGCCTTCCGCTCTCCTGGCGCAGGGGGTTTGCCCGTTTTCACAAAAGCTTTCTTCTTGATCCTCAACGTCTTCTCTCCTTTCGCCCTGGCTGGAGCTTTAGTACTAGCTTTCGGCGCTGCTGCCACGAACGCAGTCGTCGAAAAGGAGGGTCGAGAAAGGGGTAAGAGGGAGGCATTAGCAGGTCTCGAGAGACATCTCCAGCAATTTGACGACGCCATCGTGTTGCAATTGAGAGCGGCCCTCAATCAAACGAAGCGTTAAAGAGCTTCACTTGCTACAATGTCGTCCTACTCTCAAAATATTTAGCTCAATTCAAAAAGCCACGCTAAAACGCGGCCGCCTAAAGCAGCTCTCCAAAAAGTTTATCGCCATTATCGCAACTTTTCTTCGAATTCTGCATCTAACCACCAACACACTCAATTACAATGGCAGACTCGGAACCCAAAGGCCCCTCACGGCTCCCCGTCGTCGTCAACAAAGCAACACCCTATACCTTCGACCTCGGCCTCCTCCTCGCCTCAGACCCCAATCCGTTACTCCTCACCAGCCCAGAGAACCTCAACGACGACCTCGCGGCCACAGCAAGAGATGGCGCTCAGGCATTGCTAAACCAATTACTGAGCACCTGTCCAATAACCAACACACCCAACGGCGTCCTCCTCTCCCTCCCCGGCATCGAAACCCGTTTACCCCGAGAAAAGGTACCTTCCCTTCCCTTCCCTCCCTCCCCCCCTCCTCTTTCTTTTAACTAACCCTCCTCCTCCTCCCCCTAGCCCCTACCACCCCCCAAAGCCCAAACAACCTGGGAAAAATTCGCCGCAAAGAAAGGCATAAAATCCAAGAGCGCGGAAGCGAAGAAGAAAATGGTCTACGACGACGCGACCGGCGAGTGGGTGCCGAAATGGGGATACAAGGGCATCAACAAGAAGGCGGACGAGGCGTGGATAGTGGAGGTGGATGAGAAGAAGGAGAGGGAGCGGAAGGAGGGCGCGCAGGTGCAGGGGGATGGGCGGAGGGAGAGGAAGGAGAAGGTTAGGCGGAATGAGAGGTTGCAGAGGGCGAATGAGAGGAAGCAGAAGAAGAATCATGGGGGGAGAGGTTAGGTGTGTGAGAAGGTGTTGATGGGTGCTCTGAATCCATGGTGGTACAGTGAGGAATTGCTGCTTGGGACATATCCTTTGCATTGAAGGCGTTGGTGGGCTTCACCTTCGGGCTAAATGGCGTCTTGGACGGTACGGAAAAGGTCTGAATGTGGTCTTGAGATCCTACTTGCGGGATATGTATGACATTGCAGTAAACCTCACAAAATGCAGACTTGTCAATAGACTCTAGGACGGGATGCATTGCTATCTGTCTACATCTTTTTTTCCATCCGTCTGCTCTGCCACAACTCCAGTTTTCGTCTCGACATGCACCATCATGCACTCCTCATCTCTTCACTAATCTTACAAAAGGGCCATCTGGGGCCCTCTGTTTCAACTCACACCCCTCGGATCACAAGCACATAGTTGCTCCATCCAAGGGCTTAGACCAACACTCCTTCCACCCCATGCTCAGCCACGTGTGTTACGAAACTCATTACACCCATCATGATGAAGACCGCCTCCTATGCTCGCGAAGCGTGGCCCTCAAATGCATCCGATGAACTTGGAAAGACGGGAAGAAAAGTAAAATCACAAAAAGTCCTCCATGTGCAACGCTGGGGTATTCAACACAAACTCGATCGTATGAACGTGATAGAGAGGAAAAGAAGAATCGTAATAAACAACAAGCATGCGAAGTGAAACGCTTCCATCAAGATGCTGACCAGTCGTACCAATTGAAGAAGTGCGAGCTGTCGAGAAAAGAACTTTGAAGGAAATTCGTTGCCCAGTCATGAATATTGCTCGCGATTTCGTACCTCCTTTCGATGTGGCTTGTATCTCATTGCTTCCGTCTGGAGGTCGTCTTAAGGAAAAAGTTTGGAATGCCATGTTTTGATACAAGGTCCAATTCGAATCAACAGCTTTAGCCGAAAGGCAGACCCTATGGTGCTCAGAAGCCAAGCGGGCTCAGTGGCTTTATAGGACTGAGTGGACGCATGTCTGATGAACTTGTTCTAGTCTGAGATCGAGACCGAGATCGTTCCTCAACAACGGTCAAGGTAGTGCTGACGGAAGCGTTCGATGTCTGACTCAAGGGGAGTTTCTTGTGCTGGGCACCGCCTGCCTTTTGGTTCGAGTTGTCGATGCTGCTAGGCTTGCTACTATCAGAGGACGAGACGTTACGCTCATCATGGCTCTCGACTGCGGTGCTGCTACGACCTTCAGCGCTTGATGGAGGAACCATCATGTCAACCTGGTTGAACAGCATATACTCTTGCTCAATATATTGAGCCTCGTTCTTGCAACCTTTCCAACATTCTCTCCAATTGCAAACGAGGAATTTGAAGCAGAAAGCATCGATCTTCATGCAAGGCTGGAAGCAAATGCATAAGTTTCGGTAGTCCATCTTGTTCTTGTCGGAGTGGGCAAGCAGTAATGAGAGGTGGCACGTTATGGCGAAGAGCAGATAGTAGTTGAAAGGTGACAGGTTAGAAAGTTCGTCGATGAGCATCTGCGGGACCTCTTCCGCGCCGGCACATTCCCGAGAGATACGATCTTGAACAGCTTTGGGCAGAAGTTCGTCTTGAAGTTCGCGAAGCCAAGCCTTTAGCATAGAGCCAATGATGTTGATATCGTAGAGATCGCTTTGTTCGAACAGGTCGACATCATATTCTACAAAGTGTTAGCAAAGCTACGACCAAAACCAAAAATTCCAATTCACCTTCATCAAACTTTCTTTGCCACTTCTTAATTTCAGGTGTACTACCCGGAACTCTGTAAAGACCCTCAACATCGCTACCCTTGTAGTTCAAGTAGTCGATAGCTCTCCATGGAAAAGCGGGCATCCAGAACTCTGTCTTATCACGCGACTCCTCCAATTTCTTTGAGATCCTTGTCTTGCGCGTCTGTTCAACAAGTGGTAGATTCAGAACCTTTAGCTGGTAGTGCTCATCGTCAATCACAGGCTCCTTCTCATTTGTGCTGTTCGTTCTGCCCTTTCCAAACAGACCCTTGCTCAATGCTCCCGCACCCTTAGTCGCGGATGTCTTCAGGTTACTTAGGAACGCATGTCCACTGCTTTCTTTGAACGAATTCGAGAAGGAGGTATCGGATCTCTTGTTTGGATTTGGCTCCCTCGTTGTCTGCGATCTGCTGTTGTCTCTCGAGCCTTTGAGCTTGCTGCCCTCCTTCGGACCTTTCTCTTGCGACCTATCTCGAGGCATTGTAGGTTGTCGATCCTCGGATCTCTGTCGAATTGAGGAGTTCATCATGTGTCTGAAAGAGCGGTCGTGATCTATTGGAAGTGGTGCGGTTTTCAGAGAAGTCTCCGGCGAGTACGTGGGTTCAGGCTCGGCAATACTACTCTTGGGCGATGGTTCACGAGGACTCTCTCCGTCGCGGATTGATCTTGTGCGAGAGAGTATGCTGAAAGGCTTTGGTTTGCCCTTCTTCGTAACCGTATTAGTGGCTTGCTGTTGACCGGCGGTAAACTCCCCAGTTGAATCGAGTGAGGCGTCTGATCTCGCGGGCCCACCAACTGGCCTTCGAGTGACTGACTTGTCCAGATTGCTGTCTAGTGGCACATCAGAGGTAAGTTCAGGAAGACAAAGAGACGAAACGGTAGAAGTCGTACCAGTTCTCGCAGTTTCCTTTGTTGAAACTTTTCCGGACATAGCAGGGTGGTCTGTGTCTCTCGACATACTCTCCTCCTGTTTGGCAGCAGCAGCGTCTTTGTCCTGCAGACGACTCGAACTTTTCGAGGCCTTATAGTTGGAGAAGAACCCACTCCGGGAAGGGCGTTCCTTTTCCTTCTCTTGTGTGCCCGTATTCTGTTGTAGTGTGGAAAAGGAGGGACTCGTCTGAGATGCAGAAAAGTTTGGGATTTGTTGCGATTCGGCCGCTTCGATGGACGGAAAGTCACTTTGTGACTTCTTCGAGTTGAATCTGAAAGGGGACCTGGGTGATCTCGGAGACTTAGGGCTCAGAGGAGATTTGGGATTGTCGATAAATTCGTGCTCATTACTGACGATGGTTGGGTTGGGCAGCGTCAGCGGCTGGGGGACCTTTCGTGAAGCCATCCCCTGTTGATGGCAGTTTGGCCCTTTTTTTCGATTGTAAGCGGCTGCCGCAGGTTGCAGGATCGCTGATGTCTCGAGTGCACAGCCTCTGCGTACCTGGATTGTGTCACAATTCCAAAGACAGAAAAGCACTGCTTTGCCTCGATAAATGGGGTGTGCGAGGGTGTCCTGGTGGAGAGACAATGCTTTCGTTCGCCTACCCTCGGATCCGTCGCAAGGTGAGCACGATGGGTTGAGTGTTTCGATCAAGAATCGCCGACGACGGTGTGGGCTCTGGATCAGATGGAAGTTAAAAGGTCCCAGGACAAGCTGTGCGTCTGCGTCCGCTGCAATGCGGCGACCATTCCAGCAGTGACAGTGAATGGTCGGAGGAGCAGCGATGAAACGGGTTGCGTTGCGTACTGCAATTCTTGTATGGAATGTCAAGCAGATTAGGCCTAATGCAGATTGTCGAGAGCGACCGGGGGGTGGTTAAGCGCATGGAGACGTTCGTACCTGAGAGAGGCACCCGTCGGTCGTCGTTCCTAGGACCCGGACAGAGGATGTATGATTGGGGACGGGACTTGGAGAGATGATGAATAATAATAATAATAGGAGAATACAGTCCTGTAGGAGGGGAATTTGTGTGCTTATGGTCGGGATGCAGGTGCAGCGACGGCGAGAGTCAGTGGAAAATGCCCCCGACTGCCAGTTTGTTGCAATTCTAAATCAACCTCCTCCTCCACTCCCGGACTCGGCGAGAATGCTAAAACCTCTGCCAATGCTCGAATATCTAGTCACATGCACGCATCCGTGTGGCGTATTATTTATTGCACCGGAAGTGGTGATGGTGCTGGACACGATCACCGGGGAGCGAACAAGAAGGTGTGCAGTCGTTGCGGCGTGAGTGAGCAACTATGAGAGAACTACTATGGATAATGGAAGAGGAGGGAAGGAGGGGGCTCTGGTATTGGGCGGTGATGACAGAGGAGTGATGGAGGGGTTCAAGGCGAGATCCGGATGTTCCATCATTCACTTTGGCGGCGGTGGTGGTGGTGGTGGTTGCTACCTATCTGCCCTAATGATGTGCATGCCCCTGCTTGGACCTTCTCCTCCTCACCTCGTTCTGGACGGCGGCATTCAGAGACGACGACTAGGAGCCTACAATAGGAATGGTACCCATTCGTTAGCCCAGGAACAGAAAATCCCTGAAACGCAGCCCACTTCCTTCACTGGCAGGAAAAGGGGCTACCGTCAAAATTAGAGATAATGTTCCAGTGTTTGGAGGACCATATAAGTAGGCCAAGTCCTATAACAACCAGGTGGACTGATTTCTATCTAGAATCTTGAAGATCTAGTTTCTCACTTATATTATCCCACAAGTTCTGGAACAATGTTGTTAATATTCCAATTCTTACGGTAACCAGTTACGTGCAAGAGAGCAGTAAACCTGCTTTTGTTTGTTCGAAGAACCTAACCTTACGATTCAAGCACCAGCCCAATCATGGCATATCTGCTGAGTTATTTTTTCCTCTTTGGAACCCTCCTATTCTTTTTTCCACATTTCGAGCGGGGAAGTCCACGCAAACATTCTATGCGGAACTCGTACCTGTTTCAAAGATGGTTATCACGTGATCATTATCCTCTGTGGGCTAATGAAAAGAAACCTTGAAACGGGCTGAGTAGATTAAATCGGGTTTAGAGTTGAGGCACATCCTTGTGATCGTCAGAACTTCCCGAAATTGCAGATCCGCATCTGTGATATGGTTTTTCGTCTGTCCCGGCAGCGTGTCTCAGCCGAAAACGTCATGTCTGCTTGGACTTGAAAGGTCTGTGGATCATCAGTCATGATTCAGACTATATAGAGTTTGTAAAAGAGGAGAACACTTTGGCAGAATGCCTAAGTTATGTAAAGCTTAATTAAATGTCGATATCATGTTTCTCATGCTCTCCAAGGCTTTGAGAGCAAATTTTGACGCGAAATTATTGTACTTCATGCTGAGCGGGATTGGTTTCATACCTTCAGTCACAGCCAAAGCAAATATGTTGTTTATGCCAAGGACATTCAGCTTTTGGAAGCTACATCAAGTCAGGCCTCTAGTTTTGTTGATGGAGCTGGAAAGTAGTGCCAAGACTCAAGCGAGACCCCTATCCTGTGCAAAATCGAAGATCCTTCAAGGACAAGTGTGGCTGGAAGAGCATCTCAGGCATCACTGCCCTGTGTTGGCCTGATTCGACCAACATGATTGATTGGCGTTCACATACAGCATACACCCCGGGTTTATTTACTGATATCCCAGGATCTGGTGGCCAATCGGATCTTCTCACATATCGAGTTGAGTGCAAAAGATAAACATGTAAAACCGATTCCTAGATACCAGCCAGAGTATCTAGGGGGATTAATAGATTCAAGCGAGTAGTATATGAGTAAGTATCTTCGCAAGAAACAAAAATCTAATTTCGATTGTTTGTAGACTCGACTATTTGGCCGCCCTACTGCTCAAGTACAACTCTTTCTGTTTTTTACGACAAGAAAATCTTTATTTGTTTCTATATCCCAAAGCGTGGCGAGGGCGAGCTAGCCCAAATTAGGACTATCGTCAACAGGTATAAGGCCTACATGACCGGCCAAGGATTGAACGCCCTCTCATTTAGAGCTCGGTCTTAGCAATTGCCACTCACGACAAATTAGTACACGTTGCTGCAACTCAAGCAGAAATGGAGCGAAACAATGAAAGACGAAGAATTACAGTGTACCCCCTTGATCATATGTTGGTTTCTTGCCACTTGATTATTTTACTTTGACTTGAAAAGGAAAGGATTTATGCTTCCTTAAAGTACTTATTTGCAGACGGACTTTGGACTTTTAATGTATGACATTCACCTCAAATATTAATCTACCATCTTTAACTTTGAAGAGGAGAGGACTTGTGCTTTTTAAAAGTACTCAATTGCTAACGGACTTTGAACTTTTTAGATGTATAACATTCGCCTCAAGGATGGTAAAATAATCTTTGACTTGAAGAGGAGAGGACTTATACATTTTTGAAGTACTCAATTGCTGACGGAATTTAAGTTTTTTTTAGGATGCCGACAGAACAATCAATTCTTATTCATAAACGTGATGATCTCTGAAGCTCATTGACAGAGAGTCACTTCGCACCAATCCCTCCCTCAAAATCGAAATACCCCTTTCCTTTCACAAACGTAGCTTCGTACGGACCCGTCTTCTCACTCGAGGCAAGCTCATAGTAAAACTCGCCATGAGCCGGCCCATCGATTCTGCCATACACAGGCGCTCCACCTGCCTCCCTCTCATCTGCGTAGTAGAAACTACTTATATCAGCAAACACGAGCGTACAAATAGCAGGAAATAAAGTCGAAACTTACCGAGTTCCCTGATCCCCATGAATCTGCGCAGCATTCTCAATCAAGTACAACGCAGCCCTCTTCCCCATCCCATTATTCATGAGCGCAGGCAAGTTCATATGCGTCAACCCATTCCCGGTATAAATAAACGTCTTCGGCGTCCCCTTTGGCAGTTCCTTGAAAGCTTGGATCGCCTGCTGAAGAGCTGCATACGCACTGACGATGTTGATGTTACTGTCCAGGATGAAATCCTCGACAGAAACGTCGAACGGGTCTTTCGCTCCATGATTTGCAGCCCCTGTCCTCTTCATCAGCACCAATCACAATTACTGGCAAGGATAGACGTACCGTTATAAACCACCACGTTCGGAACCCCAACCTTAGATTTCACTTCATCGAAAATGGTCTTGATGCTCTCATGCTTCGAGAAATCGGCACTCAAGGCCAGATCCGCGACCTTGGAGAGCTCTTCACCTGGATTTCTGGATACGCCAACGGTTTTGTATCCATTGTCCGCGAACTTCTTGACGACGTTCAGTCCCACGCGAGGACCGGCACCGAGAACGAGGATCAACTTAGACGACATGATTTCAGGAGCAGAAAAATGTGGTGAAGAAACTAGAGTAAATTGATTTGAGACAATGAAAAGAAAGAAGATAGCAGAGATGAAGAACATACTTATACCTTTCTGAAAGCAAAATCTTGATTGAGTGAGGAGTGATAGACATCCAAGGTCGACTCTATTACGACAAGCCTCTTGTGATTGGCTGAACTCCGCGCATCGCCGTCAGTTGAATATCAAACTGATATCAGAGCTAAAATGCAAGTGACCTATGCGAGTAGTTTATCTGATAAACCGATCTTCCATTTCGCAGCCTTACTTCTTGATTGTGGGAAACGCGGCTTGATTTATAATGAAACTCAAAGGTCCGGCTCTCCATTGGTTGCCTTTTCGAACACACAAACGAAGCGAGCAAATCACCCAACCCTTCTCGGCTATAATATGTAGGAAGACGATTGTGGTTCCATGGCTGCATTCTCTAATTCGCCTTGTGGGAAGTTGAAGAAACAAGTACGTCAGTCCTCCTGCGAGGCCATGTTAGAGACAACGTCAATAATCTCATGGTGAAATTCCGATTCTCCGAATGCTGGTGTCCATCCCAGAACATCACGCGCATTGTCCGCCTTCGTTCTCGCGCTGCATACGGCGTTAACTAACCACATTCTTACCAGTAATTCGCCACAAACTCACTTTGAAGCTAAAACAGCCTCAGCATCTATCAAGTCGCCATCGTAGAATTCATCAGCCGCCTCTTGTAATGTGACACTTGCCACTTCATCCGTGTCGAAGACTCCCAACTCTTTACCTATCAAGCCAATCTTTTCGGAGATGAATTTCCATGATTGATCTCCGTTCTCAGTGAAATAGTATCCTGCTTTGCCATTTGGTAGATCTTTCTTGCCGTCAAGCACGGCTTGAGTTAGCAGATAGTAAAGATTGCTGAGGTCCTTGATATGGATGCGACTCCAGATCTGTTCAAACATCAGTCTTGGAATGAAGTTTCAGAGAATTCAGACAGACTCCTTCACCATGTCCGATCATGACAGATTGTTTCTTTTTCAAAGCGAGTTGCGCTACCATATGGACTTGGCCAAATCCAAGTGTAAAGAAACCAGTTCCAGGGCCAACTATTGAAATCAGTGAAACATTTTCCACGGTCATGCAGTTTCGGAACTTACAAATGAGGGGTGGAGGAACAACATAAGTTTTGACGTCTTCCTGCTCACCACAATCAACTACGAATTGATTGACTTTCCGTACTGGACTAAGAGAATCTGGCCATTCCTTCTCGATCTCGAAGATATTGTCATGCTTGTCTGAATAGACTTTGGTGTCGACTCGCTTTTTGGTTATAGGCCAGTCTCCAACCATGCTTGCCCCAGATGTCTGACAACCGATCAGAAAAGAACTCGACAACATATAACGTAGTATATCACAGAATTCTCACATGGATATAATGCATCACTTTCCCAGTAGATTTCTGCCGTTCACCAAGGCCCATCAGACAAGCCTTCGCACACCCCTCATGTCTCGCCGAAGCAGCAGCAACGACAACTTTATACCGTCAGCAGCACTTCATACTAACACAGCACTTAGACAACAAACTATCATGATCCTTTGCAGCATCGCGGATCGTATCAAAATCATCCAGATCCTTGAAAATGATCGGATTGATACCTTGATCCTTCAGTATCGACGCATGATAAGGCTTTCGAACTAATGCTGAGATCTCATGCGAATCAGCAAGGCCTCGATCGATCAATTCTGTGAGAATTGAGCCTCCGCTGTTCGAGGTAAGTAGGCGGCAGCAAGAAGGTGTAGCAAGATCAATCACATGTATCCTGTCGCTCCCAAAACCAAGATCTTTGTTTTCTCTGTCATTTTGACAGGTCAAGCTTAGCAGCTTCCTTTGAAGCTTGGACAAGTTCGATCGAGGATATTGAAAGTTTAAAGAGGAGAAGGATGGATTATGAGCTGGGAGACAGAAAACTTGAAGGCTTAAGAAGAAACGAAAGTAGTCGAGACGGTGGCGAAAAAGGCGTCATCACGTGCTCGCCGAAACAGTCACCGGAGTCAGATCTTGGAAGATCATCTCTGACAAGTCTCATTCCATCATTTGGCTGTGCCTCGCTTAGCTTCGAAAGACCAAAAACTCACAGAGCCAAAGGCTGGTGTCATAAGAAATCATTTTTGCGACTAACCCTCTCCCATCTCGGCCAAACTTTTATGGTTCTCGCTTAATTTGCAAAGAACGGCGGCAATTGCGAACACAAAAAAAAAGAATTCAAAAAATGGATAAAAAAATTAATTTTAACCTGGGCTTAAGAATGAATTGATTATGAATATTCATTTAGGTTCTCTCATATGAATAACTTAAACTCTTTTTCTGTCAAAGCCAAGTCCATCTAGGTTCTCTCACATGGATGCTATGCGGTTTTGTTGTTATGGCAAAGAAATGCTTATTTAAATCTATACAGACGTTTCTGGCTAGGAATAGACCTTGCTTAATCGCTTGTTCAGCCTTATGCTAGGATCAATCTTGCAATCTGAGCCTTCCTCCCTATATACGGTTCTGCACAGTTGAATCATACTCAGTGCGTCTCTGGCTCAAAGTGGAAGCCCGTTGCCTGCTGTTCCGCTTGTTTTCTAATGCTGAACTCATGGCGCTTCAAAATGTTGTCCTATGGATTTCGACAGTATCTCGAAGCTTGTAGCAACGCGGTCTGAATCGTTCTTAGTTCCGACAGAAGGCAACTCAAGAATAATATGTCATCATTATTCCCGTCGACTGCATAATGTCGAGCTGCTTTTTGTTTTGCTTCCTCACATGAGAAACTCTCTCTCTTCACTATGAGTATACTTGACAGTTGCAAGCTCTCTTTCCAGCACATCGTCGTTTGAAAGCCTTCTTCAACATTTCCTTACAGAGTGCGGACTTTCACTTTTCAAAAATATAAGTAAGCGTTTACGCAATTGGTTGACTTAATGAGGTCTCCAACATAGCGTCCTGCTCAAGCTTTGAATCATTTACTCTGCTTCATGTTTGCTGCCCTTCAAAATTTCGTTCCGTAGATGTTCTGATCAATTTCATGCATTGTCGCTCATAAGTTAATAAGCTCCAACGATGTTAACTGCGAGGCGAAAGAGCATCTTCAATGCAAGTCTATTGAATATCAGGAAGCTTGCTAAGAATCAAAATGCTGTGTTGGAAATACTCTTAGTTGAATGAGACCTTCTGGACTATTGTACAGAGGATTACAAGGAGAAGCTGATGGTGTTAATATCACTTGAGTTAGCTAGGAAATACCCAGGTAGTCCATGCATTGGGATTGATGCAATTTTGTCTCTAGTATCAATGATCGACCGTAAGAATCGAAAGATAAAACGATAATATTGTTCCAGGGTTTATGGGACAATATAAAGAGGCCAAGTCCCATGTGTGAATTACCTAGTATTCGAGGGGAGATGTAGTGTAAGCACGCTGTACATTCCCTTTTATGTCGAAGAAGGGGGTTTTTTTTTCCATTATTTTTGTCCCACATGCTTTGGAAGAATGTCATCTTATACCCTGACTTTTTCGGTACGGTACTTTGAATAAACCATGACTTATATACTTTTGGACCTCTATGAGTAAGAGAAGCATGGGCAGTCGGGTAATGATAATGGTAGTATAGAGCTGTATGGAGGCTCGAAAACTGATGGTTCCAGGTTCTAACATGTAAAAGGACGAAAGTAATCCGAAAAGCCTGGTCAGGGGTACGACACGTGACTGTGATCCAACCGCACCTGTTTCCCGAAGGTCACCTTAGTTCTTTATTAATTCGATCAACCACACAGCTCGTATTAAATTGGATAAGTGTCCCTGGCGAGCTGGGAGATTTAAATCAGAAGAATGCCCTCTCAAGCTGAAAGAGCATTATTTCCCTTTTCAAAGGCTGGATGCATCATGTATGGACACGCTGTCAGCGATCAAATGCTTCCACCTGACTTGCTTTGATGAGACATCTTCAAGCATAGATCCCGACATGTCTCATACCAGACCATGGATCTCCAGAAAACCCACCTACGTATGTGTTTTCATAAATTTCTTTTCCTTGGCGGTATAAAGAAGCATGCTTTGCAAGACTCTCTTGCACGAGTGCACTACGATGTCGATCACCTCTGAACTTCAGAAAATGTCAATCTCCAAGCATTCAACTTCCCTCCTGGACGCAGAGCCGTACTACCACTCGGAACTGGGAAACATCCGCAGAGTCACAGCAGAAGAGCTCCCCGGACTCCAGAACCTATCTCTCGAGCGCCTCGTCCTCGCTCCAGGATCGATCCGCGAGCCTCACTGGCACGTCAACGGCAATGAACTCGCATACTGCTTCACGGGTCAAGTCCTAGTTTCCATCCTCGGGACCGGCAATGAGTTCTCCAGCTTCACCGTCACCGCGGGAGAGATGTTCTACGTTGAGGCCGGCTCACTACATCACGTTGAGAACATTGGGGATGAGGAAGCTCTTCTTATCATTTCTCTCCGTCATGAGCGACCACAGTACTTTTCGCTCCATGCAAGCTTCGGAGCTATGACGGATGCTGTGCTGGGAAACACCTACGATCTTGAAGCTTCGTCTTTCCAGACGTTGCCGAGGGACAGGTCTCCCAAATACATCGTGAAGAGGGAAGGCGATCCAATGATCCCGACTACGATCCAGCTTGTCAATCGACACAAGTTCGACATGGAAGGTATGGCTGCTCCTGTTGCCGACTCCGTCGGATCTGCGAAGACTGCTCGCTCTCAATTCTGGTACTCCTTCCCTGATTGTCCCTTGTCGAGCAAGCCTTCGTACTGTATCATATGACTAGCATCCTCCAGGCCAGCACTAAGCAACATGTCCATGTACTTCCTCTGCATCGCCGAGGACGGCATGCGCGAACCGCACTGGCACCCCGACACCGTCGAAATGGGCTACGTCCACAAAGGCAAAGCCCGCATGTCGGTGCTCGACCCCTCGGGCTCGCTCGACACCTACTACCTCCAGCCAGGAGACTGCTATTTCATCCCGGCGGCGTTCCCGCATCAGATCGAGTGCGTGGAGGGAGACGAGATCCACTTTGTGATCTTCTTCGACCAGCCGATGCCGAAGGATGTCGGGTACCGGAAGGCGGCGACGGCGATGAGTAGAGAGGTGCTGGCTGCTACTTTTGGGGTGGCGGAGAAGGAACTTCCTGAGTTTCCGGTTACGGTTAAGGATCCGTTGATTGTGGTGAGGAAGAATCCTGTTGATTAGTTTGGTTTCTGGGATCTAGAAGAGCGCGATAATATCATTGACACACTAAGAGTTTTTATGCTTTTGCTTCTTTTCCTTTGCATGTATTCTCTTGTGACCGCATACACTTCCAGGTAGCAGTGATTATCCCAATAGGCTCGACACATTGAAAAGTTCATGGTGCATATCAACCTTATCTCTATCTTTCATGAAGATGGCAGTAACACCAATACGTGGCAGTGTTCAGAATCTTGGCTTCCATGTCTCATGCGCTGTATAGAGTTGTCTCACTCGATTCGGAGACGAGCAGCGACATGTGCGACGTATCAGCTAGGATACATCCTCCACTATCAAGTTATGTTTCAGCCTCTCAAGTCTTCCAAGCTTTAAAGTTCCCTGCTTCCTGTGTTGAGAGCCTCGAAGGGTGTGGATGGTGGCCTCAATCACCTCCCACAGTATCCCACGGCCCCTGACTGTAAGAATTAGAACGTAAGAATCTAACATCGTTCTAGAGTTGTGGGACAATATAAATTCGAAATAGAAGGCAGTCTATAATCGTGCAAAATTCTGTCGTGCTCTGGGACACTGGGACAGTAAGCAGCACTTGGCGCGAAATGCGCCCGTTGCGAAAAACGCGCTGATTGCGCCGAATGTGTTTATTCTGCTGCTACTCTGTTGAAAATTCCAATATTTTCTGGCTACCGAGGGTTCTCAGTCAGTACGAGTCTTTTGCTATGCTCCTGTGACTTGCTCTCTTGGGATACTGCCGTTGCTGAATCTTGTAGCATTATTACAATACACCATCACCTCTCATCCCTCCCACCGTCACCTGTCAAAGATCTTAAGTTAAGAAATCAATAAGAGGGAAATTCGAAGAAGACAAACTATGCATTAATTTTCAGGCCTCTAATCGACCAACTAAACACCATCCTATGCTTTCGTCCCCTGTCACTCAAACATACAATAAACACGGGTAACGCCCCCTTTTACAATTCCCCAAAGGCAAACTGATGCAAATCATGCAAGCAAAGCGGACCACCCAATGCATCCCTCCATATCCATGCAAAACCCTGCAATGTTCATCTCGCCTCAGCAAGAATCAGATATCCGAGTACTCTTCTCCGTAGCCACTGTGTTGTTGCCACGCACCACTCATATGACTACCCTCCTTGCTCATACCGCTGCCATAGCCACTACCCCAAGCTTGGCTTCTCAGTCTCCTCTCTTTCTCGAACTCGCCCCATCTCTTCATCGTGATCTTTGAGCTATCGAATTCTCCTTCATATTCGATACCTGCCTTCTTAGTCTTCTCGCCCGCAGTCTTACGAGTATCGCCCCAAGAAAAGTCGTCAAACTTCCAGAACGCGTAGGTTGGGAGAACGAAGTTCCAGATTGGAAGTGAGAGAAGATAGATGAACATCCAGACCACGTAGGACCAGCGATGAGCAGTGAGGACAATGAGGACGGCGGGAAGACCAAGAATGAGCGCCAAGAGGACAAGCGGAATAATTTGTGGTGGAGAGCGAACAATTGAGATAATGACTATAGTCTCGTTAGTGAATCGAAGGATGAAAGTGCAATTTAGTATAACTTACCGACGTAGAAGGTGAAGGCAATAGCAGCGGGAAGAACCAAGGTACCGATAAGTTCAATGCCGACAACGAATTGCATACTGAAGCAGAAAGTACCGCAAAGATCTCGGACGAGAACGAGTTCCATGAGGTTGTGTACAGTACTGTTGATCCATCTACGTCGCTGGGACAGCAAGACGCTGAATTCCTCTGGAACCGTGGTTTTGCAGACAGCTTGGGGAACGAATACTTGCTTGCGCTTGGGGAAGGTTCGAAGCATAAGAGTCGAAAGGTAACGATCTTCACCAAGTAGCAACAAGTTCTTCTTGTGGAGAGTGTCGACAACGTTCTCGGAGTAGTGCTCGACAACATCAGGATTGGCAAGAATTGGTACCCAGTAGTTCTGACCTCCCTTTGGAGCCTTGATTCTGTACATGCAGAAACAACCAGGAAGACAAGTAACACCACCGAAGACAGATTCGAAGGACTTGGACAGATGATGAGAGATGAAGTACTCGAAGACTTGAATGGCGGATACCCAGGATGCACGCTTGTTGGCGATCTTAGTCTCACCGCAAAGACCCATGATTTCGGGATCCTTAACCATAGCAGAAACCATGTGCGTCAAGCTGTCTGGGAATACTTTCGTATCGGCGTCGACCATGAGAACAACTTCGTAGAAATCAGGCGAGATTCCAGTGACCTTCCATAATCCGTTGAACATCTCGAATTCCAACTCAGTCATACGCTCATCAAACATAACCTTTTGCAAGAAAGACATCAGAATGATTTGACTGTCACGCTTTCCTCTGTTACCTGGCTTGCTCTTTGTGGACTCGTCTGGTGTACCGCACTTTACAACGCACATCATGGGAACACGCTGTTGTCTATCCAGAGGAACAGAAGAGTTGGAGCCGTAATCGTAGAATCCGGAATAGACCTTTGCCATGTTGTGTCGCTTAGAGCCACTGGAGACGGCCACGTACGAGAAAGCTTGAACCTCATCTGGTAGAATAGAATGATCCTTCATCATGCTCAAGATGATATCTGGGGTCGACATGGTTTCTCCCTTGCCCTTGATAACACCGTCACAAACCACGAGAATGGTCTTGTGGCTGTTCGGGTAGTCGGTCATAGCAATAGAGTCGAGTGTGGTCCTGATACCGAGCTCGCCTTCCGAGTAGGCTGTTACGAGACAGATAGCGTGAGCGAGAGGATAGCCAAAAGGTTGCCAATCAGATGGTGGTTGAGGAACAACGGACTCGTGAATGAATCCAGCTGGACCTGGTCCTTCGTAGTCACTTTGGACGCCACTATTACCGTAAGAATCTGAGCGGATGAAACTGTTTCGACTTCCATTGGCTTGCTTGAACATTGGATTGGGTGGGAGCAGAGCGGCGGTCGACGTCTGGCTGGCCATGGTGGTTGGTTGAGGTCGGCCAACTCGGGACAGTCTATCACCTGCATAAGGGCTGGTGAAGCGAGAAGTAGTGGGTAAGAAGGTGCTTCCTCTCTTGCTCATTCTATCGGAACCAACAACTGTGCTGCCAACATCTCCTGCAAGTCTAGGAGGTGCACGGTAGATATCATCTGACCATGCCTCAATTTGTTGTTGTCTCTTCTTTTTATCAGAAGACTGTGAAGTCCTGGATGCTGCGAATTTGCGGCTGAAGAACCACTGGAATAGTAGTGCCAGAACGAATTTCGAAACAACAACCGATAGGATGAAGACTAGAGATACGTAGAGGACGACCTTGGAAGCAATGCAGCCAACTGTCTCGGTATCAACAGTGCCGACCTTGATGATCTGCTCGAAACACTGGGCCATAGCCTTGTCATCTGCACTTTGGAATGCATGAGTGACATCTTTGCCATGCACGGCAGCGTTGTAAGCTGTAGTCCGATCACTCAGATCCACAAATGTTTGTGGGACCTGGACTTCAGTTCCGTTGAACCATTTCAACAGGTCAAGATCAAGCACATTTCCAGAGTAGACCATCAAGTTTCTCGAAACGTTCTTGATATCATCCCAAGTGAAGTAGACATCGCCCGAGCTCGAGAGATCATAAAACGCTTCTCTGGCACCAGCCTGAGTGTGACAAGCGTAACCCAAGTAATATGGAATCGTCTTGTTCACCGGACTTGAGCCGTCTTGATTGAAAGGGGTGCATGGGAAGTACCAAGCAAGGTCCTTGTCGGAATTCGTCGGAACATCTGATCCAGGGCTAAGTGTAATGAGATCCTTACATTTGCCGTTGACGTTTTGGAACAAGAAGCTTCCATCTTGACCTCCGTGCTTTTCCGCCAGATCATATAAAACATTTGCTCCGTTGGTAATTCCTTTGGCAGCTGGATGATGCGATTCCACAAGGTTGTACGCGCTTCCGTGGAAAATCATGTAGCCACTATCAACCTCGTTGATACGCATTCGAGTTGCTGGTGAACCACACACTACAGCCGTGAAGCCGAAAGTCAAGAAACCAACACAGCCCATGATGAATAGAATGATGCTGATCAACCCCATTTTCTCTCTCCAAGCTCGTTGCTGCGCCTTGGCCGGCTTCCCAAAACACTTTAATACGAAATCCGGGCACCAGAAGGTAACAATTGCACAGTAGACATTCCACAGACTTGGCGGCTTGACAGCATCCAATTGCTTTTGTCTCTCCTTCTCTTCCTTGGTGAGCTTTACTGTTCTCTCTCTTCTCAGTTTCTTGCTTCTGTGAGCACCGAGGCCAACTTTCTCCGTGACAATATCTTCTGGCCCTCCTCCATGGCCCCGTCTAAGCTTGTTCGTTGGTGGTGATATGTCCGACTCGCCTTCTTGAGAGCTTCGCAGACCTGAAGTCTCCGTCGCAGCAGCGTCAGCCTCGAGATCCTCCATGATTGGATCATGTCCCGTGGTGGAAGGATGGATATTCATGTTCGCAGCGTGCTGTCTATAGTGGTAATTGGGATGGTTCTGGTCAATTCTGCCCCGCTCTGGCCGAATCAGACTCTTCTTCCTCGATATTTCAGGTGTTCGCGAACGATCGACTATCGGGACAGGAGCCAAAGGTTCGGTTGTTGGAGTAGGCGTAAGAGGGGATGGCAGGGTCTCGGCGAAGGAGGATTTTGATGGCCCACGTTGATGTCTCGAAGGTGAAGCTGTATTGACTGTTCCTCCAGCATAGTAGCCTGTCTCTTCATCGTGTTGTTGACGTCGCCGTGAAGGAGAGTTTCGGTATGCAGATCTCTGCTCGCGCGGAGACTCGTTAGAGTCAGGACGCCTGGGTAACGACATTGCTCTGTAGATGTGAACAATATCAGTAGATGTTCAAAGAGAACCTCACAAGAAGTTGCTGCTTCAGTCTTGCCCCGCTTGGTGGTGAGGCTGCGACGGTGCTATGATGCGATTGTTTTCCTCGGGCCAACTCCAATATGGAGTGGGACCGTCAACAAATTCTCTTGGACGAAGGAATGTCAGAACAAGGTTTCTGATCTTTCCTACTTACAGTGATATGAATTAAAGATGCTACAAGTAAGAGAGAACAAAGAGTGTTGTTGTCGATATAGTACCCCTGTTATGGGGGTGGGCGGGGATTCGTTCCTTGGGGAACGAGTTGAGTGATCAAGGAAGGCAGTGCCTTGCGAGATCCTTCCAGCTCCTTTCAGCTGGATGCGATGTGGGTTAATGGATAGAGCGAGTGAGGCTGTCGAATCTCGACAGGCAAGTGCAGTTAAGGTTGAGAGGGTGTCCAAGTTTCCCACTTTATTTTCGCCCAGATCTGTGGTGGTGGTGGTGATGATGAAATGCAAAGAGGGTGGCCCGACAACAGGAAAAGCGATCGTATTTTTCGTTTCAAATAGAGGAGGAGCGACAGGACAGGCAAGACAATGCCGTTCAAACGAATGTGAAGCCTGGGAACTATAGATGCGACATGGACGAAGAAGAAGAAGGGTGCAGACCCGTCGTCGTCGTCGTCGTCGAAGTGGTGGAGGAGATGCGGGAGAGGCTTCGTGAGGAATGAAGATGGTGGTCGTTCAGATGCACGAGCATAAAGTTAGAGTGGAGTCCTCTCTCTCTCCCTCGTCTGTCTGCGTGAATGAGGGTCGGTTGATCGCTCACGCCTTTCTACAGTACGACCCCTGGAGCGAGTGCTGCATTTGGATCAGCGGCCACGTTCTCCCGCTCTGATTTGCTCGCGGCATCGCTCTAGACTCCACCTCTTCCTCTTCACGAACGGGGGCCCGATCGATTCAGCGGCGGCGGAGGCAAATCACTAAAAATACGTTTACGTTACCAGGGAGATCCGTTGGCCCCAAAGCCGTCGTTTCTCTTATGCAGACCGACGCTTTTTTTCCTCCTGGCTATTTTCTTAGACTCGCGAACTACCCGGAAAAGGGGTAGAGGGGAGAGAGATCAAACGGTTTTCCATCACGAGCTCACAAGTTCACGAGATGCGTTGAAGCAAAAATTGACTGCAATACGGAGTACAACTGGGGCTTCTCTAAGCTTCTTCTGATCTTCTTCACATCATCCGCGCCGCAGTCCCGTTTTGGAATCCGATCCCCTGACTGGTCAATGGAAAATACGAGGGATCCCAGGTTGAGGCGCTCAATGTCTCATGCGTGGCGTTGGAAAATTGTGTCTGGGGTTCGAACTGTTGTTCAAGTTCCGCCCTGCCTTTAATCGATAACTCAATCTGCGTCCGGAGCACAACGTGGCCATCAACATGGAGAACGACATGGAGAGCTTCACGGGCGACGATGATGATGACGATCCGTACGGTTTCAATTGCAGCACAGTCAGGCCAGGCAAAAGTGTAGAAATGTGATGGCCGCTTCGGACCTCCAGTTTCAGATATCACAGCCTCAAATGATATACATCACCGGGTGTGGCAGCTTGAAGACCCCTCAAACATCAACGACTCTTGCCATTGGATCTCCAGGTCAGAACGTCGTCGGCTCTGCATTCTTCTGAGCCTCAAAGATCTGACGAAAGTGTGGGGTTTCGGATGATGTGCGTTCCAAGAAGCTTCCAAGCCTGAGAAACACCCCAAGTATCCGTTTGACGCAACAAGTTTCAAGGTCTGCCCTCGTATGTCGTGCAAAATAGAATCTTGCACTGAAGTCTAACATCAGCCAACAAGGCGCCAAGACGCTGCTTCTGACGATATATCACGAAATCTCAGTAGTACTTGTGGCTGAGCACTATCAACAAAACAACCTCGTACTACACCAGCGATCTGTGGGATTTACTTATCAAAGATGGTACGAATCCCAGAATGCAACACTGGAAAGTCTGGAAGTCAGGTTCCTGAATTCTCTGATTCAGATATTGCCCCTTTCTCTACTGATGTATGTCTTCTGTCTTGGAACAAGATGAAGACCTGCTTGATGCGAATTAGCAGACCCTGTACATCTGTCAAAGTGACTTCATAATTCTTACCGATGCATCTTCCCGAATGCAGATCAACTAGGTCTTCGGGTTTGAGGGGTGTCTTTAAAAGCGGATTCCATCTCGTATCAAAAACACTTACTGACATTGGCAGCGACTTCCGAGTGACTCTTGGCGGCTTTTCAGGTAGACTACGCTGGAGCCTATTGCTAAGATTTTGCTGATGAGAGATCAGCTCACCAGAAGGATGAGGAGGTAATACTGTATCCTGCATATGTGTTTCGAGTGTCGAGTTACACTAGGCAGAGAATTCCGCATCTGTAGCGGTTCCTGTTCCCAATACGCCGGGAAACCGACTGCATGCGCCCGTATTCAAGCACCCAACTGACGCCGGCTGACCCGGATCGAAAAGCCACCAAAAGGCGCCATCCGTGCATAAGTGCTAAGACCCGGTGGTTGTCAAAATAAACATTATTATTATTGCTCTCCTGAATCGCGAGATATTGAAGAGCGGATACCGCGACTTCCTTATTGGGACTTTGTGACCACGTTCGCAACAGCAAAGCTTGAATACGGCCGAGCTCCTCAAGGTCTCTCGTATCGTTTCAATTCCATAGACTAGACCTTGAAAACTTATTCCACCGAGTAGAGACTTCTCCTTTCTCCTTACCAATAACCCCTTCTCCTACCGCTGAGGACTTTGTCCATTGTGCATGATCATCCGTTTCCTCCCCAAGAAAACAGACAGGCCTGTACAACCCTTGCCCAAACCTTCTTTTCTTGAAGCGAGCTTGCGCATCGGTTTATCCTCCTCATTAATCCCCGGAATTCTCGAAAGCTTCTTCGCATTCTAGGCCGGAGATTATTGTCTTTCAATCATTTCAAGACGCTGGCCCCTCACCGGTAACATCGGCAGACGAGTTCATCAGGATTAAGGACCAAGAACACTTGTCCAAATCTTCTCGACGAACGGTCTTCTTCCCCGCAGGTCTCACTCGCTGTATTTGGACGAGGCCCAGTATCCTCAGCCCATAAGAAGCTGTATCTGCAGCAGGGGACCTCTTTGTGGCTGCGAGAACGCCCCCAAGGAGAAGTAAACGTGTACGAGAAAGCAAAGCATCTCAGGAAGGCGGATTCTGACGTGCTAAATCCGCAGGCTTTTTCTTTTACATTCTTGCATACCCGCACCGCATTCCAAGACAGCTTTCCAGCGACGCAATAGCCTCAAGACAAACACCCGACAAACGACTGACAATCTGCACCGAACAAACGTGCGACAGTGTCCTCCCAGCTGCACAGCGTTCCTGTCGTCATCTGTCAGTTTCGAAAGTTTGGAAGCACGTCGACTGCCGCAGGTACATAAATCTTCAGCGTGGGCTAGGGTCTTCTACAGGGGTATTGATCACTAACAGCTGGCTAGCTACGTGAAACAGTTGGTACTGCCCACCACCTCATTCATCCTCCCACTTCGCACCCAACAACATCTCACAACGCACGTCAATACGGGTCTTCTTTCAGCATCAGACCCTGCTTTGCCAAAGCCCCGAGGAGATTGGTCGATTTCGAAGGCAGAAACAGATCAGAGCCTTTCGCAGCCACGGAGTTCACCGGTAAGACATTGGAGTTTGCCTGGGAAACAAATCCGCCTTTTCTTCACGTCCATTCTAAACTCTTTCCAAGACAGTCGCTGATTCTTCTGCTTCACCGTCCAGATTTCTAAACACTTCTGGCTGCATACAGCTTGACCTTCGTTTCCGCACTCGACGAAAAAGTGGTTTTGCATCAAAGTATTTCTGGCCTACGAGGCCCTACCCCGCCGGTCCCACCCACTACGATCACCATCTTACAATACAAAGTGGCATACGGATATCGCGAGCAGCCAATAGTCAAGTGGGGGAGACTTCTAGGTCAGAGACACGTTGTTCTCTGGGCTAGCAGTACCCTAGACTCTTGGACTCTAGGAGACTTTCTCCTTTGAGCCATTGAACCACCGAAATCATGGCAACGCAATCGTCCCCCGAATCTGTCAACAGGAAACCTCTACCCCCTCCTGGTTCACCGTCAAAATATATCGAAGGCGATTACAAGGAAAATGCTGGGAATGAGGGGCGCAAACCACTTCCAAAAATTCCAATACCTTCCTCAACAGGCCGGATGCATGGCGCACCCATGTCTCCAGTCCGAGTCAACGTGCAGCCAGAAGACTGGCCTCCAAAGGCATCAGTTGCTGTAATCGAGGATGGAGTTAGGATGGAAAGTCAGACTTCAAGGGAGTCGGAACAATTCGAGCCGGAACGATATGAGCATAGAATGCCTCTGACAACTGACCTGCCATATCGACCGAACCCGAATACAGAAATACAAAGACCACAAGCGGCCGTCATGTCTTCTGGAGACAGCTCGAGCTCAAGATCGCCCTCGAATGGATCATCAAATCAGCCTTCAAGACGCGGCTATCCAGAACGTATCGATGAAAATGATCCTGCCAATATGCCCGTTCCGCGACTCCAGTATCACCATCAATCGCATTATTCTGACGGCGGGAATGGTCAAATGCGCAGACCCGGCCTACAAAGTCCCAGCACCCCAGAATTGGTGGAAGCAGGGCAGTCTATTAATCGACATCTTACACCAAATTCACAGATGGGAATGCGGAACTCGATTCAAAGACCCATGTCGGCATACTCAGATATGGGACCTCGAGGCCGCTCTCCTGGACTCACAGGATCGCCACATTGGGGGACACGAGCACCTTCAGCGCATTCCGGTAGATCTGATAGCAGACCAATCTCATACATTGACTTGAACAACGTATCATACCCGCAAGCACCACCTCCGCCTATATCGCTTGACAACTCGCAGCTCAGAAGTGTGGTTGGATCAAACGCCTCGCTACTCAGCATGGGGAAGACTTTGGAGATGTATCGTCAAAATGTCAAGAAGCTGAATGATGCGGAGACACAATATGCGTTCGCTATCTTTCTGATACAGGCTGCTCAAGAGGCCGGATTAAACCAAGAACCAAATGCACCTCGGAAATTGAGTCCTAAACCTGGAGGTCGAGATCTCGACAGCCCCTATATTGAAAAGCAACAATCTTCGCCACAAGAACTACTTTCAGAAGCCAAACACATATTACAAAGACTGTCGGATCGAAGCTATCCTTTCGCGCAGTACTACCTGGCTGATGGATATGCCTCTGGGCTATTCAGTAAAGGCAAGGAGGACTACAATACAGCTTTCCCGCTTTTCGTCTCCGCAAGTAAGCATGGCCATGCAGAATCTGGATACCGAGCCGCCTTGTGCTATGAGTTCGGATGGGGATGCAGAAAGGACGTAGCGAAAGCCGTTCAATTCTACCGACAATCGGCTTCGAAGAACCACCCAGGAGCAATGACGCGTCTCGGACGTGCGTGCTTATCCGGGGACCTTGGTCTGAACAAATACAGAGAAGGACTGAAATGGTTGAAGAGAGCCACCGAGTCTGCAGACGTGCAATACAATCAAGCACCCTATCATCTCGGTCTTTTATACGAGACTGGTTACGGTGATGACATTTTCTTGGACGAAAGTTACGCTGCTCAGTTATTCACTCAGGCTGCCGACTTGGGTCACCCCGAAGCTTGCTATCGACTTGGCGATGCATACGAGCACGGCAAATTGTCTTGCCCGAGAGATCCAGCTCTAAGTGTGCACTTCTATACTGGAGCAGCACAGAGAGGTCACCCTGCAGCAATGATGGCTTTGTGTGCCTGGTATATGGTTGGCGCGCCCCCTGTTCTCGAGAAGGATGAGAATGAAGCATACGAATGGGCGCGTCAAGCAGCAGATGCTGGTGAGTCTCAAATTTCCTCTTCTTTCAATACCCACTAACAGATTCATAGGTCTCACAAAAGCTGAATATGCTGTTGGATACTTCACAGAGATGGGTATCGGTTGTCGTCGCGATCCTCTCGAAGCTAATGTGTGGTATGTCAAAGCTGCCGATGCAGGTGATGAGCGCGCCAAGGTTAGATTGGCTGCTATCCGAGCTGCAGCAAGTGGAGGAGCACCTATGGAAGTAGCACCCCCGAAGAGCGGAAAGATGAAGAAGAGTCAGAGCGGGAACGAGAAGACCGGTCTGAACGAGAAAGACAAAGACTGCGTCGTTATGTGAAACTTCACACGAAAAGCAAATCTCACACGCTATCACAAAGTCATGTACCAGGTACAATCGGATTCGAGAAAAGCATAAAGGTGCCGAAAAAGAAGAAGAACGAGCTCCAGAAGGGGCATAATGTCAGTGTATATAATGGATTTTCCCTTCACGCCGGAAGGGGGTCATCGGGTCCGCATCTCATCTTTCAAGGTTGCATATTGCATGTCGGGGACGGAGCATCCTCGATCTGGGGCATCATCACAGGCGTTTGTTGTTTTTAAAGTTTTTCGAAGGCTTCTACATAGAATGCAATGCATTGGGAGTGAGGTTTTGCGTGCATGGTATGGCAGAATGCGGACGGACGATGGATGTCTGAATAGGCTGTTAGAATAGCAGAGATGAGTGAGCGGAGGGGACGTGAGGTGAGGGGGACGTGAGAGATAGATAGATGAGAGATGAGATTAATGAAGAGTAATGATGTTGAGATAGTAAAACTTGTCGTCCCTCTCGTTGATGTGAAATCTTTATTGTTCTCCCCACCCTTTGATCTGATCTTTTCTTTCCTTTCGGTCCACCAACTCATTACAACCACTCCATTCTACTTCTCTATTTCCGAAGTAAACTTACCAGGGACGATGAGAATCCGTAGAATAAGGAGAGGGGTTATGGACTTATAGGAGCCGGATGGATTATATATATAGAATGAGGTGTTCAGGTTGCCCTTGAGAAAGGAGATGATGTAAGATAAAACGAAAGTCACCAAACTCGATGGACATTCAAAGCGCCGATATCAAACGGAGAAGACGAGCTATAAGACTTACCGCCAACCCCAGAGAAAAGAAACACACGAGCTCACAAATTTCACTTCCCCAAGTCAAATCATGAATGATATCTCTCTGAATTCCGCTATGCAGGATAAAAAGAAGCGAAACGCCCCTTAATCCATGCTCATCTATGCTCAAGGTACAAATAAGCTCATGGCCGTCATCTCATCATAGCCCGAAAGCAAGAAGTAATGCCCACCCACGCTGTAAGACTGCCAGGCTCTTGAAAAGCAGAGCATAGAAATTCCGAGACTCCATTTGAAGGCGTTAAGAAAAGAGAAAAGCCTCCAACGCCTCTTGTGTATTATGCTATGCATGCTTGGAAAACCTGACCAGAAAACGCCATTGTATTACACTGACATGGAGCTGCACCAGAAGTTGTAGTGCTTGGGAAAGGTCCAAATGCTCCTTAGAAATGTGGAACGAAGAATCGCACAGACGGAATACCAGTCCAGATGGATAAGACTGATGGAGCTAGGTAGGAGACAGTCAAGACTTGATATCTGGAATGATCTCATCTGGCTTCTTGGGATTAAACCATGCGACTCTTCGATCATCACCACCTCGAGCCCCCACGGTAGTCCAGACGTGTTTCATTGGGATCTTGACGTTGGCAGTCTCTCTGAAACCCTTGAACTTCAATCGTCCTTCGGGTTCCATATCGCTGTTGCCCAGTCCGCCATTGGAGACCCATTCCTTAACGGCGTCGCGGATGAACTCAATCTTTCTGCGGAAGTCGTTGGCTTGGGGAATGCCTTGAATCATGGGGTTGATCTCAGGTCGCTTTCTTGTCGTGGACTTGGTTGGCTTGGCCATGAAGTTCAGGAGAGTTTGAAGAGGATATGTCAACATGCTTCGATCGTCCAGTCCATTTGGTGGAATTTCGCCATTGATGGTCAGCCCTCGAGCAGCCTCAATTGGGAGATGATAGAAATTGCAATATGTGCCATCGGCAGATATAACGATTTTGGTGTGATCAGGGAAGTTGAACTAGATAGTGTTAAAGAGTAACCCGAAACAGACAGCAATGAATCTTACCTGGAAGTGACCATCACAGAAAGCCCAACAGCCAACATCGCCCCAACGTTGATAGAACGTAACAACATTGCCAGCAGACACTGTCTCGGGTTCTGAAGGGCGTCGGGCTATGGCTTCGTCGAAAGGGTATTCCGCATCTTTTCCGAATGAATACATGTAGTTGGAGAATTTCTTCCATAATACCAGCAACTCGCGCTTTCTCTCATCGTATTCATCCTTTCCTACTGGTAGCTTTGGATTCTCGCCATTTGGGCCATGGATAGCTTTGTAGTTCATGGGATTGACCTTGACTCGAACCAGACCATCTTCAGATCTATTCTCGTAGAACTCGAGGTTTGGACCTGAGATGGGGACGATTTCATAGCGATCCAAATAAGCTTCATTTCTCTTGTTCTGCAGATGTCGCTCAGCATCTCGAACTACGAGGCATGTTGGTGGTAGATAGCCCTTGCCGGGACGAGAGAAGTCGGCAGGTAAAGATTTGAAAATGCTACCAATGCTTCCATTACTGATTACGTAGCCTAAACCATACTTGTTCGTATAATCGACCCATTTGATGACGATCGGGAAGGCTGGGGGGGATTTCTTCGTCTCAATGGCAGTAGTTCTGGAGTTGAGAGCACGCTCTAGCTCGGCTTGAAGACGACGAAGACCTTCCAGAACGGAGTCAGGATTAGTGTTGGAGACTGTCTCAACCTCTTGTTTGGGATTAAATATCGACTGCTTGACTTCAGGTGATGGCTCGAAAAGCTGAGCTTTTCTCTCGGCCTCAGCTTTGTTCAACTGGCTGACAAGATCTGCTGCCAATCTGTCTTGAACCGCAGCAGTGTCCTCGGAAGATTTCTCCTCGACCTTGCGGGACTTGGTTCGGCTTGCCAGGCCTAGAATGCCACGTGAGCTAGACTCTTGAGATGGTTGCCGTGTCTTGACTAGTCGTGTAGGAGCGCTAGATACTGATGCCAATGGTCTTGCTCGTTGCTGGGCAGCAAAGCTTTGTGTTGAGGGGCGGCTCATAGATGGCTCACCAGTCTTGATTTTCTTTGGCTCAGGTGAAAGTCCGTCTTGAACGCCTTCTGTTTGAACAGCTCGCTCGCGCCGCTCAACCTCCTGTTGGATCTGCTCTTGCAATAACTCGTTGAAGGGTCGGTACACTACATCCTCAGCGAGAGGAACAATCGGTGTGAGTCCTGCCCTCTCCTCTTCAGCAACTTCCCGATAAGTGCTCGTACGATGCTTGCTTGCAGGACTCCAGGGGCCGACTTCGCACTTGATACACAATTTCTTGATATTCTTGGTGTAGAGGCTGGTTCTGCCGTTTCGTGCACCAACAGACAAGAATTGGGTAGGGTCAGGGTGTCTCTCACGCAACGATGTTGTCATTTCTTCGGCTTGAGGGACCCATCCACAGGTGAAAAACGGGTGCTGGACAATCATATCTGGATCCGGTCGCTTCTCTGGGGCTTGCAACATTGCAGCTACCAGATCTTTGGTTTCATCTGAAATGTAATTCTCGGATGTATCTAACTTTGGCCAATCGTATTCTAGCTCACGAGCTCTTCGGTAGATCTCATCTGCTGTAGCAGCTTGGAAAGGAGGCTTGCCAGTGAGTAAAGCGAAGCTGCCGTATGTTAACAACAGCAGGGGACAATATTCAAATCACATCTTACATGATGATGCCCAAGCTCCAGATATCGACAGCATGGTCATGTCCTCCCTTGTCCTTTGCCAGAATTTCAGGAGCAATATAATTAGGTGTACCGCATAGAGTGGTTCGTCGATGTGCCTGCCAGTCCTTTCCAGTAACCAGCAAAGCTGCAAGACCAAAATCACCGACTTTGACATTCATATCCTTATCCAAGAATATGTTGCCCATCTTGAGATCTCTATGAATGATGCCTTTGCCATGCATGTACTTAATAGCACCAGCCATTTGTACTGTCCAGTAGCGTACTTCTGGTTCCGTGACATACTTGCGTTTCTTAACCATGTCCATGAGAGATCCGTTCGGACAGAGCTCAAGGACAATGAAAGTGCATTTGTCAAAGGAGAAAGCACGATGGAATTGGACGATGTTGGCATGTCGCATCTTTGAGTGAATCTGAAGCTCTGTTTGGAACTAATTCGCTTGTTAGGATCGAAATCTTTACGACAGTCTTGAAATCATACCTTCTGCTCCATCTTCTTTTGCGGCATATGACTCTTGACGATCTTCAGAGCATAGATCTGCGTGGTACCAGCGAGTTGTCCCTCATAGCAAATGGCGAATCCTCCTTTGCCAAGACAACGTCCCGTCTTGTAGATGGCTCCATTTCTGCGATCCGAACTAGGTGGCTCACGAACTTCTGTCGGAGGTGCTGGTGGATGGTCTTTTTCCTTTCCCGTCAGTTTGGCTACTAATGCCTTAGCCTTGCTGGGTTCTTTCTTAATTGCCTTCTTCGCTCTAACGTGGGCGTTCGGGTCTCTGGGAGACAAGGCCTCCATGTCTATGCCGTCCGGACAGATACAGCTCCAAGCGATATACGGCCGAGCTGCTTCGAACAGAGAATCTGTGGCCTTATGATATGTCACACCGTCTTGAAGTGGCTCGAGTCGGAAACGGAAGTCTGTTTCGATCAGTCCAACAACTTTCCAGTAGTCTGTATCGTTGTGAGTGCAATAGACCTGCATGATACGCTCGTTAGTAAAGAATATGTGGTTGTGGCTTTCATCAGGCAATAATGTTCGAGTACAGTCCCGAGGGACATTGAGGGCTTGGCACAGAATGCGACCGTAAGCTTCAAGTGCTTCTGTGGTCGGGGAGTCCTGGGCCTCTCCTTTCGTTCGTGTGTAAATGATTTCATCTGTCCATGGCACTCGCCGTCGATGCTCGTTGGGCCACTTAACATTGCCTTGAGCTGCATGTCTCTTTGCTAAAACCGAAACGATCGATGGAGGGTAGGTCAATCGTATGCGCGAGTACCAACCCTCGATAGAGAGGAGATTTTGGATAGCAACTTCATGCTGGAGGTCCAGCTCCTGTTTGTTGTCCATGGCATGAAGGACGTCGGGATTGTTTTGAATGAAATGTGGTGAAACTTACAGATCGGTTTTCGTACGCGAGGTTTAATTTATCGCACGCGAGGGAGCAATTTGGAGTTCGACATCAAGAAAGTTAGGAGAAATGTCGATGTCGAAGAGTTGATTGTGCTATATTGACGGTTCTTTCCGAACATCGTGACTGTCAACAACCATTTGGTGCGGGTCGGATTCCTGGCACAGCAACGGTAGCGTCGGCAAGGATTTATAATTCTCCGTGATATTATCTTCGGAGTACTGCACTGCCTGGAAAGTAACCCAAAACTACAGTTCCATCGCAATGATTAAGTGGAGGTGACATTGACGGGCGATAGACATGGGAAACAGTCGCTGGGCGTCTGCATTGTCGGTTTCATGAGCGTTTTGGTCAAATTCCACATCACTGGTTACTGCTCCTAGTATCTACAACCAAGCTTTCTTCAAGTCTCCAGCATGGTACCTCTTCCTTTATTCAAGTTTGCCTCTCTTTTCGTGAGGCACATATCCAAATATGGCGCAGTAAGTATCTATTGTTGGCATTGTTTCGAAATTACAGCTAATGTAGCATAGAATTGGATCAAAGTCCAGGCTCACGATCATCCGAAGTTCCGAACTATTGCTGCAAGATATGGCCAGACTATGCATCAAATCAATATGCGAATGGCAGTCACTCTGCTACGAGACAAAGCTGCGGAGAAACGAGCGAAAGAGAAAGCGGAAGCTCCTACTGTGAAGACGGAGGAACAAATGAAGCACGAAGAAGCCCAAAAGGAGAAGCAAGCTGCGAAGGACAAAGCGGCTCGACAGGAGGCCTCTACAAGTGTTTGGAAGCGGAAATTTCGTCCTCTTCCTGAATCGAAAGCAGTCGACCTATTTGCAGATGTAATTGGGGACTCTTTCATTCTTTTGGTTGCTGGAGGTCTTATTCTATACGAGTACTTGCGAGCGAAAGGCAAGCCGGATGCGAATGCTGAGAAGATCGCGGAATTGAACAAGAAGCTCGAGGAATTGGATTTGAGAGAGAAAGAATTGGAGGAATCCGAAAAGCAGCAGAAGAATCGGGTAGAGACCTTAGAGCAAGCTATAGAAGAGATGCGAAAGACAGGTGGCAAGAGGAAGTCCCTGCTACTGTCTTGACCTGGTATTGAGGTTGGTATCATATGGACAGGTCATTGTTGTATAATGGTCTTCTGGGTTACGGTCCATCTGCTCCGAAGCTGAGAGCAAGGGGGAAAGTTTGCATGCGAAAGAGCTGCGCATTGTATAATCAATTGTTTAGCTATGGAGTCTTGAAGCTGCGAATCTCAAAGCAGGGGGTTCGCTTGCGCGAGCCTGGAAATAAGCTCACATAAAACTCTGCTCTGCATGTACATTCTCCTCTACAAAAGAAAAGAACTTACAAAAAGTCTCCCACAAAAGGTTCAATCATTCTTGAAAATTTGTATTACTGTCGATATTTGTATTCGGTCGACGCGTTTTGTCAAGGATCAACTGTTCTAGATAGAACTCGACAACACCAGTCCACACATCATGTTCTGCTCCTCTCTTCGAAAGCGTCCTGCTTGGGCTTCTCTTCCAGCTACTCTTCTCTCTCTTCGTGATCCGACCTGGAAAGGTAGGTCTTGTCAACTACACCTATGTCCCATTCTCACGAGTAACAGAGACGACTCTCGAAGCCCAAGATTTGCAAATTCCTGTACCTCGACAACACCAGAGAGGTCAGGTAGATCTCTTCAATATCATCCTACTGTCCGCCTCTGATATGCAAGCTTCCGCAGATGCGATCGCTCGCGTTGAACAGCTTTACCATAAGACAGGTGGCAGGAATATTGGCGTTATCTTCTTGCTTCAAGAAAAGCCACCACAAGGAAATACTACAGCTAATTTCATGGAGCTGCAGATGGCGTAAGAATGCAACAACCAAAACATGATTTATTCTTACTGATAGCTCACAGTCTTCAAAACTTAGAGATTCCAATTGTACCTCTAGCCACAATCTCTAACCTCCAAACGACTCTCTCTGCATTCCAGCGACAACTCTTTCTCAGCCGGTCGAGTGCAGCTTCAGCTTCGCCTCCAAATCCTGCAATGAGCCTGCTACCATACTGCTCCACCGGTCACATCCCAGAGCATGCTCGCCATGTTCTTAGTGATCTCTGTCACAGCATTCCAGACCTGGCTCAAGCTGCCATGACTCGAGACGGACAGATGGGTCTCCGACAATGGTTTTCCGACTCGATGCCACAGGTAGCTGAGGAACTTATTGCCTTCTGGGAGCAGGAATTCGTCGTGGACTGATGTACGGAATGTGAGCTAGACATTGCAAAATTGTAACAGGAGGACACAAGTTGCATGATTAGGACGAACATCCGCTGAACTTACAAGTGCTCTACTTTGCCAGTGCTATGTAACAGAAAATAATACCTTCAATCAATTCCAAGATTATACCTGGGCTGTGATTCATTTCAAGCTTTGACCCCACCAAAGCCTCATTCCCCAAACATGACGTACTTGATCCAGATTTCTCGATCCTCATTGCACAACCCAAAACAAAACAGATGCCCAAGCAACCCTTACAGAAACCGGGAGAATCCCCATTCCCACAGCTCAGCCAAGCTCCAAACACAGGCAGAAAAGTAGTTCAATATCATAATAAGAAAAAGAGTAACTCCACAGCTGACGAGCGTTGTACTGTCGCGTGAGCGGGGACCCCTGTAAATGACGTCGATTGAGCGAAGCACGCCAGGAACCCGTCCATCAGCTCATGATCGACACCACCTTCTGTCTAGCTACAAAACCCCTTCTATCCCTCCAATTCACCTTTCCTGAACATACAAATTCAATACCAAAACTTCAACCTTCAAGAAATTTCGAGATACCCCGTTATTTTGTCGTCATTTTTCGTATTCACGCTACCACTACTACAAACACTTACTACAAGTAAACGAACGACCCCTCATTCCACATCTTCTTCCAACTACAAACAACAACATCCAAATCAAACCAAATACCAACCACATCCATCAATCATCATGACTCGCGGAGAAGCAAAGCAAGTTAAGGCCCACTACCAAGGAAAGGATGAGGATTTCGTCATCTTCGTCGACGACCTCCCTACTGCCGAGAAGTGGAAGACCGACAAGAGCATCCCACTCGCTCACTTCGTGAGCTCATTCAAGATCTTCATCACCCACAAGTAAGCCCATCTTCTCTGCAGCCTCATCATTAGCTACTCCTCCTTCCTTTCTCGAAATCTACAAATCTGCATCCTATTTCCAAACAAGGCTGGAGATCCATCCCCACACAAGGGATAAACAAAGACTAACACCCACCCCCCCAGACACGGAGCCCAAGGCCCCTACGACGGAGCATCCAAGCAAGCGCTCGAGAACGAATTCGGCACCACCAACGACGACGAAGTCATCAAAGCCATCCTCGAGAAAGGCACCCTCCAAGAATCGGAGGTAGTACGTCCCTCCCTTCCCCTCCCCATCTCAACCCTTCCACTAACACTCCTACTCAGTTCGGCGAGCGACAAGGCACCAAGAACGACAGTATGGGATCCCGTGCCGGCCATTAGATGATGTTGGGGAGTGAGCGATGATTTGCATTGAGAGGAAGGGAATAACTTGCTTGGTGGGACGACGGCAGGAATTATATGACGAAATGACTTTGATTTGAGAGGAACGAATGGAAACTCACTCGGATCATGGGTACGATGGATTGAGATGGCTGGCTTTCACTAGCTAGATCTTTCCTCATCAAAAATAAAAACAATGCATCAATGAAGGGAAGGAATTGATTGTGTTTGTCAGAATTGTGATGTTCGTGAATGGTACAAAACACAAGGTATATCTTCAAAGTCATCAATACAAAACCCCAATTGTACATCTTTGTCATCAAGCCACCCTCTTCTCTAATCCCATCTGCCCCGAAAATCAATCTTCACAATCACGATTCCCTCTCCCTTCCCTTCCCCGTGACATGAAACTCCAACTGTGCCGCACACCAGCCCTTGCCTAGCTGAATTTGGAACCAGCGACAACGACAACGACAACGACGACAACCTCACCTCACCTCACCTCACCAAGAAAAGACCCCACAAAAACACCATCTCCCCATTCTTCTTGCATCTCCAACTTTAAAAATTCATGACCTTTTCGGTAAACAATTAAGCTTAATTTAAATAAGCAACAAGAAGGAAGCGAAACTCTATGGGAGCGATATGCGAGGAAGTGGATCCACCTTATTTACTTATTAATCTCGGGAGGAATAAAGGTAAAATCCTATGAAGTGGAATGAAGTGGAGCTAAGACCTCACTTTAATCCTCCCCATCCTCATCTCCTTGAGCTTATTCCAACATCTAGAGCAAAGGAAACAAGTCAATAGAGTAGAACACTAGTTCTCCACCTCACCTTATGCGTAAGTCACACCTCACCTCCCCACACTTCAGCAGAAAAGTAACATCAGATAACTATCATCGATTCTCATATGTATAGTCTTGACATCCACATCCACATCCACAATCACATTAAGCAATTCCAATGCAAATGCAAACAAAACCCTAGGCAACCATCACTATATCACACCTTCAAGACTGTCAAAACGTAGTCTTCCCTGTCTCTTCTCTTCCATCTTCTCTTTCCCACCATGCTGCTTCTAAGAACACACAGACACACAACTATACAAGACGCTTCCGGGACTCGAGGCGAAGACGAAGATGAAGAGGGGTATAAATGTCTGTCGACTCGAATCGAATCGAGGTATCTAGACCTTGCCCGGACGAGTCCTTTGAGGCAACGACCATGGCTTTGCAACCACGACCTATACTCCATTAGTCCCCAGCTCAAACCCAGAAAAGGAAAGGGAACAAAACTCACCTCCCCCTCACTATAAGCCCAAAAATAAACCGCCATCCCAATCGTATAATAAATCGCAGCATTCGTCCCCTGATACAGCAACGCGCCCGCCAACGCCGCAAGAGGCAGCACCACCAACCGCGCCTCGATACTCCGGTGCATGGCACTGCCCGCGATCAAGCCCAGTGGCCACTCCCACGCGAGCATGATGAAGCCGAAGAGCATGTTGATGCTTTGCAGGATCGGGATGGGCTTCACGGCCGGGTCGAGGTTCTTGGTTAGGAAGTCCCAGAAGATTTTCGGCCAGAAGAAACCGTGGAGGCCGGCTACTACTTGGTCTGTTTTTTCTTTGTTAGTGCGAGGAAAGGAAGGGAAGGGAAGGGACGTACAGGTAGCGGCGGTGAGGATGATGAGACGGGCCCAGTGGTTCTTAATGAGTTTTCCCATGGTGTTCTAAAGACTGTTTTTTCTTTCTTCTTTCTTTGCTCTCTCGTTCCGTTTCCTGCTCGTTATTGTTGTCCTTCAATCCCAAATCTCTCCCAGTACAGAATATAGCAAGGCCAACGGGATTAAAGGTCGTATCGAAGGTGAAAGAAGCAGGTATCTTGTCCAAGAGGTGAATTCGAAGAAGAGAAAACAAAAAGGGATCCGGGCCTGCGGACGAAGGAACGAAAGGGAGTGAACCGTTGATCGATGTTGAAAGAATGGCTATCGACGACGAACGAGTGCACAGCGCTGCTACTCCTCGAGAGCCTCTTCCAGCACGGCGGGGGTGGTATAGTCTATATCTGGTCTCTGGATCCACACTAGAGATGTCACCGGCTGGGCAACAGCAGGATCGATTTGATTGCTGTATCAGATCGGACTCGCCTACTCGAATACAGTATGGTATGGTTCGGTTTCGAAGGAAGAACGGGCCACGAACAGGTTATCTGATCTTCTATGACAGCGGACATCCGAGCGGCGGAAAGTTCTGGGTAGAAGTGTGTGCAAGGAGGAGGGTAGGTAGGATGATTATCCTCAAGCAGAGGCCACTTCTGGCTAGCAGAGGGACATGTGGATCGATTGTGTCTAGGACTTGAGAACGGGCTCGTCTGATCCGGGGCTTAATCTGATCTCAGGATGAGATTATCGACGGGCGAAGCTTGAAGCAGGTTGTTTTGGGGTAAGGGGAGAGAACACGGAGGTTGTAGGATCTTCGAGTTGAGACGTCTTGGAGAAGGTCTGACGTTACGGATGCTCGATTATGATCTCTCTCCCAAATAATGCGGGATCCCAAGTTTAAGGACGGACAGGCTCAGTAGTGGAGCCCGCGGCAGACGAACCAGGACCCATACCTCTCTGCTTTCGAGGCTGGGGCTGGCCGTCTCGTCCCGTTCGTGACCGCCAAATGCCTGTTGCCATGGTGGGTGCATCTGCAACTGACTGCAACTCAGAAGCCGCCAGAGCGGGTGCATGGCAGCAGGTTGAAGCTTTAGCGGGAGGGGAAACTGTAAGAGGCTAGGGCGCAGTTCAGGGCAATATCACACTCAGATCCAATGGATCTGGTAGAGCGAGGGGACATTAGCCTATCAGGACTCGAAAGGGCCATTGCGGAAGAAGCGTGGCAGCATGGAATCACTGAGGTGTTGGCGGTTACAATACGATTCTGCGGTGGATTGGCGGTGGTGATTGGATAGGACGCAGGGACTGGGCGCGTAGAGATGGTGGCGCTCTGGTGTGGTTCTGTGGAGCCGAGTCAAGTGCCTGTTGATGCTGCTGCTGCAGAGAATCGCCAAGCCAGGGTAGACGAGTGTCTTTCACTAGGGTGCGGCAAGGATCGTGCAGGGATGGGGCAAGGGTTCAAGCAGTGCGTGATGGGAGCGTCCGAGAGGTCGACAGGGAACGAGAGTGCAAAAGAGCCAAATCTCGTCTGGGTGGTCGGGGTCTTCCCTTGCCCTAGAATCAATATGGTCAAGTGCATCTTCGCACATCACTCATCAATCACCCATCGCTAGAACGTAAACAGTAAAGCTCCCATCATACCCTGAAAAGAGGGGCAGCGATGCAAGCCCGTTCTCGACTGCTGTCGCTCGCATTCCATCTTCTCACCGTCACGAACATCATCACAATCATCATCACTACCACCACATCACCACAAACCCCAAAAGTTACACCCATCCCATCCTCGTCTCAACCCCCTTCCGCATTGTCCTGCCCGATCCATCTAATCCGATTAGACTGTAGCAGGCACCTGCCATCTGATAATCAGCGACGGGGGGACCTGAGACGCGCTCCGACGCTGCGAAGGTTTGATCTCGCCCGCCCTCAAACAGATGCTGTAGCAGAAGATAAGATAACCCCAACCGCATCTGTGTCGTGGCCGACCGCATTGAAAAAGTTGAATGAGCCGCAGCGACTTTGACTGATCTGATCTACTTCCATCTCGTTTCTAAATGTGATTTTGACAGTCGGCTTGTTTTGTTTGATGCTTCACCAACGTTCCGCCCGGTGTCATGAACTCAACTCATCAATCAGATGAGTGGCTTGCTTTTTCATTCCATCATCCATCGAAGAAGCTCAGACCAGACGAATAAACGATCTGATCCTGTTTTGATTCCATTTAATCAGACGTGACCAAGCGCATCTGAGCATAATTCTGCTTCCACCCTATCGTACCTAATCTGATCAATCCATCCCACTCTCATCACAAGAATGACCTGACCTGATCTGACATCTCTGCCGTCTTTCTCAATGCTGATATCGCAAACTTAAGTATCGCACACCGCATACACACTGTACATCATCACTATCACAATCACTCCATTATCCACAGCTCCGAAAATAGCACATCCCCACCCAGCGAGCGGTTCGACCTCTCCTCTAATTGGCTCTCCCGCTTCTCTCCGCACGTGCCTCCCATCACGAGTCCTCGAACTTTCCACTCTTCACCGCGAATGACCACCAAAACCGGAAATCGAGTATCCGAATATATCTTCCATTCTAATAACAAGGAACCCCTCTCGAGCTCATTCATTCAATCGGCAACCTTCCCTAAGCCAACATTTTGAGTTTGTGCTCATCTGCATACATACCCGCATGCATCACTCACTCACCTACAGGACTCTAGCCCGCATACAGTACACATCCAGTACTCGTAGACGACGAACCCCAATCACCAGGTCCTGCGGCCTTCCCTCCCGTCTGTCGATTGCATTTCTTCAGCCTAGGTCGTGGTACCCTTGTACCTCGGGACCTTGTCTTAGATCTTCTTCGAGAAGAAAAGTCACCAGATCAAGAAATTTTGTGATGAATCCCATCTCCAGAAACAGTATACCGAGTGACCCGAATCATCGAAAATCTATTTTCCCCTCACCCCATGCCCTACCCTCTGGCCTCCCATCTCCATCTCTCGCAAACAGCTGCTCGCCACCCAATATCCCCCTCATCTCTCCATCGCTCTCACACAAACCATGCCCTAACCGCCGACCTCACACCTAACCACTTACCCTACTCATACAAATCCTCCCGCCGAGCGCCGGCCACAAAGCAAAGCAAAGCAGGTCTCCCGCCGGCCAGACCAAACCTCAAACCCAATAAATAATCCACAGCGGTTATATCAACTGGCTCCCAATGTTCCTTCACACGTAAGATCTATATTCCCCCCGGCCGTGCATTTGACCCGTTAATGCACACAACTTTGTTCTCTCCGCTCGGCGCTTGCTGAGCCTCATTTCCCACCCATCCATCGAGCAGATAGACAGATTTTGGGGAATACGCGGGTGAAGAAAGCTGTGCCTCATTCAGACCTACTATCATTTCTAGTACAATGGATGATCGGCATGCATCGATCTAGATGGGTGCTACGGTATGTATCTCTTGCTCCACAATTGAAAAAGTCCAACATCTGTATACCGGGTGCTTGGGATGATCCAGTTGGAGGTTTGAGCCTGCCCATTTGGCATACACGATCAGTACTTGGTGCAAAGGTCAAGGTATACAATTCATTGTATGCTATATAAACTCTTTTTACCCAGTACCAGAGTGAGTTCGATTCTATCCACGGAATGAAACAAGAAAGGATCAGCCTCCAAGAACAAGAACCAATTGAAGGAGCTGGCACCCGATGCCTCCTGTATAATGATAATCCAGAATTTATACAGCCGAATTTAAGTGTGTCTCTTTCTCTAAACCCTCAACGAAAGAAATTTCGGATCCCTTCTGCAACAACAGCTCTTCCAAGTCCCCTTGACTTCTTACTCTTCGAGGCAGTCGGGGTCTCCAAGACTTGCGCCTTGACATGATTCTCCTTGTCTTCCCCAGCAGAGTCTGTGACAGTCGACAGTGGAGTAGTAGCTCTTTGCTGGCTCTGACTTTGTCTCACGCTATTAGCACTTGATGTCCTCAGAGGAGGTGTGATGATTCTTTGCCCATCATGACTCCAGCTCTTGACTTTCATCGTTGCAAGTCTACGCATGGTGTTCGACGGACTACCGTTCGCAAGAGAAGCAAGGTTCTCTGCAGAATCATTTTGATGCATGTTCTCCTTGGCATCATGAATGACTGACAACCTTGATTTAGTAGGATCATCATAGTCTTGGACTGCAGTCGAATCGCTCCTTGGTCGTTTTGGAGTCACTCTTGGCAATTCGTGATCCGCAGACTCGTCGTCTTCGGTAGTCAAATGAAGGCTTGCCATACTACCGGATCGCTTTGTGAAGTTGCTTGCAATGCTTGCTACGCTGAGCTTCCGCATCATAGAACTTGCTGAAGCTCGAACAAGATGCTCACCACGAGCTCGTCCAGTCATCCCAGGGTATGGCAGAATATCGCGAGTCCACACATCAGTCAAAAGTGCTTCAAGTCTAATACGTTCTGCTCTTGAGGGAGCAAGAACCGGAATTCGGTTGGTTGTCAGTAAAGACTGTGATCTGTTGATGTTGACACAAGATGCAGATTCTTTGAAAGCGTTGGTGTTTTTGATGATGACTTGGCAGAGTCCGGACATTGGTCCTACTGTCGTTGCTCTGTGTATTGATATCCTTCTAGCAATAGTGCCTGCCAACATCAGCACCCAGTTTGACAGCGGAAGAAAAAGGGTTTGAACCAACCTGGCTTTCCAAAAACTGTGCCGAGTGGCTTTATATCCAGAGATAACGAGGTAAACAATGCTTGCTCCCCTACGTCAAGAAGCTGTTTGCAAGAACGATCAGCCAAACGGCTTCGCCATTCAAGTTCCTCCTTCGGCGAGCATGCACTCAAAGTAACCTCAAACAATCGATGGTCATATTCAAAGACCAGTTTCCAAGAAAAGGGAGCCGTGTGACACTGTAAACCTGGAAATTGTCATTAGTCTTTGAACCATTGACGAGCTTGTAGGTTTTGTGATGTTTCTCACCTTTGCCATTGTCGATTTCTTCTATGCGGATCTCACATAGGCCAATGCTGGCTTGGATTGTGTAAATCTGATCATTCTTGGTTGCACTTGCTAGAAGCAAAAAGTCGCGATACAGGAGACAGATGAGATACTGGCCATCAACACCATCTTTGGTTTGCCATGAGACGTGCAGTACTCCGCAGAGATGAACATGACCCAGAGCGCGGACTGCATTTATGGATTGTATACCTGACTATCAGAATTATTAAACCAGTAATATTGGTCTCAGAGTGGTATGACATACCATATCGGGAAAGACTAGGCGGTCTTGCAAAAGCCATGACTTCTCCATGACCATTTTCATTCTTGGATCATCTGTAGCCCTGTTGATCTCATTCGTTGCTTCTCTCAATCGAATGAGGACATTCTCAATCTCGATGTGAGAATCCGGGCAGTCGCAAACAGGTGTTACCTTCAATAGCTCTGAGAACAGCAGTGGGTACTTGCATACACGCTGTATTGGCTGGCACTAATCAGCTTAAGAACTGCTGGGAAAGATCACGATATACCTTTACAAGCAGATCTCCAATCGTCAATGCTTTTCTTGCATTCTCCTGTTGACTGTTAATGGATGCCAGGGATGAAGCCAATGCTTCGAGTCCTCGTTGAAAAATCTCCCATTGTGGAATCGTTTTGTACGCATTTGCCAGATCTTTGAGCATGATTTCATACTTGGCGCCATATTCTTCATAGATGAAGAACCGATTCATCTAAGTCGAGTTGATCAGTATTTACTCTCTCAATGGAGACAATCAGAAGTGATCGCACTTTCTTTCCAAAAATCTTTGCAACCTCGGCGGCGATTTTAGGTTCTGCTGTCATCCCGGGAATCTTCTGCAGCCATGAAGCTCCAGTAGCAGGATCAGGAACCGCATCAAGGCTTCGCCATCGGTGGTGATGGCGTGGTTTAGACACAGGAGGCAAAGCCGATTCGCCGCCCGTCGATTGTGTGTACTCCGAGTGTGGTACAGCTTTGTGCAGTTCTCCTAGAAGCTCTTCATGAAGTTCAACAATATCGTTGAGATTTCGTTTGATCGATGCTCGTATATTTGGAGAAAGGCTTGGAATCGAGGCCAGAAGTGTCACGTACACCTAAGCTTTTTAGTGTGATGCTCGTCATATATGGAGATGGAACCTACGTTCATGAGAAACTTGACATCTGCAAGATAGCTTTCTTCAGTGCTGATGATCTCTTCAAGGATCCGACGGCGTTGAAGTAAGCGATTCGTGACGGCTTGATCCAGTGCAGCGCCACCAGCCACATATGAATTGTCCTCAGAGAGTCGTCCAACATTAGAAGCCTTGCTGCTGCGGTCTGTCCTATGCTGGCGAGATGAGACCCCGGTTCTTCGAGATCGTGGGGCAACACTAAAGCTTGCCAAACTGATACTTGCACTTTTGACTGCTGTAACAAACCCATAAGACGATGCAGAAGACGACTTCTTGTGTCCAGATCTTCGCTGTGCATTTGGAGTCTCGAAAAGCTCCTTTTCCAGAATATCACCAGTGACATCGCAGCTGACTGTTTTTCGCCGATCCGTTGCCCTCTTTTGGAGAGTCCTCATCCACTTATTGAAAGGTCGATTACCCTCGGGCGTATACGGAGAATCTTCATCCAAAGAGAAACGAGTCTTGTCTGGTCCATCGTCCTCGGTGTCGTCTGCAGCAAATGATAGGCCAAGCGCCGCTATGTTTCTTAGAGTGCTGAAGCCAGGATTGGGACTGCTAGTAGACTCGTGACTCTTAGGACTCAGTTCAACATTGTCGAAGATGTCTTCCTTGGATGTGATTGCCGTGTCTGTTTTGCTTGAAGGCGGAGGTATTGGAGTACCCCAGCTAGTCTTTCGAGGAATATGCATAGAGGTGCGACGAGCAATTGTTGGTGTAGAGAGCCCAGCGGCTCTGGTGATCTCAATTGCAATGTCGGAGAGATCCATGATGAGGGGAAGCAACCAAAAGGTTAATACAAAATTTGAAGCAAAATGGAGCAAGCGTTCCAAGAAAGATCTGCTCTTGATTCGAGCAAGATCTGTTACAGCATCAATTTATGCTATGCAAAGAGAAGAATGGAATGAACTGAAAGGAAGCGCAACATCATTGAGAAAGAAGGTACCAAGAAAGAAAGATACGCTAACTATCAACATTTACCAAAAGAGAAGGAGTGATGGAAAGTTATGCTGTTGCTGAGCCTTTGGTCTTTCCACTTTCAAGGAGTGGAAATGTGATATTTTCGGGATTTGACTTCCTGTACACTAAGATTTTGTCTATATCGGTCTTTTTAATCATAATTCAGACTTGACTTCATCGACGAAGGACTGAGAATAGAAGCAAAAACAATATTGAATCCATCACAAGATATTGTTGCCTTAGGCATCCAAAATTGATCTACCCCGCCATGCGCGTCTCTTCGTAGCCTAGGAACAAGGCTGAAGCATCGAAGCTTGCTACAGCTTCTCTTCCTGCAAGCCACCTCAAATTATGGGACTACAATTTAATATGGAGAACCTACATGCTCCCACGGTTCCTTCAGGACCTACTTCTGCGCCGACAAACGATAACCAGCTCCGAACAAATGGGTTGACTCTTGCAGAACTGCAACTCAAGAAGGATAACCTGGAAGCTGAGATCAGAGCTTTGGGTAGTGTGCTGGAATCCGTAGGGAATCCTCAGAATTGGAGAAGCTCTACTGATAGATGCAGCATGGCGTAGACATGAACACAAGACTGCTCACCCCCGACGGATTTCCTCGAGCAGATTTGGACGTTGCACAGAGTACGCGCAGTTCCTCTGCAACAAACGGATAACAGTCACTGACAATCTGCCAGTTCGAACCGCCAGATCACGCATCATATACCTCAAAAACGATCACAAGGCCCTTATGAACGTAATCGAAAAGCACATCCATGAGCATTTCGCACGATTAGCAGAGAGTGGAGGAGCCGCAGAACCAACGACCAACGGGGGTCCATCGAACGGCCATATTGCAACACAACCAGTGCCTCAAGAACTGAGTCCTCCGTTCGCAAAGGTCAACAGTGTCGTTGACGGAAGTCCGGCCGATTCTGCGGGTCTGAAAGCTGGTGATGAGATCAGGAACTTTGGATACGTGAACATCAGAAACCACGATGGGTTGAAGAGAGTCGCCGAGTGCGTCCAAGGCAATGAAGGGGTGAGTTTCCAGATTGTTGCTATAGGTGATCAATATTGACTTGTGCCAGCAAAACGTGCTTGTCAAAGTATCCCGTCAACGTAGAGAACTTTCATTGACACTTACACCACGCCGTGATTGGGGAGGAAGAGGTCTTCTGGGATGCCATATTCTGCCATTGTGAAAAGCTCCTGAGGATTCGAAGATATCTGGTGAGCATAGCGTTGATTTGCAGGTGAAGGGCGTTCTGGTGTGGTAAAAGTTCTGCATAGGTGTCGCAGAGCATAGAATGGAATGTTTCCCGATGAAAAAAAGAAATGTTTAGAGGACTTTACCATTCGTGAAGCCGTTTACTTGTTTTGGATACCCCAGAAAGCCACCGTTACCGGGAGTTCCAGATTGTCCTAGAAGTGGAGTTCATTCGTGATCAACCCAGGAAACCAATAATAGAGTGGCTGAAGATAATTGACCACCGGGTCTTGTATTATTGAAAATGAGCAGGATTAGTAGAGCAAAAATCCGAATTGACCAAAAGATTGAATCTGCGGCTAGAAGCCTGGAACAGGCAACGGAATATTTTAAGGCACTGGTCACGTGCCAGCCTTCGCTTCGCTTAAAGGATTTTTGACTTCCGCCTTCTGGCTTGGATCAAAACATCCCAACCTTCTGGAGAGATCAAATCACACTCCACCACGTCCATAAACGAAACATACAACAAAGGTTCGTCTTCCTATATCTACCTTGCCTTCATCTTTGTGCTCTCTCTCGGGCAGTCTTTACTCTTCCTGCTTTAGCTAACCACTTTATCGCAGCCTCAGATCCGTTGGGCTCTGTTTACATCACCTTCATTCTCGCAAACCTACAACTACAATCATGGCAGAGGCCGCACAAGTACCCACCTTCAAGCTCGTGCTCGTCGGCGATGGAGGAACTGGCAAGGTGCGTACCAAGCCTAGGGCTGGATGTGCTGCTGCGACGACCTTGTGCTGGAATAGCTTCCCCTCATTCCAGCCTTCGGTGGCGCATCTGCGGTCTCGATATATAACTGACAACATGATAGACCACCTTCGTCAAGCGCCACTTGACTGGTGAATTCGAGAAGAAATACATCGCCACTCTCGGTGTTGAAGTTCACCCTCTCGGATTCAGCACGGTATGCATCATTAACTATTCGAAGCATCAAACGTCGACTAACATTTTGGCAGAACTTGGGCAATATCCAGTTCGACGTCTGGGACACCGCTGGGCAGGAGAAGTTCGGTGGTCTCCGCGATGGTTATTACATTAATGGACAATGTGGTATCATCATGTTCGATGTTACCTCCCGAATTACCTACAAGAACGTTCCCAACTGGCACCGTGAGTACCGCACAAGGCTTGATGATTGGCATATACTGACTGATTGTGTTAGGCGACTTGGTCCGTGTCTGCGAGAACATTCCCATCGTCCTGACAGGAAACAAGGTTGATGTCAAGGAGCGAAAAGTCAAGGCAAAGACCATCACATTCCACCGCAAGAAAAACTTGCAATACTACGATATCTCCGCAAAGTCTAACTATAACTTCGAGAAGCCCTTCCTCTGGTTGGCTCGCAAGCTTGTCGGAAACCCTACCTTGGTTTGTTGCCCAATTTTCACTCGCTCGAAGGTTGTCTAATATGTATCTAGGAATTCGTTGCTGCCCCCGCCCTTGCTCCTCCCACTGCCAGCGTTGATCAAGCCCTTCTTGAGCAATACCAAAAGGAGATGCAAGATGCCGCCCAAATGCCTCTTCCAGATGAGGATGACAATGACTTGTAATCTTCCAAAATCCATCTTCTCAGGCTCTAGCGATCGCTTCTTCTCGGCATCTTAGACAGTTCTTTTTCGGCGATTTTTGCGTTCTTTTGTTCATCGGTCTTGCAGATAGAGACAGATGACTACGACTCCTCTTTGTTTCAGGGCAGGATGGAGCCCCATGCTGATAGCGAGCATGTTGGAGGGATGGAATGGGATAATTGAGCGATGAAGGAAACAAGCTGAGGGAGGCGATGACTTTAGCATTATGCTGCGTAAATGCAGCAGCTTATGTAGCTAGACCACAAGAATAAGAAAAGCCCTCGATTTCTTCATTTTTCAACCAGTAAGGACGGTTGACATTCTGAATATGACTCTAATCACAAGAGCAGCGTGACCTAGGTGACGCCACAATAAGTTTTTCGAGCGAGAACTCACCGGCTGCAGTGTAACATCTGCCGTCCGGCACGAACCCTGCAAAGCGGGCAATCAAGGTTAAATACCCCTCATCGCAACACTACAAATATACCCCTCAAACCAAGACGGCCAGCCATTTCTCTGAAATCTCTTCGACCATCGAGCTGGTCCTTATTACAGACATTAAGATGCAGGTACTGTTGAACACTTCTTTCTTAACCAGGAATACATGCCAGCCCTAAAGTTCTCCATGAACATTTCAACACATTTGGTAACAGTGGGATTTTACCCCGCCCATTCAAAATCTTCAAACTCTTAATCAGGAAGGAGACTCTTTACAATCGTCCGAACGGGCCTATGATGATCAACTTGGCAGTCCATGTCTAAATACGTTCCGGCAAGCATCCTAACCTCGTATTGGTATGGGTAACCCAACAACTACCTGCACCGCATTGACTACCTTCCCGATTTTCTCTTTAAACATCGCAGTTTTGCCGGTTCAAGTGTAAGCCAGCTTTCTTTCGGTTTTCTTATCTGCGGATCTCGTGTTTTCCTGCCTCCTCGTTCGTCCTTCTCCCCTGTTCTTAATGATTGTTCGAGCTATGGCCTCTATATCGTCATTGGATCTGCAAGGTGATATGCCCGAGAGAAAGTTCTGTCTGCGCTTTCACCAGGGATGGAAGCTCACATCCTGCAAGGATGAGTTCTTCCAGCTCTTCTACATTTCCATTATGCTGTGAAGCTATAAAACCTGGAGCTTCCCCCGTAGATTGCAAAAAGGTACGCTGTCCCAGTTCGAGCCAATTGAAGAAATAATTGTTTGGCTCCGGCGAACTTTCCAGTGACTCAAAACAACAATGTATTTCTCCTTCGTCTCGTTGCTAGCTTTCCTAGCTTTCGTAGAAGGATTGAAGAATACTCAGCGGAACGTTCAAGCTCGCTCAAACTACAGCCCGAAGCGTGCTCGTGGTCTTCCAGCTGAACCTACTGATGTTCAGACAATCACTACTCCTCAAAATATCACCATCCGTTACAAGAATCCTGGGGCCGCAGGAGTCTGCGAAACAACACCTGGCGTCAATTCCTATTCAGGATACATTGATCTCGATGTATGTCCACAATCGACCTCTCATCGAGCCCTTTCCAGTATTAACAAAATTCTAGGCGAACTCGCACACCTTCTTTTGGTTTTTTGAAGCAAGAAATAATCCCCATGAAGCTCCAATTACTTTGTGGCTCAACGGTGGTCCAGGGTCTGACTCCATGATTGGCCTTTTCGAAGGTAAGAAACGCCATCTAAAACGAAGCGGCCTCTGCTCACAGAACTCATGCAGAACTCGGTCCCTGCAATGTTACCGCGAATCTTACATCTGAAGTCAATCCATACTCATGGAGCGAAGTTTCCAATATGCTCTTCCTGTCTCAGCCACTTGGAGTAGGCTTCTCATATGGTGGCGAAGAGTCTGGAAGTCTGAACCCATACACAGGCGCTGTCGAAAATGCCTCGTTTGCAGGCCCACAAGGAAGATACCCAGTGATCAATGCTACTGCTTTGGATACAACCGATCTTGCCGCAGTAGCAGCATGGCATGTTCTTCAAGGGTTCATTGGCGGACTTCCTCAGCTCGGAGGAATTGCGTCTAGAGAGTTCAATTTGTGGACAGAGAGTTACGGTGGTCATTATGGACCAGGTAATACATTCCGTTCTAGTTGACGACTTGACTGATTTCATTGCAGCCTTTTTCAATTACTTTTACGAACAGAACCAATTGATTGCCAATGGGACAACAGAAGGAATCCAACTAAATTTCAACACACTCGGTGTTGGTAACGGCATTATCAGTGAACAGGTTCAAGCTCCACAGTAAGCTGCAAGCTTCCTGTATGTGCATCAACCACTAATTTATCGTGCTAGCTATCCAGAGTTTGCTATGAACAGTGAGCATCATTTATACCATCTGCCGTAACCCTCTAACCGAGATTTTAGACACATACGGTATCAAAGCATACAATGATACCGGTTAGTACTCCTGCCTTTATCCCATCGTAACTTACTAATATTTATCAGTCTACAACTATGCAAAGTTTGCCACGTACGCACTATCAAATTCTTCACAAGTTTATAAACGCTCACCTAGGCAGATACATGGTGAACGGGTGCTTAGACCAGATTTCTTTCTGTTCAACCACAAACCGTACTCAATTGAGCGACTTGGCAATCTGCACAGAAGCAGAAAACATGTGCAGAGACAATGTTGAATCGCCATACTATTCTTATGGTGGCCGTGGTACCGTAAGTCTGCCCATCCAGCTCTCGATCATCTGAACTCTGGAGAATATGAATAAGCACATATTTGCCTCTCTCTGGATCATTTGTGGCCCCAGGACGGGCCAATTCCTGTCGAAAGGCGTGCTTCATCTTCAATCTAGACCGAACCACTCTGTTTCCTTGAAACTAATACCCATAGCAAGGGCTTTGTTCATCCACTAACCATGACTAGTATGATATCCGTCACCCTTCAGATGATCCAACCCCTCCATCATATTTTGTCGACTATCTCAACCAAGCATACGTTCAGGATGCTCTTGGAGTAGACCTCAACTATAGTGCAGACGCGAATGACGATGTCTACTATGCTTTCCAGCAAACAGGAGATTTCGTGTTCCCCAACTTTATCGAGGATCTTGAGATGCTGTTGAACAACAGCGTAAGAGTAGCATTGTACTATGGAGATGCAGACTATATCTGCAATTGGTACGCACATCATCCTAAGCAAATGTCTGACGGACTGAATACTGACTATCATGACAGGTTTGGGGGTGAAGCAGTCTCTCTTGAAGTGAACTACATTCACAAAGAGGAGTTCGCCACGGCTGGCTATGCACCATATGTAGTAGATGGCACTGAATACGGTGAAGTCCGCCAATTTGGCAACTTCTCTTTCTTGAGAGTCTACGAGGTGAACATCTCCCATCTCTTCGTGAGGCGAAATATCGTTAACACTCTCGCAGGCTGGGCACGAGGTCCCCTTCTACCAACCTGAAGCCTCACTCGAGATGTTTAGAAGAGTACTCCTCGGTCTCGACCTTGCAGACGGCGATCTGAGGTTCGGAGCAAACTACTCGAGTTCTGGGCTGGCAAATGCTACTCATACAGAACCATTTGTTCCACTACCTTCAAGTACAGTTGTTTCGAGTTCGGCGTCCAGCGCGACTGGGAATGTCACGACGGCGGCAGTATACTTGGATTAATGAATGAAAGACTGAGTAGCCATGATGCGGCCAAAGACAAATACATAAAAATTTAGATTATATAATTCTTGAATAACGAATAATGCCAATCATTGCATTGCAGAGATGCCGAACATCAGGTTTTAAAAGCCTTGCGAAGTGAAAATGAGAGATCTGAAATATAATTCTTTCGTCCTACATTTTTTTTGGGAATTTTGTGGATTAAATCGCACAGAAATTAGATGCATGAGAGTACGGATTAAGTTAGTGATCATATACAACACATACTTACGTTCACACTTCATTATTTTCATTGTTACAAGTCCAGGTCTCTGATGACAAACCCCACAAATGAAACTTATGAAAGTCGGAGCAGACATGATTCGTGAACATATATACTATGCAGACTGCTTTTGAACCCTTTATTTTTATTAAATTGTTATGCAATATCTGAACCACACCAACCACACCAATTTCCTTTGAGGCGCGAGACGTGTGTTGCTGAGTTGATGCTGTTGATTTTGTCCCGCTTTCGGCAAGCGTCACTTTGGCTGTGCACTTCGCGTTGATTTTCGGAAGCGCGACTAAAGTCGCGAACATCGGAACATTGAAATACTAGATACACAACACCAACATCAATTGGGTTCTCAAACACCTGTATCGATTTACAATCCATACGCGTTATTCTTCGATACTCAATTACAACATTCAAGTACTGCTATATTATGAATATACGCTACAATGAGTGACGCGATTCTTCCTCCACCCCGCAGTTCGTCTGCTGCTCCTGCTACGGAAGCTAGCAATCGTTCCGATTCGAGCTCTGGTGAGGGCGAATTCGATACATCTCTGGATCAATCCTTTGATTCTGGTGCAAAGGAGGAGGGCTTGGGAGGATTTGAGGCGCGGGCAGAGAATAAACAGAAGCGCAAGAGGACCAGGTACGCTTTTCATATTTCTACACCCATATGCGCAACAGAGTATCAAGATCTTGGTTCATGCAGTCTCCCCAGCTTGGGAGAATCCCAAATTGATATAAGAGCACTGCTAACATTTGTGCTCTGCAGCCCCCAAGACCAGGCTATTCTCGAGGCCGAATATAAACAAAATCCCAAGCCAAACAAAGCAGCGCGTGCCGAGATTGTAGAGAAAGTGTCCTTGAACGAGAAGGAGGTTCAGGTCAGCAAGGACCCTGACGCGACTGTCGTGCTTGGAGACGCGTCCAGACGAAAGACAATGGCTGACATATGTATAGATATGGTTCCAGAACAGACGCCAAATCAACAGACGAAAGTCGCGGCCACTTCTACCACATGAGATTGCAGCTTTTGGACTCGGTGGAATGGCTGCATTGTCTTCTGATCCTGCTTCTATGTTGGTGTTCAATAGCAGTCAGACCGTGGGCGAACCTGGACCAAGCTCCCAGCAAGAGAGGTCAAGTAGTCAAGAGTCGTGCCAGGAAGAACCAGAAGCAGTAGAGCCCAAGGCTCCATCAGAGCCTGCCAAGCCGATTGAACAGACTGTTCAGCCGCTTTCGGACCCAGCCATAACCTTACCAGCTACACTGGAGCATCAGACTTCGTCGGGATACTCTCTTCCAGAAACGATTTCGACCTCAGTCAATGACAATGTCATCAAGTCCTTCTCATCGACTCCTGGCTACCTGGCAAACAGATGGAACTCCGTCAGCAGTTCTTTCTCCACCCCCGCATCCTCTCAACCCGCCCAAATGTTCACTCCTCCGATGTAAGTATAGCTTCTCATGGACAATACATTGAGTAATGCTGATAATCTTTTAGTACCCAAGCCAGTCAGCCAGCTTCGTGCCCAGAACGAATTGATGAAACTGCCTCTACCCCAGCTTCGCGAATCCGTCTGTCACTATCTCTAGATGGAAAGGCGGAACTTGTGACAAGCTCACCGTCACCTCCCCACCACCAAGCTCCGCGACCAAGCTCGTCTTCAGCATCCAGCATTCCACAAAAGAGGATACGAACGCTCCAACGAAGTCAAAGTGCGCTTCCATTTGGCCACCGCTCATCATCATCCTCCTCTGGTAGTCCATTCCTCCCCCGTTTACCAACTGGACGATCACGAGACGCTCGTACCTGGGAGTTCTGTTGCGATGGTGAAGTACGAGATGAACTTACGGCTCATGCTGAGAATGAGTCTCATGGATCAGCAGTTGCTGCAATCAGTCTCATCCGATCTGCTAGCAACTCTGCTCTGAAGTCGAATGCCAACAAGCGTAATGCACCAGCTGTCAAACCTGATTCAGCAAAATATGGCAAGAAGCCTAAGCTTGGCAGAGCTCTATCAAGCCTAGCGAGACTGCAAAATCCTGGCGCGTCATCTTCGAAGTTGAGCCCTGACCCAAACACCTTCTCCAAAGATGGTCTGATGCGTTCACCATCTGGAGATTCTGATAAGGAGAATTGGGTTCCTCACGAAGGTGGAGGTGGAAATCGTACTCGCCGCCCACTACCATCGAGCCGTCCAGATAAGCAAGCTAATCCGCGGGCTGTACTTGGTGATAATCACAACGTTCCTACTCATGCTACCAATTTCGGAGGCAGAAAGAATAGGAAGCGAGCTCCAGTCGAAACCAACATCTTCGAGGACCAAGAGAACACTGTCGAGGTTGGCGAGGAAGTAGAGAAATTCATGCGTGGTGAAGTCAGTCCAAGCAAAAAAGGAGACCTAGACTGCATTCAAGGATTACTATCTTTGAGCCAAGGAAACTGGCGATAGGAATTTCATGTCAGGTGCATATCGGGAGCATGGGAGGAGTTATACTGCTGTGTTGATTATGTTGGGTATGCTTGCCAATCCAAGGTGAACTTGTTGATTGGGTTGTCGGAGTTGGACTATTGTCTTATTGCATTTGCATTGCTGGTGTCGGATCCACGGGTAACGTTTCGATGTTGATGCTTGAATTCTTCTCTCTGAGTACGGCAGATACCAAGATTAGCGGTGCTTGTTATGATTTTATAGCTGTACATCTTAGCTTATGAATCGTTCTCTTCTCATGCCTTGGTGCCTTTTAGCGAGTGCTGAACTTTGACTTGCGCAATTGCTATAGACCGTCCTTATAAGAGAGAATGGTGGAATGTCTGTCCATGTGAAGGACATTGATGTTGAAAATTTAGAGAATCAAATCGAAAAATTACATTTAAGTATGTCAATGTCTCTCCTCTTGTCCCGACTTTTGAAGTCAGAAAGTTGTCTTGTTTTGTCGGGACATTCACTTTGTTTTCTTATCCCTTTTCACAGGCGAGTTGTTACACTAGCGAAATTCCAACACACTAAATCTATAGCAGGCCCTCCTTCACTCCACCACCATCATGAAGATACAGACATCGAGCCCCCCGCTATTGTTTCTACTATCCAAAAAGACAACTTCTTCAATGACCCAAAGTCCCTGGTACAATCAAGAACTTCTTCACCAACATCATCAATGAACCACTACCAACCCTACTCACAGACTCCGAAATCGCTGCCTCATTGACACACTTCCACGACATCGAAGCCTTCCTCCGATATCCTCGCCACAGAGAACAACTTAACCCTTATCGGGACATTGACATGAACAACGGCTGGAACCGTGCCAGACATTGCAGCCACCGCTTCTTCAAAGATAGTCAGGAAATATATCCCCTGGTCAATGGAGGTGTGGAGAAGAAGATGGACGTCCAGGAGTCGATTCAGCGCTTCTCGTTTGCGTTGAAGAAGGAGAATGTCCAGTTCGACGAGGGAGAATTGAGGGGGATGGCGTTTGCGTTTGTGTTTAAGGGTGACGATCCTAAAGGGTGCTATGCCAGGAAGCCAGGCGCGTTGTGGGGAGCGAGGAAGAGGGTTATGGAGTGTTGCAGTGGAGTTCGGTTCTTGGAGGAAGTCGAACGGGGAGCGAGAATGATTGGGGGGGAAGGTCGATGGGTGGAGCACGGGTTCTCGGGGTTCATGACTTGAGAGGCGCTGTGTCTTGGTTCCAGCTTGATGCCAAGTATTCTGCTTCTGTTCCTCCCGTACATTTGAGGTGCGACAAAGGCAGTTCGTGTGGCTGGTTCAAATTTCGCGCTGCTGCTCCTGAGCATGGACAACCGACGGCTATCAAGAGGACCGCTGCTGCGAGGTGTTTGTTCCAGAATAAATACTATCGGAAAATTGGGAGATTGAGGAGAGTTGGGACTTCTATGAAAGTTATGAATGAGGAGTGGAGGCGAGGCGACGGAAGCGGGAGAAGAATGCTGGGCGGTGGACCGATGGGACGAAGTTGATGGACAGGATGTGGGGGAATTCTACTGGATTAGCGATAATGATGATCCGAATAAGGGACCTTTTTATACATAGCATAGTGGTGAGGACAGCATAGGTATATTTCCACCTCTTGGGATAGTTAGGACATTATCTGACTCAAAGCGCTGATGTTCAGAAATATACATAATTCAGTCTTTCAATGTCCCACGCTTTTCAAGACATTCAAAATTTACAGTATTAATATTTGGAGATATATATAATCTAGAGTTTTCATTGTCCCACAGTTTTCAAGACATTTAAAATTATAAAATTAATATTTTAAAACATATATATTTTAAGTTTTTTATTGTCTTATAGTTTTATAGACATTTAAAACTTATATAATATTTTAAAATACACATATTTTAAGTTTTTCATTGTTCTATAGATTCCCAGACATTAGAAAATTAATAAATTATAGAGTATTTTCTGACTTTATAGCTCGCTTAATTTACTAACTTGTTTTAATGCATGAAAGTTTGTAAAAGTTTGTTAATTCCAAGGTTGTTATTAAAATTTCACAAAGCAAGCACTGAAAAATAAGAAACAGCAACGAATTTATTATTTACGATTGTATTTTCATTGTCCAGGCAAACGTGAGGACATGTCTGCATAAAAAGCAAGAATGCAAACCTGAGCATCTGTAGCCCTAAGCTAAGCCCATGCCCCATACCATAACTCCCCAAATCACCTCGCACACAAAGAACAATGAAAAGCCCACTCCATAAGAACACCTCTATGCCGACTTAACACTCATCATCGCAGCCCGCCAAGCCTCTGCAACACTCTCCAGCTTCTCGGCCTCACCGTCCACAAGCTCCATATTCATCCACTCTGGGGCCCAGAACACCACAAACGTCTCCAGGCTCTTCCATCGCTTCACATCCTCTTCATCTTCAACCAAAGTTGCTGGATCAACGGACTTCATGAGACGCTCTATAACCTTTTCGTTAAGGCCGTAAGTGTATCGGGCCGGATTCCAGTAAGGACCTTGGGCAGTAGCTATGAATCGGTCGAAGAGGCGCTTTGCGATGATGATTTGGACTTCGAGGTAACGGAGGTTGGTCATGGAGGAGAGGGTCGAGAGGGCGAGGGGGTGGAAGGACTTGGGTACGTGGATGAGGTTGATGTCTACAATGATGTTGCGGATGGCGTCTCGGTGGACGGGGTGGATGACAAGTAAGTAGTTCAGCATGGTTTGGGGGCTGGAGAACTTCTGTTTGTGTTTGTTAGCTTGTTTGTTTGTGAATGGAGTGAGAAGACGTACGAATGGGATCATTTGGTAGAGGAGTCCGGATCCGACTAAATCAACGTATGTTTGGCGACAGATCATGTAGAGTCTCTCCGTATCTGTGGGAAAGTCAGTTTTCAGGTTTCCTTTCAAAGAATGGGTAAGACTTACCACCAGCAGGATCCTTCCAAAGATAGCTAGTGAACTTCTTGCCCTTCTTTCTCGGCTCGATTTGGGTGGACGAAAAGAAGGTAAAGTCATTGATAGCATGACGGTAAATCTTGATTCGGACCTCGTACGGCAACTTCAAAAAACCACATTCTTTCTGTTCTTGAATGGCTTGGACCCATTCGACAGACTGCATTTAAGTTAGAATCATAAAGCAGCAATGCAAATGTTAGACAATAACGAATCAATTCAAAGCGGGGTAGCAATCGGTAAAGTTGCGGAGCGACAAAAATAAAATCGAATTCACATGAATACCACCCGTCGGCTCAATAACCTCACTGACCTCCACCGTCTTAACCTTCTTTCCCTTTCTCTTTTTTAGTTGTGGTGGGTTCTTCTATGAAAACATTAGTTATTGTCTAAGCAAGCATTAAAGGGAAAGGACTTACAGCAAACGCATCAAAACCAGGAACTTTCTTGTGAACCTTCTTTGTTTTTGCAACTTGCTTAGCCGTCTTGGCCTTGCTTTTCTTCTTTGCAATAGCCATCTTGTTGACTCTTCTCGATATCAATTACACTAGATCGTCAAGTAACCGAGACGATATAGCTATGCGACCGGGTAAGTTAGAAGTGAGACGATGAAGGCTTGCGACAGAGTAGAATACCTTGACGAATACGTTGTAAGCAAAAACAAGATCGAATTAGTATTCGAAGATGTTCTGTTAGCAAGATTCGTTATCCGTTGTTCTCGATCTTAGTTGCCTAAAATTGAAAGGAAATCGAAATGAAATAGTTTGCGACCGGGTAATTTAGGAAGTGAGATTCGTTGTCCGTTGTTCTCGATTTCAGTTAGTCCAGATCGAAAAGAAAGCGAAACGATGAAACTTCACGACCGGGTAAGCTAGCAAGCAAACGACGGATCAAATAGCTGATTCGAGGATGTTCCGTTATTGAGTTCTGTCTTAGCAAAGTCAGATCGATAACTTTTGTGTCGAATATCCTTAATCGGCTAAGCCATAATTAAAATCGAAACCAAGCGACTTTCGACCGGGTAAGTAAGAAGTGAGACACGTGAATTTTAGACTTGGTAGAAATCTCGACGCAGGCGAACAACGGATCAAATAGCTGATTCGAATTGGCAAAATCCGTGCTAGAAAAGTCAGATCAAGAACTTCTGCGCCGAATATTCCTACTTACCTTTGTAGCTAAGCCAGATTAAAATCGAAAGGAAGCGATTTTACGACCGGGTAAGTCTCGACAAAGACGGCGCAAGCAAAGAACAGATTGAACAAGTAATTCAAAAATATCCTGGCAACAAAACGATTTGTTTTTGCAAAGACTTCTGTATCGATCGTGAGGTGCGATTAGGCAGAAAGAGTGAAATCGAGTTTGGAGACAATGTGTAGCTGTAAGGCTGCAGCCGTACGCTAGCGGTAGCTTGAACCGCACTTCTTTCTTTAAGGATCCTAGAGTTCAGATGAAAGCCATTTAGTGAATCAGCGAGATCTCATGTTAGGTGTTACATGACTGATGGCATGTAGTGGACTCGAGAAGCGGCTGCAGCCTTGTAACGAATGATTCACGTGCTGCATGCAGCTTCTGGTTTCTTCTCTGTGATTGGCTTTCTCAACGACGCCTCGAATAAAAAGCACTTCTATGAAGATTTTGGTTCTGAACTCTGGAATCACTGATGTGTGTAGGGTAGATTGTGTGTGCCAAGAGAAGCAAAATTGCATTGCAAAAAGTCCTCGACGGTCTAGTCATGAAGACAAAGCTATTCTAGAATGTAATCTGTAAAATGCCTTCCCATTCCTGATTCCCTGACTCCAAAAGCCCAATGCCCAGCATGGATCACCATGAATACGACACAAAATCTAATTGTCCGTCAAGGTTGATTTCCGTGTTGGACTCGCGACTTGACTATTGTCTTCGCTAGTGCCGTAGGCTGAATCGTCGAAATCAATGTCCCATTCGGTCTCGGCCTCCTTGTTCTCTTCAAGACCGTCCCATCCTTTCTGAGCTGCTCCTCGAGTGTTCCACTTGAGTGATGTGGAGACACTGTCGAACCACTCTGTAGGTGACTTCATGACGGTAGGGAAAGGATATTGCGATGCAGCGATGGTGATGTGATCTCCTTGTCTAAGCTCAACGCGATTCTTGCCATCAAAGGAACAATAGGCAGTAGCGCGAGAGTTGCGAGGGATAGAGACTCTGAGAAGCATGGTATCGGCGAGGACCATGGGTCGGAAAGAGAGTGTGTGGGGGCAGATGGGCGTCAGAAGAATTCCTGGGATATCTGGATGAACAAGAGAGCCACCAGCAGATAGGGAATAGGCAGTGGATCCAGTAGGGGTGGCGAAGATGCAGCCGTCTGCTTGGACGACTGTGAGAAGGTTATTGTCGCCGTACAACTCCAAGCTGGAAACATATGGCGATGGTCCTCTGTCGATGACAAGCTCGTTGAGAACTTCGAATTGGTCTCCTTCTTCCATATCATTTCCATTTGCACCACCACGGTAGACGGTACATGTGAAGCGCATGCGCATGCTGACTCGCATACCTGCCTCACCCATCACATTGTTCAACTCTTCCTTGAACTTGTCATACTCGAAGTTGGTCAAGAAGCCTAGACTTCCGAGACTGAATGACAAGATTGGAGGAACAATGCTTTGGAACAACGTGGACGCGAACAGTACCGTACCGTCACCTCCAAGCGTCAGAACCAAATCGAACTTCTCCGGTGTATTCCGGCACATCTCTGGTCTCCAGTATCTTAGAAGATGATGGAAGCGGGGATTTGATTGAAGTATCTCGGCAGCGCCGAAGCGTTTAGAATTCCGCAACTTCTCATCAACATAGACGTTTACTCCAAGATCGGATCCATATCGAGGTGTGGTTATGAGCCAAGTTGCAATTTCTCTGGTAAGATGGACAAGCTGGTTGTCTCTGGCCTTGGTGATTATCATAACATTGCGGACGGCTCGTTTGATTGGGCGACGCTGAAGTTGTTTTGATATCTCTCGGACTCCAGTGGCGGTTGCTAATAGTCGCGAATGTGACATCCACTCATTGCCTCTAATCTCCTCCAAGACCTTATCAATGTTTAAGACATCGTCGAAACGTTGATGGTAGAAGCAAGGGGATTGTAATGCTGTGAAGCGGGGGGTTGTAGGTGTGCCGTTTCTGAGCGCAAGATCTGACAGGGCTGCAGACAACTGCTGGGAGGTGGCAGTGCCTGGCCGGGCATCCGAGTGGGAGTGTAAAGGTTTCATGGCGTTGTTGAGAGATAGATGTTGAATGTTGTGGTTTCTCCCAGCAGATGCCAAGGCTTTAATAATGGTTTGTCGAGGGATGGATTCGACGGAGAGGGCGTTCTTGCGATGGTTGAAAGCTGGTTTCCTCGACGAAAAAGTTGGAGACGAGGGGACTGATGATGCGTCGCTCGGCGAGTTGTGCCCTACTGTGGTGGCAGCAGAGAAGGAAGATTCTGATGGATCATTGTCGAGGTCCAAAGAACTGGTCGAGTTGAAGGAGCCGTGGGAGAATCCGCGCAGGTGAGAGTCCCCAAAGGCTGGCTTGGTCAATCCATCTGCGTTGGCAGACGAGTGAGACAGAGCCTCTGCAGGAAGAGGGAGTTGTGAAGCTTCATCAATGGAGGGAAGAGGAGGATTATTAGGATTGGTCAGAGACGGGTGGATAGAGGTCGGGGAACGCAGCATGTCAGCCATTTTAGCAGATCCGGACTTTGGGATGCGAAGCGACGCGGACGGAGACCGGGGTTTTGGCGGCGATAATGGCGTTTCAAGGCAGCGGACTCACTCGTGGGCGGAGGATCTCACGAAACACGACAAGATCCTCAGTGGCTGCGAGAATGCTGTGCTGACGACGAGAGACGCACACGGCGGCGGTATCAATTCCTTCCACGTATACACAATTCAAACCTGGGTGGTCTGTCAATTGATGGGTGGTGCTTGAGCTGGGCGATTATTTATTATGCTGCCGATGCGGGGCGTGGACGACTTTGCGAGGGGAGGCCGAGTGATCACTGGGCCAAGAAACTCTTTATCCGTATTCGCGAAGATTCGAACCTAATGATTATATATGTTAGCATCTTGTATTGTCTCTCCTCATACCAGGCCGGTGACGATGGAGCGGGCGTCAATATGCTCTCGTTTTGAGGGTGCTCGGAGGTCCCATAGATCGTGATAGGATGCTCCACTTTAAGTCAAAGCTGTGACACCGCCCATACAGGTGTGACATGAGAGACATGGTATCTCAAATGTCTTCCCCGCCATCAAATGAGCAGCCACAAAGGTCGGCACGAGGCCGGCCTGCTGATAGAATATTTGGAAGGTGGGACAAGAGAGACGAGAAGACGTGAAGCTTCAAAGAGAGCGAAGTCGACTTACTCGTTGGAAGGTGTCAAATAAGCGAGGGGGTATGCAGGTCCGCGTGTGATGGAGTCTTCTACTCGTTGAAGGTTCTTCTGGAAATGCAGGTCAAGCTTTCGAGTATCGGCGCGTATGACGGGAACTCTAATTTTCGTGATAGTGATCCGGATGCAGAGGCAAAGGTGTGAAGTATATATTGAATGTGATAAAAATGTGATGAAGAATGAACTGGTCGACGACGATTGGGGGGTATCTCGAGGCTGCTGAAATGAATGCGGACGCTTGGTCTATAAATCTATAATGATCTTGAAAAAATTGACGCCCGAAATGCAATAACGAATAAGTCTATAAGCGGGAAGAGAAGTTGGACATTTCCAGGATATGGTAGTGGAGGAGAACTGAAAGGACAAAGAGGACGAGAATGGGCACAAGCTACCAGAGCTGTGGAAGTTGATAGCTGGTGCGTTGGGTCTGGTGAAAGAGACTGGAGAGCAAGCTGAGTGACAGAGGCTAGAACTAGTCTTATACACGAGCCGCGTCTTCTTCTCCTTTCCTTTCTCCCTCGCTTTCTCGATCTTCACTCCGGAGGCGAGTTTCGATGTGTCGTCGTCTCAAAAATCACGGACGTGACAGACTAACGTTTTCAGTGCTGGGCTGGCGACAAGTATCATCCACCCAGAAACGAGCACAGAAGCAGCATAATGTTTGGAAGATTGGTCAATAGCATCGAGATCTGGAGCAGGGTCTTATTCAGGCAAGTGTCGCCGGAGGATCAAACACATTTGCGGCCCTGATATCCGCTGCGCATCTGCCATCTGATATCGGTGAGGCTGGGAAAGCTTGCAGTCTGCATGCAGGCCCTGTACGCCTCCCCCACGGAGCAAAAATAGAGGTTATCACATCCTGAATTTGGCACTGTATCACCAAGCTCCCGATTGTCACTTTATCGGGGCTCATCAATTCGCCATCTTTATTGGGGACTGAGAGCGGGTGAAACTTCGCTTCAATCAGGGGCCCGGATATCCCAAACCGCCCTCGGTACGGGATACTTGTTACATGACAACACCCGCCAGATGCACGAATTGCTGCTCTCTCTATTTCCGGCTGAGAATCCTTCATACTCTTCATGAATCGTGAGTGGGTACTTCGGTCACGGTCCGTACCTAGCTGCCCTCTCGTTGAGGAAGATTAGCCGCTGTTCCTCACTCTTCTTGGCATTTTATGCCTTTGCATATCAAAGTATTCTTTTTGACCAAAACAACGCTCTCATTGTGACGGACGGACAACCCGACCGAGGATCTCCGTGAAACGTTTTGAGGTTGTGGAGCCGCCGACTGAAGGCTGTCACTGTTCAGTCTTTCCAATGAAGATCTGCAGTGATTTTTGTCTGTAGAGTCGACTTGACGAAGTTCATCATTCCTCCCTTTTCATCACCAAGTTCACCATCTTGCATTACTGAGTGGTCCACATTTGTTTTTGAGTCGTCGCAGCATATGGACTTTGCCGCTTTGAACACAGTCTCCCAGTCCTGCAAGCTAAAACTTCCCTCACTTTCTGCGACCAGAAGATCACCATGAGATGTGAAGGCCAACACGTGGACAGAGTCTGCGCTTTCGCATTGGACGATGGTCGGATTTGTGATGATACTCCTCGCTGACCCATCAGAAGTGAGAGCAAGGAAGGCTGAAGTCGCAGTCATAGTCAGAGGCATCGAGGCTGACAATAAAGCTAGGATAGCAGTTTGAAGGAGCGCGGGGAGGATAGGTAGATTCTAGTTTCGGGTCAGCTTTATCCGTAACAATCGGTCTCATCTTCAATCACCGAAGCTGCTTGTACCAGTTTTGACCCCGCATTTTCATTCTCTGGGGTGCTCGTGATCTGTAGCGTAACTTGGATGAGGCTTCGAGGGAAGTTATTAATGAGGATAATTTGGCGGAGGGTGGACTGGAGAATGGACTCCAGTTGCCGCTCCCGTGTACCTAAAACGCAAAAAGTCAGGACCATTGTGAGATGTAGATTTGAACGTGGAGGTACGTACCAGCAACACCAGCCGCGGGTCGCACAATTACGTCCACCACAGCTTCTTCTGGAAGTTCTTCGCGTCGTCCAGCCTCAAGAGGTCCATTGACTGCTCCAATAACTGTATATCCATTTTGTGAAAAAGTTGCAGAGCCGTCCGTTCGGTGCAGATGGGATAGAAGAGCTGTAGGCTCAGTGGAAGGAGCCATTGCCTTGGTGAACGAGTATCCCAGGTTAGATGCGTTCGAAAATGTGTCTGTAGATCTGGTGTTGACCTTTCAAATAAAATTTTGAGCTTGAGATGTTGGATCTACCTTCTCGCTAGCGCTAAGTCGCGGGACCCCGCGTCATGGTTCCTGGATTCCAACGAATCTTCATCGTACGACATGCACAACATACTAACAACAAAATGCCTTCAAGCACAGACAATAGTACGATCGTGAAGGAACCACTTCCCGCCTCGATTCCAGATCTGCGGAACCGTTTACCCAAGCTAGAGCCTCGCCGTCGACAAGCCCCTTCGTCGAATCCTCTCCCAGTGCCCGAAACCCCAACTCTACCTCCGCCACCAGAGCTTTCATCGCTGACCTTCCAGAGACCGACTAGACGAATCCTTTCTCCAAAGGACCATGAGCTATTTCTGGCTTCGAAAACGTACGATTTGCTCGTAGCCTTCGTGTTTGGTCTTACAGATTCTGTCATCGACACGCCTGTCTCTGTTGTGAGAGACAATGACCTGAGCCCGGCACTCAAGACAATACTCAATATCCTAGACAACGTGGAAGATGTGGTTGGTCGCAGTCCACCAGAAGAGCAAGGCGATTCAAGATTTGGGAACAAAGGCTTCAGGGACTTCGTCGACCTCGCCGCTAAAGAGCACACCTCGTGGCACGAATCACTCCATGTACCCTCATCTGCCGTACCAGAAATCTCAACATACTTCTTACAATCTTTCGGTAACCGCACACGGATAGATTACGGCTCTGGACATGAGCTGAATTTCATGCTCTGGCTGCTATGCCTCTACCAACTTCGCATTATCACGCCATCCGATTTCCGACCCCTCGTCCTCAAAATCTTTACAAGATACCTTGAACTTATGCGAAAGATACAAAAGACATACTACCTCGAGCCTGCAGGTTCGCATGGAGTGTGGGGTTTGGATGATTACCAGTTCTTGCCATTCCTTTTTGGGGCATCACAACTTTTACATCATCCGTTCATACGACCAATGTCTATACACCAGAGTCTCACGTTAGAGGAGTTTGGGAAGGATTATCTATACCTAGGTCAGGTCAACTTTGTCAACAGCGTCAAGAACGTTGAGGGACTACGTTGGCATAGTCCTATGCTTGACGACATCTCGTCTGCGAAGAACTGGTCGAAAGTTGAGGCTGGGATGCGACGTATGTTCGTTGCTGAAGTACTGAAAAAGCTACCTGTTATGCAACATTTTCTATTCGGAAGCTTGGTTCCTGCCGTAGAGGAGATGAGCAGAGAAGAAGAGCTAGGTGTACCAAGTGAAGAGGATGATCCAGAGGGAGGAGAAGTCGTGGTTATGGTTGATGGAATGAGACATGTGCATCAGATGAATAGCTGGGGAGACTGCTGCGGAATCAAGGTGCCGAGTAGTGTTGCTGCAGGACAAGAGATGAAGAAGAGGATGGGCGGAGGCGAAGGGTTAAGGAGGATACCTTTTGATTAGATTGTGTATGAATGAAGATACCAATATAACTTCTATGTTCAAGGGTGAATAGCCGCGCATATCCCTGTCTTGTTGGGCTTCGTTATCGCGTCAGATTGTGAGGCATTTAGGATAGTGCTGACTACTGTGGGAACACAGCATAAAATCTAGAATCCAAACCTCCAAAGAAGTTTTACTATTATATAATCTCTTAAGGCCTAAGCATATATAGTATCGAAGCTTTTATTGCTGCCGTTGAAGTCAAGATCCGACCTTTGGTCAGAGACTGGGCTCTTTGTGAATGCCCGTCTCTTGCCCCGATCACAGGCGGCAGTGGCCTTTTCCCAATTGGTGCTTCCTATATCTGTGTTTAGCCGGTTGTTCAACCAGTGTCAAATTCCAACATCAAAATATCAAACTTTGATTTTTGTATGACAATGATGTCGATACTTTACTTTTCATCACTTTCGTTCCAAGATAAGCTCGTATTGTTGGTGAACATTGATACAATGTGTAATAGGGGAACTTTTATAGGCTGTTAGCTTGCGAAGTCGCAGAATATCCAGTAGTCAGTCTATAGCACCCGCCGACTAAGCCATACTACAATACTATGGTTCGATAGTCGTGTATAGAGTGGCAAATATCAAAGTGTCTCCCAATTACATGTTATCATGTCACCTTGCATACGCGGCTCGTGTACCATTTGTTTTACATCTACAGCTCCTACAGCTAATCTTGCAAGACACGCATCTCTCAATTACGTCAGAATAGAGGAAAGTCGGCCAAGTCGTCGTTACCTCCGGAACGTGGTAGTCACCGACTTTCCACAAGTCGCCATTGGTGCAACATCGCAACCTCTGCACACATGTAAAACATTTCACAGAATCCTCCAGCACCATTACGGAGATGGTAACAAGCTCGGATGAACATCTGGGACCGGCTACCAATCATTCCAGTGGGGCCAAGCTGTCAAAAAGCAGATCGACTCAAAACATGATGCCTTCTTATTGATTTGTTTCCTGGATGGCTACTGAAATTTCCTCCTTAGGCAAAGTGTCTCTACATGCATGAGCCTCGGCTCAGAAGAAATATGCAGATTCATGACACTAAGAAACTTATTTAAGCTTTGTTATGGAGGGTACTCTTCTCTGCAAATTCCGCAAACACAGAATTATTCATAACATCCCAAAGCTTTTCAACTCTGATTTCCACTTTTTGCGAATAGGATCAATAGCAACGAATAATCACTCACCGTTCGTTTCGCGGGGGTTTGCTTCTTCTATTTGTACTTGCGAACTTTGGAGGCCGAGGCTCGCACAGACTTTTGATCGTGCGGGAGATTAGCATCCCGATCCTAAACTTTGGGAGCTCGCAACACTTCCCTGCTGATAATCGTTGATCGTCTTAATGCGGAATGCTCAATGCAGCCGATGCGAATATTTCCCACGTTTTGTTGCGCTCAACGGACAATACCTGGTCACATCATGGAGACACATTATCCTCGTTTATATTTCGTGGTTCTTCCTTCCTGTATTTATGAACATCGTTCCTGCCACTTCCATCCCGTCTTCTAATTTTTAGTGCCTAATTGACCTCGCTCGAGTCCCTCCTTTACACCACCCAAGAGCTCTGTACCCGTCTCTGAAACCATAGACCAAGCAAGGACCTTTGAAGCTTAACATCAGTACATCCACTCGCAACGAAGCAAAACCAGGGCACTGATAACACACCCAATTTCGAGTCAACCGTCGGTGGCAATATCAGATCGCACTTCCCACGAGCCTTTCATAGGACCCCACCTAAACACCGATCACGATTCCCTTCGTTCCATTTTCTTGCAGAGGAGCTAGACAAGATGTCGGATGCACTCAAAGCTATAACGGCAGTGTCTGCTGTCTCTTCATTCGTTTTCGTGGGGTATCGACCGGATCTGTTACCGACTTCGCGGCCCTCATACATTGGAACCTTCGTGCTATTATGGATAACTTCATTTTTGGGTTGGGCGTTCTGGAAAGTTATACTATATCCAAAGTATTTCTCTCCACTACGGCATCTGCCTATGCCAAAGGGAGGTAGTTGGTGGAATGGACATTTCAAAGAGATCTCCGCGAGAGCGACTGGAGAACCGCATATCGAATGGTAAGTCGGCGCAAGCAAGCTGCGGGACCATACTCAGTGCTAATCGTGCTCTCAGGGTCAATACTATACCTAACGATGGCCTCATTCGTTACCTGGGACTTTTGAACAGCGAGCGCCTCATTGTCACCTCTCCCAAGGGATTGAGCGAAGTCCTCACAACTCAGAATTATGATTTCATCAAGCCGAGTCATGTCGCAAAAGGTCTAGGACGTCTTCTTGGGATAGGGATTCTGTTAGCAGAAGGAGACGAGCACAAGACGCAAAGGAAGAATCTAATGCCGGCATTTGCATTCCGTCACGTCAAAGATCTCTACCCTACATTCTGGTCCAAGTCCCGAGAATTAGTTGCTGCTATGACAGCACACATCGAAGCAGGTGGAATTCCCAATGATGAATTGCCAGAGTACCAGAAGAGACCAGATGTGGAGAATGATACGGCAGTTTTGGAGGCACACCAATGGGCAAGCAGAGCTACCCTGGATATCATTGGTGTGGCAGGTATGGGACATGACTTTGGCGCAATCGCTGATCCAACCTCAATCCTTAACCAAACTTACCGCGCCGTTTTCAAACCTACACGCCAGGCTGCGATTCTTGGACTTCTCAATACCTTCCTCCCGCTCTGGATTGTGCGGAATATTCCCATCAAACGAAACGGCGATATCGCCTCTGCAGTTACTGTCATCAGAGATACATGTCGTTTTCTTATTCGAGAGAAGAAGGAGAAACTGGAGAAGAAAGAACTGCACGATTGTGATATCTTGTCAGTGGCCATGGAATCTAGATACTGGGGCGAAGAAGCGCTCATCGACCAAATGATGACTTTCCTCGCAGCTGGCCACGAAACCACAGCTGCATCAATGACATGGGCAACCTATCTCCTCGCCATCAATCCAGGAATTCAAGCCCGCCTCCGCGCCGAAGTCAGAGAAAAGCTGCCCAGTCCAGATCTACTAGATGAAGGTGTCACAGCTCAGCAAATCGATCATCTACCTTACCTCAATGCTATCTGCAATGAAGTTCTCCGCTACCGCTCTCCAGTTCCCTTGACACTCCGAGATGCAGCTCACGACACCACTCTCCTCGGAACCGCCATCCCTAAAGGGACCCGTGTCATGCTTGTCCCATGGGCAACGAACAAAACGGAATCTCTTTGGGGATCCGACGCCCGTGACTTCAATCCCGACCGCTGGCTACCTTCCGAAAGCAATCCCCACGCTGCAGGAAATGGAGGCGCGAAGAGTAATTATGCTTATTTGACTTTCTTGCATGGACCTAGGAGTTGCATTGGGCAGAGCTTTGCGAAGGCGGAGTTTGCTTGCTTGTTGGCTGCGTGGGTAGGTAGGTTTGAGTTTGAGGTTAATGATGAGAGGGAGTTGGATGAGGATAACATTGTCATCAAGGGGGGTGTCACGGCGAAGCCTTCGAGGGGGATGTATTTGAGGACTAAAGTTGTTGAGGGCTGGTGAAGGGGAAGATCCTGCATACAGGCGTTATTGGAAGGTCATGAATTAATGCTACTTGCTATGTTTTGATATTAACTGGTTATGGTCATGGAATGGAGGAGATAAAGTATATGAAAGGCAAATACCATAATCTTGTATATACCATGGATAGAGGTATAAAATACACATACCATACCTCCACTATTCTTCTTCTTCTGCCTCTCCTTCTTCTTTTTCGTCCCGCTGTGCATTATCCTCATCTCTCAAGTTAAGATCCAGCATTAAACAAACCTCTAACAAACCCTTCTTCCTTCATTCAACCAAGAAACTAAAAGCGCCCCAAACATGCAATCATGCACGTTGCGAAATGATTCAAGGACAATGAAACATAAACTGGTAGCGTTTTATGTTTTGTTTCTCATTAGATCGTCAAGATCGGACCCCGCATTGATCTCTCGCGAGGAAATCCTTGAATAGGGGTCCCGAGGGATGGGAGAGGAGCTTGGACTGTGACGGGATGTCGGTAGGTGTTGTGGCCGTATCCAAGAGGAGGAGACGGGAAGCTAGGGAGATGGTTGATTTTGTGATTTGTTTGGATTGAGGCTATAACTGTTAGAAAAGACTTGCTATGCCATGTCATTCAGCAAAGGACTCGATCTACGAACCCAATGTCCCCTGACCTGCCCTGGCAGTGCTCAAGAAAAATATTATACACGTGACTACCAACTAGTCCCAATCAAGCCAGTTTTAGCTTTTGTTGCACATCGCAAAAGCAAGTCAAATCTATCTTCTCAACGAGAAAAGAGTGCCTTTAGCAAGAAATATTGTGAATGTATTGATAGACCTTCTGGCCAATCAGAAGCCAGGAAATGATAGTTGCATGGCACAACTAAATGTGGGTGGTCTCCTTGTTGAGGAGATGAAAACGTGCGATATGCAACAAAAATTTGTGAATTGTCCGAGAGACTTTGGGACATTGAGAATTATTAGCGGTCTGGTAGATGGCCTATGGATCTTTATGTACTCGACGTACTTTGGAGGTTTTATCCTTTTTTAATTACTGCTTGACTATTGGAGATCCTGCGCTTTGCCCGCGAATCGCGCAGTGAGCGCTGAGGGCGCTGTCAGCGCTGTATGCGCAATTCGCGCATTAAGCTCAAGCACTCAGGGGATTCGAATCAGAATTTCACATTGCAAAGATTGAGAATATGTGCTAGGATAATTGACTACGAGCTATATTTCTTGACTCCGCGAAAGCAAATGGGTATCATGTAAATGCAGCAAAACCTCGCGCCAAATAGGCAACAACAACTCTAAATAAATGCTAGTGCTATTAAGCAACATGTCAGAGTAGACATTCCATCTTATGTTTTTCAACCAGATACTAGAATCTGTACACCACCTCCCTCGACATTCTCCTCAGACATGTCTCCCTTCCATCCACTCCAGTTCTCGCAAACAGCTTGAACCTTCCTGGTTATCTCGTCCTTCTCAACACCATCGAGCATCAACCCAGAACCTACCACTCCGCGCTGTATGTACATATCAGTCTGCTTGAGATTTGCAGTAATCCTACGCAGAACGGCGATATCGGACTGCACGGGGTAAAGAAGCGAATGCAAATTCTCGTTCACTGGAATCCTCTCCAATGGCAATTTCAAAGTCTTCGCACGAGTCATCTTTGGTGGTTCTCCGAGTCTGACCGACATCGATCTCTTTCTCTTCATGAGATAGGCACGAGGGTCGCCGTCGGGTAGAGAGGTCTTGAAAGGTTCCTTGATCGGCACGTTGCTTCGAGAGGATTCATGTTCAGCCTCCAGAGTCGCAATTGCTGCATTATATCGGTTTTTGTGTGGTGAGTTTCGGGTTATCTCTTCTGGTCCACCATAGAGCTTAGCATCCTCCTCTGCTTGTTGAAACTTCGCTTGTAGGCGGGCGATGCGCATCTGCTCGCGACGTTGACGCGTTGCATCTTCCTTTCTCTGCTCAAAGTCCATTGCCCAGGTGAGATCACAATCTTCTGGAAGTTCCTGAGGATTCTCTACCGTTCGAGTCGACCGGCTGCCGAGAGTCAACTTGCTCTGGCGGAGGCCGTCTTGTGCATCTGCCATTTCACGGAACTTGGTCGGCAGAACAAAGGGGAGATTCCCCCTCTTCACTCCCTTCAACTTCTTGAAAGGTCCTGGTTGTGCAGGGCCAGGAAATATCGAAGGGTCATCTGGCAGCTGTCTTGCACTGATAAAGTCGTGTCGGCGTTTGAACGTTGTGGAGTCGTCCCCCAATAGGAGATCATCCTCAAGATCATCTGAAGTCTGCCTGGCCGAAGGTCCTTGAAGAAAAGCATCTTGGACAATTGGAAGAGCCAAGCTTGTAATGTCATCGGCACGGAATATTTGCCTTGGGCGAATTAGATTTGTGCTTGGTCGCAAGATTTCTGGTTCGGCAGAAAGAGGAGAAGACTGTAGAGGTGTTGGAAGAAACGTGTGAGGATGCTCAGCTCGTCGGCTCGGAGTGTTTAGACTGTTAGGAATACCTCTATCGTTACGTTGCAATGGGGCGGTCATTTTGGCTATAAGCCATGGATTGAGACTGTTGCCCACAGCGCTACGAGATGCAGCATTTGATCCTTGTGGCGTGTCCGGGAGTCGTGGGCGATCATTGCGTTTGTGAAGTCGTTCGATCTCTTCGTTGTAATCTTCAGACATGTCGACGGTCCACGTTTTCTTGGAAGAGCCTCCGGGGTCCTCAACGCTGAATATGGCATCGGCAGGTTCCTCTTCAGCTCCAGACGTGCGATTCCGAGTTGGTGTCATATCCTGAAAGCCTGGCTCGATTTCTATTTCAGGAAGAGAAGGCTGTGATTCATCGTTTCCACCTGAGCGTAGTGTGGACACTCGAGCTTCCAACAGCTCGATATTGTCGGCGTGATCAATGGATTTCTGAGCAGACGCAGGTTTGATTGGTTCCTTGCGCTCACCGTAGAAGTCCTTGAATGCTTGCTCAATAGCCTCCAGTAGGAGAGGTTCATTGCAGAAAAGTACATCATCCTTGGCTGGTTCGACATTTGCATCGTAACTAGCGACGGGACATCTGATATCCATCCAAAGGAAAGGGTTCTTGAGCTTTTCCGAAGAGTCCGCGAGACAGTCTTTGAAATATGACTTAAAGAGAGTGACAATCTTTCTCATCGTACCCTTGTCGTGCGACACTGGCCTTGAATCGATCGAAATATATTGTCCATGGCCAATCTTAGAGATATCTGCATCTGGTCTCAGAAGAAACATGTCAATGGCAAATTGGTGAGTGCCATCCTCTGGTCCTAATTCGTAGACGTCGAGTTCCGTGGTGTCCTGGCCACCCTCGACATCGTCCTTGGAGCCATTCTCTGAAAAGACGAGGGACTTCTCCATGCACTGGCTGGCAGTATCCCTTCCAATAACAAGTGAAACTGCCTCTTTGATACCATCATTTGACCGAGGAGCATAAGACCACGACCCTTTTGAGCTTTTCATAACTTTGAGGGTAAATCTCACGCGAGGCCGAGCCAAGCAGTACGCTTGCAGGAGGTCTTTCAACTTGCTCAACATCTTTGATGCTTCTTTTAATGCTTTCTGTTTTCTGACAGGAATCTTGGAAAGAAAATTGGTAACAGTGACGGTCGTCCCAATCGGATTTGAACTGCGACTTTGGCTGGCCACACCACCTGAAGGCTTCAACCTAGCTACGGTGGCAGCTGGCTGGCCCTCGGTTTTAGTCGTTACAGTGACTTCCCCTAGTTGGGTGGCACTGGCAAGAGCTTCTCCTCTGAAGCCAAGACTGAGACCACCTATTAATTTAAGCTCGTGGAATGATCTCAGCTTGCTGGTATGGCCATGTCTTCCGAGGGCATCGAGGTCCTCAAGTGGAATTCCGTGACCATTGTCTCGTACTTCGATCTTGTCGATGGTATTTGTTGAGATAAGAATATCAACTGTAGTAGCTTTAGCGTCGAGAGCATTGTCAATGAGCTCCTTGACAAGTGATGTAGGTGTGGTCAAGGCCTGAGATGGCCCAAGAAGCTGGACGGTTGCTTCAGGAAGAGCTGTGATGGTCATTTTGTCCGATTGAAAGCTATCGGACGACAAATGGAATATGAGATATGGTCTTCATCCCTTCACTCCTAAAAGATATGTATGCAGAATCGACATTGATTCCTTAGTGTATGATGTCGATGTCAAGAGAAGCGCGACGACGCGTCTGAAGCTGTAGCTGTGTCATAGCCTCGCCGCAGCTGGCCCGTGCTCCCACAAGGCTGGATGACTCAGTCCTGTAGCAATCCCACAATCAGAGTCACCAGCTAGAACAATTCGCAGAGAAGCTCCATAAATTTTGTTGATATCCACCACGACGCCTAGAATACTCAATTGACTGAAGAAGACGACAACACGACGTCCAGAATTCTATTCAGAGCACTCTGGGTGCGCAGGTCGCCTCAAAGATTTACTTTCAATTATCCACGTGCGACCATGGCTACGAATGCAGCTTCATACAACCCAAGTAAGTTTCTACAATCCAGACTCGGATAACATATCTATATTGACAAAAAGCGCTGTATAGTTGGGGAGGAAACCGGTCCGGTATCTGGAGCTCCTCCTCCCGTCTCGAACGAAACCAAAGCTGCGCTGAAAGATGCCACAAACTCTTCTGCGACTGGTTCACACACTCCGGGGCAAGATGCTGGTAGCAAGGTTGGCACCGCAGAGGCTGGAGAAAGAGAGAAGAAAGTAAAGAGCGAGAAAGAGCGTACGGATACCTTGTAATGTCGAGCTGTTAGCTCCGTAGCTACAATGAATACATTTGTTGACTCATTGGGTTTCCAGTTGAAAGAGAGCGAAAGAAAGCTGAGAAGCAAGCCAAGTTCGACCAAAAGAAAGCTAAAGCTGCCACTGCGGCCCCAGTAGCTACCAGCAAGAATAAAGAGAAGAAGGCTAAAGCTGAGAAGGATGCTGAGAAAGATGTTTTGCCACCTTACATTGAGGAGACACCCTTAGGAGAGAAGAAGAGTATGTTTGAAGCTTTAATCCGGACTGCCCCAATAGCACATGCTAATCATTTCTGCAGTCATCAAATCCTTCGACGACCCGCAATATAAGGCTTACAATCCAACTGCTGTCGAATCTGCGTGGTATTCGTGGTGGGAGAAAGAAGGTTTCTTCAAGCCCGAGTTCACAGCAGACGGCAAGGTCAAACCCGAAGGAAAGTTTGTGATCGTCGAGCCTCCTCCAAATGTCACTGGAAACCTTCACATGGGACATGCATTGGGAAATGCTTTGCAAGATGTCATGATTCGGTGGAATCGAATGCACGGCAAGACTACATTATGGCTGCCAGGATGTGATCATGCCGGTATTTCGACACAGAGCGTTGTGGAGAATATGTTATGGCGTCGTCAACAGAAGACCAGACATGATTTGGGAAGACCTAAGTTTGTAGAAACCGTATGGGACTGGAAGAACGAGTATCATCAAAAGATCAACACTGTCCTGAGAAGAATGGGAGGTTCATTTGATTGGACTCGAGAAGCTTTCACGATGAATGACAACTTCACGGCTGCCGTTACAGAGACTTTCGTTACTCTTCACGAGCAAGGAATTATCTACAGAGCCAATCGACTCGTTAATTGGTGCACCAAACTCAACACTTCATTATCCAATCTCGAAGTCGTAAACAAAGAGCTCTTCGGGCGGACTTTGCTTGATGTTCCAGGTTATGACAAGAAGGTGGAATTTGGTATCATTGTTCACTTCAAGTATGAAATTGAAGGAACAGACGAGAAGATTGAGGTAGCAACCACTCGTCCCGAGACCATGCTTGGTGACACTGGTGTTGCCGTACATCCCGACGATGAACGATACAAGCATCTTGTGGGAAAGAATGCCATCCATCCATTCATTCCTGGGCGTCTCATGCCAATCGTGGCCGATGACTACGTTGAGAAGGACTTTGGTACTGGAGCTGTGAAGATCACCCCAGCACACGACCCCAATGATTTTGCTCTCGGTACTCGCCACAACCTTGAATTCATCAACATTCTCACCGATGATGGTAATATGAATGAAAACGCTGGCCCATACGTCGGACAGAAGCGATTCGATGTCAGATATACCATCCAAGAGGACCTCAAGAAGGTTGGGCTTTACGTTGATAAGAAGGATAACGCTATGACTGTACCATTATGCGACAAGTCTAAGGATGTTATCGAGCCCCTCTTGAAGCCACAATGGTGGATGAAGATGAAGGATATGGCTGCAGCTGCTCTCAAAGTCGTAGAAGACGGTGAGATCAAGATTCTGCCAGAGTCTGCAGAGAAGAGCTACATCCGGTGGATGTCAAATGTCAATGACTGGTGTCTGTCACGACAACTGTGGTGGGGTCACCAAGCTCCTATGTACTTCTGCAAGATCTATGGCGAAGAAGGTGACGAGACTGATAATGACCTTTGGTTTGCCGGTCGCACCCAAGAAGAGGCAGAAGTCAAGGCTAGGGCGAAGTACCCTGGAAAGAATTTCACCTTACACCGAGATGGAGATGTCCTGGACACATGGTTCTCGGCTGGGCTGTGGCCTTTCGCAACTATGGGCTGGCCAAACAAGACCCATGATCTCGACACATTATTCCCAACATCTGTGTTGGAGACTGGCTGGGATATTCTGTTCTTCTGGATTGCCCGTATGGTCATGTTCAGTCTGAAGCTCACTGGCAAAGTACCCTTCACCGAGGTCTACTGCCATTCTCTTATCCGCGACTCCGAGGGAAGAAAGATGTCGAAGTCACTGGGTAACGTCATTGATCCGCAAGACGTGATTGAGGGTATCAAACTAGAGGATTTGCACAAGAAGCTTTTGCTTGGCAATTTGGCGCCAGCAGAAGTTGAAAAGGCTACCAAGTACCAAAAGACTGCATTCCCCGACGGCATCCCACAATGCGGTACAGATGCTTTGCGCTTTGCGCTAGTATCATATACAACTGGTGGTGGAGACATTGCTTTCGATGTCAAAGTCATTCACGGATACCGCAAGTTCTGCAACAAGATCTACCAAGCTACGAAATTCGTACTTGGCAAGATCGACGCCGACTTCGTTCCCCAAAAGACTGGCAAGCTCACTGGAAAAGAGTCCTTAGCTGAACGATGGATCTTACACAAATTGACCATCGCAGCCAAAGAAATCAATCTAGCACTTGCCGACCGAGAGTTCATGAAATCCACATCCGTCGTCTATGCGTTCTGGTACAACCAGCTCTGCGACGTCTACATCGAGAACTCGAAAGCCATCCTCCAAGACGGAACACCAGAAGAGAAGAGATCAGCCCTTGACACCTTGTACACCACTCTTGAAGGCGGCTTAACAATGATCCATCCATACATGCCATTCCTGACCGAAGAGCTCTGGCAAAGACTTCCCCGCCGTCCACAAGACAAGACTCCATCCATCACTCTCGCCAGATACCCCGTCTACGATGCCGAAATGGATGACCCCTCATCAGAAGCCGCATACGAGCTCGTCCTCAGCGTATCAAAGGGCATCCGATCCCTTATGGCCGAATACTCACTCAAAGACGAAGGAAAAGGTAACTAATCCCCTTCCCTCCTCATTCCCAATTCCCACTAACAATCTCCCAGTCTTCATCCAAACCCACGACTCCACCGCCCACAGCACCGTAACCTCCCAAATCCAATCCATCAAATCCCTCTCCGGAAAAGGCGTCTCGTCCCTCTCCATCCTCTCCGCAACCGAGTCCCGCCCCTCCGGCTGCGTCGTCTTCTCCGTCTCAGCCGCTGCTTCCGTCTTCCTGCACGTAAAAGGCCGCGTTGACATTGACGGCGAGATTTCCAAGGCGAGCAAGAAATTAGATAAGACGAAGCAGGGAATCGAGAGACAGCAGAAGATTTTGGGGGATGAGGGGTACAAGGAGAAGGTTGCGAAGGAGTTGCAAGAGGTTGAGATGAGAAAGTTGGCGGATTTGGAGACGGAGAGGCAGGCTTTTGAGGAGACTATTAAGCAGTTTGAGGCGTTGAAGACGGAGTGAATGAGGAATGGCGGTGAAGTTTGTGAGGAGGACGTTATGATCATTGTTGCGTTGCCGAAAAAGAGCTTGACTGTATGCTGATAGATCAATATTCATAGGGAAGATAAAAAAGATATGAGTAGAGAAACATGCCCCCTACTACTGCAATTGGATTATGTTTCAGTGGTTTATTTTTTCTTGCTATCTAGTAGTATGTCATCGATTGACGGGACCCTTTGGTGGATCTCTGACCAATAATCGAACCTTACCCTGCCCAATCTCGTGTCCTTGGCTAAGAATGTCCACTTCTTCCTTCTCTGGCTCTGGTGCAGCAGCAGCAGCAGCCGTGACGCCCTCGCGGGTGAGTGATTTGTCCCATGAGCGAGCATCGATACCAAGGATACCTCCTACGGTGCTTCTGTCGCCTTGGGCGCTGAATTCCCGGTAGGCGTAACGCCATTCGTTCAGAAAATTTCGAATAGCTTTACCGACCTTGTCTTTACCATTCTTGCTGTGATGGCCAGTTCCAGTGATAGCATAGACGGGTCTGGTCTCCCTTTGATTCTCAAGAAGAACTTTCTCTAGATATTCAACAGCTTCTTCTGGGTGCAGACCATGGAGGTCAACATAAAGCTCGGAGCTTAAGGAGCTGTTCTTGTTGCGCTCTTCATACAATTCACGGGCCGCTTCTCGATGGGCTTTCCGCATAGCATCGTTCTCGCTTTGTCCTCGAAGACTGAGGGCCTTGGCAGCGCGAGCATCATTGCGATTCCAGGCTTGGGCAGCACTATATAGCGTTAGTAGACATATCATAATTTGACAAAGTAGATTCGCACCTTTGCAAAAACTTGTTCCTCAAGCCACCATGCTTGATAGCATCTTGTCTGGCCTTGAGGTATGCTTTGTTGGCTCTTTCGCCAGTTTCCAGCCAAGGTATATGCTGTGGACTAGGGATGGCCTGTGCAGCAGCACTGTTCTCTCCGTTGCGGATACTGGTGGAGCTGCCATTTCTGCCTATCTTCTTGGCATCTTGTCGCATCAGACCAGGACCGGGGGAGGGCGACATTTTAACTACTTCCGCAAGGCTACTAGGAATAGCATTCTCCTTGTGGCCGTGTCCATGACCACCTCTCTTTCCATGGTGTTTCTTACCACCCTTTGAGGCGACTGCGCCAAGTGAAGGGAAGGCTTCTGTGTCGTCCAGCGAAGGTGCCGCTGGGTTTGACTCTCGAGTTTGATGGCGGCTACTTGGTCGTGATCTTTGACTTGATCCATCACTTGCGTAGCCCTGCATGTTTTTGAAGCCAGGTGGGGGAGTAAAGCTCGCGCCTTGGTAGTTACTAAAAGCATTGGCGGAACTGTATGAGCTGGGCCACTGGTCCTGCATAGTTTGCAAAGAAGGAAAAGCATTATAGTCTTGGAATTGGAAGCCTGGCTGAGAGCTTTGAAGGGGTGGGGTGCTGCTTTCCTCAAGAGCGAGACGATTCATGAAATGTGAAGGATCATGAGAGAAGATGCAGGTATCGCCAGCAAGGCAGTTGCCCATGACCCAGTATCTAAGTTGTCAGCACCTGAGTTTGCAACAATAATCGAAAGTACTTACTTGCAGATGTGGTTACTGAGATCGTGACTGAATCTGCAATCTGCCCTAAGACACTGTCCAGTAGACAACCAAAATCTGCAGACAACTCCACTTCGCTGTTGACCGGCAGGAGTGACTGGTCGAGGTACTTCAGCAGCCATAGACTTCCCGATAAGTATCGCATTCTTGGCTTCCGTAGTCTGAGCTTGAGCGGTCATACCATCTGTTGTTTGACCTTCCATGAACGCCATGATAGTAGCACTCAAGTCATAACCATGCATAGCCAGAGCTGCCTCGATCTCTTCGTCTGACTTCGAAGGTCCCAATATGGAGCGAAGCATATCGTAAGGGCTCATGTCTGACTGCTGAGGTTGGATGTACTCTGCGGCTGCAGCGTTAAGGCCGCTTTGACCTCCAGCAGAAGAGGACGTATTACTTCCACCATCGTCGTTCACAAGCCAGTCAACATTTTCGCTGCCATAATCTCCGTATATGTCTTGTGTAGGGCTCGTATCGGTCGGGAACTCGTAAGCATTCAAGCTCGGGCTATGAGGGATTGCTGGACTAGAAAAAGCAAGTCTTGGAGAGGGGCGTGGTGATGTGAAAGGAGATGCTGTCGATGACTTTGCTCTGCTGAAAGACTGCGGTACGAATCCAGGTGGTGCGAGAGGGCTGACTCCCAGACGAGGCGATGATGACACCGGAGTGCCAGCACCACCTCTATTGATGGGCCAAGGAGCTGGAGATGGGCGTCGCAAGACCGTATGGCGCAAAGGAGGAGGTGAGGTTGGGTTTGTCGTGGACTCACGATATCTCCACAGAACATCAAGAGCAGCGTTTTCCAGTGCTGGTCCAGCTAGCTCTGTCTCCTTCTTGACTAAGTCCTCCAGTTTGTCCGTCTTCTCTTCATCGTCGAGCTCTGCATCCTGAAGCAAGGGCAGGCAGATTTCGTATGTTTCGTCGGACACCATGATTGTAATGTGCTCGACGTGGTGTTCTAAGTATCGATTATGGTATGAAAATGGAGTGGAAATCAGTAAAGAATGGAGGTCACCGTGGGGTGAAGCGGATAGGTTTCGGCCAGATGGTTTGGGAAGGGCTGAGGAAGGTCCGAAGCAGGGCGCAATAAGCAACAGTAACAGTGAGAGCAGGGCGAAAAGGGAAGGTACCACTGCTCTTACATTTCTAACCGATCGGGCTTTATATTGAAGAGATACTGTAATGGTAATGGAGAGTAAAGAGTGTTTGGATGTCGAGGCGGGCGTTCAGGTGAGGCTGGATCCGGGGCATGAGCAAGGAGGACGACGGTAGCGTGATGATTACTGATTGGCTGGGTGCTGATCTATCACAGATGACTCTATTTTAGGGCCGAGAAGTAGTTACTGTACTGATATCAGGGCAGCGACAGTACCATTTACAGAATAAATTATCTTTGAAAAGATTTCTGATTTTTGGCTCTTTGACGTACATTCACATTTGCACAAACATAAGTGATCCACTGTCAAGCCGTTTCCAATCATTGAAAGATGGAATGCGACTCATCACGTGAACTGTAACTCACAGCATTCACGGTCGGTGTACGCGGCCGCTTGATAAAGACCGAACCAGTCGACGTCAGCCATGCGAGAATGCGGCCAAGCAGTCGCAAGAGATGGGCGAAGCCAAAGGATCAGGAACATGTTCTGTCAAACAAACGAATCCTACGACATAGAGATATATCTCAATTTATCCCAATAGCAATATTTACATCAGTCCAGATATTCTAAATCATTGTTGCAACTCCTCTTGTTACTGTTCTGTTTGGGCAGAGTTAAAGGTTTCAGCATTCAGTCAGCACGACCCAACTTCCATCAACCACCCCTCCGAATAGATTCCAACAACGCCAGGTGTTAACACATTCCTACTCGATGACCCCGAGAAGGTGACCTCGAATCACCACATCATCCCCCATCTCTCTATCCTGCCGAGTTAGACAACAATTCCTCCTCCATCCGCAGCCTCGACGCATTCTCCACCATGCCAGCCGACTACTCTTCAATAGCAAAGGCCCTTGCGGTTCCCATATCACCTATATCCTCCCCGTCACCCGAACGGCAAACACCTCGACCAGCATGGAGTAGTCGTCTCTCCTCCAACCGCCGCACAACCTCAAGTCCATACTCGCAATCCGTCTCCTCCTCCCAACGGCCCTCAGACTACAAAACCCAAATTCTCCGCTCCGCCGCCAAAGCCCAACGCAAGATCATCAAAACCTTCCTCGCCCTCTCCCTCTGGCAACGAATAGCCGCCGTCATCCTCGGAATCGTCGTCAACGTCTTCCTCATCCTATTCCTCATCTACAACGAGAAGATATTCGGCTGGCTCACTCCATATGCTGAGAAATGGCGAGAAATAACAGGCGGCTGGATGATCCTCTGGGCTATAACATTCATGTGCGCTTTCCCCCCAATGATCGGATACTCCACTGCCGTCACGATATCCGGGTTCGTGTACGGGTTTCCTAACGGATGGTTCATCGTCGCAACAGCGACAGTACTCGGGTCCACTGCCTCGTTCATGGCATGCCGAACTGTATTATCGAAATACGTCCACGCCTGGGTTGGGAAAGATAGACGGTTCGAAGCTTTAGCCTTAACGCTCAAGCACGACGGCATTAAAATCCTCTGCATGATTCGTCTCTGTCCTCTCCCGTATAGCTTGAGCAATGCAGCTCTATCGACTTTTCCAACCGTCCATCCCTTATCATTTGCCCTTGCAACTGCAATAGCAAGTCCTAAACTCCTAATTCACGTCTTCATCGGCAGCAGACTAGCCTCCATTGCCGAAAATGGCGGGAAGATGGATGCAGGGACCAAAGCCGTGAACTATGCCAGTATAATTTTTGGCTCTATCCTCGGTGCAGCCGTCGGCTGGATAATCTACCAAAGAACCATGGCCCGAGCCAAAGAGCTCGAAATCGAGGAACTTGAAGCCGGGACAGCTGCAAGTTCAAGAGAAAGGACTTATAGCGACGGAGAGGTAGACCTAGATGCCGCGGCACTGATGAATGATGACGATATCTCGCTTTGGGATAATGATGCCAGGGAAGAAGGGTATAGAGATGAGTTTACGGATGATGACGAGCCTGACGTTTTTGCGAGTGGGGATATTGGTGAGGAGCCGGTGAAGGGACAGAGGGGTTCGTAGGATGTGTTTATAGGTCGTTTTGGTGTATATGGTTGGCGTTAGGGTTGGGATAGATACATAGATAGAAAGACCAGTGGTCTTTATCATGATTTGGAAATGTATACATCATTCGGTTTGGTTTGTCAATCCTGTTGTGTAATTGACTCTATGCGTGCACTACTTTCAAGGTGAGAATGATCACCGAGCTGAGCTCTGGACTTTAGCCTTGAGAACTTGAGTCGAGTATGATGTGTTTTCTTCAAGCTTGAACTCACTCTCTCTTCATAATTGATTAACAATCTTAAACACTCAAAGATATTGTTGCTTGAGCATGTGACATACAGTGAAGAATTCTTGCAAGTCAAATTTAGAAGACAACTCTGATTATCCTTCATTCTTACTGATCAATTTAAGAGCTCAGCTCTCTGAACCAAAATCACACAAACAGACGACAACGCTAAACCCAAACCCAAACGCCATCGCTAACCCTATGACAATAGCACAAGTACAATACATCATTCATTAATCATTGCGTTCCTCTGAATTGCTGCATAAAAGCCATCGCTTGGTCCATCGGATATCCAATGAAGACCGGTCCAGTAAAGATCATTTGTGGAATCCCATTGCCTTTTGGGATCTCCGGTGGTTGTATGAAAGCAGGTTGATCATGGTACATAGTTGAAGCTGGTTGGTAGGTAGTGTTGGGTTGCTCTCTAGGTACCTCTCTGGTCTTTTCAGCATGGGGGAAAGGACATTTACCCGCTGGTCGTTCTTGAGGCTGTTCTTGCTCTTCTTGAACTTCTTTTTGCTGTTCGTGGCCGAAGGGACATTTTCCAGCTGGTTTTGGTATGTGCTCGTCTGAAATAGGCGCTGGCGGCGGGGAAACAGGTCGTTGTCCATCTGGTGGTTCAAGGATCGGTACAGAGATACCCCAAGGTCGACTGGGCGATTCGCCAACTCGGATCTCTTTCAGAGGTCTATCAAATCGAGACTCCCGGTCTTCTTCGTTTTGTACCAGAGGCTCGTCTTCGACCCCAACTCCATCCGCACTGACAGCATTTGCCCAATTCTCCACTCTCTCATTAGAGCCACGCTCTACTTCCAGAGCTTCGTCCTCCTCATTACTCGGAAGCATTGGTTGATGCTTCTGACCTAGCCCTTGAATCATACTAACAAGATTTCCGTACTTCGCATCTAGCTTTCTGATGTCTTCCTCGTTCCTTTGATACCGCTTCACACATACCTCATGACTTCGCGGGATCTCGTGCTTATGAGTTTCGAAATATCGAGCGACCTCTTCTGGGGAATGCTGGTCCAAATAACGGATGGGGCATTTCGCTGCGGAACCAGTCGCAGATGGGGGTGGGGAAGCCATCGTTTCTGCATACATAGCTGCGCAGATAGGGTCTGAAGACTGATGTGGAGTTCTGTCTTGTAAATCTGCTGGAGTCAAAGGTCCATCAGAGTTCAACGTGACAGAACCCTGGGATGCTTGGTTTTCCATATGTGGTTTATTGTTGTCGTGTGTTCGTGCGTAGGGGCACAGCAGAGAGCTCTTTTTCCCTTGAACGGTGAAGTCTTGTTCAAGGACGGTTGATAGAGATGTCTTTCGAGCCGAAAACCTCAGACTGCTCGTCCCGGATATACTTCTTCCACTAACTGTAGATCCGGTCGACCTTCGTGTAAGTTGAGCAAGACGCTGTGCCGCCCGTCTGCCGTCTCTAATTGCAACTGCTGTCTGGACATTCGTGCTCGTCTGTTTTCGTTGTGGAAGCGGAACAAAGCCGGCACGATCGGGTGTAGAAATCTGTAGATCCGGTAGCAGCTGCAGCTTGGCTAATGTGCTTGAGACTTCAGCATCACCAGGAGCATATTTGTCCGCCAAGCGTTGATACTAAAGCAGACTCAGATTAGCAATGCTCTTTGAAGCATCTACCAACAACGTATGATGTAAAGTACGAATTTTCAGGATACATGGTGTTTGTCAGTCATCACTGCAAAGCAGCTGTGATCTAGAGCTGTGTATAATTCTCTTCATAAAACAAGATGGGATGCAATGATGAAGTTCTGGAGACTCACTTCCTGTTGTCCATACGAAAGCTTGGAAGTCAAGATCAAATTCCGGTCGCTGAGTACCTGAAATTGATCTGCCAGAATATTAAAATTATCTGTTAGTGTTCGAATGAGCTCTTCATTATCAACATCCGTTAATGGCATGTTGAAGCAAAGAACGGATTGCAAAAGCGTCGCGAAGGTGGGATGGAAGCAAGAAATGTAGCTATGGCTTTGATTCGAATGGCATGCAGCCGCAGACTAACCAGTAGCGCGCTTATAAAGCCCCAAGGTTGTCATGTGATAGTTTGCAGATTCATAATTTCAGAAACCTTTGCTCCTTCTTGTTGGCTCCCGAATGACGCTCGCATGCTTGTTTTCACTGGTCGTTGCATCCTATACATCCAACATACCAAGTACGGGATTGTAAAGCTGTCAGCGCGGGTCCTTCTCGTACTCCGTACATGGGCAAGTGACCCCGGATTTACTTGTACCTTGCATACCTAGGTAGCATGTTACTCAATCCCAATACTTTATTATTACATCGAGTTTTCTCAATACACAAAGGTATTCCAACTATTGTGACAACAATTATCATCACGTTGTTGGACATTCCTTCAAAAAAGCGGCTCAAACATAAAGACGCTACTTGATCTTTTTTTAGACGATGCAGTTTAAGTCCTCACTCGGATAATCGCCGAAGCTTAAGTATAACATGAAGGCTATAGTGTGAAGGATTGGCGTCCATGAATAACTTAGATTTAGAGTTAAAAGCATCTGACTATCTACTAGAGACTTTCTTTGCAACGTTCCCAAAAGTATCTTTCTCCAGACTCTGTCTTTAAAACATTGTGCACGACCAAGTGGCGATCATCGGCTTGCCCCGGACTAAGGCTGTATCAGCTTCACGTTCTAGCGGCCTTCCAGAACGAAACGTGCGACGTGCGCCCAATTCAATACGAAGTGAAGCGCCGTGAATCCCCTCGATCCAGAAACTCCCCTCGACCAACATTTTTGTACATCGTCCCTATGAAGTACTATCATACCACCCGCCGAGGAGTCAAAGGTCGAACGCGTGCGTTGTACATTACCACCAAACATCACTTGTGACGACAATCCGATCTTCCATTATCACGCCGAATGGTGTTGAGCTGAGGCCATATTGGATAACGCCAAAATGGCAGCCACAGCAGGGTTGGAGTCTTTTGATGATGTAAAGAAGCCTGCGGGACCATCTTCTTCGATGAAGGGCAATGCTTTCGAAAGACTTCCTGATGAAATCATTGAGCAGTGAGTCTTGAAAATATCCCGAGGCTGTGCGACATTCTGGCTGACGCTCAATTGACAGAATACTGCAACTTACAAATCCGAATTCTTTCGCATCTCTGATCATCTTGAATAGAAAGTGGCGAGAAGTTTCACAGCAATCACATCTCTATGCTCATCATCTATCACGATGTCCGTCATATTCTGCCGCACATCTCTCACTTCCTCTACCAGTAAACGAGGACAGTCTGCCACAACTTCGTCGATTGTTTGCACGAGAGATCAAACGCAATCTTTTCGAAGCATATCTGCGACCTCGAGAAACGATCATAAACATTGTGTCAACCTCAATTAGCTCCTCATCGGCGCCTGGAGGTGAAGCATTTCACTTCAGCCTATCACCCAGAGGTCACTACGTTTTGGCATACAGCTCTTCCAGACTTCACGTTATAGACGTTACGGGATGGGAGGTTACAGTGAAGAGAGAGTTCAAGATCTTGCGAAGACCTGCTTCAGCTACAATTACGGATGATGGGCTTCTGCTGGCTGTTCTCTCAACAGATCTTCAAGTTGATCTTTACGATTTGAGTACCCGACCTCCAAAACACACTCGTGCTGTGGCCCTGGATCATACTCCCCGAACGATCGCCTTGTCTCCTACTGGCTCCGTACTGGCAGCGGCTTACGATTCAGGGGTCGAGGTATCTTCGTTGAATCCGAGCCATGTGAGCACAGAACGACGGGCTGTTAAATGCTATGCCGTGGATTCGCTTTCCTTCTCAAGAGATGGTACACAATTGTTGGGCACGACTATGCAATCACGAAGCCCAAGCACAGTCGTGCTTACGGCACCTTACTATGATCCGGGTGGCAGTCTACCAGAAGATAGCATTAGTGCACTTTGGACGACATCTATCCTCTTCCCAAATGGAAGTCGTGATTGCAGTCATGCTGTACTACTTCCAAGCCCTGACGGAGAAGCTAGTTGGACCTTTACCTACGACCGAGTATTCGAGACATTTCGTGCGGTTCGCATTGATGACCTTCGAAACGGGACCACTTATTTTACTGGACCTATTGCGGATGCTTCGTCAATCTCCAAACTGCTCCCAAGCACTCTACCTACTGCGAATGCATCTGGGGATCTTGTTGCTGCAGGCTTTCAGAGTTCCATCTGGCTTTATGGAGTGCCAGAAGATCTAGAAGCCGTGCCAAACATCGGCAGAGAAGGCAGCAATAGCACAACCGAGACAGAAGTCAGCACGCCCTCTACATCCAGTCTCATCGGACGGAGGAATAGTGCGCCATCTCCGAGGTCTGGAAGTCGACAGAGCATAAGCAGGATCCCTCAATGGCAACTACTTTGCGATAGATTGCGGAATACTTTTGTTGAAGGCAGAAAAATTGGTACACTCGATCGTGTCAGTGCTTTAGCTTGGGTAGATCCTCAGTCTACTACTTTCCATGGTGAAAGATTGGTAGGAGTCGCTCCTGGTGTTGCTGGACCGTGTGCAACAATCGAGGAAGATGGAATGGCTCCTGTTGACGGAGGTCGCATAGGTCTACTTGATTTTGATTATTCGCCAAACGATGGGAAAAGGAGTTTAATCACAATTGAGGTTGGCATGACCGAACCTGAAGTTCTAGAAGAAGAGCATAGAGACTTGGATACAGAAGTAGCTCTTGTCAGAAGGAGAACAGTAGCACAAAGACGGGGCAATCGCAACCATGTGTCACGATCCGCAACTACTGTCGCACGATCTCCTCGATCCGAATTACCTCCGATGATGCCAACTATTCAAGACCTGGGTGATCCCTTCGCACCGCGCGCTCTCCCCATCAGGAGACCCAGTCAGCAAACAACAACATCGACAGATGAGAACGCTTCAGTTGATGAAGACCAGGAGGCATTTGACGCACCGTATTCACATACCAGTCCAAGATCTGGTACTACACTACGTCGCGCTGCTACTGCTGCAGCGGTAAATCGAAGATTGCATCCACGAGCTGTAGCTCAAGATCACATAGAATATCGTCGTGCCGATGGTCGAGAAGAACATCCGCACGAAAGTGATGCAGACAATTGGGTTCCGCCGCCTCCACCATATACTCGGGAACCCATTCCACCTCTCCCAGAGCACATTCAAAGGTCTTTGCTGGCTGAGGCAGCTGCTGCTACATTGCAACGATCTACTACTCAAAGAGCACCGAGTCTCGACTTCCCTGGCCTAGATTCAGGCAGTCTACAGCGGTCCCGAACCATTGCGACAATATCATCTTCTAGGTCCGCTGAGTCTCGTAGAGAACGCTATAACGTTCAAAGGACGTTGAGCCAGTCAACAAACATGACTGCGGATCGTATATCTTTTGAAGAGGAAGAAAGACCTCGGCCAGTCACCAGTCCTAGATCGCCAAACGAATTTGACGATCTCTATGATGTATCTCCACCTGGAACGCCACAGCTTTCACCTCGAAGAGCATCAGCACCTGTCAATCTAATCCCGAGAAGACCTGTCGGCGCACCTGCTAGCAATAGCAATAGAAATGTGTCACCTCCCACTCCGGGTCCCACGATGCGAGGAACATTAGATCAACCTGTGTCTCCGATTCCTCAACCAAATCCGATGGAAAGTGCACTAAATCGTCGCTTGCAAGATTGGGAAATTACTACTCAACCAGGACGAGTCTCACCTATTCTCGAGTCAGCACCTTCCCCAACTAGGGAAGTGAAGCAAAACATTCCACCTGTTCCCAACCCCCAGGTCCAATCACGTCCTACGAGCACTCTCTTCAAGGACGTTCCACCTCGACCAGACGAGTTGCATCACCTTACAGACCTTCCTCCATCGCAGCCTGTATTCCAGGCACGCCAACAAAGTCTGGAATCAGAAGTATCCCCTCATCCTCGGCGTAGCGAGACTGTCCCGATAGAAAGATCTCCTCCAAAAGACATGGACCTAGAACCACTCGCAATCTGGAAACGGGCGGAGACAGCACCAGTTGCCGCTCCACATCCATCTAGAGCTGCACCTCCTCCTCCGCCTCCAAGTATGGTTATGCCGAGTGCGGATCAACTCGCACGTCTGAACAGCCGTAAAGGACGTCCAGCTGGTCTCGCAGATCCTCGACGGGTATCAGGAGGTTCTAATCAACGACCTGCCAGCGGCAATCATAGCAGGAATGCTTCTGGTGGCTCAATGCAAAGCATGAATATGCAGAATACACCTCCACGTCTCACACCGGAGCAGGCATTCAATACAGCACCACGTGCTGCTGTGGGCTCTTACAGTTCTTCCCCTCAGCGCCTAAACCCAGGTTATCATCAGCCACCTCAACAACCTTATGTTTCAATACCAGCCCGTCGCATAAGTAATGGTGCTTCACATAACCGAAACGTGTCTAATTCCTCACCTAATCTTCGTCCACCAATGCAACGTCTAGAAACCATCCATAGCCAGACATCTGTCGGACCCGCTGAACCATCGCCATACTTTGCCCAAAAAGCCATGATGGTATCGAGACAGCCGAGTAGAGCCGAGAGAAGTGCGGCGAAGAATATCAAGGATGCCAAGAAAAGAGGATGGAGATCGAGTGCAAAAGAGAATAAGAAAAAGGATAGGTTAGGTGGAGATGGTGCAAGTTCTACGGGATGGACGGACATTTCACGGGATTCTGCTATGCCTAGGTATGCAGAGAAGGAAAGAAAGGAGAAGGGAGGAAAGTGTCTGGTTATGTGAGCGGATTACAGCACGTTCAAAATTTGCATATATACCCTTTTCTGCTCGGATGGAATCCTATGAAGGAGTACTATTCTATGAGATGTTACTCTGAATAGTCCTAATTTAATGGGCTAATGATTCATGAACCAGTTCCTAAATAAAGTTCATCATTCCAAAAGTGGAAGTTGCGCTTCAAAGATACCTTCCGAGAACATGATTTTAACTTCGAGTGACCAAATTTAGTAAATGATTCGTATAAAAAGGGGGGACCTTCCGACAACGGGGCGCGCTAGTCTCCACCTAACAGGTATCGCAGATTGTGAATTTTGACTCCTACCTCGACATCAAATCCCGAATACCAATATTTTCTGTCTCAACTTTGATCATATTGACAACTACATCAAAGACACATCATATGGCGTCCTCTCAACCAGGCCTTAACCGGTACGAAAACGACATTGATCATACCCCCAATCACGCCCTTGCCGAACTCTCCCTGTCATCGAAGACAATCCATGCAGATGACTACCTCAACGTCGGCCAAGATGTCGCACCACCATTGCATGTCTCGACTACCTTCCGATACGACCGAGATCCCAATGCTTTGAAAGTATGGACTGAACTAAAGGTAAATCACCTCTCCCACTCTACAATAGGGCAAAGTCAGCTGATCGGGATTGGACAATAGCCAGGACCCTTGCCGGATTCACATATCTACTCAAGATATACCGCACCAAACACTACACGCTTTGAAGCCATCCTGTCGGATATCCTCAAGGGCCCAAGTTTAACTTACTCTTCTGGTCTAAGCGCTTTCCACGCTCTCCTCGTGTTCCTGAACCCGAAGCGCATCTGTATCGGAGATGGCTACCATGGTTGTCATGGTGTGATCTCTATTCACCAAAAGCTTACTGGACTTAAGAAATTGAACCTCGATTGCGATCCTTCGGAACTTGAAGCTGGAGATGTCGTTCATGTCGAGACTCCGCTCAATCCCACCGGAGTAGCCTGTAACCTGAAAGCATTCGCGGAAAAGGCTCACTCTCGAGGCGCTTTTCTTACCATTGATGCCACTTTTGGTCCTCCTCCTCTCCAAGATCCGTTTCTTTGGGGTGCGGATATTGTAATGCATTCTGGTACGAAATATGTTGGTGGACATTCTGATATGCTTTGTGGTATTCTTGCTGTTCACCCGGATCGGGCTAAGGAAGGTTGGTTCGGGAAGCTATTCTCGGAGAGACAATACCTTGGTAATGTGATGGGTAACATGGAGGGCTGGTTGGGTGTCCGGAGTGTACGTACCTTGGAAGTCAGAGTTGAGCGACAAGCGAAGAATGCTGAAGCATTGGTCAAATGGCTTCATGAGTCGTTGACTTCCAAGGAGACTTGGGGTGACCATCATGCTGTGAAGGAAGTTTTGGCGAAGATCGAGCACGCGAGTCTGCAAGAGGAGGATATCAAGGAGGGATGGCTGTTGAAGCAGATGCCGAATGGGTTTGGACCTGTATTCTCGATTACGATGAAGGAGCAGACTTTCGCTAGAAGATTGCCGAGTAAGCTGAAGCTGTTTCATCATGCTACGAGCTTGGGTGGGGTAGAGAGTTTGATTGAGTGGCGTACGATGACTGATTCGAAGGTGGACTCGAGGCTGTTACGTGTTAGTGTTGGGATCGAAGGTTGGGAGGACTTGAGGGATGATCTGTTGCAAGGTTTCAAAGCTTTGTACGATGAACAGCAGGAGGAACTCAGAGCTTAGACAACGTAGAGCACAGGAAGGAGCTGCATGACAGTAATTGCTTGGCATCTTGCATGATGGTGGAGCGTAGTCTAGGTTTGCACACTCTGGCTTCACGACAGATAATGAATAGCTTGCCTTTTATTTTCCTTATTCTATGCTGCCTTTACAACCTCAGTGTCATTCTCCTAACTTCACAGAATTATAAATTATAGCACAAAGTTCCTCTCTTCCATGAGAGTGCATGTTCTTTCCTTCCTCCCAACTTGAGTAAAATCGTAAATTTTATCAACAGCATGGACCTTTTTAAATATCCCGTGAGCTAAGGCAATGGTCCCCGTTACACCATATCCTGTTTCTTAAAAATTCAAGGCTCCTTTACCACAACTCTAGCTCCCCTTCTCACTTCCCCACCTCTCTCAACCACACTCATGATTCCCGCCTTTCGTTCCACAACCTTCATTCCATCTTTCACAACACACCTTGCCAATAATCCATCCGAAAATTATCAATTTGCGGACACGGATTCCTCAAACCAGTAACTCTCACAATAGCACATTTCCCATTGTCATCTTCTCCCTCATTAACAAACTTCAATCTCGTCCCAACACTCAAATTCAACACATCAAGCCCTCTAGTCGTAATGTTCTCCCCCAAATCGCCCGGCTTGATATCGTAGCTCTTCCCATTGGATCCTACAGTTTTCACCTCATCAAACAGTTCCGACTGCATGATATGGACTTGTCGTAAATTTGGAGGGATGATCTTGCCTTTACGACGAGATAGATGTTGGACTTCGACTCCAAGGTGACTGTCGCCTTCGACGCCGAGACCGGCAATGAGGGTGATGGAGTCAAAAGTGGGCTTTGAGAAGGAATGAGTGGGGGATTTGGAGACGGAGAGGACAACTCCTGATCTGTGGGAAAAGAGGATTCGTTTGACGAATGGAATGATGTAGTAGATGGATGCGTAGAGGAATACGACAGCAGGGACTGCATATATGAGCGGATCAGGCATTGCTCTGGTGGTTTGCAAAATTGGGGTGACTTGACAAGAGTGAGGTTTTGGAGAAGAAACAAAACACCCTAAGTGGGATGATGACCACAGTTACAAACCTCTAGTGTCTATCATGGTTCTGGTAACTCTGAAATGCATGAGTCAATGACCTCGAGCGCTCACTTTAGCTGGTCCACGTGAACGGGATTGAGAGGTTCACGTGAAACTCACCATCATTTTGGAAAACATAATCTTGAAAAGGGTTGGAAAAGTCTGCCACAGTAAGGTTACAATGAGAGAACAATGGCATCTTTCGAATAAGTGTAGAAAGAAATAGAGAGGTGTAAGGAAGTAAACATGGTCTGTGCCAAGCCTTACCTAACCTCTTTGGGAAGATATAAAGCTTCTTCTTCTCAGCAACCGAGAAATGCCGACGTCGATCAAGCCTTTTCCACCAACTTCCCGTTACCTTTATCAATTGTGAGCTTTCGTAAAGACATTTTCAGAGGGATGGCAATTCAAAGCTCATCAGGTGACTGGCTTTGCGAACCAGGTGCGAACCGTTCGAGACACTTTGCAAGGCAAACGCTCTCGACGCAACGCCCTCGAGCCACCCCCATTAGGCTCACCGCTCACAACTTTTCCAAGTTTCTGTTGTGTGGAATCAAGCTTGCCATTCTACTCTCGATCACTACAGAAACGTGAAAAGGGCATTTTCGTCTTCTTTTAAAGCGCCAGAATCTAGGCAGCAGCTCAGCTGGAGAGTCCAGCTGGGCAGACTCACACAGAGTCTACGCAATCGCCTGTAATGTTTCGGGAACAAAGTATAGATTGTTGGCGTTTGATCTTTCTTCTTAATGTTTGACTTCTATCTGGAGCATCAATGAGAGGATCTATCTCTCCTTTATATGCATTTCGTTCAACTTGATTCTTCAGGCTGCCGATGCATCCACCGAAAAAACATGGCGCAGTCGTCCACTTTCGGCTCTCAATTCAATATCTTGATGTCGGTCAGCCTTTGTACCTTCACCGAAAACCCTCCTGCAGATTTCATTCCAGTCAACTTCTGATTCGTTGCCCGAATTTAGTGCCCTGGGGCGTATATCAACGCCCTCGTCTGCCATGGGATGCCCATATTTCTAGCCCGTGGCTGCCCTTAGGCATCTAGTAGCCTCGTTGTCTGATGGACTCGAGAACAAAGCATTCACGTCCCGTTTTTTGCCCTCTCGGCCTTTAATTTGCGTGCTTTCCCTTTCTCCCTTTCGAAACGATACCTGCTTCGTCCCATTTCACCACCAAAAGTATTTTTATGTGCCAGCCTTCCGGTCCTTTATCAGCACCATGAATGACCATAGCCTTGTTTCATCGAAAAGAAGTGAGCGTGCCTTGGAAACTCGACAAACGAGCCAATCAGGTCAAAATTTACAGGCATCCACCAACCTGCAAGCAACATATTCGAGCAATCACATCGGCGGTACAACGCTGCACGCCCTGCCGCTTCCTGCAAATGACCAGCCTACGAATTCCTTCCACGATGCCGGCATCATCGAACGCCCAAGTCATGGCATCGGTGGCCGAGGGCTGAACACTGACACTCTCTTCAATGTAAGTCAGACCCCCAATCGTTATGATTCATTCCTATTTATGAATTGTGGATTCCAAACTAACATTATCAAGCAGTCAGCACTGGGAGACCCACCTCCTGATCCGTCACCACCGATTGCGGACGATATTGGTAGGCCATACTTTCCGAGAAGTCAATCATGGATTGCTAACACAAGTCTACTATGTAGCGTCTGGTCGACTGCCTTCCTTCTGCATTGCCGGTCCTGGCTATCAATGCTGGTGTGAACGTTGTGCCCCTCTTGCAACAACTGTTCCGATAGCTCCCTCTCCCTCTCCCTACATCTTCGAAACGAGCACGAGCAATCCCTCATATTCCCCATACCAGAGACCTGATTTGCAGAGTTATCCCTCTCGAACAATAGGCTCCTCGGCTGAATTAGATTCAGAAATTCCGGGCTTGACCTATAGCAATACTATCAATAACGGATCAGATTTGGCACGATCCTCGTATGGAAGTCTGCCAGCCTCTAGCAGTGGCTCAGGGTTCTCTTTCGATCCAAGTTTGAGTCGGACTACACCAAACTTCTCTTCTGGCAAGCTTTCGAGTGGATTTCCTTCATACGATCCGAGTTTAGACGATATGAGGGGCCCTAGGCCTCACGTTCCCCCCAGAGTCACCACGCCGTATGATGCCAGGCAGCCAAGTTACAAGGAGCGAGCCCAGCGTCGTGACCCAGCTTCACGTCCGAGCATCAATGCCTCGAATATTGAGCCAACCGCCTCCTTGGATTGTGCTGTATTCCTAGAAGCACAGGACATCCTCCGGGCGAAACTCAGGCATGGAAAACCTCTCTCGGAGACGCAAAAGGAAAGCCTCGCAAATGTCTTGGACATATCTAGTGAACAGTTAGAATTCTGTCTCACGACCAAACGAGTTATAGAGCCGCTACTTAACAACATAGGGTCCAAGGCGCACGGTTGTGGTCTTCCGTCAGATTATGTGGTTGGTTGGTTCGAGCAGCTGCAGTCTTCGATTGCAGAAAAAGCCCCTTTGCGTGATTCTGCTTATCAGTCGCTCAATACCTCTCTTCAAGTATCTGAACGGCCCAAGAAACGACGGAGAATCACCAGAAATCCCAGCTCACAGCGGACTTATCAATGCACACATATCTCAAGCAATAGAACATTTTGCCTTCAGGAAAGCAATAATTTCACAGATTGGAAACGGCACGAAGAGAGACACTGTCCTCAAAGACGCTGGGAGTGCTTGCTCGAAGGATCCTACCCTGACATCCAATGCCATATCTGCGGCCACTACGTTGATGCAGATATCCAGCAGGCTCAAGAGACTCATGCGAGATGCTTTGGCCGGGACCCTCGGAAAGGTCATGATTTCCCACGTAAAGACAAGCTGGTTCCACATATCCGGGATGATCACGGATTTGAACCAAGGCTTGAGGCATGGCACTATCCCATTCCATCAATGTGGAAAGAACAATGCGGATTTTGTGGTGAGAGATTTTCGGACTGGGACACACGTTGTGACCATGTGGGGAAGCACTTTACGGAAGGGAAGCGGATGATTCCAGATGTAAGCAACAATCCTCCAAGTCCCTTTGATCCGCTATGTCTGCTACCTACTGTACACTTCATTTTTCGTTGTTGTTCTCTAGTTTTATACTACTTGCCTTCTCGTGTCAAGAGGGATTATGAAGCTAATTTTCTGTAGTGGAGAGATCCATGGCCTGTGGAGGAAACATCTGATGCGCCGGACGAGGATAATGACAATGACAATGATAATGATAAGGGCGGACCTGGTGATCATCGCCATGATGGCCCTGGTGACAAAGACGCAGATGGTGAGGACGATCCCGATCATAATTATGGTCCTGAGCCAAGAAGAGGAAAGAGTGGCAACAAAGGACAACACAGCCAACACAGCCAGAGCCATGGGTTCGACCATACAGACGATCGCCAGAATCACCATTCAAGCCGTACTTATAGCTCTGGCAATGGTAACCGTCAAGACGATTGCCGGGGTAGGCAAACTCGAAGGCTAGGTCATGCACCTTCAGGCATGCATCAAAACTTGTCCCTCCGTCAGTCACCAAAAATCCGAGGCCCTGAGGGCAATGATGATATCTTCAAATCGGTAGGAAAACTTGGCTATGGGACATTTGGGTTCGTTGACGAGGTCGAGCACGCTACCACCAAAATACACTTCGCTCGCAAAACCATAAGAATTACCCATCAACAAGGCTTCGTACCCCAGCGCGAGCTAGCCGCTCTTCGTAACTTGAAGCATGTGCATATCGTCAATCTGACAGCTTCATATGTATTTGAAGACCAGTTCTCAATAATCATGTCTCCTGTAGCAGACTGTAATTTGTCGGATTATATGCTTCGCGAAGCGTCTTCAAGGCTAGAATTGCTCTCCAATTTGGCCAGGTGGATTGGTTGTCTGGCGTCTGCTCTCTCGTATCTTCACGAGAAGTCTTATCAACACCTCGACATCAAGCCAAGCAATATTTTGGTTGCCAACGGCCAGGTTGTTTTGAGTGACTTTGGTGGAGCTGTCTTCTGGAATGGATCCCTTGCAAGCAATGTCTTGGACAAAGATTGTGCAGTCACGCCCATGTATTGTGCACCGGAAATAGCAGACCGGCGAGGAGCATCGTTCATCGCTGGAGCTAGCGATGTCTACTCTCTAGGTTGCGTGTTCCTCGAGATGGCAACAGTCCTTCACCGAGAAAGCTTGGTAGATTTTGAACAGCTGCGAGCATTCGGTAGCAAAGACGCAGCATACCACCGAAATCCACGAAAGTCTCTGTCCTGGATCGACCATTTGTGGGACATAGATGGCAGTCTTGGACTTCCACTTTCAGAAGAACTTTTTATCATTCAGAACATGCTCAGCGAAGATTGGATCCAGAGGCCGACCGCGCGTGATATCGAGGACTCTCTTCACTTGTGGCATCTGCAGTCCAAGTACGAGTCTGGAAAGAGTAATTACCTCATCGTTAGCCAAACGGACGACACTGGGAAAGCGGCAACGCTATTCGACCCCCTTGCGATCGTTAGGCAGTGGCTTCATAAATGCAGAACCTCTCATACCAATTGTCTAAACACCGAGGAGGCCTTCTCTCCATTCCGAATTTTGAATGTAGGAATTGAAGGCGACACTATCCGATTGGAATCGAGCGACCCATCTAGTCCTTACGTAGCCCTATCCTACTGCTGGGGCAAAACCCAACCCCTCAAAACGACTTTGCAAACGTTGGACAGGATGTCCGAGAGTATTCCGGTTGCGTCACTCTCAAATACGTTTTTCAATGCTGTTAAAATTACACGAGCGTTGGGCTTTCATTACCTGTGGATCGATGCGCTATGCATTGTCCAGGACTCCAAGGAAGACTGGACTACGCAAGTTGGTCAGATGAGCAAGATATATTCTCGCAGCACTCTCACTATCTGCATTGCAAATGACGCACAAACATCGGTGCCCACAAAACACAAGATGATAGGCACAAAGCCGACTGCTGGCCGGCTACAATCTCCGTGCTCCACGTGTGATAACGGCTACAAGGCTTTTCGACCATTAGTTGACAACACTGTGACGACGATGCTGCTTGATTCGAAATGGTCCAAACGAGGCTGGACATTACAAGAGCGAATACTATCTCCACGAATCCTGTACTATTCGTCTACCAGTTTGGCCTGGGAGTGTGATGGAGAGCGCTCCACGCTAGATAGAGTTGGTCAAATCCGAGATAATCTGAAAAAGTTGGGTTTCGGCCAAAATCCTCTGGCTAACAAGCAAGAAGCCAATCCTTCGTTCTCTTTGATGCGCAATTTCAGGAAAACCTGGAGGGACATCGTCCGAGAGTTCTCAAAGCGACAACTATCATACGCCGAAGATAAACTCCCCGCTTTGTCTGGTATTGCGTCTGCAATGGCAGCTGTCAGTCGTCAGACTTACGTCGCAGGTCTTTGGATGGGCAATCTCATCAATGATCTGCTATGGTGCCGAGATTTCGCGACAATTCCTATCCTGCGTCCGAAGTACAGAGCTCCAAGCTGGTCCTGGGCAGCAATCGACAGTCCTGTCTTCTGGTCAAAGTCTTTGGACTGCCCAGTAGAGAAATATACTCGAGTCTTGGACTGCCAAACCGAGATTCTGTCGCCCTTAGCCCCTTTTGCTGAGGTCTCTGATGGCTATCTTGAGATTGAAGGGCTCTCACGAAAGGTCGTTGTCAATTGCGCACGGCCTGAAGAAGTTCTGGACTGGAAAACCTTGGAGAGGCTAGCTTTTGCTCAATGGGATACTTTGGATGTTCACAAAATGACCAGTCCAGATCCCAGACTCAAGGGCATCTACGTTGAAGAGCTCTTGTGCCTGCAGGTCTTGAGCGAGGTTGGGCTTCTGCTACGGAAGGTCATGAAAGAGAATGCGGCTGTGTTTCAAAGAGTTGGGGTTTATTGGAATCAGACCGATGAGTCCTCGAGGCTAACGTTCAATGAGAGTTGGAAAGTCCGCTCACTCACTATCATCTAATAGGGTGGTTTACGTTTTTCATTTTCTAAATTAATATATACACATTCAACTTCAATGATTTTGTAACGCATTCAGAACGTATGGTATGTAATCTTGTGGTTCAAATTCCCGTAGCGGCGACAGAGATCGAAGCGGAGTGGAATCTTTATGGTCGTCTTGATACATTTGCGCTTCTGAAAGCTTTTGTTTCGCCTGGCACCTCTTACAATTGCGTACATAAGCCAATTGATCTTGAGTCGATTATGGGTCTGAATGTGAGTTTATGAGTCGAGTTTAATATTGCATTCGCGCTCCGCTCAAAATAATTTTGTATATTGACGGGGTAAAAAGAGACCCTAGTCACTCCGAACGAAGCTCTACACAGATTCCAGAATTAGCGGGATAATTAGACGCAACTTTTCACGCCTGCATAAGTGATCTAAGCGAGAGTAAAGGGGGAAAATCTATTTACGTGAGGTACCAGGGGACAGAGCACTACCTAGGTACTGGTCCTTTTTACTGAAGAACTCAACATGTTCGCGATGACGCCGCACACTTTTTCTCTAAGTTCCAATTGTTGGGTGCCGAATGTGACCGAATCACTCCAGGAACACAAGTTCCTTCGCGATCTTCTCTATGCGGGGCTTCAGCGTGGCTTAGCTGAAGCCTGGCGAATGACTGCAGAATTATTCCGTCTTGGCAGCCACAATCTACGGTAACTCTGTGAACCACTGCCTTCGAGCACGAGTGACATTCTGATCGTGCATTTCTAATCAAGGCTGAAGTCTGCCTGATGCAGAGGGCAACAGGGCGTTATGCACTCTCACCTTCACCGAGGTCATCACAAGGCTATGCATTGCAGGAGGCTGCAATCTACTTCCGGGCACATCATGTCGAGAATCGGGATGGACTTGTCACAGAATTCTGTTCTGACTTCAGTGTCCATGACTCTCCCAAATCTTTTCATTCCTCGAGCCACTCATCCAAAAGTCAACATTTTTACATTCAAGCACCATGGTTGAGCCTGTCTCCATCATATCGGGGACCGTCTCGATATTGAACGGCACTTTTACATTTGGACAATGGATGTACAAGATAAGCGGCGTGAGCGCGGAGGTCCGAAAAGCTGTCACAGATCTCGCGAATATCCAAAACGACCTTAATGAAGCTCGGGAGCTTCGCAGTTTGAAATTCGATATGAAATCATCGGAAAGGAAGTACAATCGATTATACCGACAGCTGCAATACGCGATCAAGCAATTGGACAACACTGTGAAGGAGTGTGCGAAATCATTACACAACCCAGATGTAGACTTCGAAACAAGAGGGAAGGTTACCACGGCTCATCGGATCGAGTGGGTGCTGAATGGGAAGGACACCTATGCATCGAGGCAGAATGCCTTGATAATAGACCACAATCGCTTGATGAAAGCCATCAGCGCGGTGAATGCACTTCCTGATATGTCACCAAGTTCACCTGATCTGCTCGCTCCACCGCCATACTCAGCTGTGTCCAAGAGCGGAGACTATTGGGGATCTTTAAGCCCGAGCCAGCGGAGAGCTATGAGAGGAAAGAGTACAGAACTTATCGAGGACGAAGATAGAGGAGAACAAAAAAATAATGCAGAGTCGCAAAGTAAGTTCAGTACGAAGTGTCTCTTTTCCGGGAACAACCAGTTGATTATCTTTAGGCTCTGTTCCCGAGCAAGATTCATACAGTTCGAGCAATAGCACTATTTCAAGGAAGATGAGGAAATTGTGGGGTGAGGGTGATTCGGCGTTCCAGTTGAACACGCCTCTTGAGACAATAGAGAATAGCGTGGAAGAGGAGTATGTAACTTCACGACATCATAGGAAACGCCATAGACGATAGTTTTAAGATAGTATCATGTATTTGACGCAGACAATTGTACTTATATTAATCTAACTCCTGCCACCTTGCGACCTATTCTTCTTGCTCCGCCGCATACGCCGTCTTGTAGACCGCTCGTTCTCATCCGAGTAATGATCAGAGTTATTGTACACGAGATCCGAAGTTTGCAACGTATAAAAATTCCTTGAGCCTTCGAGCTGAGCTCTATCCGTACGATCTCTCTCTTGTGTCGGGCGCTGCCTTTCTCTTTCCATACGCTGCGTGTAGTCCGCATCGACAATATTTGCATGATGGGTCGAAAGTTGTGTTGATTGTCGTCTGATTGGTAGTCCTGGTCTGCTCGGCACTTCCCTCTCACTGTTGCTTCTCAAGAGCTCGGCATCTTGGCTGATAATGGTATATCCATCGTCGATAGATGGAGCGGGTTCATTCTTTTTCTTCTCCAAGAATGTGATTTCTCTAGATACGAAGCCGCTACCAACATCAGCTGGTTGTACAACGACAGGTCGTCCTTTCTGTTTTCCTGCTTTGGCAGGAGCATCAGATCTCAGCAAAGCAGGAAACAGAACAATATCATCTTTCTCTTCTTCAGGAGCCGTGGGGGTGCCAGGATCCGAATCTTGGCTAGCGTTCCTAGACTGATGGGGTGTGCTTTGGGTGGTCCATTGAAAGATCCAAGTCGATGGATGACCGAACAGTTTTTCCCCGAAGGAAGCAGTATGAGATGCGAGCTTATAGAGACTTCTCAATCTATTCTCATTGAACTCGCTCTGATTCTGTACCTTCTTGGTAAATCTACCCAAGACTTCATCTAATGCATCCACGCACGGATAATACTCTTGGGTTCGAGGTTCTTTACTGTTCGCTTTTGCAGTTGGAGATAGCAAGAAAGCAGTAAGCATTCTCCATTTAGCGAGAGCAACGTCGTCCACTTCCACATGTTATTTCTGCCATGAGTATTACGGATATTACGGTCACTTACCTGCATTTGCAGTAGGATGGACTACCTGAAATTTTCCAAGAAGTTTAACAACTTGAACAGGAAGTGAAGTGTCTTCCCAAGGCCCATGAAGGTCAATGCTAGATAGCAATATTCTCGCCATGCAAATTCGCAAACCTAATTGTCTGTATTGGGGCCAATACATGAACTCCGCCAGATCTTGTATTCTGGCGGCTCCAGTGACTACATCACATTCGTCGATATCCTTCGCAATACTGTCCACGGTGCCTGTCGTCTGGTCACTCTGGTAGAACTCCTTGACGTGTGAGTCTATAAGTCCATCTAAAAGTATCCAAGCTTTCCGAAGCGTTCCATCATCGGCCGGTTGTAACAAATAGTCCTCAAAGTTTGGGATATTTGGTATCGGTGGAGGCATTTGTATTGTCGATGGTGGAGGTGTCTGACTTGTCGTCACATGTCCTGAAGTTGGTTTGGCGAAGGACAGGAAATTCCACCTAGGTTTATCGACTAGCTTTGACATAAGGCCTAATTCGGTTTTCATCAGGTTCGCAATGTATAGAATATCAAGACGTATTCTTGTTCCGAGGTCATGTATCTGAAGAGACAAACTTTTTCCTTTTCTTTCTTTGCCATCGAAGGGCAACGAGGCTTTGTGATGCAGAAAACTCGACCCTGAAAGACGTGGCAGGCTGGAGCTGTGGCGTATCCAGTCCTACACCATTTTTCAGGCTGAGCTGCATAGCAAGGCTTTGGCCCTGTTGTGTGACGCTGGCGCATGTCAGCAGGCCGAACAGTGTTCTTGGTGCATTCAAAGGTGGGCGCAGCAAACTGCAGCCTTCACCGACTAGCGTCTGCAGCTCTCTCACCGAATTGGCCACCTACAGCAATGCAGCATACCGAGTTCGTCAGCTTTTCACAAGGTTTACAGGGTGACGGCAGAGCCTCTCAGACATCCGCAAGCTTTCTTGAATTCGAGAATCACATAAGGCTGCGTCAAAGTCGGAAAGTTGAGACTAATGTGAGCTATTGCGACACCAATTACTGAGAACCAGATCTCTCAATTCTATTGCGGCAACATACTTCAGTAATACAAAAAAATGCCGTCCTCTACCAAAGTAGACTTGATCGTAGGGTAGGTTTCTTGAGCAAATATGACCTCAAAAAGAATTGCGCTAACTCGAACTTTAAAGGATCGACTTTGGTATGACTTGCTCAGGTAATTGCCCAAATCGTATCAGTTCCAGAATTGTCATTGACCTACGTCGTAGGAGTCGCCTATGCTCGACCAAAAATGAAAAGTCCAAAGCTTATTCAAGAGTGGCCTGGTACCGCAAGACCAGGTGAACTGAACAATAAAGTTCCATCGTTACTGCTCTATGGGCGCGACAATTCGGTAAAATCTTGGGGCTTCGGTTGTCAAACGAGTCAAAAGAAAAAGGAGTGGTTCAAGCGCTACTTGGACGAAAGAGTGTTCATTGAAGGACTAGCCAGGAGTCAGCAACAGAATCCTGATGAAGACCCTCCCTATGCAACTATTCAAGAAGTTCGAAAGTGTTATGAAGATTACATGACATGTTTGTATAATCATATCAGCGATAAAATCCAAAAAGACGAAAGCTGGGAAAGTAAGAGAGTGGAATTCATCTTCAGCTTACCAACTACCTTCACCACACCTCAAATTACCAACTCGCTACGACCTTTGCTCACAAATGCTGGATTCGGGACGGGAGGCAGGCGACATTCTGTGGCATTTGGTCTCACCGAGCCACAAGCTTCTGCGGTCTACACTGCCGTTGATCAGACTACGGAATTCGAGGATGGAGACATCATGCTAGTCTGTGATGCAGGAGGAGGGACTACAGATTTAGCAATCCTGCAAAAAGAGGGAGACGACGATGATGGGACGCAGCTCAAAGAACTACTACCTGTAGCAGGATATAACTTTGGGTCTACGAACATCGACGAATCCTTTTGCGCGCTTGTGGAACAACGGCTGCAAGGAGCTGAGGGCTTGGAACTCAAGGAGAATACAGCCTGGACCATGATGCACAGTGCAGAATTCCAGAGCTGGAAGCGAGTTTTTGGCACGCTTGATGAGAAGCAATTCAAAGAATTTCCTGTCAAAGTCCCCGCTTTGAAGATCAAAGTCTCGAATGAGAAGGCTGGGATAACGTTGGGCTCGATGATGTTTTCTCATGACGACTTCAAGAAATTATTCGACGTCGAGGTGGACAAGATGATCAAGTATATCAAGAATCAGATGAACATTATGAGTGGAAAGTGCCCCAACAAGAAGATTGTCAGTATTTCAAAACATCTATGATTATCAACACTGACGAAGAAGCAGGATTATCTTGTGCTTTCAGGTGGTTTGGGAAGCTCAGCCTATGTGCAGAAGCGATTGAAAGAAGCTTTTACAGGATACAATGCTCATGCAGTTGCACCATCTTTGAAGGTCATTGCTGCTGAGAACGATGAACCGTAAGTCTTTCTCTTTCTTGAACCAGAAAATATGGAACTTAATGCCCATCAGTCAACTTGCAGTGGTCAAAGGACTCGTATGGGATCAAATGCAGCGTCAGAAGACAGGAAAAGCAGTCTTGAAAGAGAGAATCGCTCGAGCATCTTACGGAGTTGTGTGCGATGTTCCCTACGATAAGAAAAAGGACATCGGCCACACACCAGTCGAGGATCCTATTGATGGCAAGCAAATGTTGAAAGGCCATATCGTGTGGGTGATCAAGAAGGTCAGAATTCTGTGGCTTCAATGAGAGGAGTTCTACTGACCTTATGTAGGATCATCCGATCAGTGTTGACGATGCCAAAATGCACGAGTTCACCAGAGTCTTTCCACGAGGGCATTCAAGGAAATGGAAGTCGTCGATTGTGATATGCCACAATGACCCATACGATCTTCCTAACAATACTCGAAATGGCAAAAATTGGAATCGTAAGAAAGCCCCATGATAGTATACCCACTGTCAATACGTGGCTAACACTCATCAAGCGGATGTAAAAGAATTAGCAGAAGTCGAATCTGATCTATCAGCTGTCAGCCACAAAAAATTCGTTGAACACCAAGGAAAGCGCAGCTTTTTCAGGAAAGGTGAGCCCTATTACGAAGCAAGGTACGACGTCAAGTTTGTGATTGGAGCAGCCGCCGATGCAAGATTCGAGCTCTGGTTTCAAGGACAGCAATGGACATCCCCGAATGCTATCAAAATCGATTGGCAGGAAGGCGCAAACGTTCCTGCACATCCTGCAGAGGCGAGTCCAAAGAAATTTTTCAGCACAGGACGGAGTAGGAGGAAATATGAATGGGGAACAGATGACGATGACTAAGAGACGGGATGTAATGCTTGATCTGTATCCATATTGTATGTTCAATTTGCCATTAAATTCGTCAAGTTAAAGGAGAAGCTGCCCCTAAGACTGCCTCGCTAAGAAGTTCAGCCACTTCATGACTACCTTTACTGAGCAGTATATCCTCCGTCTATGACCAAAGAATGGCCTGTGACCCACTGTGAGTCCTCACTTGCCAGGAAAACTGCAGCAGAAGCCACGTCTTCTGGCTGACCAAGTGCTCCCCAAGGATGGGCGGCAACAAGGGCCTGAGCCGTCCCAAGTGCAATTGGATTCTCTGTATCTCTAGTGATCTTCGATATCAGAGGCGTATCGATGACTGACAAGTAGTTAGCATCAATTTTGCAACTTTAGACTACTAGAATGTGTAGAATATCTCCATTTGAACTGCTTCAGAGATCCAGCAAGTTGCAGGATCTTGATCTCGGCCAGAGAATATTGTGGGAAACTTACAACTAGGACAAACAGCATTGCAATGCACTTTATTCTTCGCATAATCAATGGCAACTTGCTTCGTCAACCCTATAACAGCGTGCTTGCTCGTCGTATAGCTTGGCGCACCACCAAGAGCAATCAATCCTGCAGTACTAGCAATGTTGATAATCCACCCACGGGTACGATCGCCACGAGAGCTTGCTGGTAGAGCTTCTTGGGCAAGAAATTGTTTTAATGCGTATTTGCAGCCAAGAAAGACGCCACGAGTATTGATCGCCATTGTGTTGTCAAACAATGAAGTCTCGAGCTCATGGACACGAACCCCGCCTGGTTGACCTGCGAGACCATCGACATCTGCCATCGCTACGCCTGCACAATTGACTATTCTAACATAACTTAGTCTTTTGTTCTTATCTTGTTGGAGTCAAGCACTCACATATCCAGTCTCCCAAATTCGCGGACTGTCTGCGTGACCAGAAGCTCCACCTCATCTTCCTTTCGTACATCAGTCTGCACGAACGAGGCTCTTCCTCCTTCAGATTTGATGACTTCATGCGTTGGAACTTGTAGTCCATAGACTGCATCTGCCTTTGCGACTGCATAGATATCTGCACACATGACCACAGCCCCCTCTTTCGCAAAGCGCAAGGAAATGGCTCGTCCCAGACCGGAGCTGGAGCCTGTCACAATCGCGACACGACCTGAGAGCCTTGGAGTCATGATTCTTGTTGTGAAGAGGCCTTCCTGAAGATTTTTGGGTAAATAATCGAGGTTTGTGGGTGACAGTGAAGATCCACTGCAAGGGTACATGCACAATCACGGAAGAATATCGGCTTCAGAACTTTCAAGTACGGTGTAGATTGTCGTGATGAAAATAAGTGAAATTGACTTCGTTGTTGACTCCGAACTCTGTTGCTTTCAAAGTGCCTTATGCACGTTTGCTTACAACGACTTGAGTGATTATATATCTACAGACCCCTGTCTGTAAATACGATGTACGGAACTCCGCATATATCGTTCACTTGAAGGTAGTCAATAGGTGCCAGGCACAATTGTAACTCTCGACAAACATGCCTAGAGAATCTGATTGAGTGCTAGTGTGGCAACTTTTCAAGTGGAGTTTGTCTTACACGCGCTTGCGCATTGTACCTTGCCTAAGCAAAGGCGTGCCGGATTTAAGCTTGTATCGTACAGCATGATGACAAAAGTGACAAGGGAAAACACAAAAACTTGTTGTCGGCCGCAGCTCTAATTCATATATCGAAGTCGATATCGTTAGAGAGGAGAGGCCGAGCTGACACTCGCGGTTAACAGCCAATTGACGTGCATACCGCATATGAAACGATTTGAACGTTGTCCCAAGCATGAGATCTAGGCAGCACTGAAGCCCCTAAAGGAGGCAATGCTCTTTCAAGTATACACGGGCCATCATTGCAAGATTCTAGAACCATAACTCCACCATCATCATTCCAAACCCCAGCACAGCAACCCTCCATGCTGAACCACTCCTCTGTTCAGACAAAGCATCGCTCTTAAGCACAGTCTCTGAGCCCTGAGTCGCTACAACAACAGGACCTGTGCTTGTTGCTCCTCTACTTCCAGTCTTCGCCTCTGACTGAGACGCTACAGTAGAAGCCGGTGTAGCTGTCACAGAAACCGGAGTACTGGCTATCATTGTTGCCCCGCTGCTGGCAGGTGTCGTTGAAGTCTCTGTTGCCGTGACTTCACCTTTTGTGAGGGTTGGGTATGGACCTGTGAACATATTCCCTTGTCTGCCTGTTTGTTGAAAATTTGAGATTAGCATGTTGTATCTCTCGGAACTACTGAGAGCTATTGTGCTTGAAGAAATCAACTCACCATCTGGCAAAGTATACGCCCCCGTCTTAAGGTTACCCGTCGTCCCATCCGCCGCATGGAAAGTATACGCACTACCAAAGAACACCCATTAGCATCCAACAATCCCACATCTCCCTCTCAAATACCTACGTCTTATCATAACAAAACGGCACAGTCCTAAACGACAAACACTCTTCCGTCGCCGAACACTCCAGATCTCTCTTCCCAAGCGCCGTTAACCCCAAAGACCGCTTTCCAAAAACCGCCACAATAGCGAGCCAATCGACAGCGAGAACCGTCCAGAAAGTGAGGAAGGCGACGTCTGCGTCAATGGGATACGCGTCGGAACTCGTGCATGTTGATTGTGCGGCCTTTACTTGGTGAGTTTTTGATATCAAATGAGAAGGGTAGAATAACCTACAACAATCATACTGAACGCTGCCAGGAGCGTGGGGAGTAGGATCTTCATTGTACCTCTTGACGAATTTCGAGGATTTCTAGAACAGTGATTCAAAACCCAAAAGAAGCCGTATATCCTCCCATACCAAACCACTCCACAGGAAGCGGGCAACAGTTCATCTTATCTCCACAGGGTCCTCCCGCTTTCTCAGCTGAAGTTCCAACCTGAGACAATCGCGAGGACTCCTTTTAGCTTAATCTATCGATTGGCGTATTCTACCTCCTGAGGCTTTTTGACATCGGCAGTACGAGCAAATGATATTCTGGTGGCGCTTGCAAAATTGGAGGAGCAAGCATGGGGTCTACTTGGCATCCAATTTCGTACACGGTAGCTGCAGGTGGCAGGAAGCCACTGAGGCTGTGCCTGCGCGTAGTGAAATTATAAGGCATTTTTGAGAAAGCACGAAAGAGTAGCAATCTCAGGTCCAACTTTGGCCTTTAAATCAACACGAAGAACAATGTTTCAAAGTAGATGCTTTTCATTATCTTACTGCAGAACGCAAGCTATTCCCACCCACTTCAAGCCGGTCAGCCATTTTGCACCCCATAGTTCCATCCTCACCATTTGATCCCCCTAACAAAAACGAAAGAATAGCAACGAAAGACGAAGCAAACTTCATCGTTGTGGTATCGCATCGCAATCTCAAATTACACACACAGTGCTCATACAAAAACACACGCATTATCATTCCCCACGGCTCGTCCTCTGCTCTCATCAATACCGACCCCCGAAGAAATGTTTGTGATTTAGGCAGGTGTTGGTGTAATATCTCTGCTGTTTCTCCCATTGTCCTTTTCACGCTTGCCGAGAATGCTCTTTCGTAGTGAGCCGCCGGGAGTCCTGGGACTGCTGTCACCGGCACCATTCTCAGTTGAATTCATAACGAAGTTGCTCTTGACAATAACAGTACCACTTCCTGCCTTAACAGACTTCTCCAGACCGCTGCCAGACTCATCCACGACCAAGAGACCTTCGCCGAGATCATCATCGCTGCCGAAAGTATTGTGGCCTTTGACTTGGATTTGGAATTGAGTGTCTGCTGAGCAGGAGCATTTGAAGCTTTCCTTCTTCTCGTTGAAGGTCACGGACTGGGTCCCTGACTTGATGTGTTCAGTCTTGTGAATCGTCTTGGACTTCGCGCCTGCTTGCTTCACGTAGACCATGACATGTGAGGATGGCGGATAGCCGTGAGCAGCCATGATGGTGAAGCTCGCAGTCCCAGTTGGTGCGCCACCCGGAGCGGTACTGTGCATAGAGGAGGCTCCGAAACTCTTGCTGCGGCTGTGATTAGGCACACCTCCCAGAGCTGTTCCAGGTGGAGTGATGGGAGACGCCTCAGTGGAAGGCCCAGATGGTAATGCACTTGAGCGTTTTGGTCCACCCTTGAGGAAGTCATTGTCTTCCGCCACCATTTCTGCAGCAGCCTCAGCATTACCGTTTGCTGCTTCCTCTTCCTTCTTCTTGCTCTTGAAACCATGACGGATGAATGAGGCACCCTTGACAACACCTCCTGCTGCAAGACCCACTCCCTTGATTGGAGCTCCAGCAACACCAGTGACGATCTTTCCTGGAGTAGCGAACGTTCCGGAGAAGGTCGACGACCCTTGGCGGGAACGAGTGACGTAGTCAGGTCTGAATAGTAGTCGTAACCTGACGGAACCAGATTTCCCATCCAGAGCAAGATTGTACTCGTGAGCTTTAAAGGGGTCAAGCAAGTCGAGATTAATATCTGCCGAACCCAGGAAATCTGCCTTCTCTCCAAAATCCCAATCATATACGTTACAGACGAACTTGGCAGCAGTTCTCGAGGCTATGTCGAGTTCGAAGAATTCATTCCATGCTGGCTGGAGCGTCTTCTTTTGCACTTTCGTCTTGAAGACGTCCTTTCCATTCAGCTCGAACTTACAGTAAGGATCACTGTAACCGTTTCTGTCGGCTGAGGGCAAATCCGAGGCGTCGAGAACATCGACACGGAGCTTGCCCATGTTGTTGATACTCTCACTGGGATCAAGTTGCATGTCGACGGGAATATACTTCAAGCTTACTTTGATGCTGCAAATATTTCCCTGCTCGTCTTTCAATTTCAGAATAGTTGGATTGTTCTGGAACCCTGTTAGCCTATGTTTTGCTGTTTGAACAGTCGAAACTGACCAAGCATTGCTTTAGTGTAGCTAATGTTTCTCCCGTCAGTCTCGCTACGGTGAAGTCTTTGTCTTTCTTCTCGTCGCCTTTACTGTCGCCCTGCTGGCGAATCCGCAGGGTTACCTTCGAGAAATCAAGTTCTCTGACAAAGCAGTCGCCAATTTCGTCGAGCACAACCTTGCGAGATCTGATGGTAGAGGATGAATATGAAGGGAACACCATATCATCGATCTAGTTTTGTGGTGAAAAATTAGCAATGATGCCTTTGATAACGTGATGTTGAAAGTCAAGAGAAAGTCTGGATACTTACAACAATCTCCACATGCACGTTGCTGCGTGTAACTTCAACATCCATAAGCTTGAAGATAAGGAGGCCAGATTCGTATTTGAGGAGTTCTTCGGGAGTAAGCCGCAACTTAGGTAGCTTATTCTCTTCTTCTGCGGTTTCACTCTGCTCCTTCTCGCCCTCAGCAAGGGTCTTGGCCAAATTAACGTCAATCTTTCCGTTCGTCATCTTGGCGTTGGCCTTTGCAACAGGATCCGTTGACTCTCCAGATTTCGCGCTGTCTGTCGATGTCCGACCAGCTTCGGATGTTTCTTTCTTCTCTTTCTCCTCTTCTTCGGGATCAGCAATATTCAAGCAAGGATAGAAAGCTGCGGTATAGTTGAGGATTCCTCTTGGTGAACCTTTGCCATGCATCTTCAATGCACCTTCGTGGGGGTCCTTCGAATCATGAACAAGATACTGCCCATTAGGTGCTTGAGAGACATAGTCGGCAGCTGATACCTCAATAGATCCCAGGGTTCGATCAGCGTGGAAGTCCTCAGCGTCCATGACTTCCAAAGTGAGCTTCTCTCGAGCGCTGTGCACAGGCACGTAAATAACTTCGTCCCAATCTGGATTGAGATTGTTCTGGAAAGTCACAGTTCTCCCCTTCTCAACGCCGGACAAGAGAACTCGAACATATGGATCAGACTTGCCCAACGCTTCGAGATTCCTAAGATCACGAGCATTCTTGAAGTGGAATCGCATGACACCAACGGGTGTGACATATCCACCAGTACCAGCTCCAACACCGGTCAACGCCACTGGCTTCCATTGGAGCATAAACTTTGCTCGTCCTGTCTTGGCGCCAGCAAGATTGTACCATTCCTGGCCCTTCTCCATCAATTGCTGCATGTCGTCAAGCTTGATTTGGTATGTTCCAAGAATAGCGTCGGTACCAAGTTCTCTGTCGTCCTTAATGACAAGACCAACCTTAGCATTCTTTCTATCAGTAATGAGAATCTCTTTTGAACCATTGTCCCAGATAGGATTGTTGGTTCGCTTCAACTTTCTGGTAGTGTGGATCTCCTTGTTGTTGAGTAGAAGGACTGCGTAAGGATTCAATTGACCAATCAAACTCTTGGTGCCGTCAAGATCCTTTGCTTGCTCGATTGTGATTTTTGCGATACCAGTATTAGATTCTGGAGGTGGTTCCTTCTTGCCATCGGGTAGATCCCTGCCCTCAAGCACAGGGAAAAATCGAAGATCTGCTTGTACGACACCGCGGGCTTTACCACCGGCCATAACCTCTAGCTGCTCATTCTCATGCTCATAAATCTCATGCACTTTCTCCAATGGGAAAGTTGCAACTCCCAACTCTTTGTCTTTGCGGTATTCGTTGTAATCGAACACTGCCAGACTGAGAGAATCGTTAAAGGAGGTCACGATGACATACTTGGTCTCGTTCCATCTGGGATTTGCGTTTTCCTTGACGATCTTGGTTTGAGCAAGAGCCGCACCATTATTGAATGCTACAACAGCATAAGGATCTGGGGTACCTGCGAACTTGTCTGGATTCTTGAGTCCTTGAGCACCGTGAAGAGTGATTGCCATAACGCCAATAGCTTGATCGACGGCTGATCCAGACAACATCTTGGCAACCTCGATGGGGAAGACATTTGGTGCATACATGATGGGGCCAATGTTGGCATGTATTTGCTCCAGAATGAATGACTCGAGACCCGGGACGAAGTTGATGTCGAAACCTAGGGTTTCACCTCCAAGAGGCTTACATACATAGTCGATTGTCGCTGTTGAAGCATCAGCATGGTATTTACGAAAACATCAACGAGCCGAGCAGATTCTCCCAAAAGAGTGCCCCAAAACTTGACTCTAGATTTTCCTTCAAACCCAGGGAGATTTGACTTACGTCGTTCCAAGAAGCTGATCTCGATCTTTTCGACATGAGGGAAGGGAATCTGAAGCTTGATCTTAACGCGCATCAAGCCCGAGAACGCCATATCTTCGACTATACTAGGTAGCGGGGAGGGGACGTTAGTATCTTCCATCTTTGGTGTTTCTGGAAAAGAAAATGACAATGTCTCGGGAAAGGAAATGGAAAACGGGGCTTCCCCAACACCTACACATCCAAACCCTTACTGATCATAGCCTTTCCAATTCTGATTTCCAGTACAATCTTAGGATTGACCTTGTTCTTTATTTGGCGTGCAGTCATGTCTGCGTGATCATTCGGTGTAAAGCTAAATTTCCAATCCATAAGAACAATATCGTCTTCAGCCTTTGGATAGGTCTTCACATGCTCCATTCTCGGAGGCTTGCTTCCTAGGGTGAAAGTCTTCATCCGGAGACTATCTAGGAATGCTGGAGTTGATGTGCTGAGGACTTGATCCACCGAATTGATGATTGTGTCCGCAAGTACTGGCTGGAAGATTGGCCAGAATTTGACCAAGAAGCTGTTTATCCACTCCAAACTCTCGGTATCCGTTGCCAGCTTGCTCTTTGCGAGCTCTCTGTTGACATCGTCTCGGAAGTTTCGGCGCACTCGTCGGATCGAGGTTCGATAGTATGTTCCACAAATAGCCATGATCAGAAAGACCCAGGCAAGTCCACCTCCCAGAACTGCAACAAGCCATGATGACAGACAGGCAAATATGATGACGGCAGTGTTATGATACCAATCTGCGAAAACAGACATATTAGCATAACTCATACTCTAATGTTTGGCACTATTCACCTCCAAAGAATTTATCTTCTAGCTTGCCTTCCACCCATGTTTGGTGGTCAAGCAGACTCTCGCCCATTATCGACTCGCTCGTAATTCCGCTACCGAATCTCGGCGCCCAGCCCGCTCGTTCAATCCATCTCTCCTGGTCCTCTGAATCAACAAGTCCAGCGGCGCCGTTAGCTGTAGGCTTTCCATTCGCATCTTTTGGGGGACCCGTCGGTGCAAGAGCTCCTGCTGTGCTCGGGGGAGGTAGGTCGTAGGCTCCTTTCGTTGTGCCATCGTCAATATCTGTGGGAACTGCAACAGCTTTCGATTTGTGCTCGTGATGGAATCCTTCTGGGACTCGCTGTAGAAATTGATTATTAGTCTTGAACCCGAATCTGCGAGTCATGGACCTACAGCTCGAGCTTGTGCTGCCTTTTCTTCAGGGCTTGCATCTGTTGTCGAGGCATCAATTAGCTCCCGGTGCTCCTGCTAATGATCGAAATGGCTCATATTATCTTACCTGGGTCAAATGTGAAAGCCTAAGGAATGTTAGAATACGGTGCCTTGCGGTATTCGTGGGAGTGATCTTACTGCGACACCGGCCTTGTTGCTTTCTGCAACTATCTTGCGCTGAGCATCATCTGCTGTAACAGAGCTGTTCGGATCTTGTGCAGCTTCTACAACACCTTGAGCCTTCAGCTCTCCGGCCTGCGAGTTGACAGACATGTTGGCTGCGGATAGCTGTCTTCAAGGCCAATTGACGTCGACGACCATTCAGTGAAGCTCAAGCGGGAGACCACTCTGTGCGAATCGTCGGAGCGAGAGGGAATTAACAAAAGAAAAGAAAGTGGGCGGCGGGAAGTTCAAGAGCACTATCTCACATTCAACAGCGAGGGTGAGCTTAGCTTGCTTGCAGTGGAGTGAGGTCTTCGGTACCACTACAGTTCTCGGCTAGGTTTGAGTTGCTGTATCGAACGTATCCTTGTCGAGCTGGACCCCGAAGATTGTAACAGATGCAAATCACTTCTAGTCTGGTAAATAGGTGACGACAGAGATCTCAATTGAGGTGATACGGTGAATATAAAGAAGGGGTGGCTCTCGATTCAGTTGTTCGGTTGCTCAAATAATTCTAATATGGTGGTCTCTCTGGGATATTTATCCCGGCATCCTACATTTCCTGCATGGAAAAAGCAGGCAAACAAGCTCTGGGCAGAAAACCGCAAGAGCAAGGATGTAGATCATCATCATCGACCAGGGTTTCTCAGATGCAGCGGAGTGCCCCCCCAAGATCCATCCCAATGATAGCCCTGCCACTCGGAACACGCCTGGCCAAATCCTCAGCAGGACAAGGGTTGGTCCTACGCGACACATGGAGTGGGAGGGGACCAGCATGGTGTGGTGATAAGTATTTCACTTCGCATGCTCATATGCAAGAACTCATGCTTCTGAATGTGTCTGGATGGCGGCAAAGGCCATGGCCATGCTTCTGGGACGTGGCGTGCTGCAAAAGCCACGATCGGAAGCTTCCATTTCTTAGTTTTGGCCCTGGTTGCAGCCAGAGGTGAGGAGTTCATGCCAAGGCGTGGAAAGTACATAAAGGTAAGTTATATATTTTGGAGAGTAAAATGTTGGTACCAATGCTCTCCCCTATCTTCCTCGCTTCCCCGTAGCACCAATCCAGCCCAACCTTGGTCAATGTCCAGGCATACCGCGAATTTGCTTCGAATGCTCCTCAAGCTTTTCGGAGAGTCCGTAAACTCCTCAGTACATATGCACCTATGAGGCTTTCGATGGTTTCTCGGCTGCCTTCATATTGAGACATGGCACGTTGCTTTTCCTCCAAGCTTCTTCTGAGCTCCTCAATGGTGATTGTTCCAGATGACCGCAGAATTACCCCACTTACACATGGCACCCAAAAACCCCAACAAGTCAGCTCATGTGATGCAGATGATTATTACGTTAGTACTTATAGGACAAAGTCCCCAGAGCTTGCGCAGGACAATCAAAAATATGGTTTAGCTTGACGCTGAGTTTGAGCTAGAGATGGGTTCGCTGGGGAAGACACTCGAGGCACATCGAAGGTCAGGCAAATGGAGGTACACCAAGATATAGCAACACCTGCTTGACCACATATAATCGACTACGACCTGAGATATATATATAACCGAATCCGACTTGATACCGAGAAAGAATGTGAAGACTAATTGAGTTATCATTCATACAAGGTCATAAGGATATACATGTTTTCTGGGATCCTTGCCTAGCGGTGAAGAAAGTTTGACTTCTGTTTGATGCCTCTATTATCACAAACTCTTTCGCGTTCGTTGATGTTCGTTGAAAAACAATCTCAAGTTCGAACTTTTTCCAGAAATGTTGGCTCAGATTATCCCAGAAGTTGGGACCAACATGGAATCCTCAGAAATCAGGTTCCCAGTGACCATTAAATTGATGTTGGAGATGCACGGCCCCATGCATGCGCCAATCGATTGTTCAGGGCAACAATGCGCTGTAACAATGCTCAAGCTTTCATCCCAAATCCTGAGACAAAAATACCACACATCAAGTTGTACTGCCATCACAAGAATAGTATAGCAAAGAACTGAGATATACTTGTGATATACTTGTGAAATGCAACAATTGCGTCTCCATAAATAAATGCAATAGTGCAAGGCTCATACGCATTGTAAATTTTAATTGGTTGCCTTGTGCCAATCGTGATAAGGCCCAGTCCTGAAACCAGTGTGCCCAATTTAATTGGGACTTTTAAACCCTTGCTGACATCCCGATATAATGACCGCGCATATTGGGCTATTCGTAGGTGTTGTATCGACCCATCACACTCAATGCCATTCTCACTTGAATAATTTGTCTTTTGTGTTGATTGTTGACTTGTTGTGAACGCAGCGTAGCTTGGGTTGTGCCTTACCCCTCGATTCGTCCCCATACTCGACAACGTCGTTCGGAAGAACTCCAACTGCTGGCAGATCGGGGACATCACACGACAGCACGCGTGGCCATGGAGACACTTTCGAAAGATGGGAAGGAGAACGACAAAAGGTTCAGGGGACGCTTCATGAACAAGCTCTTCAAAGACAAGAAAGACGCCACCACCCCGCAGGAAGATGTGGACGAATTTCTCCACGGACCGTCAGACAAGTTGCATATGATGCCAGTTACGAATGGCCCTCCCAGCATACCTCCTTTAGCACGAATTGATACGGCCAGCGCACGTCGGTGGCCAACTGCTGCAGAAGTCCAAACAACGAAAAGAACGCGGGGTCAGTCAAGTCCAAGACGGAGCAGGAAAGGGTTGGTCGTTCGATTCACAGAAACCCAACCAGAGGTCATTGGCGAGGGAGGTGATGAAGCAACTTCACCTGTATCTGATATATCACTGAGGAAGAGGGCACATAGTCATCCACAAGTACGGCAGCCAAGTCGAGAGGAGGACTCACGAGGGCGCAGTGAGACCAACCCAGTCGAGTATGGAGCAAGCTTCGCAGAGCGCATGGCGGAGAAGGAGTCATTTCGTCCTGAACCTTTACGGCGTACGCAAACAGGCTTCGAGTCAATTGCAGACACTGGCAATAGCTCTGTGCCAGCAATGCCAGAGATACGTACGGAAGAGCGACTTTCACCACACAATGACCTCAGCCTACCACGAGACCGACGTTCATTTGCGGATATGGTGAAAGACGATATGCGTTCAGGCGAGGGTCAGGCTTTGGTGAAGGGATCAACTTCTCTCGATGAACAATTAGCACGACCCGACTCACCAGGAGCAGCCGCTCTTAGTGTTACACCACAGATGGAACAACTTCAGATCAACACGATGAAGAATCAGCACATACCTATTCCATCTCCAGCAGTATCCGAGTTCAGTCATCCTCCAACGCCCAATAGACCCGGAACAGCTTCTCTTTCGTCAGATAGTCCTGCAGCCTATTCTGCACAGTCAACAGTCTCACCCCACAATTTACCAAGAAGTCTTCAAGTCTCACAAGATTCACATGACAGTCCAGCAACCAATTCCAGGTCATCACCTCTGAGCTTGAAAGGAGGTCTGTACGATACGAAGAACCTCACAGAAAGCCCAGCAACGCTCTCTCGGACAGGTACTCTGTCACTTCCAGATGCAGCTGTAGCTGTAGGAGATGATGCATTGCGGGAATTTTCGAGGCGGACCTCCCATCTCATCACATTATTTCGATTATCAATGGAAGCGTTCAAACCATTGCCTAAGTGCTCACTCGAAGAACTCGTCCGTGCTGGATTGTGGTGGTTCTTGAGAGGTAGACTGAACATTGAATCTACAATAAGAGACCGGCCTGCGAGCCCCCAAGCCCAACATACCAATTTCTTCCTTCGTCAGCAGGCGTACGCAGATCTTGCTAAAGCACTTTGGTTGGTGGAGACCGTGACAGCCCAATTCCCAGAAACTCAATTACGACCCGGTTCCACAGACTCCACATCACCTCTAGCCGATATTCTTGAGTGTCGTCAAAATGTTCTCTCAAGCTTGAGGAAGTTGACCATGTCAATGAAACGCAACAACTTCTTACCTCCAGAAGCTGATGATGCTCCACTTACACAAGGACTAGATGCGTCAATATGGGTTCAAGACGAAGGCAGTCGATCTTTGATTACGAGTCAGAGATCAACTTCTATCCTTCCCCTCTCAGAAGCGCTTCCACTGGGGGACACAAGCCGAACCTTCCAATATGTAAGAATGTTTGTCGAAGCAATGCTTGTTGAAGAGGGTGCACCACAGCACTATCGCTTTCCTGCCTTGGTGACTGTAGTTCGTGGCCAGAAAGAGCAGACTATAACTGCTGTCGTAGCAAGCCAAGATGGTTCTATAAATATGACTATTCAAGCAGACAAGAATCGTGGACCAACATGGGAGGATGTTCGATGGCAATCAAAGAAGCAAATGGTCGAAGTCTACCTACCACGAGGCTTCATCTTACGTCTTCATCTTACCGAGCAAAATTTCAGGATACTTTGGGGTATCTATGATTATGAACAACAAACACAGGGGATGCTTGAGCGACGAGAGGGTGAACAGATCATTTTTGAAACTGTTCTTCGAAATTTTCAATACTTTGATCAAAATCCCCAAGCTTCGTTCCCCAAGGAAGCACAACCACAATGTCTTCTACGTGTCTTCGAAAAGACAATTGTTCAGAAAGCTGCTACCGGACCTCGGACTCTACACCGAGGTTATCGTCTAGCTTTGAACACAAGTACCAAGACCAAGAATTTAAGAGGAATCGACCAAGATTTCTTACCAACGATGCCCATCTTGTACAACTTTTTACGTGGTGACGGAGGATTACCAGCACTTTTACTCAAGGTCGAAGATGCGAAGACCAAATATACTATGGTGGCTACCTTTGACAACGTTGCGGACCGCGCCCGTCTTCACAATCTAGTTAGCGGTATAGCTCTTCGTTCTGCAGAAGGCATTATCGCCGAGTCCCCGCTACAAGGCTTCTCTGTCTCGAATTCGGAGGGAGACATTAAATGTCTTCATTCTCTCGAATGGCAGAAATTTAGCTTTATCAGTCAAGACCATGCTGGAGACTTGCAAAACGCCAAGACTGTGCTCTCAGAGCAACTGCGTGTGGTTATGTACTCCAAGGCCGGAACAATTACTGATCGCATCAATGTGGAACCTGGAGAACTGAAGATTAGATTGAGCGTGAATGCTTCCAACGAACTCAAAATCTTGCGTCAACCTCAGCACGATGTTACCTTAGCTATTGCAGAGGCCTCAGTCCCGAAGGATTTGCAGCGAGAACTCGCGGCTTCGTTGAGCACTCTTGGAAATTCTGAATCAACTCGTACTTACAAATTTCCGAGTATGACAGAATTACACCTCTTCCAGGCCGCAATGACAGGATTTGTGGTCTTGTTTGACACAGTCGCGTCTTCATTCAATATCTCCCGGCGACGGATGGTAGTTCCCATCTATAAGAAATGGGATGCAGCTATGACAAGACTGCAGGTTGTTCAGAAAGAGAAGATTATCCAACTAGTGGCGTTCTTCGAAAACTTCACACACGGCGACTGCATGAACTTCACGTTGAAATCCACGGATGTTTTCGAAACATCGAGCCGAGGTGGGAAGTACTCTGTACGAATTGTAGATGCTAAGTTTGCCATGCCGAAAGCTCGGGAAGGAGAGCACGGGATCGACCATGAATTTGTCTGTTTAGACATGCCAGAATATCCTGGCGAACATGATGATATTACGATTGTTTTTGATAGCGAAGCGAGTATGTTGTCCTTTTCCCTCCATTTCCAGATAAAGTACTAATATGTGTATAAAGTTCGAGACGAATTTACGAAAGCATTGCCGGCGCCAGTTAAGGTGGCATCACGAATGGGATCTGTGAGAAGATGATGATGATGATCATGCATGCCAAAGTTGGAGTACGTTTGTTGCGTTCCTGCAGAAAGCATTTCTCAGCGAGCATTTCGGGATGGAGTGTAGTGATTGCATTTGCATTGCAGGATGATATCCACGGCGCTTCGGGGATTTCCTTTTACGTCCATTATCAGTGGGTGAGACATACACAAAAGAACGAAAAGTAGAAGGTAGAAGGGATTGAGATCCAACTTTCAAACAATTGAGAGATTCTGAGAGGACTGTAGATTAGTATATCCAAATGACAGTGTAGGAGATAAAGTTTCTAAGCTTTCTTTGTCAAACAGATGCCCCGACTTGTTTCAGGGGAGATCGTATCCACGTGAGCATCATCATTTCGAGGTCAACACCCAAAAATAGCTAACCAATGAAACAAAATTCCTCGAGAACGATCAGCGCCTTACGCCACAGCGAACATCGACAAGCTTTTTGTGGACAATGTGGAGTGTCATGGATTTCCGCGTAAGAGTCGTCTAGAGATGTCGTCAATTGCGTATATGCTCGACGATTCTAGATGCTGGCTAAATCGCATTGTTATAATATCGGGCCCTGCTTTATCTTGCCAACATCCATTTGTGACTTCCAAGAAAATCTTGGGCGATAAGAAGGTAAAAAGGCTTGGCAGTAAATGGAAAGGATGCAGGGGCTTAAATCTCGTATTCCCCGGTCATTACCTGTGTTAACATGTGTAATAAGGAGCGAACAGGATTCACTACTGTACAGGAACTTTCCAACTCTCGCCTCTTTCTTGTCGTGACTTGTTCTCTAATTTCTGCACTAACTGAGATTCCTCATCGCCGGGTTGTGGCGTGCAAATTTCACTCCGTCTCGATCTAGCGTTCGCGCGAATAACTTCTCGATTGACCCCGTTTCAGAATAAGCCAGGCACACCCAGATTCGACCGGATCCCCACCGCAGCATTCACTCGCTCCTGTGTTCCCAGCGACGTTCTAACCTTCTGAATGACGCTCGCCAGCTCATGATGGCGGCCTGAGCAAATCACCATCGTTCACGTTCACCCAGGAGTTCTGAATCATTCGACAACGGCATGGTCTGTATAAGACCAATGCTATGGAATCAGGCCATCAACAATTCGACGATGTACAACAACAGGCACGAGGAGGTACGATGATATTGTCTGCGGGCTTGACTAGAGTCGAGAGGATGGGAGGAGTGAAGAGGGACGAACAGCGAATACTAGACGATTCCTGTCCTCGACGAGTCTCGATACGACCAAGCAAACCGAACATGTCGTCCCCGATCTGGCCGCGCAGGAGCGTCGGATGGATATCTAGATACTTCATGGTATTCATTGCAAGTCTATGGATTATGCCCGCATCTGCCGTGTTCCTGGACTTTCAAAATTGCTTGTCCGACTCCACGCAGAACGACCAACCTCTAGCTCTCCAAATTATCCCACTATACCTAGATGCTGTCTTCAACACTACAGATTCTGATCACAATCTCAATGTGACTGTATGGGGAAACGTCACTGGTTCTACTGTAGGAACTTATGCCAGACTCGTTACACCTCTTTGGAACGATACTTCGTATTGGAATAGTAATGATACTTCTGCTGGAGGGAAGATTGAGAACGAGCCGTATCCGGATGACCCAAGTCCAAAGCTCACTACCTTTTCCAGCAAGGTCAATGTGCTGACTTACGAACCGTGGCATTTTGTCGAAAACTTCTGCGAGAATGCTTTACTCAACGGGACCTGTCCACTTGGACCAAGCTTCTCCGCCAATCTGTAAGATCTGATATTTCCATTGCGAAACTTGAATATGACTGATGTATTCTTTGTATAGGTCCGATCCTTACGACTTTCCTTCGTTCGGCTTTTCAAACAATTTCTATTCGAGCTATGCCTTCACGTCGTTTACGGCAACACTTCTAGTTGTATATGGAGACCAGAACGCTACGCCTGTTGGTTGCACTTCAGCGATTATCACACCAGATATGGGGTCTACTCTCAGCAATGTAGTTCGTTACGTTCCTGCGGCAGTCCTCATACTCGTTGCCTTTTCAACGGCATTTGCAGCTATTTCTAGTCCGTGGGGCTCTACAGATACTTTCCGCTGGACGACGAATTACGGAAGAGATGCAGATCTGTTGAGATTGGTTACACCCGGCTTTGGAGATTGTTTGCAATATATCCAGTTCGTGGCTTTGACTGGTGGTCTCACTCTCAACTATCCGGGATTCTACCAACCTATTGTCAGCAAGACGTCCTGGTCCGCGCTCATGTTCAACGAGAGTTTTGTCAGCGGTGGGAACGGCACCCAAAGTCTCGTCGATGGAGTCTATGTCACCCATGGCACTTATGGTATGGACAAGCTCCGTCAACTCGTTGGAATGAGTGAGGTAGACGATGTTTGGGCCGGAATGGCTATTTGGCTTTTGGCAATCCTTGCCTCTATTCTGGTTCTCATCCAAATTGGATTCTTTGTCCGATGGGCATACCGACTTTTGAACGACGTCCCCGAAGAGGACTTGCGAGCAAAGAACATGCCTTTTTCGATGGGCAATGTCATCCGAATCGTCTTCAACTACTTCCTCTTGCCGATCGTGGCATTATCTATGTTTCAACTGGTCATCGCTTCGAAATCTCCGGCTTTCACTGTGGCACTTGCTGTAGTGATGTTGGTTCTTATCATTGGATTCGCCGTCTGGCTTCTTTACATCATTGGATCAACAAGACCAAAGTCATTTCTTTTCGACGACTTGCCAACTGTGCTCCTCTATGGATCATTGTACAATACATATTCGGATCATGCGGCGCCATTTGCTTTAGTTCCAATGTTTCTAACTTTCATCAGAGGTGTTGCCATAGGAGCCGTTCAACCATCTGGTATTGCGCAGCTCGTCGTGCTTGCCATCTGTGAGGTGATTACTGTTCTCACCTTACATGCATTCCGACCATTCCACTCTCCGACATCGATGAATGCTTTGCACACCTTCTTCGCGGTTGTCAGATTCTCGACCGTCCTCCTGATGATATCATTTGCACCCTCCCTTGGTGTTACAGAAGGGCCAAAAGGTTGGATCGGATATGCAATCCTCTTGATGCACGCGATTGTTCTTATTTTTGGATTCCTGCTCAATGCCATGCAGACTATCGTCGAAGTCGGAGCTCGATTGGCAGGTGCTGGAGGAGATGAAAATGGTGCTACGAGAGGAGGACTGGTCAAAGTCTTCGGAATGCGACAACTATCCCGAAGGTTACCTCGCCGTGATGGTAACTCAAGACAAAGTCAATTGTCGAGCGCTGCGATGCTAGCAAATGATGAAGATCGAAAATCATACATCATGAATGACGGAAGACTGAGAAGTCAATCTGCAGGAAGCGCTGGTATTCTGCTCAATAGACAGAGCATGGGTCTTGACTCTAACAGCATTGAGCCATTTGGTCAAATTCCACCTCATGCGTTGGTGGGAAGCGGCAGTAGCGCTTATACCCCAACTACACCAGGAGAAGCCAGTACATTTTCTTTCATACCATCTGCCGCAGCACCATCTCAGGGACGAGCTCGAGGTCAAATCTTGGGCCTCACTGCTGCAGAAGCGGCAGACCCATACTATCGTCCACCACGATTTCGACGGCCTACCTTGGAGGCCTCCTACTCCCCAGGTGCAAAGAGCCGGGGATCATGGACTAGTGGTGAATGGACAAATAAGAGAAATAGTCAGCCAGAAGGTGCAGCTTCGCCTGAGCAGGCTGAAGAAGGACCATCGATATCTGGACGCAATACACCTACATCGCCGCCAGCATTTGCTCCAGCTTTAGATGGTAGTCCCAACGAACCAAGGAGGTCTAAAGCAGATTATACCACACGAGAAGTTGATTTTTATTATGGTGTTCGAGGACCGGCTCTCAACGCCAACATCCCCAGCAGACGCATAAAGACTGGGCCAGCAGATCCCACTGGCCCTGCAGCTTCTGCGGCCGGTTGGTTCAAAGGCTTGTTCGGTGGTAAGACAAAAGAGAAGGGGAAGGGATTTGAGGTTGTTCGAAGTTCAAGGATGCCGCCGGGTATGGTTGCCAGAAATGCCCCCGGCATAGAAACGCCGCCAGAAGGAGTTCCTGTTGCCACGGGAGGCATCCGAAATGGCCCCATTGACTCGGACGATGATGAGCCAGTGACTGCTGGACCTTCTACCGCTGGGCCAACACGACCTGCAGCTCCCACCTCACACGAAGATGACGCTCTTGTTAGTCCCATAGGTACCGATGATGAAGAGGGGTCTGAGGAGAGTGATGACGAATATGAGATTACTAGGATATCGGATGTTCCGCCCACATTACCCGGGCTGGAGATTCCAGAAGGTGGTATTGAGCTTCCATCCAGGTTTCCTTCCAAAGCAACATCAAAAGCAAGTTCCCGGAGAGAAAGGACAACCGACACTTCATTCGTTCCCAACTTACCCACTGTACCAAATTTCCCTCAAAGAGTGCCATCGAACAAACCAACCGTTCCACGGAAGAGTTCTCGAAGGAAGTCCCAAAGTGTAGACATGACTCAACAAGGAGCACAATTCCTGCACGAACATCGAGCCAAAGGATCTCTTGACACAAACTTTCCCTTCGACCGAACGGGTTCAAGAAAACGACATTCAGATATATCTACAAGATCTAGTATGGGACCAAACGAGCTCGCAGATATGGGACATTCCCGAGGTCAATCAGGTGGATCAGCATTAGGCAAACTATCAGCCGATTTCCAAGACGATCGACCGACCAGCGTTGGCTATGTACATCATCATCCCATACGAACCGTGAATCCGTCCGACAATCCGGAATTCCTTGGTAGCTCAGCAGAGGTTGTGGATGGGAGGAATAGCGGGGCTTCATCTATTGAGCGTCCGCGAACTTGATACAATACTACACTAACGAATTTCCTTTTGTTTAGCGCAAAAAGTCGATGGGTGGCGGCGTCTTTTATCTCTCATGCTAGGGAAGGGTGTATATAAGTAGGGAGGGGATGGAGTACATGGTATGGTTTCTTTTCATTGGTGATGGGAAGGAAAGATACATGCATAGCGAGGTGTGGAAGGGTGGGTGAACTTTGTTTTAATGAGGACTGTGCACGCATGTTCCATGTTTATAATAGTGAAGGGTGTAGTGGAATTGTAATACTTGTATACCACTCTTCGAATTTCTCAGCGATCGATCAAGGACATTTTCGAGCTCGAAAGTGGCTGAGCTGTGGCTGTGATCTCATTCTCAGGGGTAGATCTCCGTTTCGTTTCATGGTCCAGACCGTAGTTTGGTTTCCCCACTGACGACAGAACGTGCGGCTGCGTTCGTGATTCATTGGAAAGGAGGGGAGTGGTCTTATTGTGGGCTGGCTAAGGAGTTGATGCTTATTGTATAGAAGAGGTAAGCTCTGCGGTGCTTGGTTCGGACTTGCTGATTTTGAGAGCTATTAGGACGTAAAAGCAATTGGTTTAGATGAGTACAGGTGAATAATATGTGGTTAAGTTTTATTTGACTGTAAATGTTGAGGAGTGGCAATGGCGGGGTTACAAGTACGCGAATACGCCGAGATGAGCTGTACTGCTTTTTTTGTGATAAGAGGATGTGCCAGTGGAGCGTTTCACGGTGTACAACGTTGGCTTTTGAGGCTTTGTCAAAAAAACCATTTACATGTACCCTATTAGATGAATTTCTTGCGAAGATGTAGTTAGATACAATGGATAAAATACATCTCTATGAAAATGCCAAGAAGGCTAGTGCGATGACGGAGTGCGAGAACCCCCGCCGCTGACCTATTCCTTGCTCTTTAAGTAGAACCACCAGTCAGAGCTCACTTCTGAGCTATTTTCCGCCGTCTGCCTGCCTGCGTCATTCCTGAGTTGGCTTGCTCCTTGTTCGCGCGCTCGACGAACTTTGCTCTACCACCTAAAGTAGTACGTACCGAAGGGTATCCCTTCTTCCACTTTCTGCGAACCACGAAATTCGACTCCACAACCAAATCGAACCCCATCCTGGATTCTTCTCATTAATACCAATTTGAAAAGCTTTTTCTGAGTACAAACGGGCTGGCAGGATGGTTAGTCTGGGACATTCGCACCGCCGGCAGTCTGCGGCAAGTATGTACTTCCCCAACTTATCGCTAGAGCTTCCTCTCTTTATCTCTCTTCCTTTTTCTTTTCGCGTCAACGAAAACGATCTGGGAGTCGGTGGTCACAACAGGAACTGATGGCGTTCTGGAATACAGGCAACAGGTCTTCGGTCGACGAATCCAGGTCGGATGGGCCGGAGGACGAAACCACGGTCGTGGAGCCAGAACAGGGCAATGGTGAGGTTCCATATGGCTGGAATTCGTGGAGAGGGGAATACTGATACGGGCACAGTGTTGTCGCATATCATTTCGCAGTTGAGGCCCGGCGCGGATTTGAGTCGGGTGGTGCTGCCGACCTTTATCTTGGAGCCTAGGAGTATGTTGGAGAGGATCACGAAGTACGTCAATGGGGAAAAGAGGGTGGAATACGGGCTAATTGGAATAGCTTCATGGCACACCCGGAGACTCTACTTCCTATGCCCGAAATCGAAGATCCGACACAGAGATTCCTTTCGGTGGTTAAGTTCTACTTGAGTGGGTGGCATATCAAGCCTCCGTAAGCCTTGTCCTGGTCGAGTTTGGAGTGGCAGAAACTGATATGAGCTATAGCGGAGTCAAGAAACCGCTCAATCCTATTCTGGGCGAGACGTTCACCTGCTATTGGGAATTCCCGGACAAGACCCATGGATACTACATCTCCGAACAAACCTCACATCATCCTCCCAAGTCCAGCTATTTCTACATGGCTCCCGAGCACGGAATCCGAATCGATGGTACTCTTAAGCCCCGCAGTAAATTTCTGGGCAATTCGGCGGCGAGTTTGATGGAGGGCATTGCCATTCTGCGGTTCTTGAACAGAGGAAATGGCTCAAAGGGAGAACGATACATCCTCACGCAACCAAATATGTACGCAAGAGGCATCCTGTTCGGAAAGATGAAATATGAGCTTGGAGATCATAGTTTTGTGCGGTGCCCGGAGCTTGGTCTGTCGGCTGATATCGAATTCAAGACGAAGGGGTACTTTGGAGGTACTTATAACGCAATTGGAGGGACGATAAAGAATGAGAAGACTGGAGAAGCTCTGTATGAGTTGTCTGGAATGTGGAACGGGGAGATGTTTGCTAAGGACTTGAAGGTATACTTATCATTGTTAAGGGAAAACGAATTTCTGACACGGCTTTAGACTGGTAAAAAAGACCTGCTTTTCAACGCACAAAAAGCAAAGCCCACACCTCCTTTGGTACGGTCACTTGATGAACAAGATGAGCGAGAATCGCAGAAATTATGGTATGCCACAGCACAAGCAGTCAAGGCACGAGACCATGTGGTAGCTACGGATGAGAAGACGAAGATCGAGGACATGCAGAGAGATGAAGCAGCGAAGAGAACAGAAGATGGAGTTGAATGGCATCCAAGACTATTCAGGCCTATACATGGAGGTCCCGGAGGCCCAGATGAAGGCGAAGAAGATCTGGACTGGATCTTGAATGCAAACATGTAAGTTCAGATTCTCATTTTTGTTGAGTTTATAGCTAAAGTGGTCATAGTGATGGTTCAACACCTCAGAAACAAGTCGAGCAAATCCTAGCAGTCACACCCATCATCCCAGGCCAAAACTTCCGAGAAAAGAACCCTATTCCACCTCCTCGCAACCGCACGGCATCCTACAACTCAATCAACACACCAGCAGCACAACCAACCTCTGAAGCACCACAGAATGACCCGATTGATTTCGGCCAAAACGAAACTACCAATTCAGGAATCCCTCCCGCTCCTCCAAGTGGACCCGCAGATCTCTACGCAGCCCAAACTCAAAACGGAGGTCAGCAACAAAAGGAACTAGAGGGAAGACTGAAATCCACGAGCACAAGCTCAGTAAACAACACCGATTCTCTAATTGACTTCCACCAAGACATGAAGCAGAATCTCTCAGTTGTAGACGGCCATTCGTTGAAGAGACAGGATACCGATACGCAGAGCTTGGATGAGTTTGTGGATGCACAAGGATGATGGTGGAAAAGGAAAGGGGATACACGTGACTTGCGGGGATGGGATTAGATTATAGGGAATTGGTTGGCGTTGTGTTTGCGTTTATGGATGCATCTTGCGTTGCAACATTCCTGTGTATAAAGTACAGGGCATAGCAAGCAGATATGAGATTACGTATCTATTCACAGACGTGGACTTTCGGAAGAATTCTAGATGCCTTTATGCTCTTGTGATTAGTTTTGTGAGCGTCCCAAGATCTCGGGGACAATTAGCGTGAAAGTAGGAAAGTGATTCATGGGAAAACAGACCAGCGAGACTATTACTGCAATGTTTTGGAAGGAGCTATCGTTCGATTTTTGATGGCAAGATTATGTCTTGCGCTATAGTGTACAGTACACGACTTTTTCTCCTTGAGATTCGTGCGTATGAAAAAGCATTTAATGCCCGGAACGCCAGATTTAATCTCCCAACTGCATCCTCTCTTCCGCAATTTCTCTTTTCTCCTCCACACCTCTCTCAACCCATGATCTCTCCCTTCACCAGCCTAATACCTCTTCCTCGTTGGCTCCGGACTAGGACTCCTCGACATACTCCTCTCATCCCTACCCCTCAACCTCAACCACTTCTTCGTGCTCAACTCTAATTCCCTCTCCAGCTCCGCACTCGGATTCTTCCTATGGATGAAATTGCAGAAACCTCCTCGAACGCAACCCTCCCCGCTATTCAGACGGCAACATGCTTCGCGGAAATCGGTGACGGGCGATAACTCGCAGTAAATGGGTCTAGCGGCGTACCAGCGGGAATTCAGAGCATCGCAGGCTTTTTGCGCGGAATCTTCATACTTGAAGCGCGCGTACACGTTCCCGATGAGATCTACAAAACTGTCAGTATACATACACAACTCCATTCCAGATCAGAAATTGGGGGAAAAACTCACGATCATTATTATTATCACAAACAACAACCTCCTCAATCTCCCCAAACTTGCACATCTCGCACCAGAAGTCCTCGTAGAAGGCATCAAAGTGGTTCTGCAGCTGCGACGCATTCATCTTGTTCTTGGGGTCGTAGGCTGGGTTCTGGTACAGGTTCGGGAGCAGGATCGTCTGCGAGTACGAGGGCTTGACGTGTTTGCGGGAGCAGCGGTCGCCGTGGCGGCATGCGCCGATCTTGTAGTAGAATGAGCAGTTGACTTTGTCGGCTTCGGTGCCGAAGATTGAGGCGAGGTAGTTCGCCATGATGGAGGAGGGATCGAGGCTCGAAGGTGGAGGTTAGAGTCGCGAGATAGGTTGATTGTGTGTCGCGGATGTAATACGTGGTCGGACTCGAGAGTCGAGGTCTTGGGATGTTATATCGCGGGTTGTCGTGAGGTGTTTGTGATGTTGTTTCTGGATTGTGCTGCCTCGCAAAAAGATCGTGATATGGAGCTTGGAGGTTGGTCCTAAAATGGGTTAGCGCCAAAACTTAAATCTCAATGAGGCTGACAAATCGTTTTCCGTCCTTCTTTCGTCTTCGAAGACATGAACTAATTTGGACTAAGTAGTCTATCATCTAAACGTTCTACATGTTCTAATCTCCTTGTATTGGCGTGTCTGCTTATATAATTTTGAACTCTACCCTCGAGGCTTGAGCATTAAGTGTCTGTTGCCGTTTCTTATAATCTTGCTTAAATACTTGCTTTACTTTTCATTGGCTCAAATTTGATGTACTGGTATTAATACGAGAATATCTTGAATAAATATAACTCTCTCAATACTGAACTCAAGTGCTTTTAGCGTGTGAGTAATTCATGACCTTTCTTTCCGGGCTTAAGGTGTTGTAATCACGTTCCCACCCTTAACTTCTTGTTTGAGGATATTTGCATACTTCAGATATATGAATGGCAATCTATTTCTTGACCCTTTTGAGGACTCGCTCAGGCTCTTCCGAGGCCAGACTTTGAATACTTGGCTGCTATCCAAAGTCCGATGCTCGTTCTTGATACTGTCTTACTCAATCTCAGTTTGGTCCACAACTCCATTTGACATCGCCGCCCCTCTTAACAGGCTCATCATCAGGGTCTGCGATCCTCTTCACCTCCATATTAAATCTGAAACTCGCCGCCAATACGCCTCCTACCAACCCGCCCTCACTCCATGAGATCATGAAATCGCCAGTCTTCGACATACCGTCGCTCTCAACCCCATCGAATCCCAACGCCCAAGGATGCGGATAAATACAGTAGAAAAACGGACCCGTTGGCGGCTTATTTGGGTCTGAATTATATAAGTCCGCGTCATTGAGGACCCAGCCATCGTCCCATGGTCCTTCTGGTGATTTTGCTCGAGCCATAAGGATTTTGGAGTCTCCAAAGGACGAACAACCAACGAACATATACTTGTACAGCGAATTGGCCCCGAATATTGTTGTGTGGAATATCTGTCCGTGCTCGATGTGGGACATAATGGGACGGCAGTCTGCAGGAAAAGCCGACCAGCCAGTGCCAGTCCAGTATGTGTACGGTGTTGGACAGGAAATACGGATACGAGCCAGGACTACGTCCTTGTCGGCGTCGAGAATTTGGCCATAGAGGTAGATAAAATCGTCCACTCGAAGTGCTGTGATCGATCCAAAAGAGGGCAATGTTGCCGATTTGAGCTCAACATTAGACAAAGATTCGTGACTCTGGGCCAGGCCAACATTCTCGATGCCAGGCGTCGGCTTAATGGCTCTGATTTGTCGACTTCGTGAGTCGTACTCTACTTTTGCAACCCCCATACGAAGATAGGTCTCGTCCATACCCGTCATCCTGGTGATCTTGAACCAGGTGTACCCATGAATTATCCCTTTCTCGTGATGGCATTTTCTAGTTTGGTCTCCTTCAACTTCAATGATTCCGGAAAATGACCAGAATTTTGTTGGGATGGCAAATTCTTTCGGGCGCTGGTGAACGAATACCGGTACTTCATCCTTCGAATCTAGTTTGTACTTCGAGAGAGTTGGATTGTTGTTATCCGGGATTATGGCGCAGGTGTTATCTCTCACTCCCAGGAAATTTCCGTTGGGGTCATGGTCGAAGGTGTCGCCAAATTGTACGACAACATGACCATTGGAAAATTGGGAAGACTTGCCGATGTCTCGTGGGAGCCAGTTGCCAGTGCCTATTTACAAGTTAGGAAGTGAGGCCCAGATATGGCCAGCTGAATCGTAACATTGACTGAGCTCGGTTGAGGGGGAGGTCTGGAATACAACAGATATGCTAGAGGTTGACGCAGAATTGTGGATAACTGGGATGGTGAAGATTGTTATATGCAGTTTACAAAATCTCCAAATTCAGAAAATCAATACAGGCTGGTTGGGAAAATGCCGACTGCCTGTACCCCCAAATGTTTGGGGCGGGTATTCATCAGATCAAATCGAAATTTGGTGAAGTCTGAGCTGAGGGGAGTGCACAAAATCAATACGACGACGGCAAATCTCAAGCAGGTAGCTGAACAGTGCTAAGAGAGAGATATGCAAGAATTGTGAGGATATTCGCAAATGAAACATCGTGTGCTTACCATCGCGCATGATTCCAAGAGGTGTCTGCAGAATGACCTTGGGAGGCCAAATCATTCTCTTCTCCATATTCAATCGACTGCCGACGAACTTTGAAGCTAAATTTAAATAGGTAATGGTGTTGTTGAAAGAGGAGGAAGTTGAGTGAGTCGCGAGAAACATGTTCGTCTCTCGTTTCACCCTATCCGTAATTGGAAGCGACGAAGAACTTCAGATGAAAAAGAACTACACTTCAGCAAAGCACCGATACATTGTTAACTTTCTCGAGATAGGTAATGCTCGACTTGGTTCGCATTGCTTTATTCTTCCTCGTACCATACTCGTCTACCGTCAAGGGGCTTTACTTCATATTTGGTTTCGGGCTTTTCCTTCCACAACAAATGCAGCAGCTCATCCACGACGCCATCTTAGCACCCCAAGCGACTGAATTCCAGATCCTTTAAAGTTCATGTATGTACTACTCCCTTGAGAACAAAAATGTTAGAACCACCTAGTGATATGCATCTTGGATAAGTGTCTTGTTGTTCCAAGCTTCGGAGTGGAGTTCGACTTTCTTCATTTGTCGAAATGAGGAATCTGTTCCACGGCGTGTTGGGATCCGAATAGCTTATGGGACAAAGACATCTGCCAGCTTTTACAGATAGGGTAAAGTCCGAGCAAGTCGGAACGCCAACTGGAGGACCACTGTGCCAACGAATCCCACCAATACCTTGGAATCCATTTCGAAATCGTGGTATTTCTTGTTCTGTCGATATCATAAGCGAAGTTGAGAATGATTTCAAGCAGGAACAACAAGATCTATTGAAGAAAGTGGTTAGTGATTGGCAAAATAAGTGATAAAAATGAACTCTTGTGGATGTTATAACTCATTTCTCTTTTGAAGCTCTGCAGACAAAGTTGGGATAGACGGAATTACGGTATTGGCGATTGATTCGAGACCTGCTGCAACGTTGGAGTCAAAGTAACTGGCTGTCAAAACAAAGCCTATCCTTCAAAATAGATATAGACTCCGTAGAAACGGCGAGAAGTCCTTTACATCGTAGACTGAAAATTTCAGTGTTCGAGCTTCGTAGTTGATTGGAGTATACCACACCACTTACAACTAGGCTCGCTTTCCACCTTTTTAAATTTCAAATTCTACATCCGTCCACCTCCTATTCTCCAGATATTGTGTGTCGAGTGGTGATGTATCTATGCTTTATTTCTTCCTCTTTCCTTACACCTCTGAATGTGGGGAGCTACATCAGACGCTCATTGTTCGCCCATGATCTTCTTGTATTATAGCTTGGGAATATTTTCTTTTCGCGTTGTCCTCATCTCGATCATGACATCTAGGGCGGAATGGCCGCTGATATTCTTCTTGTTCCAGTCAAAAGATCCTCAGTGCTCCCGATATCCATAACCATCATTTTTAAACTTCAGGCGTTATAGACAGGAGACTCGTACCATGGAGCTCTTCATCCAGGATATCGGTGTTAACAAATGAACGAAGGCTGGGGCAGTCCAATACGAGTGATTCGCGATATGAGTTTTTCGGGAGAGCACTGTTGGAAATCGTTCGTTCTGGCGAGACAAATCGATATCAGAGGCTTGGAATTGTATAAAAGGTGATGCGCCATAGCGAGCGAAGCATGTACTGGAGGTCGTGAAGCTGGGGCATTGAAGCACTTGATAAAGTACCTAGTGTCGAGTTGTTGGAGAGAGAACTTTCTCCGTCCTCCGGCCTCAAACAATTTTAAAAAGGCTTTTCACTCTCTCTGAAGGTCCCAACGATGGGACGGTGGGCTTGTGTATGGAAAGGAAAGATTTCTATAGAAGAAAAAAGATAGAGCTTTAAAGCGCGATTTATTGTTTTTCGAAACGCGCTAGTGAATTTTTATTATTTTTTTCTTGAATTAATAATACAAAAGCTAAGATTTTCGTTATCGTCTCACAATGCAGAATATTCAAGAAATCTAAGCTTTTTATATCCGATAATTTTATTATTAACAAACTTTCTGTTATTA